CTATAATCACCAGTGCTTGTCAGCGATGTTCTTCCAGGTGCTTGAGATGCCGCGGAAGAGAAAGAATAACAGCTCAGATACGCCAGGTGGCTATCAGTTCATATCATTCACCGAGTCAATCTAAGAGCAAGAGAGATCGTGTTCATCATCGCTGTTGAGCATTACCCGCGAAGAAGGACTCACCATATGGGAAAAATTCTCATGGCCTTAGAGGAACATTGCTGTATCGGCGGCGTGAGAGGCGCGGTTGCAATATTGGATACCTTCTGGGTTCCCGACAAACTGCTGCGGATGTCAGTCAAAAGTTTCCTGCTTCTATGTGGAGCTCGAAGAAGAAATGTGAAGCCAATCAGTGTTGCTAAGCAGCGCTTGATGTTCTCATTCACAAAGTCGATAGGACAAAGACAGTTTCGTTCATCATGGCAAGGAAAGAAGGAAAGTACCGGTTGTTGCACTTACCAAAGCATTTTTCTTGTTCCTTGCAACAAGAACACAAGACTTGTGGACCACCTCGGAGACTGTTGGCAGCATTGGTTTGCCAACACGCGGGGCTCTGTCAGACATGCACAGTCATAACAACGTACCTCAGATGAGTCTGCGACAGCACGCTGTAAGGGATTTTCAGTCCGCGATTGGCAAATGCCCTTTGATTCAGACTGAGCTCTTCGCTCCTGGCACTGAACTCACTGTTGCTTGAGCCTCCTCTTCTCCCGTCTCTTGAAGTATATCTGATCTTTACGATTGTTGAGTTATCGGTTGACCACGAAGCGACATTGTCTAGCTGGACTGGTGGCGAGAAGAGTGTTTACGCGATGGTGAGAACAGCCGTTATTCAAGCGCCAAGGATACTGCAACACAAGTTCGAAATGAAATCAGCATTTTCCTGTCTCGAACCGATCTGGAGCTGAGATGATGATGTGTCTCAGTCAGGTGTGTTTCACGACCCGTCAAGAAGATCAGATCAAGTACTCCGGTGATGTTTCATCATCATCATCTACTTTGGCTTTCGCTTGGATTGAAAAGTTTCAAACAGCAGATCGGCGTGAGAAGTCTTTCCTGGTATTCCAGCACTTCGTCAACAAGATCTGGAAGACAATCAGAAACCATGGTTATGCAGACGAGACAACTTCTTGGAAGAGAAAGACAACCTACCTCGTTGAAAACACGACTTTGTTCGAGGTAAACGATCAGGAACAACTGGAAGGAATCAGCATCGAAGGCCCTCGGAAGTATTGTCATGAGAAATGTGGCATGAGTGGATGTGCCCTCAGTTTGCGACCAGACCGTCGCAAGCGTTGTTTGTCTTCAACAATGTCACCGTAACAGCGTTCGGATGCGAGACCGTTTTTCATCATGTCGGGAAATGCATAAAAGAGAATCTCACTTGCCTTACTGGAACCACCTTGACATACGAGTTCTCATGCTCTGGAGTTCGAGGACTGCAGGATGAATCCAGATTGCAGCAGGGGGCTGTTGTGCACCTGTTCAAGCAATGGTCAGCCAAGGGCTCTGGAGAGGAGAGGTGTCAGAAGAAATCGAAGAGCCCTTCAGAATCTGTTTTTGATTTTTCTAGTCCTTCATGGTGGTAGGATTTGGATTGAGTAGCAATTGGATCATCATCGAGCAAAGTTGTTGGGGAGATGCAGGAGTACTTGCCAATATTCACTGGTTCTGGTTCTGGTTCTGGTTCTGGTTCTGGTTCTGGTTCTGGTTCTGGTTCTGGTTCTGGTTCTGGTTCTGGTTCTGGTTCTGGTTCTGGTTCTGGTTCTGGTTGCAGAAATGCATCTTAGCGCAGTGGCATACTTCGAGAGAGGAAAGCCTCGCCTCTTTGTCGAAGCAAGACCCAACGACCGAGGATCCATCTGGAAGGTGACATGGGGAGACTCTGATATGACTCAAAGCAACGTTCATGAAGGTCAAGGCAAAGATCTATAAACAAGTCAGCAAAGTTCTCGAAGATGAGTCTTCCGGGGTGAGGGGCTGCAGAAAGATGTATGCTTCTACACCCGACATGTCTGCTGAGACACTGACCAGGAGCAAAAAGTCTGGCATTGAGAGCGAAGAAGCATTGAGGTTTGATCTTGGCTGTTGAGATACTCCAATGACAAGCTAGCCATAGAAGCACATCATAGCCGTGAAGGAGTGGTGTGTGAAAGGAAAGGCTTGACCAACCTGAATGATGAACGCGCGCTGATGTTAGGTGGTGGTGTTGATGAAGATCTACCATCACTACCTCAGCGAGAAGCGCCGGCGGCGGCATGCGCATTCTCTAGACTTCTTGTGCGCACAATCGAAGCGATGTTTGAAGTGGGCATGACGGACGCCGCTAGGTGTGGGCGATGCTTGATGGACCAAAGCAGAAGATGGCGTAAAGTCATGGTTCTGTTCGCTTATCAAGCATCTGTTCGCACTGCCAGCGTTGGCGATCTGGGTCAGCGGACAGAGATGCTTACCCGATGGTCTTCTCCAGGCCAATTTGATGCCCTCCTCGATGATCGCTAGACCCAATGTTGTGTGTCAAGTCGAGTTGTGATGGAGCGAAGGAAGGTGTGGACAGCTCAAGTCAAAGTTCACCTGACGCCCCTCGCTGCGCGTAACGATTTCTACCTTGGCGATGACCATCGCAAGACGATCAGATTGCCGTAAATGCTGTCTCAGCCATTGCGGAAGGTTCTGGGCTACTGCTTTTAGCGTTGAGAGAAAATGCAAAGCTCTTCTCAGGCGTCATGAAATGGGGTAAGAAGGAGATGAATTCTTCACCTGGAAAGCGAAAGAAGGCCGTGAAGAGGTTCTTGAGCGTTGTGCAATTTCGAATGAGAAGGTGCAAATGCTGCTCCTGCCTTCCCATCGAGGACGGGAATGATTGTGCTCTGCCAAAGCGGCAGGCGTCAGGTGTCAGCACAACAGAGGCACTTGCCTGCAGAAAGAAGTGTCGAATCGAAAGTCACTCAACCACGATACTGTTCTTGGCCTTCCAGGAGGGCACGAAAGCTATAGCTCTCCGCATACACAAGACGACTTCTCCAACAATTTATGCTGATCAATTTTGATTACATCAAGTGCGGCCTGCTCGTTGCTACAATGTCAATCTGCCTTAGAGCGTCACAAGTCACCTGTAATGGTAGCCACAAAGCTGAAGCTACTACAAAGCGGTGCTGGCATCTCTTCTCTTCCGCGCCTCTTTCTGCAGCCTATCGAAAGTCGCAAACTTCACTGACACCTTGCCATGTCCGCTGAAGATCTGGACTCCATTGGCAAAGTCTTGAATGTCATAGACCAACACACGCCTCTCATCCTCTGCTTCTCGCTTTTTCATGCTTATTAGCAGTCGCGAATATCGTTGAAGCCTCGACTTGCCCGCTGGAACTCTGAATGCTAATGCCAGAGGGCTATGAAAGACGAAATACCTTGAGAGATTTCATATCTCTAGTACCTCTTCTACACGCGCAAGGAGGTCACGAATGTGCTTTGCACCATGGAATACTTGCTGAGAGGTTAATCCTCAATCACAAGGGACCGCATACAATGAAGACTATCAAACATGTCCTATTTGCTGTATACTGTCATCTCAACACCCAGCGAACTGACCAGTCACCAACTCAAAGTGCTGATCTGCCATATGCACGAGCTTTCTCTGTCTCCGAAGTCCTACTCAACATCGAAATTGCATGGTGGACCTTTTCAAAGAGCTGGTCACAAGCATTGTCTGGCAAGGCACTACAAAGACTTCCCTCTAACTCAGGAGAGCCTTCGTCGTGTCCCTGAGCCACCTCGTTAATGTCTGCTTCGCTTTCCATGCTTTCATCCTGGTGCAACTTCTTCTTCTCCTGCTTCTTCTTTGATCTGTTCCTGATCCTGTTGTGGTTGTTCTTCTTCTTGGTTATGAGCTGCTTCTGCAATCATCTCATGCTGATTAGCATTGAGAAGCTTTGGTTTGTCCGCTGAGATCATAGACTGAGGCAATCACAATATCCATGTCTCAGCAGTGAGATACCGCATCTGCATGCGCAGTAGAAGTCCCAAATGCTTTCGAGGCCGCAGAATGTCCATTGAGAGCTAGAACAACTGTCTCAAAGGGCAGTGATGCATGCTTCAATGCTATGGTTCTTGTCACCACGCTCAGCGAAAGTCACAAATACTTCTGAAGCCTCAGAATGTCCGATGAGAGCCCAAACAGCTATTACAAAGAGCCCCACAAAGATAAGGATGGTCAAGCATGCCTCGAATGCGATGTATCCTACCAATACGCGTGCCGAAAGTCGTAAAGATATCCGAACCTTCAGAATGTCCACTGAGAACTGAATGGGAACAACAAGGGCCGTGAACAATAAGGGGTATCAAACGTGTCTCGATGTGCTACATACCCTTTCTCTATGCGCAGCGAGAATCGCAAACGTTATCGAAACCTTGGAATGTCTGCTGGAAGTCTAAACAATTGTCACAGAGGGCTACGTGAAGACGAGGACTGTGAAGGGTATCTCGATTGCTATGTACTCCATCTTATGCGCGCCGAAAGTCGTAAACTTATTCGATTCCTGAAGCTGTCCACTGAGAGCTTGAGATTGACTTTGTTGTTCGTATAAAGAGGATGTTCAAGGATCTCTGGTCTCAGATACTGGTAGTCTTGTCCTCGTTGTTCAAGCGGGAGATGATGATATTCTTGTTCTCTTTTATGCGATTGAGAAGCATGCCGCGTGCACGCAGGATGTTGTGCAACTCGTCGATAGTGCACCAGCTACGGGGTTCTTCAGCGAAGCCGTCAGCGGCGATGGCAGGCTGCTGAGATGCACCTCTGCTGGGACCAGAAGGCTTGGTGATAGGCATAGGTTGACTTTCGACCGTGGCTGTAGCTACGGGCTCTACCCGCAGGATGTTTGGGCGCCAGGATGCACGCCCGCGAGCGTTTGACAGCAAGGAAGAGAGCTGGCAATGGCTTCATCTTTGCTCGCGGACGTGCATCCCTTATGGCGGTGTATAAAGAGGATGTTCAAGCGATGGCTTCACTTGAAGACATTCTTGACCTTNTTGATGGCGTCGTCGATGTTGTCGGAGAGAGCATCGCGCTTGCGCTTAGGGGGGNNAAGAGGGTAGGGGTCGTAGGTGCATTTGCCGGGACCGTACTTGGGCTCGGGGAGCNNTCTGTGCCATCGTCAGCCTCATCAATGCGCAAAGAAGGAAAACATCGACTACTTACTGCCGTTGACGCGGATGTAGTTAGCAACGTGCTCCTTAGGCAACTTGGTTGAGTTGGTGGCGACTTGGATCTGGCGCAGGGTGATCTGGCCGGCCTCAAGGTCGCTGAGGTACTTCTTNTGATCGAAGGCCTTGATGGGCTTCTGCCACTTGGGATGTTCGATGGCATTAAGCGAAGCGAGGCTGTCAACGCGCTCGCTCTTGAGCTCGTCGACGCCCATGCTGGCGATGCGGTCGTGGGCCTCGTCAAGAGCTCTGATAATGTCACTCATGGTGGTGCAGTGCGAGTCCATCGAAGCCATGGAGGTGGACTTGGACTTGGTAGAGGTGATCTTGGAAGCAGCGGAAGACCTCCCACTGCACCACTATGATCATCAGAATTGATGTTGTCCAGGTTATTCTCGAGGCCCTTCTGATATTCAGAAGGAGTAGATGCATCCTGATGTCAAGTCAGCCAAAGATCTGGATGAGTGTGAGTGGTTCAGCAAAGACATACCAAGATGACTTGTGGCCAGAGCTGCTGCACAGAGCAAGTAGCCATGACAAGAGCAGACATTGGCGAGCCATGCATGCGCACAGGACTTGCTTGGATGCTGAGTGCTTGCTGCTGATGCCGTTGTATTATGTCAGTTGAGCTCAACTCATGGTGAAGGTTGTGGAACCCCATACCTGAAAGCAGACCCAAGTCGCGCAGAGATCTTTGGGCAGTGGCGTGAACCAAGCAGAGGCAGGCCATGTTGAGCAAGGAAGATCTTGCGAAGACTGGCGCGAAGACGCATGGCCTGATAGACTGCGGATGGTGATAGCTGATGCTGGGAAGCCAAGTCAGTTGAGGTCGCGATGGACGGTGAAGAAGGGATGCCTACCTGGAGTCGCGGACCATATCACGTGCGCGCAGATGCTTTGGACCTGGAAAAGCGCATGCGACTTCAGATGATGCTTCTTGCAAGGCCTTGCAGTGTTGCGAAGATCAGACGATTCGCGCTCCGCAGATGACTTTGCACAAGCGGACACGTGCTTTAGCTCCGAGATTGAGGAGACCGAAGCGTTGTCTGTTGTGTTGAGGCGGAAATGCAGAAGAAGAGATGAAAGTTCTGTGAAGCAGAAAGCAGAAGCGGAGCTTGAGGATGAGGAAGCTGCGTCTCTGCTTTGCGATGATGGACGAAGCTCAAAGCGCCTACCACTTTAGAAGTGACACAATAACGCTCCGACGGTGACCTCTCACACCGGAGCTGGTGTAAGCACTGAGTACAGTGTCATAACAAGTCACCGCTGCCGCCTCAGATACGGACATACTATGTTCAGGCTTCATGACCGAGAAGAACACAGAGTCAATAAGAGCAGAGTCTACCTGATGCTTATCTATGTTACAACCAGCATGGCCAGGCTTTGGACATATAGCTCTCTAAGACGAGCGGCCTGCTCAATAGACTGTTACATCATGGTGCTCCATTCAATTTAAGAGACCGGCTACAACATTGGTTCAGGCCGGTCTGTTTGTGATTTCTCAGCTGATACCGATATCCTTCGGCTTCTGCGGATACTCAATGTACGCCAACAGCATTGAAGAAGAGGCGCCTCTGGTAGCCTGAGCTAATGCAGCTTGCTTGTTGAAGGAAGACATCAACTGCAAGTTCTTCTCATCAAAGGCGCATTCATGGGCATGATTAGAGTACAACAGGCCTCTGCGAAGCAAAGCATGAATCACCAAACATTCAACATTCTTCTTCAGCTCCCAGTCAAAACCAGAAGACACTGATGAAAAAGTGTTTGTCCACAGAGACCAAAGTCTTTGTCAACTTTCCGTTCCAAAAATTGTTTAAGATGATTGACGACGCCCTTAGAACCTATAGAAATGTTAGCATCCCATAGGCCTTCACCTAGAAAAGGTGTCGGACGGTTGGAGAAGAAAGGGAGACGGAGCAGTTCAAACCTGGCTTTTTATATCTGCTGGCAGGGAAACTCGATTACTTAAGCGTACGTGGTCAGCGCTTCTTGAGGCCTTGCTACCAACCACTCGGCAGCGAATGAGGTCGTTCGGATTCGCAATGCTGCCGTCCAGATCACTTTGTCAACATGGCTACCTGCTGGTCAAACTGCTCCTGGTCTCAATCCACCTCTGAAGCCTGGCTGTAAGAGACCAGGCTGAAAGACATAGCTACATGCTTCTCAGCATGAATGTGATGCTCCCTGCTCAAGAGCCAGCACGCATATGCTTTGAGTGCTTCTCAATGCTATGCTGTGCTGTATACTGGTATAGGATTGTGTGAATGCTGCCTACTACACCTCTTCTCCATCACATCGGAGCTACTACAATGTGACCACCCTCTCTCACCTCATTGCATCTATCACAATGAGGCCATCTACCTATTCACCCGATCGAGTAATAGCATGTGAAGAGGTCCACGCTCGCGCTCAGTGCTCGCGCTCAGTGCTCACACGCTCAGCGTCCACACAACAAAACCAGCCCCTTCCTTCTTCTTCTTCTTCTTCTTCTTCTTCTTCCTCCTCTTTCTCTCCCCAATGGCCATTAAAAAGGCAATAAGGGCGGCTCTCGCCGGTCTCCTCGCAGGCGAGGGCACGACTGGCGAGATGCCATAAACCGCATCGAGCACCGCTGCGCAAGGCGCGCTGCCTTTGCACCCTCCTTCGCCGCCCTCCTCGCCCCCACCCCCTCTCCTTCTGCCCCTTCGTGGGCCAGTCTTGGTAAGTTGCTATCCTATCCCATGTCTCTTCTGAAGGCGTTACTGGACTTGACACTGACATNNTCTACATCAAACAGCGCCGCTACTCTCCACCTCCCTTGGGATGGAGAGNGTCCTCCCACCCAGCCCCCTGCCCCTCGCCCTCGCCCCGCCAACCTCGCTCTGGGGTTTGTGGCTGCTCCGCTGCTGCCACCATGTAAGTTATTCCCATGCTATACTCCAAGACCAACACTAACCAGTGCGATTGTAGGAGACAAGCAAGAAGAAGAGNGAAGCAAGGTCTGAGGGACGTTAAACCATCCGACCACGGGTCGTTAAGCATGTACAAATGTCAACTTTTCTTCGTTTCTCCTCTCAATTGATATGGTTTCTCTTGTGTGCATCGTGACTTTCGACCGCATGATTTTCGTCTCCAAAACACCTCCTTCACATCCTCTTACTACCCAAAAGTATACCATAAAAATGCAAGAACTACTTCGAAATCAAGAAGAGTCCAGAGAAAGCCACCCGATAGACTCCTTGTATCATCCATCTCACTGGACAAAGACTAGATACAAACACTTTTGTGCCTTTTTTACTGCTGTTTTCGTTGCTCTTGTGTCCAGGGAGAGCGTGATATGATGACAATGATCTACTTTTTTTTTTGGTCTCATCACATCACATTCGAAAACAGCAACTGAAGTTCTTTCTTGCAAGCTCATGATATCAATTCTCGTACTGTATCTGCAAAGCCTAAACACAAACTCCTTTGCTTCGCGTTGCTCGAATAGAAAAGCCTCTTCATGCCACAAAAAGCAAACCCCATCCCAAAACTACAGTAGTCATAATCTCTTCTCAAGCTCCACCATATACAGCCAAAGCCTTCTGAGCTAAAGCTCCAAAGTCCAGCTTGCCCTGGTCTTGGGGCATGTACTCTCCACTTGCAATACAGTGTACCTTCATGTTTGGATGGTAGGCCAAGTTCGGCAGCAACTTGGGTGTGATGAGGAAATACTGCGAAGTGTGTTCTGCACAAGCAATATCAACCATGCGAGAATGTACCATGCGTTCATTGCGGGGATCCATTCCTTGGTTGATCTCGTCAACAACACGGAAGGGAGCTCGGGCAAGACTTTGTAGCGCCATGAGATAGAAGATTGTTGATACAGCACGTTCGCCACCAGACTGGCGATGCGAGTCGAGGACGGACAGTTGTTCGTTTTCTCTNGTGATGTAATTGTTAGTACAATTCCCATGACAAAAGATGAGAATCACTGTTGCATACCTGAACTTGACCTGAATCTGGATGGCCCATTTGTTGAAATCATCGTCTTCTTTGTAAACCTCAACTTGACCGGCACAGTTGATTTTTGCAAAGTTCTCGCTGAAAGCATCGCTGATTTGACCGATAAGTTGGTCAAGCTCGGGCTCCCATTTCTCCCGTATCTCGTCGATATTTTGTTGCAATTCAACAAGGTCGTTCTCGATATTCTCCAATTTACGCTTGGCCCTCTCAATATCTTCGGCACGCTTTTCGAATTCGCGAAGGATCTGAGGATTACCTCCGTCAACCATCTCAAGTCGGGCCTTCGTACTGTCGATCTCGGCCTCGTATTCATCGAGGTTCATCTTGTTGTACTCAGTGTAGATCTCCGTTTCTCGCTCTGAGAGATCCTGGAGCAGTTCGTTGCACGCTTTGAGTCCAGCTGTGGCGATCTTCTTCAAGTTGTTCCTCTCGATCTCCAACTCCTTCACGTCGCGTTCTCGCTGAGCGAGATTCTGTCGCACTTCTTCGCTGTGCGCCTTGAGCAACTGGAAGTCCGACTCTCCTTCAATCATCGCAAGACTTGCTTGCAGGAGATCCATTTCCAGTTTTTGCAAGCTCTGCACGGAAGAAACAAGAGTCAAAGCATCCTGAGCTCGATCCAGAGTGAGTTTGTCTTGCTTATTCTTAATTTCTTGAACTCTGGCTCGATAGTTTGCTTGCCGCTCATCCAAAGAATCACGTTTCGTCACAAGCCCAGCGATTCTGACCGGCAGTTTCTGCCACTCGGATCGTGCATCTTGCGCTTGCTTCTTCTCAGCCTCGAGCTCCTTCTTCTGCGCACCAAGCTCACTGTACTCATGTCCATAGCGAACACTCGTAGCCTTGTGTGCTTCAGCTTGTCGTTGAATTTCCTGCGATTCGTGCTTGAGCTCGGCAATTGTGTTCTTGTACTCCTGTTCGGCTTGCGTGTCCACGGGTTGGGAAGTGAAGAAGCGCGCTGTCTTGATACGCGCCGTGCGTGTAGATGTACCAGCGTCACCATACTCCCTTCTCCTTGTTACGTTGTAAGTTTCAGTAGGTGTCGCCCAATTCGAAATATGACTTGACATCATTCCATCAAATTGTTGAGAGCTCAACTCTTGGAATGCAACACCATACATGTGGATGTTTCTGTTGTCACAAAGCATACTGAGGATTTCCTCAGGTCCTTCGAGAAGATCCAGGACGTAGGTATTCAGACCAAGTTGTCGTAGCTCGTCTTGAGAATAGGGCCTCTTCCAATAGCTCAAGGGCGTATCGAGCATTCTCAAGTTGATGTCAGACAACCTCTGTCTATCTAAGAGTTCGCGTTGAAGCAGATTAAAATCCTCTTTGTGTGTCATTGTTATACAGACCATGTCTGCCTGACCAAGCACCGACTCGATGAGATTGGCAAACTTCGTGTCCTTGACAGAGCACTCGAGGATTGCTGGTCCGAACACTTTGCCAGTAAACTGATCTCTGTTTTTCTGAATCCAGTCCCAGGCCTTTGCAGTATCTGGAGAGGCATTGTTGAGTTTGTTGACTTGTTGTCCAGCTTTGGACCGGAGCTGTTTCAGACTTGTATCTGCAGCTGCGATACGTTGTTGAAGTGAGTTCAGCTCAGCAACTTTGTCGTCTTGCTTGACATTCTCCTCTCTGGCGGCATCAGTCTTTTCACGTTGTTGGCGCGAAATGTCTCTGATTTTCTCGTTGAGTGCGGCAATATCGATCGCTGGTGGCTCAATCTCGACTTGACGTTCCAAACCCTTAATTTGGCTGTCAATACGAACGCGCTCCTGCTTGTGTACCTTGACACTCTTCTGCTCGGCTTCTAGTTCCTGTTCACAAGCCTTGTGCTGTTCTGATGCCGTGTTCTGCTTCTTGATTTTCTGTTTGATGTCGTCTTGTGCACGAGTTACAAGACGCTGGCGACGCTTGACGACGGCGTCAATGGCTTTAACATATTCTTCTTTGGCGTTGACAGCAGCCAAAGCAGGCTCACATTCACGCTGCAGTGCGGCAAGCTCATCGTTGGCTTCCTTGCAGCGTTCTTTGGCTTCGTGGTAGTTGTCTCTTGCAACATTGTAAGCAGGAAAGGGTCGCAGGCGTTCAAGAGCAGCAAGCTTTTCTTGCTGGTCGGCACGCTCACGCAGACGCTCAACATCACCGCGCTGCATGTTCTGCCGGCCTTCAAGGTTCTTCAAGTTCTCAGTATGTTGACCTTGGTCGGATTGATGTTTTCGTTGCTGGCTTCGCATGTTTTTGAGCTGATCATGCCATTCACTCATGTAGTCTGGAGCTGCAGCTCTTTGTGTCTGGACCAGAAGTTCGATAGGGTCCAGTGCAGCGAACTCAACGACACGGTCTTGAGGAAGGAACTGGCACAGATTGTCGACTTGTATGGAGAAAGAGCGGCAGAGCTCTGCGACAGCCTTTTGGGTGCTGTTTCTGCCATCGATCATGAAGTAAGTCTTGTTGTTTGAGTCTCTTTTGATGATTCGTTTGATGACGGGGTTGGTACGATGACGAGCGGGATCGCGTTCGAGTTCGATCTCAATCTCGGCCTCTTTCTGACCATGCTTGACGAACTCAGAAGGATCCTTCGCTCGACCGAGTACGTCGGGTTTGGCTCCAAGACCCAGACAGATAGCACAGACCAGAGTACTCTTTCCAGTGCCGTTGGGACCAATGATCATGTTCAAACTGGGACCGGGTAGAAATTCGGCCGAGGTGTATGTGACAAAGTCCTTCATGGCGACTCTGACGATAGAGCCAGGTGAATGGGTGAGGGGCGCTGCATCGTTGTGGCCGTTCTCGTAGCTGCGCGGCAGTAGAGGAGCCTGTGACAGGATATCAGTGAGGGTGCAAGGGACAGCATGTGANGATAGACGATACCTGTGAAGAAGCATGGCCATTCAAGCGCGGGCGTTTGTCAGCGGACGACGACGGGGCATCGATATCACTCTCATCGTCCTCATCATCGCGCGGCCTTCGCATGGGTACCAGACCAGGCATTTTTGCGATTATTGTAGCAATTTGCTACCGAGTCGTTGGTTTAGAAGGTTCATGTGCTGCCTGAGTTGCGGGTGACGCGTTTGGCCATTTGCCGACGCGACAGAAAGTGGAAGGCGCGATGGATTTCCGCGCTTTACAAGCACCTGCAATTTACAACACTACACCAAGAAAGGCCTATTTGTCTCACTACTCAGCCAAAGGTGAATAGATAATACCTACGTCTCTCGAATTATGTCCAAGGCTCATGTCCTCACATCATGTCTAACCCGTCCCAAACTCCTCTTAGTGGTATCAATATGCATCCGTGAAACCCCTCAAAAATCAACCCAAGCCATGGACAGAATATCAAGGCTTCTCAATCATCGCCCGCGCTGTCGTTATCGTCGACAAAGCTCCCATCGACACTTTCTTCGCCAGCAACGCTAGTCTGTAAGCTTGCTGTGCTGCCGACTCTCTGTAGCTTCATCCGTTTGCGTAGAGGCGTGTTGTCTTCATCATCTCCCAATTCATCTCTTTCTCTCTTGTCCGTCTTTGAATCTGACTTGCCAGGACGCTTTCCAAGTTTTGAACCTTTCGTGTCCTTTTTCATGCTTTCTTTGAGCCCTCGTTTAAGCACCTTNTTACGCACTCCTCCAGACTTGTCGTCGTCTTCGTCCTCATCGTCGTCTCCATTCTTTGAACCACGTGAATTTGGCGTTGGTGTACCGCCTCTGCTGCCCAGTGGAGATGCTCCGTTCGCGTTGTTGTTACGAGCAGCCCTCGCACCTCTGCCGCCGATTCCGAGACATTTCTCCAGGTGTTGGGCAAAGCGCGTGATGAGCAGACTTCGCTTGCATGACGGACATGTATGCCAGGGGATGTATGTGCCGCCCTTGAGTCTTTCGCCGACCTTCGCAGCCTTCTTGTCAACAGGACCACCAGTATTGGGTTGTTCTGCCGAAGGCGATGGTGGCGCAGTGCCATTCTCCTTGGAGGCGTTTGATTCGGCCTTCATTCTCTCGCGCTCTTTCTTGGTCGGTGGCTTGTCGCTGCCAGCCACTGGGAACGGATTGCCATAGATGTCGTGACCAGGTCGCGTTGACCAGGGAATGTGTGTGCAGTACTGTATCTTCTTAGGAGGATTCGCGTTCGCTAGAGGAGGGTCCAGAAGTCGTGGGAGATTACATGACGGACAAATCGGTAACCCTGTGGTGGGATCTACAGTTCGTAGGAGTAGTTTCTCGCGGCGATGGGTCTGGAGTACCAGGTCATGGATGACGGTGTATAAGCAGTCGTTGATGATGCTTTGAGTCTGCTGGTTACTTAGCACTAGTCCTTCTTACCACAGGCTCCTAACACATACCAAAGACCCAAGGTCGACTTTCGCATCCTGGTCCGAAGACATTCGCTCCTTGGTGGCTCCTAGGGACCAGCACCGACTCAGAGGTGTAGTTTGTAACTCAACAGCAGGTGACTTCAACTCCGTCCACCTGCAAGCTCCTGTGGCGCACAAAGATAGACCGACGACGGCTGTTCGACAAGTTGCGAGTTGCAGCTACTGCGCGCCGACTTGCCGGCTATTCTTGACCGAACCCCAGATGCCAATTTTAGCTCCCGCCATCACATCTGTGGGGTCACTTTTGCCGTGTAAACATGTGAACAGGGCTCAGAGTGAAAAGAAAGAAATCATATACATTCAAAATCATGCCATTCTACATATAGACCCATCCAATCTAGATGGCCAAGTTGGTCAGAATGCCCATCTTCCGCTCTGTCTTCCGACCAGCCAACTTCTATGTACGCAAAACAGAGAACGCCTGCTATTGTTACACGAATCGTTACCCCAAAGTCTAGTCTGTCCACTATGACAATGGGATACCCTCGTACTCGGCGTAGCCCAGAGCGAGGTTCATGTTCTGCAAGCACTGAGTGGCAGCACCCTTGAGCAGGTTGTCAATTGTGGCGTTGATAACGACACGCTTGCCACCGCTGTGCACAGCGAAGCCACCAATCTCGACGCCGTGCTTGCCAGAGATGTTCTTGACCAGAGGGCTCTCGCCGGTAACCTTGACAAGCTTCTCACCGTTGTAGCGGTCTTGGTAGAGCTGACGGATGTCACGAGAAGCCATGGTCTCGGCAAGAGGGATAGAGATGGTGTGGTGAATACCAGCAAACCATACAGCGACGTGGGGAATGAAGCCAATCTCACGTCCGAGCTGAGCGCTGATCTCACGCTCGTGGATGTGATCGGTCAAACTGTAAGGGATGAGGTTGTTGGTGAGGTTGTCTACGTCGTTCTTAGGGCTGGGCTTGGTGCCTGCTCCTGAGTAACCAGAGACACCGAAAACAGTAGGGTTTGCAGGGGCTGCTGCGAGGTAAGGGACCAAAGGAGCGATACCGAGCTGGGCAGCAGTAGCATAACATCCAGGGTTGGCGATACGAGTAGCGCCTGCGATCTTGCTACGCTTGACAAGCTCGGGCAGACCGTAAGTCCATGATGAGTCAAAGCGGTAGTCGGCAGAGAGATCAACAATGACAGACTCCTTGTGGCTTGAAGCCTCAATGGCATCGACGAAAGGCTTGCAGACACCGTTGGGGAGAGCCATGACCCAGCAGTCAATCTCACCAGCATCAGCCATGCGACGAACATCATCAGGAGAGAGGTTCTCGTATGTGATGTCGCGCTTGGTGTAACCAGCAAGCTTCTTGCCGTTCAGCTCACGCGATGAGACGTGGCGCAGATCCATGTTGGGGTGGCGGTTCAGGAGATCAATCAAAGCCTGGCCAGTGTAGCCGCGGGCGCCAATGAGAGCAACCTTTGAAGGGTAGTCCTTGTCCTGGTTCTTGATACCAAGAGGAGGGTTGGGGTTAGTAGTAGTAGCGTAGCCACGTCTAGTGGGAGCGCCGAAGGTTCTGCAACTTGTCAGTAGGTACTTTTATCTGCAATCCAACATGACTCCTCACCTGCGGACACGCTGCATGTTGCGCGAAGAGAAGGAGCTAGTAGAGAAAGCTCTGGTCTGCTGTCCGAGCGATTCTCTGTGCTGCTGGAGCTTCTGTGCGACATCCTTGATTCTGAGAGCGCCGGATGCAGCGCGGTGAAGCTGGCTCTCGAGGTTGTTGTCGCCAAACATTTGTCTGCCGTGTTGAATGAACTCGGCCATCAACTCGCGCACTTCCTCGGGAGTCTCGATGCCGTACCAGAAAAGGACTTCACCCTGGCGGGCGATGCTGCCATCTGCCTTCTCAGAGAACCAAGTCAGATTCTCGTCGTCCTGCTTGACAGTCCAAACAAGCTTGGGGTAGTCGTTCTTCAGGTTCTGGAAGACATTGTCGGCAATGTTGGAAAGCCATGCGGAACGGGTCATGGTCAGAGTAGCCAAGTGGGCCAAACCATTGGGGGAGGATGAGTCGGGAGGAAGGACAACAGCAAGAGCCTCCATTCCCTCATCGTGGTAAGCAGCGAAAGTCTTGCCCTTGAGGCTGTCGAGGTAGCGGTCAACGACGGCCTCAGCGTCAAGGCCCTCACGATCACGGACAAGAACCTGCTTGAGCTTGTTCACGTCGGAGAACTCAGAGACTGATGAAGCCTTGTGGAGCTTGGTACCACGGCGAATCAAGGTTCCGGCACCAGTGTGAGTGAACAATTCACGCTCGAGACTCTCGGGGTGGATGATGGCAACACTGGATGAGCGAGGCAGATGGTCAAGGAGGTCCTTGATGTCTCGGATCTTGGAACGAGTGCCGTGAATCACCCAGGGCATGTTCATGTAGCGGTCGTACTCTTCGTCGAGGTTGATAGCCTCGATCAGCTTGCCAGTGTCCTTGTTGTGCAGACCTCCCTTCTCAGACAGGTAGACAATCTTCAGAGGAACGAGAGCCTTAGCCAGCTCAGCAGCGGCCTTATCAGCGTTGACGTTAAGCAGCTGGCCCTCGTTGTTCTCGGCCATGCAAGTAAGGACGGGAATGTAGTTGTCGGCAATGGCGGCATTGATAGGGTCAGTGTTGACCTGGTTGACCTCTCCAACGAACTTCCATGTGTCCTTGTCCTTGTAGTCGGCCATGAGCACGCCCGAAGTGATGGGACGAGCACGAACACCCCATGACTCAAGAGCTTCGACAAGCTTGAGGTTCTCCTCGAGGAACAACTTGCGCGCAACGCCCAGTGTAGGACCATCGGTAATACGGATACCCTCGCTGTACTGAGGCTCAATTCCGGCTTCCCCGAGCAACTTGTTCATCTGAGGGCCAGCTCCGTGGATAATGACGGGGAACAAGCCCATCTGGTTGAGGTTGCGCAGCGAGCTGCAGAGGACATCGATGTAGTCTGTGAGGATGGCACCGCCAACCTTGATAACGGCGAACTTCTGCGACGAGACGGACTGGAACTGCGAGAGGTATTGCTGGACCTCNACCTAGTGGGACCGGTCGCGTCAGTGTCTTTCGAACTGTCCCTTGAGCTGCGGCTGTTACTCACGCTTGGATCCAAGGTTCTGAAGCACATTGATAACGGCCGAACGAGCCGATGTCTCTTCATGACGGGTGTTCTTGGAGACGGTGGCATAGCCGCTAGCAAGAGCCGGACGGACAGCTGCTCTGCACACTGCTGTCGCAGACACGCGAGCGGTTCTGGCCCTGCCAAGGGCGCGCATACAAGGACGAGCCAACATAGCGAGGTCGTAGTGTTGGGTCGGTGGTCGGTAGATTAAGGATCACACACCGGCCAACATGCAGCAACCCAATGAATATAAGAGGAAAATCACAGCAGTTCGCTTTGCAAAGGACAAGAAAGTCACAATGCTCAGGTTACGTGTGGATCCTTTGGTCGACGCCGATGTTCGGGCCTGCGGCTTTAACTTATCGCTCACCCAAATTTTATCAATCTAATCTGATTTTTTGCTTCTGCCCCTCTGCATGACTCATGTGCCTGCTCTCTCATAACCTCATCGTCTTCGCTTTCCAATCCCTCATCTAGGTCAAGATAATTTTTGAACGTCTATACAGAAGCAATGCTGCTTAATTGTGGGCTTATTCGTACAGTACATTACTATATCTGTTCTTATGTTACATTCTATCAAATATCCACTGATGTGCAAATGTCATCGACCTTGACCAATATCAATGAGACCCTACCAAAAACGCCATCGCTTGAATCAGATTTTATGCACTTTTTACCATGTCTTGTCTACACTTCCTCCTCATCAGATGAAGCGTCGTCATCTTCATCGCTCTCGTCCCAGCCTTCAGCTTCGAGACTCGATGATCGAATTCCGAAACTCAAGGCGAAGCCTAGAAGACTAATACCACCGAAGATTCCAAAGGCGAGGGCTTCGCCCTTGGGCTGTACATGTGTTGCTGCAGTGAACAATGACCCAGAAATGAAAGGTCCAGCTGCACGTCCGGCTGCTGAAAGAGTTTGTGCAAGCCCGTTCAGCGTGCCCAACACTCCGTGGTTTGGCGCTGAGTTTGTGATNCTATTGTCACAGTTAGCATTTTATAGCAGGCTGTTGAAAGATCATTATCTCACCAGAAGAAGTGCACTTGTGAGGCCGCCGACTGCTGCCACAGTCTTGACTATAAGCACCGCTCCAAGTTCAATCCACAACCAAACTTTTCCCGCTTGTGTGGCATCCCCAGATCCGTTCTTGCCATCCTTGTACCCTACCCAGGGCATAAGCAGGAACGCAATGACGAAGCCAAACAAGCCAACGCGATAGGTCGTCTTGTTTCCAACCTTTTCACGCAGTTTACCAAAAAGGCCAACTTGGAAGACAATAGTGACGAGTCCAGCAAAACCCAGTGATAGGCCAATCTCTTCAGGTGACAAACCACGACCTGTAGGAGGTACTGCTTGCGCGAAGATGGGGTAAAGCGAGTTGTATGAAATGTTTGACAGCTGGAAGATGAGGAAAGTGATGAGGAGGAGGATAGTGTCGCGGTTGAAAACAGCAGAACTGCTGAGTGTTTCGTGGTTGCCGGTACCCAGAAGATGAGTAGATTCACCATCGCTCTCATCGTCAGTGCTATCTTCTTCGGCGCCTTCGCTTCGGCCACGGGCAGCTGAGTTGGCATGCTGCTCATGGCGTCTGATGTATGAAGGCTTGGTGGAGTTGCCAGTGAATTGCCAGAGCCACGCAAAGAGGTTAGAAACTCGCTTCTTGAGAGGCGGCAGAACCCTAGCTTCCTCCAAAGACTCTTCGAGGAATATCATAGTAAGGACAAAGTCAATAAGCAGAACACCAGCGCTGAGCACGTTTGGAGCCAGGTAAGGGTATGGGTTGGGCTTGCCGCTCCAGGGAATCGTCTCGAATACAAGCAGTCCACCCACGAGAGGACCCGTAATACCGCCAATTCCGTAGACAACAGGAAGGTATGTAAAGGCTCTACTCTGGTTGCTTCGGTCGGTAATCTCGCCCAGACAGGTGCTAATGACACCCTGATTTCCGTTGACCAAGCCCATAAGTGTTTGGGCGAAGATAGCCTGCCACAGGGTTCGGCTGAAGCCAAAGATGACAAAGCAGCAGGCAGTCAACAGAGTACCCATGAGCACAACAGGCTTTCTGCCAATTCTGTCGCTGAGCCAGCCCCAGAAGAAGTTTGTAGCGAACTGTGCCAGAGCAAAGCTTGAGGCTATCAGACCAACGTACAAGCCGACTTGACCATCCTTAACCTCGGGAAAAGTGGAGGCCATTGCGGGCAGGTAAGGTGAGATGGAGTTTAAGGCAGTCTGTTCGGCCAGGGCTATAACAGCGAGGATGGCCAGTTGTGCCTTGGGAAGCGGCGTCTCATCGTGAGTGTCATCTTGCTGTCCGGACTGAGAATCGGCATGGATGTTGGACGATGAGGGGTTGGGCGAAGTGGGAGGTTTCCCGCGCGATGTGGGCGGCGGAGTCGGGAATGTCTGATAGTGTAATGTCGATGATTGTCTCTGCTGCAGCGCAGGCTTTTGAGCGCGTGCCATCGAAAGGCGCAGAGGGGGAGGTAGCGGGGAGTTGAAGCCTCGTGCGCTTCAGAATCGCGCAAGGCGGATTGGGCGGTCGAAGGTGGGACGGATCGTGAAAGTGACAATATTTTTCAAGATGCACGCGAGAGGTTGCAACTTGCAGGTGCCTTGTGCCTGCAGAAAGTCGATCATTTTTCCCACAATCATCCGCATCCGCCGACGTTGCGGTGACGCACGCTGCATCCCCGCTTTCGGCCACCTGCCACCTTCCTAAATTGGTCGCCGTCCTTATGGAGTGTCTACAAGCCAAGGACATGCTCACTTTCATTTCGAGCAAAGTTACATGAACTGGCACGAGCAGCAAGTCTTGTCTTGATGTATGCCTATTCGATAGACTGTTCTGGTTTCGAGGCTGTAACCCTGTCTTACATTGAGACAGGGTCATACCCTCGACTGCATCTTCGAGGCTCCACGACGACAATACACAACAAACAGAGGTGAAATCTTGAGTTTTACCTGATAGACATACTTATACTGCCTATAAGCTCAGTGCCATATATATCCGAGCTGTATTAGATGCTTCTTCGGTGCTGGATACCCCGTTATCAATTCGTGCTTGTACAACTTGAAGGAGCCGCCCACAGACATACGGGAAAGAGTTGTCATTATTGTTCCCAAACATATAGGTATGCCAAAGACTGTTACAGTCTGGTGTTGATTCCTTCTCATTCCGAGAAATTAGAGCCCGTAGGCTATCAGAATGCACAGTTACTTTTTGAAGACGGGTCTGGCTACAGACATAGTCTAGAGCAGCTTCATTCAAGAGGAACCATATTTTTCGTGGGAGTATTATACATCTCTATGATTACACTGTAACACTCCAGCAAACAGCAAGTACGTAATCTATTATATGATGACGACCTGAAGCAGATGCGGTAAATGTTCAGAGGAAACAAGGCTATCACCAACAAGGATAAAGCTACTTGCGACGAGAAGATTTCCGATGAGGCAAACAAGCCCGCCAAGTAGATACCAAAGTCCCCAAAGGAAGCAAAAACATTCATTGAGGAGAAAATCAAGTCCGCGGGCTACGCTAAGAAGGATGCCGCCAGATTGAGAACCGACTGGTTCTGGTGAAGGTTGACAAAGCAACTATGCATTCACAATTCCTTACGCGTCTGTTTCTGCTTGTCGTCGAAGACCATCCTCTTTAATCCTCGCCCTACGCTGTTCGATAGGTTCCCAAGCTGAAGGACCAGAAGATCGGACTTGCTGTGGTTTAAAGCTTGTGAACAGTGCTTCCCGGAATGCCTCTGTCCTTTGCTTGTTGACTCGGAACTTCTCATTGCAGAGTTTGATCAGGACTCGCATGTATGCCTCTGTAACCATTGGTACCAGCTTGCCGTCGTCGGCCTCGTAACCAATCACACTGTCGAAAGCAAGATCGGTGTTTCGAATTGCAACTATAGCGGTTGATGTCCGGAGGTTCTCGGTTGATATACATGATATGCCACTGTCTCTGAATCCAGACTGAAATGCTGCTGTGTCCAGTTTCTGTGCACTCTCAAGTGAGGAGCACAATATACGCAAGCTCTATGATGTCAATTAACCAAGGGCTGATGTTTCGTTCTCAAGCAGTTGAAGCAGAGTTCGAAGACATACTAACACAACGCAAAGCTCGAAAGCAGATCGGCTGAAACAAGAAACAAAGATATCACCTACCATAGACTCAAACTTGCACCGAACCCACCTGACGCCCTCGATAGATGGAGGAACGCCGAGGTTGGTATGATCAGACAGCCCCAACATTGGAGCTACAGGACCCTTCCCTGACAGTGGTAATGGGTCATGCGACACAAAAAGTGACTGACCATTGTAATCGGCAGCAGTAGAGGCAACAGAGATTCGCGCATGATCATCCAGGTGTGGGGGCGGAGAGGTCAAAGTCCTGCCTTCCAGATATACAACAATGCGGCCTGCACAGCTGCTTGTCGTCACCAGAGTTTCTATTTCGTTGATTTCATCCACTAGTCTTCGGATGCCGACATCGATGTTGCTGGACGGGATATTCGCATCCGAGGTATGAGGCGCAGTGAGTTGTTGCAGTAGATCCGTCTTCTGCGCCGCAAATCCCGACGACATTGCGAATAGGTGCTTCATAGCAAGGATCACAAGTGAGATGTGGCCCCGTCACGGGTGTGTTCAAAGCTCCTTGTGTGATCACCAACTGAATAATGGACGAAAAGTCCACGAGCTGCGATGAGACGCGATGTTCGGCTCCCGTTCGTGATGTCATTTGGAATGTGATGCTCACGCGATGCTGACAGCTTGTGTTGTCGCGTGAATACGACAGGCGAGTTTAGTTGGACACACGGACAAAGTACACTGGCCTTCATCGCACTTTCTTAAATTGGCCAAAGTCTGGTTCGGAGATTCTTTAGCTACGGGACTGGTGTCTCAACATCTACAAGGAATCAATAACCCACTGGACCCTCATCCCCACTTGGAACGAACCACTCTTGGGAAGCTAAACAAACGACACGCAATATGGCACGCAAGCCAACAAAGACGCTTGACGAGAACGAAGCGGCGGTCCCAAACATTGGGGATCGCAAAGGAAGCAAGGACCTGCTCGAGTATCTCGAAGAGCTGCTACTAAAAGCAAATATTTTGAACCGGATACTGAGAACGAATCTGAGGGCGAGGGAAGCCCCTGAAGATGAATCATCCAGTGCTGTAGTGGAATCCGAGGATGACTCTGATGTCTCCTCAGAAGCATTGTCTGAAGAAGAACAGCGCCCGCAGAAGCGAAGAGCACTCGCATCTTCAAAAGCAACCGAATCTGCTCCAGTTTCAGTTGAAAAGGGAAAAGAACTTTGGCGTCAAGGTGTCAGCACTGGGCTTGCACCTGGAACTCAGGTCATCATCAAGAAGCCAAAGCCTAGAACTCCAGGAAACACCCCCTACTCCGATACCACGATACATCCTAACACTATGCTGTTCCTCAAGGACCTCAAAGCGAACAATGACCGAGAATGGCTCAAAAGTAAGTGTTCACGCAATCCCAACCACCGTGCATCCTACTCCAAGTGTCAATGTCAAGACTCTTAGTGAAGGATGCTATATCTCCACATCGCCATATCGTTGTGGGCATCCGCCAAAATCTGCAAGATCATCTCCTCATAGCGGATGCGGCGTTCAACACAACTTTTGCAATGCAACACGAGAGTCGAGACTACCTTCTCTCGGCCGAAAGAGCTTTTATCGGCTGATTGCAAGTGTTGTTGGTTCGCTTTGCAGCTCGAACATTTGTGCAGTAGCTTGCAGCCAGATCACCAACAGGACGTTGGTTCTCGCCATTACTCCACAACTGACCACCCGCTCGAGCGCCTAATTACACCGCTCCCTAAATCGTGCACCCCATTACCAAGCATGGATGGGCTCATTATTTCATGTGATTCAAAGCAATTGACTGACTCGTGACCGCTTTTGCAGTGCATGACGCCGATTACCGCTCAAGTCTCAAGGACTGGAACACTTTCGTGGAGTCCCTGACCGAAGAACTTACCAAGATTGACGACACTATCCCAGAACTGCCACTGAAGGATGTGGTTAGTGATGCCAACGCTATGACTATCGATACACAACTGATATAGATCTCGATGAGCAGGTCTTTCGCATTTACAGGGACATACGATTCAGTAAAGATCCAACGCCCTACAAAGTATGTACCAGAAGTCTTTCGGCCGCAATGCAATCCTGCAGGCAGCAGCATCGAGGTGGCCCATGTTGTCCACTGTGACGCTAATACTGACGCATTGACCTCATATAGCCATATTTTTCCGCCGCTTGGTTAGTTCATCACGCGTGAGCAGGAGGATCAAGAACACGACACTGACCAAGATATCACGAAACGTCTAGGAGCCGAACGGGCCGCAAAGGACCATATGCTGCCTACTATGTTCAAATTAGTCCAAACGACAGCTTTGTTGGTGAGTGATACGATTTTCATTGGCATCCTTGCTTTTCTTTTCTCCATACGGCGGGCGCTTGTTGGTCTCGGGCGGCTGTGGCTTGCTCAATCTACTCGAGGGTCCTTCCCGCTCCCGGCGCGACACCATTCGAGCCGGTACCCGCTCCCGAAGGACAAGATTGATCGTGAAGTTGTCGAGCGAAACAGCAATCACTTGGGGTCAAGTCGTCTTTGATGAGTTTTTAGCTCGATCGACTGGTCCGGGCTTGTCCTCTGCGATGGTCGAGGACATACTCCATGTGCTAGAGTTGGCTACTCTCATCCGTCTCCTTCCTGCAAGTACGCTTGGTGACAGGTCTGACTGTCGGGACGCACAACAATCTGGGATCGATGTAATCTTTCTTGAGAAGCGACGGCTTCCTGCACTCTCATTGAGTACTACTTGGATCTAGAGAAGAATGTGCATTGCTACAGCCAGAAGCAACGAGCTCTACCACAGTGCGAGTGAAGCTCCTGGATGAGTCGTGGCTGTTTCTTGAGAACGAGACACCCAGTTGCCTTGCCTTCAGACGGACAGTGTTGTTGCCATGCTCTTGTATTGCCTTAATGCAAAGGTATTGAGATACGCTTGCGGCTGCCATTGTGCTTGCATCGACCATCTCTTTCTTGCGAGTGAGCGCATCATTGCGTTAACGCTGGGGGTGTCTGGGGTTTCGAAACGACGGTCCGAATGTACGACGACTACGAGAAGGTCAAGCGGTGCCTGCGCTAGTGGTCAACATTGCCAATCCATTCTACTACTCTCTTGCGCATGCTCTTGCTACTGTTCTGAGCCAAACTCCGCTGCCTTGTTGGGAAGGGTACGAGGTCCGGTGGGACGTGGTCGATCGCAGGCGCGTCAAAGATCAAGTGTTGAGCTCGTTTGTTGGCCACAAGCAATCTTCGTAGATAGAACGACCCTCTCTGCACCGAGACTAACTCTTGATTTGTAGGTGGAGGCTACTGGTCTCCAGATGCGCGAGCTCTGGCAGCTCTTCGCACCACCATCGACGAAAACCCGCAGCGGCTGAAGGATGTCTTGATGAACGACAAGATGCGAGCTGAGTTCCTCTCAGGCAGTTCGACAAAGGCGGCTGTGAAGTCTTTCGTCAAGACGAATGCAGAAACCGCGCTGAAGACTAAGCCAAAGGTAAGCAGCCAACCTCTCTTTGTTCCACTCCATACATAGATCGTGCATATCCTCAACCAGTGGTTGCGAGCAAAGGCTATCGCGCCCATGCCCAAGTCTTGCTTGTGTCAGCAGACAGGGTTTTCATCCATCAAGGATGACCAGCAGTCAGCTCTCGGGAGCTCCGTGGCTGGCTGGCCTGACGACAAGCCACCTGGCAAGTCCAGGAGGAAGCGGTTTGTTGCTTGTGTGCGTCGTGCACCTCTAAACGGCAACGAGCAGCATGAACCTGGACAGCCGAAGGCTTGTGGGCAGAGGGAAAAACAAGCAAAGTCGATCAGTCATCAGTCATCAGTCACGATGAACTGCGAGAAATGCAAGTCGTCACAGGTGATAGCTTACAACAGGAACCTTCGGCCCATGCTTCCTGCCGGGACGGGTAGGGGTTCTTCGCTACAACATTACTCCCGCTCGGGCTGGAGCGTCCCGCGTTGCCTCTTTCTTTGGACACAACGTCAAGATGAACAAAGGAGAGATGATGATTAACCCCTAGCTCGACTCAAAGGAGAATAACCACGGTACGTATCTTAACGCTTGCCCTGCTCAGTCGGTAAGGTTAATATCTTTTCACTTACCTTTCATCTCTTGCAGAAACGACACATACAATATGCCGAGATGGCGAGCAAGACTCATGAAGTGGTTGTTCTTTGGTAGGCTAGTCGGTTGGAAGCCGCTAGCCAAACCTACCTCGATCCCATGTGTCTCATGGCATGAGCGCCGAAATTAATGAGGAAGATTGATGGCGGGATGGTCACACAAAGTGGCATACATATGCGAAACAGACATTGGAAACTGACCATTCTTCATGTGCTAGGGCTACGATGCTGGTCATCAGGACATCGATCTTCTACGCCTCAGACGCTTCACGGTCGGCACCAAATTGACTGACGCTGAGGTCCTTGACGCGCAAGTCCTGCGCCGAATTGCGGATCTGTTCTCGGCGTTGCACCCGTTTGTGAGTTTGTTTTCTGTTTTCTTTGCCCTCCCTCAATATCTTTGTGAGGAAAATGTTGCGTCCTCGAACCATGGTACTCAAGTCGCACCGTCTCTCGACTATACGATGATAGGGGCTGAACGGACCTTTATGGTTGCGAGTCAGTATCCACAAAATGCTAACCGTCCGGCCCGCGGTACGGTGCGTGGTCTGTTTCGGGGTTTATGCTTTACGGAGCAGGCCCTTGGAAACCTTCTCTGCCAATACCCCTACTAGCCAACCATGGATATTCAGAATCGTGATGGCTGATGTTAGTTTGTTTCCAGATCGCTTGTTTGAACCGTATCGTCCTCCCGGACCCCGACGATGAAGACGACGAGGACGAGGACGAGGATGATCAGGATGAAGACGATGAAGAAGCCTCGGGCGAGGACGAAGAGTCCGGAGAAGAGGCCTCCGATGCTTAGGCAGTAAGGAGCGAAACTCCAAATCGGTGCATGTATGTCAAGCTGTAGAGCAAAATCCAGAGGAGTGCCGTTGCAACGGGCAAGAGGTTGCAACAGTCAGCAAATCTTCGGATCACTCTAGCAGGCAGCAGCGATTAACAAATCGACGACTGCCACGAAATGTATCATTTTTCCTCCAATATTCGCTGCGTGATATTCTGTTTTCATCTACTCGCATTCTGCAGCACTTGTCGTCTGTGACAGGTCGACGTTGAACTTTCAAAAGAATATGCCAGCGCATCAAGGGACTGCATAACTTATGATTGGTCTCTCGCACCCTCTAGGGCGTGCATTTTGCATTGAGCGGCCGCATGAGATTTCAATCACCTGACGACGCACCATGCGCTTTTAGGCCTAGAGCTTTCACGGTACATGCGCGCGCTGGGCCACCTTTTCAGATTGGTTTCGGTCTGTGCTACCCATGTCGGGTGTGGTTCATGATTAGCAGGTAAGCTGGTTGGGCAGAGACAAGGAAGGACGGCAGAACCGGTATGAAGTTCGACCACGATTGATGGATAGTGCAGCAGCTCTCACATCCGGGCAGGGAATGCTGGGCTGCAGGACGTGGCTGTCGCAGTGTCGAGCTTGCGCGGCAAAAGCCTGTTCAGTGTTACGACTTACGAATAATCTGTTCGTGTCGCTCTATCTTTGTCATTGACCGGATTAGGACGATCAAGGTTGAACGGACGGTCCTTGTTCGATCCGCACCGCCTCCCAGCGTACCGTACCTTATGTTGGTCGTTCATTTGCAAGGCTCACGCGCGGGCGGCAGCGAGCTTCTCGAAACAGACGATTGAGATCGGCCTTCCAGGAGGCCGCGGACGGGTTAACGTTACCGACAGATTACAGGTCTCTGTTAGATCTCGTTGTCTCTGCCTTGTCTTGTGTGTTGTTTCATTTTGCAGAGACAAAACACATCGTCCAATGTTTCTCGTTTAGCCCGGGGTTGTCCAACGTCGGAACGGACCGCTGTCGGCAGGAGGGGTAGGCCTGACGAGGGGATGCATACAAGCCGCAAATATGACTGCATCGTAAACAAGCGAAATTCCAGGGCTTGGAGTCTGACATGCTGGTCGGCATTCTCTATTAGGAGCCATGTTGCGAAACAGTAGGATCTTTAAAGTTATGCCCCAAGTCCTTACCGAATCTCGATATAGCGGTGTCGCATCCGACTATTGCAAGACCGCATGACGACCAATGTAGCGTTGCAAGCAAAGCAGGGTGTGTGTGTGTTTAACTAACTTTCCTGATCATGCAGGCTCCGTCTTTATCGCAGAGATGCATCTACCCGGCCCGCCACTCCACATGCTGTGCGCTGCATGGCATGTCAGCGACGGCCAGGAAGCAAGGAGACAAACGAAGGAAGATAGTGTGATGTGATTCCAATGCCATGCATTTGCGCTTCGTCCCGGGCCTTCTCTGAGACTGAAACCTTGTACGGACCCCTCTGCATACCGCTTCGTCTCGATGGTTGATAGATCAGAATTCCACCTTTGAATTCGCTGATGTAATGGGGGATATTCTGATAGAAATAGAGAGCGTTGGAATCGTCTGTTCCATGATCACTCGATCAGGTCCTTCTCTCCCTTTGCAATTGCATGACGTGCTGCTCTTTGAAGCAAGACAGCGTCCAGACGACTCCTTTCTGTGGTTCCAATTCGTAGAGTTCTACCCAAAAGGACGAGAACAGCCCAGACAAGGCAAACGTCGAATCGAACAGTGGACTAAACCAAGCAAGCGCATCTTCAGTCTCACTCCCTTGTTTGCAGTCGCTGAAACGGTGGGATCTTGAACATCCTCCTAGCGGCGAGCAACTCTCGGGGCGCCGCATGAGCCAGCGGGTGGACGGTTTGAACTAAGGTAAGTGTCCCACGCACGTGTCCGTCCAAGACATGGACGTCCTTGTCTCTCCGTAATCATTATTTGACAAGGCGCAAACTGACTCGAAAGGGCAGGGCATAGTATGAGGTGGTGGTCTGACGCAGTCATCACTCGACACCAAGCAGATTGCGAAAATCACCGGTCAAGCGAAACGACAGGCGGACGGAGTGACAGTGACAAGCGACGGGCGCAACCAGAGTGACTCGCCAGAGCGGTCAGCAGGGAAGATCGCCACTAAGCGCGTCAAACAGACGCGCGCACACGCCGGAGCCGCTGACGGAGCAGATTTTGGCGAGGCTCGCACCGTCACAAACGGCGAACGGTGGCTTTCACCCTAAACGCAGATCATTGCATCCCTTGAGATCCTTCTTGGTCAGAGAGTTCGTGCTGTCGCGTGGCAAGCCGAGGGTCAAGCCTGCAGAAGCACTCGGACCAGGCGAAGCAAGTTGCTGATTTAGCGCTCCTGCAAAGTACGGCGACGACAATTCAAGGCCACTTTGAGCTAGAGAGCAGCTTAGCAGGATCGATCAAGGCCTCTCTTCCGTGGCACGTCCATAATCTCGCTTTGCCCTGCCCTGCCGGTAGTATTTGTCTTCTGACCGCCTGCGCGCTCAAGTGGAGTCTACCACCAAACAACGTTTCGATCACGGCACGGCTCTCTGCGCACTGAGTGGCAGCGTCCGCAAAGCTAAACCTCTGCTCCGACACGGCGTGGCTGCCTCGACCCGCGCGCCGTGATCGACAGGATTGTTTATTGCGTACAAATTTTGTTGCGCTAGACCCGCGCATGCCCTCATCTTTGTGAGATTGAGGTGTTTAGCGAAGCAGCAGACGCGGAGTGGCCGCATGAGCTGCTTGTTCACATTTAAATCGACTCTTTCAGACTCGTCGTAGGCGCGCAGGGTGGCCACTAGCCGGTGGTGTTGGAGGAGTGTCGCATCAGACGCTCGGACTTTTGACAAAATATTGGATTCTCAAANAGCATCCACAAACTCACGGACACACTACCCGTCCGCGTTTCTCGCTAACCAGAGAGCGCCCCGGGCCTATCCACAATCCCGTCTGAGACCAGTAACGATCTCAACCAACCAAACACGACCGCTTCGACAGCCGGTCGCCTTTTGCACCTGAAATAGCGGCAGGAACCCCACCATCTGTTCCTTGGACATTTCCGTGCCTGTGTGTCGGATTCACATCGTTTCTTTCTACCGCTCCTTCTGCCGCCCCTAGAAGCGCGCTTGAGGTCATTTGGTCCATTTTCTTGTNNACAAGACAGGCTGCACACCCGCACCCGCGACATCTTCCTGCTGCGCGCAAGACTTGCAACTGCTGCTCCTCGAAAATACCGTCAGATTTCTGCTGCAGCTGTCACCCGACGCCGCTGTCTTGCCTTGAGTGCCGTTGATCCTGCAGCTCGCCTGCGGCCCGCGCCTTCCTTGTGCAACTACGACGTAGCTGCCACATCCCACATCCCACGCCAGCCGACGTGCATACTCGGCTACTGCTGTTCGACAAATCTCATCCAAGCGCATTAGTCGCTCCCTCCCCGCCTATATTTATTTGACATGTACCCTCAACCCGGACCTCAGGCTGCTTGGACGCCAAATACCAATGGTCAACCACCCCAGCAACAACAACAACCTCCTCACCCTCAACATCCTCATCAACACCCTCACCAACAACAGCAGTTGCAACAACAACCTTTGCAACACCAGCAACCTCCCCGCCTCCACCTTCCACCTCTGCCCCTCCACAACATCAGCAGCAGTGGGCGCAACCACCTCCAACTCATCCCAACGCTCAGTACTCCCAACAGCGTCATCCCGCTCAGGTATTTCGAGTCGCACACGCAAGCACTCTCGTGTGACACTAACCTTTCTCCTATCCAGATTCCTCCCATCAGCCAGGCATTGCCCCAAGGAGGACCTCCAAACATGACCACTCTTCAACCCTCTCACCCAGACCACTATCGCTCGCTGCCACCACCTCCAATGTATGGACATGCTCCACCAGGTCACTACCAGCAGCCTCTACCCTATCCTCCTCAACCCGCACCTCGTCAAAGAACAGCTATTGCTTGTCGCTACTGCCGTCGCAGANAAGGTATGTTTTGCTCAAACAAGACTCGTCAGGACTCCTCTAACTTGGGCTAGATTCGATGCTCTGGATTTGATCAATCGGAGGATGGTCGTTGCACGAACTGCCAACGATTCTCGCAGGAGTGCGTCTTCACGCCCGTTTCAGCACAGTCGCAGGCCTTTGTCCCGGCGCATACCGTCTGGAGACAGCAGGGTGCACCTNCCACAGCAACTGTACGGAGCCTATGGTCAGCCGCTTCCTCCTCAGCAACACGCGGCTCGCGATCCCTATCCTGCGCCGCAACATGCCTACCCCCTCCTCAGGGTTACCCTCAAGGTCCACCAGTCTACGCCATGCCTCCAGGTCATGTCCCTCAAGGGCCTCCACCCGCTCATATGGCACCTCCGCAACCCACTGGAACACCAAACTCTGCTCAGGAAGCTGGTCGCAAGCGCCCCAATGAAGAGCCACACACGCCAACCCTCCCACCACCAAACCCTGCTCAGGCCGCCCAACTCTCTCAACAAGGACCTCCTCCACCTCATGCTCATGCTCATGCTCAGCCTCAGTACACTTACCCCGATCCTACTGTATTGACACCTGCAGCTGGTTCTCCTGCTTCTTCGAACACTTCGTTCCAATCCGCTCAACCTCATGCTCAGCCATACTTTGCGCCTGCACCTGCACGTAAACCATCTCCTCAGCAAAACAACTTCGCTTATGAACAGCCTCGTGCTTCTCACTCTCCACACGCTCATGCTGCATCTGTCACCCCGGCTGCATACAATCCAGCCGTGACTTCTCACCCTGATTCGAAGCCCGTTCCCTCGAGCTCGGAACGTTCAAGCCCGACTACCACTGCCAGAGGTGTACGCATCAACGAATTGGTCGGTCCAAGTGGTCAGCCTCAGGCTCNNAGTCTCAGCAGAACCACAACCAGGCACCCCCACCACCTCCCCTCTACTGCTGCCCACTCCCAGCAGCCCCAGCAAGCACCAGGTGCTCCTCAGAACGCGTCGCAACAGGCCCAGAACCAGGCCAATTCCGAGGGTAGCAGAAGCCAAGCTGATAGCAACATGCTTAGCAAACTCAACAACCCGCGCATGTAGGAATGTCGCGAATCACACCCTCTTGACTGCAAATGCACTGTCGCTGGTTCTTAGAAAGGACGCTCTCTTAACGTCACCGTTGAAGACTATAGCTCCTCTGATGAGTCGAGTTCTTGACCGACTAGTCCGACGAAGGTCAAAAGCAAAAGTTACCGGATCGCTTTTGCCCAGAATGATATACGTTTTCTGTTATTCTTTATTTTTTCTCGTCTTTTTCTTTCATTCATACGTTGCTTTTAATCCTCTTTCGGGTAAAGCATACTTTCATGCTAATGCTACTTTGCTGGAACGGTTGCTAGACTTAAAAGGCATTGATTCCTCTGCTGGCAGGAGTGTTCTGATAGCGTTTAACTCATGCATTGGGTGGTTGGTCTTCTGTCACCATTGGACGGCACTGCTTGGCCAGTATCTTGAAATAGTTGATAGCTTTGGCTCCATAGAGGAGCCAAAAAGTTTTGAACGCGGTTTGTTGCAATAGAATATTGTTCCTTCAGTATCTTCAGTATTTGCCTTTTAAGCTTCAGTGTTGCATTTGTGTTTTGAGACTTGTCAAACGAAGAGACTGAGATTGTTGTTAGCAATGCGAAGAGATGCCCATTTTCACATGCGGTGACGGTGATGACGACGCCAAGACCAGTCACCGCGCTCAACTTCTCTTTCGATACCTCATGATTCTATCTTCACAACCAACCAAGAGACAAAAGAGTTGATATTGGAATTGAAAGTCATGACAGAAGCATTGGTGAAATGGGCAGTGCCTCAAATCTCACGTTTGTTGCCTTTGGACGAGGATTCGCTCAAACAAATCATCACATACCACAACACGCTACCTAGAGATGTAGCAGCAGAACAACTTGGAGGTCTGTTGGGTGACTCGCCACAAGCTCTAGAATTCATTGCTTCGTTTAATTCACGTCGTCAAACACCTCCTTCGGAAGCTCGTCCAGCGCCTGCTGCTGCTGCCGCACAAGATGGAGGCGTACCCAAGAGGCAACCGAAACAACCAAAGAAGAAGGCAAACATTCACAATCTACCAGCACGACAGGTTCAGGATCTTGGAGGCGCGTTTGGTGCTTATAGGAAACAAGATGAAGGCGACTACATGGCTGGATCTTCGAAAAAGAAACCGCAAGCATCTCTGTCTAACACACTGGCTTTGCAGGAGGCGCCTGATGCCAGGCAACTTCCTGTTCGCACTGCTGGAGGTGTATCGCGCGGACCCAAAGCTCCCNCATCGGCATCTGGACCTTTAATTTCTGATGTGCTTCCTCCACCATCACAATCGTCTACTCCTCGTACTGCATCGCCAGCACCGACCAAGACAAAGGTCAACATCACTGGAGGTACCAATATGCATGGAGCTGGAAAGACTCTGTCAGACTTAGATTCTGCCATTCGATCTCTTGAGTTGCAGACAAATCCCACACTAGCTTCCAACTCTCAATCAGCTGAGGATCTTGCAAAGCGAAGATGCAATTGCATGGCTACACGTCACCCATTGTTAACCATCGCACCGAACTGTCTCAACTGCGGAAAGATCATTTGTGTAAAGGAAGGCTTAGGCCCATGCACATATTGCGAAACACCACTACTCTCATCTTCAGAGATCGCAAGCATGGTTCGCGTATTGAAAGACGAGCGCGGCAAAGAACGTCAAGCCGCCAACAACGCATCCCACAAACGCGCCGAGGTCAGCCAAAAACCTCGCGCCTTTACCGGCTGCGATTTCCTCTCTTCCTCAGCCGCTGCCTCTACCACTGCATCACCACTTTCCTCTGCTCCTCCCTCTGAAGACGAGGGCGATGCTGCAGTCAGCAAAGCCAAAGAGCACAGAGACAAACTTCTCGCTTTCCAAGCCAACAATGCTAGACGTACGCGCATTCATGACGAAGCTGCAGACTTTGACGTCCCTGCTTCTGGAACGAATATGTGGGCGTCTCCGACCGAACGTGCTACGGAACTTAAACGCCAACAAAAGATCATGCGTGAGATGGAGTGGAATGCACGACCTGAGTATGAGAAACGCCGCATGGTCGCTAGTATCGATGTTGTAGGTGGCAAAATCGTCAAACGCATGGCTGAGGTTGAGAAACCTGCTAGTGATGCGGAGGAAGAGGCTGAAGAGGAAGACACAACCCCTGTGCAGCGGGATGATAATGCTGGGTCGGGAGCTTTCAGCAACAACCCTTTGCTGGGTGCGCTTATCAGACCTACGGCTAGAGCCGATAAAGGAAAAGCTAAGGGACAAGAGGGAAGTGAAAATAGAAAGAGTACATGGAGGAGAGTTCAAGACGACAACGATGACAACGAGGCATGGATCCTAGATGGTGGCGCATATGGCGGAAGGATAGAGGGTAGAAGATTGGGCGAAGAGGAACATGCCTTTGGTTCTTGATTCGATCCTACCTCTCATGAGCTAAAGTAGGTAGCTTCGAGCTATCAAAATGCACAATACTATCAAGAAACAAGACAGTGTCCATTGAGAAGCGACAATTTATCGGCTCCCTGTAGACACAGCTCTGATTTCGAGCACAATCGTGCTTTTTGACGTTTTGCTTGCTTAGAGTACCTACTCTTCGTCCTTCTCGACCTTGACCTCAGCCTCTTCCTTCTTTTGGGCAGCCTTACCCTTCGAGAAAGCGCACTCTAAAGCCTGAATTGACCCAAGGTTTTGCAGATCTTACAGAAAGGCTTGTTCGAGCAGTTGCGAAAGATACGTCCAATCCACTAGTGGAATAGATTTGATTGTTTTGTGAGAGAAGAGGAAAGAAGAAAAATGAGAGCCTTGAAAGTGCGACTGACTTATACCGAAGGCGTGGAACCATCAACTGCTTCACTTGTGACCTGTGCCTCATTGTCAATTGACACATGTGTCGTGCTGATAGAGATGCAAAGTAGCTCTACCTATACTAAAGATTTACCATATGCACACAGAGGAGACCTATCACTTCCAATTGACAGGCAAGCAACCTGATGAGCCAGAAGCGACATGAGATACACATATGCCTGTCCAATCGATAGAAGTGCAATCACGAATGGAGCGAGGACGGCAGATACAAAGAGCTGAGCTGAGCATTGCTTTTCGTTGGGTGACTCAGAGCAATGCCCTTACCAGGAATACCCGAGTCGAGCTGCAGACAGCCAAAAGAAATATCGGAGAGCACGAACACGTGAAGCCTAAAAATCCAGAGAAACGTACACCAGCCCGGCGTCCTGGAATGGGTGCGACTGCAAGAGCTGGGCAGCAACCGGATTTCGCGATTTTACGAGCCAGAGGTCGAAGAGACGTTACCTAGCTCGCTGTTTTGTTCGCCAGGCGCGCACTTGTGGCAGACTCACAAGATCTCTGGTATCATAAAGGGGGCATACACCGAGTCAGATAGCACTCGACAAACCGCAATAAGCTGGCATCGACCCTGCTTCTTGCCGGTGATCAAGACAGTTTAGGCAGTCTGGAAGAGCATATCGATATCCGAGAGGTCCATGGAGATACCATACTAGACCAGAAAGATCGCAGCCAGTTCTGACAAGTTTTCGGACGCAGAGGTGAGTCTTTGACGGCAGCTGGTATCGCAGTTCATGGCAATTGAAGGGTCAAAGCCGACTCAACTATCAAGACAGGATGCTGGAATTTTGCCGATATAGAGTTGGCATTTGTTGAAGGAGATCATGGCTTGACGTTGGTTTCGATCATCGGTCGTGATTGGGTGATTGCAGGTTTGATCACTTCGAAATTTTGCGGGACTCGACCCTCCGCACTTGCCATATCTGCCCGAAAAGAGTGGTTCGACTCTACGATTTCGCCATACTTCAATCGAGAGTTGTTTTATCGTGTAGAGAAGGATATTATCGTGATCGCGTGCTCAAAGACGTAAAGAATCATGATGCAAAAATTTGATGATTTCACATCTACAAGTCGCGGTGGTGTAGTGGTAACATTCTCGCCTTCCAAGCGTGAGCGGTGGGTTCGATTCCCGCCCGCGACATCGTTCTTTGCTCCTTGCGCGTCCATTGCGCTACTTCTCGTCTTTATCGAGGTCGATTTGGTCGAGTCATGCTTGTTTGAAGGTGGAATCTTTTGAAGCCTGTTTGAAGCCTCTCACATACCTACTACTGATCTTTCACGACATAGTCAGGGCAACGCGGTCAACGCAACCACTCGAGACAGTGTGACATGCTCACAGCGACGAATGCATGTGATAATGATGAAATTTTGCGTTTGTTAATTTGCAGACGACGACAATTTTGAGGGTCCCTAATTGCAAAGGGGTCCACTGACGTCTAAAAGGAAGGCTTCTGTAGGAGCATTCTCCATGTCGATCTCCTTCGATCATGACGTCTGCTGTTGATTGCCTGCCAACGAGACAGATAATACTTAAATGCTTAAGAGGGCGCTCATATCTTGCCTCCGACACAACAAACCAGATTACACATTAAACAAACGGACATGTCTTTTACTCAATCTTCGCAAGGCACCCATGCCACTAGGGAAGCCACTGCCGAAGAACAGAAGTTCATCACAGACATCTTGAAGCTGTACCAGTTGGACCCGAACGAGCAGAGTTATACTCATTATGCCGAGACTGCTGTCTTCCATGACCCTGTCAGTATTGCCAAGGGCAAGGAGAGTATCATGTCGCAGTTCAATGGAATGCCCAAGATCTTTGCGCGTAGCGATACCAAAGGTTCGTTGTCAAGTTGAATTAACAAAACAACATCCACTGACATTATTTCGCAGNAGGTTGCAATTCTCGCCTCATCAACACCATCCGAATTGCAGCTCAACTTGACACAACACTATGTGTTCAAATCGCCAATTCCTTTCAAGAAGGAGGGAGCTGAGAAGACTGTCAACAGCAAGTTGACTTTCAAGCTCAATGGCCAAGGATTGATCGAAGAGCATATTGAAGAATGGGACCACGAGACAAACAAGACGTCCGATGATGGCTTCATGGGCAAGCTCCAGGAACAGCGCAAGAAGATTGATGCTAAACTTGTTGAGTCAACAATCTCGAGCAATCCCTCGAAAGCATAGAGAAAGAATGAAGCCCTGCTATTGAAGGCTGTATACAGTACCCAGTATGAAACTTACGAAGTTATGAATCTACCGACATTAGGTTATGTCAAGTACAACAAACACTGTCGAGAACGGGGTTGGAGATTGTACCTCGTTTGTGATCAAAAGGTTTGGAGCACCTACATCTCAGATTGAGGCAGGCTTCTGAACGTCTGCGCGTGGATACATGCCAAAGCAGATTTCCTGATTCCAAATGTTATGGAGTTGTAACGGCCAACGTTGATGGCACGGAGACTCGATGCTTCGTTGTCATGCTGTGATTCCCAGAATATGTAAGCATGCTCAGCTCTGCGTGACAAACATCGACGAAGTTGCAGGGACTTCTGACGGTATTTTGCCTGTAGATATCAACACTTCAATCCTTCTTTGATGGTTCTTGACCGCTTCCTGAACCGGAGCGGTCTCCACGGCAAAAGGAGCTCTGGCCAAATTGGGTACGTCACTCACCCCGCCCAATACAGCTCCGGCCAATGAAGTCACCTTGTGATTTGGAATTCCTTCCACATCCTACGAGACAACAACCAGTTCTCTGCTTACAGATGGGAAGCCATTCTACTGTCAAGAAAGTCTAGACTTGCGGTATGGAATTTCATATGGTAAGCTGATGCATACGGCGATGCCGAGTACACACATCCGTTGGACCAGGTGTTCATGAAGGAGGGGGGAGTAAAAGGCAAAAGGCCGAACGAACTCCAGAACATGGCCTTGTTCACACACTAGCTCTGATGTCAAGCTTCAAACACTCAAATAGCTCTTTGAAGCCTCCGAGGTATAATTGACAGTTAGCTCCTCATTCCTGACCTTTCACTCCTCTTTCTTTCTCTTACACCACTTGTGACCTCGCAATCAACCCATATCACTACCAATCAACCACACACCTCACACAAAATGTCTACCTACAACGGAGCCTGCCACTGCGGTGCCACTGAGTGGACCGCCTCCCTCGACAAGGATACTTCCTCGCACATCCTCTGTCACTGCAACACCTGCAAGATCCTGTCCGGTGGTGCCTACACCCTCAATCAGATCATTCCCAAGGACAGCCTGAAGATCACAAAGGGCGGCGACAACCTCAAGAACTACACCTACAAGGGTGACTCGGGCAACCCCGTCCACTGCTACTACTGCCCCAACTGCACTGTGCGTTTTCCTCACACTTTCTCTTGAACGAATGCTTTACTGACAGTGCGACAAAACAGANCCCACGTCTACCACCACCAGACCGCTCTCGGCGACGACAAGATTATCCTGCGCACAGGTCTTTNNCTCTCCGAGGGTCGCAAGAACTTTGGCCCTGCTGCTGAGATCTACGGCAAGGACCGCTTCTCGTGGGAGAAGGAGGTTGCCAACACTTTCGAGGTCCTGCCTCCTCAATAAATGTGTGCTTTACAATTGGAGGACACCTTTTGGAAGATATACCAGTCTCGCAACAGAGCTATGAATTGAAAGATATTTTGGAAAGAATACGCTGGTCAGACTTGCGTTGCGATGATACAGCCTGTGTAACATAACCGGCTACGGCTGATGCGAAATTCTTCCCATATGTCACTCCCGCTTCCATTCTTGTTGCTCCGTTTGACCAAATCGTGATGCTGTTGGGAATGAAGATATTCTCTGTTGGTTTCACGTTCTTGAATGCGGGACATCACGTAGGATAGAGATGGTCATTAATCAAAATATGCTGCATGGTGCCAACCGCTCCTTCCTCCCAAACGCCTCTCGTGTAGAAAAACGATAGTAAAATCATCGAGAAACTCTAGATGGCTCTAGCAGCCTCCCCAGCAGCGTCTGTTTCTTCCGCTCTTTGTCTGGCCTTGCCTTTGCCGATACCGCCCTCACCAACTCCCATTCTCTTTGCCACATATCTTTGAGCCACAACACCGATGGCGAGATTCAAGGTGTCCTGGATCCATTCTGAGACCCATTCACGAGGGTCGATGCCGCCAGATTCGACAATCTCGCGAATGCTGTCGGGAAGAGTATCGGGGTCTTCAGGATTGGGTGACGAGGCGTCGAGCCATTGGGCCCATTGTGCCGGGAAGGATTGTGATAGGGAAGAGAAGGATAGAGAGTGAATGGGATCGTGAAGGTAGATAGCGAAAAGAGTGGTCTCCTCGTCTGCGTCAGGCTCGACGACGTCGCTCTTAGGCTCATCGGGCTTGGGGCCTGCTGCAAAGAGTTCTTTGGCAGCAGCTTGTGTGACGGGTTGGATGGCGAGGAAGATGTCGGAGCTGCGGACGGGGTTGGATTCTGAGAGGGTCTGCGTAGCTTGTTTTGCAACTTCTTCAATGCCGCCGCGAGAGGAGAAGAAGTCGGTTGCGTAGGCTTCAGCGTTGGCGCGACAGAGCTTGGTGCCTTCAGTCAGACCTTTGACTGCACCTAAGCTGCGTTGTGAGGCTTGTTCGCGCCACCAAGGGCCATCGGTCCATGCACCGCTTCCTGTTCCAAGAATGTTTCCGCGGTAGGCCAGTTCGGAGGAGCTACGGCCGCGTTGGCGAGACTCTGAGCCTCGCTGAATGACAAGCAAGTCGCCGCCTTCGACTTGTTGCATGACGCGCGAGAAGACCTCGTAGATGATTGGGTCAAGAGATGGGTATGCTTGGAGATCGTGTGTGGTGTGAATGATCAAGCGCTCGTGCTGTGCGATGGGAGGAGCGATCGTCTCAAGTAGAGAGGTAAAGGTGGGCAGAGCCATGTTACGCACGTTGCCTCCATATGCCTTCAAGCTCTCGACATTGACGTTGTGACGCAGCTGTTCAGCATACTTGAGGACTTCAGGATTGCCGCGCACCTCCTTGACGGCAGCTTCTGCTTGCTTCACAGCAGCACTGGCGGCACTGAAGACGCTGGCTCCCCATCCACCAAAGCCCCAACCGCCACCAGTGCTTTGTGCTTTTTGTTCTTGCTGGGCCTCTTGTCGCTGTTCAGGCTGATCATTAGGCGTTTGACTTTGGTGGTAGCTGCGAGCGCTCTCGGTACTCTTGCGTGTCTTGGATCGATCTTCGCTGGTGCGTCCGCTGGGTGGGCCGGAGCTCTGAGGAGTGTGTTCAGGTTTGGACTTGGTCCCTGAGGCTGTAGAGGCGGTGGATAGACGAGGGGTCTCTGGGCGGGAAACAGGGCGGGCAGCTGCCAGGGCGCTGAGCTCTGCTAGCGGGTCGTCATCGTCGACAGTTCCAGAAGAAGGTTTGGCTGACGAAGGAGCGGTACTATCAGCCGAGGGAATGTCCTCGAACTGGGCGAGCAGCTCTTCGTCGGTCAATTTCTTGGACATGGTTGTTTGTATTGTAAGTGAACAAGTGCTGGAGTCTTGATTGTTCCCTCAAAGTCGCCAGGTCCAAAGCTGGGGAAAGCCACTAGCTTAGACTCGGCTAGTGCCCGTCACTAGCCGCCGGCCCTGTCATTGGCTGCTGTCGTGTCGTGTGGAGCCCGCCTTAGGACTACGAGTCTGGAAATCAATCACACATCTCGAAAAAGACTATCATTCTCGCTATAACCCATCTCTGCTTTTGCAGATACCCTCGATCGCGTCAAGACCATCTTCTCGGCACTCTGTACAATTCTTTGCCTTGTGCTTGCCAACTTTTTTTTCCTCCTGGCTTTCCCTCAACTCGTCGATCCAATTTTGCTCGCTTAAACGTTATCCTCCTTTGCTTTCTTCATCACAATACTTCAACTTGGCCCATCACTTATCTCTCGAGTCTTTCGAGGCTTGAGTAGTCTTTTCATCATTTTCCGATCATTTTCTCAAGATTTTGGTCTTCTGAATAAGCTCCTTTGGACTTTATAATCTCGGCTTGCCACGACAATAGAGTCTCTATCTGGAATTATTAAGGACAACATTGATAACAATGCGAACAAGGACTCACAGCAAACCTCAATTACCTCAGGTCAGTCCCACCCTCACTCGCGCCACCAGATCAACCAACAATTCCTCTCCCGACAAGATGAACTCCACTATCACGGCAAAGGGTCCCAACTATGCCGAAACAGACCCTGTGTCGCTCAGATGGATCAATGATCGCACCTTTGCCATTTCCGGCATTGATCAGGAGATTCTAGAGACTTATCAAGCTGAGGACCAAGCAAGAAGTTTTAGCAAGCCTCAAAGTCCTAATGATCGCCGTGCTGCACGAAGGGCTCGCCGTGAAAGTGCTCACGAAGCTATTTTCTTCACTGGTCTAGCATCCAGCCAGAATGGACAGACCAAANAGAAGCCCGAGTCCGACGAAAGCACAGGCCATCTGGAAACACATGAGAATGCTTCGTTCAATCGTTCTACAATGACTTCTTTCAATGGCAATGGAGACAACACTGCATCAGATATCGATGATCCTGAAAAGGATGACGATGCTGATGACGATGATCACGTCTCGAACAACTTTCAGCCTCTGGCTCGAGGCATTACCTTATCAAAACGAGGTGGCACAGTGAAACGAAGACGACGAGGTGGCGCTCAGTCAGCATCACGACAGCCTTCTCGCGAGCCTTCACCCGAGCTACCTCTTCTGGCGCCAGAAGAGGATATCGTCAGCGACGATGATCTACCATCTCCCTTCACCGATGAGATATTCGAGGATCCCAACCTACCAGACGATGAAGCGCAAGCTTTATACAACAAACTCTTCGAGCCAATGACACAACCAGACGTCTTTATTGGGCCTTTGACCAAGTTTNTGCCAGGCCAGAGATCTACAGACAATTTATATGTATTGGCCGCCAACACAGCAGCAGCATTACGTGCATGGCAGGACGAATACCTCGAGCTTGAGAAGATCACTGCTCCACATGCCGCTATCCCTCGTAAAGCTGCAACTGGTCAACGCAACCCGATTGACCCTATGGTATATGAGGATCAGAAGGAAGCTGAGTTGTATGACTATGTGTTCGATGCGAAGAAAGTCGGCATGCAAGATCCCATTGCCCAGAAAGTCGTTAGAGATGCTTCTGGCAGAGAATTACGTACTCGTCAACCTCGTGGCCAGGCCAATAAAGAGGCTTCCGCGGCTGCTGCGGCTGTTCCTCCAGAAGAAATCATCACAGGCAGACGGGCTAGAAAGCCGGTTGCCAAGTATGACGGTGTTGTTTCCACTGATCAAGTCATGGGAAGGAAGAGAGGTGCAAACGCCATGAGCGAGACTCCTGAAGCAGACGAACCTATGGCAAAGCGAGGCAAAACAGCTACTCGGGGCGGAAGAGGAGGGCGAGGTGGTCGTGGCGGCCGAGGTGGCAGAGGCGGGCGTGGCGGCGGACGAGGTGGCTTGGTTGCAAAGCGTTTGCAAGAGCTCCGTGAAGAGAGTGCTGCAGTATCGGCTACAGCATCCGAAGACGAGCTTTCAGGCTCAGACGCAGGCAGTGTGCCACCAGATACGCGAGAGAACAGTCCTGTACTCGAACTTCTACCTGCAACAGAGACAACCACGCCAGGGCTAGCAGATGAGTCGCAGATTGACCCGCAGAGCGAAGACGGACCATCACTTACGGCTAGTGGAAAGAAAAAGGGACGACCAAAAGGAAGTAAAAATCACCACAAGAGATCAGATGCTGGCATTCCGAAAGGCCCTCGCGTACCTAAAGCTCAGGGCAACGGCACACCAAGTATTGGAACTGCCAACTCTGACATGCCACCAAGCGCAGAAACGAGCCTTACGCCTGTATCAGCCGATACGACACCAGTTGCACCAGCTACAGCAGGAGGTATTCCAATCGATCCTAAGCGCAAGGTTCCTCGCAGCGAGAAGAGATCCAAGAGTATGGTTGAATGGTGGGCTCGTCGCAAGGCCAAAGAAGCAGAGGACAAAGCGCGTGAAGCAGAAGCCCAGGCTGCCGAACGCCATCGTGCTGCCGAAGCCCATGCGCGATATATGTCGCAGCATGGCGGTTTGATTGCTGCGCAACAACAGGCCCAGCAGCACCAACATCAGCATCAACATCCACAGCATCCGCCTCAGCAACATCAGCAGTTTGGTGGTTATACAGGGCCTTATCCACCCACAGGCGTCCTGCCACCTCCAGGACCGCCCCAACAGATGCCACAACACGTACCACAACACTGGGGTTCTGGCTTTGCACTACCCGGCCTCCAGGGTCCTGGTGGTCTAGTATGGCATCAACCTGTCCATCATCCGGGTCAAGGTCTGCCTCCAATGCAACAGCAGCCTCCTCCATCTCAGCAACAGCAGCAGCAAGGTTTACCACAAGGACCGGGTGGCCCACAAGGACCTGAGGGCCATCGAAGGGATCAACATGGATTTGTTAGGAGCTTTTGACGGTGATGAGAGGTGCCTCGCAATCATCTCTCCATTCAAGAACTGTCAGCATGTATCATAGTGTAGTAACCCTCCTTGTAACTTGCATGTTTAGCGACGATCACAAAGGACAAATCGAGTCCTTGTATATTATCTACTTTCTCTCACTACCTTCACATCTGCTCTTCCAACATGGGTTTGCTTGACCGCGACTGAGTTATTGATGCAATCCATGTACATATGTGCTACGGTACAATTCAGATTTTCTGTCACTGGAATTGCAGCATTATTGACTGAAGCTATGCTAGAGGACTGGAGTGCTCTCTAAAACAAACTTCAACTTCATTTCATCGCCCTCCTTCAACTTTCCAGGGTTAGGAATATGATGTTCTGGAACAGACAGGGTGACACAAAGAGCGTAAAATGATCGGCGTCGGAAGTGCAACAAGCTCCGACCAAAACTTCCCTCCCGCAGATCCAAGTCACAAAGTTTCACATGCGACTCGATCATCCGCCAACTCACCTTGTCAGCTCATCGTCGCAAACGACTTGGACAAACCATGGCGGCAAAGCTGGAAGGGTCGAGCTCAGAGCTGTATGAGCGCTGCACAAATGCAGCACTCAGCTCTCCAGAAGGACGCGCCAAAATCTTTGGACAGGATGAATTACTCAAGATGGGAGTGGTGGATAGTGCTCAAGCGCTGTTGGAGCTGGTGCAGGGCTTGATGGATGCACAGTTGATTCGCTTGATGCAGATGGAGGGCAAGATTTGCTATGCGCTGCGCACTAAGGATGATGCTGCGAAGTGCGTATTCAACTCTGCACGCTACTTTCTGAGAACAAGAGGCTGACGATACTAACCAGGANTTGTCACCCTCAACGACGATGAACGTATGGTATACAACCAGATCGAGAACAGCGGCACTAATGGCACCTGGACAAAGACGATCAAACAACGCACCAACATCCATCAAACCACCGTTACGAAAGCCATGAAGACACTCGAGAGCAAGAAGCTCGTCAAGCCCGTCAAGTCGATCAAGAACCCTGCCCAGAAGATTTACATGCTCTACCATCTGAGCCCAAACGAGGATGTCACTGGAGGACCATGGTTCAGCGACGGCGAACTGGATGTCGAATTGATTGCCATCACCGCAGATGCTGTAATCCACTTTATCGCACAAAACAGCTGGAAGACTGTCTATATCAAGCGTGAAGCTACTCCTGACGCCGATGGAATCTCANAAAAGAGAAAGAGGAACGACACAGCAGATATCGAAGGCTCACATCCAAAGTCACGCAGAGCAGGCGGCTACGAAACACAAATCTCCTACCCGGCAGGCTGGCGAGGTTATCCAACTGTCTCTGCTATCCACCACTTCATCACTGAAGCCGGATTTTTGAAAGATAGTTCTGCACTCGCCGAGTCCGATCTACAGAACCTGCTCGATGTCCTGGTCTTTGATGAGCGTATTGAAAAGATCGGAAACGGCTACAGAACTTGCAAGGGTGTCTTTGGAGCCACGGAAGCCATGAAAAACATCATGCAGGGAAGACAAGTGGCAGATGCCGTTGAGGAGATTGAAGGCAATGGATTGAGTCAGGCGCCTTGTGGAAAGTGTCCAGTCTTCAACCTTTGTGAAGACGGCGGTCCTGTCAATGCGAAGAACTGCGAGTACTTCCAGACCTGGCTGAGAGCTTGATTGTCAAGACTCTACCAAGCCTGCTCTTCCTTTGGCGAGAGCAAAGCTGGCATTTAATGGTTGCATGGTTCTCGGCGTTGCTCTAGCATCTTTGCTTTACTCTTTTCTGGTTTCTAGTGCGCTGCTCAAGTGCTGACAGCGTAGCATGTTGTATCTCTACCTTTTGTTCTTGCATACCATATCTGGGCTTCGAGCTCACTCATCCATAACACACACCTATCAGATTGCCAAGGGCGAGGCCAAGAGGCCAGCCAAGGCATGATAAGGCAGATCAAGCAAGTCTTTCCAAGCAATTTGGAGCATTGCTTAGGCTCCTTCTCTAAACAGCCATCTCGTTGACAATCACACCTCCGAGTCGCAAGCAGCCAAGACGGGATAATGCGCTGTACATGTATTGAAGATCACAGAGAGACGTCGAAGCAGAAGTGGGTTCTGCCCAGAAATACTACCGTAACTTCAGGAAGGTAGTACGGGGAGAGAGGGGTTGAGTCGAAGGTCTTATGGCGAAACATCTGAACACCTTCTTTAAGAGGTGTGGTTGCCCAGGTATCTTGTATGCACGAAACTCTTGGCCTTTGGTAGGGGAAGAGCGATGCTTGCTCCGTGACTTTAGGTTTCAGTCACAGACGGCTTCCTGTCAGCAATCTTGCTGTCGTATCGAGGCTATAGTTCTAGATGATCAAGACATATCTCAGTACTTGATCAGGCCTCCAAAGCTATAAGGTGTATAAAGGACGAATGAAACATTGTCGGCGGGTCGAGTCAAGCATGACCGCTTATCGCTGTCGGACTTTGCCAATCTCGGCAATGATCGGCAAGGTACGAGCGTCCTGCATGACAACCTTATCAAAAGCATACTCGTGACTTCCTCCAAATGCATTACCTTCTTCTCATGTGCTCAACAGTATAAGAGTGCTTCGACGTCTCATTATCATCTTTGACCCATCCATCATCATCATCATCATCACTTGTCCATATATTATCATGGCTATCCTTCGGACTTGCACTGCACTTGCATGCGTTGCTGCCGCCGCTTCGGCCAGACAACTTCCACTTGTTGCAGATGACTCTTACCCTTCATACAGCCCAGTTATCCCTCCGGCATCGTCTGACATCAGCAATGGAACTTTGATCGACACCAAGAAGCTTGAAGCGGACATCGACATCAAGAAGCTGGTTGCCCGTGCTGAAGAACTCTACAAGATTGCCGAGCTCAGCATCCCCGAGTACAATCACCCAACCAGAGTCATTGGCAGCAAAGGTGAGCACAATTCCATCAGTCTACCCATCTACCATTGCTGACTCTGATCTCAGNGACACCTTGGTACTGTCGACTACATCTACTCAGAGATCTCCAAGCTGGGAAACTACTACAACATCACGAACCAGACATTCCCGGCTGTTAGTGGTAATGTCATCGAGTCTCGTCTGGTCGTCGGGTATGACGTTCCTAAATCAGCATCGCCAATGTCTCTTACTCCTCCCACTAAGCAGCATGAACCCGTCTATGGTGATGTCCTCCTGGTTCCCAATGGAGGATGCTCGTCTAGCGACTTCCCTCGCAACATGACTGGCCAAATTGCACTCATCAAGCGTGGTACCTGTTCCTTCGGCGACAAGTCAGCCAATGCTGGCAAAGCTGGAGCCGATGCTGCCATCATCTACAACAATGAGAAGGGTGAACTCTCGGGCACTCTCGGAAACCCCTCGCCTGACCACGTTGCCACCTTTGGTCTCTCAGCCGAAGATGCAGCACCTTATGTCCAGAGACTCACAAACAGCACCAGAAAGCTTGATGCCATCGCCTACATTGACGCAACTGTCGACGAGATCATGACCACCAACGTCATTGCTCAGACAACTGCTGGTGACCCAGAGAACTGTGTCATGCTCGGTGGTCACAGCGACAGTGTAGCTCCTGGTCCTGGTATCAATGACGATGGCTCCGGCACCATTTCTCTTCTCGAGGTCGCCACTCAACTCACCAAGTATGAGGTCAACAACTGTGTTCGCTTTGCCTGGTGGGCTGCTGAAGAGGAGGGCCTGCTCGGATCAACTTACTACGCCGAACATCTTTCCCCTGCCGAGAACCAGAAGGTTCGTCTCTTCATGGACTACGATATGTAAGTTAAGCTGAGTACACTCGTCTAGCAAAGTCCTTCTGACTTTGGGGAATCATGCTAATTGTACCTTCACTTTAGGATGGCTTCTCCTAACTTCGCCTACCAAATCTACAACGCCACCAACGAGGAAAATCCTAACGGTTCAGGTGAGCTTCGCGTCCTCTACGAAAACTGGTACAAGGAGCAAGGTCACAACTACACCTTCATCGAATTCGATGGCAGAAGTGATTACGCCGGCTTCCTCGATGAGGGTATCCCAAGCGGTGGCATTGCCACTGGTGCAGAGGGGATCAAGAGTAAGGAAGAAGCCAGCATTTTCGGTGGTGAAGCTGGAGCACAGTATGATCCTTGCTACCACCAACTTTGCGACGACATCCACAACCTGGACTTGACTGCTTGGGAGGTCAACACCAAGGTAAACAAGAACACGTATCTCCACATTTGACACCTGACTGACATTGATATCAGCNTCATTGCCCACTCTGTCGCCACTTATGCCAAATCATTCGATGGCTTCCCCAAGCGTGTTGCTCACAATGAGGAGAGATCGCTGTCGGATTCGAAGAAGAGCACGCCTTTGTTCAAGTACAAGGGAAACGAGCTCATTATGTAAACATCTTCTTCCTTTGTTCGAGTTAATGAAACCCTATTGATACTGTTCGGGCATTGAATCCGAAACAGTTTGTCTTCCCGTCTACCACTCTTGACTTCTATCCAACGTGGCTCATGTGAAAAGCATATCAACCCGTCATAACTCATCGTGATCTGGCCATGCCTCTGTGCGCCAAAATTGATGATCAGTGACAGAAATCCATGGAAACCACGTATATAAAGGCGGCAAGATTCTCTAGTAGATACCAACCATGGGAACCGAGACGCTCCTTCCCGAATATGAGTGCAATAGCTTGACCTTGAGGTAAGACATCCATAACAGATTAATCTCGAGTGGAAAGATATGGCTTCACGGAATCAACTGCACCAGCATCATCGTAAGGGTTGCCTTCCCGTCAGGCTATAGAGATCTCATTTTCACTGTCGAAGCACTCCAGCAGGCACACGCCAAGAAGACCGAATTGAACTGTCTTGTGACACATTCACAAGTGAAGAATCTCGCAAGCAAACCGCGGCTGTATAAAACCGTGAGGCTGGAAAAGATCACCAAAGTCAAAGAGTTCTGTACCGAGAAGCTCAACAAGCAGATGAGGGCAACAACCCAGAGATTGGCCAAGGTGGAGGAGGAAAATTTCGAACTCAAGTCTTGAGTGAAAAGGCTCGAAGAAGGACACCAGCATACAAGTAGGAGAGTCTCAGGTCAGTGAACGCGATGGAAGTGTGAGCAAACCTTTGCACACGTCCAGGAGGCGTGAGACAGTCGGATATCGAGGGGAAGTAAGACCCCTGGATCAGAAAGGTGAAAAGAGGATTGAGGAGTTATCGACCTGAGTGTTGCCTTCTCTGTCGATGCTTTTCAGTTTTTAGAGTAAATAGTAGATCTTGACTGCCGCACTGCGGCTCCCATAGTGGCAGCGAGGCCGAGAGTCAGAGTGACTGTTGCGGCTGTGGAAATGAGTGAAGGAAGAGGGAGTAAACAAGATCAGAGAGATCTATCTATACGAAGACTCAGGAGGAGTTAAGTGATGCTCAAGACCACAGTATCCACGGAAAGTCTATACCAGAGTTTGTATGAGCATACGAGACAAGAACTCAGTGGACTGATAATCTTTCGACACAGGATGTATGACTCGAGAGTGATTTTGATGCACATCCAAAGTCATTTGAGCCCATAGGATCAGGAATGGATAACAACGAAAGGCAATACAAAGTCATCACTGGCACAAAGAGGAATGGAACATGATATGGGATAGAAGGAATGTGCATTCTGTGGTTTCTAGCGAGACTTTTCATGTCTGCGCACCTGCAATTCTCTCTTTTCTGATCGAAGGCTTTTGATGTGCCGGTTCGATGATTTCCTTACACCTTGATAACAAAGACTGAGTGGCCAAACCGCCAAAGACATACATGATGTATCAAAGGGGCGTTCGCGGGCATGAGTCTTGCTTTCATTTGGGATGGGAGTGGTGGTTGATGTTTCTAGATTGGAATCAATAAGCTGAACAATGGACTGAGGACAATCGAAGAAGCTTTCTTACCTTTGACTGGAAAATGCTTGTCACTTGAAAAGGAATGTCGTTGTACTCGTTGCTTGGTTCAGTGTGTATGTTGCTTGCTTCTCTTCTTGCTTGGCTTGACAGAACTGCTGGTGCTTGTGATGGGTTTCGAAGGCTTGATCTCGGTCCAAGGTGAGGTGCTCAATGCTTCCAGTCGAGACACTCAGGGCAGTCGCGTTGAGCCTCGTCCATAGTCTCAGACATCTCCTGCTCACCCAAGATGTCATTGTAGATCATACTGATGTCGGTTGGGGGAGGCAGGTTGTCATCCACGTAGTCAGGGNNGAGATCTTCAGGGGAAGTAGGGTTGGTGAGAGTTGCGTAGGAGATAGACTCTTCCTCAGTCAGGTCGTTACAGATGATGATGACGTCTGAGTCTTCGAAGTCAGAGTCAGGAGTAGTTGAGTGGTGATCGTGGGCAGGAGTCTGGACGTCGTGGATCTCGAGAGAGAGTGCCTGAATCGAGAGATCTGCGTTGGCCGGAGCATCGTCGACTTGGATGACTGAGCGCAAGGCGTACTCGAGAAAGTTGAAGGTGGCGAAGTCGGTGGCTTCTTGGGCATGCTTTGATTTGTGGATAAGCTTGCACTCCATGTAGTCGTCGACAGTAGAGATAGTCTTCTCAGTGACCTATGTANNAGTGGTTAGCTTTAGTCATATTCAGGGGTACAACTCTGTATTTACTTCAAAACAGCAGTCGTCCATTTCCATCAACAGGCAGTTGACGCAGCACGATTTGTGGTATCCGTGGCCGTCGTGGCACTGGACAGTGATTTGTGTGGGATGGAGCATAAGATGGTCGCAGAGTGGGCAGATGACTTGAGTGGATCTGGAACGTGAGCTGCCGGTGTGTTGCTGCGAAGTGCAGGACATCGTGACAGGACTGATTGTTGATATGATGGATGAAACGTGTGTGATGTGCGTGATGATTGAGATGATGAGGGTGATGAGCGTGACGGAAAGGCGTGGTGGAAGAGTGTGGATGTTTGGAAGAGACCGGACGTGTAGGACACGCGCGGCGCCATAGCAACAACAAGGGACGGAAAACGCGACTCTCGGCACCACACCAACGAAAGACTCTTCCGGAACACGATAAACATGCCGAGCAAGATGACTCCCGCGAATTGTTATACAAATTTGTTGGTTCTGCGATGACAATGCTTGTAGGTGGTTGCTGAGGATTCTCCTAGCCCCTGAATTTATACCATCACGAAATTTACATCTCGAAAATCATATAATCGTACAGCTCACACTTCAGCAGACCTGTACCGACCTTGCAAGTACTTCCAAGTGACCAAGTGCCTTATATAAACGATATCTTCTCAGTCATTTACTAAGCAGAACTGCTTCCGAGCTCAGAGACCTCGTCGGAGGAGAACAACCTCATGATGATTTCGGACACAGGTCCTGTACTGCCAACTCAACGCCCGAATCTGACCAGTCACACCTCCAGGCCTCTCATCTTGTGAAGAAGCTCACGCAATTTTGCACCGAAAGCTGATGTGACGAGCTTCCCGTTGAGAGTGCGGTCACCATAACGAATCTTCAAGGTCAAGACAACAAAAGACATTGTGCTGGCCGAAGAGGTCAAGAATCCATGTAAAGAAACTCCAGGAGTCGATAGAGAAAGCAGGATGGGGTATAGTACAACAGAATAAATCGTGAGTGGATTCGAAAACCGGAAGGTCTGACTCGGTCCGCTCTCGGAAAAGACTCCATAGACGCTGTGGGTGCCGTGATCAATCGATCTCTGGGACAAAGGTTAGCTGGGTGTGGGTCCGAAGGCAAGTACCTAGTAACTACCATGCGCAGAAGTCCTTGGTGCCGATTACGACCCAGTCCTCATCCTCGGACTTAGACCCGGGCTCATCAGCGTTGTGGCAGACAATGTAGCCAGGTTCGACAACTGCACCCTTGCCATTATTGCTTATCTCACGAGACGAGCATGAAGTGTCATCTGTCTTGGAAAGGTGAATGACTCCAGGATAGCCAGCAAATTCGGCGGCGAGAAGCTCGAGGGACCAGGCCGAGAGGCGAGGAATAATGGCAGCGAGGACGTAGGAGTCCACGATGACCTTGAGAAACACCCCCTTCGAGCCGTGGTTCTTCATTCAAGCAAGTCGTTGTAGCGAAGCTCGCTGGTGGGGTTCAACTGAGAGAGGTTAGTGGGTTATCTAGGTCAAGGCTGAGAAGAAGGACTCACAGTCGCGCAGTAGTGTTCGTCTCCGCCGAGGTAGCACTCGAAACAAGAAACATTGTGACCTTGTTTGACTCTGGCGTTGCAAGCCATGTGAGTAGGCTCGCTCGCAAGGTGCTTACAGTATAGGCGCAGCAGAGGGCGCAGATGGTTAACGTGCTAAGCCAGCGAGCAATGATTGGTTTTGACGTAGGGAAAGGGGAACGAAAATGACTCGATCGTGCTTGGAGGTGATATGACCTGATATACATGATACTTGTTGTGGCTTCAAGCACCGTAAATTGCCGTATCTGATGTACGTTGACCAAGAACAACTGGCCGGACGCAAAACAACACCCAGAACAAAGAGCCAGAGAGGCAGAGCAGAAGGACGAAAACTCGGGACTGCCGCTGTTGCTACAAAGAAACACTACATGTGTACCCCGCCGAGCCAGCAACATGAAGAGCGATGCTTTGTGCGAACAAAGGACCAGTTTCGGATCAAAAACAGCACTTTCGAAACGAGAGCACGCAAGATGAGTATGCTCAATCTTGACCAAGCCTACTGCAGATGGTGTATCATGCTATCTCAGCGCTGCAGAAACCCCATTTTTGCGTACACGCAAGTTCATTTCGAAACCCATCAAAACAGTAGCGACCACTGCACTCAATACTTATATACAGATGGAATAACGTCGGTATATAGGGAAAACTTTGGCATGATCAAGTGCAGGATCAACTGAAGGTCAGACGGACGAATACATAGATTAGTGACAAAGAAATCTGGTATTGGCGCTTATCTTGATATAAAGAGAGTGAGCTCAATGACTCTTTGCGCTTCCACAATAACGAACTCTTACTGTGATTCATCCATCCCTACGATCGACTCCAGTGATTTTATGCAGCCAATCGTTCTCTAAGAGGAGGTCAGCTGTGCGAGAACTTGAATATGAGCATAAGGAGACTTGCCTTGATTTCTGGCGTAAACGCTTAGATCTCGTCTGACGAAATGGCGACCCAGTCATCGTCTCCAGAGTCCGAATTGTTATCGTCGAAGTGGTCAATGACAAAGTACTCAGGTTCCTCGACTTGGCCCTCTTCAGGAGAGTCAAGAACTCAGCATCGGAAAAGGAGTCCTTTGCAAAGTCGGCGGTGCCAGGAATGCCCTTTCCAAGTTTGACAAGCTTGGGGGCGCCGGCGAAGGTCTCGGGGGATGTCGAGAGACCAGATCTTGATGGGGGCGTAGGTAGTGTTGAGGATACCGAGATGACAAAAGATGATGAACTGGAACTCCTCAAGGCACTGGGAGAACTCGGTATCACCATCGCTTATTGATGTGGTCCACTACACTTAATGCTCATATACAGATTGGACAACGTCAGTCATATGGGAAGACTTTTCACATGGTCGAATATAGGAGCATTTGAAATTCAGACAAACAAAACATAGAATAGCGGAAGAAGAATTCAGAACTGGCTGAGGTTTGAGCTCAAGGAATTTGTATGGTTACACAATGATGAAGTCTGAAGCGTAAAGCGAGAGCTCGTAACTGACCCCTTCCCTTGTTCAACAATTGCGATTCTAGGATTTGGTAACATTAGTGATCTCCTATAGAGGACGTTAGCTGCATAAAACTTGATTGCGGACATAGAGTGACTTGCCTTGAGTCGTAATGTGAGAACTTGGGAGGCCTTTGCTCAAACAGCAACCCAATCCTCGTCATCGAAAGCCGACTTGTCATTGTCAGAGTCGTCGACGATGAAGTACTCGGACTCATCGATGGCCTGGTCGACATTGGTGGTGACAGTCTCGACTTCAGAGTGCTCCTCGCCATGGGGGTCGTCAGGAAGCTCGTACAGAACACCCTCTCCAAACTTGACGAGCATGGATGCTCCGGCGAATGTCTCGGCGGGCATGCTGAGAGTCCAGGTCTTGATAGGGGTTGGGTTCTTGTTCAAGATGGAAAGATGGAAGAGGAGGATCACCTGGAACTCTTCAGAGTACTCGGAGAATGTAGCGTCTCCATCGTGCTTGAGAGCCATAACGCGTTCGAAGTACTTCATGCCGAGAGGGTCCAGCTGATAATCGTCAGTGACATTGGAGGTTAGACAAGGATCAAGACAAAGGCTCATACAAGGAAGCACAGGTGCTGCTTGCCTTTGGAGAAGCAAGTTGAGCAAGAGACATTGTGTCCCTGCTCGATCTTCACGTTACAGCAGTTGCGAAGAGGGGTGCCGAGGAGGTGATCGATGGCGCACAAGGCGCAAAGGGGAGTGTTGGGAATGGTCATGGTGCTAGAACAGTAAGTAAGTGGAAGCAGGTGATAGAAAAGTAGCACGAACAGAAGTTGTTTGTTGTTTGAGATGACGGAGCTTGGTGTTCGCGGTATAGTTGCATACACCGAAGTTGGTCGCGTGAGAGAGAAAGGGGAAGTTGGAAGACAGGAGACGCGTTTATATAGACAACAACAACAACAACAAGAATTACTCCCAGAATCACTGCCACGAATCACGGAAAATTCAATATCACTCGGGAGACGACAGAGCTTGGACTCTCCGAGCGGCCAACCACCTCGCAGGATCCGAGACTATAAAAGGAGCTAGACCACGACAGGGGCCCCTTGTGTCGACAGATCAGTCTCTTTCACTCCAAGAAGTTCCATTTGATGGAGTTATACACTCTGCATCTCTTCAAGATCGAAATCTCGTCCGAGGCACGAGAGAAAGTTTATAGGTGAGCCCTTGGAGCCAGAGTCGAACGCGGATAACAGAGAGTTTGGAACAATTGTTACATCCCTTCAGCTTGTTGTCATCCTGCTGCAGGACCACAACGTGCTTGGTCGACTTGGTTAGCTCAACCTCCATCCACTCGCCGCCGTTGGTAGCATCTTGACCCTCTTCTTCAAGTCCTTGAGCTGGGCGCCGTCACACTTGACACAGATCTCCCATTGCTTGGTGGCTTATCCTTCGTTTCATATACATCACGAGATCCTCAAACGCTTCCTTTTCATGGAAGGAGACACTTCTGCTAAGTTCGACCAGGCAAAGCTGAGATGGGTGAGGAAAAGCAAGCCAAGTGCCATGAGAACCATCATCTGTTATGATGCAGGCATCTTCAGAGGGATGGGTAGATTCAAGAACGCGGACAGCCTCGTAGATGCATTGGTAAGGATTTGAACCAGCAGGGACATTCATCTTCCCTGGCAGGCATTTGAGTACTTTGATAGGTAAGCAGGGTCAATCGCGAGGTGAGGGCGTAGATAGTTGTAAGCTGATTACGTGGTGATGTCTCTCCAGTATAAATGTAATGCCCTGCAGGATCCCAATGACAGGCTGCTTGCCCTCAATATATGCCATATATATAGTATCGATGCTGCATAGGTATGAGTAAGGCCTGATGAGCAAGAACGAAGGGACGACAGCAGCTTCCGGGGTGTTTTTATACATCTCGCTCCTTCCTATCCATCTCCTTTTCCCTTCGCAGCTTTGACTAAGCTATATCATGGCTCCTGCGAAGACAAAGAACACAACTTCTTTGTCAGAAAAGGGAAGACGCCAGCAACCTTGTACCTGCCAAAGGTCCACTCGAGCTCGCTCACCAAATACCCAAACAAGCTGCCTCAAATTATCCAGAACAATGGGATGACTTACGAACGTTCGCTCAAGTAAACGATAGCGATGCCACACTTCTTTCTCCATGACGATCTGTGCGTCTTGCATACAAGCATGTCTCTTCCAAACATGTCTACTACCACCATTGCCTCCATCTACACTACATCTGCTTCAAAAGAACAACTCTGTTTCAAGTTTTGTGATAGTAAGCAGTGAATCGTGACTCGGGTACCGCTACACCAAGTTCTGATCCACATCGCTGTCCTTGTCGACTTTCGGTGCCAAGCTACTCGTGCAAGGTTTCCGCATACTACTCTGATCATCACGAAGAGATGCGATCCTGCAGTCTGTTGTATCGGTACGGTGCTCGAAACGTTTCGTTTGGTGTAGGTGGCTTTGCATTATGCTTAGTTGTGGTGTGGCGACGATGACAGAAGTCTACCTCAAAGGCAGTGTGGGAAGACATTGCAGGATGGTTTGTTGTGTACGCTAGATCAGAACAAAGAGATGTCAATATAACCTAGGCACCAGCGTAACGAGCAACAGTGAACTACATAGCACCTGTTTCTTGAACATCTACCAGTATACTAAAACCAGTCTTCCACACGTGGAATCCTAAATAAGAACAGCCAGGGAAGTTTTACGTATTAACCACAGCACTCCCAAAAGACAGAATGCGAAATGGAGAAACCACTCACCTGATTCAAACTCTCGAACTCGTTCCACCAGCACATATATCTGCCTTGTACGTCTTGATTCATGTATGCCAGGTGACCGACATTTGGGGGCCAAGATCAAGGACCGCTAAAGGGATGGTTTTCCATAAGAGCTCAGCTCTGGTTTTCTTTTGCTGGTTCGAGATGGGTTTCGCAGATCGTGGGTGCGTGAGTGTGTGGGAATCTTTTCCTATGAGAAGGTAAAGATGGAAGAATATCTATTGGAGTGAAAAGCAAGACTTTGTTTAATCTTACATGATCGTATAATGTGAAGGGAGCAGAGAACACTATAGACAAGAGTTGAGCCGCAACATTTTCAGGAATGTATCTTGCTTTCTTGATGTCGTTGATTGAGGAAAGGAAGCCAGGTCGTTACTCTCAGTGGACACGATGATCAAACAAAACTTAGTTTGGCATTTCGACAGCTAAAGCGTCATCTGGCCTTCGGGAAGGAGCAGATGCTCAAATCTTACTCTCTTGCCCATACCTTTCTAAAGCACTTGCAACAACTCATAGATACTTCCACTATCCTTCAATGCTGACTCTACCCTCTCCATGACTGCAAGAACCTTCTCCTCCTCCAACCTTCTACCCACGACCTGCACAGCCACAGGCAAGCCAGCCATTTTACTCGCATCATAATGCTTATACGCTCCCTTGGCAACTCCATTGGCATTGACGACAAAGTCTTTGGGAAGAGCATCCACGGTAGCGTCAACCTTAGTAACAGGAATGATACCGCAAGTGTAGTCGAGAAGGTTGAAGAGGAAAGTGTAGCCACAAGATGAAACAGCATCTCTCATGCCATCGTGAGGAACAGCGGGAGTAGCGTTGGGAGGTGTAATCATGATATCCATGTCGCCTTTGCCGTCGTTATTGACACTATTCCACCAGTCGAACCAGAAGTTTTTGAATGACTCTCGCTGGTATACCAATTGCCAGTTCTCGTATGCGGATTTTTCGTGGAAAGATTCTAGGAGACGAGCCCACACAGCATCACGGCGAATGTAACGGACATATTTGACATAGAGCCAGCGGAGAGGGGAAGGTAGGCGCATCCAGAAAGTCAACTGAGCGGCTCCTACGTCGTTTGTCTCGCCGGCGCTGAAGAAGCGTGAGTATGTTCTTGTCCCTTCTGCGTTGAGGAGTTGAGCAGCGATTGCTAGAGCGTCAAGAGGTGCGTAGGGTGCGGTGGGGAGAGTGAGATCAAACACGTCATGGCCTTGTTGCTTGAGCGCGTCGACGGTGGTCTGCAGCGCTCTGGCACAAGCTGGTGATGGNTCGGCGACGCCATCTGTTCTCAACACACCAACTCTGAATCTCTTCTTCTCCTTGAATTCGTCGTAGGCGTTTTGGCGCCACTCCAGAGGATGTACACTTTGATCGTAGGCCCATGGCTTGCACTGAATTAGGCTTCTTGTAAAATAGACCAAATCCGAAAGTGTTCGTGTCATCGGCGAAAAGACACTAGGAATACCTTCCTGACCAGGCATCGAGGTGTCAACGCCGTACTTGGGCCATCTTCCAGTCGAGCATCTCAACGAGAAACAACCCGAGAAATGAGCTGGTGCACGAACAGATCCAGCAACATCAGATCCGATGCCAATTCTAGAACCACCAAATGCCAACAAGGCGCCTTCACCTCCAGTACTGCCACCAGGGCTGTACTTGTTGTTATGAGGATTTTTGCATCGTCCCCAGACGTCGTTTGTTGATTCGAAAGAGAGCAAGGTAATAGGCAAAGCTGTCTTGACGAACGGCACAGCTCCAGCATCCTTGAGCAGACGTACCATAGCGCCATCTTTAGCATGGGGTTTGAAGCATTTACCTGAGTAACCAACAGAAGCATCGAAGCCACCAACAACGATCGAATCCTTGAGCGAGACCGGTATTCCAGCAAGAGGGCCTTTCAGATTGACACTGCCATCCTGGATCCAAGCCTCGGCATCCGGAAACATGATTTCAGTAACACAATTCGTGGCTTCTTGTGCTTTGACGGCAGCTTTGCCATAAGCGCGTAGAACATGGATAGGTGACTTGATCGACTTTTGAACATCCTCGACCAATTCATCAATGGACGCATCCAGGATTGTGCGTTCTGAGGATGAGATCGGAGATTGATATGACTTGGGCAGATTTGCTATACGAGAAGCACGTTCATCTTGCTTGCGTTGACTNGAAGACCACATATCGTCAGCAATGTTGAGCAACATGTACAGCAGCTAGCCTTACCATATCTGTCGGTGCTGAGAAGACCCAAAAGGCCACATGGTGTTTGATCAAGCTCTCTAACTCTAGGACAGATGAGATAGAAACGTAGAAAGAAGTGAATTTCAGCTTTCGAGACTTCCAAGATGGCAGAGCATGCAGCAGGCAAGATAAGAAGGATGCAAGACAACTCTTATACTCTTTACCCGAGTGGCCCACGAGGTTATCATCAAGGCGGGGTTGTTGCGGTTACGCTTAAACCTGCCAAATCCGGCTTGGTGTCGATAACGCCTCAACTTTCCACATTCAGAAAGGCCGCAGGTCGTACTGGAAGAGCAGCAATTGCAGAACGGAGAAGAAGACGTGCATCGTGGAAGTTGAAGTTGAAGTTGGAACATGATAAACATTTCTACGTCTCAATCGTAGTCTACTCATGACATCCAAGGATACATAGCGACTGCTGTTCTCATTCGCCAATCCAGCCACTCTAACAAAGAGTAAAACCAGCAAACTCCGTGCTGTGATAAGAAAAATGCAGCTCCGACCTGGAACAGAACGCCGAACTCCTGAGGATCAGTCCTCCCCAATGTTCTCAACCCACCATGTAGGAGAGAATACTGAACGACGCGTAGGGACGAAGTCTTCTGGAAGGGAAGGTGGGCTGCTTGGCATCGACGTAGGCGAACGCGATGCAATAGAAGTGAGTGGTGAAGAGGGAAAATCCTAGTTAATACCACCAGCCTCACCCTCACGTTTCATCTCGCCCTCCACATCCTCTGCCTCACGTTCTTGACGGCCTTCTACTTTCGCTTCGGCAGCACCATCACCCATTTCCACGTCTTCGGGAGCTGATGTGGGAGCTTCGACGGCTGCAGGTTCCGGCGGAGGTGTAGCAGTGGGTCCAGCACCCGCTTCCGTGTTGTTTGCGTTAGGAGCATTTGTAGGCGGTTGAGCAGCGTCATCGTCTCCCATCTCGACATCCTCAGGCTCGGCTACCGGAGCTTGCGCAGTGGTTGATGCCGGCTTGGGCGGTGATCTTGCTCGTTGAGTTCCATTGCTAGCGACTTCTTCACCAAGAGCAGGCTGCACAGCATGAGGATCTTCCGAAGCTTTAGCAGCCATGATGGCATCACCTACAGCGGCGTTTGCCTCTTGTGCTCTCTCGACAACCATTTGATCGGCTTGAGCAGCTGCTGGTGGGATTGTGTTGTCAATAGGAGTGGCAGTTCCAGACTCGATAGGACCCTCAGCAGTATCGGCGAAAGGATTCTTGTGGTCGGTAATCTTCATACGTTGACGCTCTTGGCCGGGCTGCTTCTTGACACCAAGAAGAGCATCCATCTCTTCGTCGTCAGAATCTTCGAACTCATCATCACGTTCAATACGAGCATCCCATTTGCGTTCAGTATAGCGAGAGTCTGGGTTTTCGTCATCATCCTTGTCATCGAGGCGTTGCTCACGTTCATCCAGATCTTCAGTATCACCCTCATTGTCAGGGTCGTTCTCATTGGGCTGAACGACAAGTGGTGAGCGTGGTACGTCGGTCATTTGAACACTGGGTGCGAATCTTGTGCGTGAGAGGTTCTCGAAAACTTGAAGTTTGATCTTCTCAAGGTATTCCGGGCTGTTCGCATTGTCCATGTTTGAGGGGCGAACATCGAGTTCGAAGTCGGGAGAGTAATATTCGTAGTAGTCGGTGTAGGGAAGCTCAGGTCCCATCTCTTGACCAACAAGTTGGCCGGTTTCGTAAGCCCACGTACGGGCGACGTTGCGCATTGTGTAGCCACCACCTCCGAGAACCAAGGTAGGAAGGTTGAAGCTCTTGACGTACTTGACGCAGTTGGCATGGCCACGCATGGACAAGTTGAAACAACCAAGACGATCACCACTCAGAGAGTCACCACCACACTGAAGAACAACAGCATCAGGACGGAAGAACTCCATGATCTTTGCGATAATGGGCTCGAAAACGCTCTTGTATGCAACATCGTCCATGCCGTCGCGCAACGGGAAGTTGACAGCGTAGTTTTTACCATTGCCGACACCGATGTCACGCAATTCACCAGTACCGGGGAAGTACTCTCCGTACTTGTGGAAGGAGCAGGTCATGACGCGGTCGGTAGAGTAGAAGGCTTCTTCGACACCATCACCGTGGTGGACATCAATATCGATGTAGAGGACGCGCGACTTGAATCTGAGAAGTTCGATGATTCCGAGAACAATGTCGTTGATGTAACAAAAACCACTGGCTTCGCTCTTTTTTGCGTGATGCAGACCTCCAGCCCAGTTGACGGCGACGTCGCATTTTTGACGGTTGAGACGAGCAGCACCTTCCATACTGCCACCAGCACTGATACCACAGTACTCGAACAGACCATCGAAGACGGGACAATCGTCACCGACATTGTATTTTCCTTGCTCTTTCGCATAGCTGTCCATGTTGTCTGGGGTGACTTTGGAGAGGAAGTCGACATATTCATCGGTGTGGAACTGGGTCATTTCGTACTTGGAGGCAGGCTTGGCTCGNCTGCGAGGTAGTTAGCAGGTCGGACTTGTTATGTGACAAGTATAGTGATAGCTCACGTAGATTTCCATCTTCTTGTACAGGCCATAGTTCATGATCAGACTGTGGGCCATTCGGATACGGTGGGGCTTCATGGGGTGACCGGCATTGTAGGCGTAGTTTCCGACGTCTGAGTCGTAGAAGTAGGCGACTTTCTTTGGCTGAGCACCATTTGCGGCGCGAGGAGGGTCCAGAGGAGGGCCATACTGGGCCGAGTTGGCCATTGCAGCGGCTCGTCGATACTAGTTGAACGAAGCTATCGTGCTTGGGCGTGTGAATATGGGGTATTCGTGGACAGAAATTATCGACAAAAAGAATGCGACGCGATTAGATAGAGTAGTTGAGTGAATTGGTATGGACTTTTGATGGTAAAGGTGAATGCTCGGCCACTTGCGACTCCCGAGCTTTGGGGAAGGTGCAAACTTGTCAAACATGCTCCAGCAGGAAGTCGCGTCGGAGGTCGGAGTTTTGGAGCTGGCGGCGTGCATCATCGTCCATCGCCCAGAGAGTCGCCGTCCGAGCTGCTTCCATCACTCTCAATCAACAATTCCATCTCCCTGTCGCCCTCCATCCATTTCTCACTCGAGCTCACGCTTATCTCACATCCATCCTCTGCGCATATTGAAAGAGAAGGACAAGACACACACAACCACAAAACATCACCATGGACCGACTTTCGCGAATGCTGGCAGCCGCTCAGGGCATGGGAGGCGGTGCTGGTGGTATGCAACAAGACGGCAATGTCGTCGACAACTCCGAAACCGTCTACATCTCATCTCTCGCCCTCCTCAAGATGCTGCGTCACGGAAGAGCCGGTGTGCCTATGGAAGTCATGGGTCTGATGCTCGGTGAATTCGTCGATGACTACACTGTCCGCGTCGTCGATGTCTTTGCCATGCCTCAGAGCGGTACTGGTGTCTCGGTCGAGGCTGTTGACCCCGTCTTCCAAACAAAGATGATGGACATGCTGCGTCAAACTGGTCGTCCCGAAACTGTTGTCGGCTGGTACCACTCACATCCTGGTTTCGGCTGTTGGTTGTCAAGCGTCGATATCAACACTCAGCAATCCTTCGAACAACTCACTCCTCGCGCCGTCGCCGTCGTCATCGATCCCATCCAGTCCGTCAAGGGTAAGGTCGTCATCGACGCCTTCCGCCTCATCAACCCTCAAACTCTCATGCTTGGTCAAGAGCCTCGCCAAACCACTTCCAACGTCGGCCACCTCAACAAGCCTTCTATCCAAGCTTTGATTCACGGTCTCAACCGTCACTACTACAGTATCGCTGTCGGCTATCTCAAGGGTCGCGGTGGTGGCTCAGGAAACGGTGCTTCATCAGCCGTCGCTGGTGCTTCGAATGGTCAGATGGGTGGAGAAGAGGCTATGCTCATGAATCTACACAAGAGTGTCTGGACAGAAGCTCTGGAGATGCCCGACTTCAAGGCTGAGGGTGATCGAACATTGGAGAAGCTCAACAAACTCGTCAGCTTGGCTGAAGGTTACGAGAAGCGTGTCAAGGAAGAGACCGAACTAACCAAGGATCAACTACGCACAAGATACGTCGGCAAGGTCGACCCCAAGAAGCGTATGTCCTCTGTCTTCGTCAATCTAGCTCATAAACTAACTGATCATAGACNNATCGAAACTCTCGGTCAAGATCTTCTCGAGGACAACATTGTTTCCGTATCGCGCCAGATGATTGACAAGGAAGCTTCCGTACCATCAGCCTGCCGCATAGAGGCTGTCGATGACGACGCCGATGGCATGGCTGTCGACCAGACCGCATAGACTGCGACATTTGACCACAGACCAAGAGAAACCGCCGCCCGAGCCACGACCAGCGGAACCACTTCCACCGATGAGACAACATCGACAGTGGATTCGTACGTCATGGTCTCACAATCCGATCTGGAGTGAGACGGACAACCTCTGAGTTGACTCTGTATAATAAACATCCCTGCATGCATCTGGGTCACGAGGAACAGACAACGAACGAGCATGGAGATCAAAATGCTAGAGGTTAGCAGGTATACAATCAACATGCGCAATGACTGCAAGAATTATTTCCAACCCTGTTCATACATATCTTGTCTCGCTATTTGTGTCGCTTTCCACTGTCATAGAAAACAAAAACATCAAGCAGATGACGATTTCTAGGATCAACTGAGCTTGCATGCAAAGGCTCAAAACACTTCTTGCTCTGGCGAATATTCGATATAAAGCTCAAAGCTGCATCCTCAAGCAATTCACCCATCATTATTTTTGACACCTTGTGAGTTAATGCCCACAACCCAAGCACACATATACCGGGCTACCTTCAAATGTGGTCGCTGGTGAGTATTTAAGCACCTCAGCCCGCAAACAAGGACAGCAACGCCAACAGCACAACCAAGACTTACGCCCATTGTGCATCCTCCGACTAGTCACGGCTTGGTCTGTGTTTGCCATCGTGGCAACAGCACGATCGATGAACAAACGAGGTTCCGAAGCCCAAAGTAAGTTACTAACATCGCCAGTGATCGGAGCGCTACGGAAGATGTGCAGGAAGTGTAAAGCACTGTGTTGCAGCAAAGGGATCATGAGTGTTCGTTTTTGTGCCCGGAACTGGTTTCTTTGACGGAAGGACGCGCTATTTAAGGGTGATTCTTTGGATTGTTATCGAAAACTACTGATTGCGAGTCACAGCAGCAAGGCCTGTGTCTGCAAAGCGCTTTGCATAAGGGCCTTGTCCCAGTTACTTCTCGTCGTGGCGCAGCAGCCGATAGCAAGAGAAGGTCACCAGGTCTGTGTACCCCCTGAAATGCTCCTGTTCCCGAATCTGCACTTCCCTATACTTGAGTATCAGGGTCCAGGAGATGGTGTAGAGAGGTATGGGTTCAGTGACCTGATCCCTGCTTCTTGCTGTATTCGCAGATGAGTTGGTTTCACCGGCTGCAGTCGATCGGAACACTCGGTCATTCGTAATGCTGGCAGCATATTCAGATGAGTTGCTTTCTGATGTGGTTACCGAGGCCTCCTTCTTGTGTTTGATCGCTGGTTTATACTCGGGAATGCTTTCCAGACTTGATAAGCGCTCCTGGACTCTTATTCAAAACCTGCTGAGCGTCCAATAAATCCGTGTTCAGTGTCTATTGGCGAATTCGACGAATTCACGAGTACTGAAATTGGGTCGCGCCTTCTCAAAATCCTTGCTTAACAGTGTTAATTCCAATCAGCGAACTTTCCACAAAAATGAGATTGGGCTCGAGCCCTGAAGTGTCTGTGGTCTAGTTTTCTGCCCTTCGAGAGCACGGAAGAGGGATGATGGTCGGAATGAGATCAGCGGTCCCATCTGTCCAGAGTTCTTGATCAACTAGCTGTCGTATCTTCCTAAAATCCTTGATCGAGACTGCTCCAATCGAATGTACCGCCGAAACATTTGCGTTTGGTTCTATCACATTTTATACCACCTTGCATGATGGGCGGAAGCTCATTGGCTCCTTCGACGATCATCGATGGTCGCACAAAGCTTGTCGTCACCTGCAGCCTTGGTATACATCCCTTCCACTTCCCTTCCGTTCGAACCACATTTGTCACTCTTCGTGATAATCTGCTCAAGTCGAGACCACGTTCTTTTGCTCGGGTATTGAGCGTAAGATCCAAGTTTGCCATACAACCTACCGCGTATCATTCCTGGTATTCCTTATTCGTGTCTTGAGACGAAAACGTGCACTGATCTTCGAACAGGCTAATTTCATACAGACGACTTACTTGTCGTAGTGAAAGAGATGAGTGACAATGTGGCCAGAATTTTCATCGAAAAAAGAAGGCGACTCTATAGTGCGATCGAACAATGTCGTCGCGAACGCGTCTGCTTCTGTGAACACTGCGAGCACGGCATATTACCGCGGTATGACAAAGATTGCACTCAGCTGCTGGAAAACAGCTGCAAGGCTCACCACACAGATACCATTCTAGCAGAGACTTCTTCCAACCGCGGACTTTCACAATCCGATTCTCAACAGAGTCAAGGATGCTTTCGTCTTATGGATCTACCTGCCGAACTTCGCCTCCGCACCTATGAGATAGCCTTTGAACCTGTCGTATACCAACACTTGTCTCCAAGGCACCCTTCCTCCGTCGCCGAACCTGCTTTACTCCAAACAAACCGCCAAATTCGCAAAGAAGCAACATGAATCTTCTACAAGACAAGTTGGTTCCGCATCGAACTCCCCGAGTTTTACGACAAACGCAAAACCATGGATTATCTCCAAGGAGAAGATCGTATCTGGTTGACACACATGGAGAAACTCAACAAACTCAAAGATCTGCGCCATGTTTGTTTCCGCCTTTGCGATGCTATGGATATGCATGATTTGTATATCGATCTCGATGATTGCTCTGTTAGTAACTGGTTGCTCCCAGCTGGGGACAAGACCTTACAATGTGCATGTCAGACTCTGAGACAATGGACTGTGCTGCAGTTGCGCGAACACATTGTTAACAGCGCTCATCCAACGTTGCTTCCGGTCCGCATGCAGAGGGTTCTCAGAAAAGTAGACCGCTGCATCGAAGTAGCCGAAAAGGCCATTGAGCATTTTCGAGCTCTCTGCGTTACTGAACATGGCAAGCTTGTGACAAGGTTGCGCGGTCTTGCCTGTTTGGCCGAAGCTGCTTGGTTTGTTCTTGATGCTCGTTCTCGGTGGGTGGATGCTATGGGCTATGAAGGAGAGTCAGATCGGTATCTAAGCAGCGAAGAAGAGTCGCATTCTGACTAAGATGAAGGAGTGACAGATTATTGGTGATAGAATCATTGGTTGTAGTATCCCACGACTTGACTGATAAATTGTGCTCTCAGCTTTTGGAGTCTCTGTGTCACGGCAAGACTGACGAGATGAATACTTTCAGACGCTCATGGCATGATGAAATTGCAGCGAACGCTATGACGGTCTCAAACATGAATTATCTCGACACCAAATGCCATGTTTCTCTTGGGTAGAATTAATATTGTATGATGCATTTCAGTTTAGAGGTTAGCAATTTCGCGGATCAGCAATCCTCCACCACCTTTTTCTTGACGTTCACGCCGTCCATGATCCAGGTAGGAAAAATCATGCAGCACCATAAGTCTGGTGCCCATGCTCTCTCATCGTATTATTCACATCCGCACCAGGCATCAACACCTCCCTAGCCTCCTCAGCCTCTTCCTCCAATCCCTCTCTTTCGATAGTTCTAGACTGATACCACACATAACCCACCAACACCACACCAACAGCAAAAGCCGTAGAAAGTAAAATGACATTAACGGGAATAGGGTTATTGTGGAAAGCATGATGGGTAAGTGCATCCAATCCTTGAGCCGAGAAATTGAAGAGACCGGCGAGACAGATGATTAAACCGTAGACTTTGCCAAANGTGGCAAAGCCAAAGACTTTGGCGGAGTAGTCTGATACGGCTGTGTAGTAGAGAGGACGATAGATGACGAAGAGAATGATGTTGGCGTATGCAGAGCCAGTGTTGGGGATCACTCCGAGGACACCGATTGTAGTTGCGATGGTTACTAGCAGAGTCAAGGTGAAGACGGTGCTTGTATGGTCGAGTACGAGTCCGATAAAGGGNACGGCAACGACACCGCCAAGTGGAAGTGCAATGTCGAAGAAAGAGTTGATGTTCTCGGCCTTTTCAGGGCCGACAAGGTAAGAATATTGAGTGCGAATAGTGGCGACAAAGTAGTTGATCCTGGTCATCTGGATGATGGTGAACAGGGCAATGAGAATGAACCAAGGTGTCATGATTTGCTTGAGAGCAGGCTTGCCGTGTAGGACACCCCAGACGCCGCTTGTTGCCTCGACTTGTTGTTGCTGAGCTTGTTGTTGTTCGGCACCCTTGGTACCTAGCAGTTCTGTAATCTCACTAACCACGGACTCGCGACGTTCTTGACGAAGTAGAGCACGTTCCTCGTTGCTGATGTCTTGGTCTGAATCTGAGTCTATCAATGGCTCTTCGGCTTGTTGAACCAACTCTCCAACGGTCTTGTAGCTGTTCGAAGGCATAAGGAAAACTTGAGCAATGAGGATCAGAGCGGGTACAGCCAGGTAGATCAAGAAAAAGCGCTTAGTGTCGAAAGCACCATCAGTGGCCTGGAAGATGAGACGGTAAACGAGGAAGACAGCAGAGCTAGTGTCGAAGGCGCCAGTCAAGAGTGCGAGAATAGTGCCCGAATGCTTGGGGAAGGTATTTGAAAGCTGGAAACTCGAGATGAAGATGAAAGGTCCACCAAGAGCGAGGAAGAAGTAGCCAGGGATCCAGAGATCAACACTTTCGCGAGCATCCCATGCAAAGGCCAGAAGCGCAGAACCGATAGCAAGAAGGAAGCAACCGATAATACCAGCAACTTTGGGACCATAACGATCCAAGATAGTTCCAACAGGCAAAGCGCAGACATTCGTGCTGACAGCGGCGACGGTGAACATCAAGTTGAGTCTCAACTCTTGCTCGTAGCACACCCATACCCCTTGTTCAATCTCTTTTGGAGTGCATCTATCAGCATAAACACCCTGTTCAATCAGAACAGGTTTTATTGCTGCATATCCAAAAACAACACCAGCAGCAAACAAGCAATACAAACAAGCGACAGCAACTTGAGCTATCCTCTTGAATTTGCTGACCTCAAAAGCAGCAACAGGTTCCTCATGCGCAACATTCGGTGTCCAGCTGCCTACAGGATTAAAGCTCAACTTGCGACGCTCAGAACCAGTAGGCGAAGAAGCTCTGACTCCCAAGTCATTTGGTGTCGTTGTATTCCAGTGATCTCGCAGTGTCTCCATACTGCTTCTTCGCTCGAACAACGACATCGTTTCGTGCGACTCGAGATTTTATATATTCCAGCGGCAGGATAGTTATGAGGCTGACGTAATTTCTCCTCACAAAGTAGTTGTTTCCCCGCAGAGGATGAGGGCACGCGATCAGTTCGCCAATGCTTTGACGAGTCAGTTTAATTAGGCGTGTAGGATGACGGAGGAATGACCATGAGAAAGAACGAAGACAAGGACACGAAGGGTGGAATTGTTTCGCGAAAAAAAGCTGACTGAGGCAACTACATGTTTATGAGAAGCTGGTTGGAAAGAAATTTTCCGGGAAGCTGGACTGCATGATTACCCACAGTTGTGGTTCTACAAATGGATAGGACACGATAAGAAGCAGTTTTGGGAGATGCATATCCATTTCGTCCAATCACGGTTCTCGGATCACGCCGAAGCTTGACAGATTGACTCGATAAAAACTCGTGGGGCTTTTTTTTGTGGTTCTCTACAATCAAGACTATTCGTGATTTCTATTAGGAGTCGTCTTGAGAATCGCGCCTATCTTTTTGTCGTCTTTCCCGTATTAACCCGTCGCGATGCGAAAACAAACAGAAACGACTGTGATGTTGAGGACCGCTCTATGCCGAAAGAAAGAACGAACCAGGACAAAAGAAAAAATGCAAAACAAAAGAGAAAAAATCACATCTCCGCGCAATGCGCCCATCTCCGATACCACCATCTATTCCGTCGCGGCAGAATTTTTCGAGGAGTGGTTGAACATGGGTCTAGCCCTTTGTTCAGCTTTCCCATTGTCAGTCGCATCTCCGGTCAAGTTGATGCTGAGCTGTTCAAGCAGCCTCAACCTTCTTGGGGAGCAGACCAGCTCTCTTGCTCTTGAACCACAAAGTTGGCAGCAAGATGCATGAGCACGAGAACAGGATACTNGTAGAATTTGTTATCAGCTAACCAGTCATCAATGTGAAGCACATGCAAGAGACTCACCAAAGCGCAATGCACAATCCCCAGATCGCCTTGGTTTCAAGACAGTTGACCCTGGTCGAGCCGGCCCAGACGTACAATCCGATACTGCCGCCCTGCTTGACGTTCTGCACTAGACTCTGTAGCCAGGACGCAGCACCTGCTGCATCAACCTGAGCATCTGCATTGGCGATAGCAAAGCAATTGAGTAGACTGAGTGGCTTGCCGAGAGTGACCGCGACGACGATGAAAGCAAGAAGAAGAAGACTGTCAATGGCAGTCATGACGAATAAGCCGAGGTTTGCTTGGGCCATGTAGAACGGAATGCTGATGAGGGTGTACAGCGTAGCGATACAAGTCTATCATCCAAGTCAGTGTTGATCAGGATGTACAGAATGGTATGGAAGACATACGACACTCAACGTTCCAACGATCTCTTTGGGAGGCTCGATACCACTACCGTTGATGGCAGCTACGAAGTTTGCTGTCAACCCGACAATACCGACCATTGCGACCAGACTCAATCCTCTGACGCAGAGGAAGGTGTCGCTGAGCGGAAGAGCACCGTAGCTTGGGATAGGCATATTTGCGACTTTGGTGGGTGCTGATAGTTGAAAAAGAAGATAAAAATGCAAAAGGCCGGCCTGCGGTAGGAAATCAAACTGAGCTGGAAGCAAAATATGCAAAGACCAAAAAGTATGCGAGAAAGAGCAGAACTTAATATGCTAAACAAAAGGCAGAAGCAGGAAGAGAGGAAATGCTGTGGTTGTTGGATTGTCTGGACACCGAAGCAAAGGGCTTAAGTATTGACTTCTCAGCTACACAGCCTACCCAAACACACAAAGCTCAGACGATCCTTCCTTGTTTCTTGCTATTCTGGCTCATCTCGTTGAGAAGGTGGAACACGCTGTCTCTCTTCAGTTGACGCTGCCTCATCCAATGGGACATGGTCTTGGCACGGCGCGTAAACGTAGCCACACCCATTCTGCTTGCAGCAACTGAAAGATGGGCAGTCAAGGTCGATCTGGACGTCTGCATTCCAGGTTTCTTGCATGCTGAGTTGGTCTGCTGCAGTTTGTGGCGGAAGCTTGTTGTCGGGTGGATGTCTGGAAGCAGATCCCGGTCGAGGCGCTGGGCGGATGTTTGACGGATGTTCAGTCAGAAGTATACCATGAGATAGCCGGCCAATCACAAAACGCGAACCTTTCCAAGTCGGAGAATGAGTGATGTCCAAGAATTTCCGATCCAGCTTGAGACCGAAATACATGAGATTCTGCAAGGTCTGACATATGCGCGTGGAAGGGGAAAAGAGATGAGAGCAACGAAATGCATTGTGAGAGTCATGTCATGCCGGATTGTAAGAAGCTATTTGCAAAAGGACACAGCTAGCGATTGGAAGCCAGCAAGTAGCAAGTAAACTAAGCAACGACCCATCGACTCCATTTGAATTACCCATGAACGCCATCGCCATACCAAGCGACAATCCCATTTACACCAGTAGTCTCGCGCTTATCAGCCATGATCCGCACGCTCAAATCGGCATGCGCATTCCATTTTCGGACTAGTAACGAGCAAAATCGCCCGTATGCTATCATTGTCAATAACCAGCAGAGCTGCTCACAGGTCCGTACGTTGTCATCGGCCAAAGACCGTCTCCGATTAGAGGCAANGGTCCACCACTGCCATCTCCGATAGGCATGACGCTGCTGGCATCTACGCCAGGAGGCTTCTGACCCAGTGCCAACAGTGCGTTTGCATTCTGGACGTCGAAACCAGGGTAACCCGTTCCCATGATACCGAGCATGTCGTGAGTGAAATGGCGCCAAGCGACAGGTCCCATCATCATCTGTTGAGGTTGTTGCTGAGGCGTCATTGCTGCGGTAGTCGCGGTAGTGGTAGGAGAAGCGTAACTGTTATTCGGTGATGGAGAGGTGAATGCTTGGAAGAGGTTCTGTGTCGTTTGATCGTGAGAAGCCATCTGTTGCGGAACATTTTGGTTGTGGGCATGATTGGTTTGATGCAAGGCATGACCGGCATTGTGGGCGGCCAATTGGGCAGTGAGGTCTGACTTGATGTCATCGCCATTGGTGTATGCGCTGTTGTCAACAAATGCAGGATATGCCGGTGCGGATGCTCCTGAAGGATCGGGGTATGCGAAGCCGTTGTTTTGATAAGATTGTTGAGACTGAAGTCCGTTTTCGTCTGGGCCAAGGTATGATGCGCCGGCGGTGGTGTCCGTAGGAGGGGCGCCGTTGGGATCGGCAGGAACATATGCTGGGGCATAGCCTGCAGGAGCATTGTAGCCATTAACGCCATCTTGTTGGCCGTCAACAAGCGCAGGCGAAGAGTGAGCGATATTGGCTGAAGCGACAGCAGCGCTCGCAGTCTTTGCTGCAAGGTGACGATGGATGTTGTCAATGGAAGCGTTGACAATATGACGGACGGCATTCTGAAGCTTAGCACCACTACCCATCAAATGACCGATGTCACCAATGATGCTCAACCACTGCTCCATGGTGTCTTTGAGAGCATTGAGATCGGTGGACGTGATGTGGTCCTTACGCTGGTTGTAAGCGAAAAGAGTGACAAACATGGCAGAAAGCCAGACAGTGGCGTTGAGCCAAGTAGTGTCAAGGGCTCTCAAAGCACGCATGCTCTGTGCAATGTGCAGTAACTTGGCGCTGGCATCCAAACAGACATCCAAGTTCTTGTTGTTGACGTCATTGTTCTGAGTACGGCAAACGGCAGGGTGATGAACGAGCAAGTTCAGCTCCTGAGCACCAAATTGTAGATAGAGCGAACAGGCTCTGTCATCTTGAGCAGTCTCGGGACCACCAGAGAGCTCGATGGGAATGCTTTTCAGGAAGTAATCAAGATCACGCTCGAGCTTCTGGATGGTGAGCTCGTATGAGTGAGGAGGAGCGCGAACCGAGTAAATCGAAGTCTGAACCTGGATGACGAGCAGAACCCACTTGAAGTTGTGGCATGCGACACGGTACGAGCACTTGTGCCATTCGTCAATGCAGCTTGCCTCACTGCCAGTGTTGTCATCGAGAGCCTTGGGGAATTCGACATCAAAGTCCTCGAGACGCATAGCCAGCGGGCGACCAAGTTTATTACTAATAGACACGTGGATGACCAGAACACTCCAGAAGACACGCTTGCGCATCTCGATCTCGTGTTCACTAAACTCAGGACTGGTTTTGCCCCAAGCGCTCACAGATCTGTGAAGACCCATTTCTGCACACAGGTTAAGCGTGAGAGTGGACATGAACCAAGCAGCTCCTGGTTTGGTGAAGTTTCTCAGATGCAGACAGATCAAAGCAATAGCCTGAATGTTAGGCAGGGTACGCTTGGCCATCAGATCGGGGAGGAAACTAGCGGCATAACGGTAGTGGTCGGCCCATTGAGTTGGGCGACTGTTTCGGACCGAAGATTGGAACAACATCATGGCGATGATCATATGCAGCTGCACAGTCTCACTAATATCTGGCTGATATATCTCATCGGAGTTGAGGCGGTCGACCATGTCTAAGACGTCGGGCTTGTGCACGATAGGGGCATGGCAGTTGACCGAAACAAAGTACCATTCGCAGAGAGCCTTGCATTCGCGGTACGAAGGGAACGAAGGTGGAGGGGGACGTTCCTGCGACGACTTAAAGGCGATGCTGAGGAAGTTCTCATAAGATGTGGGTGAAAAGGCCTCGTCGTTGTCGTTGGTGACGAAATCGACCAGGTCCAGCTCCATACCGAAGAGGGCGACGGATGTGCCCTTGATAGGGGATAGCCATTCGTTTGCACCAGAGATACCGAGGTAGTTGTCGCCGAGAGAGCTGTTGCGATAGTCGGGCAGGGCAGAAGCGCGGACACGAGACTTTGAGGGGTCGAGGTGGGTGTCTGCTCCAAGGATTGACGAGAGGTCGAACATCTGTTGAGGCCAAGCGTAGGCAGGCTGGCCACCACTGCCGACGAAGCCCAAAGGCATGATGGGTGCAGGACGAGGGTCGAGTCCAGAGTCGATCAATTGTTGGCGCAAGTCGTTGATGTGTTGCTTCAGGGCCATGTTTTCTGACTCAATGTGCTCGGTATGGCCTCTGGAGGTGGCGCGACCAGTGATGCGGTCGGTCGTCTTACATTCGAGGTTGTTGGCGATGCATGGTGAGCATCCACCTGGTCGAGCATCACATCGGATCTTTCTGACCNNTGCATGCGCTGTCAGTGACTCGACGACAGGATGCTGGTCATGATGGTGTTGAGATCTCACCTTGCATCGGTCGCAGGCCTGACCAGTTCTCGACGTCGTCGTCAACTTCTTCCTGACGGAGCGTGAGAAGTCGCCATTCTCCGACTTAGGAAGCTTGGCCGGCGTGCCATCAGCGCTGCCTTCAGAAGCGCGTTTGCTGCTCATGCCTCCCTCAAGACGGTATTCGCCGTGAGCAAGAAGGACGCGGTACAAGCCGTGAATAGCAAAAGCTGAAGCTGGCGAAACTTATCAATCCCAAGAACTCGAGCAATCCGAGTCGTGCAACGTCCGGAAAAATGATGGTGGCTATGGCGGTGTGTTATTGCGTGCCTGTCAGACGATGGTATCGCCTCCCGAAGATGACATGAATTTTCTCTCTACCAACTTGATTATCCAAGAGCGCCAACATGCCGATTCCGCACGTGACTAGCACGGACCACTTTCCTCCATCACTCTTTCCTTCTACAACCACCCATCACTGCACAATCATATAGCAAACATACCCTTTGATCTCATCGAAATGTCTACTCTCGAGATCATTGCTCTTCCTCACTTGCCGCAGCACTACCTCTGCGTCGGGCTGTTCAAGAATGTGAAGAATGCTGCTTTCCTCCGCCAGCAGCTTCTGGCTGGCAACGCCGACTTTGAATATGCTTTTCTGGATGCTTCTGTTGTATGTCGCTCTTTCTTCAGCATAAAGTACCCTTCTAATTATGGTAGGNTCATCTCTCGTATGCAGTTCCTCGCTGCTTCATTCAGAGGCATCAACGATTTCGCAAGCAGTCGCATGAAGAGTCACAACGTTCATTCTGAAATTGTCTTTTCTNTTTCACCCAATAACAACGTAAGTATACCATCTACATATAAAATGCTCTGGTGCTAAATCTCTCAGATTGCTGAATCGTTCCGCCGTTTCGGTATTTCTGACACAACTCAACATGTCCTGGCCATCAAAGTCCTGTCTTCAGGAATGACAGCTGAATCTGTCAGCCAGCATCTCCTGCAGAACGTTGAAGGCGAGCCAGTAGATGCATCGGATGCGAACTTTGCAGAGATCGTTGATCAAGCACGCCTCCGCAAAATCTACAAGCTCAATGTTCAGACAAAGAAGGGTGCTGCCAATGGCGCTGCCTCTAAGGAGTCCGAAATCAAAGAGCTCGAGACATCTATCCTCGGAGTCATGGCTCTCAAAGGTTCATGAGCATTCGACACAATCTTCCCAGGATTACGACATCTATCAGCACTGGCTCAGCGGCCTTGACCGCTCTCTCAGTTGTGTGTTACACATCTGACTAAGACTGCGGTTTTTTCGAAGACACTCTGATCAGCAAGCCTTTTCTGGGCTTGATGCTCACCACCTCAGATTGGCGAACAGCTCTGAGTTGAGGTCCTGCAGCAATGCTCGCCACCAAGGTGGTGGTATCGTAGGAGCGGTGTAATCGGCAATCCGAGCTGCACATGAACAGCGTCGAGGTTAGCCGACCACAATTCAAGTCGCCAACATCGACAAGGACAGAGATGTGAACTAGCAGGCCGTCAAGCAATGGTCGCACGCTCCAGCCAGATGCTCATATATCCACCGTAGTCATGGATAAGGCACCAAAGCTCGAAACTCGAATCTCAGAGATCCAACTTTGCATCCTGCTTCCAGTCGCACCTTGATTCTCGCTTCTTCGCTCTCGAGAGAGATGGTGCTAGTCTAAATCTGTCCTCACAACCATTTTACCTCTGTATATGTTGCCCTGAGGCGGAGCTCCTCTCGTGTACCAGAATCAACCACTCTTTCTTCTTAAGAGCAATAGAACTTGACGAGATCGCAATCATAGCACTCGATGCACATTGTGAATAGTATGCGCACAAGAAAGTCGTGAAGTATCAATACGGTTCAAGGTGAATTTGGAGGATGCATGAGAGCCTTGAGATTGGTTGGATTCAAGGCCTCGCCCGGTTTATAGAAGGTTCTCTGAACTGCGATTCTGCAGCTCTTGCTATGTTTGCATTGACAAGTTCAGAGTCATGGTATCACAAGTGTGTGGTAAGTTATTCTTTTATCCTCTGCATGAATTAGTGCTCGCTTTGTCAATACAAGATCTGGGAGGTTTTTTTATATGTGAACGCAGTTGTCGAGCCCAAGGTATACCCCTCACGTAGTTCATGTAAGTACGTCGCGTTTGTACGGTGATCCATGCTACATCCCAATGTACTAAGGACAGTCACAATTTTGTAACTGACTCCTTCTCCGCTTCCAGGTATAAGGTCGTTATAAGCTATTAAAATGCACAGTTGCATTCAAACGAGAGGCCAGCCATTGAGATAGCCTTCAACGGTTCTCTCTGTGGAGATCACATTTCGTATAAGAGTATTGTGTATTCCTGTATTTACGCCGTACGCTCTGACCGTTTCAGCACATAGGGGGGTACTTGGATTCAGTCTGGCCGGTGACGGAGCCATCGTCACTTGTTCAAGCGGTTTTTTGTCGACCGAGAGCCTCATCTTGTATCTGTACTCATCTTCTTCCCTGGTGGCTGTGTAATCGTCTTGCATATGGATAACATAAGCACACGTGTCAAAGGATTCAGTCTCCTAGTTTGAAGTGTCGACTTCTTTGAGCCAAGGCACGTCGCAATCTTGGTTATGAGTATAAACAGGTCAGGCCACCAAAGGATCGATTTCTCTCTTCTCGCACGTAATCCAGCAGGGCCAAGGGCGTCAAAACATCCTTGGCACCATTGGCATCTCGATTTGAAAAATACCATTGTGAAGCATAAAAATCGAACAATACCAGAATATTGGCAGGTCTCACAAGACCTTGTCAGAAAAGTGTCGAAATATGGAGAGCCTTTTCTCGACCTTTTCCAGGAATGGAGAGTACATTTTGAGCTGAAGCCGGCCCAGCCGTGGTATGCACGTTACGCACAACGGCATCAAGTAGCTTAGCAAAACTCAAACCGAATTCCTCGGCTCGGTCTGTCTTCCTGAAAGACTTGTGAGCCTTGTGAAAAGGGCAACGCAGCGGCACATCCAAAACGTGGTCCTGACAGATGTTGGAAAGGGCGTTTCGCTCCAAAAACCTGGAGGCCACGCAACCCTCATTTCTCGGAGCGTTCTCAGTGAGGACCGAAACACACAAAACACAAGCCGCTTCGGACGTGTTTCTCCCTGTGAATGAAAGACGGTGTTCAGCTCAAGCCGCAAGCCACGTTCAATACTGGTTTATCAGTTTTGCAAACTTCAAGACCAGGTGGTGATTATGCAAAGTTTCCTGTAGCCGATAACGCCACGCGATAGCTAAGGCGAGCTAAAGGCTTGTTTGAACTTGGCGAATGCTTGTCGTGTGTCGTGTGTCAACAAGTGCGTTGGTGTTTCACGCAAGGGCTGAGAGTGTGGTCTCAAGCCGTCCAAGGATTGTGATACAAGGGACGAGAACACACTAGACAGTTCATACCACACCATCAGCGTTGTTTGCCAGTAGAAGGAATCGGTAAAAGATGGTGGTCGGATGCAGGAGATTGTTCGGGATGTGCGAAGTTACGGCTGGGCCTGCCCCGAAACAGGGCTCGGCGGCTGCGGTAGGCCAGGTTTTAGCGGCAGTCGCTCTCCGATGACGCCGATGTGCGAAGAATTCGATGCAAGCCTACGCGGCCACATCAGAACGGTTTCGAGGGGCTGGCCGGCCGCGACAACAACTGAGCCATTGATCTGGAAGGAGCCTTGTATTGACTTTTCCATATCTTTTGCGCGACTTTTGAGTTCAATGACTCTGTAGGGGCTGCATTGTCCTCGTGCTTTTGTATTTAGGCGCGCGATAAGCCCACTTGGTTTGCATTCGTAATCCAACCCTTGTCCCTCCAACAAACAACCAGGATTATCTGGGAGGCCAAGGAGGATTCGTCGATCATCCACCCTGTTTGGCTATTTCTCACACGACATCAAGCAGGACAAGTTTCGACCAAACGAATTCAGGCACACGATCACTTTCCCACCTTGGTCGTTTCTTCTTATACTTCCGTCTGTCCCGTATTCCGGACCTATTCTTACCACGTTCTCTCAACGTTGTTCTCACGTTCAATCATTCGAGTAGCTATGCGTCTAATCAACATTCTCTTGGCCGCAACGGCATTGGCCACTGGTTCTGATGCCCGCCCCATGAAAGTCCCCACAGAAGACATTGCTCGCAAACGGGATGCCGACTTTGCAAGTGTGCGAACTCGTCTCACCAAAGACTACAGTGGCAAGGCTGGTGACCCTAAAGACAAGTACTTCCATGAATCAACTTTCCACCCTCACATGGATGGTCGATTTGGCGACAGAGTTTTGAGCTACGATGATCGTCGTTCAAATCTCACCACCCTCATGCAAACATATCTCTCAACCATGAACGACATCGGAGCAGAAACATGGATTATGCATGGAAGTCTTCTGGGATGGTTCTGGAACAGAAAGATCATGCCTTGGGACTCGGATGTTGATGTTCAAATGACCGAAAAGTCGATGGAGCACTTGAGCGACTTCTACAACATGACCGTTCACCACTACAAGCTGCCTGGCTTCCCCCAAGGCCGCGACTACATGCTCGAGATCAACCCGCACTGGAGAAACATTAGTACGACTGATAAGCTCAACGTTATTGACGCTCGCTGGATTGATATGAGCAATGGTCTCTTCATTGACATCACCACACTGCATCACAACAAGACCGCCGAAGCTCTTGGTATCAAAGGAGCAATGATGTGCAAAGACAAGCACCACTTCAACTTCACCGACATCTTCCCCCTGCGCGAGAGTGTCTTTGAGAACACTCCTGTCAAGGTTCCATACGCCTACACTGATCTTCTCGCCGAAGAATACGGCTCGAAAGCATTGGTCAAGACAACCTTTGAGAACCACCACTTCGATCAAGAGAAAATGGAATGGATCCCTCTCACGTAAGTTATCATCCCCATTTTCCTTTGTTGCTCCAACCCCTCTCGCAGGCCATGTAAGGCAGGGGCTCATGAAGCAAAACAGGCGGCAACAAATTCAGGCAATATAGAATTGAGTTCTAACACTTTTGTGTCACAGCATCCAAAAAGGCCCCATTGGAGCGACTGGAAACGGCAGGCCCAACCACAAGGTCGTCTACGCACACAATGGCAGACCCGCCAAAGCCTCGACACAACCCAACACACAAGCGGGTAAAGTCGACGCTGCTGCTGTACAAGGTCAGCCGCGGCTCAACAGACCTGTAACACATCCGTCCGACCTGGCTTCATAATGATAATCGTACATGCATTCATTTTGCAATGTACATACAGACTCATCTCGAGTCTTTCACGATAATTGCGCTTTTTCAGCGACGGCGCTCGGAGTCTCACAAAGCATCGGCATCAACAGCATCTTGCATCCTGCTTGAGTTTCTTTGTTTATACACGATACTACACGATACCGCATGCGGCGCATGTTCACCAGCATTCTTGTAATTTTTTCTTGCAAGTTGTGTTTGTTTTCCTTTCTTGCATGCATAGCAGTAGCATAGAAACCAACCAGCATCCATGAACATACAAGACTAATTCTTTCACTCTATCTTATTTGCATTTCCCATCTCCACTGTTGACCGTGCCCATGAATGCGCAAGGTTTTGTGGTTAAACGCCACCGGCATCTTCTATCCGATCTGCCTTATACACAAACCCGTTTTTGGAGGCCACGCAATGCGACATTGGTAGTTTCGTGCGGCTGGGAATCGTCGCGTGCGCACCCCTGTAGATTGTATACATCTACCTTTCTTCTCGAAAATCGATTTTACAGATTTACTTCTGAATCTTATCTCTCAGTGTGCCTATTCGGACTCGTGGCCGCCAGAGTTTGAAGTCTCGACTTCCAAGAACAAAACTCAGACGATCGTTGCGTGCTTTCTCCAGCGGTTGGCTTCCGGATCGGCAATTCTTTATTTTGCTAATGACTCTGCTGACTTAACTTGCGATATATCTTCCCTTAACTACTTCCTATATCGCAAACATCAATCACAAATCCCCGAGACCCATGCACGGTAAGGGAGTTCTTATGGTCCAGAACTCTCAAAGGTCTCAGATCTCGCCTTGTTGCCCCGCGGGGTGACATTCTTGATGCTATTGCCGGATAGAACGGGTTCAGCTGTTTTCGTGCAACGGCAGCTGGATGCTTGTTCAGGACAGACAAGCAATTTAGCAGGTGCGACAAGCCTTTTGTTGCGGTAACGGTGCTCATTTTGGGGGTTTGCGGACGGTTTTGAACGGTGGCTTGGGGGAGTAGAGATAGGGTATGGGGAGCCGGGGTAAACAAGTAGGTGAGGCGTTTGGCCTGACGAGAACGGTATGCAAAATGTCCGGATGGTGAAAGCCTGCAGGCGAAATGGAGAGTATGCAGGGTCAACCACCTCTGTGTTGAGATTTCGATAAGCATGAATTGCGATACAAAACTATGCTGAGATGAACCCCTACCCATGATATGCAGTTGCTCGAGATTCTCCTGCTTAGTAACCTCTTGCTCCCAATGTGAATAGCATCTGTCTACATGCATAACAGTCTTCCGAGACACATACAGAAACAGCCAGTCGAACGATAAACTCCAATATCCGTATCTCGGCGTCTTCAAGACAATATGCGCTTTACAGCTCATGCTTTCCGGTTTCAACATTCACCCGAGTGGACCTTGTCCGACCAACAGCGGAGCAAATACGGCTCCCAAGACCGGTCTCGCGGCAAAGTTCAAGCCTCCAGGATAATCTCCGCTTTCTGTCTCGTAGAGATCTGTAAGTGGTCTGTTGGTTGGTGTTTTGCCAATCCAAGAGGCAATCTTGGAGATAAAGAGTTTNTTGGTAGAGGGTGAGGCAACAGCAGCGACAAAGATCTCCCAGTCGAGTTTTGTGTAGCTATGACGGGTATCAAGAGGGACTGTCATGCCATTAGTTGAAGCAGAGAAAAGAGAGGGAGAGCGAGACTTACCACCATATTGCATTGCAATGGTTGGATAGAAGCTTGATTGCATCTTGTACACGCTGCGAGGCACCAGGTTCGTACCAACCCAGGTATCGGCGTAGAGATTGTAGAGCAGGCCGTGAGTCTCCGGCATACCATACGCTAGGGTTGTATGTGGAAGCGAACCATTTGTGCCTTTCGCGATGCCCAATTGCTGCCATTTGGTAATGTAGTCATGAGCGATGCCGGTGAAGTTTTGTGCGTCTTCAGTGTGACCGGTCAGGTTTGCAATCATGGCCATAGCTTCGATACCGATGATGCCTTTGAGTGCCAGATTGGTCTGGTTTGCTAGCGAACCAGCAAAGTCATCGGTAGAGATTTGGTTCGAAGGGATCAGAGAGTCAATGACAAGATAGTCGTTCCATTGCTTGAGAAGGCTGTAGTGTTGGTTCAGGTAGTCGACACCACTACTGACTTTCTGAGCTACGGCGAGAGCCATGATAATCATGTTGCCACACTCTTCCAATGGCTGCTCTTCAGCATTGCCGTCGTTGTGGCCAGTAGCATTGGGGAAAACGCCTAGATCGTGAATCGCGTATGCATTTGGCCAGTTGCCAGTCTCCTGATTGATGAACAGCGGTTCAAGGAGCAAACGGCCGAGATCTGGATTGAAGTACATGAAGAGTGGGAAAGCAGGGAAGATGACATCGACAGTCTGCATGTCACCATTACTGCTAATCTCCTTCAGGAAGAGGTAGTAAGAATCTTGCGAGCCAGCGAGTTGTGTAGTGGCGAAGACTTGACGGACTGCGAGACTGGTGATGGTAAGATAGTCTTGCCCTGCGTTTGCCAACGAGTCTGTGATGACTTTATTGTCGATGCTGCTTGCGGTCGACTGAGCATTGGTCCAGTCATTGTAGAAGAATGAGACCAGGTCGAGCTCGTTTGAGAAGTAGCTTGTCCAGAGGGGTGGCAGCTGCTCAACTTTTTCTTTCTCGTACTCAAATTGGATGGCTTGCTCTTGAGCTAGGGTCAATGTGAACAACGCTGACGCTGGGCTACTTCCCACATTTCCGAGATCAAGAGCAAAAGCGAAAACTGGCCACTGGTTGCTGATTGCTCTGTAATCAGTATTCAGATCGTTGTTGAGTGTACCGTTATCGATGAATGCTCCACGAACATCCACGTCGACACCACCATTCGAGTAGGTCATGCCGTCATGATTACATGCATAGATCCAGTCACCCCAGCTCGCTTGGTCCGCATTCTCAGAGAAGACCTGCTGGTTCTGGCGATAAAAGCGATGATAGGTGACCCCGTCAGCGGGCGCATTCCCCGTTGCAGAAGCAGATGTTGTAGATGAAGATACTGTGGTCTGAGATACACTTGTCGTAGCTGAGAGGTTTGAAGAGGCAATCGAGGATGCAGGAATAGTCATTGTCTGCATCTTTGAAGGGCTTGTGTTCAAATCACGCTTTGAAACAGCAGACTTGATAGTGCCAAAGTCCCACTGTGCAACAGCAGACCTGTCTCCAGAAACCCATTCAGCAGAGACATCCGAGTACAGCTGGACATCGTGCTCAGCACCATCGATCGAGAATACATCAACGTTCATGTAAGATGCTGGGATAGATTGGCGCTTGAGATCAGTAGGTTCGACTGGAGAGAGGAAGGTCACATTAATTCCCACTTTGCCATCCACTGAGAAGGTAAAGACGGATCTGGTCGAAGTATACTCGAAGTTCGTCTGTGTAGCAACAGCGGGTCCACTAGGAGCGCCCATCCATGTTACTGCAGCGCCTCCATCGACTTTAATAAGGCCTNNTGAATCTGTCAATGTCTTGTATCTGAAGAGCGTGTTGAAATACCAACCTGTCCAACCTGTTACCTGACCTNNCTGTTGAATGTCAGCGAATTGGTTGGTCATCAATCACAGGTTGAGAACTCACGCCCAAAACTTCGGCCACTGTCCAGCAAGCNNTGCTATCTGTCAGTGGAATTCTTGCTTTGACTCTGAACCGTTGCTTACATATCCACCGTTACCGCCATCACTACCAGCCTGCTGCCAGGTATTTAGATATGGGTTGGAAACAGCAAGAGGTATCGCTGGTGGCCTCGTTGGAGAGAAGGAAGATTGAGCTAAGGCGGTCGATACTAGCAGAGTTAAAGATGCCAGAGACAACATCATATCTTCTGTATAAGAATGCAATGTTTTGAAGAGATGGTTCGCAGTGCGGAGAGAGGATGCTCTCTTATTGTAACTCTTCTACAGGCCAAGATGATATGCAGACCAGTGTGAAAGATCGACAAAGGGCATGACCAGTGATCAGGAGGATGCGGAATGTAACATCGACTGAGTTTTGCATATTCAACGGTCATACTTATGTGCTGTCATCTGGCGCTGATTTCTGTGTCGCTGCCAAGCTAATTCATCTACCTCTGGATAGCTCCGCCATGAGTTGGCAGCTGGTATGTTCATATGATGTGCGTCCCAGAGGTCTCAGCAGTCCAGATTCAAGACTGACTGGTTTCTAACAACTCATCTGATCAATTGTCATAGGACGATTAAAGTCTCGGACGAATGCTTGTGGGCAGGGGATAGAGCTTGTCCCAATGTAGCGGTGTCGAGTGCCAAGTGACGGCATCTTGTTAGGAATGAGTGCCGTCTTGTTCTGAGGCACTTTAATTTCACTGCGAATGACTCGAGTCAGGAGTTCAAGTTGTAGCCGTTTGAGAGCCATGGCTCAATGGCGACGAATCAGAGTTTTGAATGATCGACGACATGGCCAAGGTAGAGCGGAGTAACTAGTATGCATGAAGGCATGTGATCAGAAGAAAACAACAATAGGCGATCAACGGTAGAGACCGAACGATGAACTCTCCGGTGTTTCACTGCAGCACGCCAGTGAGATACATCTCTCAGGCTAGAGTGCAGAGAGTGGGTGTTGACTGTAGGGACAGACGTCTTGGATGTCTTAGGGATGTGGGACAGGGTCACAAGAAAGCTTGGAAATTCTCCGGTCAAGACTTTTGGCCAGCCGAGGCTGTCAAGCACAACGCAACCAGACGACCTTCCATCACAGGCATCTGCACGTGTAAACATAGCACATCATGGCGAGCCGCGGAGAGCTGCTGTACCCTGAGGACGATCGGGTGTTTCTTGAACCCTATCTTCCTGTGCTGAACCGTCAATCAACAGATTCAGGCATACCCTTTGTCACACTTACCTTTGCAACATCACTGGATTCGGCATTGTCTCTGGCTCCTGGTGTTCAGACAGCATTATCAGGACCGCAGTCAAAAGCCATGACTCACTATCTACGCTGCAGACATGATGCTATCATGGTTGGTGTAGGCACTGCTGTTGCAGACAACCCTAGCTTGAACTGCAGAATCCAAGGTGTTGGTGGTTATGGTGGTGAAGGCTTGAATGGACAACCTCGGCCTGTTGTTGTCGACCCTCAAGGAAGATGGCAGCTGACTTCAGAAACCAAGATCTTGAATCTTGCCAGACAAGGACGAGGTAAAGCGCCATGGATCGTGACGGCAAAGACACCAAGTGCAGAAAATGCCAAGTTGTTGGAAGAAGTTGGAGGATGTTACATTGTTCTCGGGTCACAAGCACAAATGTCTGAAGGCAAGACATCGATTGCTTGGCTGGATATACTGCGAACAATCAAGGAAACAGGCATTGAGAGTATTATGATTGAGGGAGGTGGAGTCATCATCAACTCGCTGCTGTCGGTGGAGAATGCAGACTTGATCAACTCAGTGATTGTGACCATCGCACCTACCTGGCTTGGTCAAGGTGGCGTTGTCGTGTCTCCGCCCAGATCAGAAGGCAGCAGTCTGCCAGTCGCTCGCTTGCAAAGAACAAAGTGGCAGCAACTTGGTGATGATGTGGTTCTTTGTGGAACTCTGAAGGCGTGAAACACTGCTTTCACTCCCATTGTATGTTGACAGTTCACCGCGCTGTGTCGGACTTCCAGAAACCAGAACTTTCCCAAGGCAACAGCGCAAGTAGCTCAATCGCTACCCCTTGTCGGGCAATTGCATGCTCAATCGCGGCTTCCTGCAGCTTCGCGTTGCTAGTCGCACTTGTTTCACTTCCAGTGCCTCTCAACTTTTCACTCAGCTTCGTCTGCGCATCGACACTACATCAACTTCACGGCGCTTCCAACCGACAACATGGTTTTGGACGACATGCCGCCGGATTTCAAGACAACAGAGAAGGTCGACAAATGGGGCACTGGTAAGTGTGATTGCATGGACTCTTGTGTCTCATCACTGATGTGCTTAGGACTCTTCGAGAACGACGCGGATCTGGACATCGTCCGTGATCTCACAAAAGACTCGGGTGTTACAGAGACTGGCACCATGAGCTTCCTCCATCTGGTGGATGCAAAAGCACTCAAGTACCGCAAGCGGCTCGACGCTGGCGCTCTGAACAAGATGCTCAAGAAATATTTGCCGATCGACGATGCCACAATCTTTGCAGGCCAAGATGACAAAGACTCAATGTGGTTTTTCCCGCCCAACAGGTGTCCTGGCTATCATCTCTGCTTGCTGGGAGCTGTCGCGATGGGATTTGGCTGCAAAATTGGTCCAGACTTCCGCCAATCTTTGGAAGAACTACACACCAAAGTCGGCTTTTCTCGCAACGCTCAAGTCCAGCTTCGTCATGCGCTCAATGTTTATGCTGATGGTATTTCCTACGACTTCCGATCCAAGCTTCGCCCCATGGGCCTTGACAATGACGACCGGGCATCTGACAGTATCTGGGGCGACCTCAGTGAATCTTTGTGCAAGCTAGACGACAACGCCGATCCTGGGATGAAAATGCTCACAAGACAAATCTTTGGTCCTCTGATGAAGTGTATTGTTGCTGGTGACCACGAGAAACCTCAAGATGCCTGCGGCAATTGTGGCAAGAAAAAGGCAGAGGATGGCTCGCCCTGTCAGCCATGTTCACAATGCGGTCAACGACTCTATTGTAGTCGCAAGTGGTATGCTTAAGTCTTGTCTCGAAGGATAAGATCATTGTATGCTGACCATACCATAGTGAACTCGCGCACCGTCCTCGGCACAAATTGGTCTGCAATGACCGGTGGTATCGACGCGTGGGCAATCTTTGGGGCAAAGCTCAGAGACATGTAGCTGAAACACGAAGGTCTTCTTCAATCAGCGATGAGGACGACCAGATAATTGGAGATGCCAGTCGGGTCAACATTTCATCAACAAACGCCACTTCTGCCTCTGCCTCTGCTTCTGCTTCTGCTTCTGCATCAACTGCCAACAGCAGTGATGACTTTGACGACATGCCTGCATGTGGCAACTGCGGTCTGGAAGCCACTTTTGAGAAACCGCTCCAACTTTGCAGAAAGTGCAAGAAACAGCATTACTGCAACAAGAAGTGCCAAAAGTCACACTGGTCTGCGCACAAAAAGCTATGCCTGAGCGCGACCGCAACTTGAGATGGTTGCTTCAACACACTGCTAGCTTCTGAGGAGGCTGTTGCTATCATGAGTCCGAAACAGATCTAGCTGTCAATCATCGCACCAACCACAGACGTGTTGCCCTTGAGAAGCAGCTAGCTTCATGTCTCAGTCGGCCAAGGGGCCATTATTCGATACTGGTCGGATTTTGCTGTAGTATATGGTGCCATCCATAGCTCAAGAATCAAGACCCTCTATGTTTAGCTTCAACACCTTCCGATATCATCCTGCTGTCTCAACACCCATTCTTATCGGTGTGTGAGCACTGACTGTCTTGCAGTAGGATCAATGTCTGAGACACATATGTCTTGACTCCATCACGTCTCTTGGTAAATTCTGCTGTCTTTCTACTTAAACACAATACATTCCCAATAACATATATCACAGCCTTTCTGCCTTCACACTCTCCATCACCATCTCAACACCTCAACCAAACCAACTCGACAAGCAAACCGCATAACCTCTTCCCCTTTTACTGAGCCACAAAATCCACACCTCCAATCCACCAACTCAATCCCAAACCAAACAAAGCAATGTCACAATCTCCCGACTCCTCTGGCAGCGACAGCCCCTACTCCTCTTCCGGCAACACCACCCCCGACTCTTTCCTCGTCCTCAAACACCAGTTCTCCAGCCACCACACCCCAAAGTGTCACTTTTATTATCATCAGTGCCCCCACCTCTCCTTACCCTACCCCCGCTACCCCTTGGACTCCTGGTGTGAGTGAGAATCCTTTTACGACAAGTAAAGTGCGATGTCTGGAGCTGTGGACTGGGAGTTGTTTGATTGAAGAAAGAAAAGTCTGGTGATGGGAATGAAAATGTTGCAGGGCAAGATGGAGGATGGGTAGAGGCAGAGATAGAACGATGTATATGGGGTGGAAGTCTTTTGAGAGAACAATCAGAGAACACGATATAGAGAAAGTGCTGTTTTTCTTTTCACGGAAAAAATCGCAAGTGCAAGATCGAAGAGGAAAGGACATGATATACATTTTTATACACCGAAAAGAAAAAGCAAGCAGTCATTCATGCGTGCCGTTATAGAAATACATGTTTGTGTGATGGAGAATCGCTCCCACTCTCACACATGAGGGAAAACATGGCTCATGGACTCCCGAGTGCAATTACGTGAAATGAAAGACTCCAAAGAGTCGAGGAAGTTCTACTCCTGTCTCTTTGCTGTCTCGCTGGTTGTAGGGGCTCCTGATGCTGAACCCCAGCCGAACCAACTCTTCTTCATGTCCTTGCTCATGTTCTCCATGAACTTCTTCTCTTCCTCTTCCATCTCCTTGAGCCACTTCTCGCCGTTCTTCTGGATCTCGGCTTCGAGGCGTTGGTACTCACGCTGACCGCGCTCGCGGATCTGGTCGGACAGCATTTTGCCTTGGGACAAGCCCTCAGCAACGGTGGTTTCGTTGTCTAGTGAAAGACCGCCGGGTTGAGCCTTGATGCCAAGAGCTTTGTTGAGGAGACCACCGATTGAGCGTTGAGGACGGCGTGACTGCTCATCTGCGAGCTGCTTCTGGAAAGCCTCGCGAGCCTTGGCTTCACGAGCGGCGAATTCTTGAGGAATGTTGGAGCCGGCGAACGATTCAAGAACCTTGCGAGTATCTTCCACGCCCATGGTAGCGACGTACTCGAGGAAAGGAATCAGGGCGACGAGGTCCTTGGCGTGAGGGTCTGAGGGCTTGCCTTCCCACTTGGGCAGAACGATGCTAAGAATCTGAGTCAGTACGTGGATACCGGCGTGAGACAGGTGAGAAACTTACGCGTTGTTGGGGTTGTTCTTGACGTGAGCGTCCTTGGTGTCGATCATGATGACCTTGTCGAGAGGGCGGTTCAGGTAGTTCAAGTCCTTGACGTACTCACCATTCTCGTACTTGGTGGCTTCACGGAACAGGGGCCATTGGATGATGTGGAAGGGGTCGAGCTTCTTGATGACAGGGTCGGCCATGGCGACGGGAACCGAAGTGAAGAGAACCAGCTCGTAGTACTGACTAAGGTACTTGAGGAAGTAGTCGACACCAGGACGCTTGGCAGTACGCCAACCGTGCTCGCGAGACCACTCGCTGTGAATGAGCAAGTCTTCAAGAGAGAGGACCAGGGGTGAAAGGGGGCGCTGAGCCTCGGGGACCTCGGGGAGCAACTTTTGGAAGGTAGGTTCGGTGTAGTAGGCAGCTTGGCTGCTCATGCGGTTCTTGACGCGAGCGTACATGCTCTGAGGTGCCCATCCAGTGATGTGCTCGGGCTCAAGGCCTTGAGGGGTCTCGTCGGCTCCGTAGGGTCTTGTGAAGAATGCGGTACCAGCAGCGGCGAAAGCTAACAATGAGATATAACCGTAGTTGGCCATTCTGGCGCGACGCTTGTCGAACGATGTCTCGTAATCCTCACGGCGGTATTGCTCATCCTCGCCCTCTCCTCCGCGTCTGCCACCAAATCCAGCAGCTTCGGGAGTGGACTCGGGAGTCTCTTCACCAGTAACCTTCTGCTCAGTGGGGTTTTGTGCGCTAGCCTCCTTCTTCATGAACTCAAAGTCAAAGGTCGAGGGAATACCTTGGCGCAAATCAGGCAGGGGGCCGGAGGGCTGGGACTCGGTGGGCTGTTCTGTAGGAGTTGTGTTTGCATCTGCGGATTGCGGGCCTGAGAAGGCAGGGTTGCTGGCTTCCGAGGCTTGATTTGAGGAAGTGGTCTTGGGGAAAGGACCGGGCTGCTCTGAAGGAGTGGTGTTTGCGGAGGGAGAAGACTGGGTGCTGGCAGAAGCATCTGGTACTACGGGACCATCGGCGGCGGGACGGACAGGTTGCGAAGCGGCGGCAGCAGGAGCAGCGAACTTGATGCTATCGGTGGGCTTCCATGTCTTGTCCTTGGGAAGGCTGGTGCCTGGTGAGGTTTGACGAGCAGAAGTGGCAGAGGGAGCCTGCTTTGCTGGCTTGGGAGCAGCAGAACCAGCAGGGACGAAGCGGCTAGATTTGGCGAGGGAGCGAGCAGAAGTTGAGAAGTGGGCAATTGGGGCCTTTGCGGCACGTTGCGCCGCGCGCGAAAGCATTGTGTGTCGAAGTTATGCGCGGATGTGAGATCTGAAAGAAGATTGCGCCCGCGCTGAGAGTTAGATGTATGCGACTCGTCGAGTCTTGTTGTGCAAGAAGGCGCGAGTAATATGCAGCAGCAAAATAATGTGGTCGTGACAGAAGTGGAAGGAACGGGAAAGTCTTGAAAGCTCTCCAGGTCGGCGTCTCCAAAGCACCGATGACTTCATGCGCCATCAAGACACCTGGAGGGAATCTTGGTAGTCGACCAGTCACGGCCGTCGAGTAGAATGCTCTGATATCCTCTATGCAGCCCTGGGAATGCGTGTTCACCCTTGGTCGCGATCTCAGGCCTCGTCTCAATCATGGCCGACCTTGGTATGGCTGATGGTTCTCTGCGCCACCCTCGGCCAGGCAATGACTAAGTCTGAGGTCGATGCCTTGAGGTTTGTCACATGTCCATGTTTCATCTGTTCTGTCGCAATTGCTTATTCGAACCTAGAAAGGAAACACGCTCTGTCTTTTACCATGGTCTTACCAACTATCGCCAGTTCGCCTACCCGGACGACGAATTGCGACCGCTCTCGTGCTCACCCTTAACACGCGACCGTGCCAATCCTGCCCATATCGAGGTCAATGATGTTCTGGGCAACTACTCGCTTTCCGTTGTAGACAGTTTGTCGACTCTTGCCATTCTCGCTTCTGATCCCGTGTCCGACGCCGACGATTACAACGCTCTGCATGACTTCCAACATTATATCGGCTTGGTGGTAGAAGAGTATGGAGATGGCTCGTCTGGTCCTGCTGGTCAGGGTCGCCGTGCAAGAGGCTTTGATTTGGACAGCAAAGTTCAAGTCTTTGAAACTACAATTCGTGGCTTGGGCGGCCTGCTGAGTGCTCATCTTNTTGCCATTGGTGAATTGCCTATTCGCGGCTACGAACCTGATATCAGAGAAGATGGGATTCACTGGCCGAACGGCTTCGTCTACGATGGACAGTTGTTGCGGCTTGCTCAGGATCTGGGCGAGCGACTTCTGCCCGCCTTCCACACTCCGACTGGACTCCCTTATCCCAGGGTGAATCTCCGCTACGGAACTCCTTTCTACGAGAACTCGCCTCTGAATAATGATCCAGAGCATGGACAGTGTCACAAAACGCAGAAACCAAAGGCATCTCGTGAGATTACAGAAACTTGCAGTGCTGGCGCTGGTAGTCTCGTGCTTGAGTTTACCACTCTGTCCCGTCTGACTAATGATGATCGTTTCGAACGTCTGGCTAAACGTGCTTTCTGGGCTGTATGGGAACGACGCAGTGCTTCTGGTCTGATCGGTGCTGGCATTGATGCAGAGACTGGCGCCTGGGTTGGTCCTTGGACTGGTATTGGAGCTGGCATTGACAGTTTCTTCGAATATGCTTTCAAGTCGCACGTCTTGCTGTCTGCTCTGGAAGGCGAATCGTACAATGTAACTGAAGATTCTCCAGACGCCTTCTTGCAAACCTGGAAAGATGCACATGCTGCCATCATGCGACACGTTTATCGCGACGCCTACTTCACGCATCCACATTACGCCCAGAACGATCTCTACACAGGCGGGCCACGACTTACTTGGATAGACAGTCTGAGTGCTTACTATCCTGGTCTGCTGGTCCTTGCTGGTGAACTGGACGAGGCCATCACTGCTCATCTTCTGTACACTGCTCTGTGGTCGAGATACGGTGCTCTGCCTGAAAGGTGGGATGCAACAACTGGCGCTATTCACGGTGGATTGAGATGGTGGGGAGGTCGACCGGAATTTATCGAATCTACATGGTATCTCTACCACGCTACGAAAGATCCTTGGTATCTTCATATCGGCGAGATGGCATTGCGCGACATCAAACGCAGATGCTACACTAGATGTGGCTGGGCTGGTCTGCAGGATGTCCGAACAGGCGAGCAAACCGATCGAATGGAGAGTTTCTTCCTGGGCGAAACTGCAAAGTACATGTATTTGTTGTTTGACCCGGATCATCCTCTTAACACGATCGACGCACCTTGGGTCTTTACGACGGAAGGTCATCCACTGATCATCCCAAAAGCCAACAGGACAAGCACAAGGCAACATCACAACCGAAAGGAGACTCAGATTAACACCGTGCCGAAACCTCAAGCGGAGCAGTGCCCACTCCCTCCGGCCTTGCTTCCTTTAACGGTTTCATCAACTGCTGCCAGATCAGACATCTTCCATGCCGCTTCTCTGGCTCGACTTCATCTCATGCCCATTGGAAACAAGCCTGGTGCTCCATCATTAGACTGGGCTTCTGATCACCCCAGTGTGACTATGCTCGGGCCTGAGTCTCCAACCAATTTCACTTTTTACCCCTGGACTCTGCCTCTCAATCTGGTTCCTACAGATGGCTTTAGCACTAAATTGTCCAACAAACCAACCTTTGATCTCACTTTTCCCACTACAGCTGGTACTGGTCTCGAGATCGGAACACTTCAGAAGATTGATGGAGGTGTTCTTGTTAATTCAATATCCGGATTGAGATTCGGCATGGTGTTAGAATCACCGGCACCAGAAGAGCACGAGTACAGAATCTACACTCTCGGCAATTTTGCGCTTGGGCGTGACGAGCACATTGCATTGAGTCGGGATACATTGTCACAGATCAACCCGACAGATCCACACTTTACGCGAATGCGCGATGTCGAAGCAATGGATCTGATCATTGATGTACCACATCCTGCGGAACCTGACGTCGAGGCTTTCGCGTACAACAATACTGCGTTGACTGACCACGTCTTCGATTTCAGCCTCGACATCGATCTGGATGCGTTAGATGCCACCTCTAGTCCAGGTGACATGGTTCTGGATTCTTTGCCCAAAGCTCTTTTCGCCGACGTCCATCGTCTCGCAGAACAACTTGATGGACTAGTTGGGGTTCTTCCTGATGCCGACAGTATAGACGATGCCCTTCGTGATGCAGCAAAACAGCTTCGATCAAAAACTACCGCTACTTTGCCGTCATCCTCAGGAGCATCTTCTCAACAGAAGAAAGGTCTACAGCGTTTTACCACGCCAGCCATGCTACCTATAGGACCTGGCGCTGCACCATTACCAGCAGCCATAGATTCCTCTCCTGATCCTCGTAGCCTCTCCACTGGCAATCTCCCTTACACGACCATCCTCATTATTGACTCTGATCTCTGCAATACTTCTCCTATTCCGCCCAATCTCGTCACGACTCATACCATTCTCATCATCCGTCGTGGCGGCTGCAGCNTCAGCAAAAAGCTGTCTGCTATTCCTTCCTTCCCGCCTTCCGCCAAATCTTTGCAATTGGTCTTGGTTGTAAGCTTTGGTAGCGATCAAGAAACACGACCGTTGGTCGATGAAGTACAGTTGACCCCCAAAGGACTACCAAGACGTCACCCGATATGCCTTGCTCTTGTTCCAGGCGGCCAAACTGTATGGGACACTTTCTTGAGAGGAGCGAGTACAGTTGGTAGTATTGATAGCAATGGTGCTATCAGTGCTGTGGAGAACAAGAGATCAGAAGCTTTACAAGCTGAAGCAGGAGCTGCAGGAACACAAGCAATGGAGACTGGCAAGAAGAAGACCAAAAAGACGAAAACAAAAGCGAAAGGAAAGAAAGAGATCCAAGAAGTTCCCGGCATTGGTGTCAGGAGAAGATATTATTTCACCAGCAATGGTGTACGGATTAGCAATCTCATTGTGACTTGAGCTGAATGCCAATATTTATATCCTTCCATGGTTTGGAAGCGAAGGGAAAGAGTCCTCTGATCACGCTCTCTCAGCCGTGCCCGTGTCAAAATCTGTCTTTGTATGCCGGAGAAATTCAATTCTCTCGTAAGCAGTCGCTACATGGAAGATAGTCGCTCACAGAACGCGTGTTTTTGATATGCTCACCTGATGAGGCGTTTTCCTTGTCAGTCGGGTGGTTGCCCTCTTTGAAGCATCTCCGCGGCTGAATTGGCAAAGCAAGCCTCAACCGGGAAAGTGTATATCTTTTTTCGACGACAACTCATAACTAAAGGCCAAAGTTCATCAATAAATTCAGAGTGTGCTTAGAACTATCTGGGTGTTTTTGTTTCAAGTTAATACATGAAGAATGGGACGATTATACCTGCGTCTGCAGCTTCCTTGCCATCCACCTCGGAGATGCTCTCGCATCCGCAAACGCTCGGGTGTCGTTCTCGGGAAGGAACCGACGAGAAAAAATGCGAACGAACTGCTCCCATGTTTGCTATTTTCGATGACCAACGCGCAATTTGCCTACAGCCCTGATCGGATATGTCAGGAGTCACAGGGAATACACAGAGCTTTCACTCAGGGCAAGTTTAGTGATGTTGCGGGTGCTGCGGTCTCTAGTCCGAGTACTTTCGGCTCTGCTATAAAATGTCATATCTACGTTGGTCTCATATTACAGCTAGGTTTTTTTGTTTTTTGCTCTGATCAACACCTTGACTTTTACAACGTCGACTTATCCTAGTACTAAGCTTTCTAGGCTAAGAAACAGGCAATCACCAGCAATATGTCGTTGACACCAGATCAAGTCAAGCTTATCAAAGCTACTGTACCTGTGTTGAAGGAACACGGTACCACTATCACCGGCCACTTTTACGACCTACTACTCAAAGAGAACCCATCACTGAACGGTATCTTCAATCAAACGAACCAGAAGAATGGACATCAAGCTGGTGCATTGGCCGGAAGCTTGTACGCATACGCATCACATATTGATGATTTAGGCGTGCTCTCTCCGGCTGTTGAGAAGATTTGCCACAAGCATGCGAGTATGTATGTGCAACCTGAGCATTACGATGTCGTTGGCACGTATCTGTTGCGCGCTATGGGTGATGTGCTTGGTGAGGCGTTGACACCCGAAATACTCGAGGCTTGGGGACAGGCTTACTGGCAGCTGGCGAACATTGTAAGTATTACTAGGTTCATTCTTGACATCCAACGTCTAACGATTGATACAGNNATGATCAAACAAGAAGACTCACTCTACAAATCCGCCGGCCCTTGGACATCCTGGCGCGACTTCCGCATCACCAAAAAAGTCCCCGAATCTGAAGAAATCACATCCTTCTACCTTTCTCCTGTCGATGGAAAGCCATTGCCTTCTTACCTTCNNCCTGGTCAATACATCAGTGTCGCTACATCAGTACCGTCACTCCACCATGATCAAAATCGCCAATACTCGCTCTCTACCGCGCCATCTTCTGACCACTATCGCATCAGTGTAAAGTGTGAATCTGCTGTGCAGAAAGGAGATATCACTCATCCAGCATACATCTCCAATATCCTACACAAAGACAAGCAAGAAGGAGATATCCTGCAGGTCTCGCATCCATATGGAGAATTCTACGCTGATCCCAAGGAACATAGCAATGGAGCTCTAGTCTTGATTTCCGCTGGTGTGGGTATTACACCCATGGTCTCCATCCTCGATACCTTCATCCAAGAACACAAGAATCGCAGAATCAGTTTTATACATGCGACAAGGTCATCTGCTGTGCAAGCCTTTGGACCTCACATCCAGGACGCTACTTCCAAGTACTCTCACATCACTTCTGTCATTTTCAACAAACATCCCTCGACAGATGCAAAACAACACACAGATTATGACTTTGCTTGCCGCATGGATCTGGACAAAGTCAACAAAGAAAAAGATCTTTGTATCAGTGACAAGACAGCTACATACTATATTTGTGGTCCTGGAGGCTTTATGCGGGATATGGGAGACAAACTCAGGAGTTTTGGAGTCGAGGACAAGAGAATCAAGTTGGAGATTTTCGGAACGGGAAATTTGTCGTGATGGGCGTTTGTTTAGAGAGATATCTCCGCTCTGATGTTGGTTGTATAGATATGAGTTTGCATTTCGATGCTATAAGATAGATTTTGGAAGCGATGTTTGGGGAGAAACATGATATTGTCAAGCCGTCGTTTCCCATCTCAGGTCAACGTCGGAACTTCTTCAAGTTATTCCTTCGCATCTTAGGTCAATGTCGGAATCTCCTGCTTTCAGATATGTTTGTGATGTATAAAGGCCACGCTGTTGTGACGCAACAGACATAAATAGCGGTGCGGTCCTAGGAGAGAAGGTGATTTTTGAAACGGGTTACAGACGCCATTTACGCACTTCTCTCGACTGTTTGGTAGTTGAAAGATGTGGGAGCACAGCAGACCATGCCATCTCCTCATCATAAGCCTTCTGGGAAGGTCTTGTTGACGACTGCTCTTGCAAGTCGGTCGTGAAGGGGAGGTTGTAGGCAGATAGGCCACAGTTTTATATTCTTCGTTTCCATCTAGACTGCCACTTCTCACGCAATTCGTTTCATCTCACTGATCTTTGAGTGAAGGGTCAGGTCGCAGTGACTGAAGTCGTTTGTATTTGACTATGCATGGATAAGCTTGTATAGTTGTGTAAAATTGTGCATTACTTAGCACAAAGCTAACACATCAAATCCCCTCACCAACCGATACGATACGTCCATCAACCATCTCGCAATCATCGGATATGCTTAAAACTGGGACACGCCGGCAAACCCGTATGTCCGCAATCCTGATCTATCTACACGGATACTGTCGAGCATTTCGATTGACCTTCTGGCTTAGCTACTATCAACAACCACAAATCGTGTGTTTGGTATTCGTGTCCTGGAGATCGTCGATACAAATCACAACTTATCGAATTTCACCACCACCAACTGCTCTTTCGGCCCCAAACTTCGAAGTCGTCCATTAGAGAACTTGGAAAATATTATCAACCAAGAAAAATGTCAGAATCACAATAAAAGCACCATATTATCGCCCCTTAGACTCCAAATTCCATCGTCGCATGTCCCACCCTGGATTCCTGACGCACGTGCCACCACCCGCCAAGCCGGCGACGCCAACGCCTCAGCCCTATCACCTCTTAGCGCCAAACCCTAAAAAAAAATTCCTTCACCACCAAAACAACCACTGATATACCATGACAAAACCACAAAAAGAGTTAATCGCAATCTTGTGATTAGGAATAGCCGAAGGCGGGGCTCGAACCCGCGACCTTGAGGTTGTACTTTATCTGGATGATAAGAGCCACACGCTCTACCGATTGAGCTACCCCGGCAGGTCTGATGATCNGAAAGTTCACTGGGTGAACTGGCGCTGATTGCTTGATTGATGGGAGCCACGGTGGTTGGGTTGGTATATATACTATGACAAGCTGGATAAGCTGAATATCATTTTGTTGAATAGCGATCCTCGTTCGTAATTGCGATTTTGGAATCTCTTTGTTACAGTATCTTCTTTTTCGAAGTTAAAGCAAAGTATTCTTGATACCACACATAGGAAAGCATCGGTCTGGACAAAACCAAGTGGATGCAAACCAGAATTGTGTTCGTTTGAACACACAGAAGCATCAATCACATATTTCGAAAAGAGGCAGACGAAAACAGGAAATTAATACCATATTCAATTTTGGTTATCTATCCGCTTGTACTCCCAATACATACCAAATGAACTCCAACCTACGCAGCAGCCACGATTGCTCGGGCGACGAAAAGACATCTTCGCAATCGACCTGAGAATTTCCCAAGGGTACAGACTTGGGCGGATCAAGGACATCTATCTTATCCAGTGCTTGGTTGCTGTTATACAACCTTGAGATTGGGGAAGCACTCGACAAGCAACAACTTCTGCTATACACAAGGTCTCTATAGGCTTCGGCTCTACATACTTATGCTACAACGAGGTACCAGTCATGTACATTCTGCTGTTCAACTCTCGAGTGACTGCTGATGCTGGAAAACATGTAATTTTCGGAATTCCAGTAAACGATGTAGTTCTGATACATCTGAGCTGCTCGAGACTGACCCCTACCGATGCCTTGCTTTGTTCGAATTGGCGTTCCATCTCTCCCATGTTTCAGGCAGGCTGATTAACTGTCCAGAGTCGGCATGAGACCCTCGGAGATGCAACAGATAGTCTCACGTCTTTGGAATAAGCTCATATGCGTGCTCGAAGTCTTTGAGAGTCTCCTACTCGCTCTTGTCGTCGAAGAAGGCGTTGGCTGCCTTGACATCAATGAAGATGTTGCCCTTCCTAAAGCGTGATTTGGGCGTCTTGTCCTCAGTGCCTTGAGTCATGTTGTCCTCGGTGTCCTTGGGGGGAGCTGTAGAACCGTCAAAATGTGCAAATCTTCACTAGGTCTGGTCTCCTTGCTTGTCGGCAAAGTTCTTGTTGTTTCCTTCTTCGATGACGGGCTCCTTCTTCTTCTCGACAGATGAGTTATTGCCCAATAAGCCACTAAGCGTTCTATAAGAACCATGTGTTCATTATCGTTTGTGCAAGGAAGGCAAACCACAGCGTTCTTGTCATCGATGTCTTAGTCGTGAACCGTAAGGCAATTAAGCTGGGATTGATTATCATCTTGGCCAGTCATGCTGACGTCTCCATCGGTATCTTGATTGATATCCGCAAAGGCAATTTCTTCTTCAGATTTCGGATATGCCTGGTAGACTAACTACTTGAGCTCGGCTCGGCAAAGGAGCTTTGGGGATCTATCCCGGTCCTTCAAGGTGTTGATGTCTAGAGTGGCAGTCACGAAGACTCGACGTGATGCGCCTCGTCGATGAACCTTGAGGCGATCATCCATCATACCTCATTGAGGCAATATTGTTGAAGTCGATTTCAAATTCCACACTGCGAGCGGTGTCGTGGTTGGTTACGAAAGTAATGTACTCAGGCAGTTTGACACCGCCGTCATCAGAGTCAGTGTAGACGCTAGGCACGGTCTTCTAAGCGAGAAGGCGATCCTAGAGCAAGCGGAGATGTATCGTGCAAGAGTTGCTTTCGAGACCACACACCCCATGGACGTAGTATAGAGGGTTACATACGAGCGTTGGTAGTACAACTGTCTGTTAAACGCAAAACCCGAAGTAACATGCGAGCAGGCTGGATCAAACGTAACCGGAGACTCATTGCAGCATCTGTAGTCCTCCTTTCGTCTGTCCTTCCTACGTGGCTGCATTTGGAGATCGTCGTCTTCGTACAGCCGTTTTATGTTAAGCCAGCACCTTAGATTGCCCTACCTGGTTGCTGTCTGCATGGGCATCCTTCGTTACTGCAACATATGTTCTGGCGTCCGCTGCGTGGCTTCTTGCATCCTCTGAGCAAGACCGCTCCGAAGCTTGCCATGATTAACATTGGCCTCCTAAGTGTTACTGCCGAGGTTGTTGTTAGTAGATGCTCGTAGATGCTCTTAGAAGCTGCTTTGGACAGCCTGGAGGTCTTAATAGCCACCATTGATCCCTAGCAGCATTATCCGGCGATCGATAATCCTGAGGCCAACAACCACTCGTAGTCTGCTCTTAGGAACCTCTCTGAGGATAGCTGGCACCTTTCATACATCAAAAACCATCGACGATATCCAAGCATGCATACTTAGACAAGAAAATATCCAGATTTCGGCACTATGATATGACTCCGCTTCCTTGTGCGCTGCTAATCAGCTGGCGTTGCATGTCTGACTGCAACTCCACAAACTAATTGCCGAATCTCCCTCGCGGACCTAGAAACTTATACCTAGTTTGCGAGGCTGCCGGAGTCGGTGTCTCAACTTTGATCCTATTCAGGAGATCTGGCGTGCAGTCTAGAGCCTGTTGTGGAGCAAGTGGCTTAGGCCTCCGAGCAAGCAGCTTGGATGTGCTCTCAAAAATCTTGCTGGTGACTGCTGGATCCTCCCAGGCATCGGAAACGTCGAAGATGTCTAGGTGCAGTAGACTGGGCGGCACTCGGGCTAACAGAAACAGCGACAGGCTGTATAGGAGTATTTTTCTCTGCTTTGCGTCTTCAGAAGTGCACCTTGGGGCTCCTAATGGTCGAAAGGGTGGGTTTCTGATTCCATCCTGGCTTGGCAAGAGCACATATATGATTAAGGGGTTTGATCGTGAAATCTGCATGTGACACTTTCTCTCTGGTCTTGCCACAGCCCTCGCAAGCAATAGGCCTGTAGTCTGGGACTTGGACCAGGATATGAAGACAGAACAATCATAGCCAATCAGCCTATATCTCCTTTGGGTGGTTTTTCCAGAAACGCATCTATATGTAAATATGTGTAGTCCGAACATGGAACAGCACCTAGAAACAGAATACCCACAGTAACAGGGTTCTTTTAACACGGCGCCACTGGTGCTCGTCGGTGTATGCGGCAGCTTGCTGCAAGAGCTTCTTCCCAGCCTATCTCCTTGGGGTGGTCTTTCCAGAAACGCATCTTTATATATTGTATATCTCAGGATTGACGGACGCGATCAACGCATCACTGCGGAAGTCTGCCTTAATTCTCATCGTCGTTTTTCTTTCACTTCTTGAAAAGGTGCTTGATTGTGGTGGTCAAAGATCGGAGAATCATTGCTCTGGGTCTTGACGCATCCACAGTCTTGTCGATATACTACAATCTGGAAGAGGGGATCTAGAATGGTATTTACCAAACCAGGTACACCACTGGGCCAGCGACGAGGACCAACAGTCATCATCTCCACGCTGGGGAAATAATTACGGCCATCTTGGAGAGGACCAGAAGCAACACCGACAGAGTCCTTGGGAGCTGAGATCGGAGGTTGGGGCGCTTCCGTGCTTAGTGCTTTGCTCCGGATGTTGGTCAGATTGCGATTCTTCGGTGTCAGCTCTGTATATAAGATATCACCCTACTGTTGCGCATACAGTCGACAACTGGGTTCAGGGGCGTAGTAGTTGGATTGGCGAACAGAGGGTTTGCAATTGACCCCGTTGAGAGCATAGACGTGAACGTGAAGAGGAGTTAGGATTGTTCGTTCGTTCGATCTTGTCCCCTTCTTTGTTCTGAGAAAGTCGGGTGACTGAGCGAGGAAAGGGCTGTCCTCAACAAACAATAGCTGATGCACGATGAGCGAGGGCGACGGTGATCCCGGCCAATGCGCTTGGTTACCTCGGTCGACAGGGAGTATGCTTTTTGGAATGTGTCCTTGTAGTTTGCAGCGCTCAATCTACGCAGATCATGGTGAACAGCGTCGCCTCCCACAGTGCTAGACTCGTCAATCTTGTCACATGGCTTCTGGCCCAAGTTGAAGAAGTATATAGTTCGTCAGGTTGTAGCCGCCCATTGTGTTGGTAGCGAGCACAACCTCGGGGCCTTCTACTCCTTCTTGTCGTAGAAGGCGTTGGCCTCCTGGACGCTAATGAACATACTCGATTTGCGGAAACGAGGCTTGGGCTTCGTTTATGTATTCAGCCTGCTTTGTATCGTCTTCGTCTTCTTTGAGGGTCTTGATACGATCGAGCGGCTGTCATGGCTCTGGGGGTACAATGCCTTGAGTACGAAATGGTCTCGCAAAGGATGTGTGATGTAGTGAAGTCGTGCACTCCATAGCAGTCTGATGACTGCACACATTTGGCAGACTCTTCTTGTTATGAGCCACGTGTGATAACCAGAACTCGTTGGCAGCTATTCAAAGCGATTTCTTCCGAGGACTTGTCAGCCCGATCAGCAAGAACTCATTCATCTGGTAGCATATAAGATGTGTTCCCTCAGCTGGTCCCAACCCTTCTCAGTGGAGACGACAGCCACTACGCTCGTAACAGGACCAATCTTCAAGGCTATCTGAGCGGATTTAGCAACGCGGCGAGGGTCGAGGTAGGCAAAAACACTACCCTCTGTAGTTATATATGGTTTTCATTGGTAGTGCAAGACTGCGTTTCCAGAGCGTCAACCTCGGACTGGCCAGCAGCAATGGCATCGATGTATGCCTGTGCGCCAGAACTTGCAACGTAGAAGGCGGTAATTGAGGCAGTCTTCTCGTGGGTGGTGAATTGGTTCAGAGGATCTCCGAGGACGCGAGTTTGTAGGTCCACCTGAACCTGGATCACGGTTCGGAAGAAGAGGACGGCATTCAAGGGCTCGGGAGCGATCACAGGAACCGTAGATTGTGTGGCTCCGGTGAAGCGTTGCAACTTGCTCCAGCCACGTTGCTTCCGACGGAGCTGCTCGAGTTCTGCTACACTCTTATCCATGTAGTTCTCTCCAGATGAATTGGCCAGTAATGTGCAAGTAGAGCTTGTTATCTCTGTCGCGGCTGGGCTGAAACCTCGAAGAGCCAGTTCCATACGCAAGCCTCTTCTGAGGTACGTCATGTAGAGAGACACCAACAACTAGCGTCTCGAGGTTTGGAGATGGATTGACTAGGGTAAGAAGCCATATCACCTGCGGCTCGGCGGGCGGCCATTCCGTCTGCGTACCGCCCTCGGCCAGCTCATTGGCAAGCTCCGCGGCTGCTTGGTTCAGGGGCAAGAGTGAGTTGGCACACAAAACATGAAGGTAGCGGAGGTTAGAGCTGAAGCGTTTGTGTCATCAAGGCGAAAATGTTCTCGGGACGGTAATCGCGCATGTTCGTCTCGTCAACGAGGACAGGATCGGGAACAGCGCAGGTACGTTCTGTTTGCGACGATGGTGAGGAAGTTGTTTCTCATGGCAGAAGTTTTCGAGAGCGAAGACAAAGGGAAGCTCAGAGCTACACCTCTCAAGATGGCAAACATGGTGCTCTGAGCCACACCTCTCAAGATGGCAAACATGGTGCTCTGAGAGTCTGTACCACGATGGCCTTCTTCGCCAAAGGCGTCGAGATAGCCATGGTCACGAATCCAGGGATGATGTGGCAGGCCAGAGTATACGAAGGGGGAAGATCCGGAATACACTGGTGCGGACGTAAACAAAACCACTGCGTGCAGTATATATACCATGTTCAAAGAGGTACACAAGATGCCGAGCACGGCGAACAATCCGAATAGTCCAGAATGTTCTTCTTCAGCGTCAAGGGTGCATGTGGTGCAAGGCGTCTGGGTAAAGAAGGAGACAGTCGTGCTCATCGGTCCAATTTCCCACACACACCACACATCATGATGGTAGTGGGAAGCGTAGGGGCAGCTAAAGATGTTGGTTAAGAGCAATATATATGTGTGAGATCCAGCTCTTCGTGGCCAGTCTTGTTGGGGCTGTCTTATCACTGTGTATGTCTTCAGAGGACATATGTGACCAGGGCAGACTCAAAAACGGAGAGACTCAACGAGATGAGTACAGATCCGCAGACCAGTGGGGTCAGATTCAAAACCATGATGCACTTGATTTTGCGATGGGTGCACGTCTCGCACGCACGCTTCATGCGCTTGAGAGAGGCTCGTTTGTCTTGCTGGTTTGCGAGCTCGTTGGAGTCGGAGGTATGCTGAGTGGTTGCAGTAACAACAGCCAGAGAAAGCGATCTGGTTGGTAGCGATACGGCGATGGCTTCTGGGCTTGTGATTGCAAATGGCCTTCGGCGGGTGAAAGCGCCCAGGTCGGCGAAGACCTACTCAACACAAGTCCGCTTCTGTGCTTGTCCATATCAATATCAATGAGACGTGATGTGTTGGAGATCCGTGTATCTCTTGAGGCAAGCAGTCCTTTGGAGTGTGGCCCAACCTGGTAATATTGCAGTACCCAGGAAGGGAGTTCGAAGATGCTTGGAGCTAAAGCCATCTGACTTCCGCTTTCTCATCCTTCTTCTCTGGCGAGGGTGTGCCTAAATTTGTCACGGCAAGAGCTGCTAGCTGATCCTCTTGCATACCATCATCACTTACACCCACCTCGAGCTCCTCGATAGCGTGATATAGAATCATTGCAGCATTGTGCTGCATTCCGGCTGGGTTGACTTCAATGAGACGTCCGTCAGTGCCGACAACATTGTGGGTGCCTTCACGGATGAGTAGCTCATCAATTCGATCAATGTAGTAACGGCCAATTACTGTCGCTCAAATGGGTCCAGAACCTTCACCGTCAAGGTTGTGGTATATATACGTGGAGAGTTGTTGATGAAAGATGAGTCCAATCATCCGCCAGCAGAGATCTGCTTTGCCAGTAGATGGAATCTTCGCCGTGACTGAAGAGAATATAACCCAATCGATATAGAGTAAGTGAGACAAGTCCCTATGATGTGATGAAGAAGTCATGATAAAACGAGGATGTAAGACTGTGGAGATCGAATAGGAGCAGGACGAGGCCTTCATATACCTCTTCCCTCTGTTGTTTCTAGCGTCTTCTGAATCAGTCTTCCAAGTTGGAGGAAGAAAAGGTGTTTGCGTAAGTCGTAGAGAAAGCAAACTGAATACGCTTGCAGATTGGTGAAGCAAGCATCATCTTGTCATGGTAGCGACGGAAAGTGAAGAGGTCTCTCATTCGCTTACCCCTAGATTCGAACCATGGCCCCCTCGGACACCAACAAGACCATATATTGAAGTGAAGTTGGCACCAACACATCCAGTCCGCTGAGTTTGGTGTAACGGTCTACAACTCAAGATTGACGGTAATAGAACCACCGTTCGACTCCCGCCGTGTATGTCTTAATTGACTTAATGCAGCCCAATGTCCGTCATTGGGTGACTAAAATCAAGGGATTCAGAAGGGAGGGTTTTCCAGAGCAGGGCTCTGTTTTTTTTGCCATTTTTGGCTGAGTGAGGATGCGAATGAGGTGTTAGAGATGTTGAGGGAACGTCTGGAGGACAAAGAAGAAGTGAGATGGCAATCGAAGCTGCTCGACATGTTGGATCAAAAGATAAGAAGGAACAAACAAGCTCTTGCCGCTGTCGTGTTTACTGGAAGCTCTGAACACAATCGCGGCTTCTTTGTGAATCGAATCGGTGGGGTGCTTTCAGAGATATCGTTTTCTAGAAGAGCTTCTTGTCTGTTTGCACGTCCATTGATTGTATCGTGCATGGTGAGGGCAAGACGATCATCGGCATACGCAGATTTGACACATACGATCTGTCAGCGAACTTTCTCCATCCTGACAAAGATCTGGACATACCTACGGCGAACTAACAGATTATATGCAGTGCCAGCTCTTCCCTTGTAGCCATCGAATAATCACGTTTGTTCTACGTCGGCAGAACGTGAGAGTATCAAATATTGTCATTGTCATCATGAATGTAAAGCACCCTCGCTACAAAACATCTCTTTCCAGAATCTCCTACAATCCCAAAGGTCTCTCGCCCTTCTCAAGCTGATCAGCCTCAAACCTCAAAGTCTCAGCTCTGAACTTTCTGAATGCAGTTTCGATCCTTCTCTTAGCCTCAGGATCCTTCTTGATGGCACTTTGCGCACTCAGACTTCCAGTGAGCAGTCCAGTCTCACCACCAACAAACAGTCCACCAAGTCCGAAGAGTGTGTATGTGGCAATGTCTCCGAAAGTGGAAGGCTTGAGCATGGGTGTGAGGTCGGGAAGGGTTTCGGTGCGGCCACCAGCGAATTGTACGGCGACGGGCTTCTCGGCTGTGCGGAATGCATTGAACATGGCGGTTCTGTTGGCGCGGAGGCGGTAGGAGAGGAAGAGGCCAAGGGAGAAGCCTACAATGGAGCCAATGGTCGTGTGCGTTGAGACGCGAGAGGCTGCCGATTGGAGAGCTGTGCGGTCTGAGGCTTGGAGGCTGTGGAGTGCTGTTAGTATACAGAGAGAATGACAGTGATCTGGAATGCGAGGCACGAACTCATGCTGATAATGTTGTTCGGCGAGTGAACCCAACTCGTCGCCCATTGATTTACGGAAGAGTGCAAGACTGTCAGACGACATGATGTGCGGTTTGGTGTTTGAAAAGTTGTGTGTATGAAGTTTGAGTCAACGGTTCGATTCTGTCTTTCAGGAAAGCAGTAGGAAGAGAGATGTCAAGTTATAAGCAAACACAATGCGGCAGGACCGGAGTGAAGTTTGAACGGTGATGCAGGAACGAGACACCTACGTCATGTGGGGTAAGCTCTCATGTCACACCTTACACACACAAGCATGCTGTGCATAAGTAACCCCGGTCGATATAGCGAAGCTACATGTAGCAAGCAAGATAGCAAGTAGCACAATGTACAAGAGAAGTATTGGTTCGGAGTCATGTCATCTTTGTGATGTAACAAGTTTGTAGTAGGTCTTAGCGTCGCTTCATTACTCCTCATCCTCTGCCTCCTCTTGGGCATCCTCGTTTCTTTTNCCAAAGACCATAAAGTCATCTGCTTCAGGCAAGATTCTCTGCCACGCCGCTTGTACATTCTCAATGATCGCATCATCAAAGACAAAGTCCAGCGGTGGGTCCTGGAACTTAAGAATGCTGGATTGAGAGGCCTCAGCCGATGATGCCAGAGCCTCAGCATGTTGTTCATAACTGAGCGACCACAGGGCTTGAGCCTCGCCATCTTGAGCTGCAAGAAGCATCTTGATGGCTTCGGCGAGAAGCTCCTGGCCTTGTTGACCAGTAAGTGCAGTGCTTGCATATGCGATACCTATTCAATATTGATTAGCAATTGCATGGACAAGAGGTATATCGATTGAATGTGTTGTGAATGGTTGGAAGACCAAAGCGATCAGGTTGTCAGAGATGTGTTGATCGACATTATTGTTCAGACAATGTAGATAAGTATTCGTAAAATCATTCATCATGCAATGGTGCTTCCAGAGGGAGATATGAGGGAAGGAGAATCAAAACTTACACTGTCCTTGAGGGCATTCGCCAGTATCACTGGAATGAACCATGATCTGAACAGGTGGATGTGCTGCACTCGAGAGGGAACCAGCAGGGAAGACCACAACAGCACCAGCAGGCGAGACACCACCTTCGGCGACGGTGACAAATAGATGCTGCATAGATGATGAGATGATTGTGATGCTGCGAGAAGCAGTATCGGGTTGGGCACCAGCAACCTTTGTGCCAATTGTAGTGGCAGGTAAGGACCCAGGTAGGTCGTCTGAGCAGCCAACGATAAACTGCGCAGACACCTTGTCTCCACTGCTGAGCTGGACACTGTACAATGAGTTCTTCTCAGAAGGCACGGCAGCGGAAGCGGTCTGTTTTTCGACAGGTTCTTCGACAGCAGGTGTGGGCTTTTCGTCCTCTACACCTGCAATACTGTATCCAGCTGCAGCAAGAAGATCGTCCAGGGATTGCTCCTTGATACCGGATTCGAGTTCGTCAAGATGATCGGGGTTGGTGTCGACAAAGCCTTCACCTTCAGTGATCATGTTGTGAATGTCTTGCGAGACATCAGGCTTCTCAGGCTCTCTAGGGATCTCTTCAACATCGTCCTCATCAGACTGAGCAGGCTCGATAGAAGAGATGCCCTGACCAAGCACATAGATACCGCCACCAACAGCACAAGCTCGGCATGCGACTTGAACAACTTCCGAAAGACCACCCCACTTGGGAATCACAGCACCAAAGCCGGGACCGAAAACACCGATTGAACGGAGATGACGAGCAATGCGAGGTAGAGCGAAGTCGGTAGTGGTCTTCTCAGGAATCTCGAGACTGAGGCAGAGAGCCATGAGAGCGTCGACGGCTGGCAGACCAAATTGCTCAGACAGGAAATCGGCGAAAGGGGTGTCGCGATGAGGTTGCCATGTTTCAGGCTTCTCTTCAAATGCGGCTACGAAACGGAGGAACTTCATCAACTGACCCTTCATCTTCAGGGTGAGCGAAGGGTCGGCGAAGATGTCTTCTCGTCCATTTGGAACACGAACCACTCGCGCACCGTCTTCCTGCTTTTCGAAAACGAACCAGCCACCCACAGCCATAAACTCCAGCTGCTCATTGGTCTTGGAGGATACGAGAATGGGTAGCAGGCCTGAGCGAGTGTAGACTAGTGTCGGCGCGAGTGACAGGTTGTATGCTCTAGACGGAGAGAGTTTCTGCTCTCCTCCAGCCGACTTGGTGATGGAAGTATTCCTGAATCTGGTTTGCCTTGCTGCGCAGAGGTCAGTATGGGTTCCGAATCGAGTCGTGCATGCAAGCGGTGACGTACCAGAATTGAGTTTTTCAACCCATTGCTCAGCTTCTTGTAGACTCAGGGCAGCCTCGGGACCACCATAGGTGTCATCCTTGTCGACATGCAAGACCTTCTTGCCAGAGCGCGAGAGAGCACTTTAGGCAAAGAAGCTGCGTCAGTCAGACAAGCTCTCGATCAAGTCAAACAGCAAAGCATGAAGAGACATACAGAGCAAGCAAAGACTGCTGGATGCCTGTTCCAGAGATCAGAACATCGTAGCTGGATCCGTCAAGAGAATCCATGATTGTTGCGGGTTTTGTAGTTGCAGAGAGGAGGGGCTCCTGAGAGTGAATTTCGCAACTTTCTGCTGACTAAGCGAATTCTGATTGATTGTGATCTTTTTTTGCGGCACGAGCTTTCTTGTCTTCCTTCTCTCAACCGCGCCCGCTGCGAGTCTTTGATATCTTCAGGAAAAGGCTTCTAAGCAGGTTGACCGCTTCATTGTCGGTCCCGATGGGTCGCGTGAGAAAGAAGTCCGTCCTGTATCTCCTGCTCCATATTTCCAACTGGAAGGAAGCGGGTCGTTTGTGATGCAACATAATAAGCTTTGAAAATCGCCTCATATCGTGAACGAACACAATGCCCGGCATTCGACAAATTGAGTATACATTTGTTGCATCGTCTAGGTCGTGGCCATTGAGTGGACGATCCTGCCGTATGAATTGCTGTCGCTCCATCTTCCTGATGCACTGCTCAAAGATGGATTGTGATCAAATTAATGTTTATTGTTCATTGCGGCATTTCTATAATTCAGGTGTATCCTCTATACCAGTCCGGTCTATTGTACGCCAATTTCCATTATGTACGTGATTGATTTTCGTTCGAACGCTTCTTCTAGAGCTTGGAGAGGACAGCCTCGACAGACGAAACCTGGTGCTCATGTTAGTACGCTAGACTGGGAGGCGATCTTTATATATTCTTACCTGGACGTCCTGGAGGTGGGCCTCGTTCTCAGCATAGCTGATGGAGCCATCCTTCTCAATAATCATGGCCCAGCGACCAGTGCGATCACCCTTGTTGGGGCCAGCCTGCCAGCCGTAGTTCTCAGAGAAGAAGGTCTTGCTGTCGGAGAGCATAAGGAAGTCCTCGCCTTTGGGGACACGGTTGACCTTGCCCCATCCGTTGAGAACAAACTCGTCGTTGTTGGCGATGAAGGCAACGATGTCGACGCCCTTGGATTTCAGCTCCTGGAACTTCTGGACGTAAGGAGGAAGGTGGTAGGCGGAGCAGCTGGGGGTGAAAGCACCAGGGACGGAAACGAGGACGACCTTCTTGCCGGCCCACTCCTTGTTGGCATCGTACAGCTGAGGGATACCGCAGACGGTAGGGTCCTCGTCGAGGATTGGAGCCCAGCTAACGAACCTGGGTCAGAGCCGGTCTTGTGTACAATGATAGCTGAACATACCCNNGAACTTGACACCCTCAGGGAACTTGTCACCAGCCTTGAGAACCATTTTGAATGTGATTAGGGTTGTAAGATTTGTGGAAGAGGGTCAATTGGTGGAAGCAGGTATGAATTGATCTGACACAGAGTAATGGAAGGGCAAGTGAGCACTTTTATGTCTGGAGCTGGCTACCTATCATCTCGGGATCCAGATTTGAAATCAGACGATAACTCATCCTTACGGCCAGAGCCCGTGAGTCTCTGGCACTTTCCATGGTCCACCGGTCCACCGCTCTTGCTTCTTTGCTCAACGGAGAAGAGCTCCACAGCATTGACGCAAATCTGTGGAAGTTGCCGAACAACGTGGCATCCCGAGTCGTATCAGACGGACCGACTTCGGGCAGCTGCTGCTCTCCGAGTCACCTTGATGAACAACATTTGAAACACGTCACCAGCTAAACATCACTTGTCTCTTGAGTATTCTAAGAACAGATAGGGAATATGTCCAGGCCGCCATTCACTCAAGCGACTGCACAAGAGAAAGTAAAGAAGGCTCAGGATTTGTGGAATGCTCAGTGAGACTTTCTGTCGTGGTTCGGCGTTCTAAGGTGCTGATCAAATCCCGTAGAANACCCTGAAGACGTTGCANAAGGTAAATCATAGCTTTCATCTTCGGAGCCTCACAGACTACTTTCTCTGTCTTGTCGTGTTCGATTGCTTGACAACCCTCAACTCTCTTCAGAATTCGCTCCCTTGTCTTCTACTAACCACACCTCTTAGGCTTACACTCCAGACTGCATCTGGCGCAACAGAGACCACTTCTTCAGCGGAACTGAAGCCATAGTTCAATTCTTGACTCGCAAATGGGAGATTGAGAAAGAATATCGCCTCCGCAAGGAACTGTTCGCATTTGACGATAACAAAATCGCCGTACAGTTCTGGTACGAGTTTAAGCACGCCGAAACCGGAAAGTGGATGAGGTGTTATGGTCTTGAAGACTGGACTTTTGCCGATGATGGCAAGATGCGCAAGCGCCAGATGAGTGGTAACAACATCGAGATCAGCGAATCTGAGCGTTGGTTCAAGGATGGAGTTGATGTGAACTCGGTGGAGATCTCCGAAGCTCACTGGTAAAGGAAGATTCCGAAGAGCATAGAGCAGTCTGCAGCCTCTTCTCAGCACTCGAAGTCGTAGTCTCGTATGATGTTCTGACAGGCAGATGGCGTGATGTTGTGAGAGTTCTTGGCAAATCTGATATGGCGATGTCGCCCTCTTGGTCAAATCTTCATGCTGGCGGAGTGTTGTGGATGGCGACAGCAATAAACTTGGCATCTGGTTCGGTGTTAGCAGAAATTTGACAACAAGCACAGAAGACTTTATGTGTACCTGGGAAGATGACATATTCTTTGTTTTTGGAGCGCAATCTGAGCAACTTCACGTCGTCTTCAGGTAAATTCGACAGCTCTTGCAGCATATCGCCAGCGGCTTTGGCGAACTTCCAGACAACTTCAGCGACATGCTCGGCGGTCGGCATGGCACCGTCAGTTCGGTCATCCGTCAAGCCATTCGAAGCAGGTAGTGTGCTCTCTGAGTTGGAGGATTCGTCGCGGGACACCAGACCAGAAGAACGGACGATGGCACCAGTTTCACGCGAGAGTATCAGAGTGGCTTGCACGCCTGCTTTTTGCGACAGACGGCTAAGATGGGCGAAGCTATCGTCGGCCGAAGTCTGCTGCATGGTCTTGTTGTGGTGTTGTGATGGTGGTGGTGTTCTGGTCGTGTAACTATTTGTCGAAAGTGTTGTCGCCGAGATCGAGGTCGCGCCGAGAGTTTTGTCGCAGTCCCTGCAGAAGGTAGACGTTGGTTATACGGGTTTCTGGTTGATGTTTTGAATTGACAACATTGCAAGAGCTCACATGCAAATCGTGGCGGATCGGCGTTCCTTAACGCCGACCTCCGACGCGAGTGACGATGTTGTTCTCCGTTCCATTCGCCTCTGCTGCGCTGCTTGGACAAAGCAAAGCAGTTATACTCTACAACACCTTTGGTCCGCCGTCCCACTGCCTCCGTGTGCGCAGATTCACCATGGCTACCATTCCCGTCATCGTCAAACACCAGGGCACCAAGTACGAAGTCGATCTCGACCCCGAAGCCACCGGAGAGACCTTCAAGTACCAGCTCTACTCTCTCACAAACGTCGAGCCCGAACGCCAAAAGATTCTCATCAAGGGAGGCCAGTTGAAGGATGACACCGCCCTCTCCTCGCTCAAGGCCAAGCCTGGCCAGCAGTTCATGATGATGGGCACTCCCTCTGGAGACGCCGCATCTCAAGTTGACCGTCCCACCGAGAAGATTCGTTTCCTTGAGGATATGACCGAAGCTGAGGCTGCTCAAGTTTCTGGCGCTACTCCCGCCGGTCTTCAGAACCTCGGAAACACCTGCTACCTCAACTCCGCCCTCCAGACCTTGAAGAGCATTCCCGAGCTCGGAGACGCTCTCGTTACCTACAAGGACAGGTATGTTCATACCAACAAATTCACCCCTCGTCAACCACTCAACTGACATTACTCATAGCGGCAGTGCTGGTTCCTCCAGCCTCGGTAACCTCNNAGCGAGTTCGGTCTGGGTGGCCTCGGCTCCTCTAGCGACCTTACTGGCTCCCTCCGCGATCTGTACAAGCAGATGGGCGAGACCCAACAAGGCTTCCCTCCTCTCGTCTTCCTCAACGCTCTCCGCCAGAGCTACCCTCAGTTCAACCAAAAGTCAAAGGATGGCCACGGCTACGCTCAGCAGGATGCTGAAGAGGCCTGGTCCTCGATCATCTCAATGCTTCGTCAAAAGCTCCAGCAGGACGAGTCCCCATCGTCGTCTTCGGGTAACGTCCGTGGCAACAACTGGGTTGACAAGTTCATGGCCGGCACGACCGATTCAGTTATGACCTGTGACGAGTCTGATGCCTCCGAGGAGCCTATCAAGGGTAGCGACGTCTTCTTCAAGCTCAACTGCAACATCCGCGGTGACACCAACCACCTCCGTGAGGGCGTTATGATCGCCCTTGACGAGAAGATTGAAAAGCGTTCCGAGTCCCTTGGCCGTGAGGCTACCTACACCAAGTCTTCTCGCATCTCCCGCCTTCCCAAGTACATGCCCGTCCACTTCGTTCGCTTCTTCTGGCGCAGAGACACTCAGAAGAAGGCAAAGATCATGCGCAAGGTTACTTTCCCTATGGAGCTCGACGCTGTGGAGTTCTGCACCGAAGAGCTCAAGAAGAAGCTCATCCCCATTCGTGACCGCATTCGCGAGGTTCGCAAGGAGCAGGAGGACGTTGAGCGTGCCAAGAAGAGACAAAAGAGAATGCAGAAGGAACGCGACGACCTTGCCGGCAACGCCTCTGAGCCTTTGGAGAAGCGCAAGGAGAAGGAGCGCGAGACCAAGGCTACCGGCCCCGACACTGAGGCCCAGCTCGCCAAGCAGAAGGCTGTTGGCATGAGCGCATCCGGTGGTGATACTGAGATGGGCGGCACCGAGTCCTACAAGACCGATGCCGAGATTGAGAGAGAGCGTGCTGAGAAGATTCTCGCCATGAGAAAGGATCTCCTTGCCAATGTCTCCCCTGAGCTCGCTGCCGACGAGTCCGCCAACCAGACCGGTCTCTACGAACTGCGCGGCGTCATTACTCACCAGGGCTCCAGCGCTGACAGCGGTCACTACACTTCATACATCAAGAAGACTGGTCGCAAGAACCCCGACGGCACTGTCGGCGAGGAGGACGGCAAGTGGTGGTGGTTCAATGACGACAAGGTCAGCGAAGTCGATGCCGAGAAGGTCGAGACACTGTCCGGTGGTGGCGAGAGCCACTCTGCTCTGATCCTGCTTTACAAGGCTGTCGAGCTGCCTTCAAAGCAGTCGATTGAGGAGCAGGAGAAGGCTTTGGCATAAATGTCGCCGCTGCATCTCCCGAATTTCCTTCTTTCTTCGGCATGACCTTGACAAAAGCAATGGGTTAATACGACACGACACAACCATAGATGAGATGGACTCGCAACTTTTCTGTTGATTACATGGAGGTTGCTCGTTTCTTCATAGCGGGAAAGGGGTTCTCTACAGGCTATAGCGATTTTGAGCCTTGTTCTGTTTCTTCCCAAAGAGTTTCTAGACAGATACGTAACGTGGAATGACATGCATGATGAATTTCCAAAACTTCTCTTCTTGTGCGTTCTTGGTCTCTTCGTTCCCTCTTGGTGTCCCTGCTTCTTGACCCTTTGAACCGTCGCTTCTTCTGTCTCTCTTGGGTCCGACGTGCATGCAAATATCGCCAACTCGACATAAGAATACGAGCGATGGCTGATTTCCGTGCAGTGAGAGGGCAGCCTGCGTCCAATGTCGGCAGACAAGATGCGCCTGTCATCGAGATGTGGTACATTGCAACTGATGACCACCCTCCCTGAAGCCGAGTGAATACAACGACAAGCTGAGTCCGGTGTCGAGTATCCTTTGGCACTCATTCCGCTGGCTGGATCGTAGTTGTCCTTTGGTGATGGCAGGTGGATGATCTTCTCTTCCCATCCATCCATCCCTCTTCCACTCATCTCCCCTGCCTCTCCTCCTTGGCCTCATTCTTGACAGCCTCTTCCCCCAACACCTTACTAGCAGCCATAAACATACCACCTGCATAGCCTCCCAACCCTCTCATTCCTTCAGCTTGTACGGCAGTCATCCTCAGCAGGTTCTCGAGATCGGACATGTGTGCTGTCAACTGCGCGAGTTGGGAGTTCAAGTGTGAGAGTTGACGCTGTTTGGATGCTTGTGTGGGGATGGTGGAGAGGCGAGAGGTTTGGTTGGAGGAGGGGTTGTTGCGTGATGAGGTGGGCGCGAGGGATTGTCGGGAGGAGTAGTTGGACATGATGTTTTGTAGTTGATGGATTTCGAAGTTGTTGTTGTAGAGGTAGTCGAGCAGGTTATATAGCAGTCTTGTTTGATATTTCCGCTGTCTGATTAGATGATGGTTGTACTTGCGACGAAAGACATCAACACAAGTTCCAAGGGTGTAAACACGGCGATTGCGGAGAAAGGCACATGCGGCGGCACAAGCCGCAAATGAATCTCTGCAACCATTGGCTCAATGCCATCATCACATTCACACCTTGTCTCCCAAGCTCAGATACCCATAGAAAGGGCAAAAGTCATGTCAACACCTCAATTCGCGACGTTTCGTCGCTTTGTGCTTACGGGCAGTATTGCTGCCGTTACCGCAACGGGAGCTTGGTACGGTGCAGGCTTGAAGATGAAGCAAGATATTAAACAGGTACGCTCTCCTCTACTTGCCTCTTTCCTGTCCTGTAGATTAGCATACTGATCCTTCCTTTNNCAGGAAAGACAAAAAGCAGCTGAAGCAACACCACTCCAACAAATCACCGAACTGGAAACATATCGAGCCAACCTCATGCAAAAGAAAATTATGCTCGACAAGAAGATTGAAGAAATGGAAACTAAGNAAGAGAAAGGAAGAAAGAAGAAGACTAAAAGAACTGAAGAGGTTGGAGAAGGAGAAGGCTGAGAAGGGAGAATAAAGATACATGGCTTTGCAAGCAAGATGAAAAGATATGCCACTGCGAGATAGGCATTTGGACACCGCCCGCTGGCTCCAGAGAGGACGCGATCTATGTGGCAGTGGTGGCAGGCATACATGATGATCGGCAGCCTCACAGGAAAAGTCATGGATGGACTCTACGAACAACATGTCTACGTGTCAGCCTCGGATGAAGAGCACATACACAACGGTCCAATACAGCAGAACATCAGGATATCTCTGGTCCAGATATGGAGTGTCAAAATGAGTCGGATCTCTCGCCAACACAACAACCAGAAGGTCAAAATGGAGCCACGAAGAGCAAAAAACCAAGCAGCTGTATAGCTTGGGAAAACCCCATCTATTGCAAGGAATGGTGTCCACTTGCAAGAGCAAATTTCTCTGTGGATCATAGCTCGCAGAACTTTCTGGAGCGCCGGAGGATCGAACGAACGACCTTCCGGGGTTTTTAGCCAGTACCGTAAAGAAACTTGCGGGTGTTTTATCGCAGACTTAGGAGTTTGCCCAATTGGGCCACTCAACCGTGTTGCTGAGAGGAATGAGCTTGGCTTGAATATATGGTTGAGATTATGGTGAAGAACGAGAGTTGGGAGATGGATGGGCAGAGCCAGGAGTTAGATCAGTTGGACAGCCAAACTCTTGATCTGAACCAGGAGCGTCAAAAGTAGAGGGCGGTCGATGTGGTGTTTTAGGTCGTTCTGCTCCTTGATGGGTCCTCGGACATGAACTTCCTTCACTCAATCTGGAACACTTCAATCACCTCCTCTCAACACAGCATCTCTCTACGAACTATCTTTTACACGTATATTGCACGATTATCTACACGTGTTTGGCGCTTTCAACACGTCCTACCAGCATTCCATCCTCTCACTGTCACCTCACGTTACAACACTTTCCACCACACCTCGTTCCACCATCATTTCATCCATATCAACGCGTGTACGATTCTTGTCCTTCCACTCTCGTTCCTGTTCGCATGATTTTACGTGCATCTTAACCATGTTCTATAGCCACGAGGGTAAGCAACGCATCTTCACCTTCAATTCTTCTATCTAACTTGATTGCGCATAGTTCTTACCTCGCGCAAACACGGCGTGGCAACAGTCTGGTAAGGTATCCCTCAAAACGCTCTTAAAAGTCACGCTCCTTACCAATTCTTCAGGCTTGTTGCGACGCTGGGATCAAAATCCACACTCAAAAAAGTTGATCGCAAGGAGATTTGTGCAGTCAACATTCCCAAAGCATGTCAAACTATCGTGTCACCAGAGGCACCCATGGCACTGAGACTTCAGAGTAACCTGCTGTAAGAGACGTTACAGCAATCAAGGTCTCAGATCATCACTGACGAGAAACAATCAGATNATGGAGTCACGCGCGTGTACGGTGAACAATGTAATTTTGTCCTCAAAGATGCACAACTAGAGCAAAACAAGATCCGTACTCTACTACGCTCACTACATGCCGCTCCGATCGAACTCGACGGCAAGCACAAAGCCAAGTACGTCAACTTCTTTTTCGAAAACACATCAAGAGATCCCAAGACTGATACATGAGACTACTATAGGCCTGGCCAACTTGTCCTCGAAGACGACCCAAACTTCATACCCGAATTGGCATGGGGCATCGACTTTGACCCCTTCCATGATATCCTGGGTTTCACCAGTGGTGAAGGTTCATCTCAGAGGTCAAGTCTTCTGTCTCCACATACCGCCCCCTCAAGCGGTTTGGGATCTGAACATATGGATCCCAACATGGGCCTCATAATCACTCACTCATCATCGGTGAGAGGAGGTGATCTGGGTCTATGTCTCGGCGGTGCAAGTGTCGGTGGCTCTAGTCACAATAGAGGCTACAGTCGCTCACTGTTCGGTGCCAATGAAGAAGGACTCCTTCCTGAGCTGGATCTAGGCTTGGGTCTGGATTTCGACGTTGATGGCAACATCGTTGACAATGCTGCTGCGCCTGATGGCGGCAGAGCAGCTTCTGTACACACGCCTGCGCCTGTCATTCGCGATGGAGTTCTGCCAGATTCGAACGTTGATCGAGACGTGGTCATGTACGACGACGATTCTCTTCCGGTCTACCAAGACGATGTCGACATGCAAGATGTCGAGCCTTTTGCGCCACGCGCTGCTGCTCAACAAACAAACGCCGATGACCAGGATGCTGCACAGGTAGAAGAAGCTCAAAGCCAGACTTCATCCACCTCCGCAGTCGCTCCTGCCGTCCGTGTCCGTGTTCCCAAACCATTGCCCCAAGACCAAGAACTCGAGCTCCACAACGCTGATCTTCAAGAGTGGGATCGTGAGTATCTCGACAACCAATCGAGAGCCACACAGCACAAGCTACTGAACAGAAGTCTTGTCCTCGCTCGCAAGAATGCAAACTTTTGGGTCTTGCAAAATGGGATTGGTGGACTGGGTGCCACGTATCAAGGAGCAGAGGACTGCATGCCAGAGCCATTGAGGATGTTCAGTGGCAATGCGCTCCTCGAGGCACTAACAGGCATTCAACTTACCATAGCAGGAGCCAAGCATCCGCGAGAGGTCGATGACAACGATGACGATCAAGAAAGAAGAGTGCGCTCCCGCAGCGACGACAACGAAGTCGGCAGAGCGGCAAACTCGAACGACGATGCTATCTTCGACACTGGCTTTGTCGACGACGCAATCCACGACTCTATCGAGCAAGGTCGTGAAGCACCAACACCACTTGCAGATCGCCATTCTTCTGCTCATGCACTGCCTTGGAACCATGCAGCTCCTCCCTCACGCGGATCCTCTCATACTGGTTTTGTGCCTCCGTTTCCACTCCTCGGTCCTGGCGTTGGAGGACCCAGTTCGTCAATCGCTGGCGGTGGTGGTTTCAATGTCGTTTCTTCCCATCGCGGTCGTCGCACTGTATCTGCTTCTCCCCTCGTCGGCAGAGGAGCGCTTCCCACCACCAACGTTGAGGACATGAACTTCATGCAAAGCGACGACAATGCAAACTTCAATGACGGATTTGCCGTCTCGGACAACGCAGTAGAAAATCCCCCTCGTCCCTCTCAAGCCACAGAATTCGATCTCTTCGGACCTGCCGCTGCCGTATCCACTCAAGTCGCCGGTACCTCTCAATTCCTCTCTGCCGCTTTGTCCACCGAGTCCTTGAATTTTCTCGCCTTCGTCAAGGCTGGGATTGCTGAGGCCCAAGAGAGGCAAGAGACTACCATTGAGGCCATTGCTTCTGTGCTTGATGTGGAGGCTTCCGAGACCAAGGATGAGTTTGTCGAATTTGAGGACCTGCTGAAGCCCGAGAACAACTCGANNGTTGTTGCTGCGCAAGGCTTTCTGCATTTATTGACACTGGTGACGCGAGGATTGTTGAGCGCTGAGCAAGAGGAGGCTTTCGGGCAGATCGAGTTGAGAGTGCTGTAAAACTCTCGGCAGGGCTTCAGGGAGAGACATGAAAAGATCTGTTACGAGATGAGGTGAGGAGGTTTCTATTGCTGAAGATGCTGGGAGAGCTGTTTCAGAGGAGGTTTGCTACACTTGCTGGGATTTTGGTGTTGTTGCTGGCTCATTGCTACCATTGCTGTTTATGTCATCTGACGGATTTGCTCGATAGATGTAAGAAAAAATATTTTGTCGTGTCGTTCATTCGGTTCGGAAAACAAAAGGGCAGCCATTATTTGTAGAACTTGTTTGTCTGTGTTACCGCCTCAGGCAAAACAAAAGCTCAATGCCTCAAACAAAAGACAAAAGGTATGGACGACTAGGGGATCGAACCCTAGACCTTCAGCATGCAAAGCAGACGCGCTACCACTGCGCCAGACGCCCAATCATAGACGACTGTCGATCTCTCCAATATATGACTCTCGAACAGATGTGGTGGGGATCAGGCTTCACATACTATCTACCGTCCAAGCTTCTCCTCTTCTCAAATCGTGTTCGTCACTATCGGTTTGAGAGTAAACATGAGGCTCAAAGACGCCTTGCTTCTAATGAGCGAAGCATCTTGCACCACTCTCAACTCATCTCTTAAAACCACTGCAACACCATGACTCCCAACAAAGCCTTGAAAGCCGCTCTCATAGTTGTCGACCTACAGGAAGACTTCTGCCCGCCAGTAAGTAGTCCCCCACCATCCATGCAGCGCGCTCAGACCCGCGGCGTTACTAAGGCACAAAAACTTCTTACACCGATCCTGTTTGTTCAGACTTCTTTCAATGTTGTTTTCGAGACGCTCGATGCTACTGCACATCATTTCTCTGACATTATGTAGAACGGCAGTCTGGCAGTGACCGATGGCAGAACCATTGCTCCTGTCATCAACGACCTTCTAAAGCTCCCATGGACCCTTCGAGTAGCGACTAAGGATATGCATCCTGAAGAGCATATCTCATTCGCACCCAATCATCCTCCACCGAACAACAAGCCTTTTGAGTCGTCAATCACAATCTCCAACCCTCACAATCCCGACGAAACACAAACAACACAACTATGGCCAGTCCACTGTATCGCCGGCTCGTCGGGCAGTAACTTGATCCCCGAACTCGACGTCAGCAAATTAGACAAAATCGTAGAANAAGGACAAGACAAGAGGGTGGAGATGTACTCGGCCTTCTGCACACCTTTCCTCGATCCCAAGATTGTGGAAACTGGATTGGCAAACACACTTAGGGAAAAGGGTATCACCCATGTGTTTTGCGTAGGTTTGGCAGCAGATTTTTGTGTCAAAGCCACGGCCATTGATGCTGCCAAAGAAGGCTTCGAAACCGTCGTCATCCGTGAAGGAACGAAAGGTGTCGAACAAGGCGACGAAGCTGACAAANAGCTCGCTGAAGAGCTGAAAGAGCACAATGTCAAAATGGTCAGCGTCGATGGACCTGAAGTCGCCAAAGTCAGAGACCTGCGATAGACTGTCGAGGTCCAAAACTTAGAAACATCAGGTATGTGTCTACCATCATCTTGCAGCTCCCCCCTTCCCCTTAGCATGATGTTTTACACAAAAACGAAAATCAAAATCCCTGAGGGTTGTTATGATTATTACTCTGACAACCCGAGGATTACAACCTTATACTCTGATACCTTTTTCAATCTCTCAGCTCGTTATAAAATTATTGGACATGCGACAGAAGCTGACTTGCGCACAGTTATACTACCTCCTTCCCGACAATGCTATGAGATAACCATCCAGTCTGGCAGCCTTGCACAAGAACAGCAGTCGACGTCTAGACACAGTGTAGTAGGTCAGCTGCATTGCACTCTGCAAACGCTATGATGCCCAACACGACAAGGCTCCTGCGCATACTGCTCTTAGAGAAAGGCTTGTATCAGCCAGACCCATGAATTGATACTTTGAAACAACTCACAGAAGTCTAAAACTCTCTTGTATTGTGCGCCATTCTCATCCATTGTACATGCATTCGTGATCTCCATGCCTGGATGCATCCACGCAGATAGACATTCAATATACCAAAAAAAAGTTGTCTTGATTATGCGGGATTGTTTTTGCACTACTGTAACCAAACGATGTGATCGTCACCATCCTCTGCATACGTAACAAAGCCTTTTGAGAGACACGATCACTAAGTCTACGAGCATGAATATCTGCTCTACAAATGACAATACCGTTGTTTTCAAAATGCAATGTACGTGACATCTGGAAAGGCTTCCATAACGGGCTTGGAAATTGTGCTCTCTGACATGAATGCTACAGCTCATAGGTATGCTCAACTGTCATACAGAACATGGACATACACACGGACTTACATAATTACTCTCTTGTTAGGATGGGGAGCAACTGTATATTCGAAAGAAAACACACGCAAAACATACACACAACTTCATTCGGTGTTGTCTATACAGACATATCTTGCCTCCCTTGGAAATCTAAGAATTACTTCGATCTCATCGGCAGCGTTCTGCTCGCCGAAGGACTTAGTGTTGGTCCCAAATCGACTTCCTCTTCTTCTTCATCGCCCTCGGTAATCGTATCTGTCTGGTGCTTTTCGCCCCAAGCCATGCTGAACCTCGGAGTCGCACCAGCCCCCGGGCCATGTCCACTCGACAAGGCATAGTTGCCGCCAAATGGATTTTCGCCCTCGTCTCCTCCAAGACTAGCGGAGCGGAGTTTCTTGAGCATGTTGCTAAAGTTGGTGCCGTGTGATGACCTGCGGCGACCACTGTCGTCTTTGGCATTGTTGGTGTTGTCGATCGAGTTCAAGCTAGTGGTGATGAAGTTGTCAAAGTCTTCTTCGCGGTCGAAAAGGCCGGTCGCTACGGATTGTCGTCGCATCTCTTGGCTGTTCATGCCGGACATGGTTGACAAGCGGCGCAGAGTTTCATAGCCAGTGGGATTGGCGGCTGCCCAGTTGAAGACATCACGGCACATGTCTTGCAGATCAAACTCAGCGCGCCAGTCTAGATCAGAGGCTGCCTTGTCTGGTGATGCAGTCACTGTACCTAGATCTCCTGCGCGTGCCTCGCCAACGGTAAAGGGAATGGCTGTGCCAGCTGCATTGCTGAAGGCCTTGATGATTTCGAGCACAGAGTATCCTCGACCTGTGCCTAGGTTGTAGACATTGTAGTTGGAGATTGGATCCTGACCATCGAGTTCTTCGCCCTCGGGCACTGGGTCAGGCTGTTTTGTGGCTTTGCGTAGTGCTGCTAGATGACCCATAGCAAGGTCGCTGACATGGATGTAGTCACGCACACCCGTGCCGTCAGAAGTGTCATAGTTGAAACCAAACACATGAACGCGGCTGCGACGACGTTGATATGCCTGCAGAATCACGGGTACAATGTTGTTCGGTGTACCCTTGGGATCTTCACCGATCAGTCCGCTAGGATGAGAGCCGGTGGGGTTGAAGTAGCGCAGTGAGATTGCATGGAAACTTGGCTCTGCAACGCAGTAGTCGTTGATGATCTCTTCTGACATCCACTTGGATCGCCCGTAAGGATTGGTGAGGAGACCACCTCCAGAGCCCTTGCCAGCAACCTGAACGGTTTCCTCAGTGATGCCGGCTTCGTGACCAACACCATAAACCACGGCGCTCGAAGAGAATATGAGCACGTTGACGGCATGAGCTTTCATGGTTTTGAGCAAGACCACAAGTGCGGCAACATTGTTCTCGTAGTACTCCAGAGGCTTCGTGATGGACTCTCCAACAGCCTTGAGAGCAGCGAAATGAATGACTGCTGTGATTCTGCCCCAAGTGGGCGAATCTTTGGCTTGTGGACTCTGCTGAGCTCTCTTCGCCGGGTTCAGTACATAATCGAGCATGGGATAAGCTTTGTTCGCGGAGACCTCGCCAATGCTCACGGGGAAGGCGGCTCTCTCAACGTGTATCGTCTCAGACTGCCAGAATTCGAAGACCTGGTTCATAGATTTTGCACTTCGGATGTCGGCTTGGTGGAAGAAGATTGGAGGCACGTTACCCGATTGTTGGAGGCGCTGAGACTCAGTTCGAGCGATGTAGTGTACACGACAAAGAGATTCCATGTGGCTGTTGCAAAGATTGTCGATCACGACAACAGCAACACCAGCATTGAGCAGCTCGAGGACTGTGTGCGAGCCAATGTAACCTGCTCCTCCTGTAACGAGACATACTGGGAATGATTTGATCTCTGCGCGAAAGCGTTCCGCCTTCTTTTGAAGCGAATCTTCGACTGGGCGATTGGTAGATGGCATTGTTGAGATATCTCTTTGTGTGGGCTGTGTTTGATCACGAAAGTCGGATCAGTCTTGAAGCAATGTAAGGAAATCACTGCTCTCTCCTGGCTGAACTGAGAATGATTTCAAGGGGGTCATGGCCACCTCACCGAGTGCTGTACAAGACGTCAGATTCACATGCATTCTCTAAAGCTCCAGCAAAGAAGCTATGTCGCTCTATTGCATCATGAATCGCATTCTTTCAACCTGGATCTACGATCCTGTGACTGCTGCGGATTGATAAAATGACTTAGACTTCAACAGCAGCCAGGCAGAGTTTAGACGAAGCTCGAAAGCCAAGTCGACGCTCGAAGTCAGGCATTTTGAGACTGGTTATCAAACATTGGCAACGATTAACGACTAAGCGAGCATCCTTTTGTCCAGCGGGTCCACAGGTTCAAATGTTTCGATCCGAGCAGATTGACCATGGCTCATCAAGTTATGATTGTCGAGAGCCACGGGTTTTAGTCCGCCTCCTTGCTCTCTCGGCGTAACGGGACAAAGAGCCTTCAAGGATCGCTCTACTAGTCGTATCGAGTGTAGGTAGGTAGGAAGGTAGGTAGGTGTATCATATGGATTGATTTGTGGATTCATGCAGATAATTCGTTTTTGTTGTGCGAAATCAGGAAGCAGCGACCCCTTGACCGTGTACACGTATACCAAAGCATGATAGATAGGTATGTCAAAACAGAGTTGATGAAGTCAAAAGCGTGATGAGAAAAGCGGTCTTGATAAACGGAAGTTATGAGGGCATAAAGACACGTCGTCCCAATGAGGAAAGTGGAGCGAGTTTTTCGCGTCACCGCTTTGCAGACTCTTGACTTCAACTCTCGAACAACCTTCTGTGCCGATACAGTTATCGACATCGTAACATGAAATCGGAACGTCGCTAACGTAGACGGTTCTGGTTTTTGGTTTGACCAGTCCACTCAAAATTGCACGACTTGGGAAATTCTCTGTTTGCTCAAGATCAATTTGCACGGTAAAAGGCCACAACCACGGTGATAAAATCATGGATCGTCTATGCAGGCAACCAAGTGGATATCAAAGAGGTGGCTATATGCCGATCTTTTGTGTTTGCTGAAACATCATGATCAAGGTCAAGGTAGGTCCAGTCTAACTTTAAAGTAGATACTTCGCCAAAGCTGCCCTCGAAGAGCGATGAGCCACGGAGCTCGGCTGCAAGTATCATGGTCGATGCTACGCTCCAAAGACGTCACTCGAGATCTTCTATCCATCCCGAGCTCGAGCACTGGCACGCAATACTCCGTCGCTTTTGCGAAGGCATATCGATGGACGCTGAATCTATAGGTTGCGATTGTCTAGATACTGTACAGCCATGGCATCCTTCTTCCAGCCCGCTTTGACCGGGCCAAGTACTGATGTCAACACCGGCACCAAGTTCCTGATCAACTGGAATGCGACCCTCAAAGGCTCGCAGCTCACCCTGTACTGGTATCAAATACTTGTCGTCTCAGCTGGATGCACCTTCCTCATCCTTGGGCTCTTGAGCTTCATCATACAATACATACGGAAGAAACGCCGGCTAAAAGAGAGCCCTCTACCACCCAGCATAAAGAGATTGCTCCAGCTACCAAGAGCGTTGGTACGGTCTAAAGGCCCATCACCAAGTACGCAGAGAGACGCGGCAGTCATCTCTGAGAAGACTTCTCCCAGAGCGGTCTTTTCTCCACCCAGATTATCGCTGATCAAGACCTTCTGTGTGTCCGAGCACGAGATACCAGTCCAGAAATTCCGATCCAGCTTCGATCTACACGTTGTTGGCTTGACTGGTGAGAGACAAACCGACACAACGCCAGAGCAGCAAGTACCAGAACCCATCGGTCCTGTACGCAGCCGCGATGATCCTTTCACACCTTCAGCCCATGGCGCTGATGACAGTGCAATCTCATCTCGATGTTCGACACAGTTATCTCATGGAAGTACGGCCCTGAATACAGCTCAGGACTCCATACACCCTCTTAGGCCTTCAGCTGAGGTACAATCAGCAATACAAACGCAGACCATCTTTTATGGTGCGTTGAAGCCCACATCCGGACTTTCCAAAGGGACTCTCGAGAGCAGGGCTGCATCAATCAACAATCTTCGCCTCAAACAGGGGCTACAAGGGGTCGTTGTATCTTACAGCCGTGAGGACTCGGCTGAGAACATCAACACGCTTCTGATGGCCTTGAAAAATCTGCACGTCTCAGTGATACTCAAGGGTGATCCGGACCTCGATATCGTCGATTCGATCTCTNTTGCGCTCATCGACGGCCTCATGATTCAGAATGCGTCTGTACTGCCTGACGGTCAGCGTCGGGACTTTNTCCGCGCAGTCCAAGTGCGAGAGTGCGTTGCGAGATGCAAACGTCAAATGAAACACCGTCCAGAGTTTTTCATGGGCTTCCTCGAAGTCTGGACGACCAGACCTTCAGCAGCGACCCTACGCCGGGCATTCAAGCTGGCAGACTTCTTTGGAGCTGTGATCCAAGCTCAGGCGATCTCACAACATAATACACGAATAGAGATGAGTTTGAGCGGTTTCGACTGGCTAAAGCGACCTGAAATCGTCTATCTGCAGAAATGTTGGTCACAAAATCCCGCGATCACGGACTTCTCAAGTGCGGAAGTGGATACTACGATGTTCGATACTCAAAGGCTATGCGAGGTTCTGGGCCCAGCAGAAAGCCTACTTGCGTTGGCGCCCCTTCCTGACGACCTTCTATCTGTCCAGAATGAGCAACTGGAAGCTACATCCAGCCCCGATTACGTCTCAGACGCTCTGAGAAGAGATAGCATCTGGGATATGACAAGCTGCGGCATGCCGCTCTGCGAGAAGGGATGTCACAACCTCCGAGACGAGATTACGCAGGAGCATTATATGCGCATCTTGCAAACCCAGCGCCGATTGAAGGAACTGGGCATGCTACACGTGTACGCAGATATCGAGATCATGACAATCTCAAAACTTCTGAGCACAGCGCTGGAAAATTCTTCATATGTCGACTTGCTGCAGAAGCTGCTTGACCAGCTCACCGAGGGACGTGTGAGGATCTACAAGGGTCTAGATAGTGGGTTTAGTCTTCCTGACGATGGTGGGCACATGATTGGACTTTCGGATGATGTCTTGGAAGATGGCCACACCGTCGTTGAAATCTACATCTCACTCAAGAACGCCCATGACGTCGCTACCATCTGGCACGTGTTCCTTGCACATAACGGCATAGAGCGTTTACGATGCTACGAGGAAGAGCTTTTGTTCTTTCCTGAGGCGCAGCTTCCGAAAAGCTTACAGCAGGAGCTAGGCCAATGTACAGAAGCCGAATTACTCTCCATCGTCCAACAAATTCGATTGTGCAGAACCGACCATCCAATCCAAGAGGTGATTGTCGAAACATGCGTCAGTGTCTTGCTTGAGGACAGTAGAGGGAACAGTTGGAAAGCTATGCATTCTCGAGCCTGTCTCGATGGCTCACTGAGTATGCGAACACTCGTTCAAATGCGTCTTGAGCAATTTGCGAAGCAAGGCGCCCGCCAACTTCCAGAGCTGGAAAATCTGGTTCCGCTCTCTGAGCTCCTCGAGCGAAAGCTGCAGGATGCTTTATTCGCATTGGATCGACATTCTTTGAACCAGCTGTCAGCTCCACTCATTGATGCTTACAATGCCATTGGTACCATTCGACCAGCTGGCAGCAAGCTAGATCTGTACGGACTGATATATTTCTGCGTCCTGCGCAAGCTCGCTTTTGAGGACGTGTATCTCGAAACGACAGACCGGTGTCCGCTATTCTTGCAACAGCGTGACCAAGCCGGTGTCTTTTCTGAATTGTGGGTTCTAGGCTCGCAATGCGAAATCTACTTCGGCATTCAACCGCGAGCTCTGGGAGAGGTCACTTATGATAGATACTATGACTACCTATCTCTCTATCCGCCTCCACCTGCTTCGTGGGATGGTAAAGACGTCTTCACTGCTTATTCCAATACCGAAGCTCGAATAAAGTTGGAAGGCCATGGGGTTATGACGGGGTCTGGCTCGCCTGTGGATCTGCCTGGACAGGCACCTGGATTCAAGCTCGATGAGCCGGAATCGACAAAACACCTTACTGAAGCTGCCAGTACCTTTGGGGCCCTGTCCATTTTCTGTTTTCCAGCTCTGATTGATGTGGTGTTACTTACATTTGTCGGTCGTGGTCTCTACGTCACAGCGTTCATGGACTATAGGGCTGTCACAATGGCCGGCTATGCCATTTTGACTGCTCTGCTCATGACTGGTGGTATCACTGGTTGGGTCGGCAGCACTGGAGGATTTTACCTCTACAATGTAAGTCACAATTCTGTAAGGCGCTTATCCTGAAAGCTGAAACGTACAGNNTTTGCGTTTGACAACATGTCGTATTTCATTGTACAGCGTTTCTCTGCAGCGTTCGTACTAACTACTATTGTTGCCTTATGCGGCTTCTTCGCGTTTGGTGCTCAAGTTTCCTGGTTCGATGGGTTTGTATTCCTGATATATCTCTATGCTCTGACAACATTCTTGAACTTACTAGGTGGGTGTGAGAAGTCAAACTCTGAGCCGCCGCTAACATTTATCTGATAGNGCATGTTTGCCACGATGCACCGACTAGGTTGCCCTCTAACTTCTGGCCGTACGGCGATGTGGAGATGTATTCCTGTACTGTTCATTTCACCCATTCTCACTAGTTTTGTCAACGGACATGATCTGTTGATCTACCTGCTCATCGTTTACACCTTCGTCATTGCGCTCCTCATCACCTTCCGAAATCTCCTTCACGAATGGACCACCTGGCTGTCTAAAGTACCGTCAGTGAAAGAGAAGGATCTGATAACGTGGTACAACTCGAATACGAAAGAAGAGCAAGAGTCTGCATCTGGAAGCGACTCGCAAGAGGTTGCAGCCCGTGCTCGTCTTGCTCTTCGACGCGCGGTACACGCATTCCGCAACAGGAGCCTATTCCGTCAAATATTCAACTCTGAGACGGACATGGATCCTTTCGTCAAGAAGATGGGCATTGGGCATCCTTATGCGCTCTGGCTACTTGAANAAGAGGCTGGTGGGGCAGAATTGCCTGCCATATATACGACAACTTGGTTTGTGCAACTCGAGCTTGCGTTCGCTAATCAGCGACAATTGACGCGAGGCCTCAAGGAGCACAGTCAATTCATCACCTTCCGCTATTCGAAATATGACGTGAGTACTAAGTCGGTGTTATACTCTGTTCTTTGGATCTTGCTGACGCTCAGGCAGCTAGGACAAAATGTTGGCCTGTTCTTGGGCGCTCTTATGGATCGATGGATAGATCTTGTCATGACCGCGAGACGACCAGAGATCGAGACATACTTCGATGATCGAGCGCGTTACGGAATCTGCTTTGGACTTTTGTACTTTCTCTGTGGTGCCGTCACGGTCGATTTGGTTCTGCAGAAGTACTGGCCACTCGTAGATGAGCTTCCAGATAGAAAAATTGCCGACCTAGATGTTTATGCTGAGCTCAAGGTTGATCAGCAACGGTATGCACTCTATATCAGAAGCACGAATTCATACTGACGATCTCAANGAGTTCGCAACAAGCATTATCGAAGCGCACTAGCGGAACTTCTTACTTACCTGGCTGTCGACTTTGGAGTTATGACTATCCTCCTCTGGGCCTTTGTCATCGACCACAAATCGATTATTTTGTACTTCCTATACACTTCAGGCTATACAGGAGTATGCTTGTTTCAGGTAAGTTGTCAGTCTGAAGTCGTGCGTCTTACACTGACCATTCACCAGTTCAATCGATGTTTTACACTGAATCCGAAAGCTCATGTAATTGCAGTGCTAGTATGTTGCGCTGTGGGCTTTGTTGTCGGATGCATACTTCGAGCGGCACCATCAACAGTGGAACTGTTTTACGATTTTGTTATTGGCTTGAACATCACGAGTGTCTCAGCTGCGATCATCACATTCTTCCTTACTGGCTATTTCTCCACGCCATCAACCAATACAAACGAGCCCAAAGACATCACCAAGAGAACCAGGGGAAGGATAGACAAAGGCCGTTCGACTAGCGCGATGGACTTGCGAACAGGCTGGGCGACATTGTTCCAGACTCATAGCGACACGCTATGCAATCTTTCACACACTACCCACCGCCATATCCTCCAGCATCTATGTTTTGACATCGATGTCAATCTACAATGGACCAAAATTCCGGATGACGTCCAAAATCTTGTAATATCACGCGTTCTGGGTAAAACCGGTCATACGACTGCCGCTGCCCGAACATGGTTAGCTGCAGAGTCAAAAAGTATTCAACAGTCTAATACAGAGCTAGAAAGATGCTTGGCTGATTACGAAACCAAGAAGTCAACCGTCAGCAAGGACTCAGACAACGCTTTCAAGGTTGCAGGCTCGTACAGAGATCCAGAGTTGACCTCAGTATTGGGCAGAGAGTTCGGAGTTGCGTCCAAGCTCAAGCATCTTGGCTCCATCTTTAGCCTGACAATATACGAGATCGTCAAATGGACGGCTCTCATCTCAGGTGGGGCGCCAGATGCCAACAGAGAACTATGGTTTGCGTTGAGAAACAATCCATTCCGCAAGCCTTTACTCTGGACGCTGCTGAAAGTCTGGAAAGCATGCTGGTTTGTCAAGAACTTCTTCACCTATCTGTTCTTGATCCTCGGTAAGCCGTCATTGTTATCATTCCTAAGGATGAAGGACCGTGGACTCCCTCGGACGCTACATGGAAATGCTATCACAGTAGACACACCTTTCTGGAAAGCCACTGGTTTCCTCTCTCGCGATAGCAACGGCAATCTTGTGGTCTCAATTTTCGATGGCATTCACAAGGATCCACCAGAGTCACAATCATTGAGAGCGTTGGCAGTCTACGATAAGGCTTACCGAGTTGTTCACTATGAGACCAACCCTGGAGATCCTAAAACGAAAACAACATCAAGCTTTGAATATCAGAACAAAGAATGGAGACGCTGGCCAACCAAGAAAATCACTAAGGAGGCGAAGGGCCCTGAAATCGAGTCCTATTACGATAAACATGGCCGTGTGGTCAGTGGAAAGCTATTCCGTAGCGACAAAGAATTCTCTTTCGAATTCCTCTACAGAAAAAGACCTAAGGGTAACACAGAGATCCTCAGAGCGACATACACGCAGGAAAATTCTGATGGCACCCATCCCGTAATATCTGTGTACTGGAGCGTCCAGCCCAGAACTGGTTCAGAACAGGTCGAGAATTGGACTCCGTCCGACAAAATCAGACGAGTCGTGGCAGTATTAGGCGGGCGGACTTATGAGACTGAATGGGTCTACAAGCACGCAAGAGACCCAGATCTTGAGACAACCTTGACAGACGAGAGTGGCACGATGCTTTCTGGCGTAGCTGCTCCTGCAGCTGTTCTGAAAGATCCATTCGGTCTGCTCAAGAAACCGAAAGATTTATCTTTTGATCACATCGATTTACTCGTCTACCATCCATTACGCTGGCTGGCGCGGTTCCCGAAACACGACCATGAAATTTCAAAACCCACTTCATGGTTCATGTCACTGATGCCATTCGCCTATTCTGAGACGAAGAAGAAGGTCGTTTATCGTAAACTGCCAACTGCCGTCTTGAGGACCGCGTTGTGGACGTTCTGGGCTAAGCCGCCTTACCTCGATGCAGTCTCGGCGTGTTTTCTTGATGAGATGATTCTTCGCAAAGAACCACTGCTACAAAAGTACTGGGACCTTCGAGATGCCGGCAATTTGTTGGAAGCTGCGCACGTCTTTGACGAAAATCTGGATTTGATCATTTCTGCCATTGAGCCGTCTGCAGAAGCGTCTCAGACTTGTCCCCTTCTCATCAAAGTGTCCGACTTGTTTGTAATGGGTGTGGGCAAAGATGCAAATCAAGTCACAGCTCGTCCAGAGGATGCATACCGCGATACTCAGACTCGTACATCCGTCATTTTCTCTGACAATGGCTGCTGGCCAGATAATCCAGGCGGTGTTTCCAACTGCAGGCGGGATTTGGTCAACGGCCATACCACAATTCGTGGCCATTGCTTAGCTGAGTCCGCCAATGATTTTGGTATACCTCGCTACCAAATTGAACAGAACATAAACTCTTTGAAGATCCTGCCTTTGTGGGGCCTAGATGGGAAGACGCCATACCACAGTGTGCTCGACAATCTCCTGCAAACTCAGGTCGATGAGAGGATGTCCGGAACGCGAGTGCATGACGACATCAAGGACATCTTTATTCCTTTGCTTACGTCTTTCGTCAAGGGCGCCCGGATGAGACATTACACCCGCAGTGATTTGGTCACATTCAGTAACGTCATCCTCAAGATGAACAGATACTTTGAGAAATGCGATTTCAACAAGACTTGGAACCACAAGGATGTTTGGGATGCATGGATTCAAGCCTGGCTCATCGATTACCAAGACCCAAATATTGGCAATTTTCGGGACTGCTTCGAAATCGAACAAGCTTCGCTGAGTGACTTCAAAACTGCTCTTGGGCTGTACGTCTGTTACTTCTTTATCTATTCGGTCGAGCTTCCAGCAGAATGTCCTACTGTCTTTCAGAGTACACACCACGGAATCAGCAGTCTCTATGGCATGCTTCTCAAATATCGTCGTGGTACTACCTGGGGCATTTGGGATCATGCGATTCTATGGCGAGAGACTTGCCTGAATATCAGTCCAGCGCAATGCTTGCTACCAATTCCGGTTCAGTCTATGCTTCTCGCTGGTATCAAGCTGGCATGTCACCTGGCATATACTCATGTTGACATCGTCCTGCCATGCACTTCGGTCTTCAATCCTGATTGGGAAATTGATCTCGGTACGGATCAAGGACGACGTGGCAGCAAGAAACTTTTCGCCCGCAAGATCGATCCCATTGTCAATGGTATTGGCAATATGGATGCTTTCCAGCCGGTTACAGAGACTCGGAGTAAGCTCCCGACGTGTGTCATGCTTTCGAATGTTCAGTTTATCAAGGATGTGAAGAACGCTGTGTTGGCTGCAGATGTCATTGTCAACAAATACGGCTTTACTGATTATCGCTTGGTTGTCTATGGTGCTCAAGATAGACAACCAAGCTACGCCTTGGAGACGACTACTCTCATCAACACCCGCAATCTCAATGGTAACGTCACGCTCGCTGGCTTCGGTTCACCCAAAGAAGTTCTCAAAGACGCCTGGCTGTTTATGAATTCTTCTCTTTCTGAAGGTCTTCCTCTGGCAATCGGAGAGGCAGCTCTATCGGGCATCCCCATAGTGGCTACAGAAGTTGGCGCAACTGCTCTGGTGCTTACCGATCCTGACGATCCGACGAAACGTTATGGCGAAGTCGTACCTCCGAATGACCCGGAAGCACTAGCAAGGGCGCAGCTGAGTATACTCGGCATGCTGGGTCCTTGGGCAGAGTATACGACTGACAAAATTAAGCCCCCACCTCTTCCAGATGTTTTCAGGCCTGAAGACGTTGCACGGATCGTCGCAAGGATGTATGAGAAAGCAGACGATCGTCGTGCTCTAGGCCTCAAACTTCGGGATGTCGTCCTCCGCAGTTTCCACGGCCACAGGTACCTTCGCGAGCATGAGCAGATGTACTGGATACAACGCTGTTGGGCAGAAACCCGTCGGTCGGCTTACAAACTCAGTCGTCATCCGCCAGCCAATGCGGCTTTCGGCGAGTCAAACATATTCGAGTACGATGACGCTGGTGATACTGGAGAAGATGCTAAGGCACGTTGGCAAGACTTCCAGTTGGATCAACTTAAAGCTAGTAGTCATCCGCAGCCGCGTAAGTATAGGTTGGGTACGTACGATAGGGGAATGTCGACAATGGGGTGAATTAGGAGTTTGAAGGGATTTGTAGTTGTCAAAGTCTAATCTAATCGTTCGGATGTTCATTTCTCCTTGCATTTCGTGCATGTTTCTGTGTACCGTCTTGCAGGTGACCTCTTGTGCAAACACGTTTGTGCTATAGTGCGCGCAAGTCCCAATGAGGACTTCCTCGCCGACTTGAAAAAGCCAAACATTAGGGCCAGAGGGACAGCACAGTCCGATTCGGCTTTCTTTGGTCTGCACACATGGCCGTTTCAACGCAAACATTTCTCTGCTCAGAACGGTTTCCCTCGGTCTGACACCTCTTCACAACGAACAACGACTTCCAAATCACAGAGATATTGGCAGGAGTAGACTGCGCATCTATTTATATGAAGGATGCCGCTGTCAGAAGTGATATCTTCATTCAGATCAGATTCAAGACTTCGATTGAAGAGGTTCATTGAGAACAAACAGAAATCTTCGAAAATGGCAATGAACATGCATGTCGCGCTTCCTCTATACATGTACCCGTCCGCAGGGACATGGCAACCGCTCTACGACGCATTGAACAAGAATCCTCAAGTCACCTTTGACGTTATCATCAATCCTAACAATGGGCCTGGAGGATCAACTCCGAACTCCGACTACATCGCCAACATTTCTATGATAAACTCGTACAACAACACCAACATGTTTGGATATGTGCACACTAGCTACGGCAACCGCTCTCTCACAGACATCTCATCAGACATTGATACCTACCAATCCTGGTCTACATACACCAACTTCAACATCACGCTAGGTGGCATCTTCGTGGACGAATCACCTACTTCTCTGGACTACCACAACTACATGCAGACCATCTACAGCAAAGTCAAATCCACAATGAGCCATGGCAACCTAGTCTGGACAAACCCAGGCGTCCCTGTTGACTCCTCTTTCTACAAGATTGCCGACATGATCAATGCTTACGAGAACACCTACGACCATTGGATGAACCAAGGAGGCAACTCCAGCATCCCACAATCTGTGAGGAATCAGAGTACGGTCATGTTGCATAGCTATCCTTCCAGCACTCACACCATGGCCTCTGACGTCGATGAGCTTGTGGATGCTGGTTACTATGCAGGCTTGTTGATTGTCAACAGTCAGTATTCGAGTTTTGATTCGATGTGGCCGACCTTCACGTCCGAGGTTGGGCAGTCGAATGCAAATGTCAAATGTTGAGCTTTTCTGGCTGGACTTTGTACGTTACGGACCATGAGCGGGCATCGTGGGTATTATTTTTATCTGATCTGTAATACTAATTCGGTGTATGTTGTTGGCGGGTCAAGGATGGAAATTTTGGATGAGGAAATATTTGTATAATTGTTAATGTATGGTTTGAATAATTATTACATTTTCTTCACAAATGATTGTGCTCAATGCACAGAAGTTTCACGAAATCTTGAGCTCTTTCCCCAGCCATAGTGGTGCTAACTTTGACTTCCTTCTTCCACACTCAAAACTCCAGCCTTGAGTCCTTTTCCACATCATGGTTGTCGTCAACATCATAATTTAGTCGCGAAAGCGTATCGCATGTGGGACAATCGCGAAAGCCCGTCTGTCTGGCTGAGACTCTTTTCTTTTGGGCGATGCCATAACCTTATCAATCCACGATGCCAATATTTGCCTGGACAAAGCCCTTGGTATGGATCCAATCACTTAGAGAACAAGAACGACGCAACTGCACATCTGAGGTCTGTTGTCAGTTTCGGGCGAATTTTGTAAGAGATGCGTCTTTGCCTCCTGTTCAGGACAGCTGCAAATCAGTCCCGAGCAACTGGGCTGCGTCGACTAGCACTCAGCCATTCGCGCTCAACACCGAACCACCTATATGACACGACTGCCATGAACCTTTGTTTACCAACCGTGCTCGGCCGCTTTGGTAAAATGGCCACCCGATTTGTGGCACGAAGTCGACGCCATGGCCTTCAGAGGGGATTTGAGGAGCTGTAAAGCCGTTATACTTCAGCAGAGAGGGGCGACAGCACGCCCTGACCAGTGGTGTGCCCGCAAGCTTCTTGTATGAGCATAGACGAAAACATGCCGACTACGCACTTTGGGAGAAAACAAAACCGACTCCGCAACGAGGCCTAGGATCTCTCAGTCCCTCAACTCGATTGCAAAGATGCGTGTCCCCATTTTTGAGTGTCTCCCTTCGAGATGCGCAGTGGGTGCCATCCTTCTTGGTGTCTCCAATCTGTCACATCTCGTCAATGCCCAAGTCAGCAATTCTACTGGCGGGCAGACAGTTGCCAACACAATTTTGGTCTTTGCACGCGACCAAGCATCATCCTATTCAGCTACGTCAGGTCTCAATGGCTACGGGATTCCTTTTCAGCTGCAGCTAGTGCCACAGGCTGGCATAACACTTCCGACGCTCAACTCGTCCGCAACTCAAGGAAACTATGGTGGCATTATCATCCTCAGTGAGGTATCTTACGACTACGGCAACAGCGGTTGGGCCAGTGCTCTGACCGCTGCCCAATTCGCGACACTGTACGCCTATCAGGAAAGCTTCGGTGTGAGAATGGTCCGTATCGATGTTTATCCTGGACCTTCCTTTGATGTTGTGCCTACAATTGCCGGTGCCGGATGCTGTGGCTCTGGTGTTGAGCAACTCCTGAGCTTCACCAACACAAGTGCCTTTCCTACAGCCAATCTTGTCGAAGGTGCTACCATCAGCACTCAAGGGATCTGGCACTACCCTGCAACTATCACCAACCCAAACACAACCTGGGAAGTCGCAGGTCTTGCACCCAGCTCTGATGGCACATTCACCGGCACTAGCTCGGCAGCTGTGATTCATCGGGACGGAACACGTCTGGAGATGGTCTGGTTTTCAAGCTGGGCTACAAACTGGGCGTTGACATCCAACTACCTCCAGCACGCCTACATTGCCTGGCTCACTCGTGGTCTGACTGTTGGATATCGTCGCATACATCTGAGCACCCAAGTCGACGATGTGATGTTGAACACAGCTCTTTACCAGCCCGCAAACGCGTTGTTCAGACTAAGAGCGGCAGATCTTCAAAACATCGCAAACTGGATGCCTCAACTCAATTCAAGACTTCCTGCTGGCTCAAACTACTTTATGGAGCTTGGTCACAATGGAAATGGAAACATTGTTGCCGGAATTACGTTCGAAAACACAACCACGTGTCAGCCTGATCCTGCCATCATCTACACTGGGCCTATGGACACGACTCCCTTGGAGTTCCAGAAGCCACTCGGTACTGGTAGTGACATATGGCCTACTACACCCACAACATATCGTTGGTCCAAAGCGTGTTCTTTGATTGACCCTCTGTATAAGTGGTTATCTACCCCAGCGAATTTGAACGCCTTCGCACATGTCTCACACACCTTCACACACGAATCATTGAACAATGCAACTTTCAACGACACCTACAAAGAGATTACCTTCAACCAGGCCTGGGCGAATGTCACTGGAATCAACCAAGCTGCAAGGTGGTCGGCGAATGGTCTCATTCCTCCTGCTATTACTGGAATGCACAATGGTGATGCAATCAGAGCATGGATGACAAACGGCATAACATCCGCGGTTGGTGATAACACTCGAGCCGTACTGATGAACCAAGTAAACGAGTTTTGGCCATTGATCAGTACAGTCGCCAGCAATGGATACGATGGGCTTGAAATCATTCCACGTTGGGCAACAACAATTTTCTTCAACTGTGACCTGCCTGATTGTACTACAGCAGAATGGGTCAACACTTCTGGAGGCAAAGGTGGTTTCACTCAACTCCTCAACGATGCGCGTACGACCAACGTCCGCCATTTGCTGGGGCTTCACCATGATCCTTTCATGTTCCATCAGTCCAATCTTCGTAATGCAGATGTCAACACCACCACTATCGGTTCGGTCACTGGACAGTTTGCGCTCATCCAAATCTGGGTTGAAGTCGTGACCCAAGAAATGGCACGCTTGACCAACTGGCCCATCATTTCTCTCAAGCATGACGATATAGCCATCGATTTCACCAACCGCATGACTCGCGATCAGTGCAACCCCAACCTGACTTACAAGTACGCTCCTGATGGCAAGACGATCCTGTCTGTCACTGTTACCGCGAACGGGAATACTTGTGCCGCTCCCATTCCTGTGACACTTCCGGTCGGTGCTACAAGCAATTCCCCTGGTCTTGTTAGAGAGACGATTGGATCTGAGCCTCTGGTTATCTGGGTGCCGTTGACTGGAAGTCCTGTCACGTTGCAGCTATCGTCGCCAGTATCAGTCGCCTAGATATCAGGACGGGTGGGGAAGAGTAAGCAGGCCTTTTCGAAGGCTTGTCATGGAAGAGAAAAGGCAAAGAAGATATGTAATAATATTGTTTAATGATTTGATTTCATTGACAGCACATAGCAGATAGTTTTTCTGCAATCAAAAGAGTAATGTTTAACAGAAATGTGCCATCCTGCAATCACCAAGCTGGTATTGCGTGGTCAAGTCATCGTACTCGCCAATGTACACCACTCATGAAAACAGACTTATGGGAGTGATGCATAACTTCTGCCCATCGTTCCTGCCTCTTCGCATCCGCCAAGGAGTTGCAATCGGCAGGCTTGCGCTTTGGGAATCCGATTAGGGTAGTCGTATTGCAATTCGTAGTTGCTTCTCTCACCCATCGTCATTCTGAAAGTAAGGCAATTGCGACTGCTCGGCCGTCTTGCCCATTGCTCATGCCACTTGTGAAGTCTCTATTGTCTCTGCTGATCAGATCGAGGCTGAGTATGTTTTAGATATGGTGTGATCCTAATAAAGTGATCTCAAGCAATAAGCTTACTTTTCAACTCTAACTCTCAGGCTCCACTTCTCGGACAAAGAGGACCGCGCTCATGTGCCCTGATCGGCTGCCCTAACAGAGCAAAGGTTTGCCGATTGGGAAGAACAGTTGAAGCATGATTGGGATATGACGGCGGTAAAACTGCTCGTTGCGTGCGTAAACTGCTTTACTGGCTTCTCCACATCAGGTGAGTCAGTTTGGGACTAGAGACATAGTCAACTAGAACGCTCACTAGACAATGGGATGCTGACTTTCGGTAAGATGGGCTGTGAGACATGTACAAGCCTGGACGACAGAGATCGGCAGGTCTCACGGACAAGCGGTCGTCTGGGGATATGGAAGACGATCTTGAAGTCTTGATTTGCCCTGTGGAGATGTAAGAGCAGATTTATGGGTCTCAGAACAGTGGTGCAAGGTCGAACCGTATCGAATGCGAGTTTGAGACGTTTTGACGAGAGGCAGTCTGAAGATCTGTCGTGGTGCTGAGAGCGGATGTCTGCTCCCCATCTTGCTACCCAGTGTCATATCAGGGCAAAGGTCAAGAAATACCATGACGCCCGTGAGCTTCAGCCAAAGCCCGTTCTGCCGAATCTTCCCTCTCACTCTGGTCAGTAGTGGCTCAGTCAATACCATATGCTGAATGAAGTGAAAGTACATTTTCCCTTCTTCTTTGCCATCAAACGGTTTTGTTCTGAGGCTCTTGTTGCGTTTGGGTTTGTGGGGCCATCATTCAAAGGATGTGTTCCATCGTGACTTTGCTGCTTGCCATCATTTTTCTTCCAGAAAACACATACTCATAAGTTCAAAGAGGGTAGTGAAATCTGAAAGATCGATACACTACACTATCCACAATCACTGTATACATGTTCTTGACATGCCAATATCTTACAATTCCCGTCGTGCCTTCCATTATACCAACTTTCTTGCTCCTATGGGGTAACCTGAGTAACCGTAGGTTGCAGTGTTGAAAACGGTCCCGTCGCAATACTCAACCCATCCACCCAAATCCTTGCCTTTGATGATCTCCGAGTATCCGACGTTCTCATTGGTTTTGCAGCTTCTTGACAATGCTTGTTGTGACACAAAACCTGGGGCGCCAAGTGGATATTCGATCTGGAACACTGGTTTGCCAGCTGCGATGAAGTTTTGATAGATGCTACACTCGCTGTTGCTGATGCCTGGTAGAAGGTGTCAGTATCGCGCTTTGAACGATTAGGAAGGGGAGGAGAATGACTTACAGGATTCTATGATGGAGAACTCGACAAGGCAGGTGGCGTTTGCGGCGATTGAGCCGGCGTTTTTGAGACCAATGGCCATATTATATGATGCAGCTGTCAAAGAGAGGAAGGTAAGATAGTCGAGAGCGGTGCTTGGGGTGAGAGGGAAGCCGGTGTTGGTTTCCTGCAAGATCCAGTTAGCAGTCTTGTCATAGTCCAAAGTTTGGGCGCCCTCGATGCAACAACTCACAAAGCCGTCCACGTTGTCTGGATCAACAGCATCGCAGCCTTTCTCAGATGCCAATTTGATCCTGTTTGCCATGATATTTCTGACACTTTGGCTTTGAGTATCCAGCCATTTCTCACCAGGCCAGCCATTCAGGTTGTTCCCGAGATCTTGGGGTGCAAACAATCCCGCATCGGGCCTGTAAGCCTCCCAACTGCCAGCTGAGAAGTAGCAGATGACTTTGATGCCTTGAAGATGCATCTGCTGAATGGTCAAAGCACTATTGCCGTACATGTCGATGTCATAAACCGAAAGAGCAGGTACCAAAGCCTTTGTGGCATCAATGGGCAGGCTGAGTACTATCTGCCAGGGTGTTCCGGGAAGAGGCTGCCAAAGTGGTGTGGTGTTGGCCAGGAGCAACCCTCCAACACCCTCCAACAATCCTTTACCCCCGGCTTGACATACTGATCCTTGCGATGCAGTAGCTTTGTTTGATGCCGCTGTGGGAGTGGACTTTGGAGCTTCTCCAGCAGTCGTAAGCCCGACACCAAGCCCTACACCGAGGGTGATGCCGAGTAGAGCAATAGTTCCTGCCACGGCGGCGAGAGTGCGGTATCTGTGACGACGAAAACAAGAGAGCTTGCGCTGTGGTGGCTTTTCGTCGTTGCAGAGAGGGNNGGAGGACGATGCTGTCTTGTGGACCTCCTGCATATGTTTCTCTGGAAGGAACCCCAGAAACTGTGGTGTAGTAAAGAGAATCAAGTAGTGGAAGATATACGGAGTCAAAAGAAGAGCTTGAATAGCTGACTGAGATATGGGTCTGATGCTTGATTAGATACGAAAAGGAATATGGGTGTCGACGTTGCTTCGTTCTTCTATCTTCTCATAGCCTCCACGGCTACTCGTGATCTCCAAACTTACAGTGTCTAAGCTCGAGGCTGTGTTGGAAGATCCAACGGAGTCAGCGCTTCATCCCTCACATCCAGTCGATCTTGCGTACGAGAGACCTTTCCATGATTGGTCAAGCGCGAGATTTTGAGCAGTCATTTCGCAAGTCAGAGGCATCTTCATGGAAGACCGTCGCGATCATCACACAATACCTGCCTGTTGGTCCCAATTGGCATACGGACATCCTGCTTACTTGATACAACATAACATTCCGTGCGTCGACATGAACCCGTAGCGCCGATTGGTGATGAAGTGAGGTTCGGCGCCAGGATAACACTGTTTGGCATCTCAATCGATTCCAGGATAGTCCAACAACAAGACCATGACTATATAGCATTTTGGCAAGATCTTCTTACCGACTGGCGCTCTGGCCGAGTGGTTAAGGCGTTTGACTCGAACTAGGTTCCGATATCAAATCCTTTCGGGGGCGTGTGTTCGAATCACACGGGCGTCGACATCCTTTGGTCCTCCGGAGTAGAATGGAGATATTTTTTGCTTCACAAGGAGGGAAAAGAAGAGCGTGTTTCGAACCTTTGCGCCTGGAGATCGAATTTTGTGTAGACTTGGCATCGTGGGCGGAGCGGAGCGCAACGCGGAAGTCCGTCGGCGGACAAATCTTGGCAGTCATGGACGACGACATGATTACTATCTCTTGCACTGAATACTAAGTTACTTGACTTTCGAAAGCAGGTGCAAGCTGGATTCGCCATTGGCCAAAAGTCCCCTAAGATGTTCTCATGATGCTGATCTGGCATCGTCCATGTTTGTCGCAAGCCGGCTTCCGAAGCAGGGTCGTGCCCTCGACAACAGTTTTTGACAGTTTTTGAATCTGATCTTCGAGATACTCCTTCGGTACTTGCTTTAAATGCTAGTAAGTGGTAAACTAGTACTCTAGTAGCTTCAGAGGAGTTAAAGATCGGTCCAGTAGAGGGTCATGCATTGTTGTGGCTAGGCAATGCCAAAATATCAATTTTGCCAACTTGATGCTAAAAATGCTCCCACATACCATTCACATCCTTATACATTTCGAAAACAACACTATTGCTGCGAACTGTGAAACAGAACTTGTGGGCAACAGACATTGGCCACTATAAACATGATAAAAAGCCAGAGCTTGACAACATTGGTGTCACGAACTTCAGACTACAACAGCAGAGACGGTGTTGAAGATTGGTTCATACGTACACGCAAATGAATTCATTTCCGATGTGTATCACAATCGGACGACAGCAAGTACGAGTATTCATTATGGTTGCATGACACTGATGAGGAGAACGGAAAGAAGAGTATTGGTTTGATAGTGTTTTGGATTAGGTGTTATTAGAGGGTATCTGATAATCGTGGAAACACACAGAAGGGTAACCCCTTTCCAATTGGTGTGTGAAAGAAGAAAGGAGAAAACATGAGACGCCAGTTCGTTCTTCGTGATAAAAGTACAGCCGTCATAGTTCGCCGATGCCCGTCGTGGTAAACATTAAGGCATAGACATCCAACTACAAATCGGTAAAAGTTTTGTAGGGTATCGAGATAAAAGTACAAAGTGATGAGCAACTCTCGAGTCGCTTAGAAGTCACGAGCGGAGTTGACACCAGGAGCGGTGTAGTAACCACCGTGGACGCTGGGGATAGCACCAGCGGGGATGTCGGAAGTAGTGTTAGCAGGGATAGTGCCAACGTTGCGCTCGCTGCCATAGGAGCGAGGAACGGTGTTGGTAGCAGGAATGGTGCTCTCGTGAGGGTTGTAGCCAACGTGAGGAGCATGGCCATCGTGAGTAAGACCCTCCTTCTGAATAACAGTGGGGTTGGGGCCGACAGCGGTGTTGCCAGAGTAGGCAGTGTCGTGAGAGGGGCGAATGGTTTGAGCGGCGACAGGGGCAGCAGGAACGACACCCTTCTCGACGTAGTCATCAGTGGGGACGGTCTTGGGCTTTCTGACAAAGAGACCGCGTCTGGGAGCGCTGCCAGAGGTGTAGTCGTTGGAGGGGCTGGGGCCGTATCTCTTCTCCNNCTTCTTGTGGTGGCGCATGAGAGCGAGCTGCATAAGAGCAGTGAAGAGGAACAGGACAGCTCCGGCAATGGAAACGGCGAAGACAGCCTTGTTGAGCTTGCAAGCGGTGCCGAGGTGAGGAGCGAAGTGGTGGCTGCCCTCAGTAAAGGCAATCGCGTTGTTGGCAGGTCCGTTACCAAGAGGAGTTCTGACATAGTTCTTGCAGCTGTTGGATCCCTCACGGGTCAAGACTGCGATAGCAATCATGCCACCCATGCAGAGGAGGTCGAAGATCAGGCCAAGGATGGAGAGGAAGGTGATACCAGCCAAGCAGCATGTCAGAAGAACTGTGCAGATAGTGTACAAGGTGATGACACCAGAGAGACCCTCAACGGCCTTCCATCTGGTAGGGATGTCAAGGTTGTGGTCTGCGAGGACGGCAAGGAAGTAACTGAAGATGCCGATTATGATGGCAGCACAGCAGAAACAGAGGAAATAGAGAGCGGTCTGCAACAGACGGAGAGCGCCTCCCTTGAAGATACCCATGGCGATTGAAGGATCAACTTTGGTAGAAGAGGTTGGAAGGGATAATCCTCAAAAGTGAGAGGAAATTAGGAGGTGATTGACTATTGAAGTGATGGTTTTGGAAGTTCGTCGCTTGATACTGATTCGAACCAACGAGGGCAGCAGCTCTTAATATGTGCTTTCCCCAAGAGAGCCGGCCCACGTCAAAACTTGCAATACCATTACAGAGCAACACGGAAAGCACAAGAGCAAAAAGACGTCACTTCCAGTTCAATCGTCATCACGGTTGCAAAGGGACGGGTTGTGGCTGCCAATAAAGTTTAGCGTGCAGCGGCAGAGACCCTGCGAATCATCGAAATTACTTCATAATTGTACTTCCGCGTGCCTTTTGCGTGTCATTGAATGCACGAAAACAGGGAACAACTCCAACGGCATTGTTACCATCATAGAGAGATCATAGTGTTTCTGTCCCACCACGTGAGAGATTAGGATGATATGAATTCTTATGCCGAAATATAGGAATGATTCACGACAGGGATGCTTAAGCACAGTCGAAATTTGATCAGAACAGCCACAAATCAAGCCTCAGCCACAAGCAAATCCGGGGTCCATATCGTGCATCTCCCGACTCATACTCTCTCAGCTCCACTGATAGAGTCTTATCCAGCGTCGCAAAACTTGCAAATCACAATGAAACCTTCGTTCAGGGCACAGCGGTCTAGGTTGACCATGTGCAGCAACCAGTTTGGTCTCTGACAGACGAAAGTCCTTTGTGTTTACCGCTCAATTAAACACAAAAGCTTCAAGCCACCTTACGTCGATAAACAAGACAGAACATGGATTGCTTAGCGATTGACTCTTGCTCGTGAGAACAATATTGTTCGTTGCGAAAGTTCCCAGCAACATGCCGTTTTTTCCAGTGCTTGACCAGTGTTTGTTGACGAGTCGTTCCTCTGCCAGTTTCACCTCCTGAATATTAATATTACCTGCATAGTGCTATGAACTCATCCGGCACGCAGGTACATGGTACAACATTCATATTAGGCAGTTCTCATTTTACAATCCTTGCTCAGCGGTATGCAGCCTTACAAGCCATTCGCGGCAGTGGCTGCAAGCCCTTGAGATCCCTCGGAGCAATAAAAAAACCTTCGGTAGAACCTGCCCATCTGCTCGAAAACAAATGGTATGGACAAACAAATCATGATTGGGTTGGATAGCTGTCTCTTCGCTTGAATCGGGTCCTCGGCCTGTGGTCATAACCCCACGATAGTTGCTTCTTTTTCCGAACGGGATGAGCGCAGATCATCCGAATCGATCCGTCGAGCCATACAAGTCCAGATCTCCACATACGCACCCCTAAAAGTCACGACGACGCGCGTGAGTCTCACTTGACCACGGGATACGAGAGAACGTGACGTTGGTTCATCAATTGGAAGCTCGTCACAGCCCGCAATGATGTTGTTCAATTTCACCATCAAAGTGCTCAGAGCCTCATGACTACATGTACAACCCAGTTTCCCGCAATTGCTTCAGAGACAAGAGTCTGAGTCCAAGGTTCTCCTCTCGGCCGGAGCATCGCGATCGTGCGAATATCCAAAAAGCTGACGTGCTAAAATCGCTTACTCCACGTCGTTTGATTTGATCAGGATCTTGACGTGGTTGTCTTTGTCTTTCAGCAAGGTCAAGAAACCTTCCTCGATCACGTCTTTGAGCTCGACTTTNTTCGTGATCATCTTTTCTGGCTTCATCCTGCCAGAGCTGATCGCTTGAAGGACTTCGTCAAAATCTCCAAGGACATACGTAGCGACACCNCTGTCATTCCTCAGTGAAGTCGGTCGATGCCTGTCGAAAATACTAACCTTGTATGTTCTCTCTCGGAAGACAAACTGGTTCGGGATGATTCTTGCATCTTTCTCCCTGAAGGAAACAGTCAGTAAGAGCCTCGAAGCCATGCATATTAGGAGAACAGAGAGTCCGTCTCGGACTTGCAGCATGGAGTAGTTTTTAGTGACCCCAGAGTGTGTAACTAACCAGATAGCAATGTTGACCAAAGTACCCCGGGCCCTCATCGCGAGAACCGCCGAATCGAGTCCAGCTTGAACGCCTGCAGCATCGAATACACAATCCACACCTCGAACACCTCCGCAAATTTCTTTGCACCGCTCCGGAATGTCGTCTTTCGTTGGATCCAAGATAAAATCGGCGCCAAAGTCCTCTGCAAAAGCCTTACGTTGGGTAGAGACTTCTGAAACGATGATGGTGCCATCGCCGTGTGCTCGGAGAGCTTGGATAACAGAAAGACCGATCGGACCTCCACCAAGAATTAGGGCGAATTGGCCTTTCTTGAAGTCTTTGACCGGAGACATGTTGACTGCATGCCATGCGACGGCTAATGGCTCAACAAGCGCGGCTACCTCCAAGGACACATTGTCAGGCACAGGCACTACGCAATACTCTGGAACCACAATGTGTTCCGCCTGGCACTACAGTCAGCAAGAGCTGTGATCAGAATATGGTACACCTACCAAACCTCCTCCCCAGCCTGAGAGCCCAACGAACCCGTTCTTGTCGCAGCAATTGGGGATGCCATCCTGACAGGATCCACACTGTCCGCAATATATGATTGGCTGTACGACAACTCTTTGTCCAACTGTATACTTGTCTGAAACACCCTGTCCAAGCTCTTCAATTATGCCGCTAAACTCGTGACCAATGGTCAAAGGCACAGTTTCGTTGGTGATAGGATGAGGCGTGGTTGGACACAAGTTCGGACCTCCCATGTATTCGTGAAGATCTNNGAGATTCAACTGTCAGTCTTCAGCCAATCTGTGGGCGTTGCTTGACCGACCAGTGCCACAGATTCCACACCAAGCTGGTTTGATCATGATCTGACCATTACCACATTGTGGACTTCGAATATCTTCCAAGCGGAGGTCTTCTTTGCCGTGAATACGTAGCGCCTTCATCATACCAGTTTTAGAATTTCTCGAAGTGACAGCAGAGTCCACTTTGCTCAACGCTTCAGACATGGTTAGGTATAGGATTGGTTGGTTGTAGAGTCAACTTCCAAAAGCGCAGGTAGTTGTGGTAAGAAAACTGGCGTCCGTCTTGGATATATGTGGTTCCGAACAACTTGCTCGTCTGACCTACTGCTTCATCCTTTCTGCAAAGGGGTTCCCATCTCTGGACATCCGAGATATCTCTCAAGGACGACCCTCAATTCCCCGCACTTGCAGATCCGGGGCGTTGCATTTCGTGATGGAATAACAAGAACTGCTCATCATCTGTTGTTCTCCTCCCGATGTTCAGATGTCTCAAACTGGGTTGTATTCCAAGGCTGAGGCTGGTGAGGATCAAATAATGTTTTGGTACTCGACATGTCTAATGCAATGATTCGCGGAAACAATTTCTCCATGAGCAGGTCGAAGGCAGCTAGGTTTTTCTCCTTCCAAGGCCGCCACTGTTAAACTATGGCTTAACGTCTCAAGCAGAGATTTCTGGAATACCTTCGCCTAGTGATCATTCTGGAAGTCCATGATCAGAATGTTCTTGGCACTAAGCATTCGGATTTCCTATCTGGATGACCGAAGGAACGAGGATTTGACAGGCGTCCTCTGGGTGTCGACGCTATACCGATGAGCGTACTCAGTGATTATGAAGCAGAGGCGCGCTCGTGCACAGATATCATGTCGAGTTCAGTTGTTCCGTTCTTATTGTAGTCCAGGTTTGCGTTGCGTTGGTGAAGGAGTTTGTTGCTGACATGTGGTTTGATGTGGGGTGAGCTGAAGGAGCTCGCTGCGCAGACTGGGACGTGCTTCTTCACCTCCGCAGAGCCTCTCGAAGCTCCTTCAGGCGGGACCCTACAAGCCTTCTCTCACTTGTCTGTTTGTGAATATTTTCTCATGTTCTCAAGAGAGGTCCATAGCTAGGAGAATGATGCGGCCTTGGCGTCTACCGATAAGTATGTAGTTCGGCAAGGCATGGTGGCATGTTCGGCCTTCCTCCCGGTGGTATGGCGGTTCATCTGTTTCTGGGTCCGGCCGATCGAAGATTCGCAGCCGCATCTGCATTTCAGATGCCCCTCGTTACATCATCGGTCATTGGTGGACTTAATCAGGCAAAATATGTGCCCCTCCAATTCTTCCGCTACACGTAACTACTGATTGACTATCGAGCCAAGATGGAGCAGTTGATTACCATGGGTTGACGGAGTAAACAGAGGACGCGATGCTAGACAGCTCTTGAGGAATGGCAAGCATATAGAAGTCGAATAGAAGAGAGCTTCTTCGATGCTGTCCAAGCATGCGATCTGGGGATCGAATATTCTACTCGTTCTCAACCAAAGTTTCCGCGGTGACAGAAACGGCTTGATCAATTACGTCGAGCACGCTTGTAGCTGCTGGATGAGATCACCCGCCTGTGGTTGCTTGGGAGGATGCACCTCTGCAGCCCCAATATTTTCCCGCCTACAAAAGAGTTTCGAGCTGCACCTCCTCACTCAATTCTGCACACAACTTACTCTACACCTTCTTCTCCTAAACCTCAAACAACTCACACATCGCAACCATGGGTTACCCCGAGACTGCCGAGGGCTTCATGATCCACGACCACAAGAAGTGGTAAGTACACGGCAATAACGATGACTATGCGACGGCAACAGGGTGCTGACTAGCGTGTCCCTTCAGGTCCGACTTCAAGAAGGGCGAGTTCAAGCTCAAGAAGTTCGAGGAGCACGATGTCGACATTGCCATTGAGGCTTGCGGTGTTTGCGCTTCCGACCTTCACACCATCACTGGAGGCTGGGGTGATGCTCCCCTTCCTCTTTGCGTTGGCCACGAGGTCATTGGCAAGGTTGTCAAGGTTGGCGACAAGGTCACCAACTGCAAGGTCGGCGACAGAGGTACGTGCAGTCTTGAATTGGCCACGGAGACTTCCTTCTAACACTCTTTCTAGNTCGGTGTTGGTGCTCAGATCGGTGCCGACTTGACCTGTGACAACTGCAAGGCTGACCAGGAAAACTACTGCCCTAACTCCATCGACACCTACGGTGCACCCTACTCTGACGGCACCATCTCGCAAGGTGGTTATGCCTCGCACATTCGTGCCAACGACTACTTCGTCTTCAAGATCCCCGACAACCTCGAGACTTCGATCGCTGCTCCCATGCTCTGCGCTGGTCTTACCGTCTACTCTCCTCTTGTCCGCCTCGGCGCTGGTCCCGGCAAGAAGGTCGGTATCATCGGAATTGGTGGTCTTGGTCACTTCGCTCTCCTGTGGGCCAAGGCTCTCGGTGCTGAGGTCTACGCCATCTCTCACTCTCCAAGCAAGAAGGAGGACGCCCTGAAGATGGGTGCCAAGGAGTTCATCTGCACCAAGGACAAGGGCTGGAACGAGCCTTACAAGTTCGCCTTCGACTTTGTCATCAACACTGCCGACGCCATGGACCAGTTCAACCTCGACGACTACTTCCAGCNNACCCTCAAGGTCTGGGGTAAGTTCCACATGGTTGGTTTCGGCGACAAGCCCATCCCCACCCTCATGGCCCAGCAGTTCGCTGGAAACGGCTGCTCGATCGGTGCCTCGCACATCGGTAACCGCCCCGAGATGGAGGCCATGCTTGAGCTCGCCTCGAAGCAGAACATCAAGTCGTGGGTCGAGACCATCGACGTCAGCGAAGAGGGCTGCAAGACTGCCCTTGAGCGTCTGTCGAAGAACGACATCAAGTACCGCTTCACCCTCGTCAACTTCGACAAGGNNGCCTTCGGCAAGCGCTCTTAGATGTGCTTCATGACACGTTTGGATGATTTAATATTGTAATACACCTACATGACTTTGATGATTAGCGAGGACAAAGTTGGAATTGGCCCTTGGCTGGCCAAGGTACTATTTTGGAATAGCTAGATAGCTTTTATGAGCAGATATAGCATTGAATCAATTCCTTGCAAAAGATTTCGAACATGTTTAATGAGGATGGGCTCGTCTTGATTGCAGAAGTAGATGCGCGCCAAGGCTGCATATCATTGCTCGTTCGGCCGTGCGGGTTCTTGTCAGCCGGCCTCGGCGGACCGATCTTGAAGTCGTGACAGTTCCGAAGCAAACTCTAAGATGTGACCAAGTCCCTGTTGCAACTGCCGGCTGTGATAGTTCCTACATCCGTGTGATGGAATGGCACTGCGGCATGTCTTGTAGAGGAAGACGGTATATGGACAAGGTGCCTACGAGGAGCCCCAGATTGCCGAGAGCACAAACCGATGCGCCCCCACATTGGAGACCCGCTTCTCTTGCCGCACTGATTGTCACGCGAAACCCCAGCATGGGTTGGTGAATTAATTGATAATCACGCCCGCCCTCGGATCGTTTAGCATTGCTCTCGGTTGATACCCCTCGTCGCATACTCACACACAGCACAGCAATGGCAGATTACACAGTGTAGGTACCATACTACGCCACTGGAGCAGTCTACGAACATGACTAACACAACCTTTCCAGTCCTCTCTGGCTCGACGGCAAGGAAGTTGTTACCGATACTACCTTCGACGTCAATTCACCCAAGACCGACAAGAAGCTCTGGAGTTGCGCCGCCGCTTCCGTCGAAGATGCCCAGAAAGCCGTAGACTCGTGCCAACGCGCCTGGAAATCATGGAAGAAGATGAAGAGCACCGAGATTCGCAAGATCCTCTTGAAGGCAGCAGACATCATGGAGAGACGTCTGGACGAGCTGGCCAGCTACCAAATGGAAGAGACGGGTGCCCCTGATTTCATCGTCAAGAGCTTCAACTTGCCCACCACTGTCGAGATGTTCAGAGACGTTGCTGGTCGCATTGGCGGCATTGTCGGCATGATTCCTCAGACTCAAGACGGTGGAGCCCTGGTATTCAAGGAGCCTTACGGTGTCATTCTGGGTATTGCTCCCTGGAACGCTCCTTACATTCTCGGCTTGAGAGCGGTTATCTACGCCTTGGCCACTGGCAACACCTGCATTCTCAAGGGAAGCGAGCTTTCTCCTCGCTGCTTCTGGGCCATTGGAAGTGTTTTCCACGAGGCCGGTCTGCCCGCTGGTGTTCTTAACGTCTTGTACCACCGTACTCAGGATGCTCCCGCTGTCACCAACACCCTCATCGAGGCGAATGAAATCAAGAAGATCAACTTCACTGGCAGCACCGCTGTCGGCGCCATCATTGCCGCCAAGGCCGGTCAAAATCTCAAGCCTTGTCTCATGGAGCTCGGTGGCAAGGCATCCGCTCTTGTTCTCGATGACGCAGAGATCGAGAACGCTGCCTTCCAATGTGCTCTAGGAGCCTTCGTTCACGCAGGTCAGATCTGCATGTCTACTGAGCGTATTGTTGTCCACAAGTCCATCCTAGAGCCTTTCTCAGAAGCTCTCAAGGGTGCCATCGCANAAATCTACCCCGACTCTGGTGAAGCCCCAATCTTGGTTGCTAAGCCAGCCGTCGAGAAGAACCAGAAGCTTGTCAAGGATGCAGTGGAGAAGGGCGCCAAACTCCTCTACGGTGATATCAACTCCAAGGAGACGAACCTACACCGTCTTCGCCCATTCGTCGTGCAAGATGTCACCAAGGAGATGGATCTTTACTACACCGAGTCCTTCGGTCCTTCAGTATCCCTTCTGACCGTCGAATCAGACGAGGAAGCTGTAAACTATGCCAACGACACCGAGTACGGTCTTTCCGGAGCCATCTTCACAAAAGACTTGCAGAGAGGTATCAGACTCGCCAGACAGATTGACAGTGGAGCTGTGCACATCAACCAGATGTCTGTGCACGATGAAGCAGGTCTACCCCACGGTGGTGTCAAGAAGTCTGGCTGGGGACGTTTCAACCATGAGAATGGTCTTAACGAGTTCTTGAAGCTCAAGACTGTTACCTTTGCTGGTGATTGGTGAGGTCGAGGTGTTACTGTCGATGATGAAATCCTTTAGATACCATGATGCTATTTCTTATTGTACATATACCAAAATTTGCACATTTGGAACTTTGCAAATGCTGTTATCCGTGATTATCGAGGAACCGTCAACTTGACAACAGTCTGTTCCTACGTGTTCGAGAGAGTGAGAAGGCAGTTGTTAATAATTCTATGCATGATCGCACAACTTTATGCAAGTAACCTATCTCTCCCTGTGCAGGTCAAAGCTCATCTCTCTTTCACGTCGCACTCGCTGCAACACCTTGCAGGGTGGCACGTAACAGCTGGTCTGTGACACGTCTGCGCCGACATGTATTTATTCCGAGCACTCTCTGCTGGCATTCAACAGCTAGCCGGCAGTCAAAACGAACCGACAATGTCAAATTCGTCCTCTCCACCACCGTCGCCAACGGGGAGCATAAACGATGCTAAACGTGTTGAGGACGACGTCTTGACAGAACCACCAGAAGAAGATGAGGTCTCGGATGATGTACCAGATACTGAANAAGACACTGTTGTCGTCGAATCAGTTGATAACGATGACAACGAAGTGTTCAAGCTACGAGCCTATCAAGATGAGATGCTGGCAGAGAGTCTGAATCGCAACACCATCATTGTGCTAAACACCGGAGCTGGTAAAACACACATGTAAGTCTTGCCTCGCATACGCATCTAAGACTACACCGAGAAGATTTGACGAAAGCCCTCCTGCACCATAGAGNCCCTTGCCAGAGCAAGAGCCGAGTTGGAATTGAAACAATCAGACAAACTTGTCTGGTTTCTTGCACCTACAGTCGCTCTTTGTCACCAACACTACAGATCAATTCTTACAAACCTGCCGGCATATCAAACAAGACTTCTCACCAGCGAAGATGGCGTTGACAGATGGACTGATCAAACTGTCTGGGATGGCGTTCTCAAGAACATGAATGTCATCGTCAGCACGTATGGTGTCCTGTACGATGCACTCTGTCACGGATTCATTGCAATGAGAAGGCTCTCGTTGTGTGTGTTCGACGAAGCACACCATTGCACCAAAAACNATGCCTCTAACATGATCATGCAGCAGTTTTATCGGCCAGCTAAACTTGCTGGACAGCCAGTACCACGGATTCTCGGTTTGAGCGCTAGTCCAGTGATGAACGCCAAAGCCGGAGGTCTAGAGATACTCGAAGCGAATATGGATAGTCATGCCATCACACCACGCCTGCACAGATCTGAATTGATGCAATATGTGCATATCCCAGAGCTCTTGAAACGCACATTCGAAAGCAGAGAGGCACCTGATACTCCAAATTCGCTACGAGAAGCGCTTACCACTGCCCTGCATCTATACGAGATACGCGAAGATCCATGCCTTGTCGAGGTCATCCAGACTGGAGGGCCCGATATGAAAGCCAAAGTGGACGAGGTGCTCATGTCGCGAAAGACTTATTGCACAGACCAGCTCAGGGCGCTTAGGAAGCGCGCTGAGGTGATGGCCACAGACATCAGTCCGTCTGCCGCAGAAACATATATCCAGGCCTGCCGTGACAAGTTTCTTGCAGGAATTCAAGAGAACAATGCTTTATGGATGCCAGAACTTTCAGACAAAGAGAAGAGTCATCTTGCAAAGATCATGACGAATCTACGTGTACATTCATTCATCCCAGACTCGACTGTGAGTCTCAAGCTTCAATTACTTTTGGACATCTTGAGGAAAGAATCTGGACCATCTTTCACCGGTATTGTCTTTGTCGAGCAAAGAGCCGTCGTCGCCGCTCTAGCAGAGTATCTTACATCTGATCCGGATTTCTCACAGACGTTCAATGTTGGCACCTTTGTGGGAGGCTCCAACTCATCCAAGCAGAAGTCAAATATCGGCGACATCAACGACTTAAAAGCACAGCAGCAGACGCTTGATGATTTCAGAATAGGCAGGAAGAATCTAGTCATTGCCACAAGTGTACTCGAAGAAGGCATTGACATATCTTCGTGCCAAACGGTGATCTGTTTCGATGCTCCTCTCAACTTGGTATCCTTCGTTCAAAGACGCGGCAGAGCACGCAAGAAGGACTCAAGATACATAATATTGCTGGCCGACGACGACGATAAGGGTGAACCTGCCAAATGGAATCAACTGGAAGACCGGATGAAAGCAGCATATGAAGATGAATACAGAAACGCTCAACTAGCAGCTCAGCTAGAGCAAACTCATGAGTCTGAGGGCAGAAAGTATGAGATACCGAGTACCGGAGCGCTGCTCACTCTCGACAACGCGAAGTCGCATCTCAATCATTTCTGCGCCACCCTCCAGACAGCCAATCACGTCGATCATCGACCAGTCTTCGAGTGCCGGACAGACTCAGAAAACCTTATTACTGCGAAGGTCCTTCTGCCTTCTTCGGTGAATCAGAAGTATCGAACAGCCGTCAGTGCACACAGCTGGAAGACGGAAAGAGCAGCCATGAAAGATGCCGCATTCCAGGCTTGTGTGGCATTGCACCGCGGTGGTCTAATCAACGACCATTTGCTTCCTCCTCATATACAGACACCAGACCAAGCACGTCAGAATCGACCTGGTCTCACCAAAGTCGCGGTCAAGCACGATCCTTGGGAACTGCGCAAGTCAGATCATTGGTTCAGGCATGTAGTTGAGCTTGAGATAGAGGGACAGCCTAGCGTTTCGGTGGCGATGTTCCTACCTGTTGAGTGCCCAAAGGTTGATGGCATCGAATTGTACTGGAGCATGTACACCACAGGTGTAGCGAAGATTGGACCTGGTCAAGCGTGTAGACTCACCGAAGAGGAGGCTACTCTAAAACAGAAAGACACAGAAACCATCCTTCTTTCTGTGCTTGCACCTGCCGACGTTAAAGGTGCAAAGGGCAGATATGCAGCGATGTTTGAACCATTGGACCAACCTTCCATGACTCCACTGAGCAGAGAGAGTCGACCGGCAGTTGAGATGCTATCTATGGTGCAAACTGCAGCAGACGTCGGTCTTGTGCAACTCAATGGACAGAAGGGAAGAAGCTACGTCTTCCAAAGCATACAAGACCAAGACCAGCAAATATTGGAAGTCACCAAATTCCCAAAGAAGCGCGACTTCCTCACGCGACCTGCCGAGGAATCAAAGAAGAACCAACTTACTCGCGAAACACTGGCTCTGGCCCAATGTACTATCAATTTTCTTCCAGCTAGATATTCGTTCTTTGCTGCTTGTATTCCTTCCATCTTACATAAAGTAGAGACGGCTATTCTCGCTGCTCGCTTGCAGGATACTATCCTCAAGCCTGTTGGCATTAAGAATCTTCAACTCATCATCGAGGCTACCACATCAGGTGCCGCCGACTTCACTGCTAGCTACGAAAGGTTGGAGTATCTAGGCGACGCAGTGCTGAAGTATTGCACACACGTTCAACTGGCAGCTCAACATCCTGAATGGCCAGAAAGTTACTTGACAGCTGAGAAAGGAAGGACGAATGGCAACGCCTCACTATCTCGTGCTGCTCTGAGCAGCGGTGTGGACAGGTTCATCTCAACCACAAAGTTCACAGGTAACCACTGGAAGCCTCCGATACTCTGCACTGATCAANAAGATAAGAACGACAAGATTGTGGACAGGAGTACCAAAACACTTGCAGATGTTGTGGAAGCATTGATAGGTGCTTCGTACATGGATCAAGGTCTTCAAGGAGCATTAGCTTGCATCCGTATCTTTCTCCCCAATGAACAGTGGCTAGATCATATAACGTGCCTATCCTCCCTGCTCTCGCAGACACCTACTCTGTCCAGTATCCCGCCTTTCCTCGACACGGCCGAAAGCCTAATCGACTACAAATTCATCAACTCATCTTTACTCCTGGAAGCACTTACCCACTCGTCCTTCTCCTCACCTGAAGCCCTCTCCTACGAAAGACTAGAGTTCTTGGGCGATGCAATACTAGACCAACTCCTCGTCCCCACCATCTTCTCCGCAACTCCCGCACTCAAGAACCACGAAATGCATAGAATGAGACAAGCACTCGCAAACGCCCACATCCTCGGAGTCTGCTGTTTGGAATTGTGTCTCTTTGCACCTCGTCTAGATCCCACAACAACCGAGACCGGAGAAGTGGGATTACAAGAAACACTACATCTACACCATCTCCACGATTTCTTGCGCTGTGGAGCTAGTATACACATCCAGCGCAAAGCCGCTTTGGACAGATATGCATCACTCCGCACGCAAATCCTCGAACAGTTGGAAAATGGACACGAGTATCCATGGCCAGACCTCCTACGCCTCGGTCTCCACAAATCTTGCAAATGGATGTCGGATATCTTGGAATCTGTGTTGGGAGCCATCTACATTGGTTCTTGTGGCAATCTTGCTGCTTGCAAGGCTTTTGTCGATAAACTTGGTTTGTTTAGGGNNATGTTGGAGAGGTTTTTGGATGAGGGTGTGCAGGTTGGGTTTCCGAGGGAACGATTGGGGTTGATGGCGGATATGAAAGATGTGGAGTATAGAGCTTCTAGTGATGGGAACGGAGGATGGAGTTGTAAAATTTTTGTGGGGCAGAGGGAAGTTGTTGATGTTGGGGGGTGTGTTAGTAGAGAGGAGGCAGAGGTCAGAGGTGCAGCGACTGCGGTGAGAGTTCTGCAGGAGGAGATCATTAGAGGCATGGAGAGTGTCGCAATAGATGGAGGCGAGGACGAGGAGATGGTGGATATACAGTAGATCTGGCTAGTGACCAACGCGCAACGGGATAGATAATAAGACCATAGTGCTCGACACCACGAAGAACGATCCAAAGAGCTCACGTCGCCGACCTCGCAAATTTCTGGCAGTGCTCGTTGTACAAAAGACATGGCCTCACGTCGCTAATCATAGTGGTGCAAGTAACAATCCCGCGTGTTCGAGATAATACTTTTGATATATTGATCACTATCTACGTGGGCTTACTGGGAGCACTCGACCCTACAAAGCACCATCTAAAAGACTGTCGTCGTCGATCTGGTGTTCCAGTGCGAGAGCAGTCTACACTAACAACGTCGTTAACTAAAGAACTACAAGGTACAATCCCGCGTAATCGACACAACTTTTTGATATATTGAACGCTATCTACGTGGACTCGCCAGAAGACTCGACGCTACGAAGTACGACTCGAAATTGCCCCGTTGTCGACCCGGCCACATAGCGACATGGCCGCTGTCGGTGAGTGCCATGGCAGTCTGCTTCAACAGATCTCTGTAAGCCTTCTCTGGAGTGGTGCCAGAGACTTTGCGAATGGCGATGGTGGTGTTCCAGCTAGAGATCTTAGATAAAGCCAAAACGACATTGTAGAGCCTGTGACTAGATTGGTTGTGTTCACTTGCTTGTGATTCTTGCAGAGAGTTGGTCATCGTGATTTGAGTCTTCCTCGTTGCTTTCATCTCGCACTCTGAGAGTTGAGCGAAGTGTATACGCTAGGAGTCTCGTTCGTAACAACGAGCACAATCTCGACCCCAACGCGGAGAAGACTTTGATCTTCGTGCACATGAGATCATTGCGGCATGTTACTGTCATTGTAGAGCAGATACCCATGGTCGTAGCACTGGATGTAGTCTTGACAACCAATGTCAGTAGGGCGACCCTGCTCTGCCCAAAACCGTCTACCCTTCCTGTCCACCATCGACAACAAAATACCTCCCCACCTTTCTCTTTGCAGCACCCGTCACATCCCAAGTCTTTGCACTTTCTCCCTCTGCTGCCACTTCTTGCCTCCTCCTAATTCTCTTGTAGTATTTCCCCTTAACATCCTCACTCTTGAACGCCTCTTCCAACTCTTCCAATCCTATCTCTTGCTCTTTTCTCCCTGCACTCGTCTCATCCCGAAGACTTTGTAATGGCGTAATGTTTGTGGTATCCACTTTGCGGATCTCGGCGACAAAGTGTAGGTGCGAGTGTAATGAGGAAAGCATTTTNTGTTCTTCGGACGGGTCTTTGGGAGGTGGTAAGGCGGAGAGGCGTAGGAGATGGTGTAGTTGTTTTGAGGTGATTGTTGGTGTCTGAGCGGTAGAAGAGGAAGATGGGAGTAAGGTGTCTAGTGACCAGGTTGGTGTTGCGAGTAGAGCTTCGACATTGATTTTTGAGCGTGTAGGTCTTGTGGTGTGGAAGTTTGCGCGGTGAACCAAGTAGCGTGGTAGAGAGGTTCGTAATGGGAGAGGCGGCATTTTGCTTGTTGTATTTTGTTTTGTCTCTTCGTTGTGAGGTGTATGAAGATGCAAGTTGATGGTGAATAATTGGGACAGTCGGCCAATCACAGTGGGGCAGGGTCCGGATACGTCAGCGCCGACTTGCCTACCAAAGGCCCCCCAGATACCATAACGACAACATTTCCTTCCAAGTCCTATACACCTCACATATCCACAAATCATGGCTTCCTCACTCACAGCCGAGCAGGATCTGCTCAATAAGGTATCTTAACCGTTCGCTGAGCGCACCTCTCAGACACACTTCTCGTCTTGAACCCCTTGAACTGACACAACACCCCCAAACAGGNCAATCAAGCAAGAAAAGAGCGCCTCAGGCGGCTTCTCCCNNTTCTTCGGCGGCAAGCAAGAGAAATACGAAAAAGCCGTAGAAATGTACCGCACAGCCGCAAACGCCTACCGAGTAAAACTCACCTCCATCGACGACCCTGAAACAATCTCGCTCGCTGTATCTCAAGGCGGTTCTGCGCTTGAATCTGCCGCCAGAATCTGCACCGAGAATTTGGAAGAGCCGTTGGATGCTGTTAACATCTACAACGAGGCGTTTAAATTGTATCATGAGGTGCAGCCAGAGAAAGCGGCTGTCATGTTGGAGCAAGCTATCCAGAAGCAAAAACAGTTGGGACGATGGAGGCCAGCTGCCACGAATACCGAGAGCTTGGCTACGCATTACCAGCAAGTCTTGGGAAATAACGCAAAGGCCATCGAGGCATACAAGGACACCCTCAAATGCTACAAGCAAGACCCCGCGCCTGCGCTGGAGAACAAGATCACTCTGGCATTGTCAGACTTGCAAGCTTTGGAGGGCGACTACAGAAGTGCCATCGAGGGCTACGAGACAGCAGCCGACAAGGCCCAGAACAACAATCTTCTTGCCTGGAACATCAAGAACTACCTCTTCCAAGCTGGAATTTGTCACCTGGCCACTGGTGTACGTTTGAAATCCTCCTTCTTGCTGTTAAGCACACTTTGACTGACTTGTTGTTGCAACAGGNACATGGTAGCCACATCCCGCGCCTTTGACGAATGGCGTTCCAAGCACACCCAATTCACCTCAGCCCGCGAATTCCAACTCCTCAACGACTTGAAGGAAGCCGTGGAAGCAGGAGACCAAGACATGTTTGCAGACCGTCTGTTCCAATTTGATCAGATGCAAAAGTTGAACAAGTGGCAGACCACAGTGCTGTTGAGGATCAAGGAGAAGATTGAGAGCCAGGATGAGGATTTCTCTTAGAACAGTTGGAGGGACAGACGAAAGATCGATCCAGGACTGGGAGGAGGCATGGGTTTCACTCTGGCGTTTATACCTTTTGATATCCTTGTTAGTTTTTCTATCCATGGCCAGAGTTGACCATCATGGTCTTTTGCCATTCTCCATATAATCAGACACTGAACTTGTTGTTGGGTTTGATATGTCTTGATTTCATTCAATTCGTCTTGCCATTCTCTCTTGGACTCTCCTCTCCTCCTTGACTAGCTCCAAACATCCCTAGACCCCACCAAGCCTTCTTGGGCGCTACTTCTGTCTTTGCAGTCTGTTGTGCATGTTGTATCGTTGACACGGCTTCTTCCTTTGCGTCTTGAAGGTGCTGCTTTACTTCTGCTCCAATAGACTTGTCGTTGTTGACATCTGGGATCTCGTGGTCGGTCTTTGTTGGTGGGNNCTGCATCAACAATTAGTAGGAGTCTTTGGTTGAATGTAAGTGGAGATCTTACATTGCGCCACCGTGTTGTTGCTGAAACTCTTGGACATTCTGTCCTTCTCTTTCTGCTGCTTGTTTCTGGAGCTCTGGTTGGAATGCTGCAAATGCTGTGATGCATGTCAGTAAAGCATGTTCCGGGGATAGTATGACATGAGATGAGTCCGTACCGGTAGCAATACCGCAGACAGTGGCTAGTGCGGGTGCAATCAATCGATTCATTGTTTCTGATGTTTCTGTATAACAAAAACCACTCGGGTTCAATGATGAGCACTCGAACTTCTGTAGCATCCAAGTCTTGGCATCGGTGACGTCGGGGTCAAAGCGATCGCGTGCCGAGGCGCGTGTGTTCGCCATGTCCAAATTGGCAAACGCGTCTAGGTCGCGTCTCCAATCCCAAAACCAGTGATATCTTTTGAATGTTGCCAGAAAAGACATGAAGGCGAGATCAAATGAGCGAATGGAGAGATCGAGGCTATGTCCCGGACTCGGATGAGGACGACATTTCTCTGGTTGCCGACAATGATGCTAATCCGAGCGTAACACCAACTTCGCCGAGGACAACAACTATACACAATCAACGATGTGCTTCTGTCGAGCTGGTTGACGACCAAAGAGACGTGACTGAGAAGAGTGTGTCAAAAGCCTTGGAACCAAGCACCATCGCATCGAGCGTCAACCCAATTCAGGCTTCAGAGGAAGAAATCCACCAGGACACCACATTCGACTTTCCACAAGATAACCACGATGCACGACAAACTTCTCAGCAGCCTTCGGCTGGGCAGCCAATAGTCTTGATCACCCAGTCCAGAAGAGCAGCCTCACCGCCAGAAAACAACAAGAATGTCAGAACGTACAGTCGGAAATTCAAACCTGGAGCGCTAAAGAGGATCAAGAGTACAATCAACACCAACGATCATGTCGAAGACAATGCGCAGGAAGATGATGGATTCGTGGATATTGATGCGCTGGTGACCGAGCGTCGCTTGTCTGTCTCAAGTTCTGACTTGTCAGACGTCGACATGGACATCGTCTCCTCTTCACAACCATTCTTTTCCNCACCTCCAAGTACGGCAAGAACGAATGATTCGATACCGAGGCTTCCTAGCCAGCCCGAAGCAAACGCTCTTGAAAGTGCAATCACTTCTCTATCTGATCAAGATCTGGCCGCTCTTGCTGCTCAGCAACCTCGACGCAACCTTCGAGCACGAAAAGCCATTCAATTACATCCTTATCTCCTTGAAGTCGAGCAGTACCGTCGTGCCCTCAAAGCTCGCGGCCTGAGACCCATCCAAGTCGCCACCAATAGTCAGCGACCAAGAAATCAGGATGATTCTCAAGACGACGAATTTCGTCAGGAAGAGAGTCAGCCGCGACAACCTCAGCTAGACCATACTCAGGAATCCACTCCGCCAGACTCTTCTGCCTCATCTGCTCACAATCAGCCGCCACGCCTTGACTTTTCCAACCTCATCGCTGGAGACGACGAAGAAGAATTTCCAGACATTGACGCTGCTATCCGTCGTCATGTCATCGGTGGTACCCAGATCCGCTACAAGCGTCGCAAGACTAATGAGACTCCCGATATCAACCAGAATGGACGCATGCTACCTTCGTCAACGTCAAGAGCCAGAGGAAGACTAAAGTCCCTGAATCTAAACCGCGTTCTTTCGACCACAAGTGGACCTTCCAACCAGGACTTACTGCCACCATCACCTCCAAGGACATCGAGCCCAGCGAATATCGAACCCACACCTGCCGCTCCGCCTCGCTTCAGGCTTCCGCATGGTATGAATCCTGCAGCTGTCCCTACTCCACTTCCTTCTTCACCTGAGCTGCCAGCTTCCACGGCAATCAGACGTCCTCGCCAGGTAATTCTATCGTCCGACGAAGAAGCTGTCAGCCATCACAATGTTGGTGCAGAGTCCAGTTCCTCGTCAGAATCGGATCAAGAGAACAGACAATTGTTGCGCTTGCGACGGAAGATCAGGGGTGTGCTGCCTGCCTCGTACCTCAAGCTCGACAGACAGGTTAGACAACGATCCCCATCGATTGCTCCTTCTGAAGCTCAGATTGCAACGCCGAGACCAACAGCTCCTGTCAGAGGCGTTGCTCAACGAAGAGTGACAAGCACTTCTGCCACACCAGCTCGCCAAAATAGCTACGTGATTTTCTCTGACAATTCTGAATCAGACAGCTCGGTTCCAGAGTTGCCAGCTCCTCGTCTGCTTCAGACCAGGCTACCCTCGCCAATCACTGGACGCCCGTCAGGTCGTCCTTTCGAGCCATTGGAAGTTGACGAATACGACGAGATTGATGATATGCTTCCGACCAACGAAAGGGCCCGGTTTAGGGAGCCTGGAAGCAAGAAGAGACAATCGAAGCTCCCAAGCACATTCACACGTACCAAGTCTTCTTCAATACAGGCCCAGCCAGGTCAGAAGCGGAAATCTTCTGGTCACGCAACAGCACAAAACTCAACGTTGCATCACAAACCAGCTACGAACTCGAAAAGAAAGCCAGCTGCCAAGAAGCCGAAGCCTGTCAAACTGAGTATCCTAGACGCTACCACCTCTACCGACCCAAAATCACCACGAGCCATACCGAAGCCTCAATTCGTGCGCCTTGCTGCTCGTCAAGCCCGGAATCGGCCTGATCATGGTCGACACAGCCCGTCCAACAAGGACATCCGTCTGGCCACGCGGGAAGATACCCAAGATGCTCTCGAACCGTTGTTGTCCTGGCGAGCAGGAAACATGAGTCGCAGTTGGGTCCCTTCACCTCCAGACGCGCGTTCCAATGATGGTGTTCGCAACGATGGAGACTCAATAATGACCGATGGACCAAACGACCAGCAAGATATAGTGTTAACGAGTGGTCAACAATATCGCAGACCTGGACAGCCACGACCGCTCATAGTCACGAAACCGAGACAGTCTCGACAGCTTCCAGAGAAGGACAATCCTCTGCGAAAGCGTACAGCTCCAAACCTGCTTCGAGCAAATCAACGGAAGCTGCTCGAACGTGATCACCGCATGCGTCCTGCTCAGCTAGAAAGTGTAGCTCAGAGTACACATCGTGATCTTGATCCGCTTACATTTGCTGCACCTCCATCCCGCTTGATGGAAATCTTTGCTCGAGACAAACACGATCAGCCAGCTTCTAAATTCAGGCTCGAGCGTTTTCTCAAGGATAAGGGTGACTCGCATGAAGTTCCTGGTCCCAACCAAACAGAGGGCCCAGACACAAACATGACAGGAACTGAGAATATCGTCTCGCATTCACGAAACCGCAAAAGACTCGCTCGACGAATCGATGTCGAAACGACTAGATTTCGCCAGCCGAACGAGCCTCTACCGGCTGATGTTCCTTCTGTTTCTGCCCAAGATGCAGATAACAACCCTGCGGATAGTTCTCCTGAGAAGGCAGTTCTGCAGGGCATAGGTCCTTTCGGTACCCGTTACCCTACAGACTACGACGTCAGACCGCTCGAGATCGGTACCTATTTCGCTACTGGCACATTCGTAGGTAGCGGAGACTTCGACGATTGTTTGACATTACGCAAGCGTGACCTTGACGTCCCTGCTGGTCGGATCACTGTAGAAGTGGCCGGTCGTTCCTTACATTGGAGTGCCTGGAATGAAGACATATCTGGCGGTCTTGATCTCATACTGTCAGCATGCACAGAAGATTTACACAGTGTCGGCGAGTTTGAGAGCACAGATATACGACGAACCGCCATCGAAGATACTACCGCGCGCTTCAACTACTTCCTTAGATCTATTGTGAGGTACCTCTCAGGCTGTCTTCACTTTCTCGATCCGATCGATCGATCTTCCAGCTTGAACCGCCTGTCTCGCTTTGTCGATGAGTTTGCAGATATGGTTGAAGTGGAAACCATCGTTCTCAAGTCCCACTCGGATACAAAGGCTCAAGTTGACAGACTCGTGGTAGACTCGATGTCATACTTGCTATGTTTGACAGTACAATCGGTGCGCATCTCGCAACACCCCGCCGCTGATTCTAGGCTGCAGACTCTTCTTGAGGATAAGTGTGTTCGTTTGAGCTCAAACGTTATCGCCATAGCCCTGCCTCCGAGACTTAACCCGATTCGCGAGTTCCTCGAGACACATCGTGAACATGCTCGTCGTCAAGCTGGTATTCAGGAGCAGGATATTGCTATCACGAGCATTGTAATTGTCAATCATGCACTTACAGCTGCCAACGCATTCACCAAGCTCTCTGACATCCTCACCACACATCTAGGCCGTACAATCGCTAAGACATGCAACATCCACTCCCTGGATCAGATATGGTATGATGCATTCTGTCTTCAACCTCTCCTGGAGATCGATGCCAAAGGAATATTCCGGCCGCGAAGCAGATTTCAATCAGTCAACGACAACTGGAACCTAGTAAAGATGCTTTTGCAGCGAACATTTGAGCTGTACCCTGCGACTAGCAAAGCGCGCAGTCCAACGCTGAACGACTATGTACGAGCATGTCTGACTAGAGTATTCCACCTGATCACACGCTGGAGTTGGCGTAGGTGTGAAACTGCGCTAAGCACGATATACGATTTCTTTGCTGGCAATAACCTTTCGCAACTTCACAAAGAAGAAGGTAAAGGTTCACCACGCTTTCTCGAAGATCTTGACAAGAACCCGACAATCGAACTCGAAGCATCCGATTGTACATTCCACATCTTCCTCAAATTGCTTGTGGTTGGCTTGCGGGGCTTACAAGAGATTTTGCCTAAAAACAAAGTCCGAGGTTTCGCATGGAGATTCATTCCTAACCATGGTCGTACGTATCACAAAGAGCAGGAGGTCACCCATATCGCACTCAATGCCTTACGCAATCACCACGACCTGCTCTGCACACTCTACTGGGTCATGCCGTCCGGTTCTGGACCTCGATTACAGATGATCAAAGACTTGGTAGACCACAATAATTCGCATCGAGAAGCTTGTCGCCTCAGCGTACATGCCTGGGGTATGCTTGCTCGATACCAGCTATCGCAAGTTGAAACGTTCAACGATCAGGAAGTCTTGACTTCATGGTACAGAGACATGATTTCGACCACAATATCTCAATATNCGACTTGTCAGGACCGAAGCAGAGGCACAATACGCTGCTGCGACATCCAGGGGTCGTCTGAAATCTCGCCTGAAATGCTGGAAATGACCATCACAGCCAATCAACGAAGCATCTTTGCCATTCTGCAAGATCTGCTGTTGGCAATGCGTAATGCTGTCAAAATCTCGAAGTCGTGGTCTGCTGTTTGCAATGTCATTGAGCAATCTAGTGTGATCGAAGTGCTAAAACTGTTCGACATGGACCAGCCTAGACTTTCTATTGCAATTGTCCAGGCACTAGACATTGTTGATGAACTGCTTGTCGCCAAAATGAGATTGTGCAAGCCTATACAGCAAGAAATTCAGCCAGCTAGTGATGACAGCCAGGACTATGGTGATTGGTCATTCATGGACCAAGTCCTCGAAGAGCCAGGCAACTCGGAGCCAAAGACATCAGAAGTGGTGTTCTTGCAAGAACCTCTTGCTTCACTTCTGTCGACATGCTTCGGTTCGGAGAAGAGCCCCGATGATGCCCTTCTCAAGAAGATCATTGATACATGGGTCGCCACTGCTCAGCAATTGGTCAAGGAGAATGTTCTTGACTGGTCAAGCTTCCTAGATGTCTACAGCACATCTTCGTGGTTCCAGCTTCGGGAGACGGAACAGAGGCACAAATACACTTGCTATTTCCTTGCGTCTGTCATCGAAAGCGACAAGTCGAGTCTTGACAACCATCGGACTCTTTTCATGAAAGCTTGGTTCGTCTCGTTGTTCGAGCGGGAATCGAAGCTCAAGTTCCAACATCGTCTTACGGCAAGTCTGTTAGAGAAGGCCAACTCGGAGCCATTACTGCACAATTTGCCATTTGCTGCCAACCATGAGACTGGCGAATATCATATCACTTTGGCCGACTTTCGTCAAAGACGCACCAGTCTTATCAGTAGTGTGTTGTCGAATATGCATACCTCGCTCAATTCCTTTTATCCTTCGACGATTTCGGAAAGCAAANGAGAGTATGTTGATATGCTCAAGGCTGCTATGCAACACATGCGCAGTACATACGAACAACTTCAAGACATGGCTGGGCGGCTTGGTGGATCGTCATACGACAACGTCAAGGGAGCTTATGTTGAGTTCGTCCAATCGACCATATCTTTGATGCAGCAATACACGTCGGAAATCTGTCCTATCGATCCTTTCTTCGTGGACTCTGCGGCTTTCCCTCTTCCTCTGGATGACCCGACATATGTCAAAGCGAAGCTCAAAAGCTATGACTCAAAACTGGAAGACGGTCGTGCCCGCAAACAACTTGCTGTGTTTGTGCAGACGGTCAGTGAACGCGCAGCTTCTGAGAATCAGCAAGAATATCTCGTCAAACAGATGCATGCCGCTCTGATAGGAGAGGCATCGAGGGGGCTTAGGAGTGTGATACTGACAGCTTTGCTACCGGCATACATCCACCGTTCGAAAACTTCCACTCCAGGCTGTCTGTTGGCTATGCCTCTCATCCAAGCCAGTGCTGCGGTCATCTGCGACATGATTGTTGATTTTGATATCGCTGACGAGAAAGCTGTTGATTTGGACCTCGATGCTATTGCCTCCGTTCTTGCGGCAGCATATAACTTCGCCATGTCAATCCCTTCTCAGCCAACATCGCAGAACAGTGGGTCTTTACGTCTCCTCGCAGGCATCATTCACCTCGCCGAACAAAGCCTTACATTTGTCGAGTATGTACACCGCGCCAAAGGCAAGGCAAAGGGCGCCATGGAATTGCTCCATCGTCTCATGGCCTTTGGCGAAGACTTTACCACTCGCGTAATGGACCCTTTCGCAGATACTTCTGGTACAGTGTCGCCTGACGCACCCATACTTGAGAGCGTACACTGTCCCTGGCAAGATACACTCGACTTTGCTACACGCAACCTCACAGACTCTTTGTCAAGAGCAGCACCTCATGCCTGGCAAACAGATTTCGAAAGCGTCGAAGAGGAGAGTCTGAGAGTTGTGGCTGCGGTGGAGNTTTTTAGACGCAGCTATAACGTTATTATCTGTCGTGGCAGGAATCTCGTGCAAAATGCTGTTTATGGAGATGAGAGTGGAGAAGATGAAGACGAAGAGATAGAGGAGCAAGATCTACAGAGACAAGGACTTGATGAGGTCATGATAGGCATGCAGGGGCTGGGATGGGGAGGTTTGGTGTAGTAGATTTGTTATTGCTATCATGAGATTATGATGTTTCTCAATGATGGCTTTTCAAGAACTGTATTGTGCAGCGTGTAATTGTACTTTTCACTCACTCACAAGAGTGTCATGAAGTGTGAGGGAGATTTCAATTCAGAAGCGCTGTGTGTTGAGTGGTTGTAAAAATGCAGAAAGAAATCTGATATGCAGAGTCTTTCCACTGAAACAGCTCTTCTCCTTTGGATTTCAGTGGACCTTTGCTACAACCAAGAATCATTCCTGCATTGTGATGGCATACCTCAGATACCCTCTACAATTGGAGATCCATTTAATCCGTACAGAGGAATCATTGCGGGTTCAGACTTTCTCCGTTTACTACTTCGGCCTCCCGCAATCTCCTCTTTCTTGTATTAACTACTGCATTCCGACAGTTCAGTTGTCAAAGACATGACTTTGCTGCGAAATCACGAGCTTCTAGTATACGGTCATGGACGTGAGTCGCTCATCTTGAGAGCCTAGTAGCAGCATCCAGGAGTTGATTGGGCGCAAGAAACAACACCTAAGTTGTAGGACGCAGGACCAGACTTGCGACGTGACGATCTACGCGTCAGATCTGCTGTGAGATATTCCGTTCAGGCGAGGGCTTTTATAGGAAGTTCAGATGGGTGATGTAACTCCAGGTATCGTTGTTCGAGACGGTGAGATCCATGTGGGTACTTTCATGTAAGAAGATGAACCGGTGGAAATGCGTGATGGTGAAAGAATCCAAGTGTCAGTATACTGGATCCAACTACAAAGAGTTTGCCTAAGACGTGTCAATATATTGTTGCTTCGCGGTGAGACAACACTCTTGTGCAACCATATTCGCTATCACAGGAACTTGAGGAGTTGGTATTCGTCGCGCTCGTTCGATGTCAGAGCTTGCAAATCCAAGACTATCGTCGACATCGCCCCTTTGCGGTTTAGTTCTCGAAGGCGAAAGGCACAATCTATTTTGATGCTCGGCATCAGGATATTTCCGTTTTTGGTGCCAAAACTCTGCTTTGTTGACCACCTCTTTCATCTTTGCAACCACCAGCCCACGTCCCTCCACCACCAAGATGGCTGAACGATATACCTTGGTCACAGAGCCACAGCTCATAATCGGTATGTCAACTGCCAAAGCGTTGCAGCAGCTAGTGCTAACATGTCGTAAGATCAGGATACAGTCGTGCAGAACAACACACACATGACGAGATTTGGTGATTCGAACTTCTGTGTGTGGGTCATGAAGCAGCTCAACACAGTCGGTCGTTGGCACATGGTTGAACCGTTCGTCAGGCTCCCTGGCCAGATGCTCGATGTTCAGACCATCAACCAGAGACTCCACAGTGGCGGCTATCCCGACGCTGCGACCTTGCAGCAAGAGCTTCTGTCCATTCCCACCAACTGGCTGAAAAACAACTCAGGTCAGAACCGCAGACATGCGAAAGCTAATGATCTCTTACTTGAGCTCCCTGCACTCTTCAGGTCAAGAAACCGCGTGGACAACGCACACAGAAGAAGCCAACAGCAGCAGCAGCCACCTACTGGTCCCTCGGTCTCTGCCTCTGCTAACACCAACCCTGGTACCGCTGGCAATGCTGCTTCCGGCAGTGGCCAGAATCCTGCACAGGGATCTGCTCAGGTATCTGTTCAGGATTCCGCTCAGAATGCCGCCCAGGGTGCTGCTGCCGCTGCCGCTACCGCTCAAAATGCTCTTTCTCTTCTGTCGCCTGCTGCCGCCTCTCAACCTCCTGTTATTGTCACCCGGGAATTGTCCATCCCCATCCGCCTTAGCGCCCCACCTCCTGGATCCTCTCGCAAGCCTAACAGTCACTCTGAAAGAAGACCAGTTGAGAACCGAGCAAGCAACACTGGCACCTCCGAGTACTCCTTTGGCAGGGACATTGAGGACGCACTCCGCGAAGGCAGCGAGGAGGCATCTGAGCACAGCTCCGCACTACATCAGGCACGTGCTGGAAAGAAAAGAGCAGCCAGTGGTGACAACATTGGCACAGACTCCAAGAGGGTCCGCCAGGAGACCCCTAAGTACAAGTATCGGTATGTGTTGAGAACAACCGTTGACATAAGACTGAAGATACTGACGAACCGCAGCGAGCTGCGCGTGGAGATCGCTGGAGTGTTTGACAGGGAGATGGAACTCGTTCACTCAGGCGGTTCCAGCATTGAGCTTGCTGAAGGCGCACAACGCTATGTTGATCACGTATCTCAGATGGATGCCAGAGCCATGGAGAAGGCCAGAAAGGTAGACCTGAACGGGATTAAGGAGGACTGTGTCGAAGAGCTCGAGAAACTTCTCGTAGAGGCCGTCCAGGAGCACATCAACAAGGTACTTGCCAGCAAGGGTCAGTACATCCATCCCAGAGTGTCGTTGTCTAGCAAGATGGAGGATGAGGAGGAGGACAACAATGACCAGGAACATGAATCGAAGGCCAAGGTCAAGAGGGAGTAAGGGCGATACCCGGTATGTCTTCTATATTCATGTTTCGTATTGCACGCCGAGCAGGAGAGCTGACTTGATCAATAGCACGACTACGAACCAACAGATGCGGAAGCGAGTCGAGCGTTTCCGAGCGACCGACGAGAACCCGGGCTCAGTTGAGCGCAACAACGAGGCGGCATAGCAATTGCTGCAATACTGGCTTCCTGAATGAGCATACAAGCACGGAAAATCATACATTCAAATGCACGAAGAAAAGTCGGAAGGGTAATGGTCGAAGAACGGAACAAGAGAGCAGATGAGGGGTCGAATTGAAGGCAACTATATGGCGAGATGCACCTGCCATCATGCGCCTGTCTCAGACGAGCGATTCAACAAGTTTTGTCCTCCATAAAAATGCACGAAAGAAAGTCGGAAGGAAGATGGTATGAAAGGGACGAGCAAGGCAAGCGCGATCGTCAGGAGATGTCATCCATCTTTTTCTGGGGAAGCCGTGACACAGCGATCGTCATAGCAAACAGCAAACCTCCAATTCCACTTTCTCTCTTTCCCTCTTACTCCAACCTCTCAATCATTCTGAAAAGCAAAGAAATACATGCGGCGCTACTGCAATCTCCTCACAACTTCAATCCGTTGCTGCTCAGTCAAACCTCTACCACGCATGGCTCTCTACAACAGCCCAAGCACCACCGCCGCAATGTCCTCCACTGCTCCAAACAAACGCATCTTCGCCCCCGGCGGCACAAACGACTCCCCCCAAGCCCAACAATACACANAAGGTAGTCTAGACGCCTCCCAACTGGACGCCAACCCTCTGACCCAATTCGACATCTGGTTCCAACACGCCAATGCCGAAAAAGTGCACCAGCCCGAGACCGTAACTCTGAGCACTGCCGAGCTACCTTCAGGAAGAGTTAGCGCACGAATGGTGTATTTGAAAGAGTTGGATGAAAGGGGCTGGGTGGTGTACAGTAATTGGGGCACGAGTAGAAAGTCAAGTGATGTGAAGAGTAATCCTCATGCTAGTTTGACTTTTTGGTGGCATGAGTTGGAGAGACAGGTTAGAGTGGAAGGCAAAGTGGAGAGGATGACTAGTGAGGAGAGTCAGGTTTACTACGATACGCGCATTCGTGGCAGCAGGCTGGGTGCTTGGGCCAGTCAGCAGAGCAGCGTCTTGAACAGTCGCGAAGAGCTAGAGAAGCAGGTCGAGGATGTGGAGAAGCGATTCGATGGTCATGATAAGATTCCCGTGCCAGAGTTCTGGGGTGGTATCAGGATTGTGCCTGAGATGGTCGAGTTCTGGCAGGGAAGACCCAGTCGCTTGCACGATCGCTTCAGATACACGAGGGACGAGAACAGTGAGTCTGGTTGGAAGATCGACAGATTGAGTCCTTAGGCATCAGACAATATCTATCTCTGTCTTGATTAAAATTAAGATCTATGTCTATAATATGGTTTGTCTGTCCTGATCCTCTTGTGCATATTCTCTCAAGATGTTGGAGACAGAAAGAAGATCATTTCTTCACTCCTTCAGACTCAAACATTATCCTTCTCCTTCATCGTCTCCACCATATCAGTAGAATCTCTGACCTTACCACGCAACCCAGTCTCCGGATCTACGACGGAATTGCCACGGCTACCAGAGACATAAGTCGGGTTTCCAGCCTGGAAGTCCGCAAAGTGCTTCTCTGCATCCCAAGCAAAAGGCGTCGAAGCCGAGAACAGAATATTGACCTCTTCCAATGTGCGTTGATTGGTCTCTGGAAGGAAGATGTAGACCAAGGGAATCGAAATGACGTTTGACGCGGCAAAGATGTAGAAGGTCTTCTCTCCAATGCTGTCGAACATGACTGGGCAGAGGAGAGTGAGCCAGCCGTTACCGATGGACCAACCAACGACACCCCAGGCATTTCCTTTGGCTCTGACCTCCAGAGGGAAGATTTCGGCGGGGATCAACCAAGGCACAGTCAGCCAGGTTGCACCAAAGACTGCAGTATAGATGAAAGTGAAACTGGCTGCTGCAGCTCCATATCTCGCAGCCAAAGCAGTGTTTCCACTGTTAGCAGCATTGATACCACCGCGCGACATTCCGCCGATCAGGAACATAGAGATGGCTTGAGCCACAGCACCCCAGTAAAGAGTCCATCTTCTACCAATCCTGTCAAGAGTGAAGACACAGACCAGAGTAGCAAGCATGTACGTCGTATCGTTAAGACCAGACAACCAACCACTCTTTTGCGCATCATATCCAGCAATGCCAAAAATGGTAGGAGCATAAACAGTGATACCAGCAATACCACACCATTCCTGCAGGATTTGCAGCCAGATGACGATTTGGACTCTGCGGCCAGTGTGCAGACTTCCAGAGCTTCCGTGGCCAAAGTCGAGTAGCATTCTCCAGTAAGTGTTTTGCTTCGATGTGCTTCTCTCCAGTTGTACGATGTTGATGATATCCTGGTACTCAGCTTCGGCTCGGATCCTATCTTCTCCTTCGTCACCACGGAGACGCGCAAGGATGTGTCTTGCTTCCTTGTCGCGACCGACCTTGCAAAGCCAACGGGGAGATTCGGGGAAGAACCAGATGATGCCAAAGAGCATGAGCAGGGGAATAATTTGGAANCTATCAAGATTCAGATCAGTACATCGTTTCGAGATAGCATGCTCGATACTCACAGCAATAGGGAAACGCCATTGGAAAGCTCCACGACCTCCATCGATAAAGGACAAACCAAACTCCAACCAATACGCCACAGCAACACCGAAAATGTTGAGCGTGAACTCGATAGCGATGAACTGACCACGCGAGGTGTGATCGGCCGTTTCAGTGGCCCAGACTGGGACGATCGAGTTGAGGATACCGGTGCCAATACCATTCACTGTACGCGCACAAATCATCCAAACGTGGTTCTGAGCGGAGCATTGCAGAGCAGCACCCAGGATTGCCCAGATGGCGCCAAGGGCAATGGTGCGAATACGGCCAACTCTGTCTCCCACCCACCCACCCAGGAAGGCTCCAAAAAGTGTTCCGAGATAGTAGACTGCAACCTATGACAACAATTAGTATTCCAATCATGAATGAACAAGCAAGGATGAACTTTCGATTCCGCCTTGTAATAAGGAATCTGTGACTACGACTCGTCCAGTAGCCTCATCGACATGTCCAAAGCCCATGAGTTGAGCATAATCCGCCGAGGTATTGACACCACCCATCATTCCTTGGTCATAACCTAGATCTCACATCAATACCACCACTATCCAAAGCCCATCAATCCACTTACCAAAGAAGAAAATGGACAATGCAGCAGCAGAAGCAATCGCATTCAAAAGACTTTTCTTGTATAGCACATTGGCTATACGGAAGCCCGACAATTGATCCATGATGGTTGTAGTGTAGGGTCCTTCGTATCCAGTATATTCTTGATGTCCAAAGATCCAATGTCCAAAGAAGAAAAATGCCAAAAGATGTAAGGGTGGCTCAGAGACTTCCTAGATATGAGATAGTTTTCCACCTCCAAGCGAGGGTTAAATCCAGTCAGAGCAGAAAGCAGCACTCTCGGAAGAAACAGCGACAGAGACACCTTAATATATAAACCAAAAACAAGGTCTTTACACCCGTCGGGTCAAATACGCCCGGTGAAAAGCATCAATGGCGGCCAAACCCCCAAACCAGTATTCCGGAGACTGGAGTGTAACGCAAATGCTCCACAACTCCATCTTCTTTCTCCAACTGGAGAGACAGATGTGGATACCGGGAGCGACGATCACCTGTGCCCGGAAGACTTGCCGAGTCAGGTCTTGGCAGGTGGAAAGGCTTTTTGTTCACGGCATGACGATGGGGCTTGCGACCTTATTGTTACATCCATATCAAGAACACTCATCAATCATTTGATACGAGTCTGTGGATCAGAAAGATCCAGCTGTACACAATGCTTTGGGAGTAAGGACTCTTCGAAGGCCAGATATTTGTGTCCTCGGAGTAGTTGAGAACGAGTCAGAAAAAGTCATGCGACTCCCACAGAGACGGCGCATCAGGCAAGCCTTGCAAGCTTTCAACGAAAGGATCGACAGGGCAAGCGATTTCTTCCGACGTTGCATATCACCTGCAAAGTTGATGTTTCATTTCCGGTTAAATTGGTAGAATAGGAAGAACCGCATGTGAAAGACCGGACAAAAACACTCGGAAATATGTTCAACTATGAGAATGCTCAGTGTATATACATGCAATCGCTAAAATCACTAATCTAAGATGCTGGTCCGTAAAATGCTCTGCTAACAAAGCAAGAAAAAGAAAGATGGTGGTATCATAAGCAAAACACGCAAACACGCAAACGCCAAACCAAAACACTTCAACATCTCTCAAACACGCGATACAGTCCTTTGAGATCTGCTACCTCGATGATTGCTTTTCTCAGACTCTTGGTTGCGACTAATCTTGTTCTGAAGGCAGGGAACATGATATTCTCGAGCGATCTTTCGAGCTGTCCGCGGCGCTTGGTGACCTCTTCTTGTGCACTTTGAGAAGCTCCTGTAGTCACCGATGCAACAGGTAGAGCCTCAGGCGAGTAGAACGATGCCAGTTCGCGCAGGAAGCTGTCGAAACAGTCCTTTTCCTCATCCCAGTTCACATGAGGACCAAGTCGGAGCAANAAGGTGGGAAGCTTGGCCAGACAGGGCATATAACCCTTGAGCATCAGAGGGATACTAAGCAGCTCGCCATCCTCAGAGATGTCAAGTGCGAAGTACTCGTTGAGCATACCTCTGCTTTGCACTAGCTGATCCAGAGTCACTTGCACGACTTCATTCCAGTCTAGCTCCTGGTCGTCAATGGGTGTTCGCGAACGCTCATACTCCGCTCCTATTCGTAAGAGATCTGCGATGCTCAAGGGCTCCCTGAACTTGATGGTACCAAAGTTGCTGAAGTCTGACAGACCAAGCTGGTAGAAGAACTCTGCACTAATCATGCCGTAATCAACCAAGAACAGCTTGACTCCTGATTGGATTGCAGCAATCCTCTTGGAAGTGTCTACTATGCCCACGAAGGTGAGATTCGAGAACACGTCGGACAAGGTATTGTGAATATCGTCGCGCACGGCAGCACGAAGCTCTTTGATCGAGGTAAGTCGGATGGTGGTATGTTCCTTTTCAACGAACTCATACTCGGCTTCTTCGCCGGGACCTCCTTGTCCTTCTGCCCTACTTCCTTTACTCGGCGAAGAAGTCAGGGTAGGTGGAAGCATGGACGTAATCTTGCGGACACGCGAATCTGTCCTTACAAGATTGTTCTCGTATGGTTTGGGAACTGTTCGTGAGATCGTAGAATTAGTGGAGCATGTACTGTCCATATGCTGGAGCAATGGCGTTGAGAATGTCATTTCGGACTGAGTCGAGGCTGCGGGTGTCATCGGTGTTGTTGTCTTCTTCGGCCCCAACAAAGATTGTGTCATGAATGTACGGCTTGTATCGACTGAGCCCAATCTGGTGCGGATCTCATCGCAGATGATCTCGATAATCTCCTCCTCATTCAGGAAGCCCACCTCACGCTTCGTTGGATGCACATTGACATCAACTCTGGCGGGGTCAATATCAAGACTCAAGTAGACGAATGGCTTGCCTCCTTTTGGTAAGAACTGTGCATAAGTCTGGTCAATGGCTTTGCGAATGGCCGTCGATTCTACCGAACGGTGGTTGATGAACAGCAGGAAGGTAGACTTCTTCGCTGAATAGTTGGCACTGCTGATCAAACCTTCTGACTTGAATCCCCAGCGATCATTGGCGACCTCGAAAGATACCAGGTCATTTGCTACTGCGCTGTTGAACACGGTGCGGATGCGGTCAACCATACTAAGGTGACTTTGCACATTGAGACTTGTTCCAGCCTCGCCATGTTTCTTGCATGAGAATGCGACGCCTTTGCAGTGGACAGAGTATTTGCCAATGATGTCCAGGATCTTGGCGTATTCTTCACTGCTCGACCTGAAGGCTCGTCTACGAGTCGGTACGTTGTAGAATAGATCTTCAACNCTATAGAGAATTAGCACAGTGAGGCGGCGATACGACAGATTACTCACAGTAATTTGAGTTCCTTGTTTGCCAGCACAAGGTTTAGGGTCTGCAGATTGTCCAGGCTTTGGTGGTGTAAGGGCTTCGTTCGTATAGTAAGCTTTCCATGCGCAACTTGACTCTCGTGTCTTCGTAGTGACGGTAAGATGCGCGATATGACTGATACTGGCAAGTGCTTCGCCACGGAAGCCATATGTGCTGATTGAAGTAAGATCTTCAAATTCCTTGATCTTGGAAGTCGTATGTCGTTGACAAAGCAAAGGCAAGTCGGCTTTNCTGTGATCGAGTCAGAACTGGTCATGAGCATCAAGACAATGCCTGGTCGTCCTTACGTTGATACCATGGCCGTTGTCACTGATCTGTAGCAATTTCAGTCCTCCATCCTTGACCAGAATTTCAAGCATGGTCGCTCCAGCATCGACAGCATTTTCGATAAGTTCTTTCAAAGCGTTCCAGGGCGAGACAATGATTTCTCCAGCAGCAATCTTGTTGACCACATCTTGATGAAGAGCACGAATGGGTGGCGGTGCCTTGTTGAATGCTTCATCTGCGGTTCTTTTCGTACCGCGTGTCGGCGATGGACTGCGACCAGACATTTGCACATCCTCCATGTCTGCCATTGCATACAGTCTATCCCAGGAATATTGCTGTCGCAAAGTCAGGACAATAGAGTGGAAAGTGACATGGGCAGACGCGTTCGCTTGCGTCACAATCGCGAAAACGGCGCGTGCACGAGTCATGATTGCCTGATTAGGTTGTTTGAGTGCAACCCATCGCACTTTCCAAGAACAACAGACAATTGTTGACACAGCATAAGAATTTCTCTTCGTTAACCAAATCAGACTCAATGTCATGTTCTATGTTCTAATTCTAGGTCGTCATTCCTTGCTGCTGCTCGACCTTCAGCCGACGTATCGCTCCTCGGCGTGATATCTGCATCAGAATTGGATGGTAATCGAACATGACGACTTTGTCGCTTCACAAACGAGAGTCGACTGTTGATCCAACCAGCCGTCTTCCTAATAACTTCCCAAAGTCGATCTTGTGCTTCTCTCAGAGCAGAATCATCTTTGGGGTTCTCGTGTGCTTCCGCTTGGAATTGATACTTGAGACAATCCTTGACTGTGATGAGACCAGTAAGTCTACCACGATATTCCACAAGGATAACTCGAGGTCCAAGTTTCTTAAAGAGTTCCATGACAGTTTCTAGGGGTAAGCGAGGGTGGACTGTGATGGGAGTCGCGTCGATGAACTTGCTCAGGTCTACACTTCCCTGGTTTGATGTCGCACTCAAATAGTCGTAATGGACCGCTGGGTTAGGTGTGGATGGGGTGACCGGTACGTGTCCAGCGACTGGAGTGAAGAAGCATTTCGTGCGTGGTTTTGCCAGCTGGTCACGTCTAGCTCGGTCAAGAGCATAGCGGAGCTCGGTACGACCAGCATATCCCACCAGCATCATTGATGTAGCGTCTTCGACGATTGGATAGCCAGAATACTTAGTGTCATCCAAAAGTTTTTCAATGTCTCGAACTTCCAGACCAGAAACAGGCAAGGCTTTCAGTTCGCTGGTCATGGCTGTAGAGACAGGCACACCAAAGGCGTGGTCTTCCTTATTGTCCAGGAATGGCATACCATTGAACCAGATCATCCGATCTGCGATACCGCCTTTACCGAAGCGGTCACTAACCGCTTTCGTGACACCGACGACGATCTATGGAAAAGGTCAGCGCGAAGGAAAATGAGCAAGTGAAAACCTTGAACATACCATTGTTGGTAGGATGTAAGTCAGGGCTCCTGTTAATTCAAACATGATGACAACGACAGATACAGTGATGTGCATAATTCCAGACAGAGCAGCCGCAGCGCCCAAGAACGCATATGTACCCGGAGTGATGCAGGGCATGTCAGGCTGACAAGCCGAAAAGAAGGCAGAGTTGGGAAATGCCTGTTGGATCGCTTGAACCAAGATACCAACCATGCGACCAAAGGATGCTCCAATGGCCATAGAAGGCACAAATATACCCGCAGGTACTTTGCATCCATACGATATAATGACGAGGAAGGTGCGAAGAATGGTAGCTATGAGGAGGGAGAAGACTGATGCCCAGCGATTTTGACGACTGTAAGTGGTCAGAGAATTGCCAATACATCACAAGGTTCTTTCAACTTACTCGCACAGACCATCATAGTCATGTCCTCCTTCGCATTCCAGAAAAAGGATTTCCATGCTCTCTGTCATGTCGATCCGCAGAAATTTGTTTGGGTAACACAAAATAGCTGTTGCCGTTGCGAGAATGGTGGCTTCCAGGATAGGATATTGACCAAGGTAGCGCTTTCGGAAAGCTTGCATTCGAAGATTCCATTTGATGACCAAGGCACCATATAGACCGCCAAAAATGCCAAGAATGATATAGAAGAAGATTTCGAAGAAATGCCACTGCCTGTCGTAGCTGACGGTAAACATGACGAGCTGTCCTGTACGGAAGGGGTTCATAGCNCTAGGAAATGTGAGCCTGGGGCACTACTCTTGACACGAACACAGTCTTACAGATAGTACTGCAGTGGCTACCAGAGCACAGAAGTAACTTCTCCACAACGTTTTGAGCGGAAAGTAGTTTGACATTTCNCTGATCATAATTAGCTTTAGAGTAGCAGCATGGAGGAATGATAGCCAACTTACCTCAAGTGAGAAAAGCACACCTCCAATGGGACTTCCAAAAGCCACGGCCACACCAGCAGCAGCACAGGCACTGAGGATTTCTCGGGTCTTTGCAGCATTTCGGCGATACTTGTCAAAGAAGCGAGAAATGACATTACCTGTGCACACGGCGTAGTGAACACTTGGGCCCTCTTTACCGACTGACAAACCAGAAGCGATGGCAAGAGGGAGGCCGATGGACTTGATGAGTAGTGTCCAGAATCCGAGGAAGCCCTTCATGACGAAGCCCGCAATGATGCATTTGATTTCAGAAATACCAGAACCGGCAGCGTAGGGAGCATAGCTTTTGACGAGTCGGGCGGATGTGAAGGCAAAGATGGTCNNTTTGTATATGATCAGAACATGGCAGAGAATTACGCGAGGAGCAGAGCTTACGGAGAAGAGGATGTATATTATATAGCGGAAGATAACATGAGAACTCCAAGGCCGCCATTCTGCGCAGCCTTCGNNAGGCGTCAGTACAGTGTTTGTTACAGGAATCAAGATATACAAACCTTCCTCAGCACCCCAGCAACAGAAGCTCTCATTCAAGTAGAAAGCAGTTGTACAATGACCCAGCTTGATATCGGACAACCATTCGGTGATTATGTTCAAGAAGGCGGCATTCAGACCAATGGCTGTGCCAATCAGAGTAACAACCAACCATGCCTGACCAGCATCATAGGCTTCCCATAATCTCCTTCTCCAACCCAAACGACCGTCTCTTTCTTGGAAACCAGCTCGTTCTTGTCGCTTAGCCTTGCGTCGTTGCTGTTCTCTGGCTGCATCTCTGACCCAGTCTATTGTTGTAAAGTCTTCATATCGCTTGATCTCGTCAATCTCGTCGGCGACAACCTGGTCTTCTGGATTGACGCGAGTCGTGTCTCCTTGTTCGGCGGCCGAGAGTGAGAGAGCCGAGACTCTGCGGTTGAAGGAGCGCAACGAGGCCGACGGCGCCAGCGACGGACGGCGAGAGGGTGGATGGGAGTTCATTGCATTTCTATTGAGATCTCATGCAGCCATGTAACTTGGAATGCGATGGCATGCGCCGGTCGAACAGCAACTCGAGCAGTCCCAAGGCCAGACCTCAACCACTTTCGGAAGGAGCCGTCGTCGCGCGACTGCCAATCTTGAAACGCGTCACGCTTGATCTTCCACTCCATCAGACACTGCAATTGTAATCAATAGCAGTCATAGCATTACCGTCAAGATGCCCTACAACAACACTCCCATCACTCCCTCGACCGAGATCACCGGCACCGTATCTCTCCCGCGTCAGTCTACCAGAATCTATGAACCATTGTCGCAACTTCTGACGTTATAAACAGTCGCCAGAGTCAAGAAGATCATCCATGCCGACGACGACATCAACAACTGCTCAAACAATGCCGCCTTTGCAATCACCGCTGCCACCGAGCTCTTCCTACAGTACCTGGTCGAACAAACTCAAAATGTCGTCAAGGCCGAGAAGAAGCCCAGGAGGAACATTCAGTACAAGGACGTCGGTGAGTGTTATTCTTGTCCACCTCATACCCCAATCCATCATTGACTCGTCTTTCAGNCCAGCGCAGTCGCCCGTGTAGACAACCTCGAATTCCTGGCCGACGTCGTGCCCAAGACTGTTAACTACAAAGAGCACAAGGCCAAGAAGCAGAGAGAAGAGAAGGAACCTGGGCAGACCACTCTCCCTATTGTCGCCTCTGCCACCACTGCTACCGCCACTCTCCCTACTGCCGTGCTCCCTGCTCAATCCGACCCAGTTCCTGCTCCCGTTCAAGCACAGCTTCTCGACCCCATGGATGAAACTTCGTGAAAGGCCATCTCCGAACAACTTCACCCCATGCCACATCATCGCTTGATGACACGTCTGCACGCCCATGCTGCTATTCAAGCTTCCAGACCACTCAGCACGCATCATCAACATGACACCTGCTGTGTCTCGACATTCAGTGGAACACAATTACCAGCCACATCGCTCTCACGCGTTGCTCATGATGAGGAGGATTCCGGGCCTGCTACGATGCCCGTGTTATCATGAGCTGTATATTGTCCTTCACAGGCTTTTCTCCTTTGAGCTATGCGCACTATGGGAGAACTCAGTACCAGCGCTGCTGTGTTTGCAGACTAGCAAACAATGCCTCAGATCCATGGCCATCACGTGCTAGAATCAATACCATGAAAGTATGAAAACTCAAATTACTTTTCTGTCACGTTCCACAGCCCTGCCTCGTGTTTGCTGACTGCCTCTACCAGCATATAACCTCGCTGGCTGCAACCCACATGATTTCAACTTCTCCCACATGCTTCCTTGACGTCTCTGCGCTGGTCCATACCGTGGCAGCATGTGCGTTCTGGTGTATATAACGACTTCCTCGGGCATCATGGGTCCCTCCTTCCTTTCAACAACAGCAAGCCACTTCCCAAGTCTCAAAGCATTTCGATAAACACTTGGTTGAACATTCTTCGACTCCATCTTATATATCAACAATCAGCACAATGCAAAAGTACCACGGTGCTTCCAGTTCCTCCAGCGGCAAAGGCAAGCAATCATCGCCGCCGGGAAAGTCGCCCAGCAAGTCACCTGGCCAGTCACGACCCATTCTTCGCGCACTCCCACCAATTCCACTCTGCAAGTGCCGCGATCGTATCGGAGAGCCGACCTTTGCGCAGGGCGAAAGACTCGAGTGGCCCGTCCTCCGCGAAAAGATCATGCGCGTCTTCCCTCGTTCCTCCAACCCCATCATCCCCTGCGACTGGGGTCAAAAACTCATCAAACAAGACGCCAACGGCCACACCTGGGACCTTCACTACCTCGAACTCAAAGAATGCATCACCGCACCCTCATACATGCCCATTGCACCTGAAGCTGCACCCCAAGTCCTCTTGCGCGGAGAGCCTGCAACCAGAATGTCTGACGCACTGGAGAGTGTGATGAACATCTTGGATCAAATACCCTACAACTGGAGATACGACTCCAACACCAAACTTCCCATTCATGCTGAGGAGTTTCCGGCGTTTGAGATTGATTGCTCTATGTGTGGGTTGCCTCGCAAGGATCCTAGATACTTGCCTCCTAAGCCGCAGACTAGCCACAAACTCAACCTCAAGCGCTAGACGAGAGAAAACATGTTCACAGAGATGTACCAAGACCTGTACATGGCGTCTCCGAACGGGAACAGAGGATTAACGATATGATGGGATTATGATTACGAGAAACGACAACCAACGAGATGAAAGGACATGATGTTACAACGACAACACAAATTCAAGCTTTGGTGGCTAGAACGATGGTCATTGACATGATTTCAGCGAGGCAAAAGAACAGATGAGAAGACGAGAAGACGACAAAGCAGAAGCACAAATGGCATGCACTACATCGCCGAATGCGCGGTTGAGATATATGATCGGGTCGAAAATGAAAGATACCAACAAAGAGATTCTTGTTCTATCTTGTATTGTCTTATTCAACTCTTGAAACAGCGGCACGCTCGCTCGTATATCGTGATTCGTGCATTAGCATCATTTTCTGTTCCCTAGCATTTACTCTTTCTTATTGATCTGATGGGTATTCATTCGAGCATTCTCTTAGACAGTAGCACTACACTGTAATATATAAATGGACAGGACATCGTGGACCAAGTACCCTCACAGTTCTCGACAGGGTCACATGCTATACATGTTCAATGTTCTCAATGGCAAGACTCTCAAGCTCTCCAGAGTCAAACGTCTGATGGAAATGATGAACATCAGTTGGAAAAGCAATCATAGTATCATAATCAATAGCCGTCACAGGCCAATATCCGTTGTTCCCTCCCCAACCCTGTACCTTCCTTGTGTATGCCCTGTCCCAGCCCACCAAAGCAGCCAGAACTCCAAGCAAACTCCAAACCCCAACTAACCCCCTTCATCCCTCAATCACTCATATACTCAGTATCACCCTCCGAGTCATCGTCCCCCAACGACGCATCATCATGACCCTCCTCAACATCCTTGTCCCCGATATAGTCAGACACTTTCCAGAAGGCAGTGGGTCCAGCAGGTCCATGGCGGTCAAAGTCCTTGTCGAACCAGTTGCCCAGCACGCCTCTGCCGGAGCGGATGCCGCCGACTTGGATACCTTCGCTGCGCCAGCGTTCTTCACTGTTGGAGAAGGGGTGTTAGTGTTGTTGTTTGGCAGTCAGTATGAGTGGTTGTGTGGGCGGAGATGAGAAGATATGCTTGCGAACAAGACCAGGTCTTCCTCCATAGGTGGTTTCTCGCTTTCACTGCTTGCAATCAGGTTCGGATGTTCGAGAAGGTCGAGATCGGAATGCCAGAATAGGGAGTTTCCTTTTACACAAGACTGAAGGTGTGCTCAACTGGCAAGCATTGGTCTTTCGCGGTGAGCAAAATGTCCTTCAGCATGCAAGCAGCCGCTCGTGACCTCCAAAACGATGGAGTGCCAGAGCACAAGATATGCTATGTCCATGCAAAGAAGAATCGTTCCGGTGCGGGGAATCGAACCCCGACCTCCTCGGTGCCTTGACTGCAATGATGCAGGCAGTGAAAGCGAGAAATCCTAGCCGTTAGACCACACCGGATGGCATAAAGTGGTACAGCGAAATTGCGCAATAGAAAGTTTGAAGACAAACAACGTACCTGTGGAATATAGAAAATGTCGTCCACCGAATTTCACCTTCGGGTGTTTGTCGAACCACACCNTACAAATTTTTGTCAATTGAGAGTTCTTGAGACGGGATGACTTCGGACATACCTCTGATTTGCGAATTGGCGTTTGCATCCCAGCTTGCGTGTAAGCTCCAGCTTGTACCCGTAAAAGAAACGACAGGATAATCTTGACCATCCTCGGGACCCGGAGGTTCGATTGCAGATACACGGAGTTTGAGGCGGATGATCCTGATGGCTTCGCGAGTGTTGATGGGGTCTCGTGGCTGATCAGCAGGTACGCTGTGCAAGAAGTTGAAGGCGAACAAGTCGTGGTAATCCAAGAAGCAGACGACACGCATCCATTCTCCGGTGATGCCGTATGGATCCTGCATGTCCAGATCGCCAGGTGGACTTAATTCTCGTACGAGACCCGTGGGCTGAGCAGAGATGTAGGAGTATGGAGAGACACCATTGAATGGCTTCTCCCAAACTGGCTCGAAGACGTGTGGGGCTCTTCTGTTGAAGAGTCGCATGTTGTATCCCAGAACCACCATTATAGACTCGACTTTCTCCCAGTCGACTTCCTGGCTTCCATCGCTCTTAAAGGGACCCCACAAACTCTCTTCTGTATATCGTCGAAGATCATAGACAATGGCGCGAGCATAGTTGTTGGTGGGGGTCTGGACGCTTTCTCCAGCCGAATCTGGATGCCAGAGGACCGAGTATGATGGCGATGGAGAGTTATCGTCGCTGTCTTCCTGTACGAGCATTGGTGGGATCTGGCAGTCTATGGGAACACCGTAAAGACAGTGCAATTTTGCTGCAAGCTGGCGTAGCTCTGGCGTGGCTGCGGGTTGCTGTGTCAAGTTTCCAGCGTGTTCGAAGAGGGAGGATGAAGCGAGGAAGGCGTCGATGTTCTTCTGTGACTTGAAGAGGTCGGCGAGGAATTGTGCATTTCTCGTACTGTTCTTGACGGACAAGAGTGGAGCGATCAGAGGAGCCGCCCATGAGAAAGCGTCACGCTGTCATATGTCAGTTTCCTGAATCAACCACTCTCGTTTTGCAGAGAACCGAAGACCTTTNGTTTCGAGCTTGTCACTCTCAAGTAGCTTCTGCAGCGCAACCTGGTTGCGTACTGACGACTCCCAACAGGGCTCGGCTTCTGTTGGATGGTCNCTATCTATCACATCAGTATTGCACACTGATAGAGTCCAATCGTTCCTGCTGACCCATGAGCGCAGGTAGACACTCTTGCAGAGTATTCTGTTGCCCTTGACAAATGAGTTGAAGGCACGGCATGTCGCACTTAATGCCGCAAGGTCATGTCCGTCGACCTCGCCCAAGATGCCCTGTAGCAGCTCGTGCGAGAGGTCGAGGAGACAGGTCATTCTGGTTGCGACGTTGGAGGATCTGAGGAGAAAGGATAGGGAAGAAGTCAAGATCCCTTTACGCACCACCGCTTCCGTCCCGCCTGCTCTGTGCCTTCCAACGATATCGTGACCGCGGCTCGTCCACCCTAATGTATGAGCGATGCGGGGAAAAGCGGCCGTGGTCGGAGTTAACGGCTGATCAATCTATGTCCCTTTGCCCGTTTAAACTTGTTTAATAAACGTCATACATTTGTCTTTTGTCTGTATACCTATCTAACAATTTTGGCACTCTCTCTTCATGTTTTCAAAGCAAGAGAATACTCCAGATATCCGTTGACTTGAACCAGATGCCAATCGCGCAAGACCTGAGACCATGGCTACTCTCATTCCCGAGACCTAAACCTTTACAAGGATGATCCAGAACGAAATCAAGCACGATATTCCACTTTGAAGGCCCAGCAGTACTCCTCTGCACTTGTGGCATTGTGTGGAACATGAATCTTCAAAGCACCGGTCTTCGTCTTCCACCACCTCAAGCTAGTGTTGTTCTTGATGCCAACAGTAGTCACCACGTCTCCTGGCATGATTGGTACTGGTGCGTCGACAACTAATGTCTCGTTTGCTGGCTGTCTGAGAGACAGGATGTAGAAAGCATCGTTGGTCTGCGTGAACCGGATATTTCCAGTCGGATCCTCGGGCGTGATGAACCAGTAGGTAGTGTTGAAAATGGCTTCTGCATGAGCATTGATCCATTTTCCAGCTGCTCGCAAGTTGTCCTGTTCTTCCTGGACGATGGTGCCGTCTGCTCTGGGTCCAACGTCGAGTAGGAAATTGCCGTTCTTCGAGACCATGTCGACAAGATCTCGCACTATGGTGCTAGCATTCATGTATGCAGATGGTTCAGTCGCTCGGTTGTAACCATAACTGTATGGATCCATGCCTTGGTTGCTCTCCCATTTCCTTGCTTGAACAGTAGAGAATGTCGCATATTCTGGCGTGTCAAAGTCTGCTGTGTGAGCGAGTCCGCAACGAGAGTTCATCGTAACCTCTCTGTTTTGGGTGCGTGCCTTATTCCACCATGCTGCAGCAAAATCTGCGGTGCCATTTGCGGCTCCACAATCACACCATATGATGTCCGTAGAGTAATTGTATGCAAGAATCTCCATTTGAGGGACCATGACATCGGTGATAAAGTCGTCCACAGGAACATGACCAGTGTATGGCTCATTGAATCCCGTATATGGGTTTCTAGCAAGCATACCAGGCCAAGACGTAGAACTGTTGGTAGCCAACTGCGAGAATCCATATGGTCCAAAGTCAGGATTGAACCACTCTGGCAGCGAGAAATAAGTTCCTCTACGTAGAGACGGTTGATGTTTCGCCGCTGCATCAAAGAGCTCGCCCAGTAAATCTCGTTTGGATCCGTAGTGCAAGGAGGACCGATTGCTTGTCAGACCAGTGTCGAAGTTGGCGAACCCATCATGGTGCTTTGTAGTAAAGACAAAGTACTTAGCTCCAGCTTCTGCAAAGAGGTCCACCCAAGCCTTCGGATCAAAATTCGAAGCAGTATAGTTGACAAAACCGTCGTCATAATTCCATTCGGGTCCGAAGGTCCGCAATCTGTAGTTGTAGAAATCCGAGGCATCTGCCTCAGGATGATGAGTCGTATACCACCAAAACCACTCAGCATAGCTCTCATGTGGAGTCGAATTGCCCCAACCAGGAACAGAGTATGGGCCCCAGTGTATGAAAATACCAAACTTGGCGCTATCATACCAGTCGGGTGCCTCGTGCTGCGCAAGGTTGTCAAGATCAGATGTCCATGCTGAGAGGCCGAGGTCAACTCCATTGAATGATTGAATTTGCTGTAGCGAGCCATCATCTAACGTGACAGCCACTGCACCCATGGATTTTCCGGTGACACCGACGTTGACGCGCTTTTGATCACCAGGACAAAGTCTTTTGACATGGCCTGGGACGATTGTTGTAACATTGCCACCTGACAGTTTAATATCAAGTCCTTTGCCTGACACACAATCTGTGCCTGCATTGTTAACCGTGACCTCAACGACCTGAGTGCCATTGCCGAGCCATTTTTGAGTGGAACGAATAGATTGGACAGACACCTCAGAGCCTTGCCAAAGCGAGATTGCAAAGACATGCAATCTGCCGGTAGTAGTGTTCGTTGTCTTTGGTAGCGTTATCGAGGCCAGTTGCTTGTCACTAGGCAGAGCATAGCTATATTCGTAGATGTGGGTGGTGTTGAAGTTCGTGCCATTGGTCGTGTATCTGTAGGGAAGAATGATCTCTCCGCGATTGATGGTTAAGAAAGCAAACCATGGCTCACTCCGCAGTTCGGAGATCGAGGTGGTATTGTCTTTATGGGTAAAGATCAAATCACCAGAGACTGTCTCGAGTTCGACATCCGAGGCCACAAGTATAGAGGCTGAAAAGTAGTTCCCTTCCGGTACTTGAATGGTTTGGCCGGTACAGAGCACATTATCCGGTTTGTGTCTCCCAGTATAGCCAGGGAAGTTATAGATGATCCCACTTTGTGTAGAAACATAAGAGCCATTGTGCCCAACTATAGGTGCAGGATAAGATTGGTTCAAAGGATCAAATGCTGCTTCTCCTGCGAAAGTGCCAAAGGCTTTGTTGTTCAAGTAGGATGAGAGATCGAGCGGTACAGACTAACCAACTTGTCAATGCCATGGAAACTATACCGAGTCAATGAGAAATCTAACCTTGGAGACAAGGCTAGGAGGCTTCACAAAAGCTGCAGGACAAGTCGCGGCGTAGTAGGCCAAAGCTATGCACCATGTTTGTAGATGAACCATCCTTGAGAGTCGTCGTCAATTGTTAGTACCATTCAGGAAATGCAGAAGATATTATTCGGCTTCTTCTAGTCCAACCAGCCATACTGCTTATCTCTCGAACTTGAGGTATGGGTCCTTGAGTGATACATCGTATCCTAGCATAGCCCCTCATATCAGTGGCACAGTAGCATCGGCAGTATCGGTTGAGCAGGACACTGGGCCTCCCTGCTACTCTGGCCGGGATACCGTATCCTCGCGCGGTCGTATGGGAATAGTGATCGACGTAGCGATAGGCCAGCGGGAGGCACACTCACATAATTTTCCGGCCGGCAAATTCAGACGACGGGCTGAAGACAGCAGACCATCTATCGTTAGAAGGCATGATACAGGTCCGCATTGACATCCCCCTTTTCAAGATAAAAAATACTGTGCCATTAAGAAGTGGTCGGGGTGCTTGGAGGTGCACATGCGGTTGGGGCTGGACAAGCATTGCGCGCGCGTCATCGTGAGCGACCGAGCGCGCTTTCCTTGGAAGGGGGTTTCTTCTTGTCTCTCCTCCTTCAACAACCTTATCTCATTTCGTACATCTGTTAGCTGGCTTATCAAGAATCAAGAGCATTCAAGGTTTGGCACGAGAGATATGACTTGCGAAAGCGATGTGACATTGATACGAACTGCAACCTGGCTCCAGTGATCTTCGGAGAGGGGCATTGTGCGGAGTTGCAATGCAGTGTTGACCTGGCAGGGTTGTAACCATCGCACCTGCCTCGAGATAAAGCATGCCTGCCATGGAAGGTAAGTCGCAATCTTTTCTAATAATGTCCAGACCGGCCGTCCTCTCTTGTTCGCATGATATCGCCTGAAACTTCAAAACATGTTATCAAGACTTGTCTTTGCCTTGGCCGCAGTATTGCCCTTAGTGAATGGGCAATTCAACAACCCACCTGGTGTCGATATATGGTGCGGTAAGGCCTATCGCGATACGTACGCCATCTACTCAAGCTTGATGGCAATGGATTTACTTACGAAAACAGCANATGCGTCTTTCAATCCAGGTGGCTGGTTTAAAGAACCAACCAAGTCTGACATTCCACTGGTCGATTTCAAAGTCAGACCTAGAATGGATTTGTATCTAGAAGACGACATAACCTCAACCTTCATCATCGATGCACCCATTTCTTGGTATGTCGGCCATGCTCTGTCAGACAACAATACCNTCCCTTTGTCACACCATAGCCCGGAGATCATACTTGAGATCAAGGCCGGAAACACCTCACTATGGTTGAACAAGACATCAATCCATCTAGGGTCTTCGGACAACGAGATCTCGTTTGATCTGTCTTCTCTGGCTGCCACATATGAGCCACACAACATCACAGTCTTCGGCGCTCTCAAAGGACATGAGAACAAGACATTCACTGCTATGACTCAAGTCAAGAAGCTTCCACTACGCTCCGACAACGGCACAGTCACACGTCTCGACAACCTCTACGGTGGTCTCTCTGTCCGAAAAGGACAATCCAAAGAATGGACAGCGTTATTCCCTTACACCTACTATGTCCAATGGAGTCTGTACTGGTACGCCAACATCTCAACCTTGGATGAGTTCGCAGTAATGGGATATAATGTCATCCATATCGTGCCTACAGGAGATCTAGATGACACACCCTTCCCTTGGGACAAGTTCCAACCTTACCTTGACCGAGCCGATGAACTGGGCCTATACTTCATGTATGATGTCCGCTGGGATCACACCAGTTTGACCACAATGATCGATCAAATAAATCATCTACATAACCATCCCTCGATCCTTCTTTGGTATACCGGTGATGAACCGGATGGAAAATCGGTTCCTATCAACTCGACTCTCATTGCCTATGACGCCATTAAGGCAATCGATCCATACCATCCAGTATCGTTGGCCTTGAACTGTCGAGATTTCTACTACGCAGACTACGCAGCAGGTGCTGAAATCGTGTTGGAAGACGTCTACCCCATCAGCACCAACACTTCGTATTCCACTGTCTACAACACACCCTGCAACGCTACCTACGGTTGCTGCGGCTGCGACGACTGCGAAGGAAGTTTCACAGATATATCTACGCGTCTAGACGAATACGCACATAAAGACAACATCTTGGGTTGGCAGAAAATTCACTGGGCAGCCCCTCAAGCTTTTGGAAACGAGACTTTCTGGACTAGATACCCCACTGCTGCTGAAGAAGTAGTCATGAATATGTTGAGTATCAATCATGCGGCCAAGGGAATCGTCATGTGGGATTTTCCTACCAAGACGGATATCCTTGACGTAACAAACAGACTAGCTGCTGTGTTAACAAAGGAGCCAGTCGCTGGGTTCTTCGTTGGTGCGCCATTGACACAAAGGTTGAAAGTTGACGGTGCTGGGAACATTGATGCTGCTGCTTGGGTCAAAGGTGACAAGACTCTCGTCTCCATTGTGAATCTTGACTACAACAACACGATCGCCGATGTCACGATCTCGTTGCCATATAGCGTCAGAGCTGAAGGCAATGTGACGAGCCTCTGGGGCGATGGTACCTGGTCGGTCCGTGATAACAAGCTACGTACAAGCTCGGTTAAGGGTTTGGAAGTCTCTTTGTTGCTGCTCAAGCACATGTAAGGTAGCCCTTCCCAACGAACACTAGCTTTCATTATAAGAGATGAGTGGCAACGAGGACAGACTATTACGCCTATGATGTAGTTGTTGAATACAAAGATATAGGACCTCTATCTATCTTCTTCAACGGTTGCAAAGGGGAGATTTGTGCAGCAGATGGAACATATGATTTTCACTCTTGATTTGAGCAGTATCTTGTGAAGAATTTTCTTTCCGAAACGACTTAGTATCTTTGAGAAGTTGGCCTGAGCTGCCACATCGATGTATGATCTATGCTTATTTTTTTTTTAACCACAACACGGAGTGTTTCAACACTATTGGTATCTCTTGTTGCAGAAGTCCAACCCTCCTCAACTACGGTGGCAGGTACAGAAGGAACTCTGAGCTCATCCACTGAACGATAAGATGTTCGCAAGAGAAGATATGGACGCTCAAAAGGAGATCACAAACGCAAAAGGTTCACTGGCAGTGTTGTCGCTTCTGAGGAAATCCAAGGCTACTGAGACTATGAATAGGGAGTTGAGACTGGACCGATGAAGCAGATGGTGCAAGTTTGTGGCTTCGCTGAACGTAAGCTCATTCAAAGTTGCTGTCATTGTACATAGACATCCGCTCGAGGACCTTCTCTATGAGTGATTTCGAATCGGGTCTCAGTGGCAAAAAGATTTCAAATGCAGACACAGATTCGTTATATTGAAGCATAGTACAAAGATTACGCGACTGAATTGTAACACAATGATGCAAAGTGTCTATGAAATGCGCAGTGATAGAGAACAACTCGTCGCTTCCTCAAGTCTGCAAGACGTTATTACAATATGACCCTGGTATAGGCGTCAGCCTTCTTCGAAAGCAAGATGCAACGCGCAAGTGGCTCTGAAGATGCGACGAACTATACTTGAGCTAACGAGAACAAATTGACACAGCAAACATATCCCAACTCAGCACAGAAGTTGTAACTAGATGGCGGGAGACTCAAGAAGAATGTGGGTCTTATTACATGGCGACTTCATCAATGGTAAACGAGCATAGCGAATGCAGAAATGACTGCCCATCTATAGATTGGTTGTGATTGAAGACGGAGTTTCGATTTTGAACATGCTCAAGGACAATCTTCATACCAAGATGCGACGAAAGAGTGATTCTTGGAGCCCGTACGCAGCTCGTAAGATGATGACGATCTGTCGCGGAAGATGGCCGACATGCTGCCCGTTGGCGAGCTTGACACAGAGGATACCAACAACTGAATCATCAACAAGGGAGATAGCATGAGAATAATACGGACAGGGCAACAGCTAAATCAATCAATGTTCCAGCAGAGAGTGAGAGCAAGCAGAGCAGAAGCGCTCAGAAACGCGTGTCCGGAAAGACAAAGGCCCGAGACATCACGTCTTTTAACCTTGACAGGCTGGACCATTGAGCTGGTAGTCTATATGAGGTCTATAGGTGATGGCCAATATATAGAGGTTTCGGAGGCCTTGCAACAGATCTCGTTGGGCGTGTCCTCCCTAGATGGCTTTCAAAACACCTGTCCTATATACTGCTGTCGTGCAACAAGCTAGTTTGTTTTTTGTGGGCGCGAGAGAAGCACGCAATGGGCATCAAAACCCTGATTTGTATGACAGCCCACTCTTCAAGCCGGTGTTATCGCTGCTTTAGACGTTTTGCTGTCTCAATGTTCCAAGGGTATGAGCCAATCGCTCTCAAGGGTAGCAGGTGTTGTTTGAGTCAGTACACTGTACATCGAGTGCACCGCAAGCTGTTGTGATCGAGATGCTCAAAGGGAGACAACAAGCAGTCTTCCTCATTGAGTGGTGACGACCAAAGGTTATAGTAGTCGTGGAAAGCTCGCCTGAGGACGATGCGTCGTATGGACAAGTTTGGTGTATAGCGAGCGAAATTCGACTAGCAAGGTAGGAAGGAGTTGTTTCTGGAGATCAACCGTCAGCAGTAGATCGTATGGTCTTATTCCTTCAACTGTGCCAACAACTCGATACGTGCAGCGTCAAGAAAGCCATCGTTGGTTCAACACATTTTCTTTCAAGGCTCCGAACCACGAGACGTCTCTTGTCATGACCTTCACTGGCGACAACAGCGGCCATGTGGCTGATTGTAGATGCTGCGCGATTGATCGAAGAAGGTCGATGCTGATGTCTGCTGATCACCGGCTCTTGTTGATCTATTGGGGCTTCAAAGAGCCTGGACATTGTTCGGGAAGTGCGAGGATTCTGCGTAGTAGCGTCTGGCGTGTGTATCGAACGTTGAGTCTCGCGACCTGTGACAAATGGCCATCGGTGGCCGATACCGCAAACTGGATTGCGTTACGTGCTTAAGAATCAGGGAAGAGAACGAGGGCTGAGTTTCGTCGGATTTCCCTTGCCAGCAAAGACAGCGACCGACTCATGACATCGACATGAGAACGCATCAAACCCTAGGGCTCGAACGATGTGGCGCAAGAATACTGGTGAACTCGGTCCATAGAGCGCAGCCGCGGAGACGGGGTTGATGGATAAGGAGTACTTAGTATCGACATGACGAGTTCCTGTATTGTGTGATTCGCTCAAGATGCGTCCTGAGGCACCCCAGTTACCAGGATCATCAATTCTGCCAAGAACTAATCAATCCGAGCTTGAACATGTGGTCGAGAAAGGGTGAGTGGTCGAGATCCCGTACCAACGGCTTTCATGTAGTCAAATGCTCGAGAGGCAGGTATATGATCACTGTGAAGACAAGCGTGAGTCCTTCCAGGAACGTCCTGTTCGACAGACTTCGTCAAGGATCATTGAACGTGGAGCTTGCGGAGGAACTTTCGTGACAATAGATATCGTGATGCCCTCATGCAGTCAACCAAAGCTTCCGTTTAACAGAAGTCGTAAGGTTTCCCTGGTAGCTTTTTGTAGCAGTCTAGATCATGGCATAAATGTAAAGCCCGCCGAGAGATGGTGTCGTAGTATGATCAGGCGGATCTGCAAAAGGAGGCGTTTAGAGACTGGCCTCATGTAAACGCGAGGCTCTCTCACCGGCATTCCTTGCTCAACGTATCCGGATCCTAGCCGCGGAATTTCAGTTGCAACGACACGAAACCTTATGGTCAGCGACATACAGCGCCGCCCTAATACTAGGAAACGCGACAGTTGCAGTCATATGGTACTTCTTCTGAAACCCTCAGATCAATAGAACCTAGCAATCCGACAGCAGAGATAATCTTGAGCGCGACAGCCAGGACATCACAGGTGAATTTCCAGCTGTCGTTCGTTAGTTCTAGCGCCAGCTCCACCGTGTCTTCAGCAAGCGGTGAACATGTTCCGTCTTGCCAAGCTGTCGGTTTATCATCGACGATTTATGTATGGTGTTTTCCAATCAGACGATGAGAAGACTCTTGGGTCTCCATCGAAAATAGTGATTCCCACCAACCAAGAAATTGTGCCTCATTTCCTGGATCGGCATTGTGCAGACCCATTGATGCGTGACTTACGGTGGATACTGCTGATCTCTGTAACAAGCCGTTTCGATTGAGTGGTGTATATGCAGAGAGTGGTACATTGACTGGGTATACGACGTACGCATAGCCGCGATGGCCGATATAGCATTGCGTTAGCTCACTCGAAATCTGGTGATGCCTGTCAGCAGACCGAGACAGTGATTTCGACGAGACTCCTGCGCGTGCACATGTCACCCACGTAGCCACAGAAAGAAAAAGGTCCTAGCGACGTCGCATGAACTACGACGCGGTTGTTAGCTAACCGCCCGTGCCTAGGCCGGTTCCATTAATCAAAAGTAAGCTTTCGTGCTCCTGCTGATCTCATTACCTTTTGGACGCGCCAGCCGAGTCAGGGTCGGTATCCAGAACAATGGCGACAACAAAGAGGAAGGAGATGTCAGCGGGAACGATCTGGTTGGATGACAGACGCAGGAGACGTTCGTCTTGGTAGGTGCCGAGGCAGAAAACGGTCAAGACGACGCACGGAAATGCTCCCGAAGAATTGCATCTGCAAGCCGACCGTTAATCCTTTGAGGTNATGCAGCACGGCAGATTCCCTGTCCAATCTAGATTGCCACACTTTGACGAACGGGATGATGTATCTGATTGCGATCAGAATGGTGGAGTTGGAGCAGGGAACATGTGTCTGAGAATAATCTCGGGCCAGTAGGGGAAGTTGTGGTCGGCAGTCGCAGCTGTCAGTTAATTTGGCCGTGAAAATCCCAAGCGAGACGACGTCGCCGAGTCGCGGGGACCACGCGACTTGGGGCTGTCCCGTCTTNNGCTTCCTTCATCAGAGCTTCTTTGCCACGCGGTGAGAGCAGCCACATTACCGCTCCTGACAGAACTATCACGGGCCATATCCTGTTCCAGACTTAGCGGCCTCCTCTTGTCAACTTGCATCTCTCTCTTCGATGCGTTGCCTGCCGTCATGGCGCCATCCCCGGCGCCATTTGACCCTCAGATCTTCCCNGCTCCGATCACGGTGCGACACATNACGGAATCTGATTCGGGTATCTGCATAATCGTCAATACTCTCTGTTTTCTCAGCTCTGGCTTGCCAACTGTTGTCATGACAGACTTGCCAACAATGGGCAAGCCTTGACTGATGCGGTCCGATCGACCAAGCAAAGTTAGAAACATTGTGTCAGAGCACCGAGGGTAAGATCGATTCGGAACCCTTGACATCAAGGTCTGGCTGCATGCGAGACGAGTCCGAGTCGATCATGTAGGACTTAGGACTAGTTATTCGGCGTGTCCAAGGGGCATGTTCATCTTTCTATTTTCTGTTACCGTCATACATAGGCATAGGCACAGACTCAGCCACAGTTCGCTTCTTAAGCTTCTCCACAACAACCTGGACTGGGCTCGTCATGTTCTCGAATCACAGCACAATAATTGTCGTGTGGCAGCACAACCGAGCCGCTGGTTGGCGTGGCTCAATTGCAGCAAGCACAATGCCCGTTGTGCCTATGTTTCACGTTTTCACAAGGACGGCCAGCCAGGGCATGACTCTCGCAGCGGCCACACCGCGCCGAGTATAGCAGCGAAGCCAAATCCTCTGACCATTGGCACCGCTCAGGGCAGAAGAGGCGCAAGGCCGAAATGGCTTTGCCGTCTCAGTAAACGTCAAACAAAGCAATTTTTCGGCAAGTACTTGATAGTACATGCTTCCTCGGTATCGATCCGGAGGGTATTCCTCCTACTCCCTTGTGTCAACCAATCCGCTCTTACACGGTCTCTTTGCCGGCATACATGGTCCGCAACTGTGGCAATTACTGCATCGCTTAGCCACGTTTAATTGCACCGATGCTGGGAATTGAGATCTAGCTTTGGTGCTTTCCCAGATATTAAGGTGAGCGGCGCTCTCCTGAGGCTGATCAAGCTGTCTACTAAGCCTTATGTTTGGACTCAACCTTATTCTCATCACCCTGTACAGATTTACTTGGATCAATTGGGCGAGAAGCAAGACATAGCGACCACGCTCATTCGACAATCTGGCGCTTCTTCAACGACCACTGGGGACAAAGGAAGCTGGAGCATATTTGAGTCATCTATTATACTCCACCGCAGTCGTGGCGAACCCTTACAGCAACTATTCATTCCAATATGGAGCGTCGACGTCGGAGGGGCAAGATAGCCAAGAACAGCATCAAACAACAGGCCCTATGTATGGACAAGCATACCTGGACCATGGATACTCGACGTTGCAGCCTTCCTTCTATCCGCTACCGATGCAGTCAGAGTACCATCTTCTGCCTCAACAGCTACAATCTAGCATGACCACTCAGCCGAACACTAGCATACCACACCATACTCAGGAAAGGAGCAGCATCGCGACCTCAATCTCGAGTCAGTTGAGTGGGTCTACTCAATACGACAGTTCCAGGAGACCTTCAGAATACGGTCATTCGGAGCCTCCATCACGCAAGAGGAGTCGTGCTGACGAATTCCAATCGGACTCTCAAGAATCTCCCATGTACAACTCTAATCTAAGTCTTAATATACCTGTCATGATGGGATCGACCGGGCATCAGACTTCAAACCTTGTTTCTCCGTTTCAATTCCGCGCTCCGCAGCTCCCACAAGCAACCTCTACAGACCGAACAGTCGACGGCGACACACAACAGCTACAGTCACAGCAAGCATACAGTTCTACAGAAACGCTGCATACGAACCAGCACCATCACCACCATTTACCGCCTCATTCTCCCACACTCAAGCGAACCAAGCATGGTGAAGAGGCTCTACCTGCAGGCGACCCGGGTCCTCCTAGTATGGTCGGAAGGGAAGGAATGCCTGAACCTGCACCCAGACCGAAAGGCCCGAAGCTCAAATTCACCCGAGAAGACGATGCGTTACTTGTCAGATTAAAAGAAACCAAGAACTTGACCTGGAAGCAGATCGCCGAGTTCTTCCCTGGTCGAAGTGCGGGCACTTTACAGGTCAGGTACTGTACCAAGCTCAAAGCGAAAACCACTCTGTGGAACGATGATATGGTAAGTGACACGTCTCCTTCTCCTGACCAACACTTTTTTATACCGAACGGCCGTCTGGACATTCTGCGAGGACATGAAGCGATGAAGGGATAGCCGTCTCCACGAAGACACCACCTAGCATACAGAGCTACAAGGCCACACCTTACCGATCTCTTTGAGCATCAGCGGGCACTGGAAAACTGCAGGTTGGGTCGGCAGCTCTTGTGCAGGAAGGCGCATTATGCCACTGACGGTCAAACTCAATTCCTTCAATCGCAGTTGCATGCGCATGCGCTCTGGAGCTCCATGCTGTGGCATGCTCACANNGATATTGATCCTTCTGAGGTCGTGCACGACAACCATCCAACCCTGACTCTCCTTACTCGAAAAATGCTCTGGAAACCGATGGAGCTTCCTGCCAGCTGGTACTCAATCTCAGCCAATAGATACACTCGGTTTCCTCACCGCCACAGCACACTCTTAGAACCTGGCCCCACGGATCTGGACCACTCACCACACGCCAAAATCACAAAAAGCACACAACAAACTTCAGCACGCGACANNATGCTAACATTAACTTAGATCCAACGTCTCCGTACAGCAATGCAAGACTACGACAACGACCGCTGGCGGTTCATCTCGAGTAAGGTCGGTAGTGGCTTCTCAGCTGCAGCATGCAAAGCAAAAGCAGAAGAGATAGAGGCCGAAGATATGAGGGAAGATCATGGTGCATCTTCTGGCTCTGATGATGATCAGCAGGATGACGTTGATGGGGATGGTGTTGAAGAGGAGGATGCAACGGGTGAGGAAGAGACATAACACGACCCTGTTACCCACAAACCAAGGCAAGACGTCTGATAAAAGAGGGGCATCTTCAGCTGAGCCAAGCGGTACCATCGTACGCTGCTGCTATTTGTCTCGCTATCAGCGTGTTGCATCTCAGCGGCTTTCGCGAGGGCGATCAGCATGGTGCTTGGGACCCTCTTTTCTGGCGCAGCTACCACACAATATTGCCTGATCTGGATGCCATCGTCTTCGCCCTATAATGCTTGACATTCCCTCCACGAGATGCTTTTGAGCACTGGACTATGACAAGCACTTGTGCGAATACAGCCACGAAAGCTATCAATCAGCAAGTCGAACATACTCAGCCCTTGAGGGGTTCGTTCCAGACCACCGCAAGCTGTCGATAACCGGCGCTCTAAAGATGGAAGGGGATTTGCTGGGGTCTGTCCATTACTCCAACATGGCAATCTCCAAGCGATAGGAGCCACTTCGGATCACGCACCCACAAAATAATATCGCACCAACGCAAACTTTTCATCTTGTGTTGCTGCCTAGAAGCTTCTCCTACTCCGCAAACTCTCTCATATTGCACACCTAACCCAAGTTTTGACTTTTCTGCGCCCAGCCACCACTTTTAAGCCTCCATTCGCATGGGCGCCTCAATGTGCGGTAGTCATAATTAAGCGAGTAACATTTTCAAAAAGCCAATATTGGAAGAAATGGTGTGTGTGATTGAGTGTGCGTATATTGAGGTGATCCGCGATCGATCTTGATAAGATAAGGATTTTTATATCACATATGTCAAGTGCCTCTGAATATGCCAGACGCGGAAAACAGCACTCGTTGACAGAGGAAGGAAAGAATAGAATATTGTGATTTTTGACAGTAGTTGCAGCGGGTATGTATGCTGTGACGAGAGATGCGATGTTTTGCGCTCAGCAATTACTGCTTCGGCTGTGCTTCCGATGAAGAGTTGCCTAGGAGCTATCCTGTTTGCAGTAACTTGAACCGATTCTACGAATCGGATGCGCTCTATTGGCAAGACTTATTCAGACCAGCTGTGTGGCTTTGTCCAAGAACAGCCCCATTCCGGGGATGAACGGGCGTTTGGCTGAACTTTACTGTGACTGCAATCGTTGGAATATGCTCAACGTGTGCTGTGGGGAGAGGAGGGCTCTCATCGGCTGTCCAACAGGGAAGGTATATAGATCTCGGGCCATGAAGAGACTCAGTGAAGGAGCTGTAGAAATGCATAGTGTTGTTCGAGAATGAAGATAGTCCACTGAGAGCAGAGTCGAGCAAAGGGCTCCTGAAGTTCCAAGAAGGCCCGTGTATGCGATGAGCCTCCCTCTTGCCGTGAGTAAACCAGGAGGCTGTTTGCGCGTGGCCAGGTATCAGTCACCTCTGCTTGGCGACCTGTGTGACATATTCAATATCGACTTTCTTCAACCTCTTCCGTTATTCTTCACCAGAACTGGGAGCACGCAAAAGCACTTTTACTTACATACCCTGTACACTTACTCTTACTTGCCTGTTCTCACAACTAATAACTCCTTCTTCAACAACATTTTTATTCAACATCACAATATGCCACGCAAGTTCACATCCGTGAACGGAGGAGCTGCTCACGCAGTAGTGGCTGGCTCTTCCCAGGCCAGACCCACTAAGAGTGGGCGCAAGGCACCAGGGGTACCGGACCCCCAGCGAATGAAAAAGTTTGCCGATGATCTCTCTGCGAGCATCGCTAGAAAGGGCGGCAATGTTGACATGCCACCTGGTATCACAGACCAAAACGAGGTCATCGCCAGAATCATCAGGGACGGCTTACCTGAAGCTCTCTCACTCCAGACGAAGGAGTGGACTGATGATGAGAAAGATTTCGTCTGGTGTGCTCGTAGATGGAAACATTCCACGATTGCTGCCTACTTGGTCGCACGGAGCAGGCGTCTCGCCTGCAACGACTTCATGAAGCCGATGAGAGAAGGGGGAGGAAGCAGGGGCTCCACGCGACAAGACACTCAGTTCACACAGAACGACGCTCTGCAACTTCCGTCAGCCGTCGCTTCTCCTCCGGTCTCGCCGTATGACTCGGAGCTTGTCGAAAGACAGGACAGCAAGCCGGTGCTGATGGAGCCTGCAACGAGAACAACCCTGGACGCGCAAGCAGCTGCTATCAAGGATTCAGCACCAGCAAGCAATGCCATCATGACATTCAAGCTTGAATCTGGCTTGGACATGTTGGCTATTGCTGCCGCTCAGGTCGGTCAAGGACGTGCATCACCATGTCAACCATATGAGCATGCTCTTGCGGTCATGGAACATGACGTTTGGGACCATGAGATGAGAGACCAGGGGCTGAAGAGCACGACGTTGACTAAATACATTGGGCGTACGGAGTTGTGGAACAATGAGTTTGAGGATCTGGCGTTCAGGAGTTTGGCGTTCAAGAGTTTGGCGTTCAGGAGTTTGGTGTTCAGGAATTCGGCGTTCTTGTATGTTTTTGTATAGTCCTTTTATACTCTCTTCTCTTGATATTGTACCGGATCCATAGACGAGAATGCGAACGAATAGTCAGTATTTTGATGCAGCGCAGAAGCCCTCTTGACTGGTACAAGTGATGTGATGGTACTCTACTTCTCCGTGTGCTCAAGACTGTCACAGCGGAGCTGATGAAATACACAGGTGTGTCCTGGATTCAAGCCTGGCCATTGAGATAGCCCTCGGTAGGGTGTCTCTGTGGAAACCACATTCTTTGCAAAACATCTGTGTCTTTCTTCAGCTCCACTGTGACAGCCTTTGGCACATCGAGAGGTTGTTTCTGCATGAGCAATGTGCTTGATGACGAGTGTCCCGGCCAACGATGAGCAAGAAAGTCGTGAAACACTGGCGCTTTGAGCGTAGGAGGCAATCAAAGGGTGAATTGTAGTCGGGGCGCGATCGATCGTGATGTATGTTTTGGATGTGTTCGTTACGCCCGCGATGGGGAACGACGGACGAAACGATTAGACGAAGGTGTCGTCTTGAAGGGGCTGAGAAGAAGAGCGCGAGCCGAGAGGGTTCGGCGGATTGATCGTGTCTGGTTCCCAAAGGTACGAGGATGGAGCGTGATTCGAGAAGCACGAGATACAGGGGATTGTTTCCTGCTGAGCTGAAGAAACAAATTCAAAGTGACTTTGTTGTTGCGAGATCAGGTTGACGGATCAGAACAATCGAAGGCGCTGCGTCGAGAAAGTTGAGATCCAGCTCAGAGCTTTCAACATGCGCGTCAAAACCTGACAAACTACGAGTACTTGCTTGCAGTCTGGTTCCCTTTTATTTTGACTGGAGAACAAAGAGCACTGTTCTCTTTGTTTCATAGATCGCACAAATTGAGGGACGTGCTGAGTGAAGAGTGCATCTGGCTATTCTGCTGCCGCTGGACATCAGATCTGCAAAAGATCCAAGCCCCTGACGAGATCTGAACCCAGACCCTCGCCTACTCTCGTCCTGTAAAGAAAATCTTACAGTACAGACACCCGTCGCCCAAGATTGAAGACAGCAACACAACACAACATCATGATGCTGGATGGAGCTGCTTCTTCTTGGAGGAGCATGAGAGCAACTCCATCGTCTTCATCAGGCCAGAAAATAGTGACCTCTGATGGAGCAAAACTGATTTCTCAGAACAACGTGACGCGTTAGTACATGGGTTTCCCTCCCCGTATTGCTGTAATCGCCGCCATGCCACATTGTTTTTGTTGTGAGCTAACTACCATTGTGCCACCCTGTGTTGAACAGACGAGCCAGGAAACCCGAGGTAGCTTTGCCGCTGGGGGGTCTCCTTTTTTTAGAGTATATAAAGGTAGACGATTGATTTGCAGTGAGGGTCGTGCCTTCCCCTTGTGTTGCGTTACGATGGTCTTACTCCTTCACTCTGATATTGAGGTGCTTTGCTTTTACATGCCAGAAGTTCCTTCCATTTCTTGAGATGGAGCTTTTGGTCGCCGCAAGTGTGACGGCACAACTTGCATCCTGTCTTTTGTTTTGCAAGGCACCATGTCGCCCACCAACGCAATATGTTGCTTCCAGAATCGTCTTGTATCTCATAGCAATCAGATATACCATCTTTTGTGTTCACAAAGAGAGAAATCCATCAAGCCCCTGAATTAACGAAAACATGTTTCAACGCAACTGAGTAGTCGTGTATCCCAGTGATTGATTTTTGACACCAGAGTCCACTGTCGACGGATACAGCCTTGAGCTCTCCAGATCTGATGGGTTAGGGGTGTCAGTGCCTGACCGGACCTTGATGCCGACGCCGACTCGATTCGACCAATGCCAGGCGCCGGAATACTGCCACATGCCTCAGGAGTCATCGAGGCTTGGATTCCCAACGCTGTCGCCTTGGAGCTCCAGATGGAGCATATTTACTGCCGCAAACGCGCTAACACGCACCAGCACGATGACTCGATACAACTCTATAAAAGAGAAGGTGTGTCTTGTTTGGTGAAGTTCTCCACTCATCCACACTTGGACCGAAGATTTACTGACTGTCTGCAACTCTCAACGCGATATATCAACACCAGACACACCGAGTATCCCTGCTGTGATCAACCACGTCTCCGTCGCGCATCAAGTAAACTTTGAACATCCTGATTGCACTCATCGTGTGTTTTGAGCGTTTCTCATCGGAGAGTCAGCAACCTCATCGCGTTTCTGGACTGGCCATCGGCATTTGATATACCCGTCGCAGAACAAGTATATCCAATACACTCCGAGCATCTCCATAATATTTTGCAGAAATATCATGGCTCCCATCAAAAACATCAAGACCAGAGAGACCTCCAGAGATATCCTCAGCGCCTCAAGCAGGCCAACTCTGAGTGGCCAGGCTGGGCCACGCGTGATCAAGAACAAGGCCAAGGATCTCGCACGCCATGGGGCACAACCCTGGGATGACAACCTGCGACAGCAGCTGGTCGACTACCATGCCTTCTTCCCGACCTGGGATGGAGTGGCCAACATGCTGTACCGAAGCAATCAAGCAATCAGGCTTGAATGGAAGAGGATGTTGGCCGGTGACCGTGATCAGGGGAATGGAGGTCAGTGGGAGCGAAAGGCTAAGGCCTGTAAAGCGCAGCGGAAAATCGATTTCCCTTCGAGGAGGTCGAGAGTCAGCAACACCGCCGCGATAGCTCCTGCTGCCGGCAGGACCGTACAAGACAGCTCTGTGACACCCCACAGCGCTGTGTCAACAAGCAGGAGCCCGGAGAGCAGCAGCAACACAACATTGAGCAGAAGCCCCGAGCCGAGGAACGGAAGCAACACTGTGTCGGTCGGCAAACGTTCGGCAATGACCAGCGACAGTGACTCTGCTTCGAGTCAGAATGCACCCTGCGATAGGCCAGTTTTTAAAAGACCGAGTACCACAATGATGGTGCTAGACGACCCCTTCCGAAGCTACAAAAGTTCGTCCAAAGACGTATGGTATGAGAGAGAACGAATTTTCAGCGAAGTACCACAGGAGATGCCATTCAGGGTCGATCTGGAATATGAGATCTCTACTAGCCATGAGAGGACCGACTCGAGTCAGAAANAAATGCGTCTTGATATGGTTCGTCAGGAGATAGCCGATTATCTCGAATATTATACATCCATAGATATCACCGACACGGACATGACTGGCATGGACCAGACAGATACCAGGGACGACGATGTCGTCGCCGAGGCGATGAGGTACCAGAGCCTAGGATCCGAAAAAAGGCGAAAGAAACCCCACGAAAGCAAAATGCTCTTCAGGGAAAGGGAGGCATGGGTAACAGCCAGAAATGGAAAGGTAGCGTATTTACATCCATGGGGCTTCCGGAAGTTTTGGGTGGGCAAGGTTCAGCTGTGGCCAGACGTGGCTCTAAAACAACCTAACCAAATTGCTGAGAGCTGTAAAGGCCTTCCCAGGGAAGAGATCGCCACATGCCTGCGCGAAATGGGGATAGGCCAGTAACCAGATTGGCTCATGGATGCCAACCTCGCCTATCTCCTGAACAGTGCTCCCAGCCATGGATAACTATCACAAGACACGAACGTATCCGCGGAACCGTCATGTCCAGGGAGACCTAGAGCCAGAAGGTCTCTCTCTGGACACTATTCACGGTTCGAAAATTTTGTGCCTTGCGATAGCAACGAGCTGATCAAAGTTCAGTCGCCGGAGACACTCTTTGCCAGCCAACACCAGGAGGTAAAGCGACGCTCTTGATGCACATTTATCTCTTTCGATACATCTTCATACCTCATGATGTTGAAGGTCTTGTCTTTGATGGCATCATGAAGGTAGTGCCGGAAAGATGATGGAAATGAGTCAGGGAGTTCTTGCGTGAATATTTTCCATATTATGCTCCCTGTGCGGTAGCAAACTTGAGTACCTGACTCTACTCCATGTGGCTATGGTATCACTCGTTGCCAGTTGTCGTCTTCAAATTTCCAACGCCATCTCACTTTTCGCGTGTTGAGCTTGGCACTCTTATTCTCATGGGCAGAAGTCATGACGATGGGTATAAAACTACATCCTTTAATACGATATCTCGCCAGGCGATCATATTGATATGGATACGAAGCGGATATAGGCAGCAATCTCCTATTTAGTCCTACATGTTCTTTTCATGGTACAATGTATGATAATTTATTCTTTACAGAATCATAGTTGGATTTCTTTTGGCTGAAATGTTCACTGCTGATATCACTCTTATTCCTCATCGGCTCGAATTCTATCAAGCTCAGAGGTGATTTGAGGTATTTCTCTTACGCTGTCGATAGCAGAAGGTATGTGAATGTAAGGGATGAATCCATATAGAGAGTGGTCCTTGGAGAAGAGGGAAGACAAGTGCTGGCCAACCATTTTGACCACACTATCGTTGGCAGTCGCTTATCGTCAAACAGCCCGCCTTCCCAATCAAGCTACATGCCCTGGAGAACATGTTCTACCACGACCGATGATCTTTTCTGCTATTTCGCATGACAGAAGGCATCTCTGATATCTCACGTGGCAAACAGCCGCCATCTGTCTTCCCTGTTATTCCGACAAGATCCGACTCGAACAACCGGCAGTTCATGTCTGCAACTCCTTATCTTAACCACGAGATATCCCGCGGACTTAAGACAACGATTAACGGCACATGGCAGACTCGAACAAAGCAATCATTCGCTTGTGCACTTCTCGTTGGCTGAATCGACAGGTTTGAGACTTGGCTGGGGTTTCATCTGATATTTGCTTGCCCGCGGACTGATAAGCAAGACTACCCCAAATCTGCCGTGTCTCCAACTGATAGGGCGATAATGCAGTGCAGTGCATATCACATCCCCAGATAGGCATGTCAAGTCGAGATATGCTTGCCACCGTTCATATTAGTCTGTCTCTCATGTGTCGGATGTACTGTAAGAGGCATTTCTAATAGGCGGTTGAGATGTTGGCCATATCTCCCACTGGCCTACTCGTCAGGAGAGGCGGAGGCGTTTGCGACCAAGCCAAGGTGGGTGAAATCTGATATATATGTAAGTTGCTCTGATCTACCGTCTCTTGCCTTTTACGCATCTACTTTCTGTACACATTTTTCGACACCATGTTTGAGCCTCATGACAAAGAGAAGGCGCTACACGCTACTCCAGAAGAACTCCCAGAAGTCGAAGTCGGAGAGGTAAAAGATGTCAAGAATGCAGATGCTGCACTTGACTTCTTACGGCATGAGGGCGAGGGAGTAGAGATGACGGCGGAGGACGAGAAGAGATTGGTGAGGAAGATTGATTGGATGATCATGCCGTTGATGTGGTGTTGTTACGTGGCGCAATACCTGGACAAGACATTGATCAACTATGCTGCTGTCATGGGACTGTACGAAGATGCGAATATCACAAAGGCCGACTTTTCGAACNTTGGTAGGTCTTGTTGGTCAGAAGTTGAAGATTTGTACTGACTGGTATAGGCTTGGATCTTCTATGTTACGTACCTCGCTTTTGAGTTTCCTCATGGCTATGGTATGCAGCGTTTCCCTACTGCCAAATATTTGGGCGTTATGGTCCTGCTCTGGGGTACCATCGTCACCGTCACTGCTGCTTGCCACTCGTACGCTGGTCTTATCATCACCAGAGTTCTGCTCGGCTGCTTCGAATCTGCAGTTGCGCCGTCATTGATGCTCATTACAACCATGTGGTACAAGAAGAACGAACAACCTCCTCGCACTGGCATTTGGTATCTCGGCACTGGTACTGGCACAATCATTGGCTCTCTGCTTTCCTATGCCTTCCAACATGTCCACTCGACATCCCTCTACTCTTGGCAGATCCTCTTCCTGGTCGTTGGACTACTCACCATTTGTATTGCTATCACCGTGATCCTGATCTTCCCGGACAACCCGATGACCTCGCGCCTCTCCCATCAAGAAAAGATCTGGGCCATTGAACGTCTACGCGAAAACCAGACTGGTATCGAGAACAAGCACTTCAAATCCAACCAAGTACTCGAATGCTTCTTGGACCCACAAACCTGGTTGCTGAGCTTAATAACAATATCATCATCGGTTCCTAATGGTGCCGTATCGAGCTTCCAGGCTACACTGATCAAAGGCTTTGGTTATAACAGCAAGGAGACTGCTTTACTCCAGATCCCTGCTGGTGTGTGTAGTGTGGTCTCTATCTTAATTGCCACCTACCTGGCAGGACGATTTGACCAAAGAGGGTTAAATGTGATCACACTTCTCATACCCGGAATTCTCGGAGGAGCATTGATGGCTTTCCTGCCCGGCGACAACAAAGCAGGAAAGCTGATTGGAAACTATCTTACCAATTGCATTGGAGCAAGCTTGCCATTGCTGTATTCGTGGGTTGGTGCCAATTATGCAGGTCACACCAAGAAGGTATGTTTTTCCTTTTGTTCCTTCCCCATCTAGTATTTCTTGCATACTGACATTTGAAAACAGGTCACTATGAACGCTATCCTGCTCATCTCCTTCTGTCTGGGCAACATCATTGGCCCATTGACCTTCCGCGCCGCCGATGCCCCCAACTACATTCCTGCAAAGATCACCATCATAGTAACTTGCGCTGCTGCTGTGGTGCTCACTTCGTTACTCAGATTCTACTACATGTGGGAGAACAAGAGAAGAGATAGAGTCAGTGAACAAATGGGCCAGACACACAAAGCCGATATTGAGTTTGCAGATGTCACGGACAGAAAGAATGCAGAGTTTAGATATAGATTGTAAGACAGAGAGAGGGCTGATGTTATGTGTTATGATTAGAAACGAGGTCTTGAGTTTGCGATTTTGATGATTCGAGGTTAGGGAAGGTATATTTCTTAGTTCTACTGTACATTGGTGTTATACTGTAGACAAGTTTTCCACTGTTCCTGCAGGAGGAAGCAGGTACCAACCCAAGCCCCTGCCTTCTGAAGAAACCTCAGCGATGATACAATTGTGTTGTAGATAGCATCCATACATTTTGAACATGTCTGAGTAAACAAAATATTACAGGAACCTCAAGACTCAATTTGTTATACAATCCCAGTTCCATGTGCAGGATCGCCTACTCACAAGATCACCCATCACCACCAGTCTAGATAGAAACCTCCCAACCCACCCACCTCTCCCCATCCATCCACTCGTCACCGTCAAGTCTCAAAATACCACACCCAAACCAAACCCCAAAGTTCTACCGGCGATCTTTCGTACCACACGGCAGATAGGGTGCCGAGACAGTAAAAAAAGCCAAACCCCTCCTCCCAAAGATAAACTCCACGATCTTCGTAAGTTCAGCTGGCATCTGGCACACTTGTGGCTGAGAGAAGGTTTTATGCGGCAACCCGAAAGACCCCAAGAAGCTCGCAACAACATTGCCTTATTCGTGTTTGCTGACCACCATCATTGTTTCTTGGGTGTTTAGTTGATCCAGGGTTTTACGAGCAAGTAGGGCTTTTGGTCCTTGCGAAGGATGGATGCAATGGTGGAGCTGAAGTCTTGGATGACATATGTGGTAGAAATTTGCCTGTTAGGGATTACTCTAGCTTGAGGGGAAAGGGTCGAGATTCCTTGGGAGAAAAGACACTGACAAGATATAGTCGTGTCAGTCGTCTGATCACTTCCATGAGCGAAAGCCGTTCTAGATGTCTTGGGTGTCGCTGTGTCATCACAACCGTAGTTGACGGAGAGAAGAACGGTGTCTGCAATGTCTTGCTTTCATTCTTCCCGTTAACAAGTGTGAAGAGAAAGAGAAGCGAGGAGATAGAAACAGCCAAAGACGATTACAAAGAAGATTTTTGAAGCGTGGAGAGAAAGCGGTACATCCATGCTGTTGTTCTGGTGAAACAGTTCCAAACTTCCTCCCATTCATCAAAGAAAATAGATGCAAGAAGAAAAAGAAGAAAAAAACTCCCCGGCCCCTGATACAGTCCGTTTCAGACCTCTGGACTGGGCCTCCCTGTTCGCAGTACAAACAACAAAATTCCGAAAGATGGCCAACCAACCCAAAATCATGTCCGTCGTTTTCCCTAATGAGTTCCGTGTCCCTGTATTCATTCCAATCGTCGGCAAAAGCAAAGTCGTCAAAAGCTATGCATAATCCTCCTCTTCATCTCAACACATCGGGAGGGTCTGTCTCCCAGCTAGCATTCCAACAGTCTCAGCTCTTAGTGCCGAAATGCTCCTTGGCATATTGCTCACAAGCNCTAATATTTTTGTCGTCAGCAACGTGTCACGAGCAGACAGCATGTTGCATAGGATGTTGTATGAGAATAACTAAAGAGAGCAGACTTACCTTAGCAGGTTTACCGACTTTCTGTCCGATGACCTTCCACTTGCTCTGCTCATACTCTTTGATGGCAGCGAGAAGTGCGGCGCTCNNTGTGATCAGTGTTAGCCGGTCAGAGATAATTATACAAGGGTCAGAGAGGCGGACGAAATGGCTGACCTCATCTTCCGCAAACTCTGCGTAGTGCATATCCTATTCATAGGGAGAAAGCATTGTTAGCACATGATGTCTATGTTTGAAGAAACGAACAGATTGTGGATCCAACAGAAGGTGCCATGAAAAGAGATAAGGGTTGGAGGCAACATGACATACCTTGTACCAATGCTTCTTGACACTGCCTTCGGTCCGTGTAGGGAATGTCTTAGCAATCTCGCTCCAGCTGTTACCAGCATCTCTCATAACCTTCAACCTCTGCTCTTCTGCTGGCGTCCATGGTGTGTTGGTTCGTCCTTTCTTTGGTCGCGCAGGAGGAGTGTCGTGTCGAGGGATCCCCTGGTCACCTGGCCCCGTGCCACCACCTGATGGTCCACTCAGCACATAGTTGTTCTGATCGCTGTTCTGACGGTCAGGGTTGCCAAAGATTCCATGCTGGTCGAGGCCATAACCGCCAAGAGAAGAGCCAGAAAGGGAATGAGGATCGAGTTCACTTGCACGTCGCTTCCGAGGGTTTAGTGGTGATTGAGGGATCTGTTGAGGCTGTGGTGGTGGGGCGAGAGGGTGTTGCTGGAAGGGACTGTGTTGTTGATGATGTTGAAGGTGAGGTGGTGGATGATAGCCAAACGGGGACGTGCTTGTCTGGTACGGTGATGTGTGATATGGGTTTGTGGCATAAGAAGAGGGAGGTAATAGTCCGGCTGTCAGCGACAGCTGCTGTGGTGACGCCGATAGGGGTAAGCTTCCAACTTGTTGCAAGCCTCGCTTTTGTTGGTTTTGCGACAGGTTACTGTGTGATGGGAGAAAGGTATACATGTCAGTATAGCTGGTAGTATACGGCCGTACAGGCGCGACGCTACATGACAAGGTATCGAAAAGCTTAAGCTTTGGGGAAATAGGGACATGTGAGTGTGGGACTTACGACATGTTGAACTGGTCGTGAGGACTAGGTACAATATCCAGGTATGTACAACTGCTGGGATGGAGAGGATGTATTTGAGTCATGAGACGTCTGTTTGCTTGCGCAAAGAAAGAGCGCTGTAAGAAAGGGAAGGGTGAAAAGAAAAGAGGGCTAGCTGCAGGCAGGCCCGGACAAGGCGAACAGATTGGATCGGTAGGGTAAGGATATGCAAGCTTTGTTGCTGGCAGAGCGCGCGCGTCAAAAGTGAGATTAAGAGCCGCAAAAGGCGATAGCAATAATAATGGGCAATATGATGGTCGTCGCGAAAGAGTATTGGGAGTTGAGCAAACAGAACAGATGGGATTCAGATCAAACTTGGCGGGTTGCGAGACGACAACACTTGGGCTTGTAATGATGTATCTGTCGCGACTTTCATGGTGCTCGAGAAAGGGAAAAGGAAAACGAAAACGGGGAAACATGAATGGTATGGTGAGCTCAGAGGGTGGGGGCAAGGATGGCGCCGGCAGCCGATGCACCGCCTACAGTAGCTAGCCAAACCAGCTCGGCCGCGGGGGCGGCATGGCGCCTTGGTCCTTTCAAAGGAAACAGCACTCAGCGTGCATGCTGAGCACAGTCAGCGCCCTTCAAGACTGGCCCCAGTGTCGTATGCGGCTTGCAGGATGAGAGTCGTCGTGATCATCCTGGATCACTTCCATGTGCGGGGGCAAGCTCGACACACCCGTTTTGCGGGGGAAACCGCCCACTCCGTGCCTTGGGTGCTTGTCTGGGACCACATTTGCTGCTCTGATTCGCTGCCGTACACGAAGCCTTTATTTTTCTCGGCCTGGCGAAGGGCAGCGTGCTGCTGCATGTCACATGGGACCCGAGAGTCTCTTTGCTGCTCGCACGCGTACGCTTGCCATCATCCGTGCAAAACATGCAACGATCATCCTCTCCCGCACGATCTCACCCTGCCCATGACGTCTGTCCTGTTTGATGAAGCTTGTGCTGGGATGCATATCCTGCATATGCTGCATGGCCGTCCGTCCAGAGGGCTGAAGAAGATGATGATCTTGAGGCAAGATCGTGCGTGCTTTCAGATGGCAGGAAACGAGTGATCGTCATGCGCCTATCGTCGTCAAACGTCGAGAATCAGCATCATCATCAATAAACGTCAGTCGAATTCCATCATTCAATAGAAAATGTGTCTGGCACCACGGTAGACTCTCTGCATCGCTAATGAGAGTAAGCCACACCGTCGAACCAGGGGTGAAAGAATCAACATGCTCCCAATTGACTACGATTCTTCAGTAGAAGTTGCAGCTCGCGAAATGGCCAAACGTGGCGCTTCCTGTGAGCACTGGGGCAGCCGTAAGAGCAAACGTGCCAGCTGCCAATGGGTCTAGCAGCGAATCCTTCCGCCTAAACGGTCGGCGCTCGCGGAATGGATCTTCAAACGCAATGGATCCGATAAGGTCGGACCACAGTTTTGTCGACAAAAGGGCCGGGCTCCGAAAAGCACGATAACAAAATTCTGCCATGTAGGTCTTCTGAATAAAAGTAGAGACAGAGGACAAATTGGGAGATTGAAATTGCAAAGGGCCCTTTTGGGGAAAGAAGAGTCCCATGTTTCACTGATAGTGCACAGGGGTGAACTGGGGTTCTCACTGGTACAAGACGCCATATCTCGCAGATGTTCAGATGTGTCTCACATGCAAGCGATGACAGCACAGTGGTTAAGCGTGCCGCGCCGCCATCCGTCTGCATATCATGGAGAAAAAGGCTCAGTCTTGGATGGCCCAAGCTTTGCACAACTAGTCAGGTAGCAGGGCGGCACACACAGGGCTGGTTTGCAGCTGAAAGAACAGAGCTTCTTTCATTGAGTGCCCTCCTTCCAACCAATGGGGATCAGAGCAGCAGCAACCTGTTGAACACCACGTTCAGTGGCCAGGAGATTGAACTGGGAGGCAGCATTACGTGTGTCTGCAACCTCGAGGCGAATACCCAGATCGCTGATATGCTTTCGCGTCTCAGGAGATACTGGCAAAATAGAGGGACCAGTGCCCAGGATGAGTAGATCTNNAGACGCAGCATCATCAGCGAGTGCTCGACACAGACACGAAATGTTGGCAGGAAAAGGGGACTTCTGTAACGTACCAGGCTTGGGCCACACTGCATCGAGCAGACCCCAGCTGTGCTCGGCCACTTCCCACTGACCCTTCTTGTTGCGCAAGCTGCCTCCAACGCTGGAAACACCCTTGTTGTCGTCGCCCATGGCGCCTTCGCCAATGGTGCCTTCCTTCCGACCCTCCTTGATCCAGGGCTTCCAATTGAAAGCGTCTCCACCGACAAGCATAACTCCAGAACCAGCAATCTTGAGGCCTGAATTGAGAGCAAAACCGTCGTGTGCACAGGCGTCAATGGCGGTTGTAGGGGCGGGCGTGTTGCCGAGCACGTTCATGGCAGCGAAATCAGTTTGCGTGTCTTCTTTGCTGGTCGGGCCGCGATCCTTTGTTTTTGGCGGGCCGACTGGGCCTCTTCTCGATGCCATTGCCTTGGTGGTTGCGTGCAAGTGCCTGCATAGTCTCGGGTTTGGCTGTCGGAGCATTGTTCGAGAGGCGGGAAGCTGTTCGAGGGAAGCGCGCAAGCAGCCTGCAGCTGGTCTGAAGATGCTGGCCATGTTGAGCTGGTGTGTGACAGAAAGGGATTGTGCAATTCTTGTTCGTGTCGTGAATTTCGCCTTCTTGATCCTTCTTGTTCGTCTGGTCACAGAAACAGAAAGTATGGAGAAGCTCGGGCGTAGACGTCATCAGCTCCTGCCTAACCTGATTGGTCAGTGGGAGGACTCATCGTTTCCAACTCCACCACGACCCGTCGTCGAACTCCGTGTCTTGCTCCATTGCTCTAATCTCAAATTTGAATTGTCATGTCGCAAGGATGCGTCCAAAAGGCCCCCTTGTTGCAGTCTCTGGTTCGACAGGCTCACATACGGAGCCTCCATCAGCCCGTGGTGATCTTATCCTAATTTCTGATCCAAAAGCAAACCAAGTCAAAGTAAAGTCCTTTGACGCGTTAGCTTTCCCATCCCCATTACTCGACTCCAACATTACCGGAGCAAAGAAACGCATATCAACAACTTCATCGCGTTGAAAGTATGACGGGTGCCTGCGTGGCCTTTTTTCTCTTCTCAAATCGGATCAGACTCCTTTCTTTTCTCAGCCTTGCTTACACCGGGCACGTCAGATCACACTGCATTGGCGGGCTAGCGCCCAGTGGCTGTCTGTCTCGTCAGTGAGTTGCTGCTGCAACGGCCACGTCCTGTCTGCAAGCCCAAGCGTGCTGCTTTCGCATCAATGGATGTTGCGTATTTCCTATTCAGGACATCATATGCGAATCTCAGGCTCGTTATCAGCATTTGACAACACTCTTCTCCCCCTTATCAGTTTGACCGACAGTCGTCGCGTTGCAATGCCAAACATACTTCCACTTCACATAGTCATCCACTGAGACATTCTTCGCGACATGTATGGCGTTCGCTGTACCAAAATCCCTCCATAAGACGCTTCTTCAAGGTACTCTTCTGAAGGATCCAACAAAATTGACAAGGGCCCGCAATCCAAATCAAAGCCGCAACATCAGGAAGAAATGCCATGACAAATACATTGATCTGACACATCTTGCTTCAACAGAGCCAAGTGCACACCACGATATCGTTGTAGTAGCTAGAAGCTGGTATGCTACGACTGCCGCACGTGCTATATATACCTTGCAAGTTCAGGTTCCCTCAACGGACAACAGGCCAGTCACACCCGGAGTCGGGCACCCCTTGGTGGTTCCTATGGTGTAGGGGTAGGGTGGTTTGTTGTCTAAACCCTCTCGTCACGTTTCTTTTTGCTACTTGAGGCCTGAGTTCGATGAGTTCGACTCCCTCCGTGGATGTCTTTCTGCTTTTTGCGATTAGTCATGAGGTTTGCGCGAGGACTTCCACCCATGCTAGATACGCCGCGCAAGTCCGAGTTCTCCAAAACTGCCAAGCTGCTCAGTCCGAGAGAAGAACTCAGGGATAATGTTCACTCTCGAGAAACAGGTCGCTGTCGGGATAGCTTTCGCCAACAGACACGATCACAACGACAATGCACGCTTCCACACTACATATTCGAAATACAACAAGCAACATTCATATCAACCTGATCGAGACTATTCTAGACATGTCGTCCTGTAGACAGTCAGGTTTACCGTAGGGACGAGTTGGTTTTTTGTCGGCCCGGATTATGTATCCACCAACCCCTTTCCAAGAAGGTGAGTCAACCAAAGAGAACTTCTCCATAAGCAGAATCTTATGTCTTATGCAATCTAGACACGTCAGGCGTTCGAACCTTTGCGCATTCTGTTCATTGGTTCTTTTTGAACCGCAATCTGAAGTCTCTTCTCCAAATCCCTCAATGAGTGGCCGTACCCTGTATGCGCGTCTAGACGATACCAGGTAATTCCCAGTACTTCGCCCGTTTGTGATGAGAGAAACATGTATAGGCTGAAATGCTCAACACCCACAACAAGGTCGTCAGGTGTAATGACAGTAGCAACAGCAGACGTCAGGCACAAGTGAGATCAAGCAAAGAAAGTCAATTCATAAGCCAGCCAGCAAAAACAAGGCAAAAGGTATCTCTCGCTAACGTAGCTAAAAAAGAGCAGCAAGAAAAGAAGAAACGCAAAACAAAAAAAAGAGCAAGCCATAATGCATGGTATCATATCCGTAATCATCGTCATCCTCATCTCTGTTCGTCCATCCCCGTGGTTTCCTGCCAGTGCTCCTCCTTGCCCGCGCCTCATGCAATCATCCCTCCACGTAAACAGGAGCCCCAATCCTACCTTTGATCTCTTCTCTATACTTCTCCCTTTTGACTTGCTGTTTCCTCTCCCTCCTCCTCACCATCTTCCTCCTCAACCCACTAAACCCCCATCGACGTTGATGTCTTTGACTCAATCGCCTTAAACTCTCCGTACTCTGCGCAGCTGCCCTCAACAAATCCGTGCTTTTCCTTTTCCTGAGACTAGGAAACGAGACAAAGAGTCTTGTGAGCAGTGATCTCTGTTGATCCGCGTGTTGCTGATGTAAAGATCTCGGAGGGTCATCGTTGGTGATGGAAACGTGATGGCGACGCACATTGGTGCCGTGTCTATCAATCCCTAAAGAGTTTCCTAGCATGAAACCTCCTTGGCCTCTGAATCCAGGTAATCTCACACTTAAGCGTTTGGGTCTCCAACCTCTGGTTTGGTCGATAGATTCTAGACTCTGGACGTCAGAGGTATCTCCACCCAGAGGCAACTCGTCATCTGAATACTCTTCTTCCTCGCTGTCTGTGAAATCGTCCCAGAAGCCTCGAGGTCGCCAGAAGGGATGTAGAGTTGTGTCTCTGTCTTGTTGGCTCTTTGGTCGTTGTGACGAGACACTATTTCGTCTTGAAAGAGAGGAGGGAAGGAGTGGTTGGATCAATGTTTCAGAATATCTTCGCGCCTTTTCGACAAGAGATGGTCGGCGAAGTGGTGGTGAGGGAGGAGATGGCGTCTTACGGAACTGAGACGATGGAGTCGCAGGACTGACGATGACGGCGGGCAGACGTGGTGGTTGCGGGGCTGTGCGCGGGTTTCGGAGAGGGGAGTCGACTTCCACACGGTTGGGATCTTCGAGAGTGGTAGGTGTTGGTGTGTCGATGACGGCGTAGAATGTAGGTTGCGAGGGTGGTATGACAGACTCTTCTTCACTCTCGGGGGTTGTGAGCGCTTCTATGTCGCTGGTCCCACCCATGTTCTGAGCTTCGGCCAATCGTCTTTTCGCCACATTCTGAACCATCAACAGGGATTTGTTCTCATGCGCATAAAGATTGATAGCTTGGGCCTCGTTCAATTCCATTGAGTCTGTTCGATCGGAGAGTTGTGAGAAAGGGCTTGTGCTAGAGTGAAGATTATGGATGTCTCTGGACTCAGACGACTTGCGAGGCGAGGTCTGCTGGGCATAGTCAGACAGCGCTTGACTTGACAGGTTTCTCTGCTGAGAAGGTAGCAAGAGTCTGTCATCGGTCGGCTGAACATGTTCCACGGACAGCCTCGATGGGCGTTCCAGCTCGGGTGACTCAAGTTCGGCGTCGAGAGAGTGCCTTTTCCAACCTTGCTGTGCGCCGAGTTTTATCTTCGCATCCTGGCCATTGATGCGATGAAACACGCCTCTCGAAGTGTTGTTCGAAGAGTCAGTACTGGTTCGAATGGGAGCAGATACATGGCGTAGTTTTGTTCGCAGAAGTTGATCAGTTCGGTCCGGAGAGGCATAATCGAGCCAGATGTCACTGTTAAGATCGATCTCTCGATCCAGTGATGTACGTGGAGTCTCGCCTTCCATGTAGTCTTGCTTTAAAGAAACGTGGTTTTTCGAGTGGTGCAGCCGATTCTGACAAGAAGTAAGCAAATGTGTCTTTTCAGTCACCTCAGCCGTGGTGTAGGAGCGAGATGAACGGCGCTCAGGGATGACAATTACCGGCACTTTGGCGCGACCAGTCTCGGGATTGGAAGCAGATCGTGTTGCGTCAATATTGCCATTAACCAAGTGCTTTCGTCCAGACAGGGGCGATGGCTTGTAACTCGAACTGTGCTGAGACTCGAGTGAGCTTCGTCTTGAGGAAGTATCCTCGCGTAAGGTATCGACCCTGCTGACTCGTCGCAAGGCTGGTTGCTTCTGCTGTTGAGGTGGACCCGTAAGGACAAAGGCCTCGATGACAGTCGACGTGGTGGATGCAGCAGAAAGACGTTTCGAATTCTTATTCCGTATTTGCTGGTGCGGTTTATTGTGGTCTGTCTCTGACCAATCAAGAGTCTCTCCGTGCTTGACTGTAGAGGGGCTCCCGTCGACTTCGTCAAGATGTGGCATGACTGCAGATTTCGATATCTTGTGACTACTGGTGAGACTATTTTGACTGGATGTTGTTTGTTGGTGAGCGTGATCAGCACGCTTCTTGCGGACGGTTACATTCCTCATGAAATTGCCGGCCTCGGACTCGGGGGTAGAAGATTGTCTGTCCAGGCCGTCTGGAGTAATGTATTCTACCAGATTAGAAGAGATGGTTGGTGCAGGAAAAGCACCATGTGTTTCTTGCGTTGGTGTCGTCTCTCCAGAACCCGATGAGGTGCTCCGCAGTTGGCTTTGACTGTCCATAACGCCCCGCGGTAGACTGCTCAACCGCATACCCCTTGTCGCATCCAACCATTTATGTGCTGCTTCTGACTTTAGCGGAAGACTGGCCTGGCTCGTGCTGGCGCTGGCACTGGCTTGGCTTTGAGTCTCTCTTGCGGTCATGAAAGATTCGGCGCGCGAAGAGGTAGAGTGCGGCATGTTAGGTCGTGGCGGCGCAAGATCCTTGATGCGGAGATTCGGTGGAGTGAGATCGGGAGTTGGCGGTCTTTGCTGGTTCGGAGGCGTATTGGTGCCTGCTTTCTCTCGTGGCAAAGGCACCAGATGAGCATATGTTGCACTCACATTGCGCGATTGTGTAGGCGGGGTGGGAGGCAGCGTCGAGCTACGGCGCATGAGAGAGATAGAAGGAGCGTCTCTAGGTCCATATCCTTCGTGCATACTGGCGTCCGAGAAGTCCAAGTCCGAATCATCATCGTCGTCGGAGAAGTCTGCGTGCCTAGGAGATTCGGCCTTTTCGGTCGTCTGTCGCGAGGGCAATGCCTTATATGCTTTCAGGAAGTTGGCGTCTCGAAACGATTGCTCCAGTAGAGAGAATGCCTTGTCAAACTGTGAGGCAGGCATATCGAGGGGCGTGAGTGGTCGTAAAAACATGAATTCGTCGCTTTTGAAAGAAGGCGGTGGGCATTGGTACGCTCAGTGCATATCGTAGACGGCAAGAGAAGGTCGAGGTGAATTCACTCAGATTGAAGTCGCGACAAGTAGAAGTTGTACTGACGTCTGCGCAAATGCAAACGTAAATGTCCTACGACAGCGATTATAGTCGTCGGTTACACGCGCGGCCCACGGTCACTTAACACAAGAAGGTGGCCGAGGCGGATAGGATTGGTTGGCAGACAACGAATGCGAAGCGCATGCACAGCAAATCGGCTAAGCCATGCACCAGAGTCCGGGATCTTGCACACCGAACGTCACTGTCGTCACGAATGAATGGAAAGGAACGATGCGGCAGCCCCGAGAGAAAAAGAGAGACAGCAAAAGGGGCCAGCGTGCAAGACACAAGACGCGCAGAGGTTCTGAAAAAGTTGGAAGTCAAACCAGGGTGCAGTGCTGCGACACGCTTGCGCAAAGAAACGTCACTCTTCCGCTCCTTTCTTTTGTTGGACGCCTAGAAGACAGCCTCCCTCTTGCTCACCTCTTGCTTGTTGTATTGTTCATTTTGGCATCTTGGCAGTCGGATTGCGACCAGTTGTGCTCTGCGTATTCAATAAAGAGATAGATACATATCTATACATGATCGAGCAAACATCTGGTGTCTTGGGATGGTGTTGTTAAGCGGAGTTGTCCTCCTCGTTAAATTCCCAGTCACACGATATTTGGAGTACAGTTGACCTATCACGATTGCAGCCGAACTTTGATATCTGCATGTTCGCTAAATTCACCACTAACTACTCTGCCGCTATTTCCTTCTGCATCCTTGATTGGTTTCCGAATCAAACACTCGCTACAACATTGTGGAAATGTTGGTAGTCGGTGACACCCTGGTCTCAAAGCTTGAATCTCTGTTTCGATGAGCCACCCAAAGTACTTGCGCCTCGAACCGCATGTGCTGCCAACGTGCTGATGTTATGGCTGTGCAGAGCTGGAATCTAAAGATAAACTGAAACCAGATTCTCATTATCTTGTAATGGCTGGACCGTCTCTATGCCAGGGTTGTTCTGATGCAAATATCTATAGCATCTCCTAAATCGGACAATCTCAATGCCTGAGATCTAAGCCTATCGAAGAGCATGTTGAGATAATTAAGCGTTGCCATACTGCGCATTGCTCTGGTCGTATCATTTGATAGTTTTGGATATTCACACGCGCTGACTGCGACATTTGCTGGGCTGGGCAATCGATTTGAACGAGTTTTTGATTCATCGCATGCTAACATGACCTTTTCTGTGCCCTCCGACCGTCCCTTAGAGCCCTACGACAGATGATATCGATGGGCTCTCGGCCAGAGCAAGAAAGCGTAGACTTAGACGCCGAGCCCTTTTAAAATCTCCACATGCATTTTGCCTTTTCTCAAGTCACAAACTCGTCTTTGATTCCATCGAGACTTTGCGCCAGCATTCAACCGAAGAAAAGATTTTTCATTTCAAAAAGAACAGGGGGGAATCGTTTAGCGGCGGGCCGAGTTCTCCTTGAGGACCTTCTTGACGATCTTCTGCTCCTCGATCAGGAAGGCGCGGACGACGCGGTCCTTGACGCAGTTGGCGCAGCGGGAACCACCGTAGGCGCGCTGGACGGTCTTCTTGGGGCGCGAGATGGTAGCGTACTCGCGGGGGCGGAGGGCGGGAACCNNTGAAGAGGAACCGGGTTAGTTTGGTGTGTGGTTGGAGTTTTGTCCAAGAGATTCGTCGAAAGGATGCGAAGGATAGTAGTTGGTTGTAGATGTTCAAGTCGGCATGTCGGATAGTAGTCCAGGTGGGTATGTAGGTCGACAGAAGGTATGTTCGAGAATCTCTTGGACGATTGGATATCGACTTACGCCAGCAAGCTTGACACCACAGTCACCGCACTTGGGAGCGGTACCCTTCTTCTTGATGTGAAGGTAACGGAGCTCGCCACCGGGAGTCTTGATGACTCTGACCTTGTTGGACTTGGTGTTGTAGCTGGAAGCAGCTCATGTCAGCGCGTCTGTTTCCTGCCAGAAATAGTGTATGATTGTGCGATTTTCGGAAGATAGTGAAGCGATCGAAGATGGATGTTTTGCGTTGTCGTTCGAAGTGAAAGCGTGTCGTGTGGTTGTGGTGCAAAATTGCGGTATTGACTTACGGTTGCCTGCGGCGCTGCGAAGAGGGTCAGTATGTCAAAATTGCAGCAGACAGCATGTCTCCAGAACGTACGTAGGTGAGTCTGTTGGAGGGCATCTTGACGGTGTTGGGTGTGTCGCTGGGTGATGAATTGTCGTCGCTCGCGAAATCGTTCAATCGTCGAGCCAGAGCAAAAATCCAGAGTGGAGGGTGCGCTCGGCTTCGCGCCTTCCCTCCGTGGTTCTGCCGCAAAACTGGCAGGTGCGCCAAGCCTTGATCGTGCTTTCGTTGGATGAATCTCCAGCTTGATCGCGCCAAGTCGACCGTCGCCACGACTTTTACAGACTCAAGCAGTTTGAAGCCATCGGCATCACTGCGCGACTGATTGACACGAAAGGAGCTATCATATCGACGTGTCACTGCGCGCATACTCATTCGCCCTACTACGGATCTATCCATCTGAGGACGCGATCCTACAGACATCGCGGTTGGGGAAGCAGCACCAGCTGCCGTGATTAGATCACTACCCCCATCGCTGCGACCATCTACCTCTTCGCCAACAGACATATCTCATCATCACCATGTCTGCACCACCACCACCTCCTCCAGGCTGGGACGCTCCTCCCCCGCCACCACCTGGAGCTGCTCCTCCCGGCGCTCTTGCCCCTCCTCCGCCTGGATACAAACCTCAAGCCGACCCTCACATTGCCAAGTTCGCCGACAAGAAGCAAAAATGGTTGCGCATGCAGAGACAACGCTTTGGAGAGAAGAGACGCGGAGGTTTCGTCGAGACACAGAAGGCTGATATGCCGCCGGAGCATTTGCGAAAGATTGTAAAGGACATTGGAGATGTTTCGCAAAAGAAGTTCAGTTCGGACAAGAGAAGTTATCTGGGTGCTTTGAAGTTCATGCCGCATGCCGTCTTGAAGCTCCTGGAGAACATGCCTATGCCGTGGGAGAGTGTTCGCGAAGTCAAGGTTCTATACCACGTCAACGGATGCTTGACATTGGTCAACGAGATCCCTCGTGTCATCGAACCAGTCTTCCATGCGCAATGGGCTTCCATGTGGGTAGCCATGAGAAGAGAAAAGAGTGACAGAAGACACTTCAAGCGTATGCGCTTCCCTCCCTTCGATGATGAAGAGCCGCCACTCTCATGGTCTGAGAACATCGAGGATGTCGAGCCACTCGAGCCCATTCAGCTGGAACTGGACGAGGACGATGATGCCGCCATCTACGAGTGGTTCTACGATGCCCGCNCCCTACTGGACACCTCACATGTCAACGGACCTGGATACAAGAAATGGAACCTGTCATTACCGCAAATGGCCGCTCTTCACCGTATGAGCACGCCTCTGCTTAGTGACCTAGTAGATAAGAACTACTTCCATCTGTTCGACCTACCCAGTTTCCAGACTGCAAAGGCTCTCAACGTTGCCATCCCTGGTGGCCCTCGTTTCGAGCCCCTGTACAAGGATATCGATCCCAACGACGAGGACTTTGGCGAGTTCAACGCTATCGACCGCATCATTTTCCGTGCTCCTATCAAGACCGAATACCGCGTCGACTTCCCTTTCCTTTACAACTCTCTTCCTCGCAGCGTCAAGCTCAGCACATACTCTCACCCTCAGACTGTTTACCAAAGGACGACGGACCCCAGTCTTCCTGCCTTCTACTTCGATCCCGTCATCAATCCCATCTCTTCGAGAGCCGTTGCTCCTAAGAACTTGACTGTGAGCCATGAGGATGAGATTTTCGGCCCTGGCAACAACGAAGACGAGGAGTTTGAGATGCCTGGTGAGATTGAGCCTTTCTTGTCCGATGAAGATCTCTACAACGACGAGACTGCTGCAGCCATTCAGCTTTGGTGGGCACCTTACCCTTTCGACCGCCGCTCAGGCAGGATGGTTCGTGCTGAAGATGTCCCTCTCGTCAAGCAGTGGTACCTCGAACATGTTCCAGGCGGTCAGCCCGTCAAGGTCCGAGTCTCTTACCAGAAGCTGCTGAAGAGTTATGTTCTCAACGAGTTGCACAAGAAGCCACCAAAGGCCCAAAACAGGCAAAACTTGATGAGCACTCTCAAGCAGACAAAGTTCTTCCAGCAGACCACCATTGATTGGGTTGAGGCAGGTCTTCAAGTCTGCAGACAGGGTTTCAACATGCTCAACCTGTTGATCCACCGCAAGAACTTGACTTACCTGCATCTTGATTACAACTTCAACTTGAAGCCCATCAAGACTTTGACTACTAAGGAGCGCAAGAAGTCGCGCTTCGGTAACGCCTTCCACTTGATGCGTGAAATCCTCCGTTTGACCAAGCTTATTGTCGATGCTCAGGTACAGTACAGACTTGGTAACATTGATGCTTTCCAGCTTGCCGATGGTATCTTGTATGCCTTCAACCACGTTGGTCAGCTTACTGGTATGTACCGTTACAAGTACAAGCTTATGCACCAGATTCGTACTTGCAAGGACTTGAAGCATTTGATCTACTACAGATTCAACTCCGGCCCCGTTGGTAAAGGTCCTGGTTGTGGTTTCTGGGCTCCTGCATGGAGAGTCTGGCTCTTTTTCATGAGAGGTATTATTCCTCTTCTCGAGCGCTGGTTGGGTAACCTCCTCTCGAGACAGTTCGAAGGTCGTCACAGTAAGGGTGTTGCCAAGACAGTCACTAAGCAGAGAGTCGAGTCTCACTTCGATCTTGAGCTGCGTGCCTCAGTCATGGCTGATCTGATGGACATGATGCCTGAGGGTATCAAGCAAAACAAGGTCAACCTTGTTCTTTCGCATCTGTCAGAGGCTTGGAGATGCTGGAAGTCCAACATTCCCTGGAAGGTTCCTGGTCTTCCTGCACCCATCGAGAACATCATCCTTCGTTACGTCAAGAGTAAGGCTGATTGGTGGATCTCCGTCGCCCACTACAACCGTGAGCGTATTCGAAGAGGTGCTACTGTCGACAAGACTGTCGCTAAGAAGAATCTTGGTCGTTTGACTCGTCTGTGGTTGAAGGCTGAGCAGGAACGCCAGCACAACTACATGAAGGATGGTCCTTACGTCTCCTCTGAAGAAGCTGTCGCCATTTACACCACCACAGTTCACTGGCTTGAATCGAGAAAGTTCCAGCCTATCCCCTTCCCCAGTGTTTCGTACAAGCACGACACCAAGATTCTCATTCTTGCTCTTGAGCGTCTGCGTGAGGCATACTCGGTCAAGGGACGTCTTAACCAGAGTCAGCGTGAGGAGTTGGCCTTGATTGAACAGGCTTACGACTCACCAGGAACCACTCTTGCACGTATCAAGCGTTTCCTGCTTACACAGCGTGCATTCAAGGAAGTTGGTATTGACATGAATGACAACTACTCGACGATTAACCCAGTCTACGACATCGAGCCCATCGAGAAGATCACAGACGCCTATCTCGACCAATACCTCTGGTACCAGGCAGATCAGAGACACCTCTTCCCCGCCTGGATCAAGCCTTCGGACTCTGAGGTGCCTCCTCTTCTCACCTATAAGTGGGCACAAGGTATCAACAACCTGGACAAGGTCTGGGAGACTGCCGACGGAGAGTGCAATGTCATGATCGAGACTCAGCTGTCCAAGGTCTACGAGAAGATCGATCTGACCTTGCTCAACCGCCTCCTACGTTTGATTATGGACCACAACTTGGCAGATTATATCTCGTCGAAGAATAACGTCCAGCTCAACTACAAGGACATGAACCACACCAACAGCTATGGTATGATCCGTGGTCTCCAATTCTCAGCTTTCGTGTTCCAGTACTACGGTTTGGTCATCGATCTGCTGTTGCTCGGTCTACAACGCGCCAGTGAGATTGCGGGTCCTCCTAACGCACCAAACGACTTTTTACAATTCAGAGATCGTGCTGCCGAAACTAGACATCCTATTCGTCTATACACAAGATATGTCGACAGAATCTGGGTGTTCTTCCGTTTCACCGCGGATGAGTCCCGCGACTTGATCCAACGCTTCTTGACCGAACAGCCTGACCCGAACTTCGAAAACGTTATTGGTTACAAGAACAAGAAGTGCTGGCCTCGTGATTCTCGTATGAGGTTGATGCGTCACGATGTTAACTTGGGTAGAGCCGTCTTCTGGGACATGAAGAACCGCCTGCCTAGATCAGTAACCACCATTGAGTGGGACGACACCTTCGCCTCTGTCTACAGCAGAGACAATCCTAACCTTCTCTTCTCAATGTGCGGTTTCGAGGTCCGTATTCTGCCCAAGATTCGTAATCAGAACGAGGAGTTCCCTACCAAGGACAGTGTCTGGTCTCTCGTAGACAATTCTACCAAGGAGAGAACAGCCCACGCATTCTTGCAGGTTACTGAGGAGGATATCGCCAAGTTCAACAACCGCATTCGTCAAATCCTGATGTCTTCTGGATCTACTACGTTCACGAAGATTGCCAACAAGTGGAACACTGCTTTGATTGCGCTCTTCACATACTACCGTGAAGCTGCTGTCAGCACTGTCAACTTGCTCGATACCATTGTCAAGTGCGAAACCAAGATTCAGACTCGTGTCAAGATTGGCCTCAATTCGAAGATGCCTAGTCGTTTTCCTCCTGCTGTGTTCTATACTCCTAAAGAACTCGGTGGTTTGGGTATGATTTCGGGTAGTCACATCCTGATTCCTGCAAGCGACAAGCGTTGGTCAAAGCAGACAGATACCGGTGTCACCCACTACCGTGCTGGTATGTCTCACGACGAAGAGACCTTGATCCCCAACATTTTCAGATACATTATTCCATGGGAGGCCGAGTTCGTTGACTCGCAGCGCGTCTGGACCGAATACTCGCAGAAGCGTCTCGAAGCCCAACAGCAAAACCGCCGTCTGACTTTGGAGGATCTCGAAGACAGCTGGGATCGCGGTCTTCCACGTATCAACACCCTCTTCCAGAAGGACAGAAGCACGCTCAGTTTCGATAAGGGTTTCAGAGCTCGCACCGAGTTCAAGATCTACCAGCAGATGAAGAGCAACCCCTTCTGGTGGACCTCTCAGCGCCATGATGGTAAGCTGTGGAACCTCAACGCATACAGAACGGATGTCATCCAGGCTCTTGGAGGTGTTGAGACCATCCTCGAGCACACTTTGTTCAAGGCAACTGCCTTCCCTTCATGGGAGGGATTGTTCTGGGAACGCGCAAGTGGTTTCGAAGAGAGCATGAAGTTCAAGAAATTGACTAACGCCCAAAGATCGGGTCTGAACCAAATTCCTAACCGTCGCTTCACCCTTTGGTGGTCACCGACGATCAACCGTGCCAACGTCTATGTTGGTTTCCAGGTTCAACTTGATTTGACTGGTATCTTCTTGCACGGCAAGATTCCTACCCTAAAGATTTCGCTGATTCAGATTTTCCGTGCCCATTTGTGGCAAAAGATTCAGTAAGTGCTTTTCTCATTGCTTGGCTCATATGGTAACACTAGCTAACTTTTCCGTAGCGAATCCGTTGTCATGGATCTGTGTCAGGTCTTTGACCAGGAGCTTGAAGCTCTTGGTATCGAGACTGTTCAGAAGGAGACTATCCATCCCAGAAAGAGTTACAAGATGAACTCGTCATGTGCTGATATCCTTCTGTTCGCCAGTCACAAGTGGAGTGTCAGCACACCAAGCTTGTTGTACGACACCAAGGACAACATGGGACAGACTACCACAAACAAGTTCTGGGTCGATGTTCAGCTTCGCTATGGTGATTACGACTCTCACGACATTGAGCGTTATGTCCGTGCCAAGTACCTCGACTACACTTCGGACAGCATGAGTATCTACCCATCTGCTACTGGTTTGATGATTGGTATTGATCTTGCTTACAACCTGTACTCTGCCTATGGACAGTACTTCCCCGGTCTCAAGCAGCTTGTTCAGCAGGCTATGGCCAAGGTCATGAAGGCTAACCCTGCCCTTTACGTTCTTCGTGAGCGTATTCGCAAGGGTCTGCAATTGTATGCTTCTGAGAGCAACCAAGAATTCCTCAACTCTCAGAACTACTCTGAGCTGTTCAGCAACCAGATTCAGCTCTTCATCGATGACACAAACGTCTACCGTGTCACCATTCACAAGACCTTTGAAGGTAACTTGACCACCAAGCCCATTAACGGTGCTATCTTCATTTTCAACCCCAGGACTGGTCAGCTTTTCTTGAAGATCATTCACACCAGTGTATGGGCAGGTCAGAAGCGTCTCGGTCAATTAGCGAAATGGAAGACGGCAGAAGAAGTCGCGGCTCTCATTCGTTCATTGCCCGTCGAAGAACAACCCAAGCAACTGATCGTCACCAGAAAGGGTCTGCTTGATCCTCTCGAGGTTCACTTGCTTGACTTCCCCAACATCTCCATTCGTGCTTCGGAGCTGCAATTGCCTTTCCAGGCTGCGATGAAGGTCGAGAAGCTTGGAGACATGATCTTGCGTGCCACCGAGCCTCAGATGGTGCTCTTCAACTTGTACGATGAATGGCTCAAGTCCATCTCGTCCTACACTGCCTTCTCGCGTCTTATCTTGATCTTGCGTGCTCTGCACGTCAACCAGGACAAGACTAAGCTTTTGCTTCGTCCTGACAAGACTGTCATTACACAGGAGCACCACATCTGGCCGACATTGTCTGACGATGATTGGATCAAGGTTGAAACGCAGTTGCGTGACCTGATTCTGAACGACTACGGAAAGAAGAACAATGTCAACGTCTCTTCTTTGACTCAGAGCGAAGTCAGAGACATCATTCTGGGTATGGAGATTAGCGCACCCAGTATGCAGAGACAACAGGCTGCCGAGATCGAGAAGCAACAGGAGGAGCAAGCACAGCTCACTGCTGTTACCACGAAGACTCAGAATGTGAATGGTGAGGACATTGTTGTCACCACCACATCTCAGTTCGAGCAGCAGACCTTCGCCTCGAAGACTGAGTGGAGGACACGAGCAATCGCCACATCAAACCTTCGTACTCGCGCCAACAACATCTACATTTCTTCCGAGGACATTCGTGATGATGAGGAGCACTTCACCTACATCATGCCCAAGAACATTCTCAAGCGCTTCATCACCATCGCCGATCTTCGTGTCCAGGTTGCTGGTTACCTGTATGGTTCATCACCACCAGACAACAAGCAGATCAAGGAAGTCAAGGCTATCGTCATGGTACCTCAAGTTGGCAACACTCGCGACATTCAGCTTCCTCGCAACCTGCCCGAGAATGATATCCTCAACTCTCTTGAGCCTCTCGGATGGATTCACACAAGTGCCGGCAATGAGACAAGTTACATGACGGCACAAGATGTCACTCAACACGCCCGCCTTATGAACCAGCACGACTCCTGGGACAAGAAGACCGTCACCATGACAGTCTCCTTTACCCCTGGTTCAGTTTCGCTGTCCGCCTGGTCGCTCACTCCCTCAGGCTACACATGGGGTGCCGAGAACAAGGACATGTCATCTGATCAACCCTCTGGCTTCAACCCAGGCGCTGGCTTCGGCGAGAAGTCTCAGCTTCTGCTCTCTGACCGCATTAGAGGAATGTTCTTCGTTCCTGACGATGAGAGGTGGAACTGGTCATTCATGGGCTCAGGCTTCGGTGACAAGGAGAAGGGTCGCATCTACGTGGATGTCGGTGTGCCCAAGAGATTCTACGACGATGTGCATAGACCTGTCCACTTCCAGAACTTTGCCGAGCTGGAGGATGTTTGGGTTGACAGATCTGATAACTTGGCTTAGAAAGGATGATGAAGATTGGTTTGGGAGTTTAGGGACGAGACTAAGCATGGCGTTTTGTTGTACTTCACATTTGTAAATGAGTTTATATCAGTCACGAAAGACGAAAAGAGCAGAAAATTGTATTTCTAAACTTCAACGAGAAGGAACGATCAGTGGGGGTGTCGAACAACTGCAAAAGTAAAGCCCCGAGCATTTCCGTCCTCCCCGTGTTCTAAAGTATGTAACGCGTATAGTACCTGTAGAAATGCAGAATAGTAATAGAAAATAAGATAGTATCCACTGAGAGGCAACAAGTTGTCGACTCTCTGTGGACACGCTCTGTTTCTGATAACAACTGTGCCTTTTTATAGTCCAGATTTTGCTCTGAACTATAGTCGGAGTACGGTGAACTTACAGACTTTAGTACACGGGGAGGATGGATGATGTCTCAATGTCGAAAGCACGCAACTTCTCTGTCTTGCGCTCGGAGCAATCGATCTCAGCGAAGACACGAAAGGTACTCCAATAAGCATGCACAAAAGGAAAACCTGACATTCAAACATTATCATCTATGCTATACCTCTTAATCTCCTCTGTCACTCTATCCATACCATACCATCCATCCTCAATGAAACTCCGCCTGCACAACCCCATACCCCACCCCACCAACCCTCAACTCAAACACCAAATCCGCACTCTGGATCCTCATAACCAACTCAAAGTCCAAGTTCAAAAACTCAGCCCCTTTGCTGGTTTTAAGTCTGGTGAATAATTCTTGGGGTACGGCGTTTAGATCTGTGCGCAGAGTGCACACTGTGGAAAGGGTTTTTGTGCGTGAGGGGGGAGCGAGGTCGGCGCCGCAGGCTATTAGTTCGTCGGTGACGATGAGGGATTGGTGGGGCATGAAGTTGCGGGTGTAGTGGAAGGAGATTGGGGTTTCGGGGGAGATGGCGGTGTTNCTGTTGGAGGAGTGGGGTGTGGTTAGTTTTTTGTGTGGTTTGGTTGGAGAGGGAAGGTTATGTACCTTGGAGATGTGCCATTGCATGCGGTCGGAGACCATCCAACGTTCCCACAATGGAGACCAGTAGCGATCTGCAATGTCGTGTTTTGTCTCGTCGAAGACTGTGGCGTAGGAGGTTCCGTAGTGAAGTCTGCTGCGACGAGAAGATACCATGCTGTCGTCCAAACCTCTGATTACTGCACCCCTGACTACAGCTGTCCAAGCATATAGCGGTTGAATGACCTCCACAGGCGGGTATTCGTGTTGCTGTATCTGCACCTGCTGCTCATCCTTCTCAACATACGCAGGCGGTGCTTGTGCTGCTGCAGCGTTGAAATGCAACTTCAACCGACTGTACAAATGATTACTCTGGCCAAATCCTCCAACCAGTATAATCCCAGACACAGTATCGCCCTTTTGNCGAATAGCCTCCACCTGCCCATCCAACAACTTCAACACTTCATCAATCACAGGCTCGAAAATAGCCTTGACTTGTTGTGAACTCATGACCATAAATCCACTGTCTATTCCTGCTTCCTCATCATCAGGAAGACCGGGAAAGGGTACGTTGACTTCTTGGTTGTCGTCTTCGTTGTAGTTGCGTTTGACGAATTCTTCAAAGTATTTCAGGCCCATCATCCAGGTTTTTGGCTTTTTGGAGCGCATGTGGGTGTAGGTGTCTGTGCCGAGTCGTTCTTTGACGTGTTCTTCGAAGCGGTAGTTGAGGAATGCTGAGCCGCAGAGTCCGCCTGTTCCTACTGCACTCTCTTCAACTCTGAGTGGAGAGAGTTGGGTGATTTTGCTAGACGCGATCGTCAGTATGTTTCTTTTCGTCCTTGAAAATGGATCTGGCAGACGAACTAGNGCAATCAGATCTACGGTACCGCCTCCTGCGTCGCAAATGACAAAGTTATCTCCGATCTTGAGATTGTGCGGTTGTACTGTTTTGAGGGCATGCAGCATGGCAGCTTCAGGCTCGCTGATCAATCTCAACTCATGCTTCTTGCCCATACCTGCCTTTTCCGCCGCTTGCAAAGTCGCATTCTTCGCAGAGTCTGACCAAACAGCTGGAACAGTAAGGACAAACTCCACCTTGGTCATAGCCATAAAGCTTTCACCATACCGCCTATTCAACGTCTCCATGGTATGGATATAAATCTGTCCCAAGTAATCACTCACGGCATCCATGACCGTCCGATCACAACTCCTCAAATGCGCCGCCGTATCCAACGGACTGACAAAATGCGGCAACTTTTGATTTCTGTCCAGGAACAGCTTTATGCAGCGCAACCGCGGTTCTTCGGGTTTGAATTGGAAGCCCCATTTTATTCTTTGCACGGTGGAGCGGGCACCGCCGCCTTGTTCGGGGGTTATGGTGTTGTTGGTGCTGCTGGGGGACAGTTCGGTGGTTTCGTAGGCGATTTCGGTGGGTACTTTGTCGGAGGTTATGCCGTTGCCTCCTGGCCATCTTTTCTTGCTCGTCAGCGTTTTGTGGAACTTGTGGTTGCTCTCTGTAGGAAGAGATAGGGATGTTGTTGCTCACGTCTTGATGATTTCGATGTCGTCTGGGGTTGCACTGTATGCCGCTGCTACNACTGTGAAGCTTGTCAGCTGTAGGCTTTCATGTAAATGATGTATCACTCACCCAGAATATGTAGTGCCAAAGTCGACTCCAACGATGATTCTGTCGGAAGTGACTTGAACATGCCCATTGCTATCGCCATTGACGACCGGCGTCGGAGTTGCGAAGCTGACATTTGGTCCAGCCATTTTGAGAGAGTGAGAGGAATTGGTTCTACTGTTGTCGAAGGAAAGGAGCGAGCGTCACCGACGCAGGTTAGTCACAGACTAGGTATATGCCAGACAGCACCGGAGAAAGGACAGAGAAGACAAGATCAACCGGACAAGTCAGCAAAGAGCTGAGATCAGCAAAAGGACGGCAGACAAAGGTGGAAAGAAAGTTGATATTATGACAAGCACAGCCGGAGAAAGGAAGGGAAACCTCGCATCAACCTTAACTGGAGAAGAGACCACGAGGGAAAAGAAGGAGAGACAGCCATGCAGCCAGCCCAATGTCAGCAGTAAAACCATGGTACCATGACAGCTCGGAGCCCTGCGTGCATCAGAAACAAGCCCGACTCGATTCAGCAGGCAGCTGAAAACAAGAGAGGGGTGCGCCAGAGTCTGGAAACAACGCACTGTTCAGCTCTCACAGCAAGCCAGCAACCAGCGAAGTTTTGGAGACAAAAGTCGGGTCAGAAGATGCAGCTTTTCCCCCTTGTCCGAGTCCGAAACTCAAGAGTTGCAGACCGTCTTGTTACAAAAGTGGTCCAGCAACAGCAAGTGTGAGAAAGCTGGTCAGAACGTGTCCCGAACCGGGGAATGCCCCACATGCCCGCAGTCACCCTGGCTTGTCTCGGACATCTTTATTGCTGATCTTGTCCGCATTCGACCTTCTGGAGAGCCGCACCTTCGGGTTCGTCTTTGTCGACACCATCATCATCCTTGGCTGTGTTCTCTGCTTGTGTGGTCTCGTTCATCAGGCAATAGACCATGCCACCCTTATTTACCTGTACTACGAGTTCTCGAGAACAGACTGTCTAGAGCTTGCCAAGCAGAGAAAGAGTCAGCCACGCGAGGGGGAGAGAGTTTACAGAGCAAAAGCTTCCAAGGTTTCAGCTTGCGACCTCGACTTGTGCCTGAAACTTGCCTCACCATTGCTAATTCTTCCGAGGTTTGTTGTTTGCAAATAGTAGCATGCAAAAGTATTCTTGGTTCTGCCTTTCGCTAGGCTGAATTGATGAACGAGCGGTAGAGCGGCTGGTCGATCATGTTCAAGGTAAGGGCGTAGCTATTCGGGAGCTCTAATGTAAGCTGTGCCTTGTGTGTCCACCGCCATCTTTGCTTTACCTCCGATATATGTGAACCTGCTGCCATCTTCTCTTGAGCCTTGACCCTACGAACCCTCGACCCCTGATTCAGCAGAAGGACTTTCGACCATCTCTGGGGTCCGAAAACATGGCACGACCAGAAACAACANAAAAACGAGTCTCCAATCTCGTCGGCCGCTTCGAACAATTGGCCCAGACATGTCCAATCCAAGAATACATCCAACAAGTTCCAAAATTCCTCAATCCACCACGACCAGCTTCCCATCATGGCGAAAGGACATGGATGCAACAACAAGACCGCCGGACTTTGTCTCTATCTTCAATGCCAAATTCCTCTACTCTTCCAGCCAGATTGGAGCGCGAAATAAACCGCAATGCACAATTGCGACAGGAAATTGAATCTTTGCGTCGTCGTTGTAATGAAGATGAGGAGATACTGACAACATTATCAAAACGTCTGGAAGAAGGCACAGAATTGCAAGCATCTCTGCATATCCAAACTTCTGGCTTGCAGACAAAAGTCGACAGATTAGCAGATAAGCTTGCTCGCAGAGACAAGATCCAAAAAGCAGAGTACGAGCGGAGAATCGTGGCTGTGGCCAACGAACGCGATATCCTGGCTTCGAGATTGAAGATGGCTGAAGCCAGTGTCGAAAGAGCTCGAGCCGTGGAAGAAATCGTCAAAAATGCAGACGAGAAGATCAGAGTCTCGGATGAGAGAGCTCAAGCAGCGAGTAACCAGGTAACAGCATTGCAGAACCAATTGCTGGAGCTCAAGACAGATATTGCTGCTCGATCAGGAAAGCAAGAAAATGTCAGTGATCAAGAAATCCTCGATATGATGAACAAACTCAATCATCTTGTCCAAAATTGGTGTGTCAGTAGTTTTAAGAAATTCAAGATCGGTATGTATATCAAGAACACTTCTTCCCAGAGCGTGCTGACATCTTTCANNGATCCAAGCAGGATGATTTGTAGATTTGAGAAGATAGCAGCTCTGCAGGAAGCAAAGCTCCTACGGAAGCTCTATGCTACTTTCGACACAAGCATAAAAATCTTCACTTTTCAAGCTACTGTGCTGTATTTACTCATGCCAATTTTCGATGCACATTTCTTTGGATTACCAGAGGAGTTGAAGGGTTTGGACTCAGCAGCTTGGGAGATGGAATGTATGTTTCTTTGCAGGGTCCGGACTATACGCTCATTTACTGATTATCCTCCAGCTTTGACAGCAGCCTTTAATGAATGGCGAGCAATGACATATGACTTTTTGCAGCATGGCGACAACGATCTGAACAAGCGTTGTCGAGTATCACAAGCAAAAGCGCAGATACAGATAGTAGAGCAAATCTGCAAAACGATGTCAGCATTGACAGGGTCAACCATCTTGGAAGAGCAGAAACGCACTCTGAGTGCACTGGTCGAGCATGCTGTCTCACTATCCCAATTGTTGGGAAGCCAGCGTGCTACGTATCGGTGTTTTCTGCCGCAAATTCTTGACCAAGACACCATTGAGTTTGAGATCACCACGATGGAGAACATAATGGATGAGCAGGAGAGTGATGGTCTCGCGAAGGAGGTCAGATGTGTGATGTCCCCAGCTTTGACCAAGCAGGGAGGCGAAAGAGGTGAAAATGTAAGGCATCCTTTCTGTATTGCCGAGATACGGCTGACTGACTCTGTATAGATGCAAGTGGAGAATGTGCTTGTCAAAGCCAAGGTCCTTTGTGTTGAAGAAGACTCTGACGACAATGAGTTGATGGACTGAAGATCAACACAGCATCACAAGGTGTTCTCCCTTTGGCGCATGCCCAATATTCTAGGGCTGTGAACAACAGGCATAGACTGAGAGGGCATATGACGCTTGGGTATCTTATTCGCGTGTGCCATGGCAGCAGCATCCAGGGTTTTCTCGACCTCATACACAAGCCCATCGGCACTGGTAGCGTCGGTTATGATGGCACGTAAACGAATGAAGATAGCGTCAAGATAGGTGTCCAGAAGAAGATACATGTTGTGTTCTGGCTCTTGACGATGGAGTTGAAGAAATGGAATGTAGACAAACTCATCGTAGAGGGTAGCGATGCGACGAAAAACCTTGGCCTCGATATGAGTCGGCTTGTGTAGTCCACTGTAAACATTTGTCAGTCTACTATTTTCACTGACAGAAACACAGACTGCTCACTCAATGATGTCGATCCATCTGGTAACTTCCTCCAGAGCAATCTCGGTTGGCATTTGATAATCTGACAGCTGATCTTGGGCCGAGCTCGCAACATCAAATCTTTGCTCGAGCTTCTCCAATACCAGGTCCAAGAAGTCACATATATCCTGCGCAATGTTTTCAATATCGCGTGCAACGTCTCCGCGCAGGATATGTGAAGGCGGAAACAGCTGCTGAGATATGTGGACAATCATTCTGACCATAGCCAGCAGCATGTCCTTGGAAGACTGCTCGATTTTTGAAGTACGAATCAGGTGCATCAACCCCTGAGGCAACATATCAATCTTTGAAGAGATGATGGAAGAAGTCGGCGTATGAGTAACAAGCGCATTGCGGCGAGCTGCGCGAATAGTCGAATCATGTTGTTCGGAGTCATTAAGGTAGTAAGATGGGATCCATTGAATGGTTGTGTCTAAGGCGTCTGCATGGATGAAAGGCTCACTGGTGATTGTTGACATTGATCCTGTCGCACTGCCATGACTGCGTGCTGATGGAGGTTTGCTTGAGGAGAGACTTGAGCTGTGGTGGGAAGATGAATTGGTCGTAGTGCGCGAGTGCGACGATCTTACTGAGCGCGACATCTCGCTTGTCTTTGTAGAGGAGTTTGCTGCTGTGAAAAGGAAAGCAATGGATTGTTGTGGACAAAGGACCAGGTGCGAAGGTTGTGCTTCCTGTTGCGGAAGTACATAAAGAGGTAAGAACGACCAACACGCTTGACTAGTCACGAAAGCAATGGACAATGATTTTTCTGCAACGATGTATGATTGGAATAAAGTGAATATTCTACAAACCAGACAAGATGTGTCATTCTCGTCGAAGCTATTCCGCCATGATGTTTCGTTGCCGACGGCGAATCAGCTACCTTTTAAACAAGTTGACAATGCCCACAAGTCACCACCCGAGTGAACAAGACGTTCGGTTCGGGTAGTAGATTAACTTGAAAAGCGTTCAATCTCCGCAAGTAGACTCGATCACCACGCCACTGAATCGTTTTCACCAAGAGGTAAAATCGGAGGCATGACAACTTTAAAGAAGTGCGGGTTCTCAACAAGAAACAATTAACATTGTGAATCATTCATCGTCCTCATCATCGTCTACGCCAGGAACGTCCATTACACGTTCTGATGCAGCGGCGAGAGTACGTCGACTCCAGGCTCGAACACCTTTCCAGACAGCCTGATAAGAGGGTTAGTTGAGTTGTTCGATGAAGAAGCCGAGTGAACATACCCAGGTAAAAGTGAAGATGCCGACCGCTACAGCGATCCAGCTGATCTGAGCCATCCTGTCTCGACCAGTGGTGCGTCCACCCCCAACAGAAGTGCGCATGTTGTACATTTGCCATGGACTCAGAGTAAGCAGAAACTTGGCAAATCCAACCAAGCCCAAAGAGGCAAAGCCTTTGACAAAATGCTCGGTCCATGTGACAGGTTCATCTGCGGGCAACAAGGGTTGGGAGCCGTGGGCAATTGTGTCGTAAGGGTCGAGATAGAGGTTGATGATGGGATCAGCCACGTAACCTAAAGCAAATGAAGAGGCGATGAAAATGGCCAAGGTAAGTAAGATTTGAGCAGCTNNTTGGTATGTCAGTGAGTTGGACCAGGACCAGACTCGATCAATCAGCTTACCAGTACTACTGATCCAATGTGCCCAATTCATTCGTTCTAGACGATATTTGTACCTACATGTTGGGCATTGCCAGTAGTTACGTTTTGCAGAAGGATCCTGAAGGCGCCAGGCTTGCAGACACTGCTCGTGAACATATTTCTGACTACCCTTGCACAGACATGGGCGAAGCAGACGACCACCATCTTCGCTCTCGTACGTGACGTTCGGAGCGGAGCGCATGAAGGCAGGCAAGGAATCTGACGGCGGATGGTATGTCGGCAAGACAGATTCCAAGCAGATGCGACAGGTGCGTGGTCTGTATTGACGTTCGCGACGTTGTTGGCCTGTAGAACCTGCTGAGGATGAAGGAGATGGCCGAGGTGGAACGTGATTGTCCTCGTATTCATTGTGTTGCTCCGTCTTGGGTTGGGTGTCGTTCTGGAACGATTCTGGTTTCTTCTCCTCTTTGACATTGTCATTCGCCCAAGACCCAGGCAAGTCCTCGGGCCAAGTCCAGGATGCCGGATCAATTGACGACGACGAAGTCATGGTAAGAATGCAATGTTCAAGTGCCGGTAGTGTTTGAGGTGCAGTGCAAGGCAGGAGCGGCAGCGGTCATGATCAAATGGAAAGAGTTGAAGAGGCCAGCTGGGGTTTCTGCCTTGAGCCCAGTCACGAGTTGTTGAAGGGAAAGTGATGCTTGCAAACGGAAGAAGAGGAAAGAACGACCAAGCCTTGGCAGGTCCTCTCGAGTGGCCCGAGCTTCCCTCCTCGGTAGCGCGTCACTGAATGAGCGCCTGCGCCGTGGGCGAGAGCAGCAGGAGCTTGATACAAACCATCAACCATAACGTCTGTTTCTGTCGTCTCGCCGCCTGTTTTCATTTTGATTGCAGCTTCGTCCATCTCTTTGCAATCTCTTCCGGTCGCTGCTCCATCTTCCCCTCGCCCTAACCCACACCATGGCGGATCGCTACTCGTTCTCGCTCACTACCTTCTCCCCCAGGTATCAACATTCCCTACTGTTTGCCCGACTCGTATGCTAATTCTGAAATAGTGGAAAGCTGGTACAGATTGGTGCGCCAAATTAGTCTTCGATCTGTAAGACACTCGCTCATGTCCTCCCAGAATATGCTCTCAACGCCGTCAACCAAGGTGTCACTGCCCTAGGCATCAAAGGTCCGCATGCGTCTACCTTACCGAGATCTGTACCTATCTGACTCCCTCTTCCAGCCACCAACGGTATCGTCCTCGCAACCGAAAAGAAGTCATCCTCGCCTCTCATCGATGCCGCCTCCGGAAGCAAGATCTCTCTGATCACTCCCAATATTGGTACCGTCTACGCCGGCATGGGTCCCGATTACCGCATTCTCGTCGACAAGGCTCGCAAGGTTTCACACACAAACTACAAGCGCGTCTACAACGAATACCCTCCTACTCGCATTCTGGTTCAAGATGTCGCTCGTGTCATGCAAGAGGCTACTCAGTCAGGTGGCGTGCGGCCGTATGGTGTCAGTTTGTTGGTTGCCGGATGGGATGATGGTATTGAGCCTGAGAAGGAGGCTGCCGATGCCGGTGATGATGCGGAGAAGAAGGCCATCAAGGGAAAGACTGGCGGTATCCTCAAGGGTGGTCCTTCGCTGTACCAGGTTGATCCCAGCGGTTCTTACTTCCCCTGGAAGGCTACTGCTATCGGAAAGAGCGCCACTTCGGCAAAGACTTTCTTGGAAAAGCGCTACACAGACGGTCTCGAGCTCGAAGACGCCATTCACATCGCTCTTCTCACACTCAAGGAGACCATTGAGGGTGAGATGAACGGTGACACCATCGAGATTGGTATCGTCGGTGCTCCTGCTGACCACCTGCTCGGTGTTGAGGGTGTTGAGGGTGCTCAAGGTCCTCGTTTCAGAAAGCTCAGTTCGCAAGAGATTGAGGACTACCTGACGAGTTTGTAAACGGAGCATTTACGGGCATGGCGTTAATTTCGAATCTTCTACACATGACGACGGACGGCTCTGTATACTAACAAGTGGCTGCGGATATGCCGGCCAAAATGACATCTACTTTGTCGACTCGACTTTTGCATGTTCACTCAGTTGCCGTGACGTGACTCCTCTTATTGCCAGCCACTGATGTTACAGCACTTGAATGTTGACTTCTCGAACAAAACATGTATTGAATGCGCTCGGACAAAGACGATAGTCACATCTCTTGATACAGAGGCGATAGTCCGGTGATCTTCTTGAAGTTGCATACCAAGTGTTTAGCTAATCGAGCTACAGTAAATCCAAATATTCATTCATCCAAAAGTTCGTTACAGTCAAGGTCAGCAGCTCTACTGCAAGTCCAAAACAACTCTACCCTGAATCTTGCCCTGGTCCATCTCCTCAAAGATGCCAGTCAAATCTTCCATCTTCGCCGTTCTGAAATGTGTCTTGATAATACCTCTGGCAGCCAGGTCCAAGGTCTCAATCGCTTCCCTTCTGTTTCCTACGGCAGAACCTACAATCTTCTGCTCCATGGCTACCATGACTTGTGGGAAAGCAGTTGCAATAGGCTGCAATGCGCCCTCAGGCAATCCCACACAAACCAATGTACCGCCAAACTTGAGCAATTGCATGCCACTAGCGTAAGCACCATTGGCTGCAGTCAACACCAATACGGCTTGAGCACCCAATCCTCCGGTCAGTTTCTTGACATCGGCAGCAACGTCGGAGGAAGTGGTGTGGTCGATAAAGTGCTCGGCGCCGCTTTGGAGTACGAGGTCTTTCTTGCTGCCGTGGTCGATGCCGATGATGCGCATGCCCATGCCGCGAGAACCCATCTGCGTGGCAATGTGTCCGAGACCACCACCTGCGCCGAGCAGGACAACGAAGTCGCCGGATTGAGCGGTGGATTTGCGGAAGGCGGAGTAGACTGTTACGCCTGCGCAGAGCNNCTATTGTGTTGTTTAGTACCGTTGTTAGAAGGGTAAGAGAAGTAGGCAAACTTACATCGGAGCAGCAGCAGCCGAGTCCAACTCATCAGGAATAGGAGTAACATAATCCGCAGGCCCCAAAACATATTGCTGATACGTGCCAGGTGTGTAATACCCACTAACCTTCTGATTAAAACACACACCATCATGTCCACTCAAACACGCAGGACAACCACCGCAAATCCCACTGATCCACTTTACACCCACCCTTTGGCCAACTTTGACAGCAGCATTCTCGGTACCGGGACCCATGGCTACGATCTTGCCCACTCCTTCGTGGCCACCCACTTGTCCGGGTTGGGTGGGATGGGGCAGGGCTTTCCAGCTGTTGGTCATGATGCCCATGTCTGAGTGGCATACTCCGCTGTGGGTGAGGTTGATCAGGACTTCGCCGGGACCGGGGGTGGGTGTGTCGAGTTCGACTACTTTTGTGCTGATTTTGCCGGGTTCGTCGTAGATGACTGCCTTGTACTTTTTGGGGATGTCGGGGAAGACATTCTTGCTGAGATTGTGAGGTCTTGTGATATAGATGGTGGTTTAGAATGTTTGAGAAGTTGTATGCTTGAGAGAGAGTTGAGAGAGCAGAGGTAAAGATAGCTTCTTGACTCTAAGATGAACTACTGCAGGTAGATAGGCCAGCAGGGCAGATCAACGGCCCTTGTACTTTTCGAGAATTGGCCGCCTTCTCCTCATCTTTGCTGCTTTCGCCGAGGCAAGATTGACAGACGAGGTAGCTGTTGATGGCGCTCCGTGTCCACCTTGTCTCGATGGTGGGGCAAGTTGCGGGGTACGGTATGCTAGATGAGGGGCACGCGGAGATATGGGCAGGTCAGACGATACGATTATGCTTTTCGTTTATGTGAGACGCGGCAGGTGAAGAGGAGATGCTTCTGTGAATTCAATGAGGCTTGCTCTTACCGTGAGAATCTCAATGGTACAAACCGTATTGTTGCTTCATACTGTGCTTCTCGACATATACCCAAGCCGTGTGAGAGTCTGGATAGAGACTTCAAGAGACATAGAAAGACTACTTAGCTGTAGGAGAGCAGTTGACCTGTCTTGTACGCAAGCTGTTTGAGACCTTGAAGTTCAGATAGGTCATGCCTGAGCAGGCTCAATTGTCAGAGGACTTGGCAGAATAGGATGATATAAGTTGGAATCAGCATTTAACCTATGACAGCTGTTTGACGATATAAAGTACTACTTTATTACCAGTATATACCAGTATGTCTTCGTGTATTTTTGTCAGGCGGTATGGATGTGATTCAGTTGACTACGTTTCGCGAGGCATCAAGATATGGCCTGGTCAACCCCACTGAGCCGGACGCATCGGTTTGCATTGTTTGCAGAAGTTTTCAGGCAGCCTATAAAAGTCGCCACCCGGCCCGCTCAAGTCAGTCTTTTTCTTCTCATTGAAAGTAACAGCCTGTGCAATTTGATTTGATTGCTCTATACCGTGGGCCATCGAATTGAACGCCAGGCGAGAAAAAACATTCCATATTAAGAAGCGGCGCCCCCTTTACCTTGGGCCTTGTCTCCCGTTACTGGAAGATAGATTATCTTTTCTGCCTCATCTGTTTGTCAATTTGTTCATCGCGATGAACTGATTGCAAGGACAAGTCCACGTGACGATGGTTGGGACTTCGCCAGACGCTTAGAGACCCTGGAAGCTCTTCCGTCACTGTACATACCTACTTACCTACGATCTCGAAACAAGACCATCTTACCATCTGAATACTGCTGCCACTCATGGAGTCAGTCGCGTCAACGTCGTCGTCTTCGGAGATGCCTGAGAAAAAGCATTTCCCATTCTTCGAACTTCCTTCGGAGCTTCGCATCAAGATATATCAATATGTGCTGTTCATCGAACATGGAAATGGTGTCGTGGATTTGGACTACTACAACGACAGAAGAATCGCCCCACGTTTGACGTGTTTCCGTGCTAGTCGGCGCATGCACGATGAGGCCTACCCTATCTTCTACGGCTCGCCACAGCAGCCCTTTAGACTGTTTCCGACTGGCGGACACATGTACAGAACCAAAAAGCCCTTGCTCGAACTTCTTACGCCAACATATCGCGCCGCAATCAACACGATCGAGCTGCGGCTAGGGCCAGGATGGGAGAGGGTTAGTCCACTGCCCGCGATCTTACAGTGATTAGAAGCTAATGATCCTCCGTCTCAGATTCCTAAATGCTGGCACACCGGTCCCTCATTAGGCCTCGCCGATTGCATCTCCCTGCGCAACCTGAAAGTCTTCGTGCAAATAGACCCGACCGATGCGACCTTTAAGGGACACCATGGAAAAGGCAATGACCAATACACATATATGAATATCTCCGCTGGCTGGTTGCAAGAGATTCTTCAGCAGGTCCCTAGCATCCGCAACGTCGAGATTGATGCGTGGGAAGGAGTGGACATTGTTTCACCGATGCTCAACGCGCTGGCTTCTGTGGTTTTGACTGCCGACAAGAGGTTGACTTGGGGTCCGCAACGCTTGAAGAAGCTCGAAGACGACAAGCTACACAAGGCACGCTGGGGCGTGTCATGCGGCATGGAGTCCATGGATGAATTGGACTCTCTTATGACAGCCATGGTCATAGGAGAATCACGAAGCGGGCTGTAACATACCTATTCATTCGGGAGCATGCGACCAAGGGAGCGACAGGCGTACGGAGTTGAGCATCTGCTTTTCTGGATTGTGGTCCATATTCTTCTACGACAGCAACAGCATGAGCAACAAACAAGTCTTTCTATTCTATTCAATTAGGGTCCCCATCAGATTGCGATTCTTCATCAACACAGACCTCGTGTTTCTCCATGCTACTACACCCGGCACTAGCAATTCTTATCGCGTTACCGACCTAAGATCCGCTATATTTTCGTCGAGCTTCTCAGGTTGCTGGAGCGAACACGGCTTACAAAGCTGTTGGGCCTTTTTCGCGAGGTATCCGAGATAAACGGCCGTCGGCAGCGGTGAACGTCATGTAGAGATCCGTGCACAGGTCCGCCACCTTCTCGCAGCACGCCTCCATTCCTCATGTCAGTCTCATTGTGTTACAAGCTAATCGTGCAATTGCATGGTCAAGAGCGGCCTCGAGCTTTCAACACTCGGAAAGAAGCTGCCGCAACAACAACAACGGCAGAAGCAAGCGGTAGGGCAAATATGCGCCAGTAACGAATATGATGTAAGGCCGGAGTTAAGTTGTGAAACAGCAAACAACGCCGGCCGAAATTCGAACATGGCATTTGGAAGGACATGGAGCGAGACAAAATTTCTAGTTACAAATCGCTCGCCTGTTAATATATAGCAATTGCGACCTTCGCGTTTGCCTGCTGTTCTTCCTTCCTTACTTCTTCCCTCCACATCACTCTTCCTCTTTCACCCTCACAACACCACACATCTATCACCATGTCTACTGAGCAGATTCCTGAGAAGTTCTCTGGCTGGTTGGGCCACGAGCCTGAGGCCGCCAAGGGCAAGATGGTTTGGGGCGAGTTCGAGCCTAAGGTGAGTTTGTTCAATCCATTGATATTGTTGACGTTCACTAACAATCAATGACAGACCTGGGAGGAGACCGATGTCGACATCAAGATCTCTCACTGCGGTATCTGCGGTTCCGACATTCACATGCTCAGCTCCGGCTGGGGCCCTACTCCCTACCCCTGCTGTGTGGGCCACGAGATTGTCGGCAAGGCTGTCCGTGTTGGCAAGGAGGTCAAGAACATCAAGGTCGGCGACCGCGTCGGTGTTGGTGCCCAGGCCCAGTCCTGCCTCGAGTGTGAGGACTGCAAGAACGGCAACATGACCTACTGCAAGAAGGCCGTCAACACCTACGGCTCCGTCTACCCCAACGGCAAGGACAAGTCCTACGGTGGTTACTCCAACTACAACCGCACCCACGGTGCTTTCGTCGTCAAGATCCCCGAGAAGATCGAGTCTGCCGACGCTGCTCCTATGCTCTGCGGTGGTGTCACCGTCTACTCTCCTCTCGTCCGCAACGGCTGTGGTCCCGGCAAGACTGTCGGTATCGTCGGTGTTGGTGGTCTCGGCCACTTCGGTGTCCTCTTCGCTAAGGCTCTCGGTGCTGACCGTGTCGTTGGTATCTCCCGCAAGAACGACAAGCGCGCCGATGTTCTCAAGCTCGGTGCCGACAAGTACATCGCCACTGGTGAGGACAAGGACTGGGCCAAGGAGAACTCCCGTACCCTCGACCTGATCATCTGCACCGTTTCCAGCGAGAAGATGCCCATGACCGAGTACCTCTCTCTCCTTAAGGTCGGCGGTACCTTCATCCAGGTCGGTGCTCCCGACGGTGGTAACCTTCCTCCCATCAACGCCTTCACTCTCATCGGCAACGGCATCAAGGTTGGTGGCTCCCTCATCGGTACTCCCCAGGAGATCGAGGAGATGCTTCAGCTCGCTGCCGACAAGGGCATCAAGCCTTGGATCGAGGTTCGCCCCATGAAGGAGGCCAACCAGGCCATCATCGACTTCGAGGAGGGTCTGCCCCGCTACAGATTCGTCCTTGAGAACTAAATGTTCTGATGACGATATCTTGCTTGGAACTTGTTTGCTTGAAAAATAGAATGGGCATTATGAAAAAGCCCTACTTAACGAATACCCCACTATAGACTTATAGACCGTAGAACACTACGAATTGCATTGGCTTTTGATCAAGATATGTTTCCATACTCCCCCGCCTCTGTGTCATGAATACATATAATTACACAGAGACAAGATGTGTTCCCAGAGCGGAGTAAACTCCACTGAGAGAGTCTTCTTTCAACAAACAGATACTCTCCTTCTCCAGGTACCGAAATGTCTAAAGTTTGTCGTAACTTCGCACACAACCGACCTTCTATCTCTCTATTCTTCGTGCATGTTCTCCGGAAAACTATCTTGATCGTCATTGTACCATTGAGTCTGCAGCTTCTATTCAACCGGTCATGGACGTGGTGTTCGTTGCTCTCGGGCACGATATTTTGGCTAGAAGAAAGCGTTGACACCCGCAGGTCGGGCAGGTGTATCTCGTACGTTTAATGATAGAAGGAAGTAGTTGAATGACGGAAGAGAACGTTCAGTAAGAAGAAAACAGAAAGAGGACATAAGTCCCACTGCGTAGTAGATCATCCTTGTGCTGAAGACTACCAAAGATGGGGCTATGGAAATGCAGAATAGCTTTCAAAGGAGAATAGTGCCCACAAGGAGGATACTATCTTGACGTGTAATTCATGGCCAGCCTGGAGAGCAATCTTACAATTACTATATGTCACTGCAAGAGATGGATCAACTAATGGATTTTGATGGTCTCTAGCACTTGGAGATGCATCAATTGATCTGATTTGTGCATAGCCGGTCCACTAGAGCTGACTTTCATCTGCATCAGAAGGACAATGAGTGGAAAGCTCTTTGATACAGAATTTGCTTGGGGTACGATGACTAGAAATACTCAAGACCTTAAGTGTGATCTGTCGCTTTGGCGTGAGAGGCAACGAACCTCCGTAGCACAGCATATCTCATTTGCTCGCCAGCGTAAGACCGATGGTCCATATGATTTCGAGTACCAAAGAATGAACAACTAGAATCCAAGGTCAAGGCCAATGGTCCAATTGTAATCACATGTGCCTTCCCGATAGGGTCAGTCTGAACAACAGCATCGATCTGCTGTTGCAACAAAAGAGACAAACTGTAGTGGGTACCAAGAAGAGGATTCCTGATCGCAAGTCTGTAAGCGTGAGGTTAGCAAAAGCAAAATAATGCAGCGAGTGAGATTCGAACTCACGCTTCTACAACTCCAATGTACCACAAGAATCTTCAGGAAGTGATCCCCAGAAGAATGGTGACACCTTCATGCTTGTGTTTGCAAGACACATTTGTGTAGCGTCTTGACCACTAGACCATCGCTGCTTTTGTTACAAACAATTCAAGTTTCAGAGAATCATAAAGGTTAGGGAATCTGAAGGTCATGTGTTCGATCCTTTGATGGGATGATAAGAATGCTTTTATGCTGGTTGTGTTTTTCTTCCCGATAAACAACGCCATTGAATTGATGAAGAGCGAGCTAACCCATGACCTGTGGAAGAACTATCTTCGCAAAGAGAGATATTACAAATACCTATTGACTCTTTACAGGTCCCGTGGAATGGTCGAATGGTGCGTTTGGAAGCGGTTTCGGCAACCACCGACGCCTTGGTAGTAGAGCGAGTCTCAGGACAGAACGCCATCTGTGCAAGAAGAAGAGGTTGCTTGTGTTCTGTCAACATTGTCCAGATCTTCGATGTTGTGACGAAGTAGATGTGCTTCGCCGTGTTATGGCTCTTGAATCCAGCTCTGGCTTTTCAAACCCTGGACAAACGCTTTAGAGCAATAAGAGAAAATCAGTAGGATCGAGTTAGAGTCCGATGGGGCCTTTGTGAAGAATTCTACTTGGGTAGCAAAATGAAAGTATAAAAATATCCACGGCAGCTTTCGGTGACCTCGTTCGAACCATCTAGTCTAGATCTGGTGGTGCTGATGGAAGGGCACGCAAGATTATCTCTCTGGAAGAATACACCACACTTGTTCAACTATGCAGATAAACAGCTAAAGAGGTCCCTGTAGAGCAACAGCTTGATGAAATCGCAGTCCATAGTCCGTAAATAGAGAATCCATAACCTTTGTGCTTTAACACGTTCCTATTTACCGATCACGATTTGGCGCTCCAGGCCTGGATGAGCAAGGTAAAAGGGAGGGATGATGTTGGGGCCGCGAACAACAAGCCACAAGCAACGCGACATGAGGAGCAGAGGTCCAGATCACCACACGGTAAGCGTCGTTGTTGACGCGAAGGCCTGAAGCTGTTTTTCGATAGCTTCATGAAACGGTGAGGTTAACTATGAAATGGCAAGCATAGTTTGCATAAGTGCTACATAAAGAACTGGCCAATGTGGTGGCACTGCAGGTATGACTGTATAAAACAGGCACAGACGGAACAAAAACACGCAAGAAGGGGCTGGTCAGAGGAATGGAGCTGAGGTGGAGTTGAGACGTCACCTATGGTACCTTCCATTTCTCCCTCCCTGCCAACGGCTGCTGAGAGGGGATGCCAAGAGCACAGTCAGTCTGCTCTTCACCATATATCCAAGGTCAGCGATAGTACTCTACATCATATGTAGACGTACAAAGAGGTTTTGATACTTGATATCAACAATCACTGCCTTCAAGAAGAGTGTTTGTCGTCCAAAAGACTTGTCAATCAGAGTTTCGTTCAAGCGAGCAAGCTTGCGCGATCGGCTGGTGAGCAGATCACGTGCAAGCCCAGCTGGGGAAGGCGCGCTGGCCGGCGCGGCTTCCAGGTGTAAGAGAGTCCCCTTCATACTAAATCTCTCTCAGTGCAGTACTCTTCTCTGCTTGTCTTCTCACCAAACGACTCTCATACAAATTGTAAGTCGCGCTTCGCGTCTCCGGAAATTCGAGCTTGCTTCACCAGACCAGCTTAACAAACACATCACAAAAACCACCTTCACTTTCTTTGCACAACAGAAATGAACGATCTGATGGCTCCTTCCGTCACTCGTCTTGTTCTGTTCCTTCCTTCACGCGCGCTCAACTTCATTCATCGCTCAATTGTCTTCCATCGACCACAAGACTAACGACCACTTTTTAGTCGTCTCTGCACAACAACAACACATCCAACTCTTTCAATCACTTCGGTATGTCAATCTTCCATGTATTTGACGCGTCGCTATCCCCAATTGCGCCCGTAAGACGCGTCTTTGGAGTTGTGGTGTTTCCGTCCAGCTCTCACCATCCAGCTTGACCTGCTTCACTATCACATTCATCAACCATCGCACAATTGTCGCATTGCTTCAACTCAGAGGCCAATCTGCTAACCTCGACTCCGCGACTCAGATTAAATCAAATCAACATGCCTAAGGAAACTGCCACCCGCCGCAAGACCGCCAAGAAGGACGGCGGCAAGAAGAAGAAGGGTATGTTCTATTCCAGTCGCTCACTTGTTCCGGCGCATCTCAACTAACCTCATCGCCAGACCCCAACGCCCCCAAGCGTGGTCTTTCCGCCTACATGTTCTTCGCCAACGAGCAGCGCGAGAAGGTTCGCGAGGACAACCCCGGCATCAAGTTCGGTAAGTCCAACATCCCTTACATGCAAACTAGTGTTGCTCAGATGACTGACTGTATCAACANNGGCGATGTTGGCAAGATCCTCGGTGAGAAGTGGAAGAGCCTCAACGAGAAGCAGAAGACTCCCTACGAGGCCAAGGCTGCCGCCGACAAGAAGCGTTACGAAGAGGAGAAGGCTGCCTACACTGCTGTAAGTTTCCATTGAACATCTCATCCATGTCTGACATTCGAACTAACTTGACAACAGGGTGGCGATGCCGACGAGGAGGAGGACGAGGAGTAAATCACTCTCTCACCACCCAATGACATGAATCGAGTCACCAACCGTCACGCCTAATTTTTCATTCATGGCCTTGTCTTACTGTTTATCACATGGAATTGCTTCTGAAGTTTTTATCATTTTTTTCTCTATCGCATGTCTTCTACACAACGGATACGAACTGGGGAAGGCGGCAAAGGTTTGGGAGGAGCGGAGCAAACAATTGAGCGATTTCATCACTGGCTAAATCCGGAATGGGGATTGTGGTGTTTTTTCCTCTCTGGCTGGCTTATACCCATCATGTTAGCTACTGCAATATGCCTCGCTCACCAAACAGACCACGAGGCCATGGCAATTCGAAACTGAATGTTTTATTGATTGTTGCTTTCATCTTTTATTCTTGTGATCACTTTCACTGCAAGCAGTCCATGATACTGCACTTGACACTTGCGATGTAGTGTGTGGTCCTCTATCCTCCCTCGTCTGCGAGTCTTCATGCTATGATTACCGAATTGCGAGCTCATGGCGCAAGTCATCATACCTGTCCTTCTGAGATTTGAATATCATGACGAACACATCCAGGAGTCGAACCAGACGTCAAGAATTGTAGAAGCTCTTTTCATTGTGCAGAAGCACTTGCAAATGTGCCACTGCTATAACAAAAGTCTTTTGTATCCCAAACTCCCATATGAAATGCACAACACGCTTGCTTCTTTGTGTCTCCATGTTCTTCTGCTCATCATTCCCTTTGGAAGACAACCGTCAAGCCCATGAACGCCAGCATCACGGTCTTGAGCCAAGGGTACTCGGCCAGCAGGATAGTAACATATCCCACAAAAGGAATGTAACCAACCACACTGCCAATAACATCCGTCTTGCGGGTCAAGAAGTCCTGACCTCTAGCGTAGAGCTCAGTATCATCTGCTGCATTATTATCGCCCTTGGTAAGGAGTTGAAGCGGAGGAGCCTTAGGTCTATAACCANNCAAATCCATCGTCAGCATATCATTCCCAAGCCCCAATTCGCAGCGGGGGAGCAAATCAAAAACATACCCACTGCCTCCACCAAACCTTCTGACCACTCTGTGCACGATGGGAATGTCCTTGCCTCTAACATTGTACACCACCACTTCTCCAACTTTGGTGTCTAGTCCTCTGTTCCACAGGAACAGCAGGTCTCCGCGTTGGAAGGCTGGTTCCATGGATCCGGAGAGGACGACGACGATGGGGGAGGAGGAGTCGGTTGCGACTGAGAGACCTTTCCAGAGCATGAATGCTGTGCTGAGGACCAAAGCGAAGTTCAAAACTTGCGTCGCTAATTGGCGAGGTTGGAGGTTTGAGAGTGAAGAGAACATTGTTGCAGTCGTTGGGAAGTGTGTATATGAGAGGAAGGAGGATCGGGTTTGGAGTAGAGATGCTGCCTGGCGTGGAAGAGACAGCAAGATACAGAGGTTTCGATTCGAGAGCGTAGGAGTGCGAAATTAACGGGTCCGGGATTGTCTTTTCAGGGCCAGTTGTTCCTTTCCTTCTCTTTTTCTGCTCCGAGTGTGCGATGTGTTCGAATGCGCGATTGCGATTGTTTGATTGTCTTGAAAGTCAAGCTGTCCAGAGCTTCATTTGGATCGGGGGAAACTGCGGGGTCGGTGGCTGAGTGTTCATGTCTTTCTTGTCTTGTGTATGACCCTGTTCTTTTCTTGTCATGCTCATGACTTCTCTATACCTGCTGTAGTTCTATATTTGAGATGCTCGAGCTATTTCTATTGGTCGCCCAATGTATCTTTGACTGTCTGAAGTCCATCCGATGCTGCAATGGTAGGTTGCATCGATGCTCGAGGTTTTGTGCATTCTAACAGCAAGCTTCGGCTCCAGACACATGTTTTGTGATCCGACTGCAACCATTCGTTTTCCTTGCGATCAAATCTTATGCGACTCGATACAGCATAAGAGCAAGGAAGAAAGAACCGAATGAGGTGTTATACGAGCATGACAACCGAAAGAAAGACGCCGAAGCAATAAGGGCAGAAACGATACCTGTATGCTCCATTGAAAAGTGCAAGTAGAACAAACATCTCATGTGATGCGTGAAGAACATATTACAACGATTACAGCAACAATTCCAGATGTCTACAACAATAGCATGGGTATAACATTTGGGGAGATAATGAGGGAAAAGTAACATCAATTATAAGAGTATTATCTAATAGTACAACGCTGATCCATCTCTATTCATACAAGCATCAAAGTCGAGCAAGGGTATAATGACTTTGAGCATTTACTGGGCAACAGCAGAGGTACCGTCATCCGGGCCAGGAAGACCCTATTGTAGATTATCAGCGACAATATTCTTATGTCTAAGATAATCGAAGAAACTCACCTCCTCGTCACCAGGCTCCTGGTAAGAGCCCTTGGGCTTAGCGGCACCACGGGTGCGGCCATCGATGATGTTGTCCTCGTTCATAGCGGCCTTCTCGTCTTGCTCTGTCAAGGTGTTAGCCATGTGTTGAGTACTTGGTAAGATTGAATACATACCAAGGACCTTGTCGGAGTCGGCAGTGTCAGGGTCAATGGGGTCCTCAATGGTAGCCTCGTCCTTCTGAACGGGGATCTCGCTCTGGCCGGTACGGCTCTGGTAGTCGTTGTCACCAGCGACGCCAGTGGAGGTCTCGGGNGTGTACTCGGCAGACATGTTGATTGTGTGTTTGAAGAAGGAGTATAAGACTTGTTGTTGTAGTGTTTAGAGTATGAGATGGAAGATGGAATTGATGAGAAGAGTAGAAAAGCAGCAAGCAGAGTACGATACTTATACCTTTGCCTTGACGTCTTATCGAAAGCACCCACCATGCATACAGGTGATGAAAACACTACCTCATCGTCGTTTGTTTGTGTCAATGAACGATCAACGACACAACAGGCACGTCACACCCGTCATCTTCGCGTTTGACAAGACGTGTCCAGAGCCAGCAAATATACTGACATCAATGAAGTGTCCAAAATGGGAAAGTGTATGTTGGAAATTGGACCCTCGGTGACGACAAGGCTCGAAGGATCGCAACTCTCCAGATCGTTCCATCTGGGTTCGATCGAAGGACAGGTGAACAATTGACTTTTACCCGTGTTCTGTCGCCAACAGCAACCATCGTGACAGACACGCGATCGTTCGTGCTGAGAGCGTGGAGAGGCTGGACTGGTTGGAGAGCATGCGAAGAAGACGTCAAGGTGAGATCTCGTCGTCATTTTCCAATACATGTCCCCGATCAGGTATAGTGTCAGATCCCGTGTACCTTGCATCGGAAAGATCTACAAGATCTCTATCCAAATCTTCTCCACAGATGATGTTGTTCTCCCAGCCTCATGCAAACGAACTTCGTTTTTGTTTTGTGCTGTGGAGTTTTAGTCGTGGTTGTTGTAGTGACGGTGGTCAAGGAGAGTCGATGTTTGCAGCCTGTTACTGTTGATATTTGTCTTGACGTCAACGACTGCATTCTTTAACGGGTACACAATCTACTTTTATACACTGCATTGACGACAGAGAAATTGTAGGCGATGCAAAATATTGAATCGTCATGTCATTGGCCGTCGACTACGACTAACAGTAAACACTAAACGCCCTCCTTTGCATCGCTAAACCGACATCCGAAAAAGAGACATGGAGACAATACTTGTAAAAGGAAAGGGTATAAAACGTGCCGGCATAAACATAGAAACAACTGCGATGCGTGTCGACGGCGTGTAATAGTGCAAAGGTCGAACAAAGAGTCGAGACAACTCGCGATCAACAAGCTTATGCCTTCTTCTTGGAGGCACGCTTCTTCTTGGGAGCAGGCTTTTCATCCTCCTCCACAGCTGCTTCAGGCTCTTCAGCAGCTTCCTCGACGGGCTCAGGAGCGAGTTCAGCAGGCTCAGCATCGTCGGCATCGTCCTCAGACTTGACAATCTCCTTAGACTTGGCTGTCTTGCGAGGCTTGGCGGCGGCCTTCTTCTTCTGAGGAGCTGGTTCGGTGTCAGGAGAAGTCTCAGGATCGGCGGCTGGGACAGGCTTCTTTGCTCTGGAAGACTTTCTGGTAGGCTCAGGAGGAATGTCAGCCTCCTCAGACTTGACTGCCTTCTTGCCCTTGGCAGCTTTCTTCGGAGCAGGAGCAGCAGCTGGAGCTTCAGGCTCGTCGGCATCGGATGACTGCTCGGCCTTGACCTCGGTCTTGACCTTTCTGCCCCTTGTAGTCTCTCTTCTGGGCTTCATAGTGTCGTCGACGTCGGAAGTCTCCTCTGCCTTGATGGCTTTCTTGCTCTTAGCGGCCTTCTTCTGAGGAACAGGCTTGACGTCGGCCTCTTCGGTGTCGACATTGGCGTCGGCGACCTCAGCCTTGGTTGCCTTCTTTCCTCTGGCCTTCTTAGGTGGGGGAGCCTCAGCTTCTTCGTCGTCGGCATCGGCCTTCTTGCGACCACGCTTCTTGGGAGCAGGTTCAGGGGCGGAAGAACTAGGGGAATTTTCATCATCAGCTTCAGCGGCGGCGGCGGCCTGTAAAAACAGTCAGTGGGGAGCTTCACAATGATGAGATGGTTGTAAAAATCACCTCTGCTGCCTTTTGCTTCTTGGTCTTTCTTGGACCAGTGCCGGATTTTCCAGGAACATTGTACGCGGGATCGCCCTTCCAGTCTTCCATGTCGACGTGACCTTGGTCAAGAGCGCGGTAGACCTTTTCCTGGAAGTCATGAGGAAGCTCATCATAGCCATCGACGTATTCCATGTCCATGCCGCACTCGGCCTTCATGTTTTCGAGTTGCTTTGGAGTGACACATCCCNNCTGAGAAGAGTAAGCGATCAAGTCAGTGGAGGGCAATTGACAGACATACCAGTGGCGGTAGACCCAACTCTGATGTTCATGAATGGTGATCTGAGTGGCCTGGCGAAGCTCGCCCTTCATAATCTTGATGCCCTTTTCCTTACAATCCGTGGCCTTGCAACCGGCGCGGTTGTTGGGACTCAGTTCTGCGAGGGTGTTAGTAATGACTTGATTTTTCTACTGCTTGACATGTGAGAGGAAGTACCAAGACGATAGGGCATTGTGAAGAGAGTGATTGGCGTGAAGAGAAGAAGAGAAAAGGATCGTGTTTGCGCAATGCACAAAGGCCAGCGGACCAAGGACGAAAATGCAATTTATCAACAAATCGAAGAGAAGACAGACGGGATGAAGCAGAATTGTCGCAGACGGCCAGAGAGACAAAAAGTTGTTTCACAAGGCAGAGACAGCGATGTGAAGGCAGACGCTGAAAGAGTCGAAACGCGAGAGACGCGTTCAGCTCGCCGTGACGTATGCCCAGCGAGCAGCAGCGTCGGCGAGTCGGAGGAAGCCCTGAAAGTGGAAAGAGCCCTGGATTTAGGATTCACTCAAAAATGTACGACATCAAGACTCGATTCGGCAAGAGGCAACTGCCTACCTAGATTTCCTTCAACTCTTCAGACACAAGTCCTGGTTCTCCCACCAGCATAGAATGCTCGGAGACAACCAATGCAAAGATGCTGCGCCCGGATAGCAGGTCTGAGGACATTTGCCTGCCGCACCAACACCAACACCCACACCCGACCACGACTGCTCTCCCTCCAACAACGATTCGCCCATCATAGCCCCCGTCCGAGACGAGATGCCCAAGACCGAGACTACGACAGTCTCATTGGCGCCGACAATGACACGTTCGACACACTTGACCCTGCCGGGCTGAAAGGCTCGTCGCGTCAAAATGCCATCCGACATCGAAAGGCAATGCACAAGGGCGGCTTTGCATACATCGACCAGGCCAAACTTCCTGCTCGACATGCTTCCCGTGTTGAGAAGTCATGGATGCCCACCATCGAGGCTGCCCTGCCACCTCGTCTGCGCACTCCCGGCGCTCGCACAATCACAGACGACCCATACTCGGCTCAAGACATCAGTCGCATCATCCACATCTCGTCCTATACGTACGACCTGGACCTGCTGACCTACTTGGCTGTGAAATTGAACCGTCCCAAGGCCGCCGTGTGGTTGGCCTCGATGGTCATCTCGCATGATTTCATACCTGGTTCAACGCCTCCTCGCGACACCAATGTTTGGAACACCTGTGTGCCACCCGCTTTCTCCTTGTCCACCTATACCGATTCCGAAAATCCTACACTTTTGAACCTGCCTCCACAAACAGCTCCGAGTGATCTACATCCGACTCCTTCCCTGGATCACCTTACCGCAAATCTGCATCCTCTTGAGGAACCGCTGCCCGCCATCCTGCGCCATGAGACAATCGGCCAGCTTTGGTACAGCCTCGCAAGGATGATCGTTCAAGATGCTAGCCGCGCCAACAAGGATCCCGCCAATCAAGCCATCAAGCCCGAGATTCTCGAGATCATCGCAATGCTGCACCACTCCGGTGCTATGCCTTCTTCCATCTACTCGTATCAGCCACCTAATGACCCTATATCGTTGTGTCAGCCTCCCACTTTGCATCTACTGTCCAATCAAATCATCACCTCTTTGACCGACGCCGCATGGAGGGCTCACGAGACCAATGTTGTCGAAGAGGCCAAAGAAAGAGGTGGTGTCTACAATTCTCTGAGACCTGAGATACCTGGTTCTATGTACAAAGTTCATGTCACTGGACTTGGCCATGAGATATGGCTCGAACTAGTCTTGTGGGCAATGTTGTATGGTCGTTTCTACAAACAGGGTGTGAAAATCCTTACACGTCTGTCAAAGCTCCTGGATGACAACGCCTGGTCTGTCTTGTCTTGGAGAGAGTTGGCCAATCCCATCATCCAGTCTGGCCAAGAAAAATCTATCAACTGGGACGAGGTCAAGTATATCTTTAATACAGGTATCTCTGATACTGACCAGACCGTCAACAAGAAGAAAGTCCGCAGAACTGTCAGTGCAGAAGTCATTGCTTCCTTCGTTGATGCAGCTGTATCACATATCAGAACCGGCGTTGGTTCGAGAGGCATGTTACCCGACAACCCAGCCCGTTTCTTGCGAGAGATGAAGCTGNTTTTTGAGAAAAATAACATGAGTCTGGGTTACACCTCATGGGACGCCATAATTCTACGCTTTTTCGAGTCGAGAGGTGTTGATTTCGAAAAGGATCCGCAGTTAGCGGGCAAGATCAGCTCAATAGCCCCCATGTTTGGCGATGACATTTCTACAGTCAACGCGCCCACCCGTGACCAGCTGTGGCAGCCAACTCCAGCGTATGTTCTGGACGGTTCTGCAGCTAGCATCGGTTATTATCACCGCCTCCTCAGAGCTCACATCAAACTCGGCAGTTTACCTGGCGCTATGGGTGTGGTTCGAGACTTGCAACAATTGACCGACACAAACAAGGAGAGGTCGATTCAAGAGTTCTTTNCAAAGCAACAAAATGCCACGATGCATGATGACAACGAAGACACATCCGAATTTGGCTTCCAAGGCCGCTATGGTGGCATTCATTATCCTAGTTTCTTTCCACAAATACCAGTTCCCATCCTGGCCGACCTCGTCAATCTAGTCGTTGACTCTCAAGCTCTCGAATTAGGTTCATGGCTGCTTTACTCAGAAGACTTGGACGGCCCAATCGTTCACAAGGATCTGTACAGTGATCCTATCATGGGTCCGCCTTTGATTAGACTCGCTGCTATACTTTCTGATGAGATTCTCATGGGCAAAGTCTTGGAGTTCCAAAAGGAGNAATCGCGTAAAGACCCGCCTGAAGAAGTATTGGATCAGATCCTGGAGCAGCAGATAGAGGCAGGAAACTGGCCTTTCGTCGACAAGGCTCTTGAGAATTTCGCCAGGCTTCCCAATTACAGTATCAGTACAGATACTACTGCGACTATGATCAGGGTGATTCTACGCGAGGCGAAAGCTTGCACTGGTGATTTATCAGCTCTCAGGAACTCTTCATCTGCAAAGGCCTTTCAAAAGATGTCCAGTTTCCGAGTTAGAGGTTTCGTTCGAAGTCACAACAAACACGATACCTTTGAACTTGGAAGCCGTGTTTGGCGCTTGCTTGCGCTTATCAACGATGAGTGGAGACAATATGCCTGGATGATCTACCCTAATATGGCTGGTAGCAATCATGTCAATTTCACACCTAGGGCTTTCAATAAAGTCCTTGGTGCTGTGGTCAACACGTACGGCTCTACCACAGGCAAGCAGTATCTTGGCAAGTTTTGGCCTGATTCGCTCGAGAATGAGCCCGCATGGTTATTGAAGAACGACAACAACCCAGGCGGTGTAGTGCGTATGATTGGACGTCGCCGAGATACAAATATCTTGACCTCTCCTTTTCCTAACCGTGGCCGTCCCGATCTTCGAATTCGCATCCAAGGACTTCGTGGTAAATTTGCAACCGTTCACGTTCCTGCTCAACCTGGCCTCAATATTGCGACTATTCATATTGTTCTGAAGCAGGCTCTGAAAGAAGCGGATGGTCAATATGGACTTTTACAGCGGGAAGCCAGATGGGCGTGGAGGATGATGAAGAAACTTGGATTGCCAGATGCGCATGTCCACCGAGAGCTGAGAAGTGTGCCTGAACTCGCAGAACACCCCGAGCTCACCTCTTTCAACGACAAATCCAGACGTTCAAATTTCGAGAATGATCTTGGAGACTCTGACGATGATGGTCTGAACCGTGGCCTCGAAGAAAAGGCACAGGAGATGGAGACCGACTAGAAGTTTTGTGATAAGAAACATAGACTTGTACAATCTGATACCCACAGCAGGATTTTTGGGACGAGAGCGATTACACGGCGTATAGAAGGTGTTCTATTGGGAATGGGGTTTGTAAATACTGGAGGATTGAGTTGTACATTGCATAGCGGCTTGTAAGCACTGTATCATCACAATGTGTTTTGTTTGTAACACAACACACCACTTCTGAATTAGAATGCGACTGGCCAATTGCTCTTGCCTACCATTCTTTATGGATCTCTTGCCTCATCCACCATGGCGGCCTTCAAGGAAAGCACGAGTCACAGAATCGCAACTGCCTTCTTCGTCATGCAAAGCAGACTGTCAGAAACAACTGGTGTTATCAGCTCATAGCTCTGGTACGACTCACGAGCTCTATTGAAACGATCTTGTGGTTAAGCGATATGTGACGAAGATGCTTAGGAACCGGGACTGAGTTCAATGCTCTGTCTGGTCTGATTTATCAGCAGTCTTGTCACAGCAATGATCTCTTTGGCTTGTCGTTGCTGTTCCCATGTAGTCTTGTTATGTTAAGTGTTCTCTTCTTGTGCTTGATTGTACTACTTGATCCATGGTTTGAGCGTAGGTTGTGATTGACTTATTTGCAGCTCTTGGTCTCCCGTAATGACCGCCTAAGTCACCCAGTTGGCTAATCTATAATAATGATACTAATAATAATAATAATAATAATAATAATACTAATAATAATAATAATAATAATGATAATAATAATAATAATAATAATAATAATAAAGCAGAAAGAGCAGGTTGGATACAAAACAGTATTGTCGCTTGCACAAGGACAAATTTCAGAGTTACTAGGGTGACCCTGTCAATCTCTTACGACAAAATCACGACCCGCGAAGAAGGTAGTTCTTCGAGTACAAGCAGGCAAGCCAAGCCAGAAGTGGGGGCAGGAATGAGTATTTGAGTCGTTCATAACCACAGTTGTCAAATGGTATGTTCTTAATTAGTTCCAAAAGGAGGGAATCAACACAATAGCAGAACAGGAGTACGAAAATAAGCATCAAAGCACAAAGCACGATAGACAGCAATGAAACCAATCAAGACACAACGATAATAAGTTGAAGGTGCCAACATAATACGCGAGGAGAAAGAGTTGGTGATGAGAAGTAATACTAGGAATAAAATAACTGCAATAAGGTGATAACGAGATAGAAGCGAAGCAGCAAATTAACGGACAAGGAAAGGAGCGGTGGAAATACGAGAAAGGAAGGAGCGACGGAGACATAAGAATGGAAGGCACGATAGAAGTATAAGAATGGAAGGAGCGATGGAGGTATAAAATGGAAAGAACGATGGAGGTATAGAAATAGAAGGAGTGACATGTGGTGGAAATGACAAGGATTTTTCCAACAGACCAGTGAGACATAGGCAATAGAAGAGAAACCGAGTAGTATACAGATGGTAAGAAGAAAAAATGAACTTTAGGGATAGACAGGTATTGCTGGAAATGATACGTTCACCTGGCCAAAAGTAAAAGTCTGTTCTGCTTCAGAATGAGTACTTGAACGATCAAGAATAAATCTGTAGAATGGCAATACGATTAGGTCTATCCAACCTGCACTTCTGTATCAAGTCGAGGTCATCACAGTCACGCAGCACTTCAACATGTCAGTGACCAAGTTTTACAAAACCATATCCATAGGTCATGATGGCTGACAACAATTGTGTGCCCTAGACTCTTCCAACTCTTCAGAGCAGACTCAACATAACTATGACTTGTCGTCCAATGAATTGCCCAAAGTGAATAAAGGTGTCAAAGCAGCCGGCCCGCCCAAATAATTTTCGTTCCCGGACACGGCACCTAGCGAGCCGTATGTGAGGCGTCATGCGGCAGAAGACAATGGTGTCCCCCAAAAAACTTTGCTCTCAGACTTCACTCAATCCAATATTGGAGACCCATTGTAAAGTAAAGGTGCCAACAAAACCAATGCTGGGCAGGTCTTCGTTGCTGCGGTAATAAATTGCGTGTGACTAGGTATCTCGATTCGTTTGCAGTACGTGGTCAGCGGGAGTGAACGGATGGTTGGCATGTTCTGTCCAGGTTTTTCTCATAATTGCTCCGCTGTCTCCACTCGAGCACGAATCTGGGGAAGCAATGGTTGGACATCTGGCTAGCAAGGATGGCTGTCAAAACGGATGTGCAGGTCTAGTATTGTGGAGCCATATGAGTTCTCACAGGTGCTGTTGACAAGACAACGTCGATGAGGCAAGTAGTACTCAAGTACATGCGATTCAAGGACTCATGTATTTCGTGACCTTGGAAGTCGAGATGCCCTGCAGTGACAAGCTTAGAACATAACAGAAGTACAGACAATGTCCTGCTCTGACTCGCAGCATCAATGCACGCAAGTCGTACGCANNGATGCCGTGCTTGCGTGTTCGTTGAGAGATGAAGATGCCGAGTGTAGCATAGCCATGACCTTGNAATACGGCAACGCAATGACGAGACGCATTCGCAACTCGGGTTCTTACCGGTCCAGCGCATCGGGAATCGATCTTTGCATAAGACACCGTTCGTATTTGATCGCTGTATGCTGTGTTCNNCGCCATTTTGTAAAGGTGTCGTCGTGGTTCGATTGAAACTACGCTGCCAAGCTTGCGGAACACANNATTGCATGCATGGCTTTTCACGCAGACTTGGTGTACTGTAAGCGCAACGAGTCTCCAGACCAAATCGTGCCTTTTACAATTATGAAGCGAGGTGAAGGTTGGAAAAAGTCTCAAAAGTCANGGATACGAGGGTTGGCCGTTTCTGTCTCGGAAAGCGCAACCCGTTGCAAACGGGTTCTGGAGGTTGAAAGCGAAAACACGCTTCCCGCGAAGGATCGACAAGAATAAACCGCGCCTCCGTTTGTGGCTGGCACAGGCCGTTACTCCTGTTTCTGGCTGGCGACAACGACANCGGAGGCATGGTCTACAGATTGGCATAGGGNNGGTCAGGGAGGCATCGACTGCCAACTGTTACCAGCTGAACGTTTGAATCGCGACACGCATCAGACAGTACCGCTACATCTGCCTCCTGAAGCAGGACATCAAACGCCTGCCGAAAACTACAACGCCTTACAGCGTACAAGACGCAAGCCAAAGTCTTTAGACAACAAGGATATAGGGAGTCATGATACTGGGCTACAACGATGACGATATAATGTGGTTGGACTTGACTATCCACAGGCACAATCCTCGCCTGCTCGTATACCTTTAGCTCTTGTGACCCAGCCACAGTCGTAAAAATAGTCGTTCGTGATCCGAGGTGGCAATGCGGTCATCCATCAAGCGGATCTACAATTTAGACTACGTGAGATCTGGCAGCAACCGATCTCTAGTAGAGCTCGCGAGTGCGTCGACCACTGTAGAGACACCAGTCGCACTGCAGGATGCTGTCAGCAGAGATTCTGGTTAGACGAGACATTGAGGGCAGAGACCGTTGTGTCCGTGGATGGTTCATTGTGCTCGAGGCAGTATTCGTTTCCACAATCCTGGCATCGTCGGATGCATTTTGCTTTGCATTCTTCGCATGTGCGTCGGCAGACAATGCAGTCCTGGTGTACACCCTAAGACATGTCAGATCTGTGATTATTAAATTCAATCCGAGGCACGTCGTGAATATTGATGAACAACTGCACCGAGACCGAGCTCCCAACTTGTCTACAATGTTGACCAAGCTGTCAGATGTCATGTTGCTTACACTTTAGAGGTAACCACCAGAAGGACTTGGTCAACAGACTCTAATGGACGAAGCTTGGCTTGAAACATATGATGTGCAATGTTGGAGACTCGGTCTCGGCGACAGGTCTTCGAAATGTGTCTCTGCTTTCCATCATCCCCACATGCCATCGGCCACGGGCAACATCTCACCAACAAGGCAAGTTGCACAAAGATTAGAATATACCTTTACCGCAGAAGTCGCGCTCAGAGCTTCCAAGACCCATCCGCTGTTGTCCTGTAAGCCGCCCTCAGGTGAGTTAGGATGCTGTCGCTTTGCTCTTGGAATCGGCTCTTGATAACAATCCTCGCACCACCACTTGTTACATTTCTCGCACCACCGTTCGCGAAGACAATCTAAGCATCGTAGGATCAGAGGCGGCACGTCGTCTCCTTGCACAATAGGTCTCTGTGCGGATCTCACCGTGCTGGCATGCAACGGAGGAGGAGCCAACAGTGGAAAGTTGAAGTCCGCATCTCGACCAAAGATTGCGGGCTGTTCAGGACAGGAACCGCACGATTCACAACCTCTTGCGCCGAGAGCAATGTTCGCAAGGGCAGGCCGTAGTAGCCGCTCTGGTGTTGTCCTATTGGGATCATGGCGAGGACCGCGACAGAGGACTGCATCAAAGGCTATGATGCCTTGACACGCGAGCAATATGTCGGCCCAGTCAGGCGGAGGAGTATGTTTGGTGCTGCCTGGAGTGTTCCAGACGTCACCCTTGGTTTTCCACCAGTCATCTAGTGGTTGGCCGTGCCCGAGCGACGCGGATAGGGCTACCTCAGATCTCGAATTCCACTCGGCACCAATCTGAGCACCCTCCGACGACATGACGCCAGTCGATATACGTCCCGAAGTTTTGCTTTGGGCTCTTTGTGAGAGTGTTGCTGGGGTGTCCTTGCGACCGAACAGATACAGTCCCTTCAGCTTGGGCAACCTTGAAGCAGAGGGCCTTACAATGTAGCGTAGCACTGACTGCAGGCCCCTTTGATTCATGTTAGTGACATCTCGGATGCTGAGAATCTTGACATTGAAGCGGTCCTCTAGGATAATCTCCCGAACCAGCTCGGCTGGTACGCTGAGGCCGTCCAGGATCAGTGTTTTGACATTCTGAAGCAAGTGTTGACGTTCGAGCTTCGAGAAGACACCTCGCAACGGGCCGGAGAAGAAATCATCCTCTGTCAGAGACTCGTCCATGCGCTCGGCACGCCATGATATGCCTTGTGACGTGTCAGTTTACAATGTATCAAACAATATGAGCAAGTGGTCGCCGTGTCATGACGCTATCAATTTCATCTTTCTGTAAAATTCGATACAGCTGTAGCATTGCACGAGATAACGCCAAGCAGGTCTCGTGTCCATAGACAGCTCGGCATAAATCGACAGACACTCCTTGACATAGGAGAGTTTTGTGCGTTGCGATGGTTCATCTCCAAGTGAAACATCGTTGAACAAAAGGGATTGGAAGTGCAACGGGGAAGTAGTATCTCAGTTTGTCGATAAAATTGGTTCAAGACATATCACCAGCAAAAATTGTACAGGAATGTAGGTATTCACTCACCACCACTGTCGATGGGGCTGGAGTCAAGAGTAGCGGACTTAACCGAGGTGAGATTTAGATGGCGGAACGTCTCTGGTGACTCGCAGATGGTATGTCGAAATGTCCGTGCTGTAGCAGACAATGCCAGAACACTTCCGGCCGAAAGGTAGGGAGCCGTCTGCCGCCAGATGAGAGTATTGCTCAAGAGATCCACTAACGTTAATGGTTGTGATTCAACAAGATCCTCTGCGTCCATCGCAATATCGTCGATTGTCAAAAGCCGTATTGGGCGTCTATAGGACCCGAAGCTTGTTGTTCCTTTACGAGAAAAGTGCTTGGTAACAATTTCGAGGTGTTTCAAGCCAAGAAGCGTAGGTTTTGGAGGTCACGAGTTGAGATTGAGTAGGTGATTGGCGCCCTATTTTCAGAGGCGGTCAAGGTGTCGAGTTGAGATTCAGCATGATTCGGCATGGTCAGAGCACGCGAGCGTCGATCGCCGAAGATCATCCATCAATGTGGAAGCCGTCTAGCTCCGCGGGGCACTTCTCTCGATTCTTTGCCTCGATTCCAAATCGGTAGATATTCTTTGCAGTGTTGAGGATCGGACAGTCTTACGCAGTCTAGGTTCATCAGACTGAGTACAAAATGTCCTCCAAAAATATGTCATAGCGAAAAATCTTCTGCGATGTTCCGGCTCGGATGTTAGACTAACCTGAGTTTTATGCCCGAGGGTCAGGAGCTGAAGCAGATTTCTACGATTGGCTGAAAGGCAATCAATTGCGGGCCGAACTAACCGGCGAGGGCCAGGCCAACTCCGCATTGTTTTGATGAAGTTCACCAGAGCGATTGTATATGGGTAAATGAGGTATCCACTGCTCAGGTACTGTACACAAGACGTGCCAAGTAGGGAATCACGAAAGAGATACTGGTACAAGTAGTGGTAATTCTTTTGGCAATCTATTAAACATTGCCCCCATTTCAAGACGCTCGCTATTCGAGCTGAAGCCGTGGCCAGATTGTCCTAGTTTTCCGTCATACAAGCCGTTAACCTAGATATGCACAAAGAAAGGGAGTGATCGTAAGCATCAGAGATGAAAATAAAAAATATGGTAAAGGGCCGTAAACGAGTGCAAAGAAGCTGTAAAAAATGTGTGAAGAAGTGAAGAGAAGCGAAGTAGAGCGAGTGAAATCGACAGATATTAGAAAATTAGAGGAGGACAGCGGCAGCAAGACCCATGGCAGCTGCAGGGAGAGCGTATCCAGTTGGTGCGACTTGGAATGCAGCGCCCTTGGATGCGCCAGCAGTGGCAGGAGGTGATCCCTTGGTGGTGGTGGGCTTTTGCTTGTAAACGGAGAGATCCATTTGGGCCTTTTGCATCTCGAAAGTGACGTTTTGAGTGGCGTGGACGGTCTCGGTACCGAACTGAATGAGGCCAATGTACATGTCGGCAGTCAGGTTGCCGGCATTGACGAGGAAGGTGACAAGCTCCCACAAGTCGGCATTAATGCCGTTCTGGTTCTCGGCGGGGACCCAGGAGAAGACGGCTTGCTTCTGGCCCTGCGCGTTGAAGCCAGAGTACAGCGAGTATTCGACTCCGCCGACAGTGTGCTTGGGTGCGTCATCGATGTTGTAGGTCTGGTATCCAATGGGAGCGACACCTCCCCAAACAGCCGACCACACCATGACTTCAAAAGCGGCGGCAGAGGCGTTCATGGCAGTCACATTGTTGCCATCAATGAACATGTCGAGGGCAATATCGGCCTTGGTGCCGATGGCCATGAGGGCTTCGGTCTTGTTGGCAGCATCGGGGTCGGCGGTGGGGAACATGTCCCAGGCGGCGCTGACGTTGAAGTTCTTGACGTTGTCCAGTCTGCTAGGTAGCTGTACAGATTCGAGACCGACATTGGGATAAGAGTGAACCTGGTCGGGAGTCAGCAAGCTGGTGTAAACAAAGACAGTCAGAGATGCTCATACCCAGACATCGCGCTCAGTCCAGGACCATGTTACGTTGAATGCAGCAGCGTCGTCGGAGTCATCCAGGNNTCAACCTGTCGCACATGGTGGTCAGTCTCGACTCTCGTGTCACACGATCAGATCATGCCATCGACTTACGGTCATACACTGGGCACCACTGGCGTCCCAACCCCACTGGTTCGAGCCATAGAGGTATTTGCCAGAGTCGGAGGTTGCGCCGGCGAATTGAGCTGCAGCAGAATCGCCATACGCGGCGCACATAGTCTTGGTCTCGACCTTCGCGGCGGCGACAGACAGAGGAGATAGGATGGCGAGCAAAGATAAACCTTGCCCCAGAATACGGAGGGCCCTGCAGGAAGACATCTGGAGTAAACGAGTGGAGAATAGGTATCGATTCCTTGATTTTGTTTTTGTTGAACGAGGGGACGGCAGAAAGAGCTACTGTCGCATGTATGTCACAAGGATGCCGAAGGGCGCGAAGGAGAAATGGAAAAGGTCAGGCACTGTATCTAACATGAAAACCAAAGCCAATTTACAGCATAGCCGCATTTGCCGCCACGCAATCGCCAATTGGCTGACAGGGGCGAGTAGGGGCCAGAGTCCAACGTCCAGCAACAAATCGCTCTTTTGACTCAGCCTTTAAGATTGCACCAATACGAACCTTTCATTGCAAGACCTCCTAGGGACAACTAAGACAGTCCTGAACAACCGTATTTCTTATTAGGAACGATGGGCGTCCGACTCGGCATCTTGTCAGGGTGAAACTGTCGTCTTGGGAATGCCTTGGGGCCCTTGAGGCCGGCCGGGTTGGCGGCGGGGATTGGCGCAGCAAAATAGACGAAAAACAACACGGACAAGGGCAAGGAAAATCAAAGGGAGATCGGCCCTCAAATCATCCCAGCTCCTTCTTCCATGCGCCGCACCACCAGCCCTCTTTTTTCTCAACCACGGCCGCTGTGCACGGAGCTGCTGCATGCTGCGGTGCTCCTTGGCGCCGGGACTCCTGATCCGAACTTTACAGAAGCCAACAACCCTTTATGATTCGACCCTCTGTGCTATGTATGTGCGCACCCGGGCCGGATTGGGCCGGTTTACGGTTTGTTGTGTTTGTGGACGAAACAGCAACGGGACGGCGTTGACTTGCAACTGTGCTGCGTGTTTTGCATGCGACACTGAGACCTGCCCTCGTGCTAACGCTCAGGTGGCAGAGCTAGCCGGAGACGTACCTCTTTTCGTCCTGGTGTGTGGTTCGAAACGCGTGCAGCGACGTAGACAGGCTACCGAGTCGGAGCCAGCGCGACTCGCACTGTGGCCGTTTTTCCGAACTTTGGGCGATGATGAAAGAGGAGCAGCGGGCCGCTGGCAATGCTGAGAAAAAACTTTGGTTTACACGAGAGCTTGTATTATTTTGATCCACGGCTTTTAACTACACCCTCGCGCGAATCCAGGCACCAAAGCCAACTGCCATGAGGACTCTCGAAATAGAAACACTTTCTTCTATCCGCAGGCGAAGCACGCCTGATCGTCGAGACACACTGGTATTCTCGGAAGCAATCTGTTGCTGTCGCGAACACTTGCACTGACCCCCCGTCGGCCGCTGTTCGTTGGTTGGCGCTCGCTGTTGTGCGCACCGCTCCCTAAGCTTTTGTTCCTGCAGGGGCTCCACTCTTTCTTCCATCATCGGCCCTTCACGCTTGCAAAGCCTTCAAACCATGCCCTGGGTGCCTGTACCCCCTGCGATCGATTCACTCCGGAGCGTTGCGTCGCAACAGTTTCTTCGTTGGCAGTTGAGGAGGAGGCTGTCGAGCTCCTATTGTTCTGTACTCGTGAATGGACAAACGGGCCCCTGCCATGTGTGTAGCCTTCGCCAATTCAGGCGCGCTTCTGCAGCAGTGACCAGTCCTGTCGTCTGGAAGCTCCCCGGCCATAACATTTACACGACCTCACACGGTTCAGGCCAAGACAGTCCCAATCAATTTCCAACTTGTTCTACCTTATCGCGCTTGACCGTGCCCGGTCCGCCCCATGTCCCATCGTCTGGCTGTCAAATCTAAACTGGCCGCTACTGCAAGCCTGCAGATAGCAAGACCGGTCCATATGTACCCAAAGATAGTTTGTGCTTTTTCCCCAATGAAATCGACGTAAGTTGTGGAGCCTCTTCGCTTCGTATCACGGGATTTCTTCCTGTTTCCAATAACAGCATCGTTTTTGCCCGTTGTTCTTATTCGTCTCGTGTTCCCCTAGACACCTTCTCCTGCATTTTTCTACAACTTACCCCCTACGCCTCAACCGGCTCCTGCTCTTGTCTCCAAGTATCCAGTCGTTACCACAATTATCCCCACAATCTGAGCAACCTGACCTTTTCTACAACCCATCAAAGACCCTGGGCATAAGCTCCCAGCAATCAGCACCATGGCTCATCACGGTAGCTATGACTATGAGCATGTCAACCCCACAAGCCCATACGGCACACCATTCGACGGTACACCGTCAATCAGCAGAAGACCGTCATACGAATTCCAACCTTCTCCTGCTGCTAGCACTACTCGCCTAGTCGGAGGACGTCCTGACAGCCAGACCGCTGGCGGACTTCAACGTCTACGACCAACATTGGACAAGAACCACTCTACTTACTACAATGGCTCGTCAACAAACCTGGCCACCGAGAACGACTACATGATCCCTGAAAGAGAGTCTTACGAAGATGACAAGTCACCTTACAACGTAGACGAGGAGGATGCTTCAACTGTCACTGGCTCGACCCCTGAGTCTAAGTCCGGATTTGACAACAGATTCTCGACCACAAGCTCTTTTGGCAGAGAATACACTGATGCCGATTACGTCGTTCGCGAGATTGCAAAGCACGATGATATCGCCCTCATGAAGCCTTGGAAGAGAAAGTTGCACTACATGGCTCCTCTTTTCACCATTGCTGCGATGGGCGGTTACTTCACCTACTACGCTTTCCGTATCTACTTCACCGTGGATGCACAAAGGACAAACGGCACAGTGTACGCCATGGCTTGGTTCTTCATCGCTGCAGAATTTTTGGTTGCTCGTAAGTTCAATTACTCGAAAACCGACTTTTTCCAATTCTTACAAAAACCAGTTCCCTCGTTCTTCCATCAAATGTACTCCATGCTCGCATTCAAGGGCCGCAAGCGACCTCAACTCAGACTCGTTGGAGAGGCCGTCCCCACCGTTGATGCCTTCATCACTTGCTGCAAGGAAGATGTTGACGTTGTCATCGACACTGCCCGCGCTGCCTGCGACGTCGACTACCCTCAGGACCGCTTCCGCGTTGTTGTCCTTGATGACGGTGCCGACCCCGAGCTGAAGAAGGCGATGGAAGATTTGAGCTACCAATACCCTAACGCATACTACTTCGCTCGTGTCAAGGTCAAGGGACAGCCTCACCACGCTAAGGCTGGTAACTTGATTGGTGGTACTGATTTCGTCACTAAGCTCCCTGGCGGTCCTGGCGAGTACATTGCTGCCCTCGATGCTGATATGATTCCTGAGAAGGAGTGGCTTCGTGCTCTTCTTCCCCACTGTATCCGCGACCCCAAGACTGCTCTCGCCTGCCCTCCCCAGCTCTTCTACAACGTTCCCGACAACGACATGCTCGTTCAATCGCTCGATCCTTTCGTTCACGTCATGGAGCCCATCAAGGACTCTCTGGGTGTCGCCTGGTGCACTGGTTCTGGTTACGTTATTCGTCGTTCTGCTCTCGAATCCATTGGTGGCTGGCCTACCGGTACTCTTGCTGAGGACACTTTCACCAGTTCCAAGCTTCTCGGCAGAGGTTTCAGGACTGCCTACGTTCACGAGGGTCTTCAATTCGGTACTGTTCCTGATTCCTACACTGGTCACCTGAAGCAACGCACTCGCTGGACTCTGGGTACGCTTCAGTCTGCTTTCCAACAGCGTTTCTGTCTTTACGGAGATATCTGCAGAGACATGACCTTCTACCAACGTCTTTCTGGTTTCGTCTTCACCGTCGACGCTTTCTTCAAGATTTTCCTTATCATCTCTATCCTCGCCATCCCCATCGTTCTGGTCTCTGGCGGTAGATTGGTCGCCTATTCGAACAACGACCAGCTCCGCTGGCAGGTTCGTCTTGCATTCATCTCCTTCTTCTTGATGCGCCTCCAGGAATACGTCAATTTCTTGCCCTCTGGCTACAGATTGGCTCTTCGTGATGGTGGTTCTATGCTTTGGATGGCTCCTTACCACGCTAAGACTGTCCTGGTCTCTTTCCTTCTTCCCAGCTGGCTCGGTGGTAAGCCCATGGCTTTCACCACTTCCGGTTCCATTAAGGGCGATATCATGGAGCGTGATGGCGCCCACCGTGCTCACGTTTTCCGCCGCCTGAAGGTCATTCTCTGGGACTGCTCAGCTTACCAGCACCTTCTGTACATTCTGTTCGTCATTGCTGCCGTCACTCTCAGCACCGTTCGCGCTTTCATGGACAACCACACAACCCAGGACAAGCTCATCTACCTTTTGACTCACGCTCTGTTCCCTCCTATGCTCTGGCTGATTTGCTGCACTGCTTTCGCCATCCCAATCCGCTACGCCATCCACCCTCCTACCATGCCCGATCGCGAGGAGCTGCTCGACAGAGACCCGAAGACTGGTGTTGCCCACCCCAAGGAGTACTGGAAGAGCCAGCGCTGGGGCAAGAGCCACTTCTGGCACGAGTTCGAGGTTCTCTTCCTCGTCGCCTACGCCATTTTCATTTTCGTCATCACCTTCATCATCAAGGACTCGCAACTCGAGGAGTAAACGCTTTTCCTACAATGTCACGCATTTGCAATCTATTTCACTTTCTTTGGGTTACTTCTTTTCTGGAGCGCTTCGCATTTCCTCTTTTCGTCAATTTTTTGAGCATTATCTTTTGATAACTTTCGAAGCTCTGGGATTTTCTATGGAACGGCCTAAATTAATGCTGTTTAGAAGGAGAGGGTTACTTTGGAGTTTGGATATGGCCACCCTCTTGCAAGCATGTATGCAACCTACATGACAATTATTCTTCCTGTACATAGCCTTGTGTTGTTTTTTCCTTCCACTTTGTATGGACAATTCAAAAAGTGTACATTTACATCATTTCTACCTCTCTTTTCTTGTCGCATTTGCCTTTCGATTGTTGGGACTGAAAAAATTCTGCTGTGCTTCCTTCCGATTACGTCGCGAGATCTGCGAGGACTTTGTTACCGTGGTATCTCCAAAGTTCAAAAGTATCTCCACCACGGCACGCCCGCATGCAGGCACACACGCATGAGTAGCAAGATGCAGGAAAAGAGGTGAAGTTGACTTTGGCGCATCTTGTCTCACCCAGGCAACCGTTTGGATTTCGTTGTCCGCCATCCAGGGCCTCCACCAGTCAACATGCACCCTGGAGAAAGCTTGTCAATAAGCTCCCTCAAGCCAATCCGGACAGTTCGGAGGTGGCTAGGATGTTCGGTCAATCAACAACGGACATCACAACAACGCACGTAACGTCCACAAGATAACCTGGACCATGGGCAGTGTCAAGCTGACTGCATCGTCCTGCAGTGGTAGTTGAGCGACCATGCATACTACACATGCAGCGCTGTAGATCTCGAATCGTGCTGGGTGATTTTCGTGTGGCGTAGTGACCTGAAGTCAAGTGGCTGTACAGGTGTTCACCCCGTGCTCGTGACTCGTTATCAATCAAAAAGATATGCTAGGTCTATGAGCGAGTTGTTGATTCGTTGCGTCCATATCACAGCCTCCTTCCTGCCAAGTTCAAAGCAGCGTACGCATGCAACAATAGTAGAATGTCTGCATTGATAACAGGATTTCTGAAAATAACGCAAGATAGATACGGTCATGGTTCTCGCATTGCCTGAACATGGTTTGCCCCGCTTACGATGCGAGAAGGCTCGATACCACTCTCCATCCAACTTCCAAGAGCTTACTTCTGCACTATGCGAACACGACAGCGGTATATGCACCTCTGGGCGGCCCGTAAGAAGACAGCGGGTGTTCTATCAACGCGGATACCCATAACCCGAAGCTGCCGAGCGTGGATCCCGTCTCGCTCGGCATGGGCTGAGGTCGTCGCGTTCGACTCGCACGGTTGTCGCTGGGACGACTTGGAAGCTGCTCAGGCCGCGCGAGTCATCAAAAACCCAGCATAACAACTTCAACTCTTGCCCTTTTCTTGTTTTCCACTTCAGGCGGCAGAGTTCAGACGACACCTGTTTCCTGATCGATGTCCCGCCTGTCCTCAACAGTTTCTAGAAGATGTCAGTGCTGCGGTAGTTATGTCGCAAGATTCGACACTCGTATACGTTAGTCACTAGTCTCTGTTATAGGGTTGCTCAGCCTCGCTCCTCAAACCATGACTCTGAAACACACCTTCTGCCGACTTCAAGCCACATACTGCCGACTGACGAGGGTGACATCCAACCGTGCCTGTCATTCAATTCGCTGTTGGCCAAGCATATTCAATCTCATACCTATATTCTCATGATTGCTGTAATTATTGGCAAGCCATGCCGCCCAGAAACATTCCCGAAGTTCAAGATAGATGAATTCTCGGCAGCGTACTCTACTTGAATCGATCACTCCCTGATGTGGTTTGAAGGACATCTCAGGAATGTTCAATTCAGATACCGCACTCGCAGTTATGCTCAGTCGAGCTTACGATCGCCCAGTAGACCATCTACTTGAAGCTACCTATTTCTCAATCTGGTCTCCACATACTTAGTTCATCGTATATAGCTCTCAACCACTTGCGGGCTTGCAATGGCATTATATCCATCTTACATCGAGTGCGTCGACTATATGTTCCAGCCCATCATTATACCGTGTACTTCTGAGCAGAGTTGCCGAAGTGGTGCTAGTTAGTGTGACTAGTACTTTGTACCATGCAGACTGGGTGCTCTTTAGCCATCGTCTAGACAATTAAGATGAGCGTAGAAGTGTGATCTGCAGATATCGGCGGTCCATTAGTCTGACCAAGAAGATGGTAGATGGGGTTCTCGAAGATGGCCAGTGCAGAAGAGGTAGAAGTATGCAGAGTAGATTCTGTTGAAGCAGGTTGATTAACTTTGGATTAGCTCAATTCCGAAGGAAGTCACGATGTTGCAGATTATAACCCTTTGATCGAAAATGCCACAAGGAAAAAACGATAGACACGAGGGAGGCAGGAGTTCTGTGGATCTGTTCAACTGATGAACGAACAACCTGACGAAAGTGCAAAATAACCAGCTAAGGAAGCACCCGAACGATCGGACACTCTAATCATTGTGAGACTACAAAATCGCTTGGATTTTCTAAGACTTGTTCTCCTCAGGAGTGCTAACTATTCAATTACATACAGAAAGAATCCTAATTTACCGCACCATACTATCATCAATACCCAGATACAAGAAATCAGTGGTCCATCTTCTCGACCATAGCAGCGTCCACGGCGAGCGTATTGAGCACTGTAGCAGCATCTCTCTTCTCCAGACTCTTTTTGACAGGGTTCTTGGCCTCGAACACCTCGGAGAGTTCTTCTAGAGTACGCTCTTTTGTCTCAGGCCAGTAGAGGTAGATGACGCCGAACTCGATCAGATCCCAAAACACGAACACGAGATAGAAGTAAGCACCAATGTTTGCGAATGCAGGACCTGAACCGTATTGAATAACGGCCGAGCTGATGTTCGAAGCGAGGTTGCCGACAGCAGTTCCCTTGGCTCTTGTGGAGGTAGCAAGTGTCTCGGCGATATACATGCTTTGCAGAGGTCTGCAGAACGACGTTAGCAAAGGGCGAGAACAGAAGTCAAAACAGATATAGACTACTCACGTCCAGCCGAAGGAGAAGATGATTCCGAAAAGGTAAATGAAGGCGATGGTTGTGTTTGCCGCTGACTTATTGTCGATGTCGTGTTGCGCAAGCTTGCTCGTACCGCAGATAATGGCAAAACAGCCTGAACAGAACAGGATTGAGTAAAGCAACAATGGTCGACGACCAACAGTATCGGTCATACGAGCTCCGAGAATTGCTGCGAAGAAGCATATGACGGGGTAGATACCGTTCAACATCAGCTTGGTACCCTGAGCTGTGATTCCAGCGTTTTCGAGCATGACGGGAAGGTAATAGGATGTAACGCTGTTTCCGCTCAATTGGCCGAAACATGCCATTCCCAAGACGCAAATGAGCCTTCGGCGAGCGGAGTGAGTGTTGACCAACTCGGAGTAGTCCCACCCTTTCTTGTCAGATGCATCTTGTCGGATTTGGTTTTGCATCTCTTTAAGCTGTAGAAGCACTATTGGATGCGATTCGTCACCATCGCCATGGTAGCGACCTAATACTTTAGTAGCTTCTTCCATACGGTCTTGAGCGCAGAGCCATCTGCAAACAACTTAGTGGCTGCAACGGGTATAAGATAGACAAAGCGGACCTCGGACTCTCAGGCAAGAACCAAACACCAACGGCAACGACGACTGAAGAAACCAGCTGACACCAGATTGGGATGCGCCAGCTGACATCTGATTTGACCCGTTCTGCGCAGGCGTAGATGACCCATGAAGCAATGATAGATCCAATATCTATGGAGACAGGTCAGAAGAGCGTGGATACAAATACAGTTTGACCTGAAGCTTACACCACGTGCAGTTGTAGAGTCCAGTCAACGTGCCTCGCCATGCAGGATGAGCCATCTGAGAGCAAATCAGTCGTCTGACTTCGATGAACCGCTATGAGGAGCATGGCAAACCTCGGCGACGTAACATGGTGCGCTGACGCACGCGAACGATACACCAAATCCGAGCACGCACCGCCCAACCAGGAACATGCCTCTATTAACAGCAGGAGCTTGGATACAAGTGCCAACAATCACGATGGCTGCGCCTGTAAACATTCCCATGCTTAAGCAATAGTTAGTCTTCGATCGATTCAAGAAGTGACAACTGGAAGAATTACCGTCTGCCGAATCTGTCATTTGTTGGACCCGTGAGGAAGACGGCCGGGATGGATCAACTTCGTGTCAGCATCCATACTGAGACTAAAGATAGAAGTTCTGTCTGAGGTCGATGGACTAGCTTACCCTATGTTGTATCTGTGAGGAGCATTAGCAAAGGTGAAACACTCCAATGTTCTGCCTTCAGAGCTTACATCGCAAACGTTATGCCGGTGCTACTGCCAGCAGATTCCCTATCAAAGTCAGCGTAGATGATTTTTCATTGTCCTTAGAGAGCCATACTCACATGTGGAAGTAGTCAAGGTAAGTATCCATGGCATTCAGCCCTCCCATCAAGCTACCATCATATCCATTCAAGCAGCCACAGAGATATGCGATGGTCAAACATCCATATAACTTCAACATGTTCGACGACCAAGGACTCTGTTTGATGTGTACAGCCTCCTCAGACAGCTGGACAGCTACCTTTGCTTGTTGAAAGTCGTTGTCCACATCGTCGACATGCGTAACACCGTCTTTCTTGATATCCATGACGAGTGATAGATAGAGAAAAGAAGAGAATGAACAAGAGAGAAAAGACGAGATACCAAACTGGTTGCCATACAGGCGCCCACCTACCTTAAATATGCTGCCATGGCGAGTACAAAGTGACTCAGTATACTACCATATGCCTTGATCTGAGGACCTTCATCCGGTAACTGTCTAAGACCAGCTGATCGTCGCATGATCCTTCCTAGGAGAATATCGTGGGGAGAAAATCTGGAGATGATAGGATCTGCAATCCTGGGGCAAGTTTGGGGTATGGTTGCATCGCGATATTGATACGATACGAGACGGTAGCATGCCCCCGCCGGCGAGGATGGCAGTTTGGAAATTACTGAAGAGATAGAGTGTTCGTAAGTTGATAGTCCGAAGGTCTGTTTGGTCGATTGATATCTCGTACCCCGCAGATGTACCTTCAATTAACCATGGCTTTTTCCGAGTGGCCGAGTTATCGGAGCGAGATCCAGATGGGTAATGACACCCCCACCAGCAGTGCGACTACCTGTAGAAGAAGAGAACCTATCCTCCACTGAGACGCTTCTGCCAACATACTCTACGCACAATTTTTGATAGGAAGGAAGGAAGGACTCTTCTCGGAGTGGCAGGAGGTCATGAGAGGTCGATTTACCCGCTTGCATTGCGCCTTCCTTCCCCTCGCCTTGGCTGCTTCCTCCAAGAATTCAACCTGACTTTCTTGGGTAGCTTGTCTGTACGGAGGAAATCCTTCCATTGGCGACAAGACTTTTTGAGAGATGTGCTCGCCTATCATCACCGAGGTTGTCGTAGGATCCTTGGGTGTCGTGCCGAAGGGGTTCAATCTACCGAGAGGGGTTGGTCGATCGCAGACTGACGGATGGCTTGGAAACGTCAAAGTCAGATGATCTGACCTCTCATGTCTGGTCGTCGAGCTTTACGACAAGTATTGATAAAGTGTTCTGAGTCTGAATGTTCAGCAAGTCTGGCAGCTTGACACAACCGCTGAATATGTCTTTGCCTGGAAGCTTGACGGCAGCTGCAGACCATCATTCGGGACAGTCGTCCGAGCTCGATATCTGCAACCCTAAAATCGTTCATCGCAATCGTCTTCCAGCTCGCTCATACTGGATCCCGGAGAAGTCTCTTTTGCTGAATGGCACATGGGGCTTTGTATACAGTCCAACGCCTAAGCATGCACCTCATCCTAGCTTGTACTCCGATGGCCTTAGCAGCCTTGTAGATGCTCTCACGGTCGAAGGCGAAGGCCAAACTGCAGACATCAAATGGTCATCCATCACTGTTCCAGGACACTGGCAATTGCAGGTGAGTCCAAACAGATCTTGAATCAACAGCGTGCAGCATATTGACTTTCTTAGGNGCTATGGCAAACCACATTACACCAACACAGTTTACCCCTTCCCAGTATGCCCACCTTATGTGCCCACTGAGAACCCCACGGGAACATACCGTCGCAACTTCTTTGTTCCTTCTTCGTGGTCTGAGGATTCCCAAATTCGTCTTCGATTTGACGGTGTTGACAGTGCTTACCATGTCTACCTCAACGGCCAGAAGGTCGGATATTCTCAAGGCTCAAGAAACCCTGCCGAGTTCGACATCACTAATTTTGTGAACCGCGGAGAAGATGTCAATCGTCTCATCGTCAACGTTTTTCAATTTTGTGACGGCTCATACATCGAAGACCAAGACCAGTGGTGGCTCTCGGGTATCTTCCGTGACGTGCATCTGATATGCTTCCCGAGCAAGACCCGGATTGAAGACGTCTTCATCAAGACAGAGCTTGATGAAAACTACCGAGATGCGAAGTTGAATATTGAGCTGGACCTTACGATACATGAGGCAGTCGAAGCAATGCTATCTCTGCGAAGCCCGAACGGCTCTTCCGTCATCAATGAGAAAATCCAGCTCTCTGCTGACTCCTCTCACAGCCAACACGTATTTGCTGTGTCGAACCCTGCCAAATGGACTGCAGAGGCACCGCATCTTTATACATTGGAGATCAATCTGCTGGAGTCTAACTCCGACACTCCTGTCCAGACAGTGAGGCAGCGGGTTGGTTTTAGATGCGTTGAGATTATCAAAGGAAACATCAGTGTCAACGGCAAGCCGATCTTCCTCAGAGGCGTCAATCGCCATGATCATCACCCATTGTTTGGTCGAGCCGTACCACTGGCTTACATGAGAAGAGATTTGATGATCATGAAGCAGCACAACATCAATGCTCTGCGTACTTCTCATTATCCCGCAAACCCAAAGCTATACGAGCTCTGCGACGAGCTCGGTCTATGGGTCATGGACGAAGCGGATCTTGAATGCCATGGATTCTTTGATGCTGTCGAGCGACCCCTAAACTTGCCTCCAGACATGGGATACGAGGAGCGTAAAAAGTACACCTTCGATAAGGCAGCCAAATTCACCAGTGACAACGAAGACTGGAAAACTGCTTACGTTGACCGTATGGTGCAGATGGTAGAAAGAGACAAGAACCATCCATCCATTATCATGTGGTCTCTTGGCAATGAAGCTTTCTATGGCCAAAATCACGTCGCTATGTACGAATGGGCTAAATCTCGGGACCCAGAACGTCCGGTTCACTATGAAGGAGACGTCAACGCAGCATCTGCCGACATGTTCTCCTACATGTACCCATCAATCGAAAAACTTATCGGTCACGCCACAGAAGAAGGCGATGACTTCAAGAAGCCCATTGTACTCTGCGAGTATGGACATGCCATGGGCAATGGACCAGGTTTACTAGAAGATTATCAAGCAGCCTTCCGCAAATACCGCAGACTCCAAGGTGGCTATATCTGGGAGTGGGCGAACCACGGTTTGCTCAAGACCGAAGGTGACAAGCAGTTCTACGCCTATGGTGGAGACTTCGGCGACGTGCCGAACGATGACACTNTTGTTATGGACGGACTTCTGTTCAGCGACCATACACCAACTCCTGGCTTGATTGAGTTGAAGAAGGTCATTGCTCCTGTTCGAGCTTGGATTGAGGACAAGAAGTTGGTGATCAAGAACGATTTCGAGTTCATATCCTTGAGCCACCTGATTGCTGATTACAAGGTCGAGGTTCTCGGTATACGGTAAGACCATCTCTAGTGCCACCACGTATGTGACCTCGAACTGACATATCACAGACCTGACCGTGTGCTATCTGGCCCCATCCAGCTTCCTCATATCGACCCTGGCACTGAAGCCAAGATCGATCTGCCTGAAGAAATATTCGACGTTCACCGACCCAACGGGACAGAGGTGTGGTTGACTGTTGACTTCCGCCTCGGTGTTGCGACTCCATGGGCCGAAGCCGGCCACAGCATCACATGGTACCAGACCAGACTCTCTGCCAAAGACGACGACTACACCTACGGTATCGAGCGACCCATCATGTCAAGTGCCATCACCGCCAACGAGACACAACTGCACTACCGCTTTATCGGTTGCGACTTCCACTTCAACTTTTCTCGAGCCAGAGGAACATTGGTAGAGTGGGTATATGGCGGCAGATCAGTGCTCAAGAAGCGCGAAACACCAGACGACCCTCTACTAGCCCTCGGCTTCTGGCGCGCACCAACCGACAACGACGCCGTAGGCATGAGCAAAGAATGGAAACGCTACGGCCTCGACACCATGACACCCCAACTCCGCAACTTCTCGCTTGAAGACAATGGCCCGGACAAAGCTCGCCTAAGCGCTGTATACTACTACAGCGCACCCATACTAGCCTGGGGCTTCACCGCAAAACTAACCTACGAGATCTCGTCCGCAGGCCAACTCTCCATCTCAGTACACCTGACTCCTCAAGGCAACACTCCCTCCACCCTCCCCAGAGTAGGCTTGAACCTCCAATTAGACTCTTCCTTCAAACAAGCAACCTGGTACGGCAAAGGCNCCTCCGAATCCTACACCGACAAAGCAACTTCCCAACAAATCGGCATTTGGAACTCTACAATCCATAACTTACAAACTCCCTACGAAGTGCCTCAAGAAAACGGCAATCGTGTTTCTACACGCTGGGTCAAGGTGTTGAATGAACAGGGTCTGGGCATAAAAGCTACGTATGTTGCTGGGCCAAGGGAAAAGGAGTTTTTCCAGTGGGCTTGTTGTTTGCATGATGCAAAGGTGTTGGAGGAAGCTAGACATCCTTGTGATTTGGTGGAGAGGGTTAGTCCGTTGTGGAGATTGGATGCTGATCATGCTGGCGTCGGTACTGCGGCTTGTGGACCCGGTGTCAAGAAAGAGGATCAAGTGGAGTGTAGAGAGAGGGAGTTTACTTTTGTGCTCGAACCTGCTATAGACTTCTAGAAGCTTATGTAGATGGTGCGATAGGTGCAGCCAGGGTATCGTCTTCGGCTTTCAGTTTAATCTTCTAATCAAACCCCTCCATTGTTGCTTTACTGTTCGTATCTTTCAAATGACACTCGATCACAAAATCCAGAGCAGAGGACGAGAATAAGTGTATGTTTGTAACAATATCATCTTGATCATTTTGTGATGTGAATAAGACGCCTCCAAAAGCACCGGCCATACCGCAAACGTAAATACAGATAGGGAATGCACAATCAATGTGCTAATTATATAAAGGCTGGAGGAGAGTTCGCAACTACGTGCGCTTTCCTCGAGTTCAAGAATTCATCCACCATTCGCTGTCCAGGCGAAGATCCTTTGCTCTTTGACGAGTCCTTTGTCGGGGTGTAGAATGGAGGGATTGTTATGCCATCGATCATACCAGAAGGTCTTGGTGGTGCAATGTTCTCTTTGCTGTCAGCTGCATAAGGTCCTTCTGAGATTCGACGCAATGTATCATCGAAAGTACTTGGAGCCACCACTCTGCGTCGGATATTGAGACTCGAAGCCTCAAGGTTGCGGTTGTTACGATACATGACGCGAAGGTCCAGGGCCGACTTTGGAGCCTTGACAGAATCTTCTCTGCCTGCAGAGTCGATCTCTTCGTTTGACGGATCATGACCGTGACGCGCAGCACGAATGGCTAGACTTGACTTTTTGCGTACGAGTGCGCTTGTTGACTGCCGTTCTCGGAGGGTTGACGAAGACAGTGTAGACTGATCCGCATCACCTCGCTGACTTGCTTTGCTGGAAGCCCTTTCAACAACAGATGCTCCCGATCCTGACGCAGACCTGTGACCAGAAAACGTGCTAGAAGGATTGGTACGACGACCCGACGCTCTGCTCGATGGCCTGCCGGTGTCGATGAGAGGGTATCGCTCATTCATGATGCTGGAGGCTCGAGAACGTAGTTCAGGTCGACTCTTTGAAGGTTGTAACACTGGTGGTTGCTGCTGTAGGCTTTCTTCAGAGTCGTGAGGATGGCTGTTAATCGGGGAAAAGCCAGGTCCAGCCATAACAGTATCTCCAACAGGTGCGGGTGTCATGCTAAAGTCCTCAATTTCTTTGCTGAACCAGGCTCTCCATTCATTACTTGGTTGTGGTGCGTAGGAAGAAGGTCCATTCAAAGGTCGTGGGGGCGAGTCGAGAGGATAACGTTTGACCTCGTGCCCGGTGATTGTGATGAACGTGCCAACAGCATCAGGACTGACGGATCTCGAGTATACGCTGGGCGAAATGACATGCTGTCGAATGTCATGAAGATCTGCGCCGTTGCCAAACGTTGGTGCAGCAGCGTCGCGGGATTCGTGACGGACAGCAACTGGCAAGCTGGAGTTGATCTCTTCTAACGGTCGCAATTCATATGGATTATCTCCCTTGATGCAATAATTGAGAGCTCGTGAAACAACCGGTGAGCCATCCTCCAACGCAGCCTGCCACCGATTTTCTGATCTCTCCACACGAGCAGCGATTTGCTCGTTTGATGGTGCAACTGGCTCTGCTTGACGGCGTTTTTTTGAACGTATGCTGGGCGCCATGCTCCACCACGACGATTTTCGAGTCACTTGATGTGGCGGGCTCGGGGCTGGACGTGTAGGAGACTCGGGAATGGTAGGTTCTGGGGTGACCATTCGAATAGTCTCAGAGGCTGGCGATATTGGTGCAGAGTCGTTAAAGATGACAGCAGATGGTTGTGGAGTGACGTGCTCGACTACGATAGTCGGTACCTCAGGCTCGTTGATGCGTTTCTGCAGTGCATCATACAAGCGCTTGCTATCTTCTGACTTGCGTTGGAGGCTGGTCTGGCTGGGACGGCGAAGTGGAAAACGCAACGCTCGACCGAGAAAGGAGCCAGTCGGTGGTTCCTCTGCGGTAGGACCAAGCGCTTGAGATGCTGAGGTCTCTTCGATTGAGGGCAGACGATTGCCATGGCGTGAAACTGTCGAGTTGGACCAACTTGTAATTCGTGATTGTGCACCTGAAGAAGCACCAAGGGACGAGAAAGGTGATCTAGGTAGAGAGACTCCAACGTCTGGACCAGCCGAGAAGCTGTCGTCGTTTGTCTTGTAGACATCGAAATGGAGATTTCTTGCTTCTACGTGCTGAGCAGGGAACTGTGACTGTACTCGCTTTGGTCGTGATAATAGCCTTTTGAACCTACCCTTCAGTGATTCTGAGACGGTCCGCTGTTTTTTCAGCTTGCCAGGAGTTTCGTCGGACTTGATCTCGACAGGCGGAGCAGTAGAGAAGATGGCTTCGGATTCTTCGACAAAGTTGTAGGGTGGTACCGACGTGTCATACTGGATGGAGGGCGCAGGAGTGGGCGACTTTGAGAAACGTTTCTTTAGCGGAGCAGCGAAAGACTTTCTTTCACGAATCTCCTTCTTGTGAAAACCCTGAAGGTAAGCATCCCAGGCAGCCGTCTTGATCTCATCATCGGTCTGCAGGTCGCGAGTCTGTCGTCTAGAGGCAGTGCTGAGTCGTGACTCAGACAAGTCTGTCATGGTGACTGTAGGGTCGTTGGAGGCTTCGAGAGCAAAGCGGTAGGGAGTATCCGGTAAGAGAGATTGTCGAGTTGGTGGACGCGCAGGTAGGGTTGCGGGAGCAGTGGCAGGTCCTGGCACGAGTGCAGGACGCTCAAGACGATCAGATCTCTGAGTGGACTTGCGTCGGTTGTCATCAAAATGGCTGCCCTCAGAGCGACGAGAGCGGCGTCTTTGAGGTCGGTCTCCTTGTGAATGGCGGTATGCACGCGTGTAGGCTTCTACAGCGGCAACCTCTGCATACTTTGGCTCGGTCGATATCGATGGCTCGAAGGGCCTGTGACTGCTCGAAGATGATGACTTGGCCCTGCGTAGGCGCAGCGCAGCATCACTGTTGGCACGGGACAGCATTGGAGCTTCCTTCGGGGTTGTTCGCTGCGAGTTGTTGATGTGTACGAGAAAGCTAGGAAGACGTATGCGGCGATACCAATGCTTTGGTATGAGATGCATTTGTGTGATTTGGCACAAGATGAAGAAGGCAGAACCCGCCTGTCTTTGTTTCATGCCTGTGCATTGCAAAGGCAAGAGGACTACAGGACGCTCTTTCCCATCCAGCTAGAAATTCATAGTCCATGTGCCTACCTCNACAAACCATTTTCGCCTGTACCAGGTACAGCCACTACCTGAGAACAAGATGCTCTCATTCTGTTAACTCCCCCTTCTGAGATATGTTGTGATGAATATTTATAACATGACGGACTTCATGATCCTGATGAGATACGGTGTCGCTCTCCACAACCAGGACTCAATGTCATCCTACAAGCCCTACTGACCGTGAGAGTATACCACTGAGATCAGTCACTCAAAAGAGCGAGCTAAAGGATAGGTATCGAAGGACGTCAAGCTCACGTATTGCCAAGATGTGGTGGTGACATTCATGGACGGGCACCTTTGGACCGAGACGGCCGAAAATGACTCAAAGCACAGGCCATATATCACGAGGTCTTGAGCCGAGGCATGCCGAAATGACTCGAAATGGAAGGTGGCTGGGTTCGTGACGCGCGTGACGCCTCGCCATCACCATAGAAAATCACAGCAGCAAGAAACACTCGTCGTTGTTGTCTGGAAGAACCGTCCATTGTCTGATGGGGTCACCCATATTATATGTGTACATAATGAAATAAGGAATATGCATCTGATTATCCTCCGTAAACCGTGACAAAAGAAATAGAGAGTATGCAAGACATCAGATCGATATGTCAAAGCCTACTCCAATGCAATGTGGCTCCACCGTGGACGCCATACACGCTCGTTCAATCATGCATCGACACTCTACTGCTGAGCGGCGAGGAACTCCTCAATGTCAGACTCGAGCTTGGCGGTGAGCTCTGCAATCTCCTTGCGGGTAGTCTCGAACATCTCTCTCATGTCCTCGCGGATGGTGGAAGCGTCAATCTCTTGAACCTTCTTGTAGGCATCGTAGGCAGAGTTGGTCTTGGTAACAGCCTTGAGCTCCTGAATAGTCTTCATGTTCTGGCGCTGGATGTTCTTGGCCTTGTAGCTGCCACCAGCAATGACTTCAGTGTAGTTGGCAGAACCACCACCGTTCCAGGCAAGGATNCTGGGTTGCGTTAGTACAGAGTAGAAGAACAGTGATGTGGAGTTACTTACGTTGGCAGTGTCTGAGGGAACATCCTCAAGAGCACCAACAGTGGCGATGGAAAGGAGGTCAGCCTTGAGCTTCTTGGGGGTGATCTCGGCGACAGCGTAGGCGGAGTCCTTGGAGGGCTGAAGAGAAAGGAGGTAGGCGAGGAGACCAGCAATGTGAGGAGAGGCCATCGAGGTACCAGAGATGACGTTGGTAGCAGTCTCGCTGCCGATCCAAGTGGAAAGGATGTTGAGACCGGGGGCGAAGATGTCGTTGCACTTGCCGTAGTTGGAGAAGTAGGCACGCTCATCAGCAAGAGTGGAAGCACCAACGGTGACGGCCTTCTCAGCAGCGGCGGGAGAGTATCTGCAGGAGTCGGCGTTGTCGTTACCGGCGGCAACAGCGAAGTGGATGCCAGCATCGACGGCAGCGTTGACGGCCTGGTCGAGGAGAGCAGACTTGCCACCACCCAGACTCATGTTGGCAGCGCTGCCCTTGAAGCCCTTTCTCTTGCCCTTCTTGGCCTTCTCGACTTGCTCAATGTGAGACTCAGCAGCGTACTCGACACCCTTGACGACATCAGACATGGAGCCTGAGCCGTTAGAGCGGAGAACCTTGACAGCCTTGACGTGAGCCTTCTTGGCGACACCGTACTTCTTGCCAGCGACGGTACCAGAGCAGTGAGTGCCGTGGCCGTTGCCGTCCTTGTCTTCGTCACCCTGAGGGATGGTCTTGCCCCAAGAGGCACGGCCCTCGAAGTCGACGTGATCGACGTTGGTGCCAGTGTCGATAACGTAGACATCAACACCCTCACCACCGTCGGATGAGTAGAGGTACTTGTTGAATGTGCCGAAGGTCAAGCTGTCGCGGTGAGAGATACGAGCGAGACCCCAGGGAGCGCCCTTCTCGACAGCAGGGTCCTCGGACTTGGCGAGGGTGTGCATGACCTGGTCCTTCTCGACGAAGGCAACNCTGAATCGATCGTGTCAGCAAAGCTCTCTTGCATTGGTGAGGAGGCGACTCTAGGCAGCAGTTTTGGGTTGCCACATGACCGAGCAAAACAGCTGGAAACAAGTTTTGAGGGTGTTTCCAAGATGATTCGTGGAAGGTTGAAGACGCAATAGGGAAGAGATCGTGAGATCGTGGGTACTTACATCGGGGTGCTTGCGGATGGCATCGATGACGGACTCGTCAAAGTGACCTGAGTAGCCCTTGAGGCCGGCCATGTTGTATGTGTGCTTGAGACCGTCAAAGACAGTCTCAAGGAAAGGCTCCTGCGATCTCTTGCGGAGCTCGAGCTTGGTGTTCAAGGTCTGCTCGTGGATGTCCTGCACCCAGTTGTGGTGAGCGGCGGCATCGTGGTGGTCGACGTGATCCTTGAAGGCGATCAGGTACGAGTCGGGGATGGTGTCAGCATCGACAGATGAGATGAGAGGAGCGGCATCGTTGTCGATGCTCTGGTGGCTCAAGGTGTCTGCCTTGATGACAGGCTTTGCAGCCGCCAGCAGCGGCAGGAGTGAAAGACCAGCGATGCCCTTCATGATGAAGTGCTGGATATGTATGTGTTTGGAAAGTGTATGTAGAAGAGAGGATGGGGAAGAGGAGGTGGAATGAAGGAGGGATGGAGTCGAGGATGAGTCGAGTTGATGAAGGACTTCACCTGGATGGGTGGGCAGCTCCAATCTGGGGTCAGTCACTCGTTATCAGGGCCCGTGCTTCCAATGACGTTTCCGGCTTGGATGGTCACGTTAACCACTAGACACCACTGTTCCGCATGGCCTTGATCCATTCTGAACCATCCAGGAATGTTTTCAGAGCTTGCCGCAGATATACAAATACCGCTGAACTGTGGTTTCTAGTATTCGATCCATAGTAAGAACTTTCAAACCATAACCCCGTGTAAAGACCGCAGAAGGTGCTGTTGTCGGCGCCTCGGAGTGAGCGTCCTTATCGGAGCTAAATGGCGCTAGTGATCAACGCCGAGTTATTCGTTTCCTCTCGTGTGCCCTCTTCTCGATTCACTGTTTAAGGCACCCGGTGCTGCGAAACATCGAAACGCTCACGTGCGCCTCCATTGTGTCCGTTGCACCTTGCAACCCTGCTGCTGCTATCTTCAGAGCCTTTGCAGCTTAGGTCTTCGGCCCATCCCCTTTGGTCCCTCCTTGGCTGGTGTATGCTCCATCTTCAAAGCCGCAATCGAGCAAGCATTCTACTTTGCGGGGTCGTCACTTGACGACTTGTTTGACTGAGCCCGGAGAGAACGCCTTCGGCTTCCGGATCATCTGTCCCTTGCACAGTCACAGTCGCTTCCGGAGCAATGACATCGTTAGCTGTGCAGTTTGTATATATCGACCAGCACCGTTGATGCCAAAATGGATAACCGATCTCCGACCCCCGTCGGTACAGGTCATCCACCAGCAACTCCAGTCCACCATTGCAAGTGAGGACAAGTGCATTTGGTTCGCTCGTCCAACGACTATCAAGTTGCACGATTAACACCTCAGAGTCGCTACGGAGTATACATGATGATCTCACTAGATTGTGCATCTTCTTTGACGACAATGGCCAAAACGACATCCAGGACCAGTTCCGCCAAATCCGTGGTTTCCAGACGATCTTTCATGTTCTAGAAGCAGCAATTCAATTTGCCAAAGCACAAGAAACTCCAACGAGCACATCTCATGTTGAAGACCTTGCCCAAATCGCTATCGATGTGCTTAACATCTTGACCAAAGCGCTGCGGAAGCATCATGGAAACTCTCGTTACTTCACCAAGCGAGTATCCCATGGAGGATGGCAAGCCCTAAGGCACCTTGTGCAAAGGGTTTCATCTATCATTGCGAGTTCTTCCTCCGAAAAGTCTCGATTCAATAATTTGTCAAGGCTCTTTTGCATTACTCTGGCATTGGCACTTGGTGACTGTGCTTACAACAATGCTCTCAAACCGCTGTGGGCAGAAGATTCAGAGATTTCGCAAGGACTCGCCAATGGTGATGTTTCTGCGAACACAAGCAATTGCCTCAAATCCGTCTCAGAAGGAATCACCTCAGAAAGGCTGCAGACTATGGTTCGTGGTTGCTTCGACCAAAGCGAGCGAATTCTGAACTCGGAAGCTGTGACTATCATGTCAGACTTCTACTTGCTGACTGAGCGTGGGGTGGAGACTGCCCCCGAAAACATAGCTGTCCTGCCAATTGTCGTGTTGACAGTGCTTGATTGCGTTGTTGAAACATCAGAAAGCAACAGGATTGCGGTTCATGATGCTGGCACACTGTCAACTCTGTTGCCTCACTTGGTTGGAAAAGGCATGGAGAAACATGAGGCTGAACTGCTACAAAAGCTCTGCAAGTTGTTGCTTCCACTTGGATCACGTCGGTTGGAAGAGACAGCTCAAATGTTCAAATTGGCCTGCGAAGACGATTCCGCAAGGGAAATCTTACTAGAAGCTTTGCAGAAATCCAAACAACCTCCCGCTATCAAGTTCGACCTATCTAACTCTGGACATTGCTCAATCGAGCTCGCATCTTTGCCACGACCCTTTCCACCTACCACCGGATACACGTTCTCATGTTGGATCAAGATCGATCAGTTTGATTCAGACTGTCACACCACAATATTTGGAGCTTTCGACGCTAGTCAGACCTGTTTTGTTCTTGTATATATCGAAAAGGACACACATCAGCTGATTTTGCAGACATCGGTCACCGCAAAGAAACCCAGTGTGCGATTTAAGAGGTTTAAATTTGGAGCTGCAGAGTGGTATCATATTGCCATAGTGCATCGCCCCTCTAGAACAAGTGGTTCAAGCCCTGCCATCCTCTATGTCAACGGGCGGTGCATCGAAGAGCAGCACTGTCCATACCCAGAAGCACCTCCGCTCATCCCGGAAGTACGCGCTCCTGTTCCCTCTCAAGTCGTCAACACCACACGACGACCAGTCCAGGCTTTCTTCGGGACTCCACAAGATCTAGCTTCCCAAGCAGGCGATCGTCTCTTGAATTTAAAGTGGTCTCTTGCAAGCGCCTATCTGCTTGATGCATCTCTTTCTCCCGAGCTAGTCGCCGTTCACCAGAAACTTGGTCCCAGGTATTGTGGCAACTTCCAAGACTGCATAGGGCCTTTCTTGACATATCGCGCTTCTGCCGAACTCAATCGGTACAACGAGATGCTGCACGCGGACAAGGACGATAAGTCCGAGATCGTCAAGGCTACACAATCTCAGGGCAGTGAACTCCTTCCAGAAGGTAAACTGTTGATCAGCATGTCCGCTTCATCGATTGTGAGCATGAACGGTATGCTGGCAAATGGTGTCAACATCGGAGACATGCTGAATGAGAAGGCCGCAGCACATCTTCAGTCTCTGACGCGCAACGGCAACCCAATATTACTGAACGCAGCTCGACCTGTAATAAATGAGGCCATGACGAGATCTTATGGAGCAGCTGTGATCACTGGGAATCCTATTTTGACGCTTACTCACGGTCTTGACGATGGTAGTTGGCAGATAGGTGGTTGCCTGCCGATCAACATGAAGATTGTTCAAAGCGCATCAACAGCTGACTCTCTTGTCGCTTCGGTCGAGATTCTCTTCCAATGCATACTGGACAACTGGCGAACTAGTGAAGTCATGGAGAAGGATAACGGCTTCGGCATTTTAGCAGTTCTGCTAAGAGAAAAACTTGGAATATATACCAACGGTCCAGGTGGTCATAGAGCTGTCCCAGTTGCAAAGACTATGCAACAGAGGGAAGAGCTGGCGGTGAGACTCCTCAAAGTCGTACTGGCCTTTGTTGGCTATGATGTCAAGAGTCCCGAAAACTCGTTGCTGATCAATCCAATGGCTTACCGCGTTCTTCTTGTCGACTTCGACACCTGGCGTACGATAAGTACTGAAACACAGAAGCTCTATTATCAGCAGATTGCTGGATTTGTCTGGAAGAATAACAACCAAACTTTCAACATGAAACGTTACAACAAGATGAGGGTGGTTCGTAGGTTCCTCGATGCTCTCAAAGTTGATCCAATCAGCGCTGAAGTCTTGCCCGAGATCTTGCATGCTTTGAGAGCCCTCAGTCTATGCAAAACAGCACATCTCAATCATCGAGACATCGCTACATTCATCACGTACGCGCTTCACGATGACAGAGCCATGCAGTCGACCAACCCACTGCTGAGGACGCCTCGGAATAGATCGACATCGATCAAGTTATCGTCGCCTCGATTGGCCACGCCCGAGACACCTAGTCCTACACCAACAGCACCCAGTACGCTCAAACTGAGTCAATCAAACCTTGGTGTCAGCATTGTGGAGACGTACTCAGAGGTTCTCTGTGGCTTCGAGACTAACACGCACATCAAACGTTTTGACCAGCAAGTTCCTACGCGATGGATCCTCCATCTACTTGCGGAGCCCGATTCTCGTGTTGTTGGTTCTGCACTTTCGATTATATCGCGAGCTATCGTAGAGATCCCAAGTTTCAAGTCTAAGTTCGCTGAGAAGAACCATGGGTTTACAACGCTGCAGACTAGACTGCGTAGCCACTGGAAGTCTCCAAGGGTGTGGGTGGGTTGTTTTGCCATACTATTTGGGCGTCCTTTCGTTTCTCAAGAGGATGCCGATGACCTCACCATCTTCCACCTGATGGAAGCATTCATGCAGCAAGGAGAATCTGAGATACGACACCCTGAAATCTTCCCTGCGATGTCGAGCATGTTGGAAGCAGGACTCAGGACTGTTGTCAAAGACTCAGTGCATCAGAAGGACAACGAGGACGCAGCCGAGTTAAACTCCATTCCGAAGACCATAATCCAATTCCTTACAGACGTACATTCACGAAGTAAGTCGTTCAGAGACTTTGCTGTGGACTCCCACTACGTACAGGAACTACTTTTCGTGCTGTTCCCACTGATCACAAGTGCCGATCGACTTAGTGCGTCCGCTGAACTGGCATCTGAGAGTCCATTGAATTTTCAAGGTCGCGAAGTCGTTCTGCGGCCTCATTCTAATTCGCTGGGTGAGCGACCGGCTGTACTTAGAAGTGGTTCCAGCAGAACATTACCTACTCAAGGTCGTCCGAACCAACTTCAGATACCTCGCAGAACCTCATCCTTTGTGTTCGTTAACCCTACTGCGGCCGAGGTCAAACAGTCTACTGTGTCGACACGATTCAACGCGATAATGTCTCCCACGACAAGCAAACCGATAAAAATCAATGTCGGAAACGCCGTTGTTGAGTCTCTGCTTGAGCTCGTGGTCATGGTATACCTTGATCAGGTCTCTCAACGCAAAGAATTTGCAGGTTTCGGTCTGTTTCTCAAAGTGCCGCCTGGCTTTCAGGAACATCAAGCATATTTTGAATCATACGTTCTGCTTCATACTATGCACCAATTATGGAATCATCTTCAGCTGAATCAAGAATTGATGGTTGAGCCCAGAACTTTGACCAACCTGGCTAGATACAGCTTACACATGGCCGAGGCTGTGTTCGAAGGCTGGTTCATTGACGGAGCCCAACCACTACTTGACTTTACTGGTAAGGCACTGGAGTATTTGCAACAACCAGCTGTGTCTGCCACGAAGGGCGTACGACTATGCTCGCAGGCTGTGTCGACACTACGATCGGTATTCCTTCGTGTTACTCTTCTTCGCTTGTCCGAACTTGATGAAGCCGAAGATGATTCAGACGCTCTGGACTTCCTGAGAAAGATGACATACTGGCAAACTATCCTGTTCTCACCTCAGAATCAAGAACTTCCCTTCATAAGACTCATTTGTTATCTGCTGTACATCAAGATGACTTCGCCCTCATCTCAAGTACGGCATGCTGCTGCCTCGTTGTGGAGAATGTTGCTTGTGCAGAAGCCAACAGAAGCAGCTACCATTTTGATACAGAACTCTGATCCAAACCAGCGACACATCTCTACTGGCTTGATCAAACTTGCTGCACATGATGATGATGAGCTTCTGGAATGGATCGACCAAAACCGAAAGCCTCTAGATGAATTCTTCCACGAAACCATGTCAAGATTCTGGGACGAATTTGTCGGCTCCGAGAACCAGAAGACTGAGGAATCTGCCAAAAATCGCCTTGCTAAGCGCAAAGAGAAATTGAAGCAGTGGAGGACAACCGAAACTGACCTTGATAATGTTGCGCACCGATACGAGGTATCCACTAGGCACTGGCGATCGAACATTCATTCTCAAGAGCGATTGAAGTACCAAGGCGCACTCCAGGACCAGCAAGAGAATCTGAATCATATACAGACTGTCATTGCTAGGCTTGAGACTCTCTTGAAGCAGCCTTCAGGTCTTTTCCCTGAACAAGGACCCTTCAAATGGCAACTCGATCAGACCGAATCGCGCAATAGAATGCGCATACGAATAGTGCCAGACTCCCGACGGGATCAAGAGGCGTTCCAGCCCAAGCGCAAGGCCTCTGAGCGTATGTCGCACACGAAGCTGAGAATCGATACACAGTCTCGCCCAAGCTTGTCGGACAACATAGTCCCGGCAGAGCCTACTCCAAGAACACCTGCTAATCTTACTGTACCTCCGATTGAAGACACTCCATCCTCGCCAAGAGACGATTCTATCTCGGGCTCTGCGCTTCTTGATGGCGAGTTCGAGATGGTCGACGATCCGAAGGATGGCGAGGAAGGGTTCGAAGATAAGAATCGTAAAGTGCTGAAGAGTTTGCAGCGTGGTGATCGTGTACAGAACATCTGCAATGTCTCTCGCGTGGTCGGTCTAGAGGCTTTCGAGGGTCTGTTGATCATTGGCAAAAAGTGCTTGTATCTTCAGGACGATATGTTTCAAAGATCTGATGGCGAGATCGTCAGCGTTGCTCATGCTCCCGATGAAGAACGCGACCCTTACGTTCAGCTGATCTCGGGTAAAGAGATCAAGACCAAACGGAGACAACGTGCAGAAAGAGAACCTGCAAGACATTGGACTTGGCAGGAGCTTTTGCACATCTCAAAACGTCGCTTCCTGTTCAGAGATGTCGCACTAGAGGTCTTCTTTACCGACGGTCGCAGTTACCTTCTGACGTTTATGACACCAACGGCCCGCAATGATGTTTATGCCAATCTCGCTGGGAAGTCACCACTTGTTTACGGGTCACTATCGTCCCTGCCTGCTGAAGACGCTTGGAGACTCGACTCATTGAGAAATCCAGAAGAGACACCACAAAGCTTTGGCTACAAATTCGCAAATGTTTTCAACTCAACATCTTCCAACGCAGCAACCCGGCGATGGACACGTGGTGAGATATCGAACTTCCAATATCTCATGCTTGTCAACAACATGGCAGGCAGAACTTTCAACGACCTCACTCAGTATCCTGTGTTCCCTTGGATTCTCGCAGACTATACTAGCGAGGAACTCGATCTGACCGACCCTCGAAGTTTCCGCGATCTCTCAAAGCCAATGGGGTGTCAACACCCTGCACGCGAGTCCGAGTTCCGCGAGCGCTATCGAGCCTTTGCTGAGATGGGTGATGAACAGTCTCCGCCGTTCCACTATGGCACTCATTACTCTTCGGCCATGATTGTCTCCTCTTATCTAATTCGACTGCCGCCATTCGTACAGTCGTACTTGCTGCTTCAGGGTGGCAACTTTGACCATGCGGACAGATTGTTTGACTCGATTGAGAAGGCGTGGTTGTCTGCTTCTAAAGAGAACATGACTGATGTTCGTGAACTGACACCTGAATTCTTCTGCCTGCCTGAATTCTTGCAAAACATCAATGGCTACGACTTCGGTCAGAAGCAAGGCAGTGGTCAAACTATCAACGATGTTGTGCTGCCACCTTGGGCTAAAGGAGACCCTCATATATTTATTGCAAAGCATAGAGAAGCACTTGAGAGCCCATATGTCAGCCAACATCTTCAAGAGTGGATTGATCTTATCTTTGGATACAAACAACGTGGCGAGGCAGCACTCGAAGCCACGAATGTGTTCCATCATCTTTCGTACCAAGGTGCAAAGGATCTGGACACTATGCAAGACGAAGTCGAGAAGCTTGCGACTATTGGTATCATTCACAACTTTGGACAAACTCCTCACCAGGTTTTCCAGCGTGTGCATCCCAGGAGAGAGGAAGAGAAGCACAGGGTTGAGAGACTCGACACCATCGCCGAATCACTGATCAAGCTACCATTCCCCCTGTACGAGAGCCATGAACGAGTCATGGCATTGACGTACTCACCAACTCAGGAGCGTTTACTATGCTCTCCTCCTTGCAAGCTCAACGTGCCACCGGCCTGCAAGAGCTACCTGCAGTGGGGCTTTGCAGACAACAGTCTTCGCTTCTTCACTGCCGACAACAGAAGAATGCTCGGCTTGTACGAAAACCTACATATAGGACAGATCAGCACCGCTCTGTTTGCAGACTCCAAGACCTTGATCACAGGTGGAGCAGACAGTACAATTGGCGTCTGGACAATTGGCTTCACCTCTGACTCTGCAGACATACAGTCAAGAACTTATCTCTTCGGCCATCGCACGCCAGTCAGCGTTCTTGCTGCCTCACGCGCTTTCAGCACCTTGGTTTCTGCATCAGTCGATGGTCAAGTGTTCCTTTGGGACTTGAATCGCTTTGACTGTGTGCGTGTGCTCCAAGAAGCCAACAACGGCAGTCGCACGATCCAGTGCGCCAAAGTCAACAATCTGACCGGCCACATTGTACTGTGCAGTGGAGCATACGTCCGAGTATTCACCTTAAACGGACACCTACTCGTAGAACAAAAAGTGTGCGATGCAGAGGATGACGAAATTACCTGTTGTGCTTTCTACGAAGGTGCTGCGAATGAATGGGTAGAGCGTGTGTTGCTGTTTACTGGCCACAAGCGTGGTATCGTGAATGTAAGTTGCTCTAAAACTTGTCACCAAAAAGCTGGCTGAAACTAATGCAATCGGCAGGTATGGTCTTTGGTTACACTTCGCGATGGCGCTTGGCATCTACAACTCATCAAGCGATTGATGCATGTCGAGCCTACGCGCGGCGAGCCAAACATCCAAGTACCGACTATTACTTGTGTTCTCCCTATGGCACAAGCTGTATATACTGGCGATGAAGATGGCAAAGTTGTAAGTTTTTGTCATGTTCACTCAATACACAATCTCTTTACTGACCTTTTGCCTTCTAGTNACGAGTGGAGTTGTGTGCAAAGACAGGGAGCTGGACCTTTTGCGGGCTGGCGGTGAGATACTAAAGTATAGAGAAGAGCGTGAGCATCAGTGGACTTTGTAGTGTTGGAAAGGTGGATTAGGCTTGTCAATCACTTTCTTTGCACAGACAAAAGTACCTACACTTGAGAAATGGAGTTTTTGCACTTTTGGTATGTATGTGCGTCCTTGCGACTTGTGATGTCAAAGACTACTACTCATTTGGTTTTAGATTCACGTGCTTCATCTTATGAGTTGATGTGAAGATGACCCCTTGTCGAATTGTTTCTATGGCCAATTCAAAACAGGATAGCTTTCTCTACTTTGCCACCCATGGTCAAAGGTACACCTCAAACCTGTGCCCTGTCTAGCAGCAATAATACCTCTAGCTACCGCTCTAGCCTCTACCTCTCTCTCCAACCACCTAGCCATCAAGCCCACAAACATATCCTGATACGCATTACAATTCCCACACTCTTGCCAACAATCTCCCAAATCAGCTGTGGAATGGCAATCACCACAATGCTGCACTTGATACTCTCTCTTCTCTGGATGAGTAGAAATGTAATCGCGCAAGTCATCAATGATTTGTTGATGCTTAACACCAATACGAAAATAACTCTTTGCCATTCTCTGACGGAAAGAAGGGGTTTTGAGGTATGCGGTATTGGTGGGAAACCAGGAAACAGGGTCTTGAGAAATGTTCAGGTAGGTTAGGTGTCGCCAAGCTCCATTCCAATCAGGGCCTTTGAGACGTTGGGTCTGAAGTGACCAGTCATTGTCGCTGTCGTCGGAGTCTGTGGGTTGAAGGGGAAGGGCGTGGGAGCGGTGGGTTAGAGCTGGCAACCAAGAGTGGCAGCCTTGGAGATCGAGCCAGCGCAGACAGTAGGTGTTTTCGGCTAGCATGCGCAGGACTAGAGCTGATTCTTCAAAGTCGCGGTCGAGGGAGGCGTAGGCAGAGGTTGAGTTTGGCGTTCGTGTTGGTAGTGGCCAGTGGGCTAGACTGAGGTGTGTTATGGTGTGTAAGTCCTTGGAGAGAAGTAGGAGGTCTGTCCAGGATGCTGATGAAGGAGGGTGAGCCAGAGAGAGCTTGGTCAAGTGTTGGAGGTTGTTGTTGAGAGATGTCGGAATGAAGAAATCGCTATCGTCTGAGGATGTATCCTGGTCCCATGAGTCCGCGATGTCACTCTTTTGTTGTTGGGACTTCTCAATTGAATCTTTGTTCTCATCAGCTGACTTGTGTAGCCATTTCCTGAGTTCCTTGATAATGAAACCCCAGCCCACCAAGCCCGATAGGTCCAAGGAAGAAGCTTCAGATGGATTTGGAAAGAGAGCATGGAGACCTGCCATGTCAATGCCTTCGGGTGGTCCTAGAGTGGTCAAGTAGCTGAGCAAGACAACACGTAGATGAGCTGGAATCACATCAAGCCACTCGCCGCAGTCTTCGACAATATCCGACCAGTTCCGCGCAGCCACTTTGAGTGACATGTCCAGTAAGCTACCGGGGATGACAGGATTGTCGTTTGCCATGTTCAAGAAACGAGCCAGTTCTTGGGGCATGTTCCTTGTCGGAGCACCATTCTGGCCAAAGGTCCTTGGTTGTCGTTTCGCCGGGTAGTAACGATTTTCCAATGCTTGTCTATGACTAGTTAGTCTCGACACCCAACTAGGCGGAGGGGCAGGGCCGGGCGTCCTAAAGCGCACTCTCGATCTCTGAGAAGCACTGTTTCTCGGAGCTGGAGCAGCCACAGCAGTTTGACCCAAGATACCCTGACCAAGACTTGGTGGTAATGACCTTTGGTTTGAAAGCTCAGCAAGCTGTCGCTTTCTTTCGATGGAAGCTGGGGATGCTTGGGCGAGCCTCAGGTTGGTGAGGCGTTCGTTGACAGACAAGACAGGCTTTGCCTGAGCATTCTCGCCGGTGCGAGGACTGCCCCCGAGAGGGGGNTGAACATAGTTCGAGCCTGGTTTGGGTTGGTATGTCTGTCTGTGCTTCTTGGGCATCACAGAGAAAGAAGAAAGAAAAGGTTGTCCGTGGATTCCTCCAGCGTCGTCCCAGAATATGTATGGCTCCTGGATTCCTTCCAATGATATCCTGGCTCCTAATCTTCTTCCAATGAGAATCCTCGTAACGTGGTTGAAAGGATCCTTTCTATGAATTATTACTCATACAGAAATTGGAAAATGCAGTCTTCCAATAGGCTCGCGACAAGGTTGAGCAAGGACAAGGAGACGCCACCTGCACGTTTTCGCATCGCAGCTTCCCCACGCTCACTCACCCTGGTCGACGTCACCACCTACGCCTCGGCCACAGGCCACGACAGCAGCTACATTGCGCCTTGAAACCTTGTGTCCCTGAGACCCTTTAAAAACCATGTGCTGATCCTTCAAATAGTCTGTCATCAGACTAACCATGACTTCCTTCTTCAAAGAAAAAATCACCGGTGCTCAATCAGACGTCGACAGCGCTAACTCTGAGAAATACTTTATTCAGGTGCACGCAGCAACTTCGTACGATGACTCCAAGGCTAAACAGGTCATCATCAATGGTGCACCCACAGAACTAAACAAGAATGCCAAAGTCGCGGTGCGCATCAAGGAATATCAGGGTCTGCCTCTGGACTCTCCGGCCACTTCTCCGTACTTTGAGGACCAGGCACATTCGCATGATACATACAGTATAGCTGTTTCTTGGATCCCTGATGAAGACATTGATGCAGATGACTTGGTTTGGGGCATTGAATTGGTTAACCCAATCCGTGATCGCATACCTGGACGGTTTATTACTACCGCCTTCAACATTGTCAAAGGCTTTGTGGACTCGAGTCTGAAATGCGACCCTAACGCCGATCAACCCTGGCTCAATGGACCTGTTCTATGCTCTACCGCCATAACCTTCAGCATCGGTCCCAAAGGCAACTGCGAACTCCCTGCAATCCTTGCAGAAGGCGGTCTCTCCGACGACTCTGCAATCCGCAAAACCCACAATATCCCCACATCAGATTCACAACGCCGCAAACACTTTCTGGACGAGCAGAATCGCAAGAGCTTTGTATTCGAANAGGGTCGTTGTTACGCCTTTGACTTCCACAACGGCTACATCGATTGGAAAAACTACGCCCTCAAGCTCCCTGGTTTCTCTTTTGGCGTCCTCAAATATATCAACGATCGAACCCATACCACAAGATTCGTGCTCAAGAGCCGCAAAACCGGAAAAGTGTGTGTAGCCACAACTTTCCGTCTGCTATACGGCCAAGAACTGGAAAAGGCANAAGAAGCAAAGCGCTGCTGCTGCTGCTGCTGCTGCACAAACAGGTGAGACTGAGGAGGAAACCCCTCAGCACGTAAACACAGCTGAGGATCAGCCAAAGGAGCCACCGCCACGAAACGGACACCCAGAAAACTCGAACGGCGATCTGGAAATGCTGGAACCGTTAAAAGGACCTGAGACTGAGAATGTCGACAAGGAAAAGTTGGTGCAGCAACCGATTCAAGGTCCTGAGGAACCCAATGGCTCGACGCCGCGGAGTTTTAGTACCTCGAGGAAATCTTCTGGCAGTGGGTCTGGAGTGTCGCTTCAGGATGATGATGCAGAACATCCTGCTGTTAATGCGGCCGATCAGGTCATTGCAGCATCTGAAGAAAGAAGGAAAAGTGATCAGCTTAGGAGGTCGATGGATGGGACGTCCTGATGGATGCCATCCTTTTGACCATTGGAACAGAAACCTGACGAGTAATGTATAATGACAGGGAATACATCTTATATATATAGGTTTATGAAGTCATAAAGCGGTATATGAAATTGTCTTTTCGATATAATACTATTGAGCTTAGAGCATGCCTCTTCTCCAGGCACGAGTAGCGAGCTCCTTGATTGTCTTGACTTCAACAGGGCCCTTCAACTGCTCATCAGCCAAAGCTTCGACAACAGCCTCGGCGACCAGATCTGCCTTTAATGGCTCAACACCACCAGCACCCATCAACCAAGTCAAACGTCCACCCACCAATGAATTGGCCATGGCACCCATGAATGTCAATCCAGCCATAGGAACTGTAAAAGTCCGCGACGCATCGTACAAGAAACCAGGACGAATAAACACACTCCTCATAGCCGGGAAGTTGGAAGCAATCGACTCTTCAGCTTCGCGCTTGGTCTTGATGTACCTCGCAGGCAGGATAGGCGCACCGCCAGCAGCAGAAATATACGCCATGGACGCAGCACCAGCAGCCGAAGCCTCCTTAGCCAACAAAATCGCCGAATCCCTATTCATAACCTCATACGTGATCTGCCCGCCTTCATGTTGGGGCTCCACATCACTGCTTTCTTTTCTCTCCAAAGGGTTTTGGGTGCCTTGCTTTGTGCTGCTGAATGCCTTTTGCAAACCGCCGATGATGGGTTCTTTGCCGGTTAGCACGCCTTTGTAGTCGGCTTCTAACAAGATTCCCATGCTGTGGACGACGGAATCGGCGTTTTCGAGGTGGTGCTTGTAGGTGGAGGGTTGGAGAATGTTGGCGCTGACCCAGTTGACGTCGGAGGACCAGGTTGGTGCGACGGGNGAAGAGGTTACGGAGGACCAGGTGGGTTCGCCGGAGCGCGAGATGGAGGTTACTTGCCAGCCTCGTGCGGCTGCTGCTTTGCAGATGCGGCTTCCNTGGGAGCCGAGTGTTAGCTTGAAGAAGAGCAGGATGGATTGAATTGAGGCTTGCGTACCAAGAAATCCATTGCCGCCAGCGACGACAATCTTCTTTGTAGCTGCTTTGGTAGACATGGCGATTTGTGTATACAGAGGATGTAGGTATGAACAGAATTGGACGTGTATGAATTGGGAAGCGACAGAAGCTCTCGATTCACATGCAAAGGATGGCGCGATGCATGACGTGCACCTCGTCTTAGCGCCATCGCCGTCGACTCTGCGGGCAGGAACCGTCCCGATTGGTTGCGCAGCTGTCTTCTTCTCCGACCCTCTGACCCTGTCGCATCCATCTCTGTACAATCCAACTCCATCAACGTCTTGATCAACAAACCATTGTCATTTCATCACTTGAAGTCAAACACACACCATGCCAGCAGCAGCGAGCAACAAACGCGTCAAGAACACGCGCATCTCGCGCCCCTTCAGTAAGAAGACCTCTCGCGATCTCACCTCTTTCATTCACTCATCAAAGACTAACACATTCACCANNGTAATCGGGTCTCAAGCCTGGAACCTCGACCCCACCACCCAAACCAGCCCCATCCCCGAAGGCCACACAAAAGGCTGGCGCGTCTACGTAAAAGCCCTGGACGGTGGGCCAGACCTCAACACCTGGCTCAAANAAGTCCAATTCAAACTCCACATGACCTACTCCGACCCCTCGCGCACCGTCGAAGCCCCCCCCTTCCAAATCCAAGAAACCGGCTATGGAGAATTCGACATCGAGATGCGGTTATACTTTGACTCCAGCAGCGGCGAANAAGCTCAATACAGAAGCCATAGATTGAGATTGGAGCCTTATGGCAGTGACGAACAGCAAAAGTTGCAGAAAGAGGCGAATATGGTTACCAGTGAGACGTGTGAGATTGTAGAGTTTAACGAGCCCAGTCATGATTTTTTCGCAAAGATGACGGCCGAGGATCAGTTTGCGCATTTGCAGAAAAAGGGTGGTGGGGCTAAGGGTGGTAGAGGTGCAAAGGGAAGAGGTGCGAGGATTGAATATGAGGGTGGTAGAGAACCTACTGCAAATTTGCCGGACAGAGGTTCGGAAGCTTTGCCTTGGAGCAGAGAGCTGGAGAAGAAGATGCTGGATATGTTGGCCACGGCGCAAAAGGACATGGATGCTGAGATTGACAGGGNNGAGAGAAAAAGGGCTGAGGACAGACAAAAGAGACTACAGGAGATTGCCTGAGTTCTCGTTTCTTGCTTTTGCTTTCTTTTGACGACTTTTATGATACCCCTTTTGCTGCTACACAGCATGCTCTTATTCACATTCTACACATCACCAGTTGCACCTTTCTTTTCTGCACAAGACATGTGTTGACAAGGTCTTCATTCACAGCAATGGCAAAGAAGCCATCAAGTTCCTTTCATAAATCACAAAACACACCCTTGAGTAGCAAATGATAGAAGAAAAACGCCACGCTCACCCACCTCCATTCTTCTCTCGTTCCTTCCTCTCTTACTTTCCACTAATCTGTCCCTCAACAAACTCCAAAGCCTGTTCCTGGGACACGACATCAATACTACTCGTCTTGTTGATATAACTGACACCATAGCATTTCTCCGCCACAAGCAACATCTCAGGTCTGAACGTCGTACAGATGAACTGTCCTTTCTCAGAGCTCTCAGATAACATTTGAGCGACCGCGGTACGGTATTGTGCATCGAGGTTTGCATCAATCTCGTCGAAGAGATAGAAGGGTGCGGGATCTGAGGCTTGGATTGCAAACACGAGGGCGAGGGCGCAGAGGNNCCTGGTAGGAAGTGTGTTAGTATATGCTAGATTCAAGGAAAGGGAGGAGGCAAACTTACTCTTCTGTCCACCAGACAGTTGCTGGATACGTTGCTGTTCGTCGTGTTTGCTGTTGAAACTTACACTGATGCCTACACCAGTGTAATTCTCAACACCATCTTTTCTGCCTTCACCATCCTCATCACTTTCTTCGTCATTCTCGCCGCGAGCGATACGGTCGGTACGGCGTTGAATCACCAAGCGACCCTTACCAGCAGGAACCAACTTTTCAAAGATGCGAGCAAACTCTTTGCTGACTTGGCGGAAAGTGCGCTCAATAGCTTCGTCCTTGCGTTGATCCAATACATCGATAAGCTCTTGAATACTCGAGAGCGAGTTTTCCAGTTCTTTGCGACGGGTTTCCAGACTCTCTCGTTGACGGGTGAATGAGTTGTATTGTTCGAAGGCCTTCTTGTTGACATGGCCATATCCCTTTAGGGCGTTCTTGACCTTGTTCAGCTTCTTGGCTGCCTTGTCCCAGTTCATGCTTGTGTAGGGTTCTTGGAAGGCAGACTCGGGCAGGACACCGAGGTTGCGGATGCTGATGCCTACAGCTTCTTCCTTCTCCTTGAGTGTAGCACGCTTAGCAGTGTTCTTCTCCATTGACCGCTTCTTCTTCGCGATAAAGCGAGCGAGTTCTTCTTGTTGACGTTGCTTCTCTTCACGCGACGAGTTTTTCTCTGAGAGTTGAGACTGTGCTTGCTCGAGTGATGCCTCAGCCTCTTCGAGTTTGCTCATAACATTCGCCAGAGCTTCGTCTGCACGTTCAAGCTCCCTCTGCTTCTCGCCGAGGCGTGCATTGCCACCTGCGACACCGCCAGTACCAAGTTCGGCATCTTGGGCCTGAAGCTGGTCAAGTCGTAGACGAAGGTTCTCGCGAAGCTCCACTTCCAGACTGGCCTTACGACCTTCAAGCTCTGAACGAGCAGAACTCAAGTCTGAGAACTGCTTTCGTAGATTTTGTACGGTTGTGCTTAGAGTCGCCAGTTGACGTTCTTCATCTGCCGAAAGTGCTTTTCTGAACTCGGTGTTCAATTCTGCCTCATAAGCACTACCTTGCTCTCCGAGTTGTCTTGCTGCAAGCTCAACGTTATCACGAGAACGCTGCTTCTTCTCAAGCTCTTCATGCTTGGACTGCAAAGCGTTCGTCTTGTTCCTGAGCTCCTGACGAAGAGGACCGTAGCTGTTCTCTGCTTGTAGACGCTTTTGGTCAATCTTCTGCAGATTACTGACGGCTCTCGTGACTTGCTGGTCCAGCGCTTCGAGCTGACGGCGAATTTCATCACCACGGTTGCGATGTTGCTCGTATTCTGCACGCCAGTTTTGAACATTTCGCACACCATCGAGACGTGATGATCTTGGGTCGTGGAAACCACCGGTAAGAGCACCCTTCTTGTCTGCGCGATCTCCTTCTGGCGTAATAGCAGAGACACCATGACTGCGGGCATATTGCGAGGCGGTTGCTAAGTTAGGGCAGACGATAGTCTTGCCGAAAACCTGTTCAAAGGCCTTTTCGTACTTCTTGTCGTATGAAATTTTGGTCAAAAGATGTACTGCATCAGCAGCATTCGGGATGTTGACAGGTCTTGGTCGAAGGCGATTGAGCGGCATGAACGTCACACGTCCTGACTTCTCTCGTTGGAGAATTTCCAGAACTCTTGTGGCTGTGTCGTCAGAGTCAACGACGTAATGGAATAAACTGTTTCCAGCAGTGACCTCGATGGCGGTCTTGTATCGCTCTGATGAAGGCTCAAAGAGCTCTGCAAGGGTGCCGTATACACCTGGGATGTTGTGTTGGCGAGCGATACGACGAACAGCAGCAATGCCTCGGCTTGTGTTGTGATCTGTCATATGGGAAAGGAAACGCTCGGCCTTTTCGAGCTCTTGCTGAGCATTCGTGATGACAGAATCAAGCTTGGCCTCTTCACGCCATAGTTCTTTGCGCTGATCCATCAGACGGTCTCGCTCGTCCTTCGCTTTTTGCACATCGGCTGCCATAGTCTGTGTCTCGTCACCACGATTGTCGATGCGGCTTCTCAATTCCGCAATCTCCGATTCGAGGGTCGAGATCTCTTCTTCAAGTTCTGCGACATCATCGGACGCCTGCATTGCGATGGCTTTTCTCGTAGCCAAAGCAACATTGATTTCTGCGATTTCTTTGCGCAACCAGGTGTCTCTGTCGCGCTTGCTCTGGAATTGAGTCTGACGTCCCTGCTTGGCATACAATCTCTGGCGTTGACCCTCTGCCTCAACAAGCTGGTTCTTAATGGTGGCTTCCTGCTCTTTCTGTGCATTGTACTGAGGGAGTATCTGGGCCAATTCAGCCTCACGCTGCTCGATCTGTGCACGGACTTGTTGCAGGTCGTTGGCATGGCGGGTTCTAGCAGACTGTGCGGCAGATTGGCCATCTGTAAGAGCCTTGACATCCAGTTCAACCTTTGCCTTTTCGCGAGAAGCCTCCTTGCGCTCGTCTTCTAGTTGTTGTCTGTCGAGAACCAGGAAATCGATTTGCTGTTTGAGTCGGCTGATTTGGCTGTCCATCTCCTTCAAGTCCTCCTCTCCTTGAAGGNNGAAGTCCTGGCTGTGCTCGTCTGCTCCAACAACGTCGTTCTGGCGTTCCTCGTCGATCCTGGCCAACCAGTCTGCGACTTCCTCTTGCTCGTTTCGGTAGATGGCATATTCAAGGCAACGTCGTTCGCGATCCTTCTCTTGGTATGCTCTTAGCTCCTCTTTTTCTTCTTCTAGTTCACCCAGTCGCTCGCGAATGTAGGCTAAAAGGTCGTCGATCTTTGCGCGCTTGTTGTCTGTGTCTGTGACGATTTTGAGCGACTCTGTTCTGCGTGATTCGTAGACCTGTGTTCCGGCGACCTCTTTAAGCAGGTTCAGACGCTCGCCGTCCTTCATGTTGGTAAGGGTTGTGACACGTCCTTGGGGAACGATGTAGTACGGGTTTGAGCGCGAGAAGCCGGCAGATTCGAGTAGGTTCATGACATCGGCCTTGGTAGCGTTCTTGCGATCGAGCGAGTATTCGTCCTTCTTCTGGCCGATGGTTCTGCGTAGGACGAGTTCTTCTCTACCGGTTGGGAAACGGCCATCGGTATTGTCGAAGATGACTTCTACGTAAGCTGACATGACTGCCGAGCCCGAGCCTTCCTATGCGATTGTCAGAGGGACCCAAAGCTGGTGGAGGCGCAAACATACGTGCAGAAGAGCTTGTCGCTCCTCGCGGCCCATCTGGGTGTAGGCATCACTCAAGACGAATCTGATGGCGGCGAAGAAGTTACTCTTGCCTGAACCATTGCGACCGACAATGACATTGTGCTTGGGCGAGAAGGGCTCAATGACGGTTTGGTCCTTGTAGCTNGCAGGCGCATCGTGTTAGGGTATTGCTTCTTGAGTTGAGAACGGCGACCGGACATACCTTTTGAAGCCCTGAATGATAATCTGTTTGATATGCATTGTCGCAGCTCATGCAATGCCCGACATGTACGTGCGAGCGGGCGGTGATGTGATGCGAGAAAGTGGACTGCCGACACGCTCGAGAGAGTCGACGCGTCGAGACGTGTCAGTTCTGCCGCACTTTCCCCGTTGATGGACTGCTCTGATCTTCTTCGGACTTTCAAACCTGCACAACACACGACCTTGAGGGAAGACACAGGTCGTCACATTCGCATGATAAAGTCGCAACCGTTGACAGACACAGTATATTCACATCCCATGAGACTCACATATCCCCCCTGACAATATGATCATGCTTCACAACGGCGCTATATCCGCCATGTCCAGCTTTCAGAATTAGGCATGCCTGCTCCGCCTCTACGAGACTTTGTGAAATGCAACTCAACTGCCGATACGAGAAATCAAACCATGCAGGTTGGCATCTTATCGTCCCGCATGCTACCTTGACCTGCCAGGTTCCATTCTCGCATCCACCTTCATGTTTACCCCGCCTTCGACGATCACCTATCGTGCAGTCAACATGCCCCATACCCCACTGCCAACTGATACAGGCATGCTACCCGATGCATTTAGCCATGCTTCGCTGATCCTCTGCCTCTTCGAACACAAACTATAAGTATATAGTACCCCAATTTCTCTTCATCTCCCTTTCATGCTTCACTACAAGTCATGTCTGCTTCAACTTCCCTGAAGCTTGCTTTACTCGGCCTCATCCCTCTGGCCCTGGGCCAGGGAGGCCTGGTCATCAATCCGAAAAATGCCGGTCTGCAAGTTGGCAGTCATCCTTCATCTGTTCCAATCGATCTCTCGAGCATGGTCAACAACCGTGCCTTTGCCATGACTCCTGGCGACGCCAATTTTGATGGCATACATTCTGGTTATCCTGCCCAGTACTTACCTGACAGCAACTTCACTTACGCTGGCATCAACTACATCTTCCCTGGATATAAGAAGTCAGGCGATGACAACGTACTTGCTCAAGGGCAGGTCGTCACCCCTCCTCAGGGACGTTACTCCAGTATCTCAATGCTAGTAGCTGCCGAATCTGCTGTCGCTACCGGCTACGTCAACGTCACCTACACAGACAACACCACCTCTTCCGGGCCCGTTCTTGTAGATCCCTTCTGGTCATGGTGAGTGCCAACAATATCTGGATGTTCCGCCGGCTGACTTGTGCCTAGGCCGTATCCGTATGGTGGTGATATAGTGTTTCCCTACTATCTGACTAACAGTAGTATCGACTACAATCGCTCCATGATTTACCAGTCTGTCAACTGGCTCGACTCTACCAAGGAAGTCGCCAGCGTTACACTTCCAAATGTCACTTCCGGCGCGGCGACTGGACCCGGTGGGGCCGCACAGAACACCCGATTGCATATTTTTGCAATCTCACTCGTCTCAGCAAGTGGTTCAGGAATCAGCCTCGAGATACAGCAAGCCCGATCGACACAGCTATGGATGGAGGGCACCAACAAGACTCAGATATTTGAGACGATCATTGTGAACACTGGAGATGACTGGGTCTTAGCAAACAACAGCGTCAAAGTTACTGTCGAAGCTCCTGGCATAGAAACTGTGCAACCGGGAGTCATCAACAGACTTCGGCCTGGAGACAGAGCTGTTGTGCGCGTTGGAGTCGTCAATGATAATGGAACTGAGCCTGGCACCGCTGGCGAGGCCACTCTACACGTCACAGGGGCTGGTGTGAATGCAAGCTCCACATTCAACGCAACTTTCGGCATCGGAACTTATGAAGCCACATACGAGAGCATCTATACTCACGAGAGTCCCACTTGGTATACTGGGGGAAAGTATGGTATATTTATCCATTGGGGTGTTTATGCTGTTCCAGGCTGGGGCAATTCTGGCAAGAAAGGTAAGTGTCTAGGCAGCATGACAATATCGAGGATGGAGCAGGCTAACAATGGGTAGNAGCAATATGCAGAGTGGTATTGGTGGTATATGAACCAAGGCATCGACAGCCCGAACCCCGCAGACTTCTATCAATACAACCTCGCGACATATGGTCCTGATCACGCCTATGATGATTTCATCCAGAACTTCACTACGGAATACTACGATCCTAAGGAATGGGTTGATCTCTTTGCCGATGCAGGTGCTCAATACTTTGTTCAAGTTTCAAAGCATCACGAAGGCTATGCCTTGTTCGATATCCCAAGCAACATCACTAAGCGAACGAGTGTGGCTCAGGTACCACACAAGAACCTGTTGCAAATGCTGTTTGACGCTGCGGATCAATACCAGCCGCACCTACACAAGGCTACTTACTTCTCATTGCCTGAGTGGTTCCATCCCGACTACCAGAAGTACGGATTTGGTGAAGCTGATGGGGCGGGATGGCCTGGGGGCAACGCTACAAACCCATATACCAACCAAACACTGCCCTACACTGGCTATGTGCCAGTAGATGACTTTGTCTCGGATCTTATCCTGCCCGAGATGCAGATCTTGGCACAGATGGGTACAGAAATCATGTGGGTGAGTAAACCTTGAGTATCTTTTTCATACGCACTCGGCCTTCTTCTAACACCAGTCACAGNNTGCGATATTGGAGGGCCTAACCTTACAGCTGAGTTCTCAGCCGAATACTTCAACAACATGGCAGCACAAGGCAAACAAGTCTTGATCAATAACCGCTGCGGTCTCCCAGGTGACTTTGATACTCCCGAGTATGCTCGTTACGAAGCTGTCCAAATGAGAAAGTGGGAAAGTAATCTAGGCATGGACCCGTTTTCCTACGGCTACAACAGAGCAACTCCAGTTTCTGCATACATCACGCCTGCTGAGATCGTCACCTCTTTGATCGATATCACGAGCAAGAACGGTAACTTCCTACTGGATATTGGACCTCAAGCCAACGGCACAATTGTCGATATTGAACAACAGAATCTGAGAGCTGCAGGCAAGTGGATCAAATCGCATGGCGAGGCTATTTTCAACACTACCTATTGGTTCATCACGCCTGAAGAAGGAGACACGATTCGCTTCACTCAAACACCCGATGCTTTTTATATCTTGACTTTGTATCCACCCAACTCCACGCTGGTTCTGAACAGCCCTGTACCATATGTCAGTGGCGATCAGGTCACTGTTGTGGGCGGAAACATGAGTGGCAGTGTTGTTCCTTCGAGGTTGCTGAGTAATGGAAGTCTGGAGCTGACTATCAGTAATGCTGTTATGGCTGGCGATCAGTACAGCTGGGTGTTCAAGATTCCGTTTGGAGGTATCGCAGCGAATACGACATATACCGGAGGTGCTCCCCCAGCTCAGCAGACTACTAATGGTGTTGCAAAATGGTCGTCGGATTGGATGAGGTTGATCCCATCCGTTTTTATCGGTGTTCTACTGTGGCTTGTGTAAATAGTTGCCAGATCTGAAGTGTCGATAATGTAATCCGATGGATGGCTCGAAGTTTTCTGGAGATGTCCAAATACCAGTGTGATGTGTGAACACGGGTTTCAGTTGGTAGACCGCACCATCATGATATTTTGCAGGGCTGAGGGTGTTTCGTATTATGACTTTAGCTAAGGAGACAAATGGTGATGAGAATGGGCAAGATGATGGCGACAAAGGTATCCAGATTCTCGCGACTCATCAGTTCTGCACGTCCAGGGTCACACGCTCAACATTCTCCTCTCAACTCATTGGCGATATAGTGCCTCCCTCAAAGCTCTGAGCAGTATTGTTTCCAATGTGAAGAGGCTTTAGTAGCATAGCTATCATACGTCTCGACTGTGATCGCGTAAATAGCTTGAGAAGGTCACAGATGCGTTATGTGGATTTTTGGATATGATCATCCTTAAGCTCGATGCTACCAGCGTCGAAACAGCCTCCCGTTTCTTCTCATCGCCTCCGATTCAAGATACCTCTCATGCAGTCAACCAAAACAACATAGTAAAGTCTTCGAGGTCTCAAAAGACATACAGTCAAAGGTTCGCGATCTATGCCTCGACGACCTGTTGACGGTAATCAAGTCATGTCTCCATCGTTCAAGACGCCAATCTGTGAAAAGGACAATCTGAACGACGATTCTACTCAAGTTTTCTCTACAAATCCCACCAGAACAGCATAACATGGTCGTCCTGAGTTGTTGATCCGACATCCGAAGCATTATCAAACTAGGAGCCCCGCATCCATGACTCCTTGTCTGGAGTGTTCGGAACTCCGTGATCGTTAGATGGACCGCTATGTTGGGACCAGCACAAAACTTGGGCATCATCACGGTCAAGACTGCGTTCAAGCACTCAACCTATCTCCCCCTGCCACTGTGGCCGACGCCTCTCACATATCCCGCTCACTCAACTCACCACCACAGTCATGAGTCAAAGGCAACCCCATCGCATTGTGATCCTTGGCTGCTCGTACGCAGGCATGGGCGTGGCTCATCGTCTTCTTAAAGCCTTACCCTCGCTTTCAGCCAAGACGCAAAAGTCTTATCAGCTCACCATAGTGTCCGATAACACGCATTTCTGGTGGACGATTGGAGCGCCTCGTGCCATGACTCAGAAATTCCCATCTTCAATCTCGGACTCGTTCATCCCAATCGCAGAGGGTTTCAAACAATACTCATCCGATATCTTCCGCCACATTCACGCCCGTGTCTTGCATGTCGATACTCAGAGACAGGTTGTCGACTTCGAAAGCGTGGCTGGGGAGAAGGAGGCAAAGGTCGGTGTGGAACATACGAGCTATGACATTCTGATCGTGGCCACCGGAGCCAAAGGCGAAGCTGCACTCTTTAGCTACCAAGACGGCCATCAGAAGACTGAGGCTGCCTACCATGACCTCCAATCTCGTCTTCCGACAGCTTCCGAAATTGTACTCGTGGGCGGCGGTCCAGCCGGCGTTGAGACTGCTGCAGAGTTGGGAGATCNNTTTACGGATCATCGTAAGTCATGGCCTTTCGCGAATTTCTGTTCACTTGTCCTTGTTTTTATACCCTATTTCTCTTCTGAGATTTTCTTGCGTCCTACTCGTTATCTACTTGGCACAGTTGTCCTGCAGGGCTAAAGTTCTTTATTCAGGTCTGCGAAGCCAAAGAGCATCACTCTATACACTGGCTCAGATAGGCCGCTGGCATTGCTCTCATCGAAACACGGCGAAAACGCGACATCTCGACTCGAAGCAAAGGGCGTCAAAGTAGTGAATAGACTGCGTCTGGTCGACACCCACGCAGCCGATGGTGGCCGAACTACTCTGTCCTTCAGCGACGGCTCGTCCAAGACCGTGGATATCCTTCTTCAAGCCACGGGACGTGCGCCAAATGCTGGGTTTATGCCCAAGTCCATGCTCAATGACCTAGGCGCAGTCCGAGTGGACTCGAAGATGCGCTCGCTCGACGCCCGCCACGTCTACGCTGTCGGCGATGTTGCTTCCTCGAGCGATGGTGATATGATGCACATCTACTTCGCGGTGCCCGTTGCAGCCACCAACGTTCTTGCTGAGCTCGAGTCCGCAAAGAGCAAAGAAAAGGACTTCATTCCGTCGCAGAAGGAGACCCAACTTGTGTCCATTGGCAAGAAGAGCGGCCTTGGCTCTATATTGGGATGGAAAGTGCCGNGCCTGGTTGTGTGGCTCCTCAAGAGTCGCACAATGATGTTCTCGATGGCGAAGAAGCATGTTATGGGCACTGCCGTCTAGTACAACAATAATGCGATCCGACTTTTGTTTCACACTGCTGCATGGTGACGTGTCCGGTGGCCTTACAGGTGCATTACTACTTCCAACGCCATCGAATGTCTGGCTGGTTGAGTCAAGAGGATGCCTCTGGCGTGTTATCCTTCCATGGCGATATCTTCTGCGGCGTCGCAAAGGATCCCTATGTGGCGCCTATGATGGTTCCTAGCCGTTGCATTTGATACTGGATAAATCTGCAAGTGAGTAGGCTCAGGTGAAATCCTCACGGCGTTGGCGACGTAGCATCGCATAGACATCTCCTGGCCCACTTTACATACGAACTTTGACCGGTCGCAGTGCATATGAAATCAGTCACAGAATTCGATCCAGGGCAGTGTGGGTCGTCCGCAAAATATGGTAAGTGTCCCTGACCGGATGCAAATTCGATTGATGCGACATATTCGCGTTTTCCCCATGCCAATTAATTTCAAAGACAACACGACACTATATAGCAATCACGCACTCGGACGCTCGCCGCGAAAGCCTCAATCTATCGAAGCGTTCTAGGCAACCTCGCTCATCTTGAATTCCATGTAGGTACACCCATCCTCTAGGATGAATCTCTGCGCCCCAACATAGATCACCGATTCGAGGGCTTTGTATTTTTCGGTCCCGGTCTGCCCTCGATCAGCTTTATCATACCTCTGAGTTCGACACTGATAATCGATCAAGCTCACCTCGATCTTGGCGGTGACGTCCGCGGGCCTGTCAGCATTTTGATGGCAGATGGCGGGAAAAATGTGTGGATCGCTACTACTCACATGAGTCACCAAAATTCGTTGAATCTGGGCCTTTCCCTTCTAGCAGACTCGCAGTCTGATTGCTGCGTTTGATGTAGCCTGAGATTTGGAGGAACAATCGCGCCGAGTCCGTTGTTCTGACACGGCCCCCAACGCGAGTCAGTATTTTGAATTTTGGATTCTTGGAGCAGTGATGCGAAATCGCCGGACTGCACATACATAGCGACTCCTTCAAAGTCGAATCGTACGAGGTCTCGCGATGGTACGATTTCCGGACTGTACAATCCCCACTCCATCGAGGCCGAGTATTGGATGCTGGACGTGTTGGTTGAGACTAATGTGCTGCCCGCGGATAGGAAATCCTTTTCCAACCTGAGACCGTCATTCAGGAGACCTGTGCACACATCCATCGTAAGCATGTATGTTGTTGCAAAGCACAGATAATGTCCATGCCATACAGACAACGTCCTTTCTTACCTATTGGGTACCGGGAACCTGTGAGATTAAACTATAAATCTATATATCAGCCCAGTCGGGCAATAAAAGCTCAACGCACACTTGCAGCATGGCCTTCTCAATTGACATACCATTAAGGTGAATGCTGGCACAAGGCTGGCATATCCGGTAGTGAGCATCTTGGGCGATGCTGTATATGGGGTCCAGACAGTAATTGGCTAAGGTCTTCGTTTGCCGCACAGCGATAATGGCCCGTCTTGCTCGTTTCCCGACCTTTTCAACCCTACTTATATGGTTACTTTGCAGCTACCCATTCCCAAGTGCGGATGAGGAAGTGTCGGAAGTCCGTAGATATAGGTACGGGGAGCTCCTCGAACACCTCACATTCGGACACTCTAGAGCTCCGCCGTGAGCTTGTCCTAAAGCAAACAAGTCATTGGAGCTGACAGGGTCCCGTATCCACATCTATCTGGCCTCTTGACTGCGTGAGGGCGGAGTCCAGCGTGAGGAGTGATAACCCACGTTCCTCTTCGGTAGCGGTGGCAGACGGAGGTAGGTATCTGCGATCAAGTAGCGAGCGTTATTGTTCTCGCGACTTGGGGTTGAGCAATCGCGACGGCGGCATTCCAAATCAAGCAACATTCCGCGAGCTAATTTGCAGTGTCGGCAACCACATGGATAAATCCCTAGGTGGATAGCTGTGTGGAGCTACTAGGCTTGCCGCCCTCTATACCATAAGATGTCTCATGATATGTGCTCTTGACTGCAATCCTTTCGAGGTTCGGTGTCGGGTCGTTGCCTCTTTTTAACTGAACACCAGCGATTTCTCGATTAGCGGGACTGCCCGCTACCAAGACACTAGTCTCGGAAGAGATTGCACTTACCCTAAGATAGCTAGGACGTCATGCGTAGCGGGAGTTATACCATAAGCAGCTGTGACTTCTGCAGAGCGGGAGCCTACCGTAGGTTAATTAGCGAATTGCTATCACTTGAAGGCAGACGAGCGTCTAACCTAACACCTTGGAAGGATTATACTGCATCTAGCTTCTCTATACCAACCACCTAGAGCTTTCTTGCGTAACATTCTATCTATAGAGGAGGAATCGCGAAGTAGCCCCGCTTCTAAGCTCAAGTAGGCATCCAGTCTAAGCGACTTCCCCTTTGGATCTATCTTATCTTAGATCTCGCACTTGTAGGCGCCTTAGGACATATCGTATTCGGTCTGAAACCCCCGCCCAACGAGGAAAATCCTCCACTTGGGGTTAATCGCGACGGCGGCGTTCCAAATCAAGCAACATTCCGCGAGTTAATTTGCAGTGTCAGCAACCACATCTCTCGATTCGACCATGACTTTGGCGGCCTGAAGTTGCATGCCGTTGTACGTCACTTTGTAGGCGAACGAAGGATTGCAGTCGTTCCTGCGTCCTGCGGAAAATAAACTCCCTTGCCGAGTTACATGCTATGCTTGATGCTCCGATGTTCCCCACCCACGTGGTGCTTACCATTTAATCAACGTCCTCTGTTGGTGACTGTGAATCATTTAGCAGCTCAGAGTGCAGAAGGATAGATTCAGGGACGTGCGGTGGATCAGTGGGTCGGCACGAGAATGGGCAGCCTCATAGGATTCGCAGGTCACGACAAGCTCGTGGCTCCGCCGCCATACGGACAATTAAATATCATTGATCCCAACTATTACACCATCGCAGGGACCAATTTGCTCATCTAGCTCAGTCTGAATGGATACATCGCAGCGAACTCGCATAGCCTGCGCAGCATGCGCGTACTCGAAATCGAAGTGCGACAAGCTGGTATGGACTTGGCATGATACGGCATCACGCCCGGCATAGGCTCTGACCAGCGATACTGACCAACTGTGTTACCCACAGCTACCGTGCTCTAGTTGCATACATCGAGGTAATGTCTGCGAAATACGTCATTCTATCCGTATACCGAGCACTGCCAGACGGACGCCCAGAAACAGGCAGGCAGCTCGTTCTCAGGTGCCAACGTCGACTGAAACGAGCGAAGAGCGCAAAAAGCTTCTCGTGNCAGCTGAACGACCTTCCACCCCATCATCGCTTTCTGCCCACGACTCGGTGCTCAGCAGAACCACCGCATTCGAGCAGGTTGAGCCCTTGTTATACAATGACAACTCAGGCTCAGGCTCGACGACTACCCCGGAGGATGCGTTCTCGCGGGCATATGCAGCGCATCCAAGCAAGAATTATGCTCTCTCTCCGGCATCTAATCAGATGCTGTCCCAGCGCCCGATCACACCGCTTTCGGACTTGAACTTTGATTTTATGGACGACGTTGCGTTAGCTCCAGCGGACTGGGACATGTTTTCGGACTTGACTGGCCAATCTTGCATGGTACCCCATATTGGAAATTACGATGATCCGAGTGCGAGTGCGCTCATGTGCGTGATGCCAACTGAGGCCCGGCCCGTTCCTGTTGCTCCTCAAGTTACCCCGGTATCATCGCGAGCGCTCGAAGCACCGCGAATACCTCAGATACTGGAGACCACCTCGGACGCTACGTCCATAGCGTCTGGTCTCGAGGTATGGCCCATCATCAATTGTAATGCTGCAGAGGGCGTCAAAAGCAATCGGAACTACGCAATTCAGCACATCGAGGACCTCATCGCCTTGCTCGGTGATGCACAGAGTTGGGGCGAGTGGGAACGCGAACCGCGCAGGGACACCTACGAGGTCTACGGATGCGGAGTAGATCCCATGCGTGGGGATACCAGGGACCAGCTCTTGGTGGCCACGCAGGGGTTTCTCGACAGCGCAACCCAGAGCCAGATCTTGGGAGCCAGCCTCGGCTCCTTCGGATCTCAGAGCTCATCAATCCCATCGCGGGGACTTCGTCGCGCCTTCATCGTGCTGCCTCCATCACACGTCTTGAATCACTTCCTGGGTATGTACATGCGATCCGTGGAATTATATAGAAATCTCGCACCCGCCGCCACTATCAGAACCAACGACATAATTCGCTATCAGTCCACCGAATTGGGTAGTCTGCTGCTGGTACTCCTCATTGCCCAGGGTGCGTCCATGGGGGTTTCGGATGAGGCTCAGAAAATTGCTAGAGGTTTCACGGAAATCTGTAAACATGCCCTCTCCGATGTTGTCCGTGACCGGAGCATCTCGGAAACCATGGTCGGTCGCTGTGCGTTGCAATTCATAGGCCTTTGTGCCTGGAGTGGGGTGAAGTCACACATGGAAGTAAGTTTCTCCTACTATGTACACATGCTCCGGCGGCCCTGTAGGGGAACCACTGCGTGGGATTTGCTTGCCCGTGCTTNNCTGCGCAGAACCTCTGGCAATCCTACAGGGTACCAATGCAGGGCTGTCCGATTCGACTTCTGAATTTCACCTAGCTTCTTGTCTTCCACCTTCATGCCAACTTTTGTGTTACAATGTCTGACACATCCTACTATAGCTGGCCGTTAGCCAAAGAGCTCTTTTCTTAAGCGTGAGATAATCTCTCCTTTTGGTCCCACCATTTTGGATTGTTACTGACCTCTTTAGATGCTTGGGCCTGCCGGAATGTTTGTTGACAGTGTCTCGAATCCGAGCGCAGAAGATTGCAGAAAGGACCCACAGGGATCACAAAACATTTGGAGAGAACGCGAATGGAGATGCCGGTATGATTGGATCGTTCTTGATATGCCCGTCGTTTGCACTTCCTTCCTTAGCAATATCCTCCTGTTTAATGACCGAATATTCTGCCATTGTCCGCTGACATCAGTAACTCTACAGCCTTNNGTTCACTCTTGGGTCATGATTGACCAGGAAATGTCATTGTTCTACGATCTGCCCCCTCTACTTCCAATCAACGATCTCAACATCCCTCTCCACCAGCATGACCACTTGTGGCTCGCTTCGTCGACAGAAGAGTGGTCCATGTTATACCTTCAGTCGATCAATGGAGGAAGTACCCTAGCACCGTCAGCTCAAGCCTTATTCGTACGTTTCATCCAGGGCGAATTGGCCGACGCGAAAGACATCTCGGCAAAACACCTCAGGCTCCTTCTTCACCCCTTGCAAGCAATGGCTGTCTCGAGTCAGTCTCTTTTGAGGTGTTTCGACAAAAGTCCTCATCGCCATCGATCACGCGTCATCTCTCGCCACAGTTTACTCGCTCGTATGCAAGAGGTCGAGGACCTGCTCGATCAGTGGTCAGATCTGCACGATAGATGTATCAAGACGCCAGAAGATGGCACGCTCGATCACCCCGACAACGCAACACTGATCATGTTTCACCTGATTACGCTCAACACCTTTACTTGCATTCCAGAATTGGACAGAGTGGCTCAACGCAACCCGCCATCTTCGGCGACTGAAAGAGCCACACTGTGGACAGATATGCACAACCCGGGCTCAGATCGGTCCATAATTTACCACGCTGGCCAGATCTTCCGGCTGATAGATCAGATCTCGCTTGATCTCCGTCCGCCGTGGTGGTCAATTGCAGTATACCGAGCGGCCCTTGCTTGCTGGTCAGTCGGTGTCTTTGGTTTCAGTCAAGCGGCGCAACAAGACACCAACAAACACGTCATCGTTATCAACAAGGTAGCCCCTTCTGACCGCGTGGTCGAATTGTATCTGCGCCATAAGTCGGGCAATGCAATGATCATGGATCGCCACTACAGGGCCAGACCGGTGTCTGAAGGAAACAGCGTCCTCGAATACTGCCTGGAGCTCCTGACCGAGGGGTATCAGACGACCTTGGTCTGTGGAGTGCGGGACAGAGTCACACGGCTGTTAGAGCGATGGCAGACCTGAGTTCTTTATTGGAAACGCAAAAAGTAAGATTGCGAAGCTTTTCGACGATCTTCCGGGTTGGCATTGTATATTTGTAGAGCCACTCTTTTCTTCACACTGCGGGCTAGAATTAGTTATACGACTGGATAGACTCGGCGAAATGGTAGATGTTAGACATCGGGTATAGAAATCATTCATGATCACTCGACAGTAAGCTCAGTAGGGCAAAATCAGAATCAATCATATTGGCGAGCGTGCAAAATCTCACATCTTCGCTCTCCGTATGTCCAGGTCGTGATTCATGGTTTCGTCGAGCCGGCAGAGTCTCATCTCTCTAGACCGAGCGCAAACACGCGCAATGCAGGAAAAAGCCCACCATGTACCTCTACAACCCCGAGCCGTCACTGGTCGGACCAATCGACGTCTGAAACTTGGACCATTTGTTACACCTGTCTCTCAGTCCTGCGGCATTGCCCAACATGTATCTCATGTCTGCTAGCCTTTCAACCAGTTGAAGCGCCATTCCCTCGGCCAAATGCCAGCCGATGTGACAATGCAACAGCCACGCACCNTATGAATTGATCAGCATAGTACAGAAAAAGGTCCAGCGACGCTCTCAGGAAGTCCTCATACCTGGATTGTCTGTTTTGAAGGCCAAGGCGATATACCCGCTCGCCGGAAGCATGATGGTGTCTCTTCTGGGAGGGTTGGTCGTGACGAAATTGGCCACATCGCCAACGGTATAATTGGCCGTGCTGACGGATGCGAGGACGAAGAAATCGTGCCTATATTTGTGTTAGTAGCGATCAGATATCAGTGTAGAATCATGAACTTTCCCGTGAAGATGTATTGGATGAATTATAGCGTCCTTGTTCTCAATGACTATGTAGATCCACTCGTCCGCGGCTGTCAAGGTCAATACGTCCGATGCGGCGGGCCAGGTCGTGTTGTCGTTCGCCACTTGGAGCAGCGTGGGGTCGGACCACTGCACTTGCATTGTGGCTTTTGCATTTAAGCTCCAGCGGATCAGCTTGTCGGCTGTCGTGTTCCTAGTCCAGTAAACCGTCTCATCTTGGGTCGGGGGCCCGACATCAAGAGACAGATACGGCACGAGATTTTGTGACTCGTCATCGCAGTTGGAAGGCAAGGTAAAATTGGTTGAGGTGGGAAGCGCGGTTGATAAAGAATTGTAGCGTAGTATGCCTCGAATACTACTCAGTTGTCAGTCGTCTCTACTATTCCTTCGAATTTCAGTGTTTTCCGCGAGGGTACTCACTCATTGTTCAGANATAGCACTGCAGCGAGCTTGGGGAACAGATCGCATCCAATAATCTCCAGGCGCTTGATTTGCAGAGATTATCACGTCGTATCTTTGACCAATGCCGACGTTGACAGACGTGGTGTTGTAAGGCTTGACTGGAACCAAATCGTTTGCGACAACTGTCATGATATGGTTGTCGATAGTGAAGCGAAACATGGAATTGACAGCGGTGTTGATGACGCGGAAACGATATCTNTTGCCGGCTTGGACATTGGTCTCAAAGCGAGAGCCCGAGCTATTGTACGTATTGAGGCCGTTGATCAGACCATTCTCGAGCTTCACAGGTTCTGGAGACGATTCGGCCTTACTAAGCAGGCTGCTGACTGTTTGGTGTCCCCAATCAGTCAGAAATACCATGCCGGCGTCAACGTCGGATTCCATGCTCGAAGGTCCATCTATGATGATACCGCCTGGAATTGTTCTCAGTCCTGGTTGAGCAAACAGTCTGAAGATTCTGTACTTACCGTAGACACCATCCCATTGTTGCAGCGAGTAATGAGAATGGTACCAAGACGTGCCGTACTGTGTAGCTCTCCATTTATAGACGAACGAGTCGCCCGGCTTCTCGGGTCAGCATCAAACACGGTGTCATCGGTCGGCGAGACTTACTGCGATGGGACATTCGGTGATAGAAGCCACGCCATCCATGGGATTGGTTTGGTTCTGTCTTATGCCGTGGAAGTGGATACCTGTTCCCTGGTCCTTCAAGTTGTTCTGAACGTGAACGACGATCCAGTCACCCCAGTTTGCTCTTATGACAGGCCCAGGCGTGACGCCATTCACCAAAAGAGCAGATCGCTCGACGCCATCCGGTGATACCGTACCATTGCTGATCTCAAGGTGATANCTAAGAAAGTCAACCCCTTTGCCTCGGTATTCAATATGCTTGCTAATGCTCACTGTCACTGTCCGGCCTGTAACAGGTGCCTCATTGTAGTAGTCGGTTTCAATACTGAAGGTGTTGGAGGAATTGCGCCAGTGCCAGACATTGGGTGCTTCGGCGTGGCCATGAGGTGCAGCCCGAGAAATGGCCAGCAGCGACGCCACTGCCAGAAAACAGAAAGAAGTTAGCTTTGCCATCATGATATGCCGTGAAGCTGATGATTCGGCCTGGTCATGACAACTGGAGTACCCGTTGACTGATTAAGTATGGCCCTTCGTGGCCATCAGACATGGTGCTTGAGTTTGGCATCACTCTACAGATCTGATCGCAGCTTTGCCGGATGACCGTGGACGTTCTGACGGTCCTTCGAGGAATGTGGACGTCCGGTAGCATGACAGTGCCTGATACGAAGCTCCTCCCACGATACCACTGTTCGGACTTCCGCCCAGCCCGCGTGCCGAGCTCGTGCTGTGACCGCAATCTTCATTCTTGCGACCTCATGGCGTCGTTGACCGTGCGAGGCTCTGCTTGCCCAGAGGAAACGCCACTGCACGAAGTTGCGTAGTTGCATGAGGACCTGGGAAGAAGAGGTGACGACGAATGAATTCAAAACTAAACTTCTATCGAGGTCTTGGTTCAGCCCTCCGAACCAGAAAGTCCGGGTTGATGCTGAGAACAGGCAGGAACGAGAACATAGGTAACATCAACAGACAAAGTGCATCCTTGTAATCCACTGAAGGGAACTTCACGCAGCCGTACTTCGCAAGGTCTGTGAAAGGCTGATATCATCACAGGGATTCCATCGGAAGCTGGAGTTGTATCAAATTTGAGAGGTAGTCGGGAAACATAGGTAGATTGAAAACAACGCCAAGATAATTACATCATGCTGCTATCATGGGAAACCGCAGCCTTTCTGCTCATGCTTGGCGGCCGACGATTAACCGCAGAAAGCTGCATCGCGCGTCTACGATACCCAGCTTGCTTCGCTTCTACACCAGAGTGCTCATCGATCCAACCAACCAGTGAAAGCCGTGTTGCAGGTGGTCCCTGTTTCCGTAGGCAAGCGCTGCCACCACAACTACTAAACCACTAGAAACCATCCGTAGGACTCCTTTCACCTTCGCAGTGCGTTGCTCCATCTTGCTCAAAAACTCTTTGGTGTCGTTGACACGAGGGAATGGGTGATCTGGAATCGGTTTGCCCAGGAATTCGCACAGAGGAGCCCAGCCCTGCTTGACGTTGTATTCCAACAAGTTCTCGGGAGGGACAAGGCGACGCAGTTCTTCGATGTGATCCTCGTACACCTGTTTTCCAGTGCGCGGAAAGTCGTCTTCGTAGGCGTACTTGTAAAGTTGCTTGCCCATCTTCACGAAAGATGGCATGTACTCGATGACGATGTCGCCAAGTCTGCCCGGTCGCATGAAAAGAGCTTGATGTGCCAAGCCCAGATGGTATCGCATACTGATTTGTGCCAGACGTCTGCGTTGTCGCGGAGAGACAAGACCACCTTTGCTTCCGGGTAGGCTGCGATCAGCTCGGGCGCGAATGCTGAAGCCGGGTAGTCGGTCACGGCCATACAGTGACCGAGGAGCTGATCCCAGTCCTCCCTTGTGAATTTTCCCTTGCCTTCGTACTTGGCGTCAAATGCTTCAACCCACATGTTGGCATCTGGGCGATTCTCCTCCAAAGGCGAAGCCATGTGGTAGACATCGAAGTATCCGAGCTCAAAGAGCGCTTGGCGGATCGCTGTGCAAGTCAGCGATTCAGTCTGTACACATGGTATATGCAGCAAGCTGTCGAGCCTGCGCTTCTCTTGCACGTACAAGCTGTTCCAGTCCGGCACAAACCAAGGTTCAGCACCTCCATGGGAACCACACGGTGGCATGTGCGGCGATCAATATTAGTGGCTTTGCGCTCACTGACACGTCTTGCGACCTCTTCCCTTGACAGACTCATTTTTCGCGAGATTTTGAGAGTTTGAGGATGATTCTGAGTCCAGAGCTTGCTTGTAAGAAGAGAACGATTCTCTTCAAGATGAATCCGTCTTGAGAAGAAGGGCGGTGCCATTGATATTAAGTTGACCATCCAACGTACTTGCAGCCTCGCATTGGCTGAAGCTCCGACGGGGACCTGCATTAGTAGCGTACGCTAGCACGGAGTTCCGTGACAAGCGTACAAAGCAGGAATTCGGCGTTTCGGGCTTGACTCGGCCGTGGCCCCGACTGTGAACCACGAGTTTGTTAACAGAATTCGTTACTTCATCTCAGTAGCATAGTGAAGGTGAATGTTGCAACCGACAACTTTACAGGAGCACCGCGGGTCTCAACACCCACGGTGTACCGCTTAACGCTTACGGGAGTTCATCATTGTTTACCTGGCTCAAGAGGCTAATTTCTTCTATCAGCCGCTTGGCTGAACCAACATCGTCGTCAAGCAACACTTACCAACACGCGGTCGAGACTCATCTCAGTCAATGGCACGCCTTTTTCGTCGGCTTTCCGCAAGAGTTGATCTGGTCTTGCCATGAACGCTCCTGCCAGCTGATCTCCAGCTGGTTGTTTCTTGTTGCAGTTCGGTTGTCCGCAATTGCTTGACTTGAGATACGCTCCGCGGTCTGCTTTGGGTGCTGGCATAGGTCTGGCGAGAAGGAACTGCCAGATCAGCGACAATGTAAAGGAGTATATATCTCCTGCTCTGGACCTCTGCCAGAAAACCAATCACACATCTCCTGTTCACAGCAAAAATGGTCTCCATATCCATAAACCTTCATGCTCTGGCGTGGTTCCTCGCGTTTGATATCGCTGCCGCAGTATGGCCTTATCAGTCATTTGAGACCGTGGAGTTTCACCCTCCAAACATGACAATATCGAAGACTGGGGCAACTGCAGATGGCTACCTCTTCTTCGGAACCGTGGGCGCTGGCGACTATCAGGCACACTATCTTCATCTTACGCGCCTTCGAACCCGGCTGACTTCTTCTAGAATGCACCTCTGATCATGACTGACGACAATGAGCTCATCTGGCAAGGCAACCCTGCGAACTCGCCCAACACCACCGTCGTTGGGGTCCAGACGTTCAACGGACAGGACTACCTGGCTTTCTGGAGCGGTTCCATCAACTCGGCCACCGGACTCGGATACGGCTACGTTCAGCTTCTGGACTCCTCGTACGAGGAGCAATACAGAGTTACCCTCCCCAACGACAACTTTGTGACTGCAGACGGCACTCAAAGAGACTCTTACATCGATCTTCACGAGCTTTACATTACCGACTCTGGAACTGTGCTGGTCACCGCAAAGAATGTTACCCAGGCAGACATTACCTCTGTTGGCGGGTCTTCCAATGGCTGGGTCGTCGATAGTCAATTCTACGAGATCGATATCGCCACCAACACAGTCATCTTCTCGTGGAAGTCCCTTGACCACCTTGACGTGGTGCCTTTCACAGCATCGCACCTACCTCTGAACATCACGTACGGGACCACTGTGTTTCCACAAGGCTCTTCTCAAAGTCTCCCATGGGACTACTTCCACATTAACTCTGTCGCTATGGCAAGTAACGCCTCAACCAAGCAGTACCTTGTCTCATCGCACCACGCATGGCAAGCGCTCTGGGTTAGTGCATCAGGGGCCATAGACTACATACTTGATGTAAGTGTACGGTGCCTTCGACGTCCTGCAGGGACACTACTGTGTTGAACTACTTCATCCCTGGATTTTGGAGGAAAGCTCTCAGCAGTAGTGCTTCTGCAAGACCGCTAGGAGCGTCGAAACTTTAGACAGCAGGCACCAGCTGACTTTCATTAGGGCGGTACCGGGGAGACTTCCAGCTTGAAGCAGCAGGGAAGTTCAGCTGGCAGCATGACATCCGTGCCATTTCAGCAACAAGGTCGGGCGTGACTCTGCACTTGCATGATAACAAGGCCTACCAAGGACTTACTTTCGGGGAGGCGACAGTTGGACTGGCTCTGAATGTTGACTTCGACGAGATGAGCGTCACGGTAGCGGGTACTCTACAAGACCCTCCGACCCCGTGTACTCTCTCAGCCAGGGTAGCTATCAACCGTTGGAGAAAGGACATGTACTACTTGGTCATGGCCAGGCTTGCAAGATCAAGGAGTACGACGCACAAGGCCAGTGCATCTTCACGGCACAATTCGCAGAGGCGGACACGGCAGCCAGCTACCGCACATACCGACATGTCTGGCATGGTTACCCAAACACGAAGCCTGCCTTGTACGTCTCAGCCGCCAACGACGGCTCTGAACTCTCCATCTTTATGAGCTGGAATGGCGCAACAGATTACACTGCATGGAACGTCTTTGCTGGGGACAGCTCCGATGACTTGTCCCTCGTCGCTTCCCCCAAAGCGCTCAGGTTTCGAGACCACGACTACCATCCCATCTGCAACATTCGTCAAGGTTCAGGCAATGGATGGAGATACCGTTCTAGGAGAGTCTGAGTTATATACAGTCTCGACCTAGATCAACCCTGTCTGGCTAAACGTCGCCTCTTACAGGTGCACCACCGCATAGAGCTGACTAGACTGAGCGTTGTGTGAGGGTAAGGTCTGATGGGGCTCCACTACTTGGGTTTTGCATGCTAGGACAGTGGGGTTGATGTGCCAAACGTATACAGAGATAGACCGCAAAGTGGTACTTTGTTGTTAGTACGAGTGGGATAAAACGATTTCTTAGGAGCCATGAGTAATGTTTCTATTTTATCTAGATCGCAGATCTATCTGATAGGCCGACTAACTAGATCGAACTCTTCAAGATCCATCGAACATCCAGATCCAAGACATTTAGACCTTGAAAACCTTCGAGTATTCAATATATCGAAGCGCGCCTTGTAGTACCCCATGGTCATTGGTCAATGACTAATTTTGACCGCAGGGACCGCCAGCAAAGATATCGCGAAATTGCCTGGCGCTGGAGGGGCTGCTGTGGGAACTGCCGGAGGAACTACAGAACTACCGGCTGCTAAACGGCTACAAGCGGAGCTACCAGAAGGGCTCTCCGACTGGCTTTTCAATCTGTAATGGATCTCAGAAGTCTATATAGTTGATGTTTTTATCCGAGTTACGTATGAGATATCCTCGAGTCAATGGCTTATATATTACTCTGAATTCACTAGCAAGAGCCTCTGTGGTGGCAATGCGTATACGTTGCTCAACTCCAAAGGTCTGATATGTTGAATTATTGAACCTACGAGGTGCATTCACGATTTGAGTATGCGGAGGCTTGAATATAGGCTGGTCGAATACAATCTTCATCTTATAGCATCACTTGATGTAGGAAGTTGGCCGAAATCGTCTGCTATCAGGACGCCAGTTGGTTCATAGGGACTTAAAGAGGTCATTCTCTCGTATATGGGAAGCGGATCTAAGTACATTTCACGACTGCATTACCATACCGTTTTTGGCGGCACTCATCCTAAGCATGAAAGCTTGCAGCTCGATCTGCATGTCGCGCAACTGGTTGATGATGTGAAGCATGTTCAAACCATCGGGCATTGCAGCAACACTTTGGGGTGAACCGGAGAGCATGTGCTGTTTCAGCATCTGCTCAGGGGAAAATGTCAACCTCCTTGAAACAGGTGGCACATCTCCCCTCTCGTCGACCGCACTGTTCATTGAAGAGTGAAGCCTCTGGTCTCTAGCCTGCATGGTGTCAAGTGCCACCGGGTTGTTCACATATCCTGACATAGTGCTCAACCCTGTCTGTGCCGGTTGCAGTGCAGAGGATTCAGCCGGTGTACCAATCCATTGCTGCGGAACATTCATTTCCATCTCATTCTCATGAACTTCTGCAATCGTTGCCGGGCCATACTCCGAATGTCTCAACTTCTCAAACTTTTGACTGATTGAAGAAGCTATGCTAGAGTCGTTGGAGACCTGTTCGAAAGGATTGGTAGCCGCCACACCGTTATTCAATAACTCTACCAACTGTGGCGAAGGTAGCTCGCGAGTGGAATACGAGGGTACAGATTGAGACCAGGGAGAGAACGTCGGCTGGGGATATCCCAAGTTGTAATCGGACATGTCGGCCGGAACTGTAAAGTTGTAGTACGGGTAGGCTACGGGCTGGTCATAAGAATTGTTTGTTGTTGATGCTGAGGCTTCCAGGTCGGGTACTCCAGGAGTTGAAGCATCGGTAGACGATGTAGGTGAACTAGAATTCGTCTCCGTAAGGGCCGGGACTGGCGAGGCAGCGGCGTCAATTGTCTCTTCGGATGGGGCCGGTTGGTTGTCGACCTCTGCCTCGGGTCGTTGTCTTTCATGGTCCTCGCACTCTCTTTCACCATCCTCCAATGGCCCTGTCCGAAATTCCGGTGAAACCGCGGGCTCTTCGATCATGTCCATTTCGTTACGTTCTATTTTGGCGCACTTGGATCTCCGATGAGGACGCAAAGTACAGGTAATGCTTTTAGCGGAACATCGACTGCAAGGGAATGTTTTGTCGCATTTTGCTTTTGCTTTGAAGCAATTCGAGCACGCAATAGGTGCTCGCTTTCTCAAGATCGGAGATCCATGGGGTGCACGTGTAGACTCTTGTCCAAAATGCATACCATGGATGGAATAGTGACGCTGGAGGATATCCCTGGCACGATACGTTAGCCTGAGTCCGACAAACGACAAGACACGCAACTTCTGTGCAGCCGTGCGAATCGGGAAGACTTCTTTACCTTCGACTGAACGACATGTGACAGGTAAAACACTCGAAAGGTTTAACGTTTGTGTCTATGCTTCGATTAGAAGAGCTTCAAATGTCATTGCAGCGTTCTTACGAATTAAGATGTGTCTGGACAGATGCTCTTCTCTGGTATATGACTTGCCGCAGTAAGTACAGAAGACCATGGTTTCGAGTGATGACTGGAACAATGGATGTTTTCGTGCGGTATAATGGTTCAGGGATGCTTATTGTCTTATGCGTGTGTCTCATGGATTCGATATACATTATATATAGAGTTAACCATTTACGATTATGTTCTGATGGATCAGGAGTCCGAATATTCATCATTGTGAACGTTCTCGTGTTGGGGCTTTGTTGCCTGGTGCAGATTTACTGGCAGCCGTGAATCGCGGACTTCCGTGGCTTCGACCAGAATTCGAAGCGGAACTCCAGAACTCCAACGACCACAAACATCGACGTTTTAAATAAAATTGATGCGATGACGCGCCATATATTATCCATTTCACGTCGTCCCAAATCGAAAAGGAATCCGATTGCAGTACAAAACTATCATCACGTTTACGACAAAGTCCGTTTCACGCGACCATCTACTCAAGATGAGCAAGGAAGGCAAACAAGACATTAAGTCGCGCGACAACTCCAGCACCGAGGATGGCGTCAAAGACACCTCCATGTCGGAGATCGTAGACTTCGAGGATGGAGATCCACTTAACCCGATGAATTGGCCGAATCGCAAGAAGATGACCACCACGTTACTCTACGGATTGACAACGCTGTAAGTTTTGCGCGATCGACAAAAGCTTCGTTTGCCATACTGACTGCATGAAGAGGTGCCGCTTTTGCGAGTAGTGTGTACGTCTTCCGTGGTGTTTGTTCCCAAGTTGCTAATGGCCGAGACTTACTCGTGATTTGCAGATACTCGCCCGCTATATTCCCCATCGCTCGTGAATACGGTGTGAGCGAGGAAGTTAGTACGCTGGGTCTTTCACTCTATCTCTTTGGGCGAGTTGCACTTCTCGTTCTAGAATGCGTCATCTGCTAACTTATGACAGCCTCGGAATAGGACCGCTCATCTGGGCTCCGCTATCCGAGCTCTATGGCCGCAAGCCTGCTATCCTTATCCCTTACTTTGTTGGTGTAGTCTTTTGTTTCGGTTCAGCCGCTGCGAAAGACATCCAAACCGTTCTCATCACACGGTTCTTCGCCGGAGCTTTTCTGTCCGCTCCGGTCACAAACACTGGCGGTGTAATCGGTGACATCTGGACGCCGCAACAGCGAGGCAAAGCCATGGCTGGATATGCAATGGCCATTGTGCTTGGTCCCTTGTTGGCCCCAATTATTGGTGGAGCTTTCGTGTTGGATACAACGTACCGCTGGACCCTCTATGTAAGGCTTACTTACGTAGTCGACGAGCAACCACTGACGATACTAGTTCACGGGAATATTGCTGGCCGTCATCCTTATAGTAGATTTCTTCATTATCGAAGAGACATTTGGTAATGTCATTCTAGTTCGAAAAGCTCGCCGCCAGCGTCTCGAATCAGGCAACTGGAACCAGCATGCTCGGCACGAAGAGTGGGATGCGACCTGGCACGACCTATCAACCCGCTACTTGATGCGTCCACTACAGCTCTTCACGACGCCCATATGCTTCCTGATGGCTCTTTATGGCTCCTTCACCTACGGTATCCTGTATCTGTAAGTGCAGGCACACGCTCTCCGAGATCAAAGCTTTGTTGACTTGCTCAGGCTATTTGTGTCGTTCCCCATTGAATTCGAAGAGGTAATTCGCTCCTCTCCAAATAACTACCAAGTTATTGCAATGTCTGGCGGCCATACTGACAGTCTTAGACACGAGGTTGGAACCAGGTGGTCGGATCTCTCCCATTCCTGTAGGTCTTCTTCCGTATCCACGCTTCACGGAGCACACCGCTGACAGATGTAGTGCAATATTGATTGGCATCCTGATTGGCAACACGGGCAATCTGTTCAATCAGAAATTCTATGTCAGGAAGATGAAGGCGAATAAAGGCAGACCGGTACCCGAAGCCAGGTTGCCTCCCATGATGTTTGGCTCTTTCTTCTTCGCTGCTGGGCTCTTTGTCTTTGGTTGGACATCTGGCCGAAACATCCCGTGGATTGCGTGAGTATTCTACGATCATGGTCGCTCAACATTAATTGACCTTATCCAGACCTTGCATAGGGGCTGCATGCATCGGACTCGGCTTCTTCACCATTCTGCAATGTACAACAGGTTATCTTATCGACACGTTCACCAAGAATGCCGCGAGTGCGGTGGCTGTCACAGTGTTCATGCGGAGCATCTTTGGTGGAGTCTTTCCGCTCTTTGCTCGAACTGGTGAGCTTCTAACAACCATTCTATGACCTGGTGCACCGCGCTGACCACATTTAGTATTTGTGAATCTCGGGATCAACTGGGCTTCGAGCCTTCTCGGGTTCCTCGCTGTGGCTATGATTCCGATCCCGTTCGCGTAAGTGACTTTTGCCCATTGTTAATTCGACACTCCCGCTGACCTATCTAGGTTTTATTCATTTGGTGCAAAGATCAGACTTCGAAGTCACTGGTCCATGCCACCTCAAGGCCCGCCCCCAGGCATGGCACCGCGGCCTGGTATGGGACCGCCATCCGGTATGGGACCACCATCTGAGATGGAGCCGTCTTTCGGGAAAGGCCCTCTGACCGGTGGAGGCAAGCCATAAAGTATGGGTGCCTCGCTATATCTAGCACAAGAGAGCCCCGGGCTCGCAAATGAGGTTTCAATTGAAGATTTGTGGTTGTAAAAAACTTCTACAGAAACCCTCGAAGTCTTTCTCAGGCTCTAACTCTTTGCTATGCCTCGTACGGCCTTGCTGAAACACCACCACTTGACGCTATCCATAATGGTATGCAAACGACACATAATCAAGATAATTTCAGTTGCTATCGTACGTTCAAAATCGATCTCGGCGTATCGTAAGCAGCAGCAGCGGGATAAGAATGAGCATGCGTACAATGTAGAATCTTCGCTCCCAGCTCTAGAATGATTTTTACCCAGGGAAGACCTATCTATCGCTGCGACGGTCTCAGACCCCAATTTACTTACTGACATTAATCTTATTATTTTAGAAACAAGCACACAGATCCCGCGCTACCAACAAGAAGAACACTACAGGGCCATGTTCCAAAAATGATTGTCTGGAATTCAAGGAGCGAGAGCTAGGGTCACGTCCCATAGCTTAGGAAAGACCTTCACGCCTCAAGTGACAAAATGTCGATGCTAGAGAAGTTACCCTGCGAGGAATCAGCACTGAGGGCTGCGGAAATCCTACCGGTCAACATCTCATATTGAGAAGTAGCTGCGGAAGTCCAAGCAGACCCGCTGTGGGGCATAATCCGTCTGAGCTAATGACAACAGTGCCTGAGAATCCTACTGCGTGTTGCATTCGGCAGTCCTGAAATTGGCAAGTGGTGCGATACAGGCCATAGCGCTCAAGAGAATGTCGATGGGACAGACACGCCACAGATAGGAGACCCGTTCCTTGTCTTGAAATCCTCTTCAATCAATCATGCCCCAAGATGATCGGTAGTCCGATTGTTGGTTCTGACCACTCAAGCTGAAGGCACAGAGGTAGACATTGGGTATGCGGATCTCCGTGGAGCCACATCTGTTGTATCGAGCGGAAAGTGGCATGCACAATCATTTTGAAAGCCGATGGCATACCTGGTCAGTCTCATAAAAAGCATCATGTCGATCGTAGTATTTTGCTCACTTGCTCTGCATACCGCTACTAGGTTACAAACATCTGGAACATGCCTCTGTCTTTGCCATACATCGCTTCGCCGTTCATCATTCTCGGACTGATTGGTTTGTTAGCATTCTGTTCAAGATGGGTGTCGAGATCACATCGCAAGAAAAAGTTGCCAGGCCCAAAGAGTATCATATATGTCCTTTGAGCAATCCGAAAGCCAGTACTGACCTTGATAGCATACCCATTTATCGGCAGGGTCCACGACCTTCCTGTCCAGCACATGTGGTTGCAATTCGACAAATGGGCCAAAGAATACGGTCCGATCTACGAGACAAAGATGTTCGACCAGCATTTTGTAGTCATCTCCTCCGAGAAGATCGCGGGAGAGCTTCTGAACGAAAGGAGTGCAATTTACTCGGATCGTCCTAGTGTGCCCGCTTTGTCGGATTCTAAAAGTACTTTTGGAAGCGGAGAGTATCTTCCTCTCATGGGCCGTAATGGTGAGTGATGCGTAACTAGTATCTTCTGCATGCCATAAAACTTACACAGATACAAGNAATACTGGGTTCGCCAGCGCAGGTTTGCGCACCGGGTGATGCATGAAGCCCAAGGCACTCGATTCTATAACTATCCTGAGCTCGAGGGCAAGCGTCTCTTGGTCAACCTACTGGAAACCCCAGACTTGTATTCATCGTATCTGGAAGACTTCACAGCAAAAGTCATTGCGCGCTTGGCTTGGGGTCTCCATGATGAGAGCGATGTGCTCAAGGCGGATGCTTGGGCTTTGCTCACACAAATGTCGCCAGCGGGACCCAAGAACAACTTGTTGACTCTGCTCAACCACATACCGGCATTTGTCAATCCATGGATCCAGAACGAGAAGAAACGCCATGAGCGACAGAGGCAATGGTTCCTGAGACTAGAAGCGCAAGTGGCAGAGCAGGTGGCCCAGAAAGAAGCCAAGCCTTCGTGGATGCGCACTTACCTCCAAACAAAGCATCTTCACGATTGGTCAAGCGACACCGAGGGCGCATATGCTGTTGGTATGATGGCAGTTGCAGGAGTCTTTACCGTCGGTGGCCCACTCCACTTCTACTTGCTCGCCATGATTGAACATCCCAAATGGTTCAAGCTGCTACAAGAGGAGCTCGACCGTGTTTGTCCGGACTCGATGCCTACTACCGCAGATAGCCCTCGTCTACCCACCCTTCGCGCAATCATCAAAGAATGTCTGCGCTGGAAACCAGTAGTTCCAACAGGTGAGTGGGTAAACAGTCTGTCTACTGCACAGCTTTTCTAATCATCTCCTANNGGTGTTGCCCATGAAGCCGAAGAAGATGACTACTACAGAGGTTTCTTTATTCCCAAAGGCGCAAGGATCTTGCCTCTAGAAACGTGAGTACTCGATGCAAAGACTCAAAGCTGAGCACAGCTGACAGCATCANGGGCTTTCTGCCGGAACGAGGTCAAGTATCCAGACTCGAACAGCTTCCGACCAGAACGATGGCTGGAGCCAGGCTGGCCTACCTATAAAGAGCCACTGACGCAGCATCCTTCGATACGCGGCCACACTTTGTTTGGATGGGGACAACGAACATGTCAGGGTCAGGGACTTGCCGAAGCAGAACTGATTGTTGCATGCGCAGGCATTGCTTGGGGATTCGACCTGACCAAGAAGATCGATGCTCAGGGACACCCGATCTCGCCTGACTTGAACAAGTCAAACAGTCTTCTGATCATCAAGCCCGACCCCTTTGAGCTTACCATCACACCAAGATCAGAACGGAGAAGAACTCTCATCATAAACCAATGGCGGGATGCGCAAGAATGCGACGTGTGAATTGTTGCCATCAGCTTTGTCTACTTTGTATAGTTACCAGGGCGTCTCACGAGAAAGCAACAGTGTGAGGTACCAAGTTAGTTTATAGAATGCACAATGAGTTGATGCACTCTTGCGGGTGGAACTCATGCAATGAGCTGGATTTTCCTCGATCTATTTCTCATGCCTCCACCACATTAGCAAGCCAAAGGAAAAAAATCCTATAGATCCACGTGTCAGGCCAGGCCTTGGACATTGTTTCTCCGAACCACGAAGTAATCATGCTTGAACTCATCTTGGATGGTCTTTTATTTCTCTTGTGTGTCTATAACGGCTCTGTAGGAGCACACTTACGCGTATAACTATTCCTCGCAGGGACTTTCTTAAGAACATGTGGAACCGCCTGAGCTCTCGTCCGTCTGTCTACCGTCCAAGGTCTTGCGACATGACCGCGTAAAGGTCTGCTACGACGATTGAGACTATTGTGCCTCATGAAGATCATTTGAAGGGCTCGTTTAGGTTAAGACGAATATGATCGTTTTGCAATCCCTCTTCTGCCCTAAGAGCCCTGTTCAAAGTATTTACTGATATCCCGCATTTTCCATGGACACTACATGTTATCCATGAAACTCGGTCCTCCCAGACAGGCGTTTCCAAACGTATACGTGATGCCATGTCGAGCTTGTGAAGAAATGATTCCAAGAATTCTTTGAGAATCTCATTTGCCGAAACAATGGATTTCACGCCCTCGGACTGACAGCCGCTTTTCGATGGTTCGATTCTGGCATAGCGAAATAAGGTAAAAGAAAATAGCTAAGGTTTAAGACTACGCTTTGCTCATGTGCTTGCTTTCTTTGATCCAGGCCTTGAAATCTTGCATATCGGGGTTCATCCTTCTGCATTCGGCCACTTTAGCATCGTAACCTGATTTTTCGAACCAGTCAAACATCTTGCCGACTTCAGGGACGGCCCATCTCAAACCCCTGCCGACGAATGAGTACGTCCGGGGCAGAGGACGTCCAACAACGTCACTGAAGACGGCGTTGCCTTCAGAGAAGGTCAGAGTGTCGCCCACCAGAGAGACAGCCTTGTTGCGAAACTCGTCTGGATTTTGGAACGCTTTCGCAGCGAANAAGCCAATGTCTCTGGTCGACACAAACTGCAGCTGAGCTTTCTCAGGCATCGTACTCCAGAGGGCACCAAAAGTGTACCCGAAAGCGCCGGGGTTCATATTATCGAAAAAGGCGGTAGGACGCAGAACGGTCCAGTTGAGATGAACCTTTGCAGCCTGTGTCTTCAGATGGCGCTCGACACGCGCTTTGGCGGCGAAATGAGGAACGTTGGTGTCGTCGTTGTCGCTTTTGACGCCTCCGCGATCGACAGAAGAATACACGAACTTCTCAACACCAGCGGCGATTGCGGCATCTGTAAGAGCACATCCTTGTTTTTCCTCTGCATCCGCCTTGCCAGGAAGCTGAACGCTGAAGACTCCCCATACCTTCTCGCCGATGCGTTTGAAGATCTCAGTGCTGTTGGATAGATCACCCTCGATGATTGTGATATGAGGATAGGTACTGGCCAAGCTGATGGCTGCAGGTGATGCGGCGTTTCTGGTCAAGGCGAAGATCTTGAAGGAGGGCGAGGACGACTTGTCTGCAAGCAAGGCTCTGATCACAGCTCCACCTTGTTTGCCGGTAGCACCACTGATGAGTAGATTTTGTTGCGACAGCATGATGACAGTAAAGTACAAGCCGTTCGTTCAAAGGTATGATTTCGAGCAAAGGCTGCGAGGAAGTCGCGGACAATAACGACAGCCCCAGAGTGCGCGCACGACTTACATGCCGCTTTATCTTCGTCTGGGCTCAATCCTGTCAGCATCGCGGACCAACGACAGCCCGACTTATCGACCATGGATCATCTGTCCGGACTTAAAACATGATGTACGGTATTCCTTGAGAGCGGGGTTTGGTGCTTGATGGAAGCGCGACGCCGGGATCTTTCGGACTTCCGCCACACTGCACCTCTGCGTTGCTGGACTCTCCACCGGCTTGCACAGTCCTTGGACTGATGTGCGATTCTGTCAAACACTGGCAAGAATACGTAGAGCCATCACATACATAATGGATCAAATCCCAAGTTTCAATTGCTTGGTTCATCGAATCCAAACATAACATCAATTCCCTCCAACAGCCAACACAATCATGCAGCCTCTCATTCTCTACGGTCAAGCGACAGGGTATACACCGTTATGTTCCACAACCATTCACTGTCTAACCTGTCTTCAGACCGAATCCGTGGAAGACTGCTATCATTCTTGAAGAGCTTGGTCTGAACTACGAGACAGTCAATTTGCCATTCCCTCAACTAAAGGGCGAGGAATTTCTGCGCACCAATCCTAACGGACGTGTCCCCGCTCTCGAGGACAAGAATGAAGGGCTTGTCATCTGGGAGGTAAGTAGACTGATGGCGTCCTCAAAAGTAATGCTAAAATATTGAAACAGTNCGGGAGCCATCAACGCTTATATCGTCGACAAGTACGACACGGAGAACAAGCTTGCCATCCGTTCCGGAAACGACTCTTACCTTGTTATGCAGTGGCTGATGTTCCAGATGTCTGGTCAGGGTCCATACTTTGGTCAGGGTGAGTACAAGTTTTCCCGTTGCATACCCATAATGTCATAAACTTATACACCCAATCTGCAGCGANTGTGGTTCAAGTTCTTCCACTCGGAACGTCTCGAGTCGGCCACGAAGCGATACATCAACGAGGTCAGACGTGTCATCGGTGTCTTGGACAGAGCCCTGAAGGGCAAGACTTACCTTGTCGGAGAAAAGTGCACCATGGCTGATCTCGCATTCGTGACCTGGGAGTTCTTGCTGCCGATGATGATGAAAGGAGAGGACATGGATCTGGTTACAGAGTTTCCAAACTGGTGGGCTTGGCATAAACGCCTGGCTGAGCGCCCTTCGGTCATGAAGGTGGCTGCGGAGCGTGAGAAGGCCATCGCAGCGAACCCGATTCCTGTCAAGAAAGCCAGTGTTTAAAAAGATCAAAAATTGTCCCGTCGTACAGGCAACTACGCGAAAGCTACCGCGGTCTTGTAGGGGGCATCATTACATGGAGCTTTCTGCTTCGCGAGTTGAAATCCGGGTTGTCATCTCTCCAGTTCAATACATGGAATGTGTCGTCAAGGATCAAAATGCATAGATGGCCGTAGTCAGCCGAAAACTCAATTTTGCGTTACAAGATTGTCTGCCTTACTATTAATGGCAAAATGCAAAACATACAGCAGCAGGGATTCCCACGTGGTCACCCACCGTAGTACTAATCTGCCGTTCAACTGCTTATGTATGGCAGAGCGGACGGGATGCCCAGTTTTCAGCTGACTGTGGCCGTATGTGCTTGGNNGACTGTACTTTGTTGACATATATATCGCTTTCAAAAATAGAAATTGGCTGCAAAAACCAGTCATCGAAACATCCCTCAAGCCGCCTAACGAATTTCTTCTTGACGCATGGAACGTTGTCGAGTGTGCGGTACTCAGAATTGTTGCAGAGCACGAAGATACAAGTATCATGCCCGTGAAGACGTTTGAGAACGATCAATGATCTCTAGTCTTGAGTTTCGAAAAGCGAGTGCAGTGCTGTCCCTGGATGGAATCCATGGAATTTTGGTCAAATCCAACTCTATTTGGGGTGACCCCTATTCCAACTCTATTTATTCCTTCGAATCAAGACTCTTCCATGGAGTTCCATTGCTCCATGGATTCCAAATGGAGTATGATAGCTTGATCAGAGTTGTCTAGTCAATCTGTATAGTAACTTCTCTGGAGTCCATCAAGATAATCAGAATTTTCTACAAATTGATGTAACTAATTGTTCTATAGCTGAATACTTTTAGTTATCTTTTGTAAGAGTAAAGATAGGATACACTGAATATAGACATAGAATAGTCGTCTCCATTAATGATATATGGAAATTGAATCTAAGGACAGGGTCGTACTCTCAACCTACACCCCGGATCAGCTATACCAGGATTTTTGAAGCTTCAAATGATATCTTGGTAGCGCTATACCTAATTAGGCCTGTCTTGGCAGTTCCATGGAATCTAAATGGAGTTCCATGTGGAAGCAAAGGCTATTCCAACTCCCGTTTGACTCCATGGAAGTAAAGGCTATTCCAACTCCAGTTCGTTTCCATGGAAAAATCATGGATATTCCAAATGGAACTCCATCCATGGACAGCACTGAGCGAGTGGATGATTGTATAGAATTTGGCTCCTCGACGCATTTCATTGCTCGAGGGAGACTTACATCCCGATTATACTGGTCTATATGGCTTATATCTTCCTTGCATCATCCTCTCAAACAAGCCTTACACATCATGAACTGCCACTCAANAACTTCTGAACCTCCGCCGCCAAAATCTCATGGACGTGCGAAGTCAAATGCGCCGTATTAAACCAAAAGTACTCCTCCATAGGCTGGCACCCATAAGCCGTAGCATCAGCAACAACATTCGGCTGATTCCACGCCGCACAAAACCCAGTAGTATTCTTGATACCATAAGGTGCAGGATTCTTCAACACACCGTTCAAAAAAGTGTTTGTGTCGAAGAGTGCGACATTCGAGTCTGGATTCTGTTGCTGAAATTTGGAGGCTTGAGAGGCGAGGATGGAGTTGAATTGATTTACCATGTTTGTGTTTGGTAGTGGGTGGCGCTTCAAGACGTTCTTGGGGGTTTTGTCCAGGGGTGCGAGGTTCATGATTAGGAAGTTGCGGTAGCCTGCGTCGTGGATGGTTTGCATTGATGCAAAGAGAGTTGCAATCATGTTGGTGTAGAGAGTCTTGAAGGGCACAGTCGAGGTGGCGGTGTCGAAGATATCGTTAGTGCCAATCCAGAAGGATGCAAGAGTTGACTCTGGAGTGGTGATATTTGAGAGAGCTGGTTGGGCGTATGTAAGAAATTGCTGAGTCTGGTTCACGAGCGGCACTGTAAAATATTTGTGTCTAGGTGTGCTGCGATAGTATGTTAGCTGAGTATCATGACGGAAGCTAGAAGAGGCAGCTCACTATTTCGTTCCAATATCTGCACCTGCAAAAGCAAAGTCCCATAGTTGAATGTTACAGTCTAATGGCGAGGTTGTGCCAGTATCGACACCACAGCCAGTAAGATGCTCAAGCCAATTTGGGCCGCCTTCTGCTGTGCTTGTCTGACTTTGCACAATCTTGTTGTCCAAAAGCTGTTGGCTTGAGAAGCCGATATTTTGATAGTCTCCAATGAAGCTGTAGTTCTGTCGGCCTGATGTACCCAAGACGTATGAATACGAGTCTCCAAAAGCGATGNNCTAGGAAAATCAGTCTTGAGTAAGAAACAGCGACCCAGGAGTTTCGTCTTACACATTTGTCGTGTTTGCCCAGAGGTTCTTGGTAGGTGCTGTGAGGCCAACCAACGACAGAAGAGGCTTGATGATCATGTTGATATGACTATAAGTCAGAATACTAGCTCTTATGAGTAATGAATGCTCTGAGATGTGTGAGTGTTGGACTGGAGCACCTTTGAGGNNGAGCGATGCCCTCCATGCTATATATGCTCGGTCCATCTTGATCTGGCAGTATATTGTAAATTCAGTGGCTTTGATGATGTAGGTGAGAACTTTGCATAGAGTTCTGGAAGGTAGGTTCGAACAAGCGATGGCGGCCTAATGCATTTGAGTTCTGCATTCAACAATTTCTCCGCGGTGGTGAATTAATCCAGATTTGCAGCTAGGTGAAACCACCGAGGGAGAAAACAAAGTCAAAGCTGGAGAGAAAGCATGAAGACAACGAGGTAGAGGTCTCGGAGCTACGGCTGCAAAACTCTCAACCCTATAGTACTGGCCTAACATCTGAGACAAGGTAAGACATCCCGTTTCGAGTACAAGGTACCTACATATCCATTAAGCAGCATTTGGTTAGTATCCAGAGCAGTTCACGTGAGAAACACTTATGATTTGTCGCAACGATGACGAATACCACGTGTAGCCGCTGGTTTCTCATGTACGTATGCCAGGTCTCGGATGGTAATAATTAGGCTGCCACAGTGGACAGAACAATGCGTGGACAGAACAACGGTCGAAGGATCGTAGAAAAATCGTGGAACATATGCTTGCCGACGGCGAGCGACGGGTGATCAAATTGTTTGCAGCTTCGAGATGTTCAAGGCTCACAGTGTTTTGAAGTGTGACATGTGCATAGGTAGTCATCAAGGAGAAGGTGCACTTGGGGTTGACTCAAGCTGGACGATGCGGCGGCGAGATTTTGAAGACGGATGTTAGCATTGTTGCCATCGTCGCCATCAACTGTCGCCATCAACTGTCGCCATCAACTGTCGCCATCGTTGTCGCCATTCACTAAAACAAAAGATAATGCAGGCGTTATTTCACGATGAGTAAAACGCATTCGACTACGTCCATCTGCACAAAAGTCGACTCGGTCGAACCGCCGCGGCGTCTTTCACTCTCACACATGCTGGCCTCGACCTCTGACCGCCTCTCAAGGTTTGTATGCAAGGAAGAGACCGACGCACAAGATATATTATCAGGTTGGTGCTAGATCGGTGCCTCCTAGTCAACCAAAGAAGGTATTCAGTTGACACGTACAAATACCTTTCAGGAAAGTGCATACTTTTGCATGCATATCAGAATCCTGCCGTCTCGAAAACACCCTGTTAAGCGGAACAAGTCCTGGCTTGTGTTGCATCAACAGAGTCGGTTACAAGCAGAAGCGCGGATGGGATGCCGGCAGATACTGTTGGGATTACTGACCGCTTCGGTAGTTGTAAATCCTAGACTGACTGTCAGACTTTCACCGATTGACTTCGGGATCCTCTTTGACCATGATGATATTGCTACGGTGTGTTGACCGAGCGTACTTCTGGTCGCTCGACAGACCACATCAACATGGGGGCTCAACCAAATGGATAGCCATGGGACTTTTGTGGATGTCCTCGCAACATCACTCGGCCTCTCAGTCGTATAGTACTCGGTATGTTCATCTCGTACAGGGTACGGCTTTCAATGCCTGTGCGTATGTGTATAGCACCGGAGCTCCAATATTGACGAACATGCCCTCGGGTACTGACATGGGAGATATCAGCCAAACCTGGAAGAACTTCGATCTGCCGAGCATCTGCTGTATGAATGACGCTCATGTTGTGCATGTGTATTGGTTGTTGCATCTGTAGGTATCCGATAGTAGAGGCCATTATCACCAGGAGTGTCATTGTGGGCTTAGCAGTGAGTCTTTGGTAAACAAATTGTGACGACGAGACGCGAATGGCTGAATAGACGCGATGGTCACATCGGCGGTAGAGGAGGTAAGCGCGTTCCGCGTATATATGCGATTGCCGCCAATATAGATGAACTTGTATTGATAAGCACCAGAATAAAATTGCACAAGGTCCAGCGGAAATTGGACTTTCCTCAGCGTCTGATCGAATGTATGTACACTGTGTCGTTGATATAGAGTTTGCTTCTCGAAGCCTGCGAAATGTCGACCTTGCTGACATGATGTGCCAAGAACGCCAGCAAGGCGGCTGATGCTGCAATGAAAATCTGCACACATCTGTTATGGTTGTTGTGTAACCTGAGATGTCCGAGTCGCAGGGATGAACAGATCCACCGTCCTGAGGCAATAACCAGGGTAACGATGCGAGCGTATCATTATGGACACAGCTACTCTGGCGCATTGCAGCACTTGATTGACGCCAGCTGTTCAGCGTCGGCATGGTGCTTTCGCTGGTACGCTATGCAGACAGATTCAGGACTGGTGATAGTCGGAGGATGCATCTTGCATGGATATCGAGATCCATCTGGCCCGCTGCCCAGGTTGCGACGAGATTTCGATATTAGCGATGACCAGGTTACTTGAGGAGTAAGGTGTCGCAACAGGCACGCTCACAACAGGCTGCAGTCGATGGCTCTTCCGAGATACGGAGACGCAAGTGTGATGCAGAAAGAACCTCCAAGGAAAGAGCAGCCTCTTGCAAGAAGATTTACGTCTGTGTAGAACATTTTTGGCGCCACAATCGTCGGAACGTATTTAGTCTCTTGCTGTGTGCAAATGCGATTTTACCCAGGAGCTCAGGTACTCTGACTTTCCAACAGGAATGAAAATGAACGTTTGATGGCTATTTCCGTGTATCGGAAGATAAATAGGTAGCCGAGACAAGGTAGCAGGTGCTGAGGGGAAGTCGTCACACGGTGAACAAGTCCCTTCCATGTCAGGCACCATGGCAGCTCTTGCCCGGTACGAATACGTGCTATTTGACAGGAAAATTCTCCGGGTGGACCATGGAAGGAGCCACTAATGTCAAAAATATGCAGTGCAAGTCGTGTACAACCATTCTGACTTGCAAAGCCTTCCCGCATATGTCACCACACTCCTTGACAGCTATCTTGTACAACGGCACTGTAGGCGTGATTTGCACCATCAGATTTATCTGTCAACAGTACTCAACAGTGCCACGTCTGTGTCTGTCTGCCTTGTGCTCAATCACGACAAATTACGCCAGTGTATGGTCTTCTCTCAAACGACTCTTGGACGAGTCATGACTTACCATGCCATTGCTTGGGATACCCATGATCACCAACACTAACGTAACATGGAAGCAAGGATTTGTGTGTTCTGACGCTTTCGCAAAATCGACGTGTACTAAAGCAGACGTGGAAAAGTCGAATGTGACCGCAGATCATTGAAGAATGAGCCCTAGAGGCAGTCCGAGTCTAATATACAACATGCCAAGCCTCCAATTCATTCCGTAGTCCAGCAGTTACCAAGCCCAGATTAAACTTCATTGATTCCCATGTACTGATTTTATACTGCCGCTCTGTCGTCATGCATCTGTCGTGTTCGGCAACATGGCTGCATAATCTTGTCGAGAAAGATGATCAGATACCAAGAGGCTTTTGATCCATCCGCCAGCCGCCAGCTTCACTGGACGGCTGGCTCGTGGGTGAAGGTGAGGTAGACCAGTCAAGATATGGTTGAGTGCTGCAGTATGAACCAAGAAGATCCCGATTTTCGTCGATGTTGTTGTCTGCCAGATAAGGGTTGGTGCCGTTGAACATCTCTGCCGTGTTTCCAAAGTAGGATGACGAAACGATGGGTAGAGTTTGTGGGAGCTTTTGTTGCATTGTGGACGCACCGGCCTGAGTAGTAGGACATTGGCGGAGCTGGTGTGGTCGGCGAAGATTGCGTTGACGTGCCGCTTCGGAAGAGGGCGAATGGTTGCTCAGTGGAGAGGCAGCCATCTGCTGACGGCGGACAGATCTGCGAGTTGTCTGCCCACCCTTGGCACCTGCCTGGACTCGGATCGGTGCGGGATTAGGATTGCGTTGCGTCTTGCGCTTGCTGTCTTTGCGATAGCGAGTAGTTGAGCTAATGCCGTGCTCGACAGCATGCTTAGTAAGTCGCCAGTAACTCGTCTTCTTGGTGCCTGCCTCTTGATTGGGTGGAGGCACTCTCTCGAATGCNCTGCATCGTGTTAGTCAAAGTCGATTCAAAGACCTGTCAAAAACACCTACCGCGTTCATGGAGAGATTGTGGCGCACACTGTTCTGCCAGCCCTTGTTGCTAGGATCCTGAGCTTTCGAACTGTGAGTGCGAACCCACTCGTAGAGGTCTTTGAGAAGCATAGTGTGATCATCTTCCTTGTCCATCAAGGCTTGTCTGAGCAATTCCGCATAGCAAGGATCTGAGTTCTCCAAGCTGTCATCAGTCTCACCAGAACCCGCCAAACTGTCAATCTCATCTGGCATGGGGGAGTCGGTCCATTGTCTACGGCCATGCGCAGCTTCATCTGACACGTTCTCATATTCCAAGGCCGGCACATCCGACAGAGGAAGAACCTGGTTGTGGAGGAATGAGGTTGGATTGATACTGTCAAAAGTTGCCAGATCATTGTTCGAGAACTGACCGATGGGTAGGATTTCCTTGCTGAAGACAGCTGGAGGCAGTGATGCCGATGGTATAGATTGGCTCGTGTAGTTCTCAGGCATGGTTTGGGTTGGTAACAGAGCGAAGGGCATAGATGTCTCGGTGAAGTGAGGCAAATCACTGACCCAGTAATTAGGCACACCTTGAGTGCTTTGGTATACATCGTTGACTTGAGCTGGTGTGAAGAATTCTGAGCCATCTTGCTGCTGCAAAGAATACTGCGAAGCATGAACACTGCCAGAGCGACAGTGTTGAGCAATGGATAGCCGGTGAGTGTTGTCGACAGGTTGATTCCACCAGTCAAACTGAGGGTTGTAGGTCATCGCATAGGACATGGTGTAATGCTGTTAGGTATAGATTGATACTGCAAGCACGAAGTGAAAGATACGACAGTGTCGCAACGAAGTGAGTCAACCAAGAGCTTTGATCTGGATGAGGATGTGAAGTGAATATAACAATCTAAGACACGTATCGTAACGGATTGGAAGCACCTCTTATGCAACGTGACAAAGGCTTGGAACCCCACGAGGTCTTGCGAGATGTGACTAGTCAGGGGGAGGATTGATGCTCCTGCATCCAGTGATCAGACTGAGAATGAAAGAAAGCTCCCGTCAAGCGTTTAGCACAATGTGTGTCTATTTCCAATCCGCTGTCCTGAGCTGGCTTGGAGCACTCGTCGGAGAGTGGTCAGTTGCATGACAAAAAGCATTAGAGCGATAGTTCCACAATGAACAGCGGATATATCTCAGCAGGGACACAAAGAAGGCTTGGACACTTTGGAGCTAAAGCGTCACCATGATGGCGCAGCCCCATGATGGTCCTGGCGAGGTTCAATCACCAAGACGTGGATAGGGTAACGCCCGAACCTTCCGGAAGGCATATCCGTTGCGCTTTGTGTCACTACTGGAATGCAGGTGAGCGGCTACAAGCACATACGCACTTTTATCAGCACGAAGTTTAACCGATCTCCATAGCATGGCAAGCATGTTACTGAAGCAAGAATATCTGCCTGAGGAGCGAGCCTGCCTACATCGCATTGTACACGGTCACCTCTACTTGCCTTTCAGCCATGTGAGAATTATCGTTTGTTGAGGAGAACATCATAAATCTGTTTGACGTCAGAAAATGATTTGAGAGGAAAGCAAACTCTACACTACCAGGTATTTCCTGAGAGAAATCCATCACCTCGATCTGGTCAGAAATGCCAAGTGCATCTTTGTTTCAGCGATTGGCTCCATAATTGCGGATCGGATGTTGTCAAAGCGGCATTGGATCTTCAATGAAAGCATGCTGAAATTCCGGGTACAGACATGCATGAAGCCGAGCCCTGCAGTAAAAGGCGTTGATGATACACATGTTTCGGACCAAAAGTGTTTCTTAGCGTGCATGATTTGGAATTGACATGCAACAAAACGTGAAGTCGTAGTCGCCTGTCATGCTCATCTGTCCAGAGTAGCTGATGATAAGTTGATGATGTTGGTCTGCCAAGAAGTCGTTGCGCAGCAATGCAGTCCAGCGCTCACTTTCGGTAATAGATCTTCTTGAATTGGAAGTGTAGTTGGAGAATGCCCTAAGATAACACGTCAGAAAAGCTCAGGCTAATGCACTGTCATGCACGCAATGAAGCTGGAAATGTTGCAGCAGCTTGTGTATGCAAGAAAGCAGTGTGTTCTCCATTCTTCGTCAACCAGCACCCCAGCATGCAGTGCATTGTGTCTGCCGTCGGCAGCGCACGGCCTGGTGCAAGGTGATGGTTGCTGAGGTCAAACAATAGCTGCAACCAGCATCTCTTCATTGAACATGTACCATGGAATCCCACAAGTGAACACAGAAGGAGAGAATTCCGACATACCTTGTCAAAGCTGCTTCTGAAGCCACGTTCGCGCTTTGCGCTATAGTCCCATTCTTTGTCAACGATACGGAAGGCGATGTCTTCGTACGGAGGTCCAGCTACGAAACGGATGAGGCAAGTGTCCTCAGCTCCAGCAGGTGCAAACGATTCGCCTCGCTTGCGACCATTCTCGCGCTCGATGCGAAAGGTGGGTGCTTTGGTTGTGTCAACAAGGTCGGGGTAGAAAATGTTGAACTTGTAGCCCTGAACGACCTTGGGTGGAAGATTTTCGTGGTCATAATGAGTCTGGTTGTACTTGTTCCACTCATAGCCCATCTGAACTCTGTTGAAGTAGCGTGGTTTTCTAGGACGATGGGTATCGGCCCATTTCGGCCTTCCAGTCGAAACGTCCTCCTCGGCGTTGAATGCTTCTTCGTTATCATTGAAACCCCTCGCAGCCTCTCGGTCATACAATGCACTTGTAGCCCTGGACGTATCGTCCCGCTTCGGTTCAGAAGACAAAGCGAGATCGGTACTGGATGTTTTGGTGCCATGGCGAGCCGGGACGTAACCGAGCTTGAGAACCCTGCGTCTATCTTGAACCTGGATATGGGTCAGCTCGACACTTTGTTGAGCCACTAGGTGGTCACATACCAATTTCTGCTTGAAATCATTCTCTTCTAACGAGACCAACGTTTTGTCCTCGGGGTTCAAGCGTAACAAAGGCTCCGGGTCTAAAGCAGCAGGCAATGCTGCATGTGGCGTCTGCTCTTCTGAAGCGGCGAGCGAGGAGGTTGTCAGGGTTTCTCTAATCTTGTTGCGTAGGGCCGAAGCCTCTTGTTCTTGTTGCTGTCGCAAGGTTTCCAGACGAGCTCCCAGGACAGATTTGGACACTTGACGCAACCTGGCCTTGGCCTTGTAGATGGACAGGCTTTTGAGAAGGTTCTCCCAGTAATCGACATCAATGTCGTCGTTGGACCTCAGCTTTGCTTTGACCTGCTTCTCCAACGTCTCGAGCTGTTCATGTGTCTTTGGCGCAAGTAAGCGATCGATCTCGGGAGTGACGGACGACATTCCTCGTGCAGTCTGCAGCTTGCCAGGGGCAGCACGTCGCCTGTCTTTGCAAATGACCTTCATTGTNCTAGCAAAAGGAGTCAGCGGGATTACAGCAACTTGGGCGGATGCAGCACGTACGTTCCAGAAGTCGCGGTTACTTTTGCTGTGCTCGAGGGTCAGGTAGGTATCGATTCCTTTGTCCAGTTCGTCGAGTTGAATGTCATCGAGACCTTCGAAGACACCTTCGGGATCAACGGCAGGAAGTTCTCCATCGTCATCGTCGCTGTCGTAACCATCGCGGGTGGCATCCAGGGCGCGTAGCGTGACCGCAAGCAGGTCGATGGGGTCTGCTCTCCCAGCTCGAGCCCGAATGATGGCCTTCTTCTTGGCCTGCTTGAGTACAAAGCGGTCCTCGTTGGCAACCCAGGCTTCCTCTTGGGCATCAGCGGCGGATCGTTTGGCTGGAATGCTGGACCTGGGTTGGCCGCCGCGTCGCATGGCCCCATGATCCATTGTCGCTGTGATTTCTTGCACAATGACCTTCGTCAGCGATTTGGCGTGTTCCTCGAAACCGAACGAATAATTTAATCGAGAGCAAACAAGTCTTGTTCTATTCTTGTCGCATCTCTCATAACGCGACTTCCCTCTGACGCGCGCCAAGAACAGTGAAGCTGTTTCTGCCAGCCCTCTGTTTACCCAGCCACACCGACTTTCACTCGACCCGTACAGAGCATTTTTTGTCTCTTGAGTCTAAGACTTTCATGACATGATCCAGCGACTTCAACATGGGTACCGAAGGGCGCTGGGAGCTCCTCAATCTCAACCTCGAGGGCCTACCCAAGCTCCTCGTCAAGTATGTCGTTGGCACAACTGGCTACACTGTATCTATCACCGATCTTGCAAATATATGGATCGAGACTTTATCCAATCTTGATGTCGTACGCAATGCTGAGATGCAGAGTTGCAGTATCAATCCTGGTGATGACGCCGGCCAATTGCGGATATTGCTCGAACAAATCCGCGATATTCTTCGTCACAAAGATGGTACTACTGTCCATCTTACCCTGCAGCCTCCTAATCATTTGAAACTTGCATTGAGAGCCCCCTTACCACCTCCTTTGCCTCCGTTTGAATGGGACATGGTGCTCACCAAAGCCACTTCGGTCGAAGTGGTTTCTGAAGTCATTTCACCTCTTCTCATGCTTGCTCATCAACAACAACAGCAACTCAGTTTTCTGCTTAGTCAACTCAAGGACAAGGATCATGCCATGTCACGATTGCTTGATAAAATGGAGGCCACAAACACCGATCTCGGGTCTGTCTTTCCAGGAGTATCGGCAGGCAGAGCTTCTCAAAGGTCTTTGAAAAGAAACCATATAGCCAATCGTGTCCCGGGTCTTGCTCCTTTCCAACCTGGCTCCGAACTACAACATAACGGAGATGCCCCCTCCACTGAGGCACTCTATGCCGTTCTTCGTGATGTCCCTGGTGACATAACTCCGAGTACGACTAACATCAGTGATGTATGGTGGCAGAATATGCCCAACCAACAGGGAAGCATAGAAGTCAGTGTGCCGATGCCTTCAGTTCTGGATGACGACGAGACAGACGACGATTTGGACTTCCAGGTAAGAGAATCAGCAGCTTTAGAAACTTTGACTGACGATGATTAGACACAGACAATACCAGAGCAATTGCAACGGCAGATGCCTGCTAACATATCCTCTCCAGTCCGCTCATCCAGGCGCATGCAAAGGCACATCTCTGCTAACGACGATAGCACAGACGATGGCCGTGTCACGTCATCTCCTCCTCTTCCCCCTGCTCTTCGCAACTTCCGTCTCGGCCAGACAGAAACACCTGCCCCTGATAGTCCAAGCAAACGCTCGAACACACAAACGAGACGCATTGGAGCAATAGGAGCCCGATCTAGCTCTCAAGCTCTGCCAACCTCTTCGCCGCCCAAGCCGCCTGCGGATATCGAACTTGACCATAGCTTGCGATCGAGGACAAAGCTGTCACCAACTCCATCCTCGATGTTGCCTCCTCAAAGCCAGGCATCCCCTTCACGAAGACGTAGACTTGGAGGGATTGGGCGTGGCAGCTCTCAAATGCAGCATTCCCAGCCATCGCTCAGCAGATGGTCATCACAAGCTCCGCCTATCCCTGAAGAAGATCTGCAGGACAATCCTGACCTTGATCTGGGACTCACGTCCACAGCTCGTGAGAGTCGTGAAGATACAGCAGAAGTTCGACAGACTCGGGCAAAGCGCAAAGCTAGCGAGGAAAGAGAACCAACACCGAGAGAAACATCTGCAGACAGGGCTGATAGGAAGAGGCAAGAGCTGAAACAAAATGAAAAATCGAAAGCGCCTGTGAAGAAGAAAAGGCGGTTCTAGGTTAAGTTGAGTAAGCAATATATCACGGTGATCAACATATTTTGCAACAAGCTCTGGTATGGCTATTTGTGAAAGTATCAGTTTCGTGATGGCGTCAGTTGGAAGGCAGAGTAGTAGTTGTTCTCACTCGACTTGGCTTCGGTGATCAGATTGACGTGCATTGCGGCAGTCAATCGCTATGACGATTCGGATACCGACTTGGTACTTTCCGGCGTTGATGCGCAGGTCACGAAGTCTCGACGATGTGTTTGTACTTGCCTGTTTGTCTTATCAAGCGGCCACCCACCACGCGAGCTCAGTGCAGAAATACGTTATTGTTGACTCTACAGCCATTGTCAACTGAGTTCTCAAGGCCATGTGCCAATATCAATACCATTATTATGGTCATTGCCAGCACCAAGAATTGATTCTTGTCAAGCTCTGTGAAAACACCATCTCTCTAGCTCACTTCGACAAACACCAACAAAAACACAAGACAGAAGTCGCGACTGCCAAAGCGCTTCCCGCCAACACAACACCCGCATTGTCGTGCGCAGCCAAACCAGACTTCTGCATTACAAAACCATCCATTGTTTTGACAGAACAAGCTGATCATTTTATCTATCCATCGAGCAACATCATACACATCATAGTGAGGTTTGTTTTCTCCATCAATCGCACTTCTGACATGCTGAATCTGACATGTTTCAGCGCCCTGGCTCCCGAGACACACGAGATGAGGTTAGTGCCCACCATTGCTTTGCTGCTTTTTGCAATAGTTGCTGACTATCATANNAGCGACCACGAGAAGGAGTTTGCACAGGAAGTCGAACGCCGTTACAACGATATCATCGGCAGTGGTAGACCTCCTGCTTACTACAAAGCCATCGCGATCCAACTGGAGCAAGTCCTTGAAAGAGTCCGCCAGCTCAGCGACCCTAGCTATTCGGCAGCTGTGAGACTCCGACAACTCCATGAGCACAACGACCAACCATCGAGTCAAGCTCCCTCAACCAATCCTTCGACCCCTGATGCCGTGCTTCTTGAGAACTTCCCTGCGCTTTCCCTTGCGGTTGTTCCTAGCAGCGATACCTCAACCCAATCTTACGCAAAGGTGATTAAGAACTCTCTTCCGCAACAACCACCTGTCGTCACTCAGGAAAATGAGCCTCAAGATCTAATTGAGCCTCAAACTTTGTCTCGTGTCTCTTCCAACCAAGATGAAGACGGTGATTGGTGTGTCGTTGACCGCTCAGGTCGTGGCGTTCGCTCCCAGAAACCGCGCGCCCTTGTCTCCGAACGACATGCACGCAAGTCAATCCCGAAGGCATGGATGCAAACAGACGATGATGCTCAAACTGTACGACACACATCTGAAGATGCTCCAATGGTACCTCACTCAAGTCCAAGCAAGCCTTTGCAGCGCACCTCTCGGGTCAAAGGCCCCCATACCCAGCTTGCTCAAACCCAGACCAACTCACTTAAGTCCAAACCGAGCAAACCTACTTTGACCAAGACAACAGCATCGAAAACACCAGGTTATGCCTCACCCACAAAGGCCTCCAAGCACCGCACTGTTGAAACACTCGAGTCTGTGAGACCACCTTCTCCTTGCAAGTCCAAGTCTGTGCGCGCCGACACAATGTCCAGAGCAACCATTTCCCCATCGGAACAAAGCTCACCCACTCGATCTGTTGCATCTGCAGTCTTTGATGCTTCCCGCCGTAAGGTTCTTCCTGTCCATGGCAAACACCCTGCAGCCTCGACACTCTTCGGCCTGGATGGAACGTTCGACTTCGAGCAACCCAGCATGTTGCAGGCTTTCTCTGGCAACTCTGAGCGCCCATCAAAGAAGGCAAAGCTCGGTCTGAAAATCAACATTCCAGATCCTTCCAGTAGCTTGCCTCGCCCAGGCAGCCCATCTCGCATTCCCATCGCTGTGCCGCCAAGCAGTCCAGCTGTGCTCTCTGACCCTGTAACTCCTGATCATATGATCGTACATTCCGTTGGAACAGCCGAAGCCGACAAGACTGCTGTCAAGCCTGTCGATAGAGCAGCCATACTCGATCCTATTAGGAGACGTCTATCTAGTGCTTCTTCCACCAGCCAGCAACGATCAAGTACTTCTTCGACCGAACGACCACGCCAAGACTCTGCAGGCATGCAATCGAAAGAGACCTCCTTGGTCGAGGGTGACCCCAAGGACGAACACATCATGCCCAGCGAATCGCAGGAGACCGGTACCCCGTCAAAGGCTCAGCAGCCATTCAACACTGCTGCTTCTTCACTGACAGCTGCTCTCGAACCGGCCTCGGCGCTGTTGCTCGACACGATCAAACAAACTGCCGAAGCCCACGCTGTTCGCCAAGGCAACAGTCAGAGCAGAGAAACTTCTGCGATCATGGACGAAGCACAGCAAGCAAAGAAAATGCACGAGTTCCAAGCAGCCTGCCGTTCGCAACACATCTCTTGCGCTTCTTCTCCTGAAAAAGACTCCGCAGTGCTAAGATGTGGTCCAGTCAAGGTTGACACCTCGAAAAGCAAGACGAGATCCTCGTCTGGCCCTGCTAGATTCAGCCTGCGAGCTACTGCGGCTCACTTCGTCCCTATGCCTACTTNNCCAGTGGATCCATATGGACCATTGGGTACACCCGAGCCTGTATTCGGACTTCCTCTGCCACCTGCACTTCCGAGTCTCGTCGCACCTGCGCTTGGATTTGCACCACCAGCTGTACCCACACTTCTGCCGGTATGTCCACCAATCCTTCCCATGGCAGTCGCTGAGAAAGCTCCTCAGCAGCTTGCAACTCAGTGCCCTTCGGCCGTCGATGGCTACTCAAGCTGGATACCCGATGACGAGTGGTACGACCTTCCACTCGAGGCCAAGACAGCCATTCTCAGAGAGCGAAAAGAGCGTAGATCCAGCTCTGCTTCATCTCCTGGGATCTCCTCGGCCATGTTCTCCAACTTCACGACTAGTCCATCTTTGTCCTCGCTTGGACCCGTTACGGACACCGGCATGGGTTTTTACAAACCACAATGGGACTGGATGAACCCTGGTCAGAATGGAGTTAGATTCGGCAGGGCATCTCTTCCAACTATGCCTGAGCTTCAAGGTGATGGCTATCATCGCAAAGGTTGGGATGTCAAATCTGCGGCTCCCGGATGGCGATACGGTTGGCGTGGAGGCGATGGCCTGGAAATCTCATTCAAGGGAGACGGCCCAGTCGCCGAAAGAAACCCCAATGCACCAGTCAACTTCAACGAGTACAACAACGACCTCTACGGCAAGCCTAGTAAGAAAGGCCACAAGTATGGTGATGGCCATTGGTCTAAGAGGAACGGAGGCTCACCTAACAGTCGTGTCAGAGAATGGGCCAGAAACGCAAACTACCCTTCTGTCCCCTGTGGCAACTTCGACGTCATCCAGGCTACTGAACATCTGCCAGCCTTCTCTGATGCTTGGTGTCACAGTTGCTTACCTGCGCATATGTAAAAGATGGCTGCACTGCACGAGTTGTTGCGAACGAGCGAAAGATGTCGCTTTCAATCTCCTATGTTTATTGTTCTTTGGGGGTATTATCACTGGAAAGAGTGGGATGAGGTTAGATTATGGCGATGCTCCTGAATACTGCAGATTGTATTGCTGCTGATTCAGAGGATGCGTTGCGAGTATCCTCTCATCGTCTTAGACATTGTTTTCGAGGTAGATTCTCGATGGTATTACATTCATGATTTCAAAAAATCTCCCGAGGTTTCAATGAGCCAACAAAACATGTGAGACTACAGTCTGCTGTCAACAACATGGAGTGGTTGTTATGCGAATTAATGACGGTTGCGAAGCTTCACGGAAACGATGTGCCGAGAAGTGTGGAGAGAATCTCGAGGACGAGAGTCTCGACTTTTGAGCAAGGAGGATCGACGGAGGATTTGCGCGTGTGCTTTCACGAAGACAATGAATGCGGTGAATGCATCAGACTCTCAATGGGGGAGAGGTTCGTGTAAGAGATTTGGTCTGGTGACCTCGATGGCATGAATCGAAGCGCGAAACTGGAGTGGAAGAGGCGGTTTGATACGAGCGGGAATGGGACAAATGATCGACATGAAAACACGCCGTCGCCCCTTTGCTTGGCCCTGCGTGTGCGGGCAGGCGCATCCGCATCTTGCATTGGCCCTGAACTCTGACTTGCCTATTTTTGTCTCTGACGCCAGCGACAAGGCAATACGCACTCGATTTCTGTTCTCTTCCTTCCTGCGACTTCATTCTCTTACCTATTATTAACCCCAGTTCAATCTCTGGATATTGTTATACTGCTCGACAGCACCATTCGCTTGTTGTCGCCACAGGCCCGTCTCTACACGAACCAACGATTTCTAGCGGCCGCGTGATTACGACGCCTCCCCCCCTTCAGCTTTGTGCACGACACCGCTTCAGCCTCCAACTGCACCGCTTGCTCGATCGCACATATCTCCGTACGCAACGCAAACCTGTGACGCGGAAACACACAAAAAATGAAGACGATACACGCTGTGGCCGCCATGACTTTGGCAGCGGCCTCGGCCGTTCAGGCCATGATTACTTGTGACGCAAACAACCCCTGCCCTTCCAGTTCGCCATGCTGCTCGTCCTACGGCTTCTGCGGTGTTGGCGCATACTGTCTGGGAGGATGTTACCCCAGAGACTCGTTCAGCATGGACTCTTGCATGCCCGCACCTGTCTGCAAGTCCTCCGACTACGACTTCAACAACATGAATGACTTTGTTGAAAATACCGATTACCTTGGAGACCCATCCAGCGGCAACTGGGTCTTCTCTGGAGACCCGCTGATGTACAACAACGAGGCTGTGCTGCTCACCATGACTGAGGACTCATCAGGCACTCTTTTGAGTAGCACACGCTATGTGTGGTACGGCAAGATGAGTGCTACCATGAAGACGAGTCGAGGTGCTGGTGTCGTTACTGCTTTCATCATGATGAGTGATGTCAAGGACGAAATCGACTTTGAGTTCATTGGTACCGATGTTGAGAATGCCCAGAGCAACTACTACTTCCAAGGAATCACTGATTNNGTAAGTCATGTCGAATTGCTGCGTTCGTGAGACACAACTAACACAGTTGTAGATGGCAACGAGAAGAATCTTTCCGCACCCAACACCGACTCGGAGTGGCACACTTACACCATCGATTGGACACCCGACTCCCTAAGCTGGGAGGTTGATGGCCAAGTCCTTCGTACCCTCAATCGCAATGAGACTTATAACGAGACCGCCGGCCAATACCACTACCCTCAGACTCCTTCGAGAGTTCAATTCAGTTTGTGGCCTGCTGGTAAGGCTGGCAACGCTCAAGGTACCATCGAGTGGGCTGGTGGTGAGATCGACTGGAATAGTCCGTACATGCAGAACGGCTACTACTACGCCATGGTTAAGGACGTCGTAAGTTTAGACTCTCTTTGTCATCATTGTGCATAACACTAATTGTATTCGAACAGAACGNTTGACTGCTATAACCCTCCTTCTGGTTACAACAACCAAGGTAACAAGGCCTACTGGTACGAGAACAAGTACGGAACCAACGACACCGTCGTCATCGGTAATAACAACACCATCTTGTCCTCTTTCTACGCCACTGGCGAGGACCCTAAGAAGGGTGCCAGCTCTGCTTCGTCTGCTACTGCTACCAAGGGCGGCAACAAGTCTTCTGCTTCGTCTTCTGCGACTTCTCAACCCGAGACCATTCCTGGTGTTTCTGGTGGTGGTTCGCGCGAGTCTGGCAGTGATGTTGGTGGTGGCTCCTCGTCTGGCAACAGCGGATCGTCGGGCTCTTCTGGCTCATCAGGCTCCTCTGACTCGGGCTCTGACTCGGGAGCGGGAGCGGGATCCAACTCTTTCTCGCAAGGTCTCGAGACGGGTAGTGGCACCAACGACGGCAACAGAGTTGTTGCAGGCAGCCTTGTTGCGCTTGTGGCCTTCTTTGCTGCTGCCATGATGCTGTAAACAAAAGAATGGTCGGGATATCATGATTTTAAGGCTCTTTTCTTGTCGATATTGCTTGCACTTGATGCTACTTTTGCGTTTCCTTTTATATTCATATACGACCTAATACCTTGGAGGGTTGGAGGTGCATGCATAAAGCGATGATTTTGATGGTTCAATCGACAGCATTTTTCTGATACAAACAAGCTTCACTCTGTGCCTTACCTCAAGTTAGAAAGTGTGTCATCAGTACTGAACTCAAGAAGTGGTTCGAGACAAATGCTTCACTTCCTGGTCAAGAGATTAAATGTTCGATGTTCTGCCTCAGGATGATCGGACCGGAAAAACGATGTTCCAGGCCGAGCGTCGACGCACTGGCCACGGAATTGGTGAAAAGGCAGGCTTGGCGTCAAAATGGCTGCGGGCTTGGGGGAAGCTGCGTGGGCTTTGACGAAGTCGAATTTCTCCCGTTCTCGCACCGCCGAACGTCGTCGTCTTCAGTCCCATTTTCTTTTCGACAACCCCCACCTCACAACACCGTCACCATGGAGAACGAACGCGGAGACCTTGTCGACCTGTACGATCCCCCCATCATCCCTTGATTTTCGCCCTTCCACCGAGCAGAGCGCGCCGCCCGAGCGACAGAAAGAGACACAGAGAAGAGGAAGACAGGACAGACGAGGGCTGACATATCTCGAACGTGCAGTTACGTCCCCCGCAAGTGCAGCGCCACCAACCGCATCATCAAGGCCAAGGACCACGGCTCTGTTCAGATCAGCGTCGCCAAGGTCGACGAGAACGGCAGATTCACTGGCGAGACCCAGGCCTACGCCCTCTGCGGCTTCGTTCGCGCCATGGGCGAGTCCGACGACTGCATCAACCGCCTCGCTCAGCGTGACGGCTACCTCAAGAACGTCTGGAGCGCCAGCCGATAAGCGTCTCGCCAACGACGGAACTGGGGCTTTTGTGTGAGGTGAGCGACTCTTCTGGGATCCACAAGCATACAACAACAACAAAGTGCTGATGAAGAGGCGACAAAGGACATGAACAAAAACACCATGGCATCACGGAGGACCCAAGGCTTTTTTACATGACAACGGGGACTCGGAGTTTGGGGTTTTTCTTTGCTGGCCTGCCTGCCTGTTAATCCTAGCTGGCGGGCTGGTTTGCGCGCGCCATCACTTTCCCGACAGAAGATTTCCTGGCTGGAGGAGATGCAACCATACGCGCAAAGAAAAGCATATTACAAGACCACGCAATACCCTTTCGACTGTGCTTGTCAACGAAAAGAAAATGATATTCCCTCCCAAAAACACAACCAGCCCTCTCTACCTTTCGCATTCTTCTGTTTCTTGTCTTTTGGATCTGCCCATATGCGCCAATTAGATGATCCACACAAGCCATGTGCCCTCCTTCGTCAGTTGAAGACATCTGGTCTTTCATCACTTTCATGTTCAGCCTCATCGGGAATGCCCTTGGCACGTATGAGCTATATCGTGGCTCTTACATTCCTCGTCACAGATGCACCGTAACTCCCTTGTCCAACGATCAAGCATTTCTGTCTCATGTCTCCATTCACTCCTGCCCCTTCCCTTCCTCCTTTCTCCACTCAGACCTCCCAATCTCTCGTGCCTGCCATCCCTCCCATCTTTCCCGACAAGCGACACAACCCACCGCCTCGTGCTTCACTCACTTCCATGTTCCATGAGGCTTAAACAGTGGGGATCAGGGAAGAGACTATGGGTTTGACTCTTTTGTTGTTCAAACCCTTGTTTCTTCTTCCGCTTCGTCGCTAGATCAATGCTAAAGGCAACTCCTTTGTAAGTTTGCGGCCGCTTGAGAGTATAGGTCGTTGATACAGATACGGGAGGGACATTTATATAGGACTTTGTTTTTGGCATGGGGATGTTGGATGTGGATGTTAATTCTGAGGCGACTGAGAGTGAAAGTAAGAAAAATAGGCAGAATGAATGGTTTGGTGGCTCTGATCAAGGGGTAGGAGTATAGTTCACATCAATGTTTGCCCTTCGTCAGAAAGGGCAGTGCAGTCAGTTCACTGCAATTTCTCAGTAGAGTCAACCTGCAGTTTCACACACTGTCTAGTGTGTGCCCCAGAAAAAACAAGATCTCATCATGATGCAAGAGACTGTAGAAATGAAACCATTTGGAGAAGAGTCAAGCATTCATGACATTGACACTAGATATCTGATTGACTCCAAGCTGCTTCTGACCATTTCCTGTCAAACCACTCCGTTATGTGGCTCAAGTGGGATCCCTTGACTTCAAATACCCGGACTCAATCTTCTGCACATTCATTAAATCCTTCAGTCATTCTCCACGCCAAAGCAAGTCAAAGCCTGACTCTCAAACATCTGCTTGGCTTCTTCAACCACAAACTCCAAAGCCAGCTTCTCAACCTTGACTCCGTATCTCTCCAGCACATCCTCAAAGTCGCATGTCCAAGGATAATCACCCAGACTGCCAACATCCCCAGCCTCTCTCAATCTTGCTTCCAGATTCCTGCGGTTGACGTCGCCGCCAGAGCCTTCGAAGTAGTAGCGCAAGACCAAAACGGCGAGTTTATTTTGAGGATAGTGTTTGCGAGCCTGCTCTGCCAATCGACCCACAACTTCTGAGATTGCTCGGCTGGTGAGGAAGTCTGCCATCTTCCTAGCACTATTTCAGAGTCGTTGTTAGCCTTTGTAACCCAACAAGGAGAACGAGACAAGTCTTGGGAGAACCCACTTGTTTGCTTCCTTCTCGATGAACAAGAAGGATTCACTGGACAGCTCCTGAGCCTTGAACACGCAGACGCAGACGTCGAGGTCTTGAAGAATGTTGGTGTCTGTATCTGTGTCCTTGAGTGTCTGCTGAAGGGTTTTGAGGCTGCCGACTAGGTCCCGGGCATCTTCTTTGCCAGCCTCAACATGGTTCGAGAGCTCGAAAGAAGACATACTTAGGCTTAGGTGTAGATGGGTTCTTGTAAAGTGTTGTTTGTTGAAGTGGTCAGGTTAGTCTCCAAGAGAGTTATTCTATACAGGTCGTTGTCGCATGCTCTGCCGTATCACAGGATACAGCTGCCACGTAGTCGATGCGTGTCATGATCAGGTTGATGTAATTTTCATGTTTTGGCTTGTGAGTTGTTGCACTTGACACGTGCAGAAGACACATCCGCTGGCTCTTGATCAGGATTCAAGGACACGACTCCGCTGTGATTGTCCCCTGGACAGCGCAGTAACAAAGAGCTCTTAGGATTGTGGTGTCCCATCCAAATGCTTGATGGATATACGATATGTCCAGTTTCTGACTTTGCAATCATCTATAACACAGAGGAGCTTGATTCTCTCTTGCCCCATCAAGTTCATCTTGAAGGTGCTCTGCTGACATCTTAAACCATGTAAGGTATCTGTATCTTCAGGGTATGGGACCGCTTGCTTCTGTTTGGAACGGTGAACCAATCCCCCGGGACGACATCAAGCAGGGTGATCGGGACTTTGTTCCGGGTACGCTCTACCTCTAGCCGCCAGAGGCAGTGAGGGATCTCACTTTGCTTGTCTGAGACGAACGGACGAGGAAGAATGCTGAGGTACATGCATTCATTTTATAGGTCGATTGGCGTGCGACAACAGCTTGACGCTGGTGATCGGCGATTTTGCGGACCATCGCGTTGGCGGCATTCCCTGATTCTTGACGGGGAGACTCCTTCCTCCGAATCCTCTGCCTCGCAAACGTGCCACTTGGTCGGCTGCTCTATTACACCGAAGCCCATATATCAATCCTTCCAAAACCAGTAAGATATATAAGTGGTGTTCTTCCCCGTAAATGTGTCGTGAATTCTATACTCCTCCACACCCATCAACATGGTTGCCCTGGAAACAGTACGAGCTTCAAATGAACAGATCGCAACCACCCTACCTTCTGGACTTGTCGCTGTATTCGTCGGTGCAACGAATGGTGTCGGTGAAGCTACGGTCCGCCAATTCGCAAAGTATGCCTCAGCTCCGCGTGTCTACCTGATCGGTCGTTCAGAGGAAGCCGGCGCACGCATTGTGAAAGAGTGTAAAGCACTAAATTCACGAGGCGCATTTACATTCATCAGTAAAGACACAAGTCTAATTCGTAATGTGGACGAGATTTGTGATGAGATAAAGCAANAGGAGAAATCGGTGAACCTTTTGTTTCTCACCATTGGAACTCTGCAGACTGGTATAAGTAAGTTGAGAGAAGTTCAATATTATTCAATGCAAGGTTCTGATGATATCNTAGCAACCGATGAAGGTCTTCATTATCCCGCAGCACTGGCTGTCCATGCACGCAACCGGTTCATCTCCAACCTGCTTCCGCTGATCAGTCAGGCAACATCTCTGCGCCGAGTCGTCTCAGTGTTCATAGCAACTCTCGAGGGAGAAATCAAGATGGACGATTTCCAAGGCTGGCACATGAAGCTCATGGCAAACAGAGATCACGCCGCTTCTATCACAACTCTCTCACTTGAAAGCCATCACAAGGACAATCCAAACGTGTCTTTCATCCACAACTTTCCTGGTGTGGTAAAATCGGGCATCACACGCGGCACTTCTGGTCCTGTCTTGACTGCCCTCAAGGCCGTAATTCGCGTCTTCGGCTCTCTGTTCTATATGCCTGCAGAAGAGGCTGGGGATCGCCATGTGTTCTTGTCAACGAGTGCGAGATATTCGGCTGGCTTGGAGGACCCGACAGCTGGTGTTCCGCTTCCTGGGGATTTGTCTGTTGCTCGCGGGACCGATGGAACTGTTGGAAGCGGTGTTTACTCTATCAATGCGAGTGGTGAGAGTGCTGGACCAAAAGTGGAGGAAGTTCTTGCATCTTTGAGAAGCAGAGGTATGATGGAGAAAGTCATGAATACGATTAGGACAGATACGGAGAAGGCACTTGCTACCCACCGAGAGTCCTAGAACTGCAATCTTGCTGATCAGACTTCACTGGTTCTCCTGGACAGATACAAGACTGGTTTAGAACAAGGCACGTTGGACTCCGTCAGATTCACTACCTTGTTGGCCCGGAACGTTCTCCTCACTGTCCTCAGCTCCACTGTCACTTTCACTGGTTTGCAGACACTCACAGCCACGATCTATGATAAAAGCTCCACTTTGCTCTCCTGTCATCCTTGAACTTCCAACACCAGCACAGTCGCAACTGTTCAACACATTCGACTATCCACAACTGTTCGCATCTATCAAGAACCGAGAAGATGGACGAGAGCAGTTTGAGAGATGCCCTCCAGCGCATGGAGAAGAAACTTTATCAGCTCACTGAGATCTTGGAGGACCACAAACAGTCTTGGGAGAGAAATTCAAGCGTAACCTTCGACCCACGCCCATCCCTGTCTCTTGTTGAAGAGCTGCGCGCCGACGTTAGACAAGATGGCGACATTGCAGCCGAAAAGTAAGAGATCCTCGCAGCTGAAAGTTTGGAGATCGCACTGATAATTTGGNAAAGTGCGTCCGAAATGATACATCATATCGCCGACAAAGTCATCAAAGACACAATCGATCACCTCCCCGAGTTGATGCGCTCAAAATCACCTGAATCTCAGTCCGCCACAGACATGATTGATCAATTCTTCGGATGTCCCGAAGGTGACCGAAGACGCAAAGACATCGAGCACAGACTGAAGAAAAGGTTTGTTTGGGACCAGCTCAGTTCTTGGATTTGCGGCGCCACATTTGAGTATGCTCTGAGCGACTATGAATACGAAGTCGAGAAGGCGGCTCTGAGGTATGTCGCTGATGACCTCAAGGAGCTGGTCGCCACGATCACGGGCACATAGGGCGCTCGATCCGGGACAACTATGTGCTTACAAGCTGAACAACAAGCTTCATTAGATGTAAAACAGAAGTTCAGAAGCCGAGCGACAAGTCTGCCACTACAAGACTTCACAGAAGATACTCAACGGACCTCAAACAAGGGAAGGTATCTAGAAGCGAAGGCATAACATGCCATTACTCCTGACGAAAGATTGTTTCTCATTTGTGTAATAATAACTTTTGCTGCAATTTCGTGATTTGCTTGTCGTCTTTTCTTTTGTTTCCATCCAATAGCTGTTGAAAACATACATGGGTAATGTTGACAACCTGATGATAGTTGTGTAACCATGATATTGAAAGAACACGATACTTCGATATGTCTCTAACGCATGCGGTGGCTGGCTCGAAGTGCACACCTAGCATTGTATCAGTCACGAGCGACATGTATAGACTCTTCGCATACCTACTTTGCACATTCATCCGCCTAGGAATGACTCATCGACTCAATGGTGTCGTTTCTCACAGATCTTTGGACAGAATCTCTGGTATCTCCTGCACTTTTCCAAAGACGACCACCGAGGCTTCTCTTCTGGCCTGAGATTCAAAGATCTTGGGGTCAAGAGTCATGAGCATGCCCTCCTCGAGCTGGAAGAAATAGGCCTCAAGGCGGACCTTGACTTCTTTGATGAGGCCGTCGCGCACTTTGGGCCAGTCGGGGGCATGAACGTTGGGTGCTCCTTTGATAGTATGGTCTCTTGGAAGATCATCGATTTTGGTCACGACGAAATTAACAGCATGGCCGATCTTGGTGTCGATGGACTGTCTAGCACAGAAATTAGATCGAACTTGTTAGGATGATGATAGAGACAGGATCAAAACATACGTGGCAATGTTCTCTTCTGCTTGGGCCAGCAGGTTTGATGCTTCGGCGAGGTCGCGATCAGTGTCTTCTTTGGTTTTTCTGGGATCATGGTTGTCGACTTGTGCGTCATGGATCTTTGTAAGTGCAGCTTCGACGGCGTTGTGAATCTTTGTCAAGTCGGGCTCTGATTTGGCATTCTCCATCTCGGCTTGTAATGTAGACAATGAAGTGGCAACGATGTTTGGTTGAAGAAGTGTTTGTTGAGCAGACAGAGATGTGCTTGCTGATGACAGAATGTAAAAGGCAGGCGCATTTTGAGAAAGAGCGAAGATGAACTTGCATTGAAACGTGGCTGCCAATTCTGAAAGTTTTACGTGCCAATCGTGACTTCCCTTGTCTTAGACCTTTCCTTCCCATCCTAAAACATGATCCAAGGTTGCATCCAACCCCTGCATGCACTTGCAGATCTCATTCTTATCCTCTTGAATTGTGGCCCAACCGTGACAAAGTTGTGCAACCTTCCTTCTTTTCCACGAAGTCTAGTATCCGGACAGGCTGTCGACAGACCTCACCATCTCTCTCTGCACCAAACCTGCGAGAGCTGCGACGACATGCTTCTTGATAGTGATCTCGGAGTCGAGTGCCTCAAGATTGGCTCTCTGGAAGACAGCATCGAGAATGTCTTGCTTATCGATCATCACAACGGCAGCTTGAAGAGCAGATCCGGAAGGGCCAGTAAAGATTTCGCCTCTTCTGACCTCGTCGAGGGTGGATTTCAGGACTGTGACGACAGATTCCTTTACGACGGAACAGACGTAGGAAGAACTGATCATCNNATCAGATAATGTCCTCTTCGAACGTTTACATGCGACTTGCCTGTTGTGATTCACTTCCATCCTCTGAATGCATGTCTCAACTTGAGCCAGCGCTGAGGTCACTTCGTTCTGCTGCCATTCAGGGAGAGGAGCAAAGGACAGACGTGCGCGCTTTCGAGCAAGCAGTGACTTGATGCCTTGGAGATCGGTGTCGGTGCGGAANTGCTGCTTCCACTCGTCGCATTGTTCAGGCGTGACGAGTGCGTTGGCCAGACGCTCAATCTTGCGCTGGATTTCCAGTGTTTCGTGGTCGGTGAGAACGGTCATTGTAGATCTTGGGATGGCGGCTGGGGTTGAGAGAAAGTGAAACCAGAGATGGAGATACGATGTTTTGCTTCTTTTGCCGGTCCTCGCGTGTTGGACAAGGATACGCGTTCGGCGATGGCACTTTCTAGACGCGTCGATAAACATGCTTCTACTGCTGCTTATTGTGTTGGTACAGTCATTAACATTCTGCGCATACGAATAACTACCGTCCATTTCCAGTATCTTCCAGCACTATCAGCTCATCCATACCCCTCTGCAGTACCTTGTAGTGTGCATCTACAGAACTTTAGAGAATGTCAAAGTCAGCAGAATCGTCCACTGAGGGCGAGTGCTTGGTGTTCTGAGCACTGCCCACACCGCTGTCGGCGGAACAAGAGCTGCCCTTCCTTTCCAGCAACTCGAACATCTCCGTCATCATGTGCCTCATAGTGTTTTCGACCTGACGCTTCATCTCATCTTCTCCAAGCTTTGCAAAAGGCTGCGTAGCGGTGCGGCTGTCTGTACCGTAGGGTGATGCGTGGGGAGATCCTGAAACTCTGCTATACATAGAATCAGTAGTCTGATCTGTACGATGAACCTCGTTACCATACTTCTGAATGCAGTCGTTGAGATACTGGAGATTGGTTTTCGTGTCTTCCAAAAGAGAGCCAGCTTTCTCGACAATGACTAGGTCTTGCTCATGATCCTTGATAAGGCCGTGTACTTGGCTGACGTTTTGGTAAATATCTCTGACTGTGGTCAATATCTCCTGTAAGTCGGCCATGGTATCAGGAAGAAGATCTGAGTTCATGTTGGGTTGAAGAAGTGTTCAAGATTAAGCGACAGTCCGGAGCTAAGTATCAGTTTGTGATGTGTTGGGTCGACATTGCTCGGGAGAGTCATCGCTGCGTGTTACTTTCACCTACATTGATTCCATCTCAAGCACTCACAATGGTTGCCTAAAGGAACAAACAATGTCAGCAGCAACATGTCAAAGAGATTGACAGTACTCCGACAAGTGTTCAAAGCATTTACTTTGTAGGCACCGCGTTCTTTGTGAGACAAAAAGGTGACAGTATGTGTCTTGGTCAAGGCAAGAGCAAACAGTGCCGTGCCTCTTCATTGTGAGATGCTGACATACAGCTTCTAGGTACAGAACGCTCTCATCAGGTAAGTGTTGGTCGTAGGAATTGTCTCTTCAATGAGCTTTCAACAATAGAGACGATTGCTAGACAGAATCGTGAAAGATTTCAGGTGAAGTCGGAAGAGACAGATCTTCGCCGAAGCCAAGGTCTTGGCATTGACTTTCGACCGCGCTTTGTTATTGCGTCTTACTCAATACCAGAATGGACACACATTCTCATTTTTGTGATATGAAAAGTCTGTGTGAGCATGGCAAAGGAGATGCTCGAGAACAGTGCCTTTAGTACACTCCTTGTGAAAATGTTGTTAGCAGATAGGCTCAGGACACACGTATACCTCGCCCCTTGGAGCCAGTACATCCATATTAGTACTAACGGCCGCTTCCAATCTTGGTAGAAGCCGTAGCTTTGTCGTTGGAGAGATGGCTGCATGCTCAGTCGAGCTAGTTTCTCTACGAAGAAAGGTTGGAGCTCCGCGGAGATTTTGCACGCGGATTGATTATTGTCTGGGAGTCCAGGGAACTTAGAATGATCTCGCTGTTACACCACTTTGGGAGGCTGCCGACTGTGCAGCAAGTGGAAAATGAACATCCCTTCGACTATGCATATGTGCAGCATAGTATTCGATAGCTTTTCGAAACGCCGAGAGACCTGTAGCGTTGGTTTGCGTACTAATTCTTGATCCAGGAACTTGGCTATGGAGAAATCTACGCGGAGTTCCATCAACATATTCATTAGTTGCGTATCGAGGGCGTAAAGGATCCGAGGGCCTAGGAATGCCGGGAAACGGAATTGGACCAGAAGGATAAATAGAAGCCCGCTGGGCAGGAGTACCAGTAGTACGAGCGGCTTGGAGAGAACTACTGGCTTGAATAGGCGCTATACTGGCTATAATAACAGTGGAGAAAGCTGAGATTGAAGAAGAGCCGGCCAGACTAGGAGACCGAGCTTGATCCGTATGCGCTGTACTGGCTGTGATCACAGTGGAGAAGGCTGAAGTAGTAGTCGGAGAAGCTGTGTGAACAGATGAGGTGGAAGGTCTGGAAGCGATTGTGGCGGCGTTGAGTCTGGGTGACAGGGCTGCTTGAGCCGCTCGGACAGCCCCCAGACCAGCTGTATCGCTGTTGGGCGCGGCTGCTGAGGCAGCAGCAGCAGTGATAGTGGCGATGTGAGCGGCTCGAGCGGCTTGAGCTGCGTCTGCTCTGTTTGAATGAGCAGAGTGAAATCAATGTGACAGGTATCGAACTTACGATGTAAGCACCGCTTGTATGTGCGCAGAACGCTTCTCGCGAGTCTTCGCTCGTTTGTTGACTCTGTCCATGCTGAACAGAGAAGCAAGAATAAGACGAGAGCAATCTGCACAATTCAAGAGAAGCGTGGATGCAAAGCGCAGAGAAGAGTGTATGCGGAAGGAGCGAAGAAGAAAAGAATCGAGGCAAAGAGGATAGAAGATAATGTGAGAAGGTGAAGAGGAAAAGATAGCGCTTGCTCAAATGGGATGCGATATCAGTGTATGCCGTATGTATTGCTCGGAAGGCACACTTCACCGCATAGATACAAGCAAATGCAATCCTCAGGGATTTTCACCATCAATTGTTCATGATTGAGTCGGAATCATCGAGTGCCTTGTTCTAAGTCAACGTAGTTAGGACCTATGCAAGAACAATCTCATGTCGAACGCCAGCTGATCATGGTCCATCAAGATAAATACCGATGCAGGAATCTTGAGCGCATGGAAATCATCGAGTGCCTTGTTCCGAACCAACGTAGTAAGGGCTGGTGTAACAACTCAACCTCTACTGCAGGAAAGAGCATATCTGTCATTAAGGATCACGAGAACGAACCATCCACCTCTTGCCTATGTCGTGTACAGCCCTTGCACTTTTAATACGTGGCAGAAGAGAAAAGAGCACATGTCGATGTTGACTTAATTCATGGCGAGGCTCTGCTAGAGTGTTGATGGGGTTCCTGATTGTCAGGCAAGTAGAACGGAAAGCTTCGAGTGAAGTCGGAAGAGGCGAAGGTCTCGCTACGATCAAGGTCTTGGCATTGGATCCCACTTGCGTTCTGTTATTGCGTCCTACTAGACGCTTCTCCAACAATTGGTTCTGTGGTGTAGTTGGTTATCACTTCTGTCTAACACACAGGCGGTCCCCGGTTCGAACCCGGGCGGAATCATCTCTTTGCTGTTCTCTGCCATGTTTTTGGTCTGTCAATGACCATGGTAGCGCCAGAGATGGGTTGCTGAATTTCACGAATCTTTTTTTGGGCAGGTGCGGGCTCGGCTTTGCTTGCATGCGGGTGCAGCGCAATCTCCTGTCGACACGCGCACGGCCCTTTCAAATGCATCTCGACCTCACTCACATCGTTAAACAAAAGCGCGACCCGGAACAAAACTTGCAGTTGGATTTGTTCTATTCTCTGTAACTACCTGTGACTAATCTATCACGGCTCTTTCTGCACGCCACGACTATCCGAAAATTCAACCATAAAAGCAGGCGTTTTGCTTCAACAGAACTCAACTTGTCATGGTCATCATCTTAGAGGAATTGGCTTGGGTTATCGAAGACACCATTGGAAATGCCTTCGATCTCGCTTTTGACAGCATCGAACAGATGTATCGCGAATTAGTAAAAGAAGAAGCGCGGCGCCAAATTCAGGCCGAGGGCAGATACCGAATTGTGAAGGGTGTGCTACAAAGCGACAGCGTGGAGGCTTTCATGGATCAGCCACAAGATCTCAGGAACGCTTGCTACGAACGTGTCTTGAAATCTTCTGGATTTATACGCTGGGAACCGGGCGCTGAAATGAGCCCGGCTACCTTACTCCCTGAAGTCTACGACCTTTTCGACCATGCGGCCGAGCACTACTTTCCTCCTGGGGATCCTCGACATCCGGACTATACAAGACTTGTAGCCGAAGCCAGAGAATACGTCTTTAGCAACAACGTGTTTGAGATAGAAGCAAGGTACCTGGATGAGTTTCTAACGATCCCGGGAGTGCATCGATGGCTCCGAAGGATCAGGATCATGATGTATGATGATGAAGAGGTCTATGAAAAACCGTCTGTTGATGATGCCTTCCGCGGTTCGGCAGGCAAGTATTGGCAAGAACAGCATAATATGATCAGAACTTTGTTGGAGGACTGTGAGCAATTAGACTGGGTCGTGATCCAGATTTGGCCCAAGTATACTCATTGGGGAGATGGTGCTAATGAGGATATTGAGGAAGAGAAGGGAAACAGTGACAGGGATGATGAGGATGAAAAGGAGATGTTGAGCAGAGGAAGAAGGAGGAGCATGACACCGATGACGAGGATCATGAGGATTACACCGATGAGGATGACATGGCCTACGCTTTAGAGGACTGTTACAATGAGAAAGACTACACGGCCTACACGTATGGCATACCCTATGTTAAGGATGATGCCAAAGATGATGACGAGGATGAGGACGACAGGGATATGGATGAGGATATAATCGACACCACTCCCCACGGATCGTCAACTCAATCGAAGATACATGATTGGCTTGTTGCCAAGAGAAGGGCTCAGGATCTGATCAAGGTGTTGAAAAATGGGGACCAACGATATCACCATTGTCGTCAATCGTATCCTGGCAGTTGGTGCTATACAAAAAGGGTACAAAGAAGAGAGGTACAAAGCACATCGAAAGTCTGAAAGACAACAAGGGAAAGAGCCAAGATGCGGACAAGGCGCAGCAGCACAAGAAGAGAAGGCCTCAACGAGGCGTGTACGTCCAGTTCAATGGTAAGGTCATCTACGGATATCACAACGAGGCAGCCTGCCACATTGGGGAGGCCCGGATCTGGACTCTTTGAATTGTTGCTGCTGGTCTCAACTTGGTCTTGACAAGGAGATTGACGCCAGAGATGAGGATGACAGTATCATCCTCCGTTACACGTACATTCCTCTGTGGACCAACCAGCAATACCAGGAAAAGATGGATGCTCTTACGCTAGACTCGGACGAGCCGGATCTGGACAAGACCAGACCTTTGCGACCACGAGAAATGCGTACACGAACAGAATTTATAGATTCGCTCAAAGCATCAGACTCTCTAAGGCCAGAGCTGGAGGCTGAACTTCGCCGACTAGATCTTGGGAGAATAGAAACGGGGATGCTGGACTTTGATTGGTGATTGATTCTTGCCGATTAGGGTATGATAAGGCGGGTGCAGGATGGCGCGAAGTTCGAGAATGCTTTTTATCTGAGCTTTACTCAAACATCAATGATTGCAAGCTTTGTGGTCTGGTGTCATTACCAATCTCGGAACCACTTTCGTATGTAGTTTTGCTTTGGTGGCAGGTCCTGTCAACTGGGCGGGGCTTCGCGAAAGCGAGGCCGATGGTTGCGTGCCGAACTTCCATGCTTGCCCTCATGCTCCTCCCTTCCTGAAATCTCCACATCCACATCGATCTTCGCGCCGGACAGATTAAATTCCGCCAATGGTATATATCTTTCTATTTCTCCGTCTATCGCATTGATCTGAGAACGTATGGCATGTTACTTTAACCGGTTAGCTGCCGTCCATGTTCCCCATCTTTTCGAGCTACCCCATGGGCGGGATCTTCGCGGAGAAACAGACAACCTTGACGAGAGGCGTCATCTTGTGTGAGGGTTCTTTCAACAAGATGCATTCATATAAAGACTGTAGCCAAGCACACAATATGATGATTCTGTACTCATCACTATCTCCGTTTGTCTTACCTGCAGCATCAAGATGTTGTTTCAGCCTCTTCTACTTACCACTCTTTTGAGTGCCATCACAGCTGGCGCTTCGCCGACATGGTCTGCTCAGCAGGAGTACACAAAACATCTCCCAAAGAGTGTGTCCAAACATCAAGGAACGCGTCCAAAGACCGATATTTCTCCCAAGAAGCCTTTCAAGCCCTTCCCTTCTTCGCCGTCCAGAAACAGAGTCTGCTATGTCAGCTCTCACAACGACGGCGTGACAGACGACTCGGACTACATTCTCTCCGCCATCAACAAGTGCAACAACGGGGGCCATGTCATTTTCTCAGAAGGTCAGAAGTACGTGATCGGCACAGCCTTAAACCTGACCAACCTCAACCACATCGACCTTGACATTCAAGGCTATGTCCAATTCACCAACGATACCGACTACTGGCAAGCAAACGCCTTCAAGCAAGTCTTCCAGAACGCTACAACATTCTTCCAGCTTGGTGGAAACGACGTGAATGTCTATGGTGGAGGTTTCCTTGACGGCAATGGTCAGGTGTGGTATGATTTGTATGCTCAGAACATATACATTCTGAGGCCTGTTCTTNTTGGCGTTGTTGGCTTGCACAACTCGACTATTCAGAACTTGAACCTTCGGTACAGTCCGCAGTACTACAATTGGGTCGCCAATAGCACCAATGTTCTGTTCTCGAATATCTCCATCTCAGGATATAGTCAGAGCAAGAATGTGGCTAAGAATACTGTAAGCACTTTCTTCCTAACTGCTTTCCAAAAACACATTGCTAATCTCTGGCTCCTTTAGGATGGATGGGACACCTACCGCAGCGACAACATCATCATCCAAAACTCAATCATCAACAACGGTGACGACTGCGTCTCCTTCAAACCCAACAGCACCAACATGCTAGTCCAAAACCTACACTGCAACGGCAGCCACGGCATCAGTGTGGGCTCCCTCGGCCAATACCCCTCCGAAACCGATATAGTGGAAAACGTCCTCGTGTACAATATTTCCATGTCCAACGCCAGCGACGGCGCCCGCATAAAAGTCTGGCCAGGCTCCCCCGCCGCACTCTCCGGAGACCTGCAAGGCGGTGGCGGCAAAGGCCGTGTCAACAACATCACCTACGACACCATGACAATCTCCAATGTGGACTATGCGATTGAAGTCACCCAATGCTATGGGCAGAAGAACTTGACGGCTTGCAATGAGTTCCCTTCCAAACTGACAATTTCGAATATTGTCATGAGGAATATTTATGGCACTACGAGTGACAAGTATAATCCGATTTCTGGATATGTGGTTTGTAGCAGTTCGAGTGTGTGTACTGATATTAAGCTTGAGGATATTAATGTTAGTAGTCCGAATGGCACGGTCAATGAGTTTTCTTGCGGCGATGTGGATGAGAGCTTGTTGCAGGGTATTCAGTGTACCTCTATCAACAAGGGTTATAACTGAGCTTTGGATTCTGTATATAGCGATGGAGCCGGCAAACATAGTCTCAAACTTGATAATATCGCAAAAGACATGTATGAAATCTATGCGAGCTTCTCAGCTCCGAGTGGCGCCTACAGACAGTACGAGTCCTGGTTTGATAATTAATCTTAATCGTGGCTGAATCAAATATCACATGCTTCACAACTTGGTCTCTCGCCCTTCAGCCAGTATATCCTTCCTCCAACCAACTTCCACTCTCCTAGGTCCTTCTTTCTTGAACTCAACCAGCACAACTCTCTCACTATCGCCCTTCCTCCCCTCAGGTTCGGCTTCAGCACCAGGCTTGTCAAGGCCCAGCACTACTCTCCCATCCTCTCTTTTCTTACCTCCCAACACTGTTGGAGAGATACACTTCTCGCCCCAGTTTCCTTCTTTGACAAAGTTGAGCACTTGATCTCTTTGCTTCTGTAGTGTTGCAGAGTCTGGCACCGGAGCCTCTTTACCGACATCGCCAGAGGGACAGAGGAAGGGTGAGAGTAAGTACATGAGGAAGAATTGGGGAGGGAAGAGAACGATACGAGAGGCGCGGGCTAGACGTAGCCAAGTCGCTGCTGGAAGGAAGCGAGCAGCAGTGTGTTCGAGACCGCCGTCGTGAGTGGGCACAGGGATCATGGTCTCTGGTTCATCCTCTTCGGCGTTGGAAGATGAGGAAGGCAAGTTCTTTGGTGTGGTGCTGAGAGGCAGAAGGTAGATGTACATCTGAGTCGTGAAGCGTGTGGGTAGATTGGTAGGAGTGATCCAGCGTGTGAAAGGGATGAGGTTTTCTGCTCGAATGTTAGCATGTCCCTAAGCAGTCGTATACAATACCAGCATCTAGCGACAAAGACATACCAAGNNATCAGCCTTTGCGCTCTTCTCATCAAGCCAGTCTTCAAACTTGATCTTATCTCCATGCACGAGCTTCCTGACTTTCGTCCTCTCTTCCTCGTCTACCTCCAATAGTCTTCCATCTTTTGTCCTCGCTAGCAAGATACCACTCTCCTCGAACGTCTCGCGTACAGCAGCCATGCGGTAGATGTCGCTATCATGGTGGCGAGCAGCATCTTCGGGAGGAGGTGGGTCACCATCGTGGAAAGAGGATATGTTGCCGCCAGGAAAGACATGTGCAGAAGCGAAAGATGACGAAGTCTGTACTCGACGCAAGAGGAGGATATGGTTCTCGGGTGATATCAAGAGGACGCTAGATGTAATGTCAGTTATTGAGCGCACAGAAGTGACTCATATGAGGTTGTGTGTTGAGCTGCAGAGTGATGCGGACCATTGTGGTCAGGGTCGCACTCGCAGCATGATCTCAAGCTGCCATTTCTCCAATAACCGAACAAAGACATCCAGTATGGCTTGAACTATCGTTGCATTGAACGTTGGGGAGTGCAATGAGATCGGATAATGAAAAAGAAGATGCGTGAGAGTGTGTGGTGACCGTGGGCAACGAATATCAAAACGACAAATCCACGGGCTGAGAACGGCAGTGACACCACTTACCTCGAACTCGGTCTCGGGATGGCAGGCGCCTTCTTTCCTTTTTCTCCATTTCCTTCGTATCCCTTCCCTAGAGCCGTGGTACTCGACATACTCCGAATCGCTGTATAGTTTCTTGAAAGGGGTGTTACCAATGGTCGGGCAGTATACAATGGTCTTGAGGCACAAAGAGCAATGACGTCGACGATAGGTGAAGCCAGTGCTGTTGGCGCAGCAAGACGAGCAAGATGCATATAGATTGCACAAGCGACGGGTGATGGAGAATTCAATTGAAATAACAAGAATATAAGAATGGATGGTTTCAATGACACTTCTCGAGGTCTCGGGTGTCGATTTGTGGACGCATGATGGACAGCCGAGGCACGTCTAGCGCCCGTTTTGGAGGGGGAGTGCGATGCTGAAGAAGGCAACAGGCAAATGGAGAGGAAAACACTGGTGAAGGCATTTAGAATATTGTGAAGATTATTGATCATTGTAGTATGCATCGAGATGCTCAACAATGTGCTGGTGTTGAATGTTGACAGTGTTGCGAATGGTCGCAGCGACCAAGCGACGTTGGCTTGCATCTTGAGCCGCAAAGCTGGAAGCAAGCTGTCCTGAGCTCCAGATGCAAGAGCTCAAGCTCCAGAGAGCTACAGCTCATTCAGATGACTGATCTAGACTCCCAAAAATCACGTAAATGGCAATTAGGTATTGCAGATTGTATTTAGCCGGGTTATAGGTGGAAGGCTAGTTGCATCGAAGCGACATTCGAGATGTAGCGTTCGAGAAGTCTGTTCCAGCAGTGTCACGTCAATTGATCAGTAGTTAACCGTGGTTGAAGACCTGTCGTATCACATCGAAAGCAAGGCAAACGTCAGTTGGTGTGGTCAGGATAGGCGTTTCTATTCAAAAGCCTCCCCAGTGTATGAGTAGAGGATTTTCTTGTTTGTTTTTAAGAAAGTCTTGAAAGAGCCCCGTCGTATCCTGGCCATGTCATCGTCTTCCTTCCACAATTCATCCCTCCGGGCGTCAATAGAAAATAATGTACACGTCGATGTTTTGGTTTCCATGACCGGGGTTGACTTTGAACTCCCCAAAAGACATCGCTCATTGCAGAGGTGAAGACGTTTACACGTACTTGCACATCATGGCAACCATCAGGTCGAAAAGACCGATGGCCTCGACGAAGGCGAAACCAAGAATGGCGTAAGAGAAGAGCTGGCCACGGAGAGAGGGGTTGCGGGCAACACCCTGGAGGAGAGCGGCGAAGACGAGACCGATACCAATCTAAATATGTCGTGGTCAGCTCGAGGAATTGTTATTGTAGGCAAGTCATATCATTCGAGGTGAGGTGGAACAAAAAGGTTGAGTTCCAAGACACCTCAACATGATATGTGAAGAAAGTACTTACACCGGCACCACCAAGACCGATGGCNNGGCGTTACCCATACCAATGTTCTGGGAGACCTGGACGAGGGCGTTGGCCATCTCGGAGGAGTAGGCGCGGCGGGCGGCAGGGGCGACCTTCTGGACCATGGAGACGGTCTGGGGGCGGACGAGGGTGGCCTGGCGGAGACCTTGAGAGAGCGTCAGAACATTGTTGCTTCAATTCAATTGGGCTTGCCATTGATGGATGGAAGGCTGATGGAGGTAGAGGATGGTTCGATGTTTCGATGGAGCTGTGATGAGGTGACGTTGAGGTGGTGATGATTTACCAGAGAAGGCGCGCTGGGCGACCTTGGGCTGGACAGCGCGGAAGGCAGCAGGGCGGGCAGCCATCTGGGCGAACTTGGGGGCGATTCTGGAGGCCATTTCGACTGATTGGATATGTGAAAGGGGATGGAGAGGAGAGTTGTTGATGAAGGATGGAAGATAAGGGTTGAGAGATCGGGGCGGAAGCTTTCCCTTGATGGACGACGAGTGAGAAGAGGTCAAGGGGGAAAGCCGTGGGAGCCCACGCAGAATTTTCTTGTACTGCCGGTCCGGTGGCCGTGTGATTTGGCCTTGTTTGCTTCACTCGGAGCCAGGAGGCGTAGCTTAACCGAGTCCAAGTGGGTCTATTCCACTCCAGGAAGCTCAACAATTGGCCAGTTTCTACCAACACACAGACCATCCGCGTCCGAATCCTGGCCGATGTTAGGAGTGTCAATTGCACTCACAGCAGCATTGTCTGCGAAGGAAAACAGAACAATGTCGTTCAACTTCGTGCAACTTAGCTTTAAACCGAACGAAAATCGTGTACAGAGTGGCTCCAAAGTAAAACATACAGATGAATATTCAAGAAAAGTGACAGAAATACTGGCCAGAGGTAGTCTAAATCAATAGCGCCCGCATCCGCGTCAGTGATCGAACTGGAGCTCCCCCAGCCAACGTTAGGCTGGGGTGTACTTCTACCGTGAGCGAGCTGGTAATTAGCCAAGACTCTCTACTTAGTTTGATATTGGAGCTCAGTGACGGAGCCTGGAACTATTTCGAACGATATATCTGTGGCTATAATAGTCTTACCGTTTCCAGATAGTCATAGTAGTGACCACTGCGATACACAAGGCGAAGTGGTTGGGACATGGACAGATGGAGAAGCATGATCATCAGGGAAGATGCTCCTCCATGGAAGTACGAGAATGGTGATGGAATGCAGCCCGAATTTCACTCGAGAACAAGAAAGGAAATGAAGTTGTTTGATGTACTCTTTCAAGTGAAACACGAGAGACAAAGAAAATGGATGCGTGGTGAGTTGAAGGAGAGCCATCAGTTCAAGCAAGAAGCAGAAAGACTAACCATTCGAGGTACTGTACGCTGCTAGCATGAGACAAGCGAGCCGTTCAATTGCTTAAACAAGCAAAGTGTCCCCCGGATGCATGAAGCATGGGCGCCAGGCATTGAGCATGGCTAGCTACCGTCAGCAATGATAAAGACGACCAGTCGCTCCTCCCGCAGGTTCAATGAATTCTGCCAGATTCGAGAGTTGGACGACAAAGCAAACGGGAACTTGGAAGGCTTCGAACGCAGTTCCATGATCCATGTGGCCGGTCGGTCGAAGCTGGACATCGTGAGGTCAAAAGTCTTGTCGCCCGCGGCTTCCCGAGTCAACCCGACGATCGCTGCGACCTTCATCAAATTGCGCCCGCCAAGTTGGGCGCGCGATGAGCCGCTGACGACGAGCACTCCTCCTCCAGCAATGTGCTCAGCGACCTCTAGATATTGTGTTGCTTGTGTCTTGTTCGTCCGTACAACTCTGAGAGCCGGGACCAGAGTGGCGTGGCTGATCTTGTTGGATGAGACCGAACTGATTCATAGCCAAAAGGCCTCGGGCCATCTCAGCCGACGTGGAGACAAGTACTGCATTGTCCAGCTTCATCAAGGTGCGCTAAAGGAGACATTGAAGTCAGCAAACCACGTTCGAACAAACGCATCGCATGCACGCAATCGCCGCAACACGCGAAGCAGAAGCAGCTTCCCGGTCCTGCTGTGCCACGACGGCCGTATCCCGATACTTGCGCCAAAGTCCTTCTCGACGACACTTGATACGACACACACAAGAGTGCTTCGTCGAAGCTCTTGTAGTGCACAGGACAAGTCCTTAGAAAGAGCTCGATCGACATGTTGAGTGCTTAGCTTTTGAGCGGATACAGCCATCAGCTGCGGTAGTGAGCTGGTGCCTCTTGAAACAACCAATGCGCAGTGGCGGCGTGTCTATACATAAGCATATTGCACTGTAGGCAGAATACGAGTGGTTGCAGTAAAACAACACATGAAGCTCCGTCACATACACGTAGAGACAAGACAGGTGAAGGACAATTGTAATGTATGTGCAAAATATGCGCATCGTGAATTCATATTCAAATTCCTCCCTTCCCAGTTCATGAACGCCAAATGTAAATGCTTTCAATCGAACTCCGCAATGACTCCCATCTTTTTTATCGTAACCGACCTAACTTTTCCCATTGATGGTCTATCCCTCTAAGCGTAGAGCTTCTTGTCGAAGCTGTGGAGACCGTGAACGTTGCCCTCAGCCTGAGCAGAGACGGTACGGAGCTCGAATCTGACCTCGCCGTCAATGACACCTTGGCGGAGAGCGGTCAAGCTGGTGACACCAATGTCCTGGAGAGAGTGCTGAACACCCGAGATGAGGTAAGGAACGAACTTGGTGACGGATCCACGGTCGAGGACGGATCCAGAGACACCCTGAGCGACGAGGAGTCTGTCGCCCTCAGAGAAGTAGCGGGCGGTACCAGCGTTGGAAGCCTTGGGGTCGTTGGGGTTGGTAGAACCAACACCAGCCTTCTTGTCCTCCATGGCGTCGATGGAACCCATACCTCTGTAGGCCTTGACGAGCTGACCCTCACGAGAGACGAACGACTCACCGGGCGACTCGGTGGTACCGGCAAGGAGACCTCCCATCATGACAGTGCTGGCACCGAGGGCAAGACCCTTGACAATGTGGCCAACGTTTTGGATACCACCGTCAGCAATGCAAGGAACACCGAAGCGGGCAGCGAATGAGGTGACGCTGTGGACCGAAGCAGCCTGGGGACGGCCGACGGCCATGACCTCCTGGGTGATACAGGCAGAGCCGGAGCCCATACCGATTCTGAGACCATCGACACCAGCAGCGATGAGGCCGGCGGCTTGCTCGCGGGTGACAACGTTGCCACCAATGACATCAAGACCGGGGTGGGTCTTCTTGATGTACTTGATCATCTCAATCTGGTACATGGAGTTACCCTGAGAAGAGTCAAGGATAACAACATCGAGACCAGCATCAACAAGCTTCTGGAGACGGGCCTTGTCGTCGGGGCGGGTACCGATGGCGGCAGCTGCGATCAACTGCTTGGTCTCGGGGAGCTTGGAGGCAAGGGGGTAGTTCAAGTTCTTCATCAAATCGGAACGCGAAACGAGCGAGATGAGGTTGCCGCTGTCGTCAACGATAGGGAGCTTGCCCTTCTTAGATCTTTGGAGGATGGAGTTGGCCTCGGTGAGCTCGATACCGCTCTTGGCAGTGACGAGCTCGGTGGACATGACCTTGCTGACCGAGTCGTTCAGGTTGTCGTGGAACTGAATATCACGAGGGGTGATGATACCGAGGAGCTTGGAACGAAGCTTGCCGGACTCTGTTAAACCATGTTAGTCGTGCTGTCCCAAAAGCGAGCTCAGACGAATTGTTGGATTGTGTGTAAATTTTCAGATTCCAAAATGTTTCTCCACAACAGATTGACTTGAATGCGGTTGAACGAAAGTTATTGTATTTGTTGAGTCATCCTCAAGGGGAAATAGAGAAGAAAAGGTTCTGAGCTTACCAGTGACGGGGAAACCACCAAAGCCGAGCTTCTCCTTGAGAGCAATGGCCTCGCCGACAGTGGTCTCGGGCGAGATGACAACGGGGTCGAGGATGAAGCCGTTCTCGTAGCGCTTGACCTTGCGGACCATCTCGGCCTGGTCATCGGCAGAGCAGTTGTGGTGAATGACACCAAGACCACCGAGGAGGGCCATGTGGATGGCCATGTTGTGCTCGGTGACGGTGTCCATGGGCGAAGAAAGGAGAGGAGTCTTGAGGGAAATGCGCTTGGTAACGGGCGAGTCAAGAGTGACCTCGTTGGCGGAGAAGCCTNNGAATTGAGAAGTAAGCACGCTGATATTTGTGCGCATGCGCATTCAGCGGCTCATACCAATGTAACCAGGGAGGACGAGGAAGTCGTTGTAGGTCAGACCGCCATTGTTCTTGGAGTCGAGGAGGGTCTGGACGTTGATGCCATCGCGCTCGGGGTAGTCGTTCTTGACAATGTCGAGAGCGTTCTGGTAGTCAAGGATCTTCTCCTTGTGAAGAACAGGAACCTGAGCGGTCATTTTGGGCGAGTATCGTGTGTCGTGAAATTAGAGGAGATGGAAAACAGATATGGAGAAAAGACAAATGACGCAAATGGGTATCTCAATTGAAAGTAGTACGACGAAGAGGTCGACGGGTTCAAGTGTGAATACTTTCCCCAAGAAAAGAAGAGAGAAAAGAGAGTTGTTCGAGATTTTCTGCACATCCTCGACGCGCAGGCTGCAGCCAGGGTCTGCCCGCGATCTGTGCACAAGTGTTTGCTGTGTTTGAACATCGGTCTTAACAGGACCCTTTCTGCTTATTGCCGCCACTAACTGGTCAGTTCTGTTCACCGAGTCTGAAAGCCTCTACTCAATGGCAGCACTCAAATGTCTTGGACCGAGAAATCACGTAGTTAGAGTAACCAGGCTCTCTTGCAAGGCCGTATCTCAGAGTCCTGTTTCGGTTCCTGTCGGCCATCCCATCTTCCTTCGAACAATTGCACACGGAGTGGGATGCCTTGAGTGGAGCATCAGCCAGCCAGCCCGAGAGAGAAAACAAAGCATGCAAATCAATCCTTGGGAATGCAGGAGGCACTTTGTCTTTTGAAATACTCGTCATGTTGATCATTGTACCCAGATCATGCACTTTGCATCGAGTTTGACCAGAGTTGATGCAAGGTATAATAAAAGTAGAAGAGGGACCCTTGGTCGGGTAGTTTTAGTGTTTGGGTACAGTAACTTTGGTTTCGGGCTGCGGGTGGGTTTGTTGACACCAAGCAAAACAACAAAGTCGAGCTTTTCGGCTCACCACTTTCCTGCATACATCACGCCAGCCTGCTGCTCTGTTCAGCGCCAACTATTCTTCGCGGCTGCAAGTATCTTGTCTGCCAGACCGAACGGTCGTTTCAGAAGCTTGTGACTCTGTTCCGCAAGCGAAATCAAGAACGGGTGTTGCAACGGGCGTGTTTACGGGGATTGAGCGTTGCAAAGCAATCGATTTCTGCCCTGCTATGCCGTCTGGTCTACTCGACGACTTTTTCTTTGTCTGTTGCTTGTACTGTCATTGCTAATAGCAGTGCTGCGGGCGACGTCGCCGCTGACCTTCGACAAACCACTCGCTGTTCCTGCTGTGCGGGTGCTGTCAGGACACTGACAAGTCGGACACTACGCTCCTTCCATATTCATTCAGGGTCGCCCCTTCCCTAAGACAGCATGGCATACCTACAACAATCACGCGGGCAAGCCCCGGGATCTCCCTCGGTGTCTGGCAGCCCGCTTCGCCATACAACGAGCCATCTACACCACAAACGAGGACTCAGCGAGGCTACCGGATCGCCAAAAGCANAAGGGTTCTGGGAGGCCAAAGAAGCCAATGTGGCTCCTGTTACGCCTGAACAGTTCCGCACTGTCTTAAGGCCATTACAACAGGCTCCGGGCACATCGCCAGCTCAATCCACGCCACATTCGCTATCGCATACCCAATCGCACTCGCGCTCCAAGAGTTTGCACGATTCTAGAATGGATCCCTTCATGAACAGCACTCCCACCTCCGAGTCTGCCTCGCCCATGCCTACTTCACCACCCTTGAAGTCTCGACCGCATTCGCTTGCAATCTCCCGTTCCGATTCCGTACGAGCCCCTATCCACGACCGTGGTAATCGCAACTCTACTCACGTCCACTTCGCCTCGCCGAGTCACATCGAAAAGTCAGAGCTACAAGGCTTGCAGAGATCAGCCACGAAACATCTGCGCACCCTGTCGAAATTCGCCCAAAACACCGACGATGACGACTTCACGATCAAGTCTCCTGAGCAAGAGGTTGTTGGTCTCCATGGGAGGAGAAGATTACAGCGTACCATGACAACAAAAGAGAAGAAGGGCACAGAGAGCACTAGCAAGTTCACAAGCAGTTGGGAAGCTAGCAAGTGGATGGACCGCCAGCGTCAGTTCTTGCAGGCTTACGAGTATCTGTGTCACATTGGTGAAGCCAAAGAGTGGATCGAGGACATCATCCACAAACAGATTCCAGAGATCGTCCAGCTCGAAGAGGCACTTAGAGACGGTGTTACCTTGGCTGAAGTTGTGCAAGCCATCCATCCCGACCGACCCATCCGTATCTTCAAACACGAACGCCTACAATTCCGCCATTCCGACAATATCGCTCTGTTCTTCCGCTTCCTCGCCGAGATGGAACTGCCCGAACTCTTCCGTTTCGAATTGGTTGATCTCTATGAGAAAAAGAACATACCCAAGGTCATATACTGCATCCACGCCCTGTCATGGCTTCTCTTCCGCAAGGGAGTCGTAGATTTTCGCATTGGTAACCTTGTCGGTCAATTGCAATTCGAAGATCATGAGCTCGAAGCCATGCAGAAAGGCCTTGATAAGGCTGGCATTAGTATGCCCAATTTCTCAGGCATGGGGGCCAACTTTGGTGAGCCAGAGCCAGAGCCAGAACCAGAACCCGTTGAGACGGAAGAAGAGCGGATCCAGAGAGAACTCTCCGAGCACGAGGCCATGGTCGAGGACTTGCAATCACAGATTCGTGGTGCTATGATCAGGTTAAAACTCGGTGACACTATGAATCAGCTATGGGACGCCGAAGAAGCCCTTGTCGACCTTCAATCGCGGATTCGTGGAGACTTTGCTCGCCAGATTTCAGACTACCGTATGGACATGAGACGATTCGCTGTTCAGCTTCAGAGTGCTGCTAGAGGCTTCCTCATTCGCAAGCATCGCAGCAACCGTGAGCAAACCTGGAAAAGCCAGGAGAAGCAAGTCGTCACTANNTTCAATCGCTATTCAGGGCTCGCAAAGCAAGAACGGAAATCAAGCGAATGCGTACCCATATGCAGAAGCAAGACATGGGAATCCGCAACCTCCAGGCCGCTATTCGTGGTGTACTGAGTAGATGGAATGTCAGTGATCAATATGAAGCTACTCGTGAAGCTGAAGAACCAGTCCGCTGGCTCCAAGCAGCAATCAGAGGAGCTATCAAGAGAAAACAGGTTGAGCGCCAAATTGAACAGAGTCATGCCTCCGAGGAGCACGTTGTCTCTCTACAAGCTGCGATCAGAGGTATGCTCGAGAGAAAGGGCATGCCGCAAATGCCGATCTGCTTAGAAAGCACTCGAGATCCGTTGCAACACTCCAACATGCCATGGCTGGCTTTATACAGCGTCGGAAACTCGAACACACTCGCACATCTCTGGAATCCGAGACTCCGGCCTGGCTCGAACTCCAATCTGCAGCACGAGGTCAGAGTGCAAGACGCGCATTTAGAAGCCTAAAGTCGGATCTAGAGAAACAATTGCCCTCGATCATCGCATTGCAGTCCGCTTTCAGAGCTGGTTGTAGCCGTAGGATGTGAACGCGATCAAGGATGCGCTTAATTACCGAGAGAACTCCATTCTCACTTTCCAAAGTTCTGCTCGTGGTCATATGTTCCGCAAGAAGCACCATGCCGACATCAACGCTCTGCATGCACAGAAATCAGCAATCAGGGACCTTCAGTCTCTGTCGAGAGCCTATCTCGAGCGTCAACGGGTCTTTGACGTTTTGTGTCAGCTTAATGAGCAAGAGGACCAAATTGTTGAGTTGCAGAGTATCGCTCGCGCCCTGCTTGGACGTCGTGACATAGGTGTACTTCTTGGTCAACTTGAAGATGAAGAGGATGCTGTCATGGAATTGCAATCCGCGATTAGAGGATCACTTGTGAGACGAGAGTTTGCCGAGAAGCAACGCTTCTACAAGGAAAATATGGAGAAGGTCATCAAAGTCCAGAGCATCATCCGCGCCCGTCAACAAGGTCAAGCATACAAAAGCTTGACAAGCGGCAAGAACCCGCCTGTTGGTACTGTGAAGAATTTCGTTCACCTCCTTAATGACAGTGACTTCGACTTCGATGAGGAACTCGAGTTTGAGAGACTGCGCAAGACTGTGGTTCAGCGTGTACGTCAGAACGAGATGGCCGAACAATACATCGATCAACTGGATATCAAGATTGCGCTGCTTGTCAAGAACAAAATCACCCTCGACGAAGTCGTCAAGCATCAACGACATTTTGGTGGCCACGTTGGTAGTCTCCTGAACAACACCGAGATCTCGTCCAAGGATCCCTTCGACCTTAAAGCCTTGAACAAGAACTCGAGGAGGAAGCTTGAGCACTATCAGGAGCTGTTTTTCCTCTTGCAGACTCAACCACAATATCTTGCACGCCTCTTCCACAAGCTGAAAGAACAAGGCATGCCGGAGCAAGAGGGTAAGAGGATCGAGCTGCTCATGATGGGCCTCTTTGGGTTTGCACAGAAACGCAGAGAAGAGTACTACCTCCTGAAGCTAGTAACACGCTCCATTCAAGAAGAAGCAGAGCACAGTGCTTCTCTTCAGGACTATCTCCGTGGTACCTTCTTCTGGAGCAGATTACTGGCTGCCTATGTCAGAAGCCCTCGTGATCGCAAGTACATGCGTGATCTGTTTGGACCGCTCGTCAGAGAAAGCATCTTCGAGAATGCAGACTTAGACCTTGAAAGTGATCCAATGCAGATCTACCGCGCCTCGATCAACAACGAAGAGCTTTCCACTGGACAGCGCAGCCGCAGGAACCCAGACATCTCACGCGAAGAGGCTATTCGTGATCCCGAAACCAGAGATCTCTTTGTATCGCACTTACAAGATCTTCGCGATATCTGCGACCACTTCTTCATTCTTCTTGAAGAGACTTTACCCCGTATGCCTTACGGTCTGAGATTCATTGCTCAGCAAACCTTCAATACCCTTGTCGCTACCTTCCCAGGAGAAAGCCAGCAGCATCTCCTTCAAGTGGTTGGCCACTGGCTATGGAAGGCCTACCTCGCCCCTGCATTGACCCAGCCAGAGATGTGGGGCATTATTGATCGAGGTCTGAGCCCCATACACAAGCGAAACTTGGGAGAGGTCAGTAAAGTTCTCGGTCAGGTATACGCCGGCAGACTGTTCGGCGGCGACCATATTTATCTGCAGCCTCTGAACACCTGGGTCGGCGAGGCTATAGAGAGGATGGAGGAACTTCTTGTATCTNTGTAAGTTTTCGGATGATCCTTGATTTTGCGGCGCCGCTAACATTTCCTAGTGATTGACATTCGTGAGCCTGAGCAACAATTCGACATCGATGAGTTCAACGACCTCTTCGCTCGTGTCAAGCCCACACTGTACATCAAAATGGCAGATATCTTTGCCATCCATCATCTTGTGACAAACGAGCTGTCGCACCTCTCAGATCCTGATGATGTTCTACGTGAGATCATTCGCGAGCTCGGCAGTGCTCAGAGCAACGAGAACGAAATGATGGGTGTCGGCTCGAACGAAATCAGCCTGCAGCTGACGCCCAAGTTCCATGACAAACAAGATCCGGAAGCCGACCTCAAACAACTCTTCATGGAAACCAAGCGTCTCGTTTTGTTCATCATCAGGATACAAGCTGGAGCTAATTTACTTGAGATCCTTGTCCGTCCTATTACACCAGAGGATGACGACAAGTGGTTCTCACTTTTGGACGAAGAGGCCCTGCACCAAAGATCCAACCCAAGAGTGCCTTCGGCATACTCTGGTATGATGGATGACGAGCCGGCATCCACTCTGCTGGACATTACTTCAATGTCATACGCCGAAGTCAAGAGCACAGCTCTCGAGAACATTCTGATGCTTGAGCAGCAAGGCAAAGTCAGCAGACACAATCAGTACCAAGACCTGCTCAATGCTATCGCTATTGATATCAGGACGAAGCACCGCCGTCGTGTGCAAAGAACTCGCGAACTGGACGGGGTTCGTGCTACGCTTACGCAACTCGATTCGAAGGCGTCTTACTTGGACGAGCAACTGCAGAGCTACAACGACTATATCGAGCAGGCAATGATCACGCTGCAAAACAAAAAGGGCAAGAAGCGATTCCTGTTGCCTTTCACCAAGCAATACAATCATGAGCGTGAACTTGCTCGATCTGGTCGCACACCTAAGTTTGGTTCCTACAAGTACTCGGCCCGCTCCCTCGCCGAGAAAGGTGTGCTTGTTAGCTGGGAGGGTTACGATGCAACTCAATGGAACCGCATCAACGTCACGATCTCTTCAGATGAAGTTGGTGTGTTCCATATCGAGGGAAGCATGGGTAGTCTCATGATCCCAGGCGCCAGCGCGTCTGTACCTCTGGACGACCTCCTTCAAGCACAGTTCGACAACCATCAGTTCATGAACCTTTTCCGTGGTACTGGTGGTGAAGGTGGTCTGAAGTTGAACGTCAACCTCTTCTTGCATCTGGTTTTCAAGAAGTTCTACCGCGAAGAGTAGAGAATGGGATGCGACCCTCCCGATGGACCATCATAACGTGGACATGACCTTTTCGTGTTTCCCTTTTCTCAGTTTCTGCTTTACTCCAAAGACGTCAAGTCTTTTTCTTCTGTTTATATAATACGACTTCCCGAAATTCTTATGGCACACGAACAGGGGTGAACAAGACGAATTTAAGACCCTTCCATATGGCGTTTTCTTTCTATGAGTTTGAGAAGAGTCATGGTTGTGGTTTACAATGGCGGCAAGGTTGTTGAGCATAGAATACCCACTTGATGTTAACGTTACATTTCTTCATTTTTTTCAAATGGCTTTGCTTTGTTTCAGTGTGACACGAGTGTAGAGTAGACAACATCGAATTTTGTTTTTGATTGTTACCATCATGTACCTATGCCATGTTGAGAACGCTGTAACTGCACAACTTCGGAAAAGAGTTATGCACGCACGCTCTTGGCAAGCGGCTCCAACGATCAACGCCGACCCTCGGTGTCTTCGCGACTTCTACTTATCATTTGACGATTTCTAGACCATGTACAAGATTCGTGTCCGCCTATAGACGTTCAGCTCGAGATAGATCACCGACCGAGTTGTTACGCGTTGTCGGCAATACATATCTCGCGATCAGATGACCGCTACATTGCAACCCTCAGGATGACACAAATTGGTCATTTGCTCTTATGAATCCTGAACAGCCACGCAGAGCGGCGACTGTGCCTCTGCCCGTTCCTCAAACTCATCAAAATCCGCCGCCAGCTCCGCCCCTACCCCCGCAACAGCGAGCTCGCAATGCTTTGAACAGGTTTCTAGGTTTTCCTGCCAGAGCTGCCGATGCAGATGGTGAAGGACGCGATGGTTCTGGTACAGGGCTGAAGGACGTCCAGAGACTTCCCAGTTTGTCTGCGTACAACGCCAGCGCCAGCCACAAGACTGGGCTAGAAATTAATTCTTTGTCCATCAACGATGAAGGCAGTCATGCTATTCTTGCTGGGCGAGATATTCTCAAAACAATCCGTGTTGATGAGGGAAGCTGTACCGAAGACATCAACATTCGAGCTGCTATTCGCAACTACAGTGCCCATACCTCTGGAAGATCAAAGGACAACATCAACATATCAGATGTAGCTTGGGGAAAGGGCAATTTTGGCAACTACATCGCCGCTGCGAATGCCAACGGACCCATCACGTTATACGACCTCAATCATCCTGGTATCGAGGTTGCGCAACTTAAAGAACACCGCCGGCAGATTCACAGAGTCACATTCAACCCACATGCTGGCCAGCATTTCCTTTCTGCCAGTCAAGATGGAACTGTTCGCCTTTGGGATCTTCGCGATGTGAGGAGAGACGCCAACACCTTTCCAAGCAGATTCACTACCAGTGGCCAGAACGAGGGCGTTCGAGACGTTAAGTGGTCTCCAACCGATATCTTCGAATTAGCCATGTGTACGGATGGTGGCTTTGTTCAAAGATGGGATACTCGAAAGCTCAAAAGCCCTTTGACCCGTATCGCAGCTCACACGGGTCCTTGTGCGACTATTGACTGGCATCCTGATGGTAAACATTTACTTAGCGCTAGTTCGGACAAGACGGTCAAAGTATGGAACATCTCAGCCGAAGGCAGAAGACACAAGGCTGTTTACGAGATCAAGACGCCACATCCCTTGCGTCATACTAGATGGAGACCATCCTGTCAGTCATCGTGGCCAACAGGTCGAGGCTCGCGGCAGTGTACCCAAATCGTTACATCCTACGAGCGTGACCATCCCATCGTGCATATCTGGGACTTCCGCAGACCATGGCTACCCTTCCGAGAGATGGAAGGCTACCAGACTGCACCAACAGATCTTNTGTGGCACTCACAAGATTTGTTGTGGACAGTTAACAGGGAGGGTATGTTTCTTCAGCATGATATCAAATATGCTAAANAGGTTATGGACAAACGCAACATGCAAGCCTTCGCTATCTCTCCACTTGGGGAGTTTAGTTTGGCAACACAGAAGAGAGCGACTCGTCTCAGACCGGGTCTCAATCGTGACGACAGCGAAGCGTTCATTCGTTACCGACGAGATGGCCTGTCGCCTTCTGAGACGATTGGACAAGGAAAAACTTCCAGTCGAGGGTCACATGATGACACCATTGACGACACTTTCCTGAGCAGCTCGTATGGCAAGCGGCATACAAGATCTCCTAGTGCCAGACTTGGAAAAACGTCTAACGGATCACCACCAGCATACGATGTGAGCTCTACTCGTACTGTCAGTCTCGAAGATGTTCTGAAAGCAGGCCGAGCATACAAGCCAGGCCAATCCGCTGCTCGTGGTCGCCTACCTGGAAGCCCGAACCTGCTACTCATCCAATACTTTGCCAAGCAATACACAACACGAGTCCTTCCTGAACCTCCCTCGGTCGATGCATTTTTGGGAGTACGCGAGGTCTTCGAGCGCAACGCAACTCATGCTCAGAAGGCATCCCTGTATCGCTTGGCTCAGTCATGGAGGATGATGGGTCAAGCGGTCATGACAGAATTGTTAACCAGAGCGAATCACCACCGCGGATTGAGAGTGAAGAATGAATCTGGTCCTCGCAAAAGCTTGCTAGACGAATCGCCCTTTGCCAGAAGGACAAGGAGGTGGCTTGGATCAACAGAACGCAGGCTGAGCTCAAAACCTGGTACACCATTGAGTCGGCCACTCAGGACGATGGAATCACTCTCCACCGTTCAGCCCGATAGTACCTCAAACGTTCCTACACCAATTGCACGACCTGTAAAAGATCGTCCTGAGTTGGAACGAGCTCCACTCAAGGAGATTGACACAGACGAAAGCCTTACGTTGCCACCTTCACTGCTGACACCTTCCGAGATCAAAGAGAACCTCGAGCAACAGAGTCGAGCCAAGTTACAAGCAGTCGATCATCGAGGTATCGAGCATCGCAATTCTTGGTATGGCTCCGTGCAAAACTATCAGGAAAAGCGAGAGGCGATCAGCAATTGGAGACAGCCCATCAAAGAGCCACTCAATCTGGAAGAAGAGTCTAGCGAACGACCTAAACCTACAAGATACAACTCCGATGACAGTTTCGGTATGTTTCCATCTCTGTCGTCTCGAGATGCTTCAGGGCCTGCTTCTTCGGTTGCTAGCAGATCGGACCTCATGGAGGCTGTACAGGAAAATCTTCGATCAGAAGGTTCATATGGTTCGATGAACTTGGGAAGTAGCTCATCTTCTGAGCCTATACTCGGTCGAAGCTACCAAGCTAGACAGAATATTGCAGAAGATCAGAGTCAAGGAAGCGTGGCTGTATCTTCTTCAGAAAGTGATCATGAAGGCGCGGTCGTAGTTCCAGCTCCAAAAGAGAACAAAGATGCTCCGACGAGGGACATACCTCGAGATATGCAAACTCTAGCTTTGAACAACCAGCAGAGCTTCACCTCCGAAGCTGATGCCTTCCCTAGTCAGCGGAAGCCTTCTGAGGATGTTGAAAACATGGAAGCTAGTGGCACCATCGTTCCGCATCGCCATTCAAGGCAGCTAGGACGATCCAGAGAAGGATCTATAACCAAGCCAACAGCCCTCGCGCATAATTCAGGAAGTGCACCAGCAGTAATGCCATCGAAGAATGCTTCTGTTGACTCGACCAAGACGCCCTTCATCACAGCCGACTTCTTAGCCTCTGATTACAACATCGATGCCGAGAAGAACAAACCATTCCGCGTAATAGATATGCTAAACCACTTACTCGACTATCATACCAGGAAAGTGCCCGATGCACAGGCAGCGACTAACTTCATCTTCATGTTGACGCCATTGCTTCCTGAGACTCATGCACTCCCACAGGCAAATGTCGACGCGACCATCGCCGTATACAGCGAGTACTTCACTGCCATGGGCTACAGCGACATGGAGATCTATAGTCTGTTTTCGACTTCGTTTGAACATCTCATCAAGGCAGGACTGCAACCGCTCCAAGCAGAAAGCATCATCAGCACCTATCACAGCCAGCTGCAACACCTTGGTCTGTTCAGCAATGCCGCCTACCTGCGCCGCGTCAGCTATCCAATGTACCCATCAGTTTATGAAACTGGGCTAAAGGATACTCAAGTCAGCTTCATGTGCGGCACCTGCAAAAAACCTATCAACACTCCTAACAAGATGCGTTGTGAAAACTGTACGCAGCGTCAGGATCCATGTCCGATCTGCTGGTGTGATACAAGTCCATTCGAGGCTCCTGCCAAAATTAAGACGCGAGCTGGAGGCAACAGAACGTCCATTGTCGAGCCTCCCACTCGACCAACAACACGTGCCGGAAACGACGACGACGAGACTCAACAAGTCGAGACCGAAGCTGCGCAGGTACAGAAGAACACGTTGTACTCTACTTGCTTGCTGTGCAATCACTCAGCTCACGCGGCTTGTCTGCGTACCTGGCACTCCCAACCTCCATCCCACATCGATGTTTCTCCGACTTCTGTATCAATTTCTGAAGGCGCTTGTCCTACTCCTGGTTGTTTCTGCGCATGCACACCAGGACCCCGACGGAATGAGTTGTTGGACACTGTCGAGCGAAGGGAGCGAGAGAAGAGTGTACGTGACGATGACTGGGTTGTGGCAGAATCGAGAGCTGCGCAGACGGCTGCTACGTTGGCGGGCGGCAGGAGCAAGAGTGGATTAGGTGTGACGACACCGAGTGAAGAGGTTGGTAGTGGTAGACGAGAGAGGAGGAGCGTGGGTTTCAAGAAGGGATAACTTCTAGATGATGACAATGTCAGTGTATCAATTTAGGAGCAGTGCAAATAAGTGGCGGTACACACTCAAGACCTTGACGATTACTGAGGGCGCGGATATTCAAGCGAATGTGTAAGGGCAAGCGCCTTGCTGGGCTGGCAATCGCACCTTCCGCAGTCATCATCACCACTCTTTCCGTTTTGTTCTTCATGTGACCGCGCCCCTCCAAGATAAATAACGCCGCTCTCGCCTCGAATTCTTTCCACCTTCGTCACAACGCCTTCGCCTTCAACTATCTACTCATGTCTTCGCCTCTTTCTGTTGTGTCTGTGTTCCCGGGGTCTCCAAGCCCCTCCGTAATTTAGAGTCGCCATCAGTCACTTTCCACAAGCGCAAGCGCGACTCAGATGAGTCCAATCTGGAAGACCACAGCAGCGAAGAAGAAGATCTTGACAGCAAAACAAATGAAACCGATCAAGAGAGCGAAGACTACACCAATAGAAAAAGCATTCGCCGGCTTCAAGATCTTCTCGAGGAGGTTAAAGCCTTGCCGGAGGATAGTGAACGCAACGCCAATATCAAGGATCTTGAGGAGTTCACCAAAGCCTTGGACTCGTACGATTTCGAAGGGTACTAAGTTCCCACTTTGCACATCTGCGAATCTGGTGTTGACTCGTCGACAGCTGCCGAAAATTCGAGAAGTGTATCGACCAAAACGACCTTGAGAGCATTATTGGACGGCCGAGGGCGAGCTGTTCATCGAGAACTTGATCAGGGACGGTTTGGAACGCGCAAAATCTAAACCGCCAAAGAATGAGGATGTCGCCCGTGCTCTGTCTTATTTCACAGGCCCGTCAGGTGAAGAAGAAGTCAAGGAACTTATCGCTGAAGTCACCAACACGATATCGGGTCTTGGAGAGGTCAACGACCCGGATACACTCAGACGCTGCGCTGAGCCTCTGATCGTCGACCTGATCTTCAAATGGGGTTCAAAGGAGGAAGAGATCAGGGCAGGACTGGTCAAGCTGTTCAAGTTCAAGCCTGTGTTGTGGTGATGGACATCTCGAGCGCTGCAATGAGATATGTCTGGAAGGAGATCGAAAGATGGCTGGTGTTGCTACATAGGACTTGAGCTGCAGAAAATTTAGCTGATTTGCTGCTCTCTACACTCCCTCTTCGTATGCGAATTATGTAACATGCAACTACAGAAATGCACGATACCGCCATGGAAGATGACTCTGTCCACTGAGACCTGCAAATTCATCGGCTCTATGTGCATACGCCTCTGCTTCCTTACTGATTGTGTCTTTTTGTAGTGTGCTTCCTGCTCTTTACTATACTCGAAGTACGATAGAAGTCAAAGTCCTCGTCCGCGGCGTTATCTCACACTTTATCTGGACACGCTTTGAAGAAGTGCGCGCATGAAGATGTTGGTTGGGTCAAACGTGCCTTCGATCTCTGCTTCTGCACTCAGTGGTCAGCTCCTTCCTAAGATGCACCTTCCCAACAAAAGCTTTCATGTGACGCGATGACTGCTGCCTGCTGCCTTCTCTTCCTTTCCCTCTTCATTCGACTTTCAATTGAACCTCTTCCTTTCTCTGATTCGGCTTCATCCCAATCTCAACCTTGACCTCAACCGACCACCCTACTAACCATCACTTACCTTCAATCATGTCGTCTGGCGATGATGTTCCTCAAGACACCCTCACCAACCGCAAGAGAGCCTCTGCCGCCGAGCACGAAGCCCCAACACCCAAACGCCATCGATCCAACGCCGTCGAACAGCTCCTCGAGACAATGAGATTCCAAACCCAACAGATCGAAAAGGCCACAGACATCTGGGTGCGCCTCAAGGGCGGCGAAACCAAACTAGGCGACGCCAACACAAACTTTCTCAGTATCGTTAAGTCTGCGATGTACGGTGGGAGACTAGCCATGAAACTGGTGGAACAGCAAGAGGTTGATGAAGATGATCGCGAGTAAGACTTACCACTGTTGACACATATCTTCCTTGATGCTGATACTAACACAACACAGANNGAGCAAATCGAAGAACGAATGCGCAACATAGAAGCCACCCTCACCGACAAGCAAAACGTAAACTTCGACATTCTTCAAGACGACATCGAAGGAGATATCTACGACACAGCCACCGAAGCCGTCGAAAACCTATTTGCCTCTGAAAGATTCGCAGAAGCTATTAGCGACGCCGTTGGACGGGATCCAGAAATTGTTTGCGATGAAGAGTTGATCGAGATGAAGAAGTTTGTTCGTCGTCAGATGAAGGTTGCTAAAGATGCTCCAGAGTCTTCGCAGGATGTCATTCGTGAGCATGAGGCTGAGATTGGCTTTGAGGGTGCGGTGCATTAGGATTTGTGTGTCTTTGCTGTTTGAGACGGGTTGGCGGAAGAGAAAAGACAACATGTTGCTTATGCTGTTTGCTCCAGATTATACCCTGAATATGGATTCAACCTTGCCTTTTCATAATTTGTGTGAAGTGTTTCATCTCTTTGGACAGTATCTGATGTTCGAAAGCTATCCTGCATTTTTATAGTTCTGTATGAACATGTTAGCCTGTGTGAAATAGGAAGTATCTTGAAGTCTTCGCTTGAGATAGGGGCCAAACCATAACTGTAAAATGCACAATCTGTTTGAGAAACAGAGATATGTCCAGAGAGAGCACCTGCCATTCACGCTCTCTCTGGACAAGACCTGTTCGAACAAACCATCGTGTATTTTGATAAGCTATTATCAATCTATTGGTTGCACATGGAGATGCAGAGATACCTACCTTACCACATCTCAGTGGAAANCCTACAAANATCACATAATCACTCTGCATTTCAATAGTCAATTTTTGGGTGATACTGTTACAATTCAGAGACCAAACTACCTACTCCTACACAGTCTTTCTACGGCCACGAACCACCATCGTGCCGTTGCTCACAAGGAGCGAGGCGCCAGACGACGACGAGCTCGAAAAAGCAGACGTCAACCCCGTGGTGTCAGGGTTATAGTCGACACCACGGGGTCCGTCATCCNNCTCAGCAGAAGAGGCAACAGACGAGGCAGGACCCAGGTACTCCGAAGGAGCAGAGGGNGGCAGGGAGGGAGCAGCCAGGGCGACAACAGGGGGGAGGCGCCCGGTCAATGACCAAGGGTTTCCTTGGTGGAAACCCAAGCCAGCGCCCTCCCTCGTAGAGAGAGGAGGAGGGCTGTCGGGCTGCACAGCAGGCTGTGCTTGGGCGGCGGGGCGGGGGCGCAGAGGGCTTCTTGCGGGAATGGGNGGAGGGGTGGAGGTGCCNAGGAGGAGAATCTCCGAGACCGACAACACCTCATTGTCACTCTCCTGCTTCATACACGTTAGAACTACCAATGCTGAAAACTACGGTCGTAAGGCACGAACTTGAACTTTGGGGCCTGTAGGCCAGCCCGAGGCGGGAAAGACTTCCTCTGGCTTGTTGACCGGAGGGCGAGAGCAAGGACGAGCCCTTTCTTGGGCGAGCATGCGAGCGTCGTCGCGCTCGATCTCCTCTGTGGTCATAAACATGCCACGACTGTTGCGGCGCAGGATGGGAGGCTTGTCGAGGGCGGCGAGGGTGTANGGCTTTGAGTGTATAAGTACCCGGTTTTCGTGCGCGCAGAGATGAGAATGATATGCTTACGCTTCTTGGGAGGGGGGAGGGGAGAAAGCAGATCTGCCTCTATTCATGATGGCTAGTAGTAGTAGTAGTGTTGTCTTGTGCGGGAGATGGTGGATGACACAGAAAGAATGTGTTGTGCAAAGACACGAGAAAGAGAGGTGAAACTGAAGGAGTTGTTAGCATTGGAAGCAAAACGAAGGCGCCGGCGACATCATCAACGCATCGTGTACGGGGCTAGCGACAACGAGCTTGTGAGGGCGGAATGAGAACACTTCTCGACTTACCGAATAGGACTTTTGTATACCACCGACCTGTCTGTCATGTTGAGCGAGACAAGTCGGCAACATGTTGATACTGGCTTGCTTTCCTTGACCTCATCCTTCGTTTCCTCATATCAGTGCCAGATGCAGACTCTCTAATCCAGCAGCTCCATTCTCAGCTCGGCCCGCCTGTACCAAATTCTTGTTCCGTTTGCGCTGGTTGTTCTGTGTTGATTGCTTCTTCTTTCTGCTCCCGAAGCCAGTCGTGGACGCGCCGACTTCCTAGTTGTCGTTCCGAAGTCTACTCGATATCATCTTCGCTGTCTCTACGAGCGCCGGGACTTCTGCTTCTGTTTCTGGACTTTCCGCCGCGAGCAGGGCCACCACGCGACTGGTTGCTGTTCTTAGTAGGTGGTGGGCGCACAAAGGCATAGTCGACAGAGAGGGTCTGGTCGAGCAACTTGGTACCGTTTGCTCCTTCGACAGCAGCCTTCGCCTCGTCCAGTGTGGGGAACTCGATCAAGACGTAGCCCTGTTGCTGCATCAGTGTCCTGTCCTGCTTCTTCTGCACAGAGCTGTGTTCCAGAAACCCACCTTGACGTAACCAGTTCTGCGGTCCAGGTTCATGTGCAGGTTCTTGATCTCGCCGTAGTCGCCAAACAACTCTTGAAGGTCCTCCTCGCTGGCCTCTTCGTGGACGTTGGTGGCCATGACAATCCAGCCTTCGATGGAGCGAACGGCCACAGCTCCGGTGGAAGTACGTGTCTCGGGTCCAGTAGCAGTGCTGCGCTTGGCTTCGGGCGACTGAGATGGGGAAGGTGAGCGGCCTTCACCTTGTGGTTGCTGCTGTTCCTGCTCCTCTTGCTGGGGCTGCTGATCGATGTCCATTTCGGTGTCGGCCATTGTTACGAGAGATTGTGATTCGACGAGTGTGTATTTGTCACGTTAAGAGGTAGGTGATACTGAAGCTGGATACTGATGGCGTGAGACGCGTCGAACGATACAAACAGTGTAAGATGTGGATGAAGAATTAGCTGAGTGACGGATTGTTGTCTTGCTGCAGGTACAAATGCTTGTCGCGTTGCAAGAGCTCACTGACGAATTGTCGGTCATCGGTCAAACTCGGCTCCGATAGCCGAATCTCTGGCTTCTTCTGCCACCCTGACCTCAAATATATCTGTCCTTGTTCTCGACCTTCGTCGTCAAATCGACGTCGAATGTGGTCATGTGAAGGTTGAAACATGTAGTGACACTTCATGTGATGGTGTCCGATCATCCACAAAGTCTCTATGTCCTTATTCATGGACTTGTAGACTGGAATCTTGTTTGGACACAATCTTGACGACAGAGCAAGCGAGAAACTACTGAAGAACCTATGCATTACGGACAAACTACAAACATCACATCGACGACAACGGATATGCGTAGAAGGCTCGACGATGTCGGTTGCACCTCGACAATAGTGATTCAGAGAGCAACGGTAGCTGACCAGTCTTTGAGCGCCATTATTTTGGTCAGATAGTCCACCGAACCAACATAGAATGATAGCTACGGGATCAGATCATTCTGCGAATGAGCTCGACTCTATAGGAACTTTTCAGGTGAGATTCACTACTGGAGGATTCCAGTGCTGTCACTACTCTTTACGAAGCATAGAGTTCAGATATAATCCTTCGTCGCAAGCCCAGAAGACGATCATAGGCTGCTTGTAAATATCGCTGCAGGTTGCGTATGTACCATATAATATCTAAGCCGCTCAACACCCCTTCACAAACATCTGCTTGTCTCTCGGTTCGATTCCTGTGTTTCACGACATATCTTTGCATCGGATGACCCTGAAAATCGCTATCTCTTCTCTGCAGGCCGTGGCAAGACGGCGAGATGCAACTCAAGATACTTTCAGAGTATTCGTGATAAGCCGGAGACCGAGGAGATGAAGACTGCTCGTGCTGCCTATATGCCAAAAGACCATGGAGGGATTACACAACCAACACCTGAATTTCGAGATTCCTTCGGCACCCGAAGATCTGGCATTTGTCGAAGCGCAGCTGAAAGCAGTAGCTATTGATATCCACTGGTGGACCGAGGAGGACCGACGACAACGTGGCTGTCGCAGGAGGTGAAGCTGTGGAGCATAACTGAAGGGAGAGGGTACCGTCTAATGCCCAATGACGATCAAACATGAACCTTTGTACGTAAGAAAGAAACCAAGTCTGTTCATCATATATTCAATAACGAGATATCATAATCGCCAGACTTACAATTGAAGAGGAAGCTATCTATGCCGATTGCTTCCTGTTCGGAATAAATGCTTTCAGCTTTCAAGGGTATGGCAAGAGACGCTGTTAGTAATATTGGCTCTTCTCAAATCATCGTTTTCCATCGCCAAGCAAGGAGAGCAACACTTAGCTGCTGAGCAGTCGCTTTGTGTCGAGACCATTCCGCGGCGCTGCTTTGCCCACCTTTGTTTCTCATCCGCATCATAAAAGTCTTTGGAAACACGCATCATGCAGTGAACTCTACCCCTGTGCATCGAGCACATCGTCAGGGCCCCGAACGACGCCGGTAACATTTGCCTCGACGGGGGCCAGGTAAGTTTCGCCACCTTTGTCTGGAGTAAAGGCGTACCTGGGCATTTGGGCCATCTTTTCTTCAGGGGACACTTCTTGATCAGAATAGACCAGACGTGTGGCCTTCTTGGACTTCTTGCTACCTCCTTCGGCTTCCCTTCTCCGGAGCTGGAGTAGGCGTNNTGGTTGTTGTGACGGAGCGGACTTTGCGGATTGCTGGGCTGCAGCGCCCGAGATAAGTTCATCCACGCTTGTTGCGTTAGCACCAGACTCTTGTGGGGGAGCAACAGGACCGCCCATATTTCCACTGTGCATTTCCGCTAGTTGCTCCCTGCTAACATGAGGAGCGTTGAAGGTTGGGCGCTGCGGCAGGCCTGGAGCCGAAGGAAGGCTATTCTGGCGCGTCGGCAAGTCCTGTGCAGGTGGACTCATGGGCGGAGCGTGGCGGGAATTCTGATATTGAGGCGGGCTTGCCGAGTGCGGCGGGTAGGCATACTGAGCGGGAGGGGCAAACGGCGCAGGAGGGCCTTGACCGCCATATGGCTGTGAGGGTGAATATGATGGCTGGGATCCAAACTGACCTGGCGGGAAGGGCCCTGGAGGTGCTCCGTACGGCGGTTCGCCATAGTTGAAGGGTGGAGGTTGTTGACCATACCCAGCTGGAGCTTGGCCGTAAGGCTGGGGAGGGTAAGCGGTGGGAGGTGGACTGGCGGCTTGTCGTGCTGAAGGAGGAGGGAAGCTTGACTGGTATTGAGGAGGAGTGGCGACGTCGGCCTTGTTGACGAGTTAGTATCCAGAACAGCTGCACGATATGATAGTCAAACTTACAGGAGTGTCAGGAGCGCTCCCCAAGCCTGACTTCTCAGCTGCCTTTCTCGCCTTGTGCTCAGCCAAGCGTGCCTTCAGCTCGGCTGGTGATTCGAGCTTCGGCTTCTTCGTACCTGCAGCTCCTTGAACCGATGAACCAGGAACAGGATTGCCTGAAGCAGCGCGACGATCGGCCTCGGCGGCGAAGAATTCGTGGCTGACGCGCTGGTTGTGTTGCTGCATAACATCATCGGGAATGCCTTCCATGCCGAAAATTTCGATATCGGGAGCGGAGCGATTGGGTAGAGCATTTTCCACCGTAGTCAGATTCTCCTTGTGTACTTGGTTCATGTGAACAGACAAACCTNNGCTCTTAGTCAGTATCGACCATACCTCTGACACTCGCGTCAACATACCTCCAGCTGTATTGAGTCGGCGTCCGCATCTGTCGCACTTGTAATGCTTTGCCTTTTGATGTGAGATGAGAATCTTCAAATCATCAAAGTCGCGTTCGCAGTAGTAGCACCAAGGACGAGCGAGAACCTCCTCGATGTCGGGATGACCGCGCTTTTTCTTGCCCATCGTGAATGTGAGGTGGAGGGCAGTGAATTGAAGGCGAAAAAGGGTGAATACGTGATATGATCGAAGAAGCAGCTGTCGATGACCGCGTTCAAGGAAGTGACGATGGTCGAAGCTGCCATGAACGGCATTTCCCGTCTCAAGCTTGTTGCGTTGCTTCCTTCTCCGCTCAGGCTTCAGCATCAAAATTTCCTTCTGTTTGCGCTTCACATGCATGGCATGCCATGTCAGTCACTCAAGATCTGAGGGTGCTTTCATTCGTTTGTCCATACCTGTAGGCTCATGGTAAGTACATGTATCAGTAGCATACGCAACACCCCAAACCCAGCCACTTGCTCCACTACCAGGACAATGTCGAGGTCTTTCTGCTTCGGTGGGAAGAGCGGTCTGTCTGTTTCGCGTCTTGCGTCCAGGCAATGCCGTGGGATGGTATAGGGGAGGCGAAAAGTCTTGTGCTTTCTGCTGAAACGTTGCAAGACCAAAACTTGGTTGCCTCATAGTTCATACTTTCACCGTCCTCGAGACGTCTTCAGTGGGAAGTATGACTCCTTGTGTACCCATATTTCGACACATATATACATCCGTCAATATGCAATGTTTACAGCGCTATATGTATGCCGCTCTATGTTTTGCAGGTGTAGCATGAATTGTTTAGAGCGAGGCACGAAGCACATTGAGAGGTGACACATTTTGAGAGAAGAGAAAATCAATGGGGGTATCAACATGATCGAAATTGGTAAACTTTTGCAGGTTGACGAAACGGATGGTAGAGAGACGGGCGAGGTCGAATTGAAGAGATGCTGCGCTGTGCTGTGTCGCCGCAAAGAAGAACGCAGTACCGCATGCGTATAAGCTCAACCATGAGTTACATTTCCATGACCGTAGCCAGATCCTCAACGCCGGCCCAATCCCCAAAGCTTTTGAAAGTTGCCTTGTTACACCATCTTTTGTTCATCAACCGCTGTGAAGGGAGAGTAATTTACTCGTCATCCTCCTCCTGCTCGGCCTCGAGGGTGGACATGGCAATACGGTCCAAATCACGCTGGCCGGACTGGGTGATACGGCGGCCACCCTTCTCCTCGTCGATCTCAAGGACACCGATCTTCTCGAGGGACTGGCAGACCTTGCGGTCAACGGAGCCGGAGGCGTCAACGTGACGGCTGGGGCGGGAGCCGCGGTTCTTGGGGGAACCGTGGACCTTGCGCAGACGGCCGATACCGACGGTCTTGCGCATGTAGATGTGACGGGCGACGGCAGCGGCGCGGACGTAGTACCAGTCAACGTTCTGGGGAGGAAGCTCCTTGGCGGTACCAGTCTTGACAGTGTCGACCCAACCCTGATGTCGGAGAAACGTTAGTTGGACTCTATGGGCCCCGATATTTCGCGGGATTCAGGTTGACCCAATTGGTGGACTCACGGGGACGGCGAGCTTTCCCTGTCTCTTCAAGAAGGAAGCGTCTATTGTGTGTTAGCCGATGGCCCATGAAAGTCAAGGATAGAGGCAGGAGGAAGTTGTCGCATGGGACATGGTAGTCGTCGAGAATTTTCGTAGTGGTGGGCGCTTTCAGACCACAGTGCAATCTCCTAAGCGGCGCATTGCTAGACGTTTGCGTGAACTGTCCATCGTGTCTTGTCGTTGAAAGGCCTTCCCAGGTGCGCGAAAAGAAAACGACTCCCATCTCTTATGCGAAAACTCCTCTAGCTCCAAGAGTGTAGACTAACAGTTCTGGATGAACTTGTCGGCGGGGACATCGCGAACGGAGACACCGGGCATTTTGGCGGTTGTGAAGGGGGTTGTCGACGGTGAAAAGGTCTGTAGGCGTGCGAAAAGGTCGTCTCGAGCGGAAGAGAAGATCGGGCGTGGCTGCGGACTGAGGATTTTGCGATCCTCGTGTGCCGAATCTGTGCGGAGCTAGCCGTTCCGCCAAGACTTGCAATCCGTTTCACTCGCTCTCGTTTCTGCCTGCCTCTTCAGCATCACTGGACGCAGTAAAATGATCGAGTAGGTGACCTTGTGTTACTCGTTGAAGGTGAAGTGAGCAACGGAAAGTAAACCGAGCCAGTCTTGGTTGACCGACTCTTCATTGAATAAAATGCTATGCCTGACTGCTGTTGTGGAATGACCGTCTGAAAAAGGTGTCCAAAGAGACCGTAGTTTAAACCAAGCCGCAAACAACAACTCCATGTTCGCCTCCAACCACCCAGAGAATGAAAAACCACTGCCGAAAAATCTATGAAAGTGTCGGTCTTCTCTCCAGGTTCACCATGTAACGCACAAAGAGCTCATTCACGAAATGTTCGTGTCTAATGCCTGGTGCTCTCTTCTCTGCGAATTCTTCCAGCGCATCTTGTAGTCTCCATCCCAACCTCTCTACCATGTAGCTGACCAAGAAGAAGCCAGTTCTGTTGAAGCCATAGTGACAGTGTACAGCTATCACAGCCCCTTCCGGTTCCTCTGGCCTTTTGAGCTGCTCTCGCAAGGTATCTATCAAAGATATGAATGCTGCGACCTCTTCCACAGTCGGCGGCAGCTTGCTGACTGTAGGGAATTTGTGATACTCAATTCCACCTTCTTCAAGCCCCTTGGGATCGTAGACAGGACTTTCATGACTGATGTCAACGACCATGCGAACACCATGCTTAATGCCGCTTCTGGCACCCCATCGCTTCACGTACACACGTGGTGTATGTTCCTCGTCGATTTCGCGTAGCGTCTTCTGTGCTCGGAAAATGCCAGCGATGGGCTCTGAAACAGGTTTGATGGCTTGCCATTTCTGGAGATTCTTTACATCCCATTTACCTTCTGTGCTCAGATGTTGCAATTGCCAGCCGAGAGACAGGCGGTGATCGATGTGTGTAGCGGCAAAAGACTGGATCAAGCCTGAAAGGATGCGCACAGTCGAGGTAGCGTACAGCAAGGCATGAGAAGCAGGCTGTGGCAATACCGTTGTCTTGAGAACGAACTTTGGTTTCTTTGGGAGGTCTGGTGTCGCACTGTCTTGTCGGCTTTCGGACGCCAGATCCTGACCAGTCGCAGTAAACTCGGGGACGAAGCTNTTGCCATTCTCTTCGATTGGAGTGTTGTCGATGACAGGTATCTCACCAGCAGAACTAGGCAAAGTGTTGCCCGTGATCTTTGTTTGTTCTCTTGGTACCTGTCGTCCCAGCCATTTGGCAATCAATTCAACATTCTCAGGCGGCGTTACATGATCCTGCTCTCCGCCAATGCAGAATGTAGGAATCCGAAGACCAGACCAGATAGCTTCTCCAGGCAATCCTCCCACAGGCTTGTCGTTCTCGTACTTTGGCATAGATCCGAGGGCCATGGCCATGAAGACTTCGGATTTACTCTGTTCGTTGAATCGTAGTTGAAGTCGCTTGGTCTCTGAGTCTGCATCTTTGCCAGCATAGCGAGAAACACTAGCGCTCTCAGCACCTCCTCGTCTGTCCCACCAGCGGAAGATTTCAAAGAGAGGAATGGGCATGTAACGCATGTGCTGTAGACGCGACACTTGGCTTGCCATTAGGGTCTCAGCGCGAGGGCAGATAGCGATGAAACCAGTAATGTGCTCTGAAATGAGATGGGACAATGGCGATGTCGATGACGCTAGCAGTGTCGACAGGGAGCATCCCATGCTGTGTCCTATCAGAACAACCTTCTGACCATTTTCAGCGTCTCTGTGTTGAGTGATGGCCTCAGCAATCAAGGCGGCCAAAGCTTCTGACTTGTATGCTTCTCGTGTTTGAGGAAGGAAGTCAGACAAGCCACATCCAGGAAGGTCGATAGCAAGACATGGTGCGGCATTGATCAGCCCAGTCAAGAGTGGCGCAAATTGAGCAGCACTTCCTCCAAGACCATGAACAAAAACAAGAAGCGGAAGTGGCGTAGGCTTAGTCGGGAGCTTGTCGGCTTGTGGGTGAGGATGATAGAATGTCCTTATCGATGGGTATACAAACCCAGCAGCAGTGTAAGATCTTTGAGAAGAATGTTTTCTCAATAGTCCTGGATCGGATGCCGAGGGATCTAANCGGGTCGTATAAGTCTGCTGTTTGCTCGAATTCTTTCATAGTAAAGCCAGGAAATGATGGACCAGATAGAAATACAAATCCAGATGGAGGGAAAGGAGAGGTGTATCGAGATGAATATGAATATGTACAGCCAACTCACCTTTGGCATCAACATCACGTTTTGCACTAACGAGTCGAGACAGGTAATATACTGACGCAGTCGCGAACACTATCGTGCCCCCAACNACCACGAGGGCAGTCATCTGCTTCCGACGCGCTGACAGGACCGGGTCCCGAAACCTTGTCGAAAAGTATGGTTATGCGGTTTGGAGAGCGAGGATGCGTTTTCGGTGTGAAGCGAGATGAAGCGATGACGCAAAGGTGGAAGATTTTGGACGACGCAAAGAAAATCGCGAAGGAGAACGGATGTATCTGGAACGATGCACGACGTACAAAGGCGCAACGATTGTTTCAGCTGATTCAGTTAGCACTAGTGTGTTGTCTTTGAAGACGATGTCGAATGAAGTGGTCCAAAGCGATGCGATACAGGTAGGATTGGCATGAGAGATGCGACCAATGATTGCGCGGAGTCAGAAATGTGGGCGGAACCACTGGTCGACCACCCTTCTTTCTTTAGTATCACGACAAATACCAAGTATCACGGCCGTTATATCACTCTCTTTCTAGAACACATCACATCGATATCGTTTCCATGTCCCCGGATAGAGCGTGTCCAAATCTGAGTGGTGGTCTCGATTTGGCAGCTCATTGGACCACCAGAAGGCCGACTCTAACAGATCATCCCTAGACACATCGGTATGCCATCCGTACAACCTTAATGCACGTGTACCAATCCTGAGCATCTGTGACCAAGTTGATCCTGATTTGGATCTGTCTGAATCTTCCAAGGCTCAGGACTCAGGATTAGCTGATCTTTCAGGTACCCTCAATGTCCCCAGCTTCTCAGCCCTTTTCTTCATCAGTTGTTCTCACGCACGTAAACTGCATATCTTGTCCAAGGATGTCACTCTCATGACTGACGATGAATCTACCGATATGGAGAGACTTGAAGTCAGTGTTGCTAATTCTGCATTATATCCTGACGTGAAGGACTGATAGTAAGGCTTCCTGGGAGGCTTGAGACTGACAGTAGAGCCTCATCTCCTTGCTTCGGTAGAATGCTCCACCGAGTGCCCTCGGAAACAACCGAGCGGCCGTCTTCGGCTCTGGGCTGTGGGGTGCGCGGGGCACGACGAGAGGTGAGAAGGCCGATGATCCACTTGACGAATGGGAGTACAGAAAAGGTCAAGACAATAACTACACTCCCTTCAAGGCAGAATCACTCTTCCCATTATTGACTACAAGGTTGGGAAACACGGGTTTCGCAGGTTCTCCGAACATCTAACAGACAGCAATCATGGATCCCGCCAATCTCAAAGCACAATTCCAGCCAGAAGAACCACGTCTTCTGAGCTTTCCTCACCTTCCTGATGATGCTAAATATGAGGATGGCACACCAATCTTGAACAAGTACTCTTCTACTCTGACTAGAGGTCATGACTTCCCCGGAGCACAGGCAATGCTGTACGCAGCAGGTGTTCCAGACGAGAAGATGATGAAGACAGCTCCTCAGGTCGGCATTGCCTCTGTTTGGTGGGNNGAGGGTAATCCCTGCAAGTAAGTATTACAGCACGTTCAAATTCAGAGATATACTGACGACAATGAAGCAACCATTGTAGGCAAGATTGACAACAAACACANNATAACGAGAAGACTGACGAAGATATCAGTACATGACCTCGGAAAACTTGTGAAGCAAGCAGTAGAGAAACAGGGCATGATTGGATGGCAGTATGGCACAATCGGAGTGTCAGATGGTATCACGATGTGAGTTGTTGCGAGTGCCATCTTGGAGCACAGCTAATTGGCAAAGGNNGGTGGCGAAGGCATGCGCTTTTCTCTACAGACTAGAGAGATTATTGCGGATAGTATCGAGACTATCACATGTGCTCAATTCCATGATGCCAACATCTCTATCCCCGGATGCGACAAGAATATGCCAGGTGTTGTGGTAAGTTCTGGATCAATCGAAAGCAGCTACGTGAGACTAAGCTATGATTTAGNNATGGCAATGGCAAGACATAATAGACCTTCTGTGATGATCTACGGTGGTACCATCAACCCTGGATATTCAAAGACACTCAGGAAGACAATCAATATCACAACATGCTACGGTATGTACTCATGTTTGTCATGCTTTGCTCTACTAACCTAAAGCANNGAGGCGCATGGCGCGTACAACTTCGACACACTCAAGAACCCAGACGATCCTTCAATCACAAAGGACGAGATCTTGACAGATATCGAGAGAAACGCATGTCCTGGTTCTGGTGCTTGCGGTGGTATGTTCACAGCAAACACCATGGCCATGGCAATCGAGACTCTTGGACTGTCTCTTCCTGGATCTTCGAGTACACCCGCCACTTCACCAGCCAAGATGCGAGAGTGTCAGAAAGCAGCAGAAGCAATCAAGACCTGCATGGAGAAGAACATTCGTCCCCTTGACTTGCTCACCAAGAAGTCATTTGAGAATGCTCTGGTCATGATGATGGCGCTCGGAGGCAGCACAAACGGTGTGCTTCATCTTCTTGCTATGGCTGGTACTGCAGGCGTGGATCTAACCCTGGACGACTTCCAGAGAGTGTCAAATCGCATTCCCTTCATCGCCAACATGGCACCCTCGGGCAAGTACTTGATGGCTGACCTATATGACATCGGTGGCATTCCATCCGTCATGAAGCTGCTCATTGCAGGAGGTCTTCTTGACGGCAGCGTTCCTACCATCACTGGCAAAACACTAGCCGAGAACGTCGCTCCCTTCGACTCTCTACCTCAAGGCCAAGAAATCATCCGCAGCCTCGACAACCCCATCAAACCCACCGGCCACATCGAGATTCTGCGTGGTAATCTCGCACCCGAAGGCGCCGTAGCAAAAATCACAGGCAAGGAAGGTATGAGCTTCACCGGCAAAGCTCGAGTCTTCAACAAAGAGCACGAACTCGACGATGCCCTGAACAAAGGCCAGATCCCTCGTCACGAAAACCTCGTCATTGTTGTTCGCTACGAAGGACCTAAAGGTGGACCTGGTATGCCCGAGCAACTCAAGGCCAGTGCAGCTATCATGGGAGCCAAACTCACAAACGTTGCTTTGATCACGGATGGCAGGTATAGTGGTGCATCGCACGGCTTTATCGTCGGTCACATTTGTCCTGAAGCTGCTGTTGGAGGACCCATTGCTATTGTCCGAGATGGAGATATGATCACTATCGATGCCACTAACAACACTCTTTCTATGGATGTGTCAGACCAAGACATCCAGCAGAGATTGAAGGAGTGGAAGAAGCCTAGGTCGAACGTCACTCGCGGTGTGCTGGCCAAATACCAGCGTCTGGTTGGCGATGCTAGTCATGGTAAGTTGTTCTCATCATTGCAGTATAATTTTGGACTAACATTGTTATCATCTAGGTGCCATGACAGATTTGTTCTAGTAGTATATAGTATCCCAAGAAAATATATGCTACGAGCATCTGATATGATAGTGCTGAATTCCGTTGTGATGGAGACGACCCATAATCAGAAGCAAAACGCGATAAAAGTGACACAAGCAACAAAAATGCCCGATGCACAATGATTGGACGGACAAAAGCCCTCGTGGTGCAAGTCATTTCCCACAAACTGCTGACACGCATGCACGCATTATGCATAAGCCGCGCAAAACCCATGCCGGCAAAGCGAGAGCACAGTAACAACCAGACGCTATATTTGTTGGCCTATTATTTTGAGTGGCGTCCTGCGTCTCAGGAAACAGAGCAGTCCCAAGAACCTGGGATCGGAGATTTTGTTTTCAGCCTTTTGTGTCACGTAAATTACTCTTGCAGTAAAAGGTGGGAGAAAGAGGTTTGATAGATCTCTATGAGCGAAGAGGAAAAAGTGTCTATATAATGAAGCGCGAAGCAAATGCTAACGAAGCGAGTGATTTGGGTATCTTGAGTAAACGTGCAATGCGGAAGAATTGTCAATCAAAAGCGAGTGGTAGAGGGTATCTTGGAAACAAAAACAAGCAGCCCGTGTAAGAGAAACGGCAAAGAGGGGCCATCTGTGAGGTGAGTGGCCAACGAATGAGAAGAGAAGCGAGTGATGAATGGGTATCAAACAGAGAAACACCGAAAGATGCAGGGACAGTGAATAGCGAAGGTAGAAACCAAGAAAACCAGGGACTCCGGAATGTATGCAGATGCAAATGCAAGCTCGGAAATTTCATGACGGTGCCGATGCGAGTATGCAGAGTGTTGTGCGATGCTTTTACTTCTCCAACCCAGGAACAAAGAACCGATGAAACATGTTCAAAGAGAGAGGGCGTATCCGTAGTTTTGATAGCCTTCAGCCATGGTGGCATAGTGAGGTGTCGGAGTGTGTTGATGTGACGAAGGCGTGTGCTGCTGAGGGGTCTGGCCCCTAGTGTGCATATGCTGAGGCGCGATATCCGCCCACTTGCGGGCGCAGTGTCTTGAAGGCCATTTCTCGTCAACGCCAAATTCAAGCATCTAGAACATGGTGTTAGAAACCTTATAGAAGCCATAGAGCTGATTGTGACTTACCTTTGCACTGATAATGTCCCACTTGCACTTCTCCCAGTACTCGTGTGCTTGTCTCAACGCCTCAATGTCGCGCTCCTCCCAATTTCGGAATCGCTGTCTCAGGCGAAGGTACCGCATCTGCAGTGTAGCAATGGTGATTGACTGACCCAGTTGGTTGCTGAAGCGAGCAGCGATCTCCTTCCATGGTAGGGCTTCGTCTTCTTTCAGGGTGATCAGAAGACGCTCTTCGTCGTTGAGAAGCTCGAGCGATGGTGTGCGCTTGCGGCGCTTGGAGTTTGAGCGGAGCAGGGCCTCCCTCATCTTCCCTGTTCTTGACGGCGTTTTNGAGACAAGCCCGGCAGGGTTGGGAGCGATTGAGGGGTAGTAGCGTTGAGTGTCTGCTGAGCTACGCCTCTGTGGTGGGCTTGGAGTAGTGAACTCTGCTGCAGGAGTTTGATAAGTCTCTGTGAGAACACCAGTCGTAGCCGGGACCATCTGAGGCTCAGTCATTGGGAACCGAATGCCCAGTGGGTTTTCCGGCCATAGTATCTCATTGGGCGAAGGTCCAAATGTGCTGGGGCTGCTGCGAGGTCTCTCGATCAGGCTGTTGTTTGTATGGCTTGCTGGGAGGATGGCTAGGTCGTTGTATGTTGGTGGTGTTGGCCATTGAGCTGTGCCAGTAGGGTATCCAGTCATATCATATTGGTTGAAGGAAGGAAATGGTGACATGAATGGAGTGTTGTAGGTAAGCTGAAAGAATGAGTAAATGTTCCTACATGATGGGCAATTGTCGAAACATACAGGCGTCGGTGCATACCATGCTGTTGGATAGCCATCTGTACACACATTCTTCTCACTCGATGTTGTAGACTCAAATTGGTCCATAATGAGGATGATGAGTTGTTGTTTTTGTGGGTTGAGATTCGATGGCTTGAAGATCTAGGCAGGAAACGAACAACAGACTCTAGTGCTGAAGGATTTGAAGAAATACTTGAATGTTGGTGGATGATGCTGATGCTGTGTCTGTGTGGTGGTACCTGCCTAAGTAACAGTGGACGGGCATGTTGGTCATTTTGTAGGATCGGTGGCAGGCTTGACGTTAGCATGCCGAAAGACGACGGACTGAGCCTCCATGTCTGAGCCTCTGCCGAACTAATGGAGGTGAGATATTTTGAGAACACCACGACTCCCAGGACAATGTCTCTGAAGGATCAATAGACTACCTGTGCGGCCTGTTGGGAGAGACACAAGCACCATTGACCTCTGGAGAGTTCTGCTACAGTGAGGCACGCCGACTTTCCATACACGCCCAGTGCATAAGCGCGCCATGTATCTAAATTGAAAATGGTGGACCTCCCGTGGTAGCGGGACGTGCTCGGGAGCAACCGCAGCACGAAGCTGCTGGGCGCAAGAGTCAAGACACGCGCGCTGTCAGAAGTCATTGGTCGTCATGATCTGACATGGATAAGTTAGTCCGACGGGAGAGCTACGTAGTCTGATGCGTCGTCCTTTGCATGTCTCAAACGTTGTAGACCGGCTGGGGTATGTTTCCTCCGTCGGAACATGGTGAGTGATACAGTACTCGTCGACCTCTATCTCGATTTTGGAGAAGGAATTTGGTCGTTTTGATCCCGAAATAGAAACAGGTAAAGGGCTTCGCGAAATCAGGTTTGACTACATATCACTCTAATACTTGAGTAGGCTTTGTAGCGCGTTTACCGATTTTGCAGACATCTCAGACGCGATCGCATATGATGATGTGCGACGGGAAGATGAATTGGCGTGGGGCCTATCTTCGATTGAAGAGCTGGACACCCCACCATAACACGCATTTTACATCGTTTCAAGAAGAGTGATTGGTTCGTTCACGACTAAGCAGCGTCCGGCTGATCGACCGACAGGTCATGGTAAGGTGTGTAGCAAGATAGGAGGGTAAAAATAAACTGCATCATGCGGGGACATTACCGCTAATTAGTCGTGTATATTGATCTCAAAATAGATTGCATTGGAAGGAATGAATACTAATACTCCGTTCCTGGCTGCATGGCTGTGTGTTTCAAGAATGGCGGTTAATATATTACCCTCACCACCATCCAGCCTCTCCGAATTCTAATGAGACATGTGTATTATGCTTATGCTGAAACAAGGCTGATCTTTGGTCTGGATGTCTCTATTTCTCGAAAAGGTATTCGATAAGGAAGACATCGCAGGCAGCAGAAAGAACGTCAAGGCCTGACCGGTTGCCCCTCGGTCCAAGTACCTACCTACCTTACTCAGTAAAAGCGGTCTGACGGCCCGTCGACGTATGTATTGCTGCATATAGAATTTGGAATCTCAATACTTAAGAAAAGCTTGTTAGATAGGAAGGAATATGCTATAGCTGGTGATTATGCGAAAGAGGCAGGTGCTGTCGCGGTGGCTGGGAAAGCCTCTCAAATCTTCAACCACAATCACCAGATGATGCCCTTTGGATGATCTGAGATGCTCTGCAACCGAACTGCTCAGACCGAAACTTTTCCTACGGTGCTCGCTTCAACGAAAGGCACGAATGAAGCTTCAGAGGTTTAGCGCTGTAGAGTGGACGCCAAGTCGGACTGAATCTTGGACCTTCAATTTCCCATCCAGTGTGGAGAATGCGCAGTCTGTCCGTCGAGGCGCAGTATACCGATATGCCCAATCCTCCTGAAAAACAAGGCATGGTGCTGAGGATCGGTTGTGGGCTGTGCTGTCTGTTTCCCCACTCCGATGGCGAAGTCTTGGATGGAATGTATATTTCTCGGTCTATCGTCTCGTCGTCATTTCGTTTTGTCATGATGCTCTATATCTCAATATCTTCATGCATTCCTGGTCTTCCTTCGATGCCGTTAGCCGGCTCTTCTACGTCAATGTCTTCTCCACCATCGACGTCGTCCATGTCCTCAATGGGGAAAGTAAGGATAGCAGCAATGCCACCAAGGCCTTCTAAGCGCTTGCCGCTTTCGTGCATACTGCTGAGAACTTTGACGTCGCCTCCGTGTTCCTGACTGACTTTATCAACCAGGGCCACCCAACGTCTTCTTATTGCGACGTCCTGAGCTCTGAAAAGTGCGTTTGAGATGAGTAAGGCACCGCCGCCTCTTCCTACTGCGCCCTTCTCTACAGCAGACTCGACCTCCTTTGGACCGTACCACGCGCGACCATCGTCTTTCCTGAGTAGGTCGAAGAACTTGTCCATAAGAGCCGTCTCTTTTGCAAAACGAGTATCGCTCAGCTTGGCAGTGACTGCTGGAGAAGCCATGACCTCAGCGAGCGAATGCAGGTGACCGCTAGCAGAGTGTGCGACAATGGTCTTTGCAGCAAGGGCTGTCAGGTTCTTGTCGGCTTTTGTAGAAGCAGTTGTCTTTATGTATTGTTGGAAAGCGGTTGCGGTGAATCCGGGACTTGCTAACAGTAATGGTTTCNNCAAGTCGGCCATGTTGAGTTGACGAAGAAGGGATTCAAGGATGGTGGAAAAGAAACGTTGGGTAGCTTTGTCGTGATCGGCGCTGGGTTTACCAGGGCGCTTCTTAGGCAAGGCAGTCTCAACGCGTTGACGCAAGATGGTCTGGTGGTTTGTGACTAGACAGATGTTGGCAAGACCTTCTTGCATGACGACGGCCCATAGCTCGGCCTTTTGTGTTTGGTCGATGGACTCTTTCAGGATGTCGAGAGCGATGCTATCCCAGCCATCTGCCTTCTCGAGGGTAAAGTTGCGCTGCAGCTCAAGATCGAGGGTGTGGTAAGAGCCACGCTTGACCCATTCGTTTTCCTCGGCGACGGTACCGCTGACGTGCAGTTGAGCAGCTTGCGGATCAAAGTCCAGAGAGGTGACACGGAGCGTCAAGGTGGTTTGGACTCTTTTGGATGTACTGGAACCCGTCATGGACTCGGTTGTGACGCGGCGAATGGCAGAGGCGCGAAGAAGATCGGTTGGTCGGATGAGATTGTATGCATGCCACATGTCTTCGGGCTCCTCAGGCAGGAGAGTCGCGCTGCCCGAGCCATCTTTCTTCTCGATACTCTGTTTGATTAGTCTCATTTTGTATTTGTGTAGTTGTGGTGGAAGAGTCAAAGTTCAGAAGAAAGCGCCGCTTGATTTCTCGAAGTGGCCGATGACGAAGGTGGATTTGCGACTCGTCCTTCGCCGACCTGCTCTGCTAACTTTTGACCACCTTGACATGTCCCAAGGTGGTCCCACAAACCAAATACTTGCTCTGCGAAGGTGACATGCCCAGCTCACCTGAGTTTGACGCCTATACGAACATGTTTGACGCGATAAGGTTGTGGTCATAGTGATGCCGTCTCATTGGTCGGAGTCTGATCATGCAAAGACGCGGCTCGACGAGCGAGGCCGGAGAACCTTCGACTCATTTTCTCTTCCTTCTCAACAATTCCTTGTTGTACTTGTATCCTTGAAAAACTGTTGTGATTCTATCTTGCAAGGTCAATTGACTCGTCTTCAATCGCTTTCGCGCACAGCACACCTATAAAGTACGGACTGCAATGGTCATGATGTCAAACAGCAGGGAATTATCCATTTATCAAGGCCGAGGTACCAGGTAATGTAGAGCATGAACCGGTGTTCAATCGACTCTTGAAAAAGGTCGTTTGTTCTGAGATAAACGGTTGAACTTGATTTCAGGATAATACCTGCGAAAGAATCATGCTCTATCAACATCTTCCTCCTGTCTGTCTTGAGGGCTGACGCCTGTACAGAATCTTCGCCATGGACGAACAATCTCAGATGAGAAGGTCAACCAAGGACCTCGAGAAAGATGGTCCTTCCCTGATGCCCACCGAACTCGATGATGAATCGACTCTTGCTGGCGGTCCTTCTGGTTTGAGGCGACAGATCAAGAACCTCGAGCACAGCTTGGCTCACTACAATCTCGAGGCTCGCGGTATTCAACGCGTCATGCCAAACGAACGTCACAGTTTGAGAAACCTGGGATACTCTCAGGTTGGTCTTCTGTGGTTCAGTGTCAATCTTGCCGCCAACAACATCACCCTCGGAATGCTCGGCCCAGCTGTTTACTACCTTTCATTCTTGGACTGTTCTCTGTGTGCTGTCTTCGGCATGCTCGTTGGATGCCTCCCAGTCGCTTACATTGCCACTTTTGGACCTATAAGTGGTAACAGAAGTATGGTCTTCGCTCGCTACACCATGGGCTGGTACCCAGCTAAACTGGTTGTTATTCTTAACATCATCGTGTTGCTTGGCTACTGCTTAATTGATGCGGTTGTAGCTGGTCAGATCCTCTCCGCTGTCTCGCCGCATGGTTCACTCTCGGTCATCGTTGGCATCGTAATTGTTGCTGTCCTGACTTGGGCTGTTACCATCTTTGGCTACAGCGTCTTCCACTTCTACGAGCGTTACGCATGGCTTCCCCAACTGGTCGTTCTTTCTCTGCTCGCTGGTGTTGCTGGACCGAAATTTGATCTTGAGACACCCTCCAGTGGCGATCCTCTGACCATAATTGGCAACCGCCTGTCTTTCTTCAGTCTGTGCCTCTCTGCTGCTATCACCTACGCAGGTGGAGCAGCGGACTTCTTCGTCTACTATCCAGAGGAGACTCCTCGCTGGAAGATCTTCTCCGTCACCATGTGCGGTTTGGCTTTGTCATTCACCTTCGCTTTCATTGTCGGCATTGGACTGGGTTCTGGTATTGCCACCAATGCTGCTTGGAGTGATGCGTACAAAGTCTCGCAAGGTGCTCTTATCGTCGAAGGGTTTGCTCCCCTAGGAAGCTTCGGTAAATTCTGTGGAGTTATCGTGGCTCTTGGTCTGATTGCCAACATGATCGCTCCTACCTACAGTGCGGGCATGGATTTCCAAGTTCTTGGTCGGTGGATGACTGTTGTGCCTCGCATCGTTTGGAACACTCTTGGTGTCGTCATTTATACCGTATGCGCCATCGCCGGCCGTGAGAGTCTTGCAGCCATTTTCACCAACTTCCTTGCGCTTATGGGCTATTGGGTGTCAATCTGGATTGCCATCTGTCTTGAAGAACAGTTCATCTTCCGTAACTGGAGAGGTCTTGGATTCAACTGGAACTCTTGGAACGACAAGAGCAAGCTACCTATTGGCATTGCCGCCATCGTTGCCTTCCTTGTTGGCTGGGCTGGAGGTGAGTTTTGCATTACGCTTCTTGAATGCGTATTCTAACCTGAAATAGCAATCCTTTGCATGGCACAGGTCTGGTATATTGGTCCTCTCGCCAAGCAAGTTGGAGAATATGGCGCCGACGTAAGTGGAACGAAATAGCCAAAAAGATGCAACATGCTGACCGTAACTAGANTGGGCAACTATGTCGGATTCGCTTGGGCAGCTTTAATCTACCCTCNNCCCCTCAGATGGTTCGAGCTGAAGAAATTTGGCCGTTAAGAAATAGAAACACTGTCATCGGATGGAAGGTTGGTAGATTGTCTTTTGCGAAAGACAACGTCAGCAAGGTCAAACTCCAATCAGACCGGGGTTTACTTGTGGTAAAACCCAGCGGATTGAGACTCGGTTCCAGGCCGCTGTTCCATGGGGATTACAGTAGCAACGAAGGTGATACAGAGTAGAGGTAGACGAGCAATGAAACAAAGGTTGGACAGTGATACATTATTGACCTCATTTGTAAAAGGGACATCCTGATAATGCAAGAGTGCAGTAACTTCTATCCACTTCGTACCATTTGTAGCTCCACCTGCCACCTGTATGCTGGAAAGCCGAAAGTCCTTCAAGCAAACCTGCTTGCAACCTTGAGGTAATCTTGATCCTGTAATGCTCACCAGCCTTCCAAGAAAAGATAGCTTATCCCTTGTGCTGTCCTACATGGCAAGATTGAGTTGCTTGCGCAGAAGAGCATAGCCAAGCTCAGGAAGATCCTTGACATTCTCGTCAATCTCAGGTTTACCAAGACTTGTGGCAATATTGTACGCATGCAACTTGTTGACGATGAGTTGGCGCAAACCTTTGTCCTCATCGACTGTGCTGGCGTACGCAATCCTCATGGCCTTGACAAGTCCAGCGCAAGTGAACTTCAGAATGTCTTCAAACTTGGATTTGGCCAGTGCCTTGAGACCGGGAATGCCGTACTCGTCGCCCATGGCATACATTCTGGCGTGATCGATTAGGATGCCGTCGTCAAGAGTGTAGTCCTTGAATTGGGTAGTTGCGGCTGGCTCTGCCTTGATCTTTGCAGTCTCCACTTCAAGGTAATCCAGGTGGTAGAAGTAGTGGACCATGAGCTTGACACATCTGGGATCCTCAGCATCGGGGTTCCAATCGTAGGTGGGGAGGTTGGAAGCGCTAATGCGAGGGATGTCCACGACTCCGGTCTTGCCTTCCTTGAAGTCGCCTTTAGGATCAACACGCGTGCGGCAGGCAAGACGGAAGAATTCAGACTGAGAACAGACAATGGCCTTGTGGACTTCGTAGACGTCGGTGCCACAGGTGATAGTAAGATCAGCGTAGTCGCAGCTTTCTTGGAGGCTATGAAGTTGGTTAGTATATATTTTTGTGCCAGATCGAGACACAACTTACTCTGCTGTAGCCTTGAGCAGCATCTTGATCGGCTCTTCGGATGACATGTTGAACCAACAGCCGTGAAATTTGATCCGAGCACTGCTGAGATTGAGACCGGATGATGCTGAGAGTTCAAGTGTGGACGAACATCCACTATATATGCAAGTCGCAGAGATATTCTTGTTTGTCACTTTGAGCTGAGACGCTCGTTTGTGTAAAGCCCTCGTTTGTTTCAAAAGAAATATCGGCCAGACACACGATCTTCTGACTCTGGCGAAGGTCCTGTTCATTGTCTTCTCAATGTTGCCGGTCCCATTGAAAATCGATTGCTAGATCACGCAAACGATAGCGAAAAGTCCAGCCACTTGATATACGATGGAGTATTGCTACTTGCTCTTTGAAGAGGAGAGTGTTATCAGTCTTGATGAGTGGGTGAGAGGCAAATCAGATAACATGCAGTACGTACAAAAGCCTGATACAAACCCAAAACAAGACAAGCAAAACAGAAACCCTACCTGACCGCCGTACTGCTAGGAGGGGAAGAGAAAGCTTCTTTCATCTTGATTTCTTGTCGGGCGAGGATTACTGGGACCTCTGGCTTTTGCTGAGAATCGAACCGGTGGACTTTTGGCTAAACTACATGGAGAGACACGAGCTTCGACCACTGCACCATTCCATCGGTTCGATGTGTGTAGAGCTATTTTGCATCAATATGGGTATGTAGCGAATGGCATTCGTCACTTCGGTGAGGGAGAGCCCGGAGAGTCTCACTTTGGTCGCTTAGTCTGGCTCAGGGGTTGTCACTTCTTGACTTGTCTCTTGACGGCATTGCTATGTTGTGTTTGTTTTTGACAACTCTACAATGCTTTTGTTCTAACGCGATGTTGCTTCATAAGAAACTAAACGAACCTTGAAAACAAGAGCTGTGGTGCGGGAACGGAAAGAGCATTTGACTAAGCACAACAGATTGACCCAAACATGTGTGAAGCCCAAATGCAAGAAGCAGTCTCAGCAAGAAAGAAGGAACGACCAGACAACTTTCAGCGATGCATTGAAAATATTGACAATAATGCAAACAAAAGAAGAGGGACCCAGAACATAATGCAGATCGTAAAAAGTGGTATCATTTGGCTTAAGAACGAGAAAATGTGGTATAATCACCTAGTGCTTACCGCGAGAAGAACCGCTAATGAGCTTCTTCTTGAGATGCTTGGGCATCTTCTCTTTTCTCTTTCGCGCTTCTCCTCCTTGACGGCCTTTTGTGTTCCTTCTTGGTATCTTTATCTTCGAAACGCTTGCCTCTGGGTCTTTCGCCTTCATTACGCTTTCTACGCGGTCGGTCAGGGTCTTCAGATTCGTCTCCTTCGCTTTCTGAACCCTCAGCGTCGCTGTCGTCTTCGGCATCTTCGGTGCCAACTGTGGTTTTATTTGCAAGAAGAGCTTTGTAGACGAGATCGTCTCCTTCTCCTTTNTGTACTCGTGCGGCATCGCGCTCAACATCATAGACTTGCTCAAGAGTCTGAGGAATGTATTGCTGTCTGAAAACTTGGTTGTCGACTTCTTCGTCGTCTTGGTTGCCTTGTTGCTCTCTGGTCTCGTACATCTTTGCGATGAGGTCTTCCATTTGAGCAGTCTCGACACCACCTTGCTCAGAAGTAATGAAGCCAAAGATGGCTCTCTCGGGCAGACAATCGACACCCTTGCGAGCGAAGAAATCGCTAATGTTCTTGATGTCCATACGCAGGAACTCAAGAGAGCGTGGGTGGTCGTGCTCGACACTTTGACTGACGTCAATGACGAAAATGCGGCTTTGATGGTACATCAAGTTGTATTCACTCAAATCACCATGGACCAAGCGGCAGGTCTGGTACATGATGCGCATGTAACCAAGTAATTGAATGTACATCTCTCTCCATTTGGCAGCATTTTCTTCCTCGGTGGGTAGTTGGAAATCGACGTCTCTCAGACGAGGTGCAGGCCAGCCCTTCTTGTTGCCTAGGAAGCTCATGACCATGACATGTTGGCGGAGGTAGAGTGGGTCTGGGCAGGGGATGCCGGCGGCGTGCAAGATGCGCAAGTTTCTGAACTCCTTCTCTGCCCAGACCTTGACCATGGCGCGGTTGTCACTCTTGTTGTAGCCACCACGGAATCTGAAGTCACCAGTGACGTACTTGTCGCGGTCCTTGAAGACCAAAATACTCGTCTTGTAGACCTTGATGGCTCTGTGCAATGGGGCAGCAGGGCCCTCGGAGTCGTCGTGATCCTCAGGAATTGTTGCAGCGTGGTAGACGTTGGCTTCCTTTCCAGTTGACAAAACACCGTTGATCTCAGAAACGACGTTCTTGTTCAAGAGTTGCAGGAGAATCATACGAGTTCTGGGATCCAAGACTTGTTCGCTGGTGGCGCGATCGCTCTTGTCCTTGCCGCCTCCTCTTTCTTGCTTGCCGCCACCGAAGCCAGACTCGAGGTTGTTGAGGCGCAACTTGGAGGCATGCTGAGACAAGCTCTGGACCTGATCATCCACACTGGCTCGAGTATTTGCGGTAGGTTTGTGACCGGCGGGATTTGTCTTGGGTTTTTGAGTGGAAGGGACTTGTTCGTCGTTCAGGCGTCTTTGGCGATTATACGATTTGGTGAAGTCGGCAGGGTTGGATGAAGTGATTTCTGAATCGTTGACCTCGTCGGCGCTGTCCTCGAACAAGTCATCGTAGTAGTCGTCCTGTTCGTCTTGGATTCCTTCGTCTAGTAAGACGCCACCAGCTTGTTCTTGGTCGTTGTTGGCATAGTCGTAACCTTGGTTCTGCGAGAAGGTGTGAGTTGGCTCTAGAGCCGCTGCTGGCGACTCGGTTGATGACATTATTTATTTTGCCTCGTACAATACAAATGATGTCGCAAACAGCTGCAAAGAAAAAAGATATTGGGCTGAAAGTTGCGTCAATCTAGACGGAGCTAACGGCGTTTCTTGATTCAGGGACTCGTTGACAACAAGGTCAGGGCATCGTGTGGGAAACACTTCTGTAGACAACATGTTACTAAAACAGTATCAATTGCGGCGGCTCTGTAACCAACTCCTCCCCCACGTTGCACAAGCCTCATGCCGACTTCATTCATCATCACATGTTGACCGTATCTTCTTCGACTTCAGCATGGCGACTATCTTGTACAGTCCAACGAGACGGCGCCATGATACTGTCTACCAAGTTCTCCACTCGCTTTGCGCCCCTTCTGAACTTTCGTCACTGCTCTCGCCCCCACGCCACCTGCGTCCAAGACACGCCTGTTGACCAAGTCGATCTTGATCTGATCCAACACCAGCTCAACCTAAAATCTCCTGTCGATACCCTTCGATGTCTTCTCTTGAATGATACCCGTCCGCTATTTCGACAGATGCACTTGCGCTCTGTCGTCAAGGATTCCTTAAAAGTTGACTTTCCTATCAATGGTCAGATGCTCAATCATGCAGAATTTCGTGAGTAAGTATTTATACAGTATTGAGCCGTTTTTGTTTATGCATGTATCTTTTATGTGGCGTGGTAAGAGTAGTGAGCTCAGACTGACTTGCCTAGATACATGGCTGTGAAGCAGGGACCCAAGTTTCGCCGACGACTCATGAGAGAGCAACTGTTGAGGTGTCAAACCACTCAAGACCTTATGCGAGTTCTCGCTGTAGCCTTACAGCGCAAAGAAACCACTCGGGACTTAGTAGATATGGACCTTTGCATTGTCCGAGCTCTTTACCGCGCCAGAGATACCACAACCGATCTTAAGGTTTTCGGTGCCATCAGCACAATCATCTCACGTTTCCGTAGGGAGAACCTGCCTCTCACACGATACCTCTTGGCTGTCGGTATCAAATTCGCTGCTCGGGCGCGTAGTCTGCCTGGCATGAAGAGGTATCTAAAGCTGCACAAGGAACTGGGCTTCCCCATTGCAAAAACCTTGTTCAGAGCCATCATCGCAAAGTTCAGTGTCGGAGTTCACGGATATGGTGAAATTCGTAACGGAAGATGGTCACGTCGTGATCTGCTACAAGTTCTTCTTGGCTTCGAGGACACCGTTCCGGAGGACGAACATCATCTGGGCCTGTTTCTCGACAGAACCGAATGGACTCAGTTGTATGGATGGCTCGTTGTCTTGTCCCGTTGCAAGGCATCCGATGAGCTCTGGAAAGAGTGGTTGCTGTGGCAGGACAATCCCCTACGGCTTGAAACAGGCAAAGTGGCGTCTCAGTTCAGCGAAAACAAGCTCAGAGGTGATTACTCGTTCATTGAGATGATGGCCGATGCGGGAGACACCCGTCGAGCCTGGAATATGCTCGGCGAAAGTAAAATCCCCTTCAAGGATTGTCGAACTCGGCTGAGGCGAACCCTACTTCGCGATATTCAGCATGCAACTGTTTGGGACGACCAAATGCCTGTTGATTTGCTCGCACAATATGACTTCGAGTTGAAGAAGGTGGAGAATGCATTAGGCATGGAGTGGATCAGCCTTGGTGACGACCAGGGCTACCACAAGCCAACAGACACAATGCACCAGTCTCTCGAAGCACTCTCGTCGCCTTACTTCAAGATGGAGCCAGACTTTGGTTATCCTCACGACCTCAGTACAGAAGGTATGTTTCAGCTCTTGTCATTGTTGTAACATTTGATACTCACTTGTTTTCAGNAAATCAGAAAACAAGAGGATGAAATGATGTTGCATGTCGAAGACATGTCGATCTATCATCCGACATCTGCTCGCAAATCCAAGAAGAGCAGCAACGACACAACCTCCTAACGACCCATACACAGCATAGCATAGCGTAGCATGATACCCCTAGCATATCTTAATCCTTTACTCAACCCTACACAAGAATTGACCGTTTTCATCTTCCCGTGCCTGAATTGAGGTGGCCTCTGTCACGCGCGCGACAGATGAACCTTGTGGGATCGATTCAATGGTGAACCGTGAGATACGAATTCACATCCGAGCCGATAATAATCCCATTGTCTTTCCCTTCCCGCAATCTCTCATCCACGACTCAACGCAATAATTGAATAATGCCGTCTCTCGCCAGGAGTAGCCCCGACCAGACCAAGGTTGAGGTCTCCATGGGGAAGTGTGTGTGGGAACATGAGATGAGTGTGTGATCCTTCTCCGCCAATATGCGCGCGCGCTGGTGCCAGACCTGCAGTAGCGGCATGCCACCTCGGTGTCATTGCGGCGCTTTAAGCTTCTACGAAGACTTGCAACGTCTCGTGGGGTTGGGTTCTTGTCAGCTCTGTCGAAAGGGGCGTTCGGGAGGCTTGCGGTGTCGACTGACCGACTCTCCATCTCGGAACGACATCTTTGCGGCCGAGTATTACGGACCGAGAAGCAAGCCAACGACATCTCGAGACTGAAAGTGGCTGCTTCGAGGAAACTTCTCCATCCTTATTGCAAGCATGTTCGAGCGGGGTTACCTGGATCTGAACCCTTTGTGCTTTGTTGAACTGGTAGCGATGATCTTTCTGGGGTGATATTGCCCATGGGGTTGGAGGGTGGGCCTGTGCAACACCGTGCACAGTGCGAGACCGACTCGCAGGATCCACCAACACGCAAGTTTCTAGTCTGCCACTAGAAAGAAAGATCGGCGGGCAACAGCACGCGACATCGGTACGTACGAGCGCAAGATCTTAGAACCGAACCTCAATCGCTGCTTCTGTCGCACAAGACTTTGCTTGGCTTGTCCCTCGACCTCACGCTCGAGAGCTCAGAGATGCACATTGGTACAAATCCGTAGGTAGAGTATATTGGTCCAATCACTGACAGAAGCTATTCCCGACGAGACTTCCGACGAGGCTTCCGTACTCGGCGCGACTCGTGCAGAGAGAACCGCCGAGCAGTGGCTCGAACCCTACTAGCTTGGGCACTATTCTCCCCAGACGGTATGAAGGCTTAATCATGGGCTTGGAAACGCTTCTCCGGGCTTGCATGTCCCATTTGGCTCAGGAGTTCTTGCCATCATGGTATACGAGTATATTCTACGAGTTGATCTATGGAGTGGCATGCGCTGTCTAGATTATCTGAATCAGATTGCGGATGACGATGGAAGCATTAAGGTAAGCTCTCGTCATCAGGCATGAGCATCTAGGTCCAGGATACGTACCTGCCTGTTCATGTATCGGCTAGGCTTGAGCGAAACGGCAAGTCAGAAGTACCCTAGCGGCATGCCGAAGCTCAAGCCTCTTTACCACAACTCGTCCCTAGCTCCACAGGTATCGGTTGCTTTGCCGCATCCCGGATCGTCCAGGCCCCGATCTCCACATTCTAGAGTCTGGAGATATCACGCACGGAGAGGTTGAAGCCCATGGGGTGTGTGGGTAGTGCCTCCCTCGTTCTCTGTCTTCTTGTATAAACACCAACGTCTCCCCGCTGTTCGTCTCTCTCCATCATTGTCAATCACAACTTCTCTCTCTACTTTCGCTTCCATCTTCGTCGCAAGGACTTTGATCCTATCTACACACCACAATGCCTTTCACATTCAAGAGGCCTGAAGGCGAGGCCGGAGCCGTCTGGCCCGCCATCGCTGTCGGTGCATTCGTTGCTTTCGGTGGTGTCCTCTTCGGTACGTAGGCGAGATACGCATCGCATGAGTCAATACGGATGGTATCCTATTACGACTTCGTGCTGGTGTATCACTTTTCATATGAGAAACACTGCTGACTGTGCCATTCCTCAACAGGTTACGATACTGGAACTATAGGAGACATCCTTGGAATGAAGTACTGGCTGGAGCTGTTCGCTCCTCACATCGACCCTGCTACCGGCAAACATGCCCTCACCTCGAGCCAGTCATCCGAGATCGTTTCATTGCTCTCCGTCGGAACTTTCTTTGGTGCTCTTCTCTCAGCTCCCACCGGTGATATCCTTGGCCGCAAGATGGGATTGATGGCATGGTTGGTTGTCTTCTGCGTTGGTGTTATCCTCCAAACTGCTGCCACTGCCATCCCTCTCTTCGTTGCCGGTCGAACCATTGCCGGTCTCGGAGTTGGTGGCCTCTCCGCCTTGGTTCCTCTGTACCAATCTGAGACCGCACCCAAGTGGATTCGTGGCGTTATTGTGGGCTCATACCAGGNNCGCGTACAGATATAATATCGTTGTCTAATCACTACTAACGGTTTTTAATAGTTGGCCATCACCATTGGTCTCTTGCTTGCATCCATCGTCGGCAACGCCACTAAGGACATCCAAAACACTGGATGTTACCGCATTCCCATCGCTGTTCAGTTTGCCTGGGCTATCATCCTTNTTGTCGGTCTGCTCATTCTACCTGAGACTCCCAGATTCTACATTAAGAAGGGCAAGCATGCGGAGGCTGCTCGCGCTCTTTCCAAGCTCAGACGTCTTCCCACCGACCACCCTGCTGTTGAGGAGGAATTGGCTGAGATCACCGCCAACCACGAATACGAGTTGTCTCTTGGACAAGCTAGCTACGCCGACTGCTTCAAGGGTAACCTCGGCAAGCGTCTCGCCACCGGTTGTGGTCTTCAAGCTCTCCAGCAATTGACTGGTGTCAACTTCATCTTCTACTACGGAACTTCCTTCTTCCAGTCATCTGGTATCAGCAAGCCTTTCACCATCAGTTTGATCACCTCCTGCATTAACGTCGCTTCGACCCTTCCTGGTTTGTACATGGTTGAGAAATGGGGCAGAAGAAAGCTCTTGCTCTTCGGAGCTATCGGTATGGCCGTCTGTCAGCTTATTGTTGCTGGTGTTGGTCTCGAGCCTACTTCGAACCAATCCGCTCAGAAGGCCCTCGTCGCATTCGTCTGTATCTACATTTTCTTCTTCGCGAGTACTTGGGGACCATGCGCTTGGGTCGTCACTGGAGAGATCTTCCCTCTGAAGGTCAGAGCTAAGTCTCTTTCGATGACCACTGCTTCCAACTGGCTTCTCAACTGGGCCATCGCGTTCGCCACCCCTTACATGGTCAATGCAATCCACACCAACGTCTTCTGGGTCTGGGCAAGCTTCTGTTGCGCTTGTATTGCTTTCGTATACTTCTTCATCTATGAGACCAAGGGACTCTCCCTGGAGCAGGTCGACGAGCTGTACGGCAAGGTCTCCAAGGCCTGGCAATCAGAAGGCTTCGTTCCTACCGTTTCTTTCCAGGAAGTGCAGGATGTCACTGGCGGTGCTGCTCGCAACCAATCACTCACCGAGATTGAGAACAACGCTATGCGCAAGAAGAGCATGACTCACGAGGAGAGCTATGTGGGCGAGAAGATGTAAACAGCCCGCGGCTCTCAGCACCCACCCCATTAAGTTTTTCTGTTTCCAGATCAACTATATCCCTTGCTTTTGGTATTTAGCTCACGATTAACGTAAAGAGGTCGCATCTGGCGAACAGTTTATTATACTTATTTGACAGAGTTCACATGCTCAGTCACTTTTTTTCTCAAACTCCTTTAAAAGCACTCTTGTCCAGAGAATGACTCAACTCTGCACCTTCGTAGAAGGCTGTTTACCAATACACAGTCTTAGAAGTAGCTTCCATCTTGGACGTGGGTAATTGTATGTCTTCCAGGGGATTTTCTCGTCGCCAATGGGGTATGGATATGATACAATACAATACAGAAAGCTACACTTTTCGCTTGGTTACGAAAGGCAATAGGTGTAATACTTCGGTCAATGCGATAGACACCCCTCTCCACTAGTGCCAGAACACGGCGTTCTGACTAACTCGTCTAAGCCCCGCACAAGAACCAAATACAACAACAGTTCCCCCGATATTCATGCCAGCGAGGAGGTTGAGCGGGGATGAAGAGGGAGGGATCTGCACGCTATGAACAAACTGGAGGCTCAGAGATCGTCAAGGAGGAGCTCAATGCTGCTTTGGGAACTTGGGCTTGCGCCAATGTAGCCAGATTTTAATCCTCAATTTAGGGGGGACGTGAGAGTAGTAAGAGGAAAGCATATGACGTTCGGCTTCTGCATCGGTACAGATTCGGAGAGCTCATTCTTAAACAATGCAGACCTAACAACATTCTAATTACGATGAACCTTTCCCAGCATAGAACATATAGATTCAATTACCCTCTGTACTGCAGGATTATATACTTTGCATTTCTAGGGGCCAATACGCCCAGAACCATGAATGACCTACCACAACGATTCATACGGCCGTAGCCAACGCCCGTTTCTACAACCGCACCTGTTGAATCGAAGGCAGATCATCTCGAGCAATCCTTTCGAGACTTGATACTGGATCTTTTCCCTTTCCTACTACAGACGCCACGATTCCTCGAACCATGGTACTACCTATTATCAAGAACGAGTCTCAATGGAGATCAACACACTCCTGAAACAGCCGAGGAAATCAGATGATGCAGAAGACATACTGCAAGCAGCTTGATATCTTGCAGAGTAGAGGCTTGCCGAGGGTCAGAAAATTGCTGTCAAGAGCGGCCAACACGCAATCTAGCATCGAAACAATTGTAGCAACAAGGGCGGCCATCCAATCTGTTCAATACGATCCAGAATCACACCTATCCCGCGAATTTCCTTTCCTGATTCTCTCCTAGACGAGACATCCGTTTCAGGCTGGTTGCTTGCGTGCGGAGTGAGCCCTGTACGTCAAGTCAGAGTTCGCATATCTTCTTTAGTCGACGACACATATGTCATACATGCTACATCCCATGCTGATCTAAGCGAGAGCAGCCTGGGATTCGCAATGTAGATCAACCAACCACAGCTCAGGATGACAATGTTCTCAGCTGATGAAGAATGTTTTGCCGCTCCTATATGAAAAGAGACAAGTTCAAATCAAACAACGACGTTGCAGCAGTGAAGACACTGGCTTCAAGTTCATACTTGTCTTAAGAGTTTCCGCGAATCAAAAGAATTGGTCAGATACAGACCCGAGATAGGACGACTGCAAAGAACGGATCAAGCATTAAAACAAGCTCGAGCAATATGGTGCTAAGAGGAAGCCTTGATCACAAGACAGATCCATTCAACATCAAGCCAGAGGACAAGCTCCACTGGCCGGAACGGCCTTTGATGTGTGACCAAATCCTTTGCCAAGTATACCAAATGAACCAGGTCTTTGGTAAATACGAGGATCAGCAACAAGAAAAAGAGGAGCGAAGGAAGAATCACAAAGGATAGTGAGCGCCAGCTCTGCTGATCGTGGAACTAACGAACTGCTATAGGTTGATCCAGCAACTTCGAAACAGGAGCATTGTCATCATAGCAAAAAACGAATAGCGATCATTTGGGAACGAGTACGTCAGTCCGCAGACTACCATACCGAAGTGCACTGTTAGAGCCATATATAAAGAGCGGAGGAGACTGGTCTTTCTCTCGTTCTCAAACAAGTTCTTCTAAAGATATCAGGCAACAAGTCTCTGTTCTATCACGTCTCTGTCTACATAATGACTTACACCGCCAAACTTCTCCTAGCTGCAGCCTACGCTAGTGTTGCGGTATCATTTTAGCAGTACGATCGCATTTTACGAGCATCACTGACCAGTCAACTACAGCTCGGCCAAATGATGGTTGTCGAGGACTTTGGCACACCCACCAACGAGGGGTCCGGCTCTACGATCTGCATTCCAAGCTGCCGGGTCAGTTTGTACGGCGCCGGTGATGCATGTCCAGACGGCAGCAGTGTCACCTTTGGCGGAGCTTGCCACTTTCTCAACGATGGTAATGTCGCTGGAACCTTGGACGTCGAACCATATGGTAACAAGGGCTGCGACGATTTCAAAATTACATTCAGTAAGTGTGCTTAACAGATTTCGTTGTCGATTGAGACCAGGATATATCTGGTGTGCACCTGCTAACAGAGCGGTACATCAGATAATCACCAATTCATTGCCACTGGAAACAACGGCCAATTCAATCTCGACGTCAGTATACTCAAATGCTACTTGTCAGTCGAAAGCGGGCAATGCGCCCCAAACTCGCCCCCACACGGTGGCTGTGATGTACAGTAGGGTATGAATATCGGTTCATGGAAGTATGTGGTGATCAAAGGGTTATTATGACGGAGAATGTTATGGTAGAAGCCAACGAAGGTGCTCAATAGCAGTGATTTGAGAATATATGTATGTTCTTCATTATTGATAATCACGGTTAACCATGAATTGTTGTGCCGTTGTGTTGCTAAAGCACACTACCACACCATTGTCCAGTGCATGACTTTGGGTGACAAGGGTGATAGAGTATCTTCAGGTTGACTGGAACAATATGCCCGCGCACTGGAACAAAGCTACCGCATCGAAAATCCGCTCGCTGGAGATGTCTATGAAGGAGTCTTGAGAGGTAGTAGTATAGCAAAGCATGAATCATTTGACAGCTTTGTAACATCAAGTGGGGCCCACGCCTGACTGCAGTGATCATAGTAGTCTGTCATTCCGGCTAACTGCTCATCGAAGTCCGGAGCTTTCGAATCGACACGGGTAGAAGTGTAGTAATCAGCAGGTGTTTGCGAGTGACTAGGTAGGTGTGGAAGCCTGCCATCGACAAGCAGGTCGAAAGTGAATCTCCATGTCTTGTCTGTCAACCCCTTTATAGGACTTGAGCAAGAAATCAACCACAACACAATCACAATCTCCTACACAACCTAGCAAAACAAATTCCCGCTACTAAGGCTCAGTCGTAGAAAGCCCATTCGCGGGGAAAAAGCCACCAGATAGACTGGTTTCATTTCAATTGTCGACAAATAAGGAGAATCAGCATCTCCGAAAGTTTTAGTCCGACTACCAGAATCGAACCAGTGACCTTCCAGCGGTGATTGCCAACACTTGGTGCTGGCGCACGACCGCTGGGCCAACCACCGCTTGTCGGAAAAGCGATGGTTGGTGGCAGGTGTGAGGGAGGCGGTAGTGCTGGTATATAAGGTGAGGGAGGGAGTTGGCCCTGGAAGAGATGAACCTACTTTACTGTTTTGTTTTGAGACAACACTGTGTGCTGCTACAAGACTTTCTGCAACCAATAGAGAAGGGCTTACATATTGATCATGATGGTCTACTGGCAAGGAGCTAGATGAAAGGTTAAAGAGAAGGTGCAGATCATAAGTTGAGTCGGGGTGCGGAGAGCCATCTGTCTTCTCTTCCACCTTCACAACTTTGCCTGAAATATTGGATAATCTTCATCTGTCAACCACAATTACCGTCCTGATTCGCCTAAAAAAACACTAACAATCTAACCACGCAAAGTCATGCAAGTTCTCTCTATGCATCATAGCACTTTAAGCGTTCCTCTCTCGAGTCACGGACCAAGGTGTCATAATATAGTGTCTGTCATAATAGTGTCCTTTATTGTTTGGCGAGACCTTAGCCATAGATTCTGGTTCAATCCTCGAAGAGAAGCTGTCTTCATTTGTACTACTTGGGTACTAATTTCACTAAGGCAGTTCTTAGTAGCGTTGCCGACGATGGATGCAAGCAAGAGACCAATGGTGATGGCCAACTATTAAAAACCGTTAGTAGTGATTAGACAACGATATTATATCTGTACGCGCCTGGTATGAGCCCACGATTGTTCCTCTAATCCACTTAGGTGCGGTCTCAGATTAGTACAGAGGAATCACGGTCGAGATAAATCCGCAGACAAGTCGCTGGTAGTGTCTGAGGAAGCTAGTAGCACAATTGAGCATGAATTTATCGATGGTTTTGCAACGTTCAGCTCTCGATTCTAATTCTCGCCCATCTCTGCTGTGGGACATGGCGAACAATCATCGTTCAGACTAGCAGCATAAGATATAGCCTGAAGACTGCCCCTGCAAGTTGAGTGAGGAGCGTGGCTTCACAAATCTAATTTTACACCATATTGACATATAAAGATTTTGAGCAGTCAGATTGGCAGAGTGTATTTTGGGTGAGCCAGAGCAATATGGTCAACCACCACGTCTTCACCCTCCTAGGCAATTTGAACAACTACACCCCAATCAACCAGTACTGAAGGTCAAATCCAAAGCACGCAACTATTCATATAAACACAGAAGATAAGAGAACGAAATGCAAGCCTGAAGCAGAAGATACATTACGCATTAGATTCACTCGGCAGAAGATTCTCCACGAGTACCATAGTCGGCGCCAACGCGCTTCACACCAGTGGCACGACCAGTTATGTCAGACCAGGTAGCACCGAAACGGCGACCAGTACTGGCAAGAAGACCTTCCTCTTCTTCTTCAGCAAGATCATCATCGAGCTGTTCCTCATCAAGACGAGGAGTGCGGAACAACATGACGATGAACACAATGAAGAAGATTCCAAGGAAAGCGAATTGAGCCCAAAAGTCGACGAGTCCGAAGAAGGGGAAGTTGATGGTGATGCGGTTCAGGAAAGAGCTGACAACCGAGGGCGTGCAGACCATACGAGCGACAGGGTTGTCAGCAGCCTCACGACAAGAGCGGATGGCCTTGTGGTGGTTGCTGCAATCAGGCTGCTGATCAGGGTGGTGGGTGGGTCTGTCGCAGTAGGTCTGCGGGCCGAAAGTGGCGTATTGAGGAGCAACCATCATGGCGACAGCGTAGTTGATGGCGAAGACCATCAAAGTAAGCATGACGGTTCCCATAAGGAGAGCCTGTGGAGCAGTGTGACCTTTGCGAATCTTGAAGAGACTGACCCACAAGAAGCGGATGCCAACAGTAGCGACACCGACAACAGAGCCGGCGAAGAAGAGAAGGGTGAGGAGGAGGAAGATGACATAGTCGATGGGGAAGACCTTCGAGGTGACAACGAAGAGCCAGTTGATAGGCTGGAAGATCTTGTTGTGGCCGAGTAAGTAACCACAACCAGTCTTGCACACCGAGTTCTTGATCTTGTCGACACCGGTAACCAGCATGCTGGCCCAGACGACAAGCACAATGACGATGAGCAGAAGACCGCCGAGAAGCTTCAGAGGTCTGAAGACAGCCTCTGTCTTGAGCCAGACACGGATGAACCAATTATGACCCTCACCCATGTCTTCAGCAGCAAGACGTTCACGGCGAACAAGTGTACGTTCTTCTCTGATCAGAGCTTCAAGTTCACGGCGGTCGCGAGTGTCAAGACCATTGTCACGGCCCTCGTTACGGTTCTCGAGTTGTCTCTGACGCTCGCGGTTCTGCATCAACTGAGAAGAGGTGTTGGCAGCCATGGTGGGAGCAGAGATGCGAGGAGCAGTCTTGATCAGAGTAAGGGGTAGGAGAGCCAGGCCAGGACCCGTGTAAATGCAGTATAGTAAAGTACCGAGGGTCAAGAGAAGGCCGACGCAGAAGGTCAAGGCACGCTCACCNATCTAGAACGAGTCAATGATCGTGTCAAGAGCAGGACAAAGGACAGACTTACGATTCTCGGCCAGGAGATCCTTGAANAAGTCGAGATCGAGATGCTTCTGAGGCCTGTTCTTTGCAACAGGGACAAAGAAGCCCACAAGGAAGATGATAACGACGAACAAGATGAAGGCGATTGTGTACTTGAAGGCACCCCAGAGACGACCGGCGGCCGTCTGGCTGCCCTCCTCGGCGGCTACTTCATCACGTTCCTCGTACCAGAAGTAGGTGAAGGGAACAACAATCAAGCATAAGACAGCGTCCAGACTGTAAAGAGTGTAGTAGACGATCTTGAGCTGGAACAAGATGTTGTCGACAGCATCAGGAGTAGCCCAGTCTTTCTTTCTGCCGAGTTTGGACGAAGTAGTAGAAGATACAAGAGCGACATCGACGGGCAACAGTAGAACGGTAGCCAGCAGAGAGAGCACAGTGATGATGCAGACGATCGAGACGACGGCAGAGCGTTCGCGAGGAGCCTGGTAGAGGTAGACGAAGATAGATGCCACAACTAGCAGGATTGCAAGTGCGACGGCATATGCGACCCAGATGAGGGAAGTCTGGATGAGTGCCATGGTGTAAGGCAGGCAGGAGCTGTACGATAGCTTCCTTTTGGTAGCAGAAGAATTGGAGAAAAGCAGCGCTCTTTCACACGCGGCGCATTGCAGACTTACAAGAAGGAGGAGCCTGCGATAGCTTCACACGGCAGCAGCACAAGTCCAGAGGTCCCTTCCCTGATTGCGCCCTCCACAATTGATAGGCAGACGTCATCTTGGCGTTTGTCTCCCGCCCGTCCGTGCACTGATATAGCAGGGTGCTTGGCACTGCAGCTCCGTGTTTCGTGAGCTTCAGCCAGATATCTGTTGCCATCGCCTCGACTATTGCATGCAATGCGCGACAAGACATAATGCAATGCTATACCGAACTCGTGGCGCCGACCGCCGTGTCGAATGCCGTCGCCTTACCATTCGTCGCTCCTGGCGCAACTAACCTCGTCGTCGCGAAGACTTCGTTGCTCCAGGTCTTCACTCTCAAAACCATCGCGACCGACGTCAAACCATCGCCCTCCAACTCCAATGCCGAGACGGGTGCCATAGAAGGCCCTGAAAGTATCCATCGTGTCGAGAATACGGCCAAGCTGGTACTGCTGGGCGAGTACCCTGTGTCCGGAACCATCACTTCGCTGCAAAGAGTCAAGGCCCTGAACACAAAAGCTGGCGCCGAAGCACTGCTGGTCTCTACACAGGACGCAAAGATCAGTTTGATTGAATGGGATCCTCTCAATCACCGCATTTCGACTGTTTCCATCCATTACTACGAGCGCGAGACGACAAATACCCTTCCCTTTGGGCCATCCCTTGCCGACACTCCTAGCTATCTCAGCGTCGATCCAAGCAGTAGATGCGCCGCGCTCAAATTTGGCACTAAACACCTCGCCATCATTCCATTCCGCCAGTCTGCCGATGATCTGGCTGGTGAGGATGACCTTGATACACCTCCACCCACGAAAGCCCCTGTCACTGGAAACGATGTGCAATCCGATACTCCCTACTCGGCTTCGTTCGTCCTCCCATTGACCGCTCTCGATCCTGCTCTCACACATCCTGTCCACCTCGCCTTTTTGCACGAGTATAGAGAACCCACTTTTGGCATTGTTTCGTCAAACAAGGCTCCCAGTCATGGTTTGCTTGACGAACGCAAGGATATCCTGAACTACACAGTCTTTACCCTGGATCTGGATCAGCGCGCCTCCACAACCCTGCTATCCGTTACAGGTCTGCCTTTCGACATCTTCCGCGTCGTTCCTCTTCCCTTGCCTGTCGGTGGTGCTCTCCTTGTCGGCGCAAACGAGCTGGTACATGTCGATCAGGCAGGAAAGACAAATGCTGTTGCCGTGAATGAGTTTGCCAAGCTAAGCTCAAACTTTGCCATGGCTGATCAATCCGATCTTGATTTGCGTCTGGAAGATTGCGTAGTCGAGGCTCTGGACCACACTAATGGCAACATGCTGATAGTCCTGAACACCGGTCGCCTGGCAGTGTTGTCATTCCGTATTGATGGTCGCTCAGTCTCTGGTTTGTCTGTTCATCTGGTAGACTCTGCCCATGGCGGTCATCATTTGAAGACTGCCGCAAACTGCGCTGCCTCTCTGGGACGCGGTAGATTGTTCCTGGGCAGTGAGGATGGCGACTCTACTCTGATTGGCTGGTCCAAGAAGACCTCACAGACACGCAAGCGTAGTCACGCACAAATGATTGCCGAAGATGCTGAGCTCTCACTGGACGAGGAAGATCTTGATGACGACGCTGACGACGACTTGTACGCTGACGAGGCTCCGGTTGTAAAACAGATGGCTTCCCAGACCGCTGATTCTAGCGGCCCCGACAGCTACTCCTTCAGGGTACATGACAATCTGTTCAGTCTTGGTCCTATCAAGAACGTTTGTCTGGGCAAATATGCCACCGATCTTTCTGAGAACGATATCGAGCCCCAACTCTCCTTGCTCGCAAGCGTTGGTCGGGAACGCGCATCGAAGCTTGCATTCATCAATCGTGAACTAACCCCTAGTCCTCTTCGAACAGTAGAGATACCTCATGCTCAAGCAGTCTGGACCGCGTGTGCAAAGCAAGCAGCCCCACGCGGTTTGCCGAAACCTACGGATGGCACACAGAATCCTGAGGCACAGCTTGCATCTGATATGCAGTTCGACCAGTATCTCATTACCTGCCATGCTGATGAAGATGGCACTGAAAGCTCAAAGGTATACAAGATTGACAACGAAGTTACCGACATCAAACAAGGCGATGAAAGTATGAGTTACACTGAGGTGACTGGAACCGAGTTTGAAGGTGAAGGCGAAACTTTGGACATTGGCATCCTGGCCTCTGGTACAAGAATTGTTCAGGTGAGGAAGCACGAAGTCAGGAGTTACGACGCAGGTAAGTCTCGAGAAAATCTCCCCGCTCGCAAATCACCTTACCCATGTCCAAACATCATTCCCATCTTTTCAATACTCAACACGGCTTCAGAGTCGTCTGACCTGAAAGAAACGACTTCGAAGAGTATTTCAGATGCACAGTTGTCTGCGGGAGCCAACACTGAGGATGTCGTATATGTCATCATGTGTACTATAGCCTTTCCAATACAAATCTGTCATCTTCCCAACGCTTGCCATTTGCCACTATATTTGCCTGTTCCAGAGTTGTGTACTAATTAGCGTGCCTAATAGATCTTGGTCTTTCTCAAATCTTCCCGATCATCGATGAGGAGACCGATGCAGAGCTCACAGTCGTACACTCGTCATTCTGCGATCCCTACCTCCTACTGCTTAGGGAAGACTCGAGCTTGCAGATTCTGCAAGTAGACAACAGTGGTGATCTTGACGAACTCGAGCGTGGTGACGCCTCTCTAGCCTCGAAATGGTTGTCCGGCAGCGTATACAAGTCGGAGAAGACTGGCGACCAGGCATTAGCTTTCTTGCTCGATGCTGAAGGAGGTCTTGCTGTAAGTTTAGGCCTATGATCAACCTTTAAACACACGAGCCGCTGATATCTTGGCTATAGATCTTCGAGCTTCCGAACCTCGATCAACCAGTTTATGAGGCTCCAAGTCTCTCAGTCTTATCACCAGTACTCTCGAATGAGAGTGCGCCTCGTCGTAACGTTGGGAAGGAAACTCTGACCGAACTCGTCTTTGCAGACCTGGGCGATGAAACAAGCAAATCGCCGTATCTCATTGTAAGACCGCCCTCTAATACTCAGAGTAAAATGCTTACAGTTGTATTTAGCTGCGCTCATCAGCGGACGACCTTATCATCTATGAGCCTTTCCACCATCCTCCAGCTCCTTCTACAGCCAATTCGTCGTTCACCACAAATCTAAGGTTCCGCAAAGTACCTGGATTACATATGCCGAAGTTCAATGACGACTCTTCACTTCAAAAACCAGCTCCTCTAAAGTTGTTGCCCAATGTTGGAGGATATTCTACTGTCTTTATGGCAGGTGGCTCGCCGAGCTTTGTGGTAAAGATGCTTCAAGTCTGCCACGCATTGTCAGCCTGCGAGGAAAGGGCGTTCGTGGACTTTCTGGTCTCAACAGCCGCAAGTGCGAGGCCGGATTTGCATGGGTTGACACTTCTGTAAGCCACAAAGGTCCCGCAATACTTGGCATCACTGACCATGACACCAGGGCACGTTACGCGAAGGCCAGATCCCAGCAGGCACGCAATTTGCTTCTAACGGATGGTCCGTTCGCAAGTTCTCGCCCTTCTCCGAGCACATTGAAGTCCAAAAGATTGCATATCATTCAGAGCGTGACTGCTATGTGATCACGACGCAGGAAGAGGTCGACTTCTACCCTCCGGAGGACGACCCGAGGCATCCAGCGGCAGACGAAGGTAGGTAAGATGTGACCTGGACAGGAAAATAAAGCTGACAAGATGTTTTAGAAATTACTCTCCGACCCAAATCGCTACAGTTCCGCGTGCATCTATATGATGCAAGAGCAGATCGCATTATCGACACTTACGATATTCCCCCGTACGAACTGGTCACCTCGATGGAGGTCATGCCTCTCGAAGTCTCTGAAATCACTCATCAGCACAGGCTGCTAGTCGCCCTGGGTACCATTTCACAGCGAGCAGAAAACTATGCTGCCAAGGGTTGCATCTACACTCTGGAAATTATCGATGTTGTACCAGAGCCTGGTCAACCAGAGACAGGCAAAAAGTTCCGTGTCTTTGGTAGGGAAGAGACTAAGAGTGGCATCACGGCATTGATGGGCATAGCTGGTCTCGTTGGTACTGCTCAAGGACAGAAAATCATGATCCGTGGGTTGAGAGAAGACGGATCGTGCTTGCCCGTTGCTTTCCTCGATGCGCAATGCTACATCACATCAATGAAGACATTGGCAAGTAGCAAACTCTGGATTGCCGCAGATGCTTGGAAAGGCCTTTGGTTTGGTGGATTCGGCGTAAGAAACCTTGCATGCCAGCGTTGAAAGAGTGTTGCTAACACATCTATAGGAGGAGCCTTATAAGCTCTCGCTCTTCGGAAAGTCACGGTCGCAGATGGAAGTTGTATCGGCTGAGTTCTTGCCATTCGAGGGCCAGCTGTACATTCTTCTTATTGACGCGGATCTCGACATCCACGTACTGCAATACGATCCTGAACGTACGTGCCAGATTTTACCCTTTCACAGGCGATCATGCTGACCCATTTAGATCCCAAATCATTGTCCGGTCAGCGTCTGCTACACAGAAGTACTTTCCACCTTGGTCACATGCCGACCTCGATGACACTACTCCCATCTACCCTCTCACCTTTCGCCGAGCAGAATCCGGATGAAGATATGGCAGACAGCGATAACGAACCCTCAATAACATCCGCGCTCAACCACGTTCTGATTACAACACAAACTGGCAGTATCGCACTACTGACACCTCTTGACGAGGCTACCTACCGACGTTTATCAGCATTGCAAACAACACTATCCAGTATCCTCGAACACTCGGCCGGTCTCAACCCGAGAGCCTACCGCTCGGTCGAGAGTGAAGGACTCGGCGCTAGAGGCATAGTTGACGGCGATTTGATCACCAGAATCTACGAGTTGGGTGCTGGTAAACGACTTGAAGTGCTTGGCAGAGCCGGTGCTGAAGTTTGGGGCATGAGGAGTGATCTGGAGATCATCGCAGGTGAAGGTTTGGGCTATTTGTAGACTTGCTGAGCGCAACGATATCCATTGTTATTCTTTCGCATGGAGACCAGCTATGTTGTGCTTCGCCTTGTATCATTTTTGGCTTGTCAGCGCCAACTCCGCCTGACAAGAGATTCAATTCACCACGTCGGTCAAACTGCTCTGATCACCAGCGGGTGGACTTTTCAGGCTTGCGCTTTCTTCGCTCCAGTACGATCCACCTCTAACATTACAACAGTTATAGAAGACCGTGCTTCAGCATGTTTCGAAATGGGAGAGAACGGGATTTCTGGTTGAGCCATAACATCGCTCCTTCCAACAGCCAATGACAAGCATCCACCAGTATGAGTCATGTTAGTAACAGTGGCCCTTACCTTTCCACAGTTCACCTCAACCAAAAAGACACTTTCCATAATTCTCAGGTTTTATGAACGAGCTCAAGATACATACACTTGTTCAAGCTCGCTATCGCATATTTGACTCTTCTGGAAAGCTGCCTTTCACAATTGATTTCGCACTCTGTCGCCACTCACCCCAAGATACTGATCCTAGAGCTTTGGTGCTTGACATATCTGGTTCCGTCCTGGATGTTCCATACGCGCTTGCCAATGGCTTATTGATTTCACATGGTATCAACACGCTTCAACGGGACAAACAGAAATTGAAACAATCAAATCTTGGCATGAAAGTTGGAGAGAAACGCTGTATCACGCTCTCTTCACCAGTGGGCAGGACCGAGCACTACAAAAAGTGCTTTACGGAGTTTGAGTACCATGTTGATACGGACAGCGAGCTCTCTTCGTTGCTCGAGCCGGGCAAGACGTACAGTATCAAGCTTGCTAGCAAAGATCTGGGTGTTAAATGGTACACTTATATCGACGACCCGTCACTCCCACTAGACGAGAAGCTGCTATCACAACCGTCCGAAACACCAAGATTGGTCAATAGCAAACCTTCAGCTGGAAACGCTGCCTTCAAAGTGGTAGAGTCTCTGCCTTGGCCACTAGAAATATCTACACGTTTATGCTTCAAGCCAGCGACTGAGACCACACCGAGCTGCCTCAAGATCTGCATCACAAATCTAGGGTCACAATCTCTAAGCATACAAGCCTCTGATCAGCAACGATTTCTGGGACCTCGAGACTTCTTCGGTCGCGAAATCATACAAGAACGTTCGCACCGCGCTCTCGAAATGGAGCATCCGCGCTTGTCTTTCGCATTCTCGGTCACAAAATCTGGCACTAAAGAGGCTGCTCCACGTAAGGCGATGCGTGCGGGTTGCAGAGGACTTACATCAGGGAATGTAGATCTGCGTCCTAGGTTCAAAGATCTTCTGACCTTGGAACCCGGTCAACCGTTACTCAGACGCATCGATATTGGTGCTTTGATCAGTGGACTGGACGACGGATTCTACACAATAAGACTGAGAGAAGAATCTATGTGGTGGTGCATGGGCGGCAAAGAAGATATCTGCGATATGAATGATGAAGGCGGGCGTGTTAGAAAAGAGTCGTTTAACAGAGATGTACCACCTTTGGTGTTGAACTCTGCAGATACTGTTGAAGTGGAAGTGGCAAATGGGCAATTAGTTTGAGGCTTGTACTGTTTTATACTTGAAATTTTAGAGGTCTGATTTTTGTTACTAGTACTTGACTCGTCCAGAGGCAGATCTGCTAGATCACCACAAATCAAGATTGTGGCTCTCCAGCAGGACCAGGCAACACTACTCCTTTAGCAATCGGCTCACCAAGGATGGGAAAGCCATCAGCCTCGAAATCAATCTTTTTTGCGTTAGCATATCTGTCTCCACAGCTGCCAGCAGGATTGGGAGAAGAATGGTATGCCATCCAAGTTTCCGTGCCATCCGGACTGGTAAAGAAGCTGTTATGGCCAGTGTTGTACATGCCATTTGCCTGGCTGAAGTGAGGGCCAGTCTTTACCCAACTACTCTGTTCAAGAGGATCGCCACCAACGTACTCGAGTAGACCGAGTGAGTATGAAGGATCCCAGCAGAAAGATCCCGAGTAGGACAGGAAAGTGCGGTTTTTGCTATAGAGAGCAAAGGGACCTTCGTTGACTGGCATCTGTCCATTACGCTCCCAGGCCTCTGTGGGAGAAGCAAGGAGATGCTCTTCCCCAATAGTAAGGATATCGGAGTTTTTGCCAATGCAAAGAGATTGCAGGTTCTCGCCTGTATCATCCCTAAAGCAGGAGTAGACAAAGTAGTTTTGGCCGTTGATGGTAAGGGGTGTTCCATCAATCGACCAAGCAGGTGCGTTGATGGTGCCGTAGAAACCAAAGTTGTCCCATGGAGATTCTCCGCCACGTAGCACTTGAGCTTGTTGAATTGAGTCGTCATCACAACCACCAGCAGAGAAGTAGATGTGCCATCTGATTTTACTTTTAGCTGGGCCCTCGAAGCATGGCATGATTTGTATGCAAAGTACTTACTGTCCATCCACAAGGTGTAGCTCAGGTGCCCAGATATTGCATTGGCGTGAAGGGAACTCAGCGCTTGGGGCCCAAACTGTCTTCGGTAGAGCAGTCTTGAGACCCTCGAGAGTTGTTGCGCGTCGAACACTGATGTCTCGATAGTTTGTTGCGGTAAAGTACCAGTATCCCTCGTGCCACACAATAGATGGATCACCACCGTCCTTGGGCTCCAATGGGTTGGAGTAATTGGCACCGAGAACAGCAGACACACCGCTTAGGGCGAGAAATCCTAGCTTAGAGAAAAACATAATGACGAAAGGTGGTGGAAGATTGAGATAAGTTGAGAGTCTAAGGCTGATGCTCCTAAGCATCGTCTATGCCATGGTCCTTACCTTTCTTTATACCTACGAAACGACATGAGTCTTCTTAGACGAGCGATATCATGCTCGGGTAAACATTTGCTTGGTAGTCATGCGCATCAGAGCATGGAGTAGGGCTCCCAACTGCCAAGTCGAAGATCTCATGTGCAGACATGGCTGTCCGGTGGGAGAAAGATCCTTCAGGCCTCGGTCTGATCCTGGATTACGCAGATGTTCTGCCTTGATGCCCCACGGGGTCAAGGGAATGGAAGACATGATCTGCATGACACCTCGTACTTTTGTGATATTCGCACATTTGCCAAGGTTCACATTAGCCATGAAGGAATGGTTCGGCTGATTGCGGCCCGAGGAAGTGGCTGGGAAGTGGAGGTATTGACAACATTGTTCCTTCAGAGCAAACATGCATACAGTAGTTTGCATTCATCGACACGGTGACTCCTTTGTGTTGATGCGAAGGGAGTATGAGAACGGGGAAGCAGTTGGATAAATAGGTAGAATATATTCCTTGGCACATGCATGAGCTCTTGGCATAGTTTCACCTTCTTCGACCTCATCTCTCGACTTTCGACTTTCGACTTCCGCCATTGAGACGAAGAATGTTTAAGTCATCCTGATACTGGTCTACCACCATGGCTTACCCCAGCCCCAACCATGTCCGTAGCCGCCGCTGTTGTGGTTGCAAGCAGGGAAGCCCTGAGCACCAGGTCCATGACCAGCAGGTCCAGGCACGATGAAATCGCCGGCAGTAAACTCAGTCATGTTGGATCCGTACATGCCACCATTGTACACTTGAATGGTCTTTCCGCCATTTCCTGGCAGGACCCTCAGAGATCTAGTGTAGCCGACTCCATGGCCTTGGCTACTGACGTTCTGCCATGCACCGGGATCGCCATTCTGGGTGTTGAGGAAGAACTGATCATATGTGGAGTCGCTTACGACAATTGTACCTGAAGGGCCGCCAGCGGGAGTCCAGACGGTGTAAGGGCCTGCGCTAGAGACACCTTCGGGAGTTCTGAGCATGGTGTCGCCAACTGATCCGAACTCGAGAGGTGAGTCTGCAATCTTGTAGTGAGTGGCATAGGGTGCGCCGTCGTCGTTTCCGGTGGCGGGATCTGACCAGAGACCAACTTCGTAAGAGCACATCCATTTTCCATTGCCGATTTGTGCCATGGTGATCATGCCGGGTCGTTGCGTGTAGTTCGCATAGGCGACGTCATTGACAACATCACCCCACGACGTCAGGTCACCACTGGACTGGTGGGCGAGCTTCTGGCCATATGCAGGATCGCGCTGGTCAGAGTAGAAGACGTTGACCTGGTTGTCGTAGGCGAGGATGAAGGGCTCCCAGACACAAGGTGCGCCATTGTCGGTGTTTGGAGGTCCACCATAGGCTACCGTTGAGACATACTCCCAGGACACNACTACATATGTCAGATTGGAAACACTGCTTTCTCAAAAGAAGACTTACCCTTTGTCTGTGCTAGCATACAACTGGATGTTGGTGCTGGAGAAGTCGCCAGGAATGCGGTTACCAGACAGAAGAATCGTTCCAGGCTGGTACTTTCCGAAGGGCTGAGCTAATTCGTAGAGGAAAGGCTGAAGTATGATCCCGCCTGTTACGCTGGAATTGCCATTGAAGTATGCCTTAGAGAGTTCCGACCAGCTGGCTCCGTAGTCGGTGCTCTTGTAGATGATGAAGTATTGACCGTCTGGAGGGTTGTATGCAGCTGTAGCCAGGATGGTAGGCTCTCCTTGCTCGCAGTCCTGATTGAGGAGGACGGAGCGAGCATAACTGCCACCCTTGTCAGGCCAATTGGCTGGTGGGACGAAGACGGTTGTGTTCTGAACGAAGGGTGCTGGAGGTGCACTTGGCCATGCCACGGCAGTGGAAGCCAGCAGCGCTGAGGTGAAGAGAGACAAGAGAGAGAACATGTTGACCAACTGCCTATCAGATGCTGAAAGCCTTGGTTGTCTCTTCTACACAGCAACAAGCTTCTTCTTATATTCTCTCAGCCAGCCCGAAAGTTGTTGTTAACCCCTCATTTCTTTCTGACCAGCCTCGTGATATGCTGCATGATATTATTGACCCGGAGCACTTTTGGTTTTTGCCTGTATGCTAGCTGTCAACACGGTCCGGGTATAGGTCTTGTGCCTTGACTACTCTATACATAAAAGGCAGCATTTTCGGACCAGTACGGACGAGTATACCACTCCCCGCAAGCTCACCCCCGCAACGCTACCTGCATGGACATGATCTTCCCACGGCCCCACGGCACGGTATGCATCACGTCTATCGATTTGGTGCCTGTAGGTGCATATGCTGCGAGTAAGATTATGGCCATAGGAGATCGCTGTGTTCTCATTTAGCCTAAGTTTTGTTGTTGACTTCCATATCACTGCAACCACGTCTCAGAGACAGCGGTGTTGTCAAGGTGGAGACAATATGTACTTGAAGGATGCCAGCCTGATAGTTTGTTGGCAATACTATAAGTGTTCGACAAGCATTGTGGTGGCTTGGAGGCTTCTGGCATTAACGCCTTTAACAAGCATTTCAATTGAAACAACCTTGGCGTTCTGCCATCCACCAGGAACCCATGCACTTAGACGGCAACTGCTTGGAACACGGCAAGCACCTAGCTTACGAGACTTGATGTAGATGGCAACTAGTCGCACTCTGGCAGGTGTTCGATCTTACTTGAGGGGATCGATCATGCTACTGTTTTCTTCGCACATGTAGTTTCGGGTAAATATGATTTGCTTGCATGAAGTGGATGGCTGGTTCCTGCCGATCATCGGCAATGCCTCATTCAATCATTGTCAGATCCGAGATCCATCTCGTCTCCAGGATCGCTTTCGCTTTGTTCGAATTCATCTGGGTCTTCCACGGAACCCTCATCATCATCATCATCGTCGTCTTCTTCTTCTTCTTCTTCTTCAGAGTCATCGTGTGCAAAGAGACGACGTACGTCCTCTGTAGGAGCGTCAAGAGGCATGTCGGCATTTCGTATGTAACTGATAGGCACACTTGAGATCGGATCGTCGAGCTGAGTGTATCCGATGGCATCCAAGTTAGGGNNGAATCGTCTGCTGCCAGCCACATGAGCGCTGGGGGCTTCTTCCTTGTTGGTCGAGACTATAGGTCTCCAGGTAACGGTAGAGACGTAGTAGTCGAGTTTGTTTGGACCCGTCTCGTCACGTATCCAACGGTGATGATTCCAGGTTGCACTTCCACTCCATCTCATGATCTCAGGCTTGCAATCCTTGGCTGACAGCTCAGTATCATCCTTACGGCGGAATACCCAACCCTCCATAGCCTGTCTGACTACATCGTCGATCTGGTCTTTCTTACGCTCGAGGCTTTCAAACGCCACACGAAGCTCTGTCAAGCTGTTCGGAAATCTGCAGATGCCGACCCAGGTGGCGTCAAAATGAAGGTTGTTATCGCTCTCCCAGAACCACCAATCTGTGTGTCTGATGGTAATAGTAATGACCTTGGGGTAGAAGAACCTCAGATTAAGGATTTCTTGTAGTCTCTGGCCGTTCTCCAGAGCGTACAACTGAGGGAAGACACGCACGTGTTGTATTATTGGCATGGTTTGGCTTTTTGAGATTGCCAGCAAAGTCCTCTGCATGTCTCTCGGAGTGGTTGTACGTGGCGGTCTACGATCTGTTGAGGTGAGGTAGAAGGTCTGCTCGGCATTGGTCCATGGCAAGAACCAAGCTTCCTGGTAGATGCGCTTGCACGTTTGCAACAAAACTGTGTCAGTCTTTCTGGGTGCCAGATAATCTGGTCGCTTGTAACATGTTGCATCGTCGTACAGCTGAGTCTTGTCTTGATAGTCGGCAAGAGCGTAGCTCCAGATATGGTTGCGAATCTCGCCAGGCAGCGAGAAGAGGGCGGATTGTGATTGTTCATGTGCCAAGTCGGACGCAGAGTCTGCTGCCCTTAATACATTGCTGTCTTGATTTGCCATGGTGAACCAGTTGATGATGGCTTTCAACATGATGAAGCGTCTTACTCCTCTTTATAGTTGCTTGACGCCAGCCGTGTGGGCTGTGCGCTGTTGCCTGATTGAAGAGTCACAGCATGCATGAATCTCATCTAGCCATCAAAGACCTGTTTCTGGCCTTCACGCGATCTTCAGGCGACTGAGGAGTGACCGCCTGTCGGAACGAACGTGATGCGTGGTTTAAGAGTTGGAAAGACGAGCATTCAACCTTCAAGGTCAACGATTGGCAAGACGCGGGGTCGCGCGCGAGCTTCTAAGGTTCATGGAGTCAACCAGCAGGTTCCTACCTACACATTAGATGAGATGCCTAGTAACAATACATTTTCAAGTAGCTAGGGGGATGAGTTTTCTGATGCTCTATCTGATCATCAGAGAATGAATTCGTTTTTCCTCATGCTGATAAAGACATGAAAAGCTTTCCTCCAGCAATGCATCATGGGCCGTCAGCCCAAAAAACAATTGGCAAAATTGACAAAAGCCATGTCACACGCGCAAACAACGACTTATAGCAATAATTATAACATGTTCTGGATTTTTATGTCTGTAAGTCTCTACGTAGGAAAAATCATCAAGATCAGATCAAGAGCCAGGCAAGGAGAGCGGATATAGGCCGGGAGATGCTTGTCAGAGGGGCGACCTTGTCTCGAAACTGCCAAGTCCGAGATGCGGGATGAGAGAGGCTCTCGGAAGAGTCGAGAAAGATTGTTGCCGACTCGCCGCTCTTGTTACGACCATCTTTCCCATCGTTCAGCAGACGCAATACACAGTCATAATGGTTCGTATGCCAGTTGCGCATACATATGATAGCCACCAATTAATTTGCACTCACAGGCGCACCGCATAGTAACTCAAGTCTTTATCACAGGCGCCCGCGTCTTTGGCCGCGCCGTCTCCGAAGCATACCGCCACGCCTCTGCCTCACAAAAATACCAAGCCGCAACCGGAATTAAGGGAGCCACCGGCGGAGCTGGATTGACACTGGATGAAGCCTGCAAGATTCTGAATGTCGGACCTCCCAAGGGCGGCAAGGCCAACATGGAACAAGTGACGGAGCGCTTCAAGAAACTTTTCGACCAGAACGACCCCAAGAAGGGAGGCAGTTTCTACCTACAGAGCAAAGTCTTGCGAGCAAGAGAGAGGATTGAGATGGAAGTGCGCGAGGCAGCGAGAGCAGCAGAGAGGGAAGCAGAGTTGCAAGAAGGATGGAAGCCAAAGGTTTACAAAGACCGATAGTCGTCAGCTTGGACCTTGTTTTGCTGGAAACCATGGCAGCAATGAGCGCGGACTCGCACACCTCTGATCACGCATATACTGCACCTCACCTTACCCCCAGCCTTGCGTCAGGCCATTCCATCTTCGCCTTGGATCTCTCACATTTCGAGCCATCGAGGTCACTGTATTATTTCGGCATGTCTTCAAAGCAGCGCGGCGTTTATCTGTTTTCACTCTCTTCCTTCCCAGGACCTTGTACAGTTCTCGACATTTGCAATCTTGCGCAGCGCACTGCTGAGCATCAACCTATTCTCTCTCCCCCTCTGTGGCACACGGAAGCACGGCGTTGGGCAAACAAAAGAAGAAGCATTGGAAGACGAAGAAGATTATATGTATATTATTATGAAAGCACCCATTCTGCTCCAAATAGCGGAGATAGATGCGGAGCACAAGATTTCTGTTCTCTTCACAGCAGCACGTAATGCCGGAGTAATCTGTCGTGATATATCTACGGAGCATTGATATGGTACAGCCATATTTATACATTGGTTGTGGCCAAGACTCATGATGCTGTTGCTTGCAGTGTCAGTGTAAACAACTCAAGCACATTGGCCATTGCCTGCTCAAAACCCAGGTGTACGTATGGTGTTTCTAGCACTGACTTGTCGAATGAATTCGATTGAACCATCTCAAGGAAGCGTTTGTGCTCTGCTATGCTGGATCCATCTTAGCGAATAAGATGGTCATACTCGTGCAGAACTTCGATTGCATATCGATGTTATGCAATATAGCATCTTCGCTCGCTAGATAATACCAACTTCCAAGTCCAAGCCTCGACCATTGCAGATCGTGCTACGGTATACGTGGACACTCAATGGACACTCAGAAGATGGACAGCGTGTAGTTGATAGGCAATTGTCAATCTCGGACGACAGCATGTGATGTGCATGCTCTATGAATCTCTTGACATGATAAGGACCTTCGTACGTAGACGTGGTCAAACAGTTTAACCGTCTTTGTTAAAAGAAAGCGAATGCCGGCAATCCGAGGGGTCCAGATTGGACAAACGTGTCATGGCCAAAGTCAAAGTGTTTGGTGAATAGAGCCGACGTTGGACCACAGAGACTCGGCTACGATCCGATGTCTCCATACCGGGTCACGAGACGGTCAGGCCAGAAGTTGCAATGGAAAACGTTTTCCTGCATGAGCCCGCAGGCTGCAGCATGAAGATGCGACACGCTTAGACAGTCTGACAACATGATACGTATTGATGCGAGTCTGCTTGCGGCATGGCGAGGAACGGACGAGGAAACAGGTAGTGAGACGGACGATGCATCGCCAGACATCGAGTTATGTATGTATGAAAGTGGGGCAATGATGGTTTGTTTGCAGAGCAGTTTCATTTTTTATCTGGGGAAGAAGATTGAAAAGAAAAACTCTGGTTCAGGGAAGAGAGCGCACTGGCTGCTATGTGGTGGTTTGACGAATGACAGCATGGGCTTTAAGGTATGCGCTAAGGGAAGTAGTCGGCGATTGGTCGAGCAGAACAGGGCCCGTTTGGGCGGAGGCCTCCGTGTATACCGACGATCCGGGCAGGATGACTCTTCTCTCAAGGCAGCAATGGGGAGGGAAGATAGTGGTGTAGAGAAGGGACGAATAGATAGAGGACTCGTTCAGAGACGGCACAGAAATATCAGTTGTAGAGGCCATGTAGTGAATGCAGTGAGGATAGTTCGAGGTCGCGTGGAGAGGGAGTGCAAAGTCCAAAGGCGGGCGGCAGGCGTCTAGCGTCTGCGCCAAGCAGGACTGACGGAGGATGGTTGGCTGCTTCTTTACGACCGACGACTGCCTCCAAAACATCTTTCTCTTCTCCCTTCTTTTCTCGTCATTACCTGCTTCCATACAAGACGAAGACGTCGCCCATCACAACCACCCAATCCCACTCACCATTCATATACCACTCGTCTACCACAATGTCGCCGGCCGCCGCTGCTCACTAAATCCACCGCTAGGGGGCGCCTGTTCGTTCGGCGCCCTCTAGTCACCGGTCCTTCTCAAGAGCTCTTACCGAGATTTATATACACATTCAACAAGACACCACCTACCAGGAGTAGCCCAAGCACAGTCTTGCCGCAACTCCATCGACACAATCCAACAATTCACCCCGCGACATTGCTAAAAACAAAACGGCCACAAGATTAACAGCCGTTGAGACATACAACGACGAGTCCAATCCGAACGAGGCCACCCCGCCCGTGTCCAGTTCCAACCCATCGTCATTACAACAAAAATAATCCCATATTGATTCAACTCAACAATACCCAATGGCCACTTCAATCAACCTGAATACCATGCAGCCTTCGGCCATGCCTCCCNCAACAAATACAAACACCGAGGCTGCAAGCCAAAGCAGTCCTCAAAAGCCCATGAAAAGTTCTCTGAAATCTCAGCCATCAACAGACGGAGCCGACGAAGAGGCAGATGGCGAGAAGAGTGCTACAAAGGAAGACGCAGACACAACTGCACCTGCCATGGCTACACACATGAACATGTCAGGTGCTCTTCAACGCAAAATGTCGGAACTCCAAGCTAGTGGCTGGAGACCGCCGGAAGAGTCGATCGATAGCGACGACGACTACGATGCTGTTGACATGATCAGCAACAGTGACGACGAAGAGAAGAGCATGAGAAAAGCTGAAGAGAAGCTGATGGCTCAGGATGAGGACGACGACGACGAGAGCAATGCTGCTCTGGCACGAAGACTTAGTTTGTCCAGCCAAAACAGTAATCAAGCCGATCTGGCTTATCTCGAGTTCAACGATGACTACCCCCTGGGCGACGATCCTTTCTTGCAACCCTGGCTCGATGCTGACGAGATCATGGCTGCGCCCGACTTCTTCCGCGAGGGAGGTCCCCTGACGAGAACTGAAAGCGAACAAACTGTGCCTCCCCAACGTCGTGTACGCTTTGAGGAGAGAGCAGACATGTCTGATGAAACCGACTCGGACAACGACAGCGATTTCTTCCCCGACCTCTTCATCCAACAAGACCACCTCGACCCACGCTTCCGACGCTTGATCGAGAAGGATGACGACCATGAGTTGTACCAGGACGACAGTAGTAATGCCGGCTCTGAGTGGGACTTTGAGGCCGACGAGATGAGGATGCTACTCATGGAGGAGGAAGATGAGGACTCAGATTCGTCAGCAGGCTCTAGCGGCTACGAATGTATGTCTCGGCCGCTTCGATTACACTTGACCACACCCAAGCTAACACTTAGTCCCTCAAAGCCGATGACGGCGATACGACCGACGAAGAACCTATGCCTCCTCCACCCAAGAGAGCCTCTACAGCACCCACAAGCCCGAGCAGCAACCNTCGCCACTCCCCGTCCTTCCACGGCAAGCTCCACTCGCATCAAACTGCCCCTCCGCAAGAACAAGAACAAGCGCACTCCTACACAACCCAAGATGGGTACCTTCATCATCGACCCTCACCGTCCTGTTCTTACCATCGACGGCGTTGGAGTTTCCCAGAAGAGCACTTTGTGGCCTGCAAAGATCCAATCTGCTGCCGAGAAACAGTTGTGGGAACGCATGCACATGCTAAGCAACACCAACAGCCGTGCTACTAGTCGTACCACCAGCCCTCGCCAATCGGTCCAGCTTACTCCCTCTGGCGAGAGCGATGCAATGAGCATTGGTGAGGAGAATGACTTCTTTGACTCGTTTGGTGCCCTCCGTACCGATCAAGTCATCGGTCCCCCTGAAGCCTTCACTCCCTTCGTTGATGTCACCGCTACTGGTGCTGTTATCCACGATCATGATGCTGCCATTCCTGGTGCTGAAGAAGAGGAACAAGACCCCATGTGCTTCTTGAACTTTGATGATGACGATGACGAGGATCAAGACATGCCCGATGAGTCTGATCACGTCGCTTCACCTACCACTCAATCTTTCTCTTCTCAAGTCACCAACACTACATCATCCCAACCTGGTGGCTTCGATCTGCTTGCTCATCTCGACCGTCATGGTGTCGTCGGATCCTTCCGCCGCAACCAACATTTCGCCAAACACGTCGGATCTCTGCCTTCGCATCCTGCCCTCAGAGCATCTTTGTCCGAGACGAATGCCATGCAAACAGGTCGTCGCGCTGCAGCCAATACACCCATCACGCCTCTCAGAAAAAAGAAGGCAAAGGGTGTTGGAGCACGCAACTCTCCCATGACTACTACAAGTCCCCTCACTAAGAGCCCGCCTTTCAAGAAGAAGGGCCCTATCAGAGGCGGTTTCAGCCGCAATTGATCACAACCTAAGCAACATGATTCAAACATGTCAGCATGACTTATGAAGCAAACGGCAGGTATCTACCATGGAGTACTGGAGTCATTTTCGCGCGGCGAGAGCCGCAAAAGCAACAACTCAAACCCAAAAGCAACAAAACAATCGTCTTATACACCCTGCTTCTCAAGACGCGATAGATTTACAGCAGGCGTTTGCATGCTTTGCTTGTTTCGAGTATTGTTCGAGTTTCGTCTTTTCACTCCGTCGTTTCCATCGTTCTTCCCTGCCTTCTTTTTTCGTCCTTTCAACTCGTTATGGCGCCGGGTTTGGCTTTTGCAACTCACAGATACCTCAAACAGCAATTTTGTTTTATGTCGACATGTTCAGTGCTCGACCTGCTTTTTTCTTCGCCTTTTGCTTTTGCCAATCTCCAGCATCTGTCCGCTTTTATCTTTCTTGGTCTCCAGGTTGATTTTTGCACAGATAGCTTTTATGTTCTCTTTCTTTTCTTGCTCAAAAAAATCTTCGCGTAGATGGATTATTTCGATCAGAATGAAAGACTTCTCAAATTATTGATCTAGATTCCTGTGACCTGTGAGGGTTGTGCCTTCCTTGACAAATTCTCTATCGCGATCATATCGCTTCTTATGAATGATGGCCTCTCGTATGAGCATATCTGGATTTGACGTGCTATCAGAATGCATAGTACTATTAAGAGGAAGAACAATATCCACGGAAGAGACGATGCTTCATGGGCTTTCTCTGGACTTCGTCGCTATTTCGAATACAACTGTGCTTCTGTATAGCAGATTCATAGGGTCATGGCAGTGGTAGGATTCCTCTGTATGGCGAAGAAGTCGATCTTGTGGCTGTTGATGTGATCAATCCATTGTTTTATTGAAGATCACTGTGCTATGCATTCTACAAACACACTAGCCGTTCAACCAAAAATAGAGGTTCATGTAAATTCATGACAGAGTCTCATCTACGAAGCTCTTTGTGTAGTCAGTTGCAGTCTGATTGCGCCAGTCAGACCAGTCATGATTCAACAATCCCCAACTCTCATCCTTATCCTGGCCACCCTCACGAATATAGTAACTTCCAGAAATCACCCATTGCATCCAGCCACCAGGTCCGCCGGGCAAGGTAGTCAAGTACTTCTTGATGCACTGCGCATAAACACTTTCCGAGCCAGAATTCTGATCGAAGCCAAATTCTGTCAACACTACAGGGGCAGTGTTGATAGCTGCAGAATCACCTTCCATGGCGTTGTAACCTTGGTTTCTTAGGCTTCCTTCTATGTCGCCGCAGTTTGTTGCGCTGTTTGCGTAGTTGTGCAACTCCCAGACTATTTTGTCGGCGAAGGCGTGGTCGGTCAGAGAGAAAGAGGTTCCATTACCAATGTCCTTGCCATCCACAATCGTGCCCAACTGCGTATCATAATTCAACCCCGAGAAGAAAATCAAAGACGAGGGGTTTGCTTTGTTAATGCCATCGGCAGCAGGAATCATGTTTTCGTACCACGACACCCAGTTATCGCCTGTGCCGTTTGCAGTAGTGCGAAGTTCGTTGCGCAGAGACATGGAAGTAAATGCTGGCCATGATTTGGCATGGTTGGCCATGAAAGCGAGCCCGCGCTGCCAGTTTGCGACGTTGAAGTAGGTGTCGCCGAACCAGGCGTTGCCGTCTGTGTGGCTGCAGCACCATTCGCCTTTGGAGACGTGGTTGTCGAGGTGCACGTAGATTTGCTGTGTGTTTGCTTCTGCGGCGATGGCGTCGAAGACCTGGTGGATATAGTTGTTAGACCCATGGTCAATGGGATATTCAGTCGTCTGAATACTCACCTCCAGACGAGTGGTATTTTCAGTAAAGGTGGGATTGCTAGTCAAGACTTCATTCAACGCCTTTGTGCCATTTGTCTCTCCTAGTGCTTGGATGAAGGCGGTTTTGAGACTGCTGTCGACACCCCCATAGATGTCGTCGATCATCTCGATGGCGTAGGTTAGTCTGATGACATTCATGCCTAGATCCTTGATTTTGGACATGATGGTGCTGACGGATTGGTACTGTAGGCCTTCGGGGATCATGACATCGGCTGCACCGGGCCAGTTGACTCCGGCATAGACGACTGTCTCATCGAGGTTGTTTTTCATGTCACGGCCAGAGGTGGTGAAGGGGGCGTTCGGCCATGATGATGCTCGTGAGGTGATAGGGTTGGCTTGGGCGAGAGCACCCAAGACGGGCATAAGAAGAAGAGGGATATGCATCGTGAAAGCAGCGCAGATGAGCTGGAGGATCATAGCAGAAGGATGACTTGCCTTTATATGTCAACGGCAATCGTCCGTAAGACCTACTCGATACTACATCGTGTCTTTCTCATGGCAGGCACGTATGTATCACGCATAGCCTCGACGATCTCTCGATAGGAATGGTCGAAAGATCCGTAGACGAGCGCTTGCCTTCTGTAAGTGGATGGCAATGCAAACTTACCCCTCCTGATGGACACAGGCTCCGGTGTGCATTCTTCCGTGTGGGAAAGCAAGGCAAATATACATGTGCAAGACGGATAAATTCGTGAGTGCCAATGCCAGTAGTAGAAGATCGACATTCTTGCTGTTGCTGCATACGAGCAGAATGCAACCTCGTTCAAACGCGGGGCAAGAGTGATGGAGTTAGTTTGGCCTTCTCAGCCCTCGCGATTGTCGCACTCTCCATCCCGGATTATACGGATCCCTTCAGCTATCAAAATGCACAGTCTCGTCTTAGATATTAGTCTAGCCACAGAAACAGCCTTGCCATGGGGTCTCTCCATGGAAACCACATTCTGTGCGAAAGTATTGTGCATTTATCTAGCTACACTGTATCAATCTTCAGCAAACGAGGAGGGTCCGAGTCTCGATAACACACCTGACATTCCTCATAGATAATTCGGTCAGACCCAAATCTATTCGCTTTCGATAACATCTGCATTGTCGCTTGCGACAATGCGCGCAACAGCGCGCCAGAAAGCTCAGCTTTCAAATCTTCCGTGGCGCAATTGGCTAGTGCGTTCGACTGTTAGACATCTCAGTGCAAGGGAGGATCAAATATTGGTCATAACAATGCGACAAAAGAAGCCAGACTGATGGAGAATGAGCAAAATGAAGCTCTCCCGGACAGGCTTGAACTGTCAACCTCTCGATAGCCGATTTGGTGGGACCAAATCTAACAGTCGAACGCGCTAGCCAATTGCGCCACGGAAGATTTGAAAGCTGAGCTTTCTGTGGCTGTTGGATGTGGAGGTGTTGACTAAGACCTTATATGAAGCAAAAGCATGTCCGGCACAACTTCGGCAAGATCATGATAGAGCAGCTTCACGAGGTCACGTCCCGCGCACTATTCGCAGCCTGATCGCACTCATAATGTTGCAAGATCTAGGACAATCTTGTTGAGATCGATTCTGGAAAACTTTCTCATGAATTAATTCTCGATATCACAGGATGTGAAGGAGCAACTGGACGCGAACGTACCAAAGCAGCACAAGATTGTTCATGGGCACTTGCAGATCTCACAGCACGCTTCTGAACAGATGCACAGTTTTTAGGAGATGGACACAATTGCTTTTGATTCTTCAGGTCGCTCCTACCTACGCACGAGTGTGCCATCGAGTTCGAGAAAGGGGTTCCCAGGCATTACTCCTCAAGCCACTCAGGGGCCGGCTTCGTCTTCTTCATCATGACTGCCATCAGTATCCCAGCCATTATCAGACTCATCATCATCGGAGTCGTCGTATTCATCGTCTGTTCCTTGCTCGTCCTCCGCCTCTGCCTCTTCACGTAAAGCTCTTATGCTGTCAGGCATGGTATCCTCTAGCTCGAGGGCTAGGTGGTCGAGAAGATTGCGATTTCTAGCGAGAAGACCATCCGTTTCATCATCACATCCCTTCGGGAATACCATGTAAGTCAATCTATACAGGATTTCGGCCTCCTGTTGGTATTCCTGTCATGGTAAGCGGCGCCCTCTTCTGGAATTGATGAGGTGATCTTACCTCGGCCTCATACCAATCAGTTACCGCGGAGGCAAGCGCAACGAGTGCTTGGATGCGCCAATAAGGTGGGACGTTCGCATCGGAAAGGATTGCTTGAAGTATTGGGATGCAGTTTTGCTTGTCGTTTCTGGGCATGCTGAAGGCGGTATAGAGTTGCTGACTCCAGTTGGGGTTTGAGAAAGTAGTTGGCGCCATCTTTTGAAGAGGATGAGTGACCTTTTGTTGGCTCAGATCCATGGTAGTGATGTTAGCAGTGACTAATGGTCCGTGCTTCTGTATACCAAACTGACACAAACAAAGTCTCACTCAATTTGCCAATCGGCTGACCATATAAGGAACATGCCGAAGTTGTTCCAGCCAGCCGGACCTGGATTTGATGTGGTCAACGGAGTGGACAACAGTAGGGTGTTGACAAGTAGACGAAGGAAAGTCAGAGTCATCATTTTTGGTAGAGAAGAAACAGCATCGAACACTACTGCTTCCGACATAGATAACCGTTGTAAGTCGAGGTAATGTTGTATCCCTGGAAGTGGAACCTGGGGTCGTCCTTTGGCCAGAATAGTATGCGCGTTGCTTGTAAAAAAGCACAGAGCATCTAGACTGGTCAAGCCACCAATGGCATTTTCCTTTGGCCTTCTAGTCTGATATTTATGTTTGCGATTGATCTAGCATTGGCGAGTTGGTAGGTTCCATGGCTTTTTCTATGCTTGCTCTTTGCCGCTAGCAAACAGTCTCCCCTTGTCAGTGCAAAAGCGTATCATCCCTACAAAGGAGAATCCCTAGTATCACATGTTTTGTGGAGCGATTGCTTCATATATATATCTGTGTACTCTGAACAGTGCAAGGCACTGGGTTCATAGTAGGCCCAGGTATAGTGGCCTATCTACACCAGGGAGTCCCTTCACGCACCCAACAACAGCATGACTATCAAGTACCATCTCCAAAGCTTGTTCTTCGCTACTGCTCACGGTCTGCTGTCCATCATGCAGTGGTGTCGAAGACGAACACGGAACCATCAATTGTTTGGTTGCCTAGTCATCGGGTCCGACCAAACACCAATTTTCCGTCCTCGTAATATATATCAACAAAGCTGCACGCGTTCTCTGAATTGTTCTCACAACCACACTCGCAAATCAAAACATCGACTCACGCTCTGCAACAACTCTCGTCTCACTATTGTCGTTCCCCACCCACGCCGCAAGGTAGTGACAGCTACTCTTACACGCATCATTTTCCAACTCGCTGGGCCACCGCGACTCACATTTCTCTTCTATCTGAGGAGGACCAGTGCTGAAAATGGCATCTTCACCATCACCCAAGAGTGTAAGAAGCACTTTCACATGTCACTGATTGGTATTGACACTGACCGTTCACAGCGTATACCAATCAGAGCAAACAGCTGTCCCGCATCTCCAAAGCCGCGTCACATCAGTCTGGCGCACTCTGCTCTGATCACTATACACGAGAGTCCTCAGCACAAAGACGATTCCCCCAGACTCACGAGAATGCCGCGCGTCAGATCCTGTGATACACTGTGTCAGCGGGTAACAGACAAGATTCTACCTCACCTTCCCCAACCTCAGGACCAAACCAAAGATCTCGAATCGGCTGCAATCAAGCTCGATGAAGACCCCAACACATCTCAATCGACCACAAATATTACAACCCCCGAAGCCAAAGCCAAGCAGCAGTCAGAGACTCAGACTCTTCACTGCACAATCACCGCCTCTGATGCCGCATGGCAAGACCACCTCCTCAAAGACCAGAAAGCCCGCAAATGGAAGCTCTGCACCTCCCTCCAGATTGTTATCGACCAACACAACACTCTACTCGCCGACATCAAGATCTCGAGTGGAAAAGCCGAATGCCTCGTCTCACTTCTCGATGATGTTGCCGGCAGTAACCAACGCCTCCGTTACCTACACCAACGAGCAATCGAGCAGAGTCGCGTACTCGACCAACAAAGCCAGCAACTCAACAACGCAAGCAAACTCATCCTCACATCCAATACTTTCTTGATCGCCGAATGTGATCGCTTCCTAAACACCAACGCAAACTCCTACGACCTCTTGCTCGCCGAAAAGAAAAGAGTTTCCAACACGCCATGAACACCAAAGACCTTCAATAAGGATACCCGAGTCCCCAAAGATGAAGATATGGTCAGACAGAATGAGAAACTTGCCATGTTTGTTGCTTCCTTGACGACATTGCTGGATACACTTGAAAGTATCAATGTATTGCTGCTTAAGCATAAAGATGGCATTGATGCTCAGATCTTCGAGTTTAAGACTACGATGGCTGAACTAGTCCAGAAGAAAAATTCCAGCAGTATGAGTTTGCTGTTCAAGTTTTCTTGCTTCCGCTGAAGTGCAGAGATTGCAGATCTTGAGAATGGCTGGTTTTGGTGCTAGAGTCTGAAACGAGTTTGAAAGGTTTTCTGGTGTTTCTGAAGGTGTTTAGATGCTCTCTTTGATGATCTGTTGTGGTTGGTGTAGGTGTGATGTGGAGGCAAGGAAGGCAGGTTCGAAGGTTCTTTCTGACGCCCACTGATTAAATTCAGAGTTCGCAACTGCCTATTTTCACTTTCGGTTTCTGGTCATTCAGCTTATCCGCTACTTCTTCATGTTTGCAGCTTCTCAATTCTCTTTTCGCTTCTCTTTCCTGTATTATTAGCAACCATTGCAAAATACCCGTTTACACAAGCCGAGCAAGACAACTACTCATCATCTTTGTTTGCACTTGTATGAACCCTCGATCTGCCTCCACTGTTGAGGGGACTTCTGCCCACGACTAGAGATGTTGATACGTCAGTAGCTAGTCACATCGCTCCTTCCACCCTCCCCGTGTGCTATAGACAAGTCACAGTGTAGGTATAGAGATCCACAGTATCTTCGTGGCAGAGTACTGTCTCCGCGGAGAAATTCCTAGTGGAAGGCTATCTCAATGGCCAGATTTGTATTCGAATCGTGACTGCATTTCGATAGCTTATAGCTCGCTCGAGGTGTAGAGAGGGTTAGTTGCGAAATCGTGACTGTGTATAGCACATGGAGAAGACGAAAAATCCAACACAACATGGAGCAAAGGCACAGGAACGAAGAGCTGATTTTTCTAGGTTGTAGCGAAGGGAAGCAGCTATCCTATCCTATCGTACACACTTCGCATCCTCACCCCATCATCAGCATCATCCCCATTACTCTTACATTCCAATCTCTTCCTCTTGTCTTCCCCTGTGCTAACTCGTCTGCTTATAACTATCCTCATGCGTCTAAATCTCATACTCAGCATTAAAAAGATTCCAAAGCCCCTTTTTATTCTTCTTAGCCCTGTCAGCAGAACCACTCGCCTCATCATCCTCGTTCTTAGCATCATCTGCTCTAGTCTTTTTCTAGGCGACAAGGTCTCTGCTCTACTCTTAGATGGCGAATTCTTAGTCGGCGAGACAGACATCGATGGGCCTTGCAGATGTTGGGCTAGGGAACGTATACTTTTCGAGGGACTGAGTGAACGAGGTAGGGAGGTTGAGGGCGCTGCGGGTGGTGGAAGTGGTATCGCCATACGCTTGGATGAAGAGGCAAAGCGGGGCTTTTATCACACAATCGTCAGCACGAAGAGCACGAATACGAGAAGACTAGAACGAGCGGGTGGAAGGAGAAAAGAATGGAGAAGCAACAGTGTAGTGAATTGTGCATGATAGTGATAGTGTGCATGCAAAAAGTCTCAAGGACCCCAGAGAAGATCTTTGCGCACCTGAGTTTGCTGCTCCTGCTGCTGCTGCGACGCCGACATATCCAGCTGTGGCGAGGTAGCGGCGGTGGCGGCCGAAGAGTCTATACCCAATCCTCTCTCACTAGCTTTCCTTCTCAACGAGTCATCCACGACACTATTACCACTCTCACCCCTTCTTACAGTTTCACCCAAGAAACCTGCTGTCAATCCTTTCTTAGAGTTTGAGCTGCTGCGACGGCTGTCTAGACTCTTGTTAAGTGTCTTTGTTGCTTCGCTCAGGTCACTCTGCTTCTTCATGCGGATGCTGCCTCTAGCATCAACCGATGAGCTAGCTACGGTGCTTTTGCCTAAGCCGGGTGTAGTCGGGGCGCCTGGCTTGTCTTCGGATGCATGCACCAAATACCACGTCAGTCCATCAGATAGGTCGAAAGGGTTGTCGTTCATCTCGTCGAGAGAAGCAGCGTCGACACTTGTTGAACCGATGCTGCGTCCGTCGAACGAGGCAGCTGGTTTCGACAAATCGACGACACGTTCTTCGATCTTCGAAATGCGAGCGACGAGCCACTCACGACGGTTCAGAACCATGCCTTCGCGTTCCCGCAAGAAATGGTGTGGTGCGTTGATGTTGAAGGCAGCCCATGCGCCAGTTCGCTGGCCTTTAGTCGGCAAGAACAAGGCGAGATCCCCTTCCTTGAAGTCTCGAACCGCAATCTTGGCTGAGGACTCGGCTTGCAAACGCGTGTTCCTTTCCTTGTATCCACGCGCTTCCTTTTGCCATTTGCGAGCTGTGTATTCAAAGTCGCGGAGGCGCTTGCTAATTGCCTCGCTGAAGATGTCGGTGCTGAACAAGGAAACGTGTTTCAAATATTCAACATATTGTGATTCTTCCTCTGCCGCACCGCTGGCTTCTGGCCAATGCAGGAACGTAAGAGAGGATGGATCGTCAGAGACTGCAGACGCTTTGCGTGTGGGAGGGGGTGAAGACATCGAAATCGCCCGAGACAGTGTTGACGTTGGGTCGAAGGTAGTACTAGCGGTGACCTTGGACGCGCGCTCGATGATCATGTTGCCATCTTTGTGAGATACAACAAAACCCAAAGCTTCAAGCAGACGCAATAGACGCGCATTCTGAGCGTACAAGCGCTGAGCGACCTCTTTNGCACGCGCACCACGCCGCCTGAGTTGTTCTTCAACAGAAGCGGCTGTAGATCTAGACTCATTAAGCTGCTTTTGTATCCGCATGATCTCCACATCAAGGCTAGCAGCATGAGTCTGCGCGTCGGAAAGCTGTTCTGAAAGTTGGATGACTCTACCCTCCTCTTCCGAGACACGCTGGCGAAGCACATCTGCACCTGTCTCTCCGTCGGCGAACTTTGAGCGAAGCTTACGTAACTGCTCGCGTTCGTCTTCGAGACATGTCGCCAACGACTCGGCGTGCGCTTTCTCTGCCTCCATCTCGTCTTGTAAGCGAATGAGCTCAGCCTCGCTAACAGCCTGCTTCGCCTTGGCTGTCTTAATTTCGGTCCTTTGAGTGTTACTTTGCGATCGGAGAGATTCAGATTCGGATCTCGCAAGTGCGATGGCATCATTCAGCTCTCTTACGTGGTCCGCAGACTTCTGTGCGAGGCCTTCCAAAGCAGGGACTAGATCCATGAACTTTTCTGGAGGCGAAGTGCTTGGCGACAAGTGCTTGTGAGTCTCCTTAAGAACTCGGAGATTATCCGATTCGTACTGTTGCTGTTCATCTTGGCTCTTTCTGAGGACCTGCAGTTGCTCCTTTAGACGTTGGTTCTCCTCTTGCTGTTTCCTTAGAGAAGACTGAGTTTCCTCGAGAACGGTATGGTGCCTTGACTGCGCGTCTTCTGCAGACTGTTTCATTTTCTCAATCTCAGCCTCGAGAGTCTTGGTTTTAGCATCGATACCAGAAACTTCTTGATCACGACTGCCTAAAAGTCTGTCGATCTCATCTTCAAGCTCCTCAATCCTGTGTCGTGCCTGATCCAAGTCCTGCTCCAGAACCCTACGCTCATCTGCAAACTCCCTCTGCTGTGCTTCCATGTTCTGCATAATATCCCTTTTCGTAGAAACAGCTTCTTCGATCTCTCGTTGGCTATCAACATCCTTCTGCTTTCTGTCCTCAGCATCTTTTCCAGGTTGGAAGTGNTGTTCCTTGGCAGCATGGAGTTCGGCTTCGAGGGTTACGATACGTTTGGCAAGTTTGCCTTCTTCTGCGGCTAGGCTAGAGGACGGACGTCTAGAGCCGACAGCCTGCCTGACCAGCTCCTCAGAAGGCCTAGGTGACGGCGGAGTTGGGCTGACCATGTCAGAAACCAATTCGATCGAGGGCCTGAAACTATCGCCCGTTGTTGCGCGGTTCATGTGAGCATGGCGGTGAAGGATGTCTTCCAGCCTTCGCACTCGACTTTTCTGTCCTCGTAGCTCTTCCTCGAGCTTGATGTTTGCTTCTCTGAGGACCTTGTACTCGTCCTCACCACGAAGCATCAAGGAAGTAGTTCCGAAAGCAGCCTCGTGCATACTGCCGTTTTTAAACGTCTTGGCATGCTTGATCTGCTTCTTGGTGGGACGATCTAAATCTCTGAGCGCAGTCGAGAGCGTTTGCACGACAGAGCTAGGAAACTCCAGTTCATTCAAGATCTGGATGTAGTCTTGCAGAGTCTGTCTCTGGACGACAGGCCACTCAAGATCATCCGCTTGAAGGTTCACTTCGACGCTCAAAGGCTTCCCTTCGAAGGCTTCAGTCTTGACTACATCATCGACAGATTTGAGCCATTTGGTCCGACGGCGCTCTTCCTCTTCCTGATAGGTAGCCATTTCTTCGGCGAGTGTGGCGGAGTCAGACTTCATCTTGTCAGCCCATTCACGACGACGCACTGCTTCGATCATGAGAGAGCCATAGACGAATGGGAGCTTGGACAGGACGTTGAGTGTGTCAAAGACTTGCTCGTCGCTCTGCGACATGCTCAGGTGTTTTAGACTTGAATGAACTTGAGCCAGACGAGACTCGATGTTGGAGAGAGTCTGCATGTGATGCAAAAAGTTCTGAGCGGCATTGTTACGCTGTTGGATCGTTTGGCGAACCAGCGAATTAAGCTCGACGCACAAGCCATCTAGGTTGGGCAGATAATTCCTAGTGTGTAGCAGAGCCATTTTGGAAGCTCTCGCAGCATTCTGAGCATTATTTGACAAGGATCCTACGTGTTCCAGGTCGTTGGACATCTTGTTTACGATAATATCGACCTCTTCGAGAAGTTTTGCTGGCTCGTCTGTGTTATCAACTCGACTTAGATGGACAGTCTGGACAGCTTCAAGCAGTGCATCACTATCCTTAGCGGTTGATTCTAGGGATTGTTGAATGTTGTGAACTCTTTGTGCAAAGTTGGTCATGATGTTCTGAGCAGATGAGGCAGCCTGCTTGACGTGATCGACTTGCACGAACTGTTGTAGAGTGACCTCGGAATCATGGCCAGATTGCTGCAAGGGTATGGCGGTCTGAGATTGGATGTAGCGAGCGAAGTCTAGTTTGGCTGGAATGTGCTGGAGGATATCAAGGTCTCTTTCCCAGCTATCGACGTGTGCCTCCTGCTGCCTAAGCAGTTTATCAACCCACTCTTCCTCGTGCTGGTATTTTTGCTCGGTAGAACGAATGTGGAGGTGCAGGCTCATGACAGCGACGTTGACGCTTTGTTCGATGATAACCTGCTCTTGATGGTATCGCTGTGTGCTGTCTACCAGACCGGCATACTGATCACGCAGGGTTTTAGCCCAGTCGAGACGACGACGGAATAAGTCGTTCCATGACGGAAGCTGGTCATGGTTGGCGATCGAGTCGGGCGGAGTGTCAGGGTTCAGAGGAGAGGGTTCGGGGATGAGCGAAAGGCTGGTGTTGGTCGGAGAGAACGAGTTGGAGTCAAAGACGTAGATTTCGGGCTCGGTGAGCAGCGTCTGGGGTCTGACTGCCTTGCCTTTGGAGGTCAGGAAGACCTGCTTGTTCACGGGGATCTGGGCGGTGCGCTGGACCCATGCCCGGAGGCTCTCGAGGCTGTTGACCTTGGCCGGCTCGGCCACGACTTTGATGCCCGAGTGCGCGACATAGATTGTTAATGACATGCCCGCCAAAGACTCCTCCCTGCTCGGTCTCTAGGCATGCGATAAGAATGTTTGGCCTCCGCCTGAGTTTCACAAAGGGAAGACGCGACTGACGTCCTTGTGGAGAGACAAAAGTCTGGGGTCGCGCCATTCATGTGCCCGTGCTGTCATGCTGCATCATCCAACACTGAGCCCTCAATCAATCTCACATGACAAAAGTAGGTACTAATATATTAGGAAGCAATGCTGTCGCGAGACGGCTTTCAAAATACCATGTCTATTGAACCCAGCCATTAGAGTTAACCCTGTCCATGCAAAACCCCTTTACCCAATCTATGCGTGAATTCTTTTTATCCTACAGTAGGTAATGCTCAGTTGAGCCCTCTTCCTCTTCTGAAATAATCATAACTCGTGTCTTCTTGGTCGCTTTCGCCAGGTGTATGCATTTCTCCTAGACGCAGTGGTCCATAACCTCCAGGAGTCGGTGCTGGCAAGCCGCCCCTTCCCATACCTGCTGCTCCCGACAAAAGGTGTTCGTTATCAAAACGGCGATCGGCATTACCGATATCCATCGAGCGTACACTACTAGCTGGACTCTGGTCGCGAAGTGCTGTCGGTGTCTTGTGGTAGCCCTGGGGATATGTTGTGCCAGTCTCATCGCCCAGCCTCGTCGCTGCTGAATCGCTTGACCCTCTACGGCTATCGTAGCCTGTCATGATAGTGCCATCTTGTGTCATGAGGGTTCCGTGCGACCCTCTACGCACCAAGTCTTGAGGTCTGCCGTAAAGCTCTCCTTCGCCGCCTGCTGCATCTCTGAACTCGGGTCGATTCTTATAGAACTCGAAGTCCATCTGATTCTCGGATACAAATTCGAATGGTGCCGGTACTTCGCCCTTGGCGGTCTTACCAGGTTCGTCGTGCGCCATAGAATCCATGTACACATCCGAGTAGCCGGCCATCGGGATCTCTACCTCCGCGGTACGACCAGAGTAGATGCTCGGAAGAAGATGCCTCGATTTTTCAGAGACCATAGGTGTGATGAGAGGCTTGTAGAGTACAGGGTGACCAAATCGGACACCAACGCGATCTGTACGTCTGGTCTTCAACTCTGCTGGGTTCTCGGTATCTGTTGCCGTCACACCAGTTGTGTAGAAGGTCAACTTGTTGTCAAAGCGGTGTGCACACCACCACTTGAAGGCCAACATGAGAATTGGCAGAGGAGCCAAAGCGCAAACTTTGGGCAACCATTCTGTGTAGCCGAATGTTGTGTTACCAACGCAAACCAAAGCTACCAGAACATCAGACAAGATGGTAAGGAAAATGTATCTGTTGAACAAGACCTTCCAGAATTGACCTCCAGATTCTGTCTTGGTGATGAAGACATACAGAAGCAGGTACTTCTTCAAGTACGAATCAACCCAGAAATAGAAAGCTGTAACAGGCAGTACCAGTGGTTGTATGTAGGCGAAACACAATGCCACTGTTGAGTAGAACAGGAAGTAATTGTAGTATCCAGCGTAGTCGAACGGTGGTGGCGCGCTCAACTCAATCAGCTCACGAGGGGTTGGATGAAGGAAGTGACGAGAAAATGATCCCCAAGCCAGGTTGACAAATTGAGCAAGGTCGACAGCGGCACCGAGATTACGTTGAAGAAGCCAGGTAATCCAGTAGGTCGAGACAGTGTTTAGAGCTGAGATGCCTTTCTGTAGCAACTGTCCGTCTTTGATGGCAGACCAGGCGCTTTCCTCCTTGCTGCTGCCGATGACTGCGTAGACGTAACCAGAGATGGCAGCAAAAAGCGAGAACAGGAACAAGTTGTTGAAGACAAAGAAAGTGTAAAGCTTGTGCATGACGTGGCGCTCTCTGCTAGTCTTTGACAAGTCACCAGCGTTGTTGCTCAGTCGTCGGAAGATGGTAGGCAAGAAGTAATAGAACAAAGATGTTAAAGCAGGAGCCGCCACACCCTGGACGACAGCGAATGTCTTCTGATTGTTGTTCAAAGCGGTCTGAAAGGCAGGCCAGACTTTACCCAGATTGGACAAGTTAGACAGAAAAACAGCAATGAGAGCGTTAGGAGCAATCCAAGCAACGGTCAAAACAGCGACCCAAATATTGTTGACGAAAGTTTGCCAGTTTCGTTGCTTGCTTGTCATGGGCAAATTCTTCCAGATGATATCGTGAGGTCTAGGTGCCAGACGGATGGATGTCTTTTGTGGACCCTTCTTGCGCGTCTTGTATGCAACAGTATGAGCATCAGCGATGGACTCATAACTAGCGAATCCATATGGCATGGCGTTTCTTTTGTCGACAGATTCTCTGACCTCCTTGATCTGCATTTCGAGCTCCTTGATGCGTGCAGTCAGGTATTCGATGGCATCGACTTTCTGCCCTTTGCGGTACGTCTGATCAGATTTGTTGACGGAGCATGTTGGCCGCTTTGGCGGTAGCTTGTTGGGGTTGGCAAGGTATTTGGCAAGCACCGACTCGAGCTTTCTCACTGTTTCATTGTGTTCCTCGATGAGTTCTGGAAGATCCTTAACGTTACGTGCAATGGCGGTACGAGGGTTGGAGCCAGTATCCTTGGCTTCGTTCACAATTTTGACAAGTCCTTCGTCAGTTCGCAGACCTCTTGGAATCTCTGTGACGAGTAGAGTTCGAGAATGCAGACTCTTCTGGTATTCGGGACTGTCAAAATAAGCTCTGCGCAGTCGGGCAACGCTCTTGTAGTTACGCCAGAGGAAGAAGGCAATAGTAAAGTTTGCGAACCAGGCGAGCAGAACATAGCCCCACAGGTAAGTGCCTTGGACGCCCTGCGACGTCAACTGAACAAAGAAGTTCTTCACATCTGTGCTGCCAATAGAGCTGCGGTGCTCGTACATGTTGATGGGCACAAGGATGGCGAGGCCTACAATGGTAATGCATATGAATATGTTTCGGCACATGTTTGCGAAGCGCAAGAAAATGGTGGCGTCAAGTCCGACCTTGTCCACAAGTTCCTGCTCTTTCGTCTTAACGACGGGTGCAACCCAGTCAAGTACACCCTTGCCGACCGGCGGTGGGGCGTGTTTGGAATCGGCATGGCGCGAGCGAGGAGCGTAGACGACGCTGTTGTACGGGCGGGCGAAGCAGAAAAGACAGGCGATCAAGGCTGAACCGCCAATTGAAGTGCCCAAGGCAGACCAGAAAGCATTCTTCTCAATCTTGAANGCCAGAATGTTAGTAAACAGTAGCCCTAGCGTGGACGAATATGGTTGAAGACTTGCCGATTGTGCGAACGGATTTGCTATCAGCGAAACAAAGGTATCGACGCCGCTCGAGGTCTCTGACCGTGCAAGCAGTTGGATTGTTCTTGTCGGCACGTCCATGGCGGCCAGATGTGTTGGCAATGGAATGTTCAGGTAAGGATGTGTGCCGATGGCCTAAGTCAGGCGGCTTGCAGCATCAAAACAATAGCTCGTGTATGCAGGTGCAAGAGAAAATGAAGCGATGGTCGAGAAGCGGATGTATGAGAGCTTAAGGCCGCGACGAGTCTGAAACGATTGGAAGACAGCGCCTGCTCGAGTAGGACAAAGAGAATCAGACACTCAACAATTTGACTGAGAGTGCGTATGTGATAGTCGGAAAGTTTGGTACAAAAACCAGGAACAGGAACAAGAAGCATATGCCCAAGGCCCCAGGGCCACCAACGAGGTCATTCTTCGTTCCAGATCTACGAGACCCTTCTCTCCACGACCATGACGAACTTTCGGTGCATCCATCATTTCTGCTGACGCGCGGTTCCCCAGCGCCTTCTGGTACCCTGCACGTATCTGCCGCACTGCCTTTGTTATCCGACGCACACCGTCTATCTGCTTTTGGCTTTTCTGTGAGAAACATGCTTTTGTGGACACGTGTAGAACGCTACTTTTGCTGCAGCAGAATCAGCTGGCTATCACGCTCAACATCGCTCTGATCCAACAAGTGTATCGAGTGTATCAACTAGCTAGACATGTCTAACACACCGCAAAGGCATGATTGTGTTCGATACAAAGATGATGCTGTTGTGTATCAACTCTCGGATGTAGGCGCCCCAACTTCCAAGACCCATAACATTCTATAAAAGCAATCCTCCCCAACATCCACAACCGCCAAACGAACAAAGATCCGTCGGGAGCCCTTTGAGCCGACCTCTCCATCCTATTCAGGTGTTTCTAGCCGCGCAAATTCCATGAGACCACTGCATGGCTGAAAGCCAGTGGAAACTCAAGGGATCCTCCTTCCTTCTTTGTCTATTTCTTCTTAACATGTGTCTGCTTTTTCAGCCCATGGACGGTTGGCGTTGCGTATAGGCGTTTTCGCGCTTGCCGATTGGTTCGGAAGCAAAAATGTTTACTTTTCGTTCAAAGGCAAAAAAAAGTCTCCGCTGCAAAGCGAAAACCACACGCGACACTGATTGACCACATGCACACCCGTTTCTTGCGTGCAAGGCACCAGGGGAATTTCCACTGCTTTCTTTGCTGCAAAGCAGTTTTTGCTTTGCTGTTGCTTGAATCATGCGCTTTTGGTTGTTTGACATTCAGTGTTTGTGATGGCACGAGCGCTTGAGGAAAAGAAGGTAATGCGTGTCATCGTGCATCCTCTACGCAAACGGTGCGTGTGGCTGTGTAGACAAGATCAGCTCTGGTGCGTTCATCGACAGGAACAGCCGTGACGGATCACTGTCCGAGCTTGATGATCATTGTATCTCGGCTTGCTATGACAGCATGACAGGTGGCTATCAAAATGCACAGTGGAATCCGGTCGACCTATGGTTTCCAGAGAGAGCAGATGAGCCGGCATGTTTTTCATGTTCCAACTGTAGCAACTGTCCAAAAGGTGTCTATAAAAATGCACAGTACAAACAGAAACCAGATCATGACCAGAGAGAGCCCAGAAATTTCTCGAAAATGTGTTCAATATCATTAAGTAATTATCTGATTACCCATCATTCTTATTGCTCGAGACCCGGTCTGCTCGTCGTTCAGAACCTGGGTGTCGACGCGACCTGCCTATACCTATTTTTGCTCTCCTTGTCCAAAATCATTTCTCAAGCTCTCGTGCCATCATTCATCGTCATCTTCAGCATCATCGCCATCGTCCTCTGAGAGATGCTCAGGAGGTTCTTCCCAAGGATGATCAACCTGGTACTGGAAGATGTAATTAGCAAGATCAACATCAGACTTGACAAGTCTGCTGAAGAGAAAAGGTTCCTCCTGCAGAATCTCATGCAGACGAGCAGCGACATCCAGTTTCAACATCTTGCGCATCTTGCCATCAATCTTGGCATTGGTGGGCGAGTTCCAGAATACCATGCGAGTCATCATGAGTAGCGAGTTGGCAGCCAAAGGAGTCTGAACTTCAATTTTGCGGTAGATAAGCTCTTGGAGATCGGTAAGCTCGAGTTTGTGCGCGATGTTCCAGAGGGTGCTGGCGGCGTCGGCGGCTTCTTCGAATTGGCCGGTGCTCTTGACGCCTTCGAGGTGAGAGTGCTCGCCTTCGATCAAGCGAGGGGCGTAGTCGGCGGTGTTGAGCCAGCTTACTAGGGACTCGAATGCTGCTGGGTTGAGTTTCCTGAAGACTACGTTGCGAATCTCGAAACCGTTCTTGTTGTCGCCGGTGATGTGCTTCATGAACGCAGGATACTTCTGAATTAGGGCTCGTTCCAGGATGAATAGCTTTCCCTCGTCGCCAACGTAGATATTGACCTTGAGCGGANNCTAAATGGCACGTTAGTATGTGGCATACAGCACCAAGAACCATGATTTGTAGACTCACTCTTTGACAGGCTCGAGAACCTTTGGCTTCTCAGGCGAGTCTTTGCCATCGCCTTTCTTTTCTTGAGCAACTCGAGTTGTTTCTGAGCGACATAGTCGGCTGGGTCGGCCTTGAGTAATTTGCCGCTGGGCTTCCACTGGGAACCTGCTGACTTAGGTCCTGTCTTTCGGCTGGGTGTGAAGGTTGAGGGATGAGGAAGATCCACGTCACTATCATCTTCGCCGAATGGAAGTGAGGGAGCTGGGGTCTTTGGTGATGCTTTTGCTTTCTTGTTGGGTGTCGATCTAGGGGTCGGCAGGCCAGGGCGTTTAAAAGCTGAGGAATAGGAACGTTTCTTCTTGGTCACTGAAGTGGTTGTGACTTCGTCATCACTGTCGTCTTGTAGTGAAGCGTGCTTGCTAGGCTTGAGGAAGCTGTCGTCATCATTGTCATCGCTGTTCTCTAGATCGATGACCTTGTCCTGCGCCGTTTCTTGTGCTGCTTGTATCTTACAGACCAGCTTGTGGTAGTAATTCAGATCATGGAACTCCTGAGCCTCTTTGTACGCCTGCTCGCGTTCTCTGCCGGCACGAGTTGCGTCAAATGTTCTGTCTTCACAAGGGTCAAAGTCGTTGAGGGCATCGCGACTGCGCCATTCAAATTTGTGTCGTTCCAGAAACAGTACCGGTAGAGCGTGCTTGTGAGGTCGTGGCTCGATCATGCCGGGAGGCACCTGGTGATCTGGAAAGACGAAGCAAGGCCAGTCTTCGCCCTCGAACTCGGTCACGCGAATGCTCTCAATAATGTCTGAGTTATCCATGGTGATGTTGAGTAATGAAAGGTGCCAGTAGCAATAGTGGTGTGGCGTGTAGAAGAGAAGGAAAGGAGGGAAAGTATCACGTGGAGCTTTATATACTGCTTGATTGGTTGAGTGAAGACCGAGGGTAGGCGTGTGGGAAGTGAAACTCATCAGTTGAAGAGTAAATGGAAGGTGGTATCTTGAGTGAAGACGAACGACAAGCAAAACAAATCGACGATGGAACAAGAGACCTGCTCTCCTTGGTAATACGTGCAGTCTGATTAAATTTGTGCATTTTGATGGAACAATTCGAGGAGGGAGGTTGAGCTGGAGGGTCGATATCAAACCAAATAGTCACATACCGGCACAAGCAGTAGTGAGGAACAAACTTGGGTGAAGAGTGAATGATTGTTTACCTACGACTGTAATCTCAGTGGAGCTTGCATTATCGTAGATTCAACTGTGCATTTTGACAGGAGCCTTTAGCCAGTATACCGCATCCGGGATAAACCCTCGTCTCAAAAGTGCCTGCACTGACATGGCAAGAAGACTCAAGGTAGCCATCGCAAGCATTGAGATGCCAAGATGTTGTCTAGCCATAATACCTAGTAGTTGGAGGCCTTGAGAAGGTATTGCTCACCGACTCAGGATGCAGAGAGTTGTTGTTGAAGGAGCGGTGCGTTTCACCGAAACGGAGAAACCACGGGCAGCGGGCAACAGCTCCGGCGAGCACCCAAGCAGCGGTGACGGTGGAGGAAACCTCAGGTACCAACAAACAAACTCGTCTGGATAACTCTGTCCTTACGCCTTCTCTCTATACAGATTGATCTGCAGCTCCAAGAATCCACCGGCCTACAACAAGACGCAAACATGGCGCACAACTTCGCACCCTACCAAAGCAGCCCTCCTGAATCTACACGGGCACTGTCACCACCACTCCGCACATCGACCTCGTCACCTCGCCCTGCTGTAGTCAGTCGCGCCCAATCCAGCATTGAAGACCCGTGGGCTGCATCTCGCATCTCACAACTTCCTTCGCCCTCAGCATACGATGATCTCGAAGCCGCCAACACAAATCAATCGTCGCGGTTAAGAGGAGATGGTTACTATGTCTTCGAAACGAGCTTGGGAATACGCATGGACATTGAGGCCTGTCTACCATATCTACTGCTGCCACCCGCAGGAGGTGTCGCCATGCTGATCTTCGAGAGAAAGAGCGACTACGTGCGGTACGTCAATCCGCTTGGTCAACAAGAAAGAGAGAGCATGATGTTAATGTGACGAAAACNNAGATTCCACGCGTGGCAGTCAAGTCTCGTTTTTGCTGCTTTGTTCGTCCTGCATTTGCTGCTTTCGTGGTCTCGTTTCTTGTCCTGGTTGCTGTTCATTGGCGACCTGGGCTTGATTGTTCTACTGGTCTTCAGAGCCTACCGAGATGGTGAGATCGCTTGTGCCTCTTGCTCACATCTTTTGTGCTGATACCTCTGGCTAGCCGAGACTCTCGACCGATTCGAGCTGCCCTTCTTCGGACGCCTGGCTAGCACCTACGTCGACCGCGAATAGGCTGCTGCCGTCCACATTGACCTTTTCATGAACAAATTACCCTCGCTTGTCTGTTATGAACGATACCCCCGACCTTTGCATACGCCAAATCTTCTTGCTGACCTCTCAGCCTTGTACAAACAAGCCTTGTTGCTTTTAATGCTATACCCTTCTTTCGCTCTCTACAACTTTTCCTGTTTCTGATCCAGACCTTCTTGCGATACTTCGAAACCACCTTCCATCCATTGCTCGACATATTCTCACACAAAACAGCTGAATGTGCCGACATCGGACTATCTTTGCGCCGTTTGTCCGACCCTGGCCTCCCTTGGTATCTCGGCCATACCTATTCACCAACCGCATTGCCACGAACAGCTCTTCGATACGATAATCTTCTGTCAACCAGGACCAAGCCTCAAATTCGATGTTGGTTGCATGCTTGTCGGGTGTCGCTTTGAGTATGCTTCGCCAAGATTGGCTGACTATCAAAACTCCCTCATGCGACCTCCTCCCTCCCGCAACGACCCACTCTTCTGTCCAACCTTTATATACAATGTTCTTTTTGCCCCATTTAACAAGCCAAGAAGCCGTGGTGGTGCAGTGGTCAGCACACTCGATCTGGTAACCTAAATCCCTATTACCGCTTACCTAAGTTCCTAATACTCTCTCTCGAGGATCGGGAGGTCGCAGGTTCGAATCCTGCTCACGGTGCTTGTTGTTTATCTTTTGCCTCGCTTTTTGGTTGTTCTGTCGCAGCGAGAGCCTGGTGAGTCTGCTTTACTTCTTCCCAGGTGTTCTCGCTGAGACAGTTCATTCCATCGTCACATGCTCCTTTTTGGTAGTGCATGCTGTCTCCCTTTCCTAGCTCAATCTCGGTTCCTCAAACCCTCTTTCCGTCGCCATTTGCAAGCTGTAGTTCCTTGTCAAGCGCTGATCAGAAAAAGACGCTCTCAGTATCACTATCTAAGGGCGACTTGACGGGGTCGACCCCTTGTGTTTGACACTTGATCAATCCACGCTCTCTTGGAGTTTTGTTGAATCTGGTTACACAGATTGAAGAGCATACCAGAAGTACGTGTATCAAGATTGCACAAAGATTCCAGTTGTGTGCTGGTTGCTGTGCGTAGTTGAAGTTCTGCTCGAGTTGAGTGCGACTATATTTGATCAGCGCTTGCTTGTTTCTACTTCTTACTAATGCTTGATTTGCTGTACAACAACAATGATATCGTTGCGCAAGACTGGCAAATGTCGCTTGGTGGTTCTTATATACGAGGCAGGCCTCGCACAATCTTTCCATTGCTAAGATCATCATTAACATCCGATTCAATTGTATAGCAACGAGATCTATATGTTCTATTGCGTCTATACTCTAATAACACCGTCTACTTTCCACCAGTCTCACCAGCAGCCTTCTCCAGCTCCAACAAACTTTTCACCGTATCGACAACCATCTGCTCAAGCCCTATAAACTCCATTCCCAAAACCTTCTTCGCCTTCTCATTGCTCAAACCGAAGAAATCAGGATACGCCTCGCCAGGATTTCCCTCTGGCACCTTGCTCCTCAGCTCTGGAAACTTTTCCCTGATGATGTCGCAAACACGCTGATAGGTAAAGTTGCCCAACGTGACGGCAAAGCGCTGGTTGGAAGCTTCAGGAACCTCATAGGCTTTGAGGTGTGCAGTTGCTACATCACGCACATCGACGCAGAGAGGGAATGCAGTATCGCCAGGTTCGTTGGTGCTGCCGTTGATAAAGCGATAAATATCTGCCGAGCTAGTGTTGAGTTTTTGCAGATCCGGGACGGAGTGGTTGGAAGGTCCATAAACCATTGGAGCTGCAACCCTCTCATCAGTATCCATCTCAAAGAACCAAAATAAGAAACAAGACTTACGGCAAATAGTCACAACATCAAACTTAACCTCATCATCTTTTCCAAACTCCCAAGCTGCTTTTTCTGCAAACGCTTTACTTGCACAATACGCCACAGCTCCATCTCCGTTTTTGGCGTCCTCGTATGTGCAAGGGTTCCAATCGTTTTCTGTGTATGTGTAGCCAGGTCTTTTGCCTTTGCTCATATCCACAATAGCTGCAAAGCTGCTTGTGACAACCACCCTCTTGACATTGGGTGCAAACTCCTTGACCGCCTCTAGGCAGCTTTTAGTCCCGTGGATGGCTGGAATAAGCAATTCTTTNTCGTTGTCTTTGACGTCAAAGGCGAATGGGGAGGCATTGTGTATTACACCGTCTACGCCTTTGACGGCGGAGTCGAAAGCGTGGGGAGCTGCGATATCAGGCACAATAGCGAAGGAGAGTTTGGAAGCATGGTTGGCGTGAGTCTTNTTGACTGCCTCTGCCGACTTTTCAGAGCGAACGGTGCCGCGCACGTTGTAGCCGGCTGACAGGAAAGAGGATATGATGTGTGTGGCCATGAAGCCTGATGCTCCTGTCACGAGAATGGTTTGTTCGGAAGTGGATTTGGACATTTTGGTTGGAGTTCTTGTGGTCTTTCAAATTGCCGGATCGTTGTTTCCTCGTGGAGATGTGTGGTGAGATTTGAAGCGGGAAGGAGGGGAAGGAGAAAAGATGATGAGCAATCAGTTATGGCTCGAGTACTTATACCAAAGATAAAACAATCATTAACAATCAACGTGCTCGATCTTACATGCCATCATCTCTTTGGACCCATGTTAGAGACGTAGGGCTTACGTAGCGAATGGGCACGACATTCCATCGTCATATCTACACATTATAGATGAACGGGAAGTCGAAGTCCAGTAGATAGATTGACCCTCCACACTCGAGATTGTCACCCGTCCGCTACCTTGATGGCCTCCCATAACTCCGTAGCTTCCGTCATCTTATCAACCATCGTCCTGGTCCATTACGTTGAGGTGAGATATCATGGCATTTGTTGTTTCATGTCAGAGCAGCACTCAGTGAGTCCAGTAGCCTCTTCTGGAGCACAACTGGAACACAGAGCCTGTTTGATGATGTGATGGTGTGATGATGGCAAGAGTAAAAAATCGAGTCAGTGGCAGATGAGTCAGGCAGACTACCAGGGTCGCCCGATAAACACAACTTCGGATTCTCAAACACTGCCATATGTTTCACATCACAATGCGAGAGCAGTTGCACATATCCAACATTTCAAACGAAGTCATCCCAATCCTGCTTTTGTATGTTATCTAGCTCTCGACCTGCTATTGTACTGTAAAACTCTACATACCGTGGCCAGTAGTGGCGGTACGGTGGCGTTCATCCATGTCTCCTACAATTTCCTGTCCATCCTTGACCACCACATTGCCCTCCTTGGCTGCGCGGCCTCCGAGGTGCAATGTCATGCTTTCCNNCTCTTCGCCTGTTGGGCTCTTGATAGTGATGTCTTGTTGACCGGTTTGTACACTTGTGTCAGTCATTTGAGGCTTGGTTTGCTGCTCAGTGGACTCTTTGCTCTCAGATGCTGTTGCTCCCTGGACAGTCTCAGAGACAGACTCTGACACATAGTTCACGGCGCTGTTGACAGATTGGCCGATCTTGGAGACGAGACTCTCCCCAGAGCCATCGGCAGTGTTTGTGTCAACAGACTTGCTCGTAGTGGCTGTGTGTTCAGACTTCTCGACATCACCCTTGAGTCCATCTGGAGATCGCGTATCCTGAGTAGCAGTCTGACCTGGAATAGGCACCTCTGAGGAGCGATCAGCGATCGAAGGAACGACATCCGTCTCACCATCAGCAGGTTGCTCGCCATGTTTTTCTGAGTCGGCGAGGGCTGCCTCAAAATCGGACTGAATGGCTGATGCACGCTCCATTGTTGACTGCGACAACTTGGGGTCAGGCGTGTCGCCAATGTGACCAATCGCTTGAGCAGGAAGACCTGAGAGGGTAGTCTTTTCGTTGTCAGCGCCTGAAGATGTAGGGGCAGGGGCAGCACCCTCGGTGTTTGCTGCAGCCACCTTCTCCATCTCCTGAGCACCCTTGGCTAGAGCAGGTGAAAGCTGTTCGATGGGTACGGACAAATCTCCTTGATCGTTGATCTGGAAGATGGTGAACGTAGTACCGATTGACAAAGTTGACGCGCCGGACGCGGCTGCAGGAGCTGCGGCAGACTCAGCAGCGGGCTTTCTTCTAGCGGGACCTCTAGCACGGCCCTTGCGAGCATCGGCAAGAGGAGCTTTCTCTTCAGCGGGCGCTTCGGCGGGCTCTTCGTGTTTGGGAGGAGCTTGAGGCCCAGAGCCCAGACGCGCGTTCAAGTTTTCGAGGAAGCCGGCTTTAAGTGCCGCGAACTTGTTACCCGCTGGTCTTGCAGGAACTGCAGGCTTGGCCTTTGCAGCTGGTGGTGATACAGCTCTATCGGTCGATGCACCATCCTGAGGTTGAGTGTTCTCAGACTTCGCGGGTCGGGCAGGCACTTGAGGCTTAGGGCGCTCGGGGATTACAGGAGCCTGTTGACCAGCTGGCCTTGCCGGAACCTGAGGCTTAGTGCTCTGTTCGGGCTCGGGAAGCGAGATCTCGGAGAGCTTGGAAGACCGAGCAGGACGCGGAGGAATCACAGGCGACTTGACATCAGCAGGACTCGATATATCCTCGGCCTCCATTTGTGGTGTGTCAACGGTAGTCTCCAGCTGCAGACTGTCAGGTGAGTCTTCCCAGATATCTCTGCTAGGGAAACGATTCTTGTAGCCAGGGCGGGTCATGTCTTCAGAAACGCCAGGTTTGAAACCAGTCTTAGCCATCCTCTTAGCTTCTTGAGAAAGGAAGTCGGCACGATCTTCAGGGTTGTTGCCCTCCTTACGTGCTTGTTCCTTGTCAGGGTGTTCGAAAGTAGTAGAAGTCGTGAGCTCCTCAGGCTCCTGAGGACCGGAGACCTCAGTCTGATACTGCAGACTTTCGGGAACATCCTCCCAAATGTCTTGACTAGGGAAGTGATGACGAGCCAAGTCAGGACGCTTGACCTTGTCAGCAACAGTCAGAGGCTGTTGGGGCTTGTCGTCATCGTCGGGGAAGAGGGGCTCGTATTCTTCGATCTCCTCAAGAGGAGTGCCAGCACCAGAAGGTTGAGCCTCGCGAGACTTGAATCTAGCCAGTTCACCACCACTGCTGGTTCTGAGCTTCTCCTTACTACGTCTGCGGGAAGGACCAGTAGCCGAGGAATCAGATGCATACGCATCATAGTAGTCGTTACCCTTTCTTTCCTTGGAGGGCGAGACAGCGGGCTGCCAGTAGACGGCTTCGGGGTTGTTTTTGGCAACCTCATCCGAGGCCAAAATGGGAATACCATCTCCGTTCTCGACGACCCAACCGCCACGCTCTTGAGTGTTGCCTCCCTCGGGACCAAGGTCTACGGTAGGAGGGTCGTAACCACCACCATGAATTTTGCTGTGACGGTGGGCTGGAGGGTCGATGTGAATGACCTCATCCTCGACCTCACTCTCCAAAGCGGTGTTGTTCTGTGAGATTTCTTTCAGATTGAAAGATTCCTTCTTGAGAGGGGACTCGACAGCAGGTTGGGCACCGCTCGAAGGGCGCTTGCTGAGACTTGACAAGGGCTTGGGTGAGTTCATGCGGGAAGTGTAGGCTTCAGAAGCCATGAAACCAATCGACTCGTCCGGAGTGCCAATAGCAGCGGGCGAGGTGCCNTGTAGAGATCCACATCAGTTCAAATCAGAGCGTAAGATTGTACAATCAGATAGCTTACCCATTCCGAGACCATGGCCAGAGTTCTGATGAACCAGTTTATTGAGGTCGTCACTGCTCAGGGCCCAGTCACCAGGAGCGTGGCCAGGATCGTAAGGACGATGCTCCTTGACAAGCTCTTCGGGGTGCTTGGCATACCACGCTTTCTCGAACTGATCCGTGGGATCTAGACGATGGCCATGCAGACCATAACTACCAGGAGGACCGTGGAACTCTTGACGCGAACTACGCTTGCGATGGTGGTTACGGGGAGCTGCATCGTTGAAGCTAATACTCGGTGTTCCAGCCTTTGACGAAGGAGTTGGTGTAGGTGCCTGGACATCACCAGCGTATTTCAACATAGGCACTTGGAGACCAATTTCGGGAATGCCATGTTCGTCCTCCTCAGTAGGCTCATGAGACAAGGACAGGTTGGAACGACTGAAGCTCGCCTTCGCTCTTAGAGGGTGCACAGCGTCTCCAGGCGAGCCAATCCCGTGAGATGCGGCTTGACTAGAGTCGGTACGAGTCACGGTCTGGATTCTGGATTTGGCAGTTGATTGGGGCACAGATGCCGTGGGAGCATGCATGGGCAAGTCGGGAGAGATGACTCGGTGCTGTTCGGCAGCTGCTTGTTCTTCTTCCTGGAGATTGGCATATTCGCTGCCTTCCTGGCCGATTGAGGGAAGGCTGACACTCGGGGGACGAGGAGGCAGGTCCTGGGCCGAGAGGTTTCTCTGGCTGTACATCTTGCCATTGGCGTTGGGGCTGGTAGCTGGCATGTCGTTCAGGGGGNNAGAACGAGTGTACTCTCCCNNCCTCATAGGAGAGACAGATCTCTCAGTGCGGCGCTGGGGACGAGGAGGAATTATTGGAGCATTCACGGTGGGGTCTGCAGCCCGCTCTTGGGTGCGAGCTGGACGCGGAGGCACTTTTGGTAGTTCGGCGCTCATGGTTGGTGGTAGTGTGATGACAAGGAAATGTTGAATACAAGGAGAAACTGCAATAATCGATCAGTCCTGCTGGCCTTGCGACCTGAATGTTGGTGCTAAAGGGTCTTGGATAGACGGATAGATGATAGGTACTAAAGAAAGGTAGTCATGTCTCATTGGCTTGCTCAACGCCAGTGCCTTTCCCAGCAGCAGCAGAGGCTCGCCAATGAGACTTTCTGCCAGCCTGTATCTGCCACGCAGATCTGCGATAAGCCAATGCATGCATGCAAACTTACCACGCTGGAATCAGTTGGCCCTCGTATTTCACAGGACAGAGGTATAGGATAAACGTGTGTGTTGTTGCCGTCACAAGACAGGAACGATTGAGATGACTTGGAGAAGGACACAAGGACTCGTGAGACGAGGACAGTGGAAGAAAGCAAGTTAACTTAGTGACGAAACCCTCAAAGACAAACTGCCCCCGATCGGAATCGACGCTAAAGGCGTGACGAAGGCCCATTAGCTACGCCCGTCATATCATTGGCCGCTCGGTTGCACACGGTTCTAGCATGCCTGAGATATTTCTACTCAAACATATGCCTCACCGTCTCTTCCAAAAAGCCCATGCCGCCTTATCTCAATATCTCTGCTCGTCTATCCGACTATCAAAACACCCGTTTGACAACACGTTGCCAGGTGGGCAGCCCGGCATGACTGCGCTCAGATCTCATCCTGTCAAGGGTCAGACCCCATGATGATGCGCCTCCTCGGAGCAACCAAGCCACACTGCCATGCCACACCTGCCGTCCCCGCGCGACCATACATTCGAGAACAAGCCCCCTCTGATTCAGGTACATCGAATATTGTTGAACAGGTTCCTGGAGCCATGGTCGACAAACTGCCATGCTGTTGACATGGTTCTGGTTACCCGAATAACCATTGTATGTCACAGCAGCGACTCTGTCACGATGCCGTCCAAACAAACTCTCTTGCATGGCCATCTTCGATTGTAGGTGGTATGACCATCAAAGCATGACCTTTTTCCCTTTCTGCCATGCGCCATGCAATGCTGTCGTAAGCACACGCTATAACTTGGCACTCGAGTGATTGATCTACTCGGTAACTGTTAACACCAAAGCCTGCGTCTCATACAGCACCAACGTTATAGGGCTACGAGTCCCAGATCGACCAGATGCAACTACTGATGGGATGAGCATTCTCATATTGCTAAGATATCTTCATTAAAAGCGGTTTCGTATGAAATACACTCTGCCCCTCAATTGGGACCGCCTGTCTTTGTATGCTCGAGGCACCTCTCTCAGGTACACAACAGCACCAGTGCTTTTGTGACCAGGTTTCTTTGTTGTTTTGTAGTTTGTGTTTCTCTCGGACCCTGTCGTGTTCGCGTGCTCGCAGAAAGATGCTTGTCTTCAAGAGACAGACTAGACGATCATTTGAGCGACGCCGTGACCGCCCAAAGTCTTGCTTCCAACGAAGCCTTGACCCTTGACACCAGCCAATGCATAGAAGAGAGCCGTGATAAGCAGGACGATCGCAGCGACAATAAGACTGGTCGTCTTTACGGCAAGCGAGATCCATTGGATGACACTCATTGCAAGGTAAATCGCAGCGCGCATGTAATTGGTCTCGAATCGGCGGATGAATGTGTCAAAGGTAGACGACGTCGGGCAGATGCGCAGGAGGAGAGGGACTTCGACAAAGAGGATGATGAACGAGCAAATANNCTGGGGAGATGGTTAGCGCAATGCCTCGCTTGCTTGATGTGCAAGTGCCACTTACAGGCATATCACGGCGAACAGGATGACCCAGTGGAAGAGGAAGATGTTGCCAATGCCGAGACCGAAACACAGGACCATGCTGATGATACCGGCNCCTGTTGTATTGAATCAGCATATGCGACAACTGCTTATTCTGCGTGATTGTTCGTACCATTGGCCGTATATNACCTATGGCGAGTCAGCGCGCTGTGAGACAGACAGCGTGGTTCACGTATAAGACTCACTGAAGTTACGCGACCGAAGCTCCTCTGCGATCGTCATCTTGTCGGTTTACTGGATGTTGGGATGATGCTGTATAGTGCCGCGACGGCGAAGTTTGCAAGGTTGTATGACGGTGAAGCTGTCGTGTTCACTGCTCCGAATACGTGACGAGCGGCTCGGACCAAACTGTAGAGTAGTTTTGGATGTTGGAGAGGTTTTGTAAGTCTGTTTTGTGGTTGATGAGATACAGGATTCACAGAGGTAAGGTTCAAGGACTCGATGGATGAGGTGTGTCTCTTATTGGGAAGAGTGGAATACAGATGCCTACGGAGGAAACGAGAGCTTGCGATGATTCGCGTCGCGCAACAGCAGGAACGGCCGGCGTCAAGTCTGTCAACTTTCCCCGACCTGCTGCCAAAAACAGACCACTTTCAGGGTCCGCTACGTCTGATCATCGTTTCGGATCCATCTATAAAATCTTCTGCGAAGAAAGCAAATTCGCGCTGCGCTACTCATCTCGCTACTAACTTCTGCTAGACGGCAGTGTGGCTTATATGGTAAAGTGCACCGTGGTAAAGACAAAAGGGACAAAGCAGTTTCATCTGTACATTTCAAGGTTGAGAGTCGTGGATTTCGTTGGCCTGATATTTTATCACTATCGGCTCATCAATTGGGCTTCGCTCCTTCACCCGTCAGCCAACTGGCCTGTGTGCACAGAGGAAGATCCAGTATTACATGACATATGTGCATCTTCTTCTTCTTTCTTCCCCCCAAATGCTGATTAGATCGCTTATGCGGCAGCGTAGACGAGTCTGAAGATGTCGTTGAAGACGTAGTAGCTGCCGGCACCGTCGGGCAGGAGCTGGAAGGACTGGGTGTAGCTCATGGGTCTCTGCTCCTCGTCGACCTGTGAGATGGGCTGTCAGTCGCTGTCAATGTTCGATTGCAGGCTTTACTCGACATACAAGNNGAGTCTACCGGCAACAAGGACCAGGATACCACCGGCCTCGTTGGAGGGCTGAGCGTCCAAGCTGGAAACCTCGTGCTGAACCTTGGCGAAAGGCAGACCNCTAAACACTGCTTAGTCTCTTCTCTTATGTGCCCAAGGACTGGAGCTTGCGCAACATACAACGAGCTTCTCGGTAATGCCAGCGGCACCTTGAACGGGGGAGTTCTCAAAGGTGAGCATAGAGTGGTCCTTCTGTAGTTTCCAATCATATCAGGATGTGTTCTTCTCTTGCAACATTCATGGTCGGTGTATCCGTACGTAAAGGGCACCGAGGGCAGAGCGGTTCTCATCAAAGGTCTTGTAGTAGAACTGAACGAATTGTTCTGAATGTCACATTAGGCTCCGGGGTCGCTCCATGAGGATTTGATGTTTGCGCATACCAGCGATGTTCTGGAAGTCTATTTGGGTACCATGTCAGCCATTGTGTGCTTGTGGGTCTAGGGCGCTTGCGAGCAAGAGGGGTGGAGGTAACACGCTGTCCGAGGACTCGAGAGTCGCGTAGACTTACCGGCCATGTTAACGGAGTGTGTTGGAGAAGCGCAACGAAAGATGGTGTATAAGAAATGAAGGTAGACTGCTAGTGAAAGCTTTCGAGTTGTGACAGAACGTCGTCGACTCTCTTGTGTTGATGGCGGGGCTGCCAAAGAGCCCACTCGGCGTTTTCCGCCCGACGCATAAAGTCGACTTCCAAGTTTTCTTCTCTTCCTTTCTCTCACGACCGCATCAAACATCAACAAACAATTGCTGCTGCCATACATCGGGGCAGCGGCCATGTCGTACTCTGTAAGTATGCTTCTTCTTTCAAACACTTCCCGCTCATTATGATGAACACAACAAACGATAACTTATGAATCCACAAGCCCTCCTTCGGGACGTAACCTTGTGGAGCCTCAAAATGGACTTCAAACACCCACTTGAGGTTCCTTGATTGTCAAACAAGCTCAACAGTCTGATCCACAGCACCTCATCCCTTTCTAGTCACCATTACTCTGATTCAGAACATCAACTAACACCATAAAGTGTACAGGCATTTGTCATTGCAGTCATAAGATATAATTCTAGCTAGCCTTTTAATCATAATGCAAGCTCCATGCTGCCTTTTCATCTATGCACCGACCGACTGGAATGACTTGACAGTGTCCTTGATTGACTCGTGAAGTGACTTGAACTGGACGCCCAGCACCTCCTTGGTTCTGCTGTTGTCGTAGCTGTACACACCATCCTTGGGGTAGTCGCCGCCAGGGGTGCTCTCTGAAGGCAAGTCCTTTGTCTGAGGATATTCCTTCTTGATGATCTCAGAAATCTCCTTGTTGGAGAAGTGGCCAGCAGTGACGAAGAATCTCTTGTTGCTTGCAGCCTCGACTTCCATTGCCTTGACGTGGCAGAGTGCAAGGTCGCGGACATCAACCCACAAGAAGGTACCAGTCTCGGCGATCTGCTCCTTGGCCTTACCCTGGTAGATGTCTCTGATGCGCTGGTTGCTGGTGTTCAACGCGTCGAGCGAGTTCAGGTAGTGGACGATGGGACCAAGAACAAGAGGAGGGTTCATTGTAGCGATGGTGAAGTTGGGCTTCTCCTTCTCGAGGAAATCCCACGAAGCCTTCTCGGCAAAGGTCTTGCTAGCACGGTATCCTGCAGCAGGGTTCTCGAGAGCCTCCTGGTGAGTGATGGGGTTCCAGTCGGCTTCGGAGTAGGTGTGACCAGGCCAATTGCCCTTGCTGGGGTTGATGATGGCAGCGAAACTCGAAGTGATGACAACGCGCTTGACTGATGGTGCACTCTTCTTGATCGACTTCAGGATGCCGGTGGTTCCGATGACGGCTGGGTCGAGCAGCTCNCTAGGATACGGTTAGCAGATGGACAAACTCGAAGTGTTCCGGCCAATGGTTCTGCTAGGTAGTACGCATTGAAGCAACTACGATAGAGCTAATCATGGGAAGGGAAGGTTGCAACTAACCTTCTGAACGTCTGTGACATTGAAGTGGAAGGGAGAAGCAGTGTGAATGACGGCCTCGAAAGGAGGGTCTGACACGACAGCTTTGTCAAGNGCGCCCTCCTGTGCAATGTCTTCGACAATAGCAAAGGAGAGCTGCTTCTCGGAAGCATTGGGGTGGGCCTCCTTGATCTTGTTGGCCTTTTCCTGGGAGCGGACAGTCGTCACGACCGAGTGGCCATGCTCGAGCAGGATGTCAAGAACGTGGGCGGCAATGAAGCCAGAGCCTCCAGTCAAANNAAGTACGCGGGTCATGATGGTTTGTGTGGTTGGGGGATAATTGGGTTTGTGGGAAATGACGGTTGAGAGAGGGGCAATGCTGGAATATATATCGTCCAAAGACTCCAGCCGCCGCCGATGATAACATATTAGCTTAGGCTGATGAGACATAGTCACCTATTGCCTATCTCCGTCATCATAACTCCATCCTGGGAAGAAGTCCGTTCATGGTTTTGCTGTGTCATCACTGATCGCTGCAAGGTTGTTCACTTCTTTGAGAGTTGCCTATGATACATATTTCATTGAGGAGAGTAGCCAATGTCACACACTGAAATGATATTATAAATGAATTGCCTTGAATAGGTAACAGTCGAGGAGTTAAGGTAGACTGAGCTGGAGAGCAAGGTGGGGCATCAATGTCCCGAAGTCGCGGCTTCTCAAAACGAACGTCATCAGGGTCGCCAAGGCTGGAGTAAATGTCACCGACGCTTCCCAATTCTGCATCAAGCGTCTGTGTTGGTCCTATCACTCCCACCATGCCTGAGGATCGTTATCATTCTTCAGGCGGCGGTCACGTTCACCAACCCACTCAAGACGTGACCGTGACCGTGATCATCATTCCAAACGCCGAAGTCGATCTCCAGCTCCAGTACAACTGCCCTTGAACGCGCGTGCTCTTGTCAAACATGATTTGAAACAGTTCAAACGATTGTTCGCCCTATACCTTGATATTCAGAAGCAGATCGACATATATGAATTGGACGAGACTGAGATCAAAGGTAGGTGGAAGTCATTCATGGGCAAATGGTTAGTGTTGCAACGTCCTCAGCCTACCAAAGACTCAGCATCTAACTAATAGTAGGNNAATCGCGCCGAGCTAGCAGAAGGCTGGTATGACCCTGTGACCAAGGAGAAAGCCGACCGCGCTGCTTCTGAAGCAAAGACCACGCGCCGCAGTCCGCCGTCGAGAAAGCAACCAGAACAAGACCATCGCCAGCATGATCAACAAGCAGCTGCGGACCAGAACGATAGCGATGACGAATATGGGCCTCCACTGCCGACTAATGCAAGTCGTGTTGGACCTACAGTACCATCCATCCAAGATCTCCAATACAGAAATGGTAGGCTTCAATGTGTCAGGTGATCCGCAGACAAGTCACTGAGCGCTCACACTCCACAGNAACTTGCCGAGGAAGACGATCTCGCTCGCCGACAAGACCTACGTTTCGACCGCAAGATGGACCGCAAACTACAAAAGGAGCGCTTAGNNAAGAACTCAACCCACGCGCCGAACCCCGGCTCGCGCGAACGTCAACTCGAAAAGAAGCGCGAGAAAGCTGTCGCCAATCGTGCCTTCCGGGAGGAAAAATCTCCAGGAGCCGAGGAAGTTGGCGAGAGTGACCTCATAGGCGGCGAGGATGGCATCAAGGCTCATATCCAAGCCACCCAGCGTANNAAAAAGTCGGAACGTGAATTGAGGAAGGAGGAAATTCTCCGCGCTCGTGAGGCCGAACGTGAGGAGCGACTCGCACATCACAGAGCCAAGGAAGACAAGACTATGGAAATGCTCAAANATCTTGCCAGACAGCGCTACGGCTGATGTCTTTACCAAGACGACCAAGTGTCGATCGCTTGCCGCTACGCATACTGATGCAACACGGTGACCAATTACCGGTCCTTTTTAAGCGCCTGACGCCTGTCAAAGCAGCCTTATCAAACGATATCAGCCACGATGCGGCAAAGAGAAGGTCACAATGCACAATCGGTGGAAGGAAACTTGTGTCGCACAACTCCCTGATTGTTCCAAAGCGGAACGTGTGAGTATTGCCGCATTCTCCACCACTGGAACTGCAACGTTCATCCACAGCTCGATGGAACCCCTCATGGCGACACAGCCTTCACGGCAGTTGCAGCGAAAGTCTCAGTTATAAAACGAGCTGTCAACTTACATAAAGATATACTTAACCCATCTGCAACGCTATCGAACCGGCCCGCGGATACCGACATGCAAAAACGCACGACGTGTAACTCTTTTGACGCCTTAGGCGAGTCTATGCTGTGCTGGCCAGGTATAGACTTCACCATGGATGCAGAGTCTGTCGAAGTTTATGGCGATGTATCTGATACTATCGAATGGGGACTGGAAGACGTTACCACTAGCAAGGAACCTTCAAGGACGTCTCAGATATGCAGCGGTCCACGCTTGATACCCAAAATTCGCATGCAAGATCAAGCTCCAGAAGCAAGTGCATTTTTGGATCATGGTTTCAATGCAGGGGTTCGATCTTCCAACTCCAACCCGTCCCTGCAACGATACGTGGATCCCAGTACGACCACTACGTCTTCTCGTTTGACCCCTGATGAAGGAATGTACCACAGTTTTGCCCAACGGGGTAGTAGTTCAGAACAGTTTCAGAAGACTACATCATACTCTCCTCTGGAACTCGCTTCCTCGGATGCTTGGGCGCCTGCGTCCGAAGATCACTGCAATTCATTCCCATCAATCAATGGGCCATATCCTCGCCTGACCGACTATTCCACCGATGGGCCTTACTGGATTCCCGGTGAACCGTTTTAGTCCTATCTCCCCAATTCCAGCGATCAGAGAGACTCGCCTTTGGCGCGCAAGTCCTTGGAGACCGCGCCATCAGTGAAAGCAATCGATCCTACTATGTTTCCCTCCTCGCTTCCAAAGGGCAAGCGAGGCTTGGCTCGGAAATCTCGCCAGAGCTTGAATCAGATGCAACTGTCGTCTATCGCCGGCCAGAGTTCCGGCTCGAAGAGAACATCGCTGCTTGTCTACCTCAGTCTTCCCAATGCTGCCCTCTCCTTAGTAGAGCGCATTGTGGAGCCTGGTCCAGGTCGTGACAAGCACTTCTTTNTCGATGTACGCAATGTACGCAGCTGGTCTAGTTTCAGCCTCGAGACTATGCTTGATGTACCAGAGCTACGATCGCTGCTTCATCGCGAAGTGCCGTGCGACACCTTTTCGACTCCTCATCCTGTTGGCACCTCGCCAGCCACGCGTGAGCAGTTGCACCTAGCATATCGTGACCATTTTGGAGTCAAGCTCAATGCCGCTCTCAACTCATCACTTGCTCAACCAACCCTTGAGATGCACAGTAACACATGCGATAATACCTTGATGCTTCCAGACTTCACCTCGACTACCTCCAATAATCAGGAGCGGATTCGTGTCGTGGGAATAGTGCTGTGTTACGAACAGTGGCGCAGCGATATGCGCCACGGTAGCCCTTCAGAGCAAGTGCGCTATCTATCAGGCTTGGCGCGTCTGCAGCACTTCTTTCGCGAACACGGTTGCCGCTATGGCTTCATCATCACAGGAATCGAACTCGTGTGTGTACGCTATGGCGGCGATGACTTGATCTACGAGTCCAAAAAACACGAGTCTAGTCCCTCGTTCGCAGAAGTCTCATCCTCTGCTCCCATCCCCATTTTTGGCTACCTGGAAGTCNATAACGCTATAGCTTTGTCCGAGCAACACACGCGGAATAGCAAGGACTTGAAGATGACAGCAGGGCTGGCGCTCTGGTACTTGCATATGCAAGCTTGCGACGAACCACTTCCAGGACAGCAGCACTGGAAGCTAGAGATTGGCAAGCCTTCTGCCATGACGAGGAAGAAACACTTGGTCAGAGATGCAGGGATGCCTAAACCAGTCTTCGTCGAGACGAGAAGGGCGAAGAGGATCAGGGGCTGGATTTGGCCTAATGAAAATTTCAGCAAGAAGGAAGCTGGAAAGAGTAGACGACCGATCTTGGGAAGTGATACCCGGTGAAGCTTTTGAGGTCTTTTGTTCATGGCGCTGGTCATGGTGTTTCGTAGCAATGTGCAAGGCTATTTTTCTTATCTGGATTCTCTTCCATATGCTGTGGACTCTTCCCTTAAGGCGCCATGTAGCGATATGTGATCTACAGATGAATGCAGCTGTTCCAAGATGCGCAAATACCAAAAAGCTTTGAATCGAGACCAGAAAGGCGATGAGGATGGAAAGCTCGATATAGAAGCGAATCCCGGACATGCCACTGCGCTTCTATGAATTGCTGGCTCAAGACTGATCAATCCTGTCACGACCCCTCATCACACCATCCTCGTCGAACTCTGTACGATCTATGAGAGTGTCCGCTGCCCCTATCAGCCAAATGCCACCATGAGCCAAAACACTATATCCAACATCCAACCTGATCTCAAACCACCTCATCACGGCTTCTCCATTTCTCAAATCATCCATGTAATTGTAGACTTTATCACTCATCTCTCCAATCCCCATCGTGTCGTCTATACCTCCAATCGTACTCGCAAGAAACTCGATATCGGACTCAGTATCCTCGGACCAAGAGCATCGCACTAGAGCTCTATCGTGCTCGCTAGCATCATTCCAAGCAACTCTGATTTCTGCTTCTTGCAACGAATCAACCATATCATAAACCACAAACAAAATGGTCTCATCTTCTGCCGTTCTTTCATCAATGATTCCAAATCTATCGTCTGAGAGATTGTCGTATGGGGTTTCGCCTTGTCCCAACCCATTTTCGCCAAGTCTGGTATCCACAAAGTGTTTGATTTGGTTTAGGGTGTGGTTCGAAAAGCCAGAGTCAAAGTCTAGGGATACGGCGTTTGTGGGTTTGGAAAACGTGGTTTGGAGGGGGTTTTGGATGAGAACCCAGTGGTTGTAGAAGTCGTCTCCTAGGTTTAGGGTTTGGACTTCGAAGTGGGCGCTGTATAGGACTTTGTTGATGACCTTGCGGNNTGGTGTTAGTGTTGTTTGTGGANNGGAGCTGGGAGTGGGGTTTATCATACCTCGATTGAGACATTTGCGGTTATGAATAGAGGGGACCAGTGCGAGAGACTCATGGTTTGGAAACTGTTGCAACACTTGCTGAGGAGAAGGTAAATGCTTTTCTACCTTTTGGTACTTGTGGGTTGAGAGGGATGTGTATCGGTTCCTTGCTGTCTTTGTAAGCGCCAGCCAAGCATATGCTGATTGATGGTGTACTGGGTGTGTGCCTAGATTAGCCGCCGTGCAGTTGACTGGGTGCATGATGCAAAGACATGCCAAGTAGCAAAGTGCTTGGTGTCTTCAAGATAACCACGCCCTCAATCGTGCGATGAAATCAATGAGCCCTCTCTGCTATCGATTCCTCCCCGTGAACAAGAGTATGTAACGCGTGTGGCTATAAAAATGCACAATACTATCAGACAATAGGATAGTGTCCACTGAGAAGCGATGTCTTCGTAACTCTCTTTGGTCAATCTTCGATTCTGAATAGAACTGTGCATTTTGACAACGTCTACTTTACTTACTGCTATAGTCGGAGTTCTAGCACACGGAGAGGGTGTAGGTTACAAACCTGACGGCCAGCATGATTATGCTTCTGAACTAGAAGAGTATAAAGAATGGGCATTTATTAAAAGGCGACTAGTGCCATGAGGTCTAGGGCGAATGTACAACAAGGGTATCGAAAAGAATGAATGCAAAAGCCAACCTCTTTCAATCGCCGCAAGACAAGGGAATAAGCATGCAGAAACACACGATAACAATCACCAGCATCCACCATAAGCTTGAGAGCCGGTTCAACGGCGGCGCGAGAACAAACGACGCAGGCGAGACAAACGACCCACAGGCGGCGCAGCGACCGACGAAACTGGGGCCAGAGGCGACGAGGGACCACGCCAGGGACCGGAGAAAGGGCGGCCGAGGCGACGAAGGAGACCGGGCACCAAGGCCACACCAGCATCGTCACGCTCTGAAGGCGTGAATGAGCGCTGTAAACGAACACGAGGGGTTGCTCTTCTGTCGTGATCAATCGAGAGATTCTCAGAAACCCCGGCGTTCTCATCGTCGCTACTCTCAAGATCGTGAGGCGAAGCAGGGGACGAAGACGGAGCTGGTGAAGGTGATGAAGGAAGCTCTAGCTCCAAGGGAATATCATGCTGAATAGCACATCGACGACGACGGCCACGAGCGAAGTTGGCGCTGTTGGTCATGAGAGCGCGCTCTTCTGGTGACATATTCCAAATGTCTGATGAAAATCCACTACTGCTGTTGTTTGATGGAGGACTAGGAGGATATGTTTGGGCAGCGGGATCGCTGATTCTAGAGCCTACAGTACGAGGAGATGGAGGCTCCATCGACGTAGCACTGCGATGAAGACTGTCACTAAAGATTGGAAGTCCGTTCTCAGTTTCGGCTGAAGGAAGATTGGCGGTCTGCTGCTCGCCGACAGCACTCTGCTCAACAATCGAAAGGTGATCAAAGTCTTGCCAACGGCTTTCATTGACGTTCAGCACCGTACGGCTCTCGGAATCAGGCTGAGAATCCAGGTCTGTCATGTTGTAGCCCGACAAGGATTGGTAGCGGTGATGGCTATTCGCGGGAGTGTTGACTTTGCTGTTGGCGTCGACAAGCAGCAATAGAGATGCAGGGTCCTTCATAGTGAATGATTGAGGTACCGGAAGAGGATCAAGCGATGAGAAGACAGATGATAATCCCGTCCGGCGAGATGTGCTTGTTGAAAATATGCAGAATAGAGAAGTTGATCATGACAAAGACAGTGAAGAACAGAAGCGAAGGCAAATCGCTGTGCTGCTTGTGAGGACGAGAAGTGTGCACAGCAGAGGAGAAACGCAGGCTAATGAAGGTGAAGGCAATTGCAGAGTCGGACGTTGTCCCCAACCTTGGATGGTATGGAATCAATGGCCATACAAAGTCATGTAATAAGGAACAAAGGGGCATCGAAGAGCAGGGAAAGACACTCTCAACGCTCGTTGTGGAACAAAGAAGCGGGTTGAAAGGCATTGTGTCGTTCGACAATGTCACAAACGGTATGTGAGAAGACTGAGACTGTTTTGATGCTCAGGCATAGCTTAGACAGGGGAGAGACCTATATCAAAGGCATTGTTATGGGCAAGTGCAAGAGATCCAGCACCAGATGTCTTCGACTTGACCTCAGTAGCTTCTGGTGCAAGTAGACAAGAAGAGCCTGTAAGATACACGACTTACTGGAGATGCGGCCGCGCTATTGGCCGCCAACACTGGGGGCAGCATGCCGAGACGAGTGGAGCGTGGACCGCCAACGGCAGGGCGAGCGCCAGTATTGCTTTCTCAATTCACGAATGTTGTTAAGTTAGAGCGCGACGACAAGAAACCAAACAAGAAAAATCTAACGACAGTGGACAAGAGGGCAAGACATGATGTCTGACAAGGGCAAGGGCAAGGCGTTGGAGACGCCAGAGACGCCATGGATAAACGTCGGTACGCGAGTCATGCCTCCGCGCGGAATCATGAAGGTCAAGCGAGTCAGGTTCGCGTTGTCTTCAGCTGCAGGCCTGGAAGAAACAAGCCCTCCACCATCACCTTCACCATCTACCACGAAGACAGCAACCATGTCGTCGCTGTTCGGTGGCCTTGGTGCCAACAAGCCTGCTGGTACTGGTGGTCTCTTCGGTGCTGCAGGATCCACTCCTGCTTCTACTCAATCATCAACACCTTCATTGTTTGGCACTGCGCAGACTGGAGCTACTGGTACTGGAGCTTCATCTGGACTTTTCGGTGGCCAGCAACAACAGAACAACAAACCCACCCTTTCGCTATTTGGCGGCAATACTGGAAATTCAAATGCGACCGCGCAACCCGCAACTACCACTCCCAGCTTGTTCGGCGGCGCAACCAATGCTCAACAACAGCCTGCCACCACTGCTCCCAGTCTCTTCGGAGGAGCTGCACCAACTGGAGGAAGCAACTTGTTCGGTTCTACTGCCAACGCACAACCTTCCGCGAACACCCAGCAGTCTGCTTTTGGTGGAAACAACCAAGGTGAGACATGAAACTGTCTGTCGTCAAGCGACCACTACTAACTCTGACGTAGCACTCNNGGCGCAAGCACTGCCCCTACTGGACAACAAGAGCAGAATGCCAGACCCGTCTACTTTGACAACCTGATCGAGCGCAACATCAAGAGACAAGGAGCTGAGGCTGGCACCAACACAGGCATGGGCGCATTCGGAGAGTTGCCTACGCTGCAATTGGGCTTGGGCGACATCCAGAAGAAGGTGCGCGGACTGGGCCAGCAGTACACACCTGACAGCAAGGCACACTACCTGCTCGCTGCCTCGGGTGTCAACACAGGCGCCGCCCTACGCGACCTCAACCTCTTCACAAACAGCGCTGCCGCAAAGGCTCCTGCACCCATCGCTGCCAATGATCCTCTGTACGGCGATCTCGACACCTACGTTGAGAGTCTTTACCAGAAGGAGAAGAAGGACCTTTTCGACGAGTTCATGGAAGATTCAAAGAGAGATTTTGACCGTTTCATCGAGGACAACCTGCAATGCAACTGGGAGCAGAAGCGCAAGGAAATCTACGAGCACTTTGGCATTACCAAGAAGTCGGACATGACAGAGGCCAGCTTTGAAGGCACAACCACTGACGGAGCACGCGGCGCATTCGGCCGATCCAGTCGCAGAGCTCCTTTCGGTGCCTCGGCTGGCGCTTCAAGAATGGGCTCAAAGTCTGTGCTCGGAGCCACTGGCAGACAAACTTCGAGAGCCAGCCAGTTCACTGATGTTGCTGAGAAGACTCCTGCTGGTCTACAAAACGTTAGCGAAAACCGCATGCTCAGAGACAAGCAGGACAAGTACTCCAACAAGGTCAAGGAGCTCAACATTGCCCGCATCGAGGGTCGTCTCTATCCGCTTCTACACAACTTCGTTGAAGTCGAGGCTCAACCTTCAGCCGAAGACACATCGAAGCTCGTTGATGCTTACAAGGCTCTTGCCGACATTGTTGGCGAAAGCCCCGACTTCCAAACCTCATCCGATCCTCACGCTATCAGAGAACGTCAATTTGCACAAGACTACCTCGACGACGCACCCAACTCGCGCAAGGCTTTCGATCTTCGTAAACGCATCATTGACGGCTCCAGACGTTTCCTCGAAAAGCAGTTCCTTGGCCAGCTCTNNGAAACAGCCATCCTCAAGAATGCTAAGGAGGCTGCCCTGGGAGGTGTTCCTTCGGTCATCAACAAAGTTCGCGCCTACGTTCGTCTACGTGCTGCTCGCAAGGAGCTCGGTCCCGACACCAGTGAGCTGCAGATGATCAATGACGACTACCCGTGGGTTCTCATCTTCTACCTTCTTCGCGCCGGTCTTGTCAACGAAGCTGCCGAGTATGTGGCCGACAACGAACGTGCCATCAAGGCTTGCGATCGCAACTTCCCTCTCTTTCTTGCCAGCTACGCTCGCAGCACAGACCGTCGCCTCCCTCAGGAGCTGCAAACCAGAATCAACAACACTTACTCTCAACGTGCACAATTCGCCCCTGAAAACAGTGTCGACCCTTACCGCATGGCTTGCTTCAAGATCATTGGTCGTTGCGAGCTCGGTAGACGCACACTTGACGGCATCAACCAGAACATGGAAGATTGGGTCTGGCTGCAGTTTGTGCTTGCCCGTGAGGTTAACCGTGTCGAGGAGACCGCTTCTGAGGTCTTTGGTCTCGACGATGTCAGAAACGTCATCCACGAAGTTGGCCAGAGACATTTCGTCCAGGGCTCTGAAGGTGCTGCTGGATATGGCACCTACTTCTTCCTTCAAATCCTGGCTGGTCAGTTCGAGAGCGCTATTGCTTGGCTGTACCCCAACAACTACCTTAGCGCTGTGCACTTTGCCATTGCTTTGAACTACTATGGTCTTTTGCGTGTCAACGACTACAGCAACTCTGAAGACCTCCTGTCATACACCACAAGCCAGAAACCCCAGATCAGCTTCGCTCACCTGGTCGGCTACTACACCAAGGACTTCCGCGCTCAGTCACCCACTACTGCCGCCGACTACATCGCTCTCATCTGCTTGAACGGAGATCTGGCCGGTGAGATTGGACAACGCCAAGTCGCACTCTGCCACGATGGTCTTCGTGAACTTGTTCTTGAGACTCGCGAATTTGCCCAGCTGCTCGGAGACATTCGTTCCGATGGTCAACGCATTCCAGGTTCCATTGAGCAACGTCTTAGGATCATCCGTATTGCCAACGAGAAAGAATTCATGCGTCACATCACTATCAGTGCTGCTCAGATTGCTGACGACAACGGTCGTGTTACTGATGCTGTCCTGCTTTACCATCTTGCTGAGGAGTACGATAACGTCATTACTATCTGCAACAAAGCTCTGTCGGAGGCGATCAGTGTCGAGCTGGGCGATGCACCTCTGCGCCTCACTCCTCTCAAGCCTCGCGATCCCACCGCTGCCGAGACTTCAGCATCTCTCAGTCTGACCGCTGTCGAGGACCCCTACACACTGACCCGCAACATGCGTGCATTGTACGAGAGCAACCAGCTTCATTCTGCCAAGATCAAGCAGGTCAACCGCGAGTCCTGCACGCTCCTCCTCGGTATGGCCGAAGCCAAGTCTCTCGTCGCCGAAGGCCGCTGGGCCCTTGCTCTCGATGCGCTCAACAGTCTGAACTGCCTTCCCATCTCAGCAGGCGGCAACATGAGCCTCATCCGTGCATCCGCCAACGCCTTCAGCAATCTGCCTCCTCCTGTCGCTCGCAACATCGGCAACCTGCTCATCTGGACCATCACCTGCTGCGGCCAACAGCGCGAGTACCTCCGTTCATCACCTTCGGGCTTCGAGGAACGTGGCCGCGAAAAGGTCGCCGAGGACATTCTGCAGGTTGCAAAGGACACCATGGTCTTTGCTGGCTTGATCCAATACAAGTTGCAACCCAGAGTGTTTGAGGTGCTCACCCGTGTTGGTGGTGACGTCGGTGCTTACTAAGGCTTGTGCTCTTTTACAATGGATGTTTTCTTCACTTAGCATATGGAGTTTGGGAGGCGTTTCTTTCTGTATAAAACAAAGGGAGTGGACATGTGGAAAGCTTTGGGACTGGAGATGGATCAGAAAACGTGGGTCTTTTAGTGGAGATGAGGCTGCGCGTTATCTTGCAGTCTAGCTAGATATACAGTGATGTTACAAAGACCGGTTCGCCAACTCTACGAAGAGATTGCGGGACTATTTTTGCAGTTGATTTCTCTTGCCTGCTTGCTTCTTTGGCTCTCTAAAGGCCTTTTGTGTCTGTGGCTGTTGTGCAATAAGTTACTATTTATGACCCCAGCCATGAGAGGTGTTTGCATGTCTTTCTAATGCAGATATGCATCACAGCCTGTTCTTGCATCATGATCCTTGGAAGCCCTTCGTGCAAGATGTTCAATACCATGATCAGCCTTCAAGCGTCAAGCGTCTCTCGCAAGTCGGCGACACGAGCCAATTTCTAACTGACTCCTTCTCCATCCCGAGCTATAAAGGTGGTTACAAACTATCGAAATGCACAGTTCTGACTCGAATATAAGTCTGGCCATTGGGATAGCTTCCATCAAGGCTCTCTCAATGGAGACCAGAGTTTTTGCGACAATATCATGCATTTCGACAACTACGACTGTGACTGTCTTTAGCACATTGGGAGGCCAGCTCAGTAGCGAGCATCCATATCCTCGAGATCTAGTTCTTCCTCTTCGTCACTGTCGAATGTTTGCACCTTCTCTGACTCCTCGTCACTTTGTACCTCATACTGATAGCCATCGCGTCCAGCATCTGCCTGATCTTTNTGCAAACGATCACGAAGGTTAGGTGTTTTGTTGCCACTCATTACTTGTTGCACAACAGATTCATCAATACCGAGCAGTTTCATCTGTTCAGCTGACAATTCGACGATGGTTGGCGCATACTCGCCAGCCTCATCGTCTTCATCGAATGTTGTGTTATCCATTTCAACCTCTTCGCCGTCTTCGAGACTCAGCATGCCGGTGCGTGCGAATGAGCCTTGTTGCATTTGCCATCCTAGTGTTTCTTGGGTGTAGGCGAGGAGGTCGTCGAGTTCGTCTACCACATCTGCGTGGGCGTCGCCAGGAAGTCGGTCTAGTGCTTTCTTGAACCGTAGGAGGAGAGATTTCAAGAAAGTGGCGCCGTCGTCGCTGAGGTCGAAGAGCCCGGTTTCGACATCTTGGCCGTGTTGGAGCTGGAGTTTGATTGTTGCCAGCGCACGTACAAAGAAATATGGTTGTGTGGTAACTGCGCTGACGCAAGTCAAGATCAAGTCGAGGATTCTGCGCCATTGTTCCAGGCACGAATAGTTGTTCAGTGTCAACACCATGACAAAACAGAATTGCATTTCGCCGATGATTTGGTTCATGTTGTTGTTGCAGAAGCGTGTGGTGAGATCTGCAAGTGCCCATGAACGATCTTGTGCTGCTTCGGTACGTTCACGTCCAGTTGCTCCTTCACGCCATGTTTGTTTGAGGTCTACGGGCAGAACACGTAGTTCACGTTCGTTACCAGTTAGATCGGATGCAGAAAGTCCGGGGATGTCGTCAAAATCCTGTTTGGCGCTGCTGGATGATGTGAGCGTCCAACTCTCAGCATCTGTATCTAATATACGCGCCAGAAGCGCTTCTGAGATACAGTCTGTGAGTTGCACCCAGCGATTCGTTTCTTCTGTGGCCACCGAGTCCTGTGATGCGCTTTGTCGATATGGCGTCAGGTTCTCTCTCCAGATTCTTCCCAGATTTGCTCGCTGCTGAAGAAGAGTAGTCGTGTCTGTTTCTGGCAATAATTCCTCGCTGCTCGTATCCCATTTGCGAATGAAGAAATCTGGAGGGCCAGAAGATGGTGCAGTCACCTTCATCCACATGCCATGACGGACAGAAAGTGTACTGGTTGAGCCGACAAAAACGAAATGCAATCCAGGAGGTATGTTTTTGATGCCTTGAAACTTCGGAGTAGTGGTGAATGAGAGCAGGTCCATACCACCCAGAGCCGAAGGTGGCAGATTTAGTAACAGAATCGCGGGTGTAATGGCGTCCATATCGAGTATTGTGTTGCTTTTGTTTTCGCTCGTCGAAGTGATGAATGCCTGATGGTGAAAATACCAACTGAAAAGTATGGAGGTGTATGTATCCAATGACTGGCGACGCAATCACGCACTTACGACTTTGTGGTGTGAGTGATTTGATTGCCACTTGATCCTCGCACTTTTATATGTGAAATTACGTGGAAGTCCTGATTGATGTGATATTGGAAAGAACGATGGCATGCGATGGAGGCAAGTATTGCTCCGAGTCATGCAAGTGACTCCAAGCAAACATGAGCCAGCCCCACACTGGATTTTTGCTGCCTCCCCGAACAGAGTAACGTACACGCTATAAAAATGCACAATACTATCAGAAATAGAATAGTGTCCACTGAGAGGCGATCTCTCATTAGCTCTCTTTGGCCATATCCTTATCTCTAGATATAATTGTGCATTTTTATAGCGTGTACGTTACATGCTTTCGCACAGGGGGAGGTGGCCTTGATGTCCGTCCTTGCTGACTCAAGCACTCGAGCGAGACAGGTCTTGGCGCCTACTCTAATACATGCATTCTTGCTTCTTGGTCAACATCGGATAATCGAACTAGAATGTTAGGTGTTCGTTCGCGTGCGATATGTCATACGGCAAACTCCTTGGGTTTTCGTTTATTGCTTCCAACTGCAGTTGACACTAAAATCTGTCATTCACATCAACCTCGTACTGTTCGCCATCTCAACATTCGCCATGTGATCACCGAGAGAAAGCCTTCTGAGGCCACGACTACCAAGAGAAGCCTTCCCAAGAAAACTGTCGTCGACCGACATCTTGAAAGAGATGCTGCAGTGTCTCACGACAACCCCCTCGACAAGCGGACTTCAGCAGCAGCAGCATTGCACCAATACAATCGCCTGGATCGTATTAATGTCAACAAATGGCGTTCGAATCTCGTTTTGCCGCCCGATTCCTTCTGGAAGAAGTGGAAAAACGCACTGAACGACAGTGATGCTGGCGGGCTTGACACAGCTCTTATTTTTGTGGATCGCTGGAAAGATGCATTGCCTAAATCAATATTTCATAAGAAAAGGCATGAATTCTCGGATACTGGTTCTATATATGAATGCACCTCCCACTGCTCACTGGCGGTTCTGGGAGTCCGTACAGTAGTGTCCTATGGATATAACAAAGTACGTCTAAAGCTGCTGGGTTGTCACGCGTGTCGAAACTGATCACATATTCGCAGCNAAGAGGCATTTGAAAACCAACATATCGCACGAATCTCGCGGTTGTATCAATTTGGTGAGCTTGACACAATTTACAAAGGTACCATCGCATCAAGGAAGCTCATGAAGGTACGTTCTCTGCCTTATCGCGCAAACTGTACAAGTACTAAACCGATATACNAGATCTATGAGCAGGCTGCAAAGTACGGCTTGTTCCCAAGCTTCGACATCAGTATGTCCAGCGACCAACCCGACGCCCAATATCGAATCACCTTGGCTGTACCCAAGTGGAACGTCAAGGCTATTTCAACTGCTCCAACATTTATTAAAGCCTTAAATTCTGTCATAAAAGTCTACAGGAACGATACCAAANAAGACGGTGTCAGAATCCCAATGACACCCGAAGCCACCCCAGCAAGATTGGAACATCTGGACTTCAGCACCGCAGATCGAGCTCTAAAGTTCCTCGTGGAGAAAATCCAACCTAGTGACTACCGGCGATGGACTAAGAAACTCGATACACCGGGGCCACAATGGGCTTATAGAGTCGCAGTCGAGGAATGCTATAACCCTGAGATTCCGATGTTACGTAAACGCGACGCACATTTTATTGGAACTGTTACCGCAGTGGTGCGGATCTTGCAGCGCTTTGGATTTGAGCTGATAGACGGATTCGAGGAACACATCAAGGCAGGCAAGGATGACACTGCCAAGTCGAGTCCTTTGGTTGGAGAGGGAGAAGTTGAGATTGCTGGCCAGTCTGACGGGAGCTCGCTTGAGCAAGAAGGGTTTGATCAAGATGCTGAACTGGATGCCGCTCTTGAAAGTCGAAAGTCAAGAGACGGATGGAAAGCTGACTGAAGAAGTAGTTGAGAGATGATGACACAGTTGCATGGGTGGGCGAGGCATTCTCTATGGTTCGGGTCTTCGTGTAAGAACAGGGTCACCCAAACAGCATTGATTTACTATCATCTCTAGAGCGGAGGCGATGCCACTCAGGTGTTCTAGTCTATTGCTCGTGTAAATAGTGTGGCATACTGTCAAACTCCACCTACGTCTGCTCGACAAATCTACGTCTTTGCCTGGAGTTGTCACCTTTGAAAGCTCGACATGCAAACACATCAAGTTTGGGAGTTGGTTCATGTAACATCAAAAGAGCACACACGAGACAAGGTATTGGTTAATTGATCCGAAGTGAATTTTGTTATACATTCAATGTATCTAAGGGGTATAAGGATCATCCACCCCAATGGAGCGAAACAATCATGTCATAAACATTCCTCCGCCATAATCACAGGCGGGATCGAAATTCGTGAAAAGAAGAAAAGACGAAGACGCGTTTAGGTGGTCTTGGAGGTCTTGTCCTTGGCGGCCTGGTCGAGAGGACCGGTGGGGTTGCTCTCAAGGTTGTTCAACTGGTCCTTGGAGGCCTGCTGGGCACCCTCGGAGGGCCGNGCACCCTGCTGGTTGGGGTTGCCAGAGGTGGGCTCGGCTTGCTGCTTGCCGCTCTGGTTCTCGGGGTCGGGGGACTGACGGCCGGCGTTGGGTGCAGACATTGCTGTTGGGCTTTTTGTTAGACACGTCGTGTGATGGGATGCGTTGAGGAAGGTGGGGGTTGGCGTACTGAAGGTGTTTTGGGTTGCTGGGATAGCTGTTAGTGTCTTGCTTGATGAGAGAGTGATATAAGAAGCTTACTGTGGGGGTTGAAAGAGTTGAAAAGGTGGATTTGTTAGAGTGAGATGTTTGTTGACAGAAAGGAAAAGAGCAGAGGTCGTGGTAGATGTAGCTCTTGTCCCAGCCCGCCGATGATGTTGTTAGTGTGGGGCATCGAAATGACGTCACAGCTCGTTCTTTCCTTCAGCCTGATTTCCCTCTGTCGGCCTTCGTTCTTGCTTTGTTCACTTGTCGGCTTGACATGTTTCTTTGCAAATTGCCGGGCGGCTTGCTTTACCGTTCTTGCATGTTCTCATATCATATTCCGTGTATACAAGCTGTGTGGCTTGCTATTACAGGCATTTAAAGTCTTCAATTCATCTCCCGATCGTTTGAGAAACCCCGCGATCATGGCGACATCACGCCGCAGTCTTTCCGAATTGTTGACACGGCCAACTCTCTCAGCTTTCTCGAGCTCGCAATTCGCAACTCGCCATTGAGCGATGTGACACGAGATAATGGAAGCTGAAAAAACATAGCATATAAGCTTGAGTGAGTGAAAAGTGGACCTTGTCAATATGTCTTTCCAACGGACTTTGCAGTTCGTGTGGGTGCAACAGGCACAAGGCTCTGGCTGGAAGCTGTTGTCTTCCCACTTTCACTGTCGCGAAGGACAGTGAAGTGAGCGATGATGTGTGACTCGAGTTTTGGAGAATGTCTCGCTATGATTACTGTGTTCCTCTGTTGTGTCTCTGATCTGTCCTTTCCTACTAACGTAGCAGTCACTTGCTCACGAAGAACTATCCATCACATCTGAAGCACTGCCACTTCACATCTGCCGTCACAACTCTCAATTACCTCCGACCTGACAGCCTGTTCTCCTTCCAATCTTTGCATCGACCACACCTACAAATCTGCTCCTCTTATATCGTGGCGATGCTCTATCGCTTTCCATCCGGGCCTTATGGCCGGATCTACCGGATAAATCGTTATTCCAAACGTCCAAATCATCACGGATCTTATACAAACAGATCCCAAAAGGTCTGAATTGTCCATGACAATCTCATGTCGGTGGTCCTGACACTTACACGCTTCTAGATCGCTGACACACCTGCACAACCGTTTATCCTTTCTCTACCAGCTGAGATACTTATCAAAATTTTCAAGGATCCTGGATTGTATCGGGATAAACTTGCCAACCTGCGCCTCGTCTGCAAACGAATCAGCGTGTTCGCGACTGAGGCGTTTGCCAAAGAATGCTTGAGTGACAGTCTACGGTTCGAGCTTTTCCACCATGATTTTACACGCCTGGCAGCACTCTGCTCCTCAGATCTTCAACCCTTCCTCAAATCAGTGCACTTTGTGGAGGACTCCGATTACCACATCGCTCAGATCGACACGAAAGTGTGTCCAGATTATTCAGCCATACGCAAAATCAAGCTTGAGACTGATTGGTATGGCATGGACTACACACGCGCTCTCGAAAGGGTGTTGCAATCGACCAATCGTCTCGAGAGCTTCATGTTCAGCCCAGTCATGATTTCCAATGGCATTCACTGGTTCGAAAAACATGAAGCTTGGGGCCCTTTGAACCCGAAATCATACCTTACANTAAGATTTGACGTCAAAAATATCGAGAAGGTGATCATCATTCTTTCAAGCATCAGATCCGGATGTCTTTTCGAGCTCATGCTCGCAGACACCATTTTGCCTTATGCAACCCTCAAGGATTTACTTGAGAGACACAGTGGTACCATTCGAAAGCTATCACTGCGTAATTGCAGACTTGTGGATGGGACTTGGCTTGACCTGTTACAGTGGATCCCTCACGGCCTTTCTCGTCTCGAGCACCTGGATCTACAGTGTCTGCGGGAGATCAATTCGAGTCAACCCCTCCATCGGAACCCCTGGTCAGCTGTCATGTGGAGGGACCTGGTCACAAATATTGGCAAGAAGAACATCGACGCATACTTGAGTTCTCTCAAGAAGGGTGAAAAATTCTGATCCAGTCTCAAAGGGAAGTTTGGACAAACAACTAGTCACTGGCACAAGCAAATTAGTCCTCAGGAATCTGAACGAGCAAATATGGGGGGCGCAGGCGAGATCGAGAAAATCTTAACAGCGCTCTCATTTGAAGATACGAGGAAATATCCGACTGATTAAAGGCATGGTAGCTTGCGTTGGTTCTGCGATGGCAGGGGAGACTGACTCGGAGGCTCGGACAACAGTGATAGATAGCCTTCACAAGAATGCACAATATTCTCCGAGAGACGGAGCCTTCTTACTGGGATCTTCTCTTGATCACTTTGGGCAGGCACAGGTCAACGTAAGCAGCTGCTTGAACCCCGGATTGATCTAAAGAGCGCTCTCATCTGGAGGTACGCGAAAATACTTGACTGATCGATGACATAGTACTTTGTGTTGGATCTACAATGAAAGGGGGGATGTCTGAAGGATTGGGCAACAGTGAGAAGATATAGCTCTCACGACACCACCATCCGAGAGACGGAGTCTTCCTCACTCGAAGACATCTTCACCTCTTCTTGATCAGTTTCGGTAGGAACGCGTCACACTCAAAGTGAAAGCGAGCCGAGGCGCCTTGCCAACTCAGGCAAGCGCAACACCTTGGTAACGAGTCAACTCGCCTTCAACGCCGACACAACTGAACGACAGTGTGCCCACACTATCACATCGAGAAATACCAACAAGAACGACCTGCCCTCGCTTTTCGCATCAACTCCAGACAAAGCTCAGCCCCTGTCGTCTTCCAGACAACAAGCACCGCACCATCTCTCGGACGGCAAAATGACCACCTCAAAATCTCTGCTTGCATTGCCCAACGAGCTTCTTGCTCTGATCATCGAAAACGACGATCTCACTATCAAGGATCTTGCGAGTCTGCGCCTTACTTGCAAGCATACCAAGCACTTCGCTTCAAATGCTCTAGGAAAGCGCATCTTCGTCGACATGGATATTCGGTACACACGCGATGCCTTTAACTGGTTCACCAATCTCCTGCTCTTGGATATAGGTAGTCACGTACGATCTGTATGCTTGACCTTGACCTATCATCCTCAAAAGAATTGCTATCCACTCAAGTACTACAGACACCAGGAGGCCGAGATCAAGTCTGGGTGCTCCCGACTGCGAGACATCAGAATCGAGTCTTCCCACGGAATCGCCTACTTGTGGAAGAAGGTACTATGCGCAGCGACTCATCTTCAAACCTTCGACTACAAGGATCGGGACGCTGACATTGTCAAACGCCACTGGACTGTACCCTTCAGGGGCACCATCGAGAGCAGCGACTTGCTTCTCGATAGTATCAAGTCCGATTACCTAGGTAGTCTGGTGTTAAGTCACCTCCACATCTCAGCCAGTACACTCAAGAAACTGCTCGACATTCACGAAGAGACGCTCTCTACGCTTGATATCAGAGAGTGTGTTCTCATTGATGGCAACTGGTTCGAAATTCTGAACTGCATAAGATTGAATCTCTCACATCTTCGTAACTTCTGTATCGATATTCTCTACGAAGCGGTCAAGAAGGTGCCTTCTCCCAAGCCATATATCCATGACCGTCGACCATGGGGCCTCGGCTTCTTCCTTGAACACAGTCCATACGCTCTCAAAAAATACAGCAGCCCTCTTAAACTCAAAATTGAAGGACAGAAGGAGATTACCCATGGTCTGTCTGAGTTGTTGAAAGCACGAGAGGGACATCAAGCTCAGTAAGACTTTCCTCTGCAACATCGGGTTGTGGTAAGTTCTGCGTCAATATCTACCGATCCATATCATCTGTTCAATGTTTCCTTGTTCTGTCGGCTCACTCAATCTAGCGTTATCATCTATCATGACCAAACGAAATCGGGCCCTCAGAGACCCAACTTCCCAAGCATGCCTAAATCGACAATGTCGGTCGCGAGGCAAATCAAGTCGAACTTATTGCTGCTTTTTCTCCACTTTCGATTGACAACACTTTAGCTTCCCTNTTCATCAAGCTCCCTGCCATGTCTCCGCCCTTNTTCACATCAATATCTCTATATCCATACTTTCGATACAAGAGGTTGCCTGTTGGTGACGCCTCGACCCAAGATGGCAGGAACAAATGATCAGCGAGGCTGCAACCCCACTGCAGCATCATGGATCCAATACCCCTGCGTTGATAATCCGGGTCTGTGAAGCAGATGTGCAGTTCTNNACAAGTTTCATATCAGCAATCAACCAGCGGGCGGGAACCGTCAGAAGGGTGGAAAACGCGTCATCACCAAGAAAGAGAGCAATTAGGTAGCACGGGAAAGCAGGAGTCAAACTTACGACAATAAGGCTCCGTAAACAGTTCTTTCCTCTTCTCCATAATATCAGTCATAACCTCTTTGACTTTTTTCAGCTTCTCGCGATTTCCTTCCAACCATCCCCATCCCATGTCCTCTTCTTGGTGTTCTGGTACATGATTCACATGCACTCTCCAGTTACTGGCACCCACAATCTCGCCCGTAGCCTTATCTTCCACTTTGATCCATACATCACTGGGATTGGCGTTGAGAATCTGTTGATAATGAGAAGAGAGATTCGCTTGACCCGCAGGAGTGTCGGGACCCATGAAGAGATCGCGAATGAAAGGATCGGTAAAGGTTTTGAATTCGCAGGCGACAATGCGATCGAAATCTGAGGGTGTGGTTGCGCGCGAGAGGATGAAAGGGCCGCCGGAGTGTTTCGTTGCCGCCATCTTTGGTTTTGCCCAGGGTTTCCTATGGCGCTTGACAGTACTTTTGATGTTGGGAGAGAAACTTATAATACGATGAATTCCAAGGCTTTATCGTCGTATATTCAGCAGCGCGTGAAGAAGTGGGGGCAAGGTCGCTGTTATATATGTCGTCGTTATCAGTTCTCATGCAAGTATCCACACCTAGTTCCGAATGAGGTGGCACAGCATAGCCGATAGCCTTTTTATGCTGTTTGAATCCTGATGGAAAATGCTGTGTATAAAGAAGACAAAATCGCATAACAATCAAGAAAACACTCGAGAGTCATAGCAGAGATCGGCAGTCTTCTTGCCATCTTTGGAAATGCCGAAAGAGGAAGGAGGTAAACATTCCACTTCAGCCAGATGCCCTTCCTTCGTTGTGTTGTTTATCACGAAGCTGCTGACTATGCAAAGATACCCTAACATATATTTGATACTGCTGCGAAGTGCATCCCCAGACTTCAAGTAGTTTAAGGCTTGCAGAATATATATTGAACTTGGCAACACTCGCGATTCGCTGTTGTCTTGCAACTATATGCAACTCAAATTGACATGCCCTGTACAGCTAACAAGGATTCGATTCGACTAAACAAACACCTAATAGCATGATCTACCCTTACCGGTGTCACATTCCGGGATATCGCATACAACCTCCTCATCCCACCGGTGAAGAGAGCCAATGTCAAAAGAGCTGCAGTATGCATATGATAGATTGCTTGCATAGAGTCGCTAAGCATTCTTCAGCGTTTGCAATGTGACTGGCGAGAGATACCAAGCAGTCTAAACAGATGTATCCCGATGGGCTGACCACTGGATGAATAAACAAAAGGCAGGAGAAACTCTTTTGTTTTGACAAACGCGTCCCTTGAAATGCTGTCAGATTCTAAAGCAAAGAAGGAACGCCCCCAAACACGTATTCGAATATCCACAACCCAACGAAGCAGAATTTCAAACCAGATCAACGCTACCTAACCACGACGAACATCAACAACCGGACCTTTGTACACATGCCTCCCCNNCTTGACGATGTAATACACAACCGAGATAATGGCCACACCACCAAACATGACGCAACCGTAGTTCATCGTCTTAATTGTGACGACAGCAAACATGGGAAAGAAGCTGATGATAGCTTGCTGTATTATGTACAAGACAGCAAAGGCATTGATGAAGATGCCAGCAGCACCGAGAGAGAAGCGTCCTTGTGGCAGAGGTCGTTTGCAGATCTTCCTCCACAGCACGCACGCGATACTGATGGAGTATGAGAATCCTCCAGAGCCGGCTAGTAGACCAACAATCGAGTTGAAAGCTGCGGTCGAACCGAGGTTGATGAGTGCGAGGACGACAGTGATCGAGAGCGAGAACATGATTGCGTTGAGAGGGATGGGCGTGCCAATGGTAACAATCNNTATCACTGTCAGCGTGTTCGACTCGCAACAACTCTGGACAGTGTAACTCACCTGCCTAAACCATCCTGAGAAGGGCATTCCTTTGTCACGAGCAAANGAGAATATCTGACGTGATCCAGCAGCGACAACACTCAACGCCGCGAAGAAGTTGAGAAGGACAAATAGTGTTACCATGAGCGTCGCACCGACATCAGAACCAATTGCTTGCTGGAAGATGGAGATGTATGGATATACTGCCATGTTGTTTGCGACCATCGAGTCGTAGTCGGTGATGCAGAGAACAAAGGTAATGATCGAGACAAGACCCATTGCGCCGTTCAGCAAGACGGTCGCAACCATGACACGAGGAACCACGTAACTCGCGTTAGCGACTTCTTCAGCAAGATGGGCCGGGGCGTCAGATCCNTTTGAGATGTTAGTAGGTCAAACATCGGGAGAGTGGTTGTACTAACCTCCAAGAGAACCAACAGCAGTGAGCTGACCTATTACCACCGCGGCTCCGATACTGCTCCAGCCACCAGTATTAGAGAACGAGGTGAACGCTTCTTTGGCTGAGACCTTGGGAGCGATGACCCAGAGTGGGATCAAAACAGCAAAGAACCCAAAGATGTGCAGGAACAAAATGGTAGCTTCGAGCAGAGGGNNAAGGCGTTTTGCTCCCAGAGTGTTAACCATCACAGCCAGTATTGCCATCAAGATCGTCATGAGCGTGCCATGCCAGAGCACGGGTGTGTACGTAGGGTGCATGGCAGAGGCGAGTTCGAGTATGATGTTACCAGCAGCAAAAGATGTAAGCGCAATCGATGCTTGCCATCCCAGCGCAGAGAGCCATCCGACAAAGTAGCTGAGAGACTTCTGACAACTTGCAGGGGCAAACTCACTCGTCCCTAGAAGACACTCAAAGTCAGCAAGAAATTCCATGGTCAAGGTGAATTTTCATGGTTCCTTACAGTGATATTGACCTCCTGAGGTAGGCGCCATGCTTGCCATCTCAGCAAGAGATAGTGTAACAGAGATGGTGCATATCCAGGTCGCGATGTAGGACCAGATGGATCCAGCAAGACCACCATTGATCAAGCTAAAACTCGCAGATCCTATCAATGCTTGCCATGTCCCCATGNNCTTGAACCAGGTTAGCTATATCGTGGTGTGGAGTGGGTGGATGTGAGCATACAGAACACTAGACAGCCCCAGCATCGAAAATGCATGAAAGTTTCTCCTAAACTCCTGCTTCTTTCCCAAACGCATCATATCGGCGGCATCTCGAGCGGTCCCAGACTTGATCCCTTGGTCTGATTGCATGTCATATCCTTTCTCACTGACAGGCCTTTGAAGCTCGTAGGCTTCGTTCTTGTTGTCGAGCATATTGGTTCCAGCTACTCTGAGTGATAGAACAGTAAAAGTTCAAGATAGTGGAAACATGCCCATCATATACAGGTGTCTGACATTCCCGGTTAAATGTCGATTGGGCGTCGATGTTTCTCTTGCTTGGTATTCTGCATGATGTTCTTGATCAGTCAAGTTCGCAGCCATCCCGAACGGTTGAGCGGCACTTGAAGGTAATGCACATGGCCGTGCTTTTCTGGGCGGCGCGGGTTCATGCACAATATCGCTTCTGCTGTAGCTCGTGAGAGATGTTGTACAGAAAGCGCATCAGATGGCGTGAGCATCTATCTGTCCTCGTATCAATGCAGCAATGCCCGCAAGTCTGCATAGATGTGCGTGATACGAGACTAGCACTGCAACCATCTGCGAACGATCGCTTCGACGGGGAAGTGATTGCAAGAGCGAATTCAGAAGTCAGAATGGTAGCGAAGGTGGGACAGATGCTGTGCTTGCGTTGCGCAACCCGGAATCTGCGCTCCGTCCGGCAAGCCAGATTTATGCAAGCAGATTCAAAGCAAGCGATTTACCTGTTGTAATCTAGTCCATTGCCGCCGACGAGAAATCGAACTACCAGATCTCACACGATTTTCACCAGGAGTGTAAGCCTACGTACAACCCGAAGGCATCACGGGCGCGTCCTAGCTATGTGTGTGACAAAGCTGATACCAGGCATGTGGTGCCTCCCTCATGATATGTCAAAGTACACCGATTTTAGTAAGGCTGAGAACACGAATTCCTTGTGCGGTGTTGCACAACCTTACTGTCGCCACCCTCTGAAAGACACGCGGTATGTCGCACCAAATTCAGATAACCCACAGGACGCAGGAAGCGTTCAGAAGGAGGTTTCGCGTAGCATGCAGTATCGCAAGCCTTTGAAGGCTTGTCAGAACCGGGTAAGCACCAGCTCTAGAGATTTCACCCATTATCCTTGACAGCTGCGACAGGGCGAACTGCACTTGCCACTGGGAGTACAACATGGGCTTCATGTTGTGAGCACCCGTCAAGGCGTGCGCTCTAGAGCTCGGAAATAGACCTTGGTTGCAACAAAGGATTCTGTGTCCTCAAGTCGTACCCCAATGGACGCGGCCGACAACGTTCTTCAGAAGTACAAATCGCACAAGCCAGCCATGTACTGCTTTGAAAGAAATGGCCTGAACTGAACAATCTTGGCCTCGGTTTCCACTGCCTCATGTGAAGGATAACTCAAGATGGTGCTCGGTGTTACGCTTACCTTGTGTTCAGGCCTTTCGTCCTTAAACTATGTCGACGTATGCATCTGACCTTCGCNTGTTTGCTCTGATGATCATCTTCACCAGATTTCAGTATAAGATGGCGACAGAAGACTCGACATCAAGGCCTGTCATCACGGCCACAAATCATTCGGCGTTCATCTTTATCGCAACAGCACTGTGTCTTGTTTGCATACTGCTCTTCCTGAGTGCTCGACTCGTCGTTCGATATCCATGGAAGCGATCTCTGGGATCTGACGATTGGACTACGCTTTCAGCTTCGGTCGGTCCAGGAATCGAAATCAAGGTGATCAAACTGACTTCTTAAGNNGTGTGCGCAATATGCCAGAGTGTTGTTTTGCTGTCAAGTGCAAAAGCCGGGCTCGGAAAGGCCGAGTCAGAGCTTTCTCCTTACCAGTTGAGAACAGCTCTCAAAGTATGGCTTCTACTTTGAATTTGTCGAAAACTTGTACTGATCTAGGGCNAGCTTCTCTATGTTAGCGATCTCCTTTACATTCCAACTATATTTGTTGCACAGCTCGCAGTCAGCCTCTTCTTCTTGCGGTTATCTGGTCCCGAACGAAGTTTCTTCCATCAGCTTGCTCGCTTTATTGCAGGGGCGACAGTGGTTTTCGCGTTCACATGTTTTCTCATGATTACCATTCGGGTAGAAAACGGCGTACATGTGTGGGCAATCGTGGTGGTCGGCCACAAATCGATAGTGAGGGTTCCGAAGTAATCCGCAAGAGAAGACAAGTTGCTGACGATACCGCAGCTTCATCGATGGATCGCAACGGGTGCGTTGAGTGTTCTGATCGAGGTTCTCCTGATCATTTGTCCGGCATGGCTTCTGTGGACTCTGCACATGCCTCTGAAGAAGAAATTGGGCTGTGCTGTTTATTTTAGCCTCCGATTCCCGTAAGTCGCCTGGCTGTCCGATGATGAATAGGTACTAATATGTCAGANNACGATAATGGTGACTATTTTCCGACTACTGGCGCTGGTTAAGGCAAACAGAGGAACGGACCGCACACTCGACATGACGGTACCGGTGGTTTTGACACAACTCGAGATGCACTTCACCGTTCTGGCTGCTACTATTCCGATCCTTCGAAACCCTCTTACCAAGCTCAACTCCGGATATCTCAACACAACGTTAGAGCAGATGGATCCAGCAGCAAGTGCAGCTTATGCATCATCCAGATCAGGTAGCAGTGGCAAAAGCCCGTCTTTTGCCCTGTCGCATGTGACGGGTAGCGGGCGGCGCAATGATCCGGTGGTTGAACAGAGAGAAGGAGAGGGCATCGAGACCATCGCCGAAGCAGGCTCTGACACGATTGAGGAGGGTCAAAGTGTGTTGTCAGAGGGCTCTGACCAAATTATGATCAAGCGGACAGTCATGATAGACTACGCATGACGAAGTAAGCATGGGTTTACTGCCGGCTATCGAATGTAAAGCAGCTTTTGTTTGCCAACTCTGTCATGAGCCGCCTATGATTCTTTTACATGTACAAAAACTGTTTTCATCAGTGATAGCAAGGTGGAAAGCGAGTCTCTGCTTTGCGACGAACAATGATGGTGAATGCTGCCGCGCGACGATGGGAGAAACCGGGAAGGTGCCAAAGAGGCGCGGAGTTAAGCCGAAGCAATCCGAGACCTACGTAATTGGCTTTTCTACTCGAGAAATGCTATCGAGTACAATCAGTCAAAACAAGGCCAATTGGCGCTGTTGATGGATGAAAAGATAGCAGAGGATGTCTCAGGTGCCTAACGCTGCTCACAAGCGCTCACAATGCCTGAGATGAACAATTGTGTCTAAAAAATTGGTGAATGGACGAGGGCGTGGCTCGAGTCACTACCCCACTCGAGGTGCCGGGGACATGGAGGCAGCGAAATCGGAGGCAAACGATCCAGACGCTTGGCATGCAGGTCGCACTCCCGTAAAACTAAAGCAACAGCAAGAGGCCGCTGGCGAATATTTTTGAGTCATCCGTCCAGCCTCAATACAAGAAGCCAGAGGCGTCAAACAAGATCTGTTTCCTCACACGTACACGCACTCGCACGCTGATTGAGGCACATTGATCAAGATGCTCTCGTCACAAGCCCCGAATCGCGCTCTCCGCTTGTCGCTCCGTGCTCGCCACTTTTCCACATCGCGTCCTGTCGCTGCCGTCTCGCCATACAGATCACCGAATCCTGCCAAGTCGCAAAAGAAGGTCGAGAAGAGAGAACAGAGCACAGCTGCTGCCGCCCAAGCAGCGCATTCCTCACCAGCACGCTCCGTCCCTAGCCCAGCCTTCAACCGCTCCGTCAAGGAAGATGTCCAGCCTCTCCAGGCTTTCAGACAGCCCGAGATGGACCACTCGTTCGTCGGCATGAACGGTGGCCAGATCTTCCACGAGATGATGTTGAGACACGACGTCAAGCACGTCTGTGAGTAGCCTACACTTCAATCCAACCATGTCTTGGACTCGCGACTAACACGCTTCTAAANNGTCGGTTACCCTGGAGGCGCCATCTTGCCCGTCTTCGATGCCATCTACAACTCAGAAGCCTTCGATTTCATTCTTCCGCGTCACGAACAAGGAGCTGGCCACATGGCCGAGGGCTACGCTCGTGCCTGCGGCAAGCCTGGTGTCGTTCTCGTCACATCTGGTCCCGGCGCGACCAACGTCATTACCCCTATGCAGGATGCTCTGATGGATGGAACTCCCATGGTCGTCTTCTGCGGTCAGGTGCCCACCACCGCAATCGGCTCGGACGCTTTCCAGGAGGCTGATGTTATTGGTATCTCAAGAGCTTGCACCAAGTGGAACGTCATGGTCAAGAACATTGCCGAACTGCCGCGCAGAATCAACGAGGCCTTTGAGATTGCTACCTCCGGTAGACCTGGTCCCGTCTTGGTCGACTTGCCCAAGGATGTTACTGGTGCCATGCTCAACCGCCCTATTCCCATGAGCAGCACTCTCCCCACCCACCCCAGCGCCGCCTCGCTCGCCGCCAAGGACTTGAGCAGAAAGCAGCTCGACTCTGCCATTGCTCGTACTGCTAACCTCATCAACATGGCCAAGAAGCCCGTTATTTACTGCGGTGCTGGTATCCTCGGTCACCCTGATGGTCCCAAGCTCTTGAAGGAGCTTTCCGAANAGGCTCAGATCCCCGTCACTACCACTCTTCAGGGTCTCGGTGCTTATGACGAGCTTGACCCTAAGGCTCTTCACATGCTCGGTATGCACGGTTCCGCCTTTGCTAACATGTCTATGCAAGAGGCCGATCTCATCCTTGCTCTCGGCGCTCGTTTCGACGACCGTATCACTGGTCACGTTCCTCGCTTCGCTCCTCAGGCTCGTGCTGCCGCTGCCGAAGGCCGCGGTGGTATTGTCCACTTCGATATCATGCCCAAGAACATCAACAAGGTCGTTCAAGCCACCGAGGCTGTCGAAGGCGACGTCACTGAGAACCTTCGTAACCTCCTTCCTCAAATCAACACCATTGCCGAGAGTGACCGCAAGGAATGGTTCGGCCAGATTGCCGACTGGAAGAAGCGTTTCCCCTGGGCTTACGAGAAGGAGGATGGCCCTGATTCGCTCATCAAGCCTCAGACTGTCATCAGCATGCTTTCTGACTTGACTGCACACATCAAGGACAAGACCGTCATCACCACTGGTGTTGGCCAACATCAAATGTGGACCGCTCAGCACTTCCGCTGGCGTTCCCCTCGTACCATGATCACTTCGGGTGGTCTTGGTACGATGGGCTACGGTCTCNCTGCCGCCATCGGTGCCAAGGTTGCCTGCCCTGAGAAGCTTGTCATCGACATTGACGGTGACAGCTCTTTCTCCATGACCTTAACTGAGCTTTCCACTGCTGCCGAGTTCAACATTGGTTGCAAGGTTCTTATCTTGAACAACGAGGAGCAAGGCATGGTCACACAATGGCAATCGCTCTTCTACAACGACCGTTTCGCACACACTCACCAGCGTAACGCTGATTTCGTCAAGCTTGGTGACGCTATGGGTGTTCCTGCTCGTCGCTGCACCAAGATCGATGACCTCAAGGACAGCCTTCAATGGCTTATCGAGGGCTCTGGTGAGGGTCCTGCCCTTCTCGAGGTTGTTACCGACCAGAAGATCCCCGTCTTGCCCATGGTTCCTGGTGGCTCTGCCCTTCACGAGTTCCTCGTCTACGATGAAGCCAAGGAGAAGGAGCGCCGTCAACAAACAAGAGACCGCAGTGGAAGATAAGCTCGCTTTCTGATGCGATGAAATATCTCTACCTTTCTCTTCTTGTGTAAATTCCTTCGCCCCTCGGGGTCTTTCGTCATGACTTTTTTGTGATGTTTTTCGAGCATATCTGGCAGCGAAAAAGAATGTGGGTTCTTTGCGGGCGTTTTATATCTATGGTCATTTCACGTTTTGCTTTTTTCACTCGAGGAGCAGGATCAGAATGCAAGAGCTGGAAATCTGGTCTTTCTGGTGAACAAAAGTATTATCTTTCCATCATTTATTCTTCCGCACGACGTTTGGCGCGAAGAGAGGAAATGCAAATGAAAGCTTTTTCCAATTTACTGTGTCAACTGTCTACAGGTGACCATTGTTTGCTCCCTATCTGGCGTGTTGGGCCAATGTGCCCTTGGGTTATGTGAAGTCTAGATACCTGAGGCAGAAGTCGCTTCGTCTGCAACCAGCTTTCTCCCGGTTGGCAACGTCGGCATAAAGTCCGCCTGTGCTCAACTGAACAATCATTACCACACTTGCTCATGGCAAGAAGCATACACATCGAGCTTTCGAGCTCATGCTGGGCAGTCGTCAGTGTGACTCCAGAAACAAGATACATGAAGCATGCCTGGCTAAGGGCAGCTGCATACATTGGCGGGGCAACCAGGAAGGCACCACTCGCTCCTGTCTTGGAAGTAGGCACCAGCATAAACATCAACACTCCTATTAAGTAAGCCTTGTTCATCTGAAAACATGCATCTGGACACGCATACACATCAACCATGGACCAATTCTACCTGAAAAATGCAGCGCTCTATCAGACCTACGTCGACAAAGTGGATCCGACCAAGCCTCAAGCACACTTTATGAACCTGCCTCCTCAGCCAGCGAAGAACGCCGCAGACAACAGCAATCCAAATATGACCATAAGTGTTCGCATACGTCCAATGCTGGAAGACGATGTAACCTCAGGCTTTCCTTGCGCTGTCTATCCGCGTCCTCATGATCCGACTACGAAGCATCAAACCATAGATCTTCATGATCTCTACAACCACCCCCGAAGGCCTCGTCCCATTCTCAAGTCTTCGACGCATAAGCTCCAGAATGTGTTTGAGGCTGGTGCAAGTACAGCGCAGGTTTACGATGAGGTTGTGCGTGACCTGGTGATGTCCGCTGCAGATGGCAAGCTTGGTACTCTATTCGCATATGGACAGACGAGCTCCGGCAAGACCTTTACAGTCACAGAGTTACAGAAGCTTGCTGTTGCAGACTTGTTGGATCGTCACGCTGAGCTGCATGTCACTGTCGTGGAACTAGCAGGTAATGTGGCCTTCGATCTTCTCAACCAACGCGAGCGTATCGCCGTTCGAGAAGACGCATCTGGAACCACGCAACTCGTTGGAGCCATCGAGCATCAAATCACCGACAAGGACCAAGGTATTGAGCTACTAGAAAAAGCAATGTCATTCCGCCGCGCGGCACCTACACTCAAGAATCCTGCCTCGTCACGTTCCCACTGCATCTGCCGCATCAAAGTCACACAGCCTGACTCTCCTGCACAAGGCTTCCTCTACATGGTCGACCTTGCCGGCTCCGAGATCGCACGCGATGTAACAGAGCATGGGCCCGAATTGATGCGCGAAACACGCGAAAACAATGTCAGTCTGTCCGTCCTCAAGGACTGTATTCGACAAAGAGCATTAGCGGCTACGAGCAAGAAGAAAGTGCATGTGCCGGTCCGAGGGAGCACGTTGACAAAGATCTTGAAGCATGTGTTTGATCCCGAGGGTAGTGAAGAGTGCAAGACTGTGGTGGTTGCGTGCTTGAACCCGAGTCTTGCGGATGTTGCGTCGTCGAAGAATACATTGAGGTATGTGGAGTTGCTGGGCAAGATAGATTGACATCCTCTGTACAATTAGCATCGTGGACAAGTATGTCTTAGCTATGAAAAATCTTAGCTATCATTTTTCGATAGGAGACGCTACCAACCTTGCCGTAACAAAGTTCAGAGTATCGATGAATATGTGCTCGGCTGTTCTTTGGGCAATGGTCGAACTTCATCACTCAGGCCAGACTTATAGAGACATGTTCGATTATTTGATAATTACGCTGGACATTGCCGAGGCTCAGGCTTCCTGGTATACAGCTCTGCAGGTTGATGGGTTTCAGGGCTTGTTTTTGTCCCGGATCATAACGACTCCTATGGCTGATCTAGGTATGTAGATACAGCTCCCCTTGTATCTAAGCTACTCTGGCAGTGGGCCGCTCTCGCTTCGCAATCCTCCTTCTCTCAGAACAATTGCAGCTTCACTGAGGATACCACAACCATAGCAACCGAGCGCAGCTTGCTCTCTGTAGCTTCAACAGTCAGTTAAATTAAATTACCTTCTCGTGATTCGAGTATCAGTCCACAGTTGTTCCGAGCATCTGATACTCCAGGATACGTTCATGGATTCTTGGCGATTCTAGTACTCAATGCTGCTAGTGTCTTCCTGACGTTGCTTATCATATTGGTGTACTGGAGAGATGCGTTGAAGATGACTCGTAGAGGAATACAAGAGCTTGATGCGGATAACGTTTATACTAAATTCATCGAAGTGCGCAAACCGCAGATATGACAGAAGCTGAACTTTGAAAGATGTCGTAGTAAATTCAGATAGCGAGACTAACTAAACTTTTAGACAGCAAGACCTTTGCTCGGATCTGGAGTACCTATGTTCAAGAGTTTTCGTCCCCAATATTCATCATCTCCCTTTTTAGCTTCGGCCAGCAATCTGACTTGTGAGAAATCCGGCCAGGGTTGAGGCATTTTCGGAACATCCATGTTGTTCACAACATATCCTTGAATAGCAGCGAGCAGTTCGTGAGCGGCACTTGGGTGGGCTTGGATCCAATTCGCAGTCCCAAGGACATCGTTGGCATAGTTCCAACCATCTTCGTGCAACTCTAGATCATCCTCGCTGAAATCCTCGCTCTGAGGTCTGAAGAATCTCTTTCTGAAAAGTGTATCTTGACGGATCGTTTCTTCCATGTCGCTCTGCCGACTGAGAAAGTGTTGCAAGTCGCAAGCTTCTGCTAGCCTGTCCCGCGAGGTGTTTGAGACTTCTTCATACAGTGCATCCCGCAGTTCGGGAAATTCGTAGGCAAGGACACATCGTCGGACGAGGTAATAAGATCGGGCGACGGTACTTCCACTTCTGTGGGCATCGGCCTGATACATCTCTCGACTAGGCTCTTGCGACGTGCCACATAAGCTGCAATGGCACTAGCGCAGAGATCAGTGATCCTCATCAAGTATGGGACCCAGAGATGAATTGGAGGTTGTTCGTCGCAATCGAAGGAAGCGCGAAGTCGCGATTCGGTTATGGCATAAGAGATCGCTTGCGCTGCTGCGGGAGTCGTTGCTGTGACGATTGCTGTTCAGCAAGCCGGCATCAAAATCCAGCCATAGTGCTTCTCCATTGATCTCGTCTGGATCACATCCTTCGGGTAGATTCGCGGCTTCACAAGTACCCAGTTCGTAAGCGTAAACGACTGCACGCTCCGGTCTGACAGTATATGAAGCATACGTTTCTAATGGCGCAAGTAAGTTGAGTGTTGATAGAGCCTCAGGTACTAGATCCTCAAGTTTTCTTGGCAAGGCAGCAATGCTGAATTGTGTATGCTGTTGCAACACTTGAGTTGCTGCATGATGTGCGGCAAGTAGAGCCTCATGCAGGGCAGTGGTGTCAACCGTACTTCTGAAAATCAACATTAGAATCAAGATTGAGTCAGATGTACAACTATGCCTACCTTTGCTGTTCAGGAAGCTTGATCGTTTGTTCGAACCAGTCCGTGTACGTGGCGTTTACTGAGACTCGGGCTATCAATGACGTGGACCCATTTTCTAGGCTTTGGACGACGATAAGATCCCTCTTTCCAAGACTGATGCCCAGTGTAAATTCATCATACGAGGCATATGCAACGATTGCGAAAGCCACAAGAAGAGTGCTGAGAAGCATAACTGTGTATCGTACGCGTGAGGACAAGAGACCGTCTCAAAAAGCGACAGCTCATCCAGCCAGTTTCAATGTCGGGAACACCCAATCTCAAGGGTCTACCGAAGCGTACAATCCGTCCAATTTTATGTCAAGCTGAGACATATGGAGAGCCTGGTCGAATAAAATCCTGCGTTTCATCTCGCTCTTCAGTCAGAAGGATTTTGACGGGACCTGCAATTCGTGGTTCGACTAAGAGACGCAAGGCCTTCTGCCAAGAAGGATCAAACAACACCAATCTATCGCGCGCTTACCTCCATGGCAAGCAGAGCTGTCTGACAGTCCAAGGATACCTATTCATGTCTTCTTCTGATCTGGTCTTGAACCAACAATACATCAAGAGTGGAAGCAGGCTTGCTTTCTCGGTCGTGTTGGCTATCGATGGATACAGGGTCACGCGGTGATCTGAAACGTGATTGCATTGGAGGACATGTGTGCGAAGCGCGCGCTTTCTTGCATGATGTCGGGAAATGGACGCGTTCAACGCTTCCCGGTTTGGGACAATACCCAGCTCTTCGAGAATGCCGCAGATGCTCGATCTCTCTACTTCTCGAGACGCACGGCAATATGCTAGGCTCTTTGAACCGAAGTTTTCCCGCCAGGAAAGCATCCTTCGGGTAATATGACATGTGTGGCTTTGGGGTGCTTCGGCTTACGTGTGATAGGTGGTTGGTAGGTATATCTATTACGCTCTGGCATCTCATAGCTGTTTTCAACTCCTTATATCAAGTGACTTAACAACCAGATATGGCGGCACAACATCCAAGCTCAAGCTTTCCCGAGTATTTCAAGAAATTGTCGACAACATACTCGAGGCAGACCGGAGACTCTACATTCAATCTGATATACTCGTTCTTGCAGCATCTTCCAGAAGACGTAACCTTGAACGAGCAGTCAATCATCCATGACAATGCTGCAGGGCCAGGTACAGCCACTATTGCAGCAATGTCTGTCCTCAAGAAAGAACCAGCCAAGATTGTAGTGACAGACTTTACTCAAGGCATGATCGACAATATCCAATCGAGAATCAACCAAGAGCAGTGGCGAAACATTACAGCCTCCGTCATGGATTCTCATGAACTCGCATTTGCAGATGATGCGTTCACACTCACCATTTGCAACGTTAGCACGTCGACTTTCAAAGACCCGTTGAAATGCGTGCAGGAAATGCTTCGCACTCTGCAGCCAGGCGGAGTCTGTATCAATTCGCAGTGGAAGAGATTTACCGTAAGAGACATTATTCACAAGGCGCAAATCAGCATTCGGCCAGATTCCAAGCTCTTTAATATGCCGCGGGCGGAGTTCTTGAATGATGGAGTGCTAAAAGACCTGATGTTGGAAGCAGGCTTCGCCAAGGCTGACCAATACGTGGAAACGACTATCATCAGAGACGATGCGATTGAGGGTCTTCGAGAGTTTATGAGTGGTAATTTTACGGCATCTGCGAGGAGTGGCTGGACAGAAGAAGAGGCAGCCATGTGGCCTGCTGCCATTGACGCCGCGATCGAAGAGGAGAAGGCAAATTACGGCGGGATCAAAATGGAGGCTTGGATGGTCGTAGCAAGAAAGGCAGGTTCTTGAGTTCGTCGGTATTGTGCGATGTGAATCGTTATTGGATGGGTTGCGTCACTGCCTGTGAACAATTTAGCAGTAAGCACAGATATTCAAACAGTCGAAAAATCAAGTTTAGCTTGTTCACGCGTTCCTGTTTGCGAAGTTGGCGTCGGCGATTGTCCCGGAATCTTTTTGCGGCAAACGCACGCGTTCTCGCGTTGCGGTGCAAAATGGGCGACTCCAGCCAGATCTTGGGCTGCATCCTCAGAATTGAAGCGAAAAGATGAGCTCTTCAAGAGCAAAACGTACAGCAGCAGGGATTCCCACGTCGTCACCGACCGTAGTACTAATCTGCCGTTCAACTGCTTATGTATGGCAGAGCGGACGGGATGCCCAGTTTTCAGCTGACTGTGGCCGTACGTGCTGAGCATTCTTTTGTTTGCTTTATCAAGCTCGCACATGTGTGAGTCGAGACTGGTAGTGGCAATCGAGCATGGTGAACCCAGAACGCAGCGAACCTGTGTGGTCAGCTTCGCGAAGCCGGCGTCAACGAACCTCTTTCGACTTCTCAATTTCGTGACGACAACACTCAAGAAAGAATCAAGGAGTACGACTTTCCGCGTGCTGGTTTGACGTCTGAGATTATCACGCGATTTTCATTTGCGTGTCAAGGTGACTTTCGACTGATGTGGCAGTACAAATGGACTTATCTCGAGTCGACCATCCACCTCGCATCTTTTGACTTCGTCTGGCGGGTGATACACCATCCAGATATTTCCCAAGAAGGGCCTATCGATGTCAACAGTTGGTCATATCGCAACAAGTGGACCGTCTGACTTGAGTCCGTTAGTTGCCATGCTTTGGTGGTCTCATCGTTTCCCCACATCAAGACGTCCACCGCGACTGCTAGGGAAGAGAGTACCCGATTGGGAATGGCACCCCAGCTCCTCCGCCCCGCGTCGATCCCGTCTAGCAGACACAACCCTTAGAGAAGTCACAGCATCCAGAATAAAGGTACGGATAATCGAAGATGGTTGTTTCTATATCTACAGCATCTTCCCACGATAGAGGTGAAGGCATTCACATCACTTTGATCTATCTCTAATCCCTTACATCCTCCCCTGCTCAAGACCCTGTCATCGTCTTTTGCTAGGCTTCTATCTACCTCCTTTCGAAATCTAGAGCTTCATCACTAGAACTCTAAAGGGACAGTTCCCGACCTTCCATCACAATGCTTTCAAAGATGTACTCGCCACGCGTGGTCATCATCGGCGCTGGCATCGTCGGTACCAACGTTGCCGACGAGCTGGTCGCACGAGGATGGACCAACATTACAGTGGTCGACCAAGGCCNNCCCCTGGACATGCCTGGAGGTTCCACATCACACGCTCCTGGTCTTGTTTTCCAAACAAACGTATGCAAGACCATGACCCTGTTCGCAAAATACACAGTTGAGAAGTTCATGGCCTTGGAAGAAGATGGCGAGAACTGCTTCAACCAGGTTGGTGGTCTCGAGATTGCCACAGATGCTGCTCGTTGGGCAGAGTTGAAGCGCAAGCACGGTTACGCACAGTCTTGGGGTATTGACGCCAATCTTATCAGCCCCGACGAGTGTATGGAGAAGTACCCGTTACTGAACAAGGAGCAAGTCCACGGTGGTCTTCACATTCCTACCGATGGTCTTGCCAAGGCTGCTCGCGCTGTTCAACTCCTCATCAACCGCACTCGCAAAGCTGGTGTTCAATACATCGACAAGACTCCAGTCACTGGAATTGCAAAGGCTGACGGTCACGTTACTGGTGTAGAGACACCTAACGGCACCATCCCAGCTGACATTGTTGTTTCATGTGCTGGTTTCTGGGGTGTCGAGATCGGTGCCATGATCGGTCTCNCTATCCCTCTTCTTCCCCTGGCTCACCAATACGTCAAGACTACCTCTGTGCCCGCACTGGCACAACGCAAGAACCCTGCAGGTGAAGCATCATTGCCCATCCTCCGTTATCAAGACAGAGATTTGTACTACCGCGAGCATGGCGACCAGTACGGTATTGGATACTATGGCCACAAGCCCATGCCTGTCGTAGCCTCATCTCTGGGTGTCACTCCCGAAAAGGTTGACCACAAGAACATGCCCTCTCGTCTTGAGTTCACTCGCGAAGATTTCGAACCTGCATGGGAGCTCTCCAAGAAGTTCCTGCCTTGCATGGAAGGAGTCGAGATTGAGGACGGTTTCAACGGTATCTTCTCCTTCACACCCGACGGTGGCTCTCTTGTGGGTCACGCACCAAACCTCGAGGGCTTCTACGTTGCCGAAGCAGTCTGGGTCACACACTCTGCTGGTATCGCCCGCGCAGTTGCTGAGGTTTTGACAACCGGAAAGAGTCAGATCGATCTTGGAGCTGTCGAGCTTAACCGCTTCGAAGAGGTTCAGTTGACTAGCTCCTACGTCAAGGAGACTTCCAGCCAGAACTTTGTCGAGATTTACGACATCATGCACCCGCTACAGCCTCGCGACTCACCTCGCAACCTCCGCGTCAGCCCCTTCCACGCTCGCCAGAAGGAGCTCGGTGCTTACTTCTTGGAAGGTGGTGCTTGGGAACGTCCATACTGGTTCGAGGCCAACGAGAAGTTGGTCAAGGACCTGCCTGAGGAGTGGAAGCCCAAAGATCGCGATGCTTGGTCCTCGAGATACTACAGCCCAATCGCTGCTGCAGNNGAAGCGTGGAAGACGAGAACGGCAGCAGCAATGTACGACATGACACCGCTGCGTCGTTTGGAAGTCTACGGACCTGGTGCTGTCGACCTTTTGCAGCGTGTGAGCACTGGTGATGTTGGAAAGAAGCCTGGCGCCGTAACATACACTCTCTGGCTTGACGACAGAGGTGGCATCAAGAGTGATGTGACTGTCGCCAGACTCGAGGACCAGTTGTTCCAGGTCGGCTGCAACGGACCTGTCGATCTTGTCTTCCTCAACAAAGAAGCCGCCAAGCAGATGCAGGAAGACCCTACAAAATGGTGCACAATCCGCGACATTACTTCCGGAACCTGCTGTATTGGTCTCTGGGGTCCCAAGGTCAGAGAGATCATCAGCAAGGTCAGTCAGGATGACTTCTCGAGCACGGCCAAGGGTCTACGTTACTTCCGCACCAAGCGTGCATACATCGCCGGTATTCCTGTAACTATCATGCGTTTGTCGTATGTAGGAGAGCTCGGTTGGGAGATCTACACCACAGCAGACCGCGGTCAAGCTCTGTGGGACGCACTCTGGGAGGCAGGACAGGAGCAAGGCATCATTGCGGCTGGCCGTACTGCCTTCAACGCACTCAGACTGGAGAAGGGCTACAGATCCTGGGGATCTGACATGAACACTGAGCACGATCCTTACGAGGCTGGTGTTGGCTTTGCCGTCAAGGCAGGCAAGGTTGGCTACTACGGCCAAACCGCTCTCGAGGGACGCTCGGTCGAGACATCCAAGAAGCGTATTCGCTGCTTGGTCATCGACGATGGTTCCTCGGTTGTGCTTGGCAGAGAGCCCGTGTTCGTTGGCGGCAAGCCCAGCGGATACGTCACCAGCGCAGCGTTCGCATACACAATCGGCAAGCCTATTGCCTATGCATGGCTGCCAAGCTCGGTCAACGAGGAGGACAAGGTGGAGATTGAGTACTTCGGCAAGAGGGTCGAGGCTACGGTTACTGCCGAACCACTGTTCGATCCTTCCATGTCACGTCTGCGTGGTTGAGTCCGAGGCTTCTAGAAGTAATGATGGTTTATTTATAGCATAGACATGGCGCACTTTAATGATCAAGCATATTTTAACGTTATTTCGACCGTTTTGTGTCAAAGCATTCCTCGTATGTGTGTGCATGGTTCAGAATGTGGTAGAGCATCGTGCATGCTCATTACCTAGCATATATCCTTACTTGGATGAGGAGATCAGTAAATGTAGTGTGGTTCATTGAACACAGAGAGTACCTCGATCCAATTCTTCGCGTGGTGTTGCTCAGTGTTTGCAATGTCATGCGGTCACAATGGCAGGGTCTGAGGGTGGGTTCTGGTCGAAGCGGGGTTAAAAAATGGATGATCGAATAACACGACGAGGATGGATCAAAAACATACACAATCCTCACATGAGATACATTGAATGCTCTAGACTCTGATAGACATCTAGTTCGCAACATTAGACCAGTGTGCGTTGATGTATTCGAGTCCATCTCATGTTGATAATTAGAGATCAGGGTCGGTACCCCAACGTAATTCGGTTCAAAGTGGATCATGTGGCTGGCGTGTGCACAGCAAGCTTCTGACACATCGGCAGGCCGCGTTGTAGGGCCCTGGTTGGGTCATAGTAATCTTGCTCTCGTATCTCGGCTCTTGATGTGTGAGAGAACTCGATGTACGAATTAGGGTAGCATTCTCGCGGTGGTCTGGCGGGCGATAGGTTCATCGTGGGGTAGTGGCGGGGCAACAGGGAGCTAACACGTGAGGTGATGGATGAGACTTCCGTAATCGGAAGTGGATATGATGACCGTCTTGAGCTTCCACACTGGGTTGACGACGTCGGCCACAAACTTTTGTCTTATAATAAACACAGCCGGCAACATGTAGTCGTTGTTCGTCATAACCTCTCTTCTACACTGAATCATCATACTCCTACAATGGCCGACAAGTCGTACCTCATCGTCGGAGCCGGCGTTTTCGGCGTTTCCACCGCTTACCATCTGATCAAGAAATACCCCAACGCAGACATCACCATTGTCGACCGCGATGCCTTCGACCAAGACACACGTGTAGCCGCTTCGTGGGACTGGAACAAGGTCGTCCGCGCCGACTACGATGACATTGTATATTGCAAGATGGCCATCGAGGCACAAGACATGTTCAAGACAGACAATCTGTGGAAGCCCTACTTCTACCAGACCGGCATCTACTGGATGTGCCGTAGCGACTACGCTCAGGAAGTCGTCGACAACTACAAGAAGCTGGGCAGAGCTGCCGACCTCAAGGCCGTGCCCATCGACGAGGCACGCAAGATGTACGGCGGTTTGTTCGAAGACGCCGACTACAGCGGCGTCAAGGAGGTTCTTGTCAACAAGACCAGTGGCTGGGCCACTGCCGGCGAATGTCTGATTGGCATTACTCGTGAAGCTCTCAGACTTGGTGTCAAGTACAAGCAGGCTGAGGTTGCTTCATTGCTCCTCGACAATGGCCGCTGTACCGGCATCAAGACTGCAGCTGGCGAGACTTTGACTGCCAAACACACTCTTCTCTGTACAGGCGCATACACACCAAAGCTGCTCGAGTACTGTGCCCAGGCCAGTGGTAACAACGACCTTTGCGCTGGTGACAGAATTGTCGCTGGTGGTATCACCACTGGTATGACAAGACTCGACGAGGACTCATACCGCAGATTTGCATCCATGCCCGTGGGTGTCCAAGGCTACACTGCTGAAACTGGTAAGATTTTGTGCACTGTTCATACCGCCATCATCTGCTTACCATGACAATAGNGACCTTTCATCGGCAGTCTACCACCCACCAGAGACAGAGAGCTCAAGTGGTGGGGCCAGAAGATCTTCAAGAACGACACAGAAGTCCTGCCTGGACGTACCGTATCCGCACCCCCAGCGAAGCCCGACTACGGCCAATGGGACGTCTCGAACAGACTGAAGGAAGACATTCAATACGCAAACCACGTATTCTATGGAAAGAAATCTGCACACTGGAACATGGAGAAGCACCGCATCTGCTGGTAAGTCATTCAAGCGCGCAAACTCCACTTCACATGTTGACCTCTCTCAGGGNACGCTTTCACATCCAGCTCCGACTTTATCATCTCACCACACACCGCTGCCCAGGGCCTTTATGTTGCGACATGTGGCAACTTCCATGGCTGGAAGTTCTTCCCTGTGCTAGGCAAGTACATCATCTCCATGCTGGAGGGCACATTGAGCCCTGAGTTGTCAGAAAAATGGGGTTGGGACAGAGAGCGTCCCGACCCCAAGTACTTCGCCGACTGGCCAAGACACGATATGAAGGATATGTTGGATCCCGTCAGAACTGCCAGGCTATAATTCACTACACTACGTTCGACAGCTTGATATACATGAGGAAACGCTTTTTTAATCTCTGATTTGGCTTTGGCAAGGATTATCGTATGGTGAAAAACACCCGAGTGTGAATCAGAAACACGTTCTTATCCATCGCGACAAAGCCCTCCGAAGCGACATGACTATTCACCTCGAAGAATTTGACCTTTGCGACGCAGGCAGCCCAAGCAGCCTACTTAAGCAACCGACGCGGCCAAGAACAGATCAAACAACAACACAATGAAGATGCGCAAAAGCGTGCATTACTTGCGTAGCAAAGTTGGTAGTCATGATTCTTGTTGCGATACCGTGCTCGAATTGCATCTAAGAACCTTGCTCACAAGCAATAACAGGCGACATGAATCCCCACGCATCCGCTCAGCTGGAGGAATGGCCTCAGCGTCTCAGCTGAACATGAGGAGCCACGTCATTACAGATTCAATTCTGCTCAAAAGGGTCTTTCGAGTCGGATGCGTTCTTGCTGCAGCTATGCAGAAGTGCTTCGCAGTACTCGGATACATGGACATGGGAGAACGACGCACAAGGAGCCATGTTTCCCAGCGGTTACCACTTCCATCGTACAATCTGACTATCGAGAGGTTGGTGTGAGTCTGCGATCCCGATAACCTACACGTTGTATGTGGTTGCGTACATCCTGAGTGGCATTCAGATCGCCACGGAAGCGATCGAGCTCAAGCAGTGCATCGATGCAATTTGCAACCGAACGATCGTAATCAGGAAACTCGTAGTTCTTGCTGCATGAGGAAGAACCAAGCGGTCAGCAAAAGCAGGAATCTTGGTCGCATCTTAACGGAAGAGAACGGAAGCAGAGGCATCTGCACCAATCGCACTCGAAAAGGATCTCCATGCCCTGAGAACGTATGGTAATCCCAGACCACTACTTCCTCCCGAGTACAATTGTATCTTGTGAGAGTGCTTCGAGAAGACTGCCCTTTCAAGGACTGAGTTCGCTGGACCTGCAGCCACCGTACCGTCCGAGAGCCCATCTGCGAGGTGTAATCCCACGCGAGAGCTGAGGGGAGGTTCCAGGCTTCTAGAATGCATCTCCGTGTTTGGAGATCGAGACCACCTTGGCGAGTTGTTGTCGAGATAAGCTTACAGAAGCCACTGTCCCAATTTGGTTGCGAGTTCCCCAAAGTCAGATTGAGGTTCCTTCTATCTTTGGTTTGGACTAGTCTCGTGATTTGCCTGATTGCCGGACTGCTACTTCCCCAGGAACGGTGGACTAAAACTGGTCAGCTCCTTCGCACTTGCATATTGATTGGACGATCATGAATCGTGTGTCATGATAAGGTCACTATGCATGGATAATGAAACGATATGGTAACGCATTCGCAAAACCTGACCTCGTACGGTAACCCAGGACACATGAGGCTCTTGACTCCCAAGACGTATTCCCCGCGTGCATACGTGCCCGACACGGTAAAAGCAACCACTATGCCTAGATATCAACAAGGTAGATCTCTATCAGGAGACGAATTGGGTACACTTCTACAGAGAGTGACAGCATATTATTGATCCATCTTTCCTTCCAAGTCATCATCTCCGGACTTCAGAAGAACACTTTCTAGTAATCTCCTGACTTTACACACATTCCACCACGCCACAACAATGTACGCAGAAGCCCCACAACAACCCAAGCCTTGGGCATGGACACCTCTGATCGAGAGTCGACCACTTTCGGAAGCAGCAGGATGGTATGTCTCCCACTTTACGTTCTCGAACCTACAACCTATCCATCATTTCCCGTCCTCGATGTTTGAAAACAATTTCTAAATCGCAGAANGTAGAGTCTTCCTTAAACTGGACAACCTGCAGCCGTCGGGATCGTTCAAGTCTCGCGGTGTTGGCAACTACGTCCTCCAACGTGCCGCCGAACGCATCTCAGCAACTGGAGTTCCCAATGCCACACACTTCTATGCAGCCTCAGGTGGTAACGCAGGCATTGCCTGTGTTCACGCTGCCAGAACACTAGGATATCCCGCCACAGTCGTTGTGCCTAAGAGTGCTAAGCCAGTCATGATTGCAAAGATCTGGGCTATGGTAAGTATCTCTTGATCTCGAGTCTTTGACGGTCTAGCTGACAGATCAATAGNNGGAGTCAAGCAGGTTATCCAGCACGGCTCTACGATCGCTGAAGCACAAGAGTACATTCTCAACACTCTTNTGCCAGCTGATCCAACTGGTGTTTTCGTTCCCCCTTTCGACCACCAAGACATCTGGGACGGCAATGCAACTGTTATGCAGGAGATTGCTTCTCAACTTGGTGATAAGCCTGATGTCGTCGTCTGCAGTGTCGGTGGCGGTGGTCTTCTCAACGGAATCATGCAGGAGTTGGACCACAAGAAGTGGAACAACGACGTGCAGGTCCTGGCCATGGAGACCAAAGGAGCAGACTCATTGAGCCAGAGTCTCATCTCAGGTCAAATTGTCACTCTCCCCAGAATCACATCACAAGCCACCAGTCTCGGAGTCGTCAGAGTCGCAGAGAAGACTTACGAATATGCTCAGAGGCCCAACGTCACGAGTGTTGTGCTCACTGACGAACAAGCTGCCAAGGGCTGTTGCTTGTTGGCTGAGCACGAAAGAATGATGGTCGAGCTGACTGTGGGTGTCAACGTCCCTGTCTGCTTCGATGGTTTCCTACAGAGTCTATTGGCCAACAAGAAGACAATCACCAAGGACAGCAAGGTTGTCTTGGTAGTCTGTGGCGGCAACGACATCTCACTGGACATGCTCATGGCCTGGCGTATGGCCATGGTCGGTGAGGAGACCGTTCAAGAGAACACTACATCCATGACCGCAAGAGTCGGAGCCACTGGAGTAACAGCTTGAGGAACCTGTATTGGTTTACGTATGAATTGATGGACACTGCCACACAGATTAATGGGATATGCATGTTTTTGGGTTTGAATTTATATATATGCTATGAAATTGAGTTTACTACATTACATTCAAATTATACGTTCTTCACAACCGTCAACATGTTTAGTGCCCCAAGATACATCAGAGATTTGCAAATTTAACCCATTCAAACATGGATAGCGAGTATTGCACGTGAATCGATACAGAGCCTCATCGGGCACTTCTTATCAAGAATACATCGAGAGTGACCATCTCGATTTCGGTCCTTCTCTATCATCACTATCACGGTGATAGTGATCATCGAAGAGATATGGCAATCGCAAAGGCTGATTTGGGATTTATTTTCCTACGACATGTCGTCGTTGCCAAGATCGCCAGCCATCATTTAGAGTTGGGCCAGCTCGAAAGGGTCTGGCTGTGGGCTGACCCCAGATAGACCTCGCAGGGATTCGGTTTCCTCTTTTGGTCAGAATGCACACCGATCGCCACAACCGAGACTGCGATAGCGCTGCACAAACGACGAGTGGCTGCGTGTCAAAGTTACAAAGCGCGACTAATCCTGGGTATGGAATCCTGCCGGTATCAGCTAATGATTACGCAAATCGAGCAGTTTTGTCTCTGAACGATGCTGGGTGACCATGGCCAAAACGAATGCTGCTATGCGTAGCCATACCCCACGGGGCTCTATGGACCGTCTTTCCTGACGAGTAGGTTCACCATTATCCATATAATTAAGGAAGCGTCGAACTTGCTGTGTTCTTTCTCCTTCTCATCTTCAATCTTGAATACTCATATCAACCCTCCACTTCCACCTTGTTGAGTATTGCCATACTCCATTGCAATATCCACAATACACTTTAACACACATACACAATGGCATCCTTCCTAAGTTACTTCAACCGCAGAGACAGCGGAAACACAACAAAACCTGCCTTGGACAAGCAGCCCGTGAGAGCACTTCCTGCATCATGGTACACCTCTCCCGACATGTACGAGCTCGAACGCCGTGCCATCTTCTCCAGACGTTGGCTCCTCATTACACACAAGCTTCGTCTCACCAAGCCTGGTGATTTCCTTCGCTACGATGTTGCCGGCTTCCAATTCATTCTTGCCAAAGACCGTCAGGACAACATTAACGGCTTCCACAACATTTGCCGTCACAGAGCCTACCCCGTTGTTGAGAAGACTGAGGGTACTGCTCGCATCTTCGCATGCAGATACCACGGCTGGTCTTACGGTCTGAACGGAAAGCTCGCAAAGGCACCCAGTTACCAAGAGCTTGAGGGCTTCGACAAGGAGGCCAATGGACTTTTGCCTATCCACGTCCACGTCGATAGAAACGGTTTCGTCTGGGTCAACATGGATGCGAAAGCAGAGCCTGAAATCGCCTGGGAAGACAACTTCGATGGTGTCGATGTCCAAGCACGTTACGACTCGATCGACTTTGAGAACTATGTCTTCGACCACAAGTGGGAGATGGACGGTCCCTACAACTGGAAGATCTTGGCAGACAACTACAACGAGTGTTACCACTGCCCGACGACCCACCCCGACATTCCGGCTTTGGCAGATCTAGAAGCCTACTATGTCAACACAACCGCAAGCCACATCCAGCACGAGGTCGCTAGTACACCGGAGCAGGTCGCCGCTGGCATGACCGTCATTCCAACCTACTACTTCCCCAACGCCTCTGTCAACGCAACGTAAGCATAACTCTTCATCAAGATATTTCCCGAATGCAGACTAACATGCCAATTCACAGACNCAAACTTCTTCTTCATGCAAAGATTCGTACCCCACGGAGCCGGCAAGGCAACCATGAGCTACGAAGTTTACCGCAACAAGAATGCCTCGGACGAAGACTTTGACAGAATCAACCAAATCTACAAGCGTGTCATGTCAGAAGACAAGGTCCTCTGTGACGCAGCACAANAGAACGTCAACGCTGGTGTCTTCGTCAGCGGTCTCATGCACCCACGCATGGAGAAGGGACCTCTCTACTTCCAGAAGTTGTGCAGAGAGGCAGTCACAGAACACCACGACAAGGAGAAGGCTGCAGGTGCAAAGATTCACCCAGCTAGACAGCAAATGTCAGCGGCTGAGCTTCAGAGTGAGAAGGACATTGATTTCTGCTCTGGACTGGCGTGTGGTGAAGAGCAGCAGGAGGCTTTGGCCTGGTGAAGAAGTTTTCCGAGAAGGTGTTTCCCTTTTCTCAAAGAATGATACACATGCATAGCGTAACGACTTTTGGTCTGACTTAGACACTGGCGAATTTTGCTTTCGACCTAATATGAAATTGATTATTTACTTCTGAACTTTTTTGTCTCAAGATTTGACTTATCGTACTTTGTGATCGTTTTCATCTGCTGATCTAGATTCTTCCTCTAGATTGACGAATACAGAAAGATGATAGTGGTCCGCATTCGACCAATTTGAAATGCCATCATGAGCATGCCTTTATATTGACTAACATTTTCAAGCAGAGTCTCGAGTCGCTCCTGCCCGAGCTGCGTCCTCACTGCCCTCAGTCTGCGCCCCGAGAAGAGCGCTCTCCTCATCAACAACTTCCTTTTTAGTCACAGCACTCTGAGAAGCCCCCTTGGACTTCTGCAACGCAGACCAAAGCGTACTAGCAATAACAACAGCACCACCAACACAAGACCAAAAGCCCGGGAAAACGCCCCAAATGGCCCAATCAAAAGCCAGCGCAAACAAAATGCCTGTATACAACATACTAGTCGCCTTGCTAGTTCTGTCTAGCTGCAAACCAGCAGTAAGCAAGAACTGCAACACAAACCCTAGGATACCGAGCAGAGTAAGCAGCAGCCATTCTCTTGCTCCGTGGGGGCTNGTGAAATTCATGCCTGGGAGAAGGAGTAAAGCACCTGCAGAGCCAATACTGCTGATTAGAGCAAAGTAGTTTACAGAGATGAGGGCATGGGCGCGAGAGCCAATGACGCGGATTAAAGTGTATGCGGCAGAAGCGCCCAAAACTCCAATCACAGAAACTAAAATGGCAAGCAGACGTTGTGAGGCTGATACTTTGTCGATCTTGTTGGGTTGGTGAGGGATCTTGATGTCGTCGTTTACTCTGCCGAAGATGGCTGCTGGGTGGGCGATAATGACTACTCCTAGTAAAGCGATGACTCCAGCTAAGAACTCGGTCCTGCTGAATGACTGTCCGAGGAAGACAGAACAGGCCCATGCTGTAATGATAGGAACCAAGAAGCGGAAGACCGTCGCTTCGGCCAGAGGCAAATAATGTACCGAATCTAATAGCACCTACATAAGCTTTCTTGCCAGAACAAAACAAAACAGAACATTTCCTTACAGNTATAAACAAAACAGACCAAAGAACCCAGCCAATGCCCGCAAGATCAACCAACCCCTAACAGCAGGTGCCCCCAGCGGAAAATCAGGAACTTTGGTGTACCACATGTATACAGTACTCAGCAAAGCCGTAATACTCATCCTCGCAAAAATGACCTGGAAAGGATGCATCCCACGTCCTCCCTGTTGCAAAAATCGGACAATGGCATCCATAGTAGACCCCGTGGCTTGGGCGAGCAAAATCAGAAACACGCCTTTGTTGTTGCGCCATACGGTTTTGAAGACGTTGGGTTTGGGTTGGGAGACATTGATGGATGATCTTGAGGGGTTTGCCTCGTCGTCTTGCATGCTGCTAGACATTTTGGTATAGGAGTAACTTCGTAGTGAGAATTCATGATTGTGTCGGTGAGAGTAGAGTTTTATATGGGTGCACGGACGGGAATAGACCTGTCCTGAAAAGGAAAGCTTAACCGGTCTGCAGGGTCACCAGTTGCATGTCACAAGGCAAGAGACAGGGTGTTACCTAGTAGTTGCGAAACGTACCTTCTTGATTATGCAACCAGAATGTTCATATCTTCTAATCCGCCTACGCTGATTAGAATTTGTGATGTGCATCGCACACATGATTCGAGTCGAGAGTTCCCAAGTGAGCTGCTTGGATGAAACCAGCGCAATCAGGAAGCAATAAACTAGTCGTGATCGTAATGTTATTTATCTTTCGTATGTACGTCCAAAATGATTCGCTATCATTTTCTCTCCTTAGTAAAGCCCAAAGTCTCTCTTAACCTCACGGCCCTCAGCCTGAAGGGTGACCTTGAACAGCTTGTACTCGTTGAAGATATACATGCCTCCAGGCACGAAAGCAAAGTTTGCATTTCCACCAGAGACTGTAAAGACACCGAGCAACTCACCCGCAGGATTCCAACTATAATTTTGCAAGTCAGATTTGGTTGGACAAGGTGGAACAGGGAGAAGAGCGACTTACACATGAACGCCATCGCCACAGCCAGCATACACATTGCCCATGGTATCGCAGTGAATACCATCGGGAATTCCGATATCAGAGTATGCAAACAATTGCTTGTTCTGCAATCTCTTGCCGTCAGGAGTAATATCATAGCGGTAAATCGTTGATGGCATGGTCAAGTTGTCCTTGTTGGGGAAAGTGTGCACACCCGTATCGGTAATATACACATGCTTGAAATCAGGCGAGAACTCGATACCATTGGGAGCAAAAGCGTCATCAGCAACTGCTTGAACCACTCCAGTGTTTGGCTCAAAGCGGTAGGCTTGGTTTCTGATGACGGGTGCGGGACGGAAGTATTGCCAGTAGCCATAAGGTACGTCTGTGAACCAGAGGTCGCCGGTTACAGGGTGCTGTCTGACATCGTTGATGGATGAGAAGTTGCGGCCGAGGAAGTTGTTGATCAGGACTTGGCTCTTGTTGGTTGCTGGATCTACGAGGACCAATTGGGCGGGACGAGTCAGGTCGCCTTCGTCGCAGAAGACGATCTGTTGGCCCTCGCTGCTGTTGGCTGGGGAGCCTACGGGGTACCAGGCAGTGGCTCCGTTAGCTTCAGCCAGATGCTCGTAATGAAGAGATTGAATGCTGTTGTTGCCGTTGATGTCTATAGCAGTGACATTGATGGGGTTGCTGAAACTGCCGTTCCAGTTGCTGGTGGCATATAGCTTGCCAGTGGCCTGGAACATGGAGTCAGTCACATCTGATGATCGGAAGATGAAGCAGATGTCAAGTCATGTTAGTTGAAGCTATATAGCGAAGTCTGCAAGATTAAGTAAAACTGCCAGATAATCATGCATCAAGTCCATGAACCAGAGTCCAGCAAGAAGAGTCCAGCAACCATAACAAGGTCAAGTTGATTAATAAACCACAAAGTTGAGAGTCACTCGCAACCGCACCCATTCAAGGAACCAGCAAGGTAAATGATGCTCAAAAGCGCCCAAATAATGCTCAGTCAACCGGAGGTCAAGCACAATCAACTTCCTACCCTCAATCAAGGTCAACCATAGCGGCATCTTCTTCAGCGGCCTTGACCTTGGCCTCGGCAGCAAGATCGATGTGGCGCTTCGTCTTCAAGTGGAGCTTGAAACCTCTCTCGTTGTTGTAAGGGTAGGTACAAACATGGCAGAACCAAGGATCTGAGCGGACGCAAGTGAGGAGACGGGCGTGAATGGGGGTTTTGACATGAGCATTGAAGGATCTCTTCACCGTAAGACACGTTACAAGTACTGCAGTACCATGTTTTGGCTTCGCGAACCTGATCATGTTCAAGACGGCGCTTGGCGTACTCGCGTTCAAGTACCTCAGGATTCTCGGCGCGGTACTTGATTTGTCTCTCGGTATTGTAGGTACGGAAGTCGGCGTAGTTGAATGCCATCTGCTTGTAGTACCAGTTTGCGCCTTGAATGCTTTTCCAAGCACGGTAGCCTTCCGGATCACGCTCCTTGAACTTCTTGCGCCATTCTCGGGTATAGAGCATCACCCTGTTGAGCCTGTTCTCGTTCCTCAGAGCGATGACCTCCTCAAGTTGCTCATCTGAAAGGTCAAAATCCCTACGAATGCCTTCGTACAAGCAGCAATGAGTACAGAGTCCGTCATACTCAAGTTCAAGTCTTGGCCACAAGCACATATGACCCATTCCATAGTCACTCTTGTAAGCTCTGAGGGCCCAAAAGTTGTAGGTCAGAGTGGCTTCAATAGCCAAAAACAGCAGGCGAGTCTTGGGAACCAGATGAACGGGAGGAATGGACGACGTCCAGGCCAGCAGTCCTTTGTGAGAGATGATGTAACCTTCCTCGAGAGCAGCTTTGACAAGAGAAGGAAGACGTGTCCAGGTATCGTAATCTTCGAAACGTTTCTGACCACCATGAGTGGCGTTCGTACCAGATCCGATGTAGATCTTGGGCTTGCATCCACGCTTGGTAAGGACAAGAACGTAGACGATGAAACCGGAAGTGGGACCGCTCGGGAGTGACTTGAACCAATCGATAGTCGGCGAAGTCGTGCCTTTGAGCATTACACCCAAGCGGCCTGGGAACAGGAGCTCAACATCGGAGGCGAGTTGCTGAAGGTCGGTGTATTTCTTGACGTATTGGGAGTAGAGGGGTTCTTCATCGACTTGGGCGTGTCGCTCAAGCATTCGAAAGTTAAGGAAAGCACGAAGTCTTCGATCTCGACATCGTCCGGATGGAGGAGATCGTCAAGATCCATGGGATCGAATGTTGAAGACATGGTGGAGGTCGAGAGTCACTCCCAATGTCAGAGTCAGGCACGGTGTGGACAGGTTTGTCGAAGGTCGAGTTGACGCTGAGGACGAAGCTACTTGGTAGCAGGCAGCAGCGAAGCGCGCCTGACCACGAGTCGCGAAGACATGGTGGTCAAGGCAGGTGGGGTGGTGGTCGCTCCTTCCCTTTTGGTGGTGGAAAACAGCAAAATCCCAAGACGGCCAGAAAAATCACCGGCAGCCCCTGCCCCCAAACCGGGTGAGATATAATGGAGAGGGTTGATTTTGAAGAAAAGACTGCTTATGTAGCTGGCTATCAGAAGCCTCTCCCAGGTTGAGATGATGGGCTCACCTGTTTGCCGTACAATAAAATACTGAAAGCACGAGCTAAATTTGCCAGCGAGAGAGCTTGTGCGTTGATGCTCTCAATGGACAACTCCATCCACTGAAACACTTTATGCATCTCGATGGGAGTAGGATTCTCGAGAGACCCTACTAGGAAAGGCTTAAGCTGCGACGATGAAGCGTAGTGTAAAGGAAAGAGGTTTCGCAGAGAAGAGGGCTATCTATATAGACCGTCTTCACGTGCAAAATGATTCTCTCAGAGTGACTCATGTCTTCACATGCTCATACTCTTGCTCATGCTTGAGGCAAGGGTAGCAGTGAAGGTGTATACGTGTTACATGATCCTTGTAAGGAAGGCATCGTTCTGCCACCTTGGCCATCGTGCCCTCGAAAATTGAGCCCACATGAGGATTCCGAAAACGATTACTCGTTTTTATCGAGCAGGGAGATGGTCCCAACAGCTAGATTCAGTTGATAAAGAGCACCAACAATAGCTCTGCTCTGTCCTCTGGACTTGGTTGACGATGCGCATCAACAGTAGCTTAGCCGACTTGGTGTAGTTGGTCAGGCATTGAGGAAGGAGCATAGACTGAGGGCCTGTGGGCAGGAGGTCTGCAAATGGATAGCAGACACTTCGTGCAGAGTGACAAGTAGACAAGATCGAAGATGAATCGACAGTACCAATCGAGAATGACTCTCGGACCACGGTCTTGACCTTGACCGAGTCGTAAAAGTCGGTCAGGTCGAGGGGTCGGCCTTCAGCTCGATGGAGAGCCGGCTGAACCTTGACATGACCGCAAGTTCTCTTCAGTAGTCGAACTTGATCTTGGTCATGAAGTGCGTTGGTCCCGAGGATTCCAACTTGTGAGAGTCGGTCAAGTTTAATGCAAGTTGATCCTGACCATCAAGTCGATCATGGCCATCGAAGATGTGAGTCCGGCCCTCTAGGCTCTAGCATGGCAGACGTGACTTTTCGAGGACTTCGTATGAGGTATGATTTATGGCTCTTTGCAGTCGACAGACGACTCACGTGGAGAGTGACTCTCGTTCATGTGCTCGATCAACAAAAGTTGAACATGATCATAGGACTTGGCCTTGGCGGTCAAGTTGTCAACATCAAGCTAGTCGTGTTCTAATCCACATTTCGTAGTGTTGACGAACTTGATTCTTTCCAGTCCATAGAGAGGGTCGTGCCAATGCTCAGGCTTGTTGTCTTGGCGGTCAAGAGCACAATGCGTCCAGACAGTGAAGCCACCGTGGGGGTTCGATATCCAGAAATCGCCCAGTATCCAGGAGATTAAGATGTGACATGGGAATAAAAAAAAAGAACTTACACGATTAAAAACGCCCGCTTCGTGAAAAGCTTGATAGTTTTCGCTCAGGACCAATTGCTGAGAAACATTGGCTCCTAGGATATCGTTGACGAAGGTATCATCTGTGAATCCCAATCGTCAGCAATCTTTCTCCTACAACACGAGGACCAACACCAACTACTCACTATACGACAAGAACGAAACATGCTCCGTCGACGCATTAGCAATAGCATACAACTCATTAGCATACGGAATGCTCGTCGCCAGCGTCAAAAGATTAACATGCGTAATATTGACCATTTTCGCAATTCCTTATCCTTAGAATATACCAAAAACTCACAGGAACTTGGCGGCCCATGATGTGCTTTATATATTGTTTCAATTGACCGCACAGAGAGAAAAAAAGATCGTCCTTTCTTGACCTTGGTTGTTCGGTTCCCCTCTCTTGTGTTATGACGATCTTTTGGGCACAGGCTTTCAGTTTTAGCCTAAACCCTTCAATCGGCAATTGATGGTCTTGCACTTCCCTAGATAGGGTGCTGCTGTTATCGTGATGCCCACCGCAGAGTCAGAGACAAAGTTTGACGAGCAAGTACACTCGCAAGCAATTCGTTGAAGCTCGAGGGAAAAGTGTATTGTATAACGTATTCATTGAAAGAGTTTCAAAATCTAAAAAACGCCAAAAGAGAACAATCCTGTAGCCTTCACTCCCGCCGTAAATCACCACCATAGATATTTATAAGAAAGGTTGTGGTCTGAGGAACCAACAACCGTGTAAAGAGTATGTTTTTACAGAGGACGGCCGCCAATGAAGCTGGCCCAGGGACGAACCTCAGAGGGAATACCCTCAGGCTTGGGAGCTTCTCGCTCATGCACTGAGCAAAGAGAAGGGCAGTCTTGGTCTCCATGAAGAGAGGGACACCAAAGTCGACGGCGTTGCGGCGCATAACGTAGTCCTCGTCAACAAGACTGCTGGCACGGACCTTGGCCAAGTTGAAGACACCACGGATGTCGTACTTCTCGAAGACCTCACGAAGGGCACGCTTGTCCTCCTTGGGGAACTCAATGACCTCGACCTTGACGCTGCCGTCCTTGGAGTTGCTCTCAAGGTGGTTCTTGACAGTCTCGTTGGCAGCGAAGAGCTTGTAACCGAGGGGGTTGACGTAGTCGACAATCTTGGCAAGATCAGGGTTGTTGATATCTCCACCGAAGAGGAGACCCTCACCAGGCTGGGGGCAACGGAAGTTCATCATAGATTGAGCAGCAGCCCAGTAGGCCTCAACGAGGTCCTTACCGAAGCAAGCCATTTCACCAGTAGAAGACATCTCGACACCGAGGTAGGGATCGGCACCAGCAAGACGAGTCCAGGAGAACTGAGGAACCTTGACAGCGAGATAGTCACGCTTCTCGGCCATAAGGTCGACAGGCTCGGGGACGTTGGTGCTGGTAAGAGCGCGAGTGGCAACATCAATGAAGTTGGTACCGAGAACCTTGGAAACGAAGGGGAATGAACGAGAAGCACGGAGGTTGCACTCGATGACCTTAAGAGAAGACTCGCCGCCGTTGGGGTTGTCGGCATCGATGATTTGCATGTTGAAGGGACCAGTGATCTTCCAGGCCTTGGCAACCTTGTCGGCGATCTCCTTGACACGCTTGATGGTAGATTCGGGGAGCTTGGCAGGAGGGAGGACAAGAGAAGCATCACCAGAGTGGACACCAGCGTTCTCGATGTGCTCACTGACAGCGTGGACAAGGACCTTACCGTCATGAGCAACGGCATCGACATCAATTTCGCGAGCACCTTCGATGAACTGAGTGATAACGACAGGGTGGTCAGGGCTGACTTCGGCGGCGGCGTTGAGCTTCTCCTCGAGTTCGGCCTCGGAGCGGATAACAGTCATGGCAGCACCAGAGAGGACGTAAGAGGGTCTAACGAGAACGGGGTAGCCGACCTTGTTGGCGAACTGCTGAGCCTCAGCGTAGGAAGTAAGTTCGCTCCAGGCAGGCTGGTCAACACCGATAGAGTCGAGGATGGAAGAGAATTGTTGACGGTCTTCAGCTCTGTCAATGTCCTTGGGGTCGGTACCGAGAACCTTGGCCTTGCCACTTTCCTGGAGCTTGAGAGCCATGTTCTGAGGGAGTTGACCACCGACAGAGACGACGACACCTGAAGCAGATTCAAGTTCGTAAATATCCATGACACGTTCGTAAGAGAGTTCTTCGAAGTAGAGCTTGTCGGCAACATCGAAGTCTGTGCTGTAGGTTTCCGGATTGTAGTTGATCATGACAGTCTTCTTGCCCTGCTCCTTGAGGGAGAGAGTAGCGTTGACAGCACACCAATCGAATTCGACAGAGGATCCAATTCTGTAGACGCCAGACCCCAATACTACAACACCGTGGTCGTTGAACGTGACATCGTGCGAGCTCGCATTGTAAGTAGTGTACTATAAGAAGGAAGCTGTCAGCCTGACGTCCATGACATGTAGTACTTCTCCAGAGGATATCCCCAATAAAGCACCACCATCTTTACTGACTATCAAAATGCAGGAGGCAGAACCAGAACTGTTACAGTCCATTGAGAGTCATGAATCTCATTCAGATACCCAGGCTCTCAATGGACAGGTGTAGAACTGCAAAACCGTCTTGTCTTTTGATAGATGTACAGATTTTGGTGCTTTTCTCGAGATCCTCAAAAGTTGGAGAATCTGGACAGAGTTTGTAGGCACTCACGAGATAGTTGGTGTCAGCCGGGAACTCCGCGGCGAGAGCTTAAAAGAGTCAGTACAAATGTTTGTAATGGTGTGGGAGTGGTACATACTGTCAATCTTCTTGACGAAGGGGGTAATTCCGAAGTTCTTGCGGCGAGCACGGACCTCGTCCTCAGTGCTGTTCACAGCCTTGGCAATCTGGATGTCAGAGAAACCTTGCTTCTTGGCCTTGTGCATAAGCTCCTTCTTGACACCGTAAAGGCTGCCAATGGCTTCGAGTTCGTGGGTAGTGTCAACGATGTTCTGAATCTTGTAGAGGAACCATTTGTCAATCTTGGAGAGGTCGTGGACGCGGTCAACAGAGTAGCCTTCGTGGAGCATGGCCTGGCCAACAGCCAACCATCTACGGTCGGTAGGGTTTGCCAAAACATCGTCCAAGTCCTCAAACTTGTCACCTTGGACACCATGGAATCTGGGGTCAACCTGACGGATAGCCTTTTGGAATGATTCTTCGAAAGTACGACCGATAGCCATGACTTCACCGACAGACTTCATAGCACTGCCAATGTCACGCTTGACGTTCTGGAACTTGCTCAAGTCCCAACGAGGCATCTTGGTGACGATGTAATCCAGAGAGGGTTCGAAGTTGGCGGTGGTAGTTCTGGTGACGGCGTTGGGCAGCTCAGGGAGAGTGTGACCGAGACCAATCTTGGCAGCAGTGTAGGCGAGAGGGTAACCGGTAGCCTTGGAGGCAAGAGCAGACGAACGAGAGAGACGGGCGTTGACCTCGATGACTCTGTAGTCGAGACCATCAGGCTGGAGAGCATATTGGACGTTACATTCACCAACGACACCAAGATGACGAACAATCTTGATGGCGGCGGTACGGAGCATGTGGTATTCCTCATCGCTGAAAGTTTGACTGGGAGAGACGACGATACTGTCACCAGTGTGAACACCGAGAGGATCGAAGTTCTCCATGTTGCAGACGGTGATACAGTTGTCGGAAGCGTCACGAACGACCTCGTACTCAGCCTCCTTCCATCCCTTGAGCGATTTCTCGACCAAGATCTGAGGAGAGAGAGTGAGGGAACGGGCAGACAGGTTGCGAAGCTCTTCGGGGTTGTTGGCGAAACCAGAACCAAGACCACCAAGGGCATAAGCAGCACGGACAATGATAGGGTAGCCGACCTTTTCAGCTGCATCAAGAGCCTCATCAATGGTGCTGACAGCGATACTCTCAGCAATGGGGATGTCGATCTCCTTGAGAGCTTGAGCGAAGAGGTCTCTGTCTTCGGAGGTCTTCAGAGTCTGAATGCTGGTACCCAAGACTCTGACGTTGTAGCGGTCGAAGATGCCCATCTCGTCCATCTTGACACCCAAGTTGAGGGCGGTCTGACCACCGAAAGAAAGGAAGATACCATCGGGACGTTCCTTTTCGATAACGTAGGTAACGTACTCGGGAGTGACGGGGAGGTAGTAGATTTCGTCAGCAAGAACGTGCGAGGTCTGGATGGTTGCAATGTTGGGGTTGATGAGGACAGATTGGATGCCAGCCTCCTTGAGGGCCTTGAGAGCTTGGGATCCTGTCACGCTGTCAGTAATTGTGCTGTCTACTTTAGCTTCAGGCTTCGACTAACCAGAGTAATCGAATTCTCCGGCCTGTCCAATGGCGAGACCACCACTGCCAATAACCAAAACCTTCTTGACATCAATCAGGTTCTGTGCTCCGGCAATGGCACCGCTCTCGAGGTAAGCCTTTGCACTGGGAGCAACTTGAGCATTGCTGGTTGCATTGCGGACTTGGACGAAGCGGTTGGTAGATCTCTTGGGTGCGCGGGCAGCGCGGGGTTGCTAGCAGCAAAGCTCGACTGGGTCGTCAGAGTACGAGCAGCCAGTCTGGCCGACATGTGCTGCTGCTGGCTCTGACGAAGTAGGTTCGAGGCTGTCTGGCGGGCCAGACGCCTGGAGAAAGCCATGGCTAGGGTTGGTAAAAGGTAAAAGTCGGTGGTTTATGGGAATAGTAGACCAGTCTCAATTGACGTTGGCCTTCCACAGGTGGTCGCTAATGTAGTCTTTGGAAAATGTCAGTTTTCGTTCCTACAGCTCGGCCCTGGAGCACCGACTTGCAACGCTCGTGCAGAGCTTGGAGGTGGGAACAAAAGACTGACCTTGGGAGGTGAAGACGGAGGGCGCAGTCCGCATAAGGGCGAATCGCGTGCCAATGGCAGATGGGTGGATTGAGGCTGATTGCTCAAGATAGGAGATGTGTGACAAGAGAGGAACGGTCAAGAGAGCAGCGACGTCGACTTATTTTTCACGTCGGCCCTGCACGGCTCTCACAGTCACTGTGATAAGGAGCACTGCTTATCGCACTAGAAGCTCGAAATGCTGATTTGCAATATTTCTGGTTCAGCTGCCACGTCTGCCACAAAAGTCTGGACACGCCGACGCTGGCCGACCCAACGATATTGCAATTCGCTTGTGTCGGTGCTTCGGGCTCGGTCGTCCGGCGAAGCTCTATCGAGCTGCTTTATTCCCACCACATGGCATCTTTCAAAGGATCAGCCTTTATGGACAAGGGTCAATTCATGTTTCTTTCTTCACACTGTCACTCAAGCTATCTATCAAGCTTCTATCATGCATATTGCTGCAAGAAGCGTATCCTCAAACGCCATACGCGAGCTCAAGCCGTTGTCCCTGCCACTTCTTTTTCCGCGTCGACGCCCATCCCCGAGACCGGCTGCGGATCCTCACTTTTGACTCATCGCAAAACATATCCTAATTTTGATGTCGTGACTCAATTCCAGGGACTGCCAAGCGGAACGGTATGCTCAACCAATGTGAAAAATGTCATGTCATATCAATTCTATCAACAAAAATGGTATAGGGGAAAAATCTTTGAACAGTCAAAACCAACACCAGTCCCTTATGCAATAGAAGCAAATGCACGCTTTTTGGTTCCCCTTTCCAACTTCTCTTCTTGTTCTTCTGGCTCGTCGTCCATGCCGTGCACCTGTGCTTCCTTGATCTCTCTGCCCATGAGTCCGAGAGCAGCCATGTTGAAACCAAGCATGTTCTTCTCTTCCTTGACCCATTGTCCATAGGCTTCGAGCACCTCGCTCAAAACGTCCTTGAGCTGTTTGCTAGCCACGATTTGTGAGTTGTGTGTTTGTAGCAAGAAGTAGAACACGCGCCATGCTAGTTGCGGTTGCATGCGACGTTGGATAAAGACTGAAACAAACATGAAAAGGACGGGGAGGGATGAGAAGGGCACAACCATGAGGGCGTCGTTGAGAGATGCATTCGGAATCTTGCGAATGGTCTGCAAGACATGCTGCTCGGCGCTGAGGTTGCCGTACGTGAACACAGGATTCCGTTGCGGCATTGCGAGATTCAGTTTTGTTGCCTTTTCAGCCTCATATGCCTGCATGATTTGGTAATCCGCGTAGCCGAGTTCGAGAGCTTCCAAGATACGTTCACCGTATGTCAAGGTGGCTATTGTCTGCTTGGATGCAGCAGCAACATCATCCTCGGCGCCTTCATCATCATCGGCATGGTCTTTGTCGAGTTGGGTGGCCAGCGTCGATTCGTACATTTGTTCGAGTTCCTTCTCTCTTTCTTCTTCCAGGAAGATGAGATCATCTGTGACATCCCAGACGCGGATACTCTTGTCGTGACTCGCTGTGATGACCTTCTCACCAGTCCTGCTGACGACCATAGCCCACACTTCTCCATGGTGACCTTCCAGCTTTTGGATCTGCTCAAACTTGTCACCATCCCAAGTCTTGACGACTGAATCTTTACTGGCACTGAAGAAGAGATGTTGTTCTTCCTTCTCAACGGGATGAGGGATGAACAAGACTTGCATAACACTGTCTTGATGAGCGAAGAATGCTTTGTGACAGTCACCAAAGTCCAGACCCCAGATGCGAACGTTCTTGTCCGCACTGCAGGTAGCGATGAGTTTGCTGTCTGATGAGATGGAGATGTTGAGGACGGGCAGCTTGTGACCGTAGAGAGTAAGGAAAAGCTTGAGAGTATCGACGAAGAAGACCTTCACGGTGTTGTCGAGAGTTGAGAGAGCAAGGAGACGGGAGTCGGGCGAGAAGCAAACACTAAGAACATCATCTGCGACCTTGAGGACGCGAGTTTGAGTGAGCTTCAGCTTAGGAGTGGTTCTTCGGGTACCAGGGATTTCCTCCTGGACAATGTCGAACTTCCAGAATTTAGCAGCTTTGTCTGCACCTCCAGTCACGACTGATGTTCCATCGGGATGTACTTGAAGAGTCCACACAGCGCCGTCATGTGCCTGGAATTTATCGATCAAGGCGGAAGAGGCAATGTCGTACAGCTCAAGCTCTCCAGTCTTGGTACCGACCAGTACGATCTTGTCACCAGGCAAGAACGTACAACACAGTGATTGGCCACATTCAAGAGTTCTGAGACAGCTTTGAGTTCTGACGTTCCAAATCTTGAGAAGTCCAGCAGAAGCAGATGCAAGCATGCGGTCGTCGGAGCTCAGAGCCAGAGCACGGATATCTGTTCTATGTCCAGGCATGTCGACAGCCAAGGCACGGTTGTAGTCAGGAGCCTCAGCTGTAGCCTTCTTTGATTTCTCTCTGCTGGTGATTGTGTAGGATTCGATCTGGTTGTTGGTGGTGGAGCATACCAGCTCTACGTTCTTGGAAGACCTACTTGCAGCCCATGCAGCAGATCGGACCTTACCACCAGTACGGACGATGACATACGAGACAAAGACCTCTGAAACGTCGGGTGTAGTGTTCTCCTCCTCTTTCTCAGCTTCAGCCACGGAAGCACCAGCAGCAGCGGCTTTTTTCTCTTCTTCTCTTCCTCTTTCTAGCCAAGCTCTTTGCACTTCCTCATCAGATCTGATGCGCCAGATCTCGACGGCCTTCTCGGAGCCGTGAACGGCAATGTATTCGCCCTTGGGGTGGAAAGCAACGCTCAAGGTTCGGTCCTTGCTCTGACGGAGGAGGATGCCCTGTGCAGTGAGAGAATTTGATTGCTTTGCCTCTGCGATGTTGGCACCAAACTCGGCCAGACTGTCCAGATCAAGCGACCAGACCTTGAGTTCACCGTCGTTGCCAGCAGTGATGCAGCCCATGCCGTCCGGAGAGACACCGAGAGCCCAACACTCACCGTTTGTCTGAGCGACATGTGTTTCGATACAGTGAGGAGTCGAGAGATCCCAGATCTTGATTAGAGCGTCCTTGCTGGTAGAGAGCAGGTATTTTTCCTCGAATTCTTCAGGCTCGCCTGGAGCGGTAACATCGACAGCCTCGTCGGTGTGAGGTGATTGACGACCGGAAAGTCTTGTGCGGATGAAGTGTAGGCCAGTAATCTGATCCTTGTGTCCTCGAAGACGGAACTCGGCAGTTTCGGAGAGCAAGTTCCAGATGATAATGTCGGTGTCCTTGGAACCACTGGCAAGTCTTGCGCCTTCGGAGTCGAAGATAAGGTGGGTAATTGCGGAGCGGTGGCCATTGAAGCTCATGATAGGGTTGTTGGACAGAGCATCCCAGACTCTAATGCTGCCATCCTGGTATCCAACGGCGAAAAGATCGGGCTGAGCAGAGCACTGAGCGATGGCCGAGACCTGAGATTTGCAGTCGACATCGTGCCAGCGACTCAGCAGCTCACCCTTCTTTACATCCCAAGCAAGCACATGTTCATTTGCACCAACGTAGGCTCTACCAGCACCAGTGTTGCGCGAGGACGACGAGACGAGGTTATCGGGGGTCCAGACAAGGTTTGAAAGGGCAGTGTTGACGAGACCAAAGGTGGCCGACTGCTCGTACTTGCGATAAGATTTGACCATGTTGCCGGCGACGGCAGCAAAAGATGTTAGGCAAGGCAAAAGTTCTTGAACCTCGAAAAAGTTGGTTGATCCAAGCGTCGGCGAGACGCCAAGAGGAGCAAAGTCCGGGGAAGTTCAGGACGTCGCATGACGATCGCGTAGGGCTGCGCGGCGGGCATTCGACCGACCGTCCAAGCCACGCTCAAGCTGTTCTTGTTGCTGTTGACGTCTGTATACACCATCTCTGCTGTTTCTCTTTCCTAGTCGTCGTCATGTTGTTGCTCGACTACCAAAACGTCCTGATCGAGTCGCTGCTCAAGGACCGCTTCTCAGGGTAGCTACCCCTCGTCCCTCATTGTCCTTCTGCGCGTCCCAGCACACCAGACTGATACCCTGTCTCTATAGCGNCTGCTCCCACTTCAATTGACCAGATTGTCTCCGACTTTGACGGTGTCACCTTCCACATTTCGACCCCCACATCAAAGACAAAGATCCTCATCTCCATCAACATCAAATGCTACCACGAGCTCGTCAAGTATGGCGCTGAACAGGTCCTTCAGCGTGAATACGAGGGCTACATTGTCCAGCCCGAGTCTGGCTATGACTTCTCCGTCGAGATTGACCTCGAAAACCTCCCTCAGGACGAACAAGCCCGCATCGACCTCATCTCCCGCCTCAGTCTGCTAAAGCGCAACGCCATGGCTGCTCCCTTTGAGCAAGCCTTCGACGAATACCAAGCTCTCCACGAGGAGGCATCCAAATACACTTCCGAATCCGCTCCTCAAGGTGTCCTTGAAGGTGGTCAGGTCAGAGCCATCCACTACCGTGAGGAAGAGGCCATCTACGTCAAGGCCAGTCACGACCGTGTCACCGTCATCTTCAGCACAATCTTCCGCGAGGAGACAGATCGTATCTTTGGCAAGGTCTTCTTGCAAGAGTTCGTCGATGCCCGTCGCAGAGCCATTCAGAACGCTCCCCAAGTCCTCTTCCGTCACGACCCGCCTCTGGAGTTGCAGGGCATGGCCGGTCTGCCTCCCTCTGGCACTGCTGACGTCGGCTACGTTACTTTCGTTCTGTTCCCTCGCCATCTCCAACCCGCAAGAAGATACGAAGTCATTTCTCACATCCAGACTTTCCGCGATTACTTCCACTACCACATCAAGGCTTCAAAAGCCTACATTCACTCAAGAATGCGCAGACGAACTGCCGACTTCCTCCAAGGTGAGAGTTTTGCTTGCAAGACGTTCGTCTCTATACTGACATCGAAACAGNTCCTTCGTCGTGCAAGACCAGAGGCCGAGGAAAAGGAGCGCAAGACTGCCAGTGGCAGAACCTTCAGAGTCCAGGCATAGATATACCCCTGTCCATACAGTTCAAAAACATCAGAAACGATTCATTCAACTTCCTTCGTACGAATCTCTATCGTCTTTGAACACTCCATGTCTTGTGCATCGTTGTTTTCGACCGTGCTACCATGATGACACTACCGAATTCGACAAGTTGCCTCATTGGGGTTATGACCCTGTTCCATCATAATTCAATTAACGTTTACATAGACAACTCAACCAATTCACACCTGGCTCAAGTTGATTCTGAGGTATCTTCACTGACACCGGTCATGTCTCTGCTGTGACCTGACAAAGATTCAGCCAAGACGCAGAGAACCAATGGTGATTGACAAATCCCCATCGCGCTGAGCATTGGGCTCAAGCGAATGACAGAACAATGCTTGCATTCCAAACATCGAAGATGTGTCTCGATCGCACGATTGTTATGGGACAATGGACATAGATGACAATCAGTATCAGTGTTACAAGCAAAAGCAAAAGGAAACACCAATGCTCACACATCACCATGATCAGCCCAGCGATGAAAGAGGCAGTGCTTACATGGCCCAGGACAGAAGGAGGGGGTTCCGAAAGTTAGCTCACGCCTTCACCGTCAATTGAAGGTCAAGTCTCAGAGGCGATGGAAGAATTCCGCAGTGTCAATGTTTATCCGGAGGATCCGCCGTTACAATGCATGGAAGGACAAGGCATGGCATTAGGGTTGGCTTGCTCGTGGCTGCAACTGATGAGCAATCAAACTGGAAGAATTTTGGAGTTCGAGAAAAGCATGTCTGAGATTGCTTGTCCCATCCATCCGAGCATCACTGAAGAACTCAATGCGGGTTGCACGATGGCGATGGTCAGAGTAAAGGTCAAACCGTGGTCATTCGTTCATGCCGTTCCAGAATGGCTGAAATGCCAAGCATATGAGAGGAGGTTGTTCATGGTTCAATCATGGGTGCTAGACACTTCTCTGCAGCTGAGTATTCGCGTTGAGTACAAGGAATGCCAGTATTGGCAGCCACATCACTCGAATATTTTTTGCATGTCCACTCAGACCATAATAGGCTGATGATAACAGGGAGAACTTCCTTTGCCGGCAGGAAGAGCGATCGTGTCGAGCTGCATCGTGGGGAACCGCTGTATCTCTCACTCGAGCAATATTTAGCGACTTGGCAAGTCAGAAGCGCTGGAGGCAATCTCAAGCGGCGTTGCAAGATGGAAGGTTTGTTCTCTCCCCTTCTCCACACTTTCCTTCGACTTCACGTCCCTCCCTGGCAAACAAAAACCATGTCTTCCCATTTGTCAGCACAAGATGGTTTGAGAGGTAAGCATTATCGTTGATATGTGGCTCGCAGCCTCGTGCTGGGCACTGTGCCAAAGATACATCACCTAGACACACTCAAGGCGGAAGAAATACTCAGGTCTACTTCCAAGATCCAGCCTCCGCCACGAAGTCCTTGGCATAGCGGCTCCTCTTTGGTGCGTTATGGCAAGGTTCGAGACTCAGAGTTTCCAAGTATCGACTCATGCACGTGGAGGTCGCATGCCCTCTGCTCTATCAAACTCTCTTGTCCCCTTTCGCTTACACTACCATTGAACGAAATCAAATATACAGCTCCCAAGACCGTGGCTTTGCTTGGCCTTTCATCCGACAGTGCTGGATGCCTCGATAGGCTTGACCTCGATGCTGGGCACCGCTGACAAGGTTCCAATATGTCTAACGGTATCGACACGATCCACTTGAGGCGTTACGCGACCTGGAGAAGTCCGGGGTGTCCGGGGTATGGGGTATGGGGTATCTGCTGTCTTGATGGCATGGCAGTGGCCTATAAGAGCCCACCGGCCGTACCACTGTAGGGCAGTTCTCGTCTCAGTTTGACAGCGCTGATCAGAAGCGTTTGTATTTCTTTCCCACTGTCATTGAATTCATCAACAAATTTTCTCATATTTCTCTCATTCGAGTTACCACATCCCTACCATGGCAATCATGACAGAGGAAAAGCACAACCCTCCTGTTGTCCAGGAGAAGGGTGCTGTCGAACTCTACGAGACTATCTCGACATCCTCAGAGTCTGAGCAAGAACATCTCTTCGATGATAAGGCAACTGCTCGTTTGGTCCGAAAGATCGACTTGCGGCTACTACCCTTCCTCGCACTGCTATACCTGTTGAGTTTTCTCGACCGAACCAACATTGGCAACGCACGTCTTGCCGGACTCGAGAAGAGTCTCAAAATGGAGGGGCTGGATTACAACGTGAGTCCTCGGGATAGTGGCATGCTTGGTTGGGCTGTTGACTGACACTTGTTGGCAGNNATTGCGCTTGCTATCTTCTTCCCCTTCTACGTGTTAGCTGAGATCCCGTCCAACATGATGATGAAGCGCACTCGTCCTGCACTATGGATCCCTTTCATTATGGTCGTGTGGGGTATCTGCACTACTCTTCTCGGTGTAGTAAAGAACTACCACGGCTTACTCGCTGCTCGTGCTGCTCTCGGTCTCGCTGAGGGTGGTCTGTTCCCTGGTGTCACTTTCTNNGTAAGTACCTTCTTCAGTCGATTCAAAGTTCTCGGCTGATAACCTGTGTGCGCAGACATCACCATGTGGTACCGTCGTCACGAATGTGGTCTGCGTATGGCCATCTTCTTCTCCGCTGCGACCGCTGCTGGCGCCTTCGGTGGGTTGCTTGCTAGAGGTATCATCGAGATGGACGGCATGGGCGGCCTCTNNGGCTGGGCCTGGATCTTCGTCCTTGAAGGTCTTCTTACTTTCATCGTTGCCATTGTCGCATTCTTCTACATGAACGACTACCCTCAGACCGCCAAGTTCCTCTCGGAGACTGAGAAGAAGGAGATCTCTCGTCGTCTGGAAGAAGATCGTTCCTCGCTCGCCGATGAATACGGCACCAAGTACTTCATGCATGCCATCAAGGACTGGAAGATCTGGGTCCACATGTTCATCACCTTCGGCATCTACACCCCTCTCTACAGTTTCTCTCTCTTCCTGCCGACCATTGTCAAGACTCTGGGCTACAGCAACGAGAAGGCACAGCTCATGAGTGTTCCTCCTTATATCGTTGCTTGCTTCTGCTGTATCACTGGTGGATACTTCGCCGATCGCCTGCGTACTCGTGGAATCTTCATGATTGGCTTCACCCTTACCGCCATGCTCGGTGTCATTCTTCAAGTCAGCTCAGACAACCCTCACGTCAAATACGCCGGTGTCTTCCTCTTCGCTTGCGGTATCTACCCCAACGTTCCTCAGGGTGTCGCCTGGAATGGCAACAACATTGGTGGCTCTACTAAGCGCGGTGTTGGTATTGCTATGCACGTCGGCTTCGGTAATCTCGGTGGTATCCTTGCTTCGTTTGTCTATTTGAAGAAGGACTCGCCCAAGTTCCACAAGGGTCACTTCATCCTTCTTGGCTTGATGAGCATGTCTCTGGTTCTTCAATGCCTCATGACTGTCTACCTCCGCCGCGAGAATGCTCGTAGAGATGCAGAGTACAAGCGTCCCGAGGACTACACTGTCGAGGAGAAGAACCTTGAGCGCGAGCGTGGCGACAATGCCAGTTTCTTCCGCTACACCGTTTAAGACACCCACATGTACTGGGAGTTTGGCACAGTATATGTTTATGGATATGGATATGATATGGGTATTGGCACGAATATGTATGACTTTCTTTTTACTTGATCTGTAGACATCTCATCTTGCGATAGATAAGAGTTGAACTACTATGAAACACTTTTACAACTCATCTTCTACTTTGGTCGTGGTTGCCCCTTTATTGGATTCGTACCTGCCTACCTTCGTTAGTGATGCCTGCCTACATGGATACTGTCTTTCCTTTCTGTCAACCTGGCAAAGTCCACTGTGCTTACTTTCAGGTTGTCAAGAAGCAGTAGTAATGCACGGGACTCACGGCCCCGTCCCTCTCTCTCATGAGCCTGCTGCTTGACCTTGTGCTCCTGTTTGCTGCACTTACTCGTTAACGCATAATATCCCAGGTCTTGTTGCGCTTGGGTTTGGCCCCGAAACTTGGTGAGGCGTGATGATTTCTGCCTTGTCTGTCTTACCATCAAAGTCATCTGGGAAGCCAGAGAACAGATCGAGATTCAACGACGCAGCAAAATCGTCGACCTCGTTTGTGTGTGCAAGAGGTTTGCCAGAGGTAGAGCATGACTCTATTGCACTGCAAGCTTGGCCATTGAACGACACTAAATATCGGTCCAGAAGTGCCCGAAGAGACTCTATAATCCATGAAGATGGACAAACTATTGTAGTATCAAAACCATAAAATAAAGCACTCTCGATACACATCCAGCTTTCACTTTGCACTCATGCTAGATATCGACCCCAGGTGTCGTTCTTCCTCGCTACACCTTCCTCAGCTATCTATCGTACCTGCACGAACACTCAAAGATCGACAAGATCGTCATGAAACATCGCTGAATCATTGCAACTGGGTTTTGATATCCCCGCATCTCTACTCCGCCGGGAGGAACACCGATGTGGGTCAGCCATACAGAATGCGGAGGTACCATGCATGCTCCTCCACATGATGATTGGTAGAAACCCCGATAATCAGAAGAGATAAAAACTGCTTTGTCGTCCGCTGTGTTCCTCCAAGTACTTTTGGTAGCTTACACATCTCATCAAGAAGGCTTCTGTCCGAGCCAAATCGTTTCAATATGGAGAAGGATATTCATACAGCAGCGGACTCTGCGTCCACCTCAGCAAAAGAAGATATCATGCACATCGAAGACACAAACATGACGAAGAATGAGAAAATCGCCGCTATTGATGCTATAGCGGAAGATCCTTCTGTGACACTGGAAAGCTTCGCACACCTTGATATCAACAAGATATTGAGGAAGATTGACATGAGACTGGTTCCCATGTTGACTGTTTTGGTAAGCGCTGAGTTTGTCCGAGCAGCGCTGATGCAGAGAGAAGAGTTGCTGATGCCTGGGCAGTATCTTCTGAGTTTCCTGGATAGAGGCAATATCGGCAATGCGAAGATCGAAGGTCTAGCTGAAGATTTGCATCTCACGGGTGCAGAGTACAACTGGTGTCTAACTGGTATGTTTCGCGGCTCATCGCCTGTGTGGGTGGATTGTGAGCTGACGTGTGCAATAGCTTTCTTCTTTACATATTGCGCTTTCGAGGTTCCGAGTAACATGTTGTTAAAGAAGCTGAGGCCTTCGATTTGGCTGCCGTCCATCATGGTGGCTTGGGGCATTGTCGTGAGTACAGTAGAAGCAGCAAACGCGTAGTAGCCTTTGCTGACGGATAAGCAGATGACCCTAATGGGCCTGGTGAAAGATTTCAATGGCTTGCTCATTGCGAGAATCTTCCTGGGTGTGACTGAAGCTGGTCTGTTTCCAGGAGTCGTATTCNTGTGAGTGTTACTGGCTGGTGATGTTAAGATGTGATGTGCTGACTTGCTCTGACTAAAAGACAACACGATGTGGTACTGCAGATACGAAGTTCAGGTCCGTCAAGCGTACTTTNTTAGTGCAGCAAGTGTTGCTGGCGCTTTCAGTGGCTTGTTAGCGTATGGCATCTCTTACATGGAAGGTGAGTTTTTGACAGTTGATGAGGAGACGCAACAATGCTGACACATCCCATACANNGGCGTTGGAGGATTGGCGGGATGGAGATGGTGAGTCTGTTCCCCTGATTCGAATGACCTCTACTGACTTTGACCAGGANTCTTCATTCTTGAAGGTCTACTTACCTTCCNNCTTGTCGCGATCATCGCCTTTTTTGTCTTGGTCGACTACCCCGAGACAGCTTCCTTCCTGACGGTCGAAGAGCGTGCCTTCATCACCTATCGCCTTAAATACGATGGTCAGGATGCCAATACCGAGCATGGTTACCGAGTCTCGCAGATCGATCGCTCTGACAAGAAGTTCCTATTTGCCGCCTTCAAAGACTGGCAAATCTGGGTCAACGTTGTCGTGTATTGGGGATATGTTTGTCCGTTGTATGGCATCTCGCTGTTCCTGCCGACAATCATCAAAGAGCTGGGCTACAAGACGACAACAGCACAGCTGCTGACAGTGCCCATCTATGTCGTCGCATCTGCGATCACGATTGCAGTAGCATATGCAGCTGATCGGAAACGGCTTCGCTCACCTTGGATCCTCGTTGGGTTGTGTTTCCAGGCTGTTGGCTTTATTATGTGCATTGCGACCAGCCATCCAGGAGTCACATATGCCGGTATTTTCATCGCAGCGTGTGCGTTGTATCAGTGCCAACCAAGCAATATTACCTGGTTAAGCAACAACTTGTCGGGAAGCTATAAAAGAGCTGTTGGAATGGGCATTCAAATCAGTGTTGGAAATCTGGCTGGCGGTATGTTATTCCCTTTCTTCATTATGCTCGAGTCGTACTGATTATTTCAAANNGCGATGGCCAGTAACTTCTACAGAAGTACTGATGCTCCAAGATATATCCTTGGCCACGGTCTCGAGATCGGCTTTATCTGTATGGGTACTGTGGCCCTCCTCATCCAGGTTTACGGCTACCGTCGGATCAACAAGCAGAGAGAGATTGCGCTGGCGGAAGGAAAGGCTGAGAATTATACCCCCGAGGAGCTGGGAGAACTGGGAGACAAAGCAGTGACGTTCAGATACACTCTTTAGAAGCAGCTAGCCCAGCAGTGGCTTTGAGTATACGAACTTATAAAATTATGAATTTGCACCAGCTCAAAGCAGATATGATAAGACTGTGTTGGGAACATGATCCATACCTGTTGATGAGAAGAAAAAGTCAAGCAAATCACATGTCAGGGAAGAGGAGCACGCCTTGCGAGCAACGGCAGCTTATGCATCCGAGCTGCCGATGTTGATGCCTGGCACTAGAAGCAACCTATCCGGAGTGCAACACGAGGCCATAGATGGAAAGGCAAGCTTGAAGCTACGTGCCGACTGTGCATGAGAAAGATTGTCATAAGAGAGAAAGTTATGGTGAATTTGGATCAAGGAATCGCGAATACGGAATACGGTGAGTGAGGGGTCGTTGCTCGAGAGCTTCCAGCTGTGCCAAGCTTGAAGGTGCAGCTGCAAGCTCTCGAGCATCTGACCGAAATGCCAGCAGGCAGCTGTGTCGGGCTGCTATGCAGAATACAAGTGTCTAGAGATGGATAGCCTTGTTCGTCAAGACGAAGAACATCGGCGATATCGACTAATGAAAGTTCGAGAGGCAGCACAAAAACTGGCATCGGGCGCCAAGAATTTTTGTGACGTAGACAGATGTTTAACCCTCGGAGCAGAAGGAACAAACAAGCGGATGGTCAGGGAGCTGCCTCTTCTATAGATACGTAACAGGGTCAACGTTGAGTGACGACGACCGATATAATTGTTCTACTTCTTGTCAGAGCATTCAGAAAGAGAACAAGCGACTGCATCAGAGCACGAATCGATACTTGGTAGCCTTACCGACGGCGTTGTGCACAGATCCTTCCTTTAGCACCGGAGTGACAAGGGGACATTAATAAAATACGACAATGGTTCTTGGACATTCGCATAGACGCCATTCGGCTGCTAGTTCGTACAAGTTTTTCACCCTCACAAAATGACTCTGGGACTGAGAAGGAACACTGCAGGCAACAGATCGTCTGTCGAGGGCGACCGTCCAGACACCACCGCCGACGATGAGACGGTCGTTGACCAGGACCAGGGCAATGTCCTGTCACACATTATCAGCCAGCTGCGACCAGGCGCCGACTTGAGCAGAGTGACGCTGCCCACATTCATCCTCGAGCCGCGATCTATGCTCGAGAGAATCACAAACTTCATGGCACACCCCGAGATCCTGCTTACTCTGCCCGGCATCGATGACCCCGTCGAGCGCTTTGTCGCCGTCACCAAGTTCTACCTTAGTGGATGGCACATCAAGCCTCCGTGAGTTTGTTCCTGCTAAAATCAAAACAGATCTGCAGCAGCTGACAGACACATAGCGNGCGTCAAGAAGCCTCTCAACCCCATCCTCGGCGAGACCTTTACTGGATACTGGGACTACCCAGACAACACGCGCGGATACTACATCTCTGAGCAGACCTCTCACCACCCTCCCAAGTCAAGCTACTTCTTCATGGCTCCCGAGCACCACATCCGCGTCGACGGCACTCTCAAACCACGCAGTAGATTCTTGGGCAACTCAGTCGGCAGTTTCATGGAGGGTATTGCAGTTATGCGCCTTTTGAACCGCAACGAGCGATACTTCATCACACAGCCCAACATGTATGCAAGAGGCATCTTGTTCGGCAAGATGAAGTACGAGCTTGGTGACCACGCCTACGTCCGCTGTCCCGAGTTGGGCCTGGAGGCCGAGATCGACTTCAAGGTCAAGGGCTGGATGACCGGAACATACAACGCTATTGGAGGCCATATCAAGGAAACCAAGAGTGGAAAGAATCTATTCGAGTTCAGCGGTTACTGGGACAAGGAGATGTACATTAAGAATCTGACAGTAAGCTGCCTCAGCCCTCGACTAGAGCATACACAGGTGCTAACAAACAGCAGANCCGGTAAGAAGGAGCTCATTTTCGATGCCACTCACGCCAGACCTTCGTACCCCAAGGCCCGTCCTCTCGAGGAGCAAGGAGATCGCGAATCGCAAAGACTGTGGGACAAGGTCACTAAGGCCATCAAGGTCGCCGACCAAAAGACTGCCACGGACGAGAAGTCTTTCATCGAAGACCGCCAGCGTTCAGAGGCCGCAGAGCGTGGAGAGTCGGAGTGGCAGCCCAAGCTTTTCCGCAGAACACGAGCTGGCGCAAGCCAGAGCCCTGGAGACATGGACGGAGAGGAGAACCTCGACTGGGTCATCGATGCTACCATGTGAGTCTTTTCTTGCATCCACGCCAGCTTATTTCAATCCACTGACAAGCGCGTTCTAGCGNACGGCAAAACCCCCGACGAGATCGTAAAGCAAGTCCTCGCTATCGCACCCATCCTGCCAGGTCAAAAGGCCCAAGCCAAGTCACAGCCCCAACCTCAGGCAGCACAACCTCAATCTCAGGCACAGCCTAGACAAGAGGCTGCCTCAGCCACTCCTATGCCCGCTCCTATGCCCGCTCCTATGCCCGCCGCTGCACCCCAACCACAACAGTTCCAGCAAGTTCAGCCAGCCCATACGATGCAAACCACCCAGCAATATCAACCTGCTCCCTCATCGGGGCCCAGCAATCTTGTCGACTTTGGTCATGCAGGCGGCGTCGCTCCCAGTCAACCAGCCCAACAACACACCTCTCCTTTGAACACAATGAGCGATCTCAAGGAACCATTGCAACCCGTCATTCACCGTCAAGATAGCGTCGAAGGATTTGATGAGGAGTTCCACGATGCCGACTCATAGACTCGAAAAGGATTGGAGATGATGAAGAAAACGGTTGCTTGACATTTGTCGTCAGAGCGGTGATGACACAGAGGGGCATTGTGTCTATGAATATTCCTTCCTTTTTCTTGTTTTGTTTCCTTTTTTTCTATTTAACAGCAAGTAGTACCCAGAAGTTTTTCTCCTTCAACAGATGAAACAGTACAAGCCACGGTGGGAAAGTCCTTCTCTTTCTTCTGAAATCGGTCCACTGAGTAACCTCGCTCACTTTCGTTGATGTGCAATGTTATACCCGTACGTGGAGACGCTTAGAAAGGGCAACCAGCGTAAGCGCGTAGTGACGTTCGAACATTGCTGAGAGATGGGTATGAAGTGGGGTTGACGTGGACATGATTTGCAACAAGCAGCTGGCTACGTATGCGAGGCCAGCAAAGCTGTCTTTGTGTATGAATTGGACCAGGAGAATATGCATACTTAGACGCCTTATGACTGAGATGATTAGTTACTGCGTAGGTGAGCTGCTCCATCGGGTGTTTTCGGGTGAGGTCCGCGATCTGGAAATTCACGCTCACCTGTTTGTTGTTGGACTCAACTCTGATCTCCGTGGACATCTGGCTCCATACCTATCTAAGCATCGAAATCTGGAAACCACTGGAGTCGTTCGCGACGATGAGAGGGTTGATCAGTGATGTTTAGTGAGAAGCATTGCTATCAACAGCAACGGCGGGGTATCACATATCACATATCACAACACGGAGAAAAAGTGGTTAAGGAGAAAAATGCACTTTTGCATCGTTTTTATATGTCAAAAACTAGTTCAGTGCTTGAAGAGGTTGATTATCTTCGTTTTCCTTTCTCTCTGTCAGGGTTCATGTCTCGTATTCTATTTTGCCCAAGTCAAAGACGCTTTGGTGGAAACGACACGCTTAGTTCTCGCCAGAGGCGGTGATGGTGGGGGAGCACCGCCACCCNTTGATGGCACCAGAGCTGGAACCGCAAGCCTCGATAGACTTGATGACGGACATGGAGGCGACGTCACCAGCGGGGACCTGGCCGAAGACGACGTGGCGGCCGTCGAGCCAGCTGGTCACGACGGTGGTGATGAAGAACTGGGAGCCGTTNGCTGTGGAAGACGGTTAGCTTGCAAGTTGTTTTGATGTTTGATGAATGGCAACATACGTGTTGGGGCCGGCGTTGGCCATGGAGAGGAGGAAAGGCTTGTTGTGGGTGAGCTTGAAGTTCTCGTCGGCGAACTTCTCACCGTAGATGGACTTGCCACCAGTGCCNCTGTGAAGCATTGTCAGTTGTGTGCAAGTCGAGCTGTGGATGTTTTGTTCACTCACGTTGCCACGGGTGAAGTCACCACCCTGGAGCATGAAGTCAGGGATGACACGGTGGAACTTGGAGCCAGAGTAGCCGAAGCCCTTCTCGCCAGTGCAGAGAGCACGGAAGTTCTCGACGGTCTTGGGGACAACGTCGTCGAAGAGCTCGAAGTTGATGCGGCCGGAGCGCTCTGGAGAGGCGGTCAGCTGGCTGTGGATGAATCGAGCTCAGCAGATGATGGTGGACTTACGCTTGATCTCGCGGTCGGTGTTGGTAGGCTTGCCGTTGGAATCAACGTTGACCTGAGGACCGGTCCAGGAGCAGTCGAAGTAAACCTTTTGAACCATGTTTGCGGATGAAGCTGAGAAAAGTCTGCTTTGTTGTTTGAATGAGTTGTTGATGAAAGTGGTTGGGGTCTTTCGGAGAGAACATGTGGAAAGAAGTGTGGAAGAAGAGCTAGAAGCGGCGGGGCAACGAGAAGCCCCTCCTTTTGGTGACCTCAGAAATCTCCACCCTTGCCGAAGAATTGCCGTCTGCAAATCACTTCTTGTCACTTTCTGCCACTGACCATGTGTTTCTAGTGAATCTCTATCTAGCTATGAAAGTGTCATACTGTTCAAATTTACTAGAGCTTCATTGTGTATCATACATGTGTTGCATTCAAGTAGCAACTCACACACAGCCTCTCACTCAACACATCGAAACATGCAGCTCTTCCGCGCAGCTTCGAAGCTTAGCTCATAACAAAGAGGGGGAGCTAAGCCACCCTGCACAGACATAACATTGCACCTATGAGCTCTTCGAAACTTGTTCAGTCTTAATGCAACAAACCCCTGTGTCAACGAATCGTAGAATCTATCCTTGGGTGTTGCGTTGCTAAACGCTGCAATCCTTCTGCTCGAGGCGGACCGATGACGCAGGTTCTCAGACAGGGTTGCGGTGTCAACGTAAAATCGAACAGATTAAATGGACGGGAATCACGTATTTCTCAATTTGAAACCTTGTTGTCGAGAGCTAGCAGAGACTTGAGGATCTGAGAGATGTCTAGAGGCAGGCTTGTATAGATACTGGTCGTGGTAGGGAAACCAGTGGTTGTATGTTTTGAGTCCATCAATGTGCTTGTGAGAAGGTACAAATCCACCACTTAATTATGAGCCTAGACTTGCCGGACCAACCTTGATATTCATACTACGTTGACGTAGCCTTTGCGGACTCAGCATACGCTCACATATCTGGATATCTCGTGATATCTGTGATTAAGAAGAGTACCTACTCACCGTCTGTATGACAAACTGATCGCAACAGAGGTTGAGCACATGTTGGCTTTGTTGGCGTTGGCAACACTTGGCATCTCCGTCGAATCCGGGGACGCCGCGACGTCAATAAGTCGAGCGCGACCAGCAGCGTGTCACTTCCCATACCGAACAGCGATAACGTAGCAAGCCTCTGCGCAAGATGGATTTCGAGAGTTTGAAGAGCCAAGTCAGTAATCTGACACTTTACGACCTGAAGGCAGGTGTGCGTAAGGTGCAGAATGGTATGTTCATGGTATAGCGACAGTTCAGGAGGCTGGGCACTAACAAGCGATTAGCTGTCATGAACTACACAGAAATGGAGTCTAAGGTCAGCCAACCGTGATTAGCTTGTTGCTTGGACACTCTTACTGACTAGATGTTAGNNGTTCGAGAAGCCACCAACAACGAGCCTTGGGGAGCATCCACCACCATGATGAACGAGATTGCCGCTGGAACCTTCAACNTAGTACGACATCAGCATGCCCCGGTTCTCAAACTCGTCTTCTTCTGACTAGGCTACAGTCAAATCCTCAATGAGATCATGCCCATGATTTATAAACGCTTTACGGAGAAGACTGCCGAGGAATGGCGACAGATCTACAAGGTGAGTACGGCTACTACAAACCTCAGAACATATCTAAGCAAAGACAGGNCCCTTCAATTGCTCGAATTCCTGATCAAGAACGGCTCTGAAAGAGTCATCGACGATGTCCGATCTCACCTTTCCCTCATCAAGATGCTGCGCCAATTCCACTACATCGACCAGAACGGCAAGGACCAAGGCATCAACGTCCGCAACCGATCGAAGGAGCTTACCGAACTCCTCAGCGATGTTGACAGGATCCGATCTGAGCGTAAGAAGGCAAGACAGAACAAGAACAAATATGGTGGTGTCGAGGGTGGCGCTGGCCTCGGAGGCTCAATGTCCACTTCCACCAGCAGATATGGCGGCTTCGGTAGCGAATCCGCCCCTGGCGGCTATGGTGGAGCCACAAGACAAGTCTACGGCGATGGCGGTGGTTTCGGAGGCGAGACGGTGCAAGACGACTGGGAAGAGCGTAGCCAGAGCCGCAGCAGGGGTCAGGACCGATTTGACGAATATGACGAGTACGACGAAGGTGCATCAGCAGCACCACCAAGAAGAAAGGCAGAGTCCTCAAGGTCTGGAACCAAAACATCAACAGCAGCAGCCAAGAAACCCGAACCACCCAAGCCCAAGGAGCCCGAGGTCGACCTCTTCGATTTTGGCGACGAGCCAACCACGCTTGCGGCACCCTCTCTGCCCGCCATGTCCTCCAACGGCAAGCAGCCAGCTGATGACGGGTTTGGTGCTCTGCAGTCAGGCGGTGCGGACGACGACGACTTCGACGACTTCCAATCTGCTGCCCCAGCTGCTGCTCCCGCTCCTGCAATCGCAGCAGCTCCCAAGCCCAACTACACCCCTAACTACACATCAATCGCACCTCCTGTATCTACCGCCACGCCCAACACTCAATTTGCACAGCCCCAACCAAGACAGGGCACCAACAACGCTGCCTTCAGCAATCTATTCTCTACCACATCACCCGTCACTGGTGCAGCAGCACCGCCACCGCAAAACATTGCATCGCCAATGTCGGCGACCCAACCACGTGCAGGTGGATTCCAAGCTGCTCAGCCCAACTACTTCACATCTGTCAGTGCCACCCAGTCTCAGCCAGCATCGACAGTGGCTTCTCCTGGTGTCAAATCGCCCATCGGAGGAGCTCCCAAGCCTAAGGCTAGCGGAGATGCCTTTGCCGCGCTCTTGTCTGGTACCAACCTCAAGAAGTCAGGCACACCCAGCAACAAGGGACCTACCATGGCAGACATGGCCAAGCAAAAGGCCAGCGCTGGTATTTGGGGAACAACCAGCTCGTCTAGTCCCGCCACACCAGCTGCTCCTCAGTACGGCGGTCAGAAGACTGGCGGAGCTATGGATGATTTGCTTGGATAAGAAAGTGTGTAGATGGATGATTGAAATGCGTTATAGCCAGAGAGAAGGAGCAGAAAAAGGATTGCAACAGACTGTGACTTTTCGACATGATTAATACAACAAGCATTTGCCTACGTTCAATACAATATTTATAGACAATCGGAAGAAGTGAAGTTGTAGAGTGAAGAAGAAGTGAATTAAGTGGTAAAGTTGCCTAATTCGGACTGGAGTCGGGATAAGCGCGGGTAATTCCGTCGGCGCACAGAATTTGCGGCTGGCGATTTCTCGAGTGTGGATTTGGTGTAGACTCATTCGACCAGCAACGAAGCGACACCCTCTCCTTCAACTCCCCACCGTTCATACTAATAAACAGTCAAAATGGGTCGCGGGTATGTGTGCCACGAGCTACGGCGACTGCGAAACGAGTAGAGAAATGCTGACGAGATTGTCCTCTATAGCCGTGGTTCCACCTCCGGTAACAAGCTGAGAATGACCTTGGGTCTGCCTGTGTACGTCGAAAAGAAAACCCTTCACTTCCTCCACCGTCAGCGCATCGCTATTCCTTCCGAACGCTCTCGCAATCGTCCTCCGAACACTTCTTGAATTCTCGAACAATCACCGCTCGACATATACGAACATGCACTACTCCGAAGAAGGAAAAAACGCAGAAACATGGGGCTAACACGAATTTCTCTACAGCGGTGCCGTCATGAACTGCGCCGACAACTCTGGCGCCCGTAACCTCTACATCATCTCCGTCAAGGGTATCGGTGCCCGCCTCAACCGTCTCCCCGCCGGTGGTGTTGGTGACATGGTTATGGCCACTGTCAAGAAGGGAAAGCCTGAGCTCCGCAAGAAGGTCATGCCCGCCGTTATCGTCAGACAGTCAAAGCCCTGGAGACGCGCCGACGGCATGTTCCTCTACTTCGAGGACAACGCTGGTGTCATCGTCAACCCCAAGGGTGAGATGAAGGGTTCCGCCATCACCGGCCCCGTCGGAAAGGAGGCTGCTGAGCTCTGGCCTGTAAGAGATATTCCAACCTGGACACGCAACGAACCCAAGACTAACACATACTCTAGCNGTATCGCCTCCAACTCTGGTGTTGTCATGTAAATTCTCATATCCAATCAAAAGAGGGTTCTACTAGACAATGTTTCACGGGTTTTGGGGATTAAGCTGACTTCGACCAACGACTTTTGCACTCGATTTTTTTTTCTGGGCGTTGATGTGAACTTGCACGGTCAAAGGAAAAAGAAGCGCAGGGGGGCTGTGTCGAATCGAGAAAAAAAGATGAAGGGAAGCAACATGTCAGGGCACTGCGAGACCCTTTCCAGGCAGTGCGGCATGTTCTTTCTTAACAGTTCACCCGTTCTGCTCTTGAAAACCAAAAGAGTGGAAGCCATGGGTTTCATGAGAAAAGCAAACAAATTTTCACCAAAAAAACACACTTGACGTCTATCAACACTTTCCCTACCTGGCCTGTACATTGATGATGCTGCCCTGATGATGCTGCAGTATGTATACCGTGAAGCAGATACTTGACATGCAGCCTCGAACATGTCCACATCATCATCTTAGAAGAGTCTGGGTCAAGTCATGATGGACGCTGACTGAAGCAAGTCAACCAACAGCGCGAGATCTAGACACGGAATAGAGATGAAACAGCTGCACGCTTATGTAGGTATTGCATGAGGCGTGTAAACGAATCGCCAGTATCAGATGACAAGAAGCGGTGAATTGCATCGGAGGTTCCCCTTTCTTGGTTATATGCACCGGGTCGGAATGGCAATTGACATTCGCTTACAGGATGTAGATGATGATGGTGATATGAAACGTGTGTGCTCGTACAAACTGCTGCTATATCAAGAAGGTGGTTATGCAATCTTATCTCATGAAAATGTGTCAAGCAATCATCGAGTACTGGTTGAGAACCACAAAGATCACAGGCAAGGATACGTCCTAGAGGGATGGGTGATATGCTTTAGCTCGTGACGTGGACATGGAGACTCGTGGTATGGGAAAGTGAAACAGAAGGGTGGTTCTTGGCAGAAAGACGAGGCAAGAGCAGGAGCAGATGCAGGAGTAGTCAGATCTAGACTGTGTAGTGGCAGATGGACAGAATGGAAAGTAAATGGAATTGAGATTGGCATAGTTAAAGAGTCATGGGTGGTGGTGGGTGATGGTGAAGTTGTTGTCATGCGGAGTGGGTTGACTTGACAGGGCTTGGTGGGCTATTTTGGTCCTTCGGGCGTGGTTGACGGTTTTTGGCGCTCGGAGGATCATTGGCTCTGGCTCTGGCTCTGGCTTTGCTGCTGCTCTGTCTTCAACAACGACAAGCAGCCTCCCTTCGAGCCTTCTGATTCCCTAAGGGTTTGCGCATCGTGCTGCCAACCGTGCTTGTCTTGTTCTTGTCACGTATTGCATGGTTGCATCTGATTGGAGTCTTGTCTTTTGCGTATTACCCCTCTTTCTCTCTCTTTCGGCTCCTGCGTCGTGGGGGGCTTTTTCAAGGTTCACCAAGGGTCAGGTACTCGGGGGCAGTCACTGTGAGGAAGTCCGGTTGCTGGACACGCGCCTCCCACTGCCAAACACTGCAACTAGTCGCACGCACTGTATACGACCCTATCAGGCCAACGGGCCTTTTTCTTGCGGCACAGTTTCAAAACAAAAACAGAGCAGAGCTTTGTCAAGCGATCAGCACGCCATTGAAGCCAATCCCAAGGCTTCGGAGAATTAGGGAAAAGAGCAGGGGACCTGTTTGGACACAATGACGACCCAAGTCTTGTCGTCGTCGTCAACCGACACGAATATGAGTGCACAACCGCAGCCGCAGCAACCACCACCACCACCACACTCCCAGTCCGCCCTGTTACAACCCGACACGACATCTCCGACACTAGCCACCACCAACAACCCCACCCTGTCCACTTCCGCCAACAACGCCAATACCACCCAAAACAACAACAACAACCGCCAGAGTCTCCGTCGCAGTCTCATGTCGACCCGCAGTCACACATCACAGCGCTCCAGACCTGCATCTTCCGTCTTTCCCATCTTTCCCTCGTCGCTCTCCTATGCTCTGGTCCGCGACTTTGCCTATCCTCATTTCCACCCTCTACATTTCGGTCCTTCACCTGAACCCGATAGCCGTACATCCGATGACGCCTCTGCCATTTCATCTAGCAGACGCCTCAGCGATCCTCCTATCGGAAGCTGGGACTCTCGCGGCTGGGGAGCTGGGCCTTGGGGCGGTGATGGCGGCGCCCACTTCACCTCAGGCGATCAATTGCCTTCCACAAGCTTCGACGACGACGCTGCCGATGACGACCATACGAGTACTGGCAAGCTGGCAAAGAACCACAGAAAGAGCAAGTCGGCGCATGAGGAGTCTAGGNGCAGAAGTACTACGAAACGCGGGCCGCGCAACCAAGTACCAGGCCTCGACAGTCAAGGTTTCTTCGCTGCTGGTCCGGATGACGATGAAGAGGAAGAGGACGATACAGAAGACGAAAGCATCCACCACAATAGAAGCACTGGCAGCACCTTGCCAGCACATCGCTATACACACTCACCAGAAGGCCTCTCCAGCCGCCATCATGCCCGCCTCTCAGCACTCGAACCTCCCTTCTCGGATAGCAGCGACCCAGCTGATGCACCAGGCGGCCCTCTACATCACCTTCACGACGGTCACGCTCACCGCCCTACATCAACCTCGCTGGACGAATCTTTTGCAGGACCCAGTCTAGCCCTATACAACTTTGTCCCTGAAAACAGCAACGAGCTCGCTTTACGCGAGGGTCAGATTATCCAGGTGGGCTATAGACACGGCCAAGGCTGGCTGGTAGCCATGGACCTCGAGTCGGGTGAGCAAGGCTTGGTTCCGGAAGAATACGTGCGTCTGCTTTCCGAAATCGAAGGATGGGGAGAACACCTCGAAGGAGTAGAAGAGGAGGGAGAAGGAGACGAACACAGCACCTTTGAAGAAGAACTGGCAGAAGAAGTGCACAACGAAAGCAGGGAAAGGGATACGAACGCCAAAGCTGCTGCTGTCGCTTCGGAAGGCGAGAAGAATCTGCCAGTACGAGATAAAGATGTGCGGTAGCCCATTTGGCTCTTGAGCATTGCAAAATTTGGCGTCTTGTTGTTAGCGTTGTTGTTCTGCTTTTTCTCTGCCATTGTTCCTGTTTTCTGTTCGTTTTCGAGGACTATACCCACACAGCTTCGAAATGTACGTTTTTTATGCATATTGTTCGGATCTTGGTTTTCTCTCGCTCTTGCAAGTCTACATTTACATCAAGGTTTGTCATCTCTCGGCTTTTGGGAGCAATACGTGCATCGTTCTTTCCATATCATGCGGTATGCTTCTCTCTACTCGTGTGTCCCTTCTCCTTCCGTCTTGCCAATCCCGATGTCATGTTTCTGTCATTATTGACTGACCAATACCTTCTCTCTACTCTCTCCCTTCACCCAGATCCAGCTATCTGTTTCGTGTAACCGCTCGCTTCGTGCTGATGCATGCATGTGCATGCAGATGAAGGCACACGCAAATGACATATCAAAAACCTACCTCTCACATTCTCCATTTCATCTCTGTATACTTCACAGTTTCTGCGTCGAACAGAGGCTATCTTTCATCTGCTTTGCAAGTTTTTGTTGTGCATCCCACCCACTTCTGAGCTGCAAGTCTACAACGAAACGCTGGCTGCAAGAATACATGTTTCTAGACATGGAGACCACTACTAGTGGGAAGGATCCCGACGACTAAATCAGGGAAAGAGCGATCAACAAAGAGATAATGGTAAGCGATGGGATTCGATGCTTCCGCATCCTAGAGATAACAACTTTATCGTCTAATCAGCCGTTCCTAGTTTTGGAAGCCGCTCATTTGAAGAAGGCAGACTTCTCCCCTGCCTCTTCCTCTTCCGCATCTCCACGCTCAAGAACCTCTCTCCTGTGTCTGTAGAACTTGTTTAGACAATCGGTCTTTCTCTGCTCGCTCCAGCCCTCAAGAACAAGTGCAAACTCCGTTGCATCCGCAAAGCCAAAGTATTCCGCCATTGAGCAGAACAACCTCTTCCTCACATATTCTGGAGGCTTGTACTTGTACGCAATCTTTCCCTCGTCGTCGAAGCTTCCATGGATGTTGGCATCTTTTTCGAATGCGTACTCGTTGGAAAGGTCAAAGTCTGTACCTGCAGCCATAGCACGCTTAGATAGTTGAGCTTCCATCTTCGAAGACCCGACTACGTCGTTATTGTCATGTGTATACTCAACACCTGCCATGTTGAGGATAGCCTGAATGGCGCGGGCTTGCCTCTTGGTCTCCGAATCTCGTTCGTCATCATGTTTCTTCTTGCCGCCTTCGCCAGTGATCTCGGCTGCGAGTTGAGACATGGCAGCATCCTCACGATCCATGAGGTTATCGTCATCATCGTCGTCAGAGTCTTGCGACGTGTCCAAGCCGACAACACTGACACCAGCCTTCGATTCGGCAATGTTTGTCTTGTTGACAATGTCGCGGAGGACCAAGTTTTCACCCTCGTAGCTGAAAAGGTTCAATAGACCAAAGATTTCACCTTTCTTGTCTGCTGTATCCTGGACACCACGGAAGTAACGGCGCTCAGTAGATGCATTGTAGGCAATGTTAGCCTGCTGCTGCTTGTAAATCTGACGAGCATAGACGATCTCTTCGACAGTGCCCGCAGAGATGAGACGGAAGACTTCGACATCACGGGTCTGACCAATGCGGTAGGCGCGATCCTGAGCTTGAAGATCCCAACTTGGATTCCAGTTCGGGTCGAAGATGACGACCTTGTTTGCAGAAGTGATGTTCAGACCCATACCGCCAGCTTTTGTGCTGATGAGGAAGACGAACTGAGTCTCATTGGCATTGAAATCGTCAACTGCCTGAGTACGTTCTTCGTACTTCATACTTCCGTCAAGATAAGAGACGTTGTAGCTTGTAGTCGATTTGAAGAGCATCTGCAGCATTTTCAGAAGACGAACCGAGTAACTGAAAACGAGAACCTTGTCGCCGTTTGAGTGCCAGAACTTCAACAGCTTCCGGAGCACTTTCCACTTTCCACAAAAGTCTGCATTGGCGTAGTTGGTGATTTGATCACGGTTGTGATACATCTCGAGCCAAGTGTCAGGTAGAGCCAACTGCAAATTCTCCAACTCCTTGTGTTGCATCTCCTCAGAATCTAGGCTCTGCGGACAGAGAAGGGCAAGATGGTTTGCTAACTTCTGTAGCGTCATGAGCATGGGGAAGACATGGTGTTGCCATTTGCCGCGACCAGGAACCTCCATATAGCAGCACCAACCTCGTTTCTTGCCGGATGAGCAGTCACAAGGGTCAGAGGAGCGTCGAATGTAGTCGATCTTGTCGCTATCAACAAGATTCATGTATGCTTCTGATTGAGCGTCCGACAACGGACAGAAGACTACGCGATCAGTCTTCTTCGGCAATTGGTGTGCGATCAGAGACTTCATCCGACGTCTAAAGTGTGGTGGTAGCAAGTTTTTCACCAGCTTGTCAGCAACCCGTCTGCACACGGCCAGCTGGGCATTAGTAGTGTCATGTGATTGTCCAATCTTGAGCGGACCACTGACACTCTTCCTCCATTCAGCCATGGTTCCGAATTTCCCAGGGTTAGTCCAATTGAGCAGAGTCCAGAATTCGTCGTACTTGTTTTGTACAGCAGTACCAGTGAGTCCAATTCTACACAAGGCGTTGACTTCGTTCATGGCCTTACTGATCTCGGAGCTTCGCTCCTTGATTGTGTGACACTCATCTGCAATGACACAATCCCACTCGATCATGTTGATCTCACCTCGATGATTGCGATAGGTGGTGTAGGTTGTAATCATGACCTCGAGTCTACCCGCCCTGGCAGCGGAGAGTACAGCTGAACGACTTGCGTTGCTTCCGTGGTAGGTGTCATAGTGCCAGAAACCCCATTTGTCGAACTCGGCCTTCCAGTTGTCCATCAAAGATCCAGGACAGATAAGCAAGACTCTGGGATACCATCGGTTGTTGCGTCGCATCTTGCGCATGCGCTTGTAGTCTCGCTCATCTCCAGTCTTTCCGAAGGCAGATGTCAAGAATGCAATGACTTGGATAGTCTTGCCCAAACCCATATCATCACCGAGGATGCCACCTTCTTGAAATACGAAGAGCTCATGCAAGAATCTGACTCCATCGATCTGGTAATCGCGTAGCCATTGAGCAATAGGGGCTGGGATAATGCCGTCCGACTTTGGCATCTCGATATCCTTGTAGTCTTGGGAGGTTTCAGCATCGCGCAGGACAGGTCGTTCCCGCAACTCTTCCAGTCTCTCGTCGTCGGTGAAGTAGACTCCATCATAGTCAGGAGGTACTGAGAGAATGGCTTCTCCATGTTTGGCACGATCTTGACTCCACTTGGACTTTCGAGCTCGAAGGAATTCGGGTAAGTTGTCTTCGGGTGGCTCATCCTCAGAGTCTGTGCCATAGGTATCATTCTTGAATTTGCGTGGGTTGGGCTGTTTTGCGTCAAGAAGAGCTTTCTGCTTCTTGCCAACAATTGCATTGGCTTTGGCCTTTGCCTTNTTGGTACGAGCAGCCGTGGCTTTGCGTTGATCAGACTTGCGAGACTTGAACTTNTTGTAAGCTTCGTCGGCATCTTCTTCATCATCAAATGTAACTCGTTCGCCATCATCATCTCTCGGACGTTTTCGACCAGCATTCTTAGAGTCGTCGGAGTTTAGAAGAGTGTCACTGTCTGTGCCATCGGATCTCTGAAAGGTGTCGAGCAGATTGACTTGTTTGGCAGTGTGTTTGACAATATCGAGGTCACTGAGATCACTGGCTTCGCCTTCGTCCATGACTTCGATTTGGCGATCAAGCCGATGATCACGCATGTGAGAGCGAGTGGCGCTCTTGTACGATGAAGCCATGGTGATGGAAGTGGAAGAAAGAGAAGAAGAGGAAGCCGGGCTCTTCAAGGTGGTATATGCTGTTTGATTGGTGTTGAAACACAGCAGAATCGCGTCAACATCATGTAAACATGTCTCGTCACTTCGTGAAAGTGTTGGAAAGAACGAGTTGGACAAAGACCCAGGCAACATTGGGACGAAACACCAAAGAAGCGCGGGAGACGCGACATGCCGAGGTTCATCCGTGAAGGGGATTGGACAATGACGACAAAAAGAAAGATTAATTATTGTCTGAGAGAGCTGTCGCATCACAAGAATACAAACATACACACGCAACAATGCCCTTGGACACATCATCATACACTCTTGCGCATCTGCGCCTGGACGGAAGGAGATGGAATGAACTGCGACGATGCCACGGACAAATGTCGACACAGGCCGCCGCCGACGGTTCCAGCTACCTCGAGATGGGCAACACAAAGGTCATTTGCACAGTCACTGGTCCAACAGAATCGCGGCGATCAGGAGGTACCGGCAATGCTGAAGCAAAGATTGAGGTCGAGATTGGCTTGGCTGGCTTCAGCGGTGTCGAGCGCAAGAGACGTGGAAGAGGTGACAAGTGAGTTGAGCCTTGCCTGTACTGCCATGTGACAGGGAGCTGATGTTACCTACAGANNCGCACGAGCGAGATGCAGCACACAATCGCTTCAGCCTTTGCCGACACTCTCTCAACACAATTGTACCCTCACAGCACCATCACCATCAACCTGCACATCCTCTCTCAGGACGGCTCATTACTAGCTGCATGCATCAACGCCTCAACTCTCGCTCTCATTGATGCTGGTATTCCCATGACCGACTACATCTCAGCCTGTACAGCCGGCAGTACCGCGTCCTACGCTTCCAACGACGAGCAAGCCGACCCTCTACTCGATCTGAACGGCATGGAAGAGCAGGAGCTGCCTTTCCTGACTGTTGCGACCCTTGGCACAGACGACAAGATCAGCGTTCTCATGATGGAGACCAGAGTTCAGCTCGCTCGTCTTGAGGCCATGATCGCTGTTGGTGTCGACGGCTGCAAGCAAATCAGGAACACCCTCGATGGTATTGTTCGCCAGCACGGCAACACTTTGCTGCAAAAGACCGTGACTTGAACATGATGCACTGCAATACCACTCACTACCATCCTAAATATCTGATGCTCAACACTGGACACAAGAGTTGTGTACCAGGCTATCCTCGACACGCCAAGGTACGGACGAATTGCCAGACACAAGCGTCTGATCCACTCGAAATGTGGCGTGAAGCATAGCGTCGAGCACCTCGACTATATCAGAGGATTAGCGGCTGGAGCCACAATGCTCGCCGCACCTGGTCTGGACTCAACAGAACCCATTTCGAACATGGAGGAGGATAGCCTAGCTTCACAGTACCAGAATTGGTGTCCGTTCGCCCAGATAATCAAGCTACAGCAATAGCAAAATCAATCCACCTCCTTTTGACATCCTTTCGCACAGTCTCCATCTATGTAAACCAAATGCCAAAAGGCTCCCGAATCGAGAACACAACCAAAAGCAGTCCCCCAAACTACACCAACCCTTGCTCCTCCCAAAACCATCATGTATCATCCTTTCCAATGCTTCCCATCCAGCCAACTCCAAAACCCCAAAACCATGCGACATAAACTCCAGCATATGCAACACCCACCCCTTTTCCATCTCTTCCCTCATGTCCAACCAGCCAACCTCTCAATCTTAGGCACCAACTCCGCAATCCTAAACGGTTTGGCTATACTGTCATCCATACCCGCATCCATAGCCAAATCCCTCTGTTCCTGTCTCGCATTCGCACTCACCGCAATAATAGGCACATGTCCTGTGAGTTTTCCCTCCTTTTCCCATTTTCTGATTTCCTTGGTGGCTTGTAATCCATCCATCAATGGCATCTCTATATCCATGAGAATGACTGCTATCGAAGGAGCATCGGTGGAAGAAGAGTTTGCTCGCCAATGCTTGGTTTGTTGGAGTTGGGAGAGGCAGTCAAGTCCATTATCGGCTGTTGTTACTGTAAAGCCGTGTTTGGTGAGTTGTTGGCGGAGCAGTTTTTGGTTTACGGCGTTGTCTTCTACGACTAGGATGTTGATGTCTGATTTCTTCGTTGCTGGTGTTTGGTCTTTNTGTTGGAGGGCTAGGTTTTTGTGTAGGTTTGCAGTCGCTGTGGCGGGTGCTTCTGTATGTCTGGTCTTTATGAANAAGGCAAATGTGCTGCCGATGTGGAGTTCACTGGCCACGCCTATAGAAAGAGCATTGTTAGCGAACCACGCAAGATATGAAGACATCGCAGGAGGGTGTGAGTTACCTATCTCTCCGCCTTGAAGTTCTGCCAGCTCACGCGAGATGAAGAGACCTAGTCCTGAGCCTCCATACTCCGATTCTGTACGAGGAGAACCTTGGGTAAAACGAGCAAAGATACGGCTCTTCTCAACTGCACACATACCGCGGCCAGTGTCCTCTACACTGAACCAGAGATAAAAGCTCTGAGACTCGAATTTCGGATCATCATATACCGAATCATGCAGCGAATGCGCAACCACAAAATCGATATGAGGAAGCACGTTTTCGGAAGGCCGTATCTTTGATGCGCCAACGCGTATGGTGACTTTCCTCTGACTCTTCTTCTTGCAGAATTTGATGGCGTTGGTTAAGAGGTTGATGAGGACTTGTTGGACTCGTCCTGGGTCTAGCATTACCCAGTTGACTTCAAGTTGTTCTAGTGAAGCGTGAGATTGCGTCTCTAGTTGTACGTCGCATCGTTGAGCTTCAGCTTCAAACATCTTTTCCACATCGTGTAATAGAGCTGTTACTCTGACGGTCGAAGGTGCGATTTGTAGGAGATTCGAGTCGAGTTTGGAAAGCACAAGGATATCGTCCACAATCCTNACGAAGAAAGTCAGGCATGATTCGTACAATGAAGGATTTGTTGTATGTACGCACCTTTTCTGATGTTGCGAGCAGGATATGATTGTGCTGACTGAGTCGATACCGCTTGAGATGAGTTCATGTAGCTGTTCACCAATCTTGGACTCAGTGGTAGAAGCTAGTCGATCTGCGAGGACTGTCATATCGGCCAGAGTTTCTTGAGTGGCGTCAGAACAATGGAAGACCGCACCGAGAGGGTTTCTGATCTGNCGAAAGAGTCAGCAAATTCACAGTGCTTACATATATATTGTGTACATACTTCACTAGAAGAAAAAAGTCAGCAACATCCTCCGAGTTCATTCAAGTCGTACTTACTGCGATGTCATGTCGATAAAGTTCGAAGATTGTCGTTTAGCTTCCAAGGCTTCCTGGACCTTCATCTGCTGTACTGTCTCTGCAAACTTCAATGCTGAGATGTCCAGCATGGTGCCAATAATGCCCTTAATAGATCCATCTTCCTTGTACTCAGGCAACGCAGATGCAGTGACCCACACCGGACCGATGGTCACTCCGTTTCCGTCGGCCCAGCTGCGTCGAAGTCTGAACTGTACAGTAGTAGGGGTTTGAGTGCTGAAAACTCGAGTCCAGCTGCTCCTGACAAGCTCGATATCCTCCTCGTATATTATGCTCGCCCAGTCAATCTGCTCAAAAGGTACAACGGGATGTCCAGTCATCTCGAACCAGGCCCGGTTGCAGTACGAAAGCTGGTGATGATTCTGTGATCCAAAGTAGATAGCAATAGGGGCCATCTCAGCAAAATTTGAGAAGCGCTGTTCCCACGCCTTTGCTCTTTCAAGCGCTTGCAATCGCTGTACGGATTCCGTTTCTCTCAACTTGGTATCGTGGATGTTTGTGGTGCATCCAGATACACTTGTGACAACACCATTCTCATATACTGGTATCACGGCAGCAAGGACCCAGACACCATGGCCGTCAGGAGTCTTGAACCTCAACTCGAACGTACAAGGTGTACCACCAGCCGCGGTATTCCACTTCGACATGATAAATCCATGATCTTCCGGGTATACCAAGTCAAGAAACACCAGCTTATCTCCGTGCATCATCTCTGACGAACAGTGAGCCATAGCCTTGTAAGCATCATTGGCATACATCAGTCGGCCCTCGGGATCGTACTCGAAGATGCCAACGTCAGCCATATCGACAACCTTGAGTGTGCGTTGGTACTGATCCGTCACAGCCACAGCTTCTCTGTCGCGGTTTGCCAGTGCGGTCGCTAGAAGATGTTGTTCCCTGGCTGCTTGTATTGCTCGGTAGTGTTGCTTACGCTTCTCTTCTTCAGCCAAGAGAACGTTGGTCGCAGCGTTACTCAGACACCTGGAAAACTCATGTATCCAATCTCTGTAATTCTCGTTGTAAGGTCGTTTCGGGTCGGTTCCAAGAAACAGGTAGGCGATAATCTTCTCTGATCGACTCGAATGTATTGGCACCAGAATACAATCTTGTGCTAAGAATGGCCAGATCGGTCTGGTAAGTCCATTGTGCCGAATCAGTGTTGGGTCTGTTGATTTCGAGAATAAGGTGAAATGGTCGGACCCTAGCTCTTCTGGTAGAATGGAAGTGACAGACGGTTCGCCAGTAGATCCTGTAAGCTTGAATCGCATCTCATGAGTCGAATGTAGAGAAGTGTCGATTGAGCTCTCTGAGTCCGTATTGGACTCTGCAGCATAGAGGAACGCGAAAGGAAANAGAAATGGGTCCAGGGCAAGACTACCGGGAATACTCTGCCAGAACTTGCGAGGCTCCTTGACAACATCCCAAGCAGCGTTGAGTGCCCGGAGAGCTGCTCGCCTCTTNTCTGCTAACCTTGTTTCGGTCACATCTGTTAGTGTTACATAGAAGCCCGGAGTTGATCCAAACAATGGTATGACCGTCCATGATAGATACACTTCCTCGAGGAAGCCATTCCGCTCATACACCAGCGGTTGATCTGTAAGTTCTACTTGTCGTCCTGTAGCTTCTGCGGTGGCCAGAGGTGTGACAACAGCGTCCGTCGCGACATCGCCCCAAGCTTCCATGATGGGTTGTCCGAGGACGCCTGGATGCTTATTGCCACACATTACGGCATAGGCTGCATTGTAAAATAGCACACGCTCAGATCCAAGAATAAGAAGGCGCGGTTGTGGATCCAGTAGGGAAACATGGCAGAGTTGTAGGAGGTCTCGAGGCCATAATTCCAGTGGCCCAAGACTTGTCGAAGCCCATGATACTCTTCTGATGTATCCTAAATGCTCATCCAGATTTCGGTCTCCAGTGTGTTTCTTGAATAGTATTCCTTGTCGTGTGTGCTTGCCGAGGTTAAAGGCCGGGCTTTCCTCCGGCGGACTAATAGTGTGCATGATATGAAGTCGGCGAGGAAGGAGGAGAAGACACAGGAAGTGCCTGTCCGTTTGACGGAGATGTTTGGATACGATCCCGTCACAAACAGGGAAGTCGTGAAACGAACGTGCCCCTCGATGGTATCAGTTTTGACTCTTGAGGCTGTCCGCGCTCGGCACTTCAATTAAATCTAGGCCTTCGGATCGGAATCGCATTCCAGTCATGAATCGCATTTTGCATACCATTAACACAACACAACACAACACAGTAAAACAGCATACGCTTGCTTCAGAATGAGATACGGCCAATTTCTGGTTTCGCGACCGCTCCTAAAATTTTTATATCATATTCACTCCGATGCTCCTTTGCCAAATAGGATTTGTTGACAGTGCAAATCCCGTATTTGACAAGCCCTAGCGCCTCACGCGATTTCATCGTACACCTAGTGTTGGCAACGTTTACATGAGTCAAACACGAGAACGACTTAAAAATGCCTTGCACCATTGCCAAGTACTAGGGGCAAATCCGCGATTGAGGATCAGTCGCGTTCGGAGCGATGCGGTATGACAGAACCTCTGAAGTTATAAGCAGGAGATAGCCCTATATCGTGTGTGATATATTTTTCTCGAGAAGAAGGAAGATGCAATCCCGACGTAAGCATGTGTCGAGGGCAAGTTTACATTGACTAGGCAAAAACCGAGAATCGATCATCAGAGCCATGCTTGTGTGCTATCTGCGTATCTAGTCTGGTTGCTTTGGACCTCCCTGAGGATCGGGGATCATTTGTCTGAAGTTTTGACAATTTTACTGCGAGGAAGCTCGCGGCAATGTGGACAAAGCCATTCGCCCTTTGGTTCTGCCTTGAGGTCGACGCAACCCCAATGAAACCATTGGTGTGGACAGTCGTCGTTGTCACAAGCTACCATGTCACCAAATGATACGCGTTGGCAGACACAATAGACTTGGGTGTCATCCTCTTCTCCTTCAGCATCAGGCTCAGCATCTTCTCCTTCCTCATCAGATGCTGCAGAGGCNCGGGTGCCGCGTAGCCGCGACCGTGATTCTACAGTACCATCCGTTCCAAGAGGCAGAGTTGATGGGGTCGGACTGACACTGCCTCGCGAAGAGGAAGGTGTTGGTGATGTGAGGTGACGTTTGCGATCTCCTTTCTTCAGCGCTGCATTGCCAGACCTGATGCGCTTCCTATTAGAACCAGGGGCAGATGCTTGATGTGGCGCAATTTTCTTGTTGTGGGGTGCTTTCTTGTTAGGTTGAGCAGATCCAGCACGACTCGAGCTTGGAATAGGTGTGCCGGCTTTTGGAGTACCAGAGGTTGGACCAAGTGACGACTGTCTGAGAGATGAAGCAGTAGTAGGGACGTTGCCAGACATAGAAGTGTTCAAACGACGACGTTTTGAGGCATCGGCACTGCTTTCTCGTTGTGATCTAGCTGATGGGCTGTTCAGATGTGCTTGGTTGAGTAAAGCATTTTGAGCATTTAATGGTGATGATGTTCTTTGGTTGACAGCATGTAAGCGGGCAATGGCAGCATTGGCAACGTTAGGCGCGCCACCAGATTGAGCCGAATTGATAGCGGCAGCAGCGGATGGAGTGTTGGTTGTAGCAAGGCTTCCAGCTTCGGGCTGCAATAGAGATGGCAACGTCGGATCTGGAGGCATCTGTTCACTGTTGACAAGATCGCGTAACTTGACGTCGAATTTTCTGACATTCCGATCAAGNCTGAGAGAATCAGCACTCGGTCAAGATTTAAAAATGAGTAAATTTCAGCATACCAGTCTCATGGCCTTCTCGCTCAGACCCAGCTTCTCAGCTTGCAGAATTTCAATACGATCAAAGTTTGCCATGATGACTTTGGTGAGACCTTCTTCCTTGGGATTCTTGACATGACCGCCCTGGGCTCTGACGAAATTTTGGATAGATTTGTCACGTGTATTAATGACTTCGCGTAATTCTTGGATGTGTTGGTCTTTGGCCTGGATCTCTTCCAGTAAATGTGCTATCTCGGCGGGCAAGTTGGCAACTNNGAGAAAGCAGTCAGTTTGCGATGCAGCAAGGGGCAAGCAAAGTACATTATTACCATCGTGACAAAATTGATCCAGGACAGTGGCGGCATCGTCTGTACCGATTGCTGCCATTTTTGATGTTTTTGGAGCGCAAAACGATGTTCTTTGATGTGTTTGACTGAGAGTGATGATGGAAGAAGTCGCGTCTTCACAAACGGAAGCAAAAAGTGAAGGAGAGAAGGCCAACAAACAGCTTTCTCCAAGACGTGGTTACCGTGTTGTATTACTCCAACTTCTTCCTCACACACCGATCAAATTGGATTAAGTCGTTGGATATATATCTGAGCAGCATTAATCAAGACAGCATCAAGCATCGAAGCGACAAGATGCGAGCAGCGGCGCGCCAAGCCCAGCTGCGCATCGCCGAGCAGTCTCGTGCCGACGAGTCATGCGGGGAGGACGACGACGATTTGCATATTCGAGAAGCTCCACACGATGCCCTCGACGACCAAGACCCACTGTTTGACGATAGCGATAGAGAAGACGACGACAATGTTCACAGCTACCTAGACGACAGCGACTACTCACGCGACGAAGACGACGAATATAATGATACTCCAATTCACCACCTAAGAGACGACCGAGTACTGCCCAGAAGCAACCCCATACGAATCCAACCAGCCAGAGTATCCAACCAACTGCCGCTTAGAGTCGCGCCAGCAAACCACAATTACCTGGTTCAAAATCTCAGATATAGCTCTAGAAGGCTTCCGGTCAGAACTGCGACCATGTCAGCACGACAGAGCAATGGCATTCCTCGTCAGAATATGCGCGACGCCATAGTACAGCAATGGGACCCATCACGACGACCAAATGGCCAGTCACAAGCACATCCTGCAGGAGCTCCGCCTACACCACCTTTAAACGACAGCGAGGAGGAACACGCCGAACGACAAAGGACTTTGCGCGACAAGATCATGCAGCAGGTTGAAGAGAATGGCATCGAGCGTCCTCAAGGCTACACTGTCTCATACCACTACAACCGTCGCGTCGAGAATATGCATTTCGGTCGCACACATCCCATGAAGCCTTGGCGATTGACTTTGACCAAGCATCTTGTCATGGGTTATGGCTTGCAATTTGCCATGGACAACTACGACGCTCTTCCCGCGAGCAAAGAGACTGTCGCTGCTTTCCACGACCAAGATTATGTGGAGTTCCTCTCAAAAGTCTCACCTCAGACTTTCCAAGAACTATCTCAAATATATGAAGATCGCATCCCGCAGAGTTATCCTGGAGACGTCGTTAGACTCGGCCCCTTCAATCTATCTCCGTCGCCTGGTGCTGATTGTCCTGTTTTCGATGGTATGCAAGAGTATCTCTTCCTATATACTGGTGCCACCATGGAGGCCGTATCGGCCTTGACGAACAACCAATCTGATATCGCTATCAACTGGTCTGGTGGCCTCCATCACGCTCACAAATCTGAAGCTTCGGGCTTCTGCTATATCAACGACATTGTTCTAGGAATTCTGGAATTGCTCAAATGTCACCAACGTGTTCTCTACATCGATATCGATGTTCATCATGGCGACGGTGTTGAGGNNGAAGCATTTGCGAGTAGCGACAGAGTCATGACGCTCTCCTTCCATCGCTACGGTATCATCGACGAGGATTCAAAGGAAAAACATCTTTTCTTCCCTGGTACTGGCGCTCTGAACAGCAACGGGAACGAAAACAGCGTCGGCAACCACTTTGCTCTGAATGTTCCTATTCCCAAGGGTATCGATGACGATCAGTTCCTACACCTCTTCGAGTCTATCACTGGTCGCACACTTCAGCACTTCCGACCTCAGGCCATTGTCCTCCAGTGCGGCGCTGATTCACTTGGCGGAGATCGTCTTGGTCAATTCAATCTCAACATTCGCGCTCACGGCGAGTGCCTGGCCTTTGTCAAGAAAGCCGGAGTACCTCTCCTCATTCTTGGTGGAGGTGGTTACACAGCTCGCAATGTCGCTCGCGCTTGGACCCACGAGACCGCACTCGCAGTTGGCGCAACCCTCAACGAAGAACTCCCCATGCACATTGTGCCTCGTCCCCAAGCATTCATGGGCCGAGAACATGGCGATGGCCGGCTATACCCTGAACTCGGCGGCTTCCACAAAAACTATGTTACGCAGAAGGAGTTGGATCTGCTGGTCGAACATTGCCACGAAGAATTGAGATATATCCAACACGCACCCAGCGTTGTCATGGAACGTCTACCCAGCCGAGCTCAGATGGATGCTGCAAGGAGACAGGTTGATGACGAGATGGAAGCAGACCGTGCTGCCGAAAGTGGCAGAGGTGAACGTGAGAGACGTAGACGTGAGAGAGGCACCGGCACACGTGGAGAACTGCGATGAGAAACTGCCAATATAGATGAGGAGAAACAGGCGTCTTTGGCTGGGAAAAGATGATGAAGACGGGCATGCATGTCTGACTGGCGTTTTCTGGTGGGTTATGCCTGGTGAGATACCCCCTCCTTTCGGGCTCAAGTCTTTTTGCTTTTTCTTTTTTGTTATATCACTATCCTCGCAAGACTCATAACTCAGAATAAATATATCCAACCACAAACTGTTCGAAGAGTAAGAAGGAATTGCAAAAGTTGATCGTGAATTCATCTGTGTATTTCTCCCTCCTATCATCCATCATCATCCACCATTTCATCAGGGACCGCAAAAAGCAGAACAGAAGCTGTTGAAGCAAAGAACAACGAAAACAAACGGCCGCTACTCGAAAAACAAAAACACCTCGCCACCACACAGTAAAGGAAAAGAAGGACCACCGTCGCTTTGACACCATTAAAACCCCCAAAACTTTTTACTTTTCTTTCTCAAGCCATGAACCCTTCAGGCATATCCAAGAACCCATCCAACGCCCACCCCAAAGAATCAAACGGCGCATTAGCCGCAAAGTTCAGATTCTCCCAATTCTCAAGACCGCTGAGGGTCAAGTCTTGGTCAGGCGCCATGGTAGAAGGCGGCAATGCATCACTAGTCTCTGCGTTAGGGATAGCAGTAGGGATAGTAGGATGCTGGATAGCGCGATCGAGGTTCTTGGATGCACCGGCGCCGACGTGGTCTTTCCAGCGCCACACACTGTCGTAGAGCAGACTCATGCTCATTCTGCAGCGGACTTTGAGTTGGAGGGAGTGTTCGGGGTCTTGGATGAAGTTTGGAGAGTCTGGGTATAGTTTGTTGGTTGAGCCTCCGCCGTTGGCTTGCCATAGTTGAGCGAGGACTTCTGCGAGGCGGAGTGGAAGGTCGTTGGGTGCGACGGAGAGATTGCGGAGAGCGGCGACAGTCTGTAGGAAAAGTGTTCTTCCGCTGGTTACATCGACCTTGTTGGAGAAGAAGGAGTTGAGCAACTTCATCAGGGTGAAGCCTGCTGCCAAGAGCATTTGCATCATGTAGTTGGTCGCGAAGCATTGATAAGGTCCTGAGAGATGCTCGCCGCCAGGAGTGTGCACTCCAACGTTGGGAGGAAGAGCCAAGAAGGACTTGAGCAATGTTGTCGCAGCAATGTACAATGCTGAAAGATCAGACTTGTACGTGGGAGCCGAAGGGGAGCCAAAGAAAGCTGTCAGGCGAAGATGAAGGCAGGCGATTTGTGCATTGAGTAGATCGATGTGTGAGGCATGGTTTGCACGCAGTGATGTCTCGAGCTCTTCGTACTCTCTTCCAAGAGTATCGATAAGAAGGAAGCGTTGTGCTTCATCGCCAGCAACGAACTCGTCTCGTTGCATGATGTAGCATGTACGTGTGACCTTGTCGACAAATCTCTCAATCTGAATGCGATTGCGGAAGGCTCCAGAGATACGATCGAGATGCAAGCCATGAGTGTACCAGTTCCAGCGCGAAATTTGAGGCATGCCATAACCAGTTGATGTGTTCTGAGCGATCAAATTGACAGCGACCCAAGTGTGCATGCGGTCCTGAATATCCTCTTCGCGCAACTCGATGCGGTTTCGTGAAAAGTCTTGGGCATGCGAAGGGCGGTGCAGACCAAACTGCATAGCGAGCTGGACCATGGTTCCACAGAGCATCATGCTCGGGTCGTGCGATGTTGAGCTGCTAGGCATGGGCCATGTGCAAATAAGAACCAATGCCTTAACAATATGGTAGGATTGCGGATCCGAGGCGATTGTAGACCACATCAAGTCTGTGAATGAGCGACGGAGCTCTTGCAAGAGGCCAGGGCGCCCTTCATAGCGGCGCATGGCGATTGTAAGAATAGTCCAATGCAATAGGGGAGACATGGCGAAGAAGGCTGTGTAGGGCGTGTCAGGGGACAGCAAGGGGAGGTATGGATGGTAGCGCGCAAAGTAGATTCCCACAAGGTCCATGACTTCGTTCTCGGTCAGAGTCACTCTTCCCAGCGTGTGCAGTGTCGGCTCTCGTGTCGGATAGTCGATACCGCCTTGCGCCAGGTCGAGTAATGATCGTGAGGCGGCTGCTTCATTGGGACCAGGGAAGGGATTGTTTGCAGTCGCGTATGGTGGTTGCGGTGGGAAAGTCGCAGGTTGTGCAGGGTCTGAACCATTTGAGATGCCTCCTCGTGTTATCAACAGGCGCAAATTGGCGTTCTCGGTCTTGAGCGTCTCGAGTTCACGCTCCATCTCGGCATGTCGCTGGCGCTTCTCCTGTCGCTTAAAGCCTGGGTCGATGGCGCACGTCAAGTTGTGTTTGATGCATCTTCCGCATGGCTGGAACTCTGGTTCAGTCTGGATGTTGCATCGTAGCTGTCCTTCCTGTCAGTGCCTCCAACCAGACGCGTCAAGTCGCGTGTAGAGTCTGACCTTNTGCTGTCGGCACTGGTTGCATGCCCTCTTCACAGGATGCGCCTTTGCCAGTCCCGCTGACTGGTCTGCTTGTGGACTGTGATCATCCTGGATCTCACTCTTCTTCCTCTTTCTCGGTGGGCCTGCTGTCGTCGAAGATGTGGGTGTGAGTTGCTGCTGCTGCTGCTGCTGCTGCTGCTGTTGGACCTGGTGCAGCGACTGCGGTACGCCTTCACTGAACGGTGTCGATGTCGGTGATTGATGGAGACCCGAGAAGTCGGCACTACCTGGCCATGCCATGACTACTGCTGAGTGCGGACGAGTTGCAGTATGATCCTCCGGTACCGCAATGCGTCGACACCTCAGTAGTATTAATGTCACCGGTTTCGCCGTGACTCACGAATGCTCCGAATGATTTTCTTTGTCACGATGCGGGGTTGCTTCGTGTTCTGGTCTTGGCACTGAGCACCGCTGCTCATGCGCCGACGCCGAACCTCACCTCACATCATCAAACAGACATCACCTTCTTGATGAGTGCATCTTTGTCTCGTGCTGCCTCATATGCTCAATGGAAAGGCTCTGATATGTTACCACACTATTAACGTCGCGATGAGTGTCTTCTAGACTCGTGGTATTGCACCAAACACACATGTAAATACATCTTCACCAAAATGGCAACACAATGTAGGAGCCCAAGCAATCTGAATTTGACATTAACTGCATCGATCACAAACGACATGCTTCTAACTCTGCCACATCACACAAGATGAACATTTGCTGGATACCTGGAAGGACGGCGCTACAATGCAAAGGCGTGAAGCCAATCTGTCTTGAACTAACTACACTGGCCATGATTGAAAATCTTCCAAGCTCGTGGCATCACACGAAATGCACATCTGCATGCATCCTTTCCTCAGTGTACCAATACATAAAACGATTTGATGGGATGTTCACATCCAGCAAAAACAACAAGCAGAGCTCGCTATCTGGGATGCTGGATGGGTACTCATGGAGCCAATCATGAATTTCAATCTCGCAATCGTACCCAAACGCTTGTGTCTGGAAATCGACACACAAACGTGATCTCTTTTGCTTCCAAGGAAAACAAGAGGGAAAAGATTATCAACGAATGATTTCTGAAATTTGAGTCAGTATAAACAAGGAATGTTCACTCCCAGCGAAGAGGCACATCCGAAGATGTGTCCCGGAAAGCTAGGTGTGCACTCGCACCGCCAGACGCGAATGTTGATCTTGCAGAGTCCTCACGCGCATGCCACGAAAGCAGACACACGCGCATTGCATTTCTGCTTGATGGAAGAGAAGCTGAGAAGAGTGTTCTGAAAAGATCTCATTGAAGTCAGTATAAACAAGAAGGGATGTTCACACCCAGCAAAAAGCCACCCTCGAAGAGAGTATCTCTGAGAGCCAGGTGTGTCTTCCCCACGCTGAGAAGATTGATCTTGCAGATTCGCAAGTTAGCACTGTCATTGAAGGATAGTGCCATCACGGAAAACCTGCGCTCGCTGAAGGAAGAAGAAGTTGAAAGAGTGGGAGAGGAGGGGTTTATATAGTCCCCTGGCGCTCTGGGTCGCTTACATCAGCGAGGCAGCGAAGCGGTCAGCGCTTTGAAGCCGGAATCTTCTACCAGTATCATGCTGAAATCGAGCTTCACGATTGGCCGATGGGGAACGACGACATCATACGGGTTTGGGACTGTCTTGAGCTCAGTAGTGAATTTGGTGAACCGTGAACAACAGGGACAGGTTCATTGAACACATCCAGTCTTGATTAACATCAAGAAACAATGTCGAATTCGGTTGGTGGATGATCATATTACTAGGGACAAGACGCTCACACTCAAGCAGCAGAATGGCGGTGCACCGTCACCTGACCGTGCAGAAGATGATTACTACTTTGTGAGTGTTTCTTTCGCGTTGACGAGGCCCAGCGTCGATTTTGTCTGCGCCGCTATTCCCACGAGAGTCATGCTCTTCGATTCTGATCGGAGAACATGCTGGGCACTACAGGGCGAAGAAACAGTGTAGCCATGCTAACCTTAAGCAGGACGGCGAATACCCATCGACGTGGTACCAACCCCCCTTTGTAAGTACCTCCCTGTCAATGAAGGCATTTATGTCAACCAGCGTCAGCCATGTTTGGTAGACCTGCGTCATGGGATATTACACTTTGAACCATCGACAGCTGAAAACACGAGGCACACCAAGCCACGAGAACCGACATGCTAACAGTCACATAGGCCGAAAACAATTCTTCAGCTCCTGCCCCTGAAGGAGATCGAGGTTTCTCTTCTGTAAGTGTCTGCTCCTTCTGAGTGCTTCCAGATGAGATATCGCCTTCATGCTACCCAAACGAGAGAGCCGGGTCAAAGGCTGACTTGAACCAGGGCTGGACCGGTCATCAGGCTGCAGACCAGCAGCAAGCTCAGCCATTCGATGTATGTATCAGCAACGTCCTGTCACACTCATGCGTGAATGCAAGATGATCTGCCACGAGGAGACTCCACAAAGCACATCGGTTCTCAAGCTAATAACATGAACATAGGGGGCTATCACCCATCCACTGGTGACTACAACCAGCTTCCTGTAAGGATTAGCGTAGCCTTTGACCTGAAACAGTACTGACGCGCCTCAGGATCCTGTTCAAGGATATGCTAGGCCACAACCCCCAATGCTGTTCAACGCTCCCTTTGCCGGACATGTATACCCTGATCCATTCGCCGGACATGTATACCCCGATCCTGGCGTTCAGCAGGGACCCTACATCCCGTACGATCAGCAAACATACCCTGCTCACCAGCCTGTCTATACCCGGCCACAAGCTCCTGCTTTCGATGCTGTGCCCTTGTCTGCCGCCCCTGTTCAGCAAGATGCTTCTCTCAGTACTGGGGCGATTCAAAGAGTATCGAGCAGCAAGCGCCGTCGACAGGATGAAGAGGAAGAAGATGGAGACGACGACCAGCAGGATAGACAGGCCAGCAAAAAGACAAAGAGCGATAAGGGCATCGAGACAAAGAAGAGAAAGAAGCAGGATGAGGCGGACAGAAAGTGCCTGAGCCAGATGAGAGATGAGGCAGCCTCCGAACTCTTTGACATGGGTCAGCAGTACATCCCTCCTGGTCCCGCAAGAATTGCCTTTGAAGAGCAGTTCAATCGGCTCGTGCGACTGAATGGGGAGATTGATGGCAACACTGAGCGCTACATCAGCTGGAATGGTACCCGGCCAAACAGGAGACAGAGCTCCCGAGCAGTACCAGAACGCAAGGAACAGTAGTAACCTCATGCGATCACTACCCGGCTCCCATTGGACAGAACTCCCCTGGCAAACTTTACCTTCGGATACCACCTATCAAAATGCACGATGTGTTACTATCTCGCTGCTCGTCCATAGAAGAAATTCACCACAAGATCATTCGATGCTGTCGGGCTCCTGTCGATTAAAGACTCTCCTGGCGAATCTTTCTTCAGATACCACTTATCAAAATGCACGATGTTTTCTCATTGCGCTGCTCGTCCATAGAAGAAATCCACAAATACATGGCAGCACAAAATCGGCCAATGACGTCGGGCCCCATCGAACAATGGTTCTCCTGGCAAACTCTCCTTTAGATACCACTCATCAAAATGCACAATATGTTACTGATTGCCTGCTTGTCCACAGAAGGCAGACATCAAGCACATTTCTCACTGGTCGTACCGAGTTTTGTCCAGGATATTGAGTACTATGGCAATCATAGCTGGCACGCTTGGTTGGCTGGAGATATACCTGAGTCCAGCGACACTGTACCCGGTGCTGGTTGTCCAGCAGGAAGACACCCCAACAAGAAGGCTCTAACATCCTCTCAAAGACGCTCAATACATCTTCCGGAGCTGAAAGACAACAGAACAAGAAGCCATCAGCAGAGTTGAGACGAAATATGTAGATATAGGCACCAAGGATAGGGGCAGCAGGTATCCCGTGAACACCTAATGGTCGCAGCAACTCCTTTCAGGATACCGTATGCTTTATTGCTGTTCTTGAGGTACTCAACCACATGGTACTTCCAGGAGAACTCCGTACCAGCTCACGATGTTCCTTGCTCCGCATCAAGCCTCTGATCTAGTAGGGAGCTTCTAGTGATCGTGTACCATTGCAGGTCAGTGAACGAGGTTAACGGACGACATCATCGGCGACATCATCCACTAGGTCTAACCAATCGCGGATCTCATCCTGGCGCGACGGTTCTCAGCATGGCGTCCCTTACACAAAGCTCTTTCCAGCTTCACAAATCTTACCGTCGCTTTGACTTGCACACTCGCGAACCATCGCCATCAGAGGTTAGTTTGCTCTCCTGCTGCTGCTGCCCCTACTGACTCTGACCAGCAAACCCAAGCGGCATCACCAGCACAATCATGAAGTACGTCCGCTCCATGGAAGAGCTTGACCAAGTCAAGCACGCTCTCGACATTTCCGAGATTGTCATCGACCCTGACCTTGACAGATCCAAGAAAAAGGGAAAGTCGAAGCAAAAGGCAAAGGCAAAGGAGAAGATCTCCGGCGCCACCAACGACCAGACCAGTGCAGAGGCCCAGACCAAGTACACAAAGCCCCTCGTACTCAAGGCCAAAGAGTTCTTCAGGATCTTGTATCATGCTGTCGAGGATGGCCAGGACACCACCTACCTTGAGAAAAAGTATTTCAGATTTCCCCTCGACGCCGAAGATGAGATGTTTATCAACAAGGAAGATTACGAGTTGATGAAGGAGTGGTCAGTCAAGTACAAATTCGACGCCGCCACCAGACGCGTCCACGAGGTCGTGGGTGCTCAGACCAGAAAGAACATCAACAAGGAGTACCACCTTCAAGTGGTGAATCATATCTTCCAGGATCTCTCGACTATGCGCGACAATATTCGTGAAGACGTGGAGGACGGTGACCTCCTCAGATACTACGAGAGTCTCTTCGTCGGCCTCTCGATCCTGGTTTTGGAGCTTGCCAGAAGCGACCTCTCCTCGAAGACTGATGATGCTGAATTGGAATACGGTCTTGAGGTCGACTGAAAGGATATCGGGACAAGGGTGCAGTCTACACAGCACGTCGGTACTTCGGCAACCACCCGGACACAGCACTGGGAAACAGCATGGCGGATCACAGGCTACTCTCTTGATGCAAGGATCCTTGGACCAGGAGGAGGGACTGTCTGTTCACGACGGTCATCGAAGAAAAGGCAGAATTTGGATGGTTCCGCAAACAGTCTCGGCTCGCAGGTAAACATACTATGGTGAGCTTTCATCGTTCATGCTTACCCCTGAGTTTTTCTTATCCAACTTCTGCTTTACCACGATCTTCCAACTCGTTGCAACTGCTTTCGTATGTCAGCCGTGAAAGATGATGTTCTCGTTGCAGATTAATCAAGGCCCAAAATGCTTCGTAGCGAGAGTGACTTGATGTGTGCTATAATCACCGCAAGTCTGAATATGGTTTGTTGAAAAGACATCGAGAACCGAGAGACGGTCGAGTCAAAACGACCACCTTTCATCCCAGTTTGCTTGTTTTGCACTCCTCCAGCCAACGTTCCGGAAAAGATGGTCGACAGACGAAAGTGAAGCTGGTAAGCAAGATCGTATATTTCAATCGACGTGACAGCCTCGAGAGCAGTTTCACTCGCCATCACTCCACGACGAAACTCATCGTCTCGACAACCTCTCAGCGAACCAATGCATGCAGCCAGCCTTTGATCTTCTGATCTCTTTCCTTTACGCACACACGACTACGACAACACCATCCTCGAGTCCAGACATCGCGCAACATGGAGTCTGCCAACGTCGAACTTGCCAACATCGCGCTTGCAAACATTCAGCCTGCCAACATGGAACCTGCCAACGAAGCCCAGGTTCCTCCCCCCTGATCGTGCTAAGATGGCCGAACACGCTCAGCTGCGTGAGATGTGGGCTGTTAGTCGGCAATCATTGTAACCGCACCAACCTCTTGCTGACTTTTTCTAGGCCAACCAGAACGCCGAACTCAACCTTCTGGGCGCCATGAACGCTTGTCAGATGCACTTCGATGACACTACCTTCTGGGACCGTGACAACAGAAGCGGCTACCACAACTACCAAATCACCGATCCCCACGCCTGCTACGTTGCACGCCACAACAGCATCAACAACATCACCGCAAACAACAAGATGTACGCTGGCATGGATGACTTCTACGCCGAGCAGCAGAAGGCCTACGACAAGCTCCACGCTTACAACTCGACCAAGTACAGCAGAGAGACCATCCAGGGCACTAACCGTCAGAAGGCTGCTCGTGGTGGCGCTGCTACCCGCAGAGCCAACAACGCTAAGCGTCATGAGGAGATGGTCGTTGGCATCGTCGAGGAACTTGTCGCTCTGAGAGACTACTCCGGTGTTCTGGACGAGAAGTACAAGAAGCGCTTCGACAGAGTTGCCAAGGAGGTCGTCGCTGCCGCAAAGATCAAGATGACTCCTGAGATCAATGCCAAGATCTTCTATGGAGTCGCTCCTGGCTCTCAGACTGAGTGATGTTCAGCTGAACGACAAAGCAAGTACTGGAGGCTCAGGGATGACATGGCTCGACGCGGATTTCTCTGCTCGGGTCTTGAGAAGTCTTTGCGGCATTCTTCCAAGATGGCAGAACAGATTTCCTCGACCTTGCCATTGATCTCGTCAGTCAATGTCCGATAAATTCAAGGAGAATGGGGGAAGGTACATGGTGTGTTCAGGAGTCGAAAGAAAGCAAAGCTCAAGATGAAGAGATCTATCAAACCCCAAGAGTAACTTCCTTATCATAAGGAAGTCATGGAAATTGATTCAGTCGTCTTTGTATTTATAAGCTCTTGCCATTTTTTGTCTTATGTGATGTAATCTGGTCGTCAAGCCAAGTTCTGTAGCCACGGCAGACTCCAGGAAAGCGCGAAACACAGCTTCAACTTGCCTGAACTCCAACCACAGCTTTCTCCTTTGCATACAACACGACACAGCATCAATAACCACATTGTCGATATCATTCCCATCAGCGACCAAGTTATTGTTCCCATCATTAGCTCTCGGCGGAGATCGTAGACATGGAAACGACCGACCACAGCAATCCTGTTTTTGATGAGCACACCTACTATTATGACGATGGCGATATTAGCCAACACATTCCGGTGAGTGCAACCCGTATACAATTTTCAAGTGGACTTATTCTGACCATCCGCAAACAGTATTGGCCAGGAAGTAATCTGAACATCATGGAAGCATTGAACGTGGAACAAGAAGTTCTAGCCAACAAGCAGGGCGTATCAACCGTCTGGCGATGCACTGCTGAAGGCGGCTACTATCCTCTCGATCTCGAAGATGAGCGTTACACCACCACATACAAAGGCGAGGTCGACAAGCGTATAGTGTACCGCTTCACCCTGGCAGCAGCCCTAGCTCACAACTGCCGCGAGTATACCAGCTTGGATCCAGCCAAGCATCGTCTCGAGTTCAACAGAGCTTTCAGTGTCATGATGTATCACAACCACATATTGAAGAGGCGCTTGAAGAAGCGGACTGAGAACCAAAGCAACGAACCCAAACTTGACGATACGAATTCCGAGGATAGCCTGGAGCCACAACCACAACATGACGAAGATACTGAGAAGACCAAGCTTCAGTCCCAGGCGCTTCTGCCTAAATACTCAGCACAAGAGATTTGCCTTCGCCTTGCCGAATTACGAGACAGCGGTCAGACACATATGGGGGCATACAAGTTTGCTCAAGAACAGTTGCTCATTGCCATCAACAGAGACCATCCAGAGGCAGAAACCGAGGATGGAACCGCCCTTATAGATTGATGAGGGAAGGTTGCTGCATGATGGCTTTATGCATCTTTTCATGTTGATGCAAGTCACTATTGTATTCACCATTCGCTGCTTTCCGGAGAGAGTCTGTGCCAAGAGCAGTGAAGCACTTAGGTCTCTTGGATTATCAATGAACATTCACTTATGAACTACCGTATTCCGACTCTTCTTCACTCTGTTTACTAGCATGATCTCGTCGCACACAGCTCCTACCAGCAAGATGTCCCGTAGCTCCTGTCCGAGCGAGCAAATGAAGGAGATCGATTTGAGCGCCAGTCCCGAGCCTAGAATAGCTCAAAACCAAGTGCTATTCATCCCTTTGCCTTGTAGTAAAGACCAGAAGCTAACCTCCCGAACTCTAGAGCNNCCTCACTTCGATGTCCAACTCCACGTTCTGAATCATCGACAGAGCCTCAAGAATGATTCTACGGTCTGACACCGAGATACAGATGGCTCTTTTCGTGCAANNACCGAGTGGACGAGTCGTTTCATGTATCGTCAAGACCGTAAGGCATACTTGGACAGAGACGGCCAAGTCGATCGTGAGTGGGCCGATGAGAAATGGCAGCAGTGGTCTGAAAGAGACTTTCATCCTGCTGTGGAAGCCTACAACGAGTACAACGAGCCAGCCCCCGAGTTGATTGTCCTCGAAAATGTGAACGAGAATCTCCAGAAAGTGGATGAAACTCTGAAAAAAATACGGTTGAGGCTTTCTCTGGCTCAAACAACACTTGATTACCCGATTCGCCCTTCGGGCTTGCACAACTCCGACCATCAGCTAGCCCACACCAGAGATGTCTTGGAAGACATCTTCGAAGATATGAGCACCCATCTACGCATTACCAGCCAAGCTCAAAGAGAGTCAGAAGAACAAACGAAGACTTTGGGGCTCGTAATCAAAACGCTCATCAGATCGAGAACAGTCGCCGAGAAGTCCCAGAAGAGGAGAGAAGCAGAAGATGAGAAAATGGTCGACACAGTCAAGTTTCTCAAGGAGTGTCTGAATAACCACTGTCGACTTGTGGATATGGTCCTCGGATGACCAGAGCCATTGGTGCAGCAGGGTACCGATCTCATACAAGCTATGCTTTCTGAAATGTTCGGCTTGCCTTTCGATGAACCTAACGCCGAAGACTCAGAGCCCGAGCCCGAGCTATATCTGGACCTGGAGGCAGAGGAAGAGTCTGAAATCGAGGTCCTCTGGGAGAAGACCGAAACTGAAAACATCATGGACATCGACCAAAATGACGAGTCTGAATTCGAGCTCGACACGACTGACAGCGCCTCAGTCAACGAAACGGACAAGCTAGACTTGAGAACTACGACGAAGAGCAGAAGACTATTGCAACAAAAGAAGAACCTGAAAGTAAGAGATGCTTTGTACCAGAGATTTGGCTTGTCTGTCATCTCCAAACCTTCGACAAGTCAGGAGGACGCAGTTGAAGAAGAGCACCAAAATTTCAAGCGTCAGAGAATGACGACCAACACGCTCTGCGAGTCGCCTGAAAGAAGTCTTAGCCCAATCAAGAAGCGCCCAGCCTTGAGACAAACCACACTTTCTTTCAACAAAGTCCGCAAAAGCCGAAGACTGTTCTCTCGTAAAGAGTTGAGCCAGAAAGACGCAGTCGAAGACGAGGAAGAAGCGAAAGAAGAAAGCTATCCAGGCTCAACCAGAAGATATCCTAGAAGAACTTCTGCCAAACGTCAAGACTATCGTGAGAACGGCCTGTTCATGTACGGATGGAAGTTCGAGCGAAGAGGAGATTCTTAATCCTCTCCATAATGGTGACCTTGATTCTGCTCTACTATGTGGTAGCGGGTCAGATTGGGAGTTCGGCAATGACGGCGAGAGTCTGAGAGAAAAGAGTGCGGGTGAGATCCAGTAGAGATCGTGCGGCATGTACTGAGAGGATAGGGTCGACTATGTTTTCGGTGGAGGTGAATATGTAATAGTAATTGCTGAAAGGAGAGAAAACCGGTTCAAGTCATAGAGGAACAAAATATGCGCAGAAGGGCATGGAGAGCTTTGTGGTCACGGCTGTGAAGAAGATTATCCTTAGCCGGACGGAAAGCAGAAGTTACATTATCTCTTATGATTTCCTACCCAAATGCCTATTCAGAATATCCTATCCAGATTGACTGTCATCAGGTGTATAGATTAGGCTGATGCGTAGAATTGGTGAAGTTGTTGTAAACCATTCCTGTTCCACTGATCCCATTGCCAGCACTATTGATCAGAATCCCAGGTGCATCCATAAAGTAAGCATATCTAGCGACATCGGGCTGCTGATCCAACCATGGCATAGCTTGCTGCAAGAAAGACTGCAGTTCGGCATCAGTATAGCTGAACGTACTGTCTAAACCAAACTCAGTAATCCAGATAGGTCGTCCTCCGGCTATGGCACGGGCAGAGTTGATGTGCGATTCAAGGTAGGAAGCACCAGCGTACTTGTTGCTGTACCAATGAAGGTTGATGAAGTCAATGGTGCAGCCTGTACAGTTGCCCAAGAAGTATTGCAGATACAATAAGCCCATGGGGTTGGCATCGGTGCTACCAGAGTTGGTAACGGCAGGGGCGCCGATCAGAGCTTTACCAGCGAATGGTTGCATGTACTGTTGATGATAGTAGACTGCGGTAGATACGTTCATACAAGCGCTGCCAGAAATGCAGAAATCAGGTTCGTTGAAGGACATAAGGGCTTCCGAGCCGTTATCGATGGCGAGCTGGGCTGCGGCGGGCCATTGAGACAAAAGGTTAGGATCGTTGTTATAGAGCAGAGGGACGAACTCAAGTGCTGGGTTGAAGCCGCAATCGTGTACACCAGCAGTGCTGCATGGTGCAAAGTACCAATCGTAGGCCCAAGAGACCTGGCTATTCTGCCCACTGAGAGAAAATGGCATGGTAAGATTTGCCTGGTTGTAGGCTAGGCCACGTTTGCCAAAGTTACGGACAGGCGTCGGTGCCGCAGATACTGAAGAGCTGGTGCTTGACGAGGACGAAGCGACAGAAGATGATAGCGAGCTGGAGCTCATCGAGGAGCTAGATGAGCTGACACTGGAGCGGACTGAAGATGACGATAACGATGATGACGACGATGACGACGATGACAACGACGACGATAACGAAGACGACAAGGAAGAGCGCGTTGAGCTCGCTGTAGATGTGACAGAGCTTGATGATGTGGTTGATACAGCACTGCTCGAACTTGACGAAGTTGAAGATAGTGTTGTAGACGATACAACGGAACTAGAGCTGGTTGAAATGGTCGTGGAGGATATGCTCGAGATGGACGAACTAGCAAGGCTTGAGCTGGACGAAGAAGCCGCGTTTGAACTGCTTGAAGACGATGAGCCAGCACTATTATGAGTCAGTAAGCCGGCCTTCCACCTTTGAGTGTCCAGATGTACATACATGCTCGTGGTAGTGGANACTGCTCGAGGGAGCGATGCTTGGGACTGTAGTCTGCGAGGAAGCTGTCGACGTAGATTGAAGAGTAGGCAACTCGATTGAAGGAGAGGCAGACGGACTNNAGAAGATGATGAAAGAACCGAGCTGCCCGGTGTACTGGCTGGAAACTCAGAAGATGTGGCTTCAGTGATATAGACGGCAGTATCGGGTCCGCTAGGCGAGGGCGCATTTGCCGATAAATGCTGGGAAATGTAGTCGGAAATCTGCGACGAGAAGGCCGCGGGAGAACTACTGCTTGCTGACATAGCCATACTTGGAGTAACGTAAACTACTGTATTGTCGCTTGTCGGAACTGGCGCGTTATCTGATATCCTGTGAGACAAATGCTCGCCGATAGCTGATGAGTAGCCTATTGTGGCAGTACCGGCAGTAGGCCCGGGGACAGTGGCTGTAGTGACAGTGCTGAGACTTGCCAGAGCAGCCAAGACAGCAACATAGTCGGCTCTGATAGCTGCCACAGCTCCTGCAGTGTTAACGATGCTGCTAATTGCTGACAGCAGGGTACACTCGCCGAGAAGGAAGGCAGATGCCACACATTCAGGCAAGTTCGCACAGGACGCAATACATGCTTCGAAAGAAGGAGCGCTTTGCTGACGGTTACGACTGGACGTAATAACGTCTCCGCCATAGGTCTGGCCACAAGCAATCTGATATTCGGTTCCATTACCTCCAGAGTAAGGCTGTCCACAGACTGGTACGGCTGATGGGATCGCAGAGGAGATGCTTGATGTTGACAGAGGCGAAGCCACGAGCGAAGAGCTTGATGCTGATGGTGATGAGGTAGACACGCTGGAAGCAAAAGAACTTCCCAGAGTCACAGAGCCTGCAGATGATGAAAGCACGAAGCCCGATGGGATCAAGCTTCGGGATGCAGAAAGATCCGAAGCTGGGGAAGTCGTGCCAAACAAGCCTCCAGTGGTTGAAGCCGAGCATGCAGACACATGAGTAGTGATTACGATGGTCGGTGTGATAGTTGCTGATCAAAGGTCAGTCTCTCTAAGAACCTTGCGAACTGGAAGAGGCGTACTTTGGCCAGAGGCATTCTGGCAAAAGAATGCAGATCCTATCAGAACCCCAAATGTAGCCCTCATCTCTAGATGATCAAAGAGGAGCTGAAAGAGCGACTGTCACCTAGGTGTGGAAATATGATGCTCGCGAGTGATCAAGATTTTCGGTGCAACGAATGAGCCCAAACCAGACAGTATAGATGGCTGACACGCCTTGCCAGGTGATGAAAACGAGTGTTGGATATTCAAACGAGTGTAATTGCAGAAGACAGCGATAGATTGAAGCAACTAGAACTTGCAGCAAAACCATGATGGAACGGAGTGCATGGTTGCGTTCGAGGTATAGGACTTCGGAGCATTGCGCGTAGTTCGGACAAGGAATGTAAACAGTGCGATAGATACCGGGCTTTTCCAAACCCCTGGAATGCACTGGAGATAATAAGGCGACATTGACATTCTAGAACTCTGGTCGATTGGTACCGTATCAAGTGCAGGTGATTTTCAGCAGAATGCTAGCGCTACTTAAGCGTCGAGCGTCTCGAGAAAGAGCCATTCTTGGGAGGATGGCAAAGCTGCGAGAAAGCTTGTCTTCGACTCATGATGATGTCCTTCAGACGATTTTCCTGGATGATGAGACATCGAATCGGATGTCTCTGATTTGGCTGTAGCGAGCACACATGCCGTTAATGATGGTTGTATCAAAGAAGCAGTGAATGGTGGGATAAGTTGGAAAGAAGGCAGAAGGCGAGGAAGTGGAAGGCACAGCCATGTGTGGCTGAAAAGTGTGGCTGACTGACAGGTGATTGCCAGAAGAGTCGACCGCTGACAAAAGAGTCGCCACGCGCGCGCGCCGCAACGCCAGGAAAGCCGACGACGAGCTCGAAATCAGAAGATCGTCACATATCACCCTCACCAATACCCAGCGCATTCATCTCAAGCACATCATCATGGCCAACTATCTCGCCTCTATCTTCGGTACCGAGCAGGACAAGGTGCGCATTCCTCATCGTCTCCAACCGCGCGCAACTCGTAACTAACAAGCTGTCTGACAGGTCAACTGTTCCTTCTACTACAAGATTGGTGCATGCCGTCACGGAGACCGCTGCTCGCGCAAACATGTCAAGCCTTCATACTCGCAAACCATCCTCCTTCCCAACCTCTACCAAAACCCCGCATACGACCCTAAGAGCAAGATGAACCCCCAACAACTGCAAAACCACTTCGATGCCTTCTACGAGGATTTCTGGTGTGAGATGTGCAAGTACGGCGAGATTGAGGAGGTCGTCGTCTGCGACAACAACAACGACCGTATGTGCTTCTGACCTCTTCTCTCAGACCCACCACTAACCAAGAAACAGATCNTCATCGGCAACGTTTACGCACGCTTCAAGTACGAGGAGTCCGCTCAAGCCGCTTGCGACGCCCTGAACTCGCGCTGGTACGCCGGTCGTCCAATCTACTGCGAATTATCACCCGTCACCGACTTTAGAGAAGCCTGCTGCCGTCTCAACTCAGGAGAAGGATGCGTACGTGGTGGTTTCTGCAACTTCATTCATCGCAAGGATCCATCACCCGAGCTGGACCGTGAAATCGAGCTGGCAACAAAGAAGTGGTTGAGACAGAGAGGAAGAGACGAGAAGAGCGCCAGCAGATCCCCCACACCTGAACCCTCCAGAAAGAGATATTAGGAATTACCACTCAGATGAAAAAGGGCATTCAATGGCGTTTAACGGCGAGTCTTTTTGGGGGTTATCAGGGACAAATACCCTTGTTTTTGGTTTTGCACTTTTTGCAGCTAAAGGAAGAGGCTATGATCAAGTAACGCCTACTTATGGCATATGCACGAAAACTCCTCGCAAGCAGGAGTTTATTACAATATTCTTTTAGTATTCTCTTGTTTTCCTGATCCTGCAGACAGTGACTTGTGAATGCGTGTAACATTCTTCGGGTCGAGTTGTCCGTCAAGCACACCGTGGTCGAGGCTTTCTTGTTAGGTTGGAGCTCATCGACGGCTATTTATCCTCACCCATCCTACAACGACAGCAATCCCTCACCAAGACGAATATACAAAGCTAGCACACAGGAACCGAATTGCTCATAGATGTTAGAAAGGTGTGATGATCCTCTCAAATGGTACTGATCATCACTATCTTTGAGAGCAGGGTCATACCCTCATCCACTCAGAAGCTCAAACAAGAAAAGGATGCGACGATCATTCTCGGCGAACAACCTCACCTCATCAACACACTTTCTGCCATGTCTTCTCGCTATCATAAGATGGAAACCTGTCAATAAGACCTACGTTCTCGACTTTGTATTCTTCCCTACCCCTGCAGGTCACAGCAAAGAACAAGGAGCAAGCCGGCTGACAGCAACCGGGATGGGTGTAATTTTGGCATGGGTGTTTCAGAAATGCCTCAGACTGCCACTTGCGACGTGCAGGCCGCGAAGAACTAACTCTGCATGCTTGTTCTCTCATTGCACATGAGCAACTAGCATGACTCCGTAGATACTGAAGGAGTTGCAAGTAAGTCGCAGGTTAGTGTTGATGAAAATAGCGTTCGAGATGGCTTGCGAATACATTTCTACCACTTTCCCATGTTCATTCTTTCTTTCTCATCTATTCCACCATCCCGACTGTGTTGTTTTCTTGCCCTCATAAAGATCTGATTGACTCGAGATCTTTTACATTCGTTTCATCGAGGCCCCCAGTACAAGACGCACGTCACGATCCTATCACGATTCACGATTTCTATTCTTTCACATTCACATTCCTTAGGCCTGCCCGGAGCTGCCAATTTCGAATCTATCCAACGTGACGCGCGACAAATAAGCTTTGAACTGCCCAATCTTGAAAGGATCTTTTCAAGGCAACATCATCTGCCCAATTCTGAGGATATACGTCACACACTTGCGAGGCCTACCACAAAAAACAACAACAGAAGGATATCAGACCAGTACAACGACCGGTATAAGCTCAGAAAGAAGAACAACATCGCGTTCTATAGGATCGTTCAAGACATCTCTATCACCATCAATCACCTTCGCCTCGACATTTCAAGACACTTCTGCGTTCGACACAGCAAGACCACAAGCAAGCTGAACCCATACATCACCAACGAAGCTCGACCGACGCAAAAAGCCACTCTTTCAAACCAATTTACCAGTTCACCTTGTTCAGCAACGCTATCTGCCACCAAGCATAGCCAACACTTCAAACAAAGAAAAGAGACCTGAGAGGTCAAGAAAGAAGAATCAACTATCATGGCCGTCCCTCGCGACCCATATTTCTGGAAGCGCTTTAGCTACGCAGTACACCAAGACGAAGAAGCACAAGTAACCCAAAAGTAAGCTTCCTCTCAACCATCTTCCCACCTCTTCACCTCCTTCCGCATCACCAAAACCAACAACAACCCAAACTAACCTTCCCTTCTCAAAAAAAGATCAGAAACCTGGCTCGCAAGCACCCGCCGCAAANAACGCCACTCCTACGCCCGCATCTGCTGTCTCTTCTGGATCCTTCTCATCGCCATAATANGCAATAATAGTCGTCGTCTTTTGATACTCATAAAAACGCATACACTGCAAAAGATACACATAGGTGGAGAAGGCCACACTGTGGATTTTACAAAACTGGATAACTGGTTGCAGAACTTGTTTGGCACGGGTGGGAAGGGGAAAGAGGGGGATGGTGGATCGTGAGGGAGGAAGGGAGATGTAATGACAGATGTGGCACTTGAAGAGCTGGTACTCTTTTGAGGTCGAGAGAGGAGGATGATCATGTACGAGGACGAAGATTATGTTTGTTTACACTTCGATGTATAGCTGTAAGACTTAGCGAAATAACAACAGTCGAGATTTTTGAGATTTCCACAATGGCATTCTTCTTGCCGAGAAAACCTTTGGACACACGAGGAAGGCACGAAGCACGGTATGACTATCATTCTCGTCACCATCACCACATGCAAGTCGAAAAGACACCCGCAAAGTTGAGCACAGAATTTGTATTTGAAGCTATAGACAGTGTGTGCCATCCAAAAGAAGAAAAGCCACCTCTCTTGCGCTCCAGATCGCCCTTTCCATGTTCAGGCAAATTTGTAACCGATGAAACAACATCGCCGACGCTCTGGGCCAACCTCGTGACCAGATACCAAGCTCAGCAAACATGAGATACAACGGCATGTGATGATGCACTATTGCAAAAGCAAAGCGAAGATGCTTAGCAGCGCCAGCGACACTTCTCGTTGCCGCACTTGTTGCACATCAGAATCAAGTCAGGGTTGTCGATGTTGTCAACCATACCACGCCACTGAGCGTTGAAGTTGATGCTGCAATCGTTGCAGGCCTTGTGGTCGAGGTCGTACTCCCTCAGTGCCTTCAGCACGCGCTCGAGACGTGCACTGCCACCACCGTGACCGCCAGGACCGCCAAGACCACCAGGACCACCAGGACCGCCAGGACCGCCGTGACCGCCGCGACCTAGGAATGTTAGCATCAGAAAGAGAAGTTCACATATAAGGTACTCACCATGGCGGGCATCGTTCAGCTGATTTCGAAGGAAGGTGTTCTCTGTTCTCAGCTGTCCGATGATTCTGTCGCTCTCATCGGCAGAGGAACTGCCCTGACCGTTAGGCACGGTGGCAGAAGTAGCGGCGGGTGCAGCAGGGGCGGCACAAGGAGTGGTAAGAGGAGTACCCACAGCAGAAGCTGAAGGAGTACCAGCGGGAACAGCGGCATGAGCGCTAGCAGAGGCGACACCGGGAGTGACTGCGTGACCGTTCACAAGAGGAGTAGAGGGCTGAGCGGTGCCGTTGACGCGAGGGCTAGCAGCGACACTGGGGGTTCCTGAAGCAGTGTGAGGACCTCCATTAACCCGAGGCGAGTGAGGGCCAGCCGAACGGCGACCGAGGGCAGCATGAGGGCCACGAGAAGCGCCGTTGGCAAGCGAAGAAGCGGTGACGGTGACGGTGCTGCTGGCTGAAGGTGCAGTGCTGGGGGAGCGCGTAGGCTGCTCACCCTCGGTAGACTCACCACGTGTACGAACAGGCATACTGGGCGGAGCCTGGCTGGAAGTGGTACTGCCGCCATTGATGCCCGCAGCCTGAGAGCGTCGGAGCTTGTCGATGAAGGAAGCCGGTCCGCCAGAAACGCCGTTTTGTGCGACAGGAGCCGGGATAGTACGAGCAGTGGGAGTAGGCGATGTAGGGCTTGCAGAAGCTGCAGCGGAGGTCGAGCCAAGACCGATGCTGTTCATCGAAGCATCCATCGAACCAAAGCCAATGATCTCGCGCCTACCGTTCTGAGGGGGCTGGGTGGTGCCATTGGTGGTAGAGTGAGGAAGCTGAGCGGTACCGTTGGTGGTAAAGTGAGGCGGCTGGGCGTTGCCGTTGGTGGTGGAGCGAAGGGGCTGGGAGGTGCCATTGGTGGTAGGGTGAGGCGGCTGGGCATTGCCGTTGGTGTTAGGCTGGGGAACAAAGGCCGAGTTGACGATGATGGGCTGCTGCGCGTGAGTAGCCAGCAGAGCCTCAAGCTCCTTAGTCTTGGTTTCGGAGGCAGTCAGGCGGGCCTGCAGCTTCTTAGCGTTCTCGTGAGCTTCGTTGCGCTCGAGAAGGATGGAGGTGCTGTCAGGCTGACCTGCGCGCTTCGAGTTGATCTGGCGAACAAGCGCAGCATTGCGCTTGTTGGCATCGGCAAGGACGCGTTCAAGATCATTGATCTTGTCGTCCTTCTGGTCGAGCTGACCCTCAAGGTTGTCGATGATCGTAACCTTGTCAGCCTTCTCGGCGTTCAGCCTCAAGATGCGAGCCTCCAGATCGGCCGAGGAGGTCTTTCCTTGAGTAGGCTTCTTGAGGCGGGCAACCTCCTGCTCAAGAATGCTGATCTGCTCGTCCTTGACAGAGTTGGCATTGTGAGCCTGAGTGAGTTGATCCTGAAGGAGGGGGAGAGGCAGAAGAGGCGGTGTCAGAAGTGGAGCTGCCNNAGCACCGAGGGCAGAAGGAGCAGGAGGCGACACGGCCGATGCGCCATGGTTGTAAGAGGCTTGGAATCTGGCCAGTTCACGGTAGAGGCGAACAGCAAGCTTGCTGTTGTGCTCGAGAACGGTGAGGAAGTTTGTGTTGTTGACCAGCTGCTGACAGTGAATGAAGCACTCCAGGACGAGGTGGTCGTACAGCAGCTCCGCAGGGCCAGTGACCGAGTTCAAGACTGCATCAACAAACTGAGGGAAGTCGTCCTTGTCGAAGGCACCAGAGACATAACCACCGAATCTCTGACCAGCCTCGATCATGAGACGATCAATGTCCCAATCGCTAGCGGCCTGGTACACCTTCACACTGGCCAAAGCCTTGAGCAGAGTGACAGATGCGCAAGACTGGGAAGTGATGTGCAGCTTGCGGAAACCCTGAACCAGAGCAACCTCTTGATTCTCGGTAGGAGCGTTGCTCGGTCTGTTGGCTGACGTGGGGGAAGCAGGGACTTCGACCTTGGGGAAAGTCAGGTCCTCATCCTCATCCTGGTATGTACCGTCGTAGAGGAAGGAGATGACTCTCCAGACAGTCTGACCATCAAACTCAAGGCGGATAGGGGCCTAAACATTCACCAATGGTCAGCGATGCGTAACAAGACAGACAAATTCGACGAAGGTACCTGTGGATCGCGGNCGGAAATGATCGTTGACAAGAGTCTCGAGCTTGCAACCCTTGAGCTGCTTGAGTACAAAGACCACCCTGTGAAAGGGAATGACGAAGCCGTCAAAGGTCATCAAGCGGACGTCAGCGTAGATGTCGCTACCCTTGATTAAAGAGAACATCATCTTAGGACGATCCATAGCTTGCGCAAGATCAGAACGCCGACAACAGTGGAACTCAACCTGCGCACACGTGTAAGTCCATCGATCAACAAAAGGGAATATGTGAAGAGAGTGATCAACAAGACTGACCGTTGAGGAGACCTAGCGGAATGTGAGAGGAAGTCGCGACGCTCAGCTGTCTTGCTCTCGTGATAAGGTAGGAGCAAGTCCGCAGGTCAAGGAGATTTTGTATCCCGTTCTCGAGTGTGGGAATGCCGAGAGCACGACTAAGCAGAGGCGTGGACGCAGGCGAATCCGAGTGGTAGAGCGAAAAGCGTGAGCCGCCCAAGAGAGTTCGCCCGGTCAGCGCTTGCAGCGACAGAGGCCGCAAGAGCTTCGAGATCAGTCCCAGAGGTAGCAGTGAGTCTGCTCGGAAAGGTACCTCGTATGAGGAAGGCGTTGACGCTGAATTGTGTGTTGCTGTGGCTGTGAGGACAGAGAAAGTGCTGTGCGAGAGATTGTGTAAGCTTCAAGACCGTTGAATAGCTACCTTCTCGGAAAGTCACTGCAGATGGCTTTGCTGGTGACAAGCTGAACAAGTGGCTCGCAGAAAATCAAAACAGAAGAGCCGCCATTATGCTCTGTTAGATACTGTCACTATGAATGTGTAGTTTGTGGGTAATCTGCTTGGTGTATGGAGCAGCGAGGCTGTAGTTAGGTGATTGTTCTGCTCAGTTGGGGCAAAGCAAGCGCAGGTGACAGATAGCCACTCTTGTTAAGGAAGGTACATAGGTTGTGGCTTCCTACTTTTGAGGCAGCAACGTCCGTCTGCTCTGTGAAGCCAAGTGATGTATCTTTGATACCAAGATTCGAATAAGCAGGTGAACGATACATGGCATGTACAGATAAACATTTAGACATGATTGCGAGCGTGAAGCCTGTTCGATTTGGTTGTGAAAGAGCTTCAGTGAACTGGAGGTGATGCATAGTTCTTCGAAGCAGCATACCACAGTATACTCGCAGGGACGACAAAGCTGTACATACTGTACGAGCTTGTGCTGTTTGCAAGAAAGCACAAAGAAGCCAATCACAAAGGTTGAGGTCAAGAGCTGCATTGCAGATCCCGAAGTTTTGCCATGTTTACTGCCTACCCGTTGTGCTCCGACCAGAACAAAGAGCAAATTGTACTTGTCAGAAAGGCCAACTGTTTCTGAGAATATAGACGTGTCTGTAGAGAACCGATAAGACGTTCGCTTCTCGGTCAAGCCATCCCATCTCTGGTCGCATTGTGTATTTTCACAACTACAGGTGGACGCATTGTAGAAGAAGAATTAGAGTGAATGTATATGCTGCAGGAGAAGGCAAGTAGATCGATCCTGATGATACGATTGTCTTGTAGTCTGATAGCAGCGAAGATTTGAGTCTGTTTTATATCTAGATAATATATTCAAGAGTCATTTGTATAGTCTGCTTGCGCCTCGGCCGCTCAAGCATCATTCAAGACAGCCTTGAAGGCTGTGAGAAGATCCTTCTTCAAGTCTTCTACGTTCTCAACGCCGATACTGACTCTCAGTACTCTCGGGTCAATCTTTGCATCACTCATACGACGCCATTCGATCAGACTCTCCACGCCACCAAGACTGGTGGCATGATGGAAGAGACTAAGCTTGCTGGGCAAACACCTGGCAAGCTTCTCTTCGGCCATCCAGATGGCAAACACGGGGCCGTAGCCGCCGGGCATTTGCTTCTTCAGCCAATGCATATCATCTTTCTGCAGACTAGCGTGCTGAACACGTGAAAGAGCCTTCTGAACAATGGCAACGTCTTCTTTGGGACCTTCGCCGGCTTGCAGAGATGCGAGCCATTGAACCAGAGCAGTAGTAGTCTCGGACTGGCGTTGAACACGGAGTTCGAGAGTACGAACGCTGCGGACACCGAGCCAGCCTTCCAAGCTTCCCATGACGGCACCCAAGAATATTCGCTCGTCCCACATGCCCCAGTATTCTTTGGTTGCATTAGGACGAGCGGGATTGACGGCCACGACACCGCAGAGCATATCGCTATGGCCTCCGAAGTACTTGGTTCCACTGTGCATAACAAAATCTGCACCCCAGGCAAAAGGATCCAAAAGCGGTGGTGGCGCAAAGGTAGCATCGACTGTCAATACGGCACCTCTTTCATGTGCCCATTTGGCGTACTTTTCAATATCGTACGCCTCTCCGGTGGGATTGAGCGGAGTCTCCAGGTGTACCACATCTCCCTCGCCCAAGCCTCCCCAGGTATCAGGGTTGTGTACGTCGACAATCTTGCATTTTGTAAGCTTTTGGTAGATCCTGAGTACGCCGTGGCAGCCGTGATAGCCGTCGCCGATTGCAACGACCTTGGGGTTCAGTGCGACAAGGAGAGCGTGGAAGGCAGCAAGGCCAGAGCTGTAGGTCAATGCGGGACCTTTGAGGAGGTGCGAGAGAATGGTTTCGAGACGAGAAGTATTGGGTGCGGCTTCGCGGCTGTAGATCAGAGGATCGGAACCACTTCCTGGCTTTAGTGGGTCACGACCGGCCATNCTGAAGACTCGGTCAGCAGCTAGCAAGAAGCTCGTGTGTATGCGTTAGCGTCATACCACATCATCCATGCTGAAGGGCACCAATTTGTCAGGGTCCTCGGGATAGCGGTAGGTGGTCGAGACATGCATGGCAGGCGCAACATCTGTAGAGTCATTGAGCGGATCATCGCCGTGGACGGCCAATGTAGAGGCCGAGTAGTGAGAATATTCCATGCTAGGCAGAGTGTGGTTGTGTGAAGGGAAGAAAGAAAGACGGGAAGATGTTTTGAAGCTATGCAGAAGCAGGGTCTGATAGCCTCCCGAATGCCTACCTCGAGACGTAGTCCGCTGACTTCTAGGGACGTTGTCTCTTCACCTTAGCAGGGCAAGTTTATATAATATTGCTGCAAAGTTCTTGCTCATAACAACCCATCTCGGCAGGGCATGAGGGTTGCAGAATGGTGCTGTTCGACATGTCAAACTCACGCCCTTCGCGCGTCAAGCTGTCACCGAAGCTTGAAAGTCTCCTCAAAGAGGAAGGTGTAGCGGCCTCGGCAGAGTTAGGGCAGGACATCACTTCAACGTATCACACGCTTGAGCATTTGTTGCGAACCAGAAGATTTTAGATTTTGTTAATTCAATTCTGGATGCTATTTGCTTGGTTCTCGTGATGCTCATGCCAATGCTGTCTGGACTTAACAATTTGCTTGCAACCTCCTCTTCAAATGCCAGCATCCTATAAGAAAACAATCCTCCAAATGTGAGGATCAAATACGCCTCGCTCGCCTGCCTGGAAATCAAGACCCGCTTGAAAACGCTTCAAAAATCATGGGTATAAGCCTGGTTGCATGCTTCGTTTAACAAAATGCACAAAGTTTGGTAGAAATAAGTCGCCTTGCTCACTGGCCGTAAGCACCAGCCTGGTGAGGGATCTTGGTCGTGGCCTTTGTGATGATCTTTTCACGGCCATAGGTGTCAACGACAGGGAAGCGAGCACGACGCTCAAGGTCGTCAAGATCCATGTGCGAGCGAATGTACATGTTTCTGCTGTCATCGGGAACCTGGTAGTCCCAGCTGTGGAACTCGCCAGTCTTGAGGGCACCCCAAACGAAGCGGCGACGACGCTGTTGGGCAAAGACATCCTTGGTAATGGCATCGAAGTCCCACTTAGCAGCGGCCTCCTTCTCGAAAGCCTCGAACATAGACTTGGTCTCTGGATCCTCACTGGTTGCAAGGTTGGTAAGCTCCTTGGGATCGGTAGAAAGGTTGAAGAGTTGAGGTGGATCGACAGGGCAGGTGATGTACTTCCAAGGCCCACGGCGAATCATCATGAGAGGAGCAACTGTACCCTCGCCCATGTACTCGGCAAAGACGGTATCGTTGCCCTTCTTGCCTCTGAGGTGAGGCATCATCGAGTGACCATCCATAGGCAGACCAGGGACCAGCTTGGTGCCAACCATGTCGCACAGGGTAGCCGGAAGATCAAGAGTTGAGACATTCTCGTAAACACGGTGAGGAGCGTATGCCTTGGGGTAGCTGATAAGCATAGGCACGCGGACAGAGCTCTCAAAGTACGACATCTTGTACCACAGACCACGCTCGCCAAGCATGTCACCGTGGTCACCACTGAAGATGATGATGGTGTTGTCGCGCAGCTTGCATCTGTCCAGAACGTCAAGCAGTTTGCCAATGCAATCGTCCACATATGAGCAAGCACCATAGTAGGCACGCTTGGCCTTCTTGATCTGCTCAGGGGTGAAGTCGTAATCCTCAAGGTCGCAAACGTGTTGCAGACGCTTGCTGTGTGGGTCCTGGTCTTCCTTCTTAATCTGAACATCGGGCATGTCAATGTCGACATCTTCGTACATGTCCCAGTACTTGTCCTCGATGGTGTAAGGGTCATGGGGGTGGGTGAGCGAAACGGTCAATGCGAAAGGTCTGGCATCAGGACCCTGGCGGACATAGTCGTACAAGTACTGAGTACTCTTGTGCATGCTTGCCTCGTCGTAGTCAAGCTGGTTGCTGCGCACGCAAGGGCCTGCCTGGAGAATGGAGCTGCTGTTGTGGTACCACTCGAGGCGAGTGTCGGGCTCGTCCCAGTTGACAGCCCAACCATAGTCGGCAGGGTAGATGTCGGCAGTCAATCTCTTCTCCCAGCCATGCAATTGGTCGCCAATGAAGTGCATCTTGCCAGCCAAGACTGTCTCATAGCCTGCGTGACGAAGGTAGTGTGAGAAGGTGGGTGTGTCTGAGCTGATGGATGAGGCATTGTCGTATGCGCCAATCTTGGAAGGAAGCTGGCCAGTCACCAATGACATGCGCGAGGGTGCGCAGAGGGGAGAGGGACAGTAGGCCGAGTCGAAGATGACAGACTTCTCAGCGAGCTTGTCGAGGTTGGGTGTCTTGATTTGAGACTTGTCATTCCAGATCTTGAGTTGAGGGGCTGCCAATTGATCGGCCATGATAAAAAGGATGTTGGGAGTGTCTGGCACTTGAGGCGTGGATGCGCCGTTCTGGCCCAAGAAACCAGGAGGTGGTGTCTCTGGTGGCGTGGAAGTCATCTTGGCGATTGAGCGTGTGAGACTGAAGAAAACAGAAGGAGGAGCACACGATCTCGTTTGGCGGGATCAATGAGGTTTATGAAGGATCCTTTGGTGTTGGGAAGATCTTGCAACGTCGTCTTTAGGGTTGACGAAGTAGCGGTGATGAGCAAAGCAAATTCGATGAAGTTCTTCCGCAGACTGCGTGATAGACAATAATTCAAAACAGATAAGGCGCGCGTGCTCAAGTCTGAATTGTGGTCGATAGTGAGTTGCTTTTCATGTGAAAGCCAGGAGTTGTTGACAATATGACGCGTTAAGAACGTGTGGCTGAAATATAAAATTGTCGATCGAATTGATTGACTTGCAGGCAGCAAAATAAAAGAAGACAAACAAGTTGAAATTGGGGAAACAAAGAAGGCCAGAGGGGACAAGTGAGCTTCTAAGTACTTTTCTATCTTGCTTACGAGTCTAAGGAGGCGATCCACTTGAGTCTGATGTGAGGCAGGATTGCGTGCTTTCACACCATCGCTTTGAAATCGAGGATGCGAGTCTCGAATTTGCGACTGTGTCATCCATCTTGTCCGCAACGGCCCCCCGGAAGGTTACCCCGTCATAAATATGCAGGCGCCCCGGACCTGCAGCCTAGCGTCCCTTACACCAGAATTGCGGAAAATCACGACATCGATCTGCCACTTCCTCTCCAGTGATCTTGCTGGAATTGAGCCTCCATGCACAAAATGTCATGCTTGCACGCGAGTGAAAAAGTTGTAAATTCTGGGGTACCTCTGGCCTGCTTATAGCTTCTCAAAGAAGACGGTACATGCATGAAAGTCCCTTGAGATAGATAAGATCCGAATTTATTGCACGAGCGAGGTAGGACAAAAGTCGTGGAATATGAAACGCACGGACGAAAAAATTGCCATCCGGAGGCACGAGGCGACCAACGCCAGACCATGATGATCTGACAAGCCAACGCAACAAAGCAAAAAGAGGAGAAAGGAGAAGAATGGAGTCACGCGCTACAGAACTGCCTTCCGTCTGGGCCGTTGCATTCGGCGCTTCCGTCGTCGCAGGCATCGCAGGTTACTTCCTGGGCACTGCATCGTCTATCGGTGTGTTTGGCAGCAATCCCCAGCAGCGCGTCGTCAGCGGCACCAGTGCTCAGCACGAAAAGGAACACAATGGCAGCGAGAACGACGACGACAACGCATCTGAGTCCGATTTGGAGGACTCCGAAGATGATCAGGAGGTCAATGGGTTCGAGGATTCAACTGAGGAATGCAAGCTCGTCCTCGTTGTTCGCACTGATCTAGGCATGACCAAGGGTACGTATCACATTTTCGCTGCTATCAATCAACATCACACGCTCTCTGTTTCCCCTCACTCTTTTTCAATCGATGATATGCACGCTGTGTATCTTCAGCCGCCCGCATCTCATGGTTTCAATGCCCCGAAAGAGAAAACGAATGCATACCATGATGACCATTGTCTGACAAATTGTTTATCTTTGGCTGCGAAANCAGGCAAGATAGCAGCCCAATGTTCACATGCCACCCTTGCATGCTACAAAACACTTTTGCGCCAGAACTCGCCAATCCTCAAGCGCTGGGAAGGTTACGGTCAGGCAAAAGTCGCCGTGCAGGTCAAGAGCGAGGAAGACTTGTTGATCCTTCAAGCTCAGGCTATCAGCTTGGGTATCTGCGGACAGATCATCCATGATGCCGGTCGTACTCAGATTGCCAGTGGTAGTGCAACAGTACTCGGAGTTGGTCCTGCTCCCAAGTCCATGGTTGACCAAGTCACTGGACATCTCAAGCTTTTGTAAGCAAAGGGTCGTCGAAACGTGGCGAACGTCAAGTCATCACATGACCTCCCCAAATCCAAACTTACCGGACAGCGCGGAAGAAGTCAATGACGAGAATACATAACATTGACGAGTGGTACCGCACACACAAGCAGCAGCCTAGCCCTCGAACACATGCCATTGAGAGCTGCGAGCGTCAATTCTCCCGTTTGAGCGTTGGACGCATAAGGCATATCCACTCATCTGGTTTTCTTCAATGCGAAGTCCACAAAAGCGAGTGCAGAAGCCATTTTCGACGTCTTTACTGGGAAACGAGAGAGAATGTCCAACGTCCAAACCAACAACAAAGAAAGCATCGCTTAACGATCATGCTTGCGAATGAAATCAAATCTTCTTTTATACGAACAACGAACTCTTTTCGCCGCGCAATGAAACAACTTACTCCTTATGGCTGTACAAAACTTTCTGTCGCAGACGAACAACAATATATCTTGAAGAGTCGTCTTGTATGTATAACCAAGCCACCTCATGATGACCTTCAATTTCTATGCAGCGAAAACACCACACAGCTATATTTGCCCGGCCCTACTTCTCATGTCTTCATCGCTTGTTTAATGTCATGCGCAGATCTGGAGCACTCCCTTATTGGCAGCTGGAATTGCCCAAAGGAAACGTAGCAGAGCGTGCAGATGTGTTGTTGGCATCTCGAAATTCACACGTATTGCCTTTCTCGTGATGAGATTGGGATGACTGCTGAGAAAAACAGCATCAAGGAACCTGGATGATATTGAGACCTTTTGGATTAGGAAGAATGCTGTAAGTGGTACAACCCTGTCGCATTGCATCTGCATTCACGAAGCGACTGTACTGTTGGTCAAGAATTGCAGAGTGTCTTATGTGTAGATATCGATACCAGTAGGTCGCAGTTTACTGTTTTCTGAACATATCGCTGCCGCTCTCATCTGCTAACGTTGATAGACGTTGCTGGCAAGATTATCTGGCACCTGGCTTGTAACTGCTGCTTAACAAATCTTGTGCACGTTTCAAGATCCGGGATAGACCTGGTTGTGTTTCTATCATGAGGAGTTTTGGCGAGGCAGTCGTTAGTACCGCAGTCGCGTTCCATATGCGAGAAAAGGAAGTTCGTACTCCATCCCGATATGCCTCAGCTCCGATTTGAACCTCGACCCTCGCTCTGTAATTTACATGAACAAGAACCTTATCTTTCCGCCAGGAATATCCAGCCTTCAACACAACCGTACACCACAACAACCACACCAGTTACTGTCTCCTCAAGCAACCAAAAGGGAAACCCAAACACAGCAGAATCATCAAGCAAAAAACTGGTTTCCCAGAAAAAGCCCCTGTACGATCATCCGGGCCAAAGTAAGTCTGGCCGTCGCCACACTTCCCGGACCACGTGACGGTAACATTGGTTTTTGTTGGCTAAGCTGTGACAACTTACCCACTCGACTAAAGGCGTCCCTGAAGGATTGGTGTGGCAAAGCTTGATGGGAGGATCGCAAAATCCATCGAATATAAAGCCTACAACGAGATAAGAGGCGAAGACAGCAAACACAGACAGTAACTTCAAAAACATCATGAAACTCTGATGAGGACAAGCCCTTTCGCGATTCACCCTTTACAGTATCACAAAGATAGTCTTTGATAATGTATTTGTGACAAACTGTAATCATGGCATGATCGGCAGCTCTTCCTGACGGCAGGTAACGATCTTATTAGTTGAGAAAATATACAAATCGTCTATTCGAAGAGATTCGTTGGCAAGAGAGCGATCTAACATATTCGGTCTCTGTGGATGGTTTTACATCTACGATACTGTTGTGATTTCGCATGGCTGCATGCTGATAGTGTCAAGCAAAGTGAAAGATATGAATATTCACGGTAGCTATCTGAAGCTTTGTGCTATTGTAAGACAGGCTGATAAGCGACAGGAAGCAATCGCAAGCAATGAGGTAACTGAAAAAATCAACGACCTTGAGGGCCCCATCCTCAAGTTTTCCCCTCAAGCAGTGAAATCCTTCTTCCAGTAAGCTGGCAGATCAGTGCGGCTCGGAGTAGTCTTCATGGAAAGAAACCTTTCCAAGTCGAAGGGGCCGATGTTGCTCTTGCCCTTAGCTCTTGCGGCAGGCAACTGTGGACGCAGCCAGAAGTATCCATCGTTTTCTCCGTCATAAGCAATACAGAAGTGACCAGTGTTCCAACAGGTCTTGCAGGCGTACTCACCCTCACCTTCGATGGTGAGATAGCATCTGCCCTGGTTCCAGAGGGCGGAACGAACGCAGCCACTGGAATGGAAGTAGTTGGGCCAATCTGGTTTCTTCTTGTTGAACTCTCTGAGTTGCTTCTTCCACTCTTCGCGCAGGCGGCTCCCATCTCTTTCNCATGCCTCAACGGTTGCTTCATTTTCCTCGTCGGCAAGCTCCAGTTCGTTGTTAAGGTTGAGCCAGATAGTGACGTCGGTCGCCGCAGCATTAGAAACAGCATCTTTAGCGCGAGATTGGTTGGCGGTTCGATCGTGGTTGAGATCTTGGTCCGATTCGTCTTCCGAGTCTAGCGAGGCGGATTCGCTCTTGACACGGCGCTTAGCACTGCCGGAGCCATCTATATCTCTGTCAGTTTGGGAATCATACGAAAAGGGCACTGTTCTAAGAAGTGGATTTAACTGACTGTCGATGGCGGCCTTGCGCTTGTTCTTGGAGCTCGGTAGAGAGAAGGTTCTACTACTCGGGGTANNCTGTTAGCCAGTTAGGGAAACTTGTATTAAACTCGGGAAACCAGATACTCACGGCGTGGTGTCTGGTGCATCTTCACCACTCAAGATACCAGAATCTTGCTGAAGAAGCTGCTTCTCCGCTCTCAAGTTATCGATCTCCTGAACGTAATTCTTGGACTTGATGGCATTCAGCTTCTTCAGTAGCTTCTGTTGGGATTCATGGAGTGTCTCCAGCCTCTCGGTGAAGTTGCGCTGCTCACTCTGAAGATTGGTCAGAAAGAGTATCTCCAGTGCTGGAGGGTCTGAGCTCGCCTTGAGGTACGCAATGTCTTTCATGTTCTTCTCGATCTTAGTCTCGATTGAGTCAAGGTCAGCGTCGGACTCGTCAGTCAGCTGCGCGATTGATGGAGGCATGATGATGGAGGAGATTATTGATGGTGATGATGAAGGGTATATGCCGAAGTCGAAAGATGGAGACCAAAGGTTGAAAACTGAGAACCGAAGGTGGAGAGGGAAGACGAGAACTGAAGTGTGTGATGCGCCGGTCTTGAAGGTGCTGTTCGGGAAGTTGCGCTTCCGTCGTTACTGCCTTGTTGCTTCCCTGCTACGTCTTCAGCAACAAGCCAAGTCGGCTGTTAGCTATGGCTCTCACTTCACTCAAGTCATAACTGTCCGATTTCAGAATACTTTCCATCTGGAGAGCTACTTACAGAGATGCATCGTTTTATTCATCACCTCTCTCCTCATTTGTACGTTGATGGTGTATTTCTACAGCTCACAACACAAAACGTCTCTGAAAGACTCCAAAGACGATGAAGAAGGTTCTCATGGATGGAACTTGGTTCTTGGATGGAAGTCAGCGATCATCAGCCATACCTCGCCCGAATTTCACAAATCATGATGCAAGCAAAACCTTCAAGAAGATCCTCAGCGGTCAGATCGCTGTTTTACATACTGACTCTGGACGCAAGCAGAGGAGAGAGATGATGTGCTACTCTGTGTCAAGAAAGATCGATCGAACCAAAAGCAACCATTAGAAATTCGCTAGTGATGGTGGTGGTTATGTGTGCGCGCCAACAATATTTTGTCCTATCCAGATGCCCTCTTGCACTTGCTCATGCCCGTTGCCCTGATATCTGAGTGCCCTACCCTCATCGTCTGTGCTCCCATCCGCATCTTGCTCGTCGTCTTTGTCAATATTGCCAGGATTGGCTACTGCAGTGTCACGACGCCGTTTGCGAGAGCATACGTGTGGGAGGAAGGAAAGGCTCAGGGCCGGCGCCGACAGCAGACTGTTGGAGTACCTGGCTGTGTCTGAGAGGTGTGGGCGAAGGCGGGTGGTCGTTACTGGGGCCTGGCCTGCCTATCGCTCTGTTGTAACCTTCCCAGTCGCCACCTACTACGTGACTGTGGACGGGCATTGTGACAGAGGTAGGAACCTGCTGGGCAAACGACACTGGAGCTCTAGGTATGTTGCCGCTTAGTTCCTTGCCCCAAGCCCTTGCCCGTGGCTGTATTGTGGAAGGAGCAGACCCGTACAAAGGGAAAGGTTCACCAGGGTAGGGTTGAGTATGAGCACCGTCTTCTCCCAGTGCGAGAGGCGTGTAAGCAAGATAAGGCTGAATTGAAGCACTGTCGTATTGAGCCCCTGCAGTCTGCAAAGACATGGGCTCAAAGCTGTATCCTGCGGTTGGCATTTGATGTGACGTTGAGGCGGATATTTGCGAAGGCTCATAAAGGCCCTGATGCATATCATGCACGGTCCCGAACATATAGTTACTAGCCTGCATGTCGAGTGGCTCATACCTCAGGCTCGAATCGTACCCCAACCCTTGATCCCAAGGCATCTGAAGGCGTATCCCCGACACAGTGTCAGCCCCAGAAGACGTTGACGAGAGATGTGACGTTGGATTCCCAGCAACGAATGGAGCCGGAGTCGGAGCAGGTACTGAGGGTGCTGTGGCATTACTGCCAGTCGCTGGTGCTGGAACTGGAGTCGGAGCAGGCACTGAGGGTGCTGGCGCATTGCTGCCAGTCGCTGGTGCTTCACCTCCTGCCTGAGCCCGCGCACGCGATCGGGGAGGTTTTGCTCTTCGTGCGGGTGGTCGCTTAGGTGAGCTCTTCTTAATTAGCTCAGAAAAGACTCCTGTCCTAGATATCGAGAAGTCTTCGGGAGCACTCTCTGGAGCGATCTTTGGAGCGATCGGGAGAAGTTTCTTTCCATGCATAAGAGGCTTTCGTTTCTTTGCACACATGGTAATCGTTGATGCGATGCAGGATTTGAACTATGATTCTGATGATGACGCGGGAGCCTGCTAGTGAAGACCAGAGATTCAAGAAGTTCTTTGTACCATATCTCTGCAAGAGGAGGAGGAAGTCGATGTCGAGCACGATTTATAAAATGAGTATGAGTCGGAGACGGATGACTAGTTGCAAGATTTTCGAGCCGTAGACCTGATATATCATACTGTAGAAGCTGCCTTGACTCATATTATGAGACCTGGGTGCTGGCTCGCGTGGATATCGTACTCTCCAGCATCTCGTGGTTAACATGAGCGGAATATAATGTGGTCGCAATGCATGAAAGTGAGAGCTTTTCTGAAAGATCCAATGAGAGCGTGTGCGTTGCAGAATCTCTGTGGACAGTCTTGATTCCATGATACCACTGTGCATTGTGATGCGTTGAAGATTTGGCATGTATCGACTGGGAAATGGCAGCTTTACACTCAGCCCATCTTCATCTCGAAACTCTTCATCTTATCTCACACACGGAGCCTAGTATTGAACAAGCTAGCCTAGAGGTAAGCAGCCGCAGTATCGTGTTGTGAGGTAGTAGTCCTTGTTATATTCTGATGCCCTACAGATGCGCATTTCGTCAACTGTGCTTCGTTGGGGAAATTGAGAAGATTTACGGGCTTTAACCGAAAAGGGCCGGCAGAGGCAGTCTCACACACTGCGGAAGCGAACACACGCGACTGTACTGGGTTTCCGATTCTTGTCAATATTCCTCGAACTATACGGATCCATATTCAAAGCAAGCATAGGTAGAAGACATGGAAGCAGTTGACGTTTGGGTGTTACTGTACACGACGTTCTGCCGACGACGGACGCCAAACCCAATCGGGCGCACGCTTTCCGCCTCCAACTTCTGGCATCGAGCTCTGCTCGGCCACAAGATTCTTTCCAATGGAACAACAACATGCACTAAATAATGTGCCTCCGGCAAGCGGCACACCGGCTGTGCCGTCGAAAGAACAAGCTTTAAAATCGCTTGCTGAGGGTGGCAGTGGCGATGGCTCCATTTTCCAGCAGCTTACAAGCAATCCATTTTTTACTGCTGGCTTTGGCCTTGCAGGTCTCGGTGCTGCGCTGCGAATTGGACAACAAGGATTGAGGAGGGGTGGAGAGTTGCTCAAGAGACGTATGCTGGTTGATCTCGAGATCACCAGACACGATGAATCTTATCCGTGGGTTCTTAATTGGATGACACGGCAATATCAAAAGTCGCTTTCAGAATCTCCTGAAAATGTGTATGTTGGTCTTCGTTGCTACGGTTAGATCAGTGCTGACTTCAATAGAAAACCTGGCATGATGGAAGCTCTTATACGACGCTTCACACCGGGTTTGCATCATTTGCAAATCAAGACAGCAAGCCAAAAAACACCTGGAGGCGCATCACATACACACTTTTCTCTGGTACCCGGGCACGGAAAACACATCCTGAGATTCAAGAATGCCTTTATCGCCGTGGATAGACAAAGAGAGGGCAAATCTTTTGACGCACAAGGTCAACCTTTCGAAACCATCAAGCTCACCACGTTATACGCACACCGTCACATCTTCGAGGACATGTTCTCAGAAGCACACTCACTGTCTATGCAAAGTATCGAGGGTAAGACTATGGTCTATACTTTGAGAAATATGCAATGGATGCCACTGGGAGACGCCAAGCGCAAACGACCTTTCGACTCTGTTGTGCTGGAGGAAGGTATGGCAGAAATGATCCGAGACGATGTCCAAGAGTTCTTGGCTGCACGTACTTGGTATCTCGACCGCGGTATTCCCTACCGCAGAGGTTATCTCCTGCACGGCCCACCTGGAACTGGAAAAACTTCTTTTGTACAAGCATTGGCTGGCGAACTGGACTTCAACATCGCCATGCTCAGCTTGAGTCAGCGTGGTCTTACTGACGACTTGCTCAACCATCTGATGCTAAACTTGCCGCCGCGCACTTTTGTCCTTCTCGAAGATGCAGACGCAGCTTTCAACAATAGAAGACAACGCGACGAGGACGGCTTTAGTGGAGCTACCGTCACCTTCTCTGGTCTGCTGAACGCTCTCGACGGCGTCGCCAGTGCAGAAGAACGCATCGCTTTCATGACAACTAACCACATCGAGCGTCTCGACGATGCACTCATCCGACCTGGAAGAGTTGACATGACATTGCGTCTTGGTGAAGCGACACTTTGGCAAATGGAACAAATGTGGGACAGATTCTACGCGCAATTGGACACTGACGGAAGCAAGAGAGCCTTGTTCCTCGAGCGTGTCCAGCAATATGGTCTGGTCAACTCTGTTAGCACCGCTGCTTTGCAAGGATTGTTCTTGTACAACAAGGATGACCCTGATGGTGCTGTGAATATGGTTGGACAACTACTCATGGCAAAGACACCCACCATGGAGGTGCCCAAGAAGAACTAGGATGTACGTTAGGATAGGGAATTGTACGATATGATTGTCATTGATTTCACCTATCGCCTCCAAACGAATACCCCGTGACACAAAAGCTGGTCTTTACTAAACCTGTGACAACAAGCCGCATGTTCCCGAATCAAGCTCCACCATCCCTAGCTTAGCGTTCTTATTCACCAGCAACCGTCGCTACTGCCTAAACAGAAAAAAAAGCCGTGGTGGTGTAGTGAAATATTCACGCCTTTTTACACACGATAGGCAGACATTTTCCTCAACATCAACGCTGTGTGGCTCAAAGGTGAGGGGTTCTAGTTCAATTTCTAGCCAAAATGCTTCTTGTTGTCGCTTTTGTTTTCGGCTTCACTCGCGATGTATGTTTCAATTCAACAACCTCGATGATAATACTTTCCATATGCATAAACTCTTTTATGGGTAAAAGAATTTCGAATCTTCTTCTTACTTTCAGGTCATGCCTCATCTCTAATACCCAAAACGATGCAATGTCCCTAGGCGGCCTCTTAGAGTATGTAAAAATGCAGATATAACATCAGACAAGCTCGCTCTACGCCTTGAGACGAAGGCCCTGCAGATCCTCCTGCGCATCTTTGATCAAGAAGCTGCAGAACTCAACATTAGCATCACAGCCTTCTACTCGGAAGAACAAGACAGCAGAAACTCACCTATACCACCAGAGCGTTGGGAACACAGTCATCAAATGCCACAGACTATGCGCATCCACCGCACCCCACCAAGGTGGGAAATCAAACAGCTCCAAACTCATGGCCAGTATAACCCATGCGACGATCAAACCAGGCCAAGCCGCCCACATTCTTTTCGTCTTTTGGTATCTGCTGATACTGAACCAACTCCAGATGAGGTTTTGGACGATACCCACCACGACATTGGCAGCCATGTTATATGTATAGTCGAAGCGCCAGAAAGAGAGGTAAGAGACGTGCGCCAGGTACAGCGTGATACACAGCAAGATCCAAGCTCTAAGAACACTAGAGCGTTTGGGTGTATCCTTATCCAGGCGGAAGACTCTCACCACAGAGAGGAACATGCCATACATGACAGAAGCGCCAGCACCAAAGTAGTCCAACTTTTCCGTGATGGAGAAATCCCTTGTGTGGAATATACAACTGAAGATCCAGCTCGCGAGACCAAAGTATCCGAAGCCTAAGTAGAACTTCCTGAGTGGATAACTTGCTGGTACTTTTTCGCGCAGCACTTTCATACCATGGTCATGAGCCAGAAAGTTGAGCAGCGAAAAGATGACAGAGAATGGCTCTTGCATGCCGAGGAAACGGTANAAGGGCCATTTGCCGTGAAACTGAAGTATGGGTTCTCGGTAGGGAGGTTCGCGGGCGAGCCGTTTGTCGGTGACGACGTGTTGGCAGGAATAGTCGCATTCGGAGGGACAGTCCCAGAGCAGAAGGCGATGCTGGAGTGCTGGTCCGATATGAGCTTCTGTTGTTCCACGGTTCTTGCGTGTCCTCTGATCTCTTGCTTTTTCTTGTTTTTGGGGTTTGCAGGATATGGGTCAGGGCTTACAGATCGCTGGGCCGCCGGGCGAGCAATTTGTCGCTCTACATGTNCTGTGACGCTGGTGTTAGCTAGCAGCTCTCCCTGGGCGCATCGAGGGCTTCTGTCGCAAGTCAACTATTCGTACCTTGACGCATTCTTTGAAATCTGGCAAGCGGTCGCCTAGTGATGCGCTAGCAGTTGCAGCCAAAGCTACCACCACAGCAGCTCTCAATGCGTTACTCCCGACATGCATGTTTGTGTATCTGGCATGCTTTGAGGCCTCCTGAGATTCGGGCTTGTACGTGCCGAGGTCTGCTTTGTGCTTTGAGATATGTATTATCTCTTGATAAGCAAATCAATATGATTGGGCGTCTGGCGCAGTGGTAGCGCGTCTGCTTTGCATGCTGAAGGTCTAGGGTTCGATCCCCTAGTCGTCCATCCTTTGCTTTTTGCTCCAGCTCCCATAACCATAGTTTATCGTAGGAGAGGTCACAGCCACGCATGATACTTTCTGGGAAGGTGCCTCGTCCATTGAGAGCCGTTTGCTGAAAGTCTTCCGAGAAATACAGTGTCTGTATTCCAGACGTGCATGATAATTATAGTTTCGTGATGTTGCCCAAGTCACCCTGAGAAGAAGAACCCACAGAATTTGGAACGTCAGATGACAATGATACAATATGATTTTTTGGTGTTTAATAAGTGTTATCTAAAAAGCAAGAACAAAGCTGCTAAAAGAACGCCGGCCCCAAAATCTCAAGAATCTTCTCCCAATATTTGTTGTTGGTTTTCTGAATTTCAATCGTCTGCGTCTTCCATTTGCTGATCTTCGTTCTCGAGGCTTGTGGTTATGTCGTTGTAGGTGATGTGGAGATGCTGACTTGGATCTTCAGCAGTCTCGTTGGGCACACTGTATGCGTCCTTGAGCCGAGCATAGACATAAGAAATGTTGTGCCAGAGGGGAAGCACAGCGAGGCTACAGAAGTTTGGCACTCGAGAGTGGACACCTTTCAAGCTTGCGAGCTGGAGAGCGTTCTGCTCCTTGAGCTCTCGGAAGAAGAGATGGCTGCCCTTCTTGTAGAGCAACGAGAGATCTTGGTACCAAGCGTTGAGAAGGCGTTGCAGCACATTGAGAACGTCAGCATTGCTCGCTGAGTCCCTTGTGTCGATATAGTCATTCGCTATCTCAGTAACTTCCCAGAGTTCGGCGAAGCAGTCCATTGTGCAGCAATCGTCTGACACCAGATGTGGCAGAGGGTGAACGGTGCTTGAAGCAGCGAAAGGTTCATCCTCGACCTTCTGTCCAGAGTCTACCGTGACGGTGAGCCTTCCAACACCCCCAGATATGACTATAGAGTGGCTGGAGTCACGGACGCTCTCGCCCAGTGGGGTTTTAACTAGTAGGACTGATGGACAGGGCGTCAGTGGGCAACCCCTTTTGCGGTGAGAGGCGAGGCTTGCTTGTACCTAGTTCTATATGTGTGATAAAACAGGTCGACCGTATGGCACAAAGTACCACATGCGCGAGCTGATGGGAACACAAACTTTGAACACGAGATATGAATTGCCTAACACTACATATCAAAATTATCGAAACATACCCTACTCACTAAAGCAAACCGTCAACGCCACCGCTATGCATGCAAAAGAGCTCACAGCCACCAGGAAAAGCCAGAAGAGAGAAAAGCGAAGAAAACAAGAGATACCGAAACATATTCCACCTTGAACTCTTTCTTCCCACGACTACCAGAAACTGCACCAACCACCGTAATGCTGACACAAGTTTTCGAGATTTGTTGCTTCGGACAATAACTTCTCGACTTGCTCTTCGACAGCCAATTCGACATCCTTCTTAAAGTCTCTACCTGTGAGCTTTTCCTTGACGCGAGCAAGGACTTGCAGCGCTCTGGCGTTTTGAACTTCTTTGCCTTCGCCAGGAACGTTTTCTGCACCGGGTGGTGCCCGCTTGCGTCCACCTGGTGTACTACGAGGTGCAGCATCCAAGTCGCCGATGATTGATGTGCGGCGTTCAGATGGGAACGATGGCTCAGGAGGTGAGTTNTTGTTGCCCAGACGCCAAGTGAGTAGAGGATCGTGGATGAAGGCCTCGAGTACAGCAATGAGTGATTCCTTGTTCTCACGGAGCACACGCATGGTATGCTCACAAGTGGTGCGGAAGCTACCTTCGATGTTTGAGACTTCCATGGCGAAGGTAAGCATACGTGTGAGACGGAATGGAACGCGTTCAGGATATTTCTCGCGATGCATGGCAACTTCAAAACAGTCACCAAAATCGATATGAATGATCTTGCCGGTATTGCGGTCAAGCATCAAGTTCGAGGGGTGACGATCACCCAGACCTAGGATGTAACCGACCATCGACATGACTGCAAGAGAGCGTGTGTAGTTCGTGCGACGCTCGAGCCAGGCTTCTGAACTCTTACTCTTCAACCACAAGACGCGGTACAGATCTTGACCAGTAGTGTTGTCCAGCGCATAGCCAAACACTTCCACCTTCTGCATGAGTGTAAGGTTGTCGTAATCGGGTGCCATCTGGAGCATGATACGGTGTTCGATGTTGAGAAGGATCTTACGACTCTCACGGTAGTCCCGAATGAGAACATGCAAGGTGTCACTGTTGGGTACCCATCCAAGCAAACCAGACTGCGTGGAGAGAGGAATGGCTGCGTAACGCTGGATGTTGAGGTGGCGCTTCAGGGACTCAGGGTCGTGTGAAAGCAGTGTGTTGACAAGACCGAAGAGTTGCATGACACGTTCATCTTGGCGAATATCTTCGTGACCCTTGAGTACGTATTGGTAAGTACCGCCGTCACTGCCAGTGACTGTAAGCTTCCTTGGTCGCTGCTTGGATTGAATGACTGTTGATGAAGGATCGAACGAGAGAATGCGAATAATCTCCTTGCCACTCTTATAGGTACCAGGAAGAGCAAGCTCAAGGTCATGAACGTTCTTGAGCTTCGGCGAGACATACTGCAATTCGAGGTTGGCGAGCTGTGGCAGTTGTCTAGCAATTCTCTTGAAAACGCCATAGTAGAGATCCCATGCTTGGTTGAGGTCGCCAACTTCATTTGTGCGCTTGAAGTTGTTGCACCAATCTCTGGCTTCAGCGAGGTCACGTCCGAAACTCTGGATAAATGATATTTCACGCAGAGTTTCAGGTCCCTCGTCAAGCATGCGATGCAGTGGTTCGAGAGTACGAAGCATGCCATCAATGTCGTGATCACCGAAGTACAGTCTGGACGCTTCTTCGAGACCCTCGTGCCACTGTTCATGCCAGAGGACCGCAATACGAATCAACTCGTGACTGACAACAGCTGCCTGTCTACAGAGGTTGGGACTGTGTTGCTCCATGGCAGTCATAATATCCTTCGCAGCTCTAGAGCGATCTCTGTCTTCTGATTTGATAGAGACAGTCAATGGATACACGAGTGCTTGGGGATGTGCCCGTCCAACTTCGCATAGCAAGTGATGGATCGAGTCTTTGACCAGTCTGTTCGGTTGATTGATACGAGCGATGAGCTGAGGAATGACTTCAAGCCATGTGTCGATACTGACAGTAGTCACACCTTGTGTGACTGCCGAGGTAACCTCTTGATGCTCACCATGATTGAACCACAAGGTCAGAAGACGTAGAGTATCTTGTAATGAGCTTGAAGAGGAAAGTGCGATCGACTTGAAGAATCCTTGAATGGCAGGAACAACATAGTCGTGGATGTATCTTCTTTGCATGCCGTCTGCCTCTCCTCTGTCCTTGTTTGCTGTAAGTGCGGTGACGACTTCGAAGTTTGCCAGCGCCCAAGCGTGCCATGCTTTGTACCAATCTTGGTTGTAGTGGGTAGCTGCCTTGTACGAGGACCTTATCTCGTGTACTCGGTGAGCATCCCACTCTCCGCGCATCTGCAGACTGAGCCAGTCACCTTGCTTGAGATAACATCTGGCAAGCAACTTCTGCCAGTCGGCCAACTGAGCCACGTCCTTCTCAGAAACCTGAGGGCTGACACCAGCTGCCGGGAACTGTGTGCCGTTGACACCATTGGTACCGTTCATGCCATTCATGCCGTTGGTGCCAGGATTTGTTACAGCCAGTGTTCGCTGTTCGTAATCCATACGCAATCTTTCTGTGAAGTCTCTCAGACCTGTCAAGGCGCCTGAGGAGTATCCGTTCGACCACATGTACTTGTAAACAGCATACTGGACAGGATAAGGTGCATGCAGAGTGCGCTCCTGGCCTTCTGGTGTCATGAGACTACCTTGCCAACCAAGAAGGGAGTTGAGCGACTTCTCAGCCAAACCATTTCTTTGTGCCTTTCTGCAAATGCTTGCAAATTTGATGTACATCTCTGCGTTCTCGGGAGGTGAGATGACCAAGGCACGCACCTTGAGCATTCTCTGCCAAACTTCGACGTTCTTTTGGCAACCCTTGAGACGCTTCGTCCAGGTCAGGCGCATACGCTCCTGTTTGTGAGGATCACTAGAGCTTTGTTTGTATGCAATGATTTCCTCCAACTCGGCAAGCATTTGCACGCGAACGATGACGCTGTACGCTCTCGTGTATGACTCGCCGAGGAGTGCACTGAGTTCGGTGTCCAGTCCCTCTCTTGCTTTGTTGATGTGAAGTTGTGCATCGTCAAACTGATTGCGATGAATCGAGAGAATGGCGCCAAAGAAGGATCGATCGGGCGAATGTAATTTCATGACAGATAGGTAGCCATCCATGAGCTCCCACTGACCCATACCCCAAGCCGCAGCGGCAGCTAGAGCAGCAATAGATTTACGATTCTCTGAAGATGCATGCATCCACTTCTCTTGAGCAAGTGAGGAAAGCACTTCCCACTCACCAAGAGCGTGAAGACAGCGCATCTTACCCATGATGACCTCGAACGAATCTGGTTCATCACGTTCACGGCGTTGATAGGCTGTCAATGCCTCTTCCCAACGTTGCAACTTCTCGAACCAAGTCTCCTTCATCTGGACGTCCACGTAACCTTGTGCCTTACGCAAGATACCGAAGGCGGCATCAGTTTGTTGGAGTTGGTTGTTGATACTGATCAGAGCCTCAACATTGCTGGCATTTTGCTCGGCGTTGAACTCGAGTTCTTTGTAGTGAAGTGCTTTTGCGAATGCGTGACACTTGCCGGCGTACATACCGAGAGTACGAACATCGATTGGCAGTGCTTTGTCGTCATGTTCCATGAACTCGGCAAGATTCAAAAGTACTTGCAAAATCTCAGGAGGAATGTGCGGTGAGGTCAGAGCGGTCTCGATGGAGCGGACCAAGGATTCCTGGTAGTGGTCGTACAGCTCAGTCCAACATGACACAAACGCAGAGTTGAAGAGCTGTCTTGCCAGAGGAGGATAAGAACTGGCCAGTTGCGAGCATGATCTCAAGGCATTCTGGGGCGACTCTTTGAGCAGTTCCAAACTGAATCGTCTCATCCATTCCTGCCAATCTTCTTTTGTGGATTTGGCATTAGCAGCCCAAGCAATCTTGAGATGTTGCTGGTTGACTGCTAGCTTGCGGTTGTCAACACCCCTTTGTACTTCTTCTGAGGCGGAAGTCTTGTATCGTTCGTCAGGACTCAAGTCCTGTGGTAACGGCTCACCCTTNTGCAACTTGCTGACGATTAAGGCGTAATTGGTTTGAGGGACCTTGTGGGTCACTAAAATCTTGTTGATGGTTGGTATGAAGTGAATGTAGTCAGGACCGAGCTGGAAGATGAGAGCACACAGGGTATCCAAAGCAGTCTGCTTGAGTCCAGTCTCTTGACCAGCCAACACTCGCGAAAGAGGATGGATAATCTTGGCAGCGAATTCGGAGATATTGACGTGTCTTGAAAGCTTTCCAATAGTCTCGATCGCGAGTTTGCGGATGTGCGTTGGCTGGCCTGGCTTTTCGAACATGCGAACAATGACAGGAATGATCAAATGCATATACTCCTCTGCACTCGAACCAAAGACAAGGAAAGCATGCAATACTCGTTCGGATGGCAGACGTCTAGATGTGACGTCGTGATCAAGTACACCAAGCATCAGAGGAAGCACATTAGCCAGGTATATCTTGAACTCGCCCTCAAGAGATTGTGCAATCGACTCGATAAGTGCAAGCATTGTCGCCTGGTAAGGTGAATTGTCTGCCCAGAAATCTTGCACTGTTGCGAGAATTTCTGGCAAGTAGGGTCTGATGTGTTGTCGAACGATCTCTACCAGCTCGCTGAGATTGTTGAAGTACTTTTCGATATTACCTGCCGGTGAGGTGCGGATAACCAGAAGAATACCTGGAACCACCAGGCCAAGGAAGTTGACACACTTCAGGCGCATTGTTCTGTAGATACTCATGACAGCTTCAACCACGGCAGCATGATGTTGCGCGAGAGTGGGCTCCTTGAGCAAGTCCAGCAGAGTGTTTATGACGACTGTAGGGTAGTATTCCTCATTCGAAGGAGTGGTTCCTTGCATGATAAGACCAACATCGGTGACAGTTTGTGAGTCGGTGACGAGATGGTTCTCGGAGGACTGCTCCATGACCTGATGCCTGTACGGGTCCAGAGCACCAAGAATACCCATTAGTCGAATAGTCTCTTTGCGCAATTCGCCTGGCGGCTCATTCTTGACAATCTGTACCAGGATCGACAGAAGCTCAGGGTGTTCCACATAGGGATCGATTACGTAGCCTGAGTTACTGGCTAGCTGTCCAAGCGTTCGCAAAGCTGCTCGTCGTTTACCGGCTGAGCTCAAATCTTGAAGACTTTCAATGATGACTTTCATCAACTCAGGAACGTACTTCACCATCTCATCACCGCCAACGGTGGCTAGATCACCTATTGCCTTCAAAGTAGCGGACGCCACATCGGGATTAGGGTCTTGAGCTTTCGGCAAGAGCACGGTAATCATAGGGTCAACATATGGCTTAATCAGCTTTGAAGATGAGCCAACGAGGTGACTGATCAATCGTGCACTCTCCTCCTTGTTTCTGACATTATTCGAGTATTCAATTTCAGTCAATAACTGAATCAATACCTTGCGCAGAGAGGGAAAGATGTAAGCCGGGTTGACAGCAGTGAGACGGCCAATAATGGTCATTGCAGCTTCCCGAATGCCGAAAATCTCGTCGTTTAGTGCGAGAAAGAGGGTGCGAACATTCTCAGCCTTCGCAAGATGACGGTCAAAGCGCGCATCCAGTGAGGCCAGGACTGTTCTTCGAATCTCAGCTTCTGGATCAGCGACTCCAACAGTCAGAAGCTTCTCAATCACGTCGCTGACTACTTGTATTGAGTAGTGACTGGTCTGGTAGACAATTGGGTCTCTAACAAACAATTGACAACAGGTTAACGCAGCTGCCTTGCGGATCTCGGCATCGTCGTCTTCAACATAACGAATTGCAACATCTCTCACAAACTCGTTGAGAACGTGGCCGGAGAAGTCAAAACTGCCTAGAGTGTAGAGAGCTAGAGCAATCTGCTGCTCCTTGTGTTCAACGTGTTGAGGATCATTTTGATCTCTGACTTCTCTGGTATAGATTCGGGGCAAAGGCGTGCTGTGACTAGGGTGACCTGGTAGAACAAAAGGCTTGCCGCACAGAGTCATGCTCAGCAAATCAAGCAGCTTCTCCTGGATTATTGGCTTGACGGGAGGAATGTAGTGAGCCATGTCAACGAGTGCTTGTGTAAGGGCATCGCTCAGGCCACAGGCAAAGATCGGGTCGAGTAAGGCTTCCATATACTTGCTCAGAGTTTGACCGACAGCTATCGAAATCATGCTGATACACTTGAAGATGGGAGCTTCATCAGTGTTTTTGATACGTGCCTTGACGCTGAGGGCTTCTCGAATATGGAGGAGAATATTGTCAAGGTAAGGAGCGATCTGGCTGCCTACGGCATTTGCGACGTTTCCGATGGCAATGAATGACAGGTTTCGATCCTTGGGAGACTTGAGGAGGCCTTGAAGATGTGACATGGAGCGATGGATGTAGCCATTACAGAACTCTTTCGGTGCGTATCTGGCCAGGATAGGTATGATGTAGACGACCTCACGGCGGATGAGAGGGTCACGATGTTCACGGTATGATAAGATGCGCTCGCAAGCTTCCTTGTAGCGGGGACCGTGCATGAACATGCCGCCCTTCTGCAGAAGTTCCTTCAGAGCAAGCAGGGAACCGTGAATGGCCTCGACCGTGTTGTGCTGAAAGCCTTTATCTATCTCTTCATATGTTCTTGTCAACCATTTCTGGCGTGCTTGAGGATCTCTGGCCATGAGGATTTCGAAACATTGGCTTATGGTGTTGGCGGCCGACTCGCGGATCATGACCTTTGGATCGCGTAGAGCGACCCAGATGACTTCGAATATGTCGGGTATCCATACGTGCAAGAGGGTGGGNGAGCTCTTTGCAAGTTCGTACAAGTTCAAGACAGCTGAGAATCGGCGGTTCTCGTTTCGTTCGATCTGCAGCCACTCGAGGGCGACCTTGACTTCAGCATCAACCAGTTCGGCGGTGAGGGTTCCTCCAGGCGAGACAAGATGGCCGAGAGTCTTTGCAGCGACAACCATGGCAGCTGTATCGTTGCCAGTCATGACCTTGCGGAGAACGGTATGGAAGCGCGTCGTCTTTTGAGCGGCATCATCGCCCTTGAAGTCGATAAGCTGCGAAAGTGCGTAGAGACCGCCGGTCCGTTCATGCGTATCAGCGCCATTCTGGATGAGTTCGGCGATGCGTTTGTTGACCTCGACGTAGTAGGGAGTAAATTGGGCGGCCGACAGTTCNTGTGGCGGACGCGGGTCAGCCGGAGTGCTTTAATCAGATGGGTACGACGGTGCAGCCTCACCTCTATGCGCGGCTTCAACTTCGTGTAGCAGCGTCTCGGCGGCATGTAGTCGTTTCTCGTCGCGCCTGGTTGATGGTGGTCAGCTATCTTCTGCTTGTTCCGAGTAGCGCAGGGTGGGATACCTTGATTTGAGCTCTTGGACGGTGCGCTCGAGCGCATCGCGGTAGGCTTGAGCCATAGTCTTGCCTTACCGCGCTACTCATGCGCCACTGTTCATCTAGGTCTGGATCCCTCGCACCACTGCTATGGTATGGCTGTAGAATGGTCTGATCTGAAGTGCTGTTGCTTGTCGAGTATGCGATCATTCGTGCCAGGCCGACTGCTCCTTCCAAAATTGCGGGGGCACGTGGTCATAGCAGTCCACCACCACCTCCAACATTTCTCTCTTTCCTTCGTCTTCCACTTACTGTTATCCAGTTCAGGGAGATTGGAAGGATCTTAGCCAGTCCTGGCCTCCCTGTTTGCATTGGCTGTCTTTGCATACATGCTTCTCATGTACAGCTTGTTCAGATGCACAATGTCGAATCAATTCTGATCACCCGCCATCAAGAGGTATTGTTCTACGAATTTCGATTCGACCTTCGAAGGACACGACACCTCGTTGTCTTCTGAACGTAAGAGACCTTTACAACTGGTAGGTAATCATGACATTGTTCTAGCAATACGATGCGATAAGAGAGACGCCCTGAATCGTAAGGATTCAACGACATGGTTACAACTTGTAGTTGAGCCTGTTACCCTGTCTGATATCTGCGAACTCTGAAACTGTTTATCTAACCAGGTCCTGTCTGATCATCACATTGTCTACAAGCACATTCAACGATGCAGAGGAATCTGCGGCCGATGGACACTGTCACCATCAAGCATTGCTTGTAGCCAGCAACACAGCAAAGCAATCCATCTGGACACGGCGGATCCTCCTCGTCTGGTATCTAGTAGACATGGCTTAGGCCACAATACTTGTGCCCATACTCTTTTCTTGACGTAAGTTGGTTGCGATAGAGACAGATGGTAAAAGAGGATGTCAATGCCAACGTTGAGCGCAACGAGACCGCCGGAGTACTCGATAGAACACACCAGCGATACCACCCACGCACCCGATTGGAGAGACGAACACCCCCACATATGTCAACCAGAGTAGCTATTTCACGCAGAAGTCTCCCTTCTTGCTTGACCACATTCACCGGGTTCTCGGCACATCAACAACTTCACGATCTTGGTGTCGGGCCAAAACACATCCGAAAGAAGTCGTGTCAAACGTCGGGCTGAATGGATGTTGTTGAACACCACACTGTGACCTGATTATACTGCAATAAGTGACCTTGAATGCTCCCCTCAGCTGTCTTGTGTAGTCCTGGGCTCTCTCTCACTGACTACCTTCCTACAAGCAAATTGACATAGAATGGTGTGTGAGCCATGAAAAGCAAGATTTGCCTGTGTGGAAATTCACGCAAGAGAGTTGTTGATCTTCATAGTTTCTGTTCCATCGCATGATCGCAAGTCTTTTGCTTCCGTGATGCTACACGTACACGAAAGGCAGTTTCGAGCACGCAATGACCATACTACCATACACTCGGGAGTATGTATTCCGCAAACGCACAGACATCAGAGTTGTAGGAAGAAGTCGCGATCGGCGAACACCTTCTCAAGAGTCAAAACGGAGACTACCCAAGTACGTACAAGCTGTCCGACTTTCGGGTGTCAGGCATTATCGACATTTTTCAGCAACTGAATCGCATCCTGTGGATATCTCCATAAGCCATTGGTAAGCGACTCAGCAAAGAGCAATATTTCTGTGGTTGGATGGACAAACTCTTATCCCCACGAGTCAGCATGCGAGCACGGCCGGAAATAAGCTCTGCCTCGTACCTGGAAATAATGAGGAGGTGGGAGTCGTTGTAACTCTATCTCCACTTAGTGACTCCACGGTCGCGGCCGACGAACACACCAAGCATTCAATCTTGATCGATTACATGAAAAACTAGGCGGAGGAAGTCGCGAAATATGTGACATGACTGGAAACACGGCATGGACGCGCAATCAGTCACTGCCATAGCCCGTATATGTCCCAGTATCGCGATCAGTTCCAAAATCAAGAGTTTCTCAACGTCACGGTTTAAACTTGGACGCCCACTTGCCGGCCGATTCTGGAAGGCCAATTGTTCGTCACCGAGGTTTTCTCCAAGGGTCCCCGCGGGTCCAGTCAAAGGAACGGTGCCACTCTTCCGAAATCTGATTATCAGCACACGACCTGCTCCTTTTGCGCCTCCCCCATTCAATTCACTGCCGTCTACTGCGACTTTGCCCTTGTACGCACACTGGAGTATGGGCTGTGAACGATGACGCAGCAGAGCAAGCCACTGCCTACCATGGATCACAGAGATGCGGATGTCGAGCGCGGAGATGTGTGGTCAACTGGAAATTCAAACCTGCATATACCCTGGCAAAGGCCCTATGCGACTGGCACGCCGCAACCTGGAAGTCCGGTGCGACACAGAAGCCTCGACGATGACCAGAGTAGCAACAAAGTTCTCTTGACTTTCAAGGAACGCGTTCGACATTTTGTCTGGACTTGGTTTACTATGACGATGGCCACTGGACAACTAGCGAACGTAATTTTGAATGGTATGTGTGTACGTGTATTTTTCGGTGGTCGAGAGATTGACTCTCCAACGNCAGTGCCCTACAAGTTCAATGGTCAATATGCAATCGGCTGTTGCTTTTTCATCTTTAACCTTGTCCTGTTCACCTTCAACGTGACCATGATCTCTCTTCGATTTTATTGGTATCCGTCAACCTTCAAGGCATCGCTCACACACCCTACTGAATCTCTCTTTGTGCCCGCCTCGGTTGTCTCATTTGGCACAGTCTTGATGAACGTTACCGAATATGCTGTCGGTAATGGAAAGTCTGGGTACTGGCTAGAGAGAACCATGATAATTCTATTCTGGGTCTACTGTGGACTTGCAATGGCTTTCACCTGCGGCATCTATCTCATCATGTGGTCAACGCAGACGTATACCATCTCTAGGATGACACCAGGTATGTCGAAGCACGTTTTTACCAGGTTGGGAACCTTTGCTTATTTTTTTGTCATAGTGTGGATCTTCCCGGCATACCCGCTACTAATTATTGGACCACATGCTGGAAAATTGTCCTCACGAGTAGCGCCAGACTCTGCATTGCCTATCATTGTTGGAGGCTTCTGTCTTCAAGGCATTGGCTTTATGATGTCCCTGATGGTCTACGCCGCTTTCTTATATCGCCTGATGACGCAAAAACTTCCAAAGGAATCTCTCCGTCCTGGCATGTTCATTTCCGTTGGTCCTTCTGGCTTCACCATTGCAGGAGTCATTACTATGGGCCAAAATCTCCCAGGATGTATACCGGAGAATTTTATGGGTGTGGGACAAATGGCTGGCACCATCTCCGTGGTCATGGCAAACTGGATGGGTATCTGGCTCTGGGGCCTTGCCATCTTCTTCTTCATCGTCTCTTGCGGCGCGCATTGGTCATGCGTCAGACATGGACGTCTCCAATTCGCTTTGACCTGGTATTCGTTCATTTTCCCGAATACAGGTTTGACTGTAAGTTTCTCACCACATCCTCCGACCGTCGTATCCGGCCGAGCAAAACTGACGTCTCTTCATAGTNCTGCCACTTTTGCTGTAGCACGCGCGCTAGATGGATGCAAACCTATCCGCATCTTAGGCTGCGTGTTCACTTGTCTCCTCGTCGCTGGCTGGTTCTTCGTCTTTGGCATGATGATCCGTGCCGTAATTCTCAAGGACATTCTATGGCCGCAAAAGCAAGAAGACCGTGATGAAGGTGGCTGGAAGACCGAGGACCCTGACTTGACTTTGACAAAGAGTGAGGCAGGGAATCCTTATCCTGAAGGGAGTTCTAGACGGCAAGCCGGATTTTGATCTCAGCGCTGCACAGCCAGGAACGGAGTTTATGAAACTTACGAACATAATGAGATTATTACATAGTCATTCTATAGAGACGAACGAGATCTTTGTTAGACACTTCCTTGAGTTCAAAATGATGTTGTATTGTGACAGCTATGGATATCCGACAACTTCACATGAGGATAGGTTACTAACAAGATGTCCTGCTTGATTTCAACCTCAAAGGCTTCAGAGATTTGGTTTTGTGGATTGGTGAAAGGCTAGAGATGATTTTTCGAAAGCTACACAGTACCAGCTGTGGTGACCACTAAACCATCTTAATGGACGACCTTGCCACTCCACTGACTGCAGTCCACTTGCTCAGCCTGACCAACAGCCAATCCCACACCAGAGCTTCCGAACAAAGCAGCACTGGCTCCAGAGTCAATGCACAGGTCAAAGTTGAGGTTGGCGCCGTATTGGTTGGTGCCAGAGAGTCCGTTCTGTGCACACAGAGGGTTGCTGTCTGCAGGGCAGAGGTTTGTGACTTGAACGACGATAGGGCTGCCGAAGGTCTTCTTGTTGCCGCTGGAGTCGGTGGATGCGGTCAACTTCCAGCAGGTTCCGCAGGCTGGGCCGGCGCCTGCGCCATCACCGACACCGAATTCGTTTTGGGAGACTGCTGCTGAGTAGCCAGGCNNTGTTTGATTGCTTTGTTAGAACTAGCTGAGAGGAGAGAGAGACGGAGGGAGACGTACAGAGGTGTAGAAACCACAGGCTGTGGTAGCGACGTTGCAGTTGCCGGAGCCCCAGGTGTCGGTGGAGCCGTACTGGGTGAAGGAGGCCTTGTAGGATGTTGCTGCTGAGGCGAGGCCAGCTGAGGCAGCGAGAAGGGCAATGGGAGTGTACATCTTGAATATAACTTGGAATGTAATTTGTGTAAGAGGGATGAATTGAGAAGATGGAGAGAGTAGAGGAAGTTGTGTCAAACTTTCCAAGCCTCTTATAGGCATTTCAACACAGAATTTCAATTACCCTACCTTCACAAATGCTGTCGTCACTTACAATATAGCTGTAACTGTTGACTGCATGTCCATGTGGTCGATCAGCTCCGCCTCTGTGGTTAAATTGCTCTACAAGCTTTGCCGACAGCGGTACAAGCTTCAAAGCCCAACACAGTCTCAAGTCTAGAAACGTGAGTGGAAGGACAATCGCCCTGAAGTAATATAACTAAGTTTCAAGGGCAAGGGTCGGGTGGACACACAAGCAATGCCACCGCGTCGTTAGAGGTGCACGAAGCCTTTTTCTTCTCCACGATTTGCGCCATCGAACTGCCGTGTTTCAGATCTCGGGTTCGCTTGAGCACTGAGACTTTTGGGGCTCTAGCGAAAGAGTGTTGGTCAGCGGCGAGGCGCATGGAGTTGTGGATTGGCATTGAGATTGCGTTTACGCAGTCATGCAGGTTGACGTGAGGACAAGGTGTGCCTGCATTTTCCCCTGCAAGCCCAAGCCAGCCTGTGAACGAATGAGGTCGAAACGAGGTGGCGGTCTCTGAAACGCCATCGTGACTGATGCTACACTTGCTGTACAACCACAACCCTGCTAAGTTGTGCCGACATGCGACTTCTCAGTACACATCAATCATCACCTCCGAGATGATGGATGACTTCAAGGCGCTCACGTATCCGCGATTGAACTTGAAGGACAATACACTCGATGAAAATCTTCCATCGTTCCTGCCGACTCAGCACACGCGTGACGCGCCCCAGAATGACATCGGCTTGCTCGAAATGCTACCCCTTGAGCTTCTTCAGGCCAGCCTTCTTCACTTAGATCTGCGCTCACTCATCAACTTCCGGATGGTCAACCGGCGAGGCTGTGCAACAGTGGACAGTATTCCGCAATTCAGCTCGATTATCAAGCACGCCCAAGTAGCCGTGCGGGCTGCTTTGGCGATACAAACAGCTCCGTGGATTACATGTGAGCGACTTTACGACACTCTATGCACCATTGAGTGCAAGGCTTGTGGGGACTTTGGTGGATACATATACATGCTCACCTGCGAGCGGGTCTGTTTTCTCTGCCTCTCCGACAATGAGAGGTATTTACCATACGATCTTACGCCTAGAAAGTTCAAAACTCTACGGGATGCTCTCTGCGACTTGCCTCATATGAAAAGCATTCCGGGCCGCTATTGTCCCCTACCTAAAAAGTGTCCAAGAAGGCTCCGTCTGTGGGACCGTGAAAGCGCCAAAAGCTCCACTATCTCCATGGAACAGGTCGAACAAGCCGAAGCCAACACATTTGATGGCAAGTCTGACAACAAATTACGCTTCATGGCTATCGTCGAGGTACCAGTTTTAGATCTCAAGACTGGAGAATCAGAACAGGGACGTTATTGTCTTGGTTGCAAGAATTGCTACTCCAGCCAGTCACAACACTTTCGGCGCAGATTCAACGAACATACATTGCAAGTACACATCAAGGAGTGCGGCCCTATTGTGGACGACAAGAATTATCCCAGCTACAGGGGTGACAAGATGCATCGAAGTCAATGATCATCAACAAATGAAACGGAAAGTCTGCAAACGTTGCGCATGATCTTGCTTCAAAGCAAAGCCAACTTCTTCGAACCAAATGTCCAACTGCATTTGCTCGTCGCCGTGATCTTCGCGCCTCAACGACGCATTTCATCTTTTCCAGGTTTGACCATGTGCCTTTTGCACATGTGACTGGAGTCTGGGAGACGTTCCCTGCGGACTGGATCACATCTGACGTTCGTTCCAGACCGTTCTTGACACTGCTTAAACTCGGCGATTTTCATACATCCGCAAGAATAATAGCGCAGTTTATCAACGCACATGATGGCTTCATCATGATTAGCCGGATAGATATATCAAATCTCATAAACTTACGCCAAACAATCTTTGAGACCTAATTAGGACTAGATCTTGGATACGTGGATTGCGCAAGAAGGAAGATTGATGTGCTTGTAATCGTATTTTGCTTTTGTTGTTGCGGATCTGCTCAAGACCATGTGTACGATGATATACCCTCATGAAGGGGCAGAACTCGAGGTAGTATTTATGCACATGCCGGACGTTGAGACTCACTTCATGCTCAGCGGCGGTTAACTACCGAAACTTGATTTCTATGCGTCATATTGTGTGGCACATCAAAGTGATAGAACGCTACTCGCGGCTCATACGCGGGCGCTGTTCAGTCGGTAGTGATGAGTGGTCACCATCGCTCCTCACGAATGGAGCTAATAAGCGCCCGCGGTTACTGCCGCAGTGACAACAAACAGACCAGGGAACGCTTTGCATTTCCTTCGATCTCCAAACCAATCTCTGCTTGACTCATCAATCACCAACGAAATCGCGACCATGTCAGAGGTCAGACTGCTCGATGCCAGCGTAGATGAGGAGGAAGTCAGCGACTTGCGCATATTGGTCGACCAAAAGCATATCAAGCATCTCACTGTAGATCCAGGCGTCTACGACAGCCACACGATGTTGTTTTCTCCATGGTTGGCAGCTGCGCTGCCTTCATTACCACAAGGCCCATGGAATTGCGCGCATATATCTTCCGATCCAATAACTGGGACACCATGTTTCTCCAATGTCGAGAATAAGCCGTTACCTGGCATCACGCACTTGTGGCACCCACTTTACATCGACTATCTGGATCTTCAGCTGGGCCGCAAGCTACGCTTCAATGTGCAAGAAGCCACATGCCCTCAGATCGGAGGCAAAGTTGTGGTGAAGCTGGCCAGATTCCCGTGGGAGATTCCATTGCTCGAGCAGGAGACACAAGCATACGAATGGATCAAGGATACTGATATCGGCCCTGCCTTCCTTGCACACCNNCTGACAGAGGNNGAAGGGAGAACTATCGGATTCGTTATGGAACATATCGCCAATGCGCGTCATGCAGAACCGGAGGATTTATCTCTATGTCGAGAAGCTTTGGGCCGCCTGCACAAGTTGGGGATTCAGCACGGCGATGTCAACAAGCACAACATTCTGTTTCATGACGAGAATGTGACGCTGATTGACTTCGACTGTGCAAATCGCCGTCAAGATCCTGAGCGTCTAACTGCAGAGCTACTCTCGCTCGAATCGGAACTTCGAGACACCTCCGGCCGAGGCAGACCAATGACCGACCACAATCATGGTGGGAGCATCGCATGACCATTAATACGCACGATGACAGTGCTGCAGATCCTTAGTTCAGACAGTCGATTTGAGTTCTGAACAGCATGACATGGCCTTAGATTTGTCCCTGAGATTTGATCTGATTGAGCTGTTCCTTCCGCTTTACGAGAGCCTTCCAAGTTGTGATGTCTTCAAAGCCTTCTGGCATAACGTGGGTCCAGCTGCCAGATTTGGCATAACAACCATGGCACAACCAGCTCGGTGGATGACTTTCTATCGAAGTCCACCAAAGCTTCTGGCCGTGTATCCTTGTCACATCGCAGCCGGAGCAATAATGCTCGGTCCTTTCATTGTAGAGAACAGGTCGATGTGTCTTCCAAGGTAGTCCCTCACACACGTGGAATTGATAGCGAATCCATCGAGCAAGTTTTTGTTGTCTGATATAGTCGGGATTATGTTTTTGCCAATTATATACTCCTGTCTTCGTGATATCCTCCNNCGCTTCGCGATAAGCAGGATCGTTGTTATATCGGCCTCTGTAATATTCGCTGTATCTCTCTTGACGTTTGCGCTTCGCTTCTGGACTTAAGCTTCTGTAAACTTCAGTGCGCAGAGTGCGAATATGACATGTAGAAAACAGGCGTGAAAGCATGTATTCATTTGCAGATGGTGGGAGAGAAGTCTTGATCAAGTGTGCAAACATTTCCAGAGCAGGGAGTTGAGAAAGAGGTCATGAGATAGGTACGACGCGTAACAGACGCGGAGTTGTGATAGACGGTTGGAGTCTGCGGCATCCCAAAATAGAAATGGCAGGGGCGGGTGCCAAGAGTCAGCGTCCCGCATCTTCAAACAGTGGTGGTTGAACGAGAGTATGCACCATCGAGCCTCTTTTTCCCTCTGTTCCTTGACAAGACCTACCTATTCCTCCGAGCACTCACCTCTACCGCCAGCTGTATCCTTACTTTACAGCCAATCACTCGCTTGAACAACCATTTGATCAATCCGAACGACCAAGACGTCGACACCGCCACTTGAACCCCGAAACACAACAACGAGACCCCTGTCAGGCTGTAGACACAACTTCTTGACCGCCCAATATGCGTCCGGCACAACTCCTTTCCTCGATCGCTCTCTTCTCAGCACTCAGCTCGGCTTCAGCACCATGGTCTGAATCTTTCCATCTCAAAGCCATTCGCGACATCAACAACTTGGTCTTCGCACGACAGGACAGCTCGGGTGCGTTGCAATCACGTCTTGAAGCCTCAAATTGCCCTTCCTAACTCTCCACCAGCCNNGCAGAATCTACCACGGTCGCTTCAAAGACATCCGATGCCTCGAGCGCACAATCCACAAACGAGTCGTCAGCAAAGTCCACAGCAAACTCCTCGAACAAGGACTCGTCAACCACAAACAGCGATGCTTCTACTACCGGCTCAGATAAGAGTGCTGCCGCCTCGTCCGGTGCTTCTCAGTCTGGCGACTCCTCAGGTGCCTCGACCACTGGCAAATCGACAGCCAACAGCAGCGGAAGCAACAAGGGTACCGCCACCACAAAATCCTCCAAGTCAAAAACATATGGTGTCTCAGCTGGCTACGGAGGTATTGCCATGATCACCCCCAACATTTTCTCGTCCTCATCATACTATAAAGTTGGCGATTATGTCACCTTTGCCTGGAACATGACTTCGTTGTCTGTCACCCCTACCGCGCTCGATATTATGGCCTCTTGCGGTGCTAACCAGAACATGTACACCCTGGCTGTCAACCAGACTGTCAATGGCTCTACTGGCGCTATCACATGGGATACTGGCAACTACCAGGCCACTGCCACTATTCCATTACTTACCGAAACTTATACTCTCATCATTATGGATGCTGCTATGCCCGCCGTCTCTGCCACTGCCGCTTATGGTGGTCTTCCCGTCTTCAGTGGTCATCGCTTTGGCATGTACACTCCTCAGCCCTACTCGAACACTTCGGGCAACGACACTGAGATCTACACCTGCGTAACTTGCAAGAGTGCTGCTAGCTCGTTGGAGACGCAATCTCTAGCTGTTCTTTTTAGTATTGTCTTTATCACCATTGCCACCTACACGACTCTCGTGAGTGGCTTCGACATTATATAAAATGTTGCTGCGACGGCCATGGAAAATGTCTAGGGAGTTTTGGGAGGGTCTTTATGGCGGGTTATTTGCATTGGGTGGGCGTTTCTATTGAAGACCGCAGAATTTGGCGTTTTTATTCTAATCATTTGCTGTGCATATAGTCTGCTGTTTATATACTGATTTCTGACGCTCATTGAAATGATATTTGTGAAGTTGCGTTGGTGTCTCAATCGTGGTTTCCTTCTGTAGCACGATTCGAAAGCCTGTGCGGCTCTTGCATCTCCTCCGTTTCGACTTAGAAAGTTTATTTTTCCACACCTGCTACTTCTCAAATCTACCATATCTTGACTTCAATTTTATGTTTTTTGGGCGCGTTTCTGGGCCTTTAGTCTTTCATACTGGCATTGAGCATCCGGCTGATGTTCGCGACGAAAAGGAATTCTTGGGTTTACGTGCCGCAATCCAACTTCTGGTGACGCTTCCAATTTTTTTCGGCATCGCCACGTCTGGATCCTGGATGTCCAGTCTGAAAAATAGTCAATATGTCATCGTCACGGCTAAGGCATGTCAAAACAAGGGCTAAGAATCTGACACCTTCCAAGGTGAAAACTCCACCAACCCGAACAGGGACGCCGGCCGCAACAGGTGAATCGATCGTATCTGCAAGCAGACAAGCGAATTGTCTACGAAATCAGGAAGTGTACAAGAAACTCAAGTTCATGCTAGCAGGCACAGTCGTCGGGACAACGGTGGATCAACTCGATCTCAAGCTCAAAGGGATACAATCAGATCCGTGTATGAAGGAACTGCTATGCCGGTACAAGTATGAAAAAATCCTCGAAGTGGCACGAGCTCTGGTAGCCAAGGGCGTTTTTGAAGTTGATCAGGGATCGAGCTTGAGCTATCTGGGTGCCTGTAAAGCGGTGAAAAGAGCACAACGGGACGCGGAAAAGGGAAGACGATCGAGGAGAGTCCCCTGGATCTGGCAAAAACAACACAACAACAACGCTGCAATCGACCGTGTCAGAACCAACTCCGCCAACCACCTCATCAATTACCCAATCGGTAGCAACCTCTGATGCCGCTGTGAAACCTTTTGACTCACTATTGCAAGAGCATCTAGAGGCATCAAAGTCCCCATCTACGACACCTGCGGTATCACCTAGCCTCAAGCCAGTCAAGGCTGCCGAAAATGTTTCCTCGGAGCAATTGCCTGGCGAAGCTAAGCTGAATGCAGAGCTAGTCGAAGCAGTAGACAACCCAACACAACGAATCAAAGCTCCGCTCAAGGACGACCGAGGGGTCTACTACGAGGAATACCTTGAAAAAGTGTATCAAATCTTGAAACCTGATCTCAAGGATTTTGATTGCCGTTCCCGAGGGGGATTTCAACGACTCGGGCGCAAAATCAACGAAATCGCTGGGTCGAGCCATAAATTGGAGGAAGTGTGCCAGCAGCACGGTGTATATGAAGTCTTCAACATTTCGTATTGGCTGGCTTTTCGAGGGCTTTTTTGGTCAACTATGTTAAATTTCCGAGGTTTCGTGAGGCTGCTATGGAAGCCTCTAAGCTGTTCCCAGGACATACAACCCGATGGACCCGGTCAAACCATGATGCCTCTGATGAGGTTGCAGCCATGGCAAAGTCCCAATCTGCAGATGTTCGAATCGTTTCCGATCTCGAGCCATCAGATACTATTGAGACTTCCGAACCATCAGTCATGGTAACAGAACACGACCACAGTACAGGCGCTTCTATCCCCGCCCTTCTGGAAACTGAAAATGAGACTGAGGCTTCAAAAGAGCTTCCACCAGCAGCTCCATGGGAATCTATCAAGATTCCTAACATGCATGAGATTGAGCCAAGTACCAGCCGCGACACGATACCAGAGTTTTGGAAGATGAAGTTCTTCGAAACACAAGAAAAACCAGAGATCATGCACAACATTGACAGGGTTCACGATGAAATCGCAAGTTCTATGGCCTATGCACACATACGACTTCCATTAATGGAAGAACTTGAACCCAGTTTGGATCAAGATTCGGAGCTAAATGTCAATGGTTTACGACTGCTTGATTTTGAACCTCCTGAGATCCCTGCTCCAGCGCTGGTGCCAGATCTCTCAGAACCAATTTCTCCCGGAAAGGCAGAATTCGTTACAGATGAGCAATACTGTAAGCCCAGCAAAGTCCTGTTCGTTAGCGGCATTGGACGGGGCATCAACATCAAGCATCTTTTCAAAGCGTTTGCGGATGTCTCTCCAGTCAATATCGATCTCGATGCCTCCAAGCGGCTCGCAATCATCATATTTTCCGACGTCGAGGCCGCTACCAAGGCTCTCCAAGCCAAACATGGTACCTTCCTCAGCGGCAGAGCTCTTAACTGCGAATTTGGTAGCGAGAGTTCTCTGAACGACCAAGTCGGCATCCGCATGGTCGCTCCCGAGAAACCGACTGATGATCATAAAGACTCTGCTTCCCTGATATCTGAAGAGACCGTTACCAATGAGCGGTACGATATGCCTAGCCAGTGGCTGTTCGTTGGTAATATCGGAAGACGCGTCAACATCAAGCAGCTCTTCGAGAAGTTCGCGGATGTCTCCCCAGTTAATATCCGTTTTGCTGAGTCCTGGCCATTCGCATTTATCGAGTTTGCCGATGTGGAACACGCTACCAAGGCTCTCAAGGCCAAGAATGGTACTCTCCTCCATGGCAGAACTCTCACTTGCAAATTTAGTACGAGTCAAGATTCTCCCCAGAAGTCAAGCAATATCCGCACAATCGCTTCCGGCCGGCCGGTTGACGATTACATAGGCGATTTGTCTTCGAAATCTGAATCCCCAGAGGCTGAGGATGCTGTTGCTGTTCGAACAACGACCACAACAGACACTGTTGCCGAGGATTCGGAAAAGTTGATGAAAGAATCTGTTGGAGAAGTGCCGACAGACAAAACAGCAAAGGTTGCAAGGTGTTCTCCGACCGAGATTATCGCTGATGAGCTACTGCTCTCGTCGGACCCAAATCATCTAGATCAGACGACGCCAGATCAGACGACGTCGCCGGTGAGCAAGGTCCTAAGAAGGCAGCGAAAGGTCAAAAAAGCAAAGGCTGCACAACATATAACCAAGGAGCCTGCACCCAGTCCTGAGTCAAGACCAAACAAGTCTGTGGTCGAGACGTCAAACCCCCAATTGAAGAACGAGCAGAGGTCACCACTATGGGGCCGCGAAGTGCCGAAGCATACGAGAATTTCTCGAACGATGACGATGCAATTCCTGAAACGATCAAAGGCTCCTCGACAGATCAGACAACGTCCAATGATCTCGAAACAGACGACAACATATATCCAGTTGAGTCGAAGTGGAATAGGTATGTTGCTGATGTCCTCAAGAAAAGTCGAGAGGTGGATCACGTTCTACCAGAGATCAGTCAACATGCAACGATGCCAGTCCCACAGACTCATGCTTTCTTCTTACCACACTCCATTCAGAACAGAGTTCTATGCGGTTTGCAAATCTCACTCGAGCAAGTCTGTTTCCGCTACTTGCAGCGCAAGCAACCANGACTTTTGCGAGATACGTCAAAGCGCTGGGGAATTGATCATGCCCATGCGTTAGAGCTGAATGGATATATGAACCTGCTAAGTACGCTTGGTGTATTCCACGCAGAGGTCTTATCGGGACCTCGTGGCAGCCAAAGCTTGCAGGCTCTGAACAAATCTATGATAGCCCTGCGTAACAAAGCCGTTCATAGAATAAGAGTTGAAATCCATGCCTTGCGTTTCTGGGCTCTCAGCGCGGTCAGGCTTGCGAAACTGTTAGAAGACCACGAGGCAGCCAAGCAATTCTCATCACTTGTGTCTGCCCTCGAAGTCGAGCATGACAGGATGAAGGTCGAGAAGTCGAAGGCTGAAGAAAGCCTGCTAGCTACAGTCAAGGAACTGACAGCAAAGCGAGCTGAACTGGACCGTGTGGAGCGAGAGGCCATGACTGCTTACGAGGCAGCGCACAAGCAATTGCCGGCTCGCACTTCAGAGCTGGGTATGAGCATTGATGCCAACATTCCTCTGGACTATGGGTTTGGACTTGAATCGAAAGAGACATCATCGGCCAAGCCTACGAGCGGCGTTTTGACAGGATCAAGAGTTGGTTCGGTGCTTGAACAGCCATCTAGACCTACCCTGGGTGCAGACTTGACATTCCTGCCCGAGCGGTCATCAACCACGTCCTCGCAACAGCAACCCACATTTGTGTATTACCATCCTATCCAAGAGCTGCCACACCGAATCTTCTCAAAGAAACCACACATACCGCATCTTACTCGCAAAGTAGAGCTTACACCTACCAGCAAGCAGTACCCGAGTCATTTTCCGCTTCAGATCTTGGATCACTCTGTCACTTTCGCATTACGCAAGACAAGAAAAACTGGAGAACTGGACCTGGTGATCACTTCGTGAGACGCCCCTGACGATCACATAAGAAAAGATCGACATTGATGGTCGAGCGGAAGTGGGGTCATACAACGCGCGTAAGTCTAGATCACTTTGGCATCATAAGTTTGTACAAGTCAGCAGATGCTGAGGGTCTGTTGACCTGAGTAAGAGTGGACTGGCCAAGTACAGCAATCACTACAAGGCGAAGCGCAGGTATGTTCTGCATCGAGCAAAAGCGAAAAATTGCAACTCTACCAGGGAAGATCACGACGAATGGTGCACAAGGACAATCAGAGAGTTTCAAAAAGATTTTGATTAAAGGTCGAGACAAACCATCGACATTCCAATTGACTTTTGCTGTACGACAAACGAAGAATAAGAAAGAAAGAAAGCAAGAAAGAAAGAAACCAAACTCAATCTGGGTATAGAGCAGCTTTTTCCGTCCCTATATCGGGCTCCGATGAGAATAGAGAAAAGTGGAGAAGAAACCAAGTGGACCTAAAGGTAGTATCCAATATTTCGCGATCAGAGTTCGCGGCCGCAATCATGGCGGTGAGAAGAGATGTGGAGTGATACTCTGGTACAGCGGTGAGCAATAGATTGCTCTCGCTTGTTGTCTGGCCAGGCAGATGTGGAGCATGTAGTATGCAGTCGACGTCCGCGTAGTTGTGGAACCGTACTGGCGTTCAAGTTGCTGTGGAGCGAATGTCCCGGTGGAGTGGAGGTGTCCAAGATGGTAGTGGTAGACGACTTGGAAGATAGCCGTGGCAAGTAGGTAGGAGAAAGGTCAGAGACAACGAGGGACATGTTCTCTCAACCCTTGAAGATGGTCTTGCTCAGGCGCATACCCTTCTTCATCTTCCTGCCGAGCAGGCTGCCAGATCTTCTGATGCTTCCAGATCTGCTGAGACCGTTTGATTCAGGTACAGAAGTCTCGGGTGCGACACCTTCAATCTCCTGTACGATGCTTTGCTTACGCTCGGGATGCGCCATCAGGTAGACGTCCAAGCGCCAGTTCATCATGCGTGCCTTTTCGCCTCTGCCGAGCTCCTCTGTCACAACGACCTCGTCCTGCGTGAAGCGACTGGTAGACTCCTTCGACAACGAGGTAGTAGAGTTGGTCGCACTACTCTGACGTCTGTGTCTCTCGGCAGCGATGGGCATGGCGCTAGTACCAGAAGTTCCTAGGCTTCCACTGCGCGAGCGAGATACACTGCCGCCGAACAAACGATGTGTGCTGTCGTCGAGGATGCCAGAGTCGGATGCTGAGTCATCGCACCAAGGGCAAGATTCCAACCTGGTTTCCCAGCCTTCAAGAGCGAGTTTCGAGGGGCAGTTGGAGAGGTTTGTTGTGCTGCTGCATGGTTTCACAAGGGTGTACCAGCGATGCGAGCATGGTTGCGTCGAGACGTTGAGGTTGGCCACGCACATTGTGACTGTTATGTGTTGTGTTGTTGTTGTAGTATAATACCGTCAATTCGAGGGTCCGGTAGTCCTTGATGGTCGATAAATTCGAGCGATGGCCGTCGGATCCCCAAGAAAGTGATCAAATATTCAGGTGAGGAATGATTTGTTTTTATGAAATCTCAAAGCTGAAACGGATGTCCTCGGTTGTTCGATGTCAGATATGACATGTGCCAGCGCGATCAACACAAGAGATAGGCGGGCTTGTATCTATGGCTCGGGCTGTGCTGAAGCTTGGTTGTGGATAGCCTCGGAGTATGGGATGAGATCAGCAAGTACAATAATCGAGTGACCCTGGCAAATCTGGTCTGGCCGACCGATGATCGTTTTGCGGGGAAAGGGGATAGGCTGTGAGATAGGTCGAAAGGAAAGTCCAGCGCTGATCTTTTCTGTTATCTTTGAGTCTTGCTGTGTCGTGTGTGGAGCCGAGTTATTGAGGTGGACGGAATGTTGGGTCACGAGGATTGGTGGGTGACAACGGACGAGAGGCTGACTTCCTTGCAATATTTAAAGCAGGTGAAATGAAGGGTCAAGGTTTCGATAGGACGATGTTGTTGCCTGCGGTCCAGAAGAGCCAAACGGGTATTCCAGTTAAAGGTTTGGTAGTCCGAGGTGAGTCACAGTAATAATGAATGCGACTGCCTTCTCTTCAAAGCCGAGTCAAAAACAACAGAATGAACTGTTCAGAAGACACGTGGGAAGGGTGCTGTAAATCATCAAACAAATTCAAGTATCTGGGCAGAGGGAGAAGCCGCTTCTTATTATGTCTTGTTAAACGAGTACTTTGACATCCCTTTTTCACATGTCTATCTCTGACACACCTCTTTCCATTCCCATCCACCCCTTGATCGATGCTTCGTTTACATCAGCCCAACTTTTTCTTTGTTTGCACCGATGATTTTCTTGCTTGTTCCGTTACTTCCCCAGAGTAAGCTAAAAACGACAGGGATCTTCGGCCCGCTTCTTAGTACGCGCAGCAGGCTGCAAAGGAAAACATCACCGACATGACAAAAGTGGGAAGGATGGCTTGGGAGGCTGAAGGGCCAGAGATTGCAGGCGGGAACTTTACGCGGCAGTCACGTTCTTTGCTCTTTCTTTGTCATCTGATGTGTGCTGTTCGTTCTCACATCCCTGCAGCAAGAGGACGAGCATATTGGAAAGAAACTCAACGCGACTCTGACGAGTACCCATCTGCTGACTGTGCAAGCCATTCAACAAGAATTTACCTAATCTTCCACCAGCTTTGATCACAAAACGACGTATTATGTGATACCCATCAGCTATGATGAAACCTCGACACGTCAAATGCATATGCGTACATTTGCCTAACCATCCGCGTACCCAGCAGACCATCAATGTACGAGGAAACCTTCCTCGTCCCAGTGCAGGCAGCGATCTCGACTCATCAAGCCACACGAAACAGTCCGTGAACATCTTCCGGCCGCCCGCGCGCGCCGCATCCGTCTCTAGCCTCCGATAGCTATACCGGTGCCTTGGTTAGACGACATGCAAGCCACAATATCGCACATCGACATTTCTGCTCTGTGCAATTTTTCACCGCGTCTTGAAAAAGGCATGCATGTGTTGGACGTTGAAGGCCTGTCAACCAAGCTTTGCAAACACGTGTGGTGGACGGTCTCAGGTCGACATGCTTCCAAGCGGTGAGGACAAGCCTTGTAGCATGCGAGATGGAGCAAATAAGACACAAGCCAGGGGTACGACATGCAACCAATGGATCTAACCGACCGAATTGTTGGAATGAGGTCCGATTAGGGTACGTCGGAACACGAACCTATTTCGACCTGTCTCGTCTTTACAGCACAACACAATCACTACCTCATGTCCACCTCACTCCAGGCTAGATAATGAGCCTTAGGCGACCCGCATGGAGACAAATGTCCCGTCCACCCGTTACAAACGACCACACATACGCCTCTTCTTTCCTGCCATCAAGTCCCAATCACACAACGCACGGTGGCAGATGATCTGAGATAAAGAAGCACCAATGCAGAAAGCCAGGGGCTCGATTGGCGGTAATCTCTTTTCTCTGCATACCTGCCAGGCATTCCAAGACATCATCTTGCTGTCAGATGCAAGGGAAAGCCGATGAGAGGGCTAGCCCTGATAACCGCTGCTTCCATATCGAATGAGCCTCGACACGAAAACGTGTCGAGTGGCTTGTGTGCTACCGAATGAGTGTGTGGTCGCACTCGAGCATCATCGTGTTTCAAAGCTGCAAACAGACGAGCTCGGAACCAAGACGAAAAGAGCGACCCTGACCATCAAAGAAACGACCTTGCACGAAAACGCCATGAAAGACGCCTTTTTCGCAATCAAAATCGCTGCCCAAGCCAGAGCGAACAAATTTTGCTATATCTGGGCTTTCGAAGCAATATAATGTTGCAATTTACGCCATTTCAAGTAACACTGACAATGCAGGCAGCAACGACCTTATCTCATCTGCTTTGCTGCCCAATTTTCAATAAACCTGCCAGAAGATTTCTGTGACACCTACCACCGTCCCGCGTTTCCATAGCAGCAACAATACGGAGTACCTCTATTCAATTTCCCTTGCTGCCTATACCATTCGGACCGAACAAAAGAGCTTCTGTCACAAGAAGGCAAGAATAACCACCTCGGCGGTCCGCGGGTCTTTTCTTGCCAAGTAAAGTTGCTTTCATCATCAAGCTTGGCCCTGTATACGTGTACGAGGAATTCTTCTGGTACGAGAGGCTTGTATTGTCGTTGCCACTTCTTGGGTATGGAGACTTGACTTTTTGAATTGCTCTCATGAGGATCAGGCAATTGCGTGAGGTGTTGAGTTCGAGAATGTGATTTGTACTCTGCTGTTTTTAGAGTTTGATGGTTAGTATGGTTGGTAAGATGACCCTGATCATATGTTAATAGTGCTTTTCTTTACTACGAGTGAATGAGACTTGTGCTCTCATATCGATGGAGCTATAGATAAGTACCTATAGAAATGCAAGATAGTGTCTGTGATCGAAGGTGTGTCCAGAGAGAGGTCGTGAGAGGGCACGTTTCTCTGGAAAATGCTTGTTCCATCAAAACATTCTGCACATTTACAGTCATATATAGAGATATCATCTCACTAGGAGATAGATAACCTTGCAACTAAAAGTGCGGTATTCTTTCCATCACATGCTTCTGTAAAAGTGAATACTCAATTTACATTCACTCGTTCTTCAGCTGCTTAGTCACGTCCCAGTACAGATCCGTATATAACAAGTCCTAGACTTCTTTCTGACCTTTACCAAGATTATCCGTAAGGACAGCGCAACCTCCACCATGGAGTACTAGAAGTTCAAATGCGTTCTAGGCAATTGCTGTCACCACAGTCTACGTAGCAACACCTCCCAGCGACTACGAGAACGGCGTCTATGACCGAGGACTTCCAAGTGCCAATCTCTAAGGAGTTTTGTGGTTAAAGATGTTGTCGTGCAATTATGCAAATAAGAGTGAATGGAAGAAAAGTCCGGGAGAGTAGAATTAACAGGAGATTACAGTGACTATAAGAACGACGTCCGTGACCGAGGACTTATAAGTGGTTATCTCGTAGAACTATTGTTGTGATTAACGATGTGGTCGTGCAACTACGCAACTAAGAATATGAAGAAAGAAAGGCCTAGGAAAATAGATTAAAAGGAAACAAACTCAAGCTATTGTTTAAGGACGAACATGTGCTATCGCAGGTCTTTGAGACAGGCGGTTAGAGTTAGTATATCTCATACGGCGACATGTCTAGCGACGAGAACGGCGTCCATAAGCGAAAATTACCGAATGTTCATCTCTACTAAGGATTGTTTTGGTTGACGATGTTGTCGAGCAATCACGCAATTAAGAACATGATAAAGAAAAGCTCGGGAGAGTGTGTTGATAGGAGACCCGGGCCCTTCATCGAAGGCGAACATGGATGATCACAGGTTTCTACGATAGGTAATTAGAATATGTGAAGCTTTGTGCATGCGACTAGTGATAGAAGATCCGTGAGCTCGAGTGGCCAACGGGAAACGAATGTGTATGGATATAAAGGTCAGAGACGGGTCGATACAGGGGCGGTTGATCTTCATGCCTAGTACTGTATGCTTCCGTCTAAAAACTTCCGAGAGGGGGTTGTGCAGGTACACAAAGTTTGCGCAGAGAGTACTGCCCTGGCTGGAAGCTAAATGCTGGTAGAAGGATATATTCATTATTTCGTGATCGTCATGTCCTTAGCTGACCTATGACTCCTCGGTCGCAGGTCCTTCTTTNTGATCTTCGTTTGCAGGTCGAGCACTCAATTCTTGACCCAAACCAGTCAAGAAGTCATCAGCCTCTATCTTGCCTCGTTTCTGTCTGATGGCGTTTCTTCGTCTCTCAATCTCGTCTTTGCGGTCCTTGATCCTCTTCTCACGCTCAGCACGCACTCTTTCAGTCTCGGCGCGCTCCATGTCCAGATTCTCGAATTGTCTCTTGCGTTCCTGGTCATCCAGACTGAATTGCATGAAACCAACACCCTTCTGTCTGATCTCCTTGGAAGCGTCAAAGTGGGTGTCTGGAGGTGGAGTAAGAGATCTGTCGCGTTTGGCGGCTAGGTCGGCCATTTGTTGGGCGACAGGTTCGTCTGGGTTGAAGGCAGCTGCTTGGACTGTGTCGCCTACAATGAGGTTTGTGGGCATGTCTGGTCGTGAGCGCAGAGCGGCCTCTTCGCCTAGCTGGGCAAGTCTCTGTTCGCGAGCGCGTTGAGCAGCAGTGCCTGTACGTGTGCGACCGAACTCGTCTTCCCATTCTACCATGTCTTTATCGCTGTCCGAGTCTTCGTCTGAAGAGGACTGATCAGATAGCTGTTTGTCCTGGTGGTCTGCCCATTTGCGATCAAAATCTACCAGATGAGTGTCGTTGTCATCGCCGACGTCGCCTCGTTTCATGGCAGCGTACAGACGAGCCTTCTCTTCCATCTTCCGCTTGGAGCGGTGCCATGCTGAAGAATCTAGAGCTTCGGACGATGTGCTGTGCTTCTGGTCAAAGGCGGGAGAGTCGTCGTCGAGGTCTTTTTGAGCACGCTTCTTCACATTGCGATTGTGTTCGGCAAAGATGTCTTCCTTCTTGGGACGTGGTCGTGATGTGGATGAGCGGCTGGGATTGGCGGAGGAGTTGGGGCCGGCTGAGATCAGGGACTGCAGCTGCGAAGTGAAGGCGAGTGTGTTGGACGAGGAGATCTCGCGAGATGACTTTTGCCTCTTCGCAGGCTTGGGAGCGCCGTACAAGGGCGCATCTTTTGCTGATGTGTTTCTGTATGACATATTGAGAAATTGAGTGATGGTGCTGGTGTCGCGCTTCCTCGACTGGTGTGGGGTCAAGAAGGTTTCGCCGGTTGCTGCAAGCGCTCCGAAACCGCAGCATCATCGAGAAGCACAAGACATGGTCCTGGAAAAGCTGCACCTTCCCATCCATCACAACGACCAGGAAGCCGAATACGTTATTCGTCCTCTGTCTACAATGCCTACTCCTCGTCAAGTCTACGTTGCCGTCATTGGTATGTGCCTATGTTGCTGCACATAAATCTGCCCCTCCATCACCCCACCTACAACTTATTCTAACAAGTTCCAGNGTGTCGGCGGTGTTGGAAAATGCTTCCTGAACCAATTCCAAGCCCTGAGGACCCGCATGTCCCAGGCAAGATCCCCCACCTACCTTGATCTCATCTTCGTCTCGCGCTCCAAGAAGGTCCTCTTCAGCGAGAGTTTCCGCCCATTGAACCTCGACACCATCGAACAAGACCTCAACAACTCCAATCAACCTATCCTCGAAGCCTCTGCTCTCGTCGAGTACCTCGCAACCGCTCCTGAGAAGGTCGTCCTCGTCGACAACACCAGCTCCCTCGACATCGCACAACAGTACCCTGCCTTCTTGCGCAAGGGCATCAGCATCGTCACTCCCAACAAGAAGGGTTTCTCCGACAGCTATGAACTCTGGGAGGACATGTTTGCCGCTGCCTCCAACGGCTCTGGCAACGGTGGTTACGTCTTCCACGAGAGTACTGTCGGTGCTGGTCTGCCCGTCCTTTCCACCTTGAAAGAGCTTGTCGAGACCGGTGATGAGGTCACAAAGATTGAGGGTGTCTTCTCGGGCACCATGAGCTTCTTGTTCAACAGCTTCATGCCCGTTGGTGGCGGCGGTGGCTCTTTCGCTGCCGAGGTTAAGAAAGCAAAGGATCTGGGCTACACCGAGCCTGACCCAAGAGACGATTTGAACGGCCTTGATGTTGCTCGCAAGCTTACCATCCTCGCTCGTCTTGCCGGTCTCAAGGTTCAGAACCCTACCAGCTTCCCTGTTCAGAGTTTGATCCCCAAGGAGCTGGAATCGTGCAGCAGTGGTGATGAGTTTATGTCTCGTCTTCCCGAGTTCGATGACCAGATGGAGAAGCTGAAGCAAGAGGCCGCCAACGAGGGCAAGGTTGTTCGTTTCGTTGGCAGCATCGATGTCGCCAGCCAGAACGTCAAGGTCGGTCTTGAGAAGTTCGATGCAAGCCACCCCATCGCTGCTCTCAAGGGTAGCGACAACATCATCAACTTCTACACCAAGAGATACGGTTCCAACCCTCTCATCATCCAAGGCGCTGGCGCTGGTGGTGAGGTTACTGCTATGGGTGTTACTGGCGACCTTCTCAAGGTCCTTCGTCTTCTCAACTGACGCCAGGAGAAGTCTAAACTTTAGATATTACGCAGATACGAAGAGAGCTGGATGACAAAAGTTATGGGATACAAAAAGTAAATCTGACACTTGCTTCCACAAGCAACAATTCGTAAAAATGGTCCATCGTAAATTCGTTCAGTTGCTCGTGCTCGATGGATGAGAACTGTATACCGCTGCATGACTCGCTCATGACGTAGGGGTTTGAGGCAGCCATGCGCGCATCACCGTTCTTTCTCTTTTCGGAAACTCTATTGATTCACTTCTGATGCCACGTTCGACTTTCGTCCCTTGCAGACCTCTGCGGCTTTCTGATTCAATTCCTGCTTGTTTCGTCTTCTTTGTCCTAGCCCTTCTCTTCACACAGCTTCCGGCGCAAACATGGACGATCCAGAAGTGAAGCAAGAACAGCCCGAAACTCAACCCGACGACAACCAAATGTCTTCCACCGAACCAACTCAGCCAGAACAGCAGCCAGACATGGAAGCCTCAGACAAGATCCCCGAGCAAACCGACCGCCCCTACGACGATGACGCCGACGAAGCCACCCGCATTGCCTCCCTCGCAGCCGGCATCCGCGACCAAGACGATCTCGAACGAGACATCGGCCGACAAGCCGACGCCCTCCTCATCGAACAAGCAGACGAACGCGACAATAAACGCCTCGAACGCACAAAAGCCGACAAAGCCCGTCTCGACGGCCAAGTCCACCACCTAGAGAAGAAGTTAACCGAGTTTGGCAATCAGACCACCAAGAACAGATATCGTGCTGAGATTGCGAACTACAAGACGCAGATTGAGGGGCTTCAGACGGATTTGGAACAAATTCAGAAGAGAATCGATGACAGGAAGAATGAGGCTGCCGCGGCAGGAGATACGTTACTAGGGGAGGCGGGCAATCAGAAGTTGCCTGGCGAAAGTCAGAGGGACTTCTTGATCAGGACGGGAAAGATCACGCCTNTTTCCAAGATGGGTAGGCAGTTGTTGCGGACTTCGTCAAGTCTTGCTGAAGTCATGTTTGATGCTGAAGAGGAAGAGGATGAGGAAATGGTTGATCAGGAACTCCAAGCCGATGCACAGCGGTCGCATCGTAATCTGAGAGTGCCCGGATTTGCTGAAGATGAGAAGAGTGAGCCCGAAGAGGAAGATGAGTTTCCTGAGGAGAGGCCCGCCAAGCGACGAAGACTACAATCGAAAAGCAAGGGCAAGAGTACCGCAGAAGAAGATGAGGATGTCGAGTTGGACTCTGCTCCAGAAGAGGAAGAAGATGAATATATCCCGGACATGAATGACAAGGAGCTTGCTGCTGTTGGAGAGTCAAATGACGAGGAAGAGCCAGAAGACGAAGATGTCGATGGTGACTTTTCTCTAGGCACTTCTGGAACCACCAAGCGCAAGAAGGGTGCANAAAAGGTCACCAAGAAAGCACAACAAGCAGCTGATGTCCGTGAAGATCTTGCGGGAATTGATGACGGCAATGAGAAAGTCTATCAAGCCAGATTGCAGAGCTGGATTAAACGACGAAGTGCTGCTCGTCGGAAGCATCAAGTTCCAAACAAGTCTAGAGGAGAAGCAGCCAATGGCGATATGGAGCAAGATGAGGTCGATGACCACCAGCCAGATCAGGAAGGCGAGGAAGAATGGCACTTACCACATCCGACACAGACCGATGCAGAGTTCGAGGGAGGCTACCGGATACCCGGTGACATCTACCCGGCACTCTTCGACTACCAAAAGACTGGTGTTCAATGGTTATGGGAACTTTACTCGCAACAAGTTGGTGGTATCATCGGAGACGAGATGGGTCTTGGAAAGACTGTCCAGATCATCTCCTTTATCGCTGGTCTGCATTATTCGAAGAAAGTCACAAAGCCCATCCTCATCGTATGCCCTGCAACAGTCATGAAGCAGTGGGTGAATGAGTTTCATCGTTGGTGGCCGCCACTGCGAGTGTCCATTCTTCATACTTCTGGTAGTGGCATGCTGGATGTGAGGCGAGAAGACAAGCTGGAAGATGACTTGGATAACTTCGATTACGACGGCAACCCAATCAGACCTTCCAAGGGTAACAAATCTGCCAAGCGCATTGTGGACAAGGTTCAGAGAGATGGTCATGTTCTGGTAACAACATACTCTGGCTTACAGACCTATGCTGAACATCTCATCCCCATGGAGTGGGAGTACTGCGTCCTGGACGAAGGCCACAAGATCAGAAACCCTAACACGGCAATCACGATTTACAGTAAAGAAATTCGTACGCACAACAGAATCATTCTCTCTGGTACGCCCATGCAGAACAATTTGACTGAACTCTGGTCTCTCTTCGATTTTGTCTTCCCCATGAGACTCGGTACATTGGTCAGCTTCAAGCAACAATTCGAAACTCCCATCAAGCAGGGTGGCTACGCCAATGCTTCCAACCTGCAAGTCGAGACTGCAATGAAGTGCGCAGAGACTCTCAAGGACACAATCAGCCCATATCTTCTCCAGCGGTTCAAGGTTGATGTGGCATCCGATTTACCCAAAAAGAGTGAGCGAGTTCTGTTCTGCAAGTTGACCAAACCTCAACGTGACGCATACGAGTACTTCTTGAACTCTGGTGACATGACTGCTATCTTGGCCGGCAAGAGGCAAGCACTCTTTGGTATCGATATCCTACGCAAGATCTGCAATCATCCTGACTTGACCGAGCATAAAACTCTGTCCATCAAATCAGACTACAACTATGGTAATGCCAACAAGTCTGGAAAGATGCAAGTTGTAAAAGCTCTGCTTGAGATTTGGAAGAAGAATGGACACAAGACATTGCTGTTCGCTCAGCACCGTATCATGCTCGACATTCTCGAAAGATTTGTTGGTGAGATGGGTGGCATCAACTATCTGCGTATGGATGGCAATACCTCTATCAAAGACAGACAAACCCTCGTCGACAAGTTCAACAAGAACCCTGAGTTGCACGTCTTCCTCCTCACAACTAAAGTAGGAGGTCTTGGTGTGAACCTCACTGGCGCAGATCGAGTCATTATCTACGATCCCGATTGGAACCCATCGACTGATGTGCAAGCCCGAGAACGAGCCTGGCGACTAGGTCAGAAGCGCGAAGTCGAGATTTATCGCTTGATGACCGCCGGTACCATCGAAGAGAAGATTTACCACAGACAAATCTTCAAGCAATTCTTGACCAACAAGATTCTGAGAGATCCAAAGCAGAGACAGACTTTCCAATTGAGAGATCTGCACGATCTGTTTACTTTGGGCGAGGCAAGTGCAGATGGCCAAACTGAAACTGGCAGTATCTTCAAAGGTACAGAAGTCCAATTATCCGGCCCCAAAGCCGACACCTCAGACACGAAAACTCAAGAACAAGAAGACGCATCAACAACCACCGCAGCCGAAAAAGCCGCAAAGGAAAAAGAAATGCAAGACATTGTCGGCATCTCTCACACCGAAGACTTCCAAGGCGAAGAAGCAAAACCAACATCCGCAGACCCCAACGACAACGACGGCCCAGAAAACGGAAACAGCACCAGAGACGAACGCATGCTGGGCGCCATTTTTGCCCGCTCGGGCGTCACCTCCGCCCTCTCCCACGACGACATCATATCAGGAAACTCCGGCTCCTCCAAAAAAGTAACCGCAGACCCTGAAATCATCGCCAAAGAAGCCAAACGCGTGGCCGCTCTTGCAGCAGCCGAACTCAAAAGAGCAGGAGAGATTGCGAGAAACCTTCCTGCTGGGAGTGTGAGTTGGACTGGTCAGTTTGGCACTGCAGGCCGTCCTGAAACTCCCGCCAGAAGGGGCGGGTTTGCTGCGTCCAGAGGCAGAGGCGGTATGAGTAGAGGAGGTCCTTCTAGTACTTCCATCCTCAGCCATTTGTCTGCTCGACAAGGTATTACTCCTTCTTCGCGAGTTTCCACGCCTTCGACTGCGACGTCACGGGCAGGTACGCCGTCCGCTCAACCTTTGCAACCCAAAGGCAGAGAGTTCCTGGCGCTGATCAGGGATTACCTCTTGGCGCATGGAGGCAAAGTGTACACTCAAAACTTGATTGATCATTTCAACAGGTTTTGTGGGACTGCGCAGAGGACGGCAGAGTTCAAGGAGATGTTGAAGGTTATTGCGGTTTTGGAGAAGGGGTCGAGGGGCAGGGGTAAGTGGGTGCTTAGGGAGGAGTATAAGAAGGGTGTTTGAGGGTTGATTGAGGACAAGGGAGGAATGAACAAGCAGAGGCAATGGGGATAATGGTTTCTGATGATGCATAATGAACTTTAGCGAAACAGATATGGCTGCAGCGAGAAGACGAGAACAATAGTATTGCTATACAACAACAACAATACCACAAGAACAAAATTTCTAATGTACATGGTAAGCCCATGGTTCTCCAATACGAATATCTGCTCTTTACAATAAAGTGATCGAAATGAACAACATGTCTATCCGTCATCTCCAGATCTCATAGATACAGACTGCTGGCGCCTTCCACAAGCAATCAAGACGCCCATTGCGAGTCAAAGAGACCTCCAGTCTTGGCCTTCTTCCTCTGCTCAGCAGCAGGGTTCTGTGTAGCCGGAGTTTGCACACTCGAATTGGGTGCAGGCTGCTGAACTTCCGCCGCAGGCTCTGCCAAAGGTTCTTCTACAGACGTTTCTGCAGTTTCTTCTACGGGTTCTTCTAAAGGTACGACAATCGGTTGTAATGGACGTCCACCAAAGGAAGGCGCGCTTGGAGCAAAAGTGATTCCTGGACCCTGCATGCCGACCGGATCTGGTGCAGGACCAGGAGCAGAGGCCCCAGGTCCTGGAGCTTCAGCAAACATGGCTTGTGGAGCAGCAGGGCTAGGAGCAGTTAGGCCAGGGGCCGCCGGTCCTAGGGATGGACCAGACATGGAATGTGGAGCGGAACCAAACAAAGAAGCTGGAGCAGATGGCTGTTGTGTGGTGGCCGGTCCAGAGCCACTGATCCCAGAAGTTGCAGGCTGTGACAAAAACATAGATCCTGGAACACTTGGAACGCTTGCTGTTTGTTCTGCTGCAGCTCTCATGGCGGCACCGACACTAGAAAGCTCAGGAGTTGTGCCAGAAGACCCGTTATCTGCTTCAGTGACAGTAGCAATATGATCAGCAAGTTTAGCAGGTGTAGCCGATGCAGAACCCACAAGACCACCTCCGCTCGATGCTGCATCTTGCTTAGCAGCGGGAGTGGAGTCTTGAGTGGTTGGCTTTGGGCCTACTTTCTTCTTCGTGTTGGCGGTCTCTGTTGAGCGAGAGGGTCTGCTTACAGCCTTGCCCTTGCCCTTCAGTTTGCCATTTCTAGTGATGCTGCTATCCTCAGGGCTGTGGTCATCCGAAGGAGGGTTTGCGTCCTCGACTGTTGCAGCAAAACGAGCCCTCTTCTCAGGATTTGCAGCTTTTGGCTCTTCTTCTGTCTTTGAAGAGGATGTAACAGTTTCATCACGCCTGGGGGTAGAATCACTGATCTCTGAAGCATCTTCAAAAGGTCTTTGTGTGTTGTCTTCAACATCAATGTCTGTGGTTGGGTGGAAAGGTCCAGCTTCTAGGATGATTTGCATCTCGTCAGGCACAACACCACCTTCCCTGATGATACGCTCACTTTCTTCAAGTGCTCTTTGAGTACTCAGTCAAGGCAGACGTCATTGTCTCGAATACGAAGTCTGGGGCTCGGTGACCTTCCGCCGTTATTTCGTCGTGTATTTGGAGAGCCAACCCGTAATGTCTCGCTCTGGCTTTTTGATGGTCCAATGCGGCTTTACTGAGCTTAGTCTTGGTCGGCCTCGCATGGTAGTCTTCGAAAAGTCCTGATCTGCCTTTAGAACCAAACAACGAAGGTTTGTTTCCGGGTCCACCGGAGGCAGGAGGTCCATCTACTCCAGTATCCTTAGATTTGGAAGGGGTAGGTCCGAAGAGCGATTCTCCACGGGCTGCCGTGCGAGGTCCGGATGTCTCAGACTCTGGAGACTTGAGGTCTGCAGTGCCTCCAACGTTGGGGCTAGATCCATCGAAAAGAGCGAGCGCGGCCACCGGATGGACGTGTCGTAGGAGCGCTAGGTGTAGAAGGGTACTGACCAAAGAGACTACCGCTGAATTTGTCCTTTGCGGGAGTATCGTTCGGAGTGTTGGTTGCGTTAGACGGCGCTCTAAACAGATTACGGAGAGATACTCCACGAGTCCTAGGTGTAATAGGACTAGCTTCGGAAGGACGTTGGAGTCGGTCTCGAGCAGGAGGTCCGAACAGCGAATTATTGGCAACATTCGCATGAGTGTTACCTTGACAGAAGGAGCTTCGGGATGTGTTTATAGGCTGAAACTGGCCACCGTTGTTGGATACATTGTTTGCAGTATTGTTCTGGTTGTTAAACCCCTGCTGATCGCCGAAAGGATATCTTTGGGCCCAATCTTTGCAATTGCAGCACGTACATGAGCCGCCAGACTGATATCTGTTTGGGTTTACACTGTTTGAGCCATCCGAGTCAGAATTGGAGGAGCCACGTCGGCTTGGACTAGTACCAAAAACATTCAGATCGTTCAGGTTTATGGAAACGGTATTGTTGCAACCTGGTAGATGTGCGAACAGACCGTAATTGACAGGTAGACAGGGGACATGAGGAGTCAGATTGAAACCCCCACAAGGCTCATTCCCGTTCCCATTGCATCCAAACAAGCCTTGACCAGACGGACACTGATTGAAGGGTGCATTGCCATTTCCGTTACCTCCAAACAAGTTTTGACTTTGACAAGCTCCGTTTGGCCAGCCCTGCGCATTCGTGTTGTTTCCAAACAAGGCTCTTGTGGGCTGACCTTGCATGTTCGTGTTGTTTCCGAACAGTCCTTGGCCAGCTGCAGCACCGTACATAGTAGGCTGACCTTGGACATTTATATTGTTTCCAGATAAGCCTCCGCCAGGTGTAGTGCCAAACATACCACCAGAAGGCAGTAGTACTGTACCGGGACATGCAACATGAGATGGCCTCGGAGGGTTTTCATTGCTCTCGAACCCGGGATGAGCATGTTCCCTTGGATCAAAGAGACCAAGAGCAGTCGCTTGCGAGAGGCCTCTCAGGACGCTCATTCTCATCTCGATCCTCGCCAGATTTTTCTACCACCATCACGGTGGTGCGATGGAGTAATGTCCGCAGCACCTCGCTCTCAGACTCGTGAACCTTATGCTGGGCGTCTCCAAAGACCACGACTTTGAAGTTGTAGTCCAGGACGATGACTCGATATCCTCCCTCGGCGCAGGTAATGAGGATTCTATATGGACCATTGCCCAGGAGAAATTCTAGATTATCTTTTGAATCATTAGCGGTGGTAGTGGAAGATCGGAGGAAGGTAAATGTACCTGATATTTGGTCACGCATGCGTGCCAGATCGGAAGTTTCCTGGGAACTCATATCTCCGAGATTGCTCTGTAACGAGTTCGAGAAGTGTTTTGACAGGATTGCTCTGCAGTGACTTTGAAAACCGGTGTAGAAGTACAGCTTTCGAATGCTATGTTGGAGAAGGAAGGATGGTTGTCTATGAGGCGAGCTCTATAGCAGTGCTGTCTCTTTATTTCAATTGACAAAGCATCAGTCTACACCTCATCGGGTGAGCCGCAAACGGAAGTATTCTGCATAACAACTTACATAGAAAGGCCGAAGCCACCAGACAGTGGAGCAAGATGCGATCGCGAGCAATTAACATGCTATATGTCTGGGTATTGATAAGCTATTTGTGATGAGCTCTCGAGTTTTCATTGCGTCCATTGCTGAAGGTAGAAGTTCATGGAGTCGTTCGAGCGTGATATTTTGACTTTGTATGAATGCCTGAACAAGTTTGCAAGAGTTGATACGACGACTCGAAGATTGAGGTGATGTGATCGAGCCTGCTCAACAAGGAAGCAACCGTCAATGACTTCTTTCCACCGAAGCACATGGGCTTTACAACATTCCGATGCAGGGCCAGTTCAACCAATCAGCAAGTACAAAGGACTAAGTTTCTCCCTTGCTTCCTGCCACAACCTCTTGGCTGTCTGATTCAAACATCAAGCCCAAAGCCATCCTTCTTGAACTTATCAAACACCAAATCACTCGACGAGACCAACATCTTGCGCAAAGCCAACTCTGGAGTATCGCAGCCCTTGCCAGTCTTCCAGATGGGTTTGTTGTCGTTGCCGTAGACAATACACCACCAAGTGTTGTTGTGGTGTGCGAGCACGATTATGGTTTTGAGTTGGTCGGGCATGGTGATGGAGAAGTTGTCNTGTAGGAGGTGTAAGTAAGGAGTGTGTGTGGTGGTTGGGATTGCGGGATGGGTACCGAGGATCTGCGCGCGCAGGCTTTGGAGTGTGTCTTCAGAGGTCATGGTCTTTGTTGTTGGAGTTTGTGATGCGGTGGAAAGCTGTGTTGGTGCGTTGGAGTGATGGTGGGTGGTTGTTGCTACAACAGGGCTGTTGCGTTCTGAAGAATGGAAGGCAAAGAGTATGCCAGTTCAAATATGTCGAGACTTTTGAGCGCGACTGTTATCCGTTTTCTGTCGACGGAGTTCTGGATGTGTTCAAGGGCCTCGCGTGAGTTTTCAAATGGCTGGCTCTGACGAGTGACCAGGCTGGAAGTCTTGTTCGGTCATAATCATCGAAGGCCACTTAGTTCTCTTACGATCGACTCAATCAGGTTTCTTCTCAAGAGCTTCTATCGACCGAAGGCTGGGGATCAGCCACTGTGACCTGCTGGTCTAGGGTGACAAAATTTAGCAAGAAACAAGAAGCAGGAACGAGCGAGCCGCCAGATCCAGGACGACCACTTCCACTAAGGCAACTACAATCAAGTTGGAGGACGGCAGTCGCAACGAAGTATGTTAGACGATGGCAATGGGAAAGTGCAATCTGAAGAAAATGTCATTAACTATTTTTATATGTATAGGTAGAGTAGAGTTGATAGATCAAAAGACTCGACAATGCAAGAAGACAACAACGTGCTCGAACGAGAGACGAAACAAAAAAGTGATAGAGAAAAAATCATTAACAAATATGCTGTAAACAGAATTCCCGTCTTCCCAAATATTGTAAAGAAAAAGAACAAATAAGGGACATTTACATATACAACAAAGCGTCGTCACATCTATGCGGTCGACAAAACCTTGAGAATCTCCTCCTTCTCCTCGACGGGCAGCATGCTGAGCATGTGGGCAATACCCTTGAGACCACCCTCCTTGTTGGCACGCAACATGGCAGCGACGTCGTAGGCGATCGAGTCCTGCTTGAGGTTCTCGATCTTGGAGTAGATGTTTTGGCGGTTCTCCTCGTACCACTGAGCGACCTTCTGGTCCTCGGTGGAGAACTGAGGAATGCCTGACCAAGACTCGAGGGTCTGGAGGTTCTTGGTGCGCGAGACCAATTCCTTGGACGACGACTGGGCCATGGCCTTGAGGACGTACTCCTCGTCCAAACGACGGCGGAGACGCCAGTAGAAGAAGCGACGAGCGTTCTGCCATTGAAGAGGCATGCGAATGGTGTCCTTGGCCTTCATGCGGCCTGCACGGTCGTGCAAGTCGGCGTATTGCAGAGAGATCTGCATGTACACAGGCAACAACAACTGCTCGCGCTCGGTCATCTTGTCCTTGACCTCGCGGGCCTCCTCGGCTGACAGCGACTTGTCGGCCGATCTGGCCTTGAGCTCGCCGTATGTGGGGTCGAGACGGGCCATGGTCTCGAGCTGCTTCTCCTTGCGGAACTTGATGCCGACGATACCTTCGGGCTCGAGGACACCACCGCGAGCCTCCTCGTCGGCGTACATCTCCATGTATTGAGGGTTGATGGTGGGATCGACGACAACCNNTATGATACTTGTTAGCATATTGTACATACGATGATGATGAATGTTGGAACTTACCCATGAACCACCACGGAGCTCTCCGAAGGGAGGGATGTAGACGAAGATAGGCTGCTCGTACTTGACGAGGGCGTCGACGATGTACGAACCGTACTTGAGAACCTCGTTGTACATATCTCTCTGACCACCAGAGAAACCTCTCCAGTTGGCAAGAATCATCAAAGGCAACTGCTCACCATTGTTGAAGTCCTTGATAGCCTGGGCAGTCTTGAAGGCAGAGTTGGGGTACCAAACACCACCAGCCTCGTTGGTAACTTGCTCGATAGAGTCAGGGTTGGCAGGGTCGGCAGGCATGACGTTCTCGACAGAGCGAGTCTCAACACCAATGACACCGATGGGGATACCGCCGAGACGAGCGCGACCAACAACGACAGTGCGAGCCCAGCCGCCAAGAGCCTCCTCGAAGGAGCCCTTGTCGAACAGACCAGAGGCAAAGCCGTCATCGTCCTGCTTACCTTGAATGAGCCATCTGACATCGTAGGGCTGCTTCTGGGGAGGGAAGAAGGTGATGTCACGGTCCCAAGAGTCGGTCGAGGGGNNGGAGATAGGGATGGGGTTGTTCTTCTTGTCAGGGATGAAAGACATCCACTTAACAATCTTGGAGACACCCTCGAAGTCGTCGCCAGCAGTCATGTGCGAAACACCGTTCTTGTACATGATCTGGGTACCACCAAGCTGCAAGTTTGAGGTATAAACCTCACGACCCAAGAGCTTGTTGATGGCAGGAGCACCAGTAAGGATGATGGGTTGACCCTCAATCTGGATAGCACGCTGACCAAGGCGGACAAGGTAAGCACCAATACCAACGGAACGGCAAGTAACGAGGGTAATGGTGAAGATGTCCTCGTAAGCTCTCGATGTCTCACCAGCGATGAGACCAGAGCCCTTCAAACACTCAACACCAAGACCGTCCTCAGCACCAACAATAGTGGTGATGACGTGTCTGACCTCGCCGTTGACGGTGGTCTCCTTGGTGATGACGTGCTTGAGCTCACCATCCTCGAAGCGAGCCTTCTTCTCGGGAGTCAGGTAGAGGTAGTCGAAGCCAGCCTCAGGTCTGGCTGCATCCTTCCATGCAACGGAGAAGTGGGGGATGAGCTCCTCGGCCATACCAATGCGGGCACCGGAGTTGGCAGACAGGTAGATTCTGGGGATTCCAAGCTTTCTGGCCAGCTCAGTACACTTGTGGAAGAATCTATCTTCTGCAGGACCGAATGAACCGATCTTGAAGGTGATGTCGTTGGCAATGATGATGAAGCGTCTGCCACGGGGGTACTCGGGGGTCTTGGCGGTGATGAGCCATGCGACCATACCAATAGTGTTGGTACCAGGGTCGCGGTTGACCTCAGCCAGGTTGTCCGAGTCATCGAGCACAAGCTCGTTGTACTCAATGCACTCGCCAGAGATAGGCTGCTTCTCCTTGAGACCGGGGTGGGCGGCAGTGACCTGGTTCCAGCTGTTCTCGATGGCTTGTCTGAAAAGCTCAGGGAAATCGTAGACGTACTGAGTGCCCATGATGTGAGCCTTGTAACGCTTGGGCTGGAGAGCACCCTTGGTAGTGTAGGGAGTTGACACAGGACGCAGGTGCATGGAACCAATCTTGGTGCTGCCACCAATGCTCTGGAAGTACCAGTCATTGCCCTTCTCGGACTTGCGCTCAGCGTACAACTCAACCTGGATGATGTATCCAGAGGTGTTGTTGATCAGAACACGGACAGGGTAGGCCTCGCCAGTGTTGGGGTCAGTGCAGATGATGCGAACCTCAACACCAGTAACGCGGAGGCGCCAAGCACGACGACCGAATCTGTCAAGGAATCCAGCAAGAGCCTCCTCAACCTCCTTGGGGGAAAGAGGGAAGACAGGAGAGAAGTTGATGAAGATGTGGTTCAAGTCGGAGTTGTTGTTGCCAATGATCTCCAGAGCATCAAGAATGTCGGTCATGAGTCTGTCGGCTTCAGAGATCATGTATTCAACGGTCGAGATGTCGTCACGAACACGACCGGGACGGACGACAGCGCGAGTGAAGTAGCGCTTGTCGTTCTCAACACCCNNCTTACCAACGGCCTCGTAGATGTGGATGTTACGGTTCTCAGTGAACACGGGCTTGATGTTGAACTTGGACAGACGTCCGAGCTCAAGCTGGAAGGCAAGAGCAGGCTCGATGTGACGAATGCTAGAGTCTTCCTCGTAGGCAGGACCACGGAAAGTGTAGTATCCGGGGTAGGTACCGTCCTTGTGACCACAGATGAATGTCAAGCGGCGAACACGGCGTGCGAGAAGCTCCTCCTTGTACTCGTTGACAATGGGGACGAGACGAGCAAGGATCTCGGGGTCATCGAGAGACTCGGCATCCTTGACGGCAACGTTGCAGACTGCAGTGAGCTCATCAGTGGAGTCAATCTTGGGNGCAGTAGGCTTGCGCTGTCTAGACAGATCGGCCATCAAGCCAGCGTTTGAGGAACCACGCTGCTTGCCACCGTGGCTGCCAGCGAGAGGGAAGACCTCCAATGCCTTGGACAGGTACTCCTCGATCTCATCGATGTACTGGACGGGGATGACTGCACCCTTGCGGGTGGGCTCGTTCTTAGTACGGGCGTCGAGGTAGCTCATATCGCTGATAGAGTGCACACGGCTGAAGCCCCCAGGTCCGGCAGGAGTGCCAGGAGTGCCAGGAGTGGAGGGGTGTGATGACTCGATAGGAAGACCGAACTCAGACTGGCCGACCTTGCGGAGAGAGAAGTCCCAAGTCAGAACGTAAGGAGTGTCGTTCTCGGTAACGTACTCAATGGTCTTGAGCTGGTAGGCGCGGTAGGCACGACGGGTGTAGACCTCGAGAGCGGCCAATGAGACCCAAGGGTCGGGGTGCACGAAGAACTGAGAAAGCACATCGAACACGGTGTACTTTGAGTCAACGACCTCCTTGATGATCTCGAAGCTGGGCTCACGGTGGTCCCAACCAGCCTCACCGTAGCGAGACTCGAGAACAGAGGAGCGGAGAATGTGCTCCATCTGGGATGTACGTTCCTCAAGCGAGGGCATAGCGCACTGGATGAGCAACTCACGAGCCTTCAACGAGACCTTAGCGGTCTGTCTGGACTCGAGCTCAGCAAGCAAGCGAAGGGAAGAACGCAAGTACTTGGCGACACTGCCGGCACCGGGCTTGTTGGGGCGGTAGTAGTCAAGGATAGCAATGATAAGGTTGTTCTTTGAGCTGACGCGAGTGTGCGACAGAGCAGTGTGAACGACCTTGATCAAGTTGTCCTTGTTCTGGTCTCTGAGAGCAAGGATGACTTCCTCGTCGCGGTTCTGTCTGGCAGCGAAAAGGTGCTCAACATCGTAGTATTGCTGGAAGAGAGAAGACATGACAGCAAACTCGTGACCCTTAAGGCCGTCATTGAACTTGGTCATAACCTCGAGGATAGGGCCCAAGCCAGCGCGGAGAGTGTCAACGTCACTGGGAGCAACGTTCTCCTCAAGGAAGCGAACGAAAGCCTTCTGGAGCTGCTTGCTAGGGAACTCAGCGCCACGGCTGTGTGCACGCTCAACAATCTGTTCCAGCTGAGCATCAAGCTTCTGAGGCATACGAGAGTGGAGAGCAGATGCTTGAGCGTTCCACTCGCCGTATGGCAGCTCGGGGTTGCGAAGAACCTCGACGAGCTCCTTGAGAATGTCCTGCATGATGACTGAGTTGTCGAAACCTTGCATGATGCTCTGGAGGATGTTGTGAAGGAAGGCAAAGCGCTGAGGAGCCTTGTTACCCAAGACTTGNGGAGGGCCCATCTCAGGAAGTTGACCAAGGAAAGGCTGGGCCGACTTGACTCTGGAGGGGTCATCAAGAGCGAGTATACCAAGGATATCTCCAGCCTCGAGGGTGGCTCCGGGCTGCTTGATGAGGTTGACGATACCATCCTCCTGGGCGACCAGAGGCATGTACATCTTCATGACTTCGACCTCAGCAAAGGCTTGGCCCTTCTTAACGTGCTCGCCGTTCTGGATGGTGAACTTAACGAGCTTACCAGGAGAGGGAGTTCTGAGCTGGGTGGGGTCGTTCTCCTGCTCGAGCAGGCAGGTCTTGCCATCGACACTGAGACGAGTAGCACCGACCTCCTCCTTCCAGTAGGCGTTGTGACTGCGACCGTTAAGCAGGATGAGGAGACCACCGTCAGAAAGGGGTCTCACACCAACGGAACATCTCGAGCCGTTGATGAAGAGTGTGTAGCTGTCCAGGCCGGAGCGAGTGACAGTGAACTTGTAACGCGAACCGTCGTAGATGAAGTCGATAGGGAAGACGGTCTTGAGGACGTCCTTGGAGGGGACTTGACCCTTCTCTAAGCTGACACGGTACTCGGTTGTGCAGATGTCGCTAGCAATGTGAGCCTTGGTGACAGCACCGCAGATGACGGCCAGGATGGGGTCAGGGCGCTCGGCGGTGAGCTTCTTGGAGATCAGCTCGTCGAGCCATCCGGTGGTAATGGTGTTGTCCTCGAAGGCAGGGGTCTCGAGCAGCTTGATGAGGTACTCAACAGTGGTTCTGAAGTCACCACGAATGCTCAATTCCTTAAGAGCAACGACCATCTGCTTGCGCGAAGCCTGTCTGTTTTCACCGTAGGCGAAAATGTGACCGAATTGCGAGTCGGAGAAACTGTGGATAGATGAAGCAGCACCGACCGAGAAGTAACCCCAGACGTTTGCGCTGGATCTGAAGTTCAGCTCGTGCATGGTACCGCTGGAAGGCTTGAAGCCCTCACCAGGGTCCTCAGAGGTGATACGACAGGCAGTGGTGTGGCCCTTAGGCTGAGGTCTGCGCTGGTTGAGAGTGCTGCCCTCCTTGGAGAAGTCGAAGTCGATCTCGGTAGAGGTGTGGGGGTCAACACCGTAGAGAAGACGAATGTCGCGAATGCGGTGCAGAGGAAGACCCATAGCAATCTGCAGCTGAGCGGCGGGAAGGTTGACGCCCGAAACCATCTCAGTGGTAGGATGCTCGACCTGAAGACGAGGGTTCAACTCGAGGAAGTAGAACTTGTCGTCAGAGTGCGAGTACAGGTACTCGACGGTACCGGCAGACACGTAGCCGACCAAGCGACCCAGCGAAACAGCAGCCTTCTCCATCTGTTGGAAGGTCTTTGAGCTGGCGATGGTGACAGGAGCCTCCTCAATAATCTTCTGGTGTCTACGCTGGACTGAACAGTCACGACCGAACAGCGAGATGTTGTTGCCGTACTGATCAGCCAACAGCTGGACCTCCAAATGTCTGGCGTTGCCGGCAAGCTTCATGATGAAGATGGGCGAACCAGGGATTTCGCTAGCAGCGGCCTTGTACATGGCAGGGAATTCCTCCTCGTTGTCGACCTTGCGGATACCCTTGCCACCACCACCCTCTGAGGCCTTGACCATGACGGGGAAGCCAATCTTCTTAGCTGCGACGAGACCCTCCTCGGCGGAGTGCACGCAACCCTTGTCGTAGATCTCATCTCTAACGGTGACAATGTTGTTTGCGTCAACCTCGACCTGGTCGACACCCTCTCCTGACCATGGGATACAGGGTACACCAGCGTGTTGTGCGACAATGGTCGATGAAATCTTGTCACCGAGCGATCTCATAGCAGAGCCAGGAGGACCGATGAAGACAATCTTGTTTGGTGATGCGGCGAGCGATTCGGGCAGCTTGGGGTTTTCTGAGGCGTGACCNCCTACTCGTGTGTCAGCTGCAGCTCGGTGAGGTGAAAACTGGCACAGGAACACTTACCATCCAGCCCAAACGGCGTGAACGCCCATACGCTCAGCAACATCGACAATGAGCTCGACGTTGGCGTAGTTGTTGTTGTTGGTACCACCAGGCACNCTGTGAGCCAATGTCAGCACGCCACTCCGTAGGTCCGAGAGCTCGAGTCTTGGGGCGTTACATACCTCGACGTACTTGTCTGCCATTCTGATGTAGTCGGCGTTGGCAGCCAAGTCCTCGGGGGTGGCCATGACGGTGAATTGAATGGCACGCTCATCGCCAAAGGTCTCGTACGCCCATCTCCGGACGGATCTGATCTCCTTGACGGCGGCAATACCGTTGTTTGCAATCAGGACCTACAGGCGGCTCGTCAGCATGCGTTGGAGCTAGAGTTGAGGCCTCTGGAGGCTTCTGGAGGTCTTTGGGGGTCTCTGGAGGAGTCTGTCACTTACATTGGTGATGACCGTGTGTCCATCGTTTGCAGCGACAAAATCCTTGACTGATGAAGGGGGAGCCTGGCTAAGCTCATTGCCGCCAATGAAGTGTGAAGCCAAGTTGAACTTTGAGGCGTAGGAACTTGTTTGGCCGTTCATGTTGCCATTTACCGCTGGCGCTCCTCCCACTGCGTCCGCCATGGTTGTGGTAGGAAGGCCCATTCACGGATCTGAACTGTGGAACTTTGAAAACGAGGGCCCAGAGTGCGGAGAAAGAAGAAGCTAATGCCGGCCCGATGCTGTGAGCTGCTCGGGACTCGGAGGCCAGTTGTTCTGAGCAAAGAACTCCGACCTTTGGGTATCAAGAAACAAAAGAGCAAAAAGAAGGAACTGGTCGCGTGAATGGCGATCAGCGGCTTGCCCGTCTTCAAATACCTCGTCGGCGTTGGTGCGTTAATCGTGTGTTGGGGCTGGTCTTAGCAATTGTCCGAGTCTATGCGTCCTTCATAGAACTGAAAAGAAGCTAGTCTGGACCTGCTGGGAAATTGGTTCCACGGTAGTTCGACCAGCGACGGGAAGGCGACGGAGCGGCGGAGGGAGAAAGGGGAGTTCGAAAGGTCGGTCTGCTGAGAAAGAGCGAGTGCTTCTCTACTTGTACGTGGTGTGATACCCTTGCTATCTATGTATGCTACTACTCCTTCGGCACGAGGGGGCGGCCAGTTGAGCTGTGCCAACAAGCGCTAGCTCACCACCTTTGTCCGGAGCTCCATGCTTGCTCCCGGCAACACAAGAGTACGGGGCCGCCCGCACGCCTCTCACTCTCTCAAAGAGGTATTCGTTGATGACACGCAGACGGTGCATGTGTTGAGCTCTCGGACTGCATGCCTGGGGACAACATTATCGATCCTCAGCCGACCTATCAAGAACTCAACGGCCCAGCGCAGACAACTTGCATCCCAATGAAAAAGGCACGTAAAGCTTGGTCTGTTATCTCTGACGATCCTCACAGCAGGCAGAAACAGGCGTTTCTCACCCCCTCCTCGTACAAATACGACATCTCAGACATTCTTTGCTTCACGTTTGATGGTAGCATGTTCACATAAGCCCCAACTACAAGCTCACAGTAGCGCCAAAGTAGTGTGCGGGTTATCAATTTTAGCACCAATTTACCGCAAGGTACGGAGAATTTTGGCTTGATCTCTGTGCCTTTCCCGACCGAAGCTCATCGGGGTCCGAGATTCTCTCGTGGAGAGCCGAACATTCCATTAACATGTCGACTCTCTTGATCATCTCCTTGTCTTGCTTTGAAGGCGAGCCATTTGCCATGCTGAGATTTCGGTCTAGCTGCCGTCTATGATACTGAGAGAATAACGCTCAGTCAGCATTGCCGCTCGTGATGCCGTGGCTTCTATTAGTCTAGATGTTGTCCTACGACCATCAGTCTTGGCGGGCTTCGGAGCTTTTACTCGATAGGTGATTTCGATTGTCACTTGGAAAGACGGTAAAGGATATTTCGGGATCGCATGTTTCGGAGAATTTCTCAACACTATCTTGTCGAGCGATTGGACGGATGGGCTCATGAACTCATGCATGTTTCTAATTCGGATTCAAACCGTATCGACAGTATGCAGCGACATGTACAGCAATAAAATATCGAGCCTCTCTGACACCTCCAACACCATGCAGCATAAAGGAAGAAGAAAAGAACCAACGTCGTAATCATGACTAGAATGTTTCTCCCAGGTCACTCAGCTTGCGCGATGACTTGTCTGAGTGTTGCGATTGCTGGCTGGGCGCAAGGCTTGACCGGCGGCCAGAAACGCTATTCCCGAATCCTCCTCCACTTTGCCGTTTCAAACCTGGTGTTGGAATCCCGCTTCCGCCAATTGCGGTTACTGTCCTCTTGATTGTAGGTGTGGCTATTTCTTCGGTATCTCTCGCCTCGGATAGGCTGTTGGACTGACGGTGCACCCGGCTGCGCTGTGATGATGCAAAAGTTCCTCCCATTGAAGTGCGAGGCCTTGAAGGGAGCACTGTAGTCTGCGATTGACCGTATGGTCCGTTACTCGATCGGGAAGGCGGCCGAGCGAATGAGCCTGTCTCCGCTACGTTGTTGGCCCGGCTGCTCGGGCGGCTAAGATCTCTGTTGACGGTAGAGGTTGATGTTATTGATGTACTGGATCTTTCCAGTGGATGTGGTCGTTGACCGCCGAAAGACAATGTTTTGACGTGCAGACTTGAACTCGTCGATCTCGGTGTGGGTGGAGGTAAGTGGCTATCTTCTTGCCTTGTGGATGAGCTTGTGCTGTTACTTGTGCGCTTGTTCCTGTTTCTAACAGTAACACTATTGGACATGAACGAGCCGCCGGTGAGCGCGCCGATCCGTGGTGATCCCTTCGGTGTGACTGCTCCTCTCGGAGTGTTTGCGCTCGGAGGCGGCAATTTCGAGCGTACTGAATGTACTCTTTCCTCGATCTTCTGCATTCTGCCAATCAAGCCCTTGATCTGATACAAAGAACTCGATCTCGGTACGCCTTCTGAGCCAACACTAGGTCTCGATTGAAGAGTTGTGCGTCGTTTTCCTGAAGGAGTTGTGGTAGTCGCATATGATGGACCGCGTGAGTGTCGTGCAGGTTTGAGGGTATTGACGTTGAGATTGGCACGAGGAGTCGAAGTCGATTCTTGTACGAGTGGGTTCTTCTTGGGAGGAGGAAGCATCTTGGACATTGGGTTTCCAGATGCGTCCGAGAGCGGTGGAGAAGGTGGTGTAGGAGTATCTGAGAGTGTGGAAATCTCGGATCTGACCGGCGGAGGAGTGGAAACGGTGGGTGACGAGGCAGCAGTACGCGATGAAGTTGGTGAGCGGGTGTTCAACCCAGATGGACGTCGTACTGGAGTCAGGTCCCGGTAGCGACGAGCTCCTGATTCAGAGAGGCGCAGCTTCTCGCGAGTGATATCTGCCTCGATGCGAAGGTCTGACAATTCATCACGCAATCGTTGTGTTTGTATGCGCAAGTCTTCTCGCTCCTGTTCGCCAGCGCGCATTTCCTCCTCCATGAGAACGCCTCTCTCGATTGCGACATTGTACTTCGATTCGAGTTCCTCGAGTGATGATGTTGTGTTACGAGCCTGGCGCTCATAGTCGTCGTTATCCACTTCGATGTCTCTAAGTTTCAGCTGTAGTGTCCGATTGGTCTCGCGCATGGTTGTGATCTCTTTCTGTAGTGTGGTTTGCGCCGCGTTCGCCTCGGCCTTGGACTGCTTGTACTTTGTCTGTACCAACTGGTCAGCATAGACTTACGTGGAGGGTTGAGGACAGGCAATCGCACCTTCCATTCTTCGACCTCGAAGCCTAAACTCTCGACCCGTTCTTTCAGCTTGCGCTCTCTCTTCTCGGATGCCTCGACATCCTTTNTCAAGCTCGGCCTCAAGCTCTCTGCTAGATTGCTGGAACTCCTGTAACTCGACTTCCAGTTGCTCGTATTGTGCCTTGTAATATGCAAGTTCTTGTTCAATGGTGGTGCCGTGGCGAAAGGGTGAGGAAGGTGGGTTGCTCATATTGCTGGCACTTGTTGTGGAGAACAGATCAAGATGTCATATCCGAGTGTCTAGCAATGAGGGGCAATGATCGCGGTATGTCGAGACTTTGCGCAAACCAGACTGGTTGGGAGGCGGGGCAGCAGTCAGGATATCGGTGAGTTGTGATGGGCGGTGTAAGAATGCTATGACAAGAGTCGCGGCGCTGTCTCGGGTGTTGTCGTGTCGGTCGCTGGGTGTCGCTGAGGGGTCGCTGGGTGTGTTGGAGATGAGATCAGGTCGCAGTTGTTGTGTGCGGTGTTTACTGCAGCATGCACGCGCAGCCTTAGCGTCGTTGTCCGGGGACGCTTTGGCCGGATAGTCAAGAGAGACCTGATCCGAAGAAAAAGCACTTTCAATCTCCTTCGCAGCTGCCTGACAAGACAAGTTCCAGGTGCTTTGGACAATCCTGGGTTGTCTGTCGTATCGTGAGGCAGGATATGCGCTGATAAACTGATAGCTGATACTGTGATACTGTTTCTCATTGTCGCAATCCTCATGCTATTGTTATCATTGACTACGGCCGGCTCAACGGTCGGATGCCATTCTGGTCTCTCAGCCTCAAGACAGGAGGGGTATCTTCATAACAATTGCTGATAGCACAGGTTATCTATGCAGTCACTATACGATACATGCTGTAAATATGTTTGGATAGTTGTCAAGCAAAGTCTATCTCGACATGCCTGGTATAGTCTTGCTAACGGACTAGCGTCACGAGTGGTTGGGTGTTTCAGCTCCATCTTCCTCTCGAAGATATCTAACTTCTTTCTTACGCGTCAACAACCGCCCCATATAATGTTGCATCAGTCTTAATCAGTCTAGCAGACAAGAAAATGACTGATCACGAAACCCTGATGGCCTCAGGATGGTCTGTTACCTGGTTGATGTGGTATACCAAGGTTTGACCAAGTCGACAGGGTCGCTCCAGAGACATGAATGTGACCAATTCCCAAACAGTCGTCTAACCTCAACTGGAACTGACAAGACCATAGACGAATCGCGTCGATGATCTTAAATGGATAGACCAAATGTCCCAAGCAGCAAGTAACGAATCAAGATGATTGTGATACATCGTTCTAGAAGTTCTTTCCACCACCCAAGGATATTTTGAAGCCGTGTGAATCTACATCACTCAGAATGAAAACGCCAATGCTATGCGCGCAAAACCCGGCAAATCGAACACCCAACCCATTCTTTTACAGACCCAATAACGCCTTTCCCCTCGAAGCTAGCGCTCAGGCTACCTCATCAAGTCGTTAAGGTTCCTCTTGAAGCGCTCACACTTGATCTTGAGTGCGCGGACAGACTCAAGGAACACCTCGTCACTGTCGATCTGACCAGTGCTCTCAACAGAGAAGATAAAGTGATCGCGAATACGGCCGAGTTGCACCTTGTCCTTGAACTCGTCGTGACGAAGACACTCTCGCGAAACAGTATCCTTCATCGGGTCTGCAACAACAGCCTTCTTTTCGCCTGAGGCCGGGTCGTCTTCCAGTGCAATGACGCCGCGAGGGAAGCAGCGAGCAAACTTCTTTGCGTCTGCACCGAGAATGGGCTCCTTGATGTTGATAGATGGCAGGAGACGGTATGAAGCAGTAGCGACAGGAGAGAATTTGGCGTGATCGGCTCCAATGCCCTTGATGCAGTGACATTGCAGGTGGATGGTTTGACCAGGTCTGAGCTTTGCGATCAGGATGTCCGGGTTGACGGGGCGAATGGCGTCCTCGCCGCTGAAGTATTCGGATTGCTGGCCTTGAGGGTGGAACTGGAATTGATGGGCGTAGACGGAGCTGTTGATGTAGAGCTTGTTGGGGTCGCGCTCTCCTTGTCTTGCAAGTTCCTTGCCTTCTTGGCGCCATTCGCAAGTCACGTTCAGCTCGAGAACGATGGTGTTGTTGTCGCGAGGAACCGAGGCGTTAGGATCGATGACTTCGCCAGATTGCTGGAAAATGTGCTGTTGAGCGGGGTCATCCTTGGGAGGGCCCTTCTTGTACCATTGCATCCAGCGGAGACCTTCACGAGAGCCAGTAAAAGGAATAAGACCAAGACGGTGACACAGAACCTCGTCCTGGATGATGGAAGTGTTGTCGTAGACGAAGACGTCTTCGATGGCGAGAGTGGGGATTTCGGACAGCATGATACGGCGGTATGCGTTTGCGACAGAGGCGTCGATGCCGACGAGCGAAAAGACCGAGTCGTACTGGTCATTCTTGTGGAAGTTCACTTGCAGCTTNCTTGGAGGTGGTCAGAGGGGTCTGCGATCGAGTGTGAAGCGAGCATGGCGTACCTGCTTGAAAGTGTCGAGGTTCCATGAGTTGTCCTCGCCAGGGTAGTGGCCAGGAAAATCGGTAGAGACGACATTTGAGACGGTCTCGGGGTTAATGCCCACGAGCTACACAGAAGTTAGTCGCTGGAAACAGATACGGACTGAATCGCGTACTCTTCGTCTCTCGACTTCCTCTTGCGAAGGTTGTTTGAATGATCTGGCCGACATGATTAATTGACTCCGACTTTTTCTTGAACAGCGTCAGACAAGCTCGAAGAAATTCTGGAAGCACGGCCGCCGGAAGCCGCCAAGCAAAAGTGTTAGCGGAGGGGCGGAGCGGAGTGGAGCGGAGTGGTGATGACCAAAGGAAAGTCTGTCGATGCGTCGTTGATTGCCCGCCGCAGCTCTACGAGTACTCGCCTTCAGCTCTCGCGTCCGCTCGACTCCCTCTCCTCTCTCCGTCTGCCTCCTCAATTGCGACACAATGGCAGCTTCCTTTGCTCGTATCGCATCCAGGCGACTCTATCAGCGCCCGGCTCTGCCTCGCCCCTCGACCACCTTCCGCTCGCTGTCGACCTCTCTCCCCCGTCACTTTGCCGCCCCCGTCGACAACCCCAATGCCACTCGCCTGATCCCTGTCGACCCCAACTTCGTTCCTGGATCACAGAACGCTGACACTTCGAACGTCAACTTGGCCAACGATGCCGACGAGGACCCGAACCAACGCAAGATCCGCCACTACACTGTCAACTTCGGTCCTCAGCATCCCGCCGCTCACGGTGTGTTGCGTCTGATTCTCGAGCTCAATGGTGAAGAGATTGTCCGCGCAGACCCTCACGTCGGTCTGTTGCACCGTGGTACCGAGAAGTTGATCGAGTACAAGACATACCTCCAGGCCCTGCCCTACTTTGATCGTCTCGACTACGTTTCCATGATGACCAACGAGCAATGTTTCTCTCTGGCTGTTGAGAAGCTGCTCAACATCGAGGTTCCCGAGCGTGCCAAGTGGATCCGTACCCTGTTCGGTGAAATCACCCGTATCCTGAACCACCTCATGTCTATTCTCTCCCACGCCATGGATGTTGGTGCTCTGACTCNNCCCTTCTTGTGGGGTTTCGAGGAGCGTGAGAAGCTTATGGTGCGTTTATATTCATATTTTAATGCGGCGCATGTACTGATCATTCGCCACAGGNAATTCTACGAGCGTGTCTCTGGTGCCCGTCTCCACGCTGCTTACGTCCGTCCCGGTGGTGTTTCTCAGGATCTCCCTGTTGGTATCCTTGACGACATCTACCAGTGGGCCACCCAGTTCGGTGACCGCATTGACGAGACTGAGGAGCTTTTGACCGACAACCGTATCTGGAAGGGCCGTACCCAGGGTGTCGGTGTCGTTTCCGCCGCAGATGCTCTTAACTACTCTTTCACTGGTGTCATGCTTCGTGGTTCTGGTGTCCCATGGGATGTCCGCAAGTCCCAGCCTTACGATGCTTACGACCAGGTTGAGTTCGATGTGCCCGTTGGTGTCAACGGTGACTGCTACGACCGTTACCTCTGCCGCATGGAGGAGTTCCGCCAGTCGCTGCGCATCATCTTCCAGTGCTTGAACAAGATCACTCCTGGACCCATCAAGGTTGAGGACTACAAGATCGCCCCTCCTCCACGTGCTGCCATGAAGGAGAACATGGAGGCCCTCATTCACCACTTCTTGCTCTACAGCAAGGGTTACACCGTTCCTCCTGGTGAGACCTACTCCGCTATCGAGGCCCCTAAGGGTGAGATGGGTGTCTTCGTCGTCTCAGATGGTTCCGAGAGACCCTACAGATGCAAGATCCGTGCTCCTGGTTTCGCTCACTTGGGATGCTTCGACCAAATCTCAAGAGGTCACTTGTTGGCTGACGCTGTCGCCATTATTGGTACTATGGTAAGTCAAGCCGCACATCCCACCTTTGAATACCCTGCTAACAACCCTATCGNNGATTTGGTCTTTGGAGAAGTTGACCGCTAGGCCATTCGTCATTCTCGAAAGAATATTCACGATGCAGAGAGCGAGGAGTGTTTTGTGGTGTAAATATGCGGCGTTTGTTATATCAACTTTCTTCGTTGAAAAGGTTCAACGGCATTATGTACCTTGCTTTAGATAAGTTAACCCGATCCCTTTCTTTTGTATTTTCTACTACATATATGCCGCATTTTATCCATTTGTAGCATTTGGTTGTTGGCTCAATCAGTGGTAGATATGATAAAATCTACTGGTATAGGAGGTCGATCTGACTTCCGAGGATCAACCATCTCTATCTCCCGATCCACCAAAGACGAGATTCCTGTCGCGCGTCTTTAGTATGACATCCGGCAAATGCAGGTCTGTTGTTTGGATCCAAAGCACTAATGAAGGCGAAGACAAAGTTGGTCTGGAAGTCCTGTCCTGCTTTACGGCGATCTCAAGGACAGAGACATCCACTCAGAGTCGTCAATTTCTCACTTAATTCTCAAGACAACTATTCAAGCAAGAGATTCACGTACTCAGGACATGTTAGAGACAAGTAAGTATAGGAAAACCTTTTTTTGCATAGAGACTCTGTCTAGCAGGAAAGCAGGCTGGAATTCAATTCAGGGCATAACGAGTGACTTGATGAGTAGTACAGGCCCAGTGTCTTGACTTCATCGCCATTAGGATATAGAATCCCTCCTAGGTTCTAACTCTCTACGAGTCCTCGATCTTGAGTTCTTTCATCTTCTTCTCGGGCTGGTCTCCAGTTCCGTCGTCTTGATCCTCTCCGCTGTGAGCCTTGTGAACAGACGAGTCTTTCTTTGAGCGGAGCTCTTCTGACTTGAGAATGTTGCCTTTAACTGCTCGAGTTTGTCAGTAATTTCAAGCAAACAACGACAATCACGATACTTACAGTCGACGGATGTGTACTTCTTTGGCATCCATCCCTTCTGCTTGGGCTTCTCTTGGTTCTCAGAGTGCTCGCTCTCTTTGAAAACCTCTTGCAGCTCAAACCTGGAAGCCTTGACAAATTCGCCCAAAGATTTGAGGCAGCTTACATGTTGCCCTTTATTAAGTCAAAGGATAGAGCAAACTTAGCTCAGATTCCAGAATGGGACGGAAAATGGACTATCAAAAGCAATCGTGACAGGAAGGTTCTATCACCCTTCTTGCTTTGTCCGATCACCATAGATGAGCTAGGTATGTTTGCTTCCATTCAATTTATTGCCTTCTTTCGCTCTTGTTTCCCATTCACACAACAAACAACTTTCTCTACTTATAAAACCTTCTGCCATTTCCATGTATCCCCTTCTCACTCTAGATCAACAAGGATCGATATCTTACATAGTGTGTCCGCCACAGTCCCGACTCACAGTCGCGATTCCGCCTCTAACCCCAAGAGTTTGTACCAACTTCATGACTCCGATCGCTCCTTGGGATTCCGTGTTCGTCCTTGACGCTCGATGGCAGCTGAGGTTTTGGGTCTCGCGTGAGTTTTGAACAACGAGTGACTCGTTCCAAGCCACCTTGATAGTTGCTGACCAATACACAGGCTGAACTTCCACCTGACTGGCGTGAAGTCGTATATAGAGCAGGCGGAGGATGTCATGCGACTTGATACCCCGGAGCTTAGAAGGAATGGTCGCCTAGCGAGATGCATACGATATGGCTGCTCGTCCTGGTCAGGCCGAATATCGCCTAGTTCAACTGTGATGAACTCTACAAGTGCAGCACAAGACACCTAGACAGCTAGAGCTACTCACGTTGCTCGGCAAGTTCAGTGTTGATCAATTCGGGCTGGCCGCTCGAGTGACAGACAAGTCTTGTCCCATCAAGCTTCTGCCGATGAGTAACTTCACCCGACACATCATCCAGGAGGTCGACAACTTCCGCGTCCGCTGAAGCACTTCTCTTCGACGATACTCGCGATGACCTTCAGTCCTGGAATTACTCTGAGCCCCACGAAGATCCTCAAACCTACGACTATCTTCAGGTCCAGTCTGCCGACCATGGCACCTCTGACCGCCCCCAAACCTACCACCTCGATGATCAACAGCCCTAGTGTCAATGCGAGTGCCACTCCTGCTGCTGGGACAATCACTCGCAACATGACGAACAACACCACGGGATCGAACAGCACTGCGACCTTCAAGTCTCCAAACAAGGCCAAGGGCCTCATGCCCGCTGAAGGAGTCTGGAGACCACTTGCGCGGAGAATACAATGTCTTCTTATGCCATATGCTTGCCATTATATTCTTCCCAGGGTCTGGAGACGCTCATTGTGCCCTCTGTATGATGTCTACAAGAGAGGCTGTGCTGTTTCTTCGAGCATACGGTCAACCTATATAAAGCACTTTGAGATTCTGTCTACAGATAGTCGCATCCAGATTTCTACTGGTACCTTGCGCCTTGTGACAAAGTGTGAATTTCCGCACGCCGCGGCTTGACCAAATCGTCACTCTCGCAGACGTCGACGTCATGGTGCAATCCACAGAGTAGCCGGGACAACCTCCTTTCCAAGGTCTGCCGTATGTTCTCCAGCCCAATTCGCAGCTTCTGCAGTTTGCCAACGCTATCGATGGACAATCAACCGAAGAGATGGCAGAGAAGGCTCTCGAGGATACATCGTATATATAGGTAAGATCATACAGGAGTGCAGGCATGGACTCTGGCTGACAACTAAGATAGTCGCTGTGGCCCAGCATAGCTCAAGACCTAACTCCTGCTATACTCATGTAGATCCATCAATGCATCCGGGTCGGTGGAGTGACTGCAAGATACAACCATCTTCGCATGTTCTTGTCGGACCGTGCTCGCTCCATTTGGAGAGCCTAACAGCCACTCGATGACACCACAGCAAAGAAAATTGCTCTTGAAGCTCAAGACCACATAATGGTCTCGGTGGCCGTCGACGAAATATGCTCTCGCGAACTGAAGATGCGCGACAGTGCTTTTGCTGATTGGGTCGAAGCTCGCGCAGACAAGTTGGAACAACACATTGGTCACCTCGACCTCATCATCCAGACTCTGAAGGATTCGCAAGGAGACCACACCGTGGCTGCAAGCTTGTCCGGGATCTAGAAGATGCATGGCAATGCTCCCAACAAAGATTCTGCCACGAACCTCGCATCTCATATACATCGCTCCGACGTCTCAGCCCTTCACCAGATCCTTAACGAGCACCTCAAGTCGCTACAGAAGACAGTCGATGATGATCTCAAACTTGTCAAGTGCATCAGCGAGTCTTCGTGAACTGGAGGAATATGCTATTCAGCCAGTGCTTCAACGAGTGACTCAATAGCAAGCAGAGAGGTCGTGCTTTCTGTACAATTGAAGAAACTACCCATGAAGACTGCAAAGAGCTGGCAGTCTAACACACTTGAAGCATCTCAGACTCTCCAGCGCTCGAGACTGTCCGGGTTTGAGTAAGAACTTTGCCAGTCGCATGACACACACCAACGTTCTGATGCCTTTTATCAATCTAACGAGATGTATTGATCATACCATTTGTCACTGAAAAAGTTGGAGCTCTCAAAACGGCATTGGATCATATCGCAGCTACAGAGATAGATACTGTACACCATCGCTTTGGAATGTGGTGTCTACGGACAGCGGGCTATGAACATGATCTTCTATACTCATGCATGGGCTCGTGATGGAACACGCTAGAGCAAGAAGTTACCTGTTGATTGTTTCTGTAGAGCTTTTATCATCTATGAACAGAAGGAGAAACATGAGCAAAAAAGAATCACAGGTCTGACAGTATCAGGTTCTGAACTTACCTCCAGTTTGTTGTTCTTCCCACTTTTCCTCCATCACCCCCCTTTCCTCACTCTTCTCCTCCAGCCCTTCGATAGTGACCAGACCTCTTCCCACAGAGGCGCTATATCGAAGAACCTAGATGATAAGTTGACTGGTGAAAGTTTTAGCTGATGCAGTGGTTCGAACTCGAGACGTGTTGTTGGTTGCGTTTGTTGTTGTCGTGATTGTTGTAATCACTGCCGCATCTGATTAGCTGCGTAACTTACACATGGCTGTGATAACCGTCAGACCAAAGTGATTGTTGGAGGGATTAACAAGTTGACTTCTATATAGAGCCTGCATGGCTCTTGGAGGCAATTGCGGCTTAGCCCCCTGAGTTGCGGGACCTTGCCAGATCAACAGGAAGCACCTACTCTTGCTTACAGAAATACAGTGTGCCGAGCAATCTTTCCCAGTCATTCGTCGTGGACTGATCTTCACAAAAAGCATAGATGTGTACCAGACGAAGTGGACACTTTGATTAATTACTTCGATCAAGCTATTGATCTGTTGAACAAGTGCGTTGTACATAACCTTGCAACCATCCGTTCATGGTAGCACCATTAACCATCACGTTACTCGACTTCAACCACACGATCTACTCCAACTCGGTAAGTGCGTTCTCAGCCAACTCCTTGTATTTCTTTGGCTCGAATCTTTCCGACTTCCAACCTCTGGCTCTACCTTCCTTGATTCGAGCCTGCTTCTCCTGCTTCTCTGCCTCTGCATCTTTGAAGCTCCAGAAGCTGCGCGATTGAGGCAATCTGGTGTTGGCTTTTGCACTGGCGGATGAAGTAGATCCGCTTTGACGACGAACACGTTCTTCTTGTTCTGTAGTGGTAGACTGCTTCAAGTCGAGAAGCTGGTGGAGATGAGTAGTAATCTGAACATGGAGGGCAGCGAGGTGGACCAAGTAAGCTGCTTGGGCACGCGAAACAGAAGGCTTGACAGATCTGTGGGAGGGCGTTGGGGATGGAGGGTGAGGCGAATCGAATGAGTCTTTGCTGTTGTTTGCGCTGAGGTTCTCGGTCTTGATCGGCGTGTCTTAGGCAGATGTTGCACCGCTTGATGACTCGGATTGAGAGACTGTAAAAGGGTCTTCGAGGGGCGTCATCATGTCTTGACACACGCTATACTGGATTGCCTTGACCGTTGCGCAGGACAGGGGNGTGAAAGTGCGTGGCCAGCTGAAGTTGATGCGCTCGGCACGTTTGCTGGATTTGTTGTGAGACTGATCCAGTCCTGGGCCGAGATGAGCAAGCGATGGTTTGTTGTTTCTCTTGCGCGCAAAGGTTCCTTCAAGCTTAGGCATGGGGTCGTCAAGAGCAAGACCCGGTACGGATAGTGTCGAGCTCTCTTCAAGATGATACTTCGCTTCTGAGCATGCTTCAAGTGCTCTGTTGTATGCCGATTCTGCTGCAGAGATTTTGGGCAATCTCCATACGGAGTAAACATGCATTATTCTGGCAAGACCTTCGTGAGATAGCGCGGCATAGAGGTTCAGGAAGATGAGATGTGCAGGTTCATCCTATCGAGTATGTTAGACTGAGCATTGCATCTGCCAGTCTGATAGATCATCAGTTACCTGATGGTGAACAAGCAGATCCTCACACCTGCGCGCACACTCTTTGTATTGATGGTTCAGGTAGAGTGCTTTGATGTAGTGCAGCTCGAAAGGGAATGATGGTGTTATATTCACGTGCGAGTGTAAGCTTCTATCCATGTTGAATAGGCATGCTTTGAGTCAAGGAGCGAATGGAAACTTATTGAATGAGAGGAAGTGGACGGTTCGAAAAGTGTGAAGTTGTGATAGACGCAATTTTGTGTTGATGGGACGAACGACAACACGAAAGCGGGAGCCAACCTCTCGGCATACCTACACAGCACCTACATGGAACCCCCTATAGACTTCATCACATAGGTCCTTTCGGTTGATATCTTCAATATGGCCATTGATGTGCATTTTGATAGCTGCTGAAAACAGAATTGTTATTGCCCAGAGGCATGATCTCCTGGGCCCTTCTGACTGCGCTCACTTCATTCGCCAGCGTCAACTTGAAGATAGTTTGACCTTCAATCAGAGATCAGTTCTGTGGCTTTCACAGTACACCACTCGATGGAAACCTCTTTCCAGAGGCAAGCGTAAGAGAACTTAGGGCTGGTGAGTCCGACTCTCCACCTTGATTGGTCGCACTGATGTCTTTGGTAGCTTCGCCCGAGTTGATTCTTACGACGTTTGTGCAGTGCGACACACTTCATGATCATTGTCAAACTCAGAGGAGAGTCAGATGAGGTCGCTGAGTGATGGAGGCGGTGGAAGGTGGGGAGCGGGTCGTCGTCGTCTTGGCATCAACTTTCTGGAGAGAAGCGTCACATTCGGAAAGAAGCACCATCTTGACTGCATCTTCACATCCTTCTAATCAACGGCCGGACGCTGTGCGCAAACATACCATCGTTTGCACAACCTGTATATTAATGACCCCTTGAATGCCCAACTAGCGACATCACCATGTCTGACGGTAAGCACAGCACAGCAGTCTGCCAACGCGCCGCGCCGAGACTGACGAGGCAATAGCTGAAATCCGACGACTGCAGCAGGAGCGCGCCTCCACCAGGGCCAATCCGACCAAGCAGTCGCTGACTGACAATGCCGATACTGATCTCTACGGAAATGGAACTGTCGACAAATATGCCGGATACAACACGTCGATCGCCGTCAACGAGGACGACGACATGGACGATGCTGATGGCGAAGACCAGAGCAGGAGACTGGTCGGCCAGTACACCGCCACTACCGAGCAAATGAACGAATACGCCCATGGAGAGGCCGACATCCTCGTCGATCGCGAGAAGCAGGCCCAGATCGCCAGTCGCGAGTCGGACTACCAGAAGCGTCGCTTCAACCGTCAACTCAGCCCCGATGGTCAGGNNGGCTACAAGGAGGTTATGAAGCAACGTGAGATCGAGCGCGAGGAAGAGCGGGTACACAAGCTTATCGAAGAGAAGCAGGCCAAGGGAGAGGATGGCATGGATGGTGTGATCGAACACCAGCCTACGCTCAAGGCTGACGAGGATTCAAGCGAAGTTGCTGCTCCTCGTAAGCGAAAGCAACGATGGGACAGCTCGTCTGAGGATGCCGCTGCGAAGGACGCCGTCGTTAAGACCGAAGACGCTCCCGAGACCAAGCGTTCTCGCTGGGACTCTACACCTGCTCCCGCAGCTCAGGCTGAGCCAAGAAAGCGCTCTCGTTTTGATATGGCACCTTCCTTGACCGCTGCAACCCCTGTTGGTGGAAATGCAGGACTCGCCACTCCTATGCACCCCTCCCAGACACCTGCCGTCGGAGCTGGCTATGGTTCCGACATTTCTGCTAGAAACGCTCCTCTATCCGATGAAGAGCTCGATATGATGCTTCCTGGTGAAAAGGAAGGTTACCGCGTCCTGCCATTCCCTCCTGGATACGAGCCTACACGAGTACCCGCACACAGAGTTCCTAGCACCCCTGCTTCGCTACAAGGCGGCTTCATGATGCAGCAACCGGTAGACCCACGATCGCTTGGTAAGGACCTTCCAAGCGAGCTGCCAGGAGTAGGCGAACTTCGTCTGAAGCCAGAAGATATGGCGTACTTCGGAAAACTTGTGGACGGCGCTGATGAGAATGAGATGAGTGTCGATGAACTCAAGGAGCGCAAGATCATGCGTCTGCTTATCAAGGTCAAGAACGGAACTCCACCTATGCGTAAAACTGCGCTTCGTCAACTTACTGACAATGCTCGCTCGTTCGGTGCCGGTCCTCTCTTCGATCAAATCCTTCCTCTGCTCATGGAGAAGACACTTGAAGACCAAGAACGTCATTTGCTCGTCAAGGTCATTGACCGTATCCTATACAAGCTTGATGATTTGGTCAGACCTTACACTCACAAGATTTTGGTCGTTATCGAGCCATTGCTGATTGATCAAGATTACTATGCTCGTGTCGAAGGTCGCGAAATCATCTCCAACCTGGCTAAAGCTGCTGGCCTTGCACACATGATTTCGACCATGCGTCCTGATATTGATCATGCAGATGAGTACGTCAGAAACACTACTGCTCGTGCTTTCGCTGTCGTTGCCAGCGCTCTCGGCATTCCTGCACTTCTTCCTTTCTTGCGCGCTGTGTGCAAGAGTAAGAAGTCATGGCAAGCAAGACACACTGGTGTCAAGATTGTGCAACAAATCCCTATCCTCATGGGTTGTGCTGTTCTACCCCATCTCAAAGGCCTCGTTGACTGCATAGGAGACAACCTCAATGATGAGCAGACAAAGGTCCGTACTGTTACGGCATTGGCTATCGCAGCTCTTGCCGAGGCTGCCAACCCTTACGGTATTGAGAGTTTCGACGACATCCTCAACCCTCTCTGGACCGGAGCTCGCAAGCAGCGTGGTAAGGGTCTTGCTGGTTTCCTCAAGGCCGTTGGTTACGTTGTTCCTCTGATGGACGAAGAATTCGCCAACTACTATGTCAGTCAGATCATGGAGATTCTGCTTCGTGAATTCTCGTCACCTGATGAGGAGATGAAGAAGGTTGTCTTGAAGGTTCTGTCACAATGCGCCAACACCAACGGTGTCACTGCTGCTTATCTGAAAGAGACTGTGCTTGACGATTTCTTCAAGAGCTTCTGGGTACGAAGGATGGCATTGGATCGACGAAACTACGTCCAGGTTGTCGAGACCACAGGGGACCTTGGTCGAAAGGTTGGCTGTGGTGAGATTGTTGAGAGGGTCGTTGACAACCTCAAAGACGAGAGTGAAGCATACCGAAAGATGACAATGGAGACCATCGAGAAGTCCATTGCCAGCNTTGGTGCTGCAGACATCAACGAACGTCTCGAAGAGCGCTTGGTTGATGGTATCTTGACCGCCTTCCAAGAACAAACAGTAGAGGACATCACCATTCTGAATGGTTTCGGAACAGTGGTTAACGCCCTCGACACTCGATGCACACCATATCTCCCTCAAATCGCCAGTACTATCCTCTTCCGTCTAAGCAACAAGTCGGCCACTGTTCGACAGCAAGCTGCAGATTTGGTATCACGAATTGCTATCGTCATGAAGCACTGCGGACAGGAAAATCTTCTGGGCACGATCAGTATCAACCTGTACGAGAATTTGGGTGAAGAGTATCCCGAAGTTCTTGGTTCAGTACTTGGTGCACTGCGCTCAATTGTCACTGTCATTGGTATCAATCAAGTACAGCCACCCATTAAGGACCTGCTGCCACGCCTGACACCCATTCTTCGTAACCGTCACGAGAAGGTACAAGAAAACACAATCGACTTGGTTGGCCGTATCGCAGACCGCGGTCCAGAAAGTGTCAACCCTCGTGAATGGATGCGTATCTGTTTCGAACTCCTCGACATGCTCAAGGCGCACAAGAAGGGTATCCGACGAGCAGCCAACAACACATTCGGCTTCATCGCCAAGGCTATCGGTCCACAAGATGTTCTGGCAACGCTATTGAACAACTTGCGCGTCCAGGAGCGTCAATCGCGTGTCTGTACCGCCGTTGCTATTGGCATCGTTGCGGAAACTTGCGCGCCTTTCACAGTTCTGCCGGCATTGATGAATGAATACCGTGTGCCCGAACTCAACGTGCAGAACGGTGTGCTGAAGTCACTGTCCTTCCTCTTCGAGTACATTGGTGAGATGGCTAAGGATTACGTCTATGCTGTGACACCACTTCTGGAGGACGCACTGATCGACCGCGACCAAGTACATCGTCAAACAGCGGCCTCGGTCGTCAAGCACGTAGCCCTGGGAGTTGTTGGTCTTGGTTGCGAAGACGCCATGCTTCACTTGCTCAACCTCCTCTACCCAAACATCTTCGAGACCTCGCCTCACGTCATCGACCGCATGATCGAAGCTATTGATGCCGTGCGTGTCGCCGTCGGTACTGGTGTTGTGATGAACTATGTCTGGGCTGGTCTCTTCCACCCTGCACGTAAAGTTAGAACGCCATATTGGCGACTCTACAACGATGCCTATGTTCACGCTGCGGATGCTATGGTGCCTTACTACCCCAATCTCGACGACGAGACTTGCGATAGATTTGAGTTAATGGCAATCTTCTAAATACAGAGGAAGCGATTTCCGCAAAGGGGTAAATGAGAACGTTTACATTGCTTTTCACAGCGGCGTCGTCGGAATGGGGGTATCTAGGTAGTTCTTTTAGTTTACTGGTTGTCGAAGCCGTGGCACCTAAGTAGTTTCTGTTGGGTTTTACGAAAAAATGAAACATTTCCACGAATACAAACTCTGGGTGAAGGTTCAGCGTCAACTTTGTGACCTGTTTTCTCTCCGTGTGCCAAACGTATGTAATGTGTAAGCTATAAAACCGTACGATGGTATCAGTGAAGCGGGACAGTGCCCGCTGAGAAGCAACCACTTATCGAGTCTCTTGTGGACCACGCCTCTGCCTCTGGAAACAGTCGTGTCTTTCTGTAGTACACTCTTTGCTCTTTGTTGTAGTTAGAGTACGATGGAAATCAAGGACTGTTATCAGTCTGAGGAACTCCCGATCAGAGACGCCAACAAGTTACGATTTATGATTGTGATTGGTAATGTTTGATATCTGCGGTGGAAATAGTGTTGTTGTAGATATTTCTTGACGCAAATGCAACAATTTTTTAATTGCTGCTTGACGACCAGAAGGATTGATCCAGATCCAGAGCATGTGTCCAGGGAGATCAACCCGAACAAGGTCTGGATTCTAGAAAGACGTGAGTACTGTATATGTTATCCCCAATTTTCTTGCTATAGTCTATAGCATACCCTTGCACCGGCAGCAACGGGACGTTCTCCTGTTGTTGTTGCGGCGGGGGTTGTTTGTGCTTGCTGCTGCTTCTGCTTCTGCTGCCTGCTGCTGCTGCTGCTGCCTGCTCAGCTTCCTATGCTTGCAGTTCATCTATAGTGGCGACGACTTGTTGGCGCGCCAGTTGCTTTCGGCGAAGCAGTCTTGCGACCCAGCGAAGGGCCCCCTGTCGCACCCAGGTGCGTACTGGTATCCATATGAAAAGGTCCATTATCAGCACACGCAGAGGCTACACATGTACTAGAAGATCTGTCGTCGTCTGTGCCGTCCTCACGCAATGTACTGAAAGCAAGAAGATGAGCAGCATAGATTTGGTTCGTAACAGAAAAGATAGGTATAAAAAGAAGATTTATGTAGAAAAGTAAACCCAATCACCGTATAGCCGAGAAGAGTTTTGGAGGATTGCCAAATTTTTCCAAAGCATAGCATTCCTGTTCCTCATGGGTCATTAACACAAATCAAACGCCCGCTTTCGTGAATTGAATACAAATGTTTTCATGGTTTTGATGCCTCACGAGTAAAATTGACCCTTTTGGAAACTCTCGACGCTGAGATCGCCGGCTTTGCCTTGAACATTTGGAGGCAAGTCTCTGGGAGCTGCTTTGACGAGTTCTTTTTCTCTGTCGAGCATGGTGTTTGACCGGCTGTCGGCGCTGGTTGTGGTCATTGTTTGGGCACGGCTGCCAGCAGGGCTGGTTTCGCTGGTGATCTGGCCTTGAGGGCGGCGTTGGATGGTCTCGAGGTAAGGGGCAGGGAGGTAGCCCTTGCGGCCGTCGCGAGCACGGCATTGCCACCATTCGGAGGGGTTGCCGAGGGGATCTGTCTTGCTGAGCACAGCAACAAGGTCGCCCTTGGAGACGGCGAGATCGACGCCTTGGACTGCGTTTGCGTTTGCTTCGGGGTTGAAATCGTAGAGGACACGGCAGAAGTCGAGTTTGGAGGGATCGAGAGGTTGTTGGGGGCCTTCGGCCTGAAGGCGGCGTTGCTCTTCTTCCTCTTGGCTGCGGGCGAGGGCGCGGATGAGCTTGCCCATGAGGTATGGCAGACCAAAGACTGCGACGATGAACATGACAAAGGGCTTCTTGCTGGCACGGGGAGGTGCGGGAGAGCCGTCAGGAAGGCGGCCATTGAAGCTTGCAAAGTTGGCAGGGGTGAGGTCGGTACTGCTTGCAGGGAGTGGGCGTCCGGTCAGTTTGGCCATGGCTGTGCGTATCCATCGGATGATGGTGAAGATGCCTAGGACCTGGCCTAGTGTTTGCCGTAGATTACCAAACTGTTCGGCTACTGAGACCATGGCNTAGAGAAACATTAGTAAAATGATGGTAGTGGGATAAGCAAGAAACATACCAAAGAAACTCGAGTGGGTAGCCATATACGTGCTCTCAAGCATCTGAGCAAAGCCACCAAAGGCACCAACGATGCTCTCGATAAGCTGGAAGGTGGTTTGTGTACTCTGGCTGAATGACTGCGTCAGGCTCTGGCCACCCATGGGACCCCCATGCCGCCGTAGCCATTGCCGTACATGCCGCCCATGCCTCCCATGCCACCATAGGGGCTTCCTCCATACATGCCACCTCCTCCGTACATGCCGCCTCCGTACATGCCTCCGCCATATCCAGAACCGAAGCGCGAGTATGGCGAGNGTCATGGAGCCACCACCGTAGCCGTAGGGCGAGGACTGATAAGGTTGAGCGCTGGAGAAATTGGATGCGGTGCGATCAACGACAGAGTTGAGCGACTCGGGTCGCGATGGTAGCGCTGGTGTCGCAGCTGTGGTAGTGTTTGCTGATGATGGGGTAGCGGCCATGGACGATGTGGGTATGGCGGCCGACGGAGTCAAGGCTGTTGTCATAGCATGTCAGTCGAGTCCGGGGGCGCCGTCGCTCAAAACGTACCCNGATGATGAGGCAGCGCGTCCTCTTTCCCACGGCTTCGGCGGCGATGGCGTCGCCATAATCTACCAATATGAGGTCGTCGTCTGTTCGTCTGTCGTCTGAGGGTTCGCAACCCCAGAGTTTTGAACGAGAAAGTGACGAACTGTCGTCGTTCCCAAGATGCCGAGGCTGTTGAGTCGCCCGCTTGCCGCCGCCTTCTTCAGTCTCCTGTCATGCACGTGAGCGACTACGTCTTTGTCTGGTACAATTCTCCTTCATTCCATAACCAATTGAAGAAAGTTCGAGTTGGGATCAACATCTGAAAAGAAGCCTTATGCTGTAACATTGTCTTTACTGTACGAGATAACTCGCTCTGTCTTTCTATTGCTGCTTCAGACTAAATCTCCACTTTTGATCATTGCCGAGGGAAGACATCTCCAGGGTCTTGCTCAACTCAATCCAAACGTCCACGCATGGTTCATCATATCATCCTGAATGCCAGGTACTGTATCAACCTCAGCATCGACACCTCTCACGCCAAGCTGTCGTAAATCTTCAATCTATCAAAATTCACAGTCGTATAACAAAAAGAGATGTGGCCGTGAAAAGAGCCTGCGATGACCTTCACTCTGTGGAAGCCACTCCCGATTGCAGAGTATTGTGCATTTTTATAGATACAAGGTGACCGTCTCAACATTTGGAGAGGATGAACATGCTATGATGGACAAGACCGGGTCGAGACTGCAGTGCGGCTAGGTCTGGACCAACGGCATACATTCCTACCAACCACTTGGTACAACATCACACACGACTATCACAATCTCAAGGGACAAGAAACACGCTGTTGATGAAAATCCTTGGAATTTCGCTAAGTACAGTTGTTGCATGCTAATCACGAATTTGTGCAGAACACAAACTATCCCTGTTTTCCACGCCCAGCGCTATGAACATCCAACGCATCCATTCTGCGAATTCCAAAGAAACTAGAAATTAAAAAAATAACAGAACATAGCCTCGTCAAGAAGTTTAACAAAGATGACAAAAGAACATTTCGGCCTTTCTATGACACCAAGGAGAAGAGGGAGTTCAAGGTGTTCTGGAGCAAGCTGGTCTCACATTGGTTGGAGATCCATGAAGCGTCAAGGCTGGTGGGCAGTTGGTAATCGTTGTCGAGGACCTTGATGTGCATGTTCTCGCCGTTGAGGAGGACCATGGCCTTCATGCTGCCCGAGATGGGACGCTTGAAGTAGTCCGAGTTGCCACCCTTGATGTTGCTGTGAAGAGTCGACTTGCAGCGGAGATCACCAGGAGCCAAGACCTCAAAGATATCGAACTCACCGCAACCGGTGGTCCAGCAAGAGCATTCAGCCTTGCCGTACTGGAGAGTGCGAGGGATCTGAGCGTTGAGCATCCAGATTGCGGGCATGTCACCGTTGGTAGCAGCATCAGTGTTGCCATCAAGAGGCATCTCGAACTCGAAGAAGAAAGCCTTCTGGGCGCCAGCGAAACCGTGGTAAGCGACGTTGCCGTCACGAGAGTAGCCACAGTCACCATCGCACTCCTTGTCAGTCATGATGATGATCTCGTCGTTGGAGGCGAGCTGGGTGTCGGCGAGGACCTGAGGGGATGAGGCACCAGCGTTACCCTGGCTGTTGGAGTACGAGAGCGAGTTGCCGAAAGTGTAGTCGAAAACACCAGAGCCTTGGCCACCGTTGTGGTTCAGGAAGACGACATTGTCTGCGGAGCCGGCCTCAGAGTTGTAGTAAGCCTTGCGACCCCAGGATCCAGTGCTGCCGGAAGAAGCAGAGGCCGAAGCAGAGGATGACTTGGACGAGGAGCTTGAGGAGGCCTTTACAACGACGGCAGAGCTAGAGCTAGAGCTGGAAGCACTGGAGCTGTATGCGGCAGGGGCGTTGACCTTCAAGAGCTTGGGCAAGAAGCCAGCTGAAGCAGACTCGGTACTTGCGGGTGCGGCGGCAGCGGAAGTGGTGGCTGCAGGAGCTGCGGGAGCAGCAGTCGAAGCAACACCAGACCACTCGTTGATCCAGGAAACGGTCTGTCCATCGATCACGGCCGTCACCATATCGCCAACAGCGCGCTTCTCAACATCCTCGTCGCGCTTGTGCTTGTGAGCATGCTGGTGTGCGTGGTTGTGACGGTGCATGGCGCTGCGCTTAGCCTTCTTTGAGGACTCAGAAGAGTCGGCGCTGGGCGAGAAGAAAGCAAACTGCTTGAGCTTGAGAGGACCACGGAAATGGAGAGAGACTTCCTCGTCAAGAGGAGACATCTCTCCCTGGTAGCCATAGGGAGTGGAAGAGCAAGAACCAGAGTTGCTGTCCATGTTGGTGATTCTGTTGTAGGAGCCCTTGCCCATCATACCAGTGTAGGTGATAGAATCGACGGCCTGGCAATACCAGTTGCCATTGTCGTCGACGGAACCCTTGCTGCAGAGATCGGCAGCAGCTCCAGAGATGGAAGCAGCCAGGAAAGCGCTGGCGGCGATGATGTTCTTCATTGTGTTGTTGAGCGTCAACAGGGATTGCTTGTTATGGTGGAAAAGATGCGCACTCGATTATATGAGGCGAAGAGCAGTGAAGCAAGGGGGTATCAAACGCGTGTTCAATGCAAATTGAGTAAAGACTGTGGTAATGTCACTAGGACACTTAAAAGAATGACTGCCGGTCAGGTATGTTTGTTATTGGTAGTGGATGACGAAGTGAAGGAATGGAAACCCTCGAGGCGGACTCGGGGGCTGGGGCCTGAATTAAAGCAAANNAATCCGGCATCCGAGTATATTGAACAATGCAAGCAGAGAGGCGCTGGGGTTCATGGTCATGGCACGCCTAGAGTTCGCCTTTCTGACAAGCGCCGTTATGGTCGAGTCGCAGGGTGGGTCACAATTTCACTGAACACTAGCGTAGATGCATGTGGCTTGATAGGTGCCGCCGTCCTCCATTATTTAGACTTATGTCGCGCGACAACGAATGCACAGCGCTATTGTTCTTGACTAGTTAGAGCAACATTTAATGAGATGCGGTCAATTGTGTTCTTGTCGGATAACGACCTACGCATTGTACAAGGCGATCATTTGCGAATCATCTACCGTGCTTCATCTTGAACAGGAGGATCTGACTATCCCCAACTTGGTCCGAGGTGTAAGAAGTATGCACGGCCGCCGCAGTCTGCTCGACGTTTCACCATGGAACTGATTCTGTGCGCCACCCTGCATGTTTGTCGCGCCCGAGGTTCAGGAAACAGGCGAGAGAACACCAACGCCTGTGCTTACTGGATATGCAGAACGGGTGTCGGATGCCTCGAGGAGCGGTCGCTTGCTTGCGAATGGACAGCATGTGGTCGTAACATGATAACCTTCTTTTCTTGTCTCGGCTGCTGCAGGGACACCCGCAGACCCAACACACGCGTGAAGCGTCTGGAGATTTGTTCCTGCAGATCCAAAATAGTCAATCCAAATCCACTTTGCCAAGGCAAGGATAGCGGTGCACATCCCATTCAAACGTGACACGGGACATTTTCGACCCTCTGTTTTGCGGCAGTTGTGTGTTGGTGTGGTGCTCTGGAGCAAAGATGGGGGAAAAGGGTGGTACGGTACACATGGTAGCCTGAGTCAGGAGTCAGGACAGCTCACGTTACTCAGATCCAAATCTCAACGGCGCGGATAGCAACCCGATGCTGTGTTCCCCGACCAAGACACCATCTGAACGGTGATACCGTCGCTCGTACCCCATGTGTACGCACAACCAGTTGACAAGGCTCCTCTTGTATCTGCCGTGCTTGGGTAAGCGCTCGGCATGCCCCAGATCTAGAGCAAAGAGATGAACGTTGGGATGCAAGAGTCAAGTGTCGATCAAGTGATATTCTGCTATGGGAGCTTCTAAATCGCTATAGGAAGGTTGATAAACAACCAAGAATGCCATGCGCAAGAAACTTCAAGCCAAGATAGGAAAAAACTCTCAAATTTGAGATTCCTTCCCGTCTCCAAGAGCCAAGTACTTAGCAGGGGTAAAGGGGCTAGGAGTGTGTTCACAACTGAGCCACGCCGGTGCCGAGGGCTCGTACAAACGAAGCGTCTTTGTCTGTCTGGTAAGGTATGTCTGCAAGAGGTCATTTGTTAGCCAGATGTCTAGGCAGAGCGAAAGACCAAATTGCGAAGTGTGGTTGGATAGATCAGAAGCCCATTTAGATCATCGAGGCGCCCGAGAGCTCCTCTGACATAAGAGGTACCAGAAAAATAGTAATAAAGCAAAATTCATCATAAAAAAGTGATGGGGAGGTGTGATGAGGAGATTTTGTGATAACATACCAGTTCGGAGCAGGCAGCGCCTGAGGCCTATACATGAGCGGGTTTCGTAAGCAGTAGTATATGCGTTTGCACACTCATTGGGCCGTCAAGCGCTGCCGAAGCCGTCGACTGTTCTCGTTCGCGGTGAGAAGAACAAATTGTTCCATGTTGCAAAGAACAGAAGTTTGCTGGCAGGTGAAGCGCAGAAGTTTTCGCTAGTTGCACGGGAGAAGGTCGGAAGCTGCCGCCCACGCAAAAGTCTTGGCATTTGTGCCAGGGCGAAATTGATTTCCAGCTTTGCTTCCAGACGAAAGAACTCGAGAACGACGAACGAGCAACCGAAGACCCTTCATCCGACAACTTCTACTCCAAACCGACATTCAAAATGGGCCGTCTTCATTCCAAGGGAAAGGGTATCTCCTCCAGCGCCATCCCCTACTCGCGCGCTCCTCCCGCATGGCTCAAGACCACTCCCGAGCAGGTCGTTGACCAGATCTGCAAGCTCGCCCGTAAGGGTGCCACCCCTTCGCAGATTGGTGTCGTCCTCCGTGACTCCCACGGTGTCGCCCAGGTCAAGGTTGTCACTGGTACGTTTCGATTGTCGCACCTGGAGTTGGCGCAAGCAAAAAGACTAACACACGACACAGGTAACAAGATTCTCAGAATCCTCAAGTCCAACGGTACGGTCCACCCAGTGTGAAGGAAAGAAAAAGATGGAAGCGCAAGAAATTGCGACGAACCACATTTCAACAACACAACAACAACTCTGCCTCTGTTTGGTCTTTGACTGACGGAGTGATGTTCAATAGGCCTTGCCCCTGAGATCCCCGAGGACCTCTACATGCTCATCAAGAAGGTATGTTTGAACTCTTGCAAAACTTCTGCACCCGGTTGGCTGACATATCACTCCCAGGCTGTTGCCGTCCGCAAGCACCTCGAGCGCAACCGCAAGGACAAGGACTCCAAGTTCCGCCTGATTCTCATCGAGTCCCGTATCCACCGTCTTGCCCGCTACTACAAGACCGTCGGTGTCCTTCCCCCCACCTGGAAGTACGAGTCCTCGACCGCCTCCACCATGGTCGCATAAGCGGCTTATGACTGAGAAATGTCGAACGGAGGAACAAGCATCGATACCACATGGCGTTCAGGGCATGTGTATTTGGAAGGTCGCCAGGGTTTTCGCTAGCTCGTTGCAAAGGGATGAAAAAGTAAATGAACGACAAGGGAGCCACTTTTGGACCCTCACCAAAAATCATGTGTCCGATTGCCATTCTATCTGTCCCCTTTCTGGTAGACGCGTTCGATGTGATCGTCCTATCCCATATCGACCACTGTAATGAACCTTATGAACTCCTTCGCTATGCAAATCCCAGTAAAGCTCCAAGTTTCAATGCCCAAGTGATCATGCCCAAGTGACGACTACTCTCCTTCAATCTCAGCGCTGCGCTTCAGGAGAAACTCGCCCATCCACTTCAAAGGTTTCTCGGGTTGGTAGACGACCAAGTACTTCATGCCCTCCATGAAATAGTTGGCGACAGGGTTGAGGTAGATTCTGCCAGGTGCACCGTGCTGGTTGGCTCTCTCGGGTGGTTGCGAGACTGCTGGTCCGATCGAAGATGGTCTGGTCGGAGCAGGCGAAGGAGTAGGCACCTTGACAGGAAGAGAAGCAGCGGGTGGTGCAGTAGGTGCAGAGGCAGTGGCAGGCAATGGTGATGCCGAAGGAGCTTGCGCGACTGGTGGAGGAGGGGCCTGAGTGGATTGCGCATCGGTCGAGTCACCATTGGTGATACCCTCCATGCTGGCTGAGACGGTGTCCTCAAGCTTCGAAGCTTCAGCGGTGAAAGGCTGGTTGATGGGAAGTGCGGCATCAACTTGGGAAGCTCCTGCAACTTGGTCTGGGGCGGAGGGAATGCTGTGAACAGAAGGCTATTGATCTTTAGCGGCGCATTCACATATGTCTGCGGCAGCGAGGAGTCTTACCTCTGCCACTTCCTCCTTCATCTCAACGTCATTGGCTGATGGTGCGGCCATATCGTTAGGTGGCTCAGCCATCTTGGTGTCTTGTCCTTGAGCTTGTGGTGTCTGGCGGAAGTTGCGACTGATGGTGTTTGCGCATTCAAAGTAGAGCAGCATTGCGGGAAGACCGTGCGCACGGTCCATAAGGCCGTGCACGGACTCAATGGTATAGAACATCCGCGCCAGACTGCCTGTTGTTCTTCTCTTCTGCACTTGTCGTCAACTTTCCCATCTTCGAAATTGCCATCCGTCGGCGCCCTTGTTGGTATTGGAGCCATCGCTGACAATAAGGAACTACTTGCGCATGAATTCTGAAGGTAGGTCGCTCTAGTCTGGTACCAGCAAGTCGAAGTACTGTACAGCTCTGAACCATGCCATGTCAATGTCCAGTATATGGAACCACTTCAGTCATGAAGAGCTTCAGTTACACCTCTCACATCGTTGGCAGAGTGAACATGCCAAAGAGAGGCATAGTACTACTGACATGGAAGAGCCCACTGAAGGGCACATGTGTGGCCGCTTGAAATGCATTCACTGGACACAAGACGAAGTCAGAATCATTGTTTCTAGAGCTGGTGTACAAAGGACTTATCTCCAAAAGAAGCTGGTTCAACTTATCTATATAACTCCCCAGTTGGGTTGGGTCGGGTTGTCTTCTTAGCAGCAAGAAAGGCAGAAAAAGTCTTACCCAAGATTCTTGACACCAGAGTTCCTGCTCGATCACTTGCGCCCAATTAGGACTATCGTTGACCCCGACGACATCATCTCGTGTCAGACCGTGAGAATCCGGACCATTCGCTTTGTGTTTCACTCACTCCTTGGAGGAGAAACGCGAACAACACAACCAAAGGTTCAGACAACTCTCACTTCTATACTTCCTTTTGCTACTTATTCGCTTTCCACCCCTCTATTCATCCGTCTTTCTTTCCCGAACGTCAACACTTTCAAGTCACGACAACCCAAACACTCTCAAGATCTTTTCTTCTTCTACCTTCTTCAAACACCTTCAACACAATGCCACCCAAGGGATCTGTAAGTCATCGTGCCTCTTGTCTTAGCATCTTTCCTTGTCCAATCCTTCTCAACATCCTCTTTCCCTTACGCAACATCTTCCCTCTTGTATCAGCGCTGCTTGTCTGCTTCGGGGCCATGCGAGCGCGCTTTCCATCAACACAAGATCTCGCTGGTCCCACCTGAACTTGACCTTCCCCTCTGCATCTGCACCCTATCTATCCACTACTCCGGTCAATGTGAGCTCGCGCTCCGGGTTGTTACAAGCTCGCATCCCGGGTAGGTGCGAGCTTGAGACCCGGGTCAGCAAGATCTCTCTGAACTTGGACGAATTCGACCCCTTTCCTCACATCTCAACTTTGCCTACCTGCCTCACATTTATGTGAGCTCGCGTCCATCTCTCTGGACCTTTACCAGCTTTATTCTCCTCTCTGCCTTTTTATGCTCTACCTTTACCGCTCACGCCGGCGCGGGAGACCTCTCTTCTGATGGTGATTCCATCTTGCACCTTCCACTATTCACATTCACCTTCTGCCATCCACCTTCTACTTTATACCTTCTACTTTACACCTTCTACTTTCCACCTTCTACTTTCCACCTTCTACTTTCCACCTTCTACTTTCCACCTTCTACTTCCCACATCCCACTTGCATATCGATCGTACTCATGCGTGCACAGAAGAAGGCTGCCGTGGCTGCTCCTGCCACACCCAAGGCCGACTCGGGTGATGAGGCCCCTGCTACTCCCGCCACTGGAGTCAAGAAGACTCCCAGAAAGCCCAGAGCTCCTCCCAAGCCTTTCAACAAGCTCTCCACTGCTCTCAGTGGTGCCGCTCCTGTCGACGTTACTTACGAAAACGATACCACTCAGAGCAAGGTATGCGATATCAGGTCTTGATAATGTAATCATCTTGACTAATGAGATGCAGNNATTCTTGCTAAGGAAGCTGGCTTCGGCCAGACTATCAAACTGGTCGCTCCTCAGCCTTTCGAGCTGGTCGCTTCGTACATGCTTGACAACGGTCTTCAGGCCATCGTCGTCAAGCCCAGCGCACCCTTCCCTTTCATGAAGCTGCCTACCCACCTGCGCACCAGAATTCTGAAGCTGTACCTGACTCCTACCACCAACAAGGGTAGAATTGAGCTCACTACCGAGACCAAGAGTGGCAACGTCAAGGCCAAGGACTACCTCAAGGAGTTCAAGCACAGAGCTGCCATGGCAGTTCTGAACAAGCAGGTTAGCATAACACGTCAACAATCTTTCTTCGTAGCCCGAACTGATCATGATTGTCTAGCTTNNGCTGCCGAGGCTCGTCTGATCCTCTACAACTTCAAGCTTCGCTTCGACAACACCACCACCCTGCTCAACTTCCTCAGCATGGCTGGAGACGATACTCGCAAGGCTATGTCAGGTATTACCATCACCAGCTACGTCAAGACCACCGCTATGCCTTGCATGAACATGTTGGCCGACTGCCGCAACCTCAAGAGAGTTACCATCGTCGGCGGTGTCGGCGTCAACACTACTGCCCAGAAGGCTGCAAAGAACTTCTTCACTGAGAGCGGCCGCCTGCTCCAGGCCATCGTCAACGCAGCTGACGGCGACAAGGATGCCGCTCTCAACGTTGTCACCTTCGGCAAGAACTGCTTCACCGTCAAGGAAGAGGATGAGGTTGTTGGCTGGGACGACGACGACATCAACACCTTCGTTGAAGAGGTCACTGAGAAGCTCAAGTAAGCGCGATTCATTCTTCGAGCCCACGGCACCCTACCTACCCACACCCACATCTTATCCTCCTTGTTGCTGTTTCTGTTTCTGTTTCGTTTCGCCCTCGTTATCCCGCTTTGTATCTCAGTTTCGCAAAGCATCAGATGGAGCTTGGGCGTAGATTCGATCAGAGCACATAACAGAATACGCAAGGAGCAGACCGGCCAATTGCGAGACGTATGAGCATGGTCTTTTCGAGAGCAAAGGCTCTCTTTCTTTTCTTTTTCTTCCCCGTCACACCACCACTAGATAATACCTGCGCCATCGGCTCTGCAATTTTCCCAGATACCCCCAGAATCAGATTGTCCCCAAAACTTTGTCTTTTCTTCGTCTGTGATACGAATAACATGCTGAGTCTTCTTCTTCTTACTACAGTAAGTTCTTGAGTGCGCCGAAGTGGGCTTGTGTCTGTGGTCATGGTCACTTGTTCGGTCATAGGTGCCATGATGTGATGGCTTTACGTGCAGAGGTGGAGGACTTACAATTTCTTGTCCACAATCGTGTTGCTGCACTGCGTGAGATGGCTTGATGTCGACTTCTCAAGCGCTGATCGAGTTACTCGTTGGCTGTAGCAGTTTTGAAAAGATCTCCCAGTATATAACGAGTCACTCGATGATCTATCTTCACGTTCTCTCTGGACACTTTCCTGATCCGTAGACAACTATGCCTTTCTATAGCTTGCTTGTAACTTCGCATCACTCTGGAGAGCCTTGAATAATGGGTTTCGGCACATGCAGAAGATCGCCCCTGAATATAAGACAAGGATATCGTTCTCCCACAGCTAGCTCCTTGTTTAGTAAAGCTATCAAAATGCACAATATCCCCAAGAAAGTCAGAGATGCCCACTGAGAGCTATCAATCTGCCGACTCTCTCTGGAAACATGCGTATCCCGAACACGTTCTTGCCTTTTTATAGCTCCTTTACCCAGCGCTGTCATGGGAGAGGGTCTCGAGCGACAGATCGGCCCTACCCCTGACGTTTGATGAGGAAACTCCGTTCATCTCTTGTACCAAAGTGTTATAACATATGGCTATAGAATACACGATACTGTTGAGAAACATGAAGATGACCACTGAGAGCCATGAATTCATCGACTCTCTCTGGATCCAAGGGTATCTTGGTCATGTTTGTGCCTTTTCATAGCTCTTCCATCGTCCTACTCTGGCATCCGAGAGGTTGGAGGGATATATTGGCCCTTAACCCTGCTTATAACCTTTGTGGGCAAGAACGGTAGAGGTGGGAAGGTTAGACGATGACAGGAGCCGTACAAAGCGGAGTGACAGCGTATCGAGTGCAAAGGAGCGATTGAGTAGTGCGTACCAAAAGCAGACGAGCTGAATAGAGGAGCTCGATTTTGTTAGGGGTCTGTCAAAGTAAAGCGATTTGCGCCTGGAAGTTTGGAAGGTCTTCTCTGTCTTAGTCCCCATCTTGATCCGAAGACATCTAGAACCTTTTGCCTATGATGTTATGAGTAGAGCATCTCTATCGGGAACACAGTATACTTAGTAAGACTCAAGCAGATCTTCCAACTCTTCATGGCTTGATTTCGTTTCATGTAGGGTACATTAAAACAATGGCCTCAGTCGACGGCGGAAAAGAGCAAAGATTCGAAAGGTCTTGACGACTTGATGTTTAGATCAAAGCAAGGTACTGCAGTCAGAGATAGAGAGGCAAGGCAAAATCACTGGATGTAGGGCAGCGACATGGTTTGAATGATTTGAATTTCGTCGTTACATTCGTATCTCGATGACTTGAGGGAAGGCTCCTTTCACAGCAGCCATTCTTTCCTCAATAAGGAGCTTGGCTCTTGCCAGTCCTTTAATCCTCAGCAAAGATTCCTCCTAGCCTTGGTCGTAACATTTGTTCCGAAGCCATCAACTGGGTTGACATGGCAATGGTATCTTCGAGGTCGTGATTGTTGGTGGGTTGGTGGAAGCGAGTGGCTTAGGAGTGCTTCTCAGCCTCCTTCTCAACGAAGGGCTCCTTGTTGCCGCCCTGGCCGGTGGAGGTGAGGGTAGCGCCGGAAAGGCCACCGCCAGAGGCGTTCATGCCCTCAAGGCTGTCACCCTTCTCGACCTCGGGCATGGGGGCAGCCTTGTTGCTGCGGTCGACACCGGTGGAAGCGGCCNNTGTTGAGGATGTCAGCTTTGAAGGACGAAGATTGAAATATCTGTCGAGACTTACACCGCCAGCATCACCGTGGACAATGTTGTGACCAGCCTCAATGGCGTTGTCACCAGCTCCAGATCCGTCGCGAGGCATATTTGATATGTGTTGTGTGGGGGGTTTGTTTTTGGGTAGAAGAAGAGTTGCTTTTGCTTGAGAAGAAGTTGCACTGGAGAAGAGGATGTCTGGTGCCTTTTGTTTTGCGAGCTTGAGCTGTTTTCGCGCAAAGAGCTTGATGGTAGCTACCTCATCGCTGACGTCAATTCGGTCTTCGTTCTCGGTTCTTTTGTGGAGAAAGCTCGTCACTCCGCTCCTTGGCATCTCACGTGCCCTGCATATCGTGATCTGAACCGAAGCTTGAAGCTAATCGAGCTGTTCATGGTGCAGAGGTGGCAGTGAGTTGTGATATCCAGGATCCAGCCTGAGGTTGAGTCCTGTCGTTCATTCAAATGTTGCTTGATATTACTTTCCGTTCGTTACGATACAAGATTGACAAGCATTTTTGTTAGCGAAGATGCATTCCTAATCACAATGCTTTCGGTCACAGAAACACAATGAAGAAATATAAGAGGTATAAACAGTATTATAATTAAGTGTTTGATCTTTGCTAAGAGTACACAAGCCTAGCATGATGGCGACTAGCGCACAACTTGAGGCGAAATACGAAAACATTCATCCAAACTTCATACATCACGACCCATTAATCAAGCATCGAGAAGATGCTTAACCGCTCTGGTAGATACCGAGAGCGATGACGTGAGGGTTGATCATGGAGAGGTTGAAGGGAGTGAGGAACATGTCGGTGTCGGTAAGAGCAACGAACATGGTGCCGTTGACGATACCCTCACCACCGCCGTAGTTCATGGCAGCGGGCTGGTAGGTGTAACCAGAGTTGGGCGAGGTCTTGATGAGAGGAGTGTAGGTCAGGTTAAGCTGAGCGGCCCAAGCAACGTACTGAGGCTCGCCAGCAATGGGGTTGACAGCAGTGACGTAGCTGTTGTTGGGGCCGACAGCAAGACCGGGAGCATCCCAGGTGAAGTTGACCTGCTTGCCAGGGAAGGAAAGAGGCTCGGAGCGGTTGCGGGAGATAGCGGGACCACAGCCGTAACCAGTGACGTTCAAGTGCTGGCAGCTCTCATCCTCGGGAATGGTGGAGATGGCGGGGTCGGAAGTGCGGTTACCGGTGACCTCGTAGTCGGCGGTGTCGTTGGGAGAGAAGCGGTTGATGTTGGGCTGATTGACGATGTGGAGGGCGGGGAAGTTCTGCCATGCGAGACGGGTGTTGTTCTCGGGGCATGAAGAGATGTAAGGAGCGAGGAGGGACCAAGACCAGGACTGAGGAATACCAGTCTCAAAGTAGACGTTCATGGGGAAGAGACCGCTCATCTGGCGGAAAGCCATCTGCTGACGGGCCTCAGTGGCAATGGACTGGGCAAGAAGCTGACCAACCTCGCGGCTGTCGAGGTGGTTGATGAAACCCCAGACACCAGACTCACCGAAGCGAGTGAGCTTCTGGTTGAAGTCGACGAACTCACGGACAGTGGTGAAGGGGTAGTTGTAGGTGCACTGAGCAGGTGCGGTGTGACCGAGCATGTTTGTGAGAAGAGTAGCGTGACCCTCCTCTTGCTGGGCCATGTAGCGGATGAGCTCACGGTCCTCAGCAGTGAGACCGGCAGCAATGAAGTCCTCCTCAGAGAAGGTGGCGAGACCGTTGTTGAAGAGATCGAGCTCAATCCACTCCTGATAGAGACCAAGGGTGATGGATTCGTAGTCGAAGTCAGACTCAACCATGTAGCGGGGGAGACTGCCGTTGGTACCAAGGCCACCAGCAGGGGTGTAAGGAGCAGGCTCAGGGTTCTGGAGCTTGCCATTGGTGTTGTAGTAAGTGGCAGTAGGGTTGAGGGGAAGAGTGCCAACGGTCAGACCGAGGGTGGCAGTGGTGACAGCACCGACGGTGGTAGGAACACCCTCGTAAGGGCCGTGGGTAGTCGAGCCAGTGACCAAGCTGCTACGGAGAGGGGCAGCAGCGCCAGACTGGGTACCAGTTGGTGCAGTAGTGTAGATGGCGTTGACTGCAGAGTCAGGACCGAACTTGGTGGCAACGTTGGCAAGGTCGACGGAAGGAGAGTCGGACTTGTAAGGGGCGTTGGCACCGGTGTAGCCAGCAACCTGGCTGCCATACTCAGACGAAGCCTGGGAAGCGTAGACGCCCTGGGAGGCCATGGAAGAACCAGAGGCCATGGCAGAGCCAGCGGCCATGGAAGCCTTGGAAGCACCAGCAGTCGAAGGTGCCTGGATCTGGCCGTCGGAGATCTGAGTGACGGTGGCAGCAGGAGCAGCGTAAGCGGCACCTGCAAGCAGGGCCGTGGCGACAATTGACTTGGAGTACATCTTTGTGGAGATGTGAGGATGCGATTGTCGATGGAGAAGCAAAGAGAGTGAAGCATAGCTCTACATATATATCCCACCTCATCTGCAGGAACGACATTTTCGACATGCAGCGTCATCGGCGAACAGCATGCCCACGGCAGCATTGTGACATCAACACTCTCGAGTAAGGCGATCTTGATCTGGGAGTGGTAGATGCCGCCCGTTTGCCTTCGATCGAGGATTGTCGGACTCGGTTGCGACCATTGGGGTAGTTTCGGTGCACGTACAATAATATCAATAAAGATTGGCGACTAGGGTGAGCCGCTCAAGCCAAGACATCGATACAAGATGCCTGATCGAATTGTTCTACACACGCACCGAGGAGCATTACGGTATGCATATCGAGTCCATCTCCTTAGCTCTACGAACCTTTTTGCCTTAGGAGTACCCCATACGAGATCGGAGCTGACGACGACAGCTGCTTCTCTCTGGTTGCTTCCAGTCGTCGAGAGAAGTGACATTCCGCGGTTGGGACATCGAGATGGACAAAACTTTGAGTCGGGGCGCCTATGCGGCTCAGAAAGTGCAAAGAGCCTCACGGCACTCCACGTCATGTCGTTGTCAGACCGTGCACTTCCATGGAAAACCCCATTATTGACATGCCAGTCGCGAAACAGCAGCACCAGCAATTTATCCTCAACCAAGCCTCGCTAAATTGTTTTACGTGTGGCATCCCAAGCTGCGCCAATCACTCCACTAGTTCCCCCGTCACACCTGGGTTCTTGACAGACGGTGCGATGGCAGCGTGTCAGAAACATGATCTAACCATGATCTTATCTGATTGACGGTTTCAAGGTCAACCTCGGACCACCAAAACGGAGTCGACGTCCTTCGACGTTGCGACTGCTGTCAATACCATCCGTCGGTCGTCAACCTCATCGAAATACATACCACATACACCCTGGATAACATGACTGTGTTTTCTGTCACAACATAATTGTGTAACTCAGCTCATCATTCATGGCCTCCCTGTCCTCAACAAGAGACAGCTAGGCGAACCAGCATTTTTCTGTTATGACGACATTCGGCCGTCATATCAATAATCGCAACGGATAGGTCTCCGTGTCTCACCTCCGAGCTTGTCTTGCGAAAAGTGTGAGCTTACCCCAGAGAAGATTGGTGCTTGGAGCCATGTTCCTGAATTCTGATTTCTCCCAACCCAAACGAGCGTGCCGCGCCAGATGAATCTGGTAGTTTCCACCTTTGATATACCACAGACGCCATTCTAGCATGGCCTTGACTGTTTGGTTTCCATATTAGGGTCAGAGCCGTCAAGATCAGGGCTTCAACCATCACAAGCGACCCATGCGATCTTTGGACCTTGGCAGACCTGCCTGACATTGAGCCGATCACCTTTTCTAAATCCCGCTGGAGAAAGCCGCGCATACGATTTTCAATGTTCATCATGATCGTCCCACATGTCCTCGGAAGATACCATTCGTGATGTACGCCTCCATCTTCGGTGCCCTTTGCCGTCAAGGCCATTGCATGTACTCCAAGCAGGTATGTACTGTATGCAAGTTGTGGTGTGGACGCACATCATCCGAGCCATGCGTCCCGAGTTGCCTTGCGCGTCGTCAAAGTCGCCCCCATCAACATTATTGTGCGAAATGTCGCCGCTCACGACCGGATGGTATGTCCGGTCCACGTGCGGGAGCCACAATAGTTGTCTGTTCAGGTGTCACGATCTGCGCAGTGCGGTGTTTCCCGCTCCAGGCGTGCTTGTGGATCCTGTCACCGTGATGTTGCCCTGTCACGCCTCAACCATAATTTCACTCATTAGGTCGATACCACTTTGTCAGAAGAGCCTCGTTCCACGTGCGAGATATCAATACCAATTGCTGGCATCAACAATCGACGATATGCTTGATTAGGCCATCTATCTGATGGTGATCTAACATCATGCTTGTTTGATTTGGTGAGTGGACGCGGCTCGAAAAGTCTGACCATCAATGTTCACAGGGCAGACAATGTCTCTCTTGCTCGTTTACAGTAGCGTCGCCATTCGACCGAGCACACTTATCGAACCCAACGCTGAGATGCGTCCGTGCTGACAATATAAGAGACTGGCGGCTGTCTTACATGTCCCATGTTTAGTTGCTTTCAACAAACAGTGCACCACTTTGCTAGCATTGTTTAGCAGAGATGAGGCTGACGTCCTAAAACCCGTCGTTCAGCTCGAGCCTCAAGCGGCTGGTCAAGCTTTCACCCTACTCATGCCGAGATAACTACTGTCAGTCACAGTACAGCCATGAAACTGCACGATACTTTGCAAGGCCGAGATCTGTCCAGCTGCGATGAGATCCGGCATCGTTTGGATGCTACTTCACACACAACAATGATCCTGATCATACCTGATCATAACAGCTGTTCGCGAGCTCCATACAATAGGCATGACAGTTAAGTTTAGCGTAGCACAGGGAATGCTAGGTGGCTTGCATCTCTCATCTTCTCGTGGTTTCGAAGTCACAATCCTGACTTTTGCATCTCATCTTATCATGATCACATTATCCCGTCTCTGGTCGTTCCTTCTCCTGTTGCTCTGATGTGCTCTGTTGTTTTGCTATCACATCTGGTCGCTCCTTCCTCCCCGTGTTCTAAAGTATGTAACTTTCATCGTACTCCGCCTGCAGCGACAAGCAAAATGTATACTATAAAAAGGCACAGATATTGTTGGATAAGAGGCGTGTCCATCGAGAGCCGATAGGTTGTCGCTTCTCAATGGATGTCCTCCTGTTTCATGGTATTGTGCATTTCCATAGCTACGTGCGTTACATCTTTTAGTACATGGGGAGGTTCCATCTATGCTCAATTCCTTTGACGTTTCCTTTATGAGTCGCACTTTCCCAATCCAAGTCTAAAAGTGCTTAAGAACATGTACCTATCTGAACTGCGTTCTCGCTCTTCGACATACATGGTAGGCCTAGATCTCTCGCGAAACCACATAGGTATCGAAATGTTGAATTCCATAGTAATGGCTATAAACAAGCTCCATCCCCATCTCTTGTATCAGGAATTAACGTACTAAATCCGAAAATCATCTACCACTCTTTATAATACTTTCCGCCTCTGTCTGAGTGTAAGTCCAGAATGCATCGTCGCAAATTTGTGAGAAGATGGTGTAAGCATGAATGATCTGGCGTTAAACCGCAACAACATTTCGACCAAAATTGTAGAATCGAGATATGTTGCCACAAACATGACCAGTGACCATTTAGACACACAAGGAACGACAAGTCCGTACTTGGGATATAGGGAGCATCTGTCAAAGTCCACGTTGGCCTACCTGGCCGTAAGAAAGCTATTATGAGATCTAGATCAGGGTGGTACCCTCGGCAAGAACAAAAAAATGAATAAGAAAAGGAGAAAAATTATACTTGCAACCGCGCAAGCAATAGATAGTCGATACAGGCGACACGGGACAAATGAGAGGACACGAGCAAGGGGGTCCAAGGAAACATGAGCCATTCACCACCTCCTATGTGCGAAAGTATGTAACATACACGCTATAAAAATGCACAATTCTATCTACATAGAAACAAGGATATGGCCAAAGAGAGCTAATAAGAGATCGCTTCTCAGCGGACACTATCTTATTTTATGATAGTATTGTGCATTTTTATAGCGTGTACTTCACTGTCGTTTAGTACTCGGAGAGGCAACAAAAGTCCAGTATGGGGCTGGCTCATGTTTGCTTGGAGCCACTTGGAGATAACTTGAAGACGTGAAGAAGAAACAATATCGATTGTTTGTATGATGAAATATGATAAGAGGAAAGGAATGGTGGGCGGAACAATGTCCAAATCTTTGACTCGTTGAACTCCAAACTTCGTAAGAAACGTCTCATTCTACTTCAACCTCCGCCTAACTCATATACGACCAATTGTTCTCCTTCCTGTCATTGGCCGATTTGTGAGTGCGATCTGGAATCGCCTAGTTAGATCCGGCAAGAGAGCTGGCATCAGCACCATCAGGATAGTAGAAAGCCGAGACGCTGGGATTATGTTAGCTGATTGCATTATAATAGTCTTGAGAAACAATGACTTACGCAATAATCACATAGGCTGCGATGAGTAGAGCACCCTCGAGATAGTTACTTCTGCCGTCGAGGACCAAGAAGTTGACGACGAACGCCGTGACGAACAAACTGATAGTCTCGAAAAGCGTGAAGTAAAGAGACATATCGCGGCCGATGATCCAGCCAAGAATGACCACCAGAGGGGTAACAAACAAAGCAATCTGGATACTGCTACCGACACTGACACCGATAGAAAGATCCATCTTGTTTTTGGCAGCAACGCTGACGGCCGTGACGTGCTCGGCAGCGTTAGAGACGATAGGAAGGATGATCAGACCGATGAAAGCCTGACTGACTGGAGTTGCATCGATCATAGCAGGGATAGCATCGACCATGAACTCGGCACAGACGGCGACGAGGGCGGTAGAGAAGAGCAGAAGAACGACGGCAGCAGTGCGGGACATATGGTTATGTTCCTCATCAGTCTCCTCTTCGTTTTCCTGCTCAGTGCCCGGACCACGTGCATAAGGAGGAAGATTATCCTGGGGAAGCGTCGAAGGAGTGTTTTGACGGTTGAGACGGTCAGGCAAGGAGCTAGTTCTACGTAACGCACCCACTCCAGTACGAGGGACCATAGGTGCACCAGTAACAGGAGAACCAGAGACCGGAGGTGGAGTAACAAATACGTTCTGAGAGAGCATCTTAGGGAGAGTGGGGCGAGGGAATGCCTGACGAGCAGAAAGCTGACGAATACCGAAGGGCTTTCTAGGCGAGCCGGTGTCGGCAGCAGGAGCGTAGTGCACATCGTCGGAGAAGCCCACCTTGGGAGTGAAATCCTTTACGGGTTGCTTGCCCTGCTTGCGAATCGATGAAGCCTCATCAATGGATTGCTTCTCGTCATGGCTGCCGTGGCGCTTGTGGTGATGCCTCTTCTTTTGCTTCTTCTTATGTTTGCGTGTATCTGGTTTAGTGTCCTGGAAATGCAACTGTTGCTGGTGCTCCTCGACGGCTGGTCCATCGACGAAGTCTCTGATGAGAGGAGGAGCACCACGCATTTCGAGTTCGCCATCTGTATCGGCCTCATCACCACTATTGATAGCGCCGAGCGCGGATGGACGACGCTGAGGCTGAGGTTGGAGTATCTCGGATTGATGGGAATGAGCACGCTCCACAGAAGGAGCACTGATAACGGAAGGAGTAGTGGCAGTACTGGCACTCGACTTGCGGCGTCTGCGATGTCTGAAGGCACGTCTGATACGCTTTGAAGTCGTGTGCGATGAGGTATCTGAATCTGAAGAACTGGACGAATCCGAGCTATCGGATGAGCTAGATGAACCTAGCATGTCGGCCAGAATACCAGGGTGGGACTCCTCATCAATGATCTGCTGGGGTGTACTCTCGTACAGGTATGCATGCGACTTCAGTTGGAAGAGCAGATACAGAATGTAGATGATGAGAAGAATGACGCTGGTGCCTCTGCTGACCTTCAAGACTCTGTCGTCGGCTGTAGCATTGTCCGAGAAGGAGGCATGAAAGGCTGTGGGCAAGACCAGACTGACGACACTCAAACTGAGAAGACAAGCACTCATTTGGGTGATGGTGCTGTTGTAGATCTGCTCTTGGAATCTGAGGCCACCGAGTAGGAAGGCCATACCCATAATGAGCAGGAGGTTGGACAGAATGGATCCAACCAGCGAAGCCTGGACAATACGGATCTCGTCCTTGACCAATGCAATGATGAAGATGATCAGCTCGACGGCATTGCCGAACGAGACGTTCATCAGAGCACCCAGTGTATCGCCGAGTCGCGAGGCAACAACCTCTGTTGCGTAGGACAGCATGCCAGCCAGGGGGNNAATAATGGCAACTGCATTGAGCGCGAAGACGACCGAGGCATTGACATTAAGGGCCTTAGCGATGATGCCGGCAGGGACGAAGAGGAGAAGGACGTTCATCCAGCTATGGGTGAGGGCATCGTATGTATGGAGACCAAATCTGACGGTGCCAGCTTTGGCTCTCTTGAGAATGGATGGTTTGGTAGCGGGCACATTGTCGGTGCCATCTTGACCTCCTAGGGTGGGTTGGTTCGGTGATGCATATTCCGACTTGACATGTTGAGGAGGGGGGNNAGCTGGGGCGGGCAAGGCAGGCGACGTCTTGTCAGCGGTATTGTTGAAGGTAATACTGTCATGGTGACTTGTGTTGGTGTTGACATGGTGGAGAGCGGTAGACGGGGTCAATGAGGGTCCAGCCTTCTCCGCGTTCGGCAGATCTCGGGTGGTGGTAGGTAGAATAGGGCTTGCACTTCGCTGTGGCGTAATGTTGTTGTTGCGCGTAGTGTGCTTGGAGCGGTCAGAGGCGTGGTGTTTCGCCCATGAACGGATGCGGTCTAATAAAGAAGGGTCAGAAGGTTCTCCCATCGGCGTATAATCCAAAGGGACGATTGAAAGTGAAGTGAAGGAGGAAAGCAAAGAAGTGGCAGAGAGAGAGCATGTCTAGGCAGCTGGCCATGGCATAGATAACCATCATCCAGGAGCACCAAGACGCTAGCATCATCGGCGCGCCGTTTCCGCTCCGGGGCATCATGACAACTTGAGACGCTGTCGCATGCACATTTCGAAACCTTGTTACTTACGCATTTCGTGTATGAATCTCTCGCTCTTCTTCCGCTCGTGTCGGTGGTTGGGGATGAGATGTTGATACTATCCAATGGATTGATGGACTCGTCGACGAAGCTCTCCCCCTTTGTGTGTTGGCTGAAATGTGAATGCTTCGAGCACAACGTCCTTTGGCCACAGCCACAACATAACGTATGCCAAGCTCACGCCAAGTGATTGATCTGCGTTTTAGGTACTGCTTAGTATGGAAACCCGTGGCACATTCTCCCAGTAAGCAGCAAACGCACGGTATGGCAAGTCCGAACAAGCAAGGAATCAGGTTCTTGGGTTGCTTGGTCATGTCTGCTTACAGAGATACCTGCATATTGTGCTATTTTACTGGTCAATTGACCACAAGGAGGACCTGGTTCCGTCTGCTATACCCAATGGTCTCCCTACGTGGATTGCACGCGGCTCCCTTGCATCCGGGGCGAGAGCTGTGGGCCTGTGGCGCAGCACCGTATCGGGCGTATCTGATCACTCTCTGGACCTTACGCACGAGTCATATCTGTCATCCATCTATCCGATTCTTGCGAGCTCTTGCGAATGCTTTGAGTGGCCAGACACTTCTCTATTACGCTTCTCATCTCGTCATGCTGTTCCATTCATGCGTGGCAACTCAACTGAGCCACCGTGAGATGGAAATAGATTCGTGGTGGGCCTTGTTGTGGCTTGTCGCCAACACAACCGTTGATCAATCAATCACCACAATCTCATTGCCTGATAAGAAGAGTCATTAACCGGTCAATTTCCAGCAATCCTGTTATGTTCCGATAGCTGGCAATAACACACTCGTCAAGCAATTGCGACGCAGAAATTTGATCTGACCACCATGGTCCCTCAATTCCCCTCCTGCTGCCCAATCCTGCTAAACCGTGCTGTATCATCATAAATACAGTCTCCGCATGTCATAACTTGCACACGCGTCACCTCTTGTAGTGCCTTGAATTTGTCCGCCCAGGTAGCAGAACAACCAGAATCTTCCGACTTGATTACAGGAGAAAGCGAGTACGAGCACAGATCCAATCTCATCTTGTCCCAAGGCAAGGCATAGTCATGCATGATTTTCGTAAGCTGGAATAGGAAGTGTTTGTTCGCGTCGCTCATTGCTTCCAGCTTGGCTTTGCAATCATCGTGTAGTTCAGCAAGGCCTCTGTGTGCGTAACTGAGCGTATATAGCTTGATGAAATGGTGTGCTCGTGTGACTTCATCTCGTTCTTGTTGCGGAAGTGTAGATGGTCGAGCTCGACATTTCGCATCATGGCAGTTGTATTTTTGCTGGAGATATCTGCTCTCAATGATATCACAAAGATATCTAGCTTGACTTGCAATCTGTCGACTGAGGGAGATCCTATTCAGAGTTCTTCCGAGTTTCTCTTGTTGCATTGGATCCACGAGGATAACCGAGATTCGAGGTTGGGTGGTGAGCTTTGCTGCCTCGTTTGCTATCATCAGGGTTTCTACTTCCTCGTAGCATGGGGTTTGGTCAATCAGCAGAGGCTTGCTGATTGAAGAAGCTCGGGTCTGCCAAAGAGCATACAGACTCTTGCAAGTTCTGAACAACGCAGACATATCGCGGAAGCCGTCTTGAGCTCCAAAGATGGTCAATAGTACCTCCGAAGGGAGGCTGACAACAAAGTCAGAAGGGAGAGATGAGGTAGTCATTTGCGATAAGCTTAGGATGTATATAGATCATAAAAAACAGCTTCAGAACACCCAGAAAGAGACAAGACGAAGTTGTTCAAATTTAAGGGGGTATGGGAGCTGGCTCTTCATCATGTGGACGTTTTTACGTTTCTTTTGATAGCGGTACCTCGTCATTCCTGATCTGGTCAGGGTCCGCCGTGATCGGACACTCGAACCACGACTGTTGCCAGTATTGAAACGAGATAATTGATCAATGGTATAGACAACTTAGGATGGAGAATGGTTTGTGACTTTGTGCGACAGGTGTTTATGGCATGCATAGGTAGTCTACGGCAGTCGTTACCGAGGGTTGCACCTGCATCGTCGGATCTCCACCCACTTCCGAGCTGTCAAACACGTCGGCTCGCGTCGCGTTATGTTGGAGACCATCGTCAAGTTGATCAGATGCTTTTGTGTAGGGTACTTCATGAATCTTGATTAAAGCGTTAAGCGAATCCAGTCGTACACACAAAGGAAGAAGCGACCTTTGGGTCACCTCCAACAAACCGCTGCACTAGCGGATATTGGCACAGCTCTCTGACAGTTCCATCTCCATGCTGACTGACAGCCTTCAGGGTATCAGGAGCTATCCCTGCCTCGACCCACCTAACCAGATCTTCGTGGGCATCTGGTACAGGACCAGCTCCACCTGCACAGTGACCGACACCAGGAGCTTCAAAATACCTATAGAAGTCTGAGACATTCGCAGTCGTTGCCAGGACTTGATCGTAATAGTGAGAGGTTCCGTTAGGTGGTATGCGATCGTCCGCAAGACCATGCCATGTAATCATTTTGCCGCCGGCATCGCGAAACTCTGATAGATCTGGCCAATTCGTGCCTATGATTGAATCGTACTCTCTCTGTGAGGCCTTGAGTGCGGAAAAGTACTCTGCGTCTGACATCTTGCTTGTATCGTACGCTGGGTCCTTCTTAACGAACAGACTAATCCACTCTTCTGGGATGGTCTTGCCCCTTCTGCCGTTCTTTCCAACCACAATAGCATCATCAACCGAGCGAAGAACTGCATCGTGATTGACACCAAACCAAAANGCTTTGCCGTCGGCATCGACAGGCCCAGTCCATGCCGTTTGAGCTATCGTAGCACCTTCAGACGTGAGTTGTTTCTCATTGCCATCACACTTGACCTTTCTGCCCACAACGGTGTGCGGGTCGAATTGACACAGTCCAGGTGCTCCGATGATGCCGTCGGTAAGTCCATCAAGGCCATCACATGCTTCGATGGCAGCAGCTCTGAACGCCATAAGTTCGCAGGTTGAGGGATACGCGGCTATCTGATTCATGCGTTGCTGGGCCCAGAAAGCGGAGACTACAAAGGTCGGCCAGTCGATCGCAGGTGCAGCAGCTAGGATGCCATCGAACAAATGAGGAGAGCGCTGTGCAAGCATAAGACCTTGCCGGCCTCCAGTCGAGCATCCATTCCAGTAGGAGTACTTTGGCGCAGTGTCATAGAAGGATGTGGTGATAGCTTTGCCAATGGCAGCCATGTCATCGAGCGCTCGATATGCAAAGTCTTGCAGTAAATTCCAATTCACATTTCCCGGACTGGTTAGAGCCCACGATGCTGCTGAACGTTCCAGTCCATGTCCACCATCCGTGCTGGCCGCAGCATAGCCCTGTTTGATCTGAGAACTCAAGTCTGGATGACCAGTAATCCATCCGCCGCCGCCGACAGCCATGAACCTGCCATTCCAGTTCTCGAGTGGCAGCCAAACGGTAGCATGTATGGTGTCGTTTTGCCCAGGATGAGTGTAGGTGACCGTGGTGTTGCAGAAGTTCAAGCCATCTGCTTCAAGCACCTTCAATGTCCAAGGGTCTCTACTTGAGTAGTTTTTGACCTCGTGAGCAGCAATGTTGATGATTTCCGCACCAAAGATGTTCGGTTTCGCGAGAATGTCTACCGAGCATCGATCCGAAGTGGCATGAAAACTAGATGAACTCAAGGGAGTTTGTGCTTGAGCTTGTAGCCAAGCTAATGAGTTACTTATAAAGGATCTCATAGCTCGCATCTATTGAGATTGTAACGTTACTCGTCGATAAATTGTAGGCTTGCAACCAGTGAAGTTGGGAGGATTCAGTCGAGATGCGGAGTCGTACGAGGTGGCATCCAGCACGTGTGCTAAAGACAGTCACAATTTACAACCGACCCCCTCTCCATCCCAAGCTATAAGGGTGGTTACAAGCTATCGATATGCACAGTCTTGATTCGGATACAAGTCTGGCCATTGAGATGGCTTTCATTAAGGTTCTCTCAATGAACACCATAGTTTTCGCGAAAATATTGTGTATTTCGGCAGCTACGACAGTGACTGTCTTTAGCATATGGGGAGGCAATGATCACGGCAGAATCGCCAGCTTTGGCGCGAAACAAGCGAATTCATAAGCGTAACAATATTTCTTATTGATGTCGGAGAGTTCTTCTGTGGAGACGTTCTTCTAATCAAATTTTGTGTCTATAGTGACTTGTCTTTAAGCATTTCTCATTCCTTGATACCAGATCACGAAAGCCATCCCATAATCTCAGGTTCCGGGGCAGTAAACAGCTGCCCATGATGTACAAAAAGAGGGCATTCCAGCAGATCCTCTATCGGAAAATCATGGCCTCTCTGGCAGGACCAGTGCCGATCCACTTGACGCCAACGCCGGTGTACTTCTCGATGAACTCGATGTACTTTCTGGCGTTCTCGGGAAGAGCTTCGTATGAGGTGATGTTTGTGCTGTCGGACTTCCAGCCAGGCAGAGTCTCGTAGATGGGCTCAACCTTGGAGAGAGCGTCAATAGTACCGGGGAAGGAAGGAACCTCCTTGCCATCAACCTTATAACCAACAGCAACCTTAATCTCGTCAAAGTCGTCGAGGATGTCCAGCTTTGTCAGGTTGAACGCGGTGTAGTGGTTGATGGCAGCTGAGTACTTGAGGAGAACCAGGTCGAGCCAACCGCAGCGACGGCGACGACCGGTGGTGACACCGACCTCACGGCCAATAGTCTGAAGCTTCTCACCAATCTCGTTGATCTGCTCAGTGGGGAAAGGACCACCACCAACTCTGGTCTGGTAAGCCTTTACGACACCAATGACCTCCTTCAGCTTGAAGGGAGAGAGGGCAAGACCGGTGAAGACACCACCGATACCAGTGTTTGAGGAGGTAACCATGGGGTAGGTACCCCAGTCGATATCGAGGAGCAGAGCGTTGGCTCCCTCAACAAGCATGGGGGTGTTTGTAGCCTCAGCCTGCTGGATCATAGGGACCTGATCAATGACATACTCGGCAAGACGAGGACGCCATTCATCGTATCTCTTGATCTCAGCCTCAACGTCGTATTTCAACAGGTCGCCGTAGCGCTTCTTGAAAGCGGTAGCCAAAGTTCTCAGCTTGTGGTCCATGTGCTCCTTGTCGAAGATCTCGCCAACTCTGATACCAGTACGAGCGGCCTTGGTCTGGTAGCACGGGCCGATACCCTTCTTGGTGGTGCCAACGGCGTCTTTGCCGAGCTCAACCTCTTCAAGGCCATCGACAAGCGAGTGCAATTCGAACAGGGCGTGAGCGCGGTCGCTGATGAAGATACGGCCCTTGTAGTCGAGGTTGTGCTTCTCGAGCTGCTCAAGCTCGTGGAAGAACTGAGGCACGCTGACGACAGTTCCTGAACCAACGAGGTTGACGGTCTCGGGGTTGACCAGACCGGAAGGGAGAATGTGGAAGTCGTAGGTGACACCATTGACGACGATGGTGTGACCAGCGTTGTGACCACCGGCAGAGCGAGCGGTGATCTTGAACTTCTCAGACAGGAGGTCGACGAGCTTGCCCTTGCCTNNATGCAGAGGTTAGACGAGCTCTGTGTTAGAGCGCAGAGCGGTCTGAGTCACAAACATACCCTCGTCGCCAAACTGCGAGCCGAGAACTACGGTTGTAGACATGTTGAGTCGATGCGTAACGAATTTCGTTCAAAGGCTATGAACGGAACTGGACAGTGAAGGCCAATTACACTCGGAAACACAAAAGCGGTCGATGACAGATTAAATAGATTTTGTGCGGGTTGCTTCCTTGGTCCGATCTCGCGGGGCTCGTGGGGCAGCACCAGCCAAGGCCGTGAGTGCGTGCGTGCTGTTGAGCGCGCGCATTACGTTTATTCCCGCCGCGGCCGTCACCGACATGCGTTCAAGTCTTCTAATCCAAGCAGACGTATTTTTTCTGTTGTTGCCAATTGTTCTAGATATCTATTCTCTACTGCTTACCAACTGCCTCACTAAAATCACCCAAGAACCTCCATCTCGTCTTTGCGTCAAGATCCTTTTCTCGCCAGTGGTTCAACGAATCAGGGAAGAAGTCGAGAGCTCCCAACAAACTTGCGTCATGCGCTATGATCAAGAGAACATCGTCTGAAGCATCAAACTCCTGCATTCCCTCTACAGTCCAGTGACACTCCTTGAGATCATGACAGAAGCTCTCTGTGACCTCGTAGTAAGGCTCGTTGGCGCTCTTGTTGCAGTGCACGTCCTGCAAGAGGTGACCAGGACAAATAGGCTGGGGCAGTGTCTTTGGCGAAGGTGAGATTTCTGTCGGAAGAGGTTGGTACTCTGAGGGTCTGAACTCTCCGGCATGATGGCAAGCATCGCCGCCCATCATCACAAATGTCGCCGGCTTGTCTAGTGGTGCAGAAACTCGAGCCAAACCACACATGTGTCCAACAGCATGGCCAGGGGTATCCAAGAGATAGAACGAACCATCTCCAAAGTAGTCATAAGCGTGGAAACGTCCGATCTTCAAGCCAGCTCCCTCATGCTTAATATCGACCTCTCGGACATCACGACCGTCAAAGTCGCTTTGGAGATTGGGCGAGTCCTTGTTGATGGGATATGCAGGTAGATGAGCAGCCTTGAAGCCAGGACCAACAATAAGTTGAGTAGACGATGGGAAAGTCGTCATATCTCCAACATGATCAAAGTGATTATGAGAGTAAATCACACTATCAATATCACCACCTTGAATATCAAAACCTGCTTCTTGCAAGATATCGGCAGTGTTCTTGTCGGCCTTTACAGTCCAGCCCTGTGACTTGAAGCTGTGCACGATTGATGGTGCCATGTTATCGGCATCTTTGCGAATTCCTAGGTCAAACAAGATGCGCGTGCCAGAGTCGTGTTCGATTAGGAAGGAGAAAGTAGGACCGGCCAGTCGGGATTTGCCCTTGTATGTAGGCTTCAAGAACAACTCGGCGGGCAAGTCGACATGTGATGTACTNAATGTTGTATCAGAGTGTGATTGACACCAAGAAAAAAAGAGACTGGATTTTTACCTGTCAATGATGGATACCTTAACAAACTTGTCTGATTGTGGTATGGTGAGCTCAGGAGCTGGCTTAGGAGTTGCCAGATACTTATTAGACATGGTGCGATGATCTGAATGAAGAATTGTTGTGAGAAGACCTAGGTATAGAAGGAATTGATTTACAAATTGAATGCTAGATAGCTCAGTAGAATTGTTTTGTTATTGCAATGGTTATGCTATCAATGTCATCGTCGGATACAGCGACGTCATCCGGCCCGTGGACCGCCGCGGCTCTCGCGGAGTGGAAGAATGTCGGAACAGCAGCAAAAGTCCCAAGATTTGTGCAACTCGCTTGTTGTTTGCGCTTCTGATCTTTGCTGTCCAGCATCAGCGTCGCTGCTCTCCTGGAATATCATCTGTGATGATAGACATGTCCGAACTGCTTGCGCAATCATAGACATAGTGATTGCGCAGTCGGTTCGAAAGGTATAGTATGTGTGTGCTCCTTCTTTTCCGTCGCCATGCAGCAGTCTAGCAACAGCTAGCTGCAACTGTGTATCTCTCTTCAGAGCAATAGATTCGCGGTATTTGCAAAGGCGAAGATCAAGGTGTCGAAAGATGCCGTCGTTCGCAAATAAGCCGGAGCGCACTCTTGAGCGCCGATTCGAAAGGGTCGGCGTGGGTGGAGTGAGCTTGACTTGGTTGGACTGACATGCATCTCCTCTAGAGCTCGTAGTTGTCGATAGATAAGAATAGAAGCGGTGTTGTTTGTAAACAGTTCCAATCACTTCAGGATAGTGTGCGCGCCTCTTGCAGCCAAGTACTCCTGGACCTGTGTGGTGCTTAAAGTCTTGATGACAGAGTAGACCTCGATGTTATGGTAACGCAGGCCGGTCTTTGGGTCGCTGTATGGCGCAGGCAGACCAGTTATGTCGCAGTACTTTTGCTTGGGCTTGAAGGATGGTGCGGCTTGGATGGATGTGTATGTGTAGCTCGGGGTCACGATGGGTTGCGCAGGTTGCGGATCGGGAAGAGCAGCTTCAGGCTGAGGAGTGCCGGCAGCACTGTTGTTGCGCGTAGCCTGGACTGATTGTTGCAGCAGCTGCTGTTCCTTGCGCTGGGCTTCCGAGACAACCTGCTTGACAGTCTTGTTGCGGCGCTGGGCAGGCTTCCATCGTGGGTTGCGGAACGGCTTGTGGATCTTTTGCATGTCGAGCTTGTCGAGCAGCGCCATGTGGTTGCTCTCGTCTGATGCTGTCGTGATGGGCGCCATGGCGGTATTGGATCGATATGTTGCTGGGCGAGAGGTTTCGGATGCGATGATGAAAATGTCAAGTACCGAGGTAGTGGACGCTGGCCGATGGTTACTGTAACTGATTGAACGCGTGGAGGTAGTGTGAGTTCGAATGGCGGGATCTGGAGCTCCTTCCCATCAATCATCTGGGGTATCACTTCTGGGGCGACCCTGACTCTGATACACATGTTTCAAAACTTGTCGGTTCGACTTATTCGAAACATTCTTTTGCAGGGAAAAATCCCATAACAAATTATGACTGTCATCACTCCGAGATTCCGGAAAACTGCTTGTTAGTCAGAGCTTGCTATGCACAAGATAGTGAACTTTGAACATTTTGACACCAAGTCCAAGACGCTACCATTCAACTCTTGACTTATACTGATCAAAATATACCTGAGAGAGGCCTAGATAACCCACAGGTGAAAGCAAGTGGGATGAGGTTTCTTGCTACTCCTAATTTCGAACTAACCACTTTCTGTAGCCATAAAAATACACGCAAGTTGTACAGATCTAAAGCGGTCCCGAGAAAGCCCTGTTACCAGGCACGGGCTCTCAGTAGAACATTGGTATTCCTGACAACCTTCTTGTATTTTGACAATACCATAAGATGTAGTGATTCTGACTGGAAGTAGTACGATGATTCTCATTTTGGTATGCATTTGATTAGCACGAAAAGACGACCGAGCGATTATCGAGTGACACAACGATGCAACATTAGAAGAGAAACCGAAAGAGTTGAAAAGCAACCAGGCTTGAGCCTTGTCCTGTACCCACACCCCAATGCAACCAGTATCCCAAGACTTATCAAAGTCTTGCATGCCTGGCTTTGAAGATAGACACCTTGTCATCATAGTAGAGTATCTCCCGCAGCCTCAAAGACGGCAACTCCTTTTCGTTATCGGATTGACCAAGTTCGCTGTCCTCGTAGGAGTCGGCCGAATCCGAGGCTGAGTCCTCACTGTCGTTATCGTCATCATATTCAACGTCGTACTCGTCTTCGACAACCGAGCCCTCATCATCGTCGTCTTCATCTTCACTCCCGGAGTCATCACCCACCCCAATTCTGCTGTGGTCTGTTCTTCTTGAGCCAGGTTTTTGTTCCAGTATCTCGAAGCACTTCTTCATGATGCCGAGGTAACAGAGGCCCAATTCTGGTCGAAGCGCCACAATGTCCACAACCTGGAGAGCTAGTTCTCTGGTATCAGGGAGGCTTGGTTGGCTGTGGTGAACAAGATGTGGTATGTATAGCGATCGAAGCTTCGGCATAGATGGAAGGCGTTGCAAGAAGAAGTGCNNTGGCAGAATTGTGAGTAAAGGAGGGTCAAGCATCATCGCATTGTTTGAACTTACCCAGTCGCGATAGTCCAGCGCAGCCCCCAGCTCTCTCAGACATGGCATCTTTCCCAAGAATTTGATGATCTCACGACTGAACATCCATTGTCGCCAAAAGACGCTGGCTCCTGGTAGGTCTTCATTACCTCTTTCACTGCTTTCGATCAGGAGTTTGCTCAGACTCGTCCGATGTCTGCGTAGCACACTATTGAATATGGCATCCAGAGACACACTTGCAGGATTTGTAGAAGTGTGCAAGAAGAACACTGATTCCAGACTGTTTGGTTGAAGCGTTTCCTTAATGAACGAGATCAATGAAGACGATACTGTATCTGTCGAAATGTGTTTCAAGTTCAGTTTGTATGTCTTTTCTGACCCCAGTTGTCTGCTTGAAGGTTGCGAGCTAGAGTCGATCATTCCAGTCACATATCTTGGCTTGGTAGACGGACTCGGCGCAAATTGGCGACGTAAAGCTTTCCACAAAAGTTCGTGGTTGTAACAGTGGAGTAAGGTAAGAGTGGTCAAGGCAGACCAATCGATGGCGTTCAGCATAACAGGAATCGACAAGGGCACATCTTCAAGCTCGAGTGCATCTAAAAGNAGCTTTCTCGATAATTCCGATGGCTGATCATTGTTCTCTTCAGAAGAACTCTTGTCTTGTTTGTCTGGAGAGTCCTTGAGACGATGAGGTAGTGTAATTGACGAGTGCTCAAAGGTAGTGCTAGAATGTCCATGTGCGGCGGAGTCGGATGTTGAAGTTTTGGGACTGGCCTGAATGTGCTCAACACTGACGATCGTCTCGTCGTCAGCGTCGACCTCTAAAAGTGTATCTGTTGCGCTTGCTGCTGCTGTCCCAGAGCTTGACAGGTCACTGGCGGGAATGGTGATTGGTGTATACAATGGGTCGTCGAGGATGCTTGAGATTTGCGAGGTGCCAATGGTCGCATTAGACCTTCGCCTCAGTCGATTTGATTGTCTGGTCCGAGATTCAACTGATTGCAGATCGAAGATCATGCCTGTCAAGATTCCAAGAACACCACCGAGACGTTTCTCACCAATCGTGATGCATGACATGACAGGGTTGGCTCGATCAACTTGTTGGAAATCCTCACCTTCCCAAACATAGTTAAACTCTTTGTGTTTAGCAAGATTTGCAATGCCAATTCGCAACTCGCGTAGCTTGTCCACCGAGCGATGAATCAGGACACTCAGCTCGTCGAGATATTGAACCTCATCGATGTCTAGCACACTTAAACTCTTTAGTGGAGGCAATATAGAGAAAGATGGATTTTCGACATGATTCAAGGCACTCAAGCGAGGAGGTGCATCGCCTTCTTGGTATGGGATAGGGGCAGGGGCACTACGAGGCTCAGCATCGTTGTCGTGCCAACGGACAGCGACTCGTTCTAAGCGACAAGGCTTATCATCTCCGTGGTCGGCTAATGACGAGAGGGCGTCCCATACAGCACTAAGTACGCCAGTGGGCATATCCCACGTGAAAGACTCGAGGCTTCGCATCCGAGCGACTGCTACTGCGACAAGAGTACCAAGCATCTTGCCACCTTCTTTAGTGATGAGGTCTGTCCAACAGAGTTAGCACACTTTTGCCAAAAGCTCGAGCTCCTAAGCCTGCTTTGTGAAACCAGATGGCTTTGCGAATAACCAAATCCTAGTCCGAGGGCAGAGGAGCAAAGACCAAGGCAGCAGATGGTAAGAATCATGTACACTCACANNGTCTTGGACCCAGTCTCGTGGACCATTGCCTAATGAGAACTTCTTGGTAAAGGAAGCAAAGTGGTTTCCACGACGTCTCCTTGTCCGTTGTTGCATAGACTGGCCGCGAGGATTGCCGAAAATCTCCTCAGCCATGACCAAGGTAGAGAGGCCATAAGTAAGAGCGTCAACGCCAGTTCGCGGCTCAGGACCAGTAACATTGTCAGGCCAGACGATGTCGAATCTGCTGTAGATGAAAGGTATGGTCAAAGCATGAAGTGTCGAATGGCAGAGAGCAAGAGAAGTCAAGTCATTGGTGTGGTTCAGCNNTGTTGCGACAAGTCAGTCGATTTGCGCCAATGCTGCTGTGAAACGACATGCCTCTCTCAGGATGGCATTGAGGATCTCTACGGGCAGATCGAGCAGGTGCCTAGGCCGTATTTCTTTGTCGGGTTCTGCAACAAGAGCGCCATTGATATCCNNCTGACCGAGAAAAGAAGGATTGTGGTTGGTCATAGTCGCATGTCGGCGTCCACTTTGGTGATTCGAAGAGGCTGCCATGGGCTCGTCTTATAAGTGGCGCATGCCAAAATACCACCCCAAGACTTCTGTACTCGCGTCTACAGCAACAGGACGCACTGCAGGCCAAGAATTTTCGTTGTGCACAACGCGAAGACCAATTATTTACATGTGTACAAGATTCTGAGAGTCTGAGATGCTCACTAGGGTTGAACGCGCACGCGGCACGGACAGTCCTGTGGGGATCAAACGGCGCGGCTCGGGTGCTTGTTTGCTGCAAACCTTTCGAGACAGCACCATCCGAATCATAAGCCCTCCAAATGCACATTCGCGTTTCGAGTCTGATTCTGAGCATGAAAATAGCTTTCAATAAGGCTCGCTCTGCGGGAATCGCATTCTCTGCGAACATATTGTGCATTTCTACAGCTACATTGTGACTGTCTTTAGCACACGGGGCTGTACCACCACATGACCACTCTACTGCTCTAGAGTGTTGACCACCACTCAATCGACCTCCCATCGTCTCCATACCCCTATGTCGACTGTGTCAGGTGCATCTGTGAATGTTTCAATCTGAAACATCTCTCCTTGCGAGTCCATGGGTGTAAACATTCGTTCGATGACCAGCCACACCTTGCCCATCTCTTGCGGTGAGAGATCAATCTCGCCTGTTCGTACTCCAGCGGATGAATCGCTATATTCGCCATTGGAGCTGGCAATCAAAATTCGACGCTGAGGACCCGTGCCTATTTCCAGTGTGACACGAATCATACTTCTCTCCCGACTCTGGCTCGTCTTCGCAGTCTCTTGAAGACCCGCTTGCTGGACTTGCTTAACGAACACATCGAGTTTTGTGAGACGCCTAGGCGCGATTGGTGCTGCTAGCATGCGCTGTTGTCCCTCAAAGACCGCCTTGGCCCAAGCACGTCTCAGTCGTCCTGCACCTTGCCGCGGGAGCATCGAAAGTTGTGTAGCGACCATACTGTCTACTCGCAGTCTAAAGTTTCCTTTCTGCCCAGCTTCGAACGTAGAGCAAATTATGGTGTAAGTACCTGCTTCGAGTTCTGCGTATTGTGCTAAGGCACAACCACGGCGATAGTCCTTCGAATCGAAGACGATATCCTTGGATCGAACTGCTTGGACCCGAGAGCCTCGACCATGCACCAGTTTCACGTGAACGTGCAACTGCTCCACGTCCGTCTCGAGAAGTAATGCGATTGGTGTTCTTGCAGGGACGACAATACTAAACTGCGGATTTTGTGAGTAGGTCGGCGAGTTTGCGTTGCCACCTGCAGTCTCGTCCGTCCAAGCCGCGGTGATAGTCTTTTGACAGAGATACTTGTTGGGCGCCTCATCGATCGTGATGCGTTGCTCCGCAAAAACAGAAAGAGTGAAAGAGTGAACGGTTGGCCCAAGGTCTTGTTCGACTGGGACAATCGTGTACTTTTCATTCGCCTCCAAGTTATCCAGACGAAGAAGAGTTTGTGGGGAGTCCACGAAAGGCCCGCGTTGCATGGCCCCATCACTCAAGTAGACTTTGGCACCATTGTTGTCGAACAAGTATAGGCTGATGTATTCCGAAGGATGGTCGTTTTCTCTTCCATCTTTGAAGTGTCGACTCAGAAGAAACCAAACAGTACTTGGAGCTACTACAGACACACAAAATTGTTGGTTGTTGCTGAAACTCTTGTACTTGCTGCTCGAGGATGACGCCGATAGATCCCAGGCGAAATGGATGTCCTGACGATGGAAGAAGAGTCCTGGGTTCCAATTCAGGTAGATGGACTCGAAGTACTGCATCACACTGTTGAGGTCTATCCAAAAAGTACCGGGTGTCAGCTTGTCATCTTTATTCAAGAGATCTCGTGATGATGGGAGGACTTCTTCATCTTCCTCATCTTGATCATCAACAGGAGACCTAGGAATACTACCCCTCCACGACATCCCTTCGCACCAGGGGTTCTTGACGAGCATCAGCTTCTGCCCGTCGACTTCTCTCATGTCTAGCACAGCATAGTCATGTTCTCCTGCAAGACCAATGGCGCGCTCGGTACGGCTAGAGATTTTGCCAGTACCCATGGTTATCAGGACGTCACCGTATCCATGTGACTTGAAAACACGTCTCCAAATGTTATTAGGGATGGTATCGTCGCTGNNTGAAGTCCATGTTAGTGAGTGAACTTTTCATTGCCTATCAGACATTGTTAAGGCATACCTTTGCAAGAAGATTTGCTCAGGAATCCAACCACTCAAGATCCAGAGATCAGTTCCAGAATTGCTACCAGGAAAGTCATAACTACCTCTCACTTTGAGATAAGCCTTCTCAATCAAGGCAGGCCATAGAAGGCTGGGGTTGTGGCGGTCAATGACATGCAAGACTCTCGATGATTTCGATACAGGGAGAAAATCATCAATCTCAACTCTTCTGTGAGTTCCATTGAAGTTGAGCTTAAAAGTATACTTGCCGTTCGGAGACAAGCTAGGTCGTTCCTGTTCAGTGTCGTAGGGGAACATCATGGAACCCAGAATCTGGCAGTAAATCAGCTACATGTGATATATCGTGTCTTCACTGGGAGCATATACCTTTGCATGGCCCCTTTCACCACGAGCAACCAGAGCACAAAGACTCGCAACCACTGAACAATCGGTGGCGGCGTCTTGGACAAGATCAATGGTACGCGACGAGCTCATGGTGGGACCTGCCCGTCTTTCCTGAGGTGTGTACCATGCTGGCGGTGGAAGAGCTTCTGCCGCACGTTTCCAATCGTCAAAAACTTCGAGCTGTGCAGAAGAGAGACGTAACCTGGGCTTGTCCCTACTCATCCATTAGTCTCGTTCTTCGCACAAGCGCACTGATGATCGGACTCACGTGAACTGCTCCTGACCATCTATGAGCTGAAAGTCTGACTCTCGCGGTGCGTTAGTCCAGGGAGGAAATTTGAAGCCGGTGCAAAATCTGCTTGAAGTAGCCAGGATTCGAGGCTCAACAAGTTTGGGCGCGTTAGTGACATCGATCTTAGGGCGAGGTACCCATTCACTAATGGATTTGATGCGTTGTGCTTCGTCAAGAAAGAAATCACACTTTTTNCTCATTGATCTCTTAGTCTCCGAGTCGTGTGTTAATCTCATGGCATTCATGGCGTGTTGGGCGGCCTCAATGGCCATCTCGAGTGCAGCATCGCGGGACGGTGCAGATGGAATCCCATGTTCGAGGGTCTGAGGTCGTGTCAGTATTGTCAGAGAGACTTGGTTGAGTAACAGACCTGAATCTTCGACTTCAATGTCGAGATGTCTTCAGAGGAAGTCATCTTCTGGACCCATTGGCACAAAATCTCGAATCGCGCCGCTGTGTTTATTCAACTTGATTGGCGCATGTGATGTTGACGCAAGGTGGGGGCGTTTTTCGGAGGTTGGAAACGCTGCGGCTTTAAGCTCGGACTGCCGCGCCCCCAGATTTTCGAGAAGAAGCTCGCGGCATGCAGAACGAGTTGGCTCTTGTGAGAAAACATCTTCCACTTTCACACATCTAGGCAAGAGGCTTTGCTTTGTGATGACAATGACTCCAGACGAAGCAAGAAGCCTCTGGAACGAACTTACTGATCCTTCGAGTATTGAACAAAATAACTTCTCAGCTTGACCAAAGTGAAGAGCGTCAGTTCTCAACAATGTCTGCAACATCCTTATCAGCTTGTGAAAGAGTAACCGAAAGACCTCGGCAAAAACAATAATTTGGGGGTGACGTTCGTTATTACACCGACCGAGGTCGCCATATACCAGACATCTTCTACCATACGAACAAACCTGTGCTTCGAGCCCAGTGCACCAGAATTGAGCCCATAGACTGAATAAAACACGCTATCTGGTCAGGAACTGAACAGTCCATCGACACGTAGGAAAGCTCTACCTCTATCTTACTTACCAACCACCGTCACAAACCCGCTCAACCGAACTATGGGCGTTCAATCCAAGGAGGCTGTTCCACCATGGGGACTGGCAGTCGCTGGTGCGACCGGTGCTGTTCTCGCCAACGCTCTTGTATACCCGCTGGACATGTATGAAGCCTCGTTTCTGGTCAAAGACGGATGTTACAGCTGCTAATCTGGTGGCAGTGTCAAGACGCGTCTGCAAGTCCAAGTAAAGAGAAAGCCGAATGATGTATCCACTACCACCAACGACCGACATTACGAAGGCACCCTGCATGCAATCAACTGTATCATCGAGGACGAAGGTCTAGCAGGTCTCTACTCAGGCATGTTCGGTTCGCTTCTTGGAGTCGCAAGCACGAATTTCGCATACTTCTACTGGTACTCGGTTGTCCGAACCTTGTACTTGTCGCGAGTCGCCATCCCTGGACCTCCATCGACCGCCATTGAGCTCAGCTTGGGTGCTGCCGCCGGAGCACTTGCACAGCTCTTCACAATTCCAATTGCAGTCGTCACGACGAGACAACAGACACAACCAAAGGNNGGAGACAAGAAGGGAATGTTGGAAACAGCAAGAGAGGTCATCAACAGTGAAGACGGTTGGACAGGGTTGTGGAGAGGCATGAAGGCGAGCTTAGTGCTTGTTGTGAATCCAGCCATCACGTATGGTGCATATCAAAGACTTAAGGACGTACTCTACCCTGGAAAAGTAAGCCTCCGACCACATGAGGCCTTTNTGTAAGTCGATAACACCATCTTGCTATCAATCAGCGCGACTCTAACACCAACAGTACTCGGCGCAATGTCCAAAGCACTAGCAACTATTGCTACCCAGCCACTCATCGTTGCAAAGGTCGGTCTGCAGTCCAGACCACCACCTGCTAGAATGGGCAAGCCTTTCGGTTCTTTCCTCGAAGTGATGAAGTACATCATTGACCACGAAGGCCCTATGGGGCTCTTCAAGGGCATTGGTCCTCAGATTCTGAAAGGCTTGTTGGTACAAGGACTTCTGATGATGACANAAGAAAGAATGGAACTCATGTTCGTTCTTCTCTTCAGATATGTGCGCAAGCTCCGGGCAGAGAAGCTGCAAAAGGTTGCAGAGTTCGCAGCCGAAAAGGCGAAGAAAGTCGCCCCCGTCGTAATGAAGTAGACGAAATGTATGGGCGTTGGGGGGCTAGGGTCGATATATTATTTTCAAGTTTGTACAGACAGTATTCAATCATGTCTTTGGACCTTTTGAATGAGTGTCCGAAGAAGATAGAAAAGCGGACAATCTTGCGACAGCAACATGTGCAGACAGTGTCATGTATGATTGTGCGAGGATCAAAGCATCCTTGTCCGCAAATGAAGTATCTTTGATAAGTTCAGCTAGTATTTCGTGGTCCAGTAGGTCCAACAGTTGGTACTGTGAGACACTGGGATCCAAGGAAGAACACGGCTGACTCGCTTCACGCAGATGCAAGATGCATGCCGACGAAGAACATTCTGTATTAGGCTCGAATGGTGTGACCAGTCTTGCATTTGGTTTCCTGAGAAGCCAGGTCAACTTACGAACCACAGAGGAGCGTAATCGAGAGAGAACAATGTCGTCCATCTGGCTAGGCCACTGATAGTCATTCCTATTCTTCAGACCAAACTTGAGGTCATGGCCCAATAAACGCTGCCAGTTCTTCTTCTGGCCAAGTCGATTCAGGAGTTGGCGAGAGTTGAGAACATATGCGCGTGAAGTCTGTTGGGACTTGTCAACAGGAGCGAGATATGGAACCAGTTTGTCATTCTCATGTCGGCGAAAGATGGTAGCAAATGGCAGTAAATGGTGCGAAGGCAATCTGGCGGCCGTAAAGTTACATTGTCGAACAGGAGTGGCCAGGGCATTTGCATAAGGATTGGCAGCTACTGCCTTGCGAAAAGGCGTCAGAGACTCAAGCGGTTGCTGTTCGCGAACAGGCCTTTGCTTTGGTGGTTGCAAAGCAGGAGATATAGGCAAGCCATGATTATTGGTAAGAGGTGTGCGTCGACCACGGGTATTGGCAGGTGCAAGATGAGAGTTCCATCTACACCATTGTTTAATTGACATTGGGTCGGGGTTCGATCAAGCAGACAGCGACTGTCAAGAGGACTCAGAAGAGTCTGAAGATTCATGTCACATGTCATGGATGCCCGATGATGGTCGGCGAACCGATGCCGACGGGAGCCTTTCCCAAAAGGGTTGTTTAGAAAACAAAGCTCCATCTCCACTTTCGCGTCTGTCTTGAATACTGTAGCTGTATATCGCCCTGCATTTTTCCAACAATATTCCGTTCGAGTCGCATTCGCCAAACCGTGTCCGAGCGAAGCGCGACTAGCCCACCATGGCTTACAACTTTGTCGACACTCCGCGCACCGACATGGCCGACCTGACGCGCTTCGATGCCGATGCTCTGTCTNTTTCCATGGAGCAACCCTTTCCCTCGCCCTCCAAGGATCCCAAGAATGACCTCGTCCGCCAGATGAAGGCCCGGCAAGGCGCTGCACAGTCTATCAAAACTCCACGCGCTCGAAACAATCTAGTCAATGCCAGGAACGGTCCCTCCAAGAACGAATTCACTCCCCTACTGAAGAGTGCCGCACACAACCGCTTCCGATCAAGAGAGAACAAGGAGAATCACAACGATTTGCTCAACAGCGTCTTGAGTGGCCGCGCTCCTGCTACGCCTGCTTATCTCAAGCCTGGTTACGTCGAGTCTCACACCCCAGGACTGCCTGTCAACAGCAGTATCATGGAGCACGATCACACTGGTAGCTCTCAGGGTGAGGGAACACCCGTTCCACCGGCCATTGCAAGCAGCAGCATCATGTCTACGCCCATGCCCATGCTGCCTCAAAGAGATGGTGGCTTGGTAGATCAAGGCAACGTCCTCACACTGCGCGAACAAGAAGCTGTGAGTTCCACCTTTGCCGATATTGTCTGGCGATCAATGCTGATCCTCACTTTCATAGNNAAACTCGATGCCGTGACGAAAGAAAACTTCAACCTGAAACTCAAGATTCATTTCCTGGACGAGAACCTGAAGCGCACCGGAACAGAGTATCAGCAAGAAGTCATCAAACAGAACACCGAGCTGAAGACCGACAACACCCAACTCTCCCACGAGCTCAAAAAGCAGAGAAAGGCCATCGAGCGCGCCGAAGCCGAATTAGAGCAATACCGCCAACAGCTTCGCGATTACGCCGAGAAGATCAAAAGGAAGCACACGGATGACATAGTCAAGGAAGAGATGGAGCGTTTGCGCCAACAAGCCGAGAAGAATCAGAACCTGGCAGACGAGCGAGAGGAGCAGATCAACGAGCTACAGCACAGACTCAACAACGCCGGAAACTCCTCGAACGAGAAGGTCAAAGATCTTGAGGATGATATGGCCGATCTTGAAGCTGAAATTCGGGCAAAAGAGATTGATCTGGACACAAAGGACGAGCAGATTGAGAAACTCCAAAAGAAACTCAAGGAAGCACAGTCTGACGATGGTGAAGCCGAGGGTTTGCGTGAAGACATTGCCGACCTTGGAAGCCGAAGTACGCGCCAAAGAACAGGAAGTCGACTCGAAGAACGACGAAATCGAATCTCTGAAACAAAAGCTCAAGGAAGTCCAGACCGATGACGAGGAGCTCAATGGCCTTCGCGAAGACGTTGCAGCACTCGAAGCCGATCTCGAAACTCGAGAGGCGAGCTCCTCGAACACCGCCAGGAGATCGAGGAGTTGAAACAACAAGTCAGAAGCACTCAGAATACTGACCGATCAACGAAGAAGCTTCGAGGTAGCCTGGAAGAACTGGAAAATCAGCTCAGAGAGAAGGACCAAATCATCGACCAGAAGCACAACGAGCTGCGTGCGTTGGAGAAGCGACTGCAGACCTCAGAAACAGCTCACACAACCGAGATGCGAGAGATTGAAAGCGAGCTGCAGGAGAAGGACTTCTCGCTTGAGCAGAAAGACGGAGAAATCAGGGCTTTGCAGGATCGCTTACAAACCGCGAGAGGTAGTTGGGACGCCGAAGCCATGCAGACTGATGCTCGCTTCCAAGAGAAGGATCAACTTGTCTATGAAAGAGAGTCGCAACTACGTGAAGCTACACGCCAGGTCGAAGAGCGCAACCGTGAGATTGCAGATCTCAAGCAAAGTCTCAAGTCTGTCGAGAACGGCACCAGCGCACAAGCCCAACAATCCAGACAACAAGGCGAACAAATCCGACAACTGCAGGAACGCTTAAGATCCACCGAGGCCAGTGCAGGCGCCGAGCGAGATGAGAAATCAGACATCATTACTTCGAAGGATCGCGAGATCCGCAGCTTGCAATCCAGACTTCGGGGCCAAGAAGGAGACGAAAGCAACGAGATCAGACTCAAGACCGAACATATTGAGCAGCTTGAGCGGGACATACAGCTCAAGAACCAGCAAGCTCTGCAGCTGAACACGGAGATGCGCGCTCTCAAAGATCGCATGGCTAGTATGGAAACACCAACAAAGAAGAATTCCATGCTTAGCCAACAAGCAGAACAAATTCGCAACCTCCAGCAGGCTCTTCGCGCTTTGTCAAGCGAAAAGGACGCCGAACTGAACGAACTTGAGAAGCATTTGCAGTCTGCCGAAACCGAGTTGGATGCTCATACCAAGAAGATTCAACAGCTGCAAGAGCGTCTCAAATCAGCAGAAAGAGACCAATCTTTCGCCGGCCACATGGACGAAGATATGCAAGAGAAGCAANAAACTATCGAGCAGCAAGAAGATCAGCTGTTGGATATGCAGACCAAGCTTCGCAAAGCCCTACAGGAGAAGGAATCTGAAATGATAACCTTCGAGACTCGCCTTCGTCAAGCCAAGCAAGAAGCTGAACATGAGAAGCAGCAACTCGAGCAAGACCATGAAGAAGCTTTGGAAGCCCTCGAAGACGAGATTATCGTGTTGGAATCGAACGTTGAAGACGCGCAGCGCGAAAAGTCAGCACTACAGCAAAAGGTTCAACTTCTGGAACGGGATCTTGTAGCATCGAAACAAAACGGCACACCAGTACGCGAACGCAATGAGCTGCGCTTGAAACTGAGGAACGCCGACATGGAGCGAGAGAACCTCAAGCGTCAGACTCAAGACCTCGAGCGCGAGCTCGACGCAGCCTGGCAAGCCAAGGAGAACGGCACACCTGTACGCGAGCGCAACGAGCTTCGGTTGAAGTTAAGAGAGTCACAAACCGAGATCTCCAAGCTTCAAAACCGCATTCAGTCTCTCGAACTTGATCTGGAATCTGCTCAAGCTGACAAGACGATGGCTGATGAGCGCATGGATCTACACGAGTCACTCAAGGAAGCCAAGATAGAAGCTGAAGACCTGCAGCTGCAAATTTCGGAACGTGACAAGAAGATTGCCANNCTCTATCAAAGAAGGAGGGCGACGCCAAGGTTCATCTTGACGAGGCGCGAGCAGAAATGGAACAGCTCCAGTCAGAAGTCTCGGAACGTGACACCAGAATCTCAGGCTACATGGCCAAAGAAAGAGAGCTCCGTACGCAGATTCAAGAGCTGAGAGAGGCCAAGGTCCAGTTACAAGAGCTAGAACTCCAGCTCGACGAGCGTAAAGGCAGCAGCTCTGGTCATGCAAGACGCGAGGCAGGACTTCGTGTTCAATTGCGCGATTCCAAGATTGAGATCGAGGATTTGCAAGTACAACTCTCTGAGAAGGAAGAGCGCATTGAGGTATTGTCACAAAAGGAAAGAGATCTTCGCGACAGAATCAAGAAGAGCCGAACGACATCTGATGATACCCACTTCCTCGAGCAGGACCTTCGCGCCCAGCTGCAGGATGTGGAGATCGAGTGTAAAAACCTGCAGAAGCAGCTTGAAGAGAGGGAAACTCGCTTGCAGTCGTCTCTGAGCCGTGAGAATGAGTTACGCTCCAAGCTCAAAAATGTCCGCGGCGAAGTCGACGATACACGAACAATCAACCAAAGAGAGATTCGTGGTCTGATTGAGGCCAAGGAGAAGACGCACGCAAGCGAGCTCAAGGGACTTGCCAAACAGATACAATATATGCGAGCCAAGTGTGAGCGCGAAGAAGCATTCCGCAAGGATTTGGTGTTCAGCAAGCGCTGGTTCCTGATGCAGGTGGAGATGTATGGCGCATGGTAAGTTCCTCTCAATGTCTATACAGATCACAAAAGCGTATACTGACTTCATCTACAGCAACAAAGCAGATCTCAAGCTGCTCGAGGAAATGGGAGTAACACCCAAGACCAAGACGAGAGAACAAAAGCCAAGTCTTCGATCAGTGGCATACATGGTCATGGCTACTGTACGTATGCGCAAGATGCAGGAAGCGTGGGCAGGCAACAAAAAGTTGCACGAGACGTTGATGAAGAAGTTGGATGGCATGAGACGGAAGCAAGGCAAGACGCCGCTACGATGATTGATGAAAATATATATCTTGTTTGATGACAGCCGCTGATGGTGGGTCATGTTCTGTGTCTACTTTTGATTGTTTGGTCGGTGTTGCGGCATGGTACATTGGCCTTGGAGTATTATGGAATTCGACAAGCTCACAAGGCGTTGATAGCGATTGCATTCGAATGGCGTAGATTGTGCCTCTCAATTCTTTCGTAGAGCATCGTGAAGGTTGTCAGTTCAATAAAAGGTGAATGTTGCAGATGAGACTCGAGTATTGTGAGGAAGAGACAACAGTCCGCCAAGACCGAGAAATGCGGAAGTTTTGGGGTCGACATGGCAGCACGCACAGAATCTTTAACGCAGCCAAGTTCACATATACCATCTGCAGTCACATACAACATGGGTGTTCCTTTCGACTACGCGCCCGAGAGGCCAGAGCACATTGATGCCATTCTGAACGGACTCGACCGCTACAACCCCGAGACTACGACAGTTTTCCAGGACTACGTCGTGTCGCAATGCGAAAACCAGACTTACGACTGCTACGCCAACCTGGCCCTGCTCAAGCTGTGAGTGCCGCCTCTCTTTCTTTGCCCGTTGCTGGATTCTAGTCGATCTTGGTCTTGTTGCATGACGAACGACATACACGTTTCCTATTACCTGACAGGCGACCGGGGCTTGAATCACTCCATGCCTTTTGATGTCCAAACTATTAGCTCTATCTGTTCTGCAACCACTGTTTCTGCAAATGCGCATACCTTCTTGTCTTTGAGGAACCGCAAAACTGACTCTCTTCAACAAACAGCTACCAATTCAACCCCCACCTCGGTCGCGATGAGACCATCACCAACATCCTGGTCAAGTCGCTGACCGTCTTCCCTTCGCCCGACTTCAGCCTGTGCCTCGCTCTCCTCCCTCCTCACGTGCTCGTCCCCAACCCAGCCGCCAACTCGCTCGCCGAAGCCGTACAAAAGCTCAACACCCTACACAGCCAGCTGATCGGCGCCTCGTACGACCAGTTCTGGTCCACACTCGACGGCGACGACCTCTACGCCGACCTGATCGCCGATGTCCAGGGCTTCGAGGAGTTGATGCGTGTTCGTCAGGCTGTTGTCATCAGCCAGACCATGCAGAGTGTTGACCGTGCTGTTCTCGAGTCGTGGCTCAACTTGAACGGCGAGGCTTTTGACAAGTTTGTCAAAGAGGTTTGCGGCTGGACTGTTGAGGGCAGCACTGTCAGCATTCCTCTCAACAAGGAGAACGAGGCCAGAGGAACCGTTGTGCGCGAGAATGTCAAGTTCGACCGTAAGTCTTTCCATATCCGAGATGTCGTAATGCTGGAACAACAAACTAACCCAATATTCGCAGAGTTCTCAAGAATGATCAAGAGAGCATACGAGCAGCCCGCATAAACGAGATGGAAAGATGTATTTTGGTGACCTGACACACGAAAGCATGGCGTTCTACGGATTTTCTTCAACACAAAAGAGCCCTGGTGAATGGCGAAGAAGCTCAAGGGAACATACTCGGTGGGAACAAAAGTCGCATTACCAACAGCCTCTTTCCAGTATTTTCGTGGCAAGAGAGGGACAAAATGGGGTTAGGCATAGAAAAAAAGCGTAGTAGCTGTTTATGTGCCTTCTTTTATTCCAAACACATTAGAAGAACCAGAACATGACTTGTTCAACAAATGATCTCGGTATTGCTTCTTGACACTGTACATGTCCGAACTCGTCCTGAAGTCAAATCTATCATGGTATCCGTCTCTTTACTTCTTACTGTTCAACTCCTCCCATTGAACTCCGACCCACTCTTCAACGTAGCCAACTTCTCCCTCCTTCTGACCACGCTGCACACAGTCCTTGGAGCACACACCCAGAATGATAGTGCCCCACTCCATGCCTTCAAGACCCAACTCCTCAGCCTCCAGCTCCACAATAGCATAAGGCGTAAGTTGCAACTCAAACAACCTCTCCGCACCACAGTTATTGCACTTTGGCATACCCGACTTGGCAGTAGTCTTGACTTTGGCATTCACAGCAGCAGCATCTTGATGGGGAGCCAGCAGTTTCCCCACTGCGTCTGTCTTGCTGTACAGCAAAGGCTGGCCTGCAAACTCGTAACGCAAGATTTGTTCGGGGTTTTGGGAGAGGCGGTCTGCGAAGCGTTGGAAGGCTTTGTCCATGCTGGATTCGAAGGCGTCTTTGACGTCCATGTCTGCGCCTGCGCCGCCGGAGCTTCCTTCGCCGGCGTCAATGTCCATGTCTACGCGTGCCTGTGTGGGGATTTCTGGCTTTTCGGCGTCGAGGGTTTCGTAGTCGGCGTCGAGGTAGTAGGAAGGGTAGGGTGGAGGGAAAGAGGATTGTTGGGGCCATGGCTCGCGAGGGCCGGTGGGTGCTGTAGTGGGAGCTTCGGAGGTGGGCTCGGGGGTGGAGATGCGGGCTTTTGAGGCGAAGGTCTCGGAGAGCGATGGAGTGGGTTGTGAAGGTGCTGGTGAGGGTGCTGCAGGTGTCGAGGAGAAAGGGTTTGCAGGGCGTGATGACGCGCCGCCAGTCGAGAAGGGATTGACAGGCGCAGAGGCAGAGGTAGGAGGTTTGACGCCAAANAGAGATTCGCCCAGGTTGGTCTTTGTAGCAGCGGGCGCTGGTGTTTCTTGTGGTGTCTCTTCTTGCTTGGGCTGTTTGGGCCTCTCGGACTCGGCGGGAATGGCAGAGGCGCGGATCGCTCTGAAAGCTCTCACGCTACCGGCCTTCCTTCTGCATGCCTTTCTCTTGCATGCCCAAAGATATAATCGTCGTTCGTGGCCAGGAAAGCGGTCGGGCAGGTCGCCGTTCAGTTGAAGTAGCAGCGTCAAGAGGTTGTTACAGCTCTTGCATTTAGCCAGGTCGCCTGGTGGTGAAGTCTTTTCGTCGAGCCATGTCTGCGCATTGTCGTCAGTGCATGTTCCAATGTATGGTGGGCGAGCTCAGCATACGGGATGTCCACCNAACTGGCTGGTTGTGTCGTCTACTGCATCCTTTGTGGCATAGCCGAGAAGAACGTTGGTCTCGGTGAAGTTTTCGTCTTCGAAATCAGAATCGCTGTCGTATGTCGGCATTTTGTGTGGTGGAAATGTTGATGTCTTGAGAAAAATTTCCCCAGGCGCTGAACAACCCGCGTCATGTTGGCTCGGCAATCCACCCGACACTTCACTGTCACATGCTAGAGTGTTTTCGAGGGTAAAGTGGTTTAAAATGAATTTCGAGATGCACTTTTGATTATAATTGTTCAATGCTGCCCCGAACGCGTTGATATGCTTTGTACTCGTGTGTTGGGCGCTACGGCTGTTTACGCATCCTTTTGGCGCTCCTTCAGCATTTCAGCGACCATCTGCTTGGCCTCTGCAATGAGCTCAGCTTCCTTGTCCAGTCCAACACTGTTGCCTCTTGAGTTCAGCAGACCAACATCCAGATTGCCAAGACCGCCATTGGTTATGCGATCACCGTCTTCAGCAGGCTGTCTCTGTGGTTGTCCAGATGGTCCTCTCCTTGCCAAACCTGAAGTCTCAGTTGCTGCTCCTGTGGTGCTCAGAGTAGGCACCTCAGCAGCAATGATGCCTACTTCCTCCAAAGCATATGCTTGACGGCGTAGTCGAGCCATGATGGATTGAATGTGTGTAAAGTAGGCTGTCGTGTGTTTGGTGAATGCTTCCTTGTGCGCAGCCGCAGAGTTGTCGCTTTGGACATCGACCATGTCGTCGCCATCGGTCGAGGTAGCAGTCGGAGGGCGATTGGTCAAGGCATTGATAGCACCTCCAGCGCTGGACAATAGAGCGGGCACGTCGGCGTTGATGGCCAACAGTTCGCGAATGCGCTCGGCGGGCGTCACGGTCGGCGGCGGTTGTGACTGCGACATGGTGACAACAGACTAAGCGTACTTGCTGGTCTGCTTGCGACTGGCTCCTCAGCCCATCGAGCTCCTTTTGTTGCTACCCGGTAAAGAGGTTGGTCGCAAGGAAAGATGGAGAGAAGGAGAGTTGCTTGTGAACGGTCACACACTTCACGTCTTGGCGCGTCGCATCTTCCTCCATTCACTTTCCATCGACAATCACTATCCACCTGTACGAGTGCCGTCGCGTTTGTCGCATCCTCACTTGGCGCGTCCATTTCACTTGTACTATAGCCTGATATGTCAGGACCACCGCCCCAGCCGCAGAGGACGGCCAGTGTAGGACCTCAGAATGTTCCTCCTACTCCAGGCCATCCTCCACAACAACCTGCTCAACCTCAGTCACAGCAGAATTTAAATCAGATTGTGAGTACTGTATTCTCTTAGAATTTCCTCGGCTTTCGTTCTCGTTTTCGTTCAGTTGCGTAGAGAAGCTGCGAGTTGGCTGCCGTTTCCCTTGCTCTTTCGTCGCTCGCTCGCATATATCAAACAAAGGAACCAACGCGCTCGCACAAACCTCACATATGCTTGCTTGCTTGCTTGCTTGAAATTCAATACCCTAGTTCATTTGCTTCTTCTGTTCTCACTCTTTGAACTTGCGGATATATGCTATCCGTATACCACTTCCACTTCTTCCTCCCCAAGCACCAGTCATCCACCACAAGTCATGGTCAAAGTTAACGGTGAAAAGGTACTGGAGTATCTTGCCAAGAAAGGATATAACCGGACGGAAGCAATGTTGCGAAGAGAGAGCGCTCATGCGGATGCTGAAGGCCGACCTATCATCCGCCGTGCAGAGGATGCTGGTGGAGAAATGTACGAAAAAGCCTACGAACTTCTACTGCGATGGGTCGAAAAATCTCTGGACATCTACAAGGACGAGCTCGGTCGATTACTATGGCCCATCTTTGTCCATTCTTTCCTCGCTCTGGCCGCAAACTACTACCCTCGTCAATGTGCCAACTTCTTCAAAACTTATCGGGAGCAATTCGAGAAGGAACACCAGGACGACATCCGCGCTCTGCAGGCCATCAGCCTGCCAGAGCATGTTCAGAATAACCACATCGCCAAGCTCTACCGCGAAAACCACTACAGACTCACAATCACCGATCTGGCATATTCGGCCTTGTTGCAGTTCCTAGAAGCTCATGACACCGAGGGGGGCTCGGTCATCCTTAATATAATCACAAATCACATCGAACTGAAGCACGTAGATCGAGTAGCTTCAGGAGCAGAGCGCAGTCTTGCACGAATCCTCGCAAAACAAAGAGGTATCTCAGATGTGCCTGCTGAAGACGAGGGCATTCCTGGGCACAATCCTGGTTCTGCAAACACAGATCGTAATGCGCCGCCAGTCTTGGCAAAACTCGCGCTTGCGCCAATGCCCATGGAGGCAGATTTGATGGAAGACGTAAAAGCAGAGCTACAGGAGCATGATTCGCTACATCCACCTCCACCTGGCCGTAACACGCTTGTCGAAGAGTTCGAGCAGCGCATTAAGCAGGAGCCGAACGACGACGCGCCTTCACGCGATCAGATCCCCTTTCCACCTTCTCTCGCTCGTGACGTTGCCATGGAGGTGCAAAGGATCAAGGAGAATCGTGACAGATTCAAGATCGAGAGCAGAACAGATGGAGTTGGTCCAGGTGTCAGTGTGACAATGTTTACCTACCACAACACCTTCGACAGGTATGTTCTTCGTTCCGTCTCTTCCGATCAACGCGCTAACAAAACACACCNNAGCATCAACTGCATCGAGTTTTCTGGCGACGAAAAGCTTGCAGCTGTCGGAACGGCAGAATCCTACATCCGAGTCTGGTCGCTTGACAACAAGCCTCTTGTCTCTCCTCTCGACCCACCCACACAACAACCCTCCTCATCACGACGCTTGATCGGACACTCCGGCCCTGTCTATGGTCTCTCTTTCTCTCCATCCATCGCTCTCCCCACAACTGCCGCGCAAGCTAACGGCAGCGGCAACAACGACTCCCAATCAACACCCTCTCATCCTCGCTATCTTCTTTCATGCTCTGCCGATAGCACTATCCGCTTGTGGTCGCTCGACACCTTCACCAACTTGGTAGTCTACCGCTCCCACACTTCTCCTGTCTGGGACGTCAAATTCTCTCCTTTCGGCCACTACTTTGTCTCAAGTGGTGCCGACCGAACAGCACGTATGTGGAGCACAGCACAGATAGCTCCTCTACGACTGTTTGTTGGCCACGACAGTGACGTTGAAGCCATCTCATGGCACCCTAACTCAGCCTATGTGTTCACAGCAGCAGGTAGTCCAGACCGCAGCATCCGCATGTGGGACGTACAACGTGGCAGTGCCGTACGCCTGTTCACCGGCCACACTGGCAACGTAACCAGCATCGCCTGCGCTCCAAACGGCAAACTCGTCGCCAGCGCCGACGACCGTGGAGAAATCCTACTCTGGGATCTGGCCACTGGCCGCCTGGTCAAGCGCATGAAGGGACACGGCCGCGGCGGCATCTGGACTTTGGACTGGAGCATCGAAAGCACAGTCCTCGTTTCCGGTGGCGCAGACTGCACAGTCAGAGTCTGGGACGTTCAACCGCCTACCCTGTCCAACGGAAGCGATGCAAAGACACTTGCTGATGGTGGTCTGAACGGCAAAGACGGAGGTGCTGGAGCTGGAGGCGCAAACACCAACAAGAACAAGAAGGCCAAGGATGTCGTTGTCTCGCCTGACCAGATCAGCGCTTTCCCTACCAAGAAAAGCCCAGTGTACAAGGCCAGGTTCACACAGATGAATCTAGTTATGGCTAGCGGTGCATACCTGCCTTGAAAAGCAGCACAATCGACCCAGAAAAAGGCTGATATGATGGCGTTTCTCGAATTGGGAGGGGGCGATATATAGCAGCTTCTTGGCTCTCAGTTGGCAAACAGTGCTGCCTCTGTTACCGGATCAAGGAAGCTGAGAAGGAAAGGAATGGGCTGCTATTATAGCAACAACCAAAGACCTTACCGATTCTTGTGCGTATCCTTGCTCATCTGCCCTTAAGTCTCGATAACTCTCCGTGCAAATCTACATGTTCCATATCCCGTGTTTTCACTTGCCCGTATATTGTTCCGATAGGAACCTGCTTGACACCTCAATAACATCTGTTTGTTTATGCAGCAGTGGACTTTGAGTAGGTAGCTAGCTAAATTGACGTCTCGTAAGCATGCTCTCACATTGAAAAGATATCGAGATTGTATATGTAATCATGCAAACCTCTTTTTCAGCACACACCAATTGGACGCAGGCTGCGTAGTAAGATGGCCGGCTGGCAACGGCTGTCAAAAGTATAATGCTGACAACATACACGGCATGTAGACTTCTGATGCGATGAGACGCAAGTTTGCCAGAGTGTTCGCGAATACCATTGGCACCAACCACACGAGAATCAGATGTCAAGAAGAAGAAGAAAGCATGCAGTTGTGATTATAGCTGCCTGGTCATCCACACAGTAAAAGTGCGGGCAATAAAAGGGGTGATAAAGAAGTAAAGTAGTAGAAAAGAGTTGCTCGTCAAGTCCTTGATAAGGTATGGAGCAATGCCAGACCCAATCTCATGAAAAGCGCCGTGTGGTGGAAATTCCCCAGTGTCGAAACCCACGCCATGCATCACATATCCTTCGTTCATATCAATAAAATGTGTTTGTGTCATGTAATGCCCCAGTGCTGTGCGCCGCTATAAAGAAGTGAGGAAGCCAAAGAAGGCTAAATGTCAAGGAGCGTTGAGAATCAGAGAGAGCAGACTGGCAGTGCTGGCTTCAGACAAACTCGTACTCTGCGTCCTCGGCATCCATGAGCTTGGGCTTGGCATGACCAAGGTTGTGAGCCTCCTCTTCATCGGCGTCAAGGATCTCGTACTCGTTGCGCACAAGCTTGATGGTCTCCTTGTCTTCATACTGCTCGATAGCCTTTGCGAGTGCGGTGTTGAGAATCTGGCTGCCGTGGGAAGGGACGCGAAGGTTGTCAAAGCCGTACAGAATCTCGGATGGAGTGGACGGAGTTGTGGCTTCGTTGTCAGAGTTACTGCTGCTGTCTTCGGAGCTGCCAGCGTATTCGTCGGCGTCGGCGAGCATGTCTTGCTTGCGAGCGATCTTTGCTTTACCGGGAACATAGACGGCGCAGAAGAGACCGCTCTTCTCGGCGTGACGGTAGGACNNTGACTGCATCATACGTGTCAGTGTCTTCGTCCTGGTCACTCTGTTGAATAGCAGCTAGGAGACATACGTCTTTGATCTCTTCACGGGCTTGGGGTTGTCGCCTCGGCCCTTCGTGAAGGTAGCGCCCATGCCCCATTTGGCCTTCTGTTCTGCATCGCGCTTGTAGTCCTGAGCAGCGCTGCGGAGGTCGGATTCAGGGAATGTCTGCTCAGAAGACATGGCTGATGACGGTGTGTACCGATATGAAGTGGAGAGGACTTGTTGAGGCGGGTAAGTGATCGGCGTGATGATGGTAAACAAAGAAGCCGAGAAGTGGAATGAGGTGAAGGGATGAAGCAGCAGTGAGGTTGTAGGTAAGAGTGTAGGAAACAGGTGTCAATGACGAGATGTTTCCAAACAAAGGGAAGTCAAATGGGCAAACAACACAAGAAGGAGGGATGCAGTCAGATGGTCCCCGATCGCTCCTGACTCACTGGGGTAATGTGGAGTTGAGGAATACCCGAGTGGAATCCGATGATGATAAGGGCTGAATCCGCTTGCGGCGTCGTGTTGTAACGGCGGCAGTATAAGGTTTGATACAGCTAAAGAAGTGATAGATGCAGATAGAGACACCGTAAATGAGTCACTGAACGAGGTTCAAATAGTGGGACAAAGAACAGATCCGCATTGCTTTGATGCCTACGGGTTGAGACAGCTTCACAGCCGCTTCAGACAGGCTCCTGGCTGACTGCGGGGAGTGGACGAGTGGACGATAAGGGAAGCCACGTTCGTATGTTGGTCATGCGTGCCTTGACGCGGTATCGAGCGTCATGTTTCCAGTCGCGGCAAGGCTCAAGCAGACCAAGTCCACGGCCCACGGGGGTTCGTGACTGGTTGTGGAACAAGTTGGCGGCGGCGTCCGGAAACGGGCACCTTGTTTGATGAGAGAGTGTTGTTGTGGTCATCCAGGCAACAAAGCGCACGTCATCTCTCGGCGTTAAGCTCGGCTTCTATTTGTGGCTGGTGCCATGGCTTTGTGCTTGTTGTGCACAGCGTGCATAGCACATGGACTCGTTGGTCATTCTTCGTTATCTTCATCATCCTCGCTGAGGTCGCTGGGCAGTCTGTCTGGGAACCATCCGTAGATTGCAAAGTCGATCAAGTACTCTCCTAGTGATCCTCGAGTCACTTGTACTCCTTCGGCTTCGATGGCAGTTGCTTGTTGGCGAGCCCCATTTGCGCCTCTANNTTCATTGTCAGATGTTGTTCTTTATGTATCTGGAGCTAAGGATGTCAATGACCTTGGGCTGATGGCACCTTTAGCGTTAATAACTCTTTGCCATGGCACATTCGAATTGTTGTAGTGAGCATCTGGTTGTGCTGTGGCAGAGAGAAGCGCTTTCAAGGATACACCCACTTGTCTACCTGGTGTCAGCCTTTTGGAAATGATGATTCAGAGAACCGATGCTGACCTTGGGCATTCAGCTATTTGGACACAGTATCAGTAAAGATGGGCTACGACACGTAGATAAAAAGTAGAGCAGTTTTACTTACGTTTTCCCAGCAGGCGAGCGATGTGGCCATAGGATGTGACTTTTCCGTACGGAACTTCTCTTACTGCATTGTAAACAGCATAAGTCCAAGCAGCGGCTTCTTCAGATCGAGCCATTGTAACATGTATTCACATGTTGAAGTTGTGAAGTATCAACATGAGATAATCTTAAGGTACCTATGGAACAATCCCCGCGCATGTGCAACGCCAAGGTTCGACGGTGACCATCATCTTTTGACTGACTGAAAGCAACACAACCATCGTCATTCCAGCTCACATCACCAACATGGGTCTTGCCGACTACTTAGCCCAAAACTACCTATCCGCCGATAGATCATCCAAGGGCAAAAAGCGCAAGAGAAAGAATGCCGAAGAAGCAGGCCTGATCATCGCCGACGATGATGTTAGCGGCTTAAGCAAATCACGAAATGGCGACGACGACGACGATATCCCTATGATCATGCCAGGAGGCGCAAACATCAGCAAACGAACAACGACTTGGAAGACTTTCGGCAAAGCCGCTCCTTCGAACAATGAACAAGCTGCAGCAGATGCTATCCTGGCCGATGCAGCTGCAGAGACACAAGCGCGCAATGCAGAAGACGAAGACGCCCCTGCTGTAATAGGGGAAGATGAAGACATGGATTACTCGGGACCGACCATGGCGTCAGGTGCGATGGCGGGTCTACAGACGGCAGAACAGGTCACAAAAGCCTTGAAGAGAAAAGAGCGTGAGGAGAAGAAAGCGATGCAAGAGATGGGCTTGGATCCTACTGGCAAAGCACAAGAGACGATATACCGTGATGCATCAGGTCGAGNNATCATCAACGTCGCCATGAAACGCGCCGAGTTGCGACGCCAGGCCGACGAGGAGGAGAGAAAAAAGGCAGAAGAGGCCGAGAACAGACGCGGTGATGTACAAAAGAGAGAGAAAGAGGCACGCATGCGGGAACTGGAGAAGGCAAAGACCATGTCACTCAATCGATATGCCGACGATCGTCAGTTGAATGACGAGCAGAAGGAGCAAGAACGGTGGAACGACCCAGCACTGGCTTTCTTAAGCAAGGGCACGACAAAAGGCTCAAAAGGCTCAAAGGGGAGGAAGAAGACATACACAGGTGCCTTTGAGCCCAACCGCTATGGCATCAAGCCAGGATACCGATGGGATGGCGTGGATCGTAGCATTGGCTTCGAAAAGAGGTGGTTCGAGGCACGCAACCAACAACAAAACATCAAGGACTTGCAATATGCATGGCAGATGGACGAATAGACGCTTTACGGCATGTCGATTATGCTACCACAACAGCTCCGCATCCACTACGGGCGCGATGTCATCGCTATCGAAATTCATGCCACTCAGGTCGAGCGGTCTTCTGTGCCAGTACTGTACAAAAGTAAGGGCTGCATCCTCACTGTCGAAGCCAAAGAGATGCGATGATCGGACCTTGCGTCTCTCGCGTCTGCCCAGTCGTTCGTCTTGTTCATCCTGCTTAACCGAGTTTTCCATCTCGGCGAGTTCTTCGATCTCTTCCAACCAGCTGTTCCTGTTCTTATTCTCACCCTTATCTAGGCGCGTGTTTGCGCTGAACGGCGAAACGTTCTTTGGTTTTGGCTCCCAGGTTCGATATGAAAGCTCACCAAACTCGCGGTTCCACGGTATTCTTCGTTCTCGTTCCACCTTTCCCAAGACACCTTTGACCATAGTGATGGGCAGCTGAGGACCCTCGAGACGGATCATGACAACGTATGGCTCCTTTAGAGGACCCTTGACGATATCCGGATAACCCAGATTGTGAATGATGTCAACAATCGAAGGTGAAACTTGCATAGGCAGAGGCAAGAGATGCATGACACGGGATGGAGGAAGGAGGGTGTAAGTCTGCAACAAAGAATCGATATCTTGGCCATTGAGGTGGTAACCCGGTGGAGGAGGGATAGGCGATGTCAAGCTGGACTGGACATGCCTCGAGGCAAGCGAGTGCAAGGATATGACATGAGTGCGGTAGGCGTTCATGGCAGCGCGCGAGTTGAAAAGAATGAAATAGAAGTTTTGGCGCTCCAGAGTACTTGTATTGCGTCCTGGCACGACCTTGACGATGTCTGCTTGGTCCAGCGTCCAGCCTTCGATGTGCAATCCTTGTGGAATCAATCTTGTAAAGTCATCCTCGACCAGAGTCTTGCTCGCGTTGCGTAGCATAAGTACTCCCTCGACACGCTGACGTCTTTTTCGGTCTAATGGCTGTGGTGCAACGGATTCAGTCGCGCGGTTCCACCAGTTGTCCTTGTTCACGTTTCTGGCAAGCTCACGTTGCTCTGGTCGCGGAGTCTTCGGTTTGGGCAGGGAAGCGTGGACGTCCAGTCGTGGAATGTCGCGCTCTTTTGGACGAGTCGAGGTTTGGGGTTTGGGTTGAGCTTCTTCTGGAAACAGTTCTTCCATCAAAGAAGGCCTCCTTGGTTGTTTGCCTTCTCTTCCATGCTGTCCAGGTTCTCTGGATCTGTCCGGTGCTTTTGAACTCGCGCTTCTTAGTCCTCTCGGATCGTGGGTGATGCGTCTCTCATGATATCCAGGTCGCAGAAAGGGAAGCCGGGTATTCGTCGAGTCGCAGAGATGTCTGCTTTCACGAGGGAGCCATCTCAGGCATGACGCTCGCAGATAGACTGGTTGCGCTGCCGACATCAATTGTCGCACCTTTAAACTTGTTGATTTGGTCTCGAGCCTCTTGATATGTCGCTTGCATGTGAAATGCCCATCCCCGTCTTGCCCGCATTTTTTGCTTACTCAGCAGCGACTTGTTCAACCATGTCAATCTCAACTTTGACTGGAACAAGTTTTTAGCTGATAATAACTGGCTCTTAGGTGAATGTGTTTCTTAGTCTAAGAAGATGATCGTGGTCTGTATTATTTGATCATCTCGTCATTACCCATTGGTGCATTGAACGAGGAGTAGATTATGAAACTATACAATGCTTGTTCAGAATCACCATAAGCCCATTGAGAGTCACCTCATTGGCTCTGATTCTGTTTCCTTTAGGCAGCATACCTAGTTGTATGACTCTACAACTACACATGCGACAAAACTATGCAAAGAGATAATTGGTGCATTGTTCTTGATTCGACTAACTACTTGGGCTGACTAAGCCAAGACTTCTATACACCTGAATCTTTACAAAAATTCGTCCTTGCAAAACGCAAAGCCACAGCAGTGCTTACCAAGTAGACGCCATGGCGGAATCTACTCTTTTCACTGTGAGGCCATTGTCTACTTCAACTTCACTGGATGGCGCCTTCCGAGTGCACCTCACAGCAAAAGACCTGGATCTACTTGGACTGAAGCTGGGCGAACTTTGTACTCTTCGTTCTGGCGATGGCTCATCTGCCGTTGGTATCGCTTGGAGATCCATGGACTCGAGTGTCAAGCCTCAGCTTCACCCTGTCAAATTGTCACAAGCCATGCTCGATGCTTTTGGCTTCAAACTTGGCAGCCAAATTACCATTGAANAAATCAACGCAAAAATCGCTCATGCCGATCGGGTTGTTGTCATCGATGTTTCCGATACCGAGAAAATCGATCTTACCAAGGACGACAGAAGCTGGAAATGGCGTTGTGGTATGGCTCTGGGTAACGTCGAAGCAATCACGACTGGGGTGGCTTTCGAGGCCTCATCTCGTAAAGGATTGAGGAAACGCTTCTTGATTGAGCATATCGAATCGAGCGAAACGACCAAAACACCAGCCTTGTATCTGTTCGATGACAGAAGTCAGATCGTCCTCCAAGATGAAGCATCTGCTGTAACACCTGAGGCACCTCTGCCCCGTTCGATGGCAGTGACACCAGAGGGAATCGGTGGTCTGAACAAGCAAATCGAGCTTCTCAACAAACGCCTGTCACGATTGATTGGTGATATTAGAGGAAAAAGACTGCCACCTCAGGTTCAACGCAATGGAGGCATTCTTCTTTACGGTCCTGAAGGAACTGGCAAGACACTGCTACTCAACCATCTATCTGAACAAGCTCCTTGGAAANAGGTCGTGAGAATTGACCAGAGCGCACTAGCTGGAACGTCTAGCAAGAACCAACTTTCCGTACGCAACCTTTTCGCCGAAGCAGTGGCTCATCAACCTAGTCTGGTCATTATGGACAACCTCGAAGCAATTGCCGGTACACAACAACGTGATTACACTGCAAGCAACCTCGCACCCGCTTTGGTCGCCGAGCTTGACAGACTACGAAACACACACGTCTTGGTCGTGGCTGCAGCGCACAACCCTAACGATGTTGACAAATCCTTGCGTACGCCTGGACGCCTTCGCTACGAGATCGAGATACCAATCCCTGATATGAGAGCAAGAATTCAGATCCTCAAGGTTATGCAAGGAGAGACTGGTACTGCTGAGCTCGCCGAGACTATTGGAGAGCGTACGCATGGTTTTGTTGGACAGGATCTTGAAGCCCTCTTCAACAACGCCCTCGAGCATGCTCTTGACAGATATCAGGAGACAACCACGAACTGGCTTCCTATTCAGCGTACTGGCGATGATGATGACTCGCAACGAACTTTGGTCAATGGCATGCAAAACTGCAGTATCCTCGACAGACCCCGCACGTCCGATACTGACGACACAGACGATGGTGATCTTCAGGTAACACTTGCCGATTACGAGAAAGCCTTGCTGGAAGTCCGTCCGACAGCCATGCGTGAGATCTTCCTTGAAACACCCAAGGTACTGTGGTCAGACATTGGAGGTTCAGGTGATGTCAAGAAGACACTGAACGAGGTCGTGGAATGGCCTCTCAAGTTCGAGCACCATATGCAGGCCTTGAGCTTGACGCCCCAGAAGGGTATTCTGTTTTACGGACCTCCTGGATGTTCCAAGACCCTGACAGCTAAAGCTGTTGCAACTGAGTCTGGTCTCAACTTCATTGCTGTGAAGGGCGCTGAACTCACTTCGATGTACGTTGGCGAGTCTGAACGTTCAGTCCGCGAAGTGTTCCGTAAAGCTCGCGCCGCTGCTCCTAGCATCATCTTCTTCGATGAGATTGACTCCATTGGCTCAGAGCGCGACTCATCTGGTACCAAAGGCTTGAATGTGCTTACCACCCTGCTCAACGAGATGGATGGTATCGAGAGTCTCAAGGGTGTGCTTGTCTTAGCTGCTACCAACAAGCCCGAAGTGTTGGATCCCGCTCTGCTCCGCCCTGGTCGCTTCGACAGTCTTATCTACATCTCGCCACCATCGCAATCAGCCCGTAAGGAGATCTTGCGCATTCGCACCAACAATGTACCCCTAGCCGAGGACGTGGACATTGACGATTTGGCTGTTCGTACAGATGGATTTTCAGGAGCTGAAATTGTCGAGATTTGCTTGAATGCCTCTCGTGCTGCCATGCGTAGAAGAGTCGCGATCGTCACGTCGAATGACAATGCCTCAGATACCGAAGAGCAGATGAAGGTCTCAAAGGATGACTTTGACATTGCGCTGTCGACTGCTGTACGCAGAATTACTCCAGAGATGACTGAAGGTTACGAACACTGGCGTGATGGACTCACCAAGAAGCTGTAAAATGGAAACATTGCTTTGTAATGTAAAGTAGCTAGTAGCTGGTAGCTTTGAAAAAAACCCAACAGTACTCGGTCTATCAAACTCACTCCTACCTACCTTTCACTGTGGCTCAGAGGGGATAATCATGCTAGACATGCACGAACAAACATACTCAGATGGAAGCGGTCATCAGAGAGATCCGACGAGCTGAGAGCCATCGACAGATGCAATTCTATGTCTCGAGAAGAATGTGCTTCTCTGTAGTTTTGTAGGCACATGTGTAGTAGACACTTGCACATGGTGAACCCAAGTAACGCGGACATGCAAGTCTATCTGAGCAGATCTCGATGGAGAGAACAAATCTCCATGTACTTTTGCTTCAAAAACACGCGTATCAGTAATCAAGTCTATACAAATGATCGCGGAAAGGAAGAAGCTGACCGATGTACACACAGCGTGCATAGCTGACAAGCTCCCGGCAAACGTGTGCCGCGCGTGCAAGATCGAAAAACCATTGCCGGAACAGTCACCGATTCGTGTATCATCGGACGCAGCCACCGGAGTGCCCGACTGCGAATAAAACACAGCAGTATGAATACACAAGCTCAAGCCTCAAGCCTTTTCCAGCTTGGTGGTGGTTGTTGTGGAAAACGAAAGCCAACAGCCCTAAGGAAACATGAAGCGAGAAGCCAAACCAAGCCATTTCCTTTTTGGATAGAAGTGCGAGGTTCAGAGCGCAGCGCCGCCCGCCAGTTAGTTAATTATACGATTCAATCAAAAATCACGAGGTATAAGCACTAAGCACCAATGCCCACTTACCGACACATATTTTCGTTGTTCCGTAAATTGGTTTTGGGTGGAGTATTTGTTTAGTCGCGAACACGCCACAGAGGCCCGAAACATCAAAGGGGGGGCTTCTAGAGAGTCTCGCCGTGTCTGTTCATGCGGCCGAAGGATTGTGTTGAATTCGAAAAACCACCGGCGGGCACGGCTTTGTGAATACTGCCGTGTGTGATATTCGCAAAGGTGTGTATGTTTTGAAAGAAGCATGACGCGTAGGTCACAGATGCAATACATATGTACACAATCCTTTTGAAAGGCGTGCTGCTGACATGGAATTGCCAAAAGTACAAAAAGACATGGACGGAAAGGAACAACGCCCTGGCCGACGGCTAGCTGTATCCTCCACAATAGACCGCGCCGACTCGTGCGCCACCAAAAGGCACCGGGGACTGGGAAGCTCCAACGCAAGGCTGAAACGAGGAAATGATTGTGATACGGAGAGACCAGAGCAGAGGAGAAAAAAAAACGATTGGATCCTTTATGGGGGCTTGCACCTTTTGCGGCACGTAAAATGATAGGATGGAAATGTATAAGTAGTCTGTGACACGACCCACCAGTTCAGGTCAGGTCCTAGGAAAATACTATTGAACATCATCTGCGAGTACAGCAACGACTGATTACTACTACTGGATAAGGGATCTTCGCATTCGACTACTACCAAAGGCTCAAGGATATCTAGAGAGAGGATTCACATAGCAACAAACATGTCTTCCTCGGGTTCAGAGAACCGGGGCAACCTGCTCCTCGTAAGTCTCCAATATCTCAAACATCACTGCTTGTGACTGACAGCAGGAGCAGCTCGTAAGAGACAACTTTTCCATATCGACATGGCTGGCTATCGGAGCTCTGGTTCAATCTGCCGCTTACTCATTACTCGGACGAACAGCTTTCCTCCCAGCTGTTTGCTTGTTGCTGTATCGTGTGGCAGATGCATATGCCATCACCACTGGCCTCAAACGTAACCATTACCTGGACGGTGTGATTATGGATCACTACTCTGCTCAGTTGCCTGGAGAGGCGACAGGTGGTGTTGAGTCTCCAGCAGAGTCGGATGTGTGTGTATTCATGATCGGATCCAAAGTCAACCAGTATGTGAACCCTTTCCTTGCGCAAGCTATGGTATTGACCACTCTCATAGCCNCCTTTGGACTTTTCGCACCTGGCTACAAAGAGTTGGGCTCACAGTTCGCCACCATGGTCAAGGAGATCGAAGGTAAGCAGATCCATCTTTGTTTAGTGAACAGTGACTTACCAGTATATCAGNCAAACAAGGAAAAGCACGGCTTCTTGGGATCAAGGAGTCTAGTTGGAGCCGAATCTGCTACGAACAATGAAACAATGACGATCATGTACTTCAAGTCGTCCGAGCACATCCAGGCATACGCGACCGGACCACTTCATCGCAAGTCATTGGTGTGGTGGGCCAAGCACGCAGCTGAGTATCCTCACCTGGGTATCTTCCACGAGACGTATCAGGTGCGAGCCAAGAACTGGGAGACAGTGTATGCGCATACGAAGCCGATGTTGGCGGGAGCAATCCAGCACAAGGTGCAGGGAAGCTTCTCGGAAAAGGGCGAAGAGGAAGCAGTCTACAAGCACTCGCTGGTATATGCTAAGGGTGTTTTGAAGACAGCGCTTGGACGTATGGGTAGACTGCCGGGCACTTTCGATCGAAGCGTGCTGGAGGTGAAGGAGGCTGGAGAGGCAGGAGCCATGTCGGTCTGATGATTTTGTAGTCATTGACGATTATGAAAAGCAGATAGACTCTAATTTTAATGACATCTTTTGAGAAAATTCATGTTTCCGTGATGAATGAGAAGTGTTGAAGAAGTAGAGTATGGAAAGAGAGAAGCAGCAAGAGGGATGGAAACGACACAGACGTCAGACTTGGCGTGTTTCTGGGGCTCTTGAGATTCAAGAAGTTTCAACGTGCATGGCAACGAACGCGACAGCTCCAAAACTAGACCACTTCACATCTTCTGGTCTTCTAGATTGTCTAGGAGGGTCGCATCTGGATACAGCATGAGATAATAGCGACAAACATGGCCGACACACAAGGAACCAGCCGCCCGACCGTCGACGATTTGACCGGCGACAATTACTATGCCCAGCTGGCGCGCAAGCATTGGCTCAATAAGACCAAGCCACCAAAGGTCCAGCGCGATGTCATAGAGAAAGAGCTGTGGACTCAGTTGGAACAGGAGGACTTTGGCTCGTTGCTGTTGCTGGAACAACTGCAGCTGTTGGACTTGTACCTCTGGCCTGGATACACCGACGATGCCTCGAACCACCACGTCCTGCTGTTGGCCATGTTGGTCAATGTAAAGCGTCGTGAAGGCCTCGCTGTATGGGACTGCTTCCAACAGTACTCGGAGAACTTCTCGTCCTTGTTCCGTCGCATACTGTCCATGACCATCGACACAACCATTGCAACCACTCTCCGAACACATCTCCTCACCTTCATCATCATCGCATACCAATCCCTCGATAGCGGCATCGTCAGAAAGGAATGCGCTCCTCTGGTCAACATTGCCATCTGGCACAACCTGCACAGCGAACAGGCAAGAGATGCTCATTTGGAAAAGGCTGTACAACTTCAGAAGGCTTGGAGAGCGGCAAACAAGAGATACGATGGATCCGATGCTCCTACACAGGCCCGCTTACGCTTCGAAAGGTCATGGTTATACTCGTTGACACTTGACTTCTTCGATCGTCTGTATGACACGAGTGCCAAATCTCGCTCAGACAACGTCCTGTACTGCGAACGCTTTGTCGAGCTTCTGTCTGATCTGCAGAGCCAACTGCCTACCAGACGTTTTGCCAACACTCTCTTGCAGGACCTCAACACCTTGTCCATCATCAAGCTATCACCTATGTACGCTGACGAGGACAATGCTCTCCTGCGCGATCTCTACAATCTTCTTCAACATTACACTAGTTTCCCCATCGAGGACCACAGTGGCCGTCAGTACACCCCACTGGAGTTCGACCAACAACACCACGCCGCTTTGACCAAATTGCAGAGAGTCTCCTTCAAGCATTTCCAGGATAAGCTGAAGATTTTGGTCCTGGCCAACTTTGCCTCGTTAGCAACCAGAGAAGATCTCCAGAGTCATCTTACTTCTTTGTCCGACGGTGAGGTTGTTGAACTATGTCGTTTGCTCGGCTTCCGGACCGACTACCCTAGCTCGACTCTTGTCACACGCGACCGAACCTTCTACATGGAAATTCTTCTTTCAGCCCACGAAAGTGCGCCTATGTATCAGCAGACCATGCAAAACATGGCCGTCGTGCCCACTGAGACCACCATCTACGATTCTGCCTTTGTTCGCAACGAGAGCTACAACGGATCTAGACCTCTGGCTATCCCAAAGCTGAACCTCCAATATCTGACTATGGGAGATTTCTTGTGGAGATCCTTTGTGTTGTACAGGGCGGAAGCCTTTTATCAGATCCGTAAAGACATTGAGGATACTGTCAAAAGGGTACAACCAAGAAAGGCTGGACCTAACACTAAGTTTGACGGCTTCTCCAAGATGGCTATTCCCATCACGAAGCCTGCTCTCATTGATGTGGCACCTGCCAAAGTCTCGGAGCTTCATCCTTCAAAGGTAGAGGTCGAAGTGACCCTTGATGTAGGTCGCTTAGGTCCCAACATCCGCAGGGAGTGGGAGACACTACGATCAGGTGACGTTGTCTTCTTGGTATCCGTCCAGGTCGGAGACACGACATCAGTATTCAGTAATGGTGGGTCTGAATCGGCCGATCTAGCAGACAGGCATGGTGTAAAGCATGTGCGTTCTGCTGAAGTGATCGATGTGCTTGACGAGAACAGTCGCAAGCTCCGTGATCAGTCCCAAGCTCAGACTAATGGTGCAGCTTCGAGAGGCGGTCGCCAGCGAAGACTCTTGCTCCGACTCGATCCCGTTGCATATCAACAAGATAAGGATCGCACAGACAAGGGTAAACCGGATGTTCTCGAGAGCATCAACCTTCTTGTGCGACGTCAAAGTCGTGAGAACAACTTCAAGTCCATCTTGGATTCTATCAAGCATCTGGCATTGTCTGATGTGCCAGCTCCTCAATGGCTGCAGGAGGTGTTCCTTGGTTACAGTGACCCTGCTGCAGCGACTTATCAGCGCCTACCAAACAGACTGAACTCGATTGACTATCGGGATACGTTCCTTGACTGGCAGCACTTGGTCGAGTCTTTTCCTGGCAAGACAGTGGAGCCAGATGCAAAGCTGAACTCGAGTNTTCCCCCACCATATGTGCTCGAGACCACAGCAGCACCGCCTCCAGAGGCTAGACCTAGCAAGAGACGCAAGCGTGAGCCAGTTGAAGCTGCACCAGCCCCTGCTGTTGAGACTGTCAAGGTCGGAACATACAAGCCCGCCAACCCTGGCCCATATCCTGTAGATGCTCCCAAGCTGAACAGTGTGCGATTCACACCAACACAGATTGAGGCTATCACATCGGGAACTCAACCTGGTCTGACTGTGATTGTTGGTCCTCCTGGAACTGGAAAGACTGATGTCGCAACACAAATCATTAACAACATCTACCACAACTTCCCTGAACAACGTACCTTGCTTGTTGCACACAGCAACCAAGCACTCAACCAGCTCTTCCAGAAGATTACTGCTCTAGACATCGATGAGCGCCATCTTCTCAGATTAGGACATGGTGAAGAAGAACTTGAGACTGAGGCAAGCTATAGTAAGCATGGTCGTGTCGAGTCTTTCATGGAGAACGCCGCTGTCCGTCTGTACGAGGTCGCTCGATTGGCTGCTAGTATCGGCGCTCCTGGTGCTCATGGCAGTAGTTGCGAGACTGCCGATTACTTCAACCAAGTATACGTCAAGCCTGCCTGGACGAAGTATTGGGATGCTGTAAATGCAGGTGCGGAACCTCAACAGATCATCGACTCCTTCCCCTTCCATGCCTATTTCGCAAACGCCCCGCAACCGCTCTTCCCTGCAACTGCCTCTCGCGAGGAACTTGTCGATGTTGCCTCAGGCTGCAACAACCACCTCGACCACATTTTCGCATCTCTTGCCGACACCCGACCTTTTGAAATCCTCCGCACAGCCCGTGACAAGGCAAACTACCTTCTCATCAAAGAAGCACGCATTATCGCCATGACATCGACCCACGCCGCCATGCGCCGTCAAGAAATCGCAGATCTGGGCTTCCGCTATGACAATATCATCATGGAGGAAGCAGCACAAGTTACCGAGATTGAGAACTTCATCCCTCTTGCGTTGCAGAAACCTCGTGATGGCGATATGAAGTTGCAACGCGTTGTGCTTGTTGGCGATCACCTCCAAAACAGCCCCATCGTGCAGAACTTGGCATTCCGTCAGTATGCAAACTTGGAACAGAGCTTGTTCTTGAGATTAGTGAGGTTGGGTGTGCCGACCATCACGCTAGACCAGCAAGGTCGCGCCAGACCTTCTCTTGCCGAATTGTACAAATGGCGATACCCTACTCTGGGCAACTTGCCTCTCGTCACCTCCGCGCCACAGTTTCTACAAGCGAATGCTGGATTTGCCTTCGACTACCAATTCATCGATGTTCCTGATTACAAGGGCAAAGGTGAGACCGAACCATCACCGCACTTCATCCAGAACTTGGGAGAGGCTGAGTATGCTGTTGCTATCTACATGTACATGCGACTACTTGGTTACCCTGCAGAGAAGATCAGTATCTTGACTACGTACGCCGGCCAACGCGCTCTAGTCAGAGACGTACTCAAACATCGTTGTCAGAACAACCGTATGTTTGGTCTTCCAGGCAAGGTCAGCACGGTGGACAAGTACCAAGGCGAGCAAAACGAATNNGTAAGCAATACCCTCTCCACCACTTACTTCGAAACAAAACACTAACGCAAAAAAAAAGACATCATCCTCTCACTCACAAGGACATCACGACCAGGCTACCTCCGCGACATCCGCCGCCTAACCGTCGCACTCTCCCGCGCTCGTCTAGGTCTCTACATCCTCGGCCGCCGCGAAGTCTTCACCTCGACTCCCGACCTCGCCACCGCGTTCTCATCTTTGCTCGCCCGCCCTGCAACGCTTACCCTCACCACAGGCGAAATGTTCCCTACGCAACGTGAAGTTGGAAACCAAGGCAACACGGCGGAAATGGAAGGTGTAGAGCATTTGGGTCAATATGTGTTTGAAATGACAAAGGCAAAGGTGGAGGCTATTAAGAGGGNNGGAGAAGGTGTTTTGCCGCCGGCTAGTGCGGTTACAGATGCCGAGATGGAGGATGAGGAGGAAGTGTATGCTGAAGATGAGGCTATGGCTGAGGAGGAGGATGTCGAGATGATGTAGTGGCTAGTGTTGATATTGGACACTGGTGAACAGCAAGCGTGCTGTATAGCTGTGGAAAAGTACAGTCTTATTCTTACATATCATGCTACTTTGCGAGCGTCGTTTGTGCTCTCAAAATTAGAACGACGTTGTTGAGGTCCAGAATGCTTCTCAAGCGCTTACTTGAATCTGAAACATATCTTATTCGAGCCACAATTTAGTTCTACTGTATTTTAGCAGAGGGTCAAGCACATATTCCATCATGGCTTAAGATATCTTGAATTCAGGCGTTGTAGCAAAGCTATGAGAAGGCTCGGAAAGGCAAAGCGCTGAGCTAGAGCGAACAGCAAATAGTATACATGAACGTGCCTCTGTTGAAAACCCATCGTAGCAACCGTTCTCTTGAGCAAAATGTCTCTTCTGCTCATTCTTTATTGTTAGCTTCGTAGAACGTCAAAACCTAGGATGTCTTCTCGCATCCTCGACGACTGCGGCGAAATCTGGTAACAGAACTCTTCATTGATGCGATATTGGCGCTGAGATGTTGGTGAAGCAAATTGTTTCGAACATGTGTTGCGGTTGAACGAAAAGATGTGTTCTCACTTATGGCTTCAATGGTCAGTACAAATAGTAGAAGACATGTGTATGTGTCAACCTACTGAAAGAACTTCGGCAGTCGAAGGGCTATCGAGTTCCTCGCAAGTTGTGTCGACTTTGCGTTCGTAATGAGCTCCCTGTAGAAACTTGTACTCTTTGGCAATCAGTTCGAGCGCCTTATCGAGATCCTCTCGGTCTTCTTTCGGGATAAAGAGCCCCCAGTAGACATCTTTGAAGCGTCGAGGGATTTGGAGGAGAAGCTGTATGACAAGGCCTTTGAGGAACGTTGTCTTGGTCGGATCGTCGCAAGGCTTGAAGATCCGGATTCTGTCGCGAGTCCCCCACCATATGTCTATAGAGATCGCCCACAAAGATCTGAAGCTCGACAGCCTCTCCAAACAGATAAGACCACATGAAGACAAGTCGTCCGGATCGACCTCGATGTCGAGCTCGAGCCAAGTGACTTTTGCCAATGCTTCATCGTACAGTGAACTAGTGGCAATTTCGAGGTCGATCACACTTGTATCAGACTCCTTTGGAAGTGGAAATCGGACGCGCAGGGAGTTGTACCAGACACGACCTTGTGTCTCCTGTCGGATTTGCTTGTAGGATCGCAACAAATTGATCCCCATGACCTTGGCTTTAGGCTGTCCAGGCAATGGAAACTCCCATTCGTCGTTATCGGGCATGCAAAGATCATAGACCATCGTGCGTAGCTCCAATGGTAGATCAAGGAAACAAGTGCCACCAGTTCTGGATTGAGAACCATGTGCAACGACGCGGGAAGGAGATGACGAAAGATTGGACATGTCGACGTGAGAGCAGCACCACCGTGACGAGCAGAGTTTTGATGATTGGAAGGAAAAACAGCAGTGAGAAGGCGATCCGATCCAGATCTGATGGAAGTCGAGATGCGGAGGGCAGAAACCGATGAAGAAAGCCAATGAGAGAATTGAGGATTGAAGATCAGGGACGGAAGAGAGAAGAAAGAAGTTTGGGTCGAAAGTGTACGGAAGATGAGCTGAGAAAACCTTTTCCGGAAAGCCAGTCGTTAGAGGAAAGAAGGACTGACACTTGCAATCGTAATTTGCATGTGATGCAAGGTTGTGGTGAACTTAGGTAGGCAGTTGCAAGTCACAAAACACTTTCAGGGCAGTCGCGACACGTCCACTTCACACCAAAACTGCAATATGCAAAAACAAGAACGGAAAGCGATATTAGTGCTCGATTCGATCATCTGTACATCGTCCATATTTTCCGCCCCAAGAAAAAAAGCAAACGCTGCCTCGTTGAAGATGCCATAAAATTCGTGATAACAGAAAGAAGACACCGTCCATATGCAAGTGAGGTTGCCTCGACTGTATAGGGAGTCGGGCATATGAGGTCGTTGAAGACCTATCGCTGAAAACGAGAAGCAAGGATAATTAAACACACAGAAGAAAAGTTTAAGTAGGCATGGGTGCAGCGGCACCAGTCATGTCTTCGAATGTCTCTGCGGGTGCGCAGGTGCAGAAGAGGTTCATGTCTCCGTATGCTGGATTTCGTTGTTAGCCATATCCGTCATCATTATTATCGAAGTTGAACTTACCATCATCAAGTCTGGTAACGGTGGGCCAGAACTTCTTCTCCTTGAGCCAGGGCAGAGGATAAGCTGCTGTCTCACGGGTGTAGGGTCTCGAATCCCAATCTGAAGTCACAATATCCTTGATACTGTGAGGTGCCATCTTGAGCACATTGCCGTCTCTGGGTTGCTTGCCTTCTTCCACCATTGTGATTTCCTTGCGGATGGAGATCAGAGCGTCACAGAAACGATCGAGCTCTTCCTTGCTCTCTGACTCTGTAGGTTCGATCATCAGGGTGTTGGCGACAGGCCAGCTCATTGTTGGTGCGTGGAAGCCATAGTCTTGAAGACGCTTGGCGACATCAATGGCTTCAATGCCAGCAGACTCCTTGAACTTGCGGATATCCAAGATGAACTCGTGTGCACAGCGGCCGTTGTCATTGGTGTAGAGGATAGGGTAGTGAGGACGCAGGCGAGAAAGGATGTAGTTGGCGTTCAGCAATGTGATCTTCGTGGCGTGTGTCAAACCACGAGCGCCCATCATCTTCACGTACGCCCAGCTGATTGGCAAGATGCTAGCGCTACCCCAAGGAGCACCACTGATAGGTGCAATGGCTTGAGAACCACCAGTCTTGATTAAAGGGTGACCAGGCAAGAAGGGAGCAAGATGTTCCGCGACACCGATTGGTCCAACACCAGGACCACCACCTCCGTGAGGAATACAGAAGGTCTTGTGAAGGTTCAGATGGCAGACGTCGGCACCAATCTCACCAGGCGAGCAGAGACCGATTTGTGCGTTCATGTTTGCACCATCCATGTAAACTTGGCCGCCATGCTGGTGAACCAGATCGCAAGCCTCCTTGACCTTTGGCTCGAACACACCGAAAGTGCTAGGGTATGTGATCATGATAGCACCAAGCTCTTCCTTGTGCTTTTCGCACTTGGCCTTCAAATCTGCCATGTCAAGGTTTCCGGTGCCGCTCTCGCACTTGATAGTCACAACACGCATACCGGCCATGGCTGCACTAGCAGGGTTGGTACCGTGTGCAGAGACCGGGATAAGACAGATGTCGCGCTTCTTGCCAGGCTGTCGCTCGAGATATTTGCGAATGACACGCAGACCAGTGAATTCACCTTGTGCACCTGAGTTGGGCTGTAGTGAGACTGAGTGGAAGCCAGTGATCTCCGCAAGGTCAGCTTCGAGTTCATTAATCAGAGTCTCGTAGCCTTTGGCCTGCTCGGGGGGAGCGAAAGGATGGATGTTTGAGAATTCGGGCCAGGTGATAGGGATCATCTCAGTTGTGGCGTTGAGCTTCATGGTGCAAGAACCAAGGGGAATCATGGAGTGGACGAGGGAAAGATCCTTCGACTGCAAGTGGTGGATGTAGCGGAGGATGTTGGTCTCGGAGTGGTGTGTGTTGAAAACAGGGTGTGTCAAGAATTGACTCTTTCTGAGGAGCTCGGCAGGGACATGGGAAGCGGCCTTGTCTGCAGACAAGCCAAGGTCCTTCACAAGACTGTCAACGGTAAGCTCTGACGATGACTTAGCAGCACCAGAGAGCAGATCAATGATAGCCTGGAGATCTTCCTTCTCTACAGTCTCGTCCAAGGTAATACCAATGCGGTTTTCATCAACGACCCTAAGGTTAGTTCTGTGCTCTTGCTCAGCGAGCTTGGCGAAGTCACTAGCCTTGCCAGAAATAGGGCCTCCAGAGAGAACGACAGTGTCGAACAATGGACCAGTAGTCTCGATTGTGTAGCCGCACTTCGAAGCAGCCTCAGCAACCACGCGAGTAGAGTTGATGACTCTGTGAGCAATAGCTTTCAAGCCCTCGGGTCCGTGGTAGACAGCATACATGGCACTCATGTTTGCCAACAGAGCCTGAGCGGTGCAAATGTTGCTGGTAGCCTTCTCACGACGAATGTGCTGCTCACGAGTCTGGAGAGCCAAACGAGCTGCATGATTTCCTAGTCTGTCCTTGGAAAGTCCAATCAAACGACCTGGAATCTTGCGCTTGTGCTGTTCGCTGCAGGCAAAGAAGGCAGCGTGAGGACCGCCAAAGCCAAATGGCACACCAAATCTCTGAGCATTTCCGAAAGCCACATCTGCACCGAATTCTCCTGGTGGAGTGAGAACGGTCAGAGCCAGCAGATCAGTAGCAACACTGAAAGTTGCCTTGAGCTTGTGTACCTTCTCGGAAAGGTTCTTGAAGTCCTGAACACCGCCGAGAGTGTCAGGATATTGTCCCAAAACACCAACCAAATCTTCGCCTATTTCTTCCACTCTCTTGCTTCCATCCTTGAGAATGTCATCGACCTCAATCTTGATACCGAAACCTTCTGCGCGAGATGCCAGAACAGCGATAGTTTGAGGGTGGCACAGGTGCGATACGAGAAAGACTTTGTTGGAGCGCTTTTGGCGTGCGGCAGGGAGAGCGTTGATCGATAGAGTCATGGCTTCAGCAGCAGCCGTCGGCTCATCGAGGACAGATGCGTTAGAGATGGGCAGACCTGTGAGATCAGAGACCATAGTCTGGAAGTTGAGCAGGGATTCCAGTCTTCCTTGACTGATCTCGGGCTGGTAGGGAGTATAACTGGTGTACCATGCAGGGTTCTCGAGGACGTTTCTCTTGATGACCTCTGGCACGCGGGTGCCTGCATAGCCGCATCCAATGTAACTTCTAACCAGCTTGTTTCCGCTGGCGATATCTCTCAGTCTGTCAATTAACTGACTCTCTGAGAAACCCTCTGAACTCGTCTCTTGACCAGGTTGACCCTTGCTGTTCTGAACCGCGGGCCCTTCAATCTTGAGGTCGCGAGACGAGAGAATATCTGCGGGCAAAACTTGTGTTACGAATTCGTCCAGAGACTTTGCCGGAGGATCTAAGGCCTTGAGCATCTCGGTGGTGTCGTCAGGTGAGGGGCCAATGTGCCTACGGGCAAATGTGTCGAGAGGCGCAAATAGAGTGGATTGAGCATTGCCTTCGCTGTCGAGTTGAGTCTCGGCAGCAGTGCTCGAATAGAAAGGTCTGAACTGCGCAGGGCGCACATGCTTGCTAGGTTGGAGGAATTGTCTTCTAGCAGACAAGTTGAGGCATCGCCTGCTGGTCAGAGACGAGACAGAGCCTCGGCATACTGTGGCAGATCGAAGCCTTGCGGCAGCGACCAGTGATTGTTGCATATCGAACTGATCTTGGTCAGGCTGATGTCCCTGTTGGAGGAACGTACAGAGGACACTGTGTCTCTCACCTTTCAGACCGAAGAAATGATCAAACAATTGTGCTCAAAGAAACGACTGGATGACGCGAGTCTCGGCTCAAGCTTGCTTCACCCGAGTGGTTTGCCCGCAACAAATCAAGAGAACAATACCAACGAGAGAAATGCAGAAGAAGGAGTCATTGACCTCGTATTCCAGAAATTTTACAACAAGCTCGCCAAACGGCACCACATGCAGGAAGCTGAGCCACCTTACTTTCTTGGTGATCCTCCTGATAAGAACTTTAATGGCTCGAATATGTAGGGCGCGAGTCGTTCGCCGTGAGTTTTCCGCCCCACACCCGCTGCTAACCGTGCACGATAAGGAGGGGTTCGCGGGGACAATTTACTCGATCATTTTACCCTTGAAAGGAAGCCCGGCCCGAGCTTGAGAAATATCTTGTATGGAAGTCGATTGATCAGATTGCGCTGAGATGGGTATTTGAGGAGTACAGAGAAGAAAGGAAATGCAACAACTTCTACGAAGAAGCCATGTAGTTGCCAATCAGAGGAATATGGCTGTACAGCTCGTCGTACTCGCGGCCAACCCATCCACCGACTGCACCGCCACGGCCAACAACGCCCATACCGCCAGCGAGCCAGAGTGCACTGACGACGGCGCTGACTGCGTTGATCATATACCACCTTCTCTTTCTGTAGAGCTGACCTTCCGGCCCTCCTTGTGTGACTTGGGATGGCGTAAAGTTGAGCCACTTGGCCCAGCCCCAAACGGAGTGCCACACTCCAACGGTGATGAGAGCGCCGAAGCCAACAAAAGACACGACAGGATGTTTGGCGAAGCCATGCGAGACGTAGCCCAGATTGATACTGCTAGAACCGCCCTCGTACCACAGCGGGATGATTCTGTTGACGAAAGCATGTCCAAATACCAGTGGTACCAATGCATATCCTAAGGCACTTGTTCCCGACAACTTTGGCCATGCGATCATGCGTCTGTCTGACCTCTTCTCTGCGCCATATCTCTTGAGGTTCTGCTGGCGACGGTACAAGCGGAGAGCAATACCGCTACCAATGTGGGCAATCAATGGCAAGGTAACAATGAAAGGCTCGGCGATTGGCGATTGATAGTAAGGACGAGTAAGCAGGAGATAGCGCTCCGAGTTGGCGACAGAACGTGTGGCAAGCGGGATGAGGGCCGTGTTCGCAACGTGGAAAGCAGTGAAGACGGAAAAGGCGTAACTCGAATACTTGTGAATGCGCGTGAGATACCAGACAGGCGAGTGTGCATCCAGACCTAAGGTAGAGGTCCGTTGGACTGGCTTGATTGTCTCATGGTCGTAGGATGTCTTGTCCGAGGACTCAGGAAAGTACGAGTCTGAGGGAAACTCTTCCTCGATAGGTGAAGGCTCGAGTTCTTGCAGAGACAGCTCCCGCTCGAGGTCGTTGGCGTGTGTGTTCATCTGTGCAACTATCTAGTTAGTGCCGAGCAAGAAACAACCTGGATTCCATTGCGCACGAATCAGCGTCGCACATGTCATTGCTTACCAAACCCCCATCTTATCTCTGTCTGCATCAGCGGATCTATTCAGGCCTCGGCTTCGCGAGCTTTGACTCTCCAAGCAACCAATCCTCTGCTTCAACCTTTCACACAACAAAACACATCAATCATCCAACATGAGTCCAGTACGTCTTGAGTCCTTCAATTTTCTATCAGCAAGCTGACATGGTAGCAGCGATCAACAGTCCTGCCCAGCGCACAGGTACACCAAGTCGTCCGACCTCCTCAATCGCATTCTAATCCACATCCTAGACCGAGAGTGCGCGCGAGCTCCGCCGCAACTTCTACTGCGACCTCTGCAGCAAAGGCTATGCTAGAATTACAGAACTCGAGGCCCACGAGAACAGCTACGACCACCAACACCGCAAGCGCATGAAGGAGATGAAGCAAATCACCAGAAACCCCACCACCGCTGTCCGAAACTCCCGTACCGAAAAGAAGCGAACAGAAAACTCGGAGATGATCAGTCTCAATCTCAACAAAGGCAAATCAGATGGTGCCAAGAGGGGGTTTAAGGATATTGGGAGTGATGCGAGTCAAGCCGCAAGGCCGACAGCGACAACGGCCGTGCCTGATGTCGTTATGAAGGATGAACCTGTCAAGGAGCAAGCTGAAGTGGAACGGCCACTGAGATGGGACGATCTCGCACAACTATCATCCATACTAGATCCATCAACCCTGCCTGCCGAATGGCAGCAGCAAGCCCTAAGCGCGACCCAGGCTTATTTCGCCAACATGGCTGACGCCGAGAAGCGAAAAGCGTACTTCGACGATGACGAAGATATACTGGACGAGATGGGCATCGCAGATGACGAATGGCATGCCGATGAAGAACAAATCCTGGACAACATTGACATCGACGAAGACTGGGGAGACTTCATGCAGTCTGACGAATGGAAAAAGCACAAGAATTTAACCGAGCAAGCACGGAAAGAGAAGCTCAATCAAGCATGGAAACAAAGGCGAGCTTTGCAGCAGTCGGTCTAATCTCCTGGTGATGTTCACACTGGGTAAGAGGTCACTTGCACGAGCGCTGGCGTTAGGTTAGGGAAGTTTGTTGTCACAGCATTTGGTCGGGCGTTTCATGCTTTGCAGTCCTTGAGTAGAGGCAAATCATAATCTATTTTCTGAGCCCTGAGTCGACGCAGAACGTTGTTTCATCTCGATCGCTTTGTGGTAGCATCTTCCTCTTATCATACGTCTTCGAGTACCAGGAACTCAATCGCAATGTTGTGAGTGAGAGGCCAACAAAAACAAGTCAATGCAGTGAGTGAGAATCGAACTCACGCCTCTGCACCTCCAGTGATCTTACAAGGAATGATCCAAGGACTAGTCAACTTCATGCTTGTGTTTGCAAAACAAATTGGTGTAGCGTCTTGAGGGGTGGAAAGTCAGAAGGTCGTGTATTCGATTCTGATGATAAGGGGAACGATTGCCAGACGAAATCGCATGTAACTATAAATGGCAGGGATAGTGGAGAGAGACTGATTGCAGCTAGGTAATGATGTCTTTTGGTTCTAAGAATTACAACGACTACCACCATCCTATGCACTCTCTGTAGTGGGGTCGAGCGCGGCCTGAGCTTCTGAGCGCATCGCGGCCTCGTCTGAGTTGGAGTCTCTAACGTTAACGTGTAGCACGTCGACGTGCTCAACACGGCCTTCTTCAGGAGGGCCAGGTGTCTTACGCTTGGGGCGAAGGTTGGTTCGCTGTTTGACAGGGTAGAAATAGGCACCCTTTTCGAGACGATCACCAGTGTCGTGCAGTGCAAGAGCGACTGTGTCACCGTACGCATTGTCGGCGTCACCGGCCTGCTGATATGTTTCGTATTCCCTAATACGCTGGAACTGGAAGCAGCTCTCGCCATCTGCCNNCTCGGTGTCGTAAAGTGATGGGTCGTCGTTTTGGGCGTCGTTGGGATCGAACTTGCGCTTGATGCCACGAACCGAGCCTTCATGCTCGGCCAGGAANAGGTCGTAATCCCACTCAGGAAGCGGCTTAGGCATCGTGGGGTCGGCTTTGTGGGCGTCCATACGCTCTTCGAGCAAGGCGAGGTCTGCGCCAAGTGGTCGCAATAGTGCTGTATCTAGGCGCTGATCGTAGGAATCTGATTGAGCGACAGGATTGGTACTGAATTTGACGATCTGGTAGTCGCCAGTCATTGGCAGAGCGTCCATGTCGGGAAGAAGAGGGTATGCGTCGAGAAGAGTTAGGTTGGGCTTGGTAGGGTGTTTTGGCTTCTTCCAAGCACTTCTGTCGGCTTCAGTTATGGGAGCACCGCGGATGTTCGTCTCAGAGTCTGGGCCAGTGTATGCATCTTCAGGATAAGCAACGTCGAAGCCCTTGACAAGCGATCTGATAATGTTGATAGGGTCGTCGCGGTTGACGGGTGGTGCCTTACGGCGCTTGGGATCATTGCGCACGCGTAGCAGGTCTTTGGAGGTACTCGACTCGAATCTTTGGACAGCGGCAGCGTTGGACGAGATGTATTCCGTTCTGCGAAGGAAACTGACACCACTGTTCATGGCCGTCGGCTTCCCCAGTGCTGATAGCGGCTTGAGCAGTGCTCGGTCTTTGGGGTGGAGCGGCGGCGGAGGGTCTTGGGCCATAATGGCNTACTCTGTGTTAGAATGGAATAAGATGCTTGTAAGGGCGACGATGAACATACCGCTCTCGTCTCCATCAAAGACACCTGGCAGACCGACCAGGTCAATAGGCATTCCAAGCTCGGCATCAGCCTCAATATTTAGGGGCTGCTCCCGCGCCAACTTCAGAGCATATGAAGCTGATGTGTAGTTGTTTGAGGCGATGCCAGTTCCAGGGATGTCGAGGAGCTTTGGCGGGTTTGGAGGAGGTGGTAATGTGTTGGAGTATCTGATGCGCGCAATGTAATCCTGGTGGTAGACGCGTTCTGAGCGTCCAGAAGCCATCTTGACTGCGATGACCTTATTCTGGAATCGTGAAGGGTGTACGTGGTGGTGTGGAGGATGCCTCTTAAGCAAAGTCGCATTCAGTTTCACTTGCTTGCGGCTGTCATAAAGTCGCGATGCGCCAACGTCTGGAGGAGCTGCTACTGAACGTAAGCCGGATCTTATACGACGCTGGCCTGTTTTACTGAAGTCACAATATAAGCTCCATGTCACAATCCTAGAAGAACTGCATAGCTAACACTTTGATTCTCGATATGACCACGAAGATTCTTCAACACAGTGCAATCCGGTACAGCACTTACACTCTCAATGGCAAAAGTGCGTCGTAGCGACCCTTGTAAATTCCGACTGCCAATCGCGCATGCCAAATCGAGATGCCAAGACAACGTGTCTTAATACAGGACTGTTAGCAATTAATAGGCCAGCTCCTACTTCTTTGAACCAATGTCACTCTGCCTCTTGAATGTGTCAATCCTTTCTTTCTCCAAGTGCAAATCGTGATGTCTTGAGTGCCATTGTCGCGAGTATCGAGCAACAACTTGCTCTTACTGGACATCACTTGCAGCAAGCCTCTCATTACTAACTTCCAGTGCACGTCGCTTCCAAGATGGCTTCGGATGCTTCGAGTGCTTTGCGGCAGGTCATACAGAATACCACTGTACCTGTCGTGCCATCTCTGTCCCCTGGTACCGAGCCGTCCTCTGTCGGCTCGACAGCGGGCTTGATCTTGGCTATCTTCACCATGCTACCCAGCCTTCTCCTATGGTTTATCGCTTTCATAACCATTACCTTACCAACATGGTTATTCACATTTTTGTCTACAAGTCTGACGTTGACTGTCAACATGACCACCGTCGTACTGATCCTGATCTTCTTTGTCTCTACTGCCAGTTGGGTGGTCCGCTATCGCTTTCTGAACATGTACTCACGCCTACCCCCGGAGCCCCAGCGCAAAGAACCCCAGGTCGAAGTCTTTCCGGATACTCAAGAGACAGACTCCAAGCAAGGCCTGGCGAACTATCTCGATGAGTTCTTGAGTGCCATCAAGGTTTTTGGTTACCTCGAACGCCCTGTTTTCCACGAGCTCACCAGGACCATGCAAACAAGGAAACTCATTGCTGGAGAAACCATCCTGCTGGAAGAGGAGAAAGGCTTTTGTCTAGTCGTGGATGGCTTGGTCCAAATCTTTGTCAAATCGAACAAGGATCGAGAAGAAGATCCATCAACCGGCAGGACCACTCCCGAAGAGACTGGTGTTGATGACGAAGGACGTATACACGGCAATCAGGGATACCAGTTGTTGACCGAAGTCAAGAACGGTGCGCCCATGTCTTCGTTATTCTCCATTTTGTCTCTCTTCACTGAGGATGTCAAGCTGCGCCACGACGAGAAAGATGTGGAAGTAGCCTCAGGCCTACGAGATGGCGGCCAACCTCAAACGCCACGATCAACTCGTCACAGCGGAGCTGCCACCNCCTTGTCGCCTATCGTGAGCCCCAATCTTACTGCTACAGGAGCAGAGCCTCATACGGTCCTACATGGCCTCGATGCTGCATCCTTTGCTCAAAGCGCTGTACCTTCGTTCTCCTTGAATGATCCCAACGAGGCAGGCCCTGAGCCCAAGTCGAGACAGGGTAGCAGCAACGATGGCCGCAGACAATCTACTAAGCACATATCTGCGCATCCGGATATCGTCGCAAGGGCTTCCGTCGATACCACGATCGCAATTATTCCAGCGACTGCTTTCCGACGACTTACCCGTGTCTACCCAAAAGCATCTTCACATATTGTACAAGTCATCCTCACTCGACTTCAGCGCGTTACAATGGCGACAGGCCACCAATATCTTGGCCTTACTGGCGAGGTTTTGCGTACCGAAAGACTCATGGATGGTTACACTTCATACGATCTTCCAGACTTCTTGAAGGGAGATGCCTTAGAAAGACTGAAAAGCAAATTCACCAAGGAAAAGGAGCGTACTGGTCCCGAGGAGATCTCTAAGGGCATCGCTTTGCATAACCCTCGGGCCGGCCAAAGGAAAAAGACAGCGACTGGTCTACGAAAAGAAGCTGTTCTGCATGCGCAAGCTGTGCCTAGCAGCCGTCGTGGCGGCGGTGGTAGAAGCGAGTCTATCCACACGCCTACCCGTAGTAGCAGACTTGGCCCAGAGCGAGGTCCTCTATCGCCTGACCCTGGAGCAGACAGATCAGGTGTCAGTGCTGGAGATTTGCTGACCAACAATAACAATGTGGCAAGACAAGGGGGTCGCAGGAACATGGCACCATACTCGTTGCCCTTCCAAACTCCGAAACCTCTTGGTAGAGATGCTATGAGCCCTATGGCCAGCAGGAACTTCAACCCTTTCGATGCTCATATCAAAACTTTGCGTCGTCAAGATTCTGTGGACGAGGACATGATCTTCAGAGAATCCATTCTCGATTGCATGTTTAAAGCCATTGGGCTCACTAATATAAAAGACGGGCTTTCGAGGGTGGACTCTCTACCACAGTCACCCAAACTTGTCTCTTATGACTCTAAACGACAAAAAGCTGTCTTCAACAATGCATTTGGTTTTATTGATCCATTCGATCCCAACGATGGTGAAACCGAGTCCATCGCGTCGACATCTTTTAGTGCGACTGGTAACATGAACATCTTGGAAGACATGAAAGAGGAAGTTGAGATTGTCTTCTTTCCTAAAGGATCCGTTCTTGTCGAGCAAGGTGAACGTAATCCTGGACTTTACTATGTCATTGATGGCTTCCTTGATGTCAGTGTGCCTCTCGAAGAGTCTGAGGCTGCAGAATCCAATATCTTTGGTACTTCAGCTGGTGTTGATTTCGATAGCGAGCCTCAAACTATCAGATCCACAGGAGGTAGAAACATGGGCAGTGTTCGAAGACCTAGCTCCCTCTCGCTCAACCCGAACCCGCCAAACAAACCACGCAATAGAAAACAGAAAAGTCTCTTCTTGACCAAGCCTGGTGGACTGGCTGGTTACCTCGGGACCGTCTCCTCATACCGCTCATTCATCGATGTCACTGCCAAGACTGATGTCTACGTGGGCTTCCTCCCAAGAGCAGCCGTAGAGAAGATTGTGGAGAGATTCCCAATTGTGCTACTAACCATCGCCAAACGTCTCACTACTCTGCTTCCAAAGCTCATCTTGCACATTGATTTCGCCCTCGAATGGGTCCAAGTTAATGCTGGGCAAGTCATCTATAACCAGAAAGAAGAAAGTGATGCCATCTACATTGTGCTCAACGGCAGATTGAGAGCAATCCAAGAAGGGCCAGACGACAAGATGAGAGTCATTGGTGAATATGGTCAAGGCGACAGCGTGGGAGAGCTTGAAGTCCTGACCGAGTCCACAAGACCGGGTACGCTGTTGGCCATTCGTGATACAGAGCTGGCGAAGTTCCCCAAGACCTTGTTTAACAGTCTTGCTCACGAACATCCTGGAATCACGATGAAAATCTCCAAGATCATTGCTTCCCGCATGCGTGCGCTGATTGAGGATCCCACTTCCGAACACGGCAAGGATACAAGCAGGATTGCAACCCGTAGCAAGGCTTCGTCAACTACAAATCTGCGTACTGTCGCAATCTTACCTGTTACAGCGGGCGTTCCTGTAGTCGAATTTGGTCACCGCTTGCTCAACGCTTTGAATCAGATTGGCGCTACACCACAAAGAACCACTTCACTCAACCAGGCGGCCATTCTGAACCACCTTGGCAGACATGCATTCACCAAGATGGGCAAGTTGAAGCTCTCTCAATATTTGGCTGATCTTGAAGAAGAGTTTGCGCTGGTCTTATACGTCGCCGATACTAACGTCAAGTCGCCCTGGACGCAAACTTGTATCAATCAGGCAGATTGCATCCTCCTTGTAGGTCTGGCAGAAGGATCGCCTGCTATCGGTGAATACGAGCGCTTCCTCCTCACGACGAAGACCACGGCGAGAAAGGAACTCGTCTTGTTACACGCTGAGCGATATTGTCATCCTGGACTCACGCGGAAGTGGCTCAGAGATCGTTCATGGATCAATGGAAGCCATCATCATATTCACATGTCGTTCCGTGACAATGTTGAGCCTGTTCATCCTCAAGTCAGAAGGTTCAGTACTGCCATCAAACAGCGTGTTCAGGTCATCCAGGCCGAGATCCAAAAGTACACTTCTAGGAAAGTACGACAGACGCCGTTGTATTCAGCCGAGACACCATTCAAGGGCGACTTCCATCGTCTGGCTCGCCGTCTTCTTGGCAAGTCTGTTGGTCTTGTGCTTGGTGGAGGCGGTGCCAGAGGTATTGCTCATGTGGGTATTATCAAAGCGATGGAAGAAGCTGGCATCCCCATCGACATTGTCGGAGGCACATCGATTGGTTCGTTCATTGGTGCACTCTATGCATGGGACGCCGATGTGGTTCCTATGTATGGTCGAGCAAAGAAATTCTCTGGCAGGATGGGTAGTATGTGGAGATTTGCCTTGGACCTGACCTACNCCATCGTATGTTGCCCTACTTATTGATATATCGAACGCTATTTGCTGACTGATCACAGTGCTTCCTACACTACCGGCCACGAATTCAACCGTGGTATCTTCAAAACATTCGGCGACTCGCAGATCGAAGACTTCTGGCTCGAGTACTACTGCAACACCACAAACATCACCAAGTCCCGATCCGAGATCCATACCAGTGGCTACGCTTGGCGCTATGTTCGTGCCTCTATGTCGCTGGCTGGTCTCCTACCTCCACTTTGTGACGAAGGCAACATGCTGCTTGACGGTGGTTATGTTGACAACTTGACTGTCGCTCACATGAAGTCGTTGGGCGCAGATGTCATTNTTGCTGTCGATGTCGGAGCCCTCGACGATGACAATCCACAAGCCTACGGAGACTCACTATCCGGATTCTGGGCCTCTTTCAACCGTTGGAACCCATTCTCTGCACACCCCAATCCACCGACACTTTCCGAGATTCAGGCTCGCCTGGCATATGTGTCTAGTATTGATGCGCTCGAGCGTGCTAAGACCACACCTGGATGCTTGTACCTTCGCCCACCGATTGACGGATATGGTACACTCGAGTTTGCTAAATTCGACGAGATCTACCAGGTTGGCTACAAGTATGGACAAGAGTTTTTGGCCAAGCTGAGGGAAGAAGGTGTTTTGCCTGTGATGGAGGAGACGGAGGAGAGGAAGAACTTGAGAAGAACCATGGCACCCAGACGTGCGAGTATCTAAGATTGTGTGTGGGAGAGCTTGACAGCGATGCAGGTGTCTTTCCTTGCAAGCGGTGAGTATCGCTCAAAAGAGCGGTAGTAAGAGATGATGAATCTGAACAGTCTTGTCAATGAAAAGCAAAACTACCAATATTCTTTCAAGCTCTGATGCTGTTAGGATGCGTCTCCTTTGACACAGTGCTATATCCTCAATGATACTTTCAGCGTTTCGGTGGTGCAAGGGGTGGCTGACACTGATTTTACGACGGATTCGTACACCTGCGTGGAGGGAAAGCGCAAGCACCAACATTCCCCCCTTTAAAGATGATGATCGACTTCAATTCTGTGACATAGATTTCAAAAGGTACCATGAAGTCACATGGAAACCTCTGAGTCCACCAGATGTAGATAGAGCCATATATGATGGAGTCGAGTTATTGTTGTGACAAAGACAGGGTGGTCCCACTGACAAGACGGATTTATGATAACGATAAGCAGACAAATCCCGACCGAGGGTTTTCCTCGACGCCACCCTAGTGTCGCGTCTGCCTGCCCAGAACATTCTTCTCTCACACGCGGAAACAACTCTCGTGTCGCAATACTTTCTTTCACTCGGTGGCAGCAGGCTGCTTTCACACTCCACACACTTCTGTCTTCTGATTCTCAGATCCTAGTTCTCAGATCCTGGCTTTCAGATCCGACACTCTTTGTTACCTCCGAACCACTTACACTTCATTAAAGCGCCTCTCAGACACCACTCGCCTCTCACACATCACACATAACACACAACACACAACACTATGTCAGGAAGACGCAATGGCAATCGCATTCGTGGCCCGTCAGTAGCTATCGCACTTCTCTCGTCCTCTCGTAATGACTGACCATGCCCCCAGANNCAATCTGCCTTGACCGACTTCCTCTCTTCACACAACATCTCAGCACAACAGATTCGCGATGACTATGAACGCCGCGTGCGCGAAGCTGCTCAGCAAGAAAATGCCGGCGAAGGCACCTCGAACGCACCACCGCCCAACNGATCCAGATGCCGAAGCCGCTGCCGCTCTGGCCGCAGAGGAAGCCGCAGACGCAGCCGCTGAGAAGAGCAGGAAGAGAAAGAGAAAGGAAGAAGCCGCCATCGAAAAGATCAAGAAAGCCAAGGGAGCAAAAGGTGGAAAAAAAAGAAGAAGCGCGCCAACAGCGACGACGAAGATGACGAGGACTTCGACATCAGCAATGCCATGTACACAAAAGCTCCTCCTATGCCTGGTCAATTTGAGAACTGCGAGATCTGCAGCAAGCGCTTCACTGTTACGCCTTACAGCAAGAGCGGACCCGACGGAGGACTGGTGTGCACACCCTGTGGCAAGGATCTCGCCAAAGAGGGAGATGCGGCAACTGGAAAGAAGGCAAGAAAGCCACCAGCTGGAAGGAAGAGACGCCAGGTGGAAAGTGAGCGTCTGAACGGTATCGCCGTTGGTGGTGCAAAGTCGCTGCAGCAACTCTGCATCGAGAAGGTCGCACAATACCACGAAGACGTCGACGAGCTAGGCGAACTGCCAGAACCTGTCATGCTGCGATTGGCTGAGATCTTCGCAAAGAAGCGCGTTCTGAACCCGAAGACATTGAAGCTCTTTGTGCGACCTGATTCGGATGCTGTCTGTATTCATGATGCCGCATACCTAGAAGTCGAGGACTACCAAGGTATTTGCGCTGTGGCTCCTGGACTCAAGAAGCTCGTCATTCGCAACGCTTGCCAGCTCAAAGATGAAGCCATTGAGTACATGATGGACAAATGCGACTCGATCAACTTCATTCAGTTCTATGCTGCCAACCTGGTGTCGGACGAGATGTGGCGCAAGCTTTTCCAGCGATACGGCAAGCAACTGACAACAGTGAAACTTTCATGGTTGGATGCCTCTTTCGACGACGACACTGTCCGCGAATTGGTCCAGAACTGCCCGAATCTCGTTCGCCTCAAGCTCAAGCTTTGTCGCAAGCTCACCGAAGAGTCCATCATCGCTCTCGCTGGTCTGACTAATCTTGAGCATCTGTCGTTGCAGACTGGTGTCCAACCATCACCAGAGACTGCTATCGACCTCATCAAATCCGTCGGTCCCAAACTACGCACTCTCTCCTTCGAAGACTTCCTTGATCTCGACGATGCAGTTCTTGCTCAGATCAAGGAGTCTTGCAACAAGCTTGAAAAATTCCGCCTGCAGATGAATGATGTCGCTAGCGATGCTGCTTACGCCAATCTCTTCACCAACTGGAAGAACCCACCCCTTACCTTCGCCGACTTCAGTGGGACTCGCGATGTCGACAACAGCAACNCCCAAGGACCTGAAGAGGCTATCGGCTTAGCTTCTGCTGGTTTCAAAGCCCTGATGGCACATTCTGGTTCAGCTCTGCGCACTCTTGATATCGCCTCTTGCCGACACATCAGCCTGGAAGCTTTCCTAGATGTTTTCGGCAGCGGCATCAAGTATCCCAATCTTGAGACTATAAACTTCAGCTTCTGCAGTGCTGCTGATACATCTGTAGTCGCTGGTGTGTTCCAGAGCTGTCCTGCCATCAAAAAGGTCATTGCCTTTGGCTGTTTCGACGTCACTGATGTCGTTGTCCCTAGAGGTATTGCTCTAATCGGTGTACCCAAGGCTCAGGATGCCATCGAGCAGATTGGTACCGGCATCGACGTCCGCGAAGCTCTGAACCGCATGATCGATGTCGGCGCTTGAGCATGCCCCGGCACCATCCTCCGAAGCTTCTGTTTCACGACTCTCCTAGCATTTGCTTTCTCTTGCACTTTGTGTTTCGCATAGTTTACCTTAGCATGGAGTTATTGTGGCGTTTCTGGTTCATCTCAGTTCAAGGGATGACTGCTCAGTTGGCTTTCATGATGAAAAATGGTCCTTTGCGATCACAAGATATTAATGCGCTTCTCACAATAAAAGTCTACAGTGTTTCCGTGTCTAGACCTGAGTCTTTTCTGCTGATTGTCGACCTTTCGAGCTCGTTTCACGTGTTTATCTATCTCTAGCCGTGACAGCCGTGATGGACATTCACTCCTACTTATTGCAGTCGTAGGATCGTTTGGGCCTCGGGGCCGGTCGGAACGGTGATTGAGGGCAAAAATCCGAAAACAAAGACGTCCTTCTGAGATGGCTGAATGATACAAGAATTCAACAGGACATATAAGCACAGATATCCGCTTCGAGTCGGCCGGTTCTGGTAGTTGACACTTCAGGCGCCCTTGGCGGTGAACTTGAGAGTATTTTTAGACTGGCCGTCACTACGGAGGAAAATGCTTGAAAATATCGCCGCGACGTCACTAAAAGCTTGTTCCTGCAGATCAGGGCAACTCGGACCTATTCTTCCACCTCAACTGTCTCTAATGATAGTGAGCAGATTGTTCTTGTGAACTTTTGAGTCCTCGAAATCATATCTCTGTGTTCAAGAGAGTGAGTGCGATAGGTCTAGACTCAGAACTCGCAATGTCGAGTCGCTGTTCGTGACCGCGGACATGAAGATCAGGGGATCCAAATCTCCTGATGTCTATAAACTCGTGTATCTGCTATTTACTTTCGGATGGGGCGGCTCCGTTATATACGCGTCCTAGCAGCTTAGAAGGGGCGCCCAACCTGATGGGCGGCGGATTCGTCATTGGCTGCCCTGTGAGTAGTATCTTATTTCTTTCTCTTTCTATCCCTGGTACATATACTCTTGTCGCCGAGACCCTTAAATCTACAGAGACGTTCAGTCTTTGCTTACGGACCCTGATCTTGTTAGCCAGCTGATGAGGATTGGCTGCAATACAAGAAGTAGTCATGGACCGGTCATCAGCTGACCGTGGCCGTCGCATGCGCTCTACTGTGAGTACCTTCCATGAGCCATTTGTTGCAAACGGCTGATGTTTCCCCCAAGNNTCCTCGATACAACAGGATGATTTCGACGTAACTTCTCCAAACAGAGGAAGCGACAACGAGGGACCGCCTATCAACCCAGCCATCAACAGAGCCCGGACATTCGCTCAAGCGGAACCATCACCCAGCACGGGCATTCGCCGTCGGGGTACGACAACGAGTTTTCGTCCACGAAACAGATCACTAGTCCGAAGAGCAACTGGAACGAGTTTTGGAAACGATGAGCAGTTTAGTCTTGCTGGGCCTCAAGATGTTGTTGCCGTCGCTCATCAGCATGTTCCATACGTGGACCCTGGATACGCTCAGCTAAATCCAGCATACACCCAGCCCATGCATGCTAAGCCGGTGTGGTCATTGGCGAAGCCTTTGCCTAGGGTTGTCAGACCTGGTATGGTACCGACTGCTAGCGAAATCAACAACATCAATCAGCAAGCGGGAGACTCTGAAATTACCGAAGGCGATGTGGAACAAGGACCGGAGCCCACACTTCGTCTTGGTCGCGTATCCGACAAACTTCAAGCTGTTCGAGCAGAACGTGAACGACGCTTTCTGGAAGGCCGGACTGGATCCAGGAGGGTTGGAAGGTCCAGAGCAGATTCCCAGTCCTCGATGAACTCACAAAATGCACAACTTCGTCCCGAGACTAGTGCTCAACAGGGCAGTACCAATGTCGATGTCCTACCTGATGTAGCCGAAGAACAGGAACCTGCCGACCATGAACAGTTCCCGGAATACGACGAAACCTTCGACCCTGCGCAGACTTACCGTCCAGCTTACCGTCCAACTTACGAGTTTGATGACAGCTTTTCTGCAAAGACGGCGCTGGATAACATCCCTAGTGATGACGATCTTACCCTCACCAACAACAACGCCCTTGAAGATGAAGTCTACAACGCTCACACACATTGGAGCGTCGTGCGTCATCGCTTTCGTCAAGAGCTTGCGGAATTTCTTGCTGTCATTGTCCAACTGACTCTGGGATTCTGTGCCGACTTGTCAGTCACCCTTGGAGGTGCTGCAGCAAACAACGCCATTNTTGCCTCTGTTGCGTGGGGGTTCGCCACAATGATTGGCATTTACATTGCTGGTGGCCCTTCAGGTGCTCACCTGAACCCCGTGGTCACCATTGTCCTCTACATTTTCCGCGGTTTCCCCAAACGTCAGATGGGAGGCTACATTCTCGCACAACTACTCGGCGCCTTCTTTTCTGGATTCATCGCTTATGGCATTTTCTCATCCCAAATTCACGCTTATATTGCTTCCCCGGCTGCTGGACTTTNNACAGAGAAGGAAGCCACGCAAAATGTTCTTAATGCCTTCCTTACTGGTCTTCGCAATGACAATGTCACACTCGCAGCTGGATACTTCACTGAATTCGTAGCTACGGCGTTTTTGGCACTTGTTGTTCTTGCTCTCGGTGATGACACAAACACACCTCCTGGCGCTGGCATGACAGCCCTGATCCTTGGTTTCGTCATCTGTGTCTTGCTGCAAGCTTTTGGCAGCACCACTGGAGCAGCACTGAACTCTACCCGTGACTTGGGGCCCAGATTAGCCCTCTATGCCTTGGGCTTTGATACAGAAATGCTTTGGGGAGGCAACTGGTGGCTTTGGGGTCCTTGGTTGGCGTGTATACCCGGCGGCATCGTGGGCGCTACACTCTACGATATCTGCATCTTTACTGGTGGAGAGAGTCCTGTCAACTACCCAAGAAAGAGAGTCTGGAGGGCTGGACACAAAGCAAAGAAGAAGTGGGCAAGAAGACTTAGACCTTGGAAAAAGGGCAAAAAGGCCAAGGAGCAAGAACAGGAGGCGGAACAGAAACCATAGAACTGATTTTGCTTGTTTTAGACTTTTGCATATTAGATGACAGACTTATAGATCATAGATGATACAGCTATAGAGTATAGATGGACTACCAGATTCGACATATCCCATTACACAAACCTCAGTCTACCTGAAGAAAGCTAATACAGACTCATACCAACGTTGATGCAGGAAAATCTATAGCTATGCGATGAAACAGCAATCCAATGCCTGGTATATGAATTCATAACACCAGAGATGTGGTAAGACACTCAATGAGTGAGTAAGAAATGGCCCCTCCCGACGGCGGTAACAGGATCCAAACAGCGGCGCCAAGATGCAAAGTAGATAGCAAAATATGACTTCCAAATGCAGATGCATATGTTACGATGATGAAGTGTTCACTAGAGATGAGTCGAGCCCGAGAATAGACGGTTGGCTCTGGCGGTCGCATCACGATGTTTCTCGAAGCGCAGACCAACGGCCGTTCAGGGCCCGACACAGGGAGAAGCTCATGAGGCACATAGATCTTGCTCAATATCGCGGTTTCGTCAGTGTCATGGCTGGGTACTTGGTCCAAGTGAATTTCTCGATCTCTCCAAGGCTTCTCTGGAGGGAATGTGAGCTGGAGACGGTACCTCCAGAAGGTCTCTTCCTGGCACTTCCAGAAGGTCTCTTCCCGGTACTTCGAGAGTATTTCTTCGGCTTTGAGTAGTTATCGCTGGAGTTGCGACAATGGGGTTTGAAACAGGGTCTTGACTGTCGATTGATCTGGCTCCCATCGAATCAGACCGTGACCGTCGCTGTGCATAACCATGCGAAGATGGAAGAGGAGCGCGCATATCTGAAGCGCGACTATTGGATCTAGACAAGCGACCAGAATTATATCGTCTCTCTGTATTTGTCAAGCCTTCAGCCCGAAATTGTTCTCCCGGTATCGTTGGATATGTGTTGGCATCACGTCTGAATGACGAGGTGTCAAATTGTCCATGGCCGGGAGTCCCCATATAGTCGCCTATCTTTGTCATGAACTGAGCAACTTTGCGACGACCTCCTCTGTCGGCGAGGATTGTACTAGTCATACTGCGTTGAGTGTTGACATGTGTTAAAGCATTAGATTTGATCTTGCTGTGATTGGAGTCATGCGTGTCTGGTCGAACACTTCCATGACAAGATGAGTTGGATAGGGAGTTGTCGTCTGTGCTATCATGTGGCTGGTCAGAGATAGAACCATTGTCTGATTCAGCGGATGTGGTGGTCAAGTATACAACGAGCGAGCCCATCACAGCGAGTCCTGTACCAACAATTGGCGCCCATTGACCGATACTAGCTATAGGTTCAGTCTGGTATCTCACTGGTTGACTGAACAAGTTGATTTCGCCGAGGATGAGGATGACGACCACGGCAAGGCCAAACAGTGGTGCTTCAATGACGTTCAAGAAGCGCTTGATAAGGCTGTTAATAGCTTTGACTTTCTTCTCTTCTGGATCTTTTTCCTTTTCAGTCTCTACGGCAAAGCGCGACTTCCAATTGATCTCGAGAATCTTGTTCCACATGGATATGAGCGTCAAGATAGCCGGTATACAACATGCGGCGCAGAGCAGCGTGACAGTGCCGAAGGTCAGAAGAGTCGGAGCGGGTATTACATATATATTATTTGCAGCGTCTTTGCGCATTGGAGAGGTCGGCCCGTCAGTTTCGGAGCAAGTCATGCCGCAGGTCGTGTTCCCGTAGGGGAAGTTCGTAAGAGATATGAGACTTCCGTCGTCCAACTTGCATATCTGTGATTTGGTGCGGAAGAACTCGACAGCAAGGCTCAGCAGCCCTNNTGATGAGCGTTAGCACATCGGGCGAATCTCATGAATAGAGTAACTTTTCTTACCAGATAGGATGAGACCAGTCCAGAGAAATATTATGTTTCGACCAGGGTCCATAAAATATGTCCGTGAATTTTTGACGGTCGCTGGAGCTGCTAGGATACCTAGAGCGCATAGCTGAAAAGCTCCATAGATGTCCATATCTACAGCTCCTNNAGATAGACTTTAGCTGAACGAGCCGTGTTGTCGACAACGAGATCTGAACCTACCATCGACATGCAAAGCCGCAAGTGTAATACCATGGAGGGCAGCGACAGCAGGGAACAGCAGTACGGCTGCCAAACAGGCATCCTTTATCCAATCTGCCTTTTTACCAAAGACGCATAGAACAACGAGAACATAGTAANNCTTTGTTGATTAGCGATTTATCCTCAACTTGCCACATAAGCAAACTCACAGTACTCTTGAGCCAGGGCCATACTGACCACTGACTGGCCAAGCACATACAACAGGCAGCCCAGAACCTGAGCCGTCTGCCGTCGTCACGTTTCGTGAGAGCAATTCCCCAATTGGATGTATTGCTAAGATGGGCGGCATGGCCAAGAATGCTGATGCCGCCGAGGCAGGGCCGACAGGTGTGGTTGAAGGTCGGCTAATTGCTCCGCTTCCAGAAGACTGTAACAGACTTTCGAACGGAATATGATGCTGTCCATCAAGGAGTTTGAAGGTGAAGAAAATGGTGTTCGAAACGATGACTGAATTCCATCTTCAAATGAGGCGCTGCGCCTTCGGGGCGTGGACAACTGGATCGGGTACTTAGGCACTTTATGGCTGCCTTCTTTCCTGAGCGAAGGAAGGAAGGTGGGCGAGGCTGAGGCGCGGGGTCAAGGATGATCCTCACCGGTTCTCTCTGAGCAACGGTTCTTGATTGCAGCATCGCGCATCCTTGAAGAAAGAGGGATAGAGTTGTCTTAGACGACTGGCACATTTAAGCATACGAGGTTTGGGTGTGCTTTCCGCCACACAGACACTCAGCCCCCTTCGTCAACCAAAACACTATCTAAGTATATCCTGTCGCATCGCACCAGATAATGTTGTCGCGACGACGTGAGTAGGGCACAAAACCACTCTTTATCACAACTTCGACTGTGTCGCGCTCCTCCTCAGATCGAACATGGCCGAAGACTTGGACACCAGTCAGATCAAGGAATGGCGGTCTATCGTCACGCTTATTGTCTTTCTGTTGACCAGTAAGTTGTCATCTCAACAGTACTCAACTATGCATCCATGCCAACTCGAACNNACAGACATTGTGGTCCTCTTTCCATTCAAAATTCCGATATATGTGCCGCGAAGTTGTTACAACGCCGTGCTCGACGTGCTGAGCGCCTGCCGCATAATACCACCTAGGCGACATGGAAATGCGCAGAACAGAGGCAGCAACGAGTCTTCAAAATTCGTGCGCATGAATTTTTCTATGAGTTTTTCGACCGCGCCATTGATTGCAGATCTCTTTNTGTTGGCAATTTCGGCTATTGGACGACAGGAAGTGCATGATGGCACCGTCGGCGCTGACAACATCAGTCCTATCGACATTATGGTGTTCTTCGTGACTCTGGCTTACATCGCCATCTCCATCGATGCATCCGGACTCATCAGATTCTTGGCCTTCAAGGTGCTCCAANAAGGAGGCAAAGTAGGCCATTTACTCTTCTTCTACTTGTACGCATTTTTCTTCAGTCTGGGTGCTTTTGTAGGAAATGATCCGATCATTTTGTCTGGCACGGCTTTCCTGGCATACATGACACGAGTCTCTAGCAACATCGACCACCCTAGGGCATGGATGTATGCTCAGTTTTCCATTGCAAACATTGCTTCGGCCATTCTGGTCTCGTCAAATCCGACAAACCTGGTACTCGCTGGAGCCTTTCAGATCAAGTTCATTGTGTATACCGCCAACATGATTGTGCCCGTTGTGGTTACCGCGATTGTTCTGTTCCCTTTCTTGCTGTACGTTGTCTTTGCAAGTCCACAGCTTATTCCGCTCTCAATCGAGATGGAGACTCTGTCGGATGAGGCANAAAGCAAGAAACCAGTTAATCCGAATATTCCTCAGGCGAAAGGAAAGGAAGCGGAAGACGATGAAGAAGAATCTCCTGAAAACAAGGAGCTTGCACTCGCAGAAATCATGAATCCTTTCTTGGATAAGGGTGGTGCAACGTTTGGATCCGTTGTCATGGCAGTCGCACTCATTACACTGCTCGGAATCAACGCAGCTAGTTCAGCTATTGGAGAGCATCCCGTATTCTGGATAACTTTACCGGCCGCGACCATCATGTTTTGTTGGGATGTCGCGTACGGGTGGAGACACCGCAAGGAAACCCGCGAGATCGCTAAGAGACGTCAAGCGGAATTTAGACAAACGCAAGAAGAGCGAGTCAGTAGTGAACGACAAACTGGTGGCATGTTTCAAACACCAGGGGCCTCAAGCTCGTTCGTCCACGTCGTACCACCCACACCAGAAGTCGCAGGTTCGGAGAAGAGCATTCGATCAGTGGCAAACACGAGCCCCAATACCGACTCAACACTACTTCCTACCAACTCGACAAACGACAGATTGACAAATAAAGAAGCATCAAGATACGCATCGACTCAGCTATCGCCGCCATCACATGAGACAAACTACTCACACAGCGAAAAGCTAGACTCAGCGTTGGATAAAGCTATAGATGAAGAGAAAACACGGCCGTGTTGGGATGACACGCACGACCAGCCTACATCTCTAGTCTCATTCATTGAGGCTAAGTATAGATGGTTGAAAGAGACTTTCCCTACTGTTATGGCAGTCTTGGGTCACCTTCCACTCAAGCTCGTCCCATTCGCACTCTCAATGTTTGTGCTTATCCAGGGACTTGTCACCAAAGGTTGGGTGCCTGTGTTCGCGTATGGATGGGACCACTGGGTATCCAAGACCGGTACCATTGGTGCGATCGGCGGGATGGGTTTCCTCGGTGTCATTCTTTGCAACGTGAGTTTGCCAATAATAGTTCATAGACAGTTTACTAACGAGAAATTGCAGTTCGCAGGAACAAACATTGGCACAACCATTCTGCTTTCTCGTGTCATTCAAGCCTGGCAGCAGATCCACATCAACAATGGTATACCCATTACGGACCGCACTTTCTGGGCAACCGTATACGCCATGGCACTTGGAGTCAACTACGGAGCCTTCAGCATTGCGTTTAGTGCCTCGCTGGCTGGTTTGCTATGGCGGGACATCCTTTCTCGCAAGCATATCCATGTCAGACGGCTAGACTTTGCACGCGAGAACATCCCCATCATCGCCGTGGCAATGGTGGTCGGCTGTGCGGTTCTGGTTGGTGAGATCTACATCATAAGAGACAACTCGCCGTATAAAATGGGATAGACATGTGTGTAGGTCATCTCTTCTCTGGAGTTCTTATATTGTATATAAAATCAAAACGACGTGTTCATAAAGAAATGGATGTTATAAAATCATTGAAGCAATACTCATCAATACCTCTCTGAAGACCATTCGATTTCGCCGTACGATGCCTGTGTTTTTCCAAGAATTGGAGAGACACCAAACAAAATATTTTTTTCCCTGCCGATTCCATACTCAAACTCATCTGTGAATCTTTGTGCTCATGAGCTGAAGAGTCTTTGGCTGGTTAGATTTGATTGCGTTCAGCTCGTCCAAGAGTGCTGGAACGGGAAACTGCAAACGAGCTGAGCTGGTCCGGAGATTGCCCGTCGCTAGCTCCTTCCCATATTAGTTCCTGCCTACTCCTACTCACTTCCACATCTTCCCATAACAGCTACGTATATGCCCGTATTCGCCTTGACTGCCGCTGCGCACTCAAAGTGTGCAATGTAGTCCGATTCATGCTTTCAGAAGCTATGTCCAGATCAATCAAAGCGATCACGGGGATGCCGACTACCAACCAACAAGACGTAATAGGGAAGCGGTAGTGGCCTCTCTAAAGTTGCTCTTGCTATAAATGTTCTCGAGATGGGCGGCTATGCCGAAGCTGAATGCGCGACTAGAATGTCTGGTTGACCCGCTTTGCTCTATCGTGGCTTCTAAATCTGACAGGGAAGCAAATTCGGATCTAAATCAGCTGAACCATTTGCTCTTTGGCGATTTAGATATACAGAATAAGTATGTAGCCTCGAACACGACCACTGAGAGATTATCCAACTGTTATCCGGCATCTGAACGACCGCTTCCATCTTAGCCCACATTTGTGTCTTATTCCATATCATCTCTACCCAGGATACATCAGAAATCGCCGAAACTGGTATGCGTGGATTCATTGCAGGGCTTACCATTCTCGCCGGTCTGGCGAAAGCACAGTCGGTAATTTCTACCGACATTCAGAGTGGGACTGTTCTGACTCCGTCGGAGGTGTTCGTCCCTTCCAGTCGTGTACATCACCGTGGAAGACGCTCCTGCCGCTACTGCGACCATCCTAGCTAGCACTGCGACTGCTTCTTCAGACCCTTCAGCAACACACATCTTCGACTCAGCAGAAGCTCTGGCCATTGCGCTCTCTTCTGCATCGACATTAGCATCTACGACAGCTACAACTGTAGCCGAACGTGCTGCCACTTGTGTACCACAACCGCCTGGTATAGCGCATACGTCCCTTCCAGACAGCGCGGCTGGTTTCATCAACGACGCATACTACCAGAATCAAGCCCTCTCAGCAAGCACACCCCCAGGTTGGGTTCGCGCATTTACTGGTCTAAACGCCTCCAACTCTGCCGAAAGGTGTCTCGGATTTACACTTCTGCCATCCTACGACGTTCAAGCATGTGCCAACAAATGCGCTTCTCTACCTCTCTGCGACTCGATCAACATGTACTTTGAACGAGACCCAAGCACCTCCATCGACAACTCGACATGTACAAATCCTTCGGGGGTTACAAACGTCAAATGCGTGCTGTGGNAAGGCGAGGTGGCCACGTCAAATGCAAACAACTTTGGCCAACGAAGGGCTGAGTTTCAGGTTGTGGTTGCTGGTAGCTCAGGGTGGATGAAGTCGTCATTTGCTGCTTCTCTTCCTGTGGAAGAGCTTCCAACGACTGCTTTTAGTGCGCTTCCGACTGCTACCGCTGTTAGTACTGGAGATACACAGCATGGTGGACATGTTTCGGCTTCGACCAAGAGCTCGGTGTCCTTGACGTTACTCATGGTGGTGATCACGTTGGCTCTTCTGCAGCTTGATGTCAGAGGCATACTATAGCCAGCAAAACGTACAACAAAATGAATAATCTTTATCCTTCCCGTTATGTCCTTGACAACTCGTGTCGTTGTATCGATGGTCTGAGTACAAGTTGAGCCAGTACGAACAGATAACAAATTAGCCAAGTGGAATCATGAGCTCTTTCCGCGTTTGTTGATTTGGGCTGTGATCAGTCTGTCGTCAGTCACTCAGCCACGATCATTACACGATTTTGTACGAATTACAATCAAGCAAGAATACAAAGACACAGTGATAGGCAGAAAAAATCTGATCATTTTAATCCAGACATTAGAACTCATGGTCCATGGCAAATTTCATCCTCGAGCAGACCAAGAAAGAACATGAAAATACCCCCAGTAAAAGGAGAAGCTAACACAAAAGTGTCACAAGAAGAAAAGATGTAAAGAACTCATCAGAAAAGAAAAGAACATTGTTCCTCGAGAGACATTAGAAGTTAAGATTATCAACAAGTTCTGATTTAGAACATGAAGATGGAGAAGACGGCAGCGGCAAGGGCAACAACACCGCCCTGGACGCTGACGACAGAACCAGCACCAGTGAAGGCCAAAGGCTGAGAGACGCTGGCGGTGGCGTAGGCAGAGGTGGTCATGCCGGAGGAGGAGGCACCGTTCATGTTGGCAGGGCAGTTGACACCATTGCACTGAGCAGGGGCGGACTGCTGGGGAATGACAGTGTTAATGGTGATCTTGACGGTGGTCGAAGGGCCAGTGGCAGCAACAGGGCAGCTGACACCGTTGCAACCCTGAGTAATGGTGGAAGTGGCAGTGGCCTGAGCAGGAGCGGGAGGAGCGGTCGAGACAACGACGTATTGAGTCAAGGTGGAAGTGGCGCAAGAGTTGCAAACAGTGACGACCTGCTGGACGTAGACAACAGACTTGCTCGCATTTTCACCAGTCATGACAGGAGTAGGAGCGCTGGAGCTCTGGACAAGGTGGGTGGTGTAGGTCTCAGTGACGGTGGTAGCCTGAGCAGGGACCATCTGGGTTCCGCTAACAGTGATGGTCTGGCCAGCAGGGCACTCGTAGACTAGGTAAAGGTCAGCTTTGTGCTTCGATNNCATCATTCTCAGAAACAACTTACCAGTGCTGGTAACAACATCCTGCTCAGTGACAGCGCCGGCGAGGGCAGTAACAACATTAGCATCAGTGGTGTAAGGGCACTGGTAGACGGTCTCAGCGACAGCAACGACAGTAGTGACAGTTGCGGCGTTCTGGCCGGCTCTGAGAGGGCAGTCGGTCTTGAAGATTGGTTAGTACAAATTTCATGTTTAGTATTGGATCGCAATTACTTACGACAGTGGGAGCGCANNAGAGTAGATGGTAACAACGGTAGGGCTGTAAACAGTAGCGGTAGTCATGGCGCCTCCGTTGCCGCCTGCAGGCATGGTGGTGATAGCGCCGGTTTGAGGCTCAGTAACAGTGACAGGGGCAGGGGCACCGTTGTTCTCGAGACGGAGAGCAGTGTCAAAGGTCTCGGCGACGATGAGGGTGAAGGTGCTGAAGAAGGTGCAGACTTGGCTGTTCTGGTCAAAGGTCTGCTGTATGTTAGCTAAGCTGGTTAAAGATAAGAAGAGAGATATTCATACTGTAGCAACGCAAGCAGTCTCAGTAGAGCAGATGTCCATGCAGTTGCTAAGGCTGGTAGGAAGCTTGGTAGCTTGACGCTTTCTGGAGGCATCAATGGTCAAAACGTCACCAGCAACACCGTGGCCGCACTCGATAAGGAAGTCAACATCGAGGGCAGACTCGAGAATTTCTCTGTTGAACTTGGGGCAGATGAGATCCTCGAGGGAGGTAGCGGTAGCGCTTGCCGAAGAGCTGGTGCTGGAGGCAGTGGAGTTGGAACCAGCAGTGCCGGTGGCGGTGCTGTTGCCGATGCGCGACTCGACGGTAGCGAAAGTAATGCCAGGAGCAGCAGTGCGGCTGCCGCTGTTGATCGAGCTGTAGTAGGTGCACGAATCGTCCGAGTCATCGAAGGCAGTACCNTGAGATCGAGGTCAGTGTTGTTTTCCAGGGAAGATCAAGTTTAGATTGTGTTTGAGCAACTCACCAACGCAAGAAGAGTTACCAGCACATGCACCAAGGCAGTCTTGGAGAGTTTGACCAGCTCTCTTGGCGAGGTCAATCTCGAGGTCGAAGGTGATACCAGAGTAGGTGATGTTGATCTCGAGTTTGAACAAAACTCCGTCGAAGGTGATCAGAGAGGGAGTGGAGGTGGCAGATGCGGCAGCCGAGCTTCCAGATCCAGATGCGCGAGTGGCTGAGCGAGAAGCAGAGCCAGCTGAGCCAGTAGCAGATCCAGATACTTGGACGCTGCTGGTCTTGGACATGGAGGCCTTGGTGCTGGAGTTGCTGTAGAGAGTGCTCGAGAAACCGGCAGAGCGGCTCGTGGAGACACTGGGGCTGGTTCCATTGCTTGCACCACCGTTGACGGGCATACCATCGCGAGAGGTGACCTTGGCGAAGTCGGTACCAGGAGCCGACTGAGGCTGGCCAGAGATGCCAGAGAAGAATGAGCACTCGGAAGTGCTTTCGGTGTACGAGGTTCCAACACACTCAGAGCTCTGGGCGCAAATGTTGAGGCACTCGTTCAAGTTGGAGGCACGGGATCTCTTGCCGAGACCTCTCTTCATGAGGTTGAGAGGAGTACCATCGTAGTTGACGTTGGTTTGAACCTGGAATGCAACTGGGCCGTCAGGACCCTGAACAACAGGCTGGGCTCCGTTGGTGTCTGATAAGAGATTAGTCACTGGTACACGCACAAATCACACAGACTCTTACAGGTGGGAGCTGCCGAAGAGGAAGTCTGGGTTGCAGTGCCAGAGGACTGCGAGCTGGTGACCATGGGAGTGGTGGGGATTGCAGAGCCAGTGGTGGTGATCATGGAGCTGCTGAGGTCCACAGAGCTGCTAGTCGATGACATGGTGCTGTTACCGAACGAAGACGAGTTTGAGTATGATGGCTGAGCTGCCGCCGAGCCCATAAGGGCAACGGCCATAGTAACGAATGTGTTTCTCATCGTGCTGATGGGTTAGTAGAAGGTCTAAAAGAGTGACTGAGTTGGAGTGGATGATTTCGACAATGGTAGTTGGAGGACTGGATATTTATATAAAAGTTCTTGCCATCTCAATCTTGCCGTTGTCTGGACCAGGAGTATGTTGATAGCTGAAACTTGCCGTGGCGTGTCGTCCTGATGCTGAACGAACGATGGGTATACCGTTCTCATTTCCCACCATGGGGTAGACAGCAGCTGAAGGTCTGGGGCACGATTAAGGTTGTTGGTATCTAGGTAAACGCTAGATTCGACAAGCGCCATACAAGCATTTGCACGTTGCTACCAGACCATGAAGGTGCTCAGAGGTGGTATTCGCTTCTATCCTTTCTTTATTGTGAATCCCACTGCTTTGCAGCATGTAGTCTTTTGGTAAGGTTAGCCAATTACGTTGTCTGCTTCTCTGACATTGAAGAACCGTGCTCGACCCTCGTATAGTCAATTTCATGCATCGTAGCGGTTTGTTGATCGCTCTAAACCCCTCGCGAGAGAGTTCACAAGCCCGTTGTAGTCTGTTGTTGTTATTGTTGCCATACACCAGTTAACCCAAACGTTACGGTTGCTTTATCGGTGACCATCAGCTTTGCCGGAACTTCCGTATGGAGGCTGTGCGTCAGAGAAAGGTTGACGTTGTGGTTCATGGTATGGGGAAATTAACAATGGGCGTATCAGGATGGAGGCACACCGTTGGCACCTTGATAAAGGAGTTCGAGGAGAAGAGAGGAAAGCCATAATGCGGTGATTGCTTTGTAACGGTGAACGGGCGGGTTCGTGATTTCTCGAGTGCTGGTATAGAATGGCCAAGTCGTGCATAAAGACAACACCGAGATGCATTCAGAACAGACATTGACCTGTATAGCAATTCGATGTCAGCCGACAACAAAACTTCTAGCAAGCTGTATCGTCGTAAAGCAGAGGCAAGTTCTGCCCTTGAAGAAGGAGATGGTGTCATGGTGAGGAGGTCGGGGTGCGGGCCGTTGCGACGTTTTGCCGATCCCTAATTTAGACCTTTCTCCTGCCTTGTGCATCACCATCACCTCTCACAATCTCGGAAAGAAGGAGCCACTGATGGCAGACCAAACAGCAGGTTTGTACACCATACGAGATCTGTGCATATATCTCTAAACGTAGTGTTCAGTCGGGAATTTGGGACGCACTCAAACGGTAGTCTTGGCCTGCGTGGATAAACATTCAAACACGTGCGTGCTACGGCGTGGCCTGAGGGGCAAGCTGAGAATCAACTGCCAAAACAATGTTGAGGGACGGGAAGGACTTGAAAACAATCGCATGTACATTTCATTCAATTTCGATCATCGAATCCTCTAACGCCTCGTTACAGTACTCAGGGAGCCTCAGCTCCCTTCTCAGCTCTTGTCTTNTTCCAAATCTCCACCTCACCACCACCATGAACGATTCCAACTCGCATGGTCGATAGCAGATTATGAGCTGCATTCGAATGCTCATACACGCCACCATTGAATATCGCTGTGGCATCTTTGCCGATGGCTGACAAGATCAGTGCTTTGCCGCCAGGGTGCTCTTTGATGAACGGAGCCACATCATGTATCACGCCGCCAATTGCGACGAGAGCTTGACCGTTGCTTCTTGCCTGAGCGACGAATTCTCCCCAGCTGAATACAGGGAGCTGTGAGATAGGAATGCCCCAATCCAGTTTGGCTCGCTTCTGATCTACCTTCTTTTGTAGTTGCTGCAGGCGGCCCTTTTCGATCTCATTTTGTCGGAACTGCTTAAGATCGTAGGCAAGTCCGAGTTTNTTCCATGTCCAGATCATCCATTTCGTCGGATCATACTGCCACCATTCAATGGCGTTTCGATAGTCTGATGGAAACTCGTGGTGGAAATTGTGGTAGCCTTCGCCGAGTGTGACAAGAGCTGTGATAACGTGATCGCGAGGTGAGTTGCGATCATCGAATGGTTGCTCGCCAAGCCAGTGAGCTAGGGAGTTGACGCAGAAGGTCGCTTGTTGAATGAATGCCGTACGCAAGATGCCGGCATACACAAACCCACCGAACCAATCACCCCAGCCCAGGCCACAAACAAGGGTCGGAACGATCAGGGCCATAGTCAGAACTGACTTGATATAGTGTTTGTGTTGCCAAACGACAACTGGGTCCTCGTTGAGATCACTGATGTCTGATCGACCGATCCTTTTCGGGTTTTGCTTTATAACCATCCAACCCATGTGGCTGTACCAGAAGCCTTTCTCAACAGAGTAAGGATCCTTCGATGTGTCTGTGTAGCGATGATGGGCCCGATGACCTCTTGACCACCATCTGATACTTCCTTGAGCAGCGCCAGCTCCAGCAGCTGCCAGATAGATCTTGAGCGGAAGGGTTGCCTTGTAGCATGAATGTGCCCAGAGACGATGGTATCCTGCTTGCTTGTCAGTATGTTGCAAGGTCTTCCAATCTTTACATGACATACCAGCAGTGATGCCTGAGCCACACATGACATAGTATACAACAGCAAAAATTCCTGTGTAAAGGCGCAATGGAGTCTGAGTGGCTGCAATGAGGCCCAGGATTGGTACGACGATGATGAAGTAGATGCTCAACCAATCCAGATGTTGGTGCCAATTTCTCCAGGTCATCGGCAGCTCAGTGATATGAGGCTTCTTCATGTCGTAGCCTTTCGACCTCAGTGGCTTGTAGTCTGTGGTACCATCAGAGAGTGCGGCAGTCTTTGGTGAGACCTCTGCCGCGAACGCCATGGTGAGTGAACAAGGCGTAGAACGAGTCGAATCAAGGCTGACTACTTAGACAAGAATCCAACGCGAGAGTAGGCATCTTTATAACCACTTAGCTTGGGTAACAAGAGATCAGTTGAGGATTGATGGTCTGGGTCCATGCAGACCCTGTGTGGAGACACATCTGGTGACCGATCACCCTTTCGAGGAGATGTCGCGACTTCGTTGAGAAGCACGTTGAATTCGGAGAGCCAGTGAGCTCAGGCAGACGATTTCTTGTCCTTGCCATTTCAGTCCTACTATCTGTGCACTATCATTGGCACGAGTTGACCCATGTTACAAGGTGTGGTTTAGGAAGAGCTTGCGAAGAACAGTGTGGAGGGGGAGAGCTTGGCGGAGGATCAAACATCTTAACCCGCATACAGGTCGCAAGGGTTGCCTCTTCCAGTGAATCCATAACTGACGTTGAGTTGCAGCGAATTTTAAGAGAAACCTCGTCTTTATATGGTAGTCTCCATGGTCGAGTCTGCGACACGTAGGTCGCATGTGTGCAAGAAACCCAGGACTCTCGAAACCTGTACAGAGTCCTGCCGGTATTTAGCCGGAAGATTGTTGCCTGAAGCACCCTGGCTTGCTACCATCTCTTGTTGACCTTCAGTCCAATGACCATCCTCAAAACTCTGCTACATCCAATCTGAGGGTGTTAAAGGCTTACGATACGATGAGATCATCTTGTCCAGGAAGGACATGATGGCTGTTCTTGTACTTCAAGAAATCTGCTTCAGCTTTGGAGACTCGGTCAGACGCACGATCCGTTCAAGGTACTGAGTATACCATGTATAAATGCGAAAGAAGCTTTCTCAAGTGTCAAAACTCCAATCTCAACCGACACTACAGTCTGCAGTCATAGCTAACAAGAACAAGACACTGAAGCTAGGATATTGGAAATGATTGTCGGTGTCGGTAGGTCAGCAGTACAACACTCTGCTCGGACGGCTTTTGTTAAGACCGAGGACGGGGTCCGACAATCTCGGGCGGGGTTCAAGACAAACAACCAACCTTGTTGATTCCTTCTGACTGTCGGACAATAGATGCATGCAATTGTTGCGCAGGATCGTGGCGTCGATGCGGTGAACGGCACGAAGTGAGTTATGCGTCCGATTTGCGTGCTATATTTGTAGGTGTCACCCGTCAGGAAGGCGCTCTTGTTCAACATCAGCTGCGACTTCTTCGATACTATAAAGTAAAGACACACCTGCTCTTGCTTCATTGCGACTCTCTCGATCCTAAAAGAAGACTTGGTCTCAATTGAGAACTCTTACCATTCACGATGGCGGCCCCTCGAAGACTACTCTCATCGATCTCGCCCGCGACACTTGGATTCGCAGCGGCAGCCGGCGCTGGTGTTGTTGCTTTCAACATGTCCAAGTCTTCTTCAAGCCCAGCGGAACCACAGAAGAGTCTCGGCCAGAAGCCCGTCTTCCCAGCTATGGGCTTTGTGAGCTTGACATTGGAGGAAGCACGCATGATTAATCACGACACAAGAGAACTGAAGTTCAAGGTGCCTGGTGACGAAGCCATTAGTGGATTGAGCCCTGTGTGTGAGTGTCGCTTGCAAACGTAGAAAGCCAAAGACGCAGAAGCTAACATGGAAAAGNCATCGCTTCTCACACGTCACACAGCCGCTGGCTCTTGGTTTCCAACATTCCGTCCCTACACACCCATCAGCACTCCAGATAGCCCTTATATCACCCTCCTCGTAAAGCAATACCCAAACGGCCGTGCTTCAACACATCTCCACAATCTTGCTCCTGGCCAAACGCTCAACGTCAAGGCCATCCCAGAATTCCCTTACAAGCCCAATCAGCACAAGCAGCTTGTTCTTGTGGCTGGCGGCGCAGGCATCACACCANTGTTCCAGGCTCTGCGCAGAGTTCTGGAAAACCCTGAAGACAAGACTCGTGTGAGTTTGATCTACGCCAACAAGACCGAGTCAGACATCCTGATGAAGAAAGAGCTTGATGCTTTGGCAAGTCAACACTCTGACCGATTCACAACAACCTACGTGGTCAACGACAACAAAGGGTCCGATAAGAGCCTGGAANAGGGTTATGTGACCAAGGAGATCCTGAGCAAGGTACTACCTACACAATTTGCAGGCGATGATGTCAAAGTCTTGGTCTGTGGTCCTCCGGCCATGCTGGATGTAATCGCTGGTGCCAAGGGTGCACGAGGTTGGACACAGGGAAGGCTAGGAGGCATGCTCAAGGACCTGGGCTTGACCGAGAAGCAAGTGCACAAGTTCTAAAGACGATTACTGATGACATGTCACATCGCGTTACAATATGTTCCTAGCACTAGTAATTCTCGATGCAAAAGTTTCTATAATTGTGTATTCTAGAGCAAACCTGTGGGTATCTAAGCGTGAAGAAGAGGACTAACTCGGACTCGCCAGCAGCTTGGTAACTCAGCATTGTACGTCATTCAGAATTTGGACTGAAGAGGTCAAGCCTTTCGTGTCTCCGTCGTACTGGCATACGAATAGATCGTACCGGCCTTCAGCAATGAGCATTTTGTTGGTACTTGTCTGGAACTCGGCCAGAGGACTCAGTCGACAAGTAATGCAAATCTCGTTGCTCTCACCAGGCAGGATGACTTCTTTTGCGAAGCCAACAAGACTCCTGGAAGCGATTCCCGTACTCGTTGCACTATCCCGCCGTGAACTGCTCGAAGCATAGATTTGAACCACCACTGCCGAAGCACGGTTGCCGGTATTCTTCGTGTTGACTGTCACGTCAAAGGTGGATTTGGTGATTGGATGCGAGCACCAGAGTGAGTTGAGCGAGAAAGTGGAATAACCGAGGCCGAATCCGAAAGGATAAGCAGGTTTCTGTTGTTCGTGTCGTAATTTTCGATATCCCCACTTGTCGTCGTATCTGATTTCGTGCGAAGATAAGTTTCTTTCCTTCTCCAGTAGTTGTTGTTCAGTATCTGGAAGCACAAAAGGCAATCTACCAGAAGGCTCTTGCTCGCCAAATAAGACGTCTCGCAGGCCCTTGCCATACTGTCGGCAACCATAGCTGGAGAACAGTATGGCACTGGCTTTCTGTCGGATGCACACAGGAATAGTGACATTTGTGCCTGCCTCGATCACTACCACCGCTTTCTGGCCAGCGACCGAGAGGACTACTTTGGCTAACTCGATGTCCTTGGCATGAAGCGTGAGATGACTGCGGTCCCGGAAACGTGACACTTTACTATCGCCACTGTGCTTGCGAGGTCTGAAGCGGTCAAGGAAGCGGCCGCGCTTCTGTTCGCATTCGGATTTAATCGAGGGGCGTATAAATATCAGGACACAGTCGGCAGCCACAGCAGACTTTGTTGCTTTGCCAGTCTCATTGCCCGCCATATAGTCCACGACTAGATTATGGCGCTTCCGGAGCTCTTCAAGAGGGCTGGTACCAGGAGGACCTGCAGCATGAGATGCTGTATCGAATTGGTATACAGAGCTGACCCTATCCGCCAGCTCTCCCAAGACTGTCATCTTGATCTGAGAGGTTTGTTCCAATGGTAGAAAGCCGTTATGGTTCTTGAGAAGCACCATGGACTCGGCGACTGAGCGTCTAGCAAGACCAATGTGACGCTGACATCTTATCTTCTCCGGGTCCGGCAATGGCATCTGGATTGTGCGGCAGTGATAACGCAGCTGGGCTTTCAAGACCCGATCAGTCATGGCTTCTATATCCGACCAATCCAGGGTATGGTGCTCAAGAGCATTCTCGACGGCTGCTGTTCTTCCACCTGGTTTGAATGGCATTTCGATGTCCAAGCCTGCTTTGATTGACGCCGGTCCACCCTTGACTAGCCACGTACAGTCGCTAGCCACAATCAGATCGTTTAATTGCCAGCGTTCCCTCAAGGTGCCGTTCAACAAGGCAGGATTCTCCGTGCATGCTACGCCATTAACTCGGTTTCCAGCAGACACCACAATCTCTGCTCCACTCTCGCAGAGAACATCTTTGAAGTGCTGCAGGAAAAACTCGTTCATGGTCTTTTCGTCGCAAGTAATCCTGCCGTCTTCTCGAAGGATTTCCATAGAGTTTAGTGCAAAGTGTCGGATGGCTACCATGGCATGTTTTCGTACGCCCTTTGCTGCTGCATTGCCCATGCGGCTGATAACAAATGGATCTTCTCCGTAAGACTCGTGTGCCCGTCCCCAGTCTGACCGACGTGTCACATTCAGGCATATTCCACTGTAGACGTTACCACCATGGGCTCGTACTTCCAAGCCGATGGCTTCTCCCNNTGCGGGAAGTGTTAGAACTGGACACCATTTGAACATGGATGATACACTGACAATAAGTTCTTCCAGTTGAGTATTGAACGACGCCGCCCGACCCAACGGACTGGGGAATTCTGTAAAGAAGGATTGTTTCGCGCCGTCGACGATATGGAAACCGGGCACACCGACCCTTGGTATCACCGAAGCCGGATGTGGTGAAGCCTTGTTGTCTGAAAGGTATTGTGTAAGGGAGCGCTCGCCCTGTAGCAGAGCAAGATGCTCATCATCGGTCATGAAGCCAGAGAGCAGATTGGCCCCTTCGTCGAGTTTTGTGTCACCATTGTTGATCTGGGTCACCAAGCGGAAGAATTGGGTGTGCATTGCTTTGGTTGTTGCTATGAGCCACAACATCCACACTGGGCGCCCATGACTCTTGTATCTATAGCCTTCCTGATGTTGTCTTCCACTACGTAGGTGGTATGCTTTAACCTTAGCATGATGCTTTACCAGCCCTAGAATCCGAGCGAATAAGCCGAGCAAAACGTGCAATAGGTCCAACAGCTACTCGTAGGTACCATACAACTTTAATTGCTGGTGGACGAATTATCGCTGAGAATCAAAAACCATACCGGTGTTGTATGACAATTCGAGAGCATGTCGATCTTTCGTCCGTGACAAACTGTGCATCTCCATAGGCGGAAGACCGTATGTGAACATGTAGAAAATCCATCGCTGTCAAATCGAGTTATTTAAAGTTGTAACGGCGATCTCGAACAGGCTTCTTTTGACCGCCAGGAACCAAACGGTCGGGATATGCGTCTGCCGGTATGAGACAGAAGGTATCCACATATGCGATCCGGTCTTCGAGCAACAAAGGATGACTCCACAGGTTCGTTTATCGGTTTGGGTGAGATGCGGTCGAGCTGCAGTTGCCCTTCCCAGGCACGTCGGCCGGACCGAGGAACGTTATATCTTGCTCGCCCGGCCAAGAAAACCGCTGTGTTGGCCTTCGGGACAAAATTCATGCCACCACGCAACACTCTTACTTGTACCAGCCCTATCTCACTGTCTCACAGTTCTTTCTGTCAATCAACCGAATACCCGCGGCCCCAATTGCGGATGTTCCTGCTTAGTTGTGGTATAGAATGATGAATAATCACAACGGCGCTGTACCGCACTCGGACGTATCGCTAACGATTTCAGCATTTGCGAAGTCCAATCCACGCTTTGATCGGAGTTCAACTCCTTTTGTCGATGCGAAAATCGAATTCTGCGCAACAAACACTAGAGGTTTGGCGTCAAGCGCGTGATTCCCATGTCTTGCGAGCAAGCCATCTGGAGACAACGAATGCAGTTCATAAGCATGACTGATTTGCAAGAACTGTTCATAAGATATTTGGATGGCCGCTATCTGCAATCGACTCTTGGAGATACTGTATGTTCGGACCGGCAAGAAAATTTGTTGTTCTTGTGCTTAGATGGCAAAGAGGATATATTTTATACAACTTGCTTTCCAAGCACGTACGGCCACAGTCAGCTGAAAACTGGGCATCCCGTCCGCTCTGCCATACATAAGCAGTTGAACGGCAGATTAGTACTACGGTGGGTGACCACGTGGGAATCCCTGCTGCTGTACGTTTTGTTCTTTTGCTCATCTTTGGACTGCCTGTGAAAGAGAGGAGGATGGCGCAACATTGTGTTGACCAGAGTCGATGTTCTTATAAGGTGACCGTGCCAAGCACCTACTGTTTTGCTTTTCACATTTTTTTATTCTTCTTTTCTTCCTTCTATCTGGATCTCTCTTCCCAGGCGTTCCTTTGTCCTCTGATCAATCTTTTCGCATTTCCATGGCATTCGGTCAGGCGGCGTACCTGCATGATGTGAAGTCAAGACGACGACTCGAAAGCGGGGATCCAGACTCCTTGTTCAGCTGCAGCCATGGAGGCTTGAACTCTACCGCAACACGTGCGGGGTATATTCAAGAAGCTCACCAGAAGTCAAAACATATAAAAGGCTGGAGCAGTCTGAAGCCGAAATGTGACTTTTGAGAGAAACAATTTCTTATAACTGCTAGTCTGCCCTGGTTAGAAATGCTTTCATCACTCTCTAGTCTAGCAGTCTCTTTGCTCTCACTATCTTCGTTTACATACGCATCTACCTGCAACATGTCTGGAAACCTGACGAGCACAAATGGTATTGGTAGTGCACCAATGCAGGTAAGTCATCCACCGAGACCCATGACTCGCTGCCACTGACATGTCGTTCAGCGCCATTACATTTCCGCAAGCCAAGCCTCAGCTATAGTAGAAGCGGCAGCCAAAGCAGCAGCAACCATTGTTCCCCAAAATATCGCCATCGTAGACCCATCAGGCCTTCTAGTCGCTTTCCTCCGCATGGACAATGCATATCCGGGCAGCATTGACATCAGCATCAAGAAAGCCAGGACGAGCGTTCTCTTCAATGGTGTCCCTAGTGCTGGTCTGTACAACCAATCTCAGCCTGGCCAATCCTTGTATGGAATTGAGGAGACCAATGGAGGTTTGGTGATCTTTGGTGGTGGATTGCCTTTGGTCAAGGACAACTACCTGCTCGGTGCTATTGGCGTGAGTGGAGGTACGGTTGCGCAAGATGTTGAGGTTGCTCAAGCTGGTGTGGACTGGTTGACAAACTCTTGATTTCTCGATCCGGGAAAGATGCCTTCTTTAGAAACATCGTAAGAGAAGGTCTATTCATTTGTTCTTCTTCTCTGTATTAAAGACAGGTTTTGATGGTCTAATCAGATCGAGAAGCTGTAGCATGCTGTACGCAATACCCAGTATGATCACAACAAGATCAATGACATGTATAGCCCACCATATGTGCTGTTTGCCAAGTGCACAAGTAGCATACTCGAACTTCCACATGCCATCGTTGGCGTCGAACCATGCAGAGAGCAGACCGGCGTTTCCGCCATAGTCACCCATCATGCTACGTACGGTGACCTCTCGGATACCGTTCGTGGTTGTATTCGGTGCAAGGAACCTGGTCGAATTCCATTGCTCCTGTTCAGTATCAATACGGTCGTGCCATGTATCGCATCCTTCGTGGTCGTGACCGTTGAGCACAATACCCGCTCGCTTGCTCCCACTCGGTAGTCTGAAGAGGCCGTTCAGTATTTTCTCGCTTGACTCTCGACTAAGATGATTCTGTTCGCGAATACCACCGCCATGGTGTGGTTCAAAGTAGCTGAAGAAAGGAGGATCGACACAGACACCAGCCGGCTTGTACAGAGGAACATGTGTAAGCAAGACCACGGCGTCTCGAGGATCACGTGCACCTGTATCGTCGATGACACTGTCCAGGTAGTCATGCGTCGCGTGATACAGATCCTGGTTCCAAGCAGGGTTGTCCAGGTTCATCGAATTGAGATTCACCAGGTGCAATTGCGTGGTCAGATTTGATGTTAGATTCGAGAAGGGAATTCTGATGCGCCAGTTGACCTGGCCAAAGGCGCGTTCGAAGCGATGGATACGGTGATGATCAATATCACCAGCATATCCGATGTCATGATTTCCAGCCACGTTGAGCAGAGCAGGCGTCTGACTGGCATTTAAGTTGTCGACAAAGTCCCAGACAGGTGTGCCTCCGAGCTCTTCCTCAGGCGTATCGTGTCTCCAAAAGTGAGCACCGGCAAAGACTCTATTCCAGAACCTGTCGGCTCGTCGATCGAACTCGTCATTGCTTATCCACTGGCTGCCCAACAGATCGCCCAGTACAGAGACGTGGGTTGGCTGGGTCCACCATTTGGTGCTGCGGTATATATGTGCGAGATAGTAGTCGTTGCCTAGAAGGTCCAACTTCTTTCTTTCCGTCTGTACCAATCGTGGAATATCTCTTGTAACGATGTCCTTGACGGTTCGTCGCAGGGTGCGTGCAGCGATGTCCAGTGGTTCGGTCCACAAGCGGTGACGCAGACCTACAAGGCCAGGAAACAGAGGGGCATTAGGGTCAGGAAGAGACGTGTCTCCTTCCAATTGCGGGTCGCCGAGGGCAAGGAGTCGAAAAGGTGCTATGCCATGTTGTTGAGAAGCCGAAAAGTGGCAGTTCTGGACGACGGGGTATAGATAGAGCCAGAGAGTCGACAGAACGGCAGGTACAATCAAGGCAAGGAAGGCGCAACGCACCACGCCCAGGAGCCGCATTGATACTGCATTGTTGATGTTGAACGTGGTGAAATGAGTCGTGCCTTCCCAAAAAATTGCTTCGGACTTTGCATCTGCCAATCTCCGTCAATCAGCACGCACTTCAAGCGCATCTCGACTCACCATCACTCTTTCCTCAATACACATTCAAACATCTGTCCGCGGTCTAAGGCCATTGTATAACTTGGCCTCTGCAATAGTCCGCTCACATACGAGCCCATGAAACGCGGGTCGTCGGCCATGCGCTTGCACTGAATACATGTAGCCTCTAAACCGACCACGTGCATGCTGCGAGTGGCTCTCGTTCAGAAACCCTTTACCGGCGGCCGATCTCCACCCCTCAACCACAACATGATAGATACATAAACCACTCAGGCAACGACTGCCATGTTCTCCAAGAACAACAATGTCTGCCACTACTTTGCTCACCTCAGCATGTCTCCTGTATACTCTATCCTCTTTGCCCTTGCTGCTTCTACCGTATCTACTCGTGCGATCCCCATCTTGCAACCCACAGATGTCCTCCGACTAGATGCAAATGGCTCCTTTCAACTCAGTATTTTCAGTGACCTACATTATGGAGAAGCAGAAGACACACTATGGGGTCCGGAGCAAGACGTCAAAAGCGCTAGAGTCATCAACTCTGTCCTCGACAACGAACAGACCACGGGCCTAGTTGTCTTGAACGGAGATCTCATTACTGGCGAGAACACTTTCCTGCACAACTCTACCAGATACGTCGACTCTGTCGTGGCCCCCCTGGTGAAACGCGGCATGAGCTGGGCCAGCACATACGGCAACCACGACAGTGATTTTAACCTCTCACGCGAGGGCATCTTTGCAGAAGAATCGAAATATCCGCTCAGTCGCACAAAGAATATGGTCTCTGCATCTGATGCAGGTGTGTCGAATTACTACCTGCCTGTATACGGCAACGACTCCGCCACTCCAGAATTCTTGCTCTGGTTCTTTGACTCTCGTGGCGGCAACTACTTCCAGCAAGAAACTGCAGCTGGAGATCCAGTGCCTCAGCCCAACTGGGTTTCTGAGAGCGTTGTTGACTGGTTCACCGAAACTCGATCTGCTCTGGAGGACAAGCATGGACGTGTCGTACCCAGTGTCGCATTTGTCCATATACCTGTCAACGTCATGGCGGCTTTCCAAGCCGCAGGCGTTAATGCCAATCGTGAGCCGGGTATCAACGACGACAACCCGCTGGCTCAACAAGGCTCTGCCTCAGGTCAAGGTGAGGTCAGCGGCACGACATTCAGCTACAATGGCCAGGACATACCCTTTATGCAAGCTCTTCTCGACACCAAAGGCCTCAAAGCAGTCTTTTCAGGTCACGATCACGGCGATGATTGGTGCTTCAGGTGGGAGTCCAAGCTGAAGGGCATGAACTTGACTGGCAATGGATTGGATCTTTGCTTCGGCAGACATAGCGGATATGGTGGTTATGGATCATGGATAAGAGGAAGCAGGCAAGTTGTGCTCAAGAAGGGCAAAGAGGATGTTGAGACGTGGGTGAGGCTGGAAGACGGAAGCGTCAGTGGCAGAGTCACTCTTAACGGCACATATGGGCAAGACTCGTATCCTGCTGTGCGATCGTAGTTCATAGAAATATCAATGCTGATTTTTCACCCTCTGTTGCGACATGGATGCTAGGCAGTGATACAAACAAAAGCACAGTTCAGCGTTTCATTGCTCAGTGCTGATGGAGAGTGGCTTCAGCTTGAGTTGGCGATCGACAATGTGAAGCAAGGGAGGGATATTGTGAGCTTCGAGGTGATGTTCTTGAGAAGTGTACCCGGGGTGAGCTTTGCGCAAGGTTCGTAGATGATGGTAGGCAGCCAAATTCCTAGATGTCAAGCAAGGCATGTCGATCGGGTTGCTGATAATGTAGCATCATGCATCTACACGACGGCATAAGACATCTCCGGTACTCCTTCAAAGCACCTTTCTTGACTTCTCCACTTGACTCTAAAGCAAAATGTTCTCTGACTCGGGCATACCAAGCCTCGAGACCTTGTTGCGCAAAGACTTGGTACACAGACCAGTCAATGCTCTCTTCATAAAACGCAACTATACTAAACGCGAGCTTGACACCTTGAAATGCTTGGAGCCAGACGCAAGCAAGGCAGTTGGGCGTGAGCTGTCAGACACAGAGCGCAATGTCCTACTAGGATACAAAGGCAACTCGATCGCTTCTGAGTCCCGACCATCAGCCTTGACAGTCTCGATCGCGGTTCTGGGTGGACTGGCGAGCACCTTATGCACGACTAGAGTACGCAAGCGCTGCATCCGTGGCCGCTCTGTCCATCAAATTCAGATCCGGCCTCTGTCCTTTCGTGAACTTGTTGGTATCACCGGGATCATGGGTTACACCGCTCTCGTGTTCAAACCCGCTGAGAGCCAGCCTCTATCGCTCAAAATTCTCAACGACCCTCGTATGAGTGCATTCAAAGAATCGATCAAACGCAGGAAGAAGGAGTTTGGTGGCCACGAACCGGAGATTGTCAGAAGGAAGGATAGAAACATCGAACGACCAATCCAATGGTTCACAAATGCATCCGGGCCGTTCTCACTACGTCCGTATCAGAATAGCCTGGCTGTGGTTAGGTTGGGACCTCGAAGCATAGAAGTCCAGGAGGAACCACTGCCTATCACAGATTATCCTGATCATCCTGATCTCAGTTGGTCCCAGGATCCCTCAAGCTACAGAAAGCGGCTGAGAGATTATGAGCTTGCGAACAAGGATAGGGTAGTGATCTCCATTGCGGACAGGCATCGGTTCTTGATCCCCAGGATTCTTGCGGAAAGGANNTCGGTCCTCACCCTGGGGCGTGGTTTTGAATTGTGCGATCAACATAAGGGAAGTTCTACCTTTGTATATAACCCAGGGCCTCCGAAGCCTCGTTTGTATGTCGAGTAGAACACGATAGTGCTGTTCGCGTACATCTAGAGTACAGATAGAAGACAAGATCTGAGGATCATTCTTTGCTCAAAGTAGAAGCTCGACAACTTGTTGCTGCACTGCTGACGTTTCTGGTTGTAGAACAAGTAAGGCAAGTGAACAGCTGGGGAAGTAACGAATGAGTGGGGCTGGGAAGTATCCGCCGTTGCCCGATATTTTCCCGGAGCATTCGAGCGACGCGATGATTCACTTTGGGATTGCTTCCAACTTCATCCACCTCTCGACACCTCTATCGTGACGAGGCGGATATCTTTGAGCATACTCTACGCAGAGCAGAGTTGCGTTGTCAGTATGGGCCTCACATCCAAGATTCCCAATTACCGATCATCCATTGTCCCGTAACCCCGCCTGTAATTCTTTTGCATGCTCGGCCTCCGCATCGCAAGCATATGTACATGCACAACGGCAGCTCTGGAAACGGAGAAACATCTTCCAGCAACCAAATCACAGATATTCCGTTCTCACAAATATCCTGCTTTTTTTTGTGGCTGGATTGCGGATACGCTGAGATGCCATGCCAGCCTTCGCAGCAGAGGGGAAGGCGATCGTGTCTATACTTAGTACAAGTAAAACGCGTGGTGGGCCGATATATTGGATACAAGCAATGGGGCAGGCTGCACAAATAGTTCTGATCGTCCCTTTGAGAGTTCAGCATTCTACGAGCATCACCTTTAGACTCAACTAAAAAGCGATATAAATAGTTCTCCGCCCTAGCGATCTCGCCATGAGACTTGATATATCATTATTGATCTGTTCGACACCGGCAGTGCTGGGTAGCTTTTTGGATATCAGAGACACAGATATTCTCTGCTGACTGTCGATAGGCTTTACGAAGCGACCGCCGACATGTCCCAAAACTCCCAAGAATGCGACTCAATATAACGCGAAGCTTCCAGATCCTTTCGTGTTTGCCAATGGAAGACCTGTTAAGACCCTCTCCGACTTCCAGTGCCGCCAGCACGAAGTCAGCGAGCTCTTTCAGACCCTCGAGTTGGGGGCCAAACCCGGAACACCTGATGCTGTACATGGCTCGATATCAGGTGGCAACTTGACAATCACAGTCTCTGTACATGGCAAAACCAGATCTTTTACACCCTCAATTACCTATCCGCTGAACGGAACTGCTCCATACCCAGCCATCATCGCCTTCGGAGCTCTTACTATTCCTGCTCCTTCTGGCGTGGTCATCATTACTTACAATAACGATGAGATCGCTGCGCAAAACAATCAAAATAGTCGTGGCCAGGGCAAGTTCTTCGAGCTTTACCCCGACCTGACAGCCGACGGCGCAATGACACCTTGGGCGTGGGGTGTAGGCCGCATTCTCGATGTTCTGGACACTTTGCCCAATACCAACATCAATTCGAAGAAAGTTGCGGTCACTGGTTGTTCGAGGAATGGTAAAGGAGCACTGGTTGCTGGCGCCCTCGACAGCCGTATAGCTCTCACAATCCCTCAAGAAAGTGGTTCTGGTGGGACTGCTTGCTGGCGTCTCAGCGACTATGAAGACCACAATGGTACAACACAAACCGCGTCAGAAATCGTGCAAGAAAATGTCTGGTTCGCTACACAGTTTAACCAGCTTGCCAACACCACTGTTGATATTCTACCATTCGATCACCACATGTTGGCCGGCCTGGTCGCACCAAGAGGTCTCTTAGTCATCGACAACATTGGTTATGAATGGCTTGGGCCCTGGAGTTCATTCGGATGCATGAGGACCGCTCGAAGAATTTTTCAAGCGATTGGTGCCTCTGATCATCTGGGATATTCTATGTCTCCAAGCCATCTTCATTGCTCTTTCCCGTCGTATCAGATCCCTCAACTTCAAGCTTTTGTCGATAAATTCCTGTTTGACGGATCCTCAGACACAAACTTCTTCACTCCAGCCGGCAACATCACGTTCGATGATGCACAATGGGTAGACTGGTCTACTCCAAATCTGCTCTGATGATGTTATAAGCTATTGGCTCAATCCTGCAATGGAGTACCGATCGCTTGCTTTTCACTTACGTACTCCTTTATATCTCGACTTTCTCCATAGCTTTCGGCCGCAAGCTTGTTCTCCATCAACATCTGCTCTGATCATACTATATCCGGATTTAGCCGGGTGGGAAGATTACAAGCGAAGCTTCTCGCGTATGTAGATCTTCTGTCGCCTGTTCCTGTATACTGTTACCCCGCGATTAGGGCTATCCACATTCAAGGAGTCACCATTCGTGATACTCATTTCCCTACGGGGCTTACCTATTTAGCCTGAAGAAATCTTTTGGAAACTATCATTAGCTTCAATTCGGTTCATGCATACCGCCTGCTGTTCATATAACGTTTGAGCTCTTGTGGGCATGTCACGTGGTCAGACGACTGGTAAGTTTTGCTGCCCTCCTGACTATATCCTTGCCTTTATCCAAAGATGCATTCTCGCCACATGCATCGGATGAAACTTGAGAGCTTTGGGAGCTGGAATATTCTCAACGCCCCAAAGCACTATACTGGCCACAGACATACGGCACATCAGAGCCGCATCCACTAGACAGCGCTGCAATCTGGGAACGACAAGTCCGATGCAATTCTAGACTTTGACAAACTCGGGATAAATCCAATGATTCCAAGGATGCTGTAAGAGCAGTAGGACTCAGGTGATTCTCGCTAGATGCCAAGCTACGGTAGACAGTCTTGACCTTTGCTTAATCCGCGTGAAACGAGCGGCTTCATGTATAAGGAACGTTCCAGCCAGAGGTTTGGTGATATTTAGCGAGCAAGCAAGCATTACCAAGCCTGCTGGATACCACCTTAGCCTTGTATCATCGACCCTTCGAAGGATTGAAATAGAAAAATACTGGATGTCAATGTGCTCGACACGCAGGTGCTTCCAACTTGGTTCCACCTAGTCGATTAATTGCAGCCAGCCACCAGCTGTGATTCGAACCATCCTTGAAATCTAGACGAGGCGAAAGGCATGAAGGCCATCGCGTGCAGTCGTAATAGGGTGATGGAACAAGCTTCGGACGGGAAGATGCCGCTGCATGAAACAACCTGAAACTTCGCTAAACTTTGGGTGAACTGCTGAAACCACTTGACTAAAAGTGGGCCGTCGTACCGGGGCTAGAGATTGGTTCCTATTTGACAGTAGATCCTATAAGCATGGTTCATCAAGTGTAGTCCTCGTGCCGATCATGTGGTTTCTGGCTGTGATTAATTGGTTTTGCCTAAAGCCTTGACATCTGGAACTCGTCAGCATAGCACAACATTGAAGGACTCCATCCGACCGAACTAATCCTGTAGCCGTGACAAATGCGAACATGGTATAAGTAGACCATTTACATTCGCACTCCCTCCAAGTTCTCATACATACATCTCTCAATCTCAAACTGTTTCGATCTTCTCAGATATCATCATGAAATCCGCTATCGCTGCTATCCCTTTCCTTCTCATGGGATCCTCCATGGCTGCTCCTCTTGAGAAGCGCGCCTGTCCCAACATCCACATCTTCGGTGCTCGTGAAACCACTGCTCCTGCCGGTTATGGATCAGCTGGCACCGTCGTCAACCTCATCTTGAACGCACACCCCGGCTCGACTGCCGAAGTCATCAACTACCCAGCTGCTGGAGGCAACAGCTATGCCTCCTCTGTCCAGGCTGGAGTCAAGGCTGTCACCAACCAGATCAACAGCTTTGCTGCTTCTTGCCCCAACACTCAATTGGTCTATGTTGGCTACAGCCAAGGAGCTCAGATCGGTGATGACGCTCTTTGCGGAGGTGGTGATCCCAACCAGGGCATCTCCAGCACTGCTGCTCCCATCTCAGCTGCTGTCGGAAACAAGGTCAAGGCCATCATCTTCATGGGCGACCCCAGAAACATCCCTGGTGGCTCTTACTCTGTCGGTACCGCCAAGAACCCTGGTGTAAGCCTCGTCCATTTATTGACTTCCAGCTTTGTTCTTTTTACTGATAATGTTTGTATTAGTNTCGACCCTAGACCTTCGGGCTTCACTTGCTCAGCATACGCAAGCAGAATCCAGTCTTACTGCGACTCTGCCGACCCATACTGCTCGAACGGAAACGATGCCAACGTCCACCAAGGCTATGGTCAGGAATATGGCCAGGCTGCTCTCAAGTTTGTCAACAGCAAGCTTACCTAATCTTTCGTCGCTGGTCGACATGGGATTCGAAAAACGTTGGCGCATCAGAAAGCTAGTGCAGATAGGCATTCTTATGAGATCTTCCAGTATCGCATCTTCAAGACCCTACTGGGTTTTCATTGGTGATAAGAATATTTTGAGACCAAGAGCGTTTCATTTACAGCAAGAACTGATCCGAATAGGGACGTTGCAACAACATCGTGAGTCAAGGAAGAAGTTCAATGGTTCCAATTCGTGTCGAGATCTTTAGATGTATCCGCGTCAGTGGTATATCGCATGCGTTGCCAGAATTGTGCCAGCGGTTGGCGCTTTGCTCAACGAATGTGACGCGTTCAGGATGTTATGCGGCTCGGAGTAGGCTAAAATTCAGCTTTGAGAACTCGCTGATCTTGGAATGGCAAGAACGTCTCTCGAACTCTCGTCTGCTTGATGGGCGCTCATGCTGTGAAGCTCTCAGCAAGACCGACCGATCACGAGCCTGAAGCTCGGAGGGAAAACTGCCCCTTATGTACCGAGGTTTCTCCGGACTCCCTTTTCTTTCCTGTTTCGCGTTCAGCTCGAAGCTTCACAACCCGCCGGCCACGCCAAGTACTGCGCAGCAGAGATCTTCATGCTACGAACAAGTCAAGGACACGCTCGGCTAAAGAGCACTGGCTCGAATGTGATGCATGACAGACAATTTAACCTGTCTCTTCCCGAAGCCAAGAATGACCCCTCCGCCATTAAGTTCTCATCCCCAGAGCTCTCCATGAATACTCGACTTGGCATCGACTCTTCGGTGTGCTTTCATCCGTAGGTCTTCAAGTGATCAGCAATCGCGCATGACTATACGGCCTTGTTCGTGATCATGATGGAAAGGTATAGTATAAAGTCTGCTACATGACTCCTCACGTTCGCACGACCGCACTTTTCTTCTCTGCATCATGCGTTCGTTTCATCTTCTAGCATCCTCGGCTTTGGCCCTGCTAGCCACTGCTGCCCAAGATAACGATTGTTCGGCCGATCTCGAGTCCCTGACTATCACGAACCTCAATGACGTTCGCGGTAATTTGAATTTGGTCACTACCACAAAGAGTGGCATGAACGTTACCTGGAGCAGCAACAATGACTCTGTTGTCTCCGGTGAGGGTATAGTCAAAAGACAGAATACTACTACAAAAGTCCAGTTGACTGCAATCGTCGACTGCAATGGGACCCCAGCAAACCGACAGTTCTCCGCTTCGGTCCATCAGGCAGCCGACATTGGTGCGTTCGAAGGCTATGCTTTCGCATATTTTACCAACAACTCCCGATCTGGCGAGAACATATACTTCGCAGCTAGTGATGGTAACGACGCCTTGTCCTGGACAGAGCTGAATGGTGCACAACCAGTGCTCAAGTCAAGCTTTGGCACGACCGGACTACGCGATCCGTTCATCATTCGCTCTCACGAGGGGGATACTTTCTACCTCATCGCCACCGATCTGTCGATTGGCTCTGGAACTTCTTGGGGTGATGCAGTCAAGTTCGGAAGTCGTTATCTCGAAGTCTGGGAATCTCACGATCTAAAGACCTGGTCTGAGCAGCGCCACGTACTGGTGTCACCTGCCGAAGCTGGAAATACCTGGGCGCCTGAGGCTTACTATGATGAAGACATTGGTGCTTATGTTGTCTTCTGGGCTTCTTCTCTGTACAACTCTACGGATGTTGATCGTGTTGAGCCGACTTATCACCGCATGCTGTATGCCACTACACGAGACTTTGTCACATTCAGTGAGCCGCAGATCTGGCAAGATGTTGGTATGTCACGTATTGACTCCACACTGATCAAGTCGGGTGATGTCTACTACCGCTTCACCAAGGACGAAGGTGCTGGTGAGACTGGATGTACCGATATCATTCAAGAGAAGTCGACATCACTCAGAGCGACTGCAGATTCTTGGACCATCGTTGATACCTGCATCGGAAAGAAGGCTGGTACTCAGGGTGTGGAGGGTCCAACCGCATTCAAATCCAACCCCAGCGATGTCAATGGTGACAACTTCTACTTGTTCGTTGATGAGTTCACTGGCCGAGGCTACATTCCTCTCCAGACTAAAGACATCGCGAGCCCCAATTGGACAGTCCCAGCATCATATAAGCTCCCTTCTAGTCCTAGACACGGAACCGTTTTGCCCATCACCGCTGCTGAGCTAGCTAGCTTGACAGCGAGTACCACCGACGCTTCATCAATCGCTACTCGTGCATCCGGAGGCTCACCAGTCCTAAAGGGCTACTTCGCTGATCCCAATATCGCTGTGTTCAACAAGACATACTACATCTATGCCACTACTGACGGCTTCCCTGGTTGGGGTGGCCAGGTGTTCTATGCCTGGAGCTCGCCAAATCTCGTGAACTGGACGCGCAGCGAAGAGCCTTTCCTCACTCTGAACGGCACCAATGGCAACGTACCATGGGCAACTGGCAACGCTTGGGCTCCCACAATCATTGAAAGAGCTGGAAAGTACTACTTCTATTTTAGCGGACAAAATCCTACCTACGATAGAAAGACCATCGGTGTCGCCGTTGCAGACTCACCCACTGGTCCGTTCACTGCAGAACCCACAGCCATGATCCTCAACAATGAGCGCCTTACTACAGGTCAAGCTATCGACTCTGACGCCTTCTTGGATCCCGTAAGCGGAAAATACTACCTTCTCTGGGGCAATGGCACCCCCCTCCTAGCCGAGTTGCACGACAACATGACATCCATAAACTGGTCTACGGCACAAAACATCACTGGTCTAGTCGGTTTCCGCGAAGGCCTGTTTATAAACTACCGTAAAAGGCTATATCACATCACCTACTCTATCGACGGTACAGGATCAGAAAACTATCGTGTTGGTTATGCAACTTCCACTTCCATTACTGGGAATTATACCTATCATGGTGTGGTGTTGCAGAAAGATGTTAGTCAAGGCATTTTGGCTACGGGACATGATTCAATCATTAATGTGCCTGGTACGGATAAGTGGTATATGGCTTATCACCGTTTTGCTATTCCGGATGGTGATGGCACGCATAGGGAAGTGACGATTGACGAGATTACGTTTGATGTCAAGACTGGATTGATGAATGCTGTTGTGCCTACGCTGAGTAGTGTGGAAGCTTTTCCCGTTCCTGAAGAATAGGGTAGGCGCGTTGTGGTAGTCACGGCAGTGATTTATAGCCAAAATATCTATTAACTCCACAGTCCTGTTCCTCGGCAGTGCTCCAGCGAATGGTCAATGCTTCGACGTGTGGTCATCTGGTTGCTGACCCTCTTTAATTAATCGGCAAATGCATGAGTAGGCGTGGGGAAATCTTGCAGATCCATATGCGGGGCTCAAACAAAGTACCATGTACAGAGGAGCAACTTCTGCACCTTCAATGAGGGGGAACTCGGATACAAACCAACATCATACAATGCGACTCCCTTGGACCGGATTGTTGATCCAGTACAAGAGAGCCATGGTCCTCGATAGTTGTCAAAGTCCAGCACTCTACGCTACATGATAATCTATACCCGTTAACATGCCTACCGCAACTAACGAAACTAACAACACCACCTCAGCCCTCTGCTCCCTCTCAGACTTCCNNCTCGCCCAAGACTACGACTACATAATAATCGGCGGCGGAACAGCAGGTCTTTGTGTCGCCGCCCGACTAACCGAGAACCCCGATGTAACTGTCGGCGTCCTCGAAGCCGGCGCAAACCGCATGGACGATCCTCAAGTCTACACACCAAGTCTGTACCCAACATTGATCGGACGCGAGAAGTATGACTGGTGTTATGAGAGTGTGCCTCAACCTGATGCTGGAGGTAAGACCATGTCGCAGCCTAGAGGAAAGGTTTTGGGTGGATCGAGTGCTATCAACTATCTCATGTATGTGAGAGGATCCAAGGCGGATTATGCTGCTTGGTGAGTTCCGTTTCGTATCAAGGTATCCTAAGTCCAAGCTCACAACCCTCTTAGGGAGTCACTAGGCAACAAAGGCTGGGGCTGGGAAGGTGAGCATGAATTGTTGAGGTTGTGCTCGACATCACTGACCATATCCNCAGGACTTGCTCCATACTTCAAGAAGAGTCAGACGTATGATCCGCCGAAGCAAGAACACCCAAACAAGCAGTTCATGCCCATTGCGGCCAAAGATCAGTATCATGGCACTAGTGGCCCCATCCACACATCATTCAATGATTATTGGGAGGTTAGGCTTTGGCATACGGTGTCTCGTGGCTGAGCTATTTGCTGACCACGACCAGNNCCATTTGAAGAAGACTTTTGCAAAGCGGCGTACGAAGTTGGTGGACAGGACAATTCGCTCGTTGATGCATGGTCTGGTGGTGAGTTGTACGATTCCGGACGTGGTTCTTGCACATACTGACACCATTGTTTCTTGCAGNATCATCTCGGCTTCTATAGTTCTCTTGCAGCCGTGGATCGCACCACCGACAAGGGAAGGAGAAGTTATGCCGCCACAGGATATCTGCGACCAAATCTCTCCCGTCCCAACTTGAAAGTCTTGACTGAGGCTTTAGCGACCAAAGTCTTGCTTGACGGCACCACCGCGACAGGTGTTGAGTTCTGGCATGGCGGTCAGAAACACTCCATCAATGCATCTAAAGAAGTCATTCTTTCTGGTGGTACTATAAACAGCCCGCAGCTGCTTGAACTCTCAGGCATTGGCGACCCGGAGGTACTAAAGGCAGTGGGTGTCGAGTGCTTGATCGAAAACAAGCGTGTCGGCAGCAACTTCCAAGATCATGTCCTCGGTGGTATGCTCTACGACCTGAAGGACGGTCTGAAGTCTCTGGACTCACTCCACGACTCAGAGTACCAGAAGGCTATGGAGAAGGTGTACCAAGAGACTGGCGAGGGACCTTACGGTAGCCCTGGCATGCTGATGGGATTCGTGTCATACGCTTCGCTCGTCAGCGAAGAGGTGTTGAACGACACCATTGCCGAAATTCGCAAGAACTCGCTTGCAAAGACCGATTTCGAGAAGCGTCAGGAAGCGACTATCATCTCGCAGCTCAGCGATCCCAAGTTTGCAAACATTCAGATATTCTGTTCGTTAGACCATATCTTCTTTGATTATTCTTACTAATAGCCGCAACAGGTANTCGGCGCTCAGCTGGACGTTAGTCAGGGAGACAGCCAAGTCAAGTTCTTCAACCCTCCGCCTGAAGGCAAGACCCGCATCTCCCTTCTCGTATGTTTGGAACACCCGTTGTCTCGTGGAAGCATTCACATCACTTCGTCCGATCCAACCGAGCACCCCCGCATAGATCCAGGTTATCTCAAGAATGGCGCCGATGCCAAGATCCTCGCCGAGGGTATCAAGTGGATGGACAAGGTCGCCAATCAGCCCATCCTCAAAGAGTCGCTAGGCGAACGCATCCTGCCACCTCAAGGTGCGAGTATCGAAACCGAAGAGGAGAGAGTTGAGTACGTGAGAAATCACATTTCGACACAATACCACCTGATCGGTACCTGTACCATGGGCGAGGTCGTCGACGACAAACTCAAGGTCAGAGGTGTTGACAACTTGCGTGTCATCGATGCCTCGGTGTTCCCAACTCATGTATCAGGCAACATCATGGCTACGGCTTATGCTGTCGGAGAGAAGGGCGCAGATCTAGTCAAGGCGGATGATGGAAGATTCTTGATGAAGGTCGACTCGAAGGCATGAGTCACCTCGATATAATCTTGTGTAGGCGATATTCGAATAGCGACGTTGAATCCAGTCAGTGATGTGTTCGTGCTTGAACCCAGACCTTCGAGAGTTGGAAGAAATGGCCAGTCAAGTGACATTGCTTCTCAGCTCCAGCATCGTGTGACTGTGCAGTATTGTTGCTCTAATCCTTCAGGGCAATGACACGTACCGGTCTTCTCCACGAATTCCTTTGGTCCGACTCCAAATGGGAACACACTCTCCTTCACCTTNTGCAGACGCAATGGCGGCAGCCCGGCACCCTTGTACTCGATAATGTTCAAGCATCCATCTCCTTCGGTCCCAAATCTTCCACAGACCAGACTGACCTCAAGATACCCAGCTTGCTCGATGACCACCTCGAGGGGATTCACACTGTCGGTTGTCTCAACACCTACCATTGACTCTTCCAGATGGATGATAGCATCAGCATAGTGACACAATTCTTCGCTCGATTGCCCTGCTTCACGTCTGTTGGCAGACCGCAGTAGTCGAAGTGCTCGCTTTCTGATCCCCGAATGTCGAAGCTTCAAGCAGATGGCGAACAAAGTAGGCACGACTACGTACTCGAGCGAAAAGCTATATTCCTGCTTCTGAGGAAAGGGCGTGTACCGGTAGAGTCCCTTGATGGTACAAGGCTTTGGTCCATGTTCAGCTCGGTATGGCGACAAGTATTCCTTGACGAGATCCAGAATGACGGCGGCTTGATCATCGAAGCGGTCCATCTGTTTCGCACGCGTATGTCTGGCAGTCGCAAGGATGAAATGCGAGTAGAACAGTTGGATTTGCATGTGGAGTAGTGCCCGGCGATTGGTGCGACCATGTTCTTTCTGCATCGCTGCTAGTCCCTGCAGCCAAAATTCGTGCGATTGTATAAGCTGACTTTGTCGCTGGAGTAGAATATGTCCTGGTGGCAGAGACAGAGAACGACTGACGCAATGAGTGATGCAGTCAAGAACTGCCGGTCGCTGATTTCCAAGATCTAATGTCGTGACGTGTTGAGCTGCCAAAGCTAGCAGGTCGGATCTCCAGGTTGAAGCGGCGGAGGCGAGATCGTCAAGTGCCTGTTTCGCCGACTCGATCGAGACAGACATCGAAGGGTTCGCTAAAGATTGCGTGACGAGGCTGTGTCGTCCTTCCATTGGAGTCATTGCCCCTCCCTGAAACTCGCAAACTTGCGCTCCATACCAGTCAAAAGCAGCAGTAACATCCTTCGCCGCTTGCTTAGAAGAGAAGTGCCAATGCCCAGCTTCGGCTCCTCTGATAGCTCTTCTTCCAAACTGCAAATGCTGCACCGCAAGCCCGCATTCATCTTGATAAATCTCATACGCCACTAGCAACAAACAGCAAAGCAGAATCGGTTCCAGAGATCCCTCTCCAGACGCTACAAGCTTGATGTACTTTTGAAGTGCGGCAGTGGCCTTGCAATACTGCCTCAAGTTTTTCCTTTCTTTGATTGGCGATGGTGGAGTGAAGAAACAGTGGTGCCGTTTGGAGAGACGGGAACTGGCGACGCTTGCAGATGCCGCGATGGCGAGATAGATACAAGGTTCAGTGCTGGATAGCTGTAAGGACAAGGTAATCCATTCATGGCTGGGAGATATCAATCTCAACCCCGGAACGATATGAACTGTGAAGAATTCGAAAGAGATACGATCTTCCGATAATGTGCTGAAACTCAAGGTCGAGAGTGGTCGAGCAACTGCGATTGAAAGCGACACTGAAGAAGCCGGAAGGAGCAATCTAGGGGCGGCCCTGTTACCCTTGCTCTTATCTCCATTTTCCGATATATAGCCATCGCAGCTGCGTCCAGTAGAGACACAATTCTGACAGCTCGGCTTTGCTTCGTCACATTTCACTTTCCGGATGCTGCGACAAGTATCGGCGGTTACGGTCTTGTTGTCGATAAAATGGTCCACTTACCGACACGTTCGGCACGCCTTCTTGCTATACTTGGTACCGACCACACGCTGCCGTTTAGCCCTGACCTCCATGCTCGAACCCGATAGGCATGTTTTTATCGAAAGAGAGAAAAAGGCAACTACCAGGGGAAGTCGATGGAGGAGGATGAGGCCAAGCCTTGTGACTAGACCTAGAGGATGCATGAAATGCCCCACTTGCGCTGTAAGCTGATTGGCTGCCTCGATAAAACAGCCAACGAGAAGGATGGAACAGATATAGTGTCTATAAACGTCTTGAGTAGGAACTGCTATACAGTGCATTCCGAAAACATCCTTGTCATGCTGATTGGCCAGCTCGATAAATCGTGGAATAGCAGTCTGTCTGTACAGACACATCTCCTACCGAGCTTCGAACTCTGAGTATATAATATGGTTCAGACATCAGAGATGTTGCCCTCTGCAGTCATCCCTTCAATCCTTGTATTCTGACTCTTATCCAAACTCTCCATTGGTTTTGCCAGAGACTCGCACAACCACTCACTCTTCTATTGCTTTGTTTTGTGATGTCTTTATCCCCAAGTGCGACCATTGCCATCGTCATTGTCTGTTGCGCGGTCTTCTGCCTCTGCGGCTATGTCATCTGGGCCGTCATGTATAAAGACAAAACAGACACGCCGGACCATGCTAGGCCCCAAGGCGAACAGGCTCAGTACATGCGCCAGATCAGGCAGAAAAACATAGAGGCTTTTGCTCGAGAGATCGAGCGGCCTGGGCCGAATTGGGTATAGCATTGATCGCTACACGGAGTTGAGCGTGGTCAAACCACCATGGCCACGACCAGACACGTAAGAGCATGTTCTAGACACTTGCCTGGTCTTTTTACTGACGAGATCAGAGAATGCAGCTTTGTGTATAATCCTGTCTCAGACCCAAGGACTTCGCCTCCCCATGGCGATGCGGGTCGAGCTTGTAAGGGAGCTCGCTCGTGGTGCTGATACGCTGAGAGACCTCACAGCTGGAGAAGGCCTGTAGTATTGAGAACGAGCGAATCGGAGCAGATAGCTCAGACATTAGTGTTGTGTTGGTCGACAAGAGCTAGCATGCGCGGCAACAAGTCCACCACACGGAATGGTTTTGTCNNTTCACAGAGTTAGCAAAGTAATATATAATCCACAGACTTAAGATCACTTACCACGACTTCATCCATACCAGCATCGATACATGAGGCGATCTGCTCAGCACGAGCGTTCGCTGTGATACCAATGATAGGCACATGCCGGATAATTTCTCCATTCTGTTCGAATTCGCGGATTCGTCGCGCGCATGTCAAACCATCCATTATAGGCATCTCAACGTCAAGTAGAATAATAGACAAAGGTATCTGTTCAACACCAGCAGACTTGTGGAAGTTAGTGGTTGAAAGAAGCTCAAGAGCCTCAAGGCCGTGGTCGGCAACATGAACCCTGGCGCAACCCGTCTTGCGAAGCTGCTGAGCAAGGATCTTTTGGTTGATGGCGTTGTCCTCGACCACNTCTCGACTGTTAGTGATGGTCCATATTGTTTGATGACTGTACTCACGAAGGACATGAAGGTCTGGCACTTGCGTCTTTTGCGCAGTTGGACCGTCCACGACTCGCATGTGATCCTTAATTGACGTCTGAGCGAGTTGTGCAGACAGTTGCTCCGCAGGCGACTCAATTCGGGCGGTCTCGACAAAGAAGGCGAACGTAGATCCCTCTCCAGGCTCACTGCGCACACCGATTTGGCCACCTTGCAACTCTACAAGTTCACGACTGATGAATAGACCCAGCCCGCTACCACCATACNNTTCACAAAAACATATTAGTGATACCTCTTTTAGATAGACTGACTTCATACTGACCTGTTTGTACGTCTTCGGTGAAGCCTGACTGAATCTATGGAANAGATGGCCCATCTCTGTCGGCGTGAGCCCACAGCCAGTGTCTTGGACACTGAAGATCAGATAGACATTTTCGCCAATAGGGTCGTTCGTTATTGACATCTTCCGGGCTAGCTTCGGACGTTTTTCTCCACGAGGCGCTACAAACATAACTTGACAGTCGCCGGCCGTAGGTCTTGTTCTTGATGCAGCAAGACTGATTACTATTCGCCGCTTGCTTGAAATCTTGGTAAACTTGATAGCATCTGTATAGTATGTTAGTACAAGTGGCAGTCTTGATACACGAAAACACTGACTGGTCATCAGATTAAGGATGATTTGTGATAACCTCCCTGGATCCAACACAACATTATCGATCGCAAGATCGATGTAGCTCTGCTGGATCTGCAACGAGCCTTCGATTTTATCGTAGTCGAGCTCTGCTTTGACCATCTTCAGCACTGTTTGCACTATTTCTGATGGACGAATTTTCTCAGGTGCGAGAACCAGCAAATTGGAATCCAATCGACTGAAGGTCAGAATTTCCTCAACGATAACCTTTTGGTGATTGGCGCATAGATGAATGCTGGCCGCGATGTCTGCGAGTGTGTGCCGCAGATCAGGTGTAAATACGCTGGTTTGCGCGTCATCTGACGCCGGGGGCAGCGATGTGACGATGCTATCAGCGAGCAGCAATATCGCACCCAAGGGATTGCGCATCTCGTGTGATACCNNCTGCTGAACGTTAGCCAAACTAATTCCCAATCCGAATGAAATGATTGCGTACATGTCGATGAAGATTTCTGATCTTCTCTTTGTCTCTAAAGCGTCTCGCAACTTCTGTTCGGCCAGCTGTTTGCCGGTGGAGATGTCTCTCAGCCAGACGTACAGATACTCCAGATTGCCGTCTTTGTCGTGTCGTTGCTGAGCACTTATCTCAAGCCAACGAGCTTCGCTCTGTGGAGATGCTGCTTTGACGCGGAACTCGGCGGTCGCAGCAGTTCCTTTNTCGATGGCAGCACTCCAGATCTGGTTGACTGCTTCAAAATCTTCATCGTGCACAGCATCTCGCCAGGCAAGTCCAACTTCAGCAGCTTTGTAAAATTGTGCTCTACTCATACCCAGCAGCTCAAGACATACATCATTGACATATACGCAGTGACCGTCGTCTCGATGCATGCACATACCAATCGGTGCATCGCGCAACATTCTAGTGAAATTCTGTTCAGTTTCCTCGGCTTTCACGGTCATGGTCTCGAGTTGTCGAGAGAGCGCTTTGGCAATTTCTCGAGACTCTCGCTGCTCTATGGGTAGCGAGAAGAGTGCAGCTGTTTTGAAAAGCATGTCACGAACCGACTCGACAAACTGTCGAACGCTGGGACTGATGGCTCTTCTTGGGTTGAGGCCTACAATGACGACACTAAGAATACGTACACCATCCAAAGCCATGATGGGCAATACGTAAGCCGTATCGACAGAACCAGCGTCAGATCGTGACACTGTCAGGTCCTGTGGAAGTGTGTTCTTGCTCCGCTGAAGAACGAAGACTTCACCNAGGGAGCCTCTCAAGGCTTCAACAATGGTGGGAGATGGGTGTTTTTGTAACCCATCGATATTGCAAGAAGCCTCGAGATGGAATGTGTCTGCACGCTGTTCCCCCAAACTTTCAGTGGCTGTATATACGATCGCGTAAGCGACATCCCTAGCTTTTGACTCAAGAGTATGCACAAACGCCTGCCAAAGATGGTGTAGGTCAGTGACTTTTGAGAAAGATTCCAACAAGGACTTGGAGACTTCCTGGCGGTTTCTCTGCAAGACCTTTTCGGTGATCTCAGTAAACTCTGCAAGGACACCCAGGTAGTGGCCATCGGATGATGGAACCGGAAGAAAGACTAGATCGAAGAAGCAGCTCTCGGGGAAGCCATATCGTGTCAAGGTCAGTTCATAATTTCTCTGGGCTATCGGCTTTCCCCTCTTGATACCGGACTTGATCATCTTGACGATCTCGGTATGGACGACTTCGCCAAAGACCTGTCTCAAGGGTTCACCAAGAGACACAGGGTGCAGTTCGCCGACAACAAAACGAGCCTGCTCGTTGTAAAGCAAGAGCATGTCATTGCCCCAGTACAAGACGCGTGGCTCTCTCGAGGCAAGAATTGTAGTGTACATTTGTCTGAGCATGGGGGACCAAGATTGTATGGGACCGACAGTCTTATCTTGCCAGTTGTGGTTGAGGACGAAGTCAAGCCAGGGATCTGCAGACGGCTTCGGATACAACAGCCAGTCGACAATCAAGTCGTCAAAGGGGGCGTCCATGTCGACAGTTCCCAGGCTAGATGCGCAAGTGGAAGCGGAAGTGATGGAAGCGTTGTCCGACTCTTGACGTTGCAAGGGAATCGTATCTGCAAGCAGGGCTTGAGCGGGATCTTTGTTGTCTGGAGGTAAATCCTGCGCATCTTCAAGAGGGCGATGGTGGTCTGTTGGATGCAGACAAATTACAGTAGTCCATGATGAGGCAATGCTTCTGGTTGACCAGAATTGGTTGGCGAAGGAGCCAAGTTCCTGCGTGGTTCGTGGCTCGGGTCGCGGACGATTGCGGGCAGCATCGAGGAGCGCAGAGAGCCATGTGGGACATGGCTGAGATGGGGATACGGTAGTTACGAAGGCGTCGAAAGCATTGTTGTGATAAACTATCTCGGTAGTCGCATGGTCGAGGATAAACGTGGGTCGGTCGTCATCTGCGACAAAGTCGACAAGGACGTCGATCTCAGGCGGGAAGTCGGTCGACGGCGTGAACGTGTACGTGTATGTGTACGTTGATGCAGGGGCATCGACAACTGACACCATGCCTAGTCCTGCCTTTTTCTGCGAACGCGAAAAACAACAGGCGTCTGCTGTTCCATCCTGACTCGATTATTCCTCTCACATCCGAGGAGTTGAATCCGTGACGTTCGCTCACCACGCCCAGCCTTCTGCGACTCGCCAAGACAATCGTTTTCTATCAAAGCAACCATACGACCACTTCTCACACGTTTCTTTGAATTACAAAGAGATCCGATGCATCATTAAATATCTAATTACTGAAATACTCTCAATCGAACAGGACCAGCCATGCCGACCCTCCAACAACAAACGTCACAACTACGACCGTCAATATCGCGGCCCCTGCCTTGTCCCCAGCTGTAATTTTTTCCGTGAACACAGCCGGCTGGAACTTGGGTTTATTGCTTCCCGTTCCAGCACTTGGATTGCTCGTGCTATTACCTCCAGTCGACGACGTCAATGGCGGCGTGAATTTTACCGCGTCCTCAGTAGTGACATCAAGCATCAATGACTGGATCACTGCAAGCGCTGACATCTCCTGACCAACACCGTATGTACCATCCCATACTGTTGTGTTCCACTCCATTCCACATATGGCGCCTGTCACGCCTCCGTCGCACTGCCCTGCTGCTCCTTGCGCTGAAGCCCGCAGATAGGGGTAGATGGTGTCGTGCAGAGAAGGAATGAGTTGTGTCGTGACTGCTAACGTGCGAGCAAGGTATGAGCGGAACGAAAGTTGATCTGTGTCGCAGTTGCCCAGAGGCTGACAGGTTATTTCGACCATGATCTTGTTGCCCATGGAAGCTGGGAAGAATGTACTCCATGTCGTGTTGAGGAGACCTTCGACTATGTCTAACCAACTTTGATCTGATGTCNNTGAGTGAGCGTACATGTTAGCAGCTAATTCATCACACTAGTTGACGGTCCGACATACATGATTGTACATGTACGCTGCACCGCCGATTGCGGCGGCATAGTTGTACGTCCACTGAAAGTGATCCACTGAAGTGCAATTGCTATCTGTTGTCGTGCCGTCGAAGACCTGATACGTTTTGCCGTCCCAGAGCGAGGCATCCGAGTACCACTGCCATGTCTTCTCAGCCCATTCAGTGTATGTCGCATTGTTGGTATAGCGTGCGAGTCGAGCAGACAGTTGGAAGAGTCCAAGATTTGATATTGAGTTTTTGTAGTCGTATCCTGCGTTGAAGGTGTAAATCTGCCATCGAAGACCACCACCACAGGTACTGGTGTCCCATCGGCTAGCCATCTCGTTAAAGACTGCTTGTGCCAGAGAGAGCCAAGAAGGCGCGTCCGGTTTCGTCGGTGCAGGAAAGTTGAGTTCAGCGGCGTCCATAGCAGTGAAAGCCCAAAAGACCTGATCGTCGTTGCCTTCATCCTTGGTCTGGTTTATAGGTAGGAAATCAGCCCCTGTTCCAGCCTGCCACTGGATGGCTTGAGAAACGATCGAGTTGTAGTAGTCGTCGCCAGTGTAGTACCAGTAATTGATCATATGGCCAAACATTCCTCCCGCCTCCCACCAATAGTATGGACCAGGCAGGATACCAGGTGTGCCGCCAGTATCATTGCCTTTGTACCATGCCATCATACCATTCGCCACGACCGCTGATGCATTTCGTATTGAATCNTGACAAAGATTAGATCGTGAACCACACTGCAGGGACTTGCGGAGATCGTACGTACCTGCGTTGGTGATGTCGAGAGTTACAGCGTTGGTAAGGCCTGCGAACAAGATGGTACTGAAGCACAATATGCCATATTTCGAGAGCTCCGGAAACGCCATGGATGCCAGACTAAGTGAGAGTGTGTGTTATGCTGCGAGTCGGCGAGATTCCAAAAGTGTAGATTGATCTCCAATGCTAAGCATTGTCAAGCAATGGGGACACTTCTTGTTTGTTGCCGTTGAGACAATGACGACGGGTGGCAGGAGGCTGCCGGCTATCCGATGAGATATGCTTACGACGACCACAACAACCAATCCTTTTCAGAAAGGCTCGCGGCTGGAGCATTCGTATGCAGATACTCCCTGCTCATTCAGAGACTCCCTATGAGACCTACGGACTGATCAGCGCAATGCTATTGCAGATTCTGAGTCTTGATATTATCCATTGCGTGAGGGTCAGGCACAAGGACTGCTTTCGAGGACAGCATCTCGTCTGACGTGCAAAACCTTCACGACTGCGAAAACATGGTTTTCAACGTCCTCAGCCATGATGTAGGTGCCGTCAACAGGGTCAAGTCGGTTGCTCCAGGAAAAGATCATTATTGTGTGTCCCTGGCTCGTTCAGGATAGGCCCCATGGGGTCCTCGATTGCGTCGTCACCAAACACCCAGGGGCGTGCGACGAGATTTTGAGTTCCGACTGCCGGAGGTCTCGGCCCGCGTAACTACAGACACAGCGTCACCGCCTTCAACAGCCTTGCCGTGAGCATCCACTTGCAGGTTTATGGCACTCTGAAGATGTAGGCATCATGGTGAACGATCAAGACAAGAAATCGTTCTTTATTGGAATCGGTCGCCGTGGTCTTCTGCACGATAGTGCTGGCAGGTAGATTCGCAGGCGGTCTCGGAAATAATCAGCCGGAAATGAGGCACCAGCTGAGCGGCAATCTTCGTGCGACAGCGTTGAATGATCCCTTGTGCCGTTGCGCTCTGCGATCCCATTTTATGAGGAACCTTTACTTAGAACATCACCTCATTCGCCAACTAAAGTCTGAACACTCACGATATTTTGGCAGACACGTGGACCCCTTGAATACACAGTTGCTACAAGATGCGACGGCTTTGATTCATAAGGCGACATGCGTCGCTCGTATCTGTACAGCCTCCACCGCACGTATGAGCCACCTTACGCATGAAAGTCGCTGTGGCAGTCTGCATCTACCAGTACTTGCTCGGCGACAGAATTGTCTGAGATTCCGGGCAACAGATGTTCATACTTCTTTACAGTCAGGAGCTGCGTTGAACACAATATAGGCCAGCCTAGTATTTGCGACAGTTAGTAATACTCCACTGTCAACTTGAACGAGGAAAGTGACTCGGTTTCTCGCAATTCAGCCTGAGGCCTAGCATGATACAATCCTCAAACAGCAGGCTGACCATCAACACAAAATGCGATGCTTGCTTGATGTGATGGTGACAATATGAGTAGTGCGTGACGTGCGGTGCGGGCCCTAACAGACGGAGCGGGCTCATAGACTACCTAGTGGTCAGGTCGGCAGCAGTATTGCAGACGTTCATATCCAGGGGAAATGGTTCAGTGGTCGAGGTAGTTGGTCATTTACATAGAGAAGAGTAAGCGCGCGCCAAATTGACTGACTCGCAACCGTTTCGACCCAAACACTCGGATACATCCTTGCTAAAAACGGGTCCAGGAATGTGAATTGGAAACAACGGCTATATATTATCTGTGGATGGCAGAATTTATAAGTATCATCCTTGCCAGTGTGGTGGTCTGTTGTACTCCGACAAGAAGCGTTCGCCCTCTGCCGATTCGTACCGATTGCTTGGATATCCTCGACAACAGATTAGACGATTATTTCTTGACCATGAAGATGGAATCTCAGCCATACCTCACCGCAACTGTGATCTACAATTATGTCTGGACAGTCGACGATGGGTCAAAGCAAACATCAACATATACCACAACGTACATTGACTCGCCTGGAGATCACACAGCCTATGCTCTTGTTGTCAACACGGCCCTCCCTTCGTCTTTGCAGGTCGAGACCGTCGGTGTTCCATATACAATCAGCCCAGGAGATATCACGATACAACATGCCTCAGCAACAGTTGCTACACACAGACCGACAAGACTTGTCTTGCAGACTGATCATGCTCGCACGCCATCGGCAACCAGCTCATCCGTTCGGACATCTTGGCCGAATACACCTTGTCACGGAGTCTCCTCTACTTCAGTGCTCTCGCTGTATCTCCCATATCTCCAGGTAATTCTTGTATGCCTGTTTTTTGGTGGCTACTTCTGGTTCCGCTGCCTGAGGCACCCTCGCAGCCAGGATGATGGGCTCGAACGCGGGCGAAGTACAGTCTTGAGTCTTGAGAAACTAGCGAGTGACAAATCTGTCGGACTGGATGAATACAAATCGCAAAACCAATAGTACTCATCGTTGGCGCGTTTATCATTGCGCTCTTTACAAGACCACTTTTGATCGGAGAACCTTGCAGAGGGTGTCCAAGATGAACAAAATACTCAATCCCGCTGGTCGCTGAAAAGGGCTGCGAATATTGGGACATGAAGACCTGTCTGATGTTGTTGTGCAGAAGGAAGGGCTAAGTCTAATGGGCCAAAAGTCGTGGTGGGCGCGACTTTTGGCAAGCAGCCATTCATCCCGCGATCCGTCGCTTCCAGCTCTGGTCGCTCTCCATTGTGGTCAAGCATGTCGAAATATTGCCTTGTTCGTAGCATAGCAATATCCTGCTCAACAATCGGAGGTACCGTCACGTAAACGTGATGATATTCGTTGGGCTTGGCCATCGCTCATCATCTGCGAGTGTCCTGCTGACTTTCCGCACGGCCCCCTGTCTCGCAGCTCCTCAATCGAGAGACCCCTGGCCGCTTTCTTCATAAACACAGCATGCTGCTGCAGCCTTCCCAATCTACAGGTTTTGCTCAGCCGTGCGCAGTGTCACCAACGCCGATATCCCGACTTACTCAGACTGCGTATCACATGAAAATTGCGAAAACGGTCAAAGGTCGAATTCTCAGCTGAGGCAAGGTTTTGGGGCTGAGGCATACTGTTTATATGCACGGCTGCGGTAAGCTACAGCGAAAAGACGAAAAGCAGTTTCGCATGTGCTCGTCCTTTCGTGTCGGTCTGACAATATAACAACGTCGCCTGGCTCTGTTTTCTTCCATATCCATCTATTCTGTTTGTACATACTCGATCTCTACTATTGAAGCACTACCAGGCTCTTCTCATCTACATACTCGCTCATAATATCAGAACTCGACACAACATCAGACACTGACACAATGCGACCTGCTTCGGAGCCACAGAGACTACTGGTCTTCTGCGACGGCACTTGGTGCGGTCCAGAAACCGGGACTCGAACCAACATTCAGATCCTGGCAGAAATGACAGGCATCGACATGAGTAACCCGAGAGGATCAAGAGAACTCGAGGATCCAGCACGAAAGCTCCGAGCGAAATACTTCAACGGTATTGGTCTGGGAAGCACCTTCTTCGCCTACCTTTTTAATGGTGCGACTGCGAACGACATAGGAGAGACTTGCGTCGAGATCTACCAATACATTGCGCAGTACTACCGCGAAGGGACAGAGGTCTGGTTGTTTGGTTTGAGCAGAGGTGCCTACACAGTACGATGTGTGGTTGGCATGATAAACAACTGTGGCATCGTCAAGAATCCTTCTCGTGATCTTTGTGATCAAGTTTATCGCATCTACTCTTCCCCATACTATGCTGATAAACCATCGTCCGCCCAGAGCAAAGAGTTTCGAGACAGAGCAAGCTGGGATGTCGCAACGCCAATCAAGTTCATGGGTCTCCTGGATACTGTCGGTAGCATCGGCATCCCTTCCTTGGACGCTGGCAATGGACCTTCATACCCTACCCTTTGGGACCAAGTCGTTTCGAGCGGTGTGGACCAAGTCTACCATGCCTGCTCTATTCACGATCGTCTGTCACTCTTTCAACCGTGCTTGACGAAGCGTGACCGCGACAATGGCAAAGGGNCACCCTCAATCCATGAGACATGGTTCCCAGGCTGCCATTACGACCTCGGTCGCCAACGCTTCAAGTTCTTGCGCAGCAGAGCGGTCGATCCCCTAGAGCGTCTTCTGGTTGCGGTTCCAAACCTCCTCTCTGGCACTTTAGAACCCAACAGTGTCTTAGCTGATGTTGTGCTACGCTGGATGCTCCAAGCGATCGACCACGAAATGCCTACTCAGACCGCCATCCCCAACATCGAAGCAAAGATCACTAAACTCGAACTCCAGATCAAATCCGGTCGCGACGATATCGGTTCTGGCGATGTCTACTCGCCTCAGAAATCACTCTTGTACGCTCCCTTCGGCAGAATCATCTCTTTCTTACCCCAGCCTCGCGCTGTCTACGATGCCATCTCCGTTCTCATGGCTGTCCGCGATCGACGTATTCCAGACGAAGGCGCGCATGTTTTCCCCTACAAAGACAGCTTTGAAGGTGGAAAAAGANGCATTGAGGAATTGGGTGAGGTGACCAAGAAGAGATATCCCAGTCGTACATACGAGAGCTGGCAAGCTTGGAGCGCATACTTCTCGCAANAAGATGATCCAGCGTTTAGAAATGGTGATATTCAGGGGCATGGCAAGACTGTAAAAGCTGATGAAGAGCAAGTGGGTGGTAGTGAGCAATAAAGAAAAGGGAAATTGGTACCCGGGTTCGACTGTCCTTTCTAGAATCGTGCTGGTTAGTATCGATAACATTACATATTGTACGTAATTTCCTAATCGCGAATGTACATCGTTCCTTCCGGTCATCAGGCCTAGTTACGAAAATTCGTAGCGTCATGAACTCACGGCTATGACGGGTAAGATCTGTCGTTGCAACGAGCGTAGCACATGTATCACCAGCAGCCAGCAAGGTCAACAGGCCCTTAGCACAACCTGACAAATCCTTCTTTTGCAAGACCGATGAGGTGCAAATGACACTGTCCTGGCGCAGAACAGAAAGGCCTTTCGGTCTCTTGAAGAGAACGGTATGCGTGATGGGGGATTCACAAGCATCGCTCACTTCATCTTCCACCTCCTTCACTGATTCGCCAAAGAACATTTGGCCTCTCCACGGCTCGAACCCACATTCAAACAGGACCCAACCCTTATGATCCACCAAGCCAAAATATTCCGTAACAAAAACGGCGGTGGCTCAATGGCTGGAGCACCTCCCCCATTGAATGGCTCACCCAAACACGAGCATCAACACCAATTCCCCTCTCCGCGCCTTGAAACCAAGGACAGAGAACGCGCAGAGCTAATTAGCTTATGAACATAATCTATGTGTTCTGCGCCTGCCATACGGCGAGGGATCTGGGGTGGATTGAGATGGAGATGTGTGTTCGATTCTCACCCGCTGCAATATCTTTTTTTCTCGTCTGTCTTGGTCTTTGACAAAACACCTTTAGGTTTCCCATCATGCCATGTAAGGTCGCATTAATTGTCTCCCGCGTCACTAGAGAGAGAAGAATGTTCGGTTTATGCGAAACCCGAATCACATATTCTATTGGTTTGTTTTCTAGAGCAGTGGCCATGTGGCTCAACTTCACAATGCACCAGGAATAGATGAAGTCAGTGATATAAGTAGCAAAATTCGATTGTATATATAAATAACAAGAATAAATAAACATTAGCTTAGTGAAAAGGACCGTGGTAACCTTTTTCTAGGTATCATTCCTTCAAAGACAAACATCCTCCAACATATCACGTCATATCAAATCATCTCTCCGTCTCTTCTACACTTTAAGCGACGGTGACGAAGGCACCCACAGCACAAGGGTTATAGTCGTTAAAGAGGTCGATCGAGACCGAATCAGTAGTGCTGAAAGTGTAGCTGACAAACTTGCCAGCAGCACAAGCGCCAGACTCAATCATGTAAGCATTGCCAGCCTGAGGAGCAAAGCTGTAGATGACCTTGCCGTCCTTGGAGACATTGATCATGCCAGAGCCAGACAAGCTGTAGCCAGAGGTGACCAAATCAGCCATCTTGGGAATGCTGAAGTAGGTGCTGCAAGTCTTGCCGGCATCAGCCTGAGGAATGTCAAAGCCAACGTCGGTCTTGGTATCTTTGTTGACGGTGATGTTGTAGCCGTTGACGCCGTTCACGCGGAGAGCGTGGGGGTACTCGTAGGCACCAGCCTTGAGGTCAAGAGGGCACTTGCCAGTGGCGGAAGGAGCAGGGGCGGACGATGTAGGCTTAGAGCTGGCAGTTTCAGATGAAGCAGGAGCGGATGAGGCGGGCTTGGAACTCATGACAGCGGAAGAAGCAGAGCTAGAAGGTTTCGTGGAGGAAGCAGGGGTGCTGCTAGGAGGCACGGAAGTCTCTTGCTGCTTGGTAACAGTGACATACTGAACCTGGGTCTGGGTGACAGTAACAGTCTGAGCAGGGGGGCAAGAAGAGCAAGTAGGGCAAGTGTTTCCAGGAGCAGGCATGGTCGAGACAGGAGAGACCGGCATCGAAGAGGCTGGCATCGAGCTAGCAGGAGGGGCAGGCATCGAACTTGCGGGAGGAGCAGGCATCGAGCTTGCGGGCATCGAGCTAGCAGGAGCAGTGGGTTTGGAGCTAGCAGGAACCGGAGAGGGAGTAACAACAACAGATTTAGTGATGGTATCAGTCTTAGTTTGTGTTGTTGGGCATGGAACAGTGAGCGTGGTTGCGGATGTGACCGTGATCGTTTTGCTGTTGATCGTAACTACTGTTGGGGTAGGGCACACAGTAACGTAGTCGGTAGTGTAAACTGTGGTGTATGTGGTCTTCTCGGTGTAAGTGGAGGTGGTGGGCATCATGGAAGAGCTAGCGGTGGCTGAATAAGGAAGGAAAGTCGAAATTATGCCACTGGTACCGAAGGGGTTCTGACCAAGACAGCCGGCATAATCAGCAGCACACTGGGCTTGGTTGGCAGAGAGCCCATCAGGACCAGGGGTGGTTCTGCAAGTGTTGTAGGCTGCGTAGCAAGCACCCTGACAAGCGGCATTTTGAGCAGCACAGTAAGCCTCATTTGCGGAGCCACCATCGGCAGAAGGAGTGTACTGGCACTTGAGAAGCTGTGCAGCGCAACCAGTGGGAGTTGCACTCGGAGCAGGAGTGGTGGATGCAGCATTGACAGGCTTGGTGACAGTTGAAGTCTTGAGACATGTCGGGCATGCAACCGTCAAAGTCGTGGCTTTTGTGACCGTGATCGTCTGGCTGTTTACTGTGACCACTGTCGGGCTTGGGCAATAAGTTGTGTAGTCTGTCGTGTAAACTGTGGTGTAAGTTGTCCAGGTACTCGGGGTGGCCGAAGGGGTGACCAGAGTCAAAGAGCCAGAAGTCGAGATACAAGAAGCTCCACCCGGGTAAGAATGAGCTGGGTTGCAAGCGTAGCTCACCATTGAGGAGGAGCTTGAGGCACTGTTCGAGCTCCATGAGGAACTTGGGGTCGAAGAAGACTTCCAAGTGGAGCTGGATGAAGGTTGCCAGGTGGAACTGGACGAAGACTCCCATTTAGAGCTCGAAGAACTGGTTGACTCCCACTTAGAGCTTGAAGAACTGGTCGATTCCCACTTGGAACTAGGCGAGCTGGTGGTCATCCACGAGGAGCTCGGTGAGCTGCTGGACATCCAAGTGGAGCTTGAAGAAGACCAAGTCGAACTAGGAGAAGAGGTAGATTCCCAGGTAGAGCTGGACGAAGGCTTCCAGCTAGAGCTGGACGAGGACTCCCATTTAGAGCTCGAAGAACTGGTAGACTCCCACTTAGAGCTTGAGCTGGTAGACTCCCACGAGGAACTAGGAGATGAAGTGGACTCCCATTTGGAGCTTGAAGAAGTGGTAGGCACCCATGAAGAACTAGGAGATGTGGTGGACTCCCACTTGGAGCTGGAGGAACTAGTAGTATCCCAACCATTGGAAGCAGTATCCATTGGCCAACCACTAGCGAGAGTGGTGAGGAACGAGAGGACCGAAACGGCCTTGATGGAGTTCATCTTGAGCGAAAGATAGAGCGATTGACTATAGAAGGAAAAGATGCTTGATGCTGATGATAAAAAAAGAGAAACAGTAGCAGGAAAAGATGCCTTCTTATATACCACTCACCTCAGGATGGTCAAGCAGACTTTACATCTCTGGAGAAGCATATCACCGGTAAGCCGGAAGCTGTGCCCGGCACGCTCGTATCCACCAAGACTCAGCCATCTACGACGGCATCCATTGAGTGCAAGAAAGCGGAGAAGAAGGATTGCGGTAGGTATGCCCGTATTCGTGTGAAGGTGGGATGACAAAAGCTTCTCTGCCCATACAGATTCCACATATGACATCAAATGAGAGGGCTTTTCGTGCGGTTCGAAACTATTTTTGTCATTGCTGAATACCTTTGGCTTTCCACGAGTATACCAATGGCTGACCTTCCCCAGGTGTCAGTAACTTTTTAAACTTAGCCGTTGCGGTTAGGGTTGGTCGTGCGCCAAGGGACCACGCCAAAGGTAAATGCCACAATCGCTATCTTTAGACCGTTGCAAGCAAAGATCTGGCTAAAAACTTCCACATGCGCAGGATCCTTATGGTTTTAAGCATACCAGGCACTCGTCATGGGCGCAATCTAGTCAGTATTAGGCATCTGGAAATACGACCCGGGTCCAAGCGGCATGCGATCGTGGGGTTGCAGTCCAAATCGTCAACCTGAGGACTGGTAAATGCGGAGGATTCTCGAGCGACGGGCCGAGTAGTGTGTGGAGAGATGGGACGTACAGTCGTAGGATTCTGTAGCATTGGTATCCAATTGGATGCTTGTGGCATTTACTCCTCTTTGTATCTTGTTGCCTGGTGTCTTGCTCTGATGCCTGGAGAGCAGCCTGTACTTTCAAGAAAGCCACCAAAGTATGATATTGATTCTGTTCGTGATGGTGGATCTGGATTTTAGCTTACGAGAGTGTGCATTAATGTACTTTGCGATGAGTAAACCACCTCTCACAGATGCAACATACTGAGAGGTGATAGGTATCCAAATCAATCGATCAGCACTGCAGTCCCTGGAGATCATCAGTCTAGCAAAAGTCTGTCCTGCAAGAGAGGCATGTGCCTGCTTGCCATGAACTCTGGTTGATCGTAAAGTCTCCCACGTTGTCGCCGGCGCGCGCCATGCTTGCCATGCTCGCCATTGAGAGCTACATCTGTCAAAACGTGCCAACTCTTGGTACGGCAAGGCATGTTTTGTTTTTCTCATTGATCCTGCTTGGTGTATCGTACTGTACCATCGCCGATACTTTGTCCTATATGCAGTCTCCAGTCAAGCATACGAAGAGCCATTATAATGTGCAATTGGAGATTTCTTGGCCCACGATCTCCAGCGTTCGGTCTTCAAACGTTTCTGAGACATTGGCGGACAGAAGCTCGCAACGTCAACGGCAGAGCGTCATGAGACAGCGTTGACAACCACGGTTCAACGCAGAAGGCTTCGTTATTGTTTCACAGACACGGCGTTGAGTGCGGCAAAGAGCCGTGAGTACAATTGTCTTACTGCAGTTGATGCGGCATTTGTTTGATGCAAGAGGGTACTGTCGTCTATGGAATGCTCTGAACACGAGAAGGATGCAAAGTGGGCGAACGCGCGGAGCTTGAATCTGTACGCGCCGGAAATCACGGATGACACGACTTCTGACCTAGTCGTTGGGTCCGCTTCCGAAGTCTTGTCTTTGGTATGACCCTGCTGACGAAAAGAGAACGCTTCCATAAACTCAACTCTGATTCTGTGCACTTGTGGGTAAGACAGTAGAAAGTAGTCACATGAGCGTGTATATTGGTAGTGTTTCATTGTGCATGTTGTATCTTTATTGTGCCATCGAGCATGTGGTGGCATTTCTTTTTAATTCGCAAGCGAATCCATGACTTCCAATGGGGGAAGTTGCTATTGTTCTGTCAATTTTCAAACGATCACATACTAAAATAGCAAGTCCGAAAGCCATAATTTTAGACGTAGTAAAGCAGAAAAAGCAGACCTAGCAACTCTTCCATCAGCTCAAAGCTATACTGAGCATAGTATCGCTGCCAGACCAGACATAACAGGGTGACACCGGAGACGTCAAGCCAGCCGATCTCGGCCGTTGTCGGCAATTCGTGGATCGCGCCCAATCAAGCCTCTGATTCATGAACATTCACTTCCTTCCTCTCTTTACCCCTCTCGATAAAGAGTTCACGCCTCCAACCAAACCATTTAGTCATGCGCTTGGCAATGCTACGCAGCATGATGGGATTGATGGGGGGTGACGGATGCGGGCGGTGGACAACGATTGTTCTGACACCCTCACATCTTTCCTCGTCCTGCTTGAGTGTGATGGCACTGCCTTGGCTTTGCAGGATAGAGAAGCCAGCGTCGATCATGGCGCTCAAGAAATGCTGCCAAGAGAAAGAACGCTGCGATTCTTCACCACAAGATGGGAACATGTGGTAGAAGATCGTCATATTGTCGTGCTTGACGGGAATAAGACTGAGCGGAGTGGGTGGCTTGGAAGGAGGGCCCAAAACAGTAGGTGGTGGTTGAGACGATGTTCCTGATGCCTCTGGCTTCTTTTGACGCCTTGTCTTGTTGGTGGTTTGCAGGGGTGATGGTGCGTGGTTTTCGTCACCCCATACAGTCTGCATCTCGGCAAGAGTGACAGACTGGCTCTGTTCATGCATGCGGCGCTTGTACTCCTGGTAGCGAACATCATCTCTTTCAGCTGCGACTTCTGCACGGTACTCCCCACTCTCATGAGCACGCATCAGGCTGAGGTCCTCATCGATACTTCTTGACCAAACTCCATTTTCGCCGAGCTTCTTTGCCCATTGCAACCTGAAAGCCTGCCAAAACCGGTTCAAGGAAGCACGAGATGCAGTTGCTTGCTTCAACCATTGCTCGTTCTTCATTCCTTTAGGCCAAGAGTGCTTTGTGCAAAAGTCATCCAGATATTTCGCAGTAGCATCTCCTATAGCCGGACCTTTGGCACTGTTACTCTTCTTGATCCAGTTTCCTCGGCTTTCAGTGTCCTTATCAGACATCTTGCACATGTACTTCCTGTTGAACGATTGATGACACTGAATGGTTGTGCTGATTGTGTTGAGAGCAGCCATATCGGAAAGCTCGTCGACAAGGTTCTGATCCATACGCGAAGCCTCCTTGGGATCTGTACGACAAATGTAGTCGATTATCCTGAAGTTCAGAGAGGGGTCCATTGTGAAAGGGCGATATTCATCATGACCCATACAACTGATACTCCAGTACAGAATGTCTTGTGGGAACCAATCTTTGGTGCTGAATCTTCTGTTGAGGTGATGGTTACGACCGCTGCCAGTGAATTCGAAATTGCGCTCGAAGCCGCGCTGATATACCAGACTTGAGAGATTGATGAAGACAGCAAGCATCTCCACACAGAGGTCTTGAACATATAGGATTGTNCTATAGGTAGAAATGGTTAGCAACGTTTCATGACCTCTACCAACTACGTCAAGGTAACTTACATCGTTGTAGAATGCTCGAGTAGCTTCAGATGGAGTTTCGACAGATGCCAACCAGGCACGCTCCATCTTATCACATTCGTACAGCATTTGACGCCAGTAACATTCTCTGATCAAAGGGTTGAGAAAGACCTGGTCGACAATGTGAGGCCATTTGTCGCCATGCTTGAATGTCACTAGAAAAAGACTGTTTCTGTATGCTCGTGCATGATGCTGGACGTAGGCAGGATCGGTCTGAAGTAGTTCAATGTGATCTTTGAGAACACGGTGGCGCGACTTGGCGAGCTCATGAATCTCGACTGGATCGAATTTTGGCGGGCTGCAGAAAGGTCTAGCCGACTCGGTAGACCATGCGAAGTTAGCATCGATGCGAGAGAAGCCGTTGCTGACATGCTGATCCCATTTTGGGTGGATATGCTGTACGGGAGGCTCGTTGGCCTCGTCAAGGAGACCTGCAACACACTTGCGCAGGAAGGCCATCATCCTCTGCTGAGCCTGGAGAATGTTGTAGGCTTTGGTGAAACCGATGATCTGGTAGCGATGTGCTTGCTCGGCGTTCCATTTGACCAATTTGCCAAAATCAGGTCCTTGAACAACGACACAATGAGCGTTGAAAGTTTGTGTGACGATACCGAAACGCTCAGCCAGATCAGCATTCATGTCATCGAACAAGATCCAGTCCTCGGGTCCATGAGTAGTGCGGTGGTGCAGTAGAGCGAGTAAGAGCGATGGGTCTTCGCTGAGCATGTCAGAGTCGAGATAGGGCAGAAGCCAGGTGTCTTGGTAGGTCGAGATCATCTTGGCGAGTCTGCTACCGTGAAGAGCTTGAGAAAGCCATTCCTTTGACTTTGGGTCATCGATACCTTGCAATGACCGCATCAATTCGGAATTGAAGTCGCAATTTTCGGGACTGCTGCGCATGTGAAGCAGATGGATGGCAGCGAACTTCTTGTCGAAAATGTCGACATTCTCTGATAAGAAGACAGAACGCTTCTCACGCGACTTCTTCTTCCAGCGTGTAACGATGAAGTCGGCATGGTCGGTGAGGATCTGGCGAAGGAACTCCATATCTTGGCGAGCGTCAACGACGAGAGATAAGACGAGTTGGTGCGCCTCCTGGTCGGTGACGTAGATGGTAGCCGGAAAGTACTGACCACAGCAGACCTTACACTGACAAGTATATGGCAATTTGGGTGGCTTTTCGATGTCGAAGACGTTGCCGACAGCAGGCTTGAGTTTCTTCCAGCCTGGACTCGGCAACACCACGGCGTTCGGTTTGCTGCGCATGAGGGAATGTCGTATGTTCCAAAGGTGGTCATCGCCCTCTTCTTTGTCCTCGCGTAGCTGCTCGAGAATGTCCTTCCAGATGTCCTTGGACGTGGGAGCGTTCAGCTCGATTCTCTGCATCTTTGCAGGAAAGTGGAGTGCAGACTGCGGAGACGGCGGTGAAGGTGACCTCAAGAATGTTTGCGATTATGAGAAAATGAAATGGTGAACAGTAAGGGTGAGCGTTCGCAGAGTGCGAGACACAGGGATGGGGATGTTACGGAGCTGAAGGTGATCTGATCAGACGGTTATGTTGTGGTGATGGGAAAGAGAGAGAGGACGCGGCGAGAAGTGAGCAAAAGTGAGCAGTCGTGTTTGATGGAAGGTGCAGGCAGGCACCCGTGACGCGCCACTGGCCTGCATATGGAAGTGACGACTCACCTGCACTGCCAACCAGATTCGAAACAACATCAATCAGCAGGAAGAACCATCATCTAGGCAGCTTTATGAAAATGTGTATGTTACATGCAATACTGGAAATCAAGGGGTATATAGCGGCCAGACAAACAAAAACACCAATGTTGAGCCTTCCCACTCAAAGGTACGGGTCGACTTCCAAGCGATAATATGCATGCTCCTTCTTCTTTCGCCATGCTTTGTACACGCGCCAACTCTCAAACAAAAGGATGGAGAACATTGTCAAAGACATGGCGGCCATGATCAAAGCCACGGGTGCTGCCGAGAGGGTCTTGCCGTCCGAGGTGATGTACATGTTGTTGATCTCGTCGCAATGAAATCCCTGAACAATTGATTAGCACAAGGAAATAAGTTTGAGGGGGCNTCACTCACCTTCGTGAAAGGCAGTTCCAGCGCTTCCGAAACTCCAAGCACATTTTCATCTGCGTCCAATGCAACGGCACGTACAAATCGCGTCACGCAACCGCCAATAGCGATCTCTGTTTCAAACCCTTCCTTCTGAGTAATGCCAATATAAACCCAATCAGCATAATAGTCGTTGCTATTATCATTGTGCTGCAGTGCATATGAAACAACCTCCGTAGCTCCATTCCAGGAGACGAAAAGGCTGTCTCGATCAGAGTTGTAGACAGCCGAGATAGGTTCGCTCGGTATCCCAATCCAAGGGTACCGCATCACATGATAGGATTGGACAGATCCATTGAGTATGGCGGCCTCGGTACCAAAATGATCATCGCACAAGAGCTCGCCCGAGGAAGAGTATGAAGACCATACCGATCGTGCACCCCAACCGACTAGAACGCTTGGATCCTGGTCAGCAGTAGCAGCAGGAATAACCTGAAGACTTCCCNNTTGACTATCGGCAATCAACTCATTGGGGTGAAGATACTCGCGGACGATATGAGCCTTGTAGTCATTCTTGTTGGTCTTGCCATCAGGGTCAGGATGGGTGGGATAGGAAACAGCAAGGAGCAGTCCTCTCGAAGCCAACCCAGAATCCCAATTGTCGTCATTTCTGTTATCGAAAAGACTGATCAAGCGTGTGGTGATGCCTTCTTGCCTAGCACCAAAGGCTGTGACCAAACTCGGAAACTCGTCAACCGAGTGAAAATGCGCGAAGTGCTGAGACGAGAAATTGAAGGCTTGGTCGTCTGACGTGAACATGTTGCGTTTGCCTCCAAGCGTCCAGATCAAGTCGCCAGTCTGACCATCGATATAGCTTATAGAATGAGTGTACCGAGCTGAGATAAGATAGTTGCCCAAGTCGTCTTTCTCGACGGAATTGAGGTGATACCAGTCCCAGTGCGTGTGATTGGTCGCTCCCTCCCCATGATAGCGTGGATCATGGTATGATTCGGACGTATCGTGATAGTCTGAGGCACGCCATTGGAAGACAAGGCTGTTGGTCGCTATATCGATTTCTTGGAAANNCAAACAGTCCCATATGTATTGTAAATGACCTCCCTTCTCTTTCTCATATGGCTCGTAGATACTGATAATGGCGGTATCGTTTGGTGTAAGGGTTAAAGAGTGTAGATCGGCACGTAGGTCGCCCAAGGCAGAAATCTTTGCGACCAGGTCGTAAGACGAATTTAGCAGATAGTAGTCTCCTTCTCCGTGACCTCCGACAGTGTCATCACCTAGCCAGTAGGTCAAATGTGGAGCGCCTTGGTACGTTTGTACATCAAGATTGTAGGGTTGTCCCTCCGTCTTTTGCATCCATACAAGTTCTCCTTGGTCGTCGAGTATTACCATACCACGGCTTTCATTGACGGCGGTACCTCGTGGCGTGAGGAATGTCAGCAAGCCATCCTGACATGCTGGTGAATCGATTTTGTGTGCCACCACTGGAGGAGTCAAATCGGTAGACTCGAACGTTCGATAGGGGTAGTGGCCATAGTCGTGTTCCCAAGCCGTCAAATCTGTAGGATCGTAGTCGAAGCCGACATCGTCTGCTAGTGTGTAATCTGTAAGTAGCAATAGCTGGACCAGCAGCAAAGCAGCATGATGCATATCCGAGCTTTTCTCGGTCAAAACGTTGTCCGAGATTTGTTCGGTCGCCCTTACGCAAGCACAAGGAGTAGGCTTCAGTGGAGGATAGGGCTCATGTTGGATGATACGGATCAATAAAACAGTCGCGAGTTGATCGCGACCGTGCAAGAGGGCACTCGAGGCTCAAGGAGCCCTCAGCCCTCCTGTTGGTCCATGAGTCGGCAGTGATGATGCTTGTACCTCTAGTTTTGCGTCAAGGAGTGGTTGGGCCCGTCGCCAAGGCCAAGTCGGCCGCATAAGCCCATCGCTCCTTGTTACATTTTGCTACGAAGAGACGTGTCTGGCAAACGAAAGTCGTAGATTCTGCTTAAGCTGAACTGCCAGAAGCGAATGATATAGATCACTTCCCCATACGAGGTTCAAGAAGCTTTCTAGATGCTGAAATACGAGATCCTTCAACGGAAATGCCAAGACTACACCACCCGCCCGCGTCATACCGGCTCGATCCATCCGACATATTGTTTCATCAATTCGCAATTCCGTTAAATCAATCGTTCACACCACATTTGGTGTCGCGGTAATCAGGAGTTGGAATGTGAGCGGAATGTTGTAAGAGCCAAGCCTTCCGAAGATACGGTATCTTTTGGCTTGTGGTAGATTGTACAAATCAAGAACAGAAGCGAATACACTCCATCTCAACAGCCACACAAAGACGCTATCTCACAATCCCTCTTCTTAATTCACAAAGCGCCGTGTCTAGCCTTGATAATGTCGGCAGCCTTCTCAGCAACAGCATAGACAGTCGCTTGAAGATGAGTACCAGGAATGAGAGGCATGATCGAAGCGTCGACAATGGTAACCTTCTTGATACCATAAACTTGGAGGCCAGAGTCCACCACACCACCCAAGTTTCTTGGCATCATAGCACACGAGCTAGCAGGATGAGCAAAAGTGGGCAGAACAAGACCAGATGCAATTTGAGACTTGAGCTCATCATCGGTCTGGTACTTGACGCCAGGGGTGAGCTCGACAGGCTCAAAGACGGAGAGAGCAGAAGTGTTGTAGATCTGACGAGTGTACCGAATGCTTGCCAGCAGAAGGTCGATGTCAACAGGATTCTGGAGACCGTGATAATCGATGATCGGCTCGCCGTAAGGGTTCTTGGGATCGAGGTAAACAGTTCCACGGCTAGTAGGCTTTTGAAGAGCAGTAATAGCAAAACCACCACCCTGGAAAGAGAATTCATACATCGAGGCATTATCAGAGCCGAACTGCTCAACCTGTATCGTGCGTTGTGCTTCGTAACCAGCAAGGAGTTCGGGGTAATCGGAGTACATGTCAGGAAGATAGGCGGCGGCTTTTTGGGAAGCGAGCTTGTTTGCGATCGTTTTGTAAGTATCCGGAGCAATCTTGGAGAGAGGCAGGAATGCAGCACCGTTTCCATGAGCCTGTGTGTAAGGGCCAGTCTTGTTAGCAACGTACTCATCGTAAGCAGTCGCGTTGAAAGTCGCATTATTGGTCAAAGAGTTTGTGTTGGGAGTTGTGTCGTTGTTGAAGGACCACATCAAGTACGCTGCGGGATGGTCCTGGAAGTTGTTGCCAACACCAGGAAGGTCCACCTTGACCTTGATGCCTGCCTGCTTGAGCACGCTAGCAGGACCTACACCACTGAGCTGCAGGATCTGAGGAGTGTGGATAGCGCCAGCGGCAAGGATGAGCTCCATGTCGGCGTAAGCAGTGTATGTCTTACCGGTGTCTCTGTCAAGCAGCTTGACACCTTTGGCGGTTAGAGTAGCGAAGACGATCTCCTGAACCTGAACCCCAGTAACGACCTTGAGGTTTGGACGAGAAGCAATGGGATCGTAGTAAGCAGTACGGGCTGAGGATCTGGTCTGATACTTCGGATCGGTACTGGCAGGGACCCAGAAATGTCCAGGCCTGCCGAGAGCGCCCTCTTGCACCTTGTTTATCTTCATCTCATCCATGGCATCCCAGAAGGCAGGCATCTCGGGATACTGCCACTCAGGCAAAGAGACTTGGACAGGTCCACTGCCATAAGCCGATAGATCGTAAGTGTAGTTATACTTGTCGAGAGTGTCCTTCTTGTTGGGAGTGAAAGTGCTACTCTGTTCAATGATAAGCCATTTGTTCCGACGGCGTAGTTGCGAGGAACTTACCTTCTTGAAATAGGTAAGCAAGTTGCTCCAATTCCAGCCATCGTTGCCGAGCAGGCCCCAAGCATCGTAATCGGGTTGAGTACCACGGTCGTAACCCATACCATTCACGATGGAACCACCTCCGAGAACTTTGCCTGCGTAGGCCACAAAGGTCTGGTTCTGGAGATCTTTCTGAGGGGCGGAGTTGATCTCGAACATGTCAGGATCATTATATGCGGTACCATAATAAGGCCAGAGAGTGTTGGTTGAGTTGTCATTGTAACCATACTCGAGGACAAGAACAGATNNTCTGGTCATGGTAAGTAACGCTTCTCTTTAGTAAGACGGGACCGTACTCTGCGATTTTTCTGAAAGTCTGTTCGCGACGACCAAGCCTGATACACCGCCGCCAACGATGATATAGTCGTAGGTTCCAGTAAGAGTCTTCTCGCGAGTGGTAGTACCAAGGACCGTGTCAGTAGAAAGGAGAATCACAGAAGAAATGACCGCTGACAAGCGAGTCATGGCAGAAAGAATGGGCGCCATGATGCTTGAAAAGGAGTGTGTATGAAAAGAATGGGCCCCTCAGTAGAGACGTAGAATTCCAGGAAGAACCAAAATACTTATGCCTGTCAATCGAACATAAAGATCCACAATTCAATATATTGGCCTATGTGTTACTATGCGGTGCTACTCGAGACCATGCGGACAGGGCTTCGGTAACGAAAACCTCTCGCATAGATGAAGCTTTAATAGCAGCTATTGGTGTGCGAGGGTTGTGGCGATCGCGTCGTATCTAGCGTAGCTCATACCGAGGCGTATGCCCAGCGGATCACCAGATATCGAAAGCCAGTCGTCAAGGGACAGTAATTTCGTGATACATCCATGTCATTTTTCCGTCTGCAAGGGCTTAGGGTGGAAGCGGTGGAAGGATATGTTGAGCTGAGCAGAGGCCACGAGAACATGATGACCCTGTTTAGGAAGGAAGTTGATGTGGGGAAGCTATAGCCGTTGCCAAGAGCTGACCTCTTCTCAGTCTGAAACCAGCCAACAAGCTTGAGCTCTCTTCCATCCTCAGCCTCGGGTGTTCTCACCTCGCAGCATTCCAGGTTTCGAGACTTTGTTGCCCTAAGGGTTCTCTCAATGCGATACGTGGAGTAATGCATCCTCGCGTAGATGGCATGCACGGCTGAGAGATGCAAGATCTTGTAGACTGCCGGGGAGCTCTGTTCGTTTGACGAAACCTCCGTTAGAGCTTGGACCAAAGCATGCTCTCGGGAAGCCGATCAATGTTCTCGATCTCTACCGAAAACTCATTTAGACGAGGCCCATTGGTCGCAAACACACCTCTCGCAATCGCATGGCGTTCCTTGCTCCAACCATGGCTCTGGCATCTCGTGCGTGCGGCGATCCCGCTATGGCTCCTTCGGAGCTTGGTCCTCGTTTTGGCCCTATGGGCAACAGCCGCAGACGGCATCGCCGACACCCATCAAAGATACTGGTCGAGGACTTTGTCGTTTCGAAGAATAGTTAAGCGACTCGCACGGTAGCCTCGTTCGTCAGGTGAGGTCTAGGATTTTCCAAAATGCAGGCGGAATGTCTGGAAAGGGCCATTGTTCGGGTCGATCAATCGCTTTGACATGGATGTTGTAGCAGGCAGTGGCTACAAGAACCTTGACAAGCCTACCTCTAGATTTGCCTGGGGTCTCTGACAAGAGTAAGTCCAGGGCTGTATGACTCGGATAAATTGCCAACTCGTTTGGTCTGGTCTTGGTCCCAAAGCCCCTATGCTGCCTTCGAATTGATTCTGTGGCCATTCCTTGAACACTCCATTGTTCAGTGTACACCGACAACGGCCATGGAAAGCCGGCGGAATGCGATCGTTATTCCAGAAGTCATATTCGCCATTCTGACCGGATCTATTGTACTGTGGAGGATTATCAACAATGTGGTCTTGAAGAGGTTGTTCAGACTCGCGGACCTGCTCATATTCTTGGCCNTTGGTAATCCTTATGTGTGTTCTCCGGGTTCTTCAGATATTGACATTGTGTAGGTGAGCAATCTCGTAGCGCTGTCATGTAGTTCGCTATCGACACAATATGGCCTGGGAAGACACATCTACGACCCATCAATTACGCCTGGCATGCTTGAAACTTGTCTGCGATGGATCTGGATCGGAGAAGCAACAAATCTGATCGCTATGCTCTTCGCCAAACTCAGCATTGCTTCCCNNTTCCTCTTGTATCTAGACTTTGCACCTGGATACAAGATAGCCATGTGGATCACAGTCGGTATTGTCCTTGTCTGCAATGGAGCTGTGGCTTTAACATCGATTTTCGGAGCTTGTAACCCAATATCCCTGAACTGGAACAGGAATCAGCCAGGCCAATGCTGGGACCCTTTCGTAAACAAGATATGTACTTATGTTCAGAGTGGTATGTATGCAAAAATACAGCGAATCAAACATCTGGCTGACACTTCTNCAGGCTCAAACATCGTGACCGACATATTATATACGTCGGTGCCCATTTTCTACCNNCTCTCGACAGTGAAACTGGGTGCGAACGTTCAGTGGGGTTTGCGTATTGTTCTGTTGTTTGGACTGATGTATGTTCTCTCGGCTGCGTCTTTCGAACATGATGCTAATGATGATCAGCNNGCGACGGTCTGCTCGGTTGTGAAGATCGCGGTTGCTGGAAAAATGTTCAATACGCACGACGCTACANTGTATGTTCCAGCGAAGCATATCGATGAAAGTGTACTGACAGGTCTACCAGGGGATGCCGTCGATCTATCTATCTGGAGCACAGCAGAGGTCAACGTATGCATTGTTGCAGCCTGCCTGCCTCCGCTGAGAAGCCAATTCGACTCTTTCCTGAGACGCTTCTTCGGTCTGGCGTTCTCTCGATCGACGACTCGCAGTCGCCAGACATACGGTTCGCATTCGATTGCACTTCAAACACAAAGCAAGTCCCACCGAACCGTCATCGAGGTCGAAGCTCAAGACTTTGGAAGCGAACGTTCGATTCTCCCGCCTGACGATGTAGAAGATGGAATCATAAGGAAGACACGACAGGTGCAGGTCAAATATGAGGAGCACGAACAGGATACACCATACTCGCCGAATCCATCATACGATGGCCGACAGTAAACATCTCGGAGACGGAAGCTGGACATTCCCGAAATTCTATACCATTATTGAGTAAACATGCAATGAACCCTTCACAAACGGCTTTTCAGCCCACCTCATTACCAGCAACCGTTTTGCGGAGATGACATGCAGGCACAGAAATGACGATATTACCGACAAACTCGCACGTTGACAGCAGAATCGATCCGAGAAGATCAGCAGTAGGGACAAAAGAATTTTGTTGATATTCCTATCAGAGTATATACATTATTTGTTGGGAGCATAGTATGGGATCAACTATAGAATCCAAAGATCTCGAGAGTTCTTTTGATGATGCGGCTGTTTCACAAACGCATGTGCCGTATGATGCGTACGACCCTGGCAAGCCGTTTTATGTGCAGGAACGTTTCCCTCGACGGATTTAACGGTCGATTATTGCCAAACTGATCGGCAATAACATTATTGCCCAAAACAACCCGAATGGTGTAATGTCGTCTGCGACATTTCGTAGATCCGGTTGCGTGACCCTGAGGCCGGAAATCCGTGGCCACCAAGACATGGGAATCTTGTGATGTGTGCCGAAATTGCCATTCATGGCGATACGCCTCGTCGTGGCTTTTGTTGTTTATGTTGGAGAGTGGAGGTTTGGGAATGGAATCCTCCTTCATTCAACTTCGGACTCAAGCTTCTTCTCGTCGAGGAAGGCTTCGCGCTCGTGCTGAGCTTCGATATCTTGTTCGTCCTGTGCAGGAGTCTTTCTAAACAGTCCGGTAATACCGCGCCAGCAAGCGGACACGACAGGGGCGAGGAGGTAGAAGACGATGGTGCTGAGAGCAACTGCAGTGGTCAAGGCAGCAATGATGGCGGTGGAGTAGATCAGGCGCATGACGAAGGACTCGGTAGCATGTCCGAAGAGAGGGAGACCGAAGAAGACGAAGGTGACGTGGAAGCCGCTGAGCATTGCGGACATGAAAATGGAGGCGGTGTTCTCTTTTGACGGTACGTCCGACTCGTCGTCGTCGTCGGCTTGGACGCCCTTAGGGTCCATGGCGGCGCCGAAGCCATAGCAGACCATGAAGGAGAATGCGGTGATGAAGCCGATAGACAGAAGAAGCTCGGCAGCACCCCAGATGAGGGTCATTGCAAGGTTGAAGATAGGCATCTCGTTATTGTAGGCAGGAAGAGCGTCGATGGTGTGAGAGTACATGTCGGGTGGGTGACAGGATATATACTTTTGTCGAATGGTCGTATGATGCGATAGGGTGTGGCCGACGTTGGAATGTTAAACAACAGACAAAGGAATGTGAGGCAGAAGGTTTATAGAAAAATAAACGAACGCGGACAAGACGACAACACGCAAGAAATGATCAGCGACACTTCCGAGTAGTATACCAATAGTGACTTATTGATTCCCATGGCGGATCAGTCGGTCTTATATCAGCCAGCCACGCCGTTGGTACATCGTTCTCTTGTCTCTGCCAGGAGAGCTTCAGCCGTTGCACGTTTGAACAGTTTCAACAGGGGGAAATTGTTTTTCTCATGTCCCATGTCGTCGACGACCTGAAATAGAGTAGCCGCTCCACTTGAACAGACATGCCAGGATGATACGGCTCCCGAGTCGGACAATTGCAAGCGACTGAAGAAAGCTGTATGTGGCTCGAGTACAAGGAGGTTCTTCTCGAGTCGAGGCGTTGATGGCTGAACTCTGGGTGTCATATATGCGGGGAAACACTTGGCTTGGCGGCTCGATGAGGAAAACGGTCCGTGCAAACTGCCCTCGACTTCCGCTTTTCCAACGGAGGGAACTGAGCTTGTCACTCGAGGGAGCTGAGCTTGTTAATTTTTCTGATCTCGGTCATCTGCGTTGCAATTTCACTGTTGTCAGCCTCGTCAGCTGTTGCCATATCTGTATTCTGTGACTCGAACAACCAGCCTTGGGTGCTTGAATGGGTGTTATGCTCGATCGTGTCTCCCATAGAAGCATAGAGCAATTTGAAGGTTGTTAAAATGCACGAATGTGATCTGATCATGTAGATGTCCAGAGAAAGCTGACAAATGATGGGCTCTCAGTGGACTTGCTCTGTTCCTACAAACTACTGTGCATTTTTATAGCTAACTTATACGGCAGCACTTTGACATGGAGAGGATACATCACCAAGAACACAAGTCAGCAAGAGTCACTGTGGTGCAATAGGAATCCGACAAGAAACCTACCAACACCTACCACGTCAGCATCCAGACAACAACGGCTTACACGAGGTGAGACTGTGGGAGATAGCGATTTGGTTCATCCTCATAAACGCATTGCCATATCCTCAACGGCAAATTACGAGCAGTGACAGTCTGATGAACTCTGGAGTTCGGCTTCAGATCATCATCTGACCAAGCAGGCGTAGCCAGAAGCATGTAGAACAGGCATGAGGTGAGTTGGCATACCGTCGAGCAATTTCAGAACGACCGACGTTGTAATCAAATTGCACGTCGTGCTGTTCGAATGTCCACACAAGACAGCATTCAGACGGTACCTGAACCTGCGTGATCTCCACGCCGTTGGAAATATCGAACGAACATACTTAAAATCTGCTTCCCGATACCGTTTTCCGCCACGAACGGCTGTCCGGCATTTGGCTGTACATTCGAACTTCGAATGCTCCGGCGCATACTCGCGAGAAGGTCGCTTTTCGACACTCGTTGTCTACGTGCACGCAACAATTACGACACCATTTTTCGAACAGATGTCTCGGCTTCCCGCTGGATTTCCAGCGTGTGCAGGCTGTTATGTTTCGCTCATATCCGGACACTTCAGCTCCTCTACAGCATTTTCCAGAAAGAGGTTTGTCCAAGACAGCTGAGTCAGGTGCCAAGTCGAAACCGCTGGTAGCGACTGCATACCACAGCTCCGTCTTGCACAGCCCATGAACGGTCCCGGACCGTTATAGACGTGTAGATTTGCTGCATCGCCAAATTTGAGTCAACTACATGAAGTGCTGCAAACGGTTTGGACCCTACCAACATCAACAACTGTCAATGCGACAATCATGTTAGCCCTCCTCTCCATTTGCTAAGCACATAATGCATGTAGCTGCAAAAATGCACGATACCATCAGAGAACAACAGGACAGTGCTTACTGAGAAGCGAAGTCTTACTAGCTCTCTACGGATACGCCTCTGCTTCCGAAAACGATCGTGCCTTTTTATAGCATACAACTCGCGCTGTGCTGTGGTCGGAGCTTGATGGAGGTTACAGACATTGACAAAAGGTGAGGATGGTTGTCAATATCGTTCAAGCTTGGACATTTTCATGCTATCAGACCTGCAACAGCTACCTGTTCGTCGGTTCTTCGATATAGCGCTCGGACTTGTGGTATTTGCATAAGGCTGCGACTTCCACCGAACTCCCACTGTAGCTGAGTGCAGAAAGTAGACTATAAAAAGGCACAAATATTCTAGAATGCAGATGCGTGTCCACAAAGAGTCGACAACTCGTTGCCTCTCAGTGGATACTATTCTGTTCTCTATTACTATTGTGCATTTATGTAGTCATACGCGTCACAGACTTTAGTACCTGGAGAGGGTGGAGTTGGTGGTTGTTTTTTTAGCTGCATGGTACTGGTTTGCTCTGGGTGCGAGTACGACAAACCGAAAGCAAGTACAGGGTGTTCTCACATCATTTGAGAGCAGCTAGGCAATATCGAACGAACGCAGGATTGCTCTGTATTTTCCAAACACCATCAAGTCGGCTCTGATGGTAGTGAGCAGGGTAAAACACCGGGCAGTCCCTGTGCATGCACTAAACAATCCTTGACGCGTCTGTGAGTCGATCATGGCGTGCAATGCTCCGGTGTTCCCAATTTCCCACTATCTTTTGACTAAAATTGTCCGTGAGAGCAGCCATGGTCGCTGACACGACGATTTGCGAGTATTGCGCTCGCATCTCAATCCTTCCCTGTTGATAGCGTTTTCTCCAATGGTCGGATGAATGACATCTCTATACTGATATACGAGCAGATGTTTTCGGAAGAGGGATATCCAATCTGCGGAACAGAGCCGCGAACCCTGACACTACACCCCGCAATATCAACCCCGCTCAAGTCGATCTTATGTATAGCGAGGGGCAAGCTCTTGTCAATGTACGACCACGGCAGAAAAGAGGAGTAAGCTATGCTCGTGGTGCTAAGAAGGATTGTCGGCTAGCCGGGAGCAAGAATATCCATGAAGTGGGGCATCGAATATAATTAGAGCCTCATCTCCCCGTTTCCCGAGAGCACAGTACAACACTTGTGCAGAACTCGAGACCTGATTGCTAACATGTCGACTACCGAGACCATGAATATGGAGGAAACGACGCCGATTGTCCCCAAGACCTGCAAAGCTGGAGTGGTCGTGAACTCTGGCCCTAACTTCAGCGTACGTTATTTGATGGCATCCCTCGATTGTGCATGTGCGATACTGACCAGATCATATCAGATTGAGGTTCAAGACGTACCAGTCCCAGAGATTGGTCCAGAAGACGTGCTAATCAAGCTCAACGTCACTGGTCTATGCATGTCTGACGTCCACTACATGATGGGAGACTGGGACTTGCCACCAATGTAAGCTTCATCGACCTGACGACAAAAGTATATCACTCATCAACAATAGGNNGCCCAATTCGGCACGAAATGCGCCGGTCACGAAGGCGCGGGCGTCATTGTCAAAGTTGGAGAAAGAGTCAAGAACCTCAAGGTTGGTCAAAGAGCAGGCCTCAAGCCTATTCAAGATGTCTGCCACACTTGCGAATACTGCAAGACCGGGAAGGAAACCTACTGTCTTGGTGCCGTGCTGACTGGTCTCCACATCGATGGTAATATACCTTTCTGCAATACTCCCTAGGCATGTCCGGTAACACGTCAATAGNGTTCTTACAAGCAGTACATTGTTTCGCCCGAACACTACACTTCGCTCATCCCTGACGGCGTCTCGGACGAACTCGCTGGGCCGATCATGTGCTCTGGCAGTACTGCATACACTTCCATCAAAGAATCGGGCCTTCGTCCTGGCCAGTGGGCTGTTTTCCCTGGTGGCGGTGGTGGTGTCGGCATGCAGGCTGTACAACTTGCTATCGCCATGGGTCTCCGGGCCATTGTCGTCGATACTGGATCTGAGAGAAAAGAGGCATGTTTGAAGTTCGGCGCAGACGAGTTCATCGACTTCAAGGAGGTTGAGAATCCTGTTGAGAGAGTTCTGGAGATCACTGGTGGCGGTGCCCATGCAGTGTTCGTGACTGGTAAGCAACAGCGGTTTGGTTGTTGGATTTCATGCTGACATGGCTGTACAGCTGTTCAGTCATACCCTACAGCACAAGGTTACCTCGGCCACAGAGCAGGAGCCCAAGTCATGTGCATCGGGCTTCCGCCTGCTGGCAAATACAACATGGAGGTCAACCCATCAACTCTTGCATTTCGCAACCAGTCCATCAAGGGCACGCTCGTCGCTGGCATGGCTGATGTAGACGAGACCATGGAGTTTGCTCGTCGAGGTACGACAAAGCCAGTCGCAGAACTAGTTCACAACCACTAATAACGCCCATAGNGAAAACTTCGTCTTGAGCCCACGGTGGTCGGTCTCTCGAAGTTCAACGAATCTGTACAGAAGTTGAAGAACGGACAAGTCGCAGGGTAGGTCCTCATGAACTCATCTTTCTACAACATCTTGCTGACTTATGGTGACCAGTCGCATTGTCGTCGACTTCAATAAGGAGTGATAACGTGCACATATTGGACACTGTTTTGGAGATTCATGTTGGACATAGTTTTCGACATTTTGGCCATCACTATCGGCAATAGTAACGAGACTATGTTACGAAACGTTCACGAAAGACTTTGTTATGTATGGCTATCAAATCATCTGACCCAAGTCCGACCCTCTCCAGAGAGGACCTCAAAGAACAATCTTGGAACGCACAAACAAATGAGACACTAGTGACGTGTCCATCAGGAGGCCTTTGGAAACACGTTTATCACTGGACATTACAGTTCCCCAAGAGTATTGTGCGATTATATAGCATCGACTGCAAGACTGCCGTACTATCGAGCCGAACATGCTATTTCCGCTTCCTGGGATGCTGGTATGAGTGGTCTGACTGATAACCAGAATCCTGAGTAATTCGAGTACGCGAGTCGAGGTTAGACTCGCGATCCTCCTGTGTAAACTTGACGCCAGCTTGGGCGAACCGAGGAGGGGGCGGCATGGGGCGAGAGGGTCGAACTTCTCTATGTGTTGCGTGTCGCCTCTCCGAGATATTCGACGAGCTATCTGATTCTTCAACGGTCACCACAAATTCCTCAGGCGAACGGCGACTGCAACGCGCTTCGATGCTGTACATAATGTTTCCAATGACGCTGCGGTCTTCTGAAATGAAATTCACATCGATTTCAGACCGAGCTTGAAGCACACTGCACAAAACGCTATCACGATCACGGCCGTAACGTAGTGAGGGCGTCTTGTCATGGGAAATGGCGGCTTGCATACTCCTGATCTCTGACATATACCCAAAGTGTGCTGTGAAACGGGCGATTTTGTCCAAAAATAGGTTTCGCAGATCTCTCTCTGGTAAGAGAACACAGTATCTGTGCATCGTCTGGAGAGCAAGGTGGTGGTCATGTGCTTCAGAGCTCATAGCGAATTGTTCGACGGCATCGAGCTGAGCAAGAAATTCCTGCGATCTCTTCTGGTAGGTTTCAACGCTCATCATCCTGTAGTGAAGATACAATCAGCATGGGCTCGAAAATTGGTCGCTTGAGATACCACGTTTTGGCCTGATAAGCGAGGTCCAACTTGCAAGGTGAGCATCATTCTCCCCAAAAGCGTGTACTGCAGATGCAACGCACATCACTAAAAGAGAAAGTAAAGCTCACACGACCTCTTGCAAATAAGGCAGTTTTCACGGAGAGGCCACTCATCATCGTCCCTCTGGCTACATCACTATTCGAAGTAGCCTTCTCGGAATCTTGGAAGCACAAGCTTTGGCACTCGCATATCAGAGTGAAGTGCCAGCACCAGGCGTTGTGATCATGTCTTTGGTGTGACGTACCTCAGGGTTTCGTGGTCAATGACTAACAGCTCGAGACGCTTGTAAGGTCGAGTTTTAGTTGCTTCAATATTCCCAGAGTGATCTCGTAAGATTTTCTTGATAGCCTCGATCAGTTCTTCGGTCTCAGGGCTAGAACCGATGCGAGATAGCGTTCCGGAAGGTGATCGATTGAATATATTCCAGATTCGCACTAAAGCTGTCTCATAAAGCGTTGCGATGAGCGACATGCGAGCAAAAAGTTCGCTGCTGATGGCTAAATCTGAATTGAATGCACAGTCTAGCATCCTTAGAATGAGATGATAGTCTTGATGATAAGAGTTCCGAGGTCGAAGTTTGTTGAGGTGTTGAAGTATAATGTTTGCGTCCCATGGTTGCTGAGCGAGAAGGGCCTCGAGCCATACGAGGTAATCATTGGAGAGTGTCATGACCTCTCCAGGATACGAAGGCCGAGGTGACCAAGGTAAGCGCAATTCTTCGAGGTTTACGCCTGGATCGCTCCACACGGCACCATAGATTCGTAATCGGATAAGTATGATCTGTCGCTGTGAGTGCGTTAGTGCAACACACTCAGATTTCTGTAACGCATGTGCTAAACCAGCCAACGTTATGACCAATCACCTCACAAGTTGTGCGTGAATACCATAGGCTACAGAGATGTACAGTCACTTTTCAAAATAAAGTGTGGCCATGGACAGATGTTGTGATGTTGTCTCTCCTTAGTCATTACTCCTTATGAGAAGTGCTGTGAATCTACGTAGCGATATCGCAACAGCCTTTAGCACATGCGGATGTTTGCCTTACGTACCTGTACATCGGTGAGTTCTGTGGGGCTTGAGACATTGACCAAAGTGCAAGACCAGCGTGCTTGAATCAAAGCCTCTGTCTCTTCATGTAGTTGATCGTTTCCAGTGTAGAGCCTGACATAGGCAAGAAGCAACCTCAGTAGTTGCTTCTCATCCGGCTCGAAACAGTCAGATCCCCTGGCAGATTTGCACTGACGACTGAGGCAGTCGTCAAGTATCATTTCTGCGTTTGTGAAGTCTCCCTGATCAACTAGGGCGTGGCAATGCTCTGCCAACACTGCAAAGCAGTTCAGATTGCGGGACAGGACTTCTTGGAAGAGTGCAGAAGCCTCGCCAAAGCGGCCAAGCTTAGCAAGTCGTGAGTAATCTTCCAGGTCTTGTTCAACATCCTGCACGATGTCGATGTCGGGACCCATAAGGCGGATATCTTGATTCAGCTGTATATCAGCTTCCGATGGATGTTTTGCCATGTTCAACGTTGGCTGTGCTGACAGTGGGTGCCACAAAAGTTGCGAACGAGCAAGATGAAATCTGCTGTGTTTGCAAACCCGCCGAACACAACTGACTATTGGATATCATGAATCCTTCATGCATGTAATCTATTTTGATAACGTCAGCAGCCCGATCAAGTGGGGGACCAGCCGCTCAGAGACGCCCAATCCTGCAGCTAGCCCTGGTCGATCTTGTCGTATTGACCCGGAACTCTCAAACAGTCATGAATTCATTTTTCTATTGCATATGTGCTTGTGACCTTGTTAATGGTGCCGAACCTAGAAACAATTGGTGGCTTTGGAGGACTTTATCAGGTGCTGCTTCTCACGCAACAGAGGACCCTCTCTGCAATCAAACACCGCCTGCGCAATGTCTTCGCCAAAAGTCTCGAACAAAAGCTCTTGGAGAACTTATGGGTCTACGAGGATTAACGCCGATAAAAGTCTTGGAATGGCCATATTTTCGAAAGCAAAGGTTGACTGTCTTTTGCTGCGCAATCGCCTGCGATGGGGTGTAGTGTGCAGTCCACATTCACACGACACTGGCTTGCTCTATCTCAAAATCCAATTCTGGCAACCGAAAGACTGTCGTTTGCAGTATGTCGAAGCCGAAACGGAGGTCGGACTGAAGAAACCGATCAAAGGCACTGGAGGACCATATATCTCTGTCGCCCAACCTGGACAGATTTGTGGAAAAGCCTGGCAAGAGCACGTCGAATCGAGCTTGGGAGTAGCTCCCCATATTGAAGTGGCTGGCAATGGAGGTGATCTCGGAAGCTATTCGAGAAACAAGACTTCTGAGAATGAACATCGCTGGAGTTTCACATTGCAAAGGCATCCAGATGAGAACGGTGACTACACAAAGTTAGCATGGAAATGGGAAGGGACAGGATNNAAAGGCGCATCGGTACCTTTCGAACGGCCAATATATGTCGCAGTGGTGGTTGGCCACGACCGGAGCACTTTTGATATCCGAACACAACTCACAGGAAAACTGGTATCAAGTTTTCGACGTGGTTGGAGAAATCTCATGTTTGCTCCTGTCAATCGATTTGCAGTACCTCTGGCACCGGAGGTATCTGACNCCCCGGAAGATCTGACAACAATCGTCGAAAGTCTGCAACAAGCCATAGAGGAAGAGAATCAAAAGCAGGCACCGATAGGTATGGCATCACGAGTGTGATGTTCTGAGCAGACCGTGTTGACATATGAGCAGAAATACTAGACTTCCGACAAGCTGTTTAGACGCTCACAGCCGACGAGCGGGTGCGGCGCGTTTTGCCCTCGAAGAAGACATACAGATGTGGATGGACACAGCACCCATGTATGCGGCGATCGTGGCTGTACGGTTCGAATCATCTGCTTGATCTGTTGATTGGATATTATACGTGAATCCCGTTGCGGTTATATGATGTGAAGCAGACGGAAGCCGTTTGATCAGACATTGCTTGTATGAATTCGCTAGCAAAAATCAACAGCCAGTACGGTCGAGAGGCATAATTCTGTAAACGAGGCAATCGCACACAGCTTGCAGACAAAGTCTCGAGTTGGATGCGATCAAGACGGTGCTGAAGAAGCCCGCGCCAAGACAATCGCGCCTCACGAATCGGGAAATTTTGCATCGCATTCTAGGTAATCGAAAATCAATCATACACAATATATATTATGGCCGAACAACAACTTCCTACAGGCAAAGTTCACGCAGTCATCGACTACGAAGATTGCTATGTACAGCCCTTGATACTGGCTGCTCTCAAGGCACGCATGCCCGCCGACGTTTTGGTCTTGACGCAAAGTATTTCGGACGCACCTGCCTCGGATGCCAAATTATTACAATGGAAACAGTACGAATCTTTGGATCTGGACCATGTGATGGAGAATTCCCAGACCAGCTTGATGAACTCATACATCATCAGAAAGGCACTCATCAGAAAGCATTACCTGTCTACCACTGTATCTCACTGGTTGACCAAGAACCCCGACTCTTGTTTGCGAAAGAATGTCAAGCCCAGTGTCGAGTTCGAATTGGATTTCGCCGAATTTCTCGATGATGCTCTGGTCGAGGCGTTCGAGCTCAGAGAGAGCTTCGAAGAGAATGAAGGACTTGAAGACTCGGAGAAGCAGTGGTGGATCTTGAAGCCTGGAATGAGCGATCGTGGACAAGGCATTCGTCTTTTCAATTCCGAAGAGGACTTGACTGCGATCTTCGAGTCTTGGGAGGAAGACAGCGATGATGAAGAAGCTGAACACTCAGGAGATGAAGACGAGCAGAAGGGCGACGACGAAGACGACGAAGGCAATGGCGTGATCACATCTCAACTCCGACACTTCATCGCACAACCATACATCCACCCGCCGTTGCTACTTCCCGCTCCTTTTGCGTCTGCAAACCGCAAGTTCCACATCCGCACCTACGTCCTCGCAGTAGGGGCCTTGAAGGTATTTGTGTACAAGCCTATGCTTGCTCTATTTGCTGGAAAGACATACACTGCACCATGGGAGACTGAAGACCCTAACGAGGAACTTGCAAGTCATCTTACAAACACCTGTATGCAGACTGGAGAACGTGAAGGCAGCGTACACGCTTTCTGGTCCTTGCCCGACGATGTCCCTGGCTTGTCGTCTGACTGGAAGCAAGACACTTTCGACCAGATCTGCAAGATCACTGGTGAAGTGTTTGAGGGAGCCGCTAGGGGCATGATGGTTCATTATCAACCTTTGCCAAACGCTTTCGAACTCTTCGGTGTTGATTTCATGCTGGATGCAGAGGGAACTCCTTACTTGCTCGAGATCAATGCTTTCCCTGACTTTGCTCAGACTGGAGATGAGCTCAACAGCATAGTACAAGGACTCTTCGAGGAGGTGGTCGATGTCGCCATCAAACCGTTCTTCGGCATCTCGTCAGACGAGAAGCCGCTATCTGAAAGAGAACGCATGGCATTAGCATTAGATATCAACTTGGGTAGGAACTAGAAAAAGTCCATACACGGACCAGCTTTTCGACCCGGTCTCTCTCTGTCGCAACGACCAATATCAAGACAGTATCAGGGATGCTGCTTCCGAGGAAAGAGGTGCTTTGTCCTTCAAGACTCTGCCTTTTGACAGTTACATCAAAGTCAGGAGAGATCGAATGGGATGCGACGCTCCTGTATGAACCGTCGCTCCTCGGCACCCCTGGCCGTTGTTCGTCGGCGCCTTGTAATGTCGTTCGTCGCCGCCTTTTGCTGTCACTTCTCGACGCTCCATTTCCGTCTTTCCATAGCATCGTCGATCACTAGTGGTGTCGTTCGTCGATGCCTGGTCATCTCGTTCTGCAGAGACTTGTGCTTTCACTCCTCGACACTTCGTGTATCGTCGTTCCTTAGCATCGTGCTGTCTTGACTAATGTCTTCACTCTGATCCGAGCACGACGCGATTGGCCCCTTGTGGTGTCGTTCGTCGATGCCTTGTGGTGTCGTTCGTCGGTGCCTCGCGATGTTGTTCCTCGTTGCCTGTGCTTTCACTCCTCGACACTTCATGTACTGTCGTTCCCTAGTATCGTGCTGTCCGACTTATGTTTTCACTTGAACCCGAGTGTGACGCTTCTGCACCCCGTATCGTCGTTCGTCGTACTTCGATATCAACCCTCCTCGCTCACTCTTCGGTACCTTCTGGACCCGCTCTTCGACGTACTACCCTGTCGCCTGTTCTTTCACTCTCCTTCGCATATACCACTTCCACTCTCACACCACTGTAGCCTTCATAAAGCAAAGCAGCACCTCATAATCTTGCAACATCCTACCGACCCCTGAACCCGAGCCATGAGCCGCCGCGCGACCCGGGTCAGAGAGCCCACGGAACAGATGTCAGTATCGAGTAAACTTATTCCAGCACCAACCATGCTCACCACCTTTGTAGCCTGACGGACTCTGACATGTTCGACAATCCTGCGCTCTCTGACGTACAAGTCCACTTCTCGGGCACATATCTCCACGCCCACAAGTATCAACTCGCAAAGTACTCGCCCTGGTTCTTTCAAGCCTTTACTGGTGCATTTCCGGTAAGTCTTCATGACAGAACCTTTCACGAAGTGTGCTTACTCACGGGCACATCACAGGTCGCCAGGGGTAACAGGATCGATCTCGGCAACGATGAATCACCCTGTCTGGTTTTCCACATGCTCAGCCACATCTACGGTTTCTCCTATCTCGACATCGTTTACGACCCCAACGATGACTTCCCTCAAGATCCCTCCACATCAACTTACAACTTCAAACTCTCCTACAATCTCGAAATCTTCATCTTGGCCGACAAATACGACGTTCCTTCTCTACGCACCCTGGCTGTTAACGCCTTTATGCAAGAACTGCCCAATACCTTGGTGGATGTGATGCTAGGAGATGCGTTATCAAGACTCTTTAGCATCGTGTGTGCAGACAAGACACTCCAAGAACAGGTTTTGGAGTTTGTGTTTAAGAAGACCAGGTTCTTGACACTCTACAACAATGACTTTATGGATAGGTTGTTCAGGCGGGAGATCTTCGGCAAGAGGATTACTAGAAAGGTACTTAAAGCCATTCTGGCAATTAGGGGTTGGGATAACAACAGAATTCTGAATAGACAGCATCAGAGAGCTGTGGAATTGGCGAGAGCACTGGGAGTCAGAGTGGCATATTAGAGCAGAGAGAAGTCGAACAAAGGGAAAATTGATTAGGACGCTTGATTCGAGAACGAGGTCGATGTCGCCGAGTATGTTATCCCGAAGTAACGTGACTAGATACTATTCTCTCGATGATTATATTTAAGTCTCTATAAACAACAAGTCGCAAGGCCGGGAGACTAGATAGTACTTGCATCGATCGTGACCTAGTAAACGATAAGGCGTTATATGGTTAGAAGTAATACTCCCTTGCATTAATTCAGAAAACACGATAATATCCCTTACTTCGCCTTGGAGATACAAAAATACCCCTTGCCTCTATGTATTTCACGCATCTCATATGCCACTGCTATCTATAAAATAACTATCAGAATGCACAAACTATTACCGAAAGGCAATGGATCCAGTGAGAGCTATGATGAAGGCAGCATCTCACTAGACACGACATATTTTTGCAAAACATTGTGCATTTTGATGGGTATGAAATCTAGTGTGCTGCATTCGGGAGATGAAGTCCTGGCTAAAAGACTACCCCTTGCGTCTATAAGTTTAGGTATCTCCGAAACCGCTGCTGGTTCAATGAATACCTATCCAAATGCACAAACTACTACTAGGAAGCGATGGATCCAGTGAGAGTTTGGTTAGAGAGAGCATCTCAGTGGACATGACTGGCATTCTGGAAGATATCGTGTATTTTTATAGGTATGAGATTCGGTGTGCTCTATCTGGGAGATGCAGTCCTGGCTGGAGTCCACTATCAGTTTTTGCGACACTTCTCCCACAGCCGTAATATCCAATCTCAAGACCATGAAAATGCTCAATAGTATTCTGGTCAAAAGTGTGTCCAGTGAGAGCTTATAAGGTAGTGTGTTTCAGTGGATACAGCCGTTATTTGAAACACCATTATGCATTTCATAGTAAAATAATACTCTACATGTTCACATGGGAACGTAATGTTTTGGTAAAAGAGTGACTTATGATTGCAATGCAGCGTGTTTCTATCTAGTAAACTCAACCTGTCCTCGTTAAAACCCTGTGGGGAAAAGAGTAACAGAACTATGTTATTGAGTCCTTTCTGGTCCTGTCTGGCAAAGCTGCCAGGTCGTCTGAGAGTGTGGTATCTGTTTGCGACGACGACGACGACGACGACGACGACGACGACGACAATGATGCGGACGACGATGATGGTGTGGATGACGACAATGTGGTCATGGGTGTAGCGACAGTAAGCTGGTCAAGTGTTTCATCGATGACCACCTGCCTGACAGGCATCATATTGAGGAATTGCGGTCGGTTGTTTGTGCGGCCTAATCGCCATTCCATTCCAGCACGATATCTGGCTTCCTCGATGCTGTCCCAACCGATTTTGGTTATGGTGTAGGTGATGTCTTCGGCTGAGGCGCAGCGTACATGCCAAGCTTCTTCTATGAACGAGACAGGATATTCTGTCGAGGAAGCAAACTCGTGAAAAGTGCGCGATCTGCGATGGTCGACGTACGGAGCCAAGCGACGACAGAAGACGGTCAGTTCGACCAGCTGCTGTTGCAGTTGCGAGTATTGCTCGAGAGGAAGGTCGTAGGTAGAACAGTTGACTTGTTGGTCGAGCCTTCGGTTGACGTTGAAGGCTGCGTCAAGTAACAGTCAGCGCCAGGCCAATTTCATGATTGGACAGCCAGGTAAGATAGCGCTGGAGACAGACCGCGTAATTCTGGAAGATAGGAGATTCAAGAATATCAAAGCTCAGCTGCTGCTGGGTGATGACTGAGTTGGTAGACATGATTTCTTGAGTTCGAGTCTCGAAAGTTGTTGGTGGTTGGTGTTCAAGATGAGACTTGACGAATGTGCGTTTCGAGAGTCAGGGAGCTGTGTGCTGAAGAAGAGAAGGAGAAGGGGAAACACGTCGGAGATTTTATAGAGTCGTGCTTTAGGCAGAAATTATCTCTCTCATAGTGTCGCCAGAAGGGAAGAATTTTTTCAAGTTGGCGTTTCGTGATGCGTAGTCGACGCAAACTTGCTCGTGCGTAGATCTGTGCAGCCTGATCGGGACATAACACACTTGATCATTTCAGAGCACGACCTCGAGTAGAGCCTCTGACAGTACCTCTACCGATGCCACTGCCAGCTCTTGAGATGCCTCGTCCTCGACCACCTTGGCCGCCGACGCCGACATATCCTGGAGTTGATGTAGAGGTAGCAGAGGCTGACGAGGGCTGCCTGGTCAAGCGACTGGAAGCAGTGCTGACCCTACCCCTGAGTTTTGAGCCACGGGTTGCAGGTGGCGGAGCGGCCTTCTTTCTCTCTTCTTCCTCAGCACGTCTTGCAGCAGCCTCTCGCCTGGCTTGTTCTTCGGCAGCACGTCTTTCAGCTTGTTGTTGGCGCACGAATGACTCGTTCTCAATGTCTTGCAAATCTTGTGTAGCGCCTTGCCAGTTTGGATTCAGGAGCAGGCGTTGGTTGTGTTCGGTTTGCGACAGGATGCGCGTCCAGGTATCGAGAAGGGTCGAGGCCGAATGCACAGTGCGGTTGACGTTCTACCAAGTGTTAACCAAAGAAGGAATTGTGCATGGACAGTGCAGACGTACATCCATATTGCCCTTTGCTTTCTCCAGACTCGTCACGACATCCTCGATGACCTTGTTGATCTGTCGCACACTTTCCAACTCTTTGCGCAGAGCAGCCTCACGCGACTCTGATGTTTCTGGACGAGGAGCGCTGGGTTTGGAGGGGTTGGGCCCAGATCGATATCCATATCGTAGNTCAACGTCTTCGTCCTCGTAGGGGATGTCGTCGTATTCTTGGTCTACGTCGTCGTCCAAGCGCAATGCGCCTACATCTGGAGGTTGCGACATGTTTGGCTGCGGGAAGTCACGACGCCGCGAGAGCGCAATTGAGAATGAATTGGTATGGCCCAAATCAAGGTGTTTGATTGCTTGTTTGCACTGTCGATGTTTACTCGGCTTCTTTTTGTCTCGGCCAGCCACAAGAGCCAATCATTCACAAAAGACCAATCGCAAGTACACCATCCAGGAATTTATCCTCTTGATAAAGATATACTTCGGATCTCTTCTTTCTGATTCTTGTCTTCGATTGTATGTCCATAGCATCTTGTAGCATTGAGTAAGGTAGCAACGAAGAAGCGGAAGAAGCCACGACGCTCGGACCACATGGGTCTCTGCCACTTCCCAGCCACCGCGTTTCCTGACGAAGTTGGAAGGAACGGCCATGCCAGGGATATTCTGACATCCGCCCTTGCACAATTGCACAACCTCCACCTCATCCCCAATCCTCTTGTTTACCATCTTGAAACCCTGTTTGTATGCAATAGACCGTCTATTGCGGCCATCTTCTTGGATACACACATCGCTATACAGTACCATATTACGCGCCCGTCCACAACTCGCGCCCATCTCGTGTTTCAGCGCGTCCGACTTTGTTGATCTAGACAAAAGACCAAAGTCGCAAGCTTGCTGCACCGACAGGGTCATCGTCAGGACGATAGCCACGTCCGACTTGGGCAATTGCGTCGACTCACTTCGCCTGTCCGTTTGTTGTCGTCGACTCAAGACACGTCCAGCTTTCACTCACACGGCCGCCATGATGAGAGACGCAACAACTCCTCCACCACCCCCGTCGCGACTGCGCACTCCTCCAGCTCCCAAACACGGTGCCGGTTACCACTCATACCATCCCTACGAGCCTAGAAGGTCCCAGAGAGTTCAGCGCTTGCACAAGACCCACGACAAGCTTCCTCAATCCTCGTCGTCAACCAAGTCGACTCTCCAGCGCACCTCATCATCGCAAACCCTCTCGCCTCCCTCGTCGCCTGCCGCCGAGACATCAGAACCACAACAAACACCTGCCAGGCCTACGCCTGTCCGTCAATCGCTGTTCACGCGCAACAGACCTACCAACACACCCAACATCAACTCTTTGTTTGACGTCTTCGCTCCTCAACCACAACTGCCCACGCCTTCATCCATGCTGCCCACCCCCAAGATCACCCCTCGCAAGTGCGACTCCAACGCCATGCAGTCTACTGCCCGCATTCTCAACTTCAAGCCTGCCACCACTCAGTCCACCATGTCCACTCCACGCAAGAAGGCCAAGTTGCGCCTCACCCTTGACGAGGATGACGCCGTCCATGATGAAGTCAAGGTCTTCACCGACATCCAGGACCGTGTGCCCACCGTTGACCGCACCGAAGACAACCCCTTCATTGGCCCCAGAAAGACCAGAGCTCGCACCCGCGCCCAGACTGCTCCTTCAACTTCAACCGACGTTGACATGCAAGACGCCCACACTGAAGATGACGAGGGCATCCTCTACGTCTTCCGCGGCAAGAAGATCTTCCGTCGCTTCGAGAAACCCGCCGATGAGCCCACCAACTCGGATGCCTCTACCAGCTCAAACAACAGCTTGAAGCGCCAAGCCGGCGTTGCTGCTTCTCGCCCATTGACACGCTCATCTTACAAGCCTCGTCTCTTGTGGCCAACCGCTAACAGCGATGGTGACGCTGACGAGGAGGCTTTGACCGACATTGATGAGGATAACGTCCCTGCCATTGAGTCAGCTTCCTTCAGCTCAGCAGTCCAGCCCNAAAAGACTCCTTCCAAGAAGGCAGTCAGTCATCCCGCCACTCCCCCTTCATCTCACCGCCAGACTCGCTCGGCTGCTCAGCAGATTGCCATCTTCGCCGACCCTCACAACGAGCTCAACCGTGCTCTCGCTTCACCATCCGTCACTCCCAGACCACAGAAGGTCACCTCTGGCCCTCTCTTCTCCAACTGGCCTCGCAGCAAACACACCGATGAGAAGGCTACTTCTGGTGAAAAGCGTCATCGTTCTACAATGTCCGAGCCTGATATGCCCACCAAGCGTGCTCGCTCCAACCTTTTCACTTCTGAGCGCCCCTAAACATGGTTTGATTTTCTTTCTTCGGCTCAACTTCACTTCTTCGACTCATCGTTACTTCTTTTCATTCGGCATCGACTGTTCTTCTGCGAGCATAACGCAAAAAGCGTAGGGAAATTGGGAGTTTCTGGTTTCAATCAATGGAGGTCTGATGTTCTCTTACGTCCTGTCTCTTCTGCATGATTGGGGGCGTCTAACAATAACTTCGCATGGCATTCTCTGTACCCTGCATCCTTTCACATGACGCATGGTTATTGAAGAGGAGGATGTTCTTCTTGTTTACGGCCATGTTCCCTCTGTTTTTCTCACATATCCACCACCCCTCCTTCCGTTGATTGAGAGGTTTAGATAGTCTACCAGACCGATCCTGTACTATACCCCGCCAACAAGGCATACAGAGATTTCGTGTCATGAAATGAAATACACAATTGTGTCAACATATCAATGTCGCTGTCACTTCTATCTTGTTGTGCTTTGTTTCTGTGAGCTGACAGTTATCTGTCTTTGTGTCTGCTGCTCCCGCCCATGGTGACCTATCAAAACACAGCTATAAAAATGCACAACGGTATCAGGGAAACCAAGAGCGTCCACTAGGAGCTTGTGTCTTGTCAGCTCGCAATGGACGCAGTTCTAACTGGATTACGACTGTGTCTTTTCATAGCTGACCAACCGCTTTATGCTATCTCGGGAGTATGAATCTGGCTTTCTTTTCGCATCCTGCTCTCAGCTATGAAGACCTGTCAAAGTGTGGCTATAGATATGCTTAATGGTATTGGGAAATGGGAAGCATTCGATTGAAAGTCGATAAGACAACGACTCTCAGTGGAAGTTTCTCGATGTTTGATGACTTTGTGTCTTCTTGTAGCACATCAACTGAACTGTATATCGTCCTAAGAGGAGACTTAGAGCGCTGGGCAACTTTATTTACGCTCGTGATCAACTCTAGAAGTAAAGGATTTGGGATTGAGTACTTGAGAAGCTCAATATCTTAAAACTGGGTGGAACTATCTGCTGTAGCTTATATTCTTTTGGCTCTGATCAGTCTAATGCTTGGGATCTGGGACGGTCAAAGTTGAAAAGAAATGAAGAGAACAAGGACAAAAGAAAGTTGTCAAGAGTCTTACTCGCAATTTCCGGACCTCAAAAGAGAGACACCGAGGGAAGCCGGTCAAGGGTGTAGAGCTTTTATCTGCCGTATCTCGAACATTGATACGCAACGAGCAGTTGTATGTCACGTTCAGGATCGATTCGAAAGTACAGAGAGTTGAGGGTGAGCATTTTGAGCAGCTTTTTATTTTTGAGCTTCTTGTGCCATCTACTGCGCTTCTCCTTCGTGCCCATATCTGGTCTCTGGGGTCTTCTTCTGCCGGACTTTGGGCGGTAAAATTTGATAGACAAAGGAAACCAGAAAAACAAAGGAAAAATGGTCAAACGCGCAAGGCTTTCACCAGTTGTATCCCAGAAAATAAAATCAAGGGAGACCTCGATCGTCACAGGACCCTGATTAGCCGCACCTCAAAGCTCTCCTCTATTCTGTATCCTCCAGGTATCCTTTGTCCCAGTACTTGGCGCTGGGGCCGCTCTGCCACACCTGTCGTTCGATGACGATGGGTAGGTTGTCGTAGTCGACATCCCTGTAACGAACCCATCTGGTGGGGTTGTTGCGAGCGTGGGGTCCACGAGCCGGAGGGATAGTAAGTCGAGGAGCAGCAGATTGGGGTTCAGTAGATTGAGGGGTAGCAGCTGGCTCAGGCACAGTAGCCTCAGCGTTGGGCAGAGAGAACTCGAGCTGCTCAGTAAGCTCTGGTGGATAGGGACTTGGGTCACGATCCCTTACGGGCCTCTTCCTGCTGACAGTGGAGATTGCGCTGTTCTGCTTTCTTTCAGGTTGTCACTCTGAGGTATGCTGGTATTGGAATCGTTGGTGCTAGATCCAGGAGTGCTGATGGTGGCCGCGTAGACGGCGGGAATTGAAGCGAGCTTTGACAATGTTAGGTTCGAACGGTGGGTTGCAGATTTCTGAGTGGTGGCAGCGGCAATTGCGTTGTTGTAATTTGCGGCCTTGCTAGACTTCGCGGCAGCCTTGTTCGGGACCCTGTCTGTGCTTTCTCCCTTCCTTTCGTCAGGCTTTGAAATTCTACTGGTAGATCCCTTGGCTGACAAAGATGCTTCAGGGATGTCGTCTGATGTCACAGAGTTGTGATCTGAATCGATGTCTTGCTGCTGCAAGAGTTTGGACAGATCTGAGAGACTTGTATCGACCTGGTCGTTGAGGAAAGGAAACGGAGGATGGTTTTTGTAGACCTGCTCGTTCTGGTCCTCGCCAGACCCTGAGACCTCTGTGCCCTTCTTCGTGATGAGACCTGGGAAAGCCTCCAAGAGAAGGATCAAGGATTTGAGGTTGTTGTTCTGACGATCATCCCATTTGGAGTTCTTGTGCTCGAGAAACTTCTGTTTCTGAGCGGCTGTCGTAGACCCGGCAGTCTTGGTGGGGTCGTCGTAAGGCATACCTTTAAGGTTGAATACTACGTTCAGGGGTGAGTACCACTTGATCTTGCGTCTTGTGGTCTTGTCGAGGTCATGAGGTTTAGAATCTGGACCAGGGCCTTTGAAGAACTGGATTCTGGAACTGATGCATGCCCCTATCTCGACGCGGACATCACCTTCAAGTAGCGTGCCAACGAACAGTCGTTTCTGAGTCCCGTTCTTATTCTCGGGATGATAGGCGTAAAACCAGGGATAGAATTGTACGAATCAGAAGAGGCTCCCAAGGTTTGAAGGCGCCTGAAAAGTTGAGATTCTTCTCCGTCCAGACACTCTTTATGGCGTTGAGATGGTTGCCATTGAACTCTCCATACTCTTGAAAATCCGCATGCAGCTTCTCGAGTTGCTCGATTGCTTTTCCAGATTTGGTTTGATCGCGCCAGTCCTTGTGAGTCAGAATCTCGCGAAGACGCCTGGGTAGGTTATATGCTTGAGCCATGGTAGCTGCACACAAGAGTCAGCGAGAGCTTCGAGAAATAGTACGAGGTCTAGTTTGTACAGATCAGAAACCGAGATCTTCGAAGTTGTCTTTGTTTGCGCCAACCTTGTGCGAAATCCGTCAGTCCTATGCGCAGCTCACTAGTCCCACCGTGAAGTCCGCCGAGTCTGTGTGAGATCTGCCAAGGTATGCAGATCCGCCAATCATGTGGTGTTGTTCGATTGAGAAGGAAGGAAAAGGAAGGAGACGGAAAAGAAAAGTTTTGTTTTTGACCGGTTTAGTGACAGACTCTGCTCCTATATCCACTTCTACGAAAGCTCTACGCGAATCTGTATAAAACATGCCACCCTCGCTTCCTCCATGTATCAAAGATTGGAATTATCGTAGCTAAAAAACCACATGACGGTCTTGAAATGAATGGGAACCCCTTCGGAGAACGACCATCCTGCTGAGCCTCTTCGACCATGGGTTCGTAACAGTAGTTGCATCGATGGTGCATAACATCTAGGGACTGTTCGGACATGATGGCGAGTATATCGTGATACAGTCCACACCATTGCCACTGCCTATTCGTGATCACGGACGAGTCGAAGCTCCTGGCTGATCATCTGGTGATGAAACGATGCTGGTCGAGTTCTTCATAGACCCATCCAGTAGAGCTGGTTGCGGAGAACTTGGCATCAACCTGAGCAGTAAGAGCGATCACTTTTGGCGCGAGCACGAGCGTCCAGACGTCCAGATTACCGGAGTCATCACGACTCGTCCACTTGCTATCACTGCGATTGCCGCTGTACTCGTGGTCGTAGCTGGAGTTCTCAGCGAGACAGCCGTACTGGTTGAAAGGCATTCGGCGTGAACTTGAAATAGCATCTCCATTGGCAAAGTGGACGCTCGTGCTGAACAGAGTATGCTGAGAGGCCTGTAAGACAACCTCCTCGGCCTGGACAGTTTGGAAGCCAATGCTTGAAGCGATAGCAGTAGCTTTGTTCAAGGCGTCTCTCGCAGCTATTTCATGAACCTCAGACTTGAGACGAGTGGCGACAGGGCTGGTGAGGGACCAGGATGTTTTGACACGAGTGATGCAAGGGGCTCTGGTAATGGCTTTTGAGATTTGTTCGAGGACTTGGAAGTCATGGATAGCGACCTTCAGAGAAGTTGTGGCCGTGTGTGTGGTTTGATGCGCTTTGGTTTGTGAGACCTGTGTAGTCTGAGACTGAACATGCTGGGTTCCGATGCTCCAGGAGGTGATAGAACCGCCAGGGGAAGCCTGAAACATAGAAGCACGACTGTCCAGTGTTGGCGAGAGTTTCTTGAGGGTATCGGTGAGTTGCTCAACTGCTTTGAAGAGAGCAATGCTGGCTTCGTTGCGGTAAAAGCTGATGGACTTGAAAGTGATGTCGATCTCGACCATGTTGGCCATATGACTGACGGTGCCTTCGCCCTGTACTNNCCTGATATTGAGTGGCATGATTCTCGGAGTTTGATGACAACAGATGGATTGCGAAGGAGAATGGTTTAGTGCTGATCATTGTCTTTAAGTATACCTGGCTCGGGAATGCAAATGTTCCCAAATGAATTTGTACGGTGGACCGAAGTCTCTGTGTAGCAAGACCATGGATCAAGTCTGTGATTCAGGTGTTTAGAATGCAAGACAACGTGCTTGGTAAACATTTGTTGCATTGAACAGACCGGATTCATTGAGACGGAGTCAAGAGCTGTTTGTGGGTGTCGATCTGAGATGTGTTGACGTGTCAAATTGCTCTGAAAGCTTCATGGTGTCAGACACTGTTGCGGATTTCTTTGTTGGGTGACCAATCTAGTAGAGCATAGAAGAACTGCGAGTACCTCCTGTAAGTATGAGACTCTGACAGGTTAAGTCAAAGGTTGAATCAGGTAAGCACCGCCTGATCAAGATGCTTCTTCCTTCTAGCGATATTTTTGGCATCATTTCTGAGGTCTCCGATGGGCAAGCGTTGCTGTGTCCCAGTCGTGCTTGCTGCAGGTTACTCGAATGGTCACAATCACCAGATTCTAGCCGAAGAGATCCACCTACTGTAGAGCAAAAGCACAATCGGTATACGTAGCTTTTGAGGTTATGCATTTAGTGTGGCACTGAAGTTATCGTCAAAAGATGCGATGGGTCGTGAAAGATGGTGAGAGGGTCGAGTTGGGCAGGTCGGGCGATGAACTGTTCCCCAGCCCCACTCTTGGCAGCCAGTTTGTCCCTCTTTCTATTAATAATCAACTATGTTCTCCTGCTAAACAACCATCTCCCATCACCATGTCTACCGACCAGCATCCGGCAGAATCCGAAAGGACCCTGGATGCAACATCGACAGCTTCCGTTGGTTGTGTCGAGTGTCGCACGCGACGACTACACTGCGAGACGGATGCTGCAAACCCTCGTCAGGCTTGTGGAAGTTGTGTCCGAAATGGATACATTTGCTCCAACGTAACGAGTACTGCCACAGCTCCTCGCCCACCACGCTCTACGCCACGTAATCGCGTACAAAAGGCCAAAGATCGTGCCCCCAAACGCGTAGCTTGCGATTGGTGTCGTCGCCAGAAAGTTCGTTGTTCTGGAGAGACGCCATGTAGTGCTTGCGCCATACGCGATCAATCATGTGTATATCCTGCTGCCCACAGACAACCATTCACCAACGGCAGTCCTGCGACTCAAAATTGCGAAGGCTTGCCTCAATATGATGTCCCTGGATATGATCAACTCAATGGCTCGCCATCTTCAAACTTGCAGCCTGGTCAGATCTACCAAGCCCCAGCTCCCATAGCCCGTCAACCTATTTCTAGACTGATATCGGATGCCATAAAACACGACTACTAGTAAGTTGATAACCGCTACCATAGCATAGGCGGTCATGACTGAAAATTTGCCAGTCTCAATCTAGACAAAGAAGTCATCGCAGAATACATAGAAGCCTTCTTTCGATTTGTCTATCCTGTTGGTTGCATGAGCTTCCTGCATCAACCGACGTTCTTACGCCAATGGCACACCCATACCGTGAACGTGTCTCTGCTGAAAGTAGTCTGCGGGTGTGCCCTTCGGGTTTTCTCGACGACTCAAGAAGACAATGAACGAGCAGCACAATGGATGCAAGAAGCAGAGTCTGATGCGTACAAAAATCTCGGAGATCTGACCATCCATCGTTTGCAGGCTTTGACACTACTTGCCTTCTTCGAATTCACCTATCACGTACACTCAACAAAGGCTCTCATGTTAGTTGGGCTGGCGGCCCGTCTTGCTTTTGCAAAGCGTCTCAATCACGAAGATCCCGCATTGTCAATAGTCGAGCAAGAGTCGAGAAGGCGCCTCATGTGGTCAATATTCGTCCTTGACAAGTTTTGCTCTGGTGGTGTTGAAGAGCTGACTTTGGTCTCTGCTGAGCACATGGAGATTCGCCTCCCCACGATTGAGAGAGCTTTTGGCTTCGGACAGCGTACCGATACGGAGATACTTCGTCCTCGTATCGAAGAGGGTGCACCAGTCAGCAACGCGAAGGGTATGGATGAGTTTGCCTACACTGTTCGTTTGCTGGACCTACTGCGCAACAGAATTCACAAGTATGTCATCTCTTTGACGAATCGAAATAAGCTAACATGAGAAAGATTTACCAAGCGCGCCCAGTCCACAGATGAGAGTCTATACACATCAGCACAAGAATTTCTGGCTCTAGATTCTGCAATAGACACGATCGAGCAGCAAATCCCCGCGGACATCAGATGGGACAAAGCGCATTTGCAACAACGAATGTATGCGCCAGGCCTCTCGAGTTTCATCATGCTACATACCTGGCGGCTACAATGCAAACTTGACCTGCATCGCGTGACCGTGTCAGGGACAAAAGACTGTATATCTGAACTTGCGCTACGAAACACACCTCTGAGCTTCGCGCAGAATATGCGACTGAAATGCCTGTCGCATGCCATCGAGCNNTTGACGAAGATGTGGGCAGAAGTGCTAGACCTTGGCCTGACGAAACCAGTGCATGATGCAGCCATATCTGGCTGTGCACACCAATGTGCAAAGATTCTGACACTTATACCTGATCAGGTCGGTTATTCAGCCCCGGGCCAGGAGAATAGGGTCGGCGCAGTGTTGGTTTGTCAGATGATGATCGAACCCTTGAAAGACATCTACCCCAAGGCGAAGATCTTGGTGAGTATCTGAACAATCACAACCTCTTACCCTGCTAACCAGCCGCAGTACGATGACGTTTGTCGCATGAGATCAGAACTCAACACTGCCCCGATACCAGACTCTTCGAACGTGATGCAGCATGTGAACGTATACGAGGGGGATATAGCAATGCAGGCGAATGATGATGATCAAGTCAGGACATTGCTCAACCAGTACAATGGGTGATAGCTGGAAACAAAAGTTCTGGACACGATATGGGGATGAGAGGTTTCATACAGGATCAAAATCAGGTTCACGCAGAACAAATGGAAGGTCACCAATGAGCTAACAAAGCAGTTTCTCAATTGGTAGATGCACACGAAGAGCCAAAATGTTGCGGGCCAAATCCCTATACTTACTGCAAGATCTTACAGAGGGTCTGCATCACGAGTAGTGAGATCTCTACCAGAAGGGGAATCTCCAAACTTTCCCAACTTCCCAGTCTTTACGTGATTAATACGGTCAACGCAGCCAGTTTACTGCATATACCTTGTAAATCGTCGAGTAAGCTGATCGTTCAGTGCGCCGAGACAATTGTTTACAATCTTTGTTGCTCGAGAAGCGTGTCAGTGTTTGTCATAAACAAGCAAAGAGCACCTTCGCACACCAACCAACACCATCTCATTGCTGACGTGTTGATCAATCACAACAGCCTCTTTCGGCACACTCAAATGCATTCGACGATCCTCAGAGAGTCTGCCACTGCATCTCAACTGATCTTTGCTTCTCGCAGACGCACCAAGGCTCTCTGCAAACGCCGCCTCTTCTGTGAGTCCGTTACTTTTGATTAGATTCTTTTGCAAGGTTGGCTGACGACAAAACAGGCAGTCGCTCTAAGCAGATCGAGTACGAGGCAGAAACTCTCGCTTGGCTGTGGTTGAAGTGTCACTTCAGTCTTCGTGTTCGAAACTGAGCTGTACGCACCTTCCTCATCGATTGCGCAACAAGTCTCCCTCTCGACACTACTCAAACATCACGACTTTCCTCCTCTCCAGTCTCCGCAAAGCACTGCATTCACCATTTTTGCTTTACAACTTCCCAAACTCGCTATCACTTTGTCTCAATCGCAATTATGGCCTTTAAGCCTCGCGCATCTGTCAGTTGGACGGATCCTGAAAACTTCCCTCCTGCTCGTGGCACTTTCGAGCTCGTCATGCACGGCCTAGACGGTGTCGAAATGCCTGACTTCATCAAGGATCAAGACGTCAGAAAAGCCCCTCCCATCCGCTGATGACTATGCTAATGTGTTGTGATCTACAGTTGCGCAAAGGTCCACGCCGACAGAACACGTTGACATGGATGGACGCCGTTCAAGCCTGCCTAGACGACTACACTTCTTGGGACCGTCGTCTCGATGGCAAAATCGGTGTTCGTGTTCACGATAACGTCCAAACTTGTCAAGTTGCACGCATCAGCCCGAGATCTATCGAAACACGTCCCATCAAGACTCAAGCCGACTACATCAAGGAGGATCTTCGCCCTGCCATTGAACTTCTTGTGTCACACGAGAAGATGAGAATGGCAGAATTGACTCAAGCTGCGAGCGGCAAACGAGAAGAAGATGCAGGAAAGTGGTGGCACAAAGCGCAAGATTGAAGAAGACCAGCAGAATCAGCAGCACACCATCAAGAAGAGAAAGCAAGAAGATGAGAAGAGANNGTTGACGACATCGTGGACGGTCTTCACAATCTGCGCAAAACTGTCAATGAGCAGGTTGGTGAGACTTTGCCTGGTGTTCGCCGTGCTTTCCATGACTTTGAGGGAGAAGTCCTCAGACTTATGACTGCTGAGAAGTGAAGTTCGGGGATGGAGAAGATAGTGGAAGATTTGCTCGTTTTAACTTCGCGAATCCGCCTGTTGCTGTTATGCTGTTCTTCCTACATCAACATGGCGACTTTCTATGTATAATACATTGATTTCTTTCCAGCGATACAAGAGTCTCTCTGTGCATCGTGTGATCCAAAGTAGGTTCCATCTGTTACATCTTTCCCATACTTTCTTGCCCAGTCCAGACTGATCGCACTGAGATCATCTGATCAAGGTCACCAGCTTTGATGTAAAAATCTGTTTGATAGGTGAAGCACCGTATGCAATCTGTAATGTCGTGGCTCCCTACAAAAGATTTGATGCCATTTCTGAGCTATAAAAAGTTACAAAGGTTTTCTGACTTGAGTGGTGACCAGAGAGCGCTCACGATGAGCTGCTTCTCAATGGACATCACGTTACTTTGGAAAACTACTGTGTATTTTCACAGTGGCATGCGTTGTGAACGCTCGCAGCTGGAGAGACGTGCAGCCGATGTAGCGTCGGAGACATTCTGTAAAGCTTACAGAAGATGTCTTTAGAGCGGCGTCTGTGGCAGATGCGGTCCGGTAAAATAGCTGTGAGAGTTGGACTCGTCTCGGGACCTGTGATTCGCAAGTGGAAGTTGTTGGACAGAGATGCTCAACTCGCAAGAAGACAAAAACATGCCCAAATTCCAAAACAACAACCACAACACCATCACCCACCCCTCAACCACACACTTCCACAAGAACCACATCAAGCCCCAGCAAAACAAATCCCCGCCATGGACTCAGTTGTAGAAAGCCCACATGCGGGTGAAAGCCACCAGATAAACCTGGTTTCGTTTCTAGGAGTTGGAGAATCAGCATCTCCGAAAGTATTTTAGTCCGACTACGGGAATCGAACCAGGGACCTTCCAGCGGGGGTTGCCAACAACAAAGTGTTGGCGTGAGACCGCTGGGCCAACCACCGATTTTAGTAAAGCGGTGGTTGTGGTAGGTGGAAGGGACGTGGTAGTGTTGGTATATAGGGGAGGGTCAAGGAGGTTGTGCTCGCGACGGAGGATCTTTACCGATGTTGTTTCATGATGCTCTGATTCTTGTATCTTCTGAGACACACCCTTCTCTAGATGAGAGAGATGGCAAGTTATGATGTAAAGCGCTTCTCCAAGGCAAGTATGTTGATGCATATCAATGAACCAGCGACAGTCTATGAGTCGCTGCGCTATTTATGAGGTCTAGGGGTTGACTCTAGTCAGCACAAATAGCTTTCTCTCCATTTATCGAATATAGACCAAGGTTTGATGGTAACAAAGATTTCATTCGCTTGTCTGAGAAGCGCACGCTGAGGTTCACCCCGAGAAAGTACGGGAAGAACGCTCTCAGCGGACTTCAGATTACAGAGCATTATAGAGGCTGAAGTATAGTGAATAGGGAAACCACCGTGGAGATACACAATTGTGATCACATAGTTCACGTAGGTCAAGTTTTGGGGTAATCACAAATCCTTCAGATCTTCGTGGGGAAAGGGGCAAAGCTATTTATCGCTTCTTGAGATTCACTGCCTCAAGTGATTGACCCGCTCTTTGTCAGTTCGTGACAGATATTGCATCCCATGTTTGCGAACTTGCTTTTCTTGCTTCGGGTCCTCACTCAACTGGTTGAGGCGAGCGTCTCACGTTCCCGCTTGCAGAGCTTACGACAGTCAACACCGCCTTGACTGCTCTTTTCAACCCACTACTCATCTCAAGCTGTAATCACCGCCAAGCCAAGCATTCCGCCAGCGAGGATGACCGCACCTCTGACATAGTTCAGCCACTCAAACTTCTGTACCATCTCCTTCAGATCATCCTCACTAATCTCACTTCCCCTGCCCTGTCTTTCCAGCTCTCCCATCTCTCTCAAGGGGTTATTGCAAATCGGCAACATGATCTGAGTAATAGGCCCAATAGCCATACTCAGCACTCCCGCCGCGATGAACCCAGCTCTACTTCCTATCTCCATGCCTAGGACATTGACAACAGTGCTAGGAGCATGATAAGCCAAGAATCCAAAATTGGCAGCTGCTACAGCAGCAGATTCAGGAATAACGTGGCTTCCTCGAGAGAATATGAAGCGGATTGCTGGAAGTGTTGAGCTGGGTGAAGGCTTCTCTGAGGATTGGGAGCGAGCATCTGATGAGAGGAGTGGTGTGGAGAAAGCAGAGATTGATAGAATCATCCCTGCCGTTGCGAGTGAGATAGTCGGACCGAGGACTTTGGCAGTGGAAATAGCGGTCGAGGTATCCATGATTGTGTGTGGTTTTAATTTGAGATATGTAGTCTTCTCGAGAATGGTGCGACACTTATGCGGGGTGTGAGAAGTTGTTTTGTGGTATTCGATTCAGTTGAGACGAAATGGTGTTCGGTCTGTGGATGGGGTTGTTGATGTCTGTGGACAATACTTAAAATCAGTCGAAGAATGATGAAACTCTGTTCAAGAGGTTGGACGTGACGAGCTTATAGCTGCGCAAGGAATGAGGTCAAGGCCTACACGTCATGCCAGGGTCACCACTGTCGGATCCGGATTTTGACCAGCAGCTTGCAGCGGATTTTGATTCTTGGGCATCCGCTTTCCGAAAGTGGAGAGCCAACACTCTGGTTGAAGACCACGAAATTCATTAAATGTTCTTGGTGTTTTTGTCGAATGTAAACACAAGATAATCAAAGGGACCGTCAAGAATGCAGAAAACAAGTTGTACTCATTAAGCCTATGAAAGGCAGGGTATAGAACAGAGTCGTAAAATCCAAATGCGAATGGAACATCCCAAAGTTGTGATGAGCGAAGAAGAGAGAATGATCTGCTAAGCAGACTTGACGAACAGGCTTTGGGTCTTGGTGCAAGCGAAGTCTAGATAATCTCCAGATCATCGCTGCTGTCATCGAGAACGACCCTAGCATCCAAGCTATCTCTTCCCGGCTCTCGAATTCCCTTGTCAAGCTGGAACCTAGCTTTCTTCGGACTCTTCTCTCCAGAACCAACGCCAGCGCTAGTCATGGATGAAGCAATAGAACTAGGTCGGATATGTGTATGGAGTCTAGTCTGTCCTTTCTCTGGGCTGAGATTACGTTTGTGAGATGTTTCGCCCAAGCCTCTTCTTGCGTAGCCTCCNCAACCCATAGCTTCAGGACCTGCGGCCGTGGTCTTTGTGCCACCAGGAAGGACGGAAAAGAGTTTTCGACGGTCTTTGGCTGGACTGAGGCGGACCTGGGAAGCGTTCTTGTTGATCAATCCAAGTTCCGCAGCCGAAGGCTTGTATGGAGGTGCGTCCTCGTTCGTGTTGTCCATGTTTGTGTTTCTGGTGGCATCTGAAGCACCTGTCGTAGTTCTCAAGTATTCTGCTCCGATGCCGTTGCCCATCTGACCCAGCTTCTCAGCGAGGAGACGATCCTTCTCTTTGTCTTTGAGGCGGCGGCGCATGGCATCTGCTTTACCATAGTCGTCTTGATCGAGGAGAGATGCGGTGGTGCGAGAGCCTGGGACCATGAAGTATCGCTCATTGCTTTCGGAGTCCCTCTTCATAGGATCGTTATGACGTTCGAGAAATCCCTTAGACACAGTATGAGAATTCTTCTCATACTTGCTGTTGGGCCGGTACATAGTGTTGACCTCCATACGTGCAGCACGCGTCTTGTTGACCGCTAGCTCAATGTGAAAATCGCAAAACTTGGTCTTGCGTGCATTGACCCAAGAGTGGCATTCTTGACCATCTTTCTTGAGAGCCGTGCAGAACCCAAGGTCTCGTGCGGAGCCAATTTCCATGACAGAGTCTTCTGAACTAGCAAGCTTCAGACTGAATTTGCCCGAGTGTTGATTCGTTTTGGGAGGCATGATTGACGGGTTGAGCATAGCGACGACTGTCCCCGGAGTCATCTTCCAGAATGCTTCGAAGGCAGTGTCGAACAGAAACAAGTCAACTTCCCATTTGAGGTCAGTGAGCGTCATGACCATAAACTTCGTCGGACCCGAGTCGTCGTCTTCGACAGACGAGGTCTGCTTGTGTTTTGGGCGGGTGTCATAAGGGCTTGATTTTGAGGCGATGACAGCCAAGACGACAAAGTCGGTCTCACAGTCTGGAGGCTCGTAAGTCGGTGCTGTTACTTCTTTCAACAATCGAGGTAGAGTGTAGATTTCCTTGCCGTCCAAAGCGCGAGCCAAGGTTGTGTGTGGCAGTTTTCTCTTAGAAAGATGAAGTGACGAGAAGCTCTCGAAACAGGATCCGTCTGTAGCGGGTTCTGTAGAAGTGGGTGTATCATCGTGTGAAAAGCCTACAGTAGGCCGGAAAGAACGACCTCGGACTTCGGTTGATGAAGATGACTGCTGGGTAGCACGTTGGAACAGGAAGGGACTTTGTGAGGCTGAAGAAGTAGGTATTGAACGACTGAAGCTGCTAGTACTGCTTTCGGTGGGTAGTTGTCTGGTTGATCTATCGCTCTGCGTACGTGAAAGTTGTGGTCTCGACTGTGTCGTCTCTCTGGTCGCACGAGGTGTGGCTTGAGCAGCGAGTCCGAAGCCCTGCGATCTAGCCTTCTCGATCCTTTGTTGTTTTGCTTGTTGTTGCTCAGCGGAGAGACGATTGGCAGCGATGCGATCGCTAAAACTTTGCTTNGGTCTCTCGGGCTCTGCGGGCAGAGTTGTTCTGGATGTGCTCCTGCTTGATAAGGTCGAACCATTCCTAGCTCTTTTCAACGAGACATCTGCCGCTTTGAGGCCCTTATCAATGCCCAGGCGAACACGTGCTGGTGATGTTGGGTCGGGCAAGGCAGGAGGGGGCATGTGGCTCTTGATCGGTGACACAGTGACTTGAACGGCAGGGTCGAAGGCTGCTGACTGGGTCTTTTGTCTCTTTCGTGGGGAGTTTGAGTTCTCTGAGCTGGGTCGCGAGTCGTCGTCGTTGGTGTTCTGCGATGATTTTTGTTTCTGGAGCTTCTTCAACTTGAGTTTCGCTTGAATAGCCTGAAGTTGAAGTTGGAGGATTTCCTCATCGTCGTCGCTGTTGTCGTCGGACATGGCCATAACGTCTTGGAGGGCTTTGCTGGAGGAGGGGGGTTGTTTGCGAGGAGAAGGTGAAGTGTCGCGGTCGCGATGGTGGGTGATGCGGTCTCTGTGTTCCTGCCAACGTTGTTTTCCTTTGGGAGAGCTGAGAAGAGCGTCGAGTGGAGATTTTGGCGGCCAACTGATGTTGTTTTGTGAAGCNGGCGGCTGTGGTGTGGTCAGCACTGACGCAGTTCATGGTGGACGAACGACTTGAATACCTTTGGCTTTGGGGGACTGTCGAACCTGCATTTTCAGGGAGTCGCTGAAAGGATGCTAGTTGGTCGATAGACGGTCGTCATGACATATGTAGACAACGGTCGGTTCACGATGCAAGGTCGACCATCAGTGTAATCGCAGTCAACCGTGGTACACGATGCGCCGGGATGTTGTCCAGGAAATGCTCTTTTCCCGGCTCCTTCAAGCCACACCGGACAACCTTGATTAAGTCTGATCTGCAGTGTCTGGGTCACAACAACCAAGCTGGGGTTTTCTGTCTTTATTTTGATAACTTTCCGGGTATTAGATGAATATTAGCAAGGTAATGATGATGTCCAGAGTAATTTAGGCATGCAGAAACGGTGCATGACCAGGTGCATGCATTGCGCACTAATCAACACATTCAGGGTCCAGCGGCCCTGCCAAGACGACGCGATACGCGTGTGCAATCTGGTCTGTTTTGGGAAGTCTGATGGCTTTCTGGGGCACAGTCGCGTCTCCTCGTCGACTTCTGCAACATTTGTTATTACGCACTCACGACACACATAAATATGAAGACTCGAGCAACAAAGACGTCAGCTAAGGCCGCCGAACCTACTGAGGAGAGCCAGCCCGAAAGCGCCGGCCTTGAGCCCAGTAGCAACAACCCTCCGCTCACCTTCGTCTTGCCGGAAGGAGCCTCGCCAGATGCTCGCGTTGTCACTCTACCAAATCCAGCATCCGACATCCCTAGTCGATACCTATTTTGCCCTGAGAGAGGGATTCACGAATTCACANAAATTGCTGCTCCANAAAAGACTCCTCGAAGTCTGTTGATCGCTCCTGACCAGTCGACCACCGAAGCTTCAAAGACCCCATCAATCGTCTCCACAGGCTACACTGTAGAGAATGCTGATCTCTACATCGCCACCCCAATCGATCCTCTCTTCATCCTCCTTCCTGCTTTGGTGCCTGCCGCCGACTCGCACGAGCAACTCTTTCTAACAATCGATGACCACCTCGACAAGCTAGCTGAAAAGGCCAAGCACCTCACACACCTACTTCGTTCAACCAAGATACAACAGTCTTTCGAGAAGAGAGCGGATGCTGTCTGCGACAATGTCGACCTTGGCCACGAAAAGATGTTCCGCTTGTCCAACGAGAAGCTCCTAGCTGAGCTTATTACCAAAGCCCAACGTGTCCTCGCCAATGGTCTTCCCACATCTATCGAAGCTCACTTCGTCCAAGAAGCTCTTCGTATACCCATGATGGCTGTGCAACGGTCAGAATCACAAGACGAGCCAGCTCCTACCACAGACGCAGACTCGTCGACTCCCTCGACTGCTACAGAACAATCCCAGCCTTCTCAATCGTCTGCTGTCACCCAGGCTACTTCTCTGACTCCAGCTTCCGAGTCTACCCCTGAGAACGTGACCACCCTTCTCCGTCTTCGTACTGCGCTGAATATGATTCTCTCCAACTACATCCCCTCAGCCCTCCATGCACCACTAAACACGCTCCTCGAATCCTCTGCATCGACTGTAGACTTTGCTCCTCTCGATGCTCACCTCGAACATATCGCTGACGCCAAGCGCCGAGCACAAGCGCTTCGCTCCCTCTCAGACAACATCTCTCGCAAACGCAGTACAATGAACGACGAAGAGGCTGAAGAAAGGGAAGCCACCAAGAGAAGAAAAAAGGAAGAAGAAGAGGCCAAGAAGAAAAATATGAGCAGAGGTGTGAAACAACTTGGAAAGGTCAATACCACGGGTATGATGAAACTGAGCTCATTCTTCACGAAGGCGCCGGCGAAGAAATAGAATATAACCGCTCGAATCAAGCAGGGTTTCTCCAAGAACATCTTCTCTCGACTGCGACCAGTGATCCAATACAGGCTATCAAAATGCACAGTTGTTTTCCAAATAGGATCGTGGCCACAGAGATGCCGCAAGACATCGTCCTCTCTCTGGGACTTGTTGTCTTTCAGAAAGTATCGTGCATTTTGATAGCCACACTATGATAGTGTCGACACAAGCGGAGTCATCCTCCACCACCACTCACCTACTGTGCTACGATGAGCCCCTCAATTCACTCTCTCCCACAGTACTACACAGCGATATTGAAACTGTCAAAATGCACGTTTGTTTTCTAAACAGAACTATCCCCATACAGATGATCGAGCATTTCGTTCCGTGGATCTTCCTTTGGTACCGCCATGGATATCTTCTCCTCACTGCGATAATCGATCCGACATAATCTTCGAAAACCTCGTATCCAACCACCAGCTCTAGACTGCCTACTTAAAGAGGAGAGGAAGTTTCTTACAACATAGATAAGACATACGGATGTTCGCTCGTAAGCGTCGCAATTGACCATATGTCTTCCTGCCAGCATCAGCAGCATGTCTTGGATCCCGTGCGTGTTCATGCCGCTTCCCGCAAACAGCAAACAGCATCGATTCAAGACAATCAACCAACTCTGTACACTTTGCAGTACAACACCTCAAAAACAACCTGCGACCCTTGTCGCAGTGGTCTGAGAGAGTAAAGATCACTTGTGTCTCTGGCCCAACACGTCGAACCTTCTCGTTGATCTTCCATATTTTCACCCGACAGCGCTGCGCCTGTTATAACAGCCCAGATACTCTCTCCATCCAGCTCTCGTCTCTCTCTGTTCCCAAACATCAACGCATCCGACAGTGAAGAGGCTTTCAAGTATTAAAAAAATTCCCTCTGGTCCAGTATCCAGATTCAGGTATTTTACACTTCACCTACCTTATGAGTTCAAATCATTGACTAACCTTCTTGATGTTCCCAGGCTTTCAAATCGCACGATGTCCGTCCCCACCGACAAACAGAATGCACGCGATGCCATCGACAAGCCATGCCTCCTGCCCGCTGATGAGACTCCTTGGGAGATGGTCAAGAAAGAGCTAGAGGGAATACAAAAGTGTATTGATGCGATCCTCGATGCACAAGCTCACGAGATCGATCTCAGTAACTTCAGAAACCGCATGGTGCGTCATATTGAAAGGCTCGGGGAGAAGCGTACCGAGCTGGGCTTACGTGGAAAACAGGTCGTGGAAATGGAGAAGTGTGCTCAGTCGATCAACGAGCAATCAAAAGATGAGGTCGATCATGCCATATCAGTTTCCATGTCTGTCGCACGTGTACGTAGGAGAGCTCTACGTCCGTCGCTCCCACCTAGCTAACTTATGATACAGAAGGTCACAAAGACCACCAGAAAGGACATGAAAAGATTCAGAAGATGGCCGACAACGTCAACCGCGACAAAATGCTCGATAAAGCTCTCAAGAACGTCGATGGTGGCATGCTCGACATTACTGCGCCCTTACTCAGCCTCCCCAGATCCAACGTGTTTCGCGAGACCACAATCAGGTGTACACTTCCTATGTTCGACGATATGAGAGAGCTTCTTTCCACAGAGGTCAGAGAGGCCCACAAGTCAGCAAATTGCAAGCACAACTCAAAGACTGCAAACTCCTGTGTGGTCGCATAGGTTCATCGTGAGCTGGGCGAAGTCGGGAATGTTCATCTGTCGGAAGATTTTCCTTGTACAGTCTTGCTGCGAGAGCTTGATCGGGAGGGAGTTTCGCGAGGTAGAAGGATGATGCGGGCGGGTAATGCAGATGATGCAGTCGAACAAGGAATCCGTGTCAACAAAAGTTCCAAGTGACCAGAGGGCTGACTACAAATCGTTTTCATGACAATCACAGTCATGAAATTTTGAGACGCCATTACTGTCAATATAGTCTAGTGATGCAACCACTTACAAGTATGATCAGAGCTGTGTGTGCACGTTGTGCAATCAGCGAGCGATATAATGAGCTTCATGTAGTGTCATGAGGGAGAGCAAAAGAACGAAGTGCCCCAGAGTTGAACCCTGGCCCATTCGCTTATCAGATCGACACTGCTGTGTAATTTATCCATATCTTACAGCTCCCAAACATCAAGATCTACGGGCACCCTGCGACCATTAGAATACCCATCGCAAGGAGAAGAAACAATAGAGGGACACATGGAGTAAAAACGCAACCCGTCAGTTATCAGTTCAGCACAGCGTACGCAGATAAGTTGTGTTACCGTTTTGTAGTACTGTACGTATAGATGGACATCCGTGGGCCCCCGACGAGAACCCGGAAAAGCTAGGCAGGATTAGTTTCATGGCTGGCCAGACCACTCGACTAAACCGACTGCCATCATCGTTTTATTATGACGGGAGACACAACTTTTTTGGAATATATAGGTTGACGCCAGAACAGCGGACCATGTGTGCAGGCCACTCACGACAACAGATTCGTGAGGAATACTTATTGAAAGTCATGATGCAATCTGGCTTTCCATGTTTGCTCATAGAGGTTGTAGAGTTAAGGCTCTTAGTGGACAATCCACCAAGCTTGTATACTATTCTGCATTTATGTAGTATCGAAAGAAGACGAGATTGTATACGAGATTATTGATCAGGCCTGTTGAATATGGAAAGATGTAATGGCATCTCCTTGTGTGAATGGCCATTATGATATTGCTATATAAATGCATGATATCTTTTGAAAGGGGGAACTGTTTCCAGAAATGGCAGGATGTCAAGCGTCTCCTTGGCCACACTCCTTCTCAGGAAAACTTCTTGCATTTTTATGGTATACTATCATGCTATTCATGGAAGAAGAGATCCTTGCTGCGATAGAGAGTCAGCCCTGGGCGTGCCTTCTGACAAGACTTGACTCCCAAGCGTGTTGAAGCTTGCTTCTATACTATAAAAATGCACAGTAACTCCAGACCCAGAGGTGTGTCCACAGAGAGTGTCGGATACCTTGGGCTTTCACTGGACAAGGTCAGAAACAATAGATCATCGTGCCTTTTTATAGCCGATCATCTAGTGATTTGCAGAGAAGAGAGCCTTAACCCTTGTGGTTCTGGCCCAAGGGCGGCCTTCGAAACGCACCTGCCCCATTTGTTGGCGATTGCATCACAATCCAAATTTGCATGTGATCGCGTCTGCCTACCTTCCATCCTGATTCTGCCACCATCTGTTTTCTTCTATCCATCACAACACCCGGCAAAACTCGCAACCTCCCACCATCATGGCAGATCTGGATGTCTCGGATTCTCAGGCTGATGACAAGAACTTGCTGCGTCTCAGAGCCGATATCAAAGAGCTAGCCAAAAATCATGCGTCAGCTCAGAGAGAAGTTGACCAGGTCAACGCCTGGATCGCCAAAGAAGGACCAAGCGCAAGATACGAACGCTGGTTGAACGATCGAACTGAAGAACAGCGTTCAGTCCGTACACAATCAGATATCGCTGTTTCTATCATCGGCTTGTCCATCGAAGATTTGAGGGAAACTACCCGAGAACCACCATCTGTTATCTCAATCAAAGACCTGATGGACACCATGGACAACCTCAACAACAAAACTTCCGTCGAATCCCTAGGAAAAGCTCTGACCTTGATCAAAAGCACCGATGCATCGTCTCTCACAGATGTATTTGAAGATTTCGAAACGACCTACAAGTGCCTGTCAAAGGAGCATACTTCAAGAATGGCCAAGATACTCCAGACAACACACCTTGCTGTCAGAGATCTCACAGATCCTATTAGTCGATCCAAGGACCGCTCCAAAGCCAGAGAAGATGCTCGAGATCGTGCTCTCGAAAAGGACCGTCAAGGTGATCTATCGAAAACCTTCGCGTCCACTAACGCTACGACTTCCTCACACACCAATGACCACCAGATCCTCGCAGTCGAGGCCACGACCGAGATTACTGAGCACAACATGGATGCTCTGGTACCAACCCAGATCCTGAACGCGCTCAGTCTCTACAAATACGTCCATGTGATGCTCAGTTGTGCACCGGCAGATCGCGTTGCTGAAGCTCTTCGAAAGTTGGCCAACGATTTCAAGTCTGGATTCGACAGCTCCAAAGCCAAAGGAAACAAGGAGGACAAAGATTTGGATGTGGTGCTGACTGATCACGAGGAGATGCAGGCGGACTCCGAAAGACGTCTTCCTTGATCCTGAAGTTCAGATATCCTTGCTCAAGATGTGCGAGAAGTCGGGGATTGCTGGGAATGGAGACGCGGCTTACAGGAACGGGCATGACTGTATGCTATGGACGATGATGATGCGCATATGAGACCGCAGACCGAAAGCTGAACATGTAATATGACGAACAGTCAGATAGCTGGAGGGACACAACAAATGCACTGTCGCATCATTAACCATCCGAGATCCGAGAAAGCTGCTTGCATGTCTGATCCTTGATCGAGAGTCAAGAGTCGCTCTCTCGACTCCTCAATGTCAGTGTCACGCGTGTAACCCTGATTATGGAAAGCCGTCAATGCGATGACTTTCATGATACTGAAGTCTGACTGTACTAGGTGTGGAATCTGTATTATAGAGTGACATAATTCTATCCCAAAGCCGAGGCATATCCACAGAGAGACGACAGGTGGTCGCTTCTCAGACACTGTCTGGTTTCTCAGTAGATTCGCACATTGGAGCTACGCGCGTCGAAATATGAACCCGCGGATTGTGGTTTGAGCCAAGAGCCACATCACACAGACTTCCACGCTCTTTCCTATCACAAGTCAAAGGGTTTGGATATCGGGATTGAGTATGATCTGAATTGTGCTTGCTGTGACAAGATACTGTATCTATCGGCATGAAAATTCGCTGGCTGTTGCTCAGAGGTATGGAGAAGCAGAGATGGGAGAAACAAAGGGAATGGAAGGAAATGCAGCGAGAACGATGATAGAAGAAAACTGTCCGTATCGCCTTGTTCCATGCTCCCTTTGCATAGAAAAGCGCTTCGTTCGCTCGCTCATGATTTATCTTTTGGCTTGTAATGACCCAGTGCATTCTTGTTATGACATTCAACCTTTTTTTGTGTTTACTGTCTGTCGTAATTCTCTGAGTGCTCCCTGAGTCGGTTTTGAGGATAGTTCTTCGAGATGTGTGTCTTGAGAGAGAAAGGTGTTCACCTAGCAAATTGTTTCGTTGGTTCCAAAGCCTTACTCATCGGATGTCTCGTCTCCTTCATGCGACAGGTTTCAAGCTCGAGCGTAACCATAGAGACCGACTAAGGAACTACCTCCTGCGAACAACGTGGCTTCGAGGATTGAGATGGCAGCCTCAGCTAGAATAGAGAGACCAGGCAAAGTCGTCTCCAACTTGTTGCCTTCGCTACAGCTGGCGTGGAAGTCCTGTATGGCCTTCGTGACAGTCATACTGCACATATCGACAGGGTTGATGGTTGGATCCAGGGCTTCCAGTCTGGCGTTGATGCTGAAGTGCCTGCGCATTTGTGGCAAAGTCCACTCTTTGTGACCTTTGAATGGACAGCCCATGTTCGTTTCGATGAGCGAAATCATCCATTCACTAGATAATCGACTGGTAAGATTAAGGCGAACGTTGGAATCGCGGTTGTAGAACGAGACATGGCGAAGGCTCTTGATTCTGTCGGGGCCGATGAGGTGCAACCAAGTGAGCTCAGGTTCCTTGAACAAGTATGATAACGTGCGGTTTGTAGAATCGGTTGGCACCTGCAGCTCAAGGCGGAAGCAGTTGGTGCCGTAGAAGATTGGAATAGACTCGCTGCGGATCTGGCGATTGGTTTGGAGTAAAGCAGGTTCAGCCACATCGCGATGGTCGGAGATGGTAAGGTCTTGATGGCTACTGATTGCCATGCTATAGATGCGTAGGCGGATCTCGACAGGCAAGTCCATAAATTGGAAGGGATGTTGAGAGTCGAACTGCTGCAGTCTCTTGGCTAGGACGATCTTCGTGCATGTCTTGGGCAAAGCAATCTTGCGCTGCTTGACAGCGAGCTTGAGACTTCTAAGCGACCAGTGCAAGTAAGAGGCATGCTTCTCTGCAACCTAGAAGAGAATGTATCTCAACACATCACAGCGCTCGTCAATGTTTCTGAGCAACTTTATCTGCTTACAAAAGCAAATGCCTTCGATGTGACATCTCTTGAGCAAGTAGCGGTACTCCCTCTCACGCTTCTTGTACTTCTCGTATTCGAGTGTGCCGAGCATGTCGATTAACGCATATACTGACGGTCTAGTGCCGGAGTCGTCAGCATAGTCCATGTTCCCTGGCTCACAACAGAATGCCTACGAGGTAAGGGAAATCCGGATGCTCCGAGATGAAATTGTTTCTGAGCGGCCATGTGTCAGCTTGGTTTGTACGTGAGTGCTATCTTACGGATGTGTACCTTCTAGCTCGGACACGGGACACATCCGACAAACCGGGATGGTCTGAGTACATTGAGTCAGAATGAATTTCCAGTGTCGGAAAGCTCATCTTGAGTGTCGCGAGTAGGGATTGGTGATAGAGACTCCAGTGGTAAAATCGAGTGTGGGCAGTGTTTGATAATGTTGTAATGGGAGGTGGAATAGATTCGACAAAAGTAGATAGAGAGGAGGAAGTGGAGACAGGACAGACGGAGAGTTTATAATGAGCTGTGGATGCGAGTTGTGAATGAGAATTGTGGATGAAGTGATTGTCGACTAGAGTGATATTCAGGCAGTGAAGTGGTTCTGATTCTATCGTGGACAGCAATGGACTACCTACAGCATCTATACATCAGGAGAGAGATCCCCACTCATACCTACATCAGGCGCCAGCTCACAGTCAATCACATTGTTCAGAAGTGTGTGCAGCTTAGCAGAGTAGGAAACAATCAACATCATGAATAGGACAGCAGATTTGTCGGCAACGTGTGAGGTTTCACTATAGCAGTTCCCAGTGCTTGCCAGTACTGGCGCTGGATTGTTACAAGCCCATTCTGACAGGTCTCATGCTCGAGCAGATTTCGTCGTAGTTGAAGTGAGAGAAGGAGGTCGTCAAAAGTGATGTCTCGTGGCGCCTTCCCGATGCGGGGTTGGTGCACGCGGGGTATGACGCGCATCATTCTGCATGTCCATTTCCGTCTCAGGCTGCCGTATACAATCATCCTCTCTACACGAACAACTCTCACCTGCAACGATGGAGTCCATGTCGCGCCGCCCGTCGCAGCGCCAGAACAACGATCACAGTCCTCCAGAATCCTCGACCCAAGCCACCTCGTCCCTCCAAGAATCCAGCGTGCTAGTCGACCATCCGTCTCCCGAAGCGCGGTCGACCCCACAACTACCAGACGACAACGACCTGAAGAAATGCTGGATCTGTTTCTCAGACGAGAGTGAAGATGGTCCCGAGACGTCGGCGTGGAGAGATCCTTGCCCTTGTGCCCTGGTAGCACACGAGGCTTGTCTGCTCGACTGGATTGCCGACATGGAGTCTCCCACTACCCGCAAACGCACCCTCGGTCCACCCGCCATCGTATGTCCCCAATGCAAGGCATCCATTCAGCTAGTACGCCCACGAGATCCTATCGTCGAAGTCGTCAGAGCGCTCGAGAGAGTTGCTGCCAAAGCCGTAGCCCCAGCCGCCCTGACAGTTGCCTTCAGCGCTGTTGTTCATGCTTGTGCTGTTCATGGTCTCTATACCGTCACCTCCATATTCGGCCCTCAAGACTCAAGACGCATCCTACAACCTCTGATCGACAACATCTGGACTGCAGCCCGCCCCATCGATCAGCTGCGCAACTTCATGCAGCACTGGCGCCTTCGCATTGGTCTGCCTCTCATCACCCCACTCCTCATCCTCTCCCGCACCACTCTCGCCGACTCCATCCTCCCTGTCCTTCCCATCGTCTTCTTTGCGACTCAAGGTGATACCTCCGATACTCTCGACATGATTTCGTGGCCGCCGTCAGCAAGCATGACCTTTGCAGTCCTCCCGTACATTAGATCCGCCTACAACACATACCACCAACGCGTCTGGGCTGAGAGGGAGAAGAAGTGGCTTAAGGAGATTCAACCTAGAAGTGGTCAGCAGGAGGCGGATGCAAATGCTCAACTCGCCGTTGATGCAGAGATGGAGGCTGCCGAGGAAGACAACAACTTTGAGATCAGAATAGATGGCAACATTTGGGAAGACTGGGCAGGCGCTGAGGATGATGATGTTCTGTTGGAAGTGCAGGAAGGTCAAGCACATCCTCTCAACGCTCCGCCATTGCCTGATGATGCTCCGCTGCCTCAAGGCCAGAACCAGAACATACCACAACAACCACAACCACCCCGACCCCAGCAGAACCCTCCCCCATTACCGCCACAAAATAGGGAAGAACGTCTGCTCTCCTTCAGCACAAACTCACTCGCACAAACCATCATGTCTGCGCTTCTATTTCCCACAATCGCTTCAGTATCCGGCGATCTACTCACATACATCCTACCACGCTCATGGACTACACTTCCTGCGTCAAAATGGGGTATGGGTAGAGGTAGGGCCACAGGTCTCCTTCAGAACAAATGGGGCAGGAGTGTCGTAGGAGGATGTCTGTTCGTGGTCGTCAAGGATGCTGTCATGCTCTATGTCAGATGGAAGATGGCGAGACAGCACCAAAGAAGACATGTGGTTGACTATGACAGGAAGAACAAGAAGTAATGTGATATATCGGAAGGTTATACAATGGAATCAGTTTCTGCTCACTAAAAAAAATGTGAGTGACATTTGGTGAAGTGAACAAGAGACAACTTCTGCATGCTATCGATGAATAAAATGGCACCAGCCTGAACTCTCTCTTCTCCTTTTACACTACACATTCCTCCACTTCTTGTGCCCCGGCAGATTTCGAGTACTCTGGCAGATCTCAGCTCTCAGCGTACCCCGGCAGGTCTGACAATACATCCAGGCTTCGGCAAATTTCAATCTTTCTCACTAGCGAACAATCAAGATTTGCTTCTGCAGGATCTCAACAGTCTTACAAAATCCGACCTTGTCAATCCGCATCCAAGATCGAAACCCCCGAACCTGAGGCCCTGGCATGGGCGCAATTGAAATGAAGATCTCAAGAACTTGCTTCTCGAACCTGATCACAAAGTGGGAGGAGGCCAACCAAACCACCACGCTCTATCAAATCATGCATGGCGACAAGCTGGACAAGTCAAAGAACCTGCTCTACGCACCTTAAATCCCACGCAATTTCGCTGCCGCAAACAAGAACACTAGACACCCAGACTGGTATTGCTTGCTCGTAGAACCAGGTCTTCACGACCCGGACTACTACCCATATCCACCCAACAAGCCCGCACTTGGACCCGGTCAAGGACAGGAAGATGATCCAGACATCCACCATGTGCTCGAGATCAGAAACGGATTTGTGAAAAAAGCATCCGCGCAGGATGTGGAGTATCTGAGGCTTTTGCACAATCTCGTCCACAAGGTCGAAATTATTGAGAGGCAGAAGGTTGAGGAGCTTAAATCTGTGGCCGCACAAGATAGCGATGACGACGACGACACCGATGAAGACACCGACGAAGACACCGACGAAGACACCGACGAAGACACCGACGAAGACAACAACCAAGACCAACACAACACTTCTGGAATCTTCAAAATGGAAGCTATCGCACCCCTTCGCCACATCCTCTACGAATTCATGCACTACAACTGGAATCACAAGAAGATGGATCTGTATTGCACCGAACATCTGGGACAGCAATGGTCTGATGTGAAGGCCAAATCTGCACCTCATCACGCCTACATACTCATTCAGAAGCTAGAAGAAGCTGCAGGATTTCGATCTGGCAGTTGTAGAAGAGATCTTGCCGTATGGACTTGAGCGTTTCATCCAGAGCCTGCCATTTACTGTCCATCCCGTCAAAGTAGCTATTTATGTTTCCCGAACCATACTCCACCCAACAGGACCAGCCGTTTCGTCTTCTGCGAGTGATGACCCTTGGGTCGCGGCGGTCTGAATAAAGTAAACGATATTTGCGTATTGCTGTTAGTGATACTGGTGGATGATGAAAGAAGTGGAATGGGTCTTTGTACTCACGAAGGATCTCGCTAACCATCTGGGCTTGAGAGAGTCTAGCCATGATCAGTAGGATAGTAGGGTATTGACTAAACAGTTTTGTTTTCTGAAGAAGCAATAAGCAAATGGTATATCGCATTCACTTTATATCGATAATGTTTGCTGATTTCTCCTGTTTTTAGAACTTCTGGAAGTAGAACCGTCTCGGACACATGGCTGCATTTCTTTATTTCCAAGGTCGATGTATTGGATATTAGACTGTCTGAGACAAATCTTGGAACAGTGTTTCTTTGCTTTGATTAAATCAAGCTTTTCTTCCTACTTGTGGTGCAAGATGGTTGCATTGCAGTACCAACATGACTAGTCTTCAAAATGTCTCTGGATCTTCTGGGGAGGCTATCAGACGAACGTAGTAGATGTTTATGATGATCCATCCACAATACATAAGTAGATACAAATAATGGATAAAGATAGAGATACCTAATGTAGAAGTTGATCTGCTAATGAGTTGTCTTGTCCTAACTTGAAAGTAGTAGTGGCTCGGGAGGTGTGCAATGCTTCTTAATTTAGATCGACACTCATGTGTACCTTCCTAGAGTGAAGTAAGATACCATATTGTGGTGCTGGACATAAACAATAGTCAAAAGTGCTGAGCCTTTCCTTTGCCAGCAAACCAAAGAACTAGCACCAAGAGACAATAGATATCTGCCATGCTGACCTAGATGTCAACCACAACCCCAAGTCTTTGCTCAATCAACCTCCATCTCATAATCTACCTCTTCTTCTCCCTCGCTGTCTTCCACTTCCATCTCTTTTTCTTGAACCAACCCACTCAAGTCTTGTTCAACAAGTGCCAATACAACCTTAAGCGCAATCTTGATGCTCTGCTGTCCCATACTAGAGTATCTGACTTTGTTACTCTGATCAAGCACATGAGCATACCACTCTCCATCTGTGTTAGAAGTAACAATATTCGCTTCCATGCATGGGTCCACAAGTGAGAGTTTTGCTGTATAGGATGTCAGATAGAAAGATCAAACAATAAGGTACGTGAGGCAAAACACNTGACCAAAGATCTGGGAATGCAGTTTGGGAGGTTTGGGGTTTGTGAGGGCTTGAGACGCGGTCGTTGGTTGAGGATGCTGTGGCTTTGCGGGTTTGTTGATGGGAGTGAAGGTGGGAAGGGTGTCTCGAGGTCGCAGAGGCAGGTTGTTCTGAGTATTCATTGTTTGCGCTTGTTGTGCTAGTGTGTGTTGATGGTGATGACGCAGGAGTGGTCAAAGGAAGGCTAGCGTCGTGGTTGTGACAGGCAATTTTGTACAGAGACGATGCGAGTCAGAAAAGTCAACAAGTGAAAGAAGATGAGGGTGACGAGATATTAGTACAGGAAATGTATATGCATCTAATAGAAGTTGATCTTCTTAGCCAAGAAAAGTGTTTTGTACATTGTAAACAAACGCCATCGCTATTGACACCCTTTATATTGTTTGATGTTGTGGTTTATGTTTCTTGACTCTTGACAACATGACTCGAATTCAAGAAGGAGAGAGGCTACGTCGAAGGACTAGGGGTATCATGTCGAGGTGCTGATCCTCTACTGGTCGCCGAACATGGACTGAACCATCTCGCCGCCACGGATGGCAAGGACAGATAGGAGAGAGTCGCTCAACTGTAACAAGGTTTGTTAGTAAGAATCAACGACCAAGATACGATCAGAACTTACACCGTGGGTACTCTCGTTACATCCCTGCAACCAGACACCAGAGTCCTTTGCGACAGTGCCCTGCTCAAACTCGACCTTGTATTCGCGGTTGACGGTCCACTTCTGACCAGGCTTGTCCCCACCGGGCATCATGGGTCTGACCTTGGACAACAACTGCTCGTGGTGATCTCTTCTGTATCCGCTGGCGATCATGACCAGATCCACATCCAGAGTCTCTTTCGTAGAGCTCTTGCGACATCTGTGCTTCGAGGTATCGTTTCTGATGTGGAGTCGCACACGGTCGTCGGGCAATTCGGTCACACTCTCGACTTCGCGGTAGTTAAGCAGGCGTTGGGGCCAGTTCTCCTCATCATCGCCGTGGTTGAGGCGTTGTGTGTAGAGGACATCATACATGTGCTCCAGCAGCTCGAGACGAACGACACCGTAGTTGGTGGCCTTGTCCATCTTGATGGCTGCGGCACGGATCTCAGGATCTTGACTGAAGGTGTCATTAGTACGCTCGGGGTCGAAGACTTCGTTGACGAAAGGCGAGTCATCCGAAGGTCTGAGGGCAGCGCCTCTGATCATGAGGTAGGCTTTGGAGTTGGGGAATTGGCTGGGCAAGTTCATGAAGATCTCGGCAGCGGATTGACCAGAGCCAATGACGGCGATTTTGAGAGGAGCACTGCGGTCGCGGAAGATGCGGGACGAGAGAGTCCAGTATTGCGACGAGTGGAGGACACGGGGGTGGTGTTGAGGGAAAGCCTCTGGGATTCTTGGGTGGCCTCCAACAGCAACGACAACGCGTTTCGTGCGGCGGAAGCTGAGTTCGTTGGTGTGAAGATTGCGAGATGTGATTGTCCATGTTGTCACACCCTCTGCACTCTTGGCCTGCGTGTCAGGCGAGATATCGACCACCTCTTGACCATATGAAACCAGGTTCTGGAACCAGCCGGCACACCAGCGGAGATAGTCCTCGAACTCAATGCGCCGAGGCAGGAAAGTGCTGAGGTTGGTGAACTGCACCAGGCGGTCGTTCTCGTGCAGGTAGTTGAGGAAGGTGAACTCGCTGCGAGGGTTGCGCATGGTGGCCATGTCCTTGATGAACGAGATTTGCATCTTGGCACCAGGAATCTGCATGCCAGCGTGCCATGCGAACGTCTCTTGCTTCTCGAGGAAGGCGACCTTGGGTTGTGTTCTGAGTTGTGGTGGCTGCTTGCCCGTCTGCTTGGTCGCATCGTGGAGGGCAACTGCGATTGCCAGCGAGGCAGGACCGAAGCCAATGCAGACTACATCGTGCACGTCGTTCTGTGGTGTTGACTGGAGGTGTGTTTTGAATCTGGAGCCATTGCGCTCTGGGACGCTCTCGAGAGCAATTTCGGAAATGTCGGCGTGAGGTGCCATTGTGTTGATTATCCTTCTTTCTTCTTTGGGTTGTGTCAGTCGGGACATAGAGTGCTTCTCGTCTTGCGTCGATAGTTGGGTCGAAAATGCATAAACGATGTGCCTTGAATACAGTCGTCTTTACAGTATACCAAGGAAAAAGGTCGAAGCTGTTCTGACAGCGGGAGTATGGGTGACCACCGACGACGTACCTGCGTTATGTCCGGGCGTATACCATTAAAGTCTATCCGCGCAATCATTAGCCTCTGAAACGATGTATGACGACAGGATCGTTAACGGACACAAGGAACGACAGCAAGTAACGATTTACGAGCGGGAAAGAAACATGTCGCTGGCAGCGGTCGATTGGTTCTATCTATTGCCTGACTTCCGCCTCACCGTCGCAAGCTCGGTCGAGGGGGGCAGGCAGGGTCATGTCATGTTGGGTTTTTACTTCGTCAGTGCTTGAAAGCTTCTGTCACGAGCAAGACCATCATGGTCGCTGCATGGCGCCTTGGCTTTCGCGTGGTGCGAACGGCCAGGTGAAAACTCTGCATCTAATCAGATGAAATTAGTCTAATCAGATCATCCATGACTGATCAAGGATCAATTCACGAGCTACATAGTGGGGTCGAATCACTGCACGAATCACGGACCTTGAACTAGCTGCAGCCTGCAGGCACCCGTAGACGTTCCACAGGTCCACTTGTCACGGAAAGTCTGAGATTCCTTCCGACAGTTCTCACTGAGTCCTGTCAGAATTTGACAGGAGCCTGTGTTTGATCTTATCAAGACCTGCCATCCACAGATGAGGCCACCCTCGAACAAGTCTTATCAGCAACACTTTTCCGCCTCAGATACCTCCCTTGCTGCCGCCGATCGATTCTCATAATCAGATCAAGGGGGCTGCCGTCATCGGAGCCCATAATCCCTGTCCTTGTCACCGCTGATTCCCGAAGTAAGGTTATCAGATCCGCTTCCAAGGCCGCACAGACTGCGGACCACCTGCCCCAAACTGTCCCACCACACCATCACGGACAGAACTCGCAGTTCATTGTTTCTGTTGGGGATCGAGCAGGGCGCATGCATCGTCTCACATACCCAGCTCATCGGCTGTGGCATGTCTATCTGGTCGAATTCCTGAATTCTGTAAAGTGACGAGATGATACCACTGTATTTCTATCCAAATGACACCTGCCTAATTGGGACCACTTTTGACCCTTCCTAAAACTCCTCGCTAGTACGACACATAAAAACAGATCAAAATATGCAGAACGTAGCGACATGAAAGTCACCAAGCTGATGAAGTGACCCCTCACTGCACCTAAGCCAGTGTTTGTGCCTTGACCATACTCGCGTACAAGCCTCCCTGAGCAACCAGCTCAGCATGGCTCCCGACTTCCAAGACACGCCCGTCGTCAAATACGAAAATCCTGTCGGCGTGCTGCACCGTGGACAGTCTATGTGCAACCACAATCGTAGTTCTACCCACACTGGCCCCGTCAACAGCCTCTTTGATCTGTTGCTCAGAATGAGCATCCAGGGCAGAAGTATACTCATCCAGGAGAAGCACTTCCGGCGATCTGATCAGTGCTCTAGCTACAGCAACGCGCTGCTTCTGACCACCAGAAAGCTTTGAGCCATTGGTGCCGCACTCTGTGCTATAGCCTTCTGGCAAACTCATAATGAACTCGTGAATTCCACATTTGGCGCAAATCTCTTCGATGTCGGCCTGTGTCACTGACTGGCCTGGTGCTGCACCCAAACCGATATTGTATGAGATGGAGCCAGGGAAGAGGTCGGGCTCTTGAGGTACCAGCCCCAATCTACCTCTGTGTTGTGATACGGCGACCTCACGGATGTCCTGCCCGTCGAGCTGCACGCTGCCAGTGGTGGGATCGTAGAAGCGTTGTAAAAGCGAAACAATAGTAGACTTGCCTGCTCCACTGGGACCAACAAGTGCGATGAATTCGCCAGGTTTGACAGAGATGTTGACGTTCTGCAGTGCTGGGTGATGTGGCTTGGATGGATAGCACAGACTGACGTCCTTAAACTCAATCCAGCCACCAGAAGAAATATCTGGTTTTTCCCCCAGAGTTGGTACAGAACTGCCTGAGCCCGTTGACGTTCCAGACTGCTTTGTGTTGCCATCTACAATAGTTGGCTGCTGATCGTGCAGTCCAAAAACATTGCGAGCAGCCACTCCAGCTCGCGACATCTCCGGAGACAGACTGAAAATCTGACCAGCACTCTGTGCAGAGAAAAGAAGAGCAGGTAGAACAATAAAGAAATCCCGTTCACTGTAGCTGCCGTTCCTCACTTGTCGGGCTCCCCACCAGTAAGCAAGAGCATAAACGAAGTAGGTAATCGAGAAGCTCAAGGCGAGCAAGGTGTTTGTTATCAGAGTGAAGCGAACTCCCTTGTCGTATGGTTCTTTCACTGCAGCGTTGAAGGTTTCAGAAACCCCACGCTCCNNCCTTCCGAGGGAGGCGATGGTTCTGATACCTCGGCATGCTTCGGCGGCAATGGAGGCAGCATCATTGTATGCAGACCTGTGTCTGTTTTCTGCAAGGGCGAGTACACGTAGTCTGACGTAGCCAGCCGTTATCATGACAGGAACAGCAGCTAGCAGGACAACAGCAATTTTCCAAGCCACCACATGGGCAAGGATGATACCGCCAGTGACTGATACGCATACTGTAAAGATGGTACCGATAGCTACTCCAGACAAGCAAGCCAGTTGACCTGCATCCGAGTTGAGACTAGTCATGAGTGACGAGACTGACCGTCCTGAGAACCACTGCATATCCTGTCGCAAGATGCTGGTGAGGGAGATATGTTGAATCTTGGCCACGAAATGTGAGGATACGATGCCAAAGCAGCATCCATTACCAGAGTATGAGAAGAAAGCAATTAGTGCTAGGACAAAGAACATGAGAGAGAAGAAGTCTGCTCTGTCGCGGAAGTTCGGACTGTCTAGGTTGTTCAAGACAGAGATGAGGTTGCCAAAGACGATAGCTTCGCCAAGGATGATGCCACCTGATATAATCGAGCCAGCAAGGCCCAAGGCGATGATGGGAGAGTCAGGTTCGGCCAGGCGAAGGCACCTCAGTAGGAGTCTCCAGAAACCAGCCTTNTTGGTGGGTGGTTCTTCTTTCTTCACCTCTGGAGATAGCATAGTGGATTCGCTCGATGCGGACGTGTCCTTGGATTGAGAGACTTTTCGTTTGATGGTCTGACTAGCGGATGCTGGTGAAATCTCTCCAGATGATTCGTCCGAGTCATTGAGTTGTTGAGCGTTGATGAGGTTGTTGTAGGCGCCTCCCAGTTGCATGAGTTCGTCATGATTGCCTTGTTCGATGACCTTACCCGCACCCATAAGCACAATGTTGGGCGAGTCGGACACAGTAGAGAGTCGATGTGCTACCATGACCACTGTTGTACCAGATGCGGCCACACTTTTGACAGCATTCATGATAAGTCTCTCGCTATTCGCGTCAAGAGCCGCTGTCGGCTCATCAAGCAGAAGCAAGGCAGGTTTCTTGACCAGGGCTCTAGCCAAGCAGATTCTCTGAGTTTGTCCGCCTGATAGCTGAGTGTAGCCGCCATTACCAATACGAGTGTGAATGCCCTGAGGCAAGAAGTTGACGAAGTCCAGGTTAGCAGCTTTGGCAGCCTCGGTACACCTCTCCAGAACGACTTCCTCCGATAGTGTATGTTCACCCAGTCCGTAACTGATGTTATCAAGAACCGAACCAGAGAACAGAACAGAATCTTGATCGACCAATGCCGTGTATCTCCTCAGACTTCTCACGTTGAAGTCTTTGATGTTATGATCTCCTATCGTCAATTGGCCAGATGATATGTCGTACAGTCGTAATAGTAAGGACACAAGAGTACTCTTGCCGCAGCCACTTGTACCAACAATGGCGTTCATTTGCCCGGCTTTGAGAGTCAGATTCAATTCGTCCAGGGCGCGAGCTGATGTTCTAGCAGGATACACGAACGTAACTCCTCGAAAGACCAAATCAGCTCTCATATCATCCTCGGTGGCTTCTTGTCCACTCTCGGAATAGATATTGATCTCTGATTGTGGCTGGTTGAGAATCTTGAAGATGCTTTCTCCAGAAGCTGCGGCACTAGCAAAACAACCTAAGAAAGGGCCAAATTGGCCAACGACGAATGACGCATCTATGATCAGGAAGACCACGGCATACACAGTACCAGCATTGTTTGTACCCGATTCTGCGGCTATCCGTGAGCCTTCCCAGAAAGCAAGTGCATTAGCACTGTAAGCGGTAAAGTAGACCATGCCAAGCATAAGCGCAGCAGAGACGGATTTTCGAACAGCGTATCTTGCAGACAATTTGAGCAGGCGATAGTGTTCTTTGCTGAGATTATCTGCCATTCCAAAAGCTTGCACAACCTTGACAGCATGAATAGCGCTTTCGGCGATCCTTCCAGCAGCTTCGCTATACTGAGTGGCTGCTTTCGTATACTTCGCAACTCTGGAGGAACCGAAGACAAGGATCAGACTCATCACAGGTATGACAGCGGCAAACAAGATTCCAGTGAGTTTGGCGTTCAAGATGAACCCAACAACAAAGGCAGCAATAAAATAGCTGATTGACTGGATGAAGATGCCGACTTTCTCGGATGTTCCAATCTGTATCGACTCAATTTTCTCGGTCAGGAGGTTCGTAACATCCGGATCGTTGACATCGAAGTAGGCTTGCTCGAGACCAAGCAGGCGCTCAACAAGGACTTCTCGAAAGCGACGTGAGATTCTTTCTCCAGTCAAGCCCCATGCGATTGCGTAGCCAGTCGTGACGAGGAAATAACCGCAAGCTACACCAATGAGTTCGTATAGCCTGGTGCGCAGGACGTCTTCCGGAGGTGGGAACGATGTGATAATCTGGCCAAAGATGTAACCAATAATGGGCAGTGGAGTACCGGCAGCTATCGCGAAGAGGATGCCGGCACATACGATTGCTCTCGACTGTGCGTCGTTGACAATTTTGTATAGATCCAGATATGAGCTCTTGAACGGATTTTTTCCGAGAATCTGCTGAATCAATTTGCGAGAAACAAAGACGAAGTTGGTATGCCATGATCGTGGTTGCGCAGAATTCATAGTAGTGGTCTCGAAGTTGGCTTCTGTCTCGATGTTGGCCATCGAAGGTCGCGGACGTCCATGGTCAGACGAGACTGACCGCCTGCCATTGGCAGAGGGCATCGTGATGCGGTGCACTCTTGCGACTGATTACCTTTTCCAAAGGGTACAGGGCGAATGGCGTTCTCAGACAAAACGTGCGGAGGTTTTCTGGCAACGTAGTTCCTTTTTGTAGAGAAGCCACCTTAAACTTCAAGCCTCCAGACCACTCCGTACTCAAAGAATGACAGCACCTCAGAGCATACGGCCGACACGTGGTGTGGTTAGCAAAATCATGCGCAAATCATGGCGAAGGAGAACTTTTTGAACTGAGAACGTGCAGTGTTGAGACTTGACACCCGAGGCTCCACGGGCACACCCACGCTGTCGTTTAGTTACCTTGCCCATCATGATGCCCGACGATCACTCGCAGCTTCGGCAGGTCGGGGGACATCTGCGCCGCGTAAACATGGCCGCTTGTTAGCAAGCGTGTCGGACTGACGACAGTGACATCCGAACAACTGTCAATCATTGGACTAAAGAAAGCGTTGAAGCATCACTCGCATTTGGAAGCATGGTTTTGGTGACGGTGAAGAGCCAAGGCACGTATCAGATCCGCACGACCTGACACTGTCGTCAGCGGCTAACCCCTACTAGCGATGATCGTCATAATGCTTAGATTATCATTATCAGATGGAGGGGCTGAGCATCAGATAAAATTTTTCCAAGCAATTGGCGCCCTTCTCCTGCTTAGAACCCTTGTCAAATTTTCTTGTCGATGTCAGATGTACAGTTCAACAATAGAAATGTTAGACGACGTGAATGCGCTGCAAAATTCAAGGCGCGACTGGGAATGGCCGTTGGCTGTTTGTCGCTATGATGCAAGATCATGACGATTTGAAATCTTGACTTTACTCCGCGTGGCCTTCTCCCTTTTACATGCCGGTTGCCGAATGAATATCACTCACTTGAAGGTGAACTCTCAGATCTGACGACCACATGATGACTACTTCCGTAAACCCATACCACTGTAGCAAGGCACTTTCATCGATATTCCGTAGGCGCGAGGAGCAAGTTTGAGTGAGAAGTTGCTGCCCGCCGACCTCGGCAGTTTCGCCCGTCTGCAACAGCGCACGCACGCTGCCATGCTGCCCTAAGCTCGCTAGTGCCGGGCTTAATTTGGTCGTGATAGAAGTCGTCAGTTCCCGATCGTCGGTCGACTTTTCCTCGTGTAGATTTCGTGTGACTGCACGAGTCGACATGGTCTAACACTTGAATAGCATGCCGCCGTCGAATAAGAGTTAAGGCAAAATCGACTTGCAAGGATCCTGCCGTATCAAACACCACTTCTCAGCTCTCCCTGAGATGATTGTTTGCCGTTTGGTTCTTACCTTTGTATGACAAACATATCTCGTTGCTGGCCTCTCGCTTCTATCATAGACTTATGGACTACGACCTACACACTTAATATATAATATGCCGGCAAGAACTCTCTCAAACGACGAAACAACACTCAGAATGGACGAGACATTGTCCATTCTCAACCCCATACCAACCAGGTTGGAAGGCCCTGGGTTGCTTCACGAACTTATATCCGGTCCTGAAACTCCTGGAATTGCCCTCGAATACACAGATGCGGATGGTGGGCAGAGCACATTGTCCTATATGGGTTTGCATAGGGAGGCAGAAAATCTAGCATCGCGATTGATCGAGGTCAGCCGCCGAGTTTCACAAAAGACACCTGGAATCGTGCCCATTTATATTCCGCAATGCACGTCTTTGTACATTTCGCAACTGGCGATTCTCAAATCAGGAGCTGCATTCTGTCCTCTAAACCTGGATGTGCCAGAAGACAGACTGAAGTTCATATTGCAGGATACTTCGGCCAGCATCCTTCTGACAACTACTGCCATGCGTCCAAGACTTCCAGAACTGGAGAACGTCGTTATCCTTGCAGTGGATGATGAACAATCAGGACTCAACTCCTGTCACCCATCAAAAACGCTTGAGCATGAAGTGACCTGTCCTGATACTTCCTCTCTCGCTTACATCATGTATACCTCGGGTAGTACTGGCCTACCGAAAGCGGTCTGTCTGTCACATCGTGCAGTAACACAATCGCTTCTGGCACACAATCGGTTCATTCCTGGCTTCTCCAGATTCCTCCAATTCGCAAGTCCGACGTTCGACGTCAGTGTGTTCGAGATTTTCTTCCCATGGTATCGTGGATCAACACTTGTCTCTGTCGAACGCAGCCGGCTGCTTAGCGATCTCCCTGGAACGATCACTTCACTAAACATAGATGCCGCTGAGCTCACACCATCAGTCGCTGCTAGTCTTGTTCGTACGAGGGACAATGTCCCTACCTTACGGACACTCCTCACAATTGGTGAGATGCTCAATACACCAGTCATCCAACAATTCGGTGGTTCAGACGATCGGCCTAGTATCTTGTATGGCATGTACGGCCCCACTGAGGCTGCCATCCATTGTACCCTACAACCGGACTTTGCAGCGGATCTGCCTGCTGGCACCATCGGAATCCCTCTGGACACAGTCTCTTGTTTCATTGTAAAGCCAGCAGAATCTGCAAAATACGCTAGTGAAATTGAGATTCTGCCGATAGGCGAGATTGGCGAGCTCGTTGTAGGCGGACATCAGCTAGCGGATGGCTACCTCAATCGAGATGAACAAACCAGAGCTGCTTTTATGTCCCATCCGAAGTATGGTGATCTTTACCGTACGGGTGACAAAGCTCGCCTCCACCGCAACGGTACGCTGGAATGCCATGGACGTATCTCAAGTGGACAGGTCAAATTAAGAGGTCAACGTGTCGAGCTGGGAGAGATTGAGCATGCTGCATCAAAGGCTGCTGGATGTCACGCAGTAGTGGCAAGTGTCATATCTGGTCTTTTGATTCTTTTCTGTATCGGTGACTCCGACAAACTTGTTTCTGGAGACATCAAAAGCGCTTGTCAAAAGTGGCTCCCAGCTTATATGCTACCTAACGATATCGTCATACTTGATGACTTCCCCTATCTTCCGTCAGGCAAGGTCGACAAGAAGAAGCTGGAAGACGATTACAGCTCGAAGGCTTCAGAGACGTCAGCAGGGCCTTCTGACATACCTGCAAGTGCTAACAATGTAGCGCGCACAATTCAAAGCGTGCTGGGTGTTCTTATTGACCACAACACCGACCTCGGTGCTGCTGGGCTGGACTCGCTTAGAGCAATTCAAGTTGCTTCTGAGCTGCGAAAGCAAGGCTATGCTCACACTAGCGCTCTTGAGCTGCTCTCAGTGTCTAACGTGCTTGCTCTTGATCAACTTCTTCAAACTAAGGCTTCTGCAAATAGCGATCGCGAACATGACGTTGGAGAATGGGAAAGCATTCTCCGCGAGCTGAGGTCGAACGTTGAAGCATCACTGGACTCCGAGACAGTCGTGAACAGCGTACAAGATGTCCTTCCATGTACACCACTTCAAGATGCCATGCTGGTCGAAACAGCAAGACAACCTCAAGCATATTGCAACGAGCTCCGTTTCACAGTAGCTCCAGCTATTCCTTTCGAAAGATTGCGCCAAGCTTTGTTCACGCTAGCTGAGAAGCATACTGCTTTAAGATCCGGCTTTTGCGTGTCTGCAAGTTCCCACTGCTCGTATGCTCAAGTTGTGTGGAAGAGCATGGCTGCCTCTCAAATTGCACGTGTCGAGTCACAGAATGCTGCATGGTCCATCACAAATCAAGAGACACTTCTGCGACCACTTCTGTTTCAATACAGGAGATCTGATACTGGCATGGAGCTCATTGTGAACATACATCACGCGTTGTACGATCAGTGGTCAGTTGAAGTTATTCTCGAGGATCTGGATGATTTGCTGCAGGGCAAGGAGATCCCAGATAGACCATCGTTCGGGGTCGCCAACAAGTTCTTTAGCCTCGAAAGAAACAAAGATCAGACATTACATCTGGACTTCTGGCGAGAACATCTGTCTGGCGCCACTCCTAGCCGCTTACCCAATCTGTCACCCAAATCGATACCCTCACAAGCCCTTCAGAGTGCGGAGCATTTCATTGAAATGGATATGCAAGCACTGAGTCAAGCAGCGCAAACACATGCATGTAGCCCACATGTCTTTNTCCAAGCTGCGTATGCCGTGCTCCTTGGTTCGTACATGGGTACAGAAGATGTAGTATTTGGTACGGTCTTCTCTGGAAGAACTTTGCCCATCATCGACGTTGAAAGTATGGTCGGACCTCTTTTGTCAACGCTTCCTTCACGTATCAACACCATCGAGTGCCGAAGATTTGTTGATGCTTTGCGTCGTCTTCAAGGTGACAATCGAGATATCATGCAACACAGCACGACATCTCTCGCAGATATCAAGAAGGCATGCGGAGTCAATCCTGGTGAGACTCTCTTTGACAGTATCTTTGTATGGCAGGAGACCGCTCGATCGAACTCACGAACTCAGCCGCTGCTATATCTGGTGGAGGCGCATGACTATCTGGAGTTCAACCTAACGCTGGAGCTCGAACCCACTCAGGATGGTGTGAAAACCAAGTTCACCTACCAACCGAGCCTTCTACCAAGCCAGCACGTCGAAATCTTACTGCAACAGCTTGACGCTTTGGTCAAGGTCGTGGTGGCACGACCTGAATCTCTCATGAATGAGCTCAGCAGTCAGCTTCCTACCTCAGTCTTGTCCATCGCGAACCCTAATCCGCAATTGTCCACGTACAAGACTGGACTTGGATCTCTTGTCGAGACCCATGCTTTCAAGAGGGCCGATGACCTGGCTTTGGTGTTTGCCCAGGATATTCGCAAAGGAACCTCGGTGACCGAGAGTTTGACATACGGTGAACTCAACAACCAAGCAAATCAGCTAGCCAATCATCTTATCTCGCAAGGTGCCAAGCCCAATGAGCTTGTCTGTATCTGTATGGAGAAGTCTGTCGCCCTCTACGTTTCCATTCTTGCTGCTGTCAAAGCAGGCTGTGGTTACCTGCCGCTGGTTCCAGAGACACCATCAGCTCGTATCAGTCAGATCCTTGTGGATGCGAATGTGCGAATCTGCTTAGCCGACTCTTCAACAGCACATATCATTGCCGACCTGAGCGGTTGCCATGTAATCGACATCACTACTGTCGGTTTCTCACAACAGTCATGCGCTAATCCTCAGCTTGCTTTCGAGCCCACAGACATCGCTTACGCAGTCTTCACCAGCGGTACTACAGGCAAGCCGAAAGGAGTTCTAGTAACTCAAGAGAACATACTCAGCAACCTTGAGGTCTTGAGCAAGATCTATCCCGTCCCTAAGGATTCCAGGTTACTTCAAGCCTGTAATCAAGCCTTCGATGTCAGCGTGTTTGAGATCTTTNTCACCTGGTACACCGGCATGTGCCTATGTTCGGCATCAAAGGATGTTTTATTCCGTGATCTCGATACTGCAATCAACGAACTCGGAATTACACATCTTTCCATGACACCGACTGTAGCGGCCTTGACGAACCCCGCCCATATTCCGAGAGTAAAGTTTCTTGTTACTGCTGGAGAAGCAGTCACTCACCATGTTCACAGTGCGTGGGCTGGAAAGGGACTCTACCAGGGCTATGGTCCATCCGAGACTACGAACATCTGCACAGTGAATCCGGCAGTGCAACACGATCATGTCGTTAACAACATTGGTCCACCATTTGTAAACACGTCTGCATTCGTGTTGTCGCGAGAGTCTGATTTCCAATTGGTCCCCCTTGGCGGCCTTGGTGAACTTTGCTTTGGCGGCCAGCAGGTTTTCCGTGGCTACCAAAACATGCCCGAACTCACAGACAGCAAGGTCATCCATCATGCAAGTTATGGCCGCATCTACCGCAGTGGAGATCTGGGTCGGCTGCTGCCCGACGGAACTATCCTGATCCAGGGTCGTACTGACGATCAAAGGAAGATTCGTGGTCAAAGGATCGAGCTTGGTGAAATCTCTGGGTGCCTACTGCAAGTCCAAGATGTGCAGGATTGCGCAATCGAGATTGTCAAATCTGCAGACAATGAACGTCTGATGGCCTTCTGGATTCCGAGTGGCTGTTCCAATGAGACGTATTCGATACTACAGCCAGATGACTCGTTAAAGGAGACTATAACCACAATTTTTGCGCACCTAGTCGAGCATCTACCAGTCTACATGGTTCCCGACGCGCTAGTACCTGTCTCTGCCATCCCTCAAACATTACAAGGCAAGATCGATAGAAGGCGACTCGCCAACGATGCCTCAGCACTCGGTGTAGATGTTTTGAACGCATACTCTCAGGGTTCGAACGACGAAGCTGATACCAGTGAGCTCTCTACGACAGAGAAACAGGTACTTTCAGCACTTGCCGACACCTTGCGTATGTCATCCACCTCAATCGGCCGTTCTACCTCTTTCTTTGCGTTAGGACTCGACTCCGTATCCGCGATTCGTTTTGCAACGAAGCTAAGGACTGAGCACGGCTACGAAGTTGACGTATCTCGAATCCTCAAAAGGCCTACTGTTGCCAAGCTAGCTTCATATCTACAGGATTCACAACCAAATGGTAAAGAGCAAAGCAACGGACACGCTGTATTGGATTGTGAGGCAGCCATTGGCTCAGACCTACATGAAAGTGTGGTATTGCAACTTCGTGAGCACGGTCAAACTGCGCAGCAGGTCCTTCCATGCACACCTTTGCAAGAGGCAATGCTTTCCGCAAACGACACATCGGGATCTTCAGCGTACAGAAACAAGACCTTGTTCCGTCTCCACGGTTCAGTCGACAAGCTGAAAGCTTGTTGGGAAGCTATGCTGCAAAGGCATAGTATCCTGAGAACGACTTTCCTCACCACTGAAAACTCGAAGTTTCCCTTCGTGCAGGTTGTACTGTCAGAGTGGACATTACCGTGGGAAGAGTGTGACACTGTCCCCGATCATACTTCAGCCTTGCTCGAGTCCGCACAGAGTCATGGAGACCCACTACACGAAAACATGCCGCCTTGGAAGATCCAGGTCTATAGAACAGACTCCGCTGTCTACCTTTTGCTCGACATGCATCATGCTCTCTATGATGCCAATGCGATGTCTAACCTTNTGCACGAAGTCGAACAGTCATACAAAGGCCAATCACTTCCAGCTCCAGTCTCATTCAAGACTTTCCTAGATTTCATGGTTTCTTCGAGTGTGGAACAAGCAGACGATTTCTTTAGGGATCAGCTTCAAGGATTCATCCCAAAGCCGTTTGACAATACAGCCGCCAGTAGCTCAAGAGAGAGTTTTGGCACCATCACTGACAGACTTGACTGCTCGCATGATGCAGTGGAAAATTTCCTGGCAAAGCACTCAACAACCATGCTAAGTCTGGTCCAAGCAATGTGGGCGAAGACATTGTCCGCTTCGCAAAGCTACTCGGATGTCTGCTTCGGCAATGTGGTTAGTGGACGTAGCGTGCCTGTCGATGGAATCGAGTCTCTGGTCGCACCATGCTTCAATACCATTCCTCTTCGCGCAGATCTGGCAAAGCACCGAAGCAATTTGAGCCTCATCAAAGCTCTCCAGAAAAGTAATATCGAAAGTCTGCCATATCAACTCACACCTTTGCGTCGTATCCAAGCACAGGCTGGTACTAACGGACAGCGATTGTTCGATTCTCTTGTCCTTCTGCAGCAGACTTCTACAGATCTCGACACAGAAATCTGGGCTCTAGAAGGCGAAACAGGAGTTATGGATGTAAGTGACTTGTATTTGGAAATCAGTCACGCACTCTAGCTAATATGGTATAGTNTCCCTTGCATCGTTGAATTTATGCCTACCAGCGAATCATATACCCTTTCCTTGCATTTCAATCGGTGGGTTCAAGCATGTCCCTTCACCTAGGCTGATCAACACTGCTGACACACATTANGGAGTTATCTTGACGATGAAGTTGTTGCCAATCTTCATCAAGCGTGTTTGTCTGCATTTGCATCTTGCATAAAATACCCTTCTAGCGATGTTTCCGATTTTATTGATTTCGACACAAATTTGGTAGCTGGCAGTTTGAAGCCAGACGAAGAGTACATGCAGTCCGAAGAGGCTGCTCGGCAGAAAAGATTGACCAATCCTGGACCTCCCAGCGGTGAGTCTTGGTCCGCACTTGAGTTGCGAATTCGTGCAGCATTCTCTGCTGTGTCCTCTGCTCCTGAGGACCAGATCTCAAGGGACACAACAATTTACAAACTTGGCTTGGACAGCATTAGTGCGATCCAACTTGCAAACCGGCTTCGTAAAGAAGGACTCCCGGTGCAAGCCAGCGACGTAATGGAAGGCCCATCGTGCTCTGAATTAGCATCAGCTGTTCAGACTCGATCACACACCCCAACTTCCGATACACCTGCATTTGACTTTGATGGGTTCGGCAAACGCTATCGCCATGTTGTCCTGAACGCTCATCAGGTTCTTTCTGACAGAGTATCCGCCATAAGACCCTGCACTCCTTTACAATCTGGCATGCTGAGTGAATACACACACTCTGATGGTCGTCAATACTTCAATCATACTTTCTATGCAGTAGATGCCGAAATTGATGCCCAGAGGCTCGGCCTCGCGTGGACAAAGGTTCTCGAGCAACACGAGATACTCCGGACCGGATTTATCGATACTGATGATCATGAGCATCCCTTTGTGATGCTAACTTATGACAAATTCGATGTCAACGAACTCGAGATTCAGACTTCTTCGGCAGACAAGTCAACCTTCGAGTGCCGGGAAAGAACAGCTTCAGAATCTGTCAGAGATGGCCTTCATCTGCCTCCGTGGAGATGGAGCTTACTCGAGACCGAAGGAAGACTGTGTTTGCAATTCTCTGCACACCATGCCATCTTCGACGCGGAGAGTTTACGCTTGATCATGACCGATCTTGAGTCTGCTCTTTCCAGTGGCTCTGTCACTGCAAGACAGTCAATTGAGAGCGCCTTGAGTCACATTCTTTCAAGCAGTCAGACTGATCTGAATGAACAACGTGCCTTCTGGTCGCAGAAACTCAGCGGTGCTCCGGTTACTCGCATGCCCAACATGACACCAGTCAGAGCCTCGAGCACAGAAGCAGTCAATGTCGAGCTGATCCTTGGACTTCAGCGTGACGAGCTAGAAGCCCGCTGTCGAGATCTTGGTGTTTCAATGCAATCAGTTGGCCAAGCCGCTTGGGCCCGACTGCTGAGCGCATATACTGGAGAATCACAAGTGACCTTCGGAGTGGTCTTCTCTGGCCGTACCGCTCCGGCGACGATGGATGCTGCATTCCCGTGCATTACAACCCTCCCTGTCTCAAGCAACACTGCAGTGGAGGACACGCAACTTCTTCAAGATTTGATGTCATACAATGCCAGCATTCAGAAGTATCAGTTCACGCCGTTGACGAATATTCAGAAGTTTGCCGAACTGCCAAGCGAGGCGTTGTTCGACTCTCTCTTTGTTTATCAAAGGCCTATCAACGACGATACTCCCGTTTTCTCTTTGAAGATAGTACGCGAGAAGGCTTCGGTCGAACTTGCTGTCTCCATTGAGATGGAAGCACTCAGTGAAAATCGTCTTGGCCTTCGGCTGACAGTCGATCCTACTCAAATACCTTCTGAGCAAGGAGATATTATGTTGCAGCAGATGGAAACTATCATCGCCGGTCTCCTGAAGTTTGAAGACACACCCGACAGGTCGGTACTGTCTATCATACCTCCAAAGGACCCTATCATCCCGACGAACTTCCAGTATCTGCATGAAATGACCGAGGCTTCCGCCGCAGAACACCCAGACCATATTGCGATGGAGTTTGTGGACAGTCTAGAAGACGGCCAGGTTTCAAGTCGACACTGGAGTTTCCGCCAACTCGATGAAGAGGCGAACAAGATTGCGCATCTCCTAGTTGATCGAGGTGCAAAGCCTGGCGACATCATTGCAACTTCATTCGACAAATGTCCAGAAGCATCGTTTGCATTCTACGGTATCCTCAAGGCTGGCTGTGCCTTCTGTGCTATCGATCCCACAGCGCCTGCAGCCCGCAAAGCCTTCATTTTACAAGACTCGAATGCTCAAATTCTACTGACATCTGAGTCGATTCGCTCAGAGCTGATAGACTCAACTCAGTGCGATGTCGTTGATCTGATTAACCTGGAAGACAAACACAAATTGTCGTCTTCGGCAGTTTCGGTAGATGGTCTTTCTCCTTCTTCCGTCAGTTATGTCTTGTACACTTCTGGAACTACGGGTACACCANAAGGATGTGAACTCACCCATGACAATGCCGTTCAATTGGTCATGGCTTTCAAACGCTTGTTCGAGGGAAGGTGGACAGACGAGTCTCGCTGGCTACAATTCGCCTCATACCATTTCGATGTCTCCGTGTTGGAACAGTTCTGGACATGGATCGTGGGCATGCGTTTAGTGTGTGCTCCTCGAGATCTGATCTTGGAAGATATTGCGGGCTTCATCGATACAATGCAGATCACTCACCTTGACCTGACACCATCTCTTGGCAGACTTCTTGATCCTGCCTTGGTTCCCAGTCTGCACAAGGGTGTCTTCATCACTGGTGGAGAATCGCTCAAACAGGACCAGATCAATACCTGGGGAGACGTCGGCTGTCTTTTCAACTTCTACGGACCCACAGAATGCACAATTGGTGTCACCGTCTTTCCCTCCGTTCCAAAAGAGGGAAAGCCTTCCAACATTGGCTGGCAGTTCGACAATGTTGGCTGCTACGTTTTAGCACCTGGCTCTCAAACTCCTGTATTGCGAGGTGGTGTCGGTGAACTCTGTATATCTGGCAAGCTTGTAGGGAAAGGTTATCTGAATCGTCCCGAGCTTACTGCAGATTGTTTCCCATATCTGGATGCTTTCGGTGAGCGAGTCTACCGAACAGGCGATCTCGTTCGTCTATTCCATGATGGATCGATCGATTTCTTGGGCCGCAAAGATAATCAAGTCAAGCTTAGAGGACAAAGACTCGAGATTGATGAGATCGAAGCGGTAATCAAAGGTTGTCAAGATATCCAAGATACTGTCTGTGTTGTCGCCAAACATCCCAAACAAGACAAGGACCAGCTTATCGCCTTTATTGGAATTAACGAGTCCAGGAGACAAGGAAAACCAGAGTTATGTCCTGCAGAGTCAACCAAGCACCTTATCCAGGCAGCACGTACCGCATGCGAAGGACGCTTGCCTGGATATATGGTTCCTACACACTTCCTGCCTATCCAGCGCATTCCTTTGTCTGTGAACAACAAAGTGGAAGAGAAGCTTCTCCGACAACTTTATGCTGACTTGCCCACTACCGCCATCCAGAGTTATGCTACACAAGCAGATGATCAACAGTCTCTCAGCGAAGCAGAGCACAAGATTGCTCGAGTTCTCGCCGAGCTCCTCAAGATAGACGAGAACGACCTCAAGCCTTCATCCAACATCTTCACGCTCGGACTCAATTCCATCTCGGCTATTCAGTTTACCAGGAAGCTCAAAACAAGTGGCTTTTCTAATGCGCAAGTGGCGACTGTGCTCAAAAATTCCACTATCGGTAGATTGACGAAAGCGCTCGCTGTATCAACAGATCAATCAGATGGCGAGGTTGCTGATGCTAAACAAGTCATCTCTGCCTGTCGACAGAGGCATTTGGGTACGGTCACTCGTGTTCTTCGTTGCAAAGTGGACGATATCGAAGCTATTGCGCCATGTACTCNNCCCTTGCAGCAAGGTATCATTTCAAGATCTCTGGCAAGTGAATCCGCACTCTACTTCAACAGTTTCAAATACAACGCCCAAGGAGTAGATCTGCAAAGACTTGAGAAGGCCTTCAACCAGGCTCTGGAACGGACTCAGATCTTACGTACATTCTTCGTTGAGACCGATGACGGATATGTACAAGCTGTCAGAAAGACAGGTCATCTTCCATGGTGGACACTCGAAGTCTATGATCTTGCTACTGTGGACAGCGTCTTCGCTAAGCGCAAACAGAAGTGGCGTTCTTACAACACGTCTCACTTGACTGTACCCTTTGAGATTGTGGTCGTTCGCTCTGGCTCGGAAAGCTTTGTGTCGGTCGACCTGCACCACGCGCTTTACGATGGCAATTCCTTCGACATGTTGATGAACAACGTCTTCAAGCTTTACGCTGCCGAGGAGGCTGATTTTGGCAAGTCCTTCGTCGATTGCCTACCCTTTGGTCCTTTGCGCAATGTACAAGGTGCGAAGCAGTTCTGGCTGGATCATCTCCAGGACGTTGTACCCACAGCAATGCCCTCACTTGTCGAAAATGGAACAGGTCAAGATACTCTCTGTACAGCCAGTCTCGAGATCCTGTCGCAAGCAGATGAGCTGCGTCGATCTCTGGGCGTGACGGTCCAAGCTTTGGTTCAAGCGAGCTGGATTGTGACTCTGCGAAAGCATTATCAAGGTGCTGTCGGTACAGTCGTTTCTGGGCGCTCTATTGACTTTGACGGTGTCGAGAAGGTGATCGGACCTTTGTTCAACACCATTCCCTTCTACCTGAGATGTGAGCCAGAAGACTCATGGCAGACCCTTGTTCAGAGATGTCATGACTTCAACACAGCTGCTCTGCCATATCAACATACACCTCTTCGCGATATCACGAAGTGGTGTAATAAAGGGCGATCAGAGCCGCTGTTCGATGCTCTGCTCGTATATCAAGGTGTCATTGACGACTCTGATGCTGACAACTCAATCCTCAAGCCTTTGTCCGATGACTCTTTCGAAGCTGATTACCCGTTGTCATTCGAGGTGGAAGAGGCTGCCAACGGAGAGCTGAAAGTGACTGTGGCTGCCAAAGCGTCAATTTGCGACGAAGCAAAGGCTCGAGAATTGATCGATGAGTTCCATCAAGCCTTCTTGGCGATGATTAAGTCTCCCGAGGACGATGCTGCTGCTAGTCTTGGCCGTACTTTCGAGCCGCTTCAGAGAAGTGCAAACAATAAGGAACGCAATGCCCAAACCAAGAACAGAGGCGAATTTGACTGGCGTCCTGAAGCTTGCGTCATCCGCTCGGAGATGGCGAACCTTGCTGGTGTGCAAGAGGCTGAGGTTGATGAACACACTTCCATTTTCGAAGTCGGACTGGACAGTGTAGATGCTGTAAAGCTCTCATCGCGTCTCAAGAAGAAGAGTGTCGCTCTGCCTGTCAGCGCTATCATGAAGTCACAAACAATCGCCCAAATGGTTTCGAAGTTGTCAAGCAAGACTGATAGATCGACATTCAAGTCTGAGGGCGCCTTCCAAGCTCTTGAAAGCAAACTTACCTCATACGCAAACAGCCGGATGAAGAACTTAGAACGAGTTCTCCCAGCCAGCCCGATGCAGGAAGCATTGGTCTCAGAAATGGTCCGGTCATCCTACGAAGCCTACTTCAATCATGACGTCTTGAAGATCTCCCAGAACGTTGACCGTGAGAGGCTCGAGGAGGCCTGGCAAATAGTGATCAGAGCTTCTCCTATCCTTCGAACTGGCTTCCTTGAGGTTGAAGATCCAGATCTGGATGCCACGTTCGCTCAGGTTGTCCATAAGCCTGAAGCCATGAGCTTGGAGCCTATCAAGCTATCAAGTGAAGATGCTATCGACGAGCATCTGACGCAGATCAGCTCCAGTGTATCGTCATCTGCTTTGTCCGAACCTCAATTGCGTTTGACCCGGGTGTCCATTCCTGATAACGACTATCTTGTACTATCGATTGCTCATGCTCTCTATGATGGGCACAGTCTTTCACTGCTTCACCAAGACATTTCGAAGGCTTATAGCAACACATTCCAGTCTCGCCCGTCCTATGCTGAGATCTTGGAAGAGACTTTCGATGGCAGCAATGAGGAGGCTGTCACGTTCTGGCGCAGCCTTCTGACCGATGCGAACAAGACTCAGCTTCCACAGAACAGAAGCATTGAAACAGTCACTTATCGCGCGGAGAAGACAAGTCATATTGCCGCCAATGACATTTCGTCATTCTGCAAGCAGCAAGGAGTTACTCTCCAGGCCGTCTGCCAGACAGCATGGGCTTTTGTGCTCGCCCATACTGTACAATCTCTGGATGTTATGTTTGGTGTTGTCTTGGCTGGTCGTGACAGCGAACTTGCCGAGCAAGTCATGTTCCCAATGATGAACACAGTCATCATGCGATCTGTCCTGCATGGATCCAGAAAGGATGTGCTGCAAAGCATACAGGCGACTATTTCTGACATCTCCAACCATCAGCACTTCCCGCTTCGTCAGATTCAGGCTGCCTGTCAAGGACAAGTTCAATCATCATCAGGCACTAGTGAAACTGATGCTTTCTTCGACACACTCTTCACCTTCCAGAGACGACCGGATGCTGACTATGCCGAGACCCAAGCACTCTATGAATCTGTCAATGGGGCTTCAGAGGTCGATTACCCTGTCGCTGTCGAGGCCGAAGTTGTCAGCGACTCGTTGATTTGGCGCGCTGCTTGCAAGAGTACTGCATTCGATGAGGATGGTGTCAACGACCTTCTCAGCACTCTCGACAGTGTCTTGCAAGCTATTGTCGATAAGCCGCATGAGCCTACACTGACATTCCATGGTCATGAAGTCAGTGTCTGCAATCTATCTGCTTTCCATCAACAAGTGGAAGCTGATGGAGCTCAGACAGCAGACACCAGCAATGAGGTAGCCGAGGATGAAGCCACTTGGACAGACATTGAATCTGCAGTACGTGAGGCCATTGCAAAGGTCACAAAGACGCCAGACTCCGAAATCTCAAAAACTGCGTCCATCCAGAACTTGGGTGTCGATTCAATCAACGCTATCAAGATTTCGGCTTTGCTCCGGAAAAAGTCTATCAGGGTTACTGTCAGTGAGATTGTACGCGCTGGATCGATATCGAAGATTGCATCAGTGGCACAAGACAAGAGCACCAAGAAGACGGCCAAGGCCCACGGTGACACTGCTGATAAGACTATCGCCAATGTCATGACACAANAAGGCTTCGCACCTGGTCAGTTCGGTTATGAGGAACAACATGTCGAGCAAATCCTTCCTGCAACTGCTGGTCAAGTTTACATGTTAGGCGCATGGCAAGCCACTGACGGACAACTCTTCTACGGAGAGTTTGAATACGTCACTACTGTTTCGACCACTATGGATAGTATCAAGCAAGCATGGCAGAAACTTGTGGCCAACAATACAGTACTGCGCACAGTGTTTGTCGCGACTCAAGACAACGAAGTACCTTTCTTGCAACTCGTCTTGCGGGATGCTCCTGCTTCATTCGTGGACTCGAACAACGAGGATAAGCTGTCATCAGCTATAAAGCAGCCATTCGCCCGCCTGACTGTGCAAAAAGCAGAAGATAGCTTCAAGCTCCGCCTCAAGATTCATCATGCACTGTACGATGCTGTGAGCTTGTCACTGCTCAGCCAAGAACTTGGTAACCATCTACAAGACTCTGCTGTAACACAGCAATCTTCTGTCAAGTTCGCTGATTTCATTGGTCCATCACTTGAAACGGCTGCCAGACCCGCAAGGAAGACTTTCTGGACCAATTATCTTCAAAGTGTGCAGTACCCACAGCTGGAGTCGAACCCCTCGCCTTCAGCTCGCCATATCGAGGTCTACGACCCTCGTGCCATGTCTGATATGCCTAAGTTTGAGAACGAACTAAGAAAGCAGGGGCTCAGTCTCCAATCTGTGTTCTTTGCGGCCTACGCTAGAGCCTACAGCTATAATTCAGACCCCACAGCCGAGGATGCGATTCTAGGCATCTACTTAGCCAACCGCTCACACCTAGAGGATCTGTCCAGCCTAGCAGCACCAACGTTGAATCTCGTTCCTTTGCGCGTCCGCTCGCCCACAAAGACATCTCTTGCTGATGTCGCAAAACAGATCCAGAAGGATTTGCAGCTCATCGGCACGTCAGAGAACAGCAGCGTTGGACTGTGGGAGATTGAGGCATGGACAGGAGTCACAGTAGACACATTTGTCAACTTCGTGAAGGTACCGGATAACGACGACGATGCTACCAAAAAGCAGGCTGTTGTTATGGATGAGAAGGCAGAAGAACATCGCACTGAAAAGCGAAGTCATATGTCCGATGCCACTGCAGACGATTTCGTCGTACCAAAAGAGCTGCAGCGTGAAGATTTGAAGAGGACGTATAAGGTAAGTCGCCATCATTTANGGCCGCTGGACGCACTTACTGACATTCAACAGCGATCACTTGATATTGAAGCGACCGTCGCTGATGGTGCGCTTGGCATTGGTGTGTTTGGATGGGAAGACATGATGGATGTGGAACAAGCTGAAGGCTTGATTGAAGAGCTGAAGATCGAGATCGGGNGTGTGCTCGAAAGTTAGCAACACAAGAAGGTGATGAACGAAGTCGATTATAAAAGTGAGATGAAGCAAAACAGAAAAAGAAAAAAAGAACAGAAACGGGGGGAACAGGATGAACCATTGTTGGTTGAGTTTCTAGTCATTGTTTAGCATTAGCATCGCATGTATATCTTGAACATCATTTTCGCATCAAAACAGAAGGACCGCAACCACATCATCGTGAGGGTGAAGAGGAAGGCGCGAACTGCTGGCTGCTTCCTTCCATGAAGCCTGATAACAACGCAACCATCGCGACTTCCTCTACTTTCCCACCACAACAACAAACGAAGCTTTGCCGAACATCGTCCTCCAATCCTTTCTCATCCACATCCATCACCATTCATCACCATCCATCACCATCCTTATCATCATCAACACATCCACCATCATCAAACAACTGCGAAGCCTTCAGCGACGGTGCAGCCACGCGACACACCGCTTTACTCTGCCTTCCTCAAGGGGATCGAGAGACCTAAAAGACCTTCGCATTAGCATCCCTCTGATTAAAGCCTTCGTGCCGATATCAAGTCTGCTTCTACGTCGTGAGTCATGGGGTGCAACGTGAAGAAGCGGGTTTCCCGGCCTGCATGTGTGAACGACCGTGCGAGATGGTGGACGTGTTGATGATGACAACGATGATGATGAGTGTGAATGAGGAGACATGATTGACGATGCGACCTCAGGGCCATGATCCATCGCTACCGTCGTCCTGAACTACCTTTTCGATCCTATCCTCCCTAGTCCTGCGCTTGGGTCGCCGCCTTCGACTTAAGAAAAAACTCTCCTAGGATGGACGAGCACATACCACAAGACAATATTTATTCTGGATGAGGTTTCATACCCTGCTGCTATAGCTGCTGCGATACATCTCTCGGATGCTGCCACCATTGCCTTTCCTGCCTCTTCGCTTCTAGCTTTCAGTCAGCTCGCCTCTACTTCCCTGATGGCATATAACATTCGCGGGCCTGTACCACTTGTCACCTTTCTGTTCTGGAACGACAGCCGATTTTGAAGAATGCGTTCCTATCTCTTGCTTCTGGAAGTCCATGGCATAATTATGTCGAGCATTTGCATGACATTCCCTGGATTATCTCATGCTTGTGGCAGCCGTCATGGTGGTTAATTGCGACGATGAAGCTCACTTGCCTTCGACCCAGCAAGGCTTTCCGACATGGAGAGCAAAGAGATGGAATGGGGTTTTCGTGTGCTCCATATGTAATAGTGGTATGCGGGTCCCGATAAGCAGACGTGGTGCTGCTGTAGTCTCGGACAGCTCTTTGGTCACACAGAGACATCCTGTGCACTATGCCGAACTTGTCGCTTCCATCATTTCAGACCACCAGTTTTGTTTTTAGTTGTTCTCCCAGCGCCGTGTCATGATGTCGCAGCTTCGACCTGCTCGTCAGTTGCTGTTTCCTTGCCTCCATCGGCATCGGCTTCCTGTCTTGTCTGTTCCTCCTCGACCAAGCCCAAGTTTTTCCGCTGGAGTTCTGCGACGAAGTCTTGTGCTCCATATGTCGCAATACAATGGAAGATGGGCGGGATTGATGGGCACATCTCCCTCTTCTTCTCCCAAGACTCCAACGCCTGCAAACAGCCTGCCAGCATCATGAGGGTTTGTGATTCATGCTTATGACCAATTTCATGGTGCTTCCTCGCGGTGTTGACATCTGTATGATACTTCTCCCAACAGATTTCCATGATTTCCAAACTACTCGCGAGCCGATTTCGGTGAGCCCACATGTCTGCATAGTGCTGACATTGATATGCGATGTCTGGGACACACATGTGGGTGTCTGGGTCCTTTGGCGCAACTTCGCAAGGCGAGTTTCCGAGGAGAATGGCCAGTTCAGGCATACTGTTCATGATGTATTCGTCCAGAACTACTGGGAGGAAGATGGTTAATTCCCAGGGTAGAATGAAGCCGCATCTGCTGTCCAGGATGTCCTTTGCGGTAGTGATGTGTGACCACCCGTATGAAGTGAGAGCGTATCTGACGGTCGATGGGATCGGCAAGTAACGACAGCGAATGCAAAACCATCCGACAAGAGCCTGGGAGATCAGAAGTCGCATATTCGTGCGCAGAAAGAAGGTTGGTATCTGCATTGTTGCTGGCTTCTTGAGTGTGTCTTGTCTTGTTGATGATCGAATTGTCGTCGGCGACCTTTTGGTCTCACGGTCGGGGCCGCGAGGTTTTGGAGAGTTAGTGATTCGTCGCTCTCAGACAGAATTTTGTTCACTTTGAGATTGTTATGTGGCTTTGAGGTAAGTATTTATTGGTAAACAATGAGGCCGACTTGTGGCTGGCAGTCGAGACTTGAATCTCTCTGCTGCCTGCGGGAAGGATTCACGGTTTCAAACATGACCTGGACTCGGAGACAATGGCATGCCTAACTGATTAACAACATTTGGGTTCCGTGTGAGTGCTTTTCTGTTTTCCAAGATGCTGGAGCCGTACACGGATACGTAGAAAGATGAGTTGAGTTGCTCGAAGAGAAGGTATAAGTGAGTGATGTCATCCGCGTGACTCTTTAGAATACTGCTTCCTCCTCTACAATATTTGGCATATCCAAGAATGAATTCTATGAAAAGGTAGAATGCACGATGGAAAGGATATAAGAGGTTGGCGGATACCAAGAAATGTTCTGACTCGAATTGTTTTCAGCATGTTTGTCCATTGTTTCTGAGAGTTGCTAGTCTGAGCGGTATGTCCAACGGTGCCTGTCACAAGTGACAACAGAAATTACGCAGGAACTTCAACCCAGCCTTCAGGAAGTGACTGGCTGGTAAGTTAATTTGAAGCATGCCTGATTGACCAGTCTCATAGAGTTGCGGAAGCAAAAACATTGGTTTCGCTGGTTAAAAACCACTTCCGCCAAAGGTCAGGGTCGCACACATTACCAGCACGACTTGGTCGAACAATCGTTCCAGAGTATGAGAAGATGCCAAGCCAGAACCAAGAAAGTATGATGTTAACCCGAGCCAACAACCAGAGGAACCTTGTCCGTTTCGACGGGGTGTTTTGGTAAGGACGACCCAGAAATGATTTCCTGCGTCGTCTGCTGGTAGAAGGGTAAGAAGTCACACATAGAGAGCGTACCTCTCGGTGAGATTTGATTTCACTGTTGAGACATATCTGCTGGCTGAGTCGTTACCGGACTTAGTAGATACAGTGTGTTGAGGAAAGAAATAAAAATGTGAAGAGACTAAAGCTTTTATGTTTGTCATCAAGAAGGTGTTATGTTATATACAAGTACAAAGGTTTTCGTTCGGCTTCTTTTTCTCGTCAAATGTGTGGAAGGTGATAAGGAAGGGGGTCATGTCTAGTAATACAAAAGCGGGGCCGTAAGGGAAGCTTGGCTCGCGCCAGCATAACCCAAGGTCCCTCAAGAGGGAGAAGTGGTTTTCGAGTAGAAAGGGTCATAAGAAGGAGTTGAAAAATGCTTCCCAAAGCAGAAGAGGGCCAACAAAATCCTCGAGTACGGTCCAGAAGACAAATGCAAAACGCTTTTTCCGAGCTCAAACAAGATGGATGTGAAGAATGAGGTAAAAATACGAGATGGGTTGAGAAGAGGGATGTGACGCATTTAGTAGGCGTCCAGAAGGCATTCAAGCTCATCGAGATCGATGTTCTCAGGGCTGCGGAAGTCGTTCCACATGTCCATAGCATCATCGTCCTGATCGTCCAGAGACATTGCATCAATCGAGACTCTCTTTTCAGTGTTCCAATCCTGAGCCTGCTGCGTCTTGAGGTCGTAGAAGCCCTGGGGTCTCAAGACCGGGCTGCTCAAGTCGTACAGGGTGCTCACAGATGAGGAAAGGTGATCGTGGCCATCAAAGAGATCGTCAGTGGTTTGAACGTTATGGTCGTCCGACTCGACCGACATGGCGATAGTCTCGGAAGCCTCGACCTTGATGGGCTTGGTGACGACTTCCTGGCTCGCGCGACGGAGCTCCTGCAGGGCGTTTGCGGTCTGTTTGAAGTCACGCTCTTCGCGTTCGAGAGGAGGGCTATCGGCACGGCGGTTGTGAGCCAAGTTGGAGGTAGTTGGAGGGTGGTCACGCGAGAGCGAATGGCGAGGATGGAATGCGGAGCCGATATCGCCGTGTGGTGGCTCGTCGAGTTCGGGGCTAGACAGGTCGACTTCGGGAGAGAGCGAGGCGCGTGATCTGCTGTACTTCTCATCTTCATCGTCGGCGGCCGAGGACAGAGCGGGAGTGATGATGCGACGGGCGGCTTGAATGTCGTGGGATTGCGAAAGTTCAGGAATAGGTTGGTGGGGTTGAGTGGTCAAAAANTAATATAGCGGTCGGGGGTGGACTTGAGACTGGTACTTAGCCAGCGGACAAGGGCTGATGGCGGGCCAGTTGCGGTTGAGATAGCTGGTGAGACGCGACGAGATGAGATTTGCAGGGTTGGCAGACNNCTATAACGAGGGTCAGCGCGTTACACCAGAGCAGAAGGCTGCTTATGCTTACTTCTCCACGGCACCTATGCAGTGGCACAAAACTGCAGCCAATTCCTTGACCAGATGCGGTCTGTTGCCCGTCTTCTCGAGCTGCTTGATGGTTGCGACGACCACATCATCGCTAATGCCTTCGGTGTCGACTGTATGCACTGTCTGAGTTCCTGGTGATGGCGGAGGAGTGTGTTCGGCCAGTCGCGATGGTGGCTCTGTTCGAATAGACAGAGTCTTTGTTTTCGGTGGGCTCATCAATGCGGGAGGAGGGGACAGCGAGTCGTGCGACCTCTTGGGCTTCTTGGTGAGGGGCTCGTCATCAATAACCGTGGCTGGCGGCGAGGGATGGGATTGAGAGGAAGCTCGCGAGCGTTTGGGGACGGTGATACCAAGCTCGGAGAGGGAAAGCGACTTTCTTCTGGTGTTGTATGGCATGCTGGATGGATAGAATTGAGTCGAGGATTCGGTGGTGCGGACTGTACACAAAAGTGGATTGTTTGGGCGCGTCGGCGTTTCTGTTTCCTTAGGCGTCGGCTGGGAAAATGTGGGCGAGCAGCGGATTGGAAGCTTGGGCTGGGCGGTGATTGGTCGATTGGGGAATGGATAGTCAGCCTTGCTTATGGAGCGAGTGCTGTCCGAGAATGGTCGTGGAAGAATGTGTGTTGGTGGATAGATTGGTGAGCAGGTAGGTCGGAATGAGAATGGGTCGAATGATGATGGCGATTGTTGCTTGGTGAGGTGGTGTGAAGATGGTTGGGATGCTGTGGTCTCTTGGTGTTAGGGGTTCCAAAGCTCGGATGCTTTTGGCCAAGGGGGCTCGGCTCGTCCTTTCCACCCAAGCGGTTGCGTCGGCGGCGAACGGATGTGCGTGCTAGAAGCTTTGGCAGAGCTCTAGCCAGAAAAAAAGTTGTTTGCTCGTGTGCGGTTGCTAGGAAGCGGTAATTCTGCACAATTGTTCTGATAATTTTACGACCAGGAAATGCTGTATCTTTGTGCGAAGTGTGAGGGACTGGAAAAATGAAGTTCAGGGGAGACTCAGCAGCCGTGGTTTCCTCGATCTTGTCACAGGCAGCAGCAAGGGACTTGGCGAATACGTGACCCAGGCGAGAGAACGCACCTTCCACCGACCACCACAAAAGCCCACACACCGCGACCATCGCGACTTTCGGCCGCTACGTCCAGAAGCACCAACGTTATTTCGCTCCACTCAGCCCATCGTTGCTATCGCTCTGTGTTTCATNTGTTTCCATTGTTTGTTTGCGACACTTGTCCCCTGCTTGCGAACAGAGCTATCGCTNTCCCAGAGCTCTTTCCTACAGCTTCCCATAGCTAACATTTTTTCCATGTGAATTTCGAGACATGAAACAGCACGCAACAGCAGGAGCTCTCTCCAGCCAATGACATGATGATCGACTTTACGTCGCACCAGCCCTNNCCGCGTCTGCAGCTTGCGACGCGGAGCCATTCTNATCCAACTGATCAACCAATCACCATGGCTTTCGAGAAAAAGCACCTTCATGACCATGCACCCCTGATGCTCCAGAAGCTGTGCCTTTCGTGTCTCTGACGTTGAGTCATGCATCATACCTCGCATCAACAGCATCAACATGAAGCTCGGACTGTTCTCCATACCGTCTCCCGTCGACCCTGTCGGAGCATCGGGTATCAGGTGTTTGTTTGATCTACCTATCTCCCTCACCGCAGCTCCTGCGCCATTTCCTATCAATCTCTCACAGATCCGGTGCATCTAACTCATCTCCACTGCACGTTGAGATATCAATGGGTAGATAATTACCTAGCTACGACCTCACGGGAATCTCAGCCCCGGGGATCCGGCCCAAACACAAATCCTTCGTGCATTCATCATGCTTCTAGCTTTCAACGAGTCAAGCGCCTCGCATCTTTGCTTTTGCTTCTTTCCAGCGCTTCTCTCTACCCAAACCTGCCGTATTTCGTATTCTGTTTCGAGCTTTCTTACCCCATTTTCAGACGCTTTGCTTGCGACTCTCCGCAATCGGGTACATGCACCTCAGATGGCGGGACTGTTGTTTGCTTTTTCTCCCTTCTGCAGCAAAGCAGGAAAGTGTAACCTTAGTTGCGTCGATGACACGCACGACATCTGCACCTTATGCCCAGCCTTGTCGAAGGATCGATATGCGAATGCATTTGAGGAGCTGTAAGGCTTGCATGCTGCAGCTTCCCCTTGCCTGCTTCGTCTCTTGCGACACCGAGCTGGATGCATGTCCGTACATGGTATTGTCTCAGATGAGAAATCTGGTTGACGTTCACGGTCCGCGCCGATCCATGTATCTGCATTACAGCTACGCGTGCCGATAAGCCCGCAGCACGATACGTACGAAGAAGGGGGTGTTAAGGAAACTTTGGGATCTTGCAATGGCATTGACTTTATTGGAAAGGGACATCACGACATGCCACCCTCTGAATGAGTGACTTTCAACTCGAGCTTCTGCGATGTCTGCACTTCTCGAGCAAAGCCTTCCCCGCAATCCTTCCAGCTACGGCTGAGTCTTCGACTCTTCGTAGGGCTTCCTATTCCTCTAGCAGGATCCTTGTCTCGTTTCTTGCGAAGCATGATGAATCTTTCAGCACGGCAGGGTCATGCCCGGCGCAGCTTCCCGAGCTTATCGTTCTTGGTCGCCAGTATTTGCTTCTTTCTTCGTGGGACCACCTCTAGTGTTTTGTCGCTCGTCTGTCGAGTCGGTGGTTCAGACGCCGTTTGGGACAACGTCTTCCTTTTGAGTATGCTGTTTTAGGCAGTTCAGCGGTTATCGTCGATTCAGCGTCGGCTAAACTTCAGAGAGTTGTGTCTGATCCAAAGTCAACTTTATGGAGCAAGCTTAACTCTGGCACTCGGCTTCAAACGGCTCAAGTCTTATCAAGGGCATGTGTGTTTGCGGGCTTGCGACTCGTCAATGCTCCCAGTTTCCAAGACGTACAAAGTGGAGAGGCACTGAGAAAGCCCACCAAGACTCCAAGAGTGTCGTGTATTCAGCCCCTCGACAGAAGCCCAATGGTCCAGATTGACTCTGTGCGTGACAGGAGCTGAAGGTCGAGCACCTTGGTGGAAGAGTCATGAGCTTGGGTGTCATCTACCCCTCACTTGGACATCCAAGAAAACCAACCTTGTTGTGTTGTTTGACTTTGGACTTGCTCCTCGAGTTTATCTCCGACTTGCTCTGCCTTCTCTTTGATGCTTTGTGTGACCGGTTTTGGTTTCAGCTCAAAGATCCAAACGGTTCCAAACTGTTTCCTACGTTCTTTGACAACCTCGAGCCCGCTATCTTCAATGATTTGGCCGATGTCTCTGTTCCACCAGCAACCATGTTTATCAGCGTGTTGGGGTGCAGACATATCCAAGAGCTTGTTCATCCAGCCAATGTAACTGCGACCATGCTCAAGAAGCAAGATTCTGGCGTCCGGGTTCGAGTGATTCAGGTGTTTTGACAAGTTCTTGAGCAGCTCCACAGGTTGTGCCGTACTACAAAGACCCATGGTCTGTACTATCGTGTCGTAGCCCCTGGCCAGACCTGGTGTGAAAGTGGTTCCGTTCTTCTTCGCAGCGTCTTGTGTAGTCGGTGGCTCGGGCATCTCCCCAATGCAATCGCCTTGCAGAAACCGGATAGGCACATTCTCAGCGACCTTGCCAGGATTCAAGATGTTCCATTTCTTGCGTGCCTCTTGGACCATTTGCGGACTGAGGTCAATCAGAGTCAAACTCTTGATCTTGTCGAAGCCGTAGTAGCCCAGATTCCTCGCAGTGCCACAGCTGACCTCTAGCACATGCCCCTTGACCATGGCAGACATCTCTTTCCGTGCTTTTATCACACCTCCGACCTTCTCGGAGAAGTTGACCTCGGCGTCAAAACCTCCAGCTGTTGTATCGTAGACATTGGCGACGTCGCGCTGTGCGGAGGGCGAGTAATTGGCTTGTACGTCTTTTGCTTTGTATATCGATACGGCAAGTCCTGACATGTAGAAGGCCATGCCAAAGGCACAGGCTCCCATGACATAGACACCAACTCCTCTAGCTCCTCTCTGGAGCTTGACTTTGGACTGTGCATTTGCGGCGTCGACAGGTTTGGTAGCGGAGGCTATCGGTGTGCGTGGAGGTGGGGCTCTGTATTCGAGGACCGGAGTTCTGGCATGGTAGGGACCTGGTTTCTTCGGTATGGCTCGTGGTACACCTCGAGGCATGTTGGGGAGATATCGAGTCTTAGTGTCTTGCTTCAAAAGATTTTTGATCGCAAACATGGGAGAGAGCTGCTTGGAGAAGCTTTGACCTCTTCTCCGACCGAGGAACCTCTCAACTACCTACCGTATTGAATACTGTCTCCTCTCAACAAAGCGACTTATTAAAGATACCAGAGATCAATTGACCTCAATGTCATTCTGTATGGCACTTACATGATGATGCTCCAAGATTCAACCAACCTCTTCGCATAACATCCACTAAGGTCCAGCAACCTATTCATTGAGATCAAAGAGCCAGCAACCATAGCCATGACATCTTTCAGACTGTCTTCTAGCTCCATTACAGCTGGTCATCTTCTGTAGTAGGTCTACTTGCATTTTTGAGTGTAGCCTCAGCTCAGATCCGCTTCCAAGATGTCTTTGCATTACTATTACTTGGTCCTTTGCCCATAAGCCCATTATTACATTTCCATTGTAGGTCTACTCTTGTTGTCACACTTTCATTCATCTAGAGCTGGTTTCTGTTTTGTTCCAAGCCGGCCATAGAAGAGCGTGAGCCACAAGACCGTACTTGCAATTATTGCGATAAAAGATGACGAACAGATATGAATGTATATCATGTTCACACGTTAGTCTACCTCTTATTACTACTGACCTCACGGAGTTCCTGCTTATATATATACATTGTTATCATCACCATCATCAAAAGAACCACTGGCTTTACACACCACAGCAAACCTAGCGACTTTAAGCGTCTCGATGGAGCCTTGCCGCCCTTATAAATCTTCCGCGGATTTCACACGACCGCATCAGCACGAAAAACAACCACGTCCATAACCCGTGACCACAGCTATCGCTCTTCGTCGGTGATCAACAGTTTCGGTGAATCTCTTGCGTCCTAGCACGATTGATTTGGACAAAGATACTGCCGGATAATGAATTTGCTTGTGCTGTGATTCCGAGCTACAAGGGCAAAGAGCCTGTTGCGGAATGAGAGCTAAAAGCATAGGGAGGCACAATTGCAGAGTTACCACCGGCGCGTACGACTGACCATAGATCTCAGCTTAGTGGATCAATACCTCGAACGAGTGTGCAGATACACGACGTCCTTGAGATCAAGAATGGCTCGAGTGTCATTGTCGATGGGAAATATACCGATCTTTGCTATTGTGGTTGCCATAGCACAAAGTCGTCGTTCTCTACGAGAATATGAACATGGTATTGAGCCGTGAAGAAGCATCATAGGATGTACCCGGTCCAGTTCTTGCCGTGTAATGAAGCTGGAGCACAATGTCAACACTACACTTCGTTGAGAGCCTGGTGCGAGTGTATCGCGGCGTCGAAGGGCAGCGAATTTGGGTGAATCAAAGTAACCTGTGGTAGATGGCTGAGCTCCCGAGTGCCCAAACGTACAGCAACCAGCATTTTGTCGATTGATAATATGCAGCAGTCGCCCTTGCTGATCTTGGATATGTTGCTGCAACAAGCAGATTTTGGCATCTCCATGTTCGAGGGATATCGTCCTCGAACTGGCATTCTTGCATCTTATACCTTGCGTTGTGGTGACGCTAGCCGCCATGGCCCAGACTGTCTCTCCTTTTGATGATCTCCTTTATAGTTGTCGTTCCAAGATCCTCATAGCCTTGAGGCAAGGCCTCTGCCCAATTTGTCTTTGGAACATAACAATGGAAGCATAGCCAACTGCAGGAGTCTGCTGCGGGTGATGTCTCGATTTTCTTCCACCACAACTTCTTGCCTCCAAGTCTCGTCCAATTGCAGCCATCGCAGTGGTGCTCAACCTTGTTGTCGTAGAGAACAGGCTGGTAGGACTTCCACGGGAGTTGTTCACGTACCCATGAATACTTGTAACACCAATTTTTAAGGCGCACGTAGAATTTGTAGCGTTCATCTTCCATGCGAGCCTCCCGGAAGCGATCCCGAGCTGCATGAATCCTTGCCCTGTTATCTGGGTCCTGGCGCCATCGCTCAATATGTGGAATCGTCTGATCGATTCTCTTCCTCCAAGCGTCTGGATCCTGGCGCATCTTCTTGTAGTATGCTCTGTATCGGGCTGCTGTTTGCTGGTCGTAGAGCTCTGGATTCTCCTCACGCAGGGTGTTGCGGTATGCTATTCCATAGTCCAACTTTCGTCTGTAGGCTTCTGGATGCTTCAGGCGCCATTTGGCATAACGCCCCTTGTCATATTGACAGGCGTGGTACAGAGAGAAAGACCGTGCGAATAATGAAGCCGAGTTAGTCTTTGGCACGCCTACAAACCATCGCAGTGTCGAGCTCATGACGGCGTTTGTGTTGCGATAAGATGGTATCAAACAAGTCAGACATCAAAAGTGCATTTCCATGAATTCTTAAAAGGCACGCTAACCGTTTTGGAAGCGACGCCGCTGCTTGTGCTTTCCTTATGCAAAGTCGTCATACCTACCTCGAGTAACACAGTTAAGAAGCTGATGCACAAGATCTCGAGAGAGCAAAAGACCTCCAACTCTTCTGAAGATCGAGCACCATGACTCTCGCTCTCCCAACACCCCAAATGACGACCTTTCTCGGCTCTTGCAAAGGGCAGGTGAAAACCGAGGACCCACCCAAGCCATGGCCACAACACGTGAATCCTCCACCCCGGTCTCGGCCAGACGTGCACTGAAGGACGGTTATCGGCGGGAAGGGCGGAGGTCACTGGTGAAAGAGCATGTTTATCTGTCTCAGCAACAATATATCCGGCAGAAGGAGAAAATTTGTAGACTTGGAATTGTAGGTCCCTTGTCAGTCAGAGGCACACTGACTCATTCTTATCCTTTCCCCATCGCTCAATTCTTTCCCTGATCTTTGTTTGAGTCCTCGACTTCCACCTTCCCACATATTCTTAAGCCCAAAAGAGAAGGAAAGAGAGAGATAATGGCAGCACCTTCCCAAGAAGTTCCCAAGTCCATCTTGATTCTGGGCTCTGGAGTCTTTGGTCTCAGCACGGCATACAGCCTGACGCAAAACCCAAAATTCGCCAATACATCTATTACCCTCGTTGACCGTAGTGCTTTCCCGGCACCCGATGGCGCAAGCATAGACAGCAGTCGCATTGTCCGACCCGACTATGCGGATCTCCCTTACGCCCGTCTTGCTATCGAAGCACAGGCACGCTGGAGGAACGAATGGTGGGGACAGCAGGATGTATACCACGAGCCTGGTCTGGCGGTTGTGGTCAACAAGGACGAGTCCGACAATGGCAATGGCGATCTGGGCAGGAAATACATGAGAGACAGTATGGCCAACGTCGAGCGTTGCGGTCTCAAGCCAGGAAAGAAGAGCGAGGGTGGTGAAATTGAAGCCATGGAGACACAAGGAGACATTAGAAACATCTTCAGGGACTATACAACTGCCGCTCAGGAGACCGCTGTTGCGGCTGCTGCTGCGACGGGCCAGGGTGGTTCCTCAGTAGGTGATTTTGGCTACGTGAACTGGAGGTCCGGATGGGCAGATGCTGAGAAGGGCATGCGTGTGCTGCGTGCCAGAGTTGAGGAGACAAATCGTGTACACTTCCTCCACGCCTCAGTCTTCCGCTTGCAATTCAGCAACGATTCCGTCACTGGTTGCGAAACAGATGATGGAAGAGTCTTGACAGCAGATCTCGTCGTCCTAGCTACTGGAGCCTGGACACCAGCCTTACTGGACCTTCGCGGCCGCTGCAGTGCAACAGGCCAGATCATTTCATACATCAAGATCAGCGACGCCGAGCAGAAAGCTCTTGGAGGAAGACCAACACTTCTTAACGAGAGCAGCGGCCTCTTCATCATCCCACCCATCAACAACGTCCTCAAGATTGCTCGCCACGGCTACGGTTACTGCAACCCCGTCAGCATCCCCCATCCTGAAGACCCCTCCGCAGGAAAAATCACCGTTTCCCTACCACGCACGCACATCTCTCACCCTGGCCTGGAGATCCCCGAGGAGGGCAAGAAGGCCCTTCGCTCTTTCCTCTCCGCCGTATACCCTTCCCTCGCGACTCGCCCATTCATCTCCACACGCATCTGTTGGTACACCGATACACCTCGCGGCGACTGGCTCCTCTCCTACCACCCCAAGTACAAGAACCTATTTGTAGCCACCGGCGGCAGTGGTCACGCCTACAAGTTCTTGCCTGTGGTTGGCGACAAGATTGTAGATTGCCTGATGGGCAACCCACCAGCAGAGTTCAAGGACAAGTGGGCATGGCCTGAACGTGATCTTGAAGATCAGGTCTGGACCAAGGATTGGCGAGGCGGTATCAAGGGTATGGTTTTGGAAGACGAGNTCAAAAAGGGCGAGAACAAGGCTAGATTGTAGATAATGGATAGAATATAAGAACCCAAAAGCAGTATGCATTGTCTTGAACTTCTGATTCGACTTATATACCGTAACGACACAGTGTAACGAAAGAGCACGACAAACAGTCCGCGCTCACGAATGCGGTAGCCTCGCCTGTGCCGCTACTAACAGGAAGCCAGCAGACCGCAAACCGAACATGGTATGGATTCATCTAGTCAAACTTTCTCCTGTCAAAGATACCAAAGCATAGGACAATGTCGAACTCGGGTTGTTCGGTATATCGATGAACAAGGAGTCACGATAGGCATAGCACAAGAATGGAAGAGTTTCAGGATATTTTTGTGATGACATTAGAGGAAACTATATACCTCTGTCACATTATTTATGCTTTAAAAGAATGGCAATTAGGTGAGTGGTGCACACCAAGTGGCAGCAAGGTGGCCCATCATTTCCTTTGCATTCCTCAGCACATGAGCAAATTGCTCATGCCTCCAGCCATCACGCCTCGTTCCAATCTTTCCGCCGGTCTGTTCATTCTTCTCTCCGTCATGTTTTTCATAACTATTTCTTGCGGCCACGTCAAGGAAAGCAGCCCTCCAATTTGGAAAGAGTAAAAGAAAGAATCGATGTAACAACGCCAACCAAAGTGATCGATGCTCTCATGCTTGGTCATGTGGTATTGGAAAAGAAAGAGAAGACCAGCATTGTAAGAGACAATCGTTCCTCTTCGTTGAAGTACCGATCCGAAGAGATTTTGAGAATCGCCATCCGAAAGAGAAAAAAGCCTTCATGCTCAAAGCTCTGAATGAAACCGGAACGCCACGCCATGCAATTGCAGAAAAGGGAAATAGAGGATGTGTCGAAGAGCAGAGATGATGCTGACGACACATTCGTCGAGGTTGGCAAGACCTCATAGTGGTGAAAATACATCCGAGGATGGAGTCTATTGTTACAAGTGCCAGTGAAGGTTGTAGGTGTTCAGCGGGGGTGTTTGTTTGCTCCGATTTTAGCTCCGGGCTTTGATAGAATGATTTGGAGTCGACTTAAGCCTTGCGGAAGTCGGACAACACAGGGTAGATCATCTCGAAGGCTTGATAGATCTCCTCACGAACCTTGGCTCCAGTGAGAACGATCTTGCCAGAAACGAAGATGAGAAGCACCNNTGAGAGATGTTAGTAAAGAGAAGGAACACATGGTCACGGTGGAAGAAAGTCACGCACAATCTTGGGCTTCATCATTCTGTAGATGAGACCAGGGAACAACTCAGGCTCGTAAGAGCTGAACATGTGATGGCGGGCAGCAAGACCTTCCAGACGGATAGGGAACTTGATGTCGCAGGAGCCAACGATGTTCTGAATCTTGAAGTCGGTGAACTTGGCGTTGAAGCCGAGCTTCTGGATGATACGAGCGTACTTGCGAGAAGCCAGCTTCGAGTCGTCCTCAGACTTGGCACCAGTGACGACCATCTTGCCAGAGGCGAAGATCAGGGCGGTAGTCTTGGGCTCGCGGATACGCATAATAACAGCGGCGAAACGCTTGGGGTTGTACTCTGCATTACGAGCGTGGAGGGCAATGGTCTTCAGATCGAGTCTGCAGTCAAGGTTCACCGTGGCGACAATGTTCNNCTTTACGAGCGCGAAACGTCAACGACATGCCAACAACAAAACGTTGCAACACGAAGATACTCACTGCAATGTAGGCACGATGCCACTGACACCCTGACCAGCGCCAGGCGTAGCAGCAGGAGTCGCGGGAGTCACCCCAGCGCCCTGTTGAGCGGCGACTGCTTGCTGAGCAGGCTGCTGCTGCTGACCTTGAGGCTGAGAACCGTATGCGCCGTTTGTCTGCGAAGTCTGCTGTCCATCTTTCTCAGATGAAGGTGGGGTGAGGTCACCAGCGCCACCTGGGAAGGACAAAGAGCCGGGTGCGGTGAAGTTCTTGGCCTGAGCGGCGGTCGAGGGGTGCGTGATGACAGTCTCCATGATTGCGGTGAGCTGTAGATGAGACGGTAGAGTGTGGGAAGGCAGTCTGAAGCAAACTGATGTCAGGATTGGAATTCTTGAGGTTTATCTTGAGTAGTTAAGCGACAGGAGATGAGACGAGAGGAAAGGTGATGAATGCGCAGCCAGTGACGACCTCGTGGAAGTGTGAACCGGTTGCGACGATGCGTGCGACAAGTGAGGAAAGGAAAAAGCGGCGTCGTCGCGAGCGCTCGGAAGTGAGATGGATAGTCTCGTACCGTTAGCGGGAGAGAAACAACCAAATGTGTCTCCTACAGATGCTGCCTGGAGGATGCGCTGTGGTAGAGAGAGATGGCGATGCCAACAAGTGAACTCGAGTTACTTGGAGAGAGTCTTGGCGCTATCCCAATCCGGAAAGTGAGAGAACCGCAAATGGAAGTCCCTTTCACAACGATGTCGGCCGAAGGACAAAGAAAATCGCAGCAGAAAAGTGGACAATAACGCGTGATGGACGCAGCGATTGTTGGTTTAATGCGGCGAGTTGCAATGTGTTGCGGGGACGATGTGGAGGGGCGCCGTTGCGTAAAGGGTCGGGCAAAGCGTAAAAGGCGCGGAAATTTGCGACAAGGAAGGGGATGCTCGAGGTACTTATAGGCCACAGCCACACGCCGCCAAGCCTTACTAAACCTTGACTGTCTCGCGCTTGCAAATCTTTTGCTCCACGCCAAAGCCTTCGACCAGATTCTTCTGCCGATTTCCACCAACCTGGCTGTCGTTCTTTCCCTATCGACACCAGAACACCTTGTTGGTACACGACTGCGATGCTGAACAGACGCTTCTAGCTTGGACAGTAGTTGAATAACCCTCTCCTTGCCTTCTAGAGTACGCGACAGACGCCAATAATTATGACTCACCACCCTCGGCACGCTTTGCCGCACACTTCTTGTCGGCCAGCATGTGAATGAGACACCAATCATGCCATTCACACCACCACTTGTCAACGAACAACGCCATCCACCGTCAGCGACAATACCTTTCTATTCAACAGCGCTTAAAGCGATTCGTTTCTCGAATTTCGAAAAGGAGAACGGACGGCTGTGATGGCTCTTTGCCGTCGCCTCCGCTAAAGCAGCCGTCAGGGGCTTATCGCCACAAAATCTTGGTCCGCGCGGTGTTGCTTGCTTGCTTGCTTGTTGCCGGGGTCATGATTTCCACCGCATCATCACTGCATTTTGTAAAAGGTCTGATTAAGCCTGCCTTGTTAAAGCCGATTCATTTGGTTTGTATGGCTTGGAAGAGTGACTTGCTGTTCGTCATGTCGCCTTGTGCCATGTTGGGCTGCCGCCTCGAACATACGTTTCGCTGTCGCCTGAGCCTCGACTCTGTGCTGTTTGAGCAAGATGATGACCTGCTGGGTCGCCATGGGATTGTATCAACTGCAGATGAATAGTCGTTGGTTCATTGCACTGCCAACATGCATTCTTCTGGTAGGCAGGCCAACACTGCAGACGGCGTCGTCGCCTCGCATAAGCTTGCGCAGATTTCCTGTCTTTTGGATAAGAATCGTCCACTAAGCGCTCTGCTGCCGGCAAGCAGCAGCAAGATCTTCAGTCTCCCATCCTTGCTTCTTCGTTGTTCTTATTGGCCAAGACTTTGGTCATCTGTTTACCTACTCCAACCTGCTGCTGCCTAGCGACGCTGCTGCTGCCTACGGGTCGCATGACTCACTTCAACATGGTTGGCTATATAAAGAACTGACCTCTCGCCGCTCTCCTTTCCTCCTACAAGTCTCTTGCCGAATGGCTCGAATCGATTTGTAGTATCTGTTCTTCTTATGTTTGACCACTAAGATTTTTTTATGTTGAACCTACTCTTTGGAACATGCTGGGAGATCTCTGGGGCTTGCCTCCATGTCTCCTGGCACAGTGTCGCTTGTCTTGCAGTTCCGCAGGCTGACGCGAATGACCTACTTTTTCATCAGTTTTGACTCTGGTTTCTGAATTGGAGGCTGAAGAAGAACGTATCACATTTCTTGCAGCTGTAGATGGCGCTTTCTTGGCTTGCTGATATGCAAGACGGTAAGCGCCGGCACGTGGTGACACAGCTGAACAGAGGTTGGACTAGTCGAATCCCTTTCCCTCTTTCCTCTGCATACACTGCAAATGGATTACCATTGAATGCATGCACAAGGTGTCCCTCAGAGGTCGATCCCTTGAGTGCTGACCGCGATGCTTGACCCCTTCACCTCTAGTTTCATACCATCTTTCGCACGACGGTCGCGTCTCAATGCAGACCCATGTCGGTCTCGCCAAACTCACGTAGATGCCTTTGACTGTAAAAACTGCTGGAAACCGTACTGTGGAACGTATCCCAGGGGACTTATTGGACATGACGTCGACCAACAACTTTAACTGTGTGCATTCCAAATCGTCACGGCGGGGTCATAATGACCCTCGATCCCGCCATGTTCATAAGAAGCAAAATATCTAGCACTCGGAAAGCAAGGAAAGAGAAGTACTCTATTACGGCATCTCAACATCACGATACCGCAAGAAAGCGCCTTAGATCGAACACGAGACATTGCAAGCATGGCAAGCTACTTGGCTTCGTACATCCCCGCCATCAAATCGATCCTCCCACAACCATCGCCGTCCGTAGCCGCGCTGCCGGAGATTGGTAATGTGGCTCCAGCGCCAGTAGGCTCGATAGAATTGACGCACGGCAATGGCACACCTACTCTTGTGGCATTCGTACGGCATTGCGGATGTCCCTTCGCAGAGAAAGAGGTGCAATTACTAGGAGCTGAGAGTCACAAGCACGAGAAGCTGCATGTGGTCATTGTTCAACACAGTGACGAGGCTACCGCGAAACAGTGGTTCGAGGATATTGGGTAAGTCTTTTTGAAGAAGACGCTGACTGCAGCGATTTTTGCGGTCATAAGTACTCATCGTATCTTAGTGNGCAAGAAAGCATTCCCAGACTCGACTCGCTATACCATCATCTCAGACCCCGAGCGCAAGAGCTATGCAGCATGGGGCGTTGGATCTCTATGCTGGACTGGCGTGGTCAACGGCGATATCTTGGGTGCGCTGAAGACATTGAAAGAGTCGGATGGCATCGAAATGAGGCCTACAGGCACCGGAGCGTATCGATGGCAGAACTCCGGCGGCTTTGCTGTTGATGGCGAAGGCAAGATCAGATGGAGGAAAATTGCCAAAGATTCTTCTGATGTGTGCGATTATGCTGAAGCGGCCAGAACGATCGTGGATGGCCCTTCGCAAACGCAGAGCCGTCTGTAGAGCTGCGGCGCGAATGTCATAATGCTTCTAACGAGTTGCCAATGGATTTTTAACAAACTGTAAATCAGAGGGGTCTAAACCTCACTTGGCTCTCGCTGATCTCTCGAATGCTTTAGCAGGTCGCCAGGCCCTACGTGCTACAGCATGCTTTCTAATCACCAATTCATATTCTCACGTTTCCTAGATGTCATTCATGGAAGGGGCGTAAAGTGTTACGATAAGCTTGGACTATTTCGCATGTACATGCCCGAGTTGGACGATGGCGCAAGCTGGGTAAACACTAGGGCGAAGGAAGCCGTGCTTCGTATAAACATCTGACTCACAGCAATTGGACACATACGTAAAAAACACCAAAAGCAACATATAATAAACTTTCCAACACAATCACAGATCAATCAATATCACATCAGATTCAAAGTCAAGATGAGCAACACACCGNAACGCCCACTGGGTGAAAAGGTCGCAAACACAAATCCAGCACCATGGCCTTCAAAGGAGATTACTATGCAAGGCAAATACGTTACTCTGGAACCACTATCACCAATTCATGCCGAAGCGCTCTTCCCACTTATCGGCGGTACTGCCAATGAGCGACTTTGGGATTACATGCCTTACGACCCTTGTCCGACCACAGTCTCAGCTCTTCACGAGGATATGGTCAACAAAGCAGCTTCTTCAGATCCAACCTTCTACACCATTCTCAAACATGTCGGCGACAAGAAGGAGGCTGTGGGTTGGTGTTCCTACCTGCGTATTGAGCCCAAGAATCGTGTTATTGAGGTTGGGCATTTGATGTTTTCGTCAGTGCTGCAGAAGTCGGTTGCTGCCACGGAGGCTATGTATTTGATGGCCAAGTATGCGTTTGAGATGGGATACCGTCGGTATGAGTGGAAGTGCCATAGTCTCAATGCACCGAGCAGGAGGGCAGCGGCGAGATATGGGTTTGTGGAGGAAGGCACTTTCAGACAGGCGCTGATTGACAAGCATGGAAGGAACAGGGACACGACTTGGTTTTCTATGTTAGACTCGGAGTGGGATAACAGAAAGAAGGCTTTTGAGGGATGGTTGGACGAGAGCAATTTTGACGAGCAGGGTAGGCAGAAGAAGAAGCTGGAGGAGTTTAGAGTATGATGAAGTCGCGTTGCACAACAATCTATAGAGATAAAAGCTGTCTATTACAGACATGACGGTCTTTCTAATATGCTTGCTGCAAGTCACAAATTCGGTCAGCAAAAGCTCTCGAGAGAAGAGTGACGAAAGTGGTAATGGAAAAAAAGCCAATATCAGGAATGGAAGCAGTTGTCATTCATAGTGAATCTCCGTCTCGTCTTGAAACATATTTATACTTGGTCATCACAAAGGCTGTGTATGAGGGTAGTGCTGATGCTCAGAGTACGTACCATGCTCGTTGGTGTCAAGAGCGCATGGCTCAGATGACAGTGCAGTCAGACAAACAAGTCACAGACCTCGAACGTGCTGTCGTTGTTGATGGAAGACGTGTCAGACAACAAAGAGTGATGGTGGCCGGATGGTGAAATAGCCGGTAGCCGACGATGGACGGGATGCTAGGGCATGATGGGACACGCGAATTGCACGAGCGTCAGCGGGACATCCACATTTCACGGTGGCTCTCCCCACACGCCCACCCTTTCTATTAGTTCGCGGTCCGAGGCCCTTGATCCTGACAGCAGCGACCTCTCTTACCTTCTCTCTTGTCTGGACCATGGCGAGAGAAGCCTTTGCGCACCCGCATGACATGATATGAAACGAACCTGACTCGGCCACTCAGCAAGCCCTATTCTCAGAGCGTCCACTCCTTCCAACCCCACACAACATCACCATCAGGCATACACATTGCATGAAGAATTTTAGACCCCCACACAGCGAACATGCCCGACAAACCCCTCACCATCGCAACCTACGCCGCTGGCGCATCGTTAGCAGCCATCACCCTCGTCTATGTCTTTGGCCCCACCTTTATGCTCGACGATGAAGCCTCACAATCCTCGCGCTCCACCCGCAAGAGAGGTGTTGTTGGCCTTGTCAATCCCGCCAATGACTGCTTCATCAACTCAGTCCTACAGACCTTGGCCGGTCTTCCCGAATTGCGCATCTACCTGATCCGAGAATTACACCGACGAAAGCTGGATGGGAAAGAAATTTACTCGATTGTCGAGCAATTGGAGGATGAGATCTCGCCCAATGAGAGCAAGGATATTGTCAAGATGAACGAGACGAAAGAGCCAAGCTGGAAGGTCTTGGGCTTGCAGCAAGGTCTCGTCACAGCTGGACTCAAGGACGTCCTGGACGCGCTTAACGAGCGACCCATCTACAAGAAGACCATCTCGGCCCGTACATTCGTCAGTGTCATGGAGACTGCTTTCAGAACACGCATCAGTCGACAGCAGCAAGACGCCCAAGAATTTCTACAGATCGTGGCCGAGAGGCTGAGCGAGGAATACCACGCTGGAAGGAATGCCAGAAGAAAGGCCAAATCGCTTAAGAGCCCCAGTACCACAACTCTCAAGTCACCAGAGACTGAAGACGACATCAAAGAGAATGGACACAATGGACGACCGAACACGCTTCGCCCTGTAGAGTCGGCTCGAGGTCTGCAAGCAAAATCAGAGATTGAGCAGATCCGTCAGAGTGTGCATCAACCACCACATGCAGAAGACGATGACTTGCAAGACGATCCGGGCTTTCCCTTCGAAGGAAAAATTGAGGCTCAGATCGAATGCATGACTTGTCATTTCAAGCCCAAGCCTTCAGTATCTGGTTTCGTTACCCTCACGCTCAACGTGCCGCACCACTCCTCGACCACACTTAACGCGTGCTTCGATGGTATGCTGAAAGTCGAACACATCGATGACTACAAATGCGAGAGATGCCGTCTGGAACATGCCATTCAAGTCAAGACCAAGGAGTTATCACGCGCTTCGGACGACCAAACACGCAATCTCCTGACTCACGAACTGTCCGCCCTAGAGAACGCACTCGCTACGGATCCGGAAGCTCTACCAAAGAACATCAAATTACCCGACCCATCTCTAGCTCCCAAGCGTCGCATCTCACGCCACATGCGCATCAGTGCCTTCCCTAAAGTCCTCGCCATCCACCTCTCACGAAGTGTCTGGGATCCTAATTCCAGCAGTAGTAAGAACATGGCCAAAGTCAGCTTCCCGGAAACACTACCATTGGGTGGACTGTTAGATCAGCATTCTTATCGTCTTCTGGGCGTGGTAACGCATAAGGGAGGTCACAACAGCGGTCACTACGAGAGTTTCCGACGGCAATACCTGGCAGAACCATATAGCGCCAAATTAAGCATGGGTACACAAGGCATGTACTCCGCTCAAGGAACACCGAGAGCAAGTGGCATGCCCAGTCCAATGCTCGAGCCCACTACCCCTGGCCTCTCACATTNNCCCCCCTCCAGCAGCGGTAATAGCACATCCTCACGTTCTTCCTCAAAGAAGCGTTTTTCCCTTCGCCATCGTCAACATTCGAAACACGCAGATGGCACCAGCGACGAGAAGAGCACAGTCAGCAGCAGCAGTGGTGCCGAAACGCCCTTGCCGCAGCAATCACACAGTCCCTCGAAACCAACTTCGGAGCCTACATACCAACAAACCGCTCGCACATCCTCAAAAGCAGGAAAAAGCCTTGATCTGAGTAGGTTAAAACGAAAACAGAGAAACCAGCATAACAGATGGTGGAGGATCAGTGACGACAAGATCAAGGAGTCCAAGACCAGTGATGTGTTGGGCATGCAGAGGGAAGTTTATCTGCTCTTCTACGAAATCATGGTGCCTGAGGTTTGAGATTGGTTCTCTACTTCCAACCTGCTTTTAATCATTCTACCATGGCGAAATTGTACAAATCTGTTTTGGTATGTTTGTTTTGTACATACATAATTTGCATATGGCAGCTTTTTGCATCTTCAATAAGCTCTCTCGTCAAGCGGAATATTACTCAGACACCTTGATTGAGCATCGACGATCTTTCACTCAACTCTATAAAAGAAGCGCTTCTAGTATTTGATCCTGCTTCTCTCTATCACGAGGAAATTTTTGGAAAGTACGTCCTTGCCCATATGAAAGCGCTTATTCTACGTCTGCTCGGGACAGGCTCTTCTGTTAGCAATCACACGGCAGACTGAGCGAAGCAATAGGGTTCATGGCCGTACAGGAAAGCCCTCACTTCTCTCCTACAACCGTCATGCTTGGTGGGAATGTTGAAGTACTGCACGACCTCTTTGCACTTATCAAGGTGTGAGGGAACCCACGGTACCTAGCCAATCATGACAGACCTGGACCGACGACTTTCCTCGTCATCTGCTGGGTTGGCATCTGTCTTCTAGACACGACCAGCCGCGAATGCATGCCCGAGATCATCACGGTATGTTCAGGGAAAGAAACAAGGACAGCACGGGAGATTATAATGACCACATGCACATTGCATCTCAAGTGGAAGGAGCAAACATGCTGATCCTAGAAGGGAAGCAGCGTTTTTGGCACTTGCTAGAGTCAAGTGGATAGCACGAGTGAGAATCGTTTTGTATTCTCAAGAAGCTCTTTCATCCTTCCAATTGAACCTCTCCCTCCCTCCGTCAATAGATCAACTGGCAATGATGTTTCTCTGTTAAGCTTCTCTTGTGACTCTACAAACAAGACAGCTAATCGCGACGTCTCGAACACTGATATACCTATACACGATTATCACAGCGATGTGCAGACTTGATTGACACTCGGGTTGATTCCGCAGCCTTGAAAATCGAAAACCAAATTATAAAGGATAGCAACGCTTCTCTTCACAACAAGCCTTAAGAATTTACAAAGCATTAATTACGTACTAATAACTCTAGCTTCGAGTCAAGGAGCTCGACCAAGTCGTTCGAGACGAACAAGAGAAAGGCTTTGGTCTGTCATCCATCATGTGGATCAGCAAGCTAGATGGGATGATCAGGTTCATGACTGTATAGGAAGACCTCGTCCCTCTCCTGCAGCCGTGATGGCAAGAGGGGAATGTTGAAGTACTGCACAATATTTACACTAGGCACTGGCTGATCGGAGATATCACAGGGAGGTTGAACATTCACAGGCCTATAGCATTACTTGAGCGGCCAGATTCAATTCATGGCATTGCAGACTCAGCTAGCCTTGCCCTTGCCCTTGCCCTTGCCCTTGCCCTTGTCCTTGTCCTTGTCCTTGTCCTCTGCGGCCTCCTCGGCGGCGGCGGTGATTGCAGAGGCGGTCTTGTGCCCATATGGGCAGGGTATTTGTTGCTACCGCTAAAAATTCATACTGCCGCTGCTACTGCTAAGGGTGCGAGTGATGATCACTCATTACTTCACCTAGTGGTCTGAAAGTACGCGTGAAGTGAGTTGGGTCTTCGTGCTCAACAACATGAACTTGTGAAGCATAGCAAGAATAAAATCGACCAACAAGTGAAGAGAAGTGTCGTATCAGTCATTACATGTTTCTATCTAATACATTGCAACCATTACCCAATTGCCTTTGTGCTCATTCTCCCTCCTCCCCGTGTGCGAAAGTATGTAACGCATGTTAGCTATGAAAATGCAAAATTTTATCTAGAGATAAGGATATGGCCAAAGAGAGTCGATGAGAGATCGCTTCTCAGTGGACAATATCCTATCTTCTGATAGTATCGTGCGTTTTTATAGCGTGTACTACTCTCTGCGGCGTCGGAGTACACTGGAAGTTACATCCTTTAGTACACGGCAAGGCTGTTTCTATCAAGCCTTGGTTTCGGGCCAAGGATAGACGGGCATCTTGATCTTTGGCTCCTTGACTCCCAACATGCCAGCAATCCACAGCCCAATCTTGTCAACTTTTGCAGTTGTGAGTGCCCAAAGGATGGTGTTTCTAATCCACAAGCCCCAAGCACTCTGCGGATTCAGCAGCTGCATGGCATAATCACCAATAGTGCTTTGTTGACTTTTGGCAAACGGCAACATCAACTCCTCATATGCTTTCGTTGCCGCACGAACATCGAGATTGTTGCGGAGTAGTTCGCCAGCCAAGATGTAACCGCCCATGATAGCAAATGAGGTTCCAATGCCAGGGGTAGCGTATCCAGCATCTCCAAGCAAAACAACCCTTCCATCTTGGATTTTGGGCGCGCGCACCTGGGCAAATCTCGAACAGTAGAAGTCTGGTGTTTCGCGCATGGCTTTGAGGATTTCTGGCGTTTGGTGGAAACCTGCGTCTGCAAAGGATTCTTCGACGAGTCGCATGTAGCTCTCGTTGCCCTTGCGCAGGGCAGTGGTGATCTTTTGGCGTGTGGCAGTGTCAGATGGCCATGCTGAGTTCATGAAATGGCCTCGAGTGCGGCCGCGCGGGTCAGGGTCCGGGCGAAGGAAGATAGCACGGCCGCCAGTGGTGTTGTACCATTTTGCCAGTTTAGAGCCATCGAGAAGGTCTTTNTCGATGACGAAGAAGGAAGCATAGACGCCTTCGTCATGCATGTGTTCGGCTGGAGAGGTGCCGAGCATCATTCCTCTGATTTTTGAGGCCAGGCCATCTGCTGCGACCAACAGGTCATAGGATTGTGCTTCTTTGCCGTTCGAGAAGGTGACAAACACCTTATCTTTTCGCTGCTCGTAGCCAGCCACAGACTCACTAAACACAATCGTCACCTTATCCTCAATATCCTTTGCGAAAATCCTCGCCAGATCACCTCTGAAGATCTCGTATTCAGAAGTCATGGTCTGGATATCCTCGTTGCCAGTAGCCATCCAAGTAGCAAAGGACTTTCCAGATTCATCGACAAATTCCACGCCTTCTTCTTTGGTAGTCTTTGAGCGAATCTCTTTNTCGACGCCCATCCATTTTATGATGTCGACGGCTGACGAGCGGATGTCAACGCTGGCACCGGTGAGACGCATTGATGGGTCGCGCTCGACGATTGTGATTGTGGCATGTGGATAGGCACGCAGCAACGTGGATGCAAAAACAGTGCTTGCGATGCCGAAGCCTGAGATGAGCACGTTTGGCGAAGATGTCGACATTGTTGTTGCTGCTTCCTTGCGTATGGGTATGAAAATCGTAATTTGTTGTAAGACAGGAAGGAAAGTGTTTCAAAATATGATTTGTAGGAAAGGTACTCTACCTCAATCTCGAAAGGGGAGCTCCTCGTTATAAGTCACTGTGTCGGTACTTACAAAGGTCCATCGTTGCAGCCTCAATCAAAATCCTTCGGGCTTTACTATCGCCCGGCGTCGTTACAATCCTTCACTTTTTGTGTGACCGGTAGACAAGGCGGTCTCTGCGGTACACAGAATCAGAATCCGGCCGAATCAGACACATCATCTGGTATACAAGGTTTCTCTTGCACCTGCTTGGAATACATTCTTTAGTCAGCCGCGGACAAACCATGGAGCAGAGATATGAACAGTGATTGGTCGTCAACGGATGAGGCTCAGTTTCATTGTGGCTTACTAAGCTCGTTGGAGGTAGCACCCTGTTTTTGAGATGCATCTCTAATCACAACTTATGCTTGTCGGTAGTGAGGCCTGTTTTCGCTGTACTTCACAGATACAATAGGGAGAATTTACGATACCAGAAATAAGTGGGAGATACGAAGTTAGTGATGCGGGTGAAATTGGAAACACCTTTGGTAAAGATAAGTCGTAGAGTGTTGCTCACACGAATGGCCCAACCTTCGAAAAGATTGTGCAACACCATAGTACTGTCAACATGATTGAATCCAGGCGGAGGGATTTTTCTGTTCTTTTGTTCATATAATAGACAGAGAGTGCTCTGGAGAAAAACAAGATAATCAAACAACGCCAGAGACAGCCTTTTCCCATGCATGCATTTTTTGCCCTTTTCATTACTCCTGTTCAATACTAAAATATCACCTTATTTGGCACCATACTTTCTCACGATCTGAGCAACAGCAGCAGCAAGATCTTCAGCTTCAGCACGCGTGCTTGCTTCGGCGTACACACGAACAGCGTCTTCAGTACCAGAAGCGCGGGCAAAACTTCTGCCGTCCTTGTACTTGGCGACAACCTTCTCGATGTCTTTTTGTGCGCCAGCGGGAGTTGCGAGTTGACGCTCAGCAGTGCCCTCGACGGTGGTGAAGAGATTGCGATCAGCAACTTCGACACGAACGAGACGGTTGGGCAGGTCGGTGTAGGTCTGCAGCCACTCAGCGCAGCTGAAACCCTTGTGTGCAAGAATGACCTCGACGAGCAANAGGTCGGAGAGCGCATCACCGACAGTCTGGTTGATCAGGTCGGTCAAAGCCATAAGTGTTGACAGAGCATCAGCCTGAGCAGGTGATTGAGGCTGATGAGTGTGGATGGACTTGAGGGCGGAGGGAGAAAAGACGACGGTGCCGTGTCCGTTGGCCTCGAAGTAAACACCCACGTCAAAACGAGTTGCAGCGTGGTGCAAGTGCTTGACACCAGTAGGAGTGCAGACGATTTGCAAACCCAGGTTCTTTTGAATGTACGTTGTCGATGCACCGTTAGCGTATGCAGTCTGTACAACACCAACAGTAAGCTTGTCCATCAGACCAGATTGACGAGCAAGTTCGGCGATGAATGAGGCGGCAAGAGTAGCGATGCGGTCACCGTCCAGAAGTCTGAAGACGTTCTTCTCGTCTTGGAAGTAGTAGACGATACGGTCAGCATCACCGTCCAGCGAGCAACAGCGATCTCCAGGACCAGCCTTGGACGAAGGAGGTGCACGCTGGTTAGTCTTGACAAAATCGGCACCGCACTACCTCAGTTAGCACTATCGCATAGGAAAAGGATCAGGGCAACTCACCTGGTGGTTCAAGGACTCGGGCTTGTGGACGTCATCATTGACAACCTTGACATCGAGACCACCATCAGCAGGAGAAGGAAGATGCTTGAGCAGTTCGCGCAGCTTAGGACCTCCGACACCGTTTGCGCAGTCAACAGTCAAGTGGCCCTGGGCCTTTGTGTGTTCCATGGCCTGCTTGAAAGCGGCAGCCAACTTCTCGTAATAGCCCTTCTCGCTGACCTCACCGTACTCGTCCTGAGTGCCCTTTGTGTTGACGCAGCGAACCAGGTAATGAAGTTGAGGGGTGGTGAGGATTTTGTAATCGGTAACGTCAGCCTTGGTGGCAGTCAAGGCGTCGTTGAGGCATTCGACCAGGCGAGAACCCGAGGCACGAGTGTCACGGGCGAAGATGACTCTGGCAGGAGCATCGAGGTTCACCTTGAGCGTCTTGACGAGTTCGTTGTAGACTTGGAGGAGGTGGTCATCGGAATCGGCATTGGCGAGTTGAGTAGCGTACTTTTCCCATGAAGCCTCGAGCATCTCACCCTAGATGATCGGTCAGAGGTGGGTTTGACAATAGAGAGTGCAGAAGAGGCAGTGTACCATTGGATCGACAAGCTTGACGCCGTTGTCCTCGGGAGGGTTGTGACTGGCGGTGATCATGACACCAATGGTCTGGCCATTGAGCTTGCGCGAGCGCAATGAGGCCAGGAGTCCTACACGGTAGACGACCGAGTCGAGGATGTTNGCTGCGGATGGTGAGTTGGGATACAATGAGACGGGGGTGAGAGTAACATACGCCTTCATACGGAACTGCAACGATCGTCAGCATTGTGTAGACAGCATCATGGCGGATCAGCATCATCTTACGCCAGCAGTGCCATATTGGAACTTGCCCACCAGCTCAGCAGGAGTGGGGTGTTTGGCCGAGGCCTCCTTGACAGCTTGGTCGTGGCTCATTGCAGAGATGGACGAGATGTTTGACAGTCGATGCAATGTGTCAAGGGATCGTGTAGAGAAGACAGTCACGATGGAGGGTTGGGGTCGGAATATTATTAGACATTGAAACTCGTATGAAACCCAAAGCAGCCGAATGCGGGCAAGATTGACTGTGGAGCTCTGAGGTACACAAACTCTCTCCCGCCAGGAACTCGGTCCGCTCCGCAGACGACGCCAAGCATCAGATTTCAGAATCAATCCACGCTCTGCACCTCTATACCAGCTCTGTACCCCTCTCCAGCTTCCTGTCGCCATCTGCATATCAAACCGCATATACCGAAACTCTCTATACATCTTCATCGGACCTCTGCCGGCATGAACAGCCTCTTCTCCCTCCGCTGCCTTCGCAGTGCCGCTCCGCAAACCACCGCCTCTCCCGCTACATATCAGCCCAGCACTATTCTCCGCGCTCTTCAACAATCCCGGTCATTCAGCAGCACTCCTGTTCCTCAANAAAGGAATCGCGGTGGCCCCAAGAAGGATGCTCGCATTCGTGAGTCCATACTACTACCCTCGCGCCAACTTACAGTACTGACTGTTTCCGAAAAGNAATTGATCCGCTACTTCCTTTCGCATCCTATCACACCCAGACCTCTCAGATTCTCCCGCGATCGCTACCTCAGACACTGGACCATCCACCGCGCATGGCAGATCTACAAGGCTCAGCAACGCACACAGCACGAGCGTGACCTCGAGCGCCAATACCAGAGCATGAGGGATGCCTGCGAAGCCCTGCGTCTCATGGATTCATCCGGAAACATTGTGNAAGAGGGAGAGGCTGCCGCACAAGGAAAAAATGTCGGAAGGTTGTACAGAATCGCCATGATGAAGAACGACATCTGGGGTGGTGTACCCATCGAGTACGCCCGCATCCAAACCGACAGCCCAAGCACTGATGGCTGGAACCACGGTTGGACGAGGTAGATGTTCTTGTTGTCATGTCTGTAATCTTATTTTGTATCATACTCTGGCGTTGATCTTATGCGATCCGGTATTCTCTGAAATTATCAAAACAGTTTACAAGTATACCACCAATATCCCATGCATAACCCATTGTCAGCTACGAGCGGAATGTCAGCGCAATGTATATCACAATCAGCAGGCCAATATCTAAGATTGAGGTCGGCCAGGGATGGCAAATTGGTCGAAGTCTAGAATACCAACAGAAGATGTACTGAAAGAAAATAGTGGTATCAGAGTGAGCGGATCTCGGGTCAGAACGTACCCTCATTGCCGCCTCTAAATGCATCTTCTTGAAACATCAGCACGACATCGACAAAGGAAGAGAACCAATCCGGCTTTTCAACACCACGCCCACAACGAAAAGAAAGAAACAACTAAAAAAAGAATAATAGAGGCCCGCCCTTGGTACCACTTCTTGTACTCCGCAAACTGAAAACGCCGTCCCAATGCTGGTCATATATAGGAAGGAAGAAGGCCGTGGGTTCGCGTAAGACAGCTAAAGGATGACACAGCAGCCTCCGCGCTCCTGTTTGTCAACCGCAAGCAGAGCAGCTCGGGTTGCTGCCTCGAATACATCGTCAACTCCGTCACCTGTCAGACTGCTGCATTCCAGATACTTTCGTGCTCCGATCAGTTCCTTCATGTCCTCTCCAGCCTTGGTAGTGATGAATTTTTGGCTTCTTTTGCGCATCTCCTCCTGAGCTACGGGGTCGTCACGAAGATCCTTNTTCAATCCGACCAAGATGATGGGGACTCCGGGGCAGCGTTCCGTAGCCTCGTCAGCCCACTTGTGCTTTACGTTCTCGAGAGAGTCTGGTGTATCGACGGAGAAGCCTATCAAAATGACATGGGCCTGCGAGTAAGCCAGGGGTCGCAAACGTTCGTAATCCTCTTGTCCAGCGGTATCCCAGAGCGCTAGTTGTACAGATTTGCCATCTACACGGCAGTCGGTCACGTAGTTTTCGAATACAGTCGGTACCTAAAGACGATCAGCAAACCAGCATAGACCTTTGAATCGGCCATGTTCGTANCGTATCGCTATCGGACAGTTAGCAAAAGTCGGGCGGAACAAGAATATGATAATACGTACAGTGGGAAAGTAGCCAAGAGTGAACACACTCAACAAACTAGTCTTTCCGCAAGCGCCATCGCCGATGATGACCAGCTTTCTACAAAGCATAAAGGTCAGCTTAAGGTGATCAAGACACAATTAGACACGCGCCAGCTTCTCGTTCCTCGGCCCTCTTCTGCTATCGCTAGCTAGCAAGGCCCAGGTTCCTTGTAATTAGTGAAAGGATGCATGAACATTACAGAGATTCGCAAGGATATCCAAACAGTCATCCATTGGTCCACTAGTTCAGAAACTGGTGTGTTTCAATGGACGCGATGTTCGTGTAACTGAAGGTGTGCATCGTGACAAAACATATAGAGAGAGCAGTATGAAGACGAGGGTTGCAGGACGCAAGAGCAGTTCCTCGCGATTGTGGGCCGGGTATAAACACACCTTCTCATAACACCTTCTTCCTGTTGAGGCATTTTGGCGGCTCTTCTCTAGGGCAGTCCGGTAGGGTTGACAAGTTACGATGCGACAACCGGTTGGAGCAAAGAGACAGGTCGGGGCGCGAAAAAGGCGTTCGGTCAACAGTCGATTGAAGGGACTGGCTGAGGATATGCTTAGATACGGGAAAGTCGGGGAATGTAGAGTTGATGACGCGGTCGGTCGGTCGGGTCATATATTGATGGATGGATGGCAGGTCGGGTTGGTAAGAGACGCTAAGGCGAAGATGTAGGTGAGGCGGGAGAAGGGTTGCAGTCAGACCGGGTCGGATTGATGAGCAGAAGAGAGCTCGAGAGATTGAGGAGTCAAGGTGAGTTACAGAGTGGGCTGTGCTTCCGCGTTTCAGGATGCAGTCTTGATTACGCCTCAAGCGCAGAATTACAAGGTTTTGACAGGATGTCACACAGAAACTAGTTTGTCAAGGCAAAAAGTTGGAAGTGTTCAGGAAAGGAATCACGACCGGGCTAGAAGACTCCAAGTAGATGAGCATGGGAAGCTCGGCACTCTGGCGGAACATACGAGTCCGTGGGGGCACAACAAAGGAAGGAGCTGTTGCGTGGCTTGCTCTCACCGCCTTGGCACATGAAGATGCTGGTAGTTGCGCTCACAGTCGCTCCGAAGCCTGCATGGAGGCCGCGAGGATTAACGGCCGATTGTCAGAACCCGGACACAACAAGAGTCTGGCACCGTGCAGTCTGACACGCGCATTGGGCGACAATCACTGGTCATTTGCGTCTCTCTATATAGCAATAAGTCCACATACCGTGAGAGCAAGGTGAACAAGTGCTGTGGGTGGTGATAACAAGTCGCTCCTTCCAGCGAAGGTGACCAATCAGATCAAGCAAGGACTACTAGGCCGGTTACTGCCGAAAGGGTGTCGGACAAGACTGACAGCAGGTGAATAGGTAGGCATGTAGCAATAGGCTCTTTTGAGATAGACGCATGTTTGGTAGAGAATCGCATCACTTCTTCAACTCTCATTGCCGAATGCTCGTTGACTCGCTGCGTTCGCCTTGAAATCCGCAACTTGTCTCCCACGCCTCCTCTCTACAAGCGCGCGGCCTTGACCACATCCGACCCCCACCAGCCCACCCATTGCCAACGCCGATCTCCACTACACACTGACATAGCACACTCACCACCCAAGCCTCGCGCAGTCGCTACTTGTCTCAAAGCGATTGTTGCAAGTCCTGGTCCCTATTCTCGTCCACAGCATGGCGCATATTCATGCGTCCAACGGTCTATCCTCGACCCACGACCAGTCCCATCCTCTCACAACTGGAAATCGCAAGAAACAGAAGAGGAGGGCAAAGCAGCAGGCAAAGCTCAATCATGGCTCTGACGAAGCTTTCTCTGACCAGCACTCCCACCTCAGTCAACCTCCGTCACTCCCTGAAGCCTTGTCGGATGAAGACGAAGACAACGTGCAAGTCAGTTATTCGGCGCGACCACCGCTCGTCAATGGCGCAAACTCATATCCAAGCAACGACGACTCAGTGGAACCTTCGCGCAAGAAGCGCAACAAGAAGAAGAAGCGCGGCAGCTCTAACCACTCGGCATATCCTGACCATCTGCGCCCTGCCATGCACCAATCTCCTATACCACATTCTCTACCCATGTCAACCGGCACGATGAGGACTGCCCAACGCTCTTCGAGGCAAGATCGCATCTGGAACACATCGACTCAAGAAGAGCGTGAGCGCATCAAACAGTTCTGGCTGACGTTGAGCGAGGAAGAGCGCAAATCTTTACTCAAGATTGAGAAGGAGGCTGTCCTGCGTAAGATGAAGGAACAGCAGAAGCACTCATGCTCCTGTACAGTGTGTGGTCGTAAANGGATCGCTATCGAGGAGGAGCTAGAGGTGCTCTATGATGCATACTACGACGAACTTGAACAGTACGCCCATCACCAAAGCGGCGAACCAGGACACGGCATGCTACCACCTCCGCGCAGTTTACCACCCCCACATCTTCACCCTTCGTCCGCCGTACCGTTACCGCTAAGCACTCACCACCAACGACCCCATCATCGAACGAGTCCAGTCCAAGAAATCATGGATGATGAAGACGACCAAGAAGACGAGGGCGACGAAGTCGATAGTCAAGGTATGAGTGAAGAGGAGGAAGAGGAATACAGTGATGAGGAAGACCTATACAGCGACGAAGAGGACGAACCTGAAGACGACATACCGCGAGGAATAGGCAACGATTTCTTCAATTTCGGTAACAGTCTAACGGTCAAAGGTAGGCCTGCTCTGCCATTAGTTTGCTATCTTCAAATGACTGAAGCGATTTCAGGTGGCATTCTAACTGTAGCCGATGATCTGCTCAAGAACGACGGCAAGAAGTTTATCGAAATGATGGAACAACTGGCCGAGCGAAGGATGCAGCGTGAACAAGAAGCAGAGTACCAGTCAGCACAACCCTCACACACCTACACATCCAACGGACATGAGCCACCACTCGACGACGAGGAATATGACGATGAGGAATACGACGAGGAGGAGTATGACNGAGACAGCCAGGACGAAGAGGAAGAGGACGAGACGGTAACACGGGATAACTCCTGGGAAGTGGTCACGTGCGTCACTGACAAGGTACAGGGCGGCATGACCGAGGAGCAACGCATGGAAGAGGGCCGTCGCATGTTCCAAATCTTCGCCGCCCGCATGTTCGAACAACGCGTGTTGACCGCCTACCGAGAAAAGGTCGCTGCCGAACGTCAGCAGAAACTACTGGAAGAACTGGAAGACGAAGACAAGAAGAAGGAGGAACGTGAAGCCAAGAAGGCAAGGGACGCCGAGAAGAAGAAGAACAAGAAACAGGCTCAGAAGCAAGCAAAAGCCGAGGAGAAGGCTAGAAAGGATGCCGAGAAGGCAGCTGAAGAGGCCGCTGCTAAGGCTATCGAGCAAGCGAAGCAAGAGGAGGCTAAGCAGAGGAGAGAGGAACAGCGCAAGAAGAAAGAGGCCGAGCGCAAGGCCCAAGAAGAGGAACGACAACGCAAGGAGGCCGAACGCTTAAAACGTCAACAAGAAGAACGTGAANCGACAGCAGGAAGCCGAACGCAAACTCCGCGAGCAGAAGGCGCTCGAGAAGAAGCAGAAGGAAGAGGCTCGTCAAAAGAACGCGAGGAACGAGAGGCGCGTGAGAAGGAGGCCAAGGAGAAGAAAGCCCAAGCAGAGCGTGAAAGAAAGGAACGAGACGCAAAGGCGAAAGCCGATCGAGAAGCTAGGAATCAGCAAACGCCGCAGGTGGTCAAACGTCCTTCACAAGCTGGTATGGTCGCCGTACCTCCAGGTCTGCTAAGCAAGCAGGCTTCATCAGGCATGTCTTCACCACATGTTGCTGTGGCTACGCCTGCTTTGCCGAAGCCTTCTACTCCAGCACAGCCTCGACAGAACTCCTTCCAAGGCCAGAATGCCACTTCACCTAAGACGCAACAAGCACCCGCCATGGCTCCTACCAAATCAATTTCTCCAGGAACTGCGATGAACCAATCTATGCCCCGAGCGATATTCCAGAAACCGCAGAATCAGCAACCCTTTGCACAACACCAACCTATCTCACCCGCCGGCCAGCTGCCACCACCAAGCATGTATCCTCAGCATCAGAACAGTGGATTCAGTGGGTTTCCAACCAGCATGGCTGGGTTCCCTGGCTTTGGTGCTCCTCATGGACCTATGATGCACCATCGTCCCTCGTTACCTGGTTTCTCTAATGGACCATTTGGCAGCGGCCCCTTCCAGCCTGTGCATTCCGCCAACTCGATGCCTACTCCCCCACCTGGCATGACTGGACTAGGAGTAATGACACAGGGCCGAGGTTTCCCACTCGAGAGCNCCCCAGGATTCCAGCAACAGATGCCACCAGTCGGATCGCCTACTGCTCCACCTGGTTTCGGACACGCGCGCCACAGTATTGCATCACATTCTCGTACTCACTCGTCCGACAAGAACACATTCGACTCTGTCAGTTCGCCGGCACCCATCACTCGCCCAACGCCTATTCAGCGTCCCTCATCTATGAGACCAAACAACTCTGATATGGACGATCTGAGCAAGCATCTCGGTAGTAGTGCCCTGCTTGATGATACAGACGATCCACTACCTTCGGTGCCAGAGAGTCGCCGTGCTAGCGCAATTACTGGTCTTCGAGGCGGCTTTGGCTCGCCTGTGTTTTCGCAAAATCAACCACGCATGGACGTTTTTGGTGCTAATAGTAGTTGGACATCTCCCTCCATGTTTAGTGCTCCACCAGGCTTTGCAACACCTAGCTCCTCATGGAATCCTAACGCAAGCAGCGGATGGTCGTCCATGCCTTTTGGCAGTCTGGGTCATCGGCCCTCGGGTGCCAACCGTCCTTTGACGATCCGCATAGCTGTATGTAACGCATGCAAAGCACTGTCAGCTCGAGAACCTACACCTGATAACTACCACTCTGTCGAGACTCTGCTACGCCAGATTGAGAGTTCTAGAGTTATGCTCGACAGCCCAATCACGATAAAGGAGATTGAAGCTATATGCGAGACCGAGGGTGACGCTCAGAACGGTGGCGGTTTCTTGCATGCTCGTCACGAGGCTTCCACACCTGGTGGCTTTGCAGTCAAATTCGAGCCCGATGCCGGCACTCCTGGATCTGGAAGACATTCTCACTCCCTGGGCCCGATTAGTAGTCCTGTCACGAGTCACTCCGTACCTGCCACTGGCTTCGGGGGCCCGACAGCAATAGGAAGAGGTACAAGCTTCCAGAGTTTAGGCTCTGCCATGGCAACTTCCGGATCCTCGTAGGAACAGGAAAAGGAACCGCTCATGTGTGGCATCTGGGTCGAGATTCAACCCCGTTGTGCAGGGTTGGGAAGTGACATTATGCCAGGTCGTTGTGAATTCAAGAACATCGCGGACGAGAGACAGAAGCAGTGATGCTTCTGTTTTGCTACCAGCTGGAGGTTCTGTTCTCACTTCATCTTTGACTCTTCTCTGTGCGCTTGGCTTGGTTCGTCTGATCGAGCGAGCTTCGGCATTCACGTTTCTTTTTCTTCTTATTCGAGGGTACGAACCAATACCATTGTTCTGAGTATGACCATTGACGACTCGCTTGCCTCGTCTTATTCCAAATGCCGTGTGTAACATGTGGCTTGACCTCCAGCCTTAGCCTGTGATGCTAGAAGCAGAAGTTTCCCATGCTTTGTGATCAACGCGTCACTCATGTTTTGCTAGCTCTATGCAATCAAACGGGTGTTTATCGAACCACTCGGGTAGACAGGAAGTGCAAGCGGGGTACTTGGCCATGCGTATGGCCGCTCCGCGTGGAGATTTAGGCACTTGCATGCTTTGTAAGAACTCTAGGACACGGGAGGACAGCCTCGTGGGTTGTGGGCGATCCCCAGATCTAGCCTCGGGGTAAGATAGTTTTGTGGGGACGAACCAGGAGGTCGAGAAGAGGACATGACTCTGGAGTCTGCATATTCCGTTTCCAGTCGTCCTTGATGGATATCTGATTCATGGACGCATATCCTGATCTCTAGGTGGTGTTGTTGGATATCTACTGTACGATGTCAAGACAAGCAACATGGCTAAGCAAGGACGACCATGGTCAAGCATTCCAAGCATTTGCTGGCTGGACGTGACTTCAGCCTCGCTGTCCAGTCGATGTACCTTTTGGCTGGATGCTACCTTGTACTTACCCCTCATCTGACCAAACTCAAAATCCAGATCCTCCACGTTGTCCTTGGCAGTCAGGGCAATGGACTCAGCCCTCCGCCGTCTGACACAAGGATTTACGAACATAAACTTATTGGTGGGCTTGGACAGAAGGTTCACGCGTGCGCCTTCGCGGCGCCTTTTACGGAAACATCAATGTCGTGCCGCGGTATACTGATAAGATCGACGAATGGAATCGAGCATTTTTTCGCCCATTGACTCAGAAACTCTTAGCCTCCATACACCCGTCAGCATTCCTGCATTTGTTTCCAAGCATATTTAAAACTTGGTTCGATTTCTTCCCTTTGAGCATATCCCACTCCTGGTCTATCTTCCATTTCCAAGCCGAGCTTTTGTTTTGTGAAGATATATATCTGGTCCCATCCGCTCATCATGCATCCTACATTTCCTAGTCAGACGCTTCCAGAGGTAGCGATGGATATCCCACGTCAACAACAGCCATTGCCAGTGGTTCATAATGCCTACACACCCAAGGAAGCAATTGAGATCTCTTCTCGCACAGGTGCCTACAAGGCACATATGCGCATCGACAAGACCATCATCAGCAGTTTCATGGCTGGCTGTCTACTGTGTGTATTCTAACTGTACTGGCGCCGTGCTGTCCCACTAACATATCCCAGCTCGTTCGGAGGTGCCTGTTACTCGGTCATCAACACTTCTGCCTGGCTGAACGAGAACGCTCCTGGTATCGTGAGAATGCTCGGAGCCTTGATCTTCCCATTCGGTTTGGTTGTTATCGTCATGACTGGAGCAGATCTCTGTACTGGAAGTTTCATGTACACCAGCTTGGCTGCTCTCCATCGCCGTACCTCTGTTCTGTTGATGTTGAGACATTGGCTGCTTACCTTCTTTGGCAACCTTGCTGGTGCGTTGTTTGTGACTTGCATCATTGTTGGATACGGTGGTGTCTTGTCGGCTCCAGTCTACCGCAAAGAGCTTCTAAACATCGCAACGACCAAAGCCGTAACACCCGAGTGGTACCAGATCTTCTTGAAGGCAATCGGTGCAAACTGGTTGGTGTGTCTGGCTTGCTTCCTGGCCTGTTGTGCTAGAGAATTTTTCTCGAAGGTTTGCGCTGTAAGTCCTTGACAAGTTCTGGTTCTGCATCTGATTTGTATGCTGACCGACACTCACAGANTCTGGTGGCCTGTGTTTGCCTNNTTTGTGCTGCTGGGATTGGACCACGTTGTTGCTAACATGTTCTACATCCCCATGGCTGTAAGTCCTTGTCACTGTTCGATTCTGCATTCAATCCTTATACTGACCGGTATTGCAGNNATCTTCTTGCACCACCCGGACATCACAGTTGGCTACTACATCTGGAAGAGTATGATCCCTGCCGCTCTCGGCAACATTGTCGGCGGCAGTGTTTTCGTGGCTTTCGTCTACTGGTACCTCTTCCTGGTGGGCGACACCTCCGAGATTGTCATTGATGGCGATTACTGGGACGTCCAGAGCCGCTCATCAATAACTTCGATCTCAGAAGACCGAACCACACAACACCAATCCAACAAGGACGATGGCAAGATGGTCTAAAAGCCTCACCGTATTCTGGAAGTTTGCAGGACAAAACTTCCCACACTAAAGAGACAGCAAAACAGCAAACTCAACAGCTGTGGTCTCATGACATTCATTTCAACAAGATACCCTGGTTTTTGTATTCAACTATTCATTTTTACGACTGGGAAAGCGCGGAGTTCAACAATTGCATGATGGTGGAAGATGGGGTTTTGACAGGGAGTGGCTCGAGGGAGTCGAGACGGACTAGGATAACGAGGATTTGAGATCTCAACGATCGAAGTCCTTCCATATATCAAGATAGCTATCCTCATTTATCAGATTATGAATCACGATTCACAATGTCTCTTTTATGTGGAACCACAAGTGTCATGCCCCATTCTGTCATTTGATCCGGTCATTGCAATTTGTGCTGCTTTCCTAGCACCGGTTTGATGTTCCTTCTGAATTTGGAAGTTGTGTCTTGTATGCGGAGGGTTGTAATTTGACGGCCCTCTCATTGATTATGTTTGGCGAAACAGACGTGCATTGAGACTGGCGCTGTCTTCAACTCCCGAGAGTCTTGGTAGAAGCTTGACACCCAACATATCAGATAGCCAGTTGTCTCTTGTCTCGAGAAGTGATCTCAGCCTTTCTTCACATAAAGCCTGTCTGCTGGCCCTGCAAGCCTCACAGCGAACACGACATTCTGGTCCAGCATTCCTCCTCCGGACTGTGGCGTCAAAGATGCCTCGCCAGTAATGTCGAGTTTGATATGGTTCTCCAAATCGAGCGATGGCGTTGACATTGTCTTGGGTACACAGTATCCTGAGTCTAGACAGAGAAGATGTGATGGAGTGTTGTGTTTCCTTGCTGGGTTTGTTGTGGTTGCTTGAGCGAAAATTGGTAATGTTGTTGATAAAAGGCACAAGAGTAGGATGCGGAAACCCATGGATGTGGTCATGATGGTCTGACAACGAAGTTATTTTGTTACAGGAGATGGAAGAAAGAACTGTAGTTGTGAAGAGTATTGAAACAAGAACTCAAGAAGTTTTGGTCCAAGATATATAGAAGTGATTTCCTAGTCAGGTCAGGCAGCACAGCTCAATGCTTAGGCAACAGTTGGGCTCCTGACTCGTGGAGTACCAAACACAAAGACTTTGGTGAATCCGTCCTGCCTCTACTCACCAGAGTCCTATTGAAAAACTGCATAGTACAGATATCAAGATGAATGTCTAAGATGGTCTTGTCATAAAGAAAGATGGAATGAAACGACGTCAAGCCTCGGCTTTAGAGTTTCACGCGACACGCGTTGTGGCGCGTAGCAGATAAGTGGTTTCGAAACAAGCAGATAAATGCATAAGATTGGGCATGCAGAGATTGTGAAACTGTAGCTTGCACTTCAGAAGATTCAGCTGAGCACAGGGTAGATGAGAGGAACAAAATTCGATGAAAGAGATGAGGAGTTAATCAAAGGAGGAACAAAATAAGGCAGTCCATGTCAATTAATGCAATTCTTGTCTTGGCGGGACGGAGCGGTGGTGGAAGTTGGTAGCTTGATTGTCCGAAGCAGCAGCAGAATCATTGGACGGCTCGTCATCGTGGTGCATACAAACCACACAAGGCTGTGATTTTCCTCGTGCATATCGGTTTCCAGCAGCCGGCCCTACCTATTCACCTCGTCGTCGCCCCTGACTGTCACAAGACGCAGCGAGCCTGTGACGACGACCATCATTTCACTCGACCCCGCCCCTTGGGAGCCACTTTTAACCCAAACACGCTCCAGCTCTACACGCATACACGCTGCTCTTGGATGGTCCTCTTGCACGACAAGTAGTTGATCCGCTTCCACGCCCACCTAAGAAGCCACAGAAACACTCAGCATGCCGTGTTTCAAAGGTGTTGCCGTGAGCATACACACTCCCGAAGGGCCCNTCTCAGAGCATGGCGTCCAGAGTCTGACGCGCTTTGGTCGCATCAACACCTACATCCCCGTCCCTCCACCTACTGTCCCGCCAAACTCAACAACTGGCCAGCCCCAGCAGTCGACTTTTGCTGTCTCCATCACCCTCCTCACACCCGGCCTGAAGGTCCCCTACTCGACTCCCCGCTCTACACCTTCAAATCCCAACCCCAAAGGCGTCTATGTCGGTCCTCAAACTGCTGGCATGAGCAGAGGTCTGCCTAGAAAGGAACCTCCGTCCATCGATCCCGACACTGGAAAACCTCATGTCCTCATCCCGCCTTATCAGCCCCGCACTTCGTCACCCAACGAGACCATTGCTGCATACATCTACTTCGACGGCCGACAANAAGAGGAGGTTGCCACGTTACTCCGCAAGGGTGAAGAGACATGGGTAAACTCAAGATGGGTCAGCATACCCGATAGTGAGGGAGGTGGCCTGGCCGAGCGCGAGTTTCTTTTCCGCGAAGTCGGCCTAGAGCGCTGGCTCAACGGACTGGACCTGACAAGCACCGATAAGGAAGCCAAAGCCGCTCTGATTGACAAGCGCAGAAAGAAATTTGAGAAGATGCGCCAGCGCGAGGAAAGAAAGAGAGAGATCAAGAGAGAGGACAGTGATGATGAGGACGACCAGGACAAGCCTCGCTACGATCGTAACACGGTCTTGCGCTACGGCGAAGACACTGGCGCCCCCACCGAGGCCATCATGCAAGACGACGACATGTCCGACTCTGATTCAGATTCCGACATGCCCGAGAGCGAAGCTGCTGGCCAGATCAAGATTGTCCTCTTCCGTGTTCTCGCTTCTGGTGAGATCAAGCGTGGAGAGTACTCGCCGCAATTTGACGTCCACGATGATGAAGGCACCAATAACGATGGCGCCGAAGACGAGGATGTCGACCACACTACCGGCCTTGACAAGCCCAAGACGCTTGATCCTAAGAGTATCAGCACCCAAACTGTCACAGGCATTGATCCCCCAGACAGTCCTTTTGCTACCTTTACCTTCTACTATCGCAGTCCCAGTATGTATTACCCATTTGCTTCCCACTTCTCTCCTTCTACATACTAATTCAATACTACAGAACAACTCGAGAAGATGGGTGTTATCGCACCTAGCCGCAAGAGCTCATCGACCGTCACGAGAAAACGTAGCACCGATTTCTCAAAACTCGGTCCTCTGAAGAACCAGGGCACAAAGGGCTTCTCAAGCTACCGCGACCCTGCTGCGCGCGCGAATCGCAAAGGCTCAAAGAATGCCGACGCTATGGACAGTGACGAAGATGACGAGGAGCCAGGCGCTCGTGATGACATGGATGATGTTGACGTTAAGGACGAGAACGGTAACCCCTTGATCTTGACTGAAGAAGACCGCCAGCGTCAGGAAGAGATGGCCGAGGGTGTGCGCCACATCAAGGTACGTTTTTCTTTCTTTTTCTCCATCTGACATGGCTAACTTTTGTTTTGTANNAAGCTCAAGCGCCAGCACTCGGGCGAGTTCAACAACCCCACTCCTAGCAAATCACCTCACATCGGTGGTGCTTTGACGGCACACATCACCGACAACTCGACCTCGCCCAGTGACAAGGCTAGCCAANAACTGCTCGCCGAGCCCTCGGATCAATACTCCGAAAGCCCTCTTAAGAAACAGCGCCCGAGCCTAGGAGCTGTAGACGCCAGCCCATTGGGAAAACCCAGCCTCACTGGTCCCAGTTCAGCACCCACCACTCATCCTTCTGCACTTGGTGCTTCACCCCTTTCAGCAAGCACATCAATGCCCGAGTCTCATTCCGCACAACCACCTCAAACCGCTCAAGCCATCGACGAAGATGAGGAGTTGTGAGGGCGTCCAGTTGAACAATATCCATCCTCCTGCGTACATTCTGTACTTGTCCATCACGACATTCGAGCTTCTTCCATTCTTGCCGCTGGAGCAACATATCCAAATACCCCAGAGTCTCCCTCACACAAACACAGCAGAGTCGGCATACATTCAGCAAAGGAGTTCTGACATTGATTGCCTCCGCTAGACTCTTTCGTTCTGCTTTCCTTTCCTTTCCTTTCCTTACCTTTCGTTGTTGTTGGACTAGTATCTCGGCCCTTCCGACCAGTGGAAATACCACCGAGGCATCGAATGCGCATGGTCTTTTTACTTTCATTTCTCATTGTACCAGCCGTCTCACATGTCGATCAAAGAGGAAACACAGAGGCAGATCCAAGCGCGTGGAGAGAAGGGATGAGTGCTGTGGGCGGATATGCTCAATTGTTTTTTTCTTTCGTCTCTTCTCCTCAAGAACTTTTTTCTACTACTGATACCATTGCACAATATTGGGAGGGTGAAACAAGGAATGTTGATTTTGTGTCGACAAGGACAAGACAAAAGGTCGGGAAATAACAGAATGAGATTTTTTTTTCAAAGTGTTTGTTCCTTCCGTTGGCTGCTTGAGTGACCTTCAGGATATGGCAGCTGCGTTATGCCCCGCCTGCCTTCCTCATGTGTAGATTTCGTAGGTCTGTCGTCTTGCATATATTTGCTCTTTTTAGTCTTGTCAAACTGGCCTTGTTTTGCCACCATTATATGCTCTCTGATCATCAAACCAGCAACCACTATTGTATCTTTCGATTCGATGGACACCCAAATAACACCGAGACATGACATTATATATACCCGGTTTGGTTCATCTTATCACCAGCCATCTGCTATCCTCTACAGCTTCGCCTTTCGCGCTGAGTATCCATAAGTTGAAGTCTTGCCTGTATTCTAGCTCTTTCAAATGTCAAGTTGTAGTACCAGCTTTCTTCAGCTTTCTTTTCTTCGATACTATATTAATGACCCCTTGCTAGTTTTGAACCCCATCCTTCCAGTCAACTTGCTTTCGATCTTTCCAAAACGAGACAGACGGAAACACCATAGCAAAGACAGGTGTAGGAAATATGGACCTTGTAGGAGCATAAGCAACTATTTTGGAGACATCGTACTATGCCTTTTTTCATCAAATGAGAATGACATATCTGTGAGAAAGAGCAATTTTGAGTTTTGTAGATGATGAGTCGATTCATCAAGCAGACGCGGACGCAGCACCTGGCCTTCGATGTCGTGATCAGTCAGGAACAACATTATAGTTTTTGCATCACTTCTCAATGCGACATGCCTAGATGGTGCAGCTGTCGGAAATGTGAAGAGGTTGAGGTCAATCAACAAGCACACTCAAGAGAAATATGCTCGTAGGAGCCTTGTCGAATATCACAGACTCACAGTGGAGAGAAGGACAGATAGAGAAGAGTTGTGATAGTTGTGTGCAACGAACGCGCTCAGCAGTCTTTTGATTGTTCTGCAGTCGCTCTTCTGCTTCTATGTACTCAATGCCTCCTTGGACATCATAAGTTTGTTTGTGTTGTGGTATAGAGAAACAAGCCATGAAAATTGCCTCTCTCGCGGGCTATTTTGCCGTTCAATCAGAGTAGAGAAAAGGAAAGAATCAAAGAAACACGGGAGGATAAACCTCCATAAACCCTCCATCAAACTCCAAAAAGCGCCTTCGCAAATCAAGAAAACAGAAGAAAAAGAAAACGTTGCGATCCTCCATTACCCATGTGACACCCCATGTCATTGTTTTTTTGGTCCTTTGAAAATGCTTGAACCCCGTGAAAGAAAATAGAAACTCCGTTGTGGAAATGCATGTGTTGGGTCGATGGGTGAGCAGGCAACCCTTTGATCATGGCTTCAACCCTTGTCAGCTCCAGAAGTCACCATCAGACCATAATCCTCCGTCTCATCCATGATTGATGAATCTTCCTAAGCAGCCTGGACGAATGCATCGGCAGGCAGGTTTGCTCTGACGGCAGCGAAGGCTTGCAGAGCGCGATCAAAGTCCCACTGCACTTGCTCGAGACAGTCCTTGGCATACTGAACAGTCATGGAGGTCTGCTTCTGGAGCTCGAGGACCATTTGTTCGGCGACTTCGGGTGTGAGTCCTGATGGTAGCACGGGCACAGCGGCCTCAGCTGGGACTTGTGGTTCGTTGTGGTCAGGTTCAAAGGCGGCAAATCCTCCGTAGGCGCGAATGGTCAGCATATCGTTGACAACGCGAACGCCAGTGGGGCCACCGGGACCGAGAATGAAGGTGCGGTCGAAGGAGCGAGTCTTCTTGACTTGACCGCTGGCATCAATCTCGTCAAACTCGCCGTGGACGGTGATAAGAAAACCGTCAACACCGACAGGTGATGCGCCAGTAGGGTCGGGGATTCCAGGCTGTGACTGGCACTCAATGAGCCACTTCTGAGGTTGGCTAGCAAGATCGGGGTGGCGGGTGGCAGGGAGAGCAGACCAGCTCTCGTGAATGGCCTGAGCACCGCGGCAGAGACGGCTCTGTCTTGCAGGAAGCTGGGTGATCTTCTTCAGGTTGCGACTACGCTTGATGTAGGAGTCCCATTCCTGAGGCGCGGTCTCATGGGATCTTGTGGGGTCTCTGGGAGCGGCGGTGTTGACCGAGAAGGAAAAGTCGGACTGCTCGTCGTAATAGTGTTGCGCCAGAGCAGCGCGGTCTGTGTCGTAGCCGGCAAAGAAAGTGCGCAAGAAGGTTTCAGCAATTTGGCCTTCGTCTTCAAAGTTCGGGCCTTTGATGGGGAAGGGGATATCGGCAACTTGACGACCGCTTTCGGCATCCTGGTCAGAGCGGACTTGAAGAGTGTTGAGGAGACGAAGTTTAGGGTACCAGGCCATGAACTTTGTGGCATAGTCAGGCTCGGCCTGTTCCAGAGGGTTGCCAGACACGATGAGGTGGTCAAGCTTGGGGAACTTGCGTCTCCATGCTTCGAGAGCAGCCAGGTCCTTGAAGGCATTGTTTGACAAATCAAGGTTCTTGAGCTGTGGGAGAGTCTGGGCGAGAGTTGTGACAGGGCTGATGTTGGCGAGTTCGTTGTTGGCGAGAGTGACACTGATGATGGCATCGTTCTTTTCGGCAGCTGTTTGGAACTGTTGATCCAGAACCTTCATCAGGGCAGGGAAGAATTTGCTCGTGGTTGAGCGGCTGTCGAAGATCTGAGCAGCTTTCAGGTCGGGATCTGAACCAAGGGCGGTGAGATCGAGAAGTTTTAATTCGACATTGTATCTTCTGGCAAGAACACCCTTGAGCATGGCGATGGTGCTCTCCTTGGAGTGGCCAGTGTCAAGGTCCTGGGCAGAAGCGCGTTCGATCTTCATGTTTGCTCCAGCAAAGACATAGCCATCGACTCGCAGCACATGAGCGGCGTCTTCGCCGGGAACGGATATTAGCAAGTCATCTCCTTCGATTCGGGACTATACATGACGTTAGTACAAGCTGAAGAGAAAACATGTCAAAGACCATCAGGGATGGAGCATCAGTGTCGAGGTTTCTGGTCGTCGTTCTGAGATTGGCTTCAAACGAAAGCGGACCGAACCTGGCGACTGAGAGTAGATGGAATACGTGGGTGTTGATGTGTGTACCTTCTTGACTTTGATTGCTCTCTTGGCTTTCAGCGAAGACCTCTTCTCAATCCAGGCGATGAGTGAGTTCATGCCGCCATCTGTGTTTGAAGCTGCCTTGCTGTTCTTGTGGCCAGTGACTCGAAGTTCTTCTAGTCCTCTGCTTGGTCGTGTGCGGACTGCAGACGAATCACCTCCGACATGGTTGGCGAGTTTCTTTTCGAATCCAGCACCACGAGTACCAGGCTTTGCGCCTCGCGTCTTGGGTGCACCGGACTTGCCGCCCTTGCTGATGCCACCACCTGGACGAGCGCGTGCAGTGGGATCCATGACGAGGTCACCATCGCGATCGGTTCTGGTCTTTCTCTTTGCGATGCCACCGCCGCGGGAGTTGCGCGCAGCACCCGAGGGCTTCTTCTGGGACACCATGACGGCGGTCGGAGGAGGTAGGGTGAATGCGGTGGAGTCGTAGGGTAGTAGGTGTGTAAGAGGCTGACTCAGGACGAGCGAGCGAGTTGCCAAAGACGGCGGACAAGAGTGAATGGTCTTTGTTCAGTCGGCTATGAAGCGCTGCAAAGTTGCGCGATGCCAGCGAAGGTCGTTGATGTTATCTCTCTCTGTGCTGGAAAGAGAAAGTGTACTGCCGGTAGGACAAAGAATGGGATTGGCGTGTAAGACTCGGCGTCTGTGGTGGGAAAGCGCAAAGTTGGAGTTGGCAGTGAGTTTGCTTGTGACTGAAGGAAAGTACAAGGCAGCGATCGTCATTATATGCCAAGCCAACTTTTTCGAGGGTCCAGCACGACCCCTCCATTCATGTCTCTCACTATCATTCCGAGACTCGGCTGAGAGTTATTGTCTCTATTGCACCTGTTATTGTCTCAAGCCCAAGTTTCCTATTGTCCAAGACAACAATAGAGATGCTCACTTTGTCGCAACAACCCTTCACTGACTGAATCACACTGGACAATACCACAATAGCTTCTTCAATAACAGCATTTGTGTTCGCGCATTGAGCGGTATTCAATAGTAAATTTATCATTATTCGGTACTTCCCAATTACGCCAGGCACCTTCGCTAAAAGTGATAATATGCTAAAACAGACATTGTCATCCTCTTCACACTCATTGCTCTTCACAGCCTTCATTTCCTTCTCCAGTGTTGAACAATAACATGCGCACTTCGCAGTCTTCGCTTCCTGAGACAAGTCGACTGTCGCTGAGTCCAATACAAGTCACAGGACCAGCGTGCCCAGTCCACGTTCTCTCGCACTTGCCGCTTCGAGGATCCCAGATCTTTACTGTACGATCTTCTGATCCGGACACCATGCGCAGATGATCTGCTGCGAGCGCCCATATGCCTTCGACGTGTCCAAAATAGGTGCGTAAGCATGCGTTGGTGGTAGGTGGCTTCTGAACAGGATCTGCCGCATCTACAGCTGGCGACACAGCAGGGGCATGCACGTCCCACAGGCGAATCGTGCTATCAAGAGCACCTGTAAGCATGTATCGAGGAGGTGCTGGACGATCAGGCTCGTCAGGCCAGAATGGAACAGCACTTTCGGTAGCTGTAGTTGCTGGGTGATGTGAATGCTTATGAGCAGGCGATGGTCCAGAGGAAGTAGATGATGTGTCATCCTCGTTCTCTCCGGAAAGCAGATCGGCTTCGTCGAGCTCGAATTCTGGCGGAAGAGCTACCAACTGCTGCACTTGGCCGACGTGTCCTTCGAAAACCTTGATGCACCTTCGCGTATCCAAATCCCATAGACGAACAGTACAATCATCCGAGGCAGATAATAACGTACGCGAAACGACGTCGAGCTTTACCGCATTGACCCAATCCGTGTGACCCTTGAGCAAATAAGATGCCTTGTTTCGAATCTCATAGACTCGGATGGTATGATCCATTGAACCCGAAGCGATGTAACCAGCATCAAAGTTGACGCAAATAACACCACCTGTATGAGCTTGGAAAGTCCGCAGGCATTTTCCAGTACGCCAGTCCCAGACCTTTGTCGTGTTGTCCATGGATCCGGTAATAAGCTTCTGGTCGTCGAATTGTAACGTGCGAATGCCTGATGTATGGCCCTCAAGCGTTCTCAGCTCTGTTCCTGTTTTGATGTCCCATACCTTCACTGTGCAATCATAAGAACCTGTGATCAAGACATTCTCATCAAATTGCAGGCACATGACACCATTAGTGTGGCCTCTGAAAATCTTTGTCGAGCATCGGCCGTATTTCCAGTTGGTGCCGACCTTGAAGCGATCCTTATACACGTCTTTCCAAGGCCTCCTTGTTTGTGGTTGAAAGTATGAATTGACCTCCTCTTCACCCGGTGCTGGAGTACACAACTTTTTCTGCGGTGGAGCTTGCTCGTCTTCAAGCTTGCGCTTCTCACCTACTATGGCAAGAGCCTGAGTATTTGGTGCGGTTGTAGCGTTGTTGACAAACACCGGGTCCTCAGCAAGCGGGGTAATTGTTGGCGACCATTCATTGTTGCCTCTCGAGATGGCGCGAAGTTGTATCTGTCTCTTTTCGATTCTCAATCGCTTGCGCTCGAGCAGAGGCAGACCCCAACCACATTTTGTACATTTTCGGTCGATGTGTTGCTCACACATTCTGTGCCAAACGACGTCATCGTCGGCCAGACTCCTCCACCGTCGACTGACTTGGGCAGCCTTGCACAATGAAGTGGTATCAAGGAAGCAGAGAATTCTGAAGCCAAGCTCCGGAGGCAGGGCAGAGAGGAAGTCGATCTTGATCAAGTCACGGACGGAAGCGGAAATGTAGGAGAGCTGGGGAAANCAGCATTGGGAGAGAATGCCCTGGAGCATAAGATTGCGGTGTTTGGAAGGGGCGGCGGAGAAAAGAGACCAGACATGGGAAATGGCTTGCTGATCGGATTGCGAAACGGTGCCGAGTTCCNNTAATCATAGGTTAGCATACAGTGAGTCATTGCTGGAGACAGGAAGGTGTGATACGTTTTGGAGTTGCTCCATGGATGGCTCGTTGGCTTGACGCCTGCACTTGAGATCAGGACGATGGCGGTAGCAGAACTTTGTGCTTGAAGGGTCTTGGTGGTGTTCGTGGTTGAGGTCGGTGGAGGTGGACTGGGGTATTAAGTGGCCAACAGGGTTGTACTGAGTCGGGATGTGCTTGGCCAGGAAGGGCGCGATGGCCTGCTCAGCATGTTTGGAGTTTGAAGGAATTGAGATGTTTTCTTCGTTGGAGTTGTCGTGATGGCGGAACTTGTGGCTCTCATGTTCGTGATCGTGATGGCACAGGCCTTCGATTTCGTGACGAAGACCAGACCGACTCTCGGACGGGGCGTTGAGTTGCGCCTTTGGACCCAGATCTGACGCCATCCTAGAAGAGGGATTCTCTCATACAGGGGTGTGTGTGGTGAGGGCAGAAAATAAACAGGACCTCGAGAAGCAGATATGAGTGGTATCGATGTGTTCGCGTGACGACAAGGGCAGTGCGACAGTGTTTATGGCGAGTGTTGAACGTGCGCCGGGTTGTCGGAGAACGAGTGTATGTAGGTATCGATGGTGCGACAGCAGCTGCAAGGGGCGAGATGAAAGAAGGCGCTTGTTCTGCTGATGGTCTTCTACGCTCGATTCGCGATATGGCGTGCTAATCCAGGCTTCGGAGGAAGGCAAAGAAGGGTTCACTGCACCGACCAGGCCGTTTCCGTACCCAGATCGCTATCGCTGCAATCACGCCGCAAACAAGTTATCATTTGGCCGCTATCTGGGTTCAATCCTTCCATGGATGCAACTATCCCCTTGATTTCTCATCACTCGATGTACAAGACTCAAATGCGTTCTGTAAGTATGCCAATTGTTGAATGCAGAGCGTGTTCTTCGAGAGGGGGGTCTACCTAAGTCCTCTGGTGGCGTCGCTACCCATAACCCGAACTCGCTCGGCGAGCATATCCATTGGTCAGCCTTACGTACCAATTGGTCACGCAACAAAGAAAAGTGGGTGTTTTCGCAAACTTTGACTCAGAAAACAGAATGGCGACATCAAAGAGCAGACCTGTCGGCTGCCTGCACCATGCTCGGGGAGCTTACGGAAGATGCTAGGCAAAGAAGCAAACCTGGGTGAGAAAGATTGTTGCGCCTCGTCTGGCAGGAAGATAGCATCACGCACCACCAGGGTCATGATTCGCGAAGGGACTAAGGTACCCCGGACCCGAATGCGGAAGGAGGGACAGCTTCTCCGCAGCGCCATGGGCAAGCCCTGACTTGCAGCTCAACCAAGTTGCTGTCTCAAGCCACCAACGATCGGATGTCGAGTTAAACTCCGTGCATACAAACATCAGTCGCGCCATCCAGGTGTTTCTTGCGTGACTTTGCACATCGCAAAGACTAGATCTCTGCTATCCGAGCAGATGATGCTCAAGCTTCCAGGTCTGAATGAGTGAACAGTCCGAGCAAGCGTCGCCGTCGCGCAGCATCGATGAACTGGAACGCTTGGTACAACATTTTGTCGCAGCCAAGCGCTCTCTGTCCTCGACCGCTTTGGTCTCGCGAGCTCACGATGTCGTGACAACGGCTAGACATCTTGTCGAGGAGTCAGCCGTACTGTCAGCCAAGAATGCCTTTGTAAGGCAAGGAGTGTTGGAGCAAGCGAACGTCTTGGTGGCTGTGAGAGATGGTCTGGACAGCATCGGCCGCGAGACTGATGTTGATTTCAAGGTATGACGGACCCGCTTGTCCCAGAGGCTTCAACTCACAGCGTCAGNNGCAGTGATACATCAACTCGATCTCGCCGACAACCGCCTCCAAGCCACTTTGGCACAACTGATCAACACCCAAGTAGACACGTCAGAACTGCACTCGCGGGGTGCCACTGCCGACAAACAGAAGACACTGCACGACTTTATCGACGAAAATACACATCTTAACCTCATCGAATCTCTTCGCAGCACTATCGACTCGCACAAAGCAGCCGAAGCCGACTTTCAACACTCCCAAGACTCATTCGACGATCAGATCCGCTTAGTCGACGCTGCGGTAAATGATGCCGATCAAGCTACCGAGAACCAAGATGACCTCTCCTCCGTACCGCCACTTTTCCATGCTCTTACAACACATGCCACCGAGATGGCTTCACTGCTAAGCTCTTTGGTCGCACACTATGATCTATGCACGTCGGCGCTCAAGCATACCGAAGGAGGAGGTGAAGCTGCTCGACAAGCCAACCCCTCCTCTGCCTTCGATGCTCCAGAAGACAGTCTGTACAAGAACCTGCCACTAGGTCCTCTTAACGAACAAGAACGCCAGGAGATGCTTGCCATTGTGGATAATGACGCCCAAGAGGTTGAAGATGTCGTGCTTGAGATTGGCGAACGTCTTTCAGAGATGGAAACAACACTTGACCAGCTGCAATCACTCTCGCAAGCCCTTCGCCTACGCCACAAACTTCTCAACCGTGTGCTGGATTTGCTTCGCACGCTTGGAGGCAACCTCCCCATGTTCATAGCTGCCGCCAAGCTTTATGGCAATAGCTGGAATACACTCAAGGAAACTCTGCTTGTAAAGGCCGAGGAGTTAGCTTCCTTGACTGACTTTTACGACTCCTTCATCACATCTTATGCCTCGTTGCTCGAGGAGGTAACCCGCCGACATGCCGTCGAGAGTCGGATGCAGCGTATAGCTGATAAGGCTCGTCGTGAGATCGAGGTACTATACAAAGAGGATGTTGCTATGCGCGAAGACTTTGTTCGTGGGACTGGCGAATTTCTGCCTCGTGACATCTGGCCTGGTTTGGTCGATGCTCCAAGGCGCTGGGAGATTAGAGCTGTGTCGCCTGAAGTACAGCAGGAACCGCTTCAAGACAGTGGAGAGCAATGACCATTCTCTGATACGGTATGATACTACATTATGAACAGCATGGCGTTATAAGCAGATTCGGCCGTTAGTCTTCGATTTGGTGGCATTGCATTTATATTATATAACAGGAGCGTACTACAAATAGGTCATGGTACCTTGAATGTACATGGCAGACATTGCTTGATTCTAGCTAAAGGCTGTCTGCAGAATCTTCATCCGGTAACGGTACGAAGACATTCCTTTGTGTGATTCATATGTCACGAGGGCACAAGAGCTATGCTCTCTTTGTCTTTGTCACCAGTTCATATAGCTGATTGACGCCGATCTTGAACATTCTCTTCACGGACTTCAATCACGAAAATAATGCATCCACCAAGATCATCGCTACAACACGACTTGCCTGAGGGCACACCGCTAGGCTCAAGATCATGGCTCAAGTCATGTTTGAACTGGATCTTACGCCCAATTTTTGGCACGAAGCAAGTCGATCCATTCGACCACAACTCATAACTACAGCCTCGTGCTTTCATCCTTCTTGCCTCTGACTGCGCTTTTATAATGTTGGAGAGGTGGCATACCTTGATGGTAGGATGCACGGGCAAAATCTGAAGACGGCAAAATTTCGGAGTCACACGAACGCGGCGCGGCTCGATCTTCTTGTCGCGGCGCGCGCTCTTCGAGTCTCGACATCATCTTCCTAAACACTATCATTCTTCAATACATGCTTTGCGCTTCCGCATCACCTCTAGTTTTGCCGTCCTCGTCACTCGTCTTGCCATTCCTGTGAACTCACAGGACTCTCCAGATCACTCGTTGACTCTGGATTGGGCGCGCACCTGTGGCCAGGCTGTTGAATCAAGAACGTGTTCTGCAGCGCAAAGTCGCCTTCAACTTAATTCCATCCATCATTTCTTCTCTGATCGTTCGAGTCAGGGCTGCTCGTTGTCGACACAAAGCCCGGGTGGGAGGGCAACTCGATCAGATTCGAGGGTCTTCATCTTCTCTTAACCTGGTCAGATTAGGCAGATTTACAACAGCATGACTGCAGGATCGGCGAAACCTGAGCCCGTCTGGGTCTTCGAGAAAGCGGTCCTCGCGCAAACGCCCGAGTTCAATGTGGCGTGTGGTGCTCGACTGCGCATCGCTCACAACCAAAACGACGACCAGGGATCCATATCAATACGGATTAATACAGCTCTAGCTGAGCTTGGAAAGCAAACTCTGATGCTAAACATACGGCCTGATGAGGTTGACATGTGTACAGTAGTCGCTAAAAGCAATGACAAGCTCATACCAGATCGCATGTTCTCCATGGTGCCTGTTCCCGTGACCAGTTCAGCTGCTGTTTCGACACTCATACTATGCCTCAATGGCACAGGTGTCGTCCTAGTGCCTCCATCGGCCAATGGCACGACTCTCAGTCCAGCCATCCCAGAAGATCCTGAATATCAAGCCTTTGCAAAACTCTGCCAGAGCAAAACCATACATCTGCATCTGTCCAAGCAACAGTTCAGAGATGGTGATTTGCATCGACTGCGTACTTTCTCCGGCGCAGTGCGCGCTCGTATGCTCAAACCTCAATCTATCGATTACAAGCGCCTCAACGCAGGACATGGCGCCATCGAGAAAGACTGGCGCATCTTTGAGCAGACGACAAGTCCCCCACCTTATTGTGAGCCTGTATCTACACAGAGTGTGCTTGGAAAACGTTCTCGAGGTAAGCTCATCACCAGCAACTGATCTATTGGAAGTATTTCTTGAGCACACGCCTTCAGGTTTCGTCGATCGTTATTCGCAAGTCATTCGAATTCATGAGTGTCTATTGAGAAACTGTTTCTTCCGCGATCATATCCGCGGGCAGAGCACTCTCGGCAGACAATCTCCGAATCAGAACGAATTTGTGGATTTCGATGGCTTCGTAAGTCCAAGGCTTATGTGTTAAAGAAGCTCGACCGTTGCTTAGCATCATTTACCTTGTGTTCCTGTGTTGATCAATGCCTAGATGACTCGCCATCAGAACCACACTCGGCATCAGCCATTCTACATTCGCCTCCACCACCGCCCTGGTCACCTACCGAGATCAATACACCAACGACTCGCTCGCCCTCGCCTGCTTACATCTCTCCTACGAGGTTTACATACGAGACGAAACAAAGTTACAGAGAAAGGGTTAAAGTGTTGGAGCTACAACGACAGTTGCATGGTCTGCCCGATGGCTTAGTGCGCGAAGTCTTGACAGGTTCAGGGCACCAACATCTACTGGTTCCACCAATGCCAAGTGTTCCCAAGAACCCATCGAAGGATGCAAGTCCGGTTCACGATGGACAGACCTCCTCGGCGTCTTCCGATGCTGAGGAGGTTGCCCTAGTCGCTCGAGTCGACAAGATCATCGAAGAACGCTTGGGCAGACTGACTAAAGATGCTTTCAAATCACTGACTCAGAGGCGTCTAGACGCTCTCGTGGAGTCGCAATTACCAGTAGCGGCTGAACTGTTCCTCAATGGCGCAGTAGCAGACCACCGTGACCGGTTCTACGAAGAATGCAAGACAAGTGAGATCAATGTTCGCGAGCACGTTGAGGAAGGCATCACTGAGGTGCGCGATGTTACCAACGAATGCGCCAAGGAGATTTCAGAGCTAGCTCAACAGTGCATAGACGATTTAGATGAGCATAGCAAGAGTCTCGATGCTTCGGCGGAACAAGAGTTATCAAAGCTTAAGCGCTGGTTCGCTGAGCTCGCTCGGTCTCTCTTTGACAAAGAGACTGTTGTTAAACCTAAGCCGCACACCATGACCAGACGGATCTCCATGTAGCTAATCAAATTTGCGCAATTGTATATCCAAGTGTTTGGAATTAGAATTCGATGTTCACACAATGTGCATGAGTGGTTGACGGTACCATATTGGATTGATGCTTGTTCAAACAAATTCGCACTGGAGTATATGCTTGCTCGAACAAATTTTCGAAGAGATCGTTCTGCACCTTCAATCATCTCTCACGATGTTTAACGATCATGTCTACCTCTGCAACACCTCAAACAGATATAGGAAAGATATGCAACGAGAACATGGAGAGGCTGCCTGCTTACTGCGAAGCGAAAGGTTGACACGGAGGGCAGGGTGTCTGGTGCGCTTCCGATGCTTCGGATCCTGAAGGTAACGAGCCATATCAAACAGGCTGTTGGGAACACAAGATAGCAAAATGATGCCTTCGTCTTCATGACCTAAAACAAGGAAAGCATCGAACTTCGGGGTTTGCCCTTACTCGCGTAGCATTCCGTCTATACCTGCCAGGTCAATACGTAAGATCAGACAGAGACATCTTCGCTGATCTACTCAACTAGAGTGACAAATGGCCTTCCATAGATCCGACGAACCAATGCGATGAACCTGTCCAGGACTGTCCTCGGAATCTCGCGAGTCGTGGACCAAGGTTACCAGATGGAAGACGATGCTCTGCTGTAGCTCTGTACATCTTCAAGGCTACTCATGGAAGATGACCGTTTTTGCGAACCTTGGCGGTCATGTTCTGAGATTATGATATGGTCTCAGGTGACTCTTTTCTTCTCTGCTCACAAGCTAAAGATTGATATACCGATGCATGAAACGTCTGACTCGGCAGACGAGGTGGGGTTCACTGGGTTTCTCCACAGCTCAGCCACGAAAGGCCTGAAAGTACAAAATAGAATGGTATACGAAAGTAAGCGACTGTGTACGCGGGCGCCGGGCGACAGTTGTTGAAGAAACATGAAACTTGGGGGATTAATCAGGGTGGTCGGGAGCAGCCGAGGGAACAGCCATCAACCGGACGATCCTCTTGTTCTTGCAAAGTGCCGTGGTGATTATAATTCTTCATCGCCTTGACTCGATGTTTTTGTAGTCTAGAGCATGAATTACATGTAATTGACACTCAACGCATAGTAGTCTGTCGATCATCAGGTGTACGGTCATTCACACAGACACGTTCTGCTAGACAAGTTCATAGCTTCGATGCGGCGAGAGCGGTGATAGCCGCCAAGACCTTGACTGTTAAGGTGCAGCTGGTGGTCAGGGCTCTCTTCCGCCATGCCCGCTGCTCTTTTGGACTTGAAACACAGTCCAATCTCTCCCTTCCGTCAAGCAGCTCATTTTCCGATTGTTCAACAACCCAAATCCATTACTACACAGCACCAATACTGCTTAGCTTCCACACAATCGGGCTCATGGCGCCAGAATCGAGCATAGTTGCGAGGCTAAAGATGTGTTCGAGGTTTCAGACCTAGACAGACTTGCTCTCGACGTCCTCTGGGACACCACGAACTTTGGAAAGGTCCATCTCCAAGCCTCGATGGATTACAGAATCAGGACGGAAAGACCGGAGGAAGACCAGAAATAGTGACCTGTCATCGCTTGTTGTTACGGTAGTGTACAGACAGAAGGCAAGAACGAAGGTATAAGTAGATCCAAATGCGCTCCTTCATGTTCTAATCCATCAACACTCTCATTCTCTTTTCTACCTTTCTTTTACCTCGACGCGCATTTCTGTCGCAACCACATTCTTTTACTTTATCTAATCGTCCTATCCTTACACATCCACATCAAGATGCGCGTTTCCACGGTGGCCACTGCTGCCATGGTCGCAGGCTCGACTCAGGTGCAAGCTGCTCCCACTTTCGGTCTCGCTTTTGGCCTTCTCAAGGGCCTTACCACCGCCGTCCACACTGATATCAACCTCCTTCTGGGCTCTCTCGGTGTCGGTGTCCAGACCAACGCCAACATCCATGGTAAAGCAATTGGCTTTGGTGGTGTTGGATGCCCCTTCTCCCTTGCCAACCAGGCTGGCGTTTCTGTCAACGCTGGTCTTCACGGTGGACTTTCCCACAACATTGGCTGGACTGCTGTCAATGGTGGTGCTTTCATTAACTGGAGAAACTTCAAGGCCAACGGTGTCACCCTTAGCGGATGGTTGGTCCAGGACAAGTCTCTCGACGTTGACTGGTGGAACAAGTACGGCTCTGGCTGCGACGACGAGTGGTCTTTGACTGCCAAGCTCGGTGCTCAGGCCGGTTCTGTCCTTGAGGCTCGCTATGCTTCCTACATCACCACCAGCTACATCGATTCGCTCGCTGCTGCTGGTATCAACCTTCTGAGAATCCCCACTCACTACGCTGCTTGGGTTTCCGTCCCTGGCAGTGCTCTCTACCACGGCAACCAGCAGGCTCACCTCAAGACCATCTGCCAGTATGCCATTGAGCGCCACGGTATGCACATCGTCATTGGTCTTGACTCCCTTCCCGGTGGTGTCAACGGTCTTGCTGCCGGTGAGCGTATCGGTGCCACCGCTTGGTTCAACTCTGCCGAGAACCTTTCCTACTCCTTCCAGGCTATTGACGCCATCCTCGGTTTCATCTCCGCCACTGGCCACCTCAACGCCTTCACCATCTCTCCTATCAACGAGCCTTGCGATGTTACTGCTCAGTTCGCCACCCAAGGTGGTCTCAGTCTCGGTGCCACCAACTTCATCAACACATATGTTCAGGGTGTCCTCAAGAAGATCGGTCAGCTCGACGCTCGCATTCCCTGCATGGTTCAAGATGCTTTCCTTGGTCACGACTACTGGGCTCCTTTCTTCTCTGCTGGTGCCAACGTTGTCATTGACAGCCACGTCTCTTTCTCCGGTGCCGTTGGCGCTGGTATCTCAGCAGGAATCGGCGCTGGAATCAACGCTGCCGCAAATGTTGGTGCTGGTGTCAATGCTGGCTTGAACGCTGGTGCAAACGTTGCCTCCGCAGTTGGCGCAAACGCTGGTGTTGGTGCTGCTGCTGGCCTGAACGCTGGAGCAAACGCTGGCTTGAACGCTGGAGTTGGTGCTGCTGCTGGAGTTAATGCTGCTGCTGGAGTTGGTGCTGCCGCTGGAGTTGGAGCAAACGCTGGCCTGAACGCTGGAGCAAACGCTGGAGTTGGTGCTGCTGCTGGAGCTGGAGCTGGTGCACGCGTTGGTGGTGGTCTTCTCGGTGGTCTTGGTCTTGGTGGTCTTCTTGGTGGTGGTCTTTCAGGAAACGCAAATGCTGGCGCCAACGCTGGCCTGAACGCTGGAGCAAACGCTGGTGTGAACGCTGGAGCCAAGGTCGGAGGTGCTGCATCCGCTGGAGTTGGCGCAAACGCTGGTCTGTACCCTGCAGTCAACGCTGGTGTGGACGCTGGAGCCAAGGTTGGAGGTGCTGCCTCTGCTGGAGTCGGAGCAAACGCTGGTGTCAACGGTGTGAAAGCTGGAGCCAACGCTGGTGTCAACGGAGTTTCCACCCCAACCTCGCCGCCCACCTGATCGCTCCCAGCGTTTGCAAGCAAGCCTCTCTCCTCAAGGGTTCCGGCAAGTTCCCCGTCTTCGTCGGCAGCTACGGTATCCAGGCCCAAGAAGGCAACACCCTCTCTGGCCGCAAGACCATCTACAACACCCAGAAGTACGCCTACGCACAGAACCTGTCCGGTGGTTGCTTCCAGCCACGCAAAGGCAAACTCTAACGCCGTTGCCGTTTCTGGTGAGGGCTGTGCCTCTGACTACAACTCTTTCCAGAGCTTGATGACTGCCAAGGTCGCCACCAAGAACACCGACTCTTGCTACTGCTAGATGTGCTCATCTCGAAGAAAGAGAAGAAGTCGATTTATATCTAATATTACTGTCTAATGTCCGAAAAAGGGGGAAGCACAGCTTGATGGAAGAAGGAACCCAGAAGATATCCAACCAGCACCTTGATCAGTGCTGAGAACTTTACGCTCACTAATTTCTGTTACTACCCAACTAATGTCTATGTACATAACAATCTCTAATATTTTCATCATCTATTTTCAATGAACAAACTTGTCCGTTGTCTATTGTGCTTTCTTCTCCATGCATGTATTCAATGAGCATGACCTCTTTGATTGCTTAGTAGAGTGACACGCAGATAGTCTCTATGTCTTTTGATCATAGGAACAACGCTTTTGCTGATCCCTCATGGGACACTTAGGTAGCTATCTATTGAATTACTCACCAAGAATATGCTACTGCATTTAGCGAGGATGAATGAGTGCCCTTGACCCTGGCTCTCCACTCTGGCCACTTCAACAGCGTCTCCTTCATGATATCAGTGCCCCAGAGCCACTGCTGCATATCCTTGTCTGCCTACAGATCAGGATTGTTGCCTTTACCTTGACCAGCCAAGCGGATCTTGTCGTCACGTTCTCTCTGTTCAAGGCCATCGGGAAGATGCAAAGCCGTACGGACTTCTGATGCTGAGGCTTGTACGGCTTCGCCACGGGCTTTGCGAACTTGTTCGTAGATCTTGATGGCTAGACCGATATCTGTGGATGATTTGTTGAGGACGACTTGGAGGACACCGGCGTCTTCGATTGCTTGAGCAGCGCCTTGAGCTAGATATGGGAGCATGGGATGACAGGCATCACCCACGAGGACAACTTTATTCTGATGCCAGGATGGCAAGGGGCGGTGTGAGTTGAGCGTCCATTCTATGACCTCGTTCTCGGGTACGTATGATAGAAGCTTCTGGATAGTGGAATTCTAGCCTCTGTAGAAGTTCATCATTTCTTGCTTGCTGCCCCTTCGAGTCCAACTTTCGGCTGCCTCGTGGTCAATGATAGGTGGTTGGGGATGCACTAAGACCATGTTGTATACGTTGTTATTCTTGACCGGGTAGGCGACGATATGTCCATGAGGACCTNNGTTTTCTTATCAGCCTCATGAATGAGAATATGTTCACAGTGTAGGAAGCTTACCCATCCATCGAATGGCAGCGTTCTGGGAGATCATGTCTAAAGTCTCGGGATCGCGCTGCATCCTCTCTCTAGGAATCACGATGCGGTATGCGGCATCACCAGTTGGAGTAGCTCGATCGACGTGTTTGTGATGAGCAGCGATCTGACGGCGAATGTTGGATTTGATGCCATCAGCAGCGATAACGAGATCACCTCGTACCCAGGAACCATCTTTGAGCTGGACTCCAGCCTCGAAGTTCNNTACCTTGATGACCCTGGAGTTGACACGGATGTCGCATCCTTCCATCTTGGCATGCTCGAGTAGAGTACGTTGCAGGTCTCCTCGATGGATAGCACCAATGGGTGAGTTGTACAGTCTGGCAACCNNTAGACATCAGCTTAGCGATGCAACTGAAACGAAATTCATGTGTGGTTGTCGACATACACCAGGCATAAGAGGGGCACTGGCAAGCTCCTCATTATCCTTCCATCGTCGTATCGAGGTCCTCTCCAGCAGGGTAGTGTACCTCAAGATCTCAGGCAAGACACCAAAACGATTCAAGATTCTCATATTGTTCGGAGCAAGCTGGATACCGGCTCCTACCTCGGCGATGGCCTTTGTTCGTTCGAGGACAATAGGGACATGGCCAGCACGTTTGATACCTAGAGATTACATGAGCTGTCTGTACGAAAGTCATCTTTCTGAACTCAGTGTCTACCAATAGCGGCACTCAGACCAGCAACTCCGGCACCGACAATGATGACTCTTAACCTTGTGGCTGGCTTGCGGAGCGAGAGACTCCAATCGTTGTCATTGCGTGGCAGTATGGCGACCATAGTGATAGGAGATAGACAACTCAGAAAATAGAAATGTAGGATGGACAGCACAATACTTAGTGAGGTAAATTGTGGTGTCTGTGTACGATCGAGTACCGAAGACCAGCGGTATCCGGGAAGGAGCGATGCTTGGAAGCAGTCAATACTTCCAAGCAATTACCATCCCTCGATGGCGTCAGACCAAATCATGACACAACTTCTTACGAGAGCTTTCTACTCGTCTTCGAAAGTGCTAAGTAACTTAGAAGGCTATGTGAATGAAGAGCGAAGACTTCATTAATGACACTCAAGATGTTGGTCGGGGTTAGAGTGGTGATAAGAGATAAGATATGCCAAGGCCGACGATCAATTCCAGATTTGGCTTCGGTCGGTCGCAAAAAAGTGGCAGCAAGTCGAGGGCAAGCGCGACTGCCTTTCCAAAATATTCGAGCTGTGGCATGTTCAATGACCATACGAGCATTCAGACTCGCACATAACATACGCGCCAATTTTCAAAGACGCTTTCTCAGCATAACACAGCCGAAAATGAGCGCGACGATAGATTCACAACCAGCTGTCGATCAGTTGATCGAGCATGACGGAAAGTCATACAGCACCATCAAAGAGGGTCTGGCATACATTCTGGTCCCGCCGAACGCACGTACCGAACAAGACCCCAAGTCAAAGAAGAACCATAAGGACGACGATAGCGAACAACAAGCACAAAGTGTCTTCTACAACCCCATTCAACAATTCAACCGTGATCTGTCTGTCCTCGCAATCAAGGCTTTTGGTGAGCACATGTGTGCTGTTAGAAAGCAAGCCCACGATAAGAAGGTCGAACAGAGTGCCAAGAAGAGGGAAAGAAAGAGACAGGCCGAGGACAATGCTGGAGATGATAAGAGGAGGAAGGGCAACGACGGTGCTGCAGTAGCCCAAGAAGTACAGAAGGATGCCGACACAGAGACTACAACTACAGGAGCCCAAGAAGCAAGTGCAGATGCTGGGAAGGTTGAGAACGGTATGGAGACTACCGACGACAAGATGGATGTCGACGTGACAGAGGCTCCCAAGAAGTACAAGCCCAAGTTCCGTGTACTGGATGCTCTCTCTGCTTCTGGCCTGCGTGCCCTGCGTTATGCTCAAGAGATACCCTTTGCTACCACCGTCGTCGCCAACGACATGTCACCCGCCGCTGTCGAAGCCATCCGTCTGAATGTGCAACACAACAAGCTGACTGACAAGATCACACCATCCACTGGCAACGCCATCGGTCATATGTATCATGCTGCCTACTACACACCGACTCCAGAAGACGGCCCTTCTGCACACACTCAACACAAATATGATGTTATTGATCTGGACCCCTACGGTACCGCTGCGCCTTTCCTTGATGCTGCCGTTCAAGCGCTGAACGACGGTGGTCTGCTTTGCGTTACATGTACCGATGCTGGTGTCTTCGCTTCCTGTGGTTACGTCGAAAAGACCTACTCACTGTATGGTGGTCTGCCTCTCAAGGGTCCCCACTCGCACGAAGCCGGTCTTCGTCTGATTCTCAACTCGATTGCAAAGGCTGCCGCTGTGCAAGGTATTGCCATCGAACCTCTGTTGTCTCTCAGCATCGACTTTTACGCCAGAGTTTGGGTGCGCGTCAGGAAGTCACCCGCAGACGTCAAGTTCTTGGCTGGAAAGACTATGCTTGTACACCAATGCGATACTGGCTGTGGTAGTTTCCAGATCCAGCCTCTCGCGAAACACACTCCTCAAAAGAACTTCATCAACTACAAGCACACGGCATCTCTCTCTACAGGTGAGAGCAGATGTCCTCAATGTGGCTTCAAGACTCATGTTGCCGGTCCTATGTGGGGCGGCCCTCTGCACAACCCTTATTTCATCCGTCGTATCCTGGACATGCTTCCTGACTTGGACAAGTCGACTTACGGAACTACCACTCGTATTGAAGGTATGCTTACCTCTGCTCTGGACGAGCTCGACACCTTGGAGAACAGCCTCCAAACTTTCAAGGGCGAGACCGAGGCTCCGTTCATTCCTTCCATCCCAGGACATGTCACCGACCCTCACCCTTTCTTCTTTATTCCCAGTTATCTGTGCAAGGTTCTGCATTGTCAATCTCCTTCAGAAGCTGCCATCAAGGGTGCGCTTCGTCATGCTGGATTTATCGCCACGCGCTCACATACCAAGCCTGGTACCATTAAGACAAACGCCAGCTATGATGCGGTCTGGGAGATTATGAGGGAGTGGAGTCGTCAAAAGGCTCCTGTGAAGGAAGGCAAGGTTGGTGAGACTCAAGCTGGTTACAAGATCCTGCAGAAGATGAGAAAGGTGGATCCGGCTGAGGAGAAGAATGATGGCGAAGAGAGTGGAGAGAAAGATGAGGAAGAACCTGCAACGCAACCTCCCGCCGATATCTTCAAATTCAAGATCAAGTTCGATGAAAGGCTGGGCAAGGACTATCACAGCAAGAAGCTCATGCGTTACCAAACCAACCCACGAGCAAACTGGGGTCCTATGAGCCGCGCTAAAGGTGCAAGCTAGTTATAGTATATATTTAAAGGCATACTTCGATTGATGTAACATGTTGGCTGCTCATGCTCACTATTCTTTCCGTCATCGATGACATTGATACAGGTTGGTGACTGCTTCGAAGAACTTCCACGATTTTAAATATTCAAGTCATCAGGAGAAACGCTGTTGCGTTCCTTCGTCCATTACCACATTGAAATTCCTGAACTTACCTGTTCACAAGTTGAATATGTGACTCCTGGTTATAAGCATTGACAGGATGTCAAGGTGGGCAAGTACGAGGGGTTGCCTGCGCCTTCCGCTGTCGGCTGTCACATGCAACCACAACGACGCACCACAACGTGTCCACAACATGACCCGCTTCAAACATCACTATCTCATTCACCTCATCTTCTTCCATCTTTTTTCTCTTCCGAATAACAGCTCAAAAAGGAAACAACTATCTTCAACATTGAAACTGAGCGGAGCCTCTCTCGCGCAGTCTGGCCATCATGATCAGGTCCTTGTTTCGCGTCCACCAACTCTGACACATTAATAGTCCTTCGGATCTCGCTGCACTATGCCAGAGCGAATTCATGCTACTCTCTCAGGACGTTGTGAATGTCCAAGATAAGTGCCATCGCGGTTGGACTGAACAAGCAAGCAGGTTCCCTCAGATGCCGACAACCATCTAGAACCACAACGACAATGGCATACAACTCTAGCTTGTCTTGCAACAGCATCCGAACCAACTGAACATGCTGTCGTATAGCGGAAGTCAAAGTTCTTATGACTGACCTCACGCTCAACACCACTCACAATGCTTTAGATCCACACGACACAGCTCGGACAAGGCCACGTATGTCGACCGTTGACCTCTGACAAGCAGATTATATATACCCACCCACCGCTTGTGCTTCCACCGTCAACAGCCAGTTCACACAGTGAACTAGATCATCAGACCTGCCGGGGTAGCTCAATCGGTAGAGCGTGTGGCTCTTATCATTTGATAAAGTACAACCTCAAGGTCGCGGGTTCGAGCCCCGCCTTCGGCTATTCCTAAACACAAGTTGACATTCTTTTTTTTTTCGGCGTGCTGTTGTGTTGAGAAGATCTGAAACAGGTGTGGTTGAAAAATTTTTGAAATTTTTGGGTGACGAAGTTTGGCTTGGCGGTCAGGGTCGGATTCCAACTCCGAGATCCGCGAGCTTTGCTCCACCAACGGAAGGTTCCTGCATCGTGATATATTTTTTTGTTTTGCTTTCCTGCTCTTCTTTTTGATATATGCTACAGAGCTTGATCAAAGCTCGAAGTTCCTAACCTCGAGTACAGCGTTATGATCTTTATATATCTCGAGGCCTCAAACAGGCTTCGCTCTCACTCGCTCCAGCCTCTTTGACAACCTCAAGACAGAGAGCTCTCGAGGCATCCTCTACACGCAGACTTGTTTCTAGCAGTGCTGGCTTTCCTGTTCTTCTGTCGTGTGTGCTACAAAGCTTTTCTGACATTCCGGACTTGGATACAACACTATATTCTGTATATACCTCGAGGCTTCAGACGGGCTTCACACCTCTTGACTCCTGCCTCTTCGACAACAACTCCAGCAGCTCTCGAGGCTTCGCTCCATCTTTGTCATTGGTTGTTGTACCATAGTGTTGAAAACTCCTCTATACACTGGCGCTTTGGCTGAGTGGTTATAGCGATAGACTAGAAATCTATTTCCTTCGGGAGCGCAGGTTCGAGTCCTGCAGGCGTCGTTCTTTGCTCTGCACAGGTCGCGCAGACGTTTCTTTGCATGCCTGGATGTGCTAAGGAAGTGGGTGGATCAGGGGGCTAGAAACGGGCCTAAAAGTTTTGGTGGAGCTGGGAGTGAGCTTTTTTTGACCCCTGGAGCTTGGCGGAAATGACTTTTGGAAGAGAGCATCGAAGAGCAACGAGCCTTTGGCCAATGGATGAGTTTGTGTGATAGTCAGGCAGGAAACCATAAAGATGGTAAGAAAACAGGGAGAGGAGCATTTGCTGAATAAAGAGCTTGGTGCCTTTGGATGTCACTCATACATGCATCTGTGCATGTCAATGCAAACTGATCCTTGATAGTATCAGGTCTCAGACCTCGTACAATCCCATGGTACCTGAGAACTCGCTGTCAGCAAAAGAAAGCTCCCTGTTGCACTTCTGCATGCTTTAGAGCAGGCAAAAGACAAAACAACTGTCGCAGCCGTGAATCGAACACGGGGCTCGTGCATGGCAAGCACGAATTTTACCACTAAACCACTGCGACTAGTACGCGCTTTCACGTGATGAAGATAGGCCGGTCCATACCCAAAACGTTCTCTCTAACGCAAGTAGTGCTGCCAATGAGCATCGGACAACATGAGAGTCGTCCCTACAGCCAGGAACTAGGTATCTTGATGGTTGGTGATGCAAGTTTATAGCTGAACATGAGTTCAATGACCGAAATCGGCAATCGTGGTTGATGCATGACCCTATCTGAGCGATCGTCTTCATCCGTATGGTTGCAATAGCAGACTCAGCTTAAATTCCGACGATTGATCATTTCGACCACAAGACCACTATTATAGCGTCAAATGTAGACTTTATCCGTTCTGTGGCTTCATATGACACTTTGGAATGTCTCCGCCTCATCAGAAAGAATGCGGACGACATGCTGATCGGTTGAGATAGCTGTCGTTGATTCGACCAGGGTGTCATCCACAGCAAGCCAGACTTGAGATAAAAATTGGAGTTATTGATGCTTAAGTTGGTAGTCGAACGAGATTTGGTTGTTTTCTCTTCCTGAACATGAAGATATTCGCTAATGAATGACCGTAGACCGGATCCCGTTGTAGAGCAGATTCAGTCGCCAATTCATTAGAGAAGTGCAGAGCGAGGAGCCAGAAAAGCGTAACGGGATGAACAAACAGCAAAAAAGCCAAGATAGTATTGAATATAAGCAGAAGAAAAAAGTGATGAGACAATAAAGACTGAGAACAAGAGAAGAGCGATTTTGAATGGCAGAAATGGAAGTGACGATCTGCCAACTAAAATAAAGGAAGTGGCAACCGTCGTCGAGAGGGAAGGCACACTCACGGCCACGGAGAGAGGTGGTGGTCGAGTAAGGAAGAGCTTGTCATGGGGGTGATAAGAAATAGAAAGGAAGAATAGCATTAGAGGGCAAGAGTCAAATGCAACGACTAAGTAAGGAGAAGAAGAAAGAGGAAAGAGCGACCTGACGCTATTAAACAGGAAAGTGCAACCAAGAAAGTAGCGCCATATAAGGAAGGAGCGCCCAGCTGTGTACAAGGAAGGAGCGAGTTGACATTTCAAGGCAGGCGCGATGAAGCGTGCATGAAAGGAAGGTACAAACCACGAGGATCAAGAATGAAAACGAGCCAAAGGTGACTGAAGTGGTGCCTGTGTAAGGCAAAGTTGTATATTTGATAGAAAAGAAAAAACGAAGCTTCAATGGTCAGTCGCTGCAATTATTTGCTCACTAAACTCCAATTTTCTCATGCCGCTTAACACCCGGTTCGCACAATCTTTTGATTATGCAAATTTTCGTTCTTTTTTTGTTCTTGTTCGTTCATTACATGCCACCGTTGAGTGGTGCTGCTCCTTCAGTAACCTGCTGTGCTAAAGCGGCCTGCTGAGCAGCAATCTGATCGGCCTGATTCACGGCTGTTTGGATGATTTGTTGCTCTTCGGGACTCAGCGTCTTGGTCAGGTCCTGGTAGAGCTGGGGTTGTTGCTGCTGCAGTTCTGTGAGGTGTCAGTAATCTGTCTTCGTAAGCATGTAGGTAAATTTGAACTTACGGAAAAGTGCGTGCTTGAACATGCCATAAGGCTCGAACTTATCCAAAGGTGTTTCAAGCAATGACTCCTCTTCCAATTCATCATCGTCGTCGTCATCACCAATGGAGCTGAACTTGGATGCCTGTTGCGAGAGGNNGAAGTCAAGGTATGCGGCGCTCTCATCCTTGACGTCGTCCGTCTCGCCTTCAATCTCCTCAGCTGTCCAGTCGACCTCACCTTCCCACTCGTCATCCTCCTCATCGTCATCATAATCGCCGCCAAGGCCAAAATCATCTTCCCGAGTTGCCTCCTCGCGGTTCTTGATGGCCGCAGGAAGAGTTTGGAAAAGACGGACAATACCTTGAAGCAGACGAGGCCAGCCAGGCTGTACGCTGACGGGCACTTGGTCTGCAGGCAAAACGATAAGCGAGGTGATGGCAGCAATCGACAACTTCTTGTCGTGAACACGAGTGAAGATGTCGATACTTGAGAACCACAAGCTGAAGAACTTGTTAGTCTGGCCGTTGGACTCAAGAATGTGCAATGCGAGGCTGGGGTTGTAGTAAAGAGCGTTGATAACAGTCTCCATCAAGTGGATGCGGTACGACTTGACCTTAACGTCATCGTTGTTCAACACAGTCATGGCGATCATGACGAACTCAGGGATGTAGTTGTCAATGTGTCCACGAAGAGTGAGCATGAGCATCTCAGCAAGCTTGCAACCGCAAATACGCTCAACGCCACCAACGGAATCGTTTTGGAAGATGGTGCGGATCATGTCGACAATAGCTTCCAGGTATTGAGGTTGGTGGATGAGAGCCTCGCTACCATAGTTGACAAAGTTCTCAAGAGCAGGGAGCATGTCCTCAAGGTAGAGCTCAGCACCGGACTTGAAGGTTCTGTGAATCAGCTCGAAAGCATTCCACATTGTAGGGGAGATGGTCTTGGCGGCGAAAGTGCAGCTATCAATGATCTCAAAGACTTCGTTGTAGAGATCGTACAACTTGTGCTCCAGGGTAATGGTAATAACGGGCATGAGAATGGTCTCGAGGTGAGCCAGAACGTCAGGAGTGCTCTCGAGGGTCAAAATAAGAGTACCGATGGTCTGAAGAACACCCAAAGCAGTAATGCTCTTGTCGTCCAAGAAGTCACCATACTCGTCATCGCCCTCCTTGGACGAGTTGCGCTCGATCAGCTCACGGACAATACGAAGGTAAGTATCACGAAGCTGCTCGCTGAGAGCAACAGCGAAAGGAGTAAGCTCAGCAGCGAAGACCTCGACGAAGTCCTCCATGACGTTAGCAAGAGCATCCACATCGACTTCGTTGGCCAGCTTGAGCAGCTGCTGCATGATCTGAGGAATGTCGCCTTGCATAGAAATACGGATGACGTCGTGACGAATAAGGGGCTGCAGAGCAAGCGAAGCCTCGACACGGACAGGCAGCTCAGGGTCGGCCATGGACTCGAGGATATTACGGTAGATGATGAGGAGGTTGTTGGAGTCCTTGAAGTCGAGAGCCTCGAACTTCTCGAGAGTGTCACATGCACGAGCGCGCAAGTAGCCGTGAGGGCTGCGGAACTCGGGGAAGACGTGTCTGACGAAGAAGAACTCGACCTGATCTGCGATAGGGCTCTTCTTGCCAAGAATGACACCAGAGAGTGTTCCAATCATACGCAAAGCACCCTCCTTTTCTCTTGGGTTCTTCTGGTCCTCGGGAGCAGACTCGTAGCGGTTAACCACGTCGTTAATGTAGTTGAGGACGGAGAAGGTTTGCTTTCTGCGGGCCTTGGTCATGGTGACAAGGAAGTTTGTAGCGGCAACATCGGGNGCGGAAACCTCTTCGTAGAAGTTGAGCTTGCGGTGGAGGTACTCGGAGGGGTCGGTCTCGAACAGCTCAATGTCCTCGTCGGACTGGCAGAGGACGGGGAAGATCAAGTGTTGAATCAAGATCTGCATGTGAGGCTTGAGGTGATCCCACATGGTCTTGGGCTTGATACACTCCTCCATGAAGACCAGGGTGAAGCTCAAGCAAGGCTTGCTCAGCCATGTAGTCTTGCCAACCCACTTCTCGATCTGTCCCAAGTAGCCCTTAAGGATCTCAGGGGCAAAGTCCTTGATGAAGCTCTTTGCGAACTCGGCGTACTCGGCCTCGGTCTTAGCCAGGTTTGTGGGGTTTCCGTATCTNGTTCTTGTCAGTCTGTTGTCGCTTCCTAGCTCTTCGTCCTGATTCTGAACGCACCTGACGTATAGTCTGTTCAAGTTGACGTATGACCACTTCTTGCACTTGAACCAGTGGTTCTGCTCGCGCTCGTCCAGGTCCTCAACCATCGACTCAGCCGGAGGATCCTTTGCAACAATGTTCAGGAAAAGAGTGCACCAGCCGACGATTTGCTGTTGCTCGCGCAAGTGGCGGGGAAGCTCGAAGTAGATGGCGTGCTTGTAGGCCTTGAGGACAGTGCGCAGCATCTCTCCAGCCTCGAGACTGGTCTCGTTGACCAGGCTGTTTGCGATTGCGAGCAATTGAGGGAAGGTCATCTCAACAATCTTGTCAAAGTCTTCTCTTGTCTCGCCCATCTTGAAACGGTAGACACGGCAGATGGCCAACAGGCACTGCAGACCGGCGAAAACGCTTCCAGCATCTTGTTGGTTCAAGAGGTTGATGGTGATGTTGAGGAAATCAGGCCACTGCTCGGGGAAGTCGTAGTGAAGGATNCTTTGCAGGGTAGCAACGAGCTGGGCGCGGATTTGCGGCGGCGAGGCGGCGAGGATAGGGACGAGACGCTGGCGGATGACCTGCTTGTCGCCTTCGGGGACGGCCTTGAATCGTGTTTGCTCGTTCTCGATGGGAGCCCAGCCCTTGGTGATGCGGTTCTTGAGGTAGACGACGNNGCTGGCAAACAAAGTCAGTTGCTGCTTTGTATGGTGCAGATACGAGGTGGGCTCACTAGACAGGCGCACCGCAGTGTCCTGTTCAGCCTCGAGGATGTTCAACAGGGCCTCGCAGAAGCCGGGAGTGTCTTCGGCNCTGATGAGGGAGTCAGTCGTGTGCCTTGAGGTATCATTGGTTGGTGGTACATTTCGCAAATCCAGCTCTGCCTGGCGACGGGCATCAGCATTTGCGGACAGAGTAGCCTGGATACGGGTCCTTAGGGCGGCGGCGTCCATGATGGAGGTGTGAGTCCGGTGAAAATGCTGGTTCCCTCGGCTGTGCGTACAAGAGCTCGAGGTGGTGAATGCACTGGCGCCCCTCCAGAAATTAATTGAAAATCGTCAGCCCGGTCGGCTCTGAAGTGTCGGATTCCCTTTGAATCTTGGGTTCAGGGTCTGCTGCTTTTCGACAGAGCCAAGCAAAAGTCGACTTTTGTCCGACGCAGCAACACCCGGGAGAACAACAAAAACAGGGGGCACCGTTGGAAAACGAGACGAGCCTCAATCTTCCACCTTCAATACATTAGATAACTCTCAGGTCTTTTGAGCGCAAGAAGTGAAGAAGTGAAAAGATCCAGTATGATCCTCACTATGGCTCTACAAATATTCCTAGTACCAACAGTAATTCGAAAAAATGGAAGGCCCTTACTCCGTTAATCACATGCTGACCATCATACCTATGTGAATTCTCCCCAACGCCAACCACATGAACATTTCTCGACCCCTCGCTTCACTTTTCATGCAGATGGCTCAATAGTGTCGTCTTGAGATCGGTTACCCATGTCGAAACCAAGTCAAAAGGTTCGGATTACATAGTCACTCTTCTCTCAGTAAATCCTGATCGCCAGTTCTACTGGCCAATACCATACATGATTGTACAAGTCTGCAAAACCAGTTGCAGAGACCTACCAGACTTTTAGAATTTGCACTCTAGGAATTCAGCTACCTGAGGCATCGAAGGTTGCTATAATGTTCGCTCCAGGCCCCGCTGGCGATAGAGATACCTATTCTTAATACCAAAATTCAATTGGAGGTGTTTTTAATGCTTGAAAGTTGCACGACCTCTATCGGCTTGGAAGTGGAAACTTGATAGTATCAGAATGAAATAGACACAGAGTTGTTGAATTTTGGCCGTGTGTTTGACTTGACGCAAGGTGAGCTCTGTCTTGGAGTTGGAGCAAAATTTCGATGTCGTCGCTGGTTTGATTGCGTCACCAATCGCGGTCAAACATTCAGCTTCGATTGTTCCATCTCAACACTTTACTATCATAAACACATCGCCCGAGCAAAATTAACTGAATTTCCTGGAAGATGGATAATCTGGCGCCTGCGCTGCAANAACTGCGTCTCGCGGATGCACCTTCTGGAGGAATTGATGCCATCCTCGACCAACAACGCCCACGAAAGCGCACCAGAAGGTCGCCTGATCGCATCCGTTCCAGCTTGGAGAAGGACTTCTTGGCTCCATCTACATCCTTCAGCACACCATGGCTTGATCGTCTACAGCAGCGCTGGGATTGTCCAACAAATTACGAAGAGCTCTTCGAGCTGGCTCCGACTCAAACGCGTACCATCATCAGGTTTACCCGCGAAGGTCTCGAAGGACGCGTCACTGGTTACAAGGAAGTTACTGTCCCAGCAAACAGCGCCACAGCAAAGAATTCAACTTCGATTTTGAGAAAGCCCGCGAACCGCGCAGACTTTGTGCGTGGTGCTGCGGGCTTCTTTCCCNTCGCCCCTGGTGGTCTTGATGCAGTCGAAGCCACTGCTGCCGCCGAGGAACAGCTTCTGCTCGGAAACCAAGCTAATGGTACTGTCAAGCAAAGCGGACTGGACAAAGTCATCAATTTCGGCCCTGATGGTGCTTTGCTTGAGCTTCCTCCAGGATTTACTCGTGGTCTTGACCTGCAGAAGAAGGCTCCTACAGACCAGGCCACCGCTCAGGAAGTCGAGACTGTATTGGAAGAAGAACCTCAAGATCCTGTTACTGCCAACGGAGAGACCGACGAAGCTAAACCAGCTGACGAAGATGAAGATGAAGGAGAGGAGGAAGAATTGGACGCACTTCTCCCAGTTGAATTCCCTGCATTAGCTGCCCGAGGCCAGCTAGGTCTTTCAAGCAACAAGAGATCTGGCCACGAATGGGCGCACATGGTTGATGTCAATCGGCCCATGCCCAACTTTCGAGATCTGGTTCCTGAAATGGCTCGTGAATGGCCATTCGAACCTGACACCTTCCAAAAGGAAGCTATCTATCACTTGGAGAATGGAGACTCCGTTTTCGTGGCTGCTCACACCTCTGCTGGAAAGACTGTCGTCGCAGAATATGCCATTGCATTGGCAGCTAAGCATATGACCAAGGCTATCTACACTTCACCTATCAAGGCTTTGAGTAATCAAAAGTTCAGAGATTTCCGTCAAGAATTTGACGATGTTGGCATTCTGACAGGTGATGTTCAGATTCGTCCAGAGGCAAGCTGTTTGATCATGACTACCGAGATTTTGAGAAGTATGCTCTACCGCGGAGCGGATATCATCCGCGACGTCGAGTTTGTCATCTTTGACGAAGTGCACTATGTCAACGATCTGGAAAGAGGTGTTGTTTGGGAGGAGGTCATTATCATGTTGCCCGAGCACGTCACTTTGATCCTGCTCTCTGCCACTGTACCGAACACTCTTGAATTTGCTTCATGGGTCGGCCGTACCAAGAAGAAGAACATCTACGTCATCTCTACACCCAAGCGTCCTGTGCCCCTGGAGCATTATCTCTGGGCAGGTAAAGAGATGTACAAGATTGTCAATTCGGATAAACAATTCATCGAGAAAGGCTGGAAGGACGCGAATGATGTGCTGTCCGGTAAAGACAAGATCAAGGCAGCCGAGGAGAAGCAAGAAGCTGCTGCTGCCGCCGCTAGAGGCGGTGGTTCTCAGAGGGGTGGACGCGGCCAGGGACAACGTGGCGGCCCCCAGAGAGGTGGTGCTCAGCGCGGCGGAGCACAACAACGTGGTCGTGGAGGCGCACCTGCTCCCCGCGGCCAGGGCAATATTGCACGTACTGGTCGTGGTGGTGGCAGAACGACAGCAGCCCAAGATCGCAACATCTGGGTGCACTTGATTCAGCACTTGCGCAAGGAAGATCTGTTGCCCGCTTGTATTTTCGTCTTCTCGAAGAAGAGATGTGAGGAAAACGCAGATGCCTTGTCAAACCTGGATTATTGCACAGCAACCGAGAAGAGTGCGATTCACATGATCCTGGAGAAGTCACTTGCTCGACTGAAGCCAGAGGATCGCCAACTGCCTCAGATCAGACGTCTGCGCGAGCTGCTTAGCAGAGGTATTGCAGTCCACCATGGTGGCATGCTGCCTATCGTCAAGGAGTGCGTCGAAATCTTGTTCGCCAAGTCCCTAGTCAAGATTCTGTTTGCTACCGAGACCTTCGCCATGGGATTGAACTTGCCAACCAGGACTGTCGTATTCTCAGGTTACCGAAAGCATGACGGACGCCAGTTCCGCGATCTCTTGCCTGGTGAATACACACAAATGGCTGGCAGAGCAGGAAGAAGAGGTCTGGATCCTGTTGGTTCGGTAATCATCGTCGCTCCGGGAGCAGATGAAGCACCGCCAGCTGGTCGACTGAGACAGATGATGCTGGGCGATCCTACCAAGCTTCGCTCGCAGTTCAGACTGACCTACAACATGATTCTCAATCTTCTTCGTGTAGAAGCTCTCAAGATTGAAGAAATGATCAAGCGCAGTTTCAGTGAGAACGCGACTCAAGCATTGTTGCCTGAGCACGAACAAAAGGTCAAATTGTCAGAAGCAGATCTTGCAAAGATCAAGAGAGAACCTTGCGACATTTGCGACAAAGACCTGGAAGAATGCCATACCGCAGCCATGAGATACCAGCAACTCACATCGGACTTGCACCTTGCCCTTCTCGGCTCACCCATTGGTAGAAGAATGCTGCAACCAAAGAGATTGGTTGTGTACAAGAGAGATGGTGTCAGGACCGTTGGTGTTCTGCTACGCGAAGGCGTATCCAAGGGCATTTCGCCCAGTCTGTCGGTCATGGAAGTTGTTCCTTCAAAGTCGAAGAGACAGAACGCTGATTTGCTGCCTTACCTTCCTCGATACAGGCGCCGCTTCACTCCTCAGCCTTCAGCTCCTGAGCAAATGAAGCTTAGACTCGCAACAGTGCCATACAGTGAGCTTGAATGCTTGACTGGAAGCACCCTACAGTTTGACGTCACTGGCGCATCGAGCAAGATGCCAGAAGCTATGGAACAGCTGAAAGAGCAGTTGTTAGGCGCATGTTCTAGCTGGACATCAGCCACCTGGCAGGAAGCCGACTACTCTAGAATCAAGGAAATCGGTATCCGTAACATCCTGGATGAGCGCAGCAAGGCAGCGTACGATGCTCAAGAGGACAAGGAATGCGCCCTTTGTGAGAACCTGGATAAGCACTTTGCTATGATGCACGATGAATGGCTCATCAAGGAGAACATCAACCAGTTGCGCGCATTGATGTCAGATCAGAATCTGCAATTACTGCCCGACTACGAGCAGCGCATTGCGGTTCTTAAGGATCTTGGGTTCGTGGACGAGAACGCTCGTGTTGAGCTCAAGGGCAAGGTTGCCTGCGAGATTCATTCTGCTGATGAGCTCGTATTGACCGAGCTGGTCCTTGAGAACGTACTTGCCGACTACGAGCCAGAAGAGATCGTAGCACTACTTTCTGCCTTCGTGTTCCAAGAGAAGACTGACCAGATCCCGACCATGACACCAGCATTGGAGCGTGGACAAGAGACCATCATCAAGATCTCCGAGAAGGTCAACCACTACCAGACTCTTCACCAAGTCATCCTATCCGCAGACGACTCCAACGACTTTGTGAGCAGACCTAGATTCGGCTTGGTCGAAGTCATCTACGAATGGGCACGTGGTATGTCGTTCAATCGCATTACCGACTTGACGGATGTGATGGAAGGTACTATCGTCCGTGTCATTACGCGTTTGGATGAGACCTGCAGAGAAGTCAAGAACGCAGCAAGAATTATTGGTGATCCTACATTGTTCACCAAGATGCAGACCTGCCAGGAGATGATCAAGCGTGACATCTGTGCGACAGCATCGCTTTACATGTAAATAGAGCCGTAGCTTCATCATGATATCATCAGAGCTCCTCTGAACATCGATCTCTGGGCCAGTTGCGCCGTATCAATGATATTCAATAGTTGTTCTCAGTACATTTAAAGATGGAAGGCGCACCCACGTTGCGAGCAGGTGCTTGCGCTTGCGCATGTTAGACTTTGTGACATGTTAGAGTGAGCCATGCCATGGCAAGCAGACGTTCTTTCCTCGACTGCGATACATGTTTGGCACAATTGTGGTAAGTTCTAGTGTCCAAAAAGCTGAGAAACTACAGAGAAGGCGCAACACTCCCAACATTGCCAAAAAGAAGCCACTTCCACCACGACACAAAGCAAAAAACCAAGCTCTTTTCAGAGCTCGGGAAAACCCTCCTGCCTGCAAAGTATTCTACCTTTGTCAGGGAGAGAAAGAACGCTAAATGGTTCCGCTACATCCAAGGGTCGAACCAAGGACTTCTAGGAGTTTTATTATTTGGCTTTACAAGTGGTCTTACCGATTGTGCCAACTCTACCAAGTACTGAGAGAATATCAGTTTGGCTAGAATATGAGAGGTGTTATGTGAGGGTAGTGAAATTGGAAGGCGAGAGAGTGGTTTCTATTGCGAGTGAAGATAAGGCAACGGGTTGATGTGCCATATGTCCCTCGACACTGTATTGGAGGTGATGCTCGGCACATTCGTGTTGTTCGAGACTGTGTTTACTAGCTCACTTTCACATCGTGTTACTTAACCCCGTCACGATCATAACAATTAATTGGCACTTCCACCGCAACTCATAACTTCAACTCTACTTCTCTTTTCTTTTTCAACTTCCCTCCATCACAGCTGTTCTCTTACACATGCACAAGATGACTCTGTACAAGAGTCCTCTTCTCCACTTACCAATTGCGCCATCTCTACCGATTGCTGAGGAGATAGAGTCTTGGTTGGAATACATGGCATCGGTAGTGAATGGAAGGTGAGTGAGAAGCGAAGAATTGGGGTTATGCAAGTTGTTGTGCCGCGTAAGGTGAACATGAGTTGTTCAATTCATACAATGGTTTCTGATTACTGCTATGCGTACATATAAAACAATATCCTATGAGAAGTCGATGAGAGCCTTACTCTCGCCAGCCAGCAGGATATCCTTGATGTTGTTCCTCGTTGACTCAGTCACACCAATGGTTGTGAAATATGCCGACACAGAGCCGTACCTGCCTTCCAAACGCTGCCTCAGCACGCTTGCCCATCGCGAACGATCTTGAGCCCAAGCAGAGGACTCAAATCGACAGTTGCTTTCCCACTGTCTATCACTCTTCTCATCGAATTTGAAAGGAAGCCCCTCACTAATTTGTAGGTATATGTGCTCGACGACCGAGAAAGGAGTGTCGAGAACGAGAAGTAGGAGAAAGACCAACAGTGAGTTGTCTCGCATGATACGGTCGCCGCTAATGACGATGGGATAGAAGTCTGGTTTACTTAGAACCTCATTGAACAATCTGCCTATGATTGGTGCAGATAAGATGAGGACTAGAGCATTATCGTCAACATTGCTTCGTTTCCACACCAGGTCCCTGGCTTTCTCCTGCAGTGCTGGATCATTGCGATCATCGATGGCTACCGTGTCCCACTTGAATTTCNNCTGAGCGCCAAATCGTTTTAGCCACTGTCCAAATACAATTTAAGAACAGAAGGTAGAGCCTCACAATTTAGACCAGAGAGGCATCTCGTTAATGGCATTTCTGACAAATGCATCATTTCGAAACACGACGCAGCAGAGCTTCAACCCCAAAACATCTTCAAGGCAAAAGTCCTCGGTCTTCTTCTCTAGTGCTGGGCCGTGAAAGATATAGCGAGGGCCATCTTGCCTTTGGAGCGTGTTGACGATGGTATGTATTCCAAGGTCCTCTCGCAAGAATTGCTTGTCGGAGGCGGTGGCAGCTTCGATTGGCGTGCTTACGAATAGTAGACCTTTCTTGAGTTGTGAGGCTTGTCCTGACGGAATGGTAGTTGCACCGATATCGTGGACGATGATCTTGGTTGACAAGCCTGAGATGGCCGATGGACTTGTTGTTGTCTTTTCCGTATCCATGTTCGAATCAATGACAATCAAATGGCAGAATAGAAATCTACATAGTTGTTTCTTGACCTATTTGTTTGCTTCGAAGCTTACACTAGATGTGCATCACGATACCCCATGACGCTGATGAATAGAAGATGTGGTCTTGAGGGAACGGATCGTCGCGGATCACGAGTCAGAATAACATAGAAAGATCGCCCAGTGTCTTTCTACAATCAGCAAAAGTCGAGAAGATCACTCCGAGGCAGTCAAACCAGGATACAGGTCTCACTGTTCAAGATACGACTGTATAACAGCATGTTCGTGTAAACGACAAGACTGTATGTTTCTTCGACATGTTACAGAGTCGTTTGCACAGATATTCAACCCTGAAGATCCTTGAGTACCTCTGCTGCTGCACGCTCACCACTTCGCACAGCACCTTCCATGTAACCCTTCCACTCCCCAGCAGTTTCCGTACCAGCAAAATGCATATCTGCCCATGGTTTCCTCAAACTCCCACCGCCAAGCGAAGAAAGTACACCAGGAGGCAACCCAGTACAGGGACATCCCCATCCAGAATATTCATCCTTAACCCACTCATAAGTAACCAGTTGAACAAATTCCTTCTCAGCAACATCTTCTGCATCAAAGAGCTGACCGATTTGCTTCAGAAGACTCTGTTCTCGATCCGTATCTGATAGTGCTGCCCATGCGAAACCAGGTTTGCCACCTAGGAAGCAGGTCAGGATGTGCTTGTTGTCTGTCGGAGAACTGGTATCGCGTATCACGCCCGCAGGACCGATGAAAGATTGTGTGAGGCCACAAAAGCCTTTGTCAACCCAGAAAGGCGTACGAAAGACCATCATGGCTTTTGTGTAGTAGCCATAGGTCGTCGACTCAATCCATGTCCGCTTGCTTGAAGGTAAGTCCGGCGAGAAGGAAATGTTCCTGAGTACTGGCGTAGGGACAGTAGTGATGACCTTGCGAGCACGAATAATCTGGCCTTGGGTATGTACTTCGACGGTGCCATTACCAGTATTGTTGTTGATGGCTATGACTGGACTGGATAGACGTATCACTCCATTTGGCAGATCACTAGCGAGTCCCTTCGAGAACAACTGCATCCCTTGACGTACGCGAAGATGCTGGCCACCGCCTTTTCTGTCAGATCTCATCTGTAAAAGGCCACCNCCTGACTTGCAGTAGTTGAGGAAGTACAATGCAGACAGATCTTTGGGTTCTTGTCCGAGCATTGCTCGTGTCCACACAGTTGCTGTAGACATGCTTGTTTCGCTGGCCCCGCGTGATTGTAGGTATGCTTCGAAACTCATCGAGTCAAGGATTTTGTCGTCAGGATTGAATGTGTCCAATTTCTGGCAATCGGCCTCGCACATATCGCGGATTCGTGCCACATCCTCTTTGCTGCAGCATCGAACTAATCTGATCAGTCTTTGGCCTGTGATATCAAGGCATGGTCAGAAACTTACAGATGGCAATTCTCCGTACGGGAAACTCGAAATAGCACCACTGGCATCTTGAATAGCACAATTACCAGTAGTGTTTTGCTCAATCAATTCGGCGTTGTATTGCTTAGCCAATGCATATACTTGAGTCTGGTTAACGTCGTTGATCCAAGCAGCTCCCAGATCCACTGTTCCTTTTCCATCAGCAAGCTGTTGACTCCAGGTTTTACCGCCGACGCGATCTCTAGCCTCTAGGATGATGCAAGATAGACCCGATTTGATGATATCGCGGGCTGCTGTTAGACCAGCAAGTCCAGCACCAATGACGACGACATCGGCTTCCTCTCTGGTCACATGATTTATTGAGCGCATACTCCCATTGATTTCCAAAGAGCTAGACATGATGCGATATGTGTTGTTACACCAGTGCAGGCCTCGACGTCTCAGGTAGCAGATATATAGACCAGTTCGAGATACTTGGTAGCCTAGTCAAGGAGGAAGTCAAGTTCCGTTATCGTCGTCGGCCGCGACATTCTGCCCTGCGCCTCTGCCGGAAGCTTATCGATTTTCCCGCCATATCTTTACTTCAACTACTCCGACAACGGAAAAGGTGGTGTTGCCCGTCGTGAACGATTCATGGTGTGCACTGTGCAGGGAAAAGAGGAGGCCTATCTTTCGCCGAGGCGGAAAGGCGGGGCTGGCCTATCTACACAAAACCGGTCCGACATCATCGCGCCAGGTCCTTATCAGCAGCATTCACCTCGTCTGTCGTTCTTGTCATTGGCGCAAGCCAGCTGTAAGTTTTGGATTTGGATTTGGTCTGAAGGCAATCCGACGTTTATCGTGTGGAAAACAGTCGTGTCGAAGACTGCCAAGACATTTAAGTAGAGGGTATATCTTTCTTACTGACCATCAACTCTCGGATTGTGGTTGCGATGACGAGGATAGACGGGATTGATCACTACGCACAACTGGGGGAGACACCACACATAAGGTCAAATCTTGTTATTCATTTCTTCTTTTGATACAGTAGCGACGTAAAAGTTCATCATCTCGTCAGTCCCTCATCAACACTTGCGGACGCAGCACCACAGAAAGCTGGCCAGGTTGTTGTAAATCGCACGCATCACATGCGAAGACAGACAGCCGGCTTCATGTCTCCTCTAAAACATCTTCTGCTGGGCATAGATGGTACCGTTACCGGTGAAGTTACCAGTCTGAGTAGTAAAGTCTCCTTCAGTGGCGAAAGAGTCGATGCGACCAAGAAGGAGCTCAATGGCACGGTAGGCAGCGCCAGGAGCGTAGCCCGGAAGCTCGTGTCCGGCAAGCTGAACTTGGTAGAAAGTAAGACCTCTTTCGGAGCCCCAGTACCCAACCTTGCCAGCTCCGGAGAGAGCACCGCCGTTGTATTCGGGGTGGTAGGGGACGATAAACTCCTTACCAGGATACTCCTGAAGACCTTGCTTTCCATTCCAGGACATGCCTTGAATGGCAAGAAGAGTGCCGTTGGTAGAGAGGAGCATGTCAAGGTTACCAGAGCCGATGATAGTGTTGTTGGTGTACTCGATAACACGCTGGAGAACGCCATCAGTGGCAGGACCCTTGCTGGTATCGCTCAGGGACTGGTTGTTGGTGGCACCACCAAAGACGTTGATACTGCTGCATTGCTGCCAGTTGGTACCAACAGGAGCGTTGATGGCCTTCTGAACATCGGTGCGGTTGAAGTAGACGACCTCTCCAGAGGGGATGTAGTCGCCGGTATTGACACCACCAAGAACAGACCAAGGGTGAGGGCAAGTCTCGGTAATGTGGTAGATGTTGAAGCAGGGGTTAACCTCCAGGACAGCCTCGTATACGGTGTCGAACATATCGCAGGCGTATGTGTCGGAATTATACGGATCGGGAAGGGTTGGGAATTTCTCCTGAGGAGGAGGGAAAGTAAGATACTTCTCCAGGTACGACGTGTAGTTGCACTGGTCGGCACGGTCGTGAATCTGCTGCAAGAAGGTCTCGTTGAGGTAAATCAGATTCTCCCAGTAGTCGACAAATGGAACGATAACGGCCTGCTGCTGGGCTGTCTCATCGCCTATGATGGGGTCGTTGATAGCGATTCCCTGATTTTGTCAGTACCGTTTACTGAGCTATTGATACGGAATGTCTTACTTGNNAAGGTTGTAGTAGACGGTATCGGCGGCAGTGATGAAAGCATCAGCGATGTAAGGTACATAGAAACCTNNGTGATGGACATGACAATCAGTAAGAGCTACATGACAAACTTTCGGGGACGGATACTGACCTGCATAGGATTCGCCAGTCAAGTAGACCTTCCAGTTGTGGAGGTTGAAAGCGTCGACGAATTGCTTGTAGAAACCGATGAATTCAAGACCAAGCTCGACTTCGTTGGTGATATTGGGGACACCTTGAGAGAAGCCGACACCAACAGGTTGCTCAACCCAAAGCATGTTTGTGAGATTGACCCACGTGTATGGATTGCTTACAGGCTCAAGGGTTCCAGCTTCCCAGGTGAATGGACCGTTCTCAGTCAAAAGACCGCTGAGCGAACTGCAGCCAGGACCACCATTGAACCAGATAGCAATCTCTTCTGTGGCGTTGGGGTTGGTCGTGGGGAAGAACCAGAAGAAGAGCTCGCGAGTCTCGTTGGCTGCGCCGCTGATGGGCAGGAGACCAGCGTACGACTCGCCAACGTTGAAGTTGACATCGGGGATAGCAGAGCCGTTAACCCAGAACNNTCTGTCATCTGATTAGATGCTGCACCCGAATGATGAGAACGAAAGAAACTTACTCTCGGTCACGTTGTTGAGGTAGGGCGAAGCTCTCTTCTGAAGTCTGGGGTGCTCGAAAGGCTTGCCAATCTCTCTTTTCTCAATGATTGGAGCCTTTGCTCTCAATTGCTCGGCGCGTTCGAAAACATTGCGGCCAGGTGACGAGGCACTGACCGAGGCAGCCAACCCGAGGGCGGCGCTGATCTGAAGCAGTGAAAAGCGCATGATAAGGATGCTGTGGATCAATGCTCCAAGAATGTTGGATGTTCAGAAGAAAGTCAAGCAGGCGTGGGCATGGCAGAGTTTATAGCATTGTCGCATGATCTTCCCTTCCTCGCGTGCCAGGCAGCAAATCGCGCAGTTGCATCGCCTGTCAACAATCACATAGCTCTGCAGTGATCTTTCCCTCCTTAGGCAGGTTGAAGTTTAACATTCTCGTAAAACATAGATAAACCATGCCGTCATGGCATAATTTCTGGGGATAGATCCGGGGCTAACCAGTGGCACCTGCCCAGGAAAGCTTAGGGGATGGTCCAAGTTTGAGCTCGAGTGCTTGACCCTCGTGAAGCCGACGCTTGATGATCCCAAGTCCTATTGATTGCACCATTCCACCGTGGCAATGCGCGATAGCTGGCTTGAGAGAAGTGCAAGGCCCTTGATCGTTAACAGGAACAAGCGGATGTCGTCGCGAACTTCGAGGGAGGCACGACGTTTGGCCAAGCACAAAAATGTGGGGCATCTGCGGCAGGCAGTTTTCACCGACTTGAATCAAGGCACCCAGATGCACGAGCAAAGAGCAAACCTGTCGGAACCCAGCGGTTGCATGTACTTCTACGGACAGCAGCAGATGCAACGTCTCATGTAAAAGCTCTTGGGAAGGCCATATTGACCTGCCTGTTTCGCTCCATGTTTGCGACTTTTGTTTTTGTGCCCAGTGTCGCGTGCATGTCCAAGACGGCCCGCGAGGAATGTTGGAGTCATCACCACAGAACCGAGCCCATCACCAGAGAGCAGAAAATCGGTTGTCAGCAATCTCCTCGATCATCTGAGGTTTTTTGATGCCGTGACTGGGTCCTTGCAGGTGGCACCTGTGTCTGGTCGCTAACCCGGCAGACGGAGTCGCGGGTCTGTTTCCTCTTTCGAATCTGATCGGTATTCAGCATGCTTACGCCCGTAACAGATCATCCTCTCGCCCATCCAGCCAGCTGGTGCAGTTGAAGCAACGCTTTGCCNNTATGCACCATTAGATGTTGTATCAACCACAGGTAGGTACCAAGAAGAGACATACCTTCAAGCTAATCTTCTTGCGGCAATACTGGCACTTCTTTTCATGCTTGATGATGGTCTCGTCATTGCTGAAGTAGATGTATGCTCTGACTATAGCATACAGCGCGAAGCCTATTCCAAGGAACTTAAAGCACTTGTTCAGAAAAGTCCTAGAAGATCAAAAGTCAGCACTTCCCTTGTCACGGTCTCAATTTGTACACAAATTGGGAAAAGAGAGAAGAACGAAACGAGAGGTGACGAGAAACAAGACCTACCCATACGCCATAACAACAGCCCCATCTTCAAGCGCCTGCTGGACAGTATTATACCCCATAGTCTGATTCTGACCATGCCTCAAAGTTGCAAACCGCTCATCCAAGTTTCGGCTCAAGAAAGGCAACAACGAAATGGGAGGCAACAGTATATCGCTGACGAAACTGGAAACGACGGTACCAAACGCGGCAGCGAGGATGAGTCCAACAGCAACTTCAAGCACATTGTCTCTGAGAGCAAAATCGCAGAAGTCGTTCCAAGTGCTGCTCAATGCTTTACGGGAAGAGGCCGTGGTGGGTAGGAGAGGTGTGCTCGGGGTTGCGGCCATCTTTGCTTCGCTGCCTTGGTTTTACTTTCTTCTGTTGAGGAAAAGCAGAGATGGTTTTCAAACTGGACTATAAGGGCAATGAGGATTGAATTATGGGAATTGGAAGCATAGGAATGTCGGTGAGTCGAGTGACTGTGCTTGGTGCCCCGGAAATTAATAGGGAGTGAGGTACAAACAAGGCGACCAAGACTTGGAACGCTAACCGTTAGACCTCCGCTCTCGATCCTATGCCAAACATGATCCTTCTAAAGGATCCTTCTGAACGGAGGGACCATTGTGTTCCGAAGACTCTGACGAGGAATTGAGGTTATGAACGATACAAATTCGGTTCAGAGGTTGAATTACTAGCAATGGCACGTGTGGACTACATATTTCAATCAAGTAGCGACATAAGCACGTACGGCCACAGTCAGCTGAAAACTGGGCATCCCGTCCGCTCTGCCATACATAAGCAGTTGAACGGCAGATTAGTACTGTGGTGGGTGACCACATGGGAATCCCTGCTGCTGTACGTTTTGCATTTTGCTCTGTGCTGGTGGATATCTGTTGTTTTGCCTCATCGCCTTTACTCTTTTGCATGCCCGTCGTCTAAATACGATTGCTGTGTTTGCTATGAACTAATCAGCTGGGTTTTAAGCCAGAGTGAGGTATACTCCAATCGCTACGCTGTTCTATAGTCGAGTGATGTGGGCCTCGTTCTTCGTAGGCTTGATCTATGAAACTGGTGTGATTATTGTCATATATTCGTTATCTCTGGTGTAGATTTATCTTTTCGTCGTGGCATCCGTTTCCAACTTGATTTCTCGTTCTCCTCATCAATCGAGCCTGCTATAGCTGGAGTTCTGTTGAAGCTCGCACCAAGAGATAGTGGAGGCTCTATAGCTCCAGCCGCTGGAGTTTGATAGAAGCTCGAGCCGAGAGGTGGCAGAATTGTTGCACTTAGAGGCGGAGTCTTGCTCCAGCTGGCACCCAAAGTGGATAGCGGAGTTGTTATACTGTCCAAAGGTGGTGTCTTGCTCCAACTAGCACCAAGAGGTGGCGCACTTGTTACGTCTGTCAAGGCTGGAGTCTTGTTCCAACTAGCTTCAAGCGGATTTGGTGTGCCCAGCGCTGGAGTTTTGTTCCAACTGGCTTCAAGATCCGGTGGCGCATTCGATGCTGCTCCCAAAGCTGGAGTTCTGTTCCAACAAGATCCAGTAGGCACAGGACCATGCATTTGTTTCGTGTTGACAACGACCAAGTTTACAGTCGCCTCTTCATCTGTGATCTCTGTTTTTGACATGTCTGAACCCATAAGCCGCGAGGTGAGGTGTAGTCCTACAACTTTTGCGCGTCTCATCAGTGGGCGTAAGCATGCCAATGAGACGGCAGTGATTCCCAACCCTACTTCAATTACGGTGAGGTTGATCATGGGTGCCGAGATTGCATAGTAGTTGGGACGTAGGTTAGGATCAAAGTACTCATCCCGAAGCAAATATGTGCCAGTGGTAGCCGTGCGAGCAACGGCGGCTAAGGAGCCTCCGCAGGCAAGCAGCATAAGACAAGACGAGGAAATTTTNGCCGCGCGACTGAGGTTCGAACGGTAGAGCGTTATGGTGGGCAATAACGCGAAAATCCAGTCTGTTACTGCCGATAGAATGCCGTGGACATACAACAATGCCGTAAATGCTTCCAGCTTAACACATTGGCCCGTCAAGTGCTTGTGAATGAGATCCGTAGGTAGGCCACACTGGAAGAGGGCAAGGAAGATTCCAACGACGCAAGTAGAGCAATAGAAGAAGCCGCAAGCTAACACAAGCCATCGTTGCCATTCAACGATGAGAAACTTGCGGAAGAAGATCGTGAGGGAGAGCTTGAAGACCAGGCAGGTGGCTTGGAAGACGACTTCACCACACAGAAGAGTGGTTATGACGCCTTCGCCAGTCTCGGCAGAGAAGACAGGGTTGGCGGCTTCCTCATTGGCAAGGACAAAAGCGATGATGCAGAAGCCGATGTAGAGTATGGCGGCGACAAGAATTGTCCAGTCGTCNCTGTTGAAGTACATAATTTAGTCGGTGCTCGTTTTGAGAAATCTAAGATTGTGCAGATTGCGTGGCTCACGTAGCCCCAGGAGGGTTCAACTTACTGCTTGGAGTCCGCCAGTCAAAAAGTGCGATCGAACCCAGATCCTCAAAAGTACCGCTGCGGTCGACAATGATACACAAACAGCCGCTACGATCGTGAGACTCTCATGAGGAACGCCCAGCGACAGCATACTGAGTGGTGCAGGCTGTGATTAGTGGTCGACGCTCTGCCAGAGAGGCCAATGAAGAATGGAAGAAGCATGAGCGATGTCAAGTAGAAGGGAAAGCCCATTGACAGATAATGAGAGTCATGTCCCGTTGCTGTCTCAGCATGTCTTGCCAAAGAAAGGTAGAATGGCGTGAAAGTTGGTAAAGGGACGGTGAAACGCTAGTAAACGTTGCATCCGCAAAAGACTATTCCAGTACCGGCCAATGGACACTCGTGGATGTGACAGATGCCGAGGAACGGCACATGGCAAGAGCCTTCCTGGGTCTACTTGCGCTGAAGAGCCATCATGACAGTAGACTTCTAGGCTCAAGCCATCGAATACTGGTCCTCAGCTCTTTCTACGTGTGAATAGATGACAAAGATGTCAGCAAGAACGGAATCAGGTGCTCATCAAGTACGAGAGCGTCGCAATGAGGGGGCGGATCAGTCAATGCTCTCGACGGTCCGGACGATCAACCAGTCCGGCAACTTCTTTCACTAGATTCGTACCATACGAAGGGTAAGCAGCTCCAGACCGCCTGGCGCCAGCACGTCGACACGGTCGTGTGCTCAGCACATCTCCTTCCTTTTGAATCATAAAGCCTTGCGGAGCTCCTCCGCTGAACTTGTCGGCGACTCATGTGCTCCTATTAAGATCAACAACGAGTCAGCAGGAGGGACATTCTTACCTACTTGTATCTTATTTGTACCGTTCTAGACACCTGTTACCTGCCTGTGCCAAGCGGCATCTATAAGCACTACGTCTCAACAACTGAAGGGACTGTGATGTGAACCCAGAATATATAAGCACAAAAGTGTTAAGAGACGGTGATTGCGATCATGTGGAGGGTGTGAGGTTTGATCTAGGTTATCGCTCTCCTCGATATGCAATTAATCTATGCAGGGCTGAAGTCTTCAACGGCTGACTGGCCGTTACAGACTTCAGCGAGCACGACCCTCGATGTCGCATTCTGCAAAACATGAATATTGACTCAACCATGAAGAAGACATCTCACAAATAGAGACTTGGTGACTAGAATGGGTAACATATCATATAAGCTCAAGTTCTTCAACTTTTGCAACAACTAACAAAAACGTAGCCTCTTGGCTGGGGTAATAGTAATGATGTTCAACTCTTCGTCTTCGTCAGATACTCTCTTCTTCTCTTCTTTTGTCCTTATTCAGTGGGACATTGGTGACCAAGCCTCGACCTAAGACGACTTGGCAGCACCACTTCTCTGCTGAACCTCAGACTTGGCAGCTTGTGCGGAAGAGGTAACAGCCTCAGCAGCCTGGTTCTTGGTGTCAACAGCAGCCTTCTTGGCCTGGTCAGCCTTAGCCTTGATCTGCTCCTTGCTAGGGGCAGCAGCGGCACCACCGCCGATGGCACCGAGGAGAAGGGCAATTGCAGTGACGATGAGAACGGCGAGACCGCCAGCAACCTCGGGAACGAATTGAACAGCCTGGACGGGGTCACGTTTGAAGATGGTGATGAAGAGATCGAGCTTCTCGCGGACGTAGAGAACGGGGTCGTCGGCGAACTTGAGGTCCATGGGAGACTTGGGGGTGTCCTTGGTCTCGTCCTTCTTGGGCTTGGTAGCCTCCTCCTCAGCCTTCTCAACAGCGTTCTTGACCTCGAAGGTCTCCTTGGCGAGAGCGGCGGCATCCTTCTCGGAGTGACCAATGTAGATGTTGTCAAAGAGGATGTCGTTCTGCATGGTCCAGAGCTCGAAACCGATCNNTGTGCAAAAGTTAGCGTCGTGTGTAAAAAATCATCGCGCAATGGTCAAACTTACGGCACCCATAGGCTCAAACTTGGAAGGAGTCTTGTCCTCGAAGTAGTCGGGGTTGGCAATCTTCTGGGGAGCCCAAATGCCCTTGTAGGCAGGGTTCTCGATCATAGGAGCGGACCACTTGCCCTTGTACTCAGGGTTTCTCTTCATGGGAGACTTCCAAGGACCACAGCCAGAAACGTCGTCACACTTGGGGTTCTGGACAAGAGGAGGCATCCAGTCACCGTCCTCCTCATCATCCCAGTCCTCGGGCTTCTCAGCCTCAGGGTCGGGGATCTGGAGAGGCTCGTTCTCGAGCCAGTCAGCGGGCTTCTCGGCCTCGGTGTCCTCAATCTCGAAGGGAGCGTCCTCGTCCCAATCGGCAGGCTTCTTGGCCTCGGGGTCAGCAATCTGAGCCTCCTCGACCCAGTCGGCGGGCTTCTTGTCTTCAGGGTCGTCAATCTCAGTAGGAGGGTTGACAGCGGGGGTGAAGTCCTCAATGAGAGAACCGTTCTTGAGGGAAGCGCCGTCAACCTTAAGCTCGAATGTCTGGTCGGGGCGGACAATGAGGGTGTAGAGGGAGGTCTGCTTGCTGATGCGAGCCATGGGAGGGTTCTTGAGGTGCTTCTCCTCGTACTCGCCAGTCTTGGGGTTCTTGTGGCGGAAGATGAAGTGGACCTTGTTGGTGGAGCCACACTTGTCGGGACCGAACATGATGATGTAGGGCGAGGCGTTGGAGAACTCTTCGGCGTGGAGGGCGCTGTTATCCTGGAGGAGCTTCATGTAGGCACCTCCACACTCAAGGCCGGCNTGTCGGACATGTCAGATGTGCTGGGTAGTGCGAGGTGGTGATTCGAGCTTACCTTGGAACTTTGCCTCGTACTGGACAACCAGAGTCTTGTCGGTGTTGTCAATGGCCTTGGGGAACTTGGCCGAGATGGCGTGGTGAGCGGCCTTGTCCTTGAGAACCAGACCCTTGTCACCCTCAATACCGCGGAGGACTGAAGGCTCCTCGACCTTCCAGGTGCCGACGTAGGCCCATTCCTCCTCAGTGCCCTCCTTCTTGGCCTCGGACTTCTGCCACCTTGACTCCCAGTCGTCGGTGAACTGCTCGAGGAAAGGAGCCTTGAGAGTGGTAGGGGTGAAGGTGGGCTTGCTGACAGCCGACGAAGTCACAGACTCGACGACCGAAGCAACAGACGACGAGGCCTCGACGGCGGAGTCCTCAAGGTCGTCGAGCACGTCGGCGCGAGAGACGGCGGCGCAGAGACCGACGGCAAGGTAGTTTTGGAACTTCATCTTGAATCAATTGGTCAACTCAAGTCAAGCAAAGAAAGACAAGTTGCAGCAAACGCGAAGACAGACTGTCCTTAAAGCTTCAAGTTGGCACTATCGCCGGCACAAGGACACGTTTAGACCAACCACCAGACTAGGCCCAAACGGGAAAGAGAGCTCCACATCATGTGAAGGGCAGAGCCTCGCACACCGAACTCCATCGAAGACCATCAATCTATTTCTACCGCCAACTCCGTTGATTGTGTACTACTTTGTGCCAGTGGACACGTGTTCTGATCTGTACCCAGTTGCACGACGACAACACTGGGAAACAACTGTCTTCTACGGATATTGTAGCAATCGGCTCACAAACACGGGTTGCACCTTCTCCGCGCATCTCGGCGAGGCTGGGGATCGTCGTCCATCCAAAGTAGACTTAGTCATCCATTATGTCTATTGCTTGCGCCTCGGTCTGAACATGACATTCTCGATTCGGGAACCCATCAAAAATTGCTAACATGTGTCTTTGCAAGAGGGAAGCCTCCAAGTTCTGATCAACTCCTCTCTCCTTCCAAGCACTCTTAAAACATATTCTTCCTCCACTCGGCACGCTCATCGCTCGTGATGTGAGGTCTGCAACTGGAATAGTCGTTCGGTCCATGCTTCGAATAATAGGTTGGTATACCGCTCGGTATCTGTATGGTCAACTTCGGTCTGCGTCGCAGCTCTGCACCCGTGAGAGACTTGACCTCAGCCTGGCTTATCGGACCATTCTCGACATTCTCTTGAATATGTTCCGGCTTCTTGGTTGTATTGGCGAGCTTTGCTTCAGAGTCAAGTCGGAGCTCTGAATTGGGGATGGCAATGATTTTTGTGTAAAGAGGAATGTTCTGGTCGCCAACATCCGGATCGAATTTGACCCAATTGCTACTCGCAACATGTTCAACCCACATCTCCGAACGCTCAGTGCTCCAAAACCAACGACTAGCGTTCCAGTCTGGAGAAGAAGGACTGAGAGGCGGCAGATCCTTTGAGTCTTCATCCTCGTCGTAGTCCTGCTCGCGTGAGTAATGAGACTCATCAGAGTCTCTGTACAGTTTCTTGTATATGCGGTTGGCTGTATCAAAGGCGTTCTTCCGGGCGAGCCACCATTCTGTGGGAGATGTCGGTCTTGGTGGGTCGTGTATTGTTGATTCGGCTATGCTGCTTGATATGCAAGATTCTGCTTTGCTGTGTTGTCTGCTTCTGAGGAATGCTTTCATTTTGTGCCGTGTTGAACTGTGGTTGATGACTCTGGATTGATGGTGGTGGTCAAGTTCTCGTCTTATGAGCTTGACTATCATAACACATACACCGATGTCTCGCAATACAGTGAGTCTGTCGCTCTACAGTGTGATACATCTATGTTGGGTGTTTGACATTGCTCTTCTTTCCAAAGAGGATACAAGACATTTCCCACAATGTGTCTAAGACATGTCAAAGCAACAAAGTCTTGAACAGTGAGCATCATATGCAGCACACTATACTCAGTACGAGCTCGATATGCCCCAGAGTATGGCCGGTGATGTCTATGCTGATCACAATGGTACTCGGGTCAATGATGTACCGATGGTTTTGGGATGCGGCTGGAGTCACCCTGCTCATCATCAATCTCTTTCTACTCTCGCACCTACAATTCAGCCGCTTCATCTACAAGCTTCCGGTACACCAAAGAGAAAACCACATTCTCGGTGGTATCGATAGACTCTAGTGTAAGTGATGATAGCAGCGATTCGGGAAAATAGGTTGCCCTCGAAAAGCTTTCAACATATGTGCTGTCTCACGTCTACCACCACAGGAAAGGTCACTGGCCCAGAGCACTCATCAAGAAATGATATTCTTGGACTTCAACTGCCAAGTTGTACAACTCTATTCTCCTGATCCTGGTATCGCTAATGCCTATGTACATAATACGTTGTACCAAAAAGAATATACATCAATACCTCTGTCTGACGCCACCTCTCAAACCTTCCTTCCACAAACAACAGATACTATGCTCCTCGCACCATTTCTGCACCATCCAAGGCTGCAATTCTTCTTGAACCAGCTCTGTTGCTTCTTCTACAGCTTCAGCTGCATCAGCTTTCTTCTTTCCTTTCCCCTTGACCACCTTTGGTACTGAGATCTCGATGCGCACGCCTTGGCCATTGAGCCACAGTGTCAAGTCTTCAAGCACGATAGGGTCATAGAGCAGCATCTTTTCATGCCAGGTAGGGGCTTTATGATCTTGACTGGGCGGTGTAGAGCGTACAGTCTTTGTGATCTTCGGGAACACCGTTGGAGCAATGCTGGGCCATTCTGCCAGAAGCAGTTTGGCGCTACATCGAGCGGTCGATGCTGCAATGGTTGGTAGCGGTGTTGGAGGTGGTCTGTCGAACTCTAATGTTGCCTTTGGTGGGGATGTTGGGAGTCGTCGTGGTGGCGAGGGAGCGTGGGTAGCAATGTCAATATCTGAGATGGCATCAATGTCGAGGTAATCGGATGATGGCTCGGCGACTGCAGCACGCTGTGAAGAAGCGTTAGGGAAGGAAGGCAGTTTGCGAAGTTGTGATGATACGGGTAGACCATCAGGACTGGCAGACCGTCGAGGCCGACCCCTTGCACGTTTTGGCGAGACAGGATTGGGAGCAGGTCCGAACTTTGGAGGCCTGCCCCTTGGTTTGAGATGCGAGTTCGGGGTGGTACTTGGTGGTATATCGTGCGACCCTCCCTGCGAAGGTTGGAGAGAGGCCCGAGTCGGGCTGACAGTAAGACATCTTCGTCTAGCCTCCTCTCGTGTCAAGGAAGTAGAAGAATCATTCAACACCTTCCTGATGACAATAGGTGATGTCTGCGCTGCATTGCTTATCGTCTTTCGTGGACGACCAACTGACCGCTTCTCGGGAGAGTCCAAGCAAACCACTGATGGTTTATTGACAATTTTCCTCGGAGAGACGTCCGAAATTTTGTCCTCCCGATCGGTCTGCTGTCTCGTGATGTTGGTGTTTGGATCGCGAGTACCAAGAGCGCGGCGAGGTAGTGCTTCTGTTTCAGGAGTCGTGTCTAAGGGAATAGTCTCTAGAAGCCCGGAATCCTCGTTCGCGACCACTTTGGTCTTCAAGCTGGCAGATGGTATGTTCGCGGGTTTGGCGGACAGGCGAGTTGTTGAGGGTGAAGCACAACCAATTTGGTCAACATCCACATATCCAGAATCTGGCGACTCGAGCTCCTTAGGAGCTGACGATGATATCGTCAACACTTCGACCTGAGGCCTGACTTCTTCGGTGAGACGAGAGTCAGGCGCGGACTTTGCACTGCTAGGCGGATACTGTGGTTGCAAAGATTTACTCGCTGCGACCAGATCATCATTGTCGCGACTCTCGTCAGATGCAAAGGTAGAATCCTCGAAGTCTCTGGCGGCAGACATCCACAAAACTCTATCGGCTTGTCCAACAGATAAACTGGTGCCATGTGGGGCGGATGGCACATGGGCATAACTCGTGGCACGTGAGAGATCCACTTGCTGTGAAGAGATCATATCTTCAGATTCCTTGAGCGCCTGCTGTAGGTCGCGAAGCTCGGTAGGAGATTCTGCTGCAGCCAATTGACTTGAGCTTCCGAACAGCCATTGTTGTCTCTTAGCATTCTCACGAGCAGCTTCTGGAGAGTCTAGCTTGACATGTATCTCAGGCACTGTTATCTGTACCTTCTTCACTGCTCTTTTGCGTTTTGGCGCTGGCTTGTCCTTAGCAGCACGAACACTCTTGGAGCCTGTGGGGTTGACTACAGCAGCGTCATCAGGCAGAGCGACGGCATCGGACTGGGGCTGTGGGAAGAAGTCCGAGATCAATTTGGTCTGATCAACATCAGTGTTAGCAGATTGTGGTAGGTAAGCTGCAGTAGCAAGAGCAGTAATAGTGAGAGGTTTCTTCTTTGGCGCTCTTGGCTTCTTAGGCGGTTTGGCCTTTGGCTCCTTCGGTTCTACAGCTTTCTTCGTCCGTTTCTTGGGTGCTTCAGTGGCAGTCACGTCGACGGGATCTAAGCGTTTTCGCTTGGTGGTGGGACCATCGCTGGGCGTTCGGGATAAAGGTGGAGGAGGTCTGGGGTTGTCCTCTTGATAGGCAAAGTCGCCCATCAGTTTGGTGAACTCTAATGCTGCTGGAGCATCACCGGTGTCCTCTTCGCCCGCAGGATCATGGATAGCAGCAGGTTCAGCGATGGGCGAAGTATCACTACTTTGCTGAAAGGAGGGAGGGAGGACTGATTCTGTCGGCGGAGTCCAGTCTCGTCTGCGCCTCGGAGCCGGATCAAGATCAAGATCAAGCACCTCGATTGGGGCTTCAACTCGATCAACAGGCGATACACCAGAGTCTAACGTTTCGGCATTGTCGACAGCAGGCACCTCTGAAATAGCAGTCGTGGACTTGGTCGAGGCCTTTGTCTTGCGAGGCTTGGGCGGTGGCTTCGGCTTTCCAGCAGTAGCGGCAGCAACATCATTGTCAATTGTATCAGTGGGCTCAGTAGCCTTCNNTTTCCTCTTCGCCTCACTGCAGGCTTCGTGGGTTCGACTGTGTCTGTTGTGGTAGTCGCAGCATCCTCAATGGCAGTTGCCTTCTTTGGGCGACCTCTTTTAGGTGCAGGCGCAACGATGGCTCCTTCCTGATCCTTTGTGGTTNGTAGCTTGTCTCTTACGCGTCTTAGGTATTGTAGGAGCCTTGTTGTCTACGTCGTCGAGATCAAGATTGTCATTGGAGGCCGTCGTCTTCTTGCGAGCTCGTGGCCTGGCGGGACCATCTTGTGCGCCGACGGCCTTCTTTGGTCGTCCTCTCTTAGGCTTCTCTGTGGGGGCAATCACATCTGTATCGCGATCGTGCTGCAATTCAAGGTCGGCCAGAACGGACCTAGCAGTGACGAAGCCCTGCGTGCGTGGCACCGGGTGTAGCGATGACAGCGATGGTAATGATGGCGAGCTCATCCTCGTGTGGTCACAGGCGCGACAGATCAACACTGGCGTTCTCGCAAATGCCGGGCGTAACACGCCTACATGTCTGATTAGACTGGCAATCTTCGATTTGTTGCGTGACGTGCAGCCTAGGTATTCAAAGCACCATCAGATCACGTCACATTTGTGTAGAATGCGGTACCCTTGTACAATTGATTCCCATGCCTGGGCAGAAATCGTGCGTGTCACTACTCGCGTCTGACCCTCGCGTCTGACCCTGCCCTCTTGACGTCGGTAAGGACCCCGACTCCGGAGCGACTTCAATTAGCTACTGTACGCAGCACGGTGATTAGCCATTTTGGCAGATACTACAAGTAGGGTACGCTACCATTCACCGACCACCTTATTGCCACCCTTGTTCCCCACGGACGCCTAATATTGCCCTACAGCACGTCGCCGATCCACCTTCCGAAAAGATAGCATCTTCTTAAAAGTGCTTGTTCTCTGCAAATCCCCAAGGAGGCAAATCATGTTTCTTCACGCTTCTACTCTTTCCTCACCACAAAGTCTGTATTTTCTTGCTTTGATCTGCACCAACGTTCAGGGACTGCGTTCCGGTCCTCAATTCAATTCAAACAATCTTCCTTCCGTCTTTTATATATCGTCTGCGAGCCGCCGAATTTTTTCTGTGAGCCCTATAAGGATTTTCTTCCACCTACTTTCTTGCCGCTTTGCCGCGTAGCCAGCAGGGCACCTATCCTGATCTGGCATGTCCATTCGCAGCCATGAATCGGGAAGAGCCCTCATTTACCGCCGCAACGGATACTCAGTATTCGAATCCAAATCTCCAGGTGGGCGAACTTGCGGGGGAACGGGCCTCGAGTTCGTCGCAATCAAATGGGCCTCCTCCGAGAAAGCGAGCGCCGTTAGCGAGTGTTGCTTGCCAGGATTGTAGAAGACGGAAAACGAAGGTCTGCCTCCTATCCGATGAGCTCTTCGGCATGAACTGTTGTTAACCCGAGCAAATAGNNTGTGATGGCGGAAAACCTTCTTGCAGCAATTGTACCAAACGAGGCGTACCATCATGCACATACGACCTCGAGCCCAACCAATCCCGTGTTGCTGCTTACAAGCAGAAGATCGAGCAACAAATATCGTCTATCAAGAAGCTGGAAGAGGAAATCGAGGTATTGAAGAAGTCTCCTTTTCACTCTACAAGTGTGGTTCAGACACCAGTATCTGAAGCAACCACCTCGTCGTCTAACAACCCTTCAGGCGGAGTCCCAATGCGACTTCTCTTGAATCCTGCTCCAGAGCCGAATAGCGACTCTTCTGGTCAAAGGCCTTCAAATACCTTTGCACCATATCTTCCGACTTCACTACCACCTGTACAGAATGTCAACAGAGAAGCAGAATTGTTATACTATCAGCGCAACCTTGAGATCGAAATGCGCAAACTCCAGGACGAGAATCGCGCACTCAGGACGCTGATCTCGTTACTCAATTCGATTGATGACCGAGATACCGCTCAAAGCATGGCCAAAGAAATTCACACCCATGGCGTTTCGGATGACCTGCTTTCTAGAGCTCAGCATTTGGTTGCCTCGCAAGTATGGAGTCCTTTGCTCCCAAACCTGCAAGACAAAGCTAAACTACACCCTCAGCGACGGCCTGGACGCATCACAGAGAATTCGTGGTCGGTGCCATGAAACCACAGCGATTGGATATCAACAGAATTGTCTCTTCAGGAGCTGGCAGTTAGGTATGCTGGGCCAAAGCCAAGCAAGGATTCGACCTCAATCATGCATCAAAAGCCATCTTTACGCAAAGCTTGTCCGCTGTGAGACGTTACCCAGCATCTGTGCCAATGTGATCCTCAATGTCCAGCATGATGGCGGCAAAAGGGCAGTCTGATACCGGAGGATTTTGAGTTATCAAAGCACGCGCTGGAGGCCAACAGGGTAAAGTTAGGCTTGACAGGGTTTCAGCATGCTTACGAACACGTCAAAAACCATGCTTGGCATGTCGTGGACGACATCTGTTGATGGTGACAAACAAATCGCAGTGACACCCGGAGGATTGTTGCAGGCTTCTGTGGAGTGAGGGAACGCCTAAAGAAATGCCAAGACCGGCACGACATATGACATCGTTCGGCGAGCCCAAGCTCAAGATGGAAGGTCCTCGGTCGCGCAAACGCCCTATCTACGAGCAGAAGTGGAGTAGGCGAAACAATGGCTGCGAACTCATGATCATACACTGCTTGGGCTTGTCATCTTCTTGCGACCCGCCTCTCTCAACACGGAGTGTTGGTGATGAATGACATGAACGAGAAGCACGCTGCTGGAAATATGGTCTCCCACGACGAGCGAACCCCACTCATTCAAGTCGTTGCGGTGCGACCCCATCGTGATCGATATGGAAACCACACTGTGAGTTTGTTTGCGTGCCATGCATAGTTCATGGTCTCGTTGGGGACGGATAAGAGCAAAGACGGCTTACTGATTCAACACAGCNTTCGCCGCTTCTGTACCATAGCTTTGGTCGTCCTACCGCTTACCACAGTTGCGCTCGCCCTTCTATCCTTTGCTTTCGGACAGAGCGATCTGTTCGGAGATGACAAGCTGGATCATCTTGTGCCATTCAATAGCTTATCTGGGCCCACAAACCCACCACACGCGCAGTGGCCCGCTGGAGATGGTCTGAGCTATGCAGACCTTAAGAACATCCTTNTTGATACACCCGATCCGGCCAAGGCAAAGGAGTGGTCCCAATTCTACACTGCTGGACCTCATCTCGCTGGACAGAATATGAGTCAAGCCGTATGGACGAGGGACAGATGGGAAGAGTTTGGTGTCAAGAGCGAGGTCGTACCATACGAAGTCTACATCAACTACCCTCTTGATCACAGACTCGCTCTGTTGAAGGACGGAGAAGTTTCATTTGAGGCGACTCTTGAGGAAGATGTTCTAGAGGAGGACCCCACGTCAGGTCTCAAAGATCGCGTGCCTACCTTCCATGGCTACTCTGCTAGCGGAAACGTCACTGCACAGTACGTCTACTGTAACTTCGGTACTTATACCGACTTCGAGAATCTGCTTGCTGCAGGCATCGAGTTGGAGGGCAAGATAGCCCTTGTCAGGTATGGTGGTATCTTCCGAGGCCTCAAGGTCAAAAGAGCTCAAGAGCTCGGTATGGTGGGAACGATCATCTATACTGATCCTGGCGATGATGGACTCATCACCGAAGTCAATGGTTACAAGCCTTACCCGGAAGGACCTGCCAGAAATCCAAGTTCAGTACAGAGAGGCAGTGTACAATACCTGAGTAGGTCGTGTCTGTGATTGTCCTGCAGGCCATTGTCGCTAACCTGACGCGTGCAGGTCNAATTCCCCGGTGATCCTACCACTCCTGGTTACGCCTCGAAACCTGGTGTGCCCCGTAAACCTGCAAATGCATCTACACCCTCAATCCCATCGTTGCCCATCTCGTACGCTGAGGCCATTCCTCTGCTCCAGGCTCTGAACGGCCACGGACCGAACGCTTCATCCTTCCCTGATCGTTGGCACAAAGGCGGTCTTGAGTACAAGAATGTTTCTTATAACATCGGTCCCTCTCCACCATCTGTCACCATCAACATGATGAACCTGCAAAACTACACGATTACACCAATCTGGAACACTATTGGTATCATCAACGGATCTCTTTCAGACGAAGTTATCGTTCTCGGCAACCACAGAGACGCTTGGATCGCTGGCGGCGCTGGAGACCCCAACTCCGGATCTGCAGCTCTCAACGAAGTCATTCGCTCATTCGGTATTGCCTTGTCCAAGGGCTGGAAGCCACAGAGAACCATTGTATTCGCTAGCTGGGATGGTGAAGAATATGGTCTTGTTGGTTCGACTGAGTGGGTTGAAGATTACTTGCCATGGCTCAAGGATTCCGCTGTTGCATACCTCAACGTCGATGTTGGCACTCGTGGCACTAAGTTCAACGCCAATTCTGCACCTCTGCTTAACCAAGCCATCTACGAAGTCACCAAGTCCATCAAGTCGCCGAATCAAACTATTGAAGGATCAACTGTGTATGACTTGTGGGACAAGCATATCGGAACTATGGGCTCGGGATCCGACTTCACCGCCTTCCAGGACTTTGCTGGTATTCCTAGTGCTGATTTCGGATTTGGAAAAACTGGCCCCTTAGACCCTATCTATCACTACCACAGCAACTACGACAGCTATGCCTGGATGATCAAATACGGCGACCCGACCTTCCAGTACCATGTCACTGCGGCCAAGGTTTGGTCTCTTCTTGCTGCATCGCTGAGCGAAAGTCCAGTCGTTCCATTCAATGCTAGCGACTACGCTTCCAGCCTCGAAAGATACCTCGATAGCGTCAAGCACATGGCTAACTCGTCTGGTATGGCTTTCCGGGACAAGGAGGAGAAGGACGTGTCCATGTTCGTGGACCTCGATTTGGCCATTGATTATCTCCAACGTGCGGCACACAGCTTTGACGCACGTGCAGCTAGTCTAGCTGCTCAAGCTACTGCAGCTGAGGGCAAGCACAACCCTGCTGCCACCAACAGACTCTACGCCGAAATTCGAGCAGTCAACACACAATACAAGATGCTGGAGCGTGCCTTCCTATTCCCCAAAGGTCTGGATGGAAGAAGCTGGTTCAAGCACGTTGTATTTGCTCCCGGTAAATGGACTGGCTACGCTGGAGACACATACCCTGGACTTGTTGAGGCAATCCAGGCAGGTGATAAAAAGGCACTGTACAGATGGGCTGGTATCATCGAAGGCGTTGTGTGGAGAGCAGCTGGAGTGTTGAGCTGAGTGGCGAGTCTATACGAGGAAGGCAATGGCGATCAATGGACAATCGGATAGTGTAGGCGAGAGCATGTACATTGCATGAACTATATGCACGCTTCAGCACCATGCCGCCGAACATGTCCGAACGCCCTCCGCTGGACGCGGGCAAGCCGGAGTAGGATTGCGGTGATTGAGCGGAAATGCAGGGTCTCAGGGCTTGCAAGATGTACTACGTCATCCGGCGATCGATCTACACGCTCTACGCGTTAACCTCTTGATCGACCGTTGCGACAAAGAACCACTTTAGCCCTCTAAACAATGCTCACCACCATGTCTCCCCATTGTCCTCCCTGTCCACTGGTCACATTGTACATGCGACACGTCGCAACTCGAGCCTGCCGCTGGACCAATCTGAGCTTCCTCAGGACATCGATCACGCCTCTCCATACCCTTGACCATTCGAGATTCCACACGATGCCTCCCAAGCGCAAAGCAACCTCAAGCACGCCCTCGGAAGCCCCTGCATCCAAGAAGACAGCCTTCGATGCCTTGCAACCATCCGTCAAGTCCGAAGTCAAAGCCGAGCCTGAGACTCAGATCAAGTCAGAGAATGCACCAGACTACGAAGATCAGAACCGCGAGATCTTGGAAGAAAGATATGGAGTCATACAGCGAGAGTTCTACCCAGCTGAGATGTCTAATGAGCGCTGTGCTCGCTACAACGCCAACGAGATTCCACGACCCATTGAGGTGCTAACTCAGGCTGTTCAGAAGACGGCTTTCGAGCGCAAGAAGATCGAGGTTGGAAATGCTGTGGTGCACTGGTTCAAACGTGATCTGCGCACAAAAGACAATCGTGCTCTGCACCTGGCAAGCGAAAAGGCGAAATCAAAGGGTGTGCCCTTGATCTGCTTGTTCATTGTCAGCCCACAGGACTACCAGGCTCACTTGACTGCGCCTGTACGTGTTGATTTTGAGCTCAGGACGCTGCAAGTTCTCAAGGACGACTTGGCCAAGAAGGATATTCCTCTGTACGTCGAGACAGTTGAGATACGGAAGAATGTTCCAGGGCGCATCATCGAGCTATGCCAGAAGTGGGGAGCTAACCACATCTTCTGCAATATCGAGTTAGAGGTCGACGAGCTGAGGAGAGAAGCCAGCTTGACAACCTCGTGTCTTGAGAAAGGCATTGATTTTCATACGGTTCACGACGATGTTGTTGTTCCACCAGGCGATCTCACAACTGGACAAGGTAAACAATTCTCGGTCTACACTCCCTGGTACAAAGCTTGGGTACGACACATTCACGCAAATCCTACTATACTAGACGAATTTGCTTCTCCAGAACAGAATCCTGCGTCAGCGCGTGAGAAATACGCAGACGTGTTCGAAACGACAATACCTTCGACTCCTGAGAACAAGAAGCTTAGCGAAGAGGAAAGGGAGCGCTTCAAGTCATTGTGGCCGCCAGGTGAGCATGAAGCTCTTGAGCGCCTCAACAAGTTCCTGGAGAAAAAGATCAACAAGTACAAAGATGCAAGGAACCTACCAGCTGCGAACAGTACCGGCGTTATATCTGTGCATTTGTCGACTGGAACTCTTTCTGCAAGAACAGCCGTCAGAAGTGCTCGCGGTATCAACACGTCCAACAACCTGGACGCTGGCAATGAAGGCATCAAGACATGGATCTCCGAGGTTGCATGGCGAGACTTCTACAAACACGTGCTAGCTCACTGGCCCTACGTGTGTATGTCAAAGCCTTTCAAATACGAATACACAAAAGTGAGGTGGGAGTACAACGATGAACAATTCACTCGTTGGTGCGAAGGCAGAACGGGCTTCCCCATCGTCGATGCAGCTATGCGTCAGATCTTATCGATGGGATATTGTCACAATCGCACCAGAATGATCGTCGCCAGTTTTCTTGCCAAAGACCTTTTGCTCGACTGGCGCATGGGTGAGAGATATTTCATGGAACATCTGATCGATGGAGATTTTGCCTCGAACAACGGTGGGTGGNGGTTCGCTGCATCTACAGGTGTAGACCCACAACCCTACTTCCGCGTCTTCAACCCGCTGCTGCAGAGCGAGAAATTCGACGAGCAAGGCGAGTACATCAGAAAGTGGTTGCCGGAGCTGAAGGACATCGAGGGCAAAGCGATTCACGATCCTTATGGAAGGGGAGCAGGGAAGGAAGCCGAGAAAGCTGGATACCCTAGACCGATGGTCGATCATAAGGTCTGCAGGGATCGATGTCTTGCGCGATATAAGGAAGGTCTAGGCAGGAATACTGCTTGATGAGCCCTATAAGATAGTCATACGAAGGATCAAGTATGCCGCTCAGCATTTCTATATCTCCTGATGAGGCTGTTGCCAACCCAAAGTTTGGACCGCTTTCCATATGCAGCTGTCTCTTAGCCTTATGAATAAGCTTGATGCATACTGCATGCCGTGTTGTTTCTTTTGTTTGAACACTGCATGTCCGTCCTCGGTAAAGGAACAGCTACGTCCTTCTTGTGATTGACAAAGCGGGAATTAGCCCTTGAACGTACAGGTCTGGTATGGGTGCTGGCAGCGGAGAAATACTTCCTGTGAAAGTACATACTGTCATCAATATCACCATCATCTGACAGCTGCAAATCTGTCTGCCACCTAAGGCTGCACGCATGCATCTGTCCACTGACTTTGAGGATAGCGACAGATTTAAGCAATCAAGGTAGGTCTCTTTGTCACCTTCCTTTTCGAGTGCGTCGTAATCTCAGCTCGATGATCGAAAACTTGACTGCATACCATATATGCATGCATCACGTAACGAGCCTCAAACCTAGTTTCCTTTGCCCTTCACGCGCGTTTACAACACCTTTCTATCGTTAAAGCAAAATACACTCGGGCGCGAAATGAAGACAAGTTGATGTTGAAGGTGACCAATCAGCACGGCGTCGCAAGCGCGGCTTCGGGCGTACGTGAAACCTCACCTCGTCCTTTCCCTCTCTTTACCCCTCCTTCCCGACAGTGATAAACTATTTGAGTCGCACACAGCGCTTTGTCAAACTGTGGTGCAAAAACACCGTCTCTAGAAGTTTCGAAGACGACATATCTTGCATGAAATCTCGAGGTGTTGTTGACTCGTTGAGGTCGAGTGCATGCGAGATCGTAGGGCAAGACAAAGAACAACTTCTTCAATCCTTTGTTTGATGGCTATGAGTGACGTGTGAGGCTCAATGGCAGGTGTTATGGGCTTGCGACATCCACATGGTTCAGTGCCCCTCAAGAAAAGTTAGGTATAACACCTACTGAGAATGTTGGTATTCACGTGGCGGCTGCATGTGTCTCGGAAGATTCAGAAACAAAACCAGGTTTAGGAGCCATTGGACACGCGCGCGAGATGCCAAAACTGCCGCTCAGGCTTGATGGTCGATGAAACACATCAATTGTTTGCTTTGCAGTCTCGACCCGCCAGCACGATGGCTTCAATAGACCTTGTGAGCCTATACTATACACACAAGCGGCTCCCTTGAGTATCACATACAAGATTCCACGTTCCCGGTTCGAGGTTGCCTGGCTGTTGTTATCCTTCAAGTACTTTCCTCTTCTTGTTCCCCGGTCACACAGCTGCAGGCAGTTTAATCCTTTCTGTGACCATTTCTTGCATTGGTGGTGTTGAGGTGTCTACAAGCAACCATTTTCTTCTCCTCTTCAGAACGATCTCAGTTACCAGTGGTCGTCATTTCTTGCTCGTTTGTATCGCTAGCCGGACCTAGCGCGTCGCGGCAACCAGTGCGCAAACACAACATCACAAGCCAACAACCTTCACTTTTGCGCTTACCACCGACTTTTTTCTTCACCGTCAACGATCTTTGTCCAATTGTTGACCACTCTCATTCATCCACAATACTGGTTCTACCGCTCGCTTAGCCGCCCACAATCGTTTTCCTTATTCTTGCATTGTCAGGGTCATTGTTGCCATTGTGCCACATTCGACTCTCTTTGTGCAAGCATTAGTTCTGTTCATTCTTCCTGCGCCGGACGCCCTTGTCGTCTTCTTCCAGGAATCTGTGTCTCTTCTGGCATTATCTTCCTACTTAAGCACTCCCTCGACCAGCCTTGAAGGTTCTCGAAAATCCATCTTAGACACAAAACAACAGAAAGAACTTGACGCTTCTCGACGACTCCAATCCAAGACAATCCCACCTCTCGTCAAAGACATCAAGTTCCCGAAGAAAAGAGTCGACAATCTACTCTCTCTCTCCTCACCAAAAACAAAGATATTCCTTCGCAGGTTCGAGGATCTTTTGTCACCAATCTCTTTCTCCCTCTACAACACGTCTGTTTTCCAACAACACATCTCTCAACACACTTCAAAGAAATCACATCTATCAAAATGAAGTTCTCAACTTCCGCTGCCGTTATTGCTGCCGTTCTTGGTCAGGCCTCCGCTCACTCTTGGATTGAGGAGATGCAGGTGATTGATTCGTCGACTGGCAACTACACTGGCGACTATGGCTACACTCGTGGCTATGTTGCTCGCACTGATCCTGGCTTCAGCGGCGATTCTGTCGACTATCTTGTGCCAGCCCTTAGCTCTGGTCGCACTCGTATCGACGGCACTGATCTTCTCTGCCACCCTGATCAACGCACCTCAAACTACACCAACTCAAAGTACCCTCGTCTTCAAGCTGCCCCTGGCTCCTACATTGCCATGAAGTACCTTGAGAATGGTCACGTCACTCTCCCTCAAAATCAACCTGGCAAGCCCAAGTCTGGCGGTACTGTTTTCGTCTACGCCACCACCAAACCATCTGACACTGAGAAGATTGCTGATGTTCTTGAATGGAACACTGCTGGTAATGGTGGTGACTCACGTGGTACTCAAATTGCTGCTCAAAACTTCGATGATGGACGTTGTCATCAACTCAACTCTGGCACCATCTCTCTTCAACGCCAAAAGGCTTTCCCTGATCGTATCGCTGGTCAACCTGACTCCAACATTGAGCAGTGGTGTGAGACTGACGTTCACATTCCTTCAACCTACAAGACTGGTGACACTGTTACTGTCTACTGGGTTTGGCAATGGCCCACTGAGGCTGGTGTTGACCCCACTTACCCCACTGGCAAGGATGAATACTACACCTCTTGCGCTGAGATTGACATTGTCGACTCGGTCAACAATGCTTCGCCTGTCCACACTCTTCAACAGCAGGACCCTCAAACCACGGCTGTCAGTAGCTTCAAGTCTAGAGCTGCTTTGACTACCAGCCCTCTCTACACTCTCGCTGGTGGTGCATCAGCCTCTGCTACTGCAGCTTCTGGTTCTGCCTCCTCTTCAACTGCCTCTTCGTCGGCCTCTTCATCCGCTGTTCCTTCCAACACTTCAACAGCCCCAAGCAGTGAGTTCACCGATCTTCCTGTAATCTCTCTCCCACCCTTCCCTTTCGCTAACACCTCTTCTCCAACTCCAGGACCCACCTACAAACCCAGCCACGCCTCTGGCAACCCATCCTTCCCCTTCTTCAGCCCTCCCGCTGCTCAGATGCCCAGCTTTGTCACTGTCACCGACTACATCACCATGTCTGGTGTTGCCAATAAGGCCCAGGGTGCTGCTCCCACCCCCAAAACCACTACTCAGTTTGTGACTGAGTATGTTACTGCTTCTGCTAGCACTGTTGTTGTTCCTGCTGTTTCTGAGGGTTCGTTGCCCTCGGTTGTTGCTGTGCCTGATCAGGCTGGTAATGCTGGCTTGATTGGTAGACGCTTTGTTGCTTGAGTGGGTGGAAAGGAAAGGGGTACTGGGGTTGCTTCCTTCCTTTTTCTTCTGCATGCATGATGGGATGATGATGATGCTTCTTTTCCTTTGTTGCTTATGTCTGGAGTCGGATATGGTGCGCAAGCAAGCGGAATGGTGCTTTCTTTTTCTGCATTCTGCTCTTGATGAGTGGAATGATGATGCTATAACGAAATGATAAATGATTTTTCTCGATGACTTTTCTTTCCCCTGTCTTATGTGCTTCGTGATTTGATGTTATGGTGCATTCTGTACTGCTTCCTGATTTGTCGTGTCGAGCGTCGCTCAGTTGTATTCTCATCTCGCTGTCTTCCTTTCCTTGCTGATTACTCTGATCAATCGGATAACTTCTTTCTTGTTCCCACTTGTCAATCTTTCTTGGATATCGTTTCTCTTCCGTCATTTACGAGGAGAAGCCATTTCTATCGCCGGAAGTCCGTCTCTTGAGATTGTTCATAACTCGGGGGGAAAGAATGATGACCAGAGTGGCCGCTGAGCAAGGCACACCAGTCCATGCACCGACAAGTGTAAGAGAGCAAAGGCGTTGAGTTGGTGACTCTAGTCCTTAGCCCATCAAGGGGACTGCGGTCAGAGTATTCTTCTGGATGAGTCGATGTAGAACCGTCGGGTGAACAGCTCAGCGAAGTGATCTTCAGGTTACGTTGTTCACGCGCAGTAATCCGAATTTTGGATTGTTTGGCGCATGCTTGGTGCATCAAGGTCCGTGGTATCCTTCGAATCCAGAAGGGTGTACTTGCATTTCGGTAGTAATAGTCTCCATCAAGATGTCATCGTTGCTATGCCACGCCTGCTTCAAGATCAATGCTCAATTAGTATCACCAGATTAGATCTTGCATCTTCCAATAAGTTTTACAATGTCAAATTATTTCTTTTTAAGGAAAAACAGAGCCAAAAGCCAGGATGAGATTGCACGCTATGATACAGTTTTATCGCAATCCCTCCCGGTCTCCAAGCATTTGCGGGAAATAAGAACAGTCTATCTGTACTCGGGGCGGACAAAGTCGGCGAGGGTCTTGGGCTCGCCATCGAAGTTGTGAGAGCCGTCAGTGTCGGCGTCTGCGATGGAATGTTAGTGNGAGGGCGGGCGTTGGGAGATAGAGGAGTTGTTCGTACGGCCGACGTGCTCACCGTGGTGGCCGTGAGCGTCGTGGCTCTCTTGGGGACCGACGTAGTCCATCTTGTAGACGGAGCCGCACTCGGGGCAGCGCTCGATAGGGCGGTCGCGCGACATGGTCAACCAGTTGACGACGTGCGAGTCAGCGGGGCAGCCGGTGCAACCGACGTACTGCTCGTCACCGAAAGAGCGAACGACAATGGGGTCGTTCATGGTGCCTTGAAGGGAGAGAAAGTCAATGTCTTGGCGGGTGGTGTGATGTGTGTTCCATCAGGTGTACGCACCCTTTCTGCTTGCGTCGAGAGGCTTCATGTCGAAGACGTCGATGCCCTGCATCTTTCCGAGGATTTCGAGACGCTCGAGACCGGTGGCCTGGTCAATGTCGGTGGGGACGGTACCGGGCTCGGCACCAGCGGGCATAAGGTCATGCTCGTTCTGGATCTCNTAATTTTGCGCAACAGGACAGCGTCAGTCAATTGGACGGGAGTAGGCAAGGCGGGAGTCGGAGAACGCACCCTCGAAGGGCTTGACTTTGTTGGAGTGTTGGCCGGGCTTGGGATCGCTGTGGGCGTCGACTGGTGGTTCAATGGGTGAGTTTGGATGGTCATGTCAATGGTATGCGCTTTGTGGAGCGGCTTACAGNCGGGCGAAGGACGACGAGAAAGGGCGGGCAGCGACAGGGCGGAAGGCGGCACGCTTGGCGAGGCCGGATGCTACGCGACGGACAAACATGGCGACGGTGAGGTTGTGAGTGGAGAGTTGGACAAGGCGTGTTGTACTCGTTATACCAGCGCCCAATCGCGAAGCCGTCACTCAGAGAGCTTCAACAGAGCAGCTGCGGCCAAAAGTCGTTGTTGCAAGTCTTGGCCAACCACCTCCGTCCCCAATTTGATCCTGTTTACACCATTCTCGATACACAAATGTCTCTTTAGAACATGAGCGAATGCCTCTTCGAAAAGTAAGCGAACACACCTTTACACATGGTGTTATAGAAAGCATATTTAATTGCTTTATGCAAAGGTTGGTACCAATTGGGCCACTGACGGCTGCTCTTTCTAGACTCCACCACCCTCTGTTCTCATATCAACTGGCCTCAAAACATGGCTTCTTTCACACTGCTTGCTCGTCCCATCTTTTCCTCATTCCGGGCATTTCAAAAAGTCTGGGTCAGATGCTCTTCTTCCAATACCGAATACATTCGTCCTCCTGGACTCATGAAATACTGGACCAAAGACGAGTACAATGCATACCAACGATGGAGATATGCCACAAAACCTGATTATCGGAGAAAATGCATTGAGTATGCTAAGAAGTATATAAAGCGACGATATGAATGCGACCCAGATTTCCGCCAGAAGGTGCTCGACGCCAACAACCAGTGGTATGCCGTTCCAGAACATAAGCAAAAACTCAAGGACCGCTACGCCAACGATCCTGAGTTTCGGAAGGCCAAGATACAGAGATACTCTGAACGATACGCCAGCGACCTTGATTTTCGACAAGCCAAGCTCCAGCGCGAGAGGGAGCGATACGCGAACGATCTCGAGTATCAAGAAGTCATCAAACAACGGGCCTTGGAGCGATATGCAAACGATTCTGAATATCGGGAGCTTACGAAGCAACGTGCTAGAGAGCGGTACTGGCGGAACAAGTATGGGCTTTCCAACCACGAGTCTCGACAACAATCCCTGGACGAGCCAGACACTCAAGACAAGTCAAACAAGTCAGATACTGGTCTCTGATGGCTTTAGCTCTCTTGCTCTCTTGTCAGTCTTCGGCTCTCAGCGGCTGCAGTTTCTTTGGAAACTTGCCCATAGCTGATATGCAGCTGCGCACTAATCGTAATCCAACTGTTAGCTTCTGCCATCTTCACGAGACCAATCATTGTACGAATGCCATTTTTGCAAACATGCTGGCGGCTGTTGAAGTTTGGTATCTATGGATATACGTTCCACGTGAATTGATAGGGCTCCGCTTGATGTAGTTCCGTCGCAGAAACAGGTGATTTCGCATATAACTTGTGCAGGGTATAATATCTTTCTGTGACCATATGCCGATCCCCTCTCCCAGAACGCCTTTTTCTGAAGCTGCATGATTCGTTCCTTTGTGCAATTATTCTCGAGTGCATTTCGTCTTGAGTGTCGCCGTGCTCAAGCCTCAGCCATCTCCCTGATCGCCATCGCCGTCCCCNNTTGAGCACCACCCCCAAACACATCCTCAAAACTGTCCATCGCATCCTTTTCCTCTGCACCATCGGCCTTGACATCACCCGCACCCTCCATCCTCACATCGCCATTGCCCTCTCTTTTGCTTTCCTCCTCCACGACTTCATCCTCCTCCCACAAATCCCGCAAGCTCCAGCCCGTGCCTGTGAGACAGTACTTCTCCGGCGGCAACTGCACACCCCAACTCTTCTGTATCTTTGGCAGCGCAACACGATTCCTCTCCACCGCCTGCTCCATCATAAACTCCTTGGGCAACGCGCCTTGGAACTGGTAATCCTGGCGAGAAGCAATGGCTTGCCTCAGAGCATTCACAGTGATATTACTACCATCGGTGGCTTCCGAGCGTTTGGAGTTTGTGGGTGCGCCGGGGGCAGAGGCATAGCCTTCTGAAGACAGTCTGAATGCGTCGGCGAGGACGGAGGAGGTGTAGCGATAGGCGAAGTCGAGGAGTTGGAGGGGAACGCGTTCTTGGTAGCTGTGGACGCCTTGGGCGGAAAGGATGAGGTGGATCAAGCGCGCGTCGCGGGGTCGTCGGGATAGACCGTCGTCTTGTGTGCTGGTGGGTTGTTGGTCGTTGGTTGGTTGGGTTGTTTGAGTAGTCGGCGCAGGTGTGTTTGATGGTGCTGGCTGTGGAGGGTTGGATGCGCTTTTTGTGCGGTTTCGGTGGTTGGTGAGGCCATGATTGTGTGTGTGAGGTGAAGGAGACGATTTGGAGAATGCGACTGAAGCTGATCAGATGAGATTGGCTATAGTGATGTAAAGGTGTATGGTTTGCGACAAGATGAATGCGCATGCGGAGGGACGGAGGTCGATGCCAAGATATCATGGGAATCTCACTCCGGGCAAAGCATCACCCTGTCCATGCCCGTCTATCTGCTTGCTCTACTCTACGGCGACTCTTGTAGAAATTCAGTTGTCACCTCACTTTCTTAGACTTGATACCATCAAAAGAAAGGGACATGCGTGAAAAGTGTCTTATTAACTATGAATTTACCAAACCCAGAGGGAACCCAGAACATTGCTTGCTCAAGACATCCATCTATCTACTATTGCACATCCATCTAATAGTCTACACCAACTCGACGAATCTAAGTCATCATGGCGATGGTCTAAGAACAGTCCGCGAGTTACCATCTTGCCGGGTTTTGTGCGATATGACTCGTTGAGCCATTCGACAAGACGAGCGTGGAGCCTCCGTCTTACATGACGGCTCCCGAAGCATCCCTGCAGGCGGAAATATGTGTCCACATGCTCGAGGCTTTTCATGTTTTGGAGTGGCAAAGCTGGTGGGATCCCGGGTTCTTTGTGAGAGCACACAGGAATATCGAGTCTGAGATTCACGACGTATGCCAGCATTCGACTGCTTGGGTCGCGAAAGAGGGGGGAGTTTCCATTAAACACATGAACTTGAAGAGTGTTGTAAACTTGCCAGTTGTCGATAGTTGTTTGGAGTTGCATCTTAAGCCATCCACTGCGTTTGACATACGGAGCGGCTTCGTTGTAGATCTGCCTACAACAACGTAGAAGATTCACACCCAGTGTGGGCGTGGTGAGTGACACGCGGCGTCGGGTTATGGTGATGACTCCTTCTTCCTCTAGATGAATTTTGTAGATTTTATTGCGCAGCTCCGGAGGCAAATCAAGAAAGCGGAATGGTTTGTACTCATTGTCTGCTAGTTCTTGTGAGTCTGTCTGCAGTTGCGGTTCAGTTGAGGTAGAGCGTACCGGCACTAGACCAACATGGGCGCTGACGTGAAAGGCCATGTCTTTTCTTGAGCGCTGCTATGGATGCGATGGTAGGTGATCAGGTGCAGCAGGACTGTGCGGTTGCTCAAGACTGGTTAATAAATGGGCAGATGAGTCACGGAATCTGTCTCGCAGTCAAAAGCGGTGCTGTGAAGTTCTTGTGAGCAAGTTATGGCACATCCGAGGGCTTTTGCCAAAGCCAATGTGACTCAGATGGACTGTCTCCAAGGCCGCTCTACAGATACCATCTCTGTCTTCAATCCTCGACTATACTCTTGAAGCTGACATCGCGACCAGAAGTGTCCGCTATAAAATTACCTGTAAGCATTTGAGTTCGTGATCGATGAGTTGGGCATTCAATTTGTGCTGCTTGTGAAGGGCGAAAAGGACATTACGGGATTATTTCCCTTCCTTGCCATCATGTCTCACAGGATGGAAGCGGGACAATCAGAGATGCTTTGAACCTCCTCTTGGAAGCGTTTCTATGCGCCATTGAAACGAAACGTCATGTATGGTGCAGTTGGAACACCGACGAACCACACATCCAAGAACGATCTGACAGGATGGAAGCGGGTTGCTCTCTGACGTACCTGGGAATTGGCCCCTCTGAGCGAGACAAACCTGGATTTCGAGTGTGGTTCGACTCTGGCTTGAAGCTGGGAAGGATCCCGGATTTGTCTCAAGCTTACCTCAGTTGTGGCTCGCATAAAATTTCATATGCATATCAAAAGGATGTTCAAGAGAGCTGGCTGTGCATGTTTAGAGCCGAGTGGGGAATGGGCAGTCTCAAGGTTGACGACTGGCCTGGAACGACAGACATGTTCCTCGATCACAATCTCGATGCCTTCGAAGGTTTGCTCATACTCTCCTCCCCGTGTGCTAAAGACAGCCACAATTTACAACTAACCTCTTCTACAGCCCGAGCTATAGGGGTGGTTATAAGCTATCGAAATGTACAGTCTTGACTCAATTATAAGTCTGGCCATTGAGATAACCTCCACTAGAGTTCTCTCAGTGGAAACCATAGTTTTCGCGAGAATATTGTGCATGTCGACAGCTACGCTGTGACAGTCTTTAGCACATAGGGAGGCTGGAAGCTGACGTTACGACCAGAAGTGTCCTTTATACAATTACCTGTAAGCATTTGAGGCCAAGATCAATCGATCGGACATTCAACTCGTGCTGCGTCAAGGGCTAGAAGAGCATTATGAGATGAGTTGTCCTCCTTCTGAGCGACCTTGTAACATAACAGTCATTCATAGAAGAAACTCGTGGTCATGAGGAGGGTAGTAATGTTCAGGACGAATGAGGAAGTCGTCAGAGGGCAAGAGGTGGGGAGGATGAGGTCCAAGCGCATCGAGCGCCAAGAGCAGTCGACGGGCAGCGGATGCGACATTCAAGCAACCATCGACGACCTTGTTCTTGTCCATATAATCACACATACCGCCGCCATGCCGAGCATTACTGATGTGCCAATGAGAGAGAGGCAGCAGGTTCCTGCAAAGGCCCTGAACACTCCTTACCCTGTACGACACCATCCGCAATCGCTCGCCGAACCAACATCACTAACAAGTCTCGCAGNNCTCATTGACAGTGACCCGTAAGCTCCGCCAGCTCTTCGTCAACCTCGATTTCCTTCCGGTCTAATGTATCGTTTTCTCAGTCACTTCAAGCGCGTTGTTAGCTATGCCCGCCCCGGCGACTACTTGTACGGCGTTGCTTTCGGTGCCTCCATTCCCGCTACCATGACCCTCATGGAGCGCGTTTCTCCCACCGGTGTCTCCCGCAGTGTCTTCGCCAGTGTCATGCGCCTTTCCGGTGGCATCGGTCTCTTCGCCGGTTTCTACCTCTGCTACTCGAGATCCATCAGTGCGTTCATCCGACCAGAATTCTTCTTTCCGAAACAAGAGCTTGGAACATGAGACGGATACTGGAATCATATTGAAGAGAAAAGATGGCTAACACAGTCACCAAAACAGNACCGTTTCTACGGCTTCACCGAGAACCGCCGCGAAATCGACATGGACATGCGCGAGATGGTCGACAAGGTCAAGCGCGGCGAGGAGCTCTACGGCAAGAGCCAGTTGACCGAGTACATGCAAGGTGTTGCCTCGCGTCAATCCCGTTACTCGGGTATCTGGATCCACATGATGCCCTGGTTCAACTTTGTCAACCACAACCAGCACGGTGTCGACACGGCAAAGTACTACCAGCAGGCCGAGAGGGAACTCGAAGCCGAGAAGGCATGAAGAGGAAAAGAAAATTACTGATATCCCATGAACTGCTCTCTTCTATGCTCTTTTCTTCTTGTTGCAGATATTCCCTGTTTTCTCTTGGCGCATACAATCGGTAAATGATATACCTTCACACCATTATCCCTGACCCAGTCCATCTCGGGGGACATTGTTTACAACTCGTGTATCTACTGACTTTCATGATTTCTGTGTCTGCTGACTTTCATAATGCTGTTTTCTATCGACTTCGCCATGCCATGTTCTACCAAGTTTCGTCATGCTATTTCATTATATCGACATTTTCGATTATACAAAGAGTTCTTTTCATCCATCATCAAAATCGCAGAGAAACTTCGGCTCGCTCATTTTCATCACTGACAACAGCATCAACCTTGGTCAAGATCCAGGTAGAAGCATACATGTTGACTCTGNNTAATAACGTGTTAGCAAAAAAAAGGAGATCACAATACAGCAGGCAACAGCAAGCAACATACCTATCAATGCAAGAGCCAGGAGGAATACGAGCACCAACTCTCTTAGCAGTGAAACCACGGCTCTCAAAGGTATCAATGTACCAAGGTCTCAATCCAGCAGAGCGCAACAACACTCTACCGCCAAACTTGAGCGCGCGGTTGACAATCTTGACTTGGTGGTCTGCTTCAGGACCTTCGGGGTCAAACCAATCCATCGAGTCCATGAGGACAGCGATGGTAAGCGTCTCGGGCGCCATACGTGCCATAACCTCACACAACTCGTCAGTGTGGATGCGCAAGCCGTCAAAGGCATTGGGCTTGGAGAGCTTGACGTGTGCTCTCGGGGCCAAGTAATCAGGGTGGCAGCGTTGGGTATATTGACCCTGCAGACAAATCAAGTAGTAAGGGTTTTCCTCAGACACCAATGTATTGTTGACGACAGGGTCCAAAGTGTTGACCGCATACTCCCAAATAGCTTGACCAGACTTGACGCCAGTGACCTTCTTTGAGTCTGCACGCTCGGTTTGTCGGAGGTAATCATTGTCGATCATTGCTCTTTGGTTGGCAGGTACACCCAATGCCTTCCACAAGAACTTCTCTGTGCCAATGACGGTGTAGTTGAGGAATTGAGATAGCAGCACTCTGCGCACACGCTTGCTCCAGATCTCACGTTGCTCGTTGAGGGTTGCGGCTTTGCACATGTTTTCGAGATCGCCGCGAATACCGAGAAGGCGACCCAGCCATTGCACCAATTGCAGTGCATGGCGGGAGCCACCAGTGTAGTAAAGACCACGGCTCTTGGGGCCGAAAGTGGCATCGCCCTTGTGGAGCCAGTAGTCAAAGGCTTGTGATGAGAGATGAGGACTCAAGTGGTTGATAAGAAGAGAGCGGAAGTCGTCGTGCTTGCCTTGACCGAACAGCTTCCACACATCTGTGTAGCTGAGGGCGGTGAAAGCAGCGACCTTGAGTTCAAGGAGGTGGTTTTGGTTAGGGTTGAGATCGACGGCGTGAATGCGTTTGGGTTGTTCGAGAGCGTAAGCGAGGATGTTGTCGCCTGCACTGGTGATGGCAAGGATGACATCTTCGGATGTGATCTTGAGCAGGCGGGCATCCACTCGAGCGTCCTCCCAGGTGAAGGCGTAAATATACTCATCACCAAATTGTCTGTGCTTTTGTAATTGCTCGTCGTAGTAGATGCGCCAATGGTGTTGTTGGTACCATGCTGCGGGCAGAGGTAGGCTTGCTGACAGGTTGACAATGGCCGACTCGTATGCCTTTGAACGACGCTCGGACGAGGAAGCTCTGCGTACACCTCCAACTGTCTTGCGTTGGAGGTCGAGGGCGCTGATGAAAGGCGATTCTGTTACGGCTGCATCGAGAGCGGCGAGTTTGTTCATGGATGACTTGGTCTGCTTAGCACAACCAATCCAGATATAGTATGGGATTCTGAAGCCGAAGAAGTGGTTACGAGCGTTGGCGCTGAGAATGGTTCCGAACTTGTACTCGAGGTAGTCNCTGCGAAAGTTAGTCTCTGAGCTCGAGAGCCAGTAGCGAACACTTACACGACGAGAAGAGTCTAAGAACACTCTGTCCATTTCGAACCACGCAGCCCAGAAGACACGAGAAATCCACATGCAGTGACGGTCAATCACACCACCAACGTAGTTGCGAGACTGGTACTGAATCTGGTTTTGGACGTAGAAATCAACAACACCCATGATACCGTTGGGTGCAAGCAAGTTGGCGAGCGAGTCGATGACCGGGTGGAACTCAGGAATCATTGAAAGACTGTAGCTCATGGTCAAAAGGTCTGCACCGACATTGTCGACTGTATTGCCTTCATCAAGTGCGCTCTTGCCAATGCTGAAGACTGCGCTCTCATCGTTGAGACCTTCTTCGTAGTCGCTGAGCTTGAATGTGCGGGCATCCTGGCAGACGACCTTGACGTTCTTCCAGCCGAGGCGGGCAAATCTGGCTCTGGCAACTTGACATAGAGAGGGCGAGAAATCGACGAGGTAGACGGCGTGGAAGAAGCTAGAGACCGAGAGATGTTTCTCCATTTGCTCAACGTTCCAGCCAGTGCCACCACCAACATCNCCTTCAAGAGAAGTAGAATTAGCACAACTCTCCAATGCACGTATACCACAGAAATGACCTACCACCCAGATTGGCTTGCGGGTGTATTGACCTTGCTCAAGTTGGAAGCGAAGTTGAGCAGCAGCCATAGCCAGCATATCTTCTCTTCCACGGAGCAGTCTGGAACGTGTGACATCGTAGATGCCAGCCTGAGTCTTGTAGAAACTTTCGAGAGCATCCTGCTGGTTGCCAGTGTTGTCGCCAGTGTGAGGCTTCAAGAAGCAGGAGTATGCGAATTTTGCAGATGTAGCGATAGCATGGAACAGCTTGCCAACGGTCTCAAGTTCGGTGAAGGATAGAGTAAAGTAGGTGACGAGGAGAAGCACCAACAAGACAGTAGCAATGCTGATTTGATTCAAGGGCTCAGTGAGTGCTTGAAGCATTCCTTGAACAGCCATTGTTACAAGCACAAGTAAAGATGCAAGACAAAAGGTACAAAGGTATGCAGATAGACAAAAGAGATGTAGAGGCAAGGGTCAGGACCGACCTACTATCATAAAGCATTCGAGGATGCCCTCGTGCTCAACGTAAGCTACAACAATTTTCAACAGACTCATGGCTCATTGTCGCAAATCTCGTCCTCCGCATGCGGCCCTATACCCCGCTACCCCTCCTGACCTCGGGCGTATCTCGTCTTGAAAACACAAGAGACGCATTGTCAGCCTATAGATCCAGGCACATGCCGAGAACATGCTGCAGGTGCAGCTTGAAGATCTAGGGTCCAGTGGAAGTTGAAGTTCAGTACCTGACACGGCGGCGTGAAAGAACGTTTGGCGTCATGGACCTATCGATGGCAAGGACTCGAGGCATGTGTCGTGGAGAAGTCCTGGAGAGGCATGCCAAGTAGAGATGGGGTCAGCCAATCAGAGCGCGTTCTGACAGCATGGGGTTTGTTACTGGTGAACTTTGCTCCAACGTCTTCTCCTGTGCATGAAAGCAGCGTACGAAGAACAGTCTCGTCTCAGAATCGCCTGGCCTTTAGTCCGGGTGAATCCTGAGAGCAATGGCTAAAAACACATGTATGCCAGACAGCACAATGACGGCAAAACGATCCGAGTTCATGCAGTTGAGGGCGTGCGACGTGCGTTGATAAGACGTACAGTCCGCAGGGAGACGCACTCGGCACTGTGATCCGTTAGATCTAACTTCAGCCCTTGTATAGAAACAGATGTCTCGAAAATCGACGTAAGAGAGATTGTGCCTTTGCGGGATAAGCATACGTCGCTGAACGAGCTGAAAGATAAGTCTGTCTGATCAGACACTAGCTGCACTTCGATCGCAAGTCATAACTTGTGCTCGGAACCCACGAATCTGGATCTCGAGACGTTGGTGGCAGCATAGATCTGCTCCCTCAAGTAGTCGTACGGGCTGGCTGGCTGGAATCTGAGGACGACGACGACGACCCTACTGAAAAAGCAGAACTGTTCGTTGAAGTGTCACATTCTCACATACCTAATGGATTCACTAAAGCAAGAACATCCACATCAGAAGATGCTCCAAGCACTTTGTGCTGTCAAAGGTTTCGTCGCTGTTGTTAGCTGGAAGGTTGATGGTGGTGTGATGAGAAGGAACGACAACCTATCTTCACTTGAATATAAGGCCATACTCGAAAGAGCGAGCACTCAGATCAGGAGCTGGCCAACGCAAAATCTCTGACCGGTCGTTGTTGAACTGCAAAATCTCACAAACGAGAGTTGCCGAAAAGCTGAGATCTATCTCCAGTGTCACGGGTAAGCAGAAACAGGCAGTCGCACGAACGCGTTAACGCGAACGAAAGAACACTTTGACTCACACCTTCTCCAGACTCACACGACACTTCAACAGTCCGCCTCTCCTGTTCACTACAATCTTGTTCAAAATTGTGTATACAATCAGACCCATCAGCTTTCTGTCAAGCTCCACAGCACTCAACATGGAAGTTCCGCTCGCCGCTGATCCAACCCGTGTCTTCGACTTCTTGGGACTGCCACGCGAGTTGCGCGATCGTATCTATCGTCTACACCTATCGAAGGAGGGGGAAGTTGACTATCTGGAACACGACGACAACATGCCTGAGGTCACCCATAACGAACCTGTGATCAAGCCACTCCTGGGCGTCAATCTTCTCCGCGTTTGTAAGCAAATTCACGATGAGGCAGTCTTGTACGCCTCCAAAAACCGCAAATGGGTCATGNGCTACGCTCCCATAACCCCTGACAAGCTCACCGTCGATTGCGCTCAGCGTGTGGCCTGTATCTCCCACACCACCGCTGAGAAGATCCAACCTCTCGCAATGAACATCGAAGTCGAATTAAGGGAGCCATACAACCTTGTTCGGTCAATCGCGATAGGTGACCTAACCGAGGTGAAGTCGCTTCGCACGCTTGGGTTGTTCCTAATTCTCGGCGACCCTGGCTTCCGCGCTGCAACATGGCTTCTTCAACGTGATGCCGCGTGGTGCAATGCACCTCTTTTAGTTGGCATTGTCTGCGGAATCCTGGCTCAAGTTCCTGTTCACGTCGAGAGTGTGTGGTTGTCAACCGTGTCGCACATCAGTGGTTACAGTCACGATGAGCCTGATGAAGATCTACTCCAGATAGCAAAGACCTACAGTGGTGCCAAGAGTCGCCAACGTGCAATCGACCCAAGCACTGCGATATTTGGTTGATTATGCAAAGAGGGCTTGCAGGTTAACGACAGATATTCTCAAGGCAAAATTCTTCCAAGTTATTTCAGCTAGTTGTGACGGATTGCCATGGCGATGGCGCATGGAAAGTAGAAATCTTCGTGGAAATGGCTTTCCAAACCCGCCATAATCATCACCACGTTCCTTGTCACACTTGTTTGCTGTCTGCTTGAAAGTGAGAAAAGTCTCGTCACGACTCTGAAATCTTCCATATTTCTTGTTTTCAGTTTCACAAGCTCCCGCCAAAGCGCGTCGAGTTGTCAAGCGCATGTGACAGTCCAACCTCACAACAATCTGCTACACGCGACCATCTTCCTTCCTAAACTTACCATCCACATCGATCACTGAGATTCTCCATCAAAATGCTCGTCCCTTGGACCGTTCCATTCTTGCTGCTTGCGGCCTACGTGCTTCTCGCCTCAGCCGCCATCTCCGACAAAATGGCCTGCTGTGCGTGCGCCAGCATCCAGCTCACTTGCGTTTCAACGTGCACAAAATTCACCAGCAACAGATGTCGTTGCAACCAGCCCTTGACTCGGTGTCACCGGACATGTCGCACACTGTCACGTTCACACCTCCTTCCTTCAAGGTCACTGACATCATAACTTTGGCCCAAGACTCGACACGCGCAAATTTCACACAACTCGCATACGACTCTAACGACTTCTGGAACAGAGCACCTCGTCCAGTTTCTAGCCAGGGAAAGAGCTTGAACGATGGCTTGATCTCACGTTTCCAAAACCTGGATCTTGCCGTGGACACAGGTGACTCGGAAGAGACTTCTATCGAACAGCAGCATAACGACGCCACCAATGTTCCTGACGAAGAAGAATGTCCTAGAGGAGTTGACACACTCGATTGCCAGGATTGCGGTGGGCCAGAACAGACTTGGGAGACCAGTCCAAACAGATTTCATTGCAAAGGTGTACGTAATGTCTGCACACCTTCTTGCTCGCAAAGCTAATTGGTTATCTCAGATCGAGCAAGAGAATGACAGGTGGAAGGATTGCCATTGTCTGAACTGGGAAAATGCTCGCGGTCCCTGCACCTTTGATTATGATTTGGACGACATCTCTGACGATGGCTTGGCCGTGGAAGAAGAACTCCAGGATCCTACTAACGAGACCGAGAACCTGGACGAGACTCCCATCGAACAGCAGTTTAATGACGCTACCAATGCATCAGATGATGAAGACTGTCCAACCGGCCATGATACGCTCGACTGTGAGGATTGTGGTGGACCGGAACAGAACTAAACGCAATGGTCATCACTGTAAGGGCGTATGTTATCACTACAAGTTCTGCATCTGCGCGCACTAATTGTTCCAAGATTGAAGCTGAAGGCCACGAATGGAAAGATTGCTACTGCATCAACTGGGAAAATGATCGCGGACCCTGCAGATTTAGTCAAGATAGGGATGAGAATGACTTTCCCTCCGAGAACCTGCAAGTCCTACTCGGAGTAGTGCGAACTCAAGCGATTCCGAAGACCTTGTTGATGATTACGGTCATGCCAACGAGGAGCCTACTAACGACGAGGTTCTGCTCGAGAGGAAGAGGAACAATGAAGAGAATGGGGTCGGATTTTCCGAGCTAGCGAACAGAACAGAGCGAGCAGCTCTCACTCTCTTACCAGCCAGAATTGCTGGAAATTGAGAGAAAGTACGTCAGACATTGATCACATCATTTCAGGTTGTTAACGTCAAATCAAATCACCTTGCCAGTGCCATACCTTCTTGTCCTTTTGAGTAGCCAAAGAGCCTCGCCCGATCGATGGTGCACTATTATATATACTCTGCTTTTTGAGGTTCGAATGAATCTTCCTCGCTGTTTTTACAGTTCATATCCTACATCCACGCGTTGGACTTATATTATTACCTTGAGTCAAGCAACAAGACTGACCAGATGATCCTTTGCATAGCGAAAGATGCTCTTCAGCTTACTCCCGTGCTTCACTACATACATGTTTTCATCCGTTTCAATACTGCACATTCTCAGCTGTGCAACCGTTATAGCAACAGCTTCTGCTCCATAGAACATTTCGGACAGCTCTGCACGCAATGTCACCCAGGGATCTGAGAAGAAGCTATCATCAACAGCAGCATACATCGTCTGAACAGGTTCACAGCTTGTCGCATTGCATGAATGCCCCATCGGCAACAGAGCTGCATCAACCTCGGTCCCTGTGCTCCGCCAAATATGAAGTACATATAAAGCAAACTCGACCACTATCACATCCAATCACCCGAAAACGAGCAATCGTAATTCCAGAAACGCTCTTGTAACGCCCTTCGATCGAAAAATACACCATATCAACACCACGGCAAGGCTTTACACTTCCTCTGATCCGTGTCGTCGCTTGCTCCTTGTCTTTCACTAGCGCTGCTGCCACACCGCCTGGCAGCTCCCGAAAAGCAACGATTCTTGTCCGGTAATGTTTTGGTGTCCCTCACGAAAGGCGAGATGGCCGAGCGGTCTAAGGCGCCAGCTTAAGGTTCTTCCAATACGCTGGTCCGAAAGGGCGTGGGTTCAAATCCCACTCTCGTCACTATCCCTTTTGCTCAATGGGTAGGGTATATGTCAGGCAGAAAAGAAGAGGTGGTGAGACCAGTCGAGAAGAGTCTTTTTCGAAAATTTTGGTTGTGGAATTTGTGGACACGGACCTTCTTTTATGCACGAAGCCTGGCTGCATAAGCTGGCTTGGCGTTTTGTGAAGATGCATAAGTCCCTCCTATATCAGTATCTCGTGAGTGTGATGCTAAGAGAAGCACGTCGTGTCTTATGAATTGAGGATCGACCTGAAGTATTGCATTTTATGCGAGAGAGACAGCTTATTCTGCACCTCGAGTTGGGAGTCAAAATGCACATGCGAACATTCACGAATTGACCTGTATACCGAATTCATGACCAAATATACATTATGCAAATTCAGCAATTGAAGACAGCATGGAAGCAATTCAGATAACATAGAGGATGTTTGTGCTGCATTCTCAACTGGCCAGATATGATTTGTCCATGACAGGAGCTAAGGCGAACCTATGAAGTGAGATACGGTTTAAACAATACTCCGGCCAGAGTGGTTTGCCATCACCTCAATCTTATGGGTGATGCAGCTCGTGGGTAGCAAATTGCAGTGACACTGAAAGAGTGAAGCGATTAAGCACCAGAGCTGCTGATGAATGACTGACAGTTTGTGTCTTGCTTAGCAACGACAAGACCATCAACAAAGACGCCAACACTTCGCGATCGTACCTTAGTTACCTTGTCTTTTGAAGTTCTTACGCGATCAAGCAAGATGCGCACCAACATACTTACTCTATTGATTGTGGTGCTGGCAACTTTCGTCCAAGGTTGGCTTGGAAGTGAGTTGTCCGACCATAAGACAGCTCGTACACATCAATTGCCCAGCTTGACAGGACATGAAACATGGTCGTCTCCTGCAGCCAGTGTCGTTTGTCAGAAAGATGTCCAACTGAGAGATGCGCCTGATCAAATTCTGTCCAGTGATCAAGATGCACACCCAGGTCTGTTCGCCTATCACATACCTTGAAGATGCCACTAANCGTTTCCAGGTCTCGCTACAAGCATTGCCTTGAGTGCGATGTCCACAACTGCCTCTCCCGTTGCCACCTCCATTGTCTGCAACATCGGCGAATCATTCGGCACTGACATCAGAACACCCTTCTTCAATGCCACCATAGCAATCAACAACTTCTGCACTGATACCACCGCCCAAGTTAGCATTCCCATGCAACCTGAACCATTCCTCCAGGACAAATTCGTGGATGTCACTGCGTATCCTCAACGTTTCTATCTATCCGACAACGTGACTATATCTATCATAGCCATGTTCGCCGATACCGTGGGCATGACTGGTACCCATGGATGTGGCGATGACGCCAGTTTCGTGGTCCAGAGCCGCGAGAGTGTTTGCAGAGAGACGTTGCAGCAAATCGTCCAGCAGTGTAAGTGTTTGGAAAGCACGACCAAAACAGCAAAGACTGACACAGCGTAGGCGNTCGGCGACAACACAAAGGGAAAGACTGGCGGGTTCGCGGTCGAGCGAAGCAGCGGTTATGGATGCGTTGTCTGGCAGATCTGGGGATATAAGTGATGAGGAAACTGATCCATCATTACTTGATACCATTGAGTCCATAATCGTTAGACCAATGAATTAGTCCTTTGGATCAAGATGTTTTACCCAACCAGCATGTTGAGCGTGAAGACCAACTGTAAGTACCAGCTATTTGGGTCTTGAGAAACACAGACTGATACTCAACAGGTGAAGCTGACACAACTACTCAAAAGCTCAGAGGTTTCCTGATTGAGTATGAGCTGAACATGGTTGCGTCATCTGTTAGATCTGGGCTTTCTCGCGTGGTACCAGTGAGAGGAAGGTCTCAGCCTAGGAGAGGATGGACGAGCCAGATCAACTACGCAATGAGAAATTAACGAGAAAGAAGCTGGCCAGGTTAAGGTGATCATGGAACACAACGAATGCATCTCGAGAACGATCAGCATGGAAGGCCAAGTGCCTCTGCCTTCCTAAACGCTTTCTTCATGGCCTCTACACGCAGCGTCTTACTCGTGAATTCATTGTATCCTTTGTTCGTTCTCTGTGGCAGCCAAAATGTCGTCCTCGAAGTTTGTGGTGTCCAGTGTCTATGGCATCCAGCTCTTTAAAGCATCAACCTTGAATCTAGTACATAATGAATGCTCGGATTTGTTGTTGTTGGAATAGTAAATGATTGATGCGTCTAATGGCTTGATGATGGCCAGACTGGCGGTTGTTGACCTCTTGAAACCAAAACTCATACAGTACTTGGATTCACCAGCAAATCGAGCGTGCAGCTGTGCTGATGGTCTTCGGCGAGTGTTAAAGCTGCCCTTGGCGAGCGTCTTGCTGAAGTTATTATGCAAGTATCAGGGTTGTGATGAGGATATGGTGGTTCAAGTTTTGCTGAGTAAGCCCGCTTAAAATGGAGAAATCACAAATCCCACCTTGAAAATTGTGAAACCACAAATCTTCGCCGATAGTCATCCTCAGACAACAGCATGTGAAAGCACGAGTTTGACGGAGAGCGGCCGGTGCAAGTTGCCACGATGTGCCTCTGCGAAGTCGCTCTTCCAACAAATTCTCTGTTGTCTCACAACATCCTGCTGTCAATCGATCCTATGGCGGCTGCTTTGTGGAAGGGAGATCCATGTTTCAAGAGGGATTATATATCTGCTAGATTCGGAACTTGGTGCCTTCGGGCATTAGGTGCGTTGGTCCTGCTGTAATCTACCTCGGTTACTGTAAACTAACGCGCCATCTAGTCAATTTGAAACTATACGTAAGTCCACCGTTCGAATCACTGCATCGTCAGAACATTTACTAATTCCCTTCTTAGAGAGAAGATTAGCATGGCCCCTGCACTAAGGATGACACATGCAAACAAGATGACTTACAAATTTTTTGAGGAACCGAGTGGATAATCCCTCAAAGGAGGTCCATCTCTTTGCAGATTGAAGCAACGGATGTGGTGGAAGCAAATTTCTTGTGGTGGTGGATCTGGATTTGCTGCTTGATGTGGGCATGTTGGAAAGCTGGGCAAAGCCCGAGCTTATTTCGAGCTACTGCGTACACCTCGACTTTCCTCGGATGACTGCTGCTACAGCAAATGACCTTCAAGAGCTTCGATATCAAGTCTATCGAAATAAATCGGCCAATATAGATATCAATCGAGCCGTATCACTGCGTGGTACCATATGGTCTGACTGACCATCACATCTGCTTCCCATAGTACTCCGGATTCTCTTCGATCGGTTCATTGGCGCCTCAATCGTCGGAGTGATAGTCACAAAGACGAGGTACGGATAACCAGTTGCGGAGGTAGCATGCTCCTCACCGTTTTCTACCTCCTAGACACCCCTGACGCTGGCTCGGAGCAACGCGCAGCTGAGCTGCTGTAAATACCAATATTGTTGCCTCTACACTGCATGCCCTCAAGGCTCTGCGCGACCCATACCCAAAGGTCGAAAGCGAGCAGAAACCCATCGCCTGCCCCAGTGTGCTCGACGCATTGCAGAACTAGCTTTAGAACGAGGCCGCCTCTGGCTGGATGTTTGCCTGCATCCCTTTCCTGACCCATGGGACCACTCCGATATCCGTTGAGAACGACGAGCAAGCAGTACCTAGCAAGTACACTGTTGCCTCTATATCACTTTGAGGTCTCGCTCTCTGCCCATCAGTCAGTACAACCTTAACGTCCTGGAGAGACTGCGGATCTCATCATTACCGTCCCAAAGTGTCTTGTGAGCGAGTCCAGTACTCTGTCCAGCGAATTCTTCTCGTCACAAACCGGCCATGGTCTCTGATGATTCGTCCAGTCGATCTTGTCAATCTGCTGTTGCGATCTCTGCTTTTGTCAGGGGTGCGCACGACCTTGGCTGAACAGAGTCAGAGTTTGAATGCAAGAATGTCTCTTCTGAACGTTCTTGCTTTCCACCCTGCATCTTCTGTTTAGTATCACACCCGATTGTACATGCCTACCCTTTACTGTTTGCTGTGTGTTCACGGATGACATGGAAGATATGATGTGATAGAGCAGATCTGTTTTTCTCTATCTATGGTGCGTTTGTTGTCGGCTTTCTATTGGTACAAAGTGTTTTGTCTGTGCAAGAGCTCAAGTCTCCGACGGTGAAGTCCTGCTACCTTCTTCAGTCACCGGAAGTAACTCCAAAGTCCTCACCAGAAATCACCTCCAAAGTCCTCACCAGAAATCAAAGCATCACCAGCAGGCCAAACAGCAGCATCGCCAGTAGAGAATTGAGCAGAGTCGTCGATGGGAGCGGATACCTCGCCAGAAGTGCCAGTCTCAACCTTGACGGTGTCTAAGTCGTCACCGAAGTAGGCCAGGTCGGTGGGAACTTCGAAGGCGGGAGGAGCAGTCTGGTGAGTGCACTTCTTGTCCTCGAAGTACTTCTTCCAGTGAAGCAAAGGACGGCTGACGGTGACCTGCTTGATCTTATCACCATCGCTACTGTCTCTATAGTACTTCGTCTTGGTGTCGGTAGGGATCTCGGAACAGTCACCAGTAACCCATAACATCTGCTGCTTGGCGCGGCTGGCGGCGAGGCACATGCGAGTCTTGTCGCTCAGGAAGCCCTCTCTGGTGTCATTGACGACATCAAAGATGACGAAGTCCGCCTCACGACCATGAGCAGTGTCGATGGTGTAGAGCTTAGGTAGCTCGAGACGACTCCAACCATCACGACGGAGCTTGTAGAATAGGCGCCATACAACTCCCTCTGCTTGGCGTAGGGAGTGACGAGCAGAACCTTGCTGTTGAGCTTCTTGCCAAACTTCGTACGAAGTGCAGGCAGCACGACATCGACGACATAGGCGGCAAACCCAGGGTTGGCGCGAGAAGGCGAGTCTCTGGCCTTCATGGTGGGAGAGTCGACCTGGACCAACAACATGCGTCGCTGGGCGTCAGTCTGGAGAGCAATCTCCTTCTGGCTGCGACCAGCAATCTCACCCAAGAGAGTAGTGTTCTCTCTCAGAGGCCGCTTGAGCGAGGAGCTAGTGGTGATCTGCATGTCGTAGTGAAGCTCGTTCAAGGGTGTGAAGAACAGCTGTGGCAAGCGTTGCTGCGTGTTGAGATGGACAACAGGATGACCAGCCTTCTCAAGACGAGAGAAGAGTGAGATGCGAGACTGTTCATGGAAGACATCAACAGTGTTCTCTTGGCCCTGACCTGTAAGGCAGATGACACCGCTCTGCTTATAGTCGCCAAACATAGCCCATGTCTTGACGTTCTTGGACCAGTGACAAAGGGCAGCGCCAATCAGCGAGACGCCTTCCTCACACGCTTGAGCCTCATCATCAAATCTGGCAATATTGTGGTCGAGACTGAAATTCTGGGAGATCTCCCTGTTCTTGAGACCAACCATGGTGCTGACAAGGAAGGGGGCGTTCTGAATCGCCTCGGCACGAAGGACAGCATATACGTACTTGAACAGACGTGCACGGTCTTCGGTCCAGTACTCGGAGTCAGATGGAGAATGCTCGGGAAGGGCAGCAAAACCTTCACGAAAGATCTGGCGATAGTCGTATTGGGTAGGGTCATTGAATACTGAAACGCCGTTCTCCAAGCCAGAAGGGATCTGCTTCACCATGGGCGGCATGTCGGTCCTTGTGGAGTTCTGGATGACCTTGTGCTGGATAGAGTATGTCATCTTGAGATGAGAGCGTCTGTCCTTGTTCTCATTGAGATCGGTACGGGCCATCTCGAGGATAAGCATCTCTCTGTCGTCGGTAGTGACCCACGTGGTCTTCTCATCCATCAAATCCTCCGAGGATGGGGTGTAAGCGCGGAGAGGAGGCTCCATCTCGGGGAACATTTCGACAAACTTCTCAACAATCATGTCGAGGGTGTCATGCTTCATGCCAGTAACGACAGCCCTTGAGCCCGTTCTGAGGACAAAAGCGATGAGCTGCATCATCAACTCGGTCTTGCCAGCACCGCCAGGTCCGGTGCACAATGCCATACCACCCTGGGCCTTCAAGAATGTGTCGATGAACTGAATCTGTCTGCGATTCCAAGGCTTGCCTTTAGGCTCCTTCAGCTTCCTGAAAGCGTCAGTCCACTCGTCAGGTGAGCAGCGAGATTGCGAGATGTAGTCTCGGGTAGGAAGCACGCCACCATCGTTGAGGAGAACAGGCCATTGTTCAGTGACCCACGAACCACGAGCATATGTGGTTGCGGCCGCGTTGATAATGCTGGCGCAGACATGGTCGTCACTCTGCGATGATAGACATGCATGGTATGAGGCGGCATTGCTGGCAGAGTGAAGAGGCGAAGTCATGCCAGCAAACTCTACGGCCTTCTTCTTCAATACCAGGCAAAGCATATCGCAACTGACACCGAAGCTGTTACCAATGACAAGACCTTTGGCGTAATGAGGCTTGGGGTTGTTGGCAGCAGCCTCAAGAGCTTGAGCGCTGTGGATCTTGAAGTCGATTATGGTGCCATTAGGATAAGTGATGCGCTCGTCAGACGAGAGACCGGCACGCAAACGCTTGTCCCAACGAACAGCAAGTAGAACTGCGTCGCCGAGAGTCAGTAGCTGGACCTTGTGAGGGTCGATCGCTAGAGCCTTGAGAATGAACTCCCGCTCGACAGATTGCGTGTGAGCACTGTTGCTAATGACAATGCTTCCTTCGTCCGCATCACGGAAAACGGGAAGCGCGGGCATAGGCAAACAGGGATGGTGCTTGTCAAAGACGGTGGAAGGAGTAGGCATCTTTCCATGCTGAACAAGAGGCTTGTGGATGGCGTTGCGGTACTGTTCGTACGGCAGGACAGTCATGGCATGCTCAACAGAAAGAGGAAATACAGCACGGTCTTCGAGAGGGGCAGCGGGAGTCTCCTCGGTGGAAGCCACAGTCTGGCCTTCAGGAGGAGTAGCGGCAGAAGTGTCTTCAGCTGAAGGAGGAACCACATTATCCGAGACAGCAGGACCAGCAGAAAGGTTGTTCTTGTGAGGCAACATGTCGAGCAAGTCATCAACTGAATTGCGGTTGCCAGCCTTGTGTGCGTCTATGTCCTTACTGTTGGGCTGAATCTTGATCGAGACATGATAGACCTCGTTTTCAAGAATTCTGGTCAGCGAGACGAGTTTCTTGGTCAGCTTGACTTCGTCGCCGCGAGGGCGCATTCTCTTGACACGAGGGTGGAGATGAGGCTCAGGGTAATCGTTGATGCACTTCAGGCTGTCGGCGATAGCACCAGTCGTATTGAATTCGACGAGTGCAGACTTGTGCTCTGATCCGTACTTGACCTCGAGGTTCATGATCTGGTTAGGCTCGGTTGATGTATCATTGGCGTCCTTGTACACATGGCCAAATGAAAAATCAATCGAACCTTCGTGTCTGGGAACGTGAATTTCGTTGGCACTGAGAGCATGCTCATTGCGGTGGTACTCCACAGAAAGAGACAATTTCGGAGCAAGGCCGTGTGACTTGATACTGAAGTTCATGGCAACACCATTCTTCTTGGAATTATCGGATGGCAGGTATGGAACCTTCTTGCGAGACTCATTCGGCTTAGTGATTCTGACATTGCATCTGAACTTCTGCGAGATGCCGACCTTGTTCCAGTCGTCTGACTTCGCCGAGGGGTTTTGGATGCGAACGAGGCGGTTTTGGTCGGAGATGTTGTCTTGGCCCGCCATAGGTAGAAGCGCCACGACCTTCTCAAGTGGCTGAGAGTTGTTGGGTGTGATGTTGGCAGACGTGGTGTTGTCAGGCTGGGACTCATGTTTCGGTTCGGAGACTTCTTCAGACTCGGAGTCGGAGTCAGAGTTGACCGGCTCCTCGTCCACGGAGACGAACATCTTGACTTGGGAGGAGTCCAGCTTGACATCATCAGCCAGCTTGAAGTGCTTGCGGTACTTGAGCTCGGCGGCCATGTAAGCAGCGGAGGAAGCGCCATCAACAGCGGCAGACGAAGAAGCGCCATCAGCAGCGGCAACTAACTTCTCGGCCATGGCTCTGGTGTTACCTCAGCGGACTTGTTTGAAAGGTGGCTGGCGTGAGTGGGTTGGATGACAAGAAGAAGAAAGTTGAAGTGATGGATGGATGTAATTCAGCAACACTGCCGCCGCATGTGTGAACGACAAACAAACAGAGTTTGAAGTGAAGTTGAGCTTTGAAAAGGGCTCAGATGCTTCGAACAGTACCAAGGCACTGAAAACAAGACTTGCGCAGATCGGACGGCTCTGTGCAGCTAGAACACAACAAAGGCTATCGTATGCAAGCAAATGCTACAATGACAACAGAAGTAAGATTCAGAGATCAGAGAGTGTTGGCCTATAGCAAAATTGAAGGAATGAAATGTGTGTACAGAAAGAGAAGAGAAACAGAGTCCCCGAGTATTTGATGTGTGCCCCTATCGCACGACTTCCCTGCTTGCGCTCTTCACTTTCTGCGCTCTCGGCGACGGGTTTCCCCTATAGGGCAGTGCTATGAAATCCTCAAAGATGCTTTTTACTTATCACGCATGAGCTGAAGAAAAATCTGAAGAACATCGAAGCACTACAGAGAAAATGTCCTTTGACGATATACGGCTTCCAAGACCGTTCGGGCAGGTGATCATCGGGTGACATCGTCAAAGGTATGCGTGTGTTGGTTTCTATGTTCCGCTACAAGAATTGAGTGGAATATTCATCAAGGAATGTCCATCTATTCCGTCAATTGAAAGATAAGTCTTGTGGTGGATGCAAACGATCCCGAGCCCAGCTCGATGCAACACCTCAATGTCGGAGCTTCGCTATAGGTGATCGTGTGTGATCTGTTCCTAGATCGTATTCAACCAGTACATGAAGTTTTGTTGAACAGTGGAGGAACACGGTGAACTGTGGTTGCTTGGGTATAGAGAAGCTCTTAGACGTTATGCGGTGCATATCCACGACATCAAGGTGAGTAACCATACAATCTTGAGCACATAGATTTGCTATCAGACTTGTGGTCCCAGTCGAGTAGCCTTCATGATGCTTCGCTCGCATCGAGGTTCAGCGAGGCTTGTCACATACACCATTCACTCAAGAAAAGAGAAACCAAGTCAGTAGTGCACAAGCAAAAGCACTTATCACGAACAAATAGTATTTCATATCTCAATGCACTTCGTTTGGAATCATGTCTTCCTCTTTGTCATACGCCTGTTCCTCGAACCTCTTCGTGCTCATCCCAGCCCCATACTAACATCATCACCTAGTCCCCAATCTGCCTCTTCATTCTTCAGCCTTGTGACTGGAGGTACCACATCATCATGGTCCATCGCCGCCCTACTCTTTCTCCCTTCTGTACTCCCAGACGCACTGCTAGTGGTTCTGGGTCTGCTTCCCGCAGAACCAGGCAACCACGATCTGCGCTTATAACTACTTGACGGGCTGCCAATATCACTGCTTGTGGTGATGGTCGAGGCGGTCGTCATNGGATGGTGTGTGGGCGTGTGGTGGTGCATTTTGAGCGCTTGGGAGAGATTGCTGCTGTGGTTGCGGGAAGGTGTAGGACGTGGAGGTGTGGGTGGTGGTTTCGGCTTCTCAGTCGTTTGAGGAGCTGGTGTGGGCGCGGGTTTCTCTTCTTCTGGGACAACATCGATGAGCTCAGCATCGCGCAGCCATTTCCTGCGTCGGGTGTAGCGGCCCCAACCGTCTTGTCCTCGCCTGCCATCTCGCCATTTGTTGTCGTAGTAGATCCATGCGTCTTCGTCGTCGATAGCGGCGTCTTTGGCCTTACCCTTCCTGGAAGAGGGCAACTCGACATGCCATTCACTGTCGTCAACCCATTGCCACTTTGCCATACCACCTTCTACTTCCNNAGGCAACTCGAAGTGCGTAGGATCAGATGTCGGATTCAGGTGTTCATCGGTCCAAGAATTGCGTTCGTAGGCCAACATGCTTGCGGTCCAGCCTATGCCCAGCCATCTTCGTTGGTTTTCGTACAAGGTAAAGGTGAAGCGAATGCCTTCGCCAGACTCGGTGTTTGGCTTCGCATTCACATTGACAACACCTTTTGTTCCTGGCCGTGGAGGTAGTGGTGGTACTGAGGCAGATGGTACACCAAGATCGAGGCCGGTGATTATGGTGCAGATCTCGCGTACAGTCTTTGAACGCCAGAGGATGGTACGACTGATACGTGCAGGACGTGAATGCCATGACAGAAATATTGTACCGGCGACAAGGACGATTCGTTTTGTGGTAATGATACGGAGAGGAGGAAGGGTCAGAGCCCACCACAGAGGCGATGTGAGCATGATTCGGATGAAAAGAGTCGTAAGGGCGGGTTGCGTTGTGGCTGAAGTTGCCGTCTGCTGAGTTGACAAGAAGTCTGTCAAGCGAAGCAGTGGGTCGAGCAGAATATTGCACCTTGTCGTAAAAGTCTGTAGAGTTGACAGAATCTCGTCCAAAGACTTGCGATGCTTGATGCCATCTGAGTTGTCCCTTCTATGTCCCTTTTTTTTCTCTCCAGTCCAGCCTGTTGACGACAGTGGAGAATACCTTCGAAGGTACATGCCCACTATAAGGAAGGTAACCAAGATCAGAGGTCCCATGTAGCGTAGTATGTAACCGCCATACAAGACGGTGAACCAGAAGGCAGCCACAAAGAGGAAGCTCTCCCAAGCGTCCCCAGTCGTCCATGACAGAAGCCCAACAAGCTTGTTCAAGGGCACAATGAACGGATGTGAATATGCCAAAGCTCTTGTCACCTGTGGAGGGGTCGCTAGCAGAAGTGGTGACTTTTGGTGTACGAGAATAGTCGAGCGCTGTCGAGTCGAAGGGAACGAGTGTGAGGTGGGTGAAAAGGCGGCTACCGTCGGAGGTTTGGTCGTGTTGGACTCTTTCCTCTCAGGCGCCGAGTGTCCGGCATTCGCGGACGTCGACGAAGTATCCGACATGGAGCTCATCCAAGGTGTGTCTGTTATCCTCGAGACGTGTCAGTGCATGTTCCTAGTTGTTTGTTCCGTTGCTGCCCAGAACGCTTGTACCATCCATCGATGTCATCTCTGCATCTCTGCGGGGAAACCAAAACACAAAAATCCAGGGAACTTGCTCCGGGCAATTGCACGCACCAAGGGCTGCCATGTAATAGCTCTATTCATTGGTCTACTGCCACTAGTTGAGGGCATACCGCCTCACAGTCTTGTATGTTGCAAAAGGAGATTTCGTTCCGCTTGACTTAAACATGCCGCACGAGACCCGAACGATGGATGACCCTTGCCGTCATTGCATGTGAACGCCAAGCAAACTGTAATCGTTCATTCGCTTTGTCCGAGGCACATGCGTGTTGGCTGAAACCTGTCATGTTCCTGAAGCCTGCGTCAACCACCACTTCGCGGCCGTGGACTACAGATGGCACCGCGACCCAAGGCGCAAAAAGGGTATGTAGATATTGCAAAGGATGCTCATGCTGGGGATCGAACCCAGGATCTTCTCTGTATACAGTGTCTGTGAGAGAGATGTCATACCACTAGACCACACGAGCAAATCTTGCTAAGTGGCAAATCTTGAAAGTGTATATCCCACTTTTGGTACTCATAGGTGAGCATCAATTTCTGCTAGGACTTAGATCAGGACGCGATTTACAAAGGCTTGACAACGGTGGATGATGTTGTAATAAGACAACAAGATTTGGTTGCAAAGTAATTTCATAAACAAACTTGATTGCACACCAGTTCGGACAAGGTGTTCACCATAACTGTTCGTCTAAGGAGAATAATATATGGTCATACAAAGCAATCACCCTCTGAATCGCAAGAGTAGTAAAGAAGGAACCTGGATTTCGTTCGATTACATATTCTGATGTCTCCTATGAATCAAGTGCATTTCTCCTCTAACAGCATCCTGTGATGCTGCTTGATCTTCGTTCCAAAATGTGCTGTGCTTGGAGTTCGCTGAGCTTCGACCAAATAAATCCAATTTATTTTTGTTGTTTTCGTTCTGTCGGCAGTCTGGTTGGCTTGGATATGGTGTGTCAAATTGACAAGTACTTGATCACATCGACGAGCAAGGTCTCAGGATGATGTGATGAGCAGTGACGATAACCGCGCCGAACTTGTGAGATGAAGTAGCTTATTTCTGTGAAGATTGTTAGCCTTGTTAAGGATCAAGAGAATGGCTGATCGATGATGAAGGATAACTTACGCCGCAAGTGCAGCTACCAGGAGCACAGCCGCAGCTGGAGCAAGAGCAAGAGGAGTTACCACAGCCACCCATTTTGTTGATGTTGAGTTGTTGATTTGGTGTTGGAAGAAGGTGTTTGTAGATGTGTGGAGACTGAAAGTCGAGGACGTTGGTAGTGTGTGAGTTGTTGTTGGAGATAGAGGAAAGCAACGGTGGTGGTTGAAGTGATATATATACCAAGTGAGCGACTTGTGCGTGGTGGGGCTACCTTCAGGCTTCGGGCTTGTCACAGAGGGGCAATGAACCTTGGGAAGGAAGGACCCTGCGTCAATTGTGCTGAGGCTGACAGGAGCCAGCGAAATCTAGCGAATGACACTCTTCTCAAGGTCGAGAGCTCGAGTCTGTTGTGCTGTCCTGACTTACATCATGTTACTCGACCTATAGGCTCACGAGAATCTATAACAGCTTCGCAAGCACAAGTCGCGCGGAAAGCCTATCTCTTCACAGGCACAAATTTCTCGGAACCCTAAAGCTGAACGCGAACAGCACAAATCTCGCAAGACCGCACCGCACAAATAGCTCAAGGAGTTCGCATCCTCAATCTCTCAAGTGTCCTTGGTGGCGATCAGTCCACATCGCTTGTAGGCTCTAGAACACGAAACTTGCTCAAGTATATTGATGTATTGCTACAAGACGAGCTTGCGGTGAAGGAAGTGTACGCCGGGTAAAGTCGGCCGTCTTGGCTGAATCGCGTTGAGTTGCTAGCCGCGGAAGAACCACTTTCGCAATCCCTTCCTGATGCCACTGGTTGCATTTCCCTCGACACGACGAGAGATTGGTCTTTTGAGCCTCTGTGAAAGACTGGACTCTGCGGCTCTTCGACATGTTCAGCTGTGAATACAACTTAGACATCACCAGAATATCACGACTCAACACTAAGTAGGCCCGCTCAAATGTCGTTGAGCTGTGTCGTCGGACTACAACCCTCGATGACCTTTTCTCGTAGGTGCATGTCTGGTTTGGGAGTTTCTTGAGCTTGCGATACGTATGAATTACAGCACAAGGTAGGGTCGTGAGCTCGAAGACTGGCCGAAAGCTGTGTCTTTTATGTGGTTGCGAAGCCTGCGATTTCCTACCTAAAGCGGTTTCTTGTTCCCTCTCATTGCTGCAAAAGTCGTCCCCTCGAATGTGTCAAGCTCCGTCATTGAGCTGCGAGGTTCATTCGTTTACCTTCACCTTCGAACTCGCGGCTCGTCGTGGTCCCATATATCTCCGCTGTTTCGCAAGGCTGGTACCTGGAAAGCTTTCTCGACAATGTTGGCTGGATACGAGACGAGCGCTCGCGAGTATGTATTCAGAAGCTTGTTCAAGAGAGCTAGTGACAGCTTCGATGCCGAAGATTATGAAGAGAGCGACCGGCTGTGTCGTTTACTTCTGACCTATACTGACCTCAGTACTTTCCACAAGGCAGGATGTCATCGTATGCTCTCACTGGGCGACAAAGACTTTCTGTACGTCAAATTCATATCTATACCTGCCTCTGGCTAACGAGCGAGATAGCTGGCATGCCGGACAGGCCCTCAACTTGTACCAGCAACTCTTCTATCCGGACGGCGAATCGACTGGGGACCATCTTCTCAGCGACTTTCAACTTGAGGCGCGCGACAATATTCTTGGGGACGCCCGCATGAACCTTGCTCAGGCCGAAGAGGACCATGTCGAAATCCAATGCGATTATGCGGAGCGGATCGAGCGTTTCAAAGCAATATATGGACGCGAACCTACTATGAAAGATGTTAGCAAAGTCTGCTTGAATCGACACAGCAAGGAATATCTCCTGGCTGTTGACGGTGCTGCACAGAGCTACGAGTCTTTCATCGAGAGATCGTTTGGAATAACTCAAGAGGATGAGCACAGGAAAGATAGTGGCGCAGGGAACGCATGCAAAACATAGTACTCACGCTTTCGAGGTCAATGTGCTACTCCGATCGGTGGCTTTCTTGCTGAATACGACGCTTGGCATGGTGGTTCTTGAGTGTCTGGCGCTTAGCAATGTGAACCATCTCTGCTATTTGCTCGGAGGTTTGACCAGTGGATAATCTGACGTTGATCTGTCGAGGAATGTTAGCATCTCCTTCTGTTGATCTATACGATGAACACTATCGAGCGCCAATTCAAATTGATACGCAGCGTCGTACAGTTCTCAAAGATGCAAAACCTCTTTAGAAAGGGTGCATGTGCACAAGCGCATGACAGGCTCACTACAGCACCGAGAAACAAGGTCGACGCTCCTTGGACAGTTTAAGAAGCAACACTTACCTTGATGCCTCCAATCTTTTCAACCGGTAGTGAATCTCTTCGTCACTCATCTCCGAGACTGGTTTGTTTGCCCAGGTCTCTGCGAGTGCGTCCAGAGGANGCACGGAATTCGGCTAGGACACCTGGATCGTAGCGGTCAGGATGTTTGCTACAGTACTCGTAGAGATGCTCAGCCCCTTGACGACCAGCGTCGGCGTACTTCCAATCGGACACAAGCTCGCATAGCCTCATGTGAGTCTTGAGCGGTGCGAATCCTGGGGCCGTGTAATGCTTCAACATCAGATCCCGGTGAATCTTGACGCACTCGTCCAGCGAGTTTGCGTCATAGAGCTCCTCGGCTCTGAGAAATTGCTTGTTGACGAATTCCGCATGTTCAGTTGATTTCGCGAGGGAGGGCTCCATGGTGCAAAGGGATTGACGTTGATAAGATGACGTGGTGTCTCTGGTCCAGCAGGAAGTTAGGTTAAGAGCGCGTAGTAGGAGGTGGGCGCTCGCAAATTCACAAGCAAGGCGTTCTGCGGTTCTCACTTCACTTGGTCACTGCCTGCAAGTGAACAAAAGAACTTATCGGTGGATGATGGACAGAGGATGTTGGTATGATGTTTTTTTGTTCATTATTTCTTGTTTGATGACAGCGTAATATACATTAATTTGGTCTTGTTCAGTCATGACCCTCATTCTATGATTCCATACCCATACATGCAAGAGCTTCTTCCTCTATAATTCTTTCGTACACTTCGCTTCAAACCTCCTAGCCGGAGATTTACAGAAGGTAAGCAGCGAAAACGCCGGCAAGAGCAACCGAAACACCAGCCTTGGAAGCGGCACCGGTGTAAGCGATAGGAGTGTGGGTCGAAGTAGCGTTGTTGCCAACAGTGGTGCCGTTGGAGTAAGTGTAACCACCGGTGCTGGCGGCAACAACAGAGCTCAGAGTGCTGGAACCGGAAGCAGAAGCAACGAGAATGTTGGGGTCGGTGATGGGGTCGTTCTGGCTACCGTAGCAAGTGGCAGCAACAGCAGAGCAAGCCTCAGCATCAGCGAATTGGCTGGTTTGGCATGCTGCGTTTGCGCTACTACAAGAATCTTTGCAGGATGTCAGTTCTGCACGGCATTCCGAGTCCGACTTTGTGCAGGCATTGAAGGCATCAGAGCATGACTGTCTGGTCCACTTGCTGCCGTTGTAGTAACATTCGTTGGAAATCTTCGAGCAGAAGGCTTCATCGGCGGATCCAGAGACGAGGCAAGTACTTTGCACGGTTGTGCATTGGTCCTTAAAATTGGTGAGTTCAGCGTTGCAGGCTGTCACGTTGGTGCCGGCGTTGAGGCAGTTCTGGTACTTGGCCACGGTATCAAGGGTAATGACATCCGAGGTCGAGTAGTAGCATGCGTTGTATTGAGCAGTGCATGCGGCAACATCAGCAGAGCCAGACGAGAGGCATGCTGAGTTTATGTTGGTGCATGAGTCCCTTGATAAAGACATTAGTACATGGTTCAAGGTACATGGTTAGATGCAATATTATACTCACTTGCAGACCGCATTCTGAGCATTGCAAGTGGCTTCAGATTGACCAGATTCGCCACACTTGATGTACTTGGCAACACAGTCCGAACCACCGGGGATAACGGGGAAGGTGTTCAAGCAAGAGTTGTAGTTCTTCTGGCAGACAGCGGATCCAGCACCACTCTGGTTGCATTGGTCGTTGGTCTCAGCGCAGATGTTCTTGCATTTAGCGAGCTCGGAGACGCAAGTAGGTTCATCCTTGGTAAGAAGACACGAATCGAAGCTCGAGACGCAATCCTGGGCAGCGGCAAGGGCAGCCAGGGAGAGGAGGGCGGTTGTGTATCTCATATCTGCGGTAGTTGTAGGAGGAGGTTGGAAGTGGCAGATGTTCAGATGCAAGAGAAGGACGCAGGAGAATAAAACACAGGGGTTCCAAGTCTTCTAATATGGGGACGAACAGAAAGTAACAAGAAAAAAGGATGGCGGGGGATATAGGAGTAGCTATATTAACCTACCTGCCACCAGGGCGGATCGTATGCATGGGAGAACCACGAAAAAGCCTCTGTCAGCTGCAAGCCATGCCAAACCAAGGCCCCGGTTATTCCCAACTTTACAGTGGCCATCTCGTACCAGCGCTAGACGAGCTTGGAGCTGTTGAATAGATCAGGAAAAATATGGATGCTTGAGTTTCGAAATAGAACATCGCACGGACGGAGGATTGGCCTTGGGGACTTTTTTCTCGTATAACTGAACGACAACGGGTCTTGAAGTCATGTTTGTTCACCAAAAACACGATCGTATCTCGACCGTTCACAAATGAGTCCTCGGCGTGTTGATTCGTATTCTGTGATCAAATCTCGAAGTGTTCAGGAGTTGAGCAGCGAGAAAACAGACTTCTGTACCTTGCATGTAAACAGGGAGGATGCTCAAGCTAGTCTCAAGACATGCTATCGCTAGCTCAGGAGTGGATTCCCAGCCTCATGCCCCCAGGTTCTCGCTAGGGCTTGCGTGTTTTTCCTGCTGACAGGACGCCGAGTCATGGCTCCCGACAGCCTCAGTTCTTTCGATTTCGATTCCTTCCAATATTGTGACCATTTCTTTGCTGGAAACTTTGCTGGCGGTTCTGCGGTGAACACTCGTGTCTCCGGTACAGATTGCGCGTCCGTTTTGTTTCAACTCAACGCACCGTTGTGTAGAAAAAACGGTGCAGGGCAGAGCAAGACACAACAAACAGGAGACCTTGGCAGATTGGGCTCCTGCTTCATGTGGGGTTCGCTTGAGAGGTTCGCTCCTCTGCCAACAGCTTACGCGCCGGTTGTCTCTTGCGACCAACCGCGTTTATGACGCATCTCTCTTTCTCTCTTTCCGTTCAAGTTCACCGACAAAGCAATGCCAGTGTCTGTCAAAGCCGTGATCTTCGCTTCGCTGTTCAGCGGTTATACGGATGATGTTCACGGGTATGCAAGAATAGAGACGGCCCAATATAGAAACACGCGACACGAGCGTGAAGGATGCAGTGAATGAGTCGCGCAGCAGACTTGGCAGGCACCGAGGCAGCGCAGGAACGATCCTCTTTTGGCAGCACGACTGTCTGTTTTCGAACAATGCTCCAGTTGACCCTCGTCAGCCAGAAACCCATGGCGACAGTGCATAGTGACTGGACAAGAAAAGAAGAATGACTCTGCAAAGACCGGCAGCAAAATGCCCGGAGCCAGTATCAAAAGCCATATCGATGCTACATTACACCGCAATGCACCCTATCACATCGCTGTATTGGGCGCAATGCTGCAAATTACTGCGGCCTATTCCTTGTCATTGCCGCCTATATGAATCCTTCGGCCAGAATCCTTTCTGGTGTCCTGTGTAATTGAATCATCTACCATGAGGTGATGAACCAGGATCATCCGGCGCCATACACGTCTCGGTAACATTGTGCCAAACTGGGACAACTAACATCTTGTCAGCTCGGGAAGCACACTCATGATTTTAGCCAAACATACTAGACAGACTCTTGGCCGAAGATGATATGCCACAAGTACTCAAACACCCAGCCTGATTTCTGGTCATCCAATTCGGTATTCATCAACCACTCATGCATGCGGAGATATTCTTCCTTAGTTCTCTGAAGTATCTGCTGCTTTGACGCGGCAAATTGAGCACAGCAGGCTACGCCGACCACTTCTGGAACATCGTCGTTGTCAAATATCTCTCGCCAAGCAGCAGCGAATACTGCTTCTGATGTCTTGCTCTCGTCCATGGGCTCTTGGAGTCGATGTATCTCATCTGGACAACCAGGATTTGGCAAGCATCTCAGGTTTGCATAGCCGTTCCTTTGTACAAAGTCGACGTTCAATGAGTTCAGGCTCTTCACGTTAGAGTGCTGCTTAGCATCTGTATGCCATGCTTTCAGCCAACCGAACTCGTGCGAATGCACAAATGCGACTGTCTCATGCAGCGAATCGTAGTTCTGGATGATGTAAGTTAAGTAAGCATTTGCTTCTTTGCCTTTGTTGCGATCTGTGTGGAATGGCATGGCGGTGTCGTTGTCGACGGTATACACGAAAGCGTCCCATCCACGAAGTTTAGTTGTTGCCCATGCTACGTCATCAATCGAGAGGGCGCCCATTACCACGGCCTTGTCGTTTGGTGGTTTGGGGCCTTCGTCCTCGACAGGCGATGGATCAGTCGTGATAGAATTACTGTCTTCCGCAGCATTGTTCGTGTGAGGTATATGAAAACCAGGGGCTGATCGACTAGAAGAATCGTCCCCAGACGTGATGCTAGTCGAAGCGTGGTCTACTTGTGGAATGTGGCGTAGTGGGTTGGTGAAATTTGGAAGGTCTGAGATCTGGAAGTAGAAGCAGGCAATGGTCATCAGTGCTAGAGCTGCAACGAGTAGCCGCAATGACGAACGCATGTCTTCTATAATGGTGAAGAGTCAAGCAACATGAAAGCCTACCTCCAGAATATAGACAATCAAGCTTCAAGACAAGCAAACAAGACAAGGCAAGCTTTGCATTCAGAGATTCGTAATTTGTTACGTGTGTTTCAGGACCAAAAAAAGTGGATGCTTTTTAGGCCGCGAATTCCTGCTACGACAGGGTGTGTTTGGTGGTTCGGACACGGAGAGTAACCAATACGGATAGGCTGCTATATCATCTTTTTTTGTACAATCGGTTTTTTACATGCTTGCAACAACTGGCCATACTTGATCGTTCTCTCATGCTGTCTTTATCGAAGCTAAGTTTTTGTTGAGCACACTCGTCGAAAGCAGCGAGGTGACACCGAGTTGCTTATCTCGAGTTCATAGACTGATCGAGAGCGAGAGCGAACCTTCCCACAAGGGTTTGAAGCTTCATCTGTAGCCCAGAAGCTTGCTGAAAGGTTACAATGACTACAATGAAGTGAGAATAGAGAAGAAGATGTACGAGATGCAGGTCAGAGTGCTAGCATCCACTTGATCCAAAAGAGGTAAGTGAAGATTATCTTATCTCATTCCCGAGAATCGCCGCAGTCTGTTGATGACATATGCGCCATAGCAACTTCTAGAACAGCCATTGTTTCTGGAGTTGGTTATGTTCTCGCGCGTCGCCTTCTTGGACTCGGTCACTTCGAATCATGAGTAACGAACTGCAGTGGTCAGGACAATTCACGGCATCTTCTGCGAACAACTTGGCTGGCGACAAGATCGTCTTGCCGCAATCTGCTCTTGAACAATTGCTCTCGGCTGCCTCAGTAGCTGCTGCCGCCACAGAACAACCAGAGAACGACTTCCACTCCTACTCCTCGTACTACGCCGGCTCACAACTATCTTCACGCCGCTCCGACGAACCCAAAAATCAATTACCACATCCCCTCACTTTCCGTCTGGTCAACGCAAACAATGGTCGCGTGGTCTATGCAGGCATCCGCGAGTTCTCGGCTGAAGAAGGATGCGCAACACTGAGTTCCTTCCTCAGTCAAGCCCTTGATCTGAAAGAAGATGGAGCACAAGTCACAATACACGCCAGACAACTACCAAAGGGCACCTTTGTCAAATTAAGGCCGCTCGAGGCTGGCTACGACCCTGATGACTGGAAAGCCTTGCTAGAACAACACTTACGCTCGAATTATACCACCATGACCCGTGGCGAAGTTCTGGTTGTGCCCGGCTCAGCAAGGGAAGAGTTTCGCTTTCTCGTTGACTCCTTCAAGCCAGAGTCAGATGCCGTCTGTGTTGTAGACACTGACCTCGAGGTCGATATTGAAGCCCTGAATGAAGAACAGGCAAGAGAGACACTGGCAAAGATTGCACAGAAGATACAAAACAAGCAAAATAGTGGAGAAGGTAGCTCTGCAGGTGGAGACCTGGACGTTTTCAATGCTCAGCAAGGTCAAATTGCGCCAGGAGATTACATCGACTACCAGTTACCATCATGGCCAAGGTCGCAGGCACTCAAAATTGAGCTCGAAGGTGCAGAGCCCGAGGATGATATCGATTTGTTGGTATCACCCTTCTCTGCACGCCAACGAAACAGGCCTCGCATTGATGAACATGTCTTTGGCGACTTCAGCGGCCGCCCTACGAAGAAGATTCGCCTGGAATCGTCGAATGTTGAACTGGAAGATGCAGAGGCCCTTTGGGTCACCATACATGCTTTTCGCGGCGATGACAACCAGGGTCCTGTTGTGCCTCGTCAGTTCACCCTGCGCGTGAAGGTGGGAGATTTGCATTCTTCCGAGTCCAACGGAGCACCCGAACAGCCGCCCAACCCCGAAGACGTCCGTTGTAAGAACTGTGGTCAATGGGTGCCTCAGCGAACACTCATGCTCCACGAAAACTTTTGTTTGCGTAATAACGTCCTCTGCCCTCAGGGCTGTGGCCAAGTCTTCCAGAAGCGTTCTCCGGCATATGAGAAGCACTGGCATTGTCCACACGATACGTTTTATGGCAATGGCATGACTTCACAGCAGAAGCATAATCACTTGTACCATCCCTCTTCGCCGTTCGCATGCCAAGGATGCAGCACAACCACCACCTTTTCTTCTCTGCCTCAGCTCGCACATCACAGGACCTCAGTATGCCCTGCAAAGTCGATCTTGTGCCGCTTCTGTCACTTGTCGGTTCCACAAGAAGGTGATCCTGATGTTCCAAACCCTGAGGCACTGCTTTCTGGTCTCACGCCGCACGAGTTGGCAGACGGTAGTAGAACGACAGAATGTCACCTCTGCTCACGGATCGTGCGTCTACGAGATATGGATACTCATCTCAAGCATCATGATCTCACTCGCAAATCGCGTCCCCAGCCTCGATTGTGTCGCAACGCAGTTTGTGGTCGTACCTTGGACGGCACATCTCACGACGGGAATACCAGAGCAGCCGTTAGAGACACAGGCAACGATATTGGCCTATGCGCAGCCTGCTTTGGACCCTTGTATGTCAGCAACTACGATCCAGAGAACAAAGCTCTAAAGCGTAGAATCGAGCGCCGATATTTGACTCAGCTTGTCACTGGTTGTGGCAAGTCTTGGTGTCGCAACACATTCTGCAAGACTGGGCGAACAAACACTGGTGAAGGCGGCGCTGTGAACACGAAAGATGCATTGCCTATGATTAAGCCTTTCGTCGACGCGAGTATTCTGCCAACTGCAGCTAAGCCATTACACTTCTGTGTCGACGAGGCTAGTCAGACTAGAAGGGCTCTAGCTGAGATGTTGAAGGAGGAACATGGCATGAAGGGTGAGGTGTATTCACTGCCCTGGTGCGTAGGCGCTTTGGAGGCAGAGAATGGACAAGCGGACAAAGCGAGAGAGTGGCTTGGAAACTGGGCTCCAACAATAGCGGAGGAGGGTGCATAATGGTCTTCGAGAATCTTGGTATGATGAATGCATAGATGAGCTTACAGTTAGCAGACATGAATTAACGAATCAAGACCTTTGCGGCATCAAGCAGAAGTATCTCAGAGTAGCTCTTTCCACAATTTCTCCGGAGCCTGCATGCCAAGTCACGTTAATCTGGTCGTCGAGTCTGTTCCTGCCATCTATCGTGTGCTTGCCCTCGCTCGTAGATGACCCGAAGATCGTCAATCAGCCTGATAATCAGATGGCTGCGCTTCACACTCCCCATGCAACCCCCGCCAAATCCCCACCTTCGCCGACACCGTCGACAACGATCTACCAAGGACTGACTGGACTCATCATGCGTTCAGGTGTGAGATATAAAGATGTGCCAATGTCTCAGAATCAGACCCAATCACTCTTGTGGCCTCACCAGTCAAACGAGCAATCATGCACACATTGGCCGCTCTGTTACCGCTTCTGGCTCAAGTGGTCGTCTGTGCTACAACACGATTCACATCAAGAGCATACAATGTACCTTTTACTCCCGATCAGAATCGTTGGCCAAGTGGACTCCACCTCGCGGTTGACTACTATCCCTCACAATGGCCAGAGTACATGTGGGAGCCAGACATCGCCGCCATGAAGGATGCCAGTATCAGTTATGTTCGCATCAGCGAGTTCGATTGGGAAGTTCTGGAGCCCTCTGAGGGTGTATACAACTGGACTCTGTTGGATACAACGCTGGACCTGCTTGGCAAATATGGTCTGCAGGCTATCGTAGGTACGCCAACCGCTGCTCCGCCCAACTGGCTGACTGAGAAATACGATGTCAACTTTGTGGATCGGATGAACCAGACCTTGATCTTTGGTTCTCGGAGACATTACAGCTTCTCATCGTTTGACTACAGGACGCTCAGTCAAGGTATTACACAAAAACTCGTTGAGAGATATGGCAACAACTCGAATATCGTCGCTTGGCAATTGGATAACGAGTTTGGCTGCCATGACACAGTCCGCTCCTATGACCACAACGCTATCATCAGATTCAGGACATGGTTGAAAGAAAAGTATGGGACTATCGAGAACATGAACGAAGTCCAAGGTCGTGTATTTTGGAGTTCACAATACGTCAGTTTCGACACTGTTCAACCACCTTTCTTGAACATCTACATGCCAAATCAAGCTCAACTGCTGGACTGGTACACATTCAGCTCTGACATGGTCATCGACTTCGCCAAAGAACAAACCGCCATTATCAGACAACATGCTCCGAGTCATGCAATCACTACCAACTTTATGGTTAGCTTTACCGATTTCGACCATTTCAAGTTTAATCGTGAGGTTGGTCTCGACTTTGCGACTTTTGATAACTACCCTCTGGCTGGAGTTTCTGATGGTGCTGAGTATCTGCGGACTGGGTTGCCTGACTTGCAGGCTATGCAACATGCACTTTACAGTGGTATTGCTGGTTCTGCTTATGGCACCAATCATGGACCATTTGGTGTCATGGAAATGCAACCTGGTGTATTGAACTGGAATACATATCGTGTCTCTCCGCTAGAGGGTATGGTACGCCTTTGGACGCTTGAGACATTTGCTGCCAAAGGTGATATGGTAAACTATTTCCGCTGGAGACAGGTTCCCTATGCACAAGAGCAAACGCTAGCTGGACTATTTGTATCTGACAACACCCCTGACGAAGGGTTCGGCGAAACCCAGGTTGTGGCCTCCGAGGACCTGCCTGTGTTACGGGCAGCTATGAGTACAGTAGAGGCACAAGCAAGCGTAGCTCTGGTCTTTGACTACCCTTCGGTCTGGGTCTGGAATATCGAGCCATACTCTGGATCATACTCGCCACAAGATTCGGGATTCGAGAACATCGGTCTAGGCTACTTAGATGTAGTTTCATCTTTCTACACTTCCCTACGCCGTCTAGGTCTTGATGTCGACATCATTTCTCCCGAGCAAGACTTGAGCAATTACAAAATGGTGGTTGTACCCAGTCTGCCCATCATCCCTACTACCTTCAACAACGCACTCTCCTCCTACAACGGCACTGTAATCTTTGGTCCTCACTCTGGATCTCGAACCCCTGACTTTGCTTACCCGCCTGGTCTTACCCCTTCAGCTGGTACATTACGCGATAGACTGCCTATGAAGGTCACAAGAGTGGAAACACCGCCTTCGTATGCCAACAGCGGAGTATTCTATGCAGACAAAACCTACAACATCTCCTTATGGGAAGAAAACATCATTTGCAGCAGAGACAACAAGACCAGCAATTTCGCAATCACATCAACTTCCCAGCATAGAAAAGGCAAACCCGCTGCTTGCGAGAAGAACGGGTTCCACTACTTGGCTTTCAACCCACCAGTTGATCTTTTGGTCACTTATCTCGGTGATGTAGCTAGGGCAGCTGGAGTCCAAGATGTGTTTGGTAGACTTGCCGCTAGAAAGAATGATTTGGGAGGAAACCTGAGAGTGTTGGAACGAGGTGGTTTGGTATGGGCATTCAACTATGGAGCTGAAGATGTAGAAGCACCGAGAGTCAATGGAACAGTGGTGCTAGGAGGAAACAGCACGGTTATGGAAGGAGCAGGTGTCAAGGTGTGGAAACTACACTGAGATGTGGACTATCAGATGAGCAGAAAAGCTAAAGAGAGATCATCATCTTGAAACACTTTGCTTTAAGACAGGACTGATGATTTCTAGATGATTGATTCGATCCGATAAGAACGAGGTGTTAACAGCAAAGGGGGGAAGCAAAAGAGCAATGCAGATAGTCAGCGGTATCTAGAACCAGACGAGGGACATCTTGCTTGCCGTGATAATATGAACGCTCGGATCTAAGATACTATGCTTGCACTACGAATGCGTCCACTCAGGCTTCTTCTTATTAGCAAAAGCATTCATGCCAATCTTCTGATCCTGGCTTCCAAACAATCCATGGAAAAGTCTTCTCTCATACTCCACACCCTCTCTAATACCCAAATCCTGACTCTTGTTGACAGCCTCCTTGCAAGCCTTGACCGCGATCTTGGAGTAGCTTGCAATCTTTGCCGCTGTATCCAAAGCCCCTTCCACACAAGCATCTGCATCTTCAAAGCACTTGGCGACCAAACCCCACTGCTCAGCCTTCTCGCCCGAGAAGTTTTCACCCGTGAGAATGATTTCCATAGCTTTTGCTTTGCCTACTGCGCGAGTAAGGCGCTGTGTTCCTCCCGCACCAGGGATAATCCCCAATTTGATTTCCGGCTGGCCGAACGTTGCAGTCTTCGATGCGTAAAGGATATCACACATCATAGCCAATTCACAACCACCACCCAAAGCATACCCATTCACAGCACCAATGACGGGTTTCTTAATGTGAGTGAGGTTGGACCAGGATTCGATGAAATCGGCACCGTAAGCGTCGGCGAAGGTTTTAGGGGCCATTTCTTTGATGTCGGCGCCGGCGGCAAAGGCTTTGGGGGAGCCGGTGAGGACGATGGCGGAGATGGAGGGNTCTTTGTCGAGGGTGGAGGTGCAGGTGTTGAGTTCGTTGATCAAAGGGGAGAAGAGGGCGTTCAGGGCTTTGGGTCTGTTGAGGGTGACNTGGTGTATGTTGTGTCAGTCATACTGCTGAGTTCGTTGGAGCGAAGAAGCAGTCAACTTACTCAGAGCGACACCCGGACGGGGAGTGCTGAGTTGAATGTGCTCATAGTTGTGTTCGGCCGAGGGTGTCGAGTATGGACGTTGGATACGCGGGGCCAGTGTCTTGACGAAGCGCGAGGGAAAAGGTCTGGCAACTCGTAGGCTCTGCATCTTTGTGGTGGTAGAACAATTGGCTGTGCAAGATCAAGGACTGGAAAATGTCAAGGTTACCGATCAAGGTGGCCGGGCAAGGTGAAGCTCCCCACATATGTCATCGGCTGTACACTTGCCGAGGTCTGTTTTGATCTTACCCCATTTGGGAAGGCGCCTTTTCTCCGATGCTCTCCTTACAAGGCGTAACTCATCGTTCATGCTTCTCAAGACGATGGACAAGTAGAAAGACAAGTGATTTGTGCACAATCGTGATAAGGTCATGGTATACAAGCTCTACTCAGAATCCGAGTCGTCGAATGCAGCCAAGCTTTCCCTCTTCTTCTCCTTCGCGGTCTCAACACTAGAAGACTTTGCTCCTCCCAGCGATAACTTATTCGAAGGCGTATTACTTCCACCAAGCGAAAAGCCCATGGCAGGAGAAGCTTTNTTGATCTTCTCAGCAGCCGGCGAAGTAGCAGGTGCTGCGTTCAGCGACATGGAGAAGTTAGACAACTTAGGTGCCGGCTTTGGTGGTGGTGCTTCACCATCTGCAGTTGCGAGGATGAGATCTGCCGCCGAAGGTCGTGATGGCTGGCGCCTAACCGCCTGTTGAACCTGTGGAGCTTGCACCGGCTGTGGTGTTGTTTCTTGAGCCACAACCTCTGGAGTAGCAGCAGCACTTTCAGCTTCACCATTCTTCCAGCGCTTCTTGAGCTCCTCTTCTCTCTCCTGCTTCTCCTGTTCATCCTTGATCTTTTGCTCTGCATTCGTCAATGGTGGAGCTAGGAACACCTCTTTGAACCTCCTGTGGCTCTCTGGTGCGAAAATGCTTTCACGCTCCCAGCAGTCCAGAACAACAGTGATGCGACTCTTCCACTGTTCACCACGAACACGTCCCCATCCGTACTGCTTGGGCATGCGACCGAGCTTCTCAAACACTTGACGTGAGGTCAGGGCCGATTCGAACAACGATCGGTACTTCCAGGCATCACGTACCCCAGAAACTGATGTCGCAGCCAATGCATCGCTTATGACATAAAGACCAACCAGTTGCGCGCCAGAAATATCTTTTCCAGACGAAGGTTCTAACTTGGTGTCAATCTCCTGATCGACTTGCATTTCGGTCGTGTCTTTTTGGACAACCTCTTCGGGTTCCGCATCATCATTACCACCACCTAGCATGCCGAACGAAGCTCTGGGCCCGTCGACTTCAGGATCATAGTTGTCTGCGTCGTCGTTCTCTCCGTCCTCGTTCTCATCTATCGGACGATCGATCTTGTAATTAACGGAGAAACGGAAAGGGTTCTCAAGATTCGAAACAAGCATGTCGACGACTTCCTCAGCACCTTGACCAGAGAATTTGATGACTAGATCAGTGACAGCTTGTACATCACCTTCACACAGGTAACCGGTGCTGTCAGGCAGGTGATTTAGGAAGAAGGTCAGCTTGGCTTTTCGGTAAGGATTCAGGTATCGTGGTCGTGACACGCTCGGGTCTTCGGGAGCGATGCCTTGGTTTTGAACAATATGATCATCCTCGTCGTCGGTGTCGAGGTCTGAAGAGACATAGCCAGAATCCGACATCAGATCAGCGAGGTTTTGGGCGTGTTCATATCTTGGTTTCTCAGGTGGAGGTATCCATGAGGGGCCATCATCAAATGGTCGAACGTGGTTGTTCATGCGAGCAAGCTCATCCATCATAGACCATTGACGTGAGTCTTGACCAGTTTTCGCTGGAGGCTGAGAGGCATAGTACTGGTACACCAGCCAGCGGTACCAGACATGACCTTGGCTAGTGTTATCGAACAACCAAGCCCAATGCTCCCCGTGCTGGACGTCTGGCTGAGCCATGAGCAGGCATTCCCACTCAGGGCCGTATGTTATGAGCTTTTCGACAGTCTTGTTGATGATGGCAAGCTGCTTGAGGTCTGATGGCGGAGTGACATTGACGACCAGAGGAGCAGGACCTTGATGGCGCAATTGTGGTGGGAGAGATTCTGGTGGTGGCGCGTTGCGGAAGTTGTGAGATGGAGGCGGATCGCGAGGCATCTGTTTGGCGCCAAATGGTTGCACTGGAAGAGTCGAAGTGGCGGTATGGAGGACGGAAGAAACGGACGAGGAAATAGTAATGTGTTTGGAGATGCTGAGGTAGGAGCCGAAGCCCAGGTATTTCTGCTGGAGAGCATTGACTGCACTGTCGATATCGCTAGAGGCTGTGTCAGGGGTGAGTGCAACGACAGCCGTCAATGTTCGACCAGTTGGCGAGGGAGCGAAGGCGATATCGTCGAGTTTCAGGTTCTTGGGTAGCCAGCTTCGTATCGTGGCTTCGGTGGTGTTGCGAGGTAGTGATGACAATAGCATGGTTGGGCGTTTGACGGTGGCCTCGGGGCTCGCTCTGCTATCTCGCTGCCTCCTTTCTCTTTCTCGCTCTTGTTCCAGTTCTCTCTTGCGCTTCAAGGATAGTGGGGCAGGACCAGGTGGTGGGCCGAGAGTGCCTGGTCCACTGCTCCTCATGGGAGCTCCTCTAGTATAGCCGCCTCCATCTCCAACTCTTGAACCACCGTATGCACTGCGACCAGCAGCTACTTGTGCGACAAAGTCATCTTCATCCTCGTCGGCGAACGAGTCCTCGAACTCTCTGAGGGCAGCTCTGTTCTCGGCTTCTTCTCGTATGCGTTTCGCTTCGGCTTCTTGTCGCTGTTTCTCGAAGACGGACACTTTCTTGGGCGCGTTGAGTTTGGACGACAGATCCGGAATGCCCTTGTCCGACATGATGTGTGTATGTGTGTCGAGAATGTTGGCGCATTGCACGTTGGTCCATCTCTGAACTTCTTGTCCCTTCATTGAACCCTTGATCCAAGCGTCAAGCCTCTTTTGTGGGGTAGCGCCTGCCTATTATATTTACCCATACCGCATCTTGTCATCAGCCTTGCCATCAATCCATCAAAAAAGTCATCATGGCCGACACTAATAACCTGCTCCGTTTCTTGACGGCCGAAGCAAAGCTCCCTCTGGCCGCTGCCATCGCACAAGCTGCTGGTCTCCAAAAGGCGAATCTAGTCACGTAGGTGCCATCCATTTCCTTCTATCAATACTCATCAACTTGGCGTCTGTGTGGACTCAATCTAGAGACCATGTTTGCAATGGTCTGCTCGATGAGTCTCGCAAGTACAATCCTGACGCTTCAACAGCNNATCGAGGATCTCGCCAAAACTGATTTCGACACTCTTAAAGCAGCTTCCGCCACCGACAAAGCTGCAAAAGCCACTTTGGCTGCTGCAAAGCGTGTCTCTATCAAGCGCAAAAGAGGTCTCCCTGAGTCTTCTATTCCGCTGCCTTCTAAGCGTGCCAAAGTCGATCCTGCTGAGATTGAATCTCCAGCCGACGTTGAAGCTTCACTGGCCCTGCCTACATCTGATCTCACTGACGATGAGCTTGCGAACATTACGCTTACGACTAATCGTGCGCCACTACTACTGGCCTTTACTGCCACTTTAGTGAAGTATACTATGCCCGAGCAACCAACTTCCTCGTGTCTGAGTCTTGCTCAGGCCGTAACTTCTCTGAACGCTCAAGCCAAAGCCGCCAATATTGGCATTGGAAACTCTGCAACTGCTGAGAAAGAAGGTTGGGGTCAAGGCCAGTCGCTTGTCAAGGTTATGTCCCGCGACGTCCGTGTGTTGAAGCGCTGGGGCTATGATTGGAAGCTAGATGCAAAAGATACTACCAAGGACGTTAAGACGGAAGAACCAGACCAACCCCCTTCACTGCAAGAAGAATCGTGTCCGGAAGACTCTCCTGCACTATTAGCTTTCGATCTTGAGCAGCTCAAGCGTCTAGACGGTCCGCCAATCGTCTCGGCTTCTGCAAGCACGGCTGGCCTTCCCGTATATCATGCAGATCCTGCACGCAACTATATCATCAAAGCCTTCGACTCTGTCTATGACGACAAACCTGAGACAAAGAAGAAGAGACCAGCGGCTGAGCTCGCTGCAGAGCGCGAGGCAAATCTAGGACACCTAATCAAGGCTTTGGATTTGGTGTTCCAGTCATGGTCTGTCGTGCTCAGCTCAGATGATCTGGACAAACGCGCTTGGAATTGGTATGTTAAGGTACGACCACAAGTCGAAGCAGGTCGTGCTGGTTGGGGAGCAAAAGGCCAGGTCATGCTCAAAGACATCCTGGATCTAAGGCGACCAAAGTGAATACTTTGACTGGTGATTGAAGGACACGGGACGGGTCATGCGTGAGAAAGAGCTGCGAGTTTTATGAAGAGGTCTATACCATCAACAGACTATCCCTGTTTGAAGATTCCAGCATATGCACTCAACGCGGGTGCACCACCAAGATGTGCATACAAGACCTTGCTACCTTCTGGAAACTCGCCCTTCTTGACCATCTGGATCAAGCCGTCCATACTCTTGCCCTCATAAACCGGGTCAGTCAAGATGCCCNNTTTCTCGTTAGTTTGTGTAAAAAATGACGGATATCCAGTATGACTTACCTCAGTTCTGGCAGTAAGTCTGATAGCTTCCATCGTTCCCTCGTTTGGCAGTCCATATTCCGGTCCTCCAAATCGTGTGTCCAGAACAACATCCTCAGCTGTTATCTCCCGACCTAGCTCAACAAGCTCTGCGGTGTTCTGGGCTATCTTTAGGATCTGTGCGTGGGTCTTTTCGGGCTTTGCGGATGCGTCGATACCGATCACCTTCTGAGCTCTGCCATCAGAGGCAAATCCAACAACCATACCGGCCTGAGTGGATCCAGCTATAAAGCGAAGGTACAATTAGCAAGATATCAAACGTTGGTTGTGAGAACACCAAAACTTACTGACAGCGCACACCACCACGTAGTCGAACTTGAAACCCAGCTGTTTCTCCTGCTCCATGACTTCCTGAGCGAATCCAACGAAACCAAGACCTCCGTACTTGTGCTCTGAACAACCAGCAGGAATGGGATATGGCTTTCCGCCTTTATCCTTGATCTCCTGCATGGCTTCTTCCCATGAAGGTCTGATACCAATGTCGAATCCAGCCTCGTTGAGTCGCACATCTGCACCCAGGATTCTACTCAGCTCAATGTTGCCAACACGGTCATACACAGAGTCATTGTAGTTGACCCAATTCTCCTGCACCAGAACACATTTCATGCCCAGCTTAGCAGCTACAGCGGCAACCTGACGGGTCTGGTTTGATTGCACACCGCCAATAGAGACCAAAGTATCGTAGCCGCCAGAGATGGCTTCGGGAATCACATATTCGAGTTTTCTGGTCTTGTTGCCGCCGAATGCGAGGCCGGAGTTGCAGTCTTCACGTTTGGCGTAGATCTGGACTTTGTTGCCTAGAGCCTCAGATAGTCGAGGCAGGTGTTGGATTGGTGTGGGTGTGCCGAAGGTGAGTTGTTCTTTTGGAAATTTGTCGAGTCTCATGGTGGCCAGTTACTCTGATCGTGGATGATGATATGCTTTGGTCTTGTTCTTTGATGAGAAATCCAATTATAGAAGCTGCTCCTTTGATTGAGAAGAACTAAACAGTGATTGAATTGGACAAAGGCGAGCTCTATATAACAATTGGACTTTATAGCTTGCCCGTTCTTCTAATACCAAGAGATGTATGGCGACTTGGGCGGTCAGGTGCTTGCCCGCTCTCCTACTACCAAGAGCTGCATGGGGGTCTTGGATGCTTGCCCTACCTTTGGACTAGTTTGGCCTATCACGGCTATCAAGCCCGCGACCGATATCGTATCCGGCTGAGTGAGGCTTCACACGGCAGGCCGTAACGCGACATACCTGCCCGTCATGAGATATTTTCGCACGTGCGCAAGAAGCAAGAATTGGTCTTGCCTCTGGAACAAATGCAAGTTGTGTCAGAACAGTCAGCAAGTAGAGACGTGCAGAGTGCAAAAGCAAGAAAGAAGCCGAAGCGGAAACAACGGGCAAACCTTCCGCCCAAAGCAGAAAGTCTTGGCACATCCAACCACCAACCATCAATGCCTCTCTCCTGCTTTGACTCTCTTGCAGCAAACAATTCCTATTCAATTCGCTATATAAACACAGAAGAGGTATTCAAACTTCGATGGCGGAAGGAAAACTACAAGATTCTACAAACATGAAACGCAATCTTTTACTCTGCGTCGATGCCTTTGGCACTTTGTTCCGTCCTCGCAGTCCCATTGCCGAACAATACGGTAGTGTGGCTAGGGATATGGGGGTTAAGATTTCTGATGATGAAGTTGCGAAATCGTTCAAAAGTGGTAAGTTTGTCTTACCAGAAAGAGAATGAATGGCAGCAGATGATTGGATTGCTGAATTTGCAAAGGCGGATGCAATGGGAATGATGAAAGCTGATGCATGTGATACACAGCATTCAAAGAGATATCGAAGGCATATCCGAATTATGGCAAANAGACGGATATGGGAGCGAGACAATGGTGGACTGAGGTATGTAATATCCACGACTCCCCAGCTCTTTCCTTTTAAGACGTCTCTGCTCCGGTCTTACTCGTTGGTATATCAATTTGCGATATTGATTGCTTCTTGTTCAACCCTCCATCTCTTCTCCCGCTATAAGTTTGAGAACTCGAATTTTTCCCTTTGACGAGCATTGTTTGAGCATACTTACTCACTTCTTCTCCCTCAGNNGTCATCGATAAGACATTTACACCTCACCATGCAGGACCTCTTCCCACAAATCTCACTTCAACATTGATCAACCGATTCTGGTGCAAAGACGGCTACACCCTCTTCCCAGACGTCTCCCACCTCCAAAAACTCTCCCTCTCACCTCAACGCCAGCAGAACGCTTCATCAAGACTAGTCATCGGCGTCATCACAAACTCAGACGACAGGGTCCCAGACGTTTTGACCTCCTTAGGCCTGCGAGTAAATCCTCTGCGCTACAATCCCACTGTCAAGGACAGCACACAAGAAGCGAAACAAGCAGAAGAAGCACAACAACACCAACACCCAGACATAGATTTCTGCGTCATGTCCTACGATGTCGGTGTCGAGAAACCCTCGTCTGAGATATTTGACGCTGCTGTCGATACTTTGTCTTCTCTTCTTTCTTCTGAGGGCAAGGAGTACAAGAAGGAAGATTGGGGATTGGCATATGTAGGCGATGAAGTGGGGAAAGATGCAAAGGGTGCTGTGATGGCAGGTTGGGATGCTGTGCTCTTGGATAGAGGAGGAGAGGTGGATACTGCTTATGAAGGCGATGCACCAGGTGTGGAAGGTTGGATTGAAGTGGAAGGCAAANAAGTGCCGATTCTGGAGGGCTTTGAGGCATTGGGATCGTATGGAGGACATGAGCTATTGAAGCTTGGCTCGATTTGATGCTCAGTGTACCAATGGGATGCACTGAATCTTTGAAATATTGTTAATCTCAAGCCCATGCATTATCAAAATCATATGCGCTAAAATACGAATGAGAATCTAAGAGAAGAGAAATAAGATATCAATAAGAGAACAGATTCCAGCTGCCCCATCTATATTAAAACAATCTACGCCTTGTATACCATAAACCAACTCCGCCCAAACAAACCCAATGATCTAGTATACGAACTAACAATATCAAAATGCTTAGGTCGAAGCTCTCGGTGGCCAGGAAATAACACCCCCGTTCTGAGGCAGCACAAACCCTTTCCTCGTGGGCTTACTGACATCTGCAATCGAGTTCACGCTGTCGATGCGCAATTTCGAAGTCCCTTGTGGTACGAGCGAAGGTGGTAGCAGCCTTCCTCCACTAGTCACCATCTTTGGCGTTCCGGGATTGAGCGGCGAAGGCATTAATGTTCCGCCAGGGCTTTGAGGAGGGCTGGCCACACTAGCTCTGTCCAAGACCACAGTCTCCACAGACAAAATCGAAGAAGCAGAGGATCCGGGAGGNGGAAGTGCATTCGAGCCCTGCCACTCGAAGAAGTGGGTGCCGGTGGGTACATCATGGACTTCGCCATTGCCTAGATGGATCTCTCCTGATGCGCCTGCTGGAATGATGACGCCGAGTTGTATCATCCCTGTTGCTACAAGCACTCTCCAAGAAGCTTTGCACAATCCAAACGGCGTTTCGATACCTCCTGCCGCATGCTCCAACCCTCCACCTACCAGTGGACGGACCTTGATTTTACGATACCCAGGCTCGAGTGGTGTGATGCCTACAATGCCTTCTTGCAGCCAGCGCGTGCATGCACCGGTAGCAACGTGATTGTGCGATCCTTTGGCCTTTCCAGTCTCATCAAATCCGGTCCAGGTCTCCCAAATTGTGGTGGCACCGGCTTCGATCTGGTTCAGGAAGGTTTGAGGTTGGTTGTTGAGGAGCAGCTTGTAGGCAACGTCTGCCCTGCCGTTGTCACTTAAGACTGTGAGTAACATGGCCGTGTTGAGAAGGGTGGTGCCGAAATGATAGCCGCTGTCTTCTATAATCTCGACGAGGCGGGAAACAGTGCAAGGGCGGGATGATTCGGGTATCAGATTGAATGCCAGCGCTCGCACGTAATCGTCTTGTTTGTCGTCGCCAATACGGTAGTCAGAGTATACGAATGCAGCACGCCAGGCTTCGCGAACACGTTCCGAGAGCTTCATATAGTGCTCTGCATCTTGAGTGTATCCCAAAGCATCAGCAGCCTTTGACAAGATGGCAGCGTTGTGTGCGAAATATGCCGTTGCAGTGTTGGGACTGGGTATCATGAGAGACTTGAACAGTCCCCACATACCACTACCTGGCTCCAGCCATTCTCCCCACATCTTGTCGCTGTCGAGGATGTAGGGCTCGTGTTCGTTGCGCTCGCCTTTGTAGTATTTGCCATAGCCTCCTCTGCCGTTGCGGGCATCTCTCACCATCTGTTCCATCTTNTTCTTCATGCTTCCATATTGGCGTTTCAAGACTGCCTTGTCGCCGTAGTACTGATATAGTGTCCAGGGTACCAGCACACATGCATCACCCCAGCCAACAGACGTCGTGATCAACGACATGGGCCACCAGAGGCCCTTGTAGACTTGAGCACACTCGCCGGGCAAGAAAGGCGGGACCGTACCATCCGGTAACTGCTCGAGAGCGATGTTTCTCAACATTCTCCTTAGATAAGTCTGTGTGTCCAAAAACATGGTCGATGTGGGAGAGATGGCCTGCAGATCACCCATCCAACAAAGACGTTCTCTAGTCGGACAATCGGTGATGATGTCTGCAAAGTTGGCTCGCATAGAGCGCAAAGCATTTGACCTCCACCTCTCCAAACGCCAATCGGAACATGTGAACATGCCGGTTTCTGTCAAATCTGCAGACACGACCAAGGCTTTGACGTCGTTGAAACCTACATCTTCGCAGCCGTCAATTTCTGCAAAGCGGAATCCGTGGCGGGTAAACCAGGGCTGGAACCAAGTATCCTTTCCACTGAGAATACAAGAATCGCGTTGGGCTCGTCCATCAATAGGTAACGCATAATCCAGATCAAGTTCTCCATTCGGACCAACAGACTCAGAGTATGTGATTGTGACTTTCGTACCTCTCTTGCCTTTGAGTTTTGCAACCACAAAGCCAGCAATATTTTCTCCAAAGTCGAAGATTTGCTTGCCGGAAGGCGATCGTAAGATGCCTTTTGGTCGTAGTCTTGCAATTTCCTTTGTGCGTGGTGTTTCCTCGGCGACCAGTTTACGTGATTGTGGTGTTTGAAGCAGACGAGCTCGTGTCCACCGAGAACCCTTCACGGCAGGTGGGGTAGGCGCGACTCTACCCAGCCACTCGTCACTGCTGACTCGGAGATCGTGCTCTTCGCCTAGCTTTGGGTCGGAGCGAATGATGGCTCCCGTACCGGCAAGCCACTCTTCGCTACTGCCGTAGGCTATTCGATTGCCATCTTTGAAATTGATGTTGACCTGCACAAATGCAGCGACAGGATCGTGATGTTTGGCTCTCGTATCCCTAAGTCCCAGACTGCCTCTCCATCGCCCATCACCAACCACAACGCTAAAGTGATTCAACCCAGGTTTGAGGTGTTGCGTGATATCGTAATCTTGATACTCGACAGCAGAATTGAGAGGCGTCCAGCGCGGCACACAGCAGTTTCCAGTCAGGTCGGTTCCATTGACGAATAATCTATACCAACCTAGAGCAGAAACAAATGCTCTGCCTTTGAGCACACCGGTGGGAATTGTCAAGCAACCTCGGAAGTACATCGCATGCTCCGTGTCCTCGATGGGTCCAGTAATCCAATTGGCCTTCCACAACCTTGCGTCCATTATTCCCGTCTCAAAAGTAGCAGTCTTGCTCCATCCAATACACATATCATGCATATCAGATAACTGTACCCGCCAGTAGTATTTTGTAATGGACTGCAGCAAGCCTCCAGCATAAACGATACCAGATTGGTCCTGTGAGCGCACGATATCGCTGTCCCAGACAATACTCGTGGGTTTGAAAGTGTCGAGGGTTGCAACCTGCACACGATAGGCATTTTGAAACACTACAGCATGCTTTTCCGAAGGGTCGCTGGCTTCCAGTCTCCAAGAGAATTCCGGCCGTGGATTATCGATTCCAAAGGCTTCGCACAAGTAATCGGTTCTAAGGTGATATGCAGAAGTCGCCATTTCCCTTAATGCGCCAGAGACGCCTTGACAAAGAGAGTCTGTTTAACAAGTGGTTCGTGTCAATAGTATCAGGACTTCCTCATGAAGGTCAGTCCTTAGGTAAAGAATGCGGGTGCAAAGAAAGAATGAGTAAAAGAAAGCAGAGGAAGGTTCAAAAAGCGGGCAGAGTTCAAAACTGCCAGAGTCTGAAGAGGTTATATTCAAAGCAAAAGGTTCGTCATGGAAGAAAGGGAAAGAATAAGCAATACTTTCACATTGAAACGCAACGGGCACGCTATCATCTCAGCCCAGATGTACACGCCGGCGGCTGCAGTGGGCTGCTAGGCAATCATTCAACGGGTCCCGACGAAGGCCGTACTCCGTCATTTAGTGTCAACCGCATGCCGACTGTCTTTGCGTCAGGGATAGGGAATTAGTAGTAGTATTGCGACAAACGAGGCATGTGGAGGCCCGAGGGACGTTGCCCAAAATTGATAACCGTTCAAACGCTTTGTCTCAGGCGTCAAATCCTTCGTGGCGTAGTTGTGAGTCCTCACGCGTATTTTGAGGCATATTCTACAACAACGTCAACCGTCCATTCATCTGGATTTGCCTATCTTGTACTTGACTGTCGTTACCTGAATCAGGAGATTGATCTAGACAGTCAAAGACAACATTGCTGTTCCACCGATGGCCGCATGGCACTATCGATTATACAGATCGTGATACCACCTCCCCGGATGCCAAAGGATGTAACGCGTATAGGTATAGAAATGCAAATAGGAATAGGAAACAAGATAGCATCCACTGAGAAACAAGAACTTGTCGGCTCTCTGCGGACACGCCTCTGGACTTGAAGTATCTATAAAAATGCACGATAGTATCAGGAACTAGATAGTGTCCACTGAGAGGCAACAAGTTTATCGACTCTCAGTGGACACGCCTCTGTTTCTCAAACAATTGTGCCTTTTTATAGTCTGGATTTTGCTCTGAATTGTATTCGGGAGCACGATGAAAGTCACAGAAATGACGTGCATAACAGGAACTATAGGATGAATAGAGACAACTTCTCCGAGCGCCAGTGGAGATATTTTGATCAACTTCCTGCATTGCGTCAAGCCTACCACAGGCAGAGTGGTGCTTTCGGGATAGACAACCTTGGAATCTCCTCCGGTGGCTCTAGTGCGAGGAATCGAGCCAACAAGATGATTGCAACCCGAATCGACTTCTGACGTCTCTCGTCAATATACAATAATATAGCGTCCTCATCGCCAATATTAATATCCAGCGCTTTAAAAACGCGATCACCCTGCTTACACCCCTGAATCCTGATATGATCCAGCACGAGTCTGTCGGCGACATATCCCATCAAATCCAGCTAAGAGTCGATGCCCTCGTCAGCTTCAACTTGCTCCAGTATGAGTATATCCAAGGTATGCCTATTGCGGTTCAGAAGTGACAGCAAACCTCCTAGATGGATCTTCGTATTCCGAAGTTCGATCCTTCTCAATCCTGTGGTCATGAGCAAAGCTTCGAATGCGACAAGGTTGTAATCGAGATATGGTCGAGTAATTCCAGGCCAGCCATTGATTAGCAAACGACCAAATTCGAACTCATCTTCGAAGATGCACAACCACACTTCTTGAACGGTCTTTTCACCGGATTCCGTAACAGTCAGGTTGCCGATGTTCAAGCCATAGTCGAAGTACACTTTGAATCTAGGTAGGTCTCGCTCAAACGGACCAATTCCTAGGTAGGTCAAGGAACAACTGGCTTGCATCTCGTCAGGCCGATCTCTGACTTTTGGGTCACTGGTGTTCCAACTGCACCATGTCTCTTGCTTCGTTTCAATAGCGCACAGAAAGGCTTCCAGGAGGATGATCAAAGCATCTCTGATTGGGTGGGCCGGGACGGTATCGGTTCGTCGGCCTTGATCAACACTGGTTTGTGGTTCTTGTCCGTCGTTGGTTTGTCGCTCTTGTCCGTCGCTGGTTTTTCGTCCTTGTTCATAGAGAAGTTTGAGGATGTCAACTAGTGGTTCACGACACTTTTCCAGGTTGTCAACGTCTTCTCTCGTTCGAATCGCCTTGCAATCGAAGATGACTTCTGCTAGGTAAGGTGGCTGTACTGGTTGCTGTATAGCATGCTTGAGCTTCCGCAGGTCCTTCTTNTTGGGCTTGATGGTAAGGGATGTGAAGGCCGAGCTATCGAAGAAGTCTTTGGTTACAGGGACATGGAACATTTCCTCTCTAGAGACAACTGCGTGGAGGTCTCCACATGCTTTCCTCCACTCGGACGTGGATGATGATGAATTTGCCGAGTATAGAGCGAGATCGGTCGGAGGGGTCCATGTCGGGGTGTCGTTGATCCAATTGCGTTCTTCTTGAGTTTGTAAAGTCGAATCGCTGTCTGAGTTCGAAGGGCTGCGGCCCTCAGAGAGCGTTTTGCTCGAAATCTCTGCTTCAATTTCATCATCCTCGGGTGGATCTTCGCGTACAACAATGTCCCGAAGATTCTTTACGATGTCTGAGACGATTGCGGCGCGTTCGTTTAAAAGCTGCTGGGTATCCATGATGATGAAATGTCTTTCTGATGATTGCAGTGTTATGTTGTGACGGTGGATCGGGGAAAGTGAAGAAGCCACTGATATCGAGACGCCCCTGCATCTTTGGCGACTTCCCTGTATGCTCAAGCCTGCGAGAATGTAGCTGATGAAAGGCACAATATCTCCGTAAAGAAGGTAATCTCTACAGAGATAGGTTCATACCAGCCTGTCTCAATGGTCAGACTCGGATTCAGAAAACAATTGTGCATTTCAATAGCTGATAATATCACATCACCTCAGGATGGGGAGAGGGTCATCCGTGAAGTTGATAATCTCTGGCATATAGATCGTTACTATCTCATGCGATCTCCATGGACATAGTTATGTTTGGAGAACAATTGCGTATCTTGATGGTCCAAACCACCCCATCACCTCAGGAGGGAGAGGTAATCACCCGCGAGATTATGGCAGTCAAGCACATGTGAAAGTCATGTACACTAGATCGTCATCATCTTACTGTCGAATTCATCTCCCAGAGCGAAGTATAGTGAGCTCATGAGCTATCGAAATGCATAGTTGCTTTTCAATGCTAGTGCCCTCAACGTACAGTCAGAATCTGCTGGCTGTTGGGGTGGTACGCCAGCTCTTAGACAGACCAACAGGGTTGTCATGAGGAGACTGGGTATTCGAAGGACGTGATCTGGCAGAGGAGAGATTTTGAAGGGTAGTGGACAGATCTGTGAAGGGCTTTGGATGTGTGGCGAGGATTGGGAGGGTTACCTCAAAAGATCTTCCCATTATTGGCAACCACAAAGCTTCACTAGCTGCAATGCGCATTCCCCTTTTTTTCAACATAGTGGGTATCAAACACAAAAGAGCGTCTAAGGAACAACAAGAAAGTCACTCTGTGGCGCTTCATGTCCTTTCTGCTCTTCCTGTCAACCATAAGCCAGACTGGGCCATGGACGATCTTTGCGAACCATCCAACGACCTCTGCCAACCGACTCAGCGTCAGACCGTGCTTGAGTCTATCGAAAACACTGCCACAGATTTTTGGATCAAGGAACAACGAGACATCCAGGAAAGCTAGGGTAGGCCTACCAACTGAACTCCGATACGGGAGTAGCACAAGCACAGATCTTACAGCCATATGTCTTGGTCACTCCAGTCCGGGGGTCCGCTCCGGGTGCAGGTGGAAGGAACGGTGAAGGATGAGGAGCCGCCAACAACGAGATGCAGAAGACGGCAGGTGTAACAGACGCAGCCAATAGCCGCATCAGCAGTCGTTCAATCCATCCTCATCTCGTGGAGTCTCTGACAAGAAGAGTAAGCACACCAAGACCGCTCACTCCCAGGAAGACCTTGAGCAGCTCAAAGATGCTTACGATGAGACCGCTCCAGCCAAACACAACAAATGCGATTCTGAAGAGTCTTCTATTCTTAAGGATCATTACGCCATGAGCGATAGATCCACTAAGATCGTGCAAATTGAAGTGTCTCCCACAGCGAAGCATAATGAAAACATAAGCTGTCAGAATACACAGTCGCTTTTCTCACACGCGAAGTTGCCATAAAAATATCCAGATGTGATGTCTCTCCGTGGACAAAGCTTCTCTTCAGGAAATATCGTGCATGTCTACAGCCGACTGTGACACTTTTCGGCACACGGGATGGTGGTTGAAAACGACAGAGCTAGAGCAACAGGTGATGCATCCAGGGCAAAATCCACTGCAATCTGAAATTATCGAAGCTGTTTTACGCCTTGACAGTAAAGCCTTGCAGATCGATACATGCGGCTGACTGCTCCAGCCGAGACTTGTATTGGGCACGTGTTGCTTGTGGAAACACAGCATTGATTATCGAGTTGTATCCGACACATGGATCTGTCTACTTTAGAGCTTCGAGTCATTGTCCTTGTTGTGACGGTAATCGTAATGCCAATCTCCTCTTGCCAGATCGGCTCTGACTTGATAGTTCTCCTCTGCGTCCTCGACAATTTGCATATCCAAATCGACAACAGCCATGCCTTCTGCACAACTTCCCAAGCGAACTATGGGGCCCACATAAGGTGCGCACACTTGTGACAAGCCAGCATAGCCTTTGCCTGGCGGACCTCCAGCGTTTGCAAACACAATAGCGCAAGTGTTCTCGAAGCAGCGTGCGGTAAGCATAGAGTCCAGGAAAGTTGCTTCGGCGGTAGGATTCCTGGCCAATCCAGCAGGAGAGCAGTCGTTAAGCGTCCAGAACGTAGGGATGATGAATAGCTTCGCTCCTTGAGCGATCATCTCACGGAAAGCCTCAGGGAAGGCTAGATCCCAGCAAACCAGCATACCGACTTTTCCGAAGGGAGTGTCGAAGACTGGGTGAGGGTCACGCGATGAACTCGTAAGGTGCAAGCGTTCAATATCACCCCAGAGATTCTTCTTGACGTATTTTCCAAGGATCTCTCCAGAGGAGGAGATGAAGTAAGCAACATTGAGAAGACGCTCACTGTTGGTATCGTCTTCGGTGAGGATGCCAGTACTGTCATGCTCGGCATCGGTGTGCAATTCTACAATAGTACCAGGTACAATGCAGATGTTGCATTCTTTGGCCAGCGCTTGGTACTTCTCAAGGTATTCTTTCCAGCTCGCGCACGATTCTTTGAACTTCGGATCGTGCGGAAGCCAGTTTGTCAGATGATATTCAGGTAGGACTGCCAACTCGGCACCTTGTTGAGCTGCAGATCTGATGAAGTTGGCTGCTTTCTGGAAGTTGTCTTCGACGTGCAAGGGCTTGATCAAATTAGCAGGTCGAGTCTGCTACCGCTGATAGTGCTTGTACCTTGGGNNATGCAGCTGAATGATTGCGATCTTGTGAGTGGGAGCCATGGTTTGTTCAGAAACGATAGTTGAGATGTAGCTGTATGAAACGGAATTATGACAGGTATGGTGGAACACGTATCCAAAAATCTTTACAAAAGCCAGGGGACACGAGGTTTTATAATGTTGTGAGCAAGAACAGATGATGATGGAATGGCGGAGGATCAGGAAGTGGATGCCCCGCCAAAAATAGTGGGGTTTATTGCTGTAAATTACAGCCTTGTTCACCCAGACTGGCTAGCTTGGACAGTCATTAGCGAGCAAAAGTTGCACGAAGCCAGAACTTGTCGTCGTCGCGCGCAAGAGCAATTGGAGGTTGATACAGCACCGCAGCACACAGCATACCGTCAAGATGAGCGTGCGCAACATCGAAGCCACATACCAGCAGGGAGCGCCCGCGCGCGTTGTTCAGGATGACTCGGACGTCGAGGAGGAGGCTCTTGCCAACGACTACAAGGAGCAGGTTCAATACGGCGACGACGATGAACTCGAGAGAGTCGCTTCAAGCGGTCCTCAGGATCTCCAGGCTCAGCTCGCCGCCGCTGCCCAGCCTCTCGAATACGGTGCCACCCTCGAGACCAAGATTGCCAGCTACGACAGCTACTGCAACCTGTTCCACTTCATCCTCAACTCTGACGGCCCCGTCGACCTCGAGGTCCCCAACGTGTGTCACCACCATACAACTGAAGATGTTGCAATCAGAAAAGAAGACTGACCATACGTAGNNTACTACTGGGCCTGGGAGGTGATTGACGAGTTCATTTACCAGTTCAACAGCTTCTGCGCCTACCGCCAGAAGGTTGCCCTCAAGCAGGACAACGACGAGGATGCTCAGATCCTCCGCGAGAACCCCAACACCTGGGGATGCTACTCGGTTCTCAACGTTCTGTACTCGCTTATCCAGCGTAGTCAGATTCAGGAGCAGCTCGAGGCTCGCAAGCGTGGTGAGGACCCCGCCGCCTACGCCGGCGAGTACGGCAACCGCCCTCTCTACCAGATGCTCGGATACTTCTCGCTCATCGGTCTCCTCCGCGTCCACTGCTTGCTCGGTGACTTTAGCATGGCCCTCAAGACTCTGGACAACATTGAGCTTAACAAGAAATCCATGTTCGCCCGTGTCATGGCCGCCCAGTTCAGCACCTACTACTACGTCGGTTTCTCTTACATGATGATGCACCGCTACACCGACGCCATCCGCATGTTCACTCACATCCTCATCTACATTTCGCGCACAAAGAACTTCCAGAAGAACGCTCAATACGATAGCATCGCAAAGAAGAGTGACCAGATGTACGCTCTTGTCGCCATTTGCGTTGCCCTCAACCCCACTCGTCTCGACGACACTGTCCACTCTGCCCTCCGTGAGAAGTACGGTGAGCAGTTTGCTCGCATGCAGCTCGGTGGCCCCGAGTCGCTCCCCATCTTTGAGGATCTCTTCCGTCAGGCCTGCCCCAGATTCATCTCTCCCACTCCTCCGGACTTCGAGAACCCTTCGGTTAACGTTGACCCTATCGAGCACCACCTTTCCATCTTCATGGAGGAGGTCAAGAACAACATGTGGAGCCCTACTGTCCGTTCTTACCTCAAGCTCTACACCACAATGGACATCAAGAAGTTGGCTGGTTTCCTCGAGATTGATGCCGAGACTTTGAGAGGATGGTTGTTGGTCAACAAGCAGAGAAGCAAGCAGGTTAGACACACCGAGGGTGGTCTGCTTGACGGCGATGTTGTCACCACCAACGACCTTGACTACGCCATGCAGGGAGTAAGTAACATGAAAATGTGGTTGTATAACAAATGCTAACATGAATGTTTAGNNGATTTGATCCACGTTTCGGAAGCCAAGGTTGGCCGCAGATTGGTGGACTGGTACCTCCGTAACCTGTCGAGAACCTACTAAGCAAAGCACGGATTGTCAAGACGACAGATACACTCGAAATACAGGGTCACGGATGACTCAAACAAGGAGGCTGCACACGAGACGAAGAAGAAAAGCAGCGACGCCCGTCCAGAACGAAGCAGGAAGGCAATGTATTGGGAAAGTGTTGCTCGAATGAGCATAGGCGTTGCGGATTAAAGAAGGACGGGCGGACATGGTGGATCATGAACTCTCCCGACAGGCGAGGACAAAAGCATGTTTTTGCGATGTTTGATGAGCAGAAGAGATGCAGCATAGGAATGCATGGATAGCGGCAACGAATCTACAATTACTCTATCACATGTCAAACAGTCATCGAGTCTTGGCGTTGTGTATACCCAAGTCCAAGTCGGGCTCCGTCCTGTCGGGTCCGACGCATTCAAGTTTTGTTCTGATCGTCAGGAGAAGTTGTTTGATAACCATTTCAGACATACAACATGACGACCAACGGCAACCTGAGTCCGTCGCTAAGACGAGGTTCATCCAACATGTCGTCGCGCCGCCCTTCTCACGGAGCTGAAGGTCCTACCATCTTGAGCACCGCAGGCGCAAACATGCCCATGCGACACCCCCGTCCCTTGACGGCGGCTGAACTGCACCTCGAGCTCGAGAAGGAGCAGGAAGCTGTCGTATGTTTTCTTCTTTCGTCCTCCCTATTCTCGCCTTCTAACACTCGATCCCAGGTCAACCGTCTCACACGCGAGCTTTCAGCACTTCGCGCCCAACACTCTGCCTCTGTCGCCAGTAACGCTTCGCAAACCAGCTCCAATCAAGCCCTAGACACTGGTCTCTCACATCCAACTCCCACACGTCAACACCGTTCTTCGTCGACCGCTTCAAGCCGCAGCCTTAGCAATCCCTCGGCCAGTTCGAGTCACGTCAACATTCAACATCCTCAACCCACTGCTCCTCTTGCCGGCGTCTCGCAAGCCTCCTTTGACCGCGCCGCTGCAGCAGCAGGCTCTACAACCACCTCATCCATCAGCCGTAACCCTTCCATCCGCAGCACTTCAGGTCACTCGACACCAGCTCTCGCTCCAGCATCCGCTACATCCATCCCTCACCGTCCTTCTTTGTCGCAAGCCGCCAGCGCAATCTCCACAGCTGGCTCCTTCACACCAGGTCCAGTCTCGCCATACACATCGACTTCCAGCACTGCCGAGATTGCTTCTTCGCGCGCTGAGCTCGAGCTCGTCAAACAAGAGAATGAAGCCCTCCGCCAGCGCGTCAAGGCTCTTGAACGCGCTCTCCGCAGTCGCAGAAACAGTGTCACTTCTGAAGCTAGTGTCAACACAAATAACCCCAACCCTCGCATCGAAGCTGCTACTGTCTCGCGTCCCAGTGTCAGTGCTTGGGCAGCAAACATGGCGGGCATGACTAGTGTCGCTGGACCTAGAGAAAGAAGTGAAAGTCAGAGTACTACTGCAAGCAGAAGACCTGAGGGCTTGGAAAGAGAGGACTCTATTCGTGTGGGAGAGAGTGCTGCCAATGTGGGCTTGGGCTTAAAGTAGGAGTTCGAGCCTAAGATGAAGTGGCAGAGATGGTACTCGTAGGTTTTCCGTCTGGTACGGAATCTTCGAAGGATAAGAAGACAATTGGACAACACATTTTCCGGAGGGATCGCATTATCAGGTTGGGCTGGAGGGAACAGGGATTTGTTCTTAGCAGGGCGTTATCAAAGGGAGTTCGAAGGTTAGTTCTTTTCTTCGGAAACCATCATCATGCATGGCAGTTTTTGCTGCAATCAAAGATTATTAAACTTCTCATATTATCGTGTACCCTCTATCAGTCTCCACTGAGCAAGATACAAGTGGCTCTTCCTTGCCTGTCTCAACATCATGATATAGCACCATGCCCCGATTGACATCCACATATCAAATCGTTGTCATCGTTGCACCACAAGATGCAGCTCTCCAGATTATCACTCTTCACCTTGCTATAAATTCTTCTTGGAGCACTATGTATGACTTACCGATTGACCAGCACACCGCAACAGATCTTCTTTGACCAGCACACCGAAACAAATCGTCTTTGACCAGCACACCGCAACAGATCTTCTATAGGACGAAGTGGGTTGTAGCACCGTCAAGGCAAGGAGACAGGTCTGTGACACGGAAGTCCTCCTTGGGAGTCTCGGATGGGATCATGAGTACATGCTGACGTGCTTGCTGCTGATTTACAACTAAGATGATGGATTCTTGCGATCTTGGACAAAGAGTCGGGATGACTCGCTCTCTTGTGACAAACCTTTGCATCACATCATAGATGTGAAAGATATGGGCAGGCCACTTCTGCCGATGCATCATGTTTCGTCCACGCTACGCCAATCTCAACAAACTGCGGCACAGTACTCTGTAGTCCTTAGCAACAGAGCATCAACAACCAGAAGCAGAAGGGGGAACGAGGTCCATAACCCCTCCCCTATCTCTCCAGGGTTGTTCGCGATCGGGAATCCGTTCAAAAGTACACACTTGCATAGAGAACATGGGAGACTTTATCTGCATTATAAACCTGGTCTTCTAAGTTCTTCTGTATTGAGTGTCCGGTCCTCCGCAAAGTACCTTGAGGGACAGTGTGAGTAGACAGTCGCCCAGCGTGGCTAACAGTTGCGTGGCAGGGCCTGACTGAGACGCCACGAGAACCAAACTCATGCCAGAAGCGAGGACGAGAGTGGCGGTGACGAGGAGGGCAAGGATAGAACGACGAGGCAGCTGCTGGGCAAGTGGAGGGTGGCAAGTACAGAAATCGGCTGTCATAAGAAGAACTGTAATGACAAAGCAAAACACGAGAATAGAGACAATGAAGAAGGAAGAACAAGCAATGGACGCAGCTCTGATCATGCGCAGATGGACACCTGTTGCTCGCAATCGCCAGGGACTGATAAGAAAGATGTGGATGGCTGTAGTGTAAACGTGCTGCAAGACAAAGGCAGCTGTAGCGTCGTTGGGACGCTACTCGGCCGGCCAGTTCATGAGATCGTCAAAGTTGTCAAGGCGACCTAGGCTGTCAAGGTGGTTGACAAGCTCATCGTCCAGTCCGCAACCGTAGCTCAACATCGAACTTTCAAGCATGAGATTAGGGCCGTAGCTGAGCTGTTGAAAGTTCACGTATCTCGAAGGTGGACTAGGGATCGGACTCGAAGACTCTTGCTCCTCTACTGCTCTAGAGACAGAAGGGGGTTGAGGTGTAGGTTGATTAGCGACAGACTGCTTATTAGTATGGTCGGTTGTGGTGATGCTTGTAGCTTTGTAGGTGGTGCCATTTGTTTGAGAACCATGTTGTACCTTCTCTTCAGCATTGGTCTGCGAGCTGCTTAATGTGTCCATCTGGGTAGAAGATCTAAGAAGAGAGCGGATATCAGGGGTGGTGGTAGACTGCTAAATGTTTGGATGGGTTATTGATTGTACGCCTGGGCTAAGTTTGCACTGCCACTAGCACCATTTGTGGAATTTGTGTTGTTCCATGGTACAGGTCCTAGGATAGTAGGAGTTTCATTTATGATCGTCGTAGCGAGTCTTCGAGCCATTTGTTTGATTGTATCGGGTTTGAAACTGTTTTGGAAACAGAATTTGCGCTGGAGGCAACCGGTATGAAGCGAGTGCTTGAGCTCCTCCATAGCTTCCTTCGAATCTAACCATGTCTTGACCTAGGGGGGAGGAGGCGTAAGTTCCTTTACAAGAGATTTGTGAATTTTGCCTACTTGCATATTAAGTAAAAGAGATGAGACTGTCTGGAAAGAGGATGTACCTTGTAGACAGCGGCGGCCAGTGTCGGCGATTTCAATTAGTCTGGTCATCCTTGATGTTTATGGGAAAGAAGCTGCTTTTCGCTAACGAGATGGTAACCGATTATCTCTGCGAGTCCATGAGGTGTGCGAACGATGATACCAGCATCTCTTTCTCAGCGGAGGAGGAGTTCTGTATTGCTCCAAGACTCCGGCGGTGCGCATCGTATTTTTTTACATTGTCCTCGCAGACGTCTCAATGTCGCTTCTTCATCTTGGCTCTGTGATGTACGGCGGTTGAATTGGCGTGATAGAGGAGCATGGTTGACTTGTTCTAATAAGGCTGCGCTGTTTGGAGATTCAAACTACCAAGTGTAAGCATTCTAATAGTGGAAGAAGCAGGGCAGAGCAATGCAATGGGTGATCGTTAGAAGGCAGTCACAGCCATTTCTGTGATACCTAGATTTTCTTTGGCAAGAGCCATGTAGCAGGGGTTGGCACCTTCCGCTGCAAGCGATTCCGAGGTTGAATGTTATTGACGACGCACATGGTCCGTCACACTGCCTATGGTTAATAGTAGATAGCTGTATGTCTGGTCGAATGCAGAGCGCGGCTTCTGACTACCTGTTATATCATGTTGCTTCTAGAGGAAAGAACAAAGGGACGAGGCAGATGATGAGGCGAACGATCCATATCTTCGTCTTTCCATATTGGCTGCTTCTGTCGTCTTGCAAGCAATGACTTGTCAAACGAAGCTTTTGCTCTCAGCACTTTCCCTATATTCGAGTGCTACTCCGATAAAAGCTCAAAGGAACCGGAAATGCTCCCCTAGGCTGGACCACGTTATGTATCAAGAGCTTGCGTCTGGTGATAACGGGGAATCAGTGCACTTGTGCTATGAGCTCGACGCTGTCAACCAACGGTCAGGCCGGTACTAGAGTCAAGATGATGGTTGTTCATTAACTGTCAGCGATGGAACCAAGAGAAGAAGCCATGAAACCACTAAAAGAACACTTGTCATGCCCATAACAAGCGCAAAAGAGCACAACCAACCAATGCTCCGTCACGGAGTATCTCCATACAGAAGCCGTATCTGAACCAGACAGCACTGAGAATACGGCAGTTGGTGTGAGCGTGACTTGCACAGGATCTCTGCTCATATCGCCATTCGCTTGTGTATATACACAGACATAGTACAAAAGCTGCATGCATCGTCGTCAACGAGACTCGGTGTGGTTCTCAAGCACTGTCTGCGATGATATGAGACTCAAAAAGCTATATGTCGATAGCTTTGACATATGAATTGATGTCTGGGTTCGAACGCAAAAGAGCAAAAGGAATGGAAGAGGGCTGAAGAGCATGACGGCGCTCGGTAGATGATACACCGACTTCCCCGCATTCTAACCCCACTTACACAAAGCTTTATGCTGAGATATGCAGGCTTCACTTGCATAACCAAAAAAAATCTCCTTACCGAATATTGGCTCCCTGACCTCAACCACTATCTCTTCCGTTTGATTGGCAAAGGAATGCCCCCTGACGGAGTCGAACCGGCGACCTCGGCATTACTAGTGCCGCGCTCTACCAACTGAGCTAAAGGGGCTTGTTGAAGGATGATCTGCTCAGTATCAATACATCCATTGATACGTCGCTAGTGGCACTGTAGCACACGAACAAGCACAACACCCTCCTTCGAACATCAGCGTCAGATGGTTAAAGAATAGGTCTGGTAGTTCTCTTACTAGGAGCACTCTCTGCTGTGTATCCAGAAATAACCATTGATTGTGCCGTGCTCTCTAGCCTACGCCTCATATCTCTTGATGCTTGATCAAAGCCCATACATCACCACCTACACACAGTGTGGAACCAACTCTATCAGGCAGCCACAGCAACACAACTCCTCTCTCGCAACTTGATAGCCTAAGTGCCGCAGTACCTCTTGAGGTGGGCAGTCTTGGATCCCAGTATGGAAGCAATGATATCTCGGCGCCAGGACTTCGTGGTCATGCTTGAGAAAGACAATAGCAAGCCTCTGTCTTTGACACCTTCATTGTCCTGAGGCCCAACTATCGTAGGCTTGCCATGAAACCTTCATCCTCGCAAGGGCGTGGGCCAGGCTTTGAGCGGAGATGAGCTATCTCCAGAGAACCATAGCAGAACCATCGAAACCCTGAGATTGACAGAAGGTCCCACGACGTTATGCTCAAAGTAGAATCTCGGGCTGCGACTGACGGTAGGCGAACCCATTGGTACAGCGAGGTAAGCATGGAGCATCATGTTCGATGTCCTGGCTAGTGGAAATGTACAACGCAGAGCACATTGATCTTGAGGCGAGTGCCAGAATCCAGAGAAGATTTGGATTTGTCGATGGTGGATATCGAAGCTGGATGATTGCGAGTTGATGAGAAACTCGGTTGAGTAATGGTTGACAGTGATAGGGTGCGTCGTCGAGTTAGCCCAAGATGAAAGTGTTGATCGCAAGAGTGCGAGCTGACGGCAATCGAGGTGTTCGTGAAAGTCCAAAGAAGGCATACGCTTCATCCAGCGACACCATCCTCCTTCTTGACTTCAGGTTGTTGTGCTTGAAGCTGCCCGTCTTCTTTCTTCTCTTCTCCCTCTTTCACCCAGCCCCACGCCGGCACATCAGCAGCAGGGCCCAGATTAGGGTCCTTTTCATAACTCTCATTTGACTTCTTTAACATGTCCTGCATTCCATCGCTCTCCCACTCCCGCCTGAGATCCTGAACTCCAGTGACGGCTCCGATGGCGGCCTTCTTCAGTCCAGCAAACGCAGCGGGTTTTGTGGTGGCGGGTCGTGTGAGTGGAGAGATGATGCTCGGGATAGTCGTTCGTAGTGCGGTCAGCTGCGTTGGCTGTTAGTGTGTTGTGTGTTTGGGTGGGTGGAGAGAGGATACCTTATCGGTGAGGGCTTCCAGTCGTGCAAGGGCTGCTTCGTACTGTGCTTCTGTCCATGGTTCCTTCATTCTAGTCGCTTGACCACTTCTGCGATCGACTTCTGCGCGATGCGACAGTGAGGTGTATTCGATGGAAGGTCAAGTTAATGGGAGGGTTGTGGAATGACTGCCTTCATGAACTTGTGGTCCAAGCGCTGCTTTCACATGTCAAGCTTCTTTGACAGGCAGGCGAAGGGCGACCTATGTTCAAAAGATCAAAGAGAACCAAGTTCTGTAGAAGAAGCAATCATAATGACTTGCTAATACTGGTTCTACAGAGTTGTACGATATAGCGGATACACTTCAGAAGGGCATGTACTATCGATCATGCAAGAATGGAAAGCTCGCACGAGGACAGAAGCGCATTATGTTTGTGGATGATGGTGCCTCAAATCACCATGTGAATAAGTAATACTTAGGTATAATGCTGGCCGAGAAGCAAAGGTTATCTCCTTTGCATAGCCCAAAGCTCTAAGAAGTCAAGTGTGGTCATGCGTGCTGCTGCAACCACTCAAGTAATAATCGAATATTCTCAGGCTCATGTGGTTCCTATCCGCGGTAGCGACCACCACCGCGACCTCCTCCACCTCTACGAGGGTTTCCGCGCATCATGTCATCCGAGTACATACGACCCTCATCCTGGTACCTGGGACGGCGATCATCATAGCGCGGCTCGTTATAGCGTTGCTCGTTGAAGCCATATCTTCCATCTTGATAGTCCGGTTCCGCATGGCGGTTACCGCGATCGTAGTCTTCGCGGTACGAAGCCCTACCATCGCGAGGCCGTGAGTTGTTGTATGCGGGATGGGGAGAAGGCTCGTGAGGTGGAAGAGGGCTGGGCTCGGTAGGGTATGATTGCTCGATCTCCATTGTGTCTTCGGCTCCTTGTTCTTGAGTAGGTTCAGGTTGAGTTATGACGACAGGAGAAGCGACGCGCGATGTAGTAGAGCGGATGGTTTGCGATGGGCCTCCCTCCTTAAGGTAGACGTACAAGATCCTTCCATCAGCCNNTGTGCTGGATTAGTGTGTGGAGTGAGTAGGCGTGGGTTCAAGACCAACCTTCTTGCCATTGAACATGTTGATAACATTGTCGGCACCAGCCTTGTCCAGGAACAGCATCTCTGCAATCACTGTAGGTGAGGCAGAGACCAACTTGCAGCCAGACAACTCACCACCAACTGGAGCCATGACACTCTCAATGTCGGCAGCTGTTGTACCTGGCGCAAAGTTGCTGGCGACGACACAATAAGGACCGGCAGCTCCACGAATTGTTATTTCGCTGTCGACAGTCGCAAAGGATCGTGGCTTGATGTTGAATGAGGCAGGTGTGGCCTGTTGTGCTGCTGATTGGTATGCTGCATCTCTTCTTGTGTCTGCACCTCCAGGTTGACGGTTGTTGCGATTCTTTTGAGCTCCACGGTTCTGTTGCTGTTTGCCGAGAGTCGGAAGTGATGCGGCTGAGGATGAGCGCNNTGCTAGAAGATTATTAGATGTTCCGTCTGTCTCTGGTATGTCTCAACAACGCGCCTTTGTGATGCCGACTCGACTGGCCAGACTTCCACCCACAGGCGTTTGCGATCTCTTGTTGTTGGAGTTGTTCTGAGGGGCACTTTGACGACGGTTCTTGCCAAAGATTTCTTGGGCGAGGTTCTCTGCTTTGCGCTTCTGACGATCTGTGTAGGCGACGTCAATTGCGTGTTCTGTTGATGGTGTAGCGCGCTACATGCCTGCTTTGATCATATCATCGAACGAGAGCGTCGGCTTTTCCTGTGGCTGTTTGTTCTTTGCCATGTTTGTGTGTGATTGTTACGCCTTGTCAGCGCAGCGACCTGGAAGAGTAAAAGTAAAATTAAAGGTGAGGTGGTAAGAATTCAAGAGCTATTGCTGTTGGTACATTGCAAACCGATCTTGCATGTGTCGCGTCGACTCCAGACGCCGGCGACCATCAAAAGCTCAGACCTGCATCATCATCATTGCATCTCTGCCCTCGGCTCCTACCGACATCGGATCACAGCTAGCCATCTCACTTATATTAATATCCTTGGTCCCAATGTGCATTTCTGTGAATCTCATGGTTTTCAATCTGCTTGACAGAACTTCAAAGACTGTGCCAATCCATCAATATGATTACCACAAGCATAGCAAGCTCTTGCTACATTCTGTCTCTGGGATCCGATCCATCATCCTCCCTGGCGGACCTCCTTCACATCCACTTCCGAGTGGGAAGTAGATGCTCTGGATGAAGTACAGCTTGCTACTGAGCCTTGTCTAGCATGGGTCTTCATACAACCCAAAGGCTTCACCCTCCGCACCTTGTGTCCATGTTTGTGACCTTTCTCCTTGTGATCCTTGACTCCACTCGTCTTCTTCGTTTTCACATGCTTTGCCTGCTCAGGTTGACGAGCTTCCTCGTCCTCGCTGTCTTCTTCTTCCCCAGACGAGTCATAGATCGCTTCTGCAGCAGCACCCTTTCCATCTGCAATACCCGCACTTGTGTTGGCAGAAGCAACATCCTTCTCCTCAACAACAAGACTATCCTTTCTCTGCTTTTTGTGCTCATCCTTGAGAACTTCTTGCTTCCCTTGTTGCTCCTTCCCTTGCAGTTGCTCTTGCTTCAGCCTTTCCTTCCTCTCCTCCTCGAGTTGAAACTTTTGCATCATGACTCGTTCCTTCCAAGCATGTTCCTGCAACATCTGCCACCATTTCTCGCGTCGGAGGTTTAGTTGGAATGTGCTGGTACCCTCGGCGCATGGGACACCGAGAGGAGGGTATTTGCGGTAGGGATTCCTGACGTTGAGGTTGTTGTTCATGTTGTATAGCATGTCGGCTTCATTGCTTAGTCGCGGTAGTGGCTCGTTGTATTGGAATGGATTGCCGTGCGCCATTACAGGGTATCGTGTCTTGTTGTATGAGCTTTGTCAGGTCTTGAGGTTTTCCGATCGACGAGATGGTAGAATGTTTGATCGACGCTTGCTTGCTTGCGATGGACCTCGATGTTTGAGCTGTTGCTTGAGGCTTTGGGATACGAGACTATGTGCGGATGGGTTCGTTGAAAGAGACGTGGAGGAAGTAGAATAGATGCAAGATATACCACACAGGAAGCAAAAGAACGAGAACGAGCGGCATCCCGAACCGCCTCCCCGTTCACAGCCAAGAGCTATGTGCATACCAACGAGGGAATATGCTCAGCTTTGGCTCAGGTGAGTCGTCAGGATGACATATCTTGCCTCGTGGTAACCACATGGTGAAGCTGGCGGCAACCCACTCAGCGTCCTCAGCTTTGAGCAAGATTTCCAAAGCTTGCTCGAACGAGGAAAATGACTCTAGGAAAGTTTAGAGTCAAGACCTTGATACATGCGTGAGTTGCAAAATCTTGAATCTAGATGTGTTGGCAGGAGTCGATGGGTAGAGTCAAGTTTCTGATTCATACACTAGCTACCGTCTGTGTAGCAGATTACCATCTTGCTTTTGCACTTCAAGCAGCTTTGGCTTGCAACTCCTCGATGATTTGTCCGACTTCAAGGACCAAGGCATCATCACCAAATTGTCCGATTACCTGCATGCCAACAAAGTCAACATCATCTGCCTCCTTTGCACCACCCTGAAGCTTGACAGGCACGCTCAGAGCTGGCAGCCCAGCCAGACTCGCAGGCACCGTCAACACATCGTTCATGTACATCTCAACCGGGCTCAGCTTCTCCATTTCGGCCAGCGTTGGTGGTAACGTCGGAGCTGTTGGCGCGATTAGAACATCTACATTGGCTGTATCGCTCGAGTTCTCGGCTTGTGCATCCAGCAGCGGATTCTGTTGGGCAAACACATTGTCAAAGTCCATTTGCACCAATCTGCGCACTCGCTGCGCTTGGACAAAGTAATTGTCCATCGCTTCCGAGCTCAGCGTGTAAGCACCTAGAAGGATACGACGTTGAACCTCGGGACCAAATCCTTCACCTCTGGTGGCGGCGAATAATGGAAGGTTATCTTTAGGATTGGCATCAGGACCTGAGGTACGATGACCATAGCGTACACCATCGTACTTTGCAAGATTGGACGAAGCCTCTGCAGGTGCCAAAACGTAGTAGGCCGAAAGTGCTTGATGGGTCGAAGGTAGCGAGACTGGATGAAGTGAGTGTCCAACATCTTGCAGGGATCTCAAGAGCCGAGACCAGGTTTGTCGGACTTCGGATGATAGTGAAGCAGTGTTGTATTCCACTGGGATGCCAATACGCAATTTCCTGTCCGAAGACCAATCGGTAGTTTGACCTGCAATCCTCTTACGGACTGTTTGTGACAAGCTCGTAGGATCCATATGATCGATTTCGTCCAGCTTGTTGAAGATTTCTCGCGCATGCTCAACCTTCTGAGTCAGTGTACCAACAGTATCAAGTGAATTAGCATAGGCAATGACACCCCATCGACTCAATCGGCCGTAGCTAGGCTTGAAACCAACAGTACCAGTGTATGCAGCAGGAAGTCTGACCGAACCTCCAGTATCTGTTCCGAGAGCAGCCCATGCCTGAGCCGTTGCGACTGCTACCGCACTTCCTCCACTGCTTCCACCAGCCGAAAGAGGCTCTCCATTACGCGTGTACGGGCTTTTTGTAGCTGATGTGAAGACTGGCCGAGTGTGTGATCCCATTCCAAACTCATCCAGATTGGTTTTTCCACATACTAGAGCACCAGCCGATACGAGTTTGTCGACTACAGTTGCATTGTACGGCGACTTGTATGCGTCAAGAATCTTTGAAGATGCCGTGGTCGGGTAGTCTTTCGTGACGATGTTGTCCTTGACAGCGATTGTCCTTCCGGCGAGTNNGTTGACTTTGTCGAGTCTGTCCCTGTCAATGTCTTTCTTGGATGTGACGGACGGAATAGAATACATACCACCAGATTCGCTGTCAACTATCGCACGAGCTGCATCCTGTATTTGTGTCGCATTGGCACGGGTGACAAAAGCATTGAGTCCGCAATGTCTTGCTTGTCGCTCAAGGCATTGTTGCACTCTTTGCAGCGCGCTGCCGCTCATCTCTCATGTTCCTCGTGAAATTGTCGCGATGCTCATCATCCATGACTTTCGGAGGTTTGCTTCGCCGACGGAGTTAGCGACTCAGGGTCTCGACTGCAGCCCTGTGCACGAGTCGGGCGTCAACGCCAAGATTCCGCGTCAAATCGTCCACCAAATCTTCAAAGGCCACCAAAAGTCCAAAAAGATCTCGAATCACAACTCTGACCTGATGTGCATATATTCGAGAGCAAAAGAACGTATCGAGCATGAGACTGTGCAAAGAGAAGCTCCACGTGGGGCTCGAACCCACAGCCTCAAGATCTCAGTTCATCGAAGAGATGATTAGAAGTCTTGCGCGCTACCATTGCGCCAGCAGAGCTGGTTGTTGAGAGCTGAAGCGTTTTTGACAATTATAGAGTATAACTAACCAGCACTTAGCAGACATCTCTGTACGAGGTTGCTGACCACATACATCCTTCATATCATCATATAGTTGTGGATCATGGAGTTCATGGATCAGATAGTCGGTTTCCACTTGCCGCATCTGAGCATCTGTCGATTACGACAAATACAAATGTGACAGGTAAGTGTGTCATGCTCTGGGTAGTTTGTTGCTGGCATTTGTAGTCTGAGATACCGATCACCAAAGGTCAACCTTGTAAGTCAAGACCGGGCCAATTGCAACGAGATACTCTTCTAAACGGTTTGCTGTGCCCTTCCAATCATCTCAAATGTGCATCTAAACAAGTGCCTGCGGTTCTGGTGGATATCAACAGGCGATCAGTTTCCGTCAGGGTCCCTCCCGTAGCCACCTCATCTTCTCAAATTGAGCTGTGGCGTTGGACTGACTCTGCAAAGCAAGGGATGGATGAAAAGATAGAAACAAATCTTGCAAGACGCTCGCGACAAAGGCACAGGTCACATACAAGAAGGAAGATAACAAGCTAAAGACAAGGAAGTATTGATTGCACAAGCCTAGAAACCCTAAGTGAAATGCCCCCAAACATGGTAAGCCTGAAGCAGAAAGAAACGAATAAAGCAGTAGAAAACACCATCAACGCCCTTTTGTACAGAGACGTCAATCTCTCCGTCTTCTTTCATGTCATCCTTCTTCAAAGTCTTATAGTCTGTCGAACGTGGAGAGAACAAGCAGGGTTGCGACAGACGGAGTGTCGATCGGATCCCGTCAGGGCGGGCGATTTCGACAGTTTGAACAGAAATGGAAGAAGCTCTTTTGGGTATCTTTCTCGACTGGGAGCACACCGGAAAACTCGTATAGTTGCAACAAACCGCCGCCGCCGCCGACTTCTCTCGTCTCCTGTTGCAAGGAAGAGGTCTTGTGTACTTCTGTCTCCAGGTCCGCAATCCTGAGAATTGGCAGAGGCTTGAGTTTGGTGTAAGGAGTAACAAGTAGCTCTTCTCTTGAGTTTTCTCATTGACGACATGACGCATATGCAAGAAGGGAATCTTTTGAAGAAAGGACGAAAAAGGAATTTTTGGACATTAAGAAGAAGATGGAAACCCCAATGCGACGACATTAATCAGACTTTTATCTCATGCGTCTGTTGAGGCGGCCTCATCGATGGAAGGGGTCGCCTTAGAGACGGGCGGCGAACCAGCGTTTGATGGCGGTGATGCCACATCGTCAGCGCCTTCGTTCTCTTGGTTCTCAAGGGCGGCAAGTGCACTGCAAATGTTGTTAGTCTTGAACAAAAGATATGATGAAACAAAGAATATCACTCACCTGAAGGCGTTGACGTGTGTTGTCTCCTCCTTCTTCTGCTGTGAGGGGGTGCCGGATCTGGATGTAGGTCCGGAGCCCTCGCCATCTCTAGGAGGACCAAGACCCTTGCGACCACTACCGCTGCGCGAGCTGCTAAATAGCGAGCTGGGGCCGAGCTGAGGACCAAGACCAGCACTGGCTTGACGCTGCGAACCACGGGCCTGCAGACGACGAAGATCGTCCATACCGACCTGGTTGCGGGGGTAGTCTGGTGGAGGCATGCCGCCGTGTCCAGAGAATGAGCGGGCGTCACCACGGCCCATAGGAGCACGACCACCACGGTTGCTGTTGTTACGCTGTCTTTCGAGTTCGGCAGCGGCTTGTGCGGCCTCAGCCTCGGCGTGAATCTCCTCGATTGTCTTGGGACCCTTGTCAGCATCCCTGGACTTCCAGTTGCTCTTCCTAAGATCAATAATATCCNNTGCGAGTATGTTAGTTAAGGTTTGTTTTTCTTTGGTTCAGAAGCAACGTACCATGAGCATGAATCTTGATCTGCTAGGCATGTCCTTGTGTTGGTCAAGGATACTAGCAACACGTTGGTAATAAACATCGACAAGCTGGTGTCCCTGTTCGGTGCTGTCCATTGTGGCACCAACAGCCTTAAGAAGCTTAGACAAGTTCTCGACGGCGGACTCATCAGGCTGACCCTCAAAGTTCAACAATCTCAAAACACACTGGTGCATAATCTTGACTGTAAGCATGCCGAGCTTGTAAAGCTCACCAATGAACTGGATGAGACCGAGACCCTTTCTCTTGGCAGCAGCAGCAATGTAGTACTCGTCGGACAGAAGAGTAGCCTCCTTGCCCTCGGGCATGGGAGGAAGGTTGGCCTCCCAACCACGCTCGAACTCTTCTTGACAGCGGTTGAGCAAGTACTTTCTGAAAAGACCACCACCAACAACGGGCTGACCACTTCTGTCACGGATAGTTTCGTCAACAATCTCGTTGCTCATGCTGGTCAACATCTTTGAACAGAACTTGGCATATGTACCAGCCCAGTGAGCTTCATCACAAGCCTTCTCAAAGGTGAGCTGAATGACTTGGCGCAGGGTACGGCCGTCACTCTCCTTCTTCGACTGGTTGGCAATCTCGATGATCTGGTCAGAAATTCTCTCGAAGTTCTCGGGTGTCATCTTGTTCAAAGCAGCCTTGACCTTACGCTGGACCATGTCCGGAGGCATCTGACCGTCAGCAGGTGCAGCAGTAGCGGCGGCGGGTGCTCCAATACTGCGGGCAGTCCATCCACTTTGCGACTTCTCAAGAGGCTTGAGCTCCATGCCAGCAGTAAGGGGCATGTTCTTGGCAGCGTTGGCATCTTCTCTCTCGTGGTGACGAGAGGGGTTACCACGCTTGCTACCACCTCCTCTGCGAGAAGTATTAGTTCTAGGCGAACCAGGGCCACCCATACCAGCCATGGTCTGAAGAGAGTTGGTGCGGCTGAGAGAACCCTGACCAGGGAAAGCACCACCACGTCCCATGCCCATAGGGCCACCTCTTCCAGAAGAGGCGTTGAAGCGGTCGGCAGAAGTAGTGCCGGCGGGGAGGGTACGAGTGTTTCCACTAGCAAAGTTGCCCATGGCACTGAACTGGCTAGGGCCTCTGTTAGAGGGCTGGCGACCGCCCATGCTTGCACCACCACGGCTGTTCTGGCGACCGGAGCCTTCACCCTCACCGAGGGTCTCCTTGACTCTCAAGTCCCAGTCAACAGTAGGCTTCTCCTTGAAGATGCTCTGGAACTGGAGCAAGAAGTCCATGTCGTACTCCTTGCCAACACGCTTGCCAGTCTGGTTGAGAGCTGGGTTGGGAGACTTGAAGCCCTCGGGATAGCTGAATTGGTCGCTCTTGATCTCAAGGAAACGGGCAGACTTGAGCGATTGCATACCAGCAGTGGGCTGTGCAGGCTCGACGTTCTTGATGGTATCGAGCTTGAGGTTGGCGGGCTTGGACTTTGCAGGTGCAGGCTCGACGGGTGCAGAAACCTCCTCGGTAGCACCAGGGCCAAGAGTGGGCTTCTTCAGAGAGGCAAAGAGCTTTGCATCCTCGGCCTTCTGCTCATCGGTCTTCTCAGTGGATGCTTCACCCTCACGTTCCTTCTCCTTCTTGAGCTCAAGCTCCTCAGCCTCGCGCTCCAGACGCTTCATCTCTTCGTCAGCTTTGTCGGCGGCTTCCTTGTCCTTTGCGGCTTGGGCCTCCTTTTCCTTGGCCCTCTTCTCTTGGTAAGCGCGCTCACGCTCCTCCTCAAGACGTTCGGCCTCTTCCATCTCAGCAATTTCGCGCTCGATGCGCTCGTCTTCCTCACGCTTCAGGCGGGCAGCCTCGTCTTCATCGGACTTGGCCTTATCGGCAGCCTCCTTAGCGCTTGCCTCTTCGGCGGCCTTCTTGTCTGCCTCTTCCTTGTCCTTTGCAGCCTTGGCATCGGCTTCTTCTTGCTCCTTCTTAGCTTTGGCCTCTGCCTCTTCCTTCTCTTGTGCAGCCTTCTTCTCAGCATCGTCCTTGTCCTGGAGAGCCTTCTTATCGGCATCTTCCTTATCCTGGACGGCCTTCTTATCGGCGTCTTCCTTGTCCTGGACAGCCTTCTTCTCAGCCTCTTCCTTTGCGCGTTGAGCCTCGAGTTGACGCTTGACCTGCTCTTGGAAAGCAGTTTTGGTTTCAGCATCAGTCTTTGTACTCTTGCTCTCGGTGCGGTTGTGCTGAACGCTGGGAGTGCGAGGAGGAGGTGTGGGGGCGGATGAGACGATGGCGGGCGATTGGGGTGCAGGCGAGGGCTTCTTGTCGAAAGTCAACTCCTCACCCTTGTCGTTCTTGATGACAATGGCCTTGCTCTTAGTCTTGGTCGGAATCTGGAAGTTGGAGGACACGGGGGTAGGTGTGCCAGGAGCGGGAGTAGCTTGTGGGACGCCAGGGGCCGAGGAGGTAGGCTGACCGACGCTTGAACCGGGTCGTTCGGAGATCTGGGAGCCGCTACGAGACATAGGGTTGTGATAAGGAGAGTTCATGTGAGCAGGTGGTCCGCCGTAACTAGCGNNGGGTAAGGGTTGTTGGGACGGGGGCTAGGAGGAGCACCTTGTTGGTACTGTGCGCCCTGAGGATAGAAGGGCTGGTAGTAGNCCACTGTAAGCATCGTAAGGAGGTTGCATGCCGTACATGGCCTGCTGCTGAGGGTTGAGGTGCGGCTGGCCAGGGTACATTTGCTGGTTGTGCATAGCCTGGGGCATGAAAGGCTGTGCGTGTGCCATGGCGGGACTGCCGTTTCTGCCGCGGTAGGCGCCACCAGGCGAGGCGGCCATAGGGGCACCGTACTGGTTCATGCCAGCCTGGGGAGGCATGTTAGGGGGACCGCGTTGCTGGTAAGGCAACGGGCGGTGACTCTGAGCGGGCGAGTGAGGGTTGTAACCACCGGGAGTGAAACCGCGACCACGGCCATTGCCAGGCACAAAGTTGCTGCGCATACCGGCGTCGCTGTGTTGTGACTGTGTGGAAGGGCGGCGCATGTGAGCGGGCTGGCTGGAGGGAGTCAGAGGAGCTGCGCTGTTCTGTACGACATGGGTCAGCTGCGGTGCTACGTGGCTATGGATCGAGTCAAGACTGACTTCACCGTTCTCTGCGCCGAAGCTGCCGAAGTTGGGGGCATTGCTCTGGCCGGGGAGGTTGGCCGGAGGCTTGCCACCGCTGGCGGCGGGCTGAGGGATGGGCGAAGGTGAGTGCGAGGGGGAGATTATGTTTGGGTTGGCGGCAGCGAGGTTGGGGGTGGTCTGTTGGACGGGGACGCTGCTCGCGATGGCAGGAGAGCCGGTGGGGCCATTCATGGAGCCAAAGTTGATGTTTGGTCTCGAGGACTGCGTCTGAGGACCGCCGTTGGGGATCTGTCCGGTGGTGCCAGAGGCGCTGATAATCACTGAGGGCTTTCTGCCGTGGTCGCCATTCTGCATGTTGGATGGCTTGGACGATGATTGCGGAGCGTTGGTCTTCAGTTTGCTTGCATTCTGCGACTGCTGGGCGGCCGATGTCTTGTTGGCGATACTGGCGTAGGAAAGCTGCGCCTGCACAGCTTTTTGCTGTGTGTTTTGAGCTGCGGGAGCGGCCTGGGGCTGATTTTGCGCAGCGCTTGGAGTTTCGCTGGTCATTAGACTGGCGGGTGTGACTGTACAGTCGAGGGTGATGGAGGTCGACAGCGAAGGTGGTTGGAGATTTTGCCTGGCTCCCGTAAATTCGGAGAGGGACGTGCGTGAACGATTTCGTTCGTAAAAGACGCGCGCACCAAGTAAACTTGTCCACCAACTCTTCGTGATGCTGTGAGATGCGCCGATGCAATACACTCTATGCTGGCCACGGACGATTGAACTCCTGGTCGAGGAGAATCTGTGACAGACGGACAGCTATTAAGACAAGAAAGTGACTCTGTCTCGACGGCCGCGTTTGTTGTTCGGGTTGGGGAAAGCCGCACTGGGTTTTCGCACACGACACTACTTATCGAAAAGCTGTCGTTTGATGCTGATAACCACAAGAAGACGACAGTGATGTGTCTTCTTCTTCTAAAGCTTCGATTTCGAGTACTGTGTCAAGTATTGTCTTGAAGGGAGATGAGACCGTGAAAACAAAGGAATGCTCTGGATATCTATCTGGTTGGCTCCTTCTCCCGATTCCAGCTTCAAATCTACTCCGCGAAGTCACTCGAGCTCACTCTTTTGCCTTTTGACCACTCAGTGTAAACCTTGGCTCTTCTATGAGTCTTCACTTACATTTCTGACCCATCGTAACCAGCATTACTCAGACATAGTCTTGTCCTATTCGCTAGTCCTGCTAGCCTTCACTCATCCTGATGTGTGGAAGGGAGAATACATCTTTGGCTGCTGCACACTGCCGTCATTGACGGCATTTTTTTTCTTCAAGATTCATCACCGTTGTCCATGGCGAATCAGCTCTGAGCTTGGAAATCTTGCGGTCGTTGAGAACGCTGTGTCGAACGTGGCAAGTGGAAATCATCTCTGGAAGGAGACTCGATGTTGTCCATGGATCTCATGGTCCTGTCCTCTGCAAGCTTGGTACGTTTGTTCAATCTTGCCTTGCAAATCAAACAAGCGTCTTTCAACCATTCTCTCAAACGCTATGATTCGGTCGAATTGACACCATCAGCTTTCGCGCTGAATTTCTCCATGTTGATTCTGGCCGTTGATTTTCATGTGATCGGGCAACGGAGCTTCGCTCAGATGTTCTGACATCTGATTCGCTGGCGAGCTTCATCTTGAGCGTGACTCTTTCCAGCATAACATCGCTGCTCGTATTCCTGGATGTAGGATTGAACCGACTGGCCTCGATCATGTTGAGGCGTTTTTCCTGATGCTAAATCATCACAGTCTTGCTTGGGCACCATTTGTTGCGATCGATGGTTTTCTTCCAATGCAGTTTGCCGCGGAAGTTTGCATGTCAAACAGTCCATCAAACGGCTGTTTAGTGTGACCCTGACACAGCAAGCGCGTTCGACAATGTCGAGCCCTTTCAATCATCTGCACATGCCGTCGACACTGATGGCAAGATGAATATCGAGACATCGAGACATCGGAGAGACATTTGACTGGTGTAACCGATCAGAATATTCCTATGCGTGCTGTTCAAGTGCGAATCTGGCATGTCGACTGCGAAAAGTCAAATTCTCCATGCCTCGAAGAATTTGCACTGTTATGGTCAGGACGTTCGACCTGCTGCAGAGGAACACAGCAACAAGAAATTGTCAAAGCATCAGACCTCTGCAAAGAGGTCTACGTACTGCGCGACATAACTCGAGAACATAACAACTGCTGGAACAAGCACAAGGAACGTGCAATCATTNNCCCGTCTCCCGCCCTAACATCAATGCTCTGCTACACNATTATTGAAATCTTGCAGCCGCTTGCCGAGCAAAGTCACCAAAAGACTGCAATTTCGGAAAGGGCAAACNNACTGAACAAGCGCAAGACGAGAGCGGCGCTGCAACCAATTTCGTCCACAGACCTTCTGTTCAGGCAAGCGCGATAGCAAAACACACAACGGGTCGTACAACGCACAGATGTCAGGCCTACAATTTTAAGNATCGCAATTCACGGATGCTCGAGCTTTTGTCCTAGCTGATATTGCNNCTCATTCAGATCGCACTGTCAACATCGCTTGAATGCGGTAAACGACGAGTCAGTGGAACGCCTGGAGCAGCTTTGATTTCCAACGCAACCCNNGGTCCCGCCGCCGTTGNNCTGGTTGAGCGTATTCCGACGACAACTCGTTCTNCCGGTGATACCTCTGAATCGCCCATCTCGTCCTCTGTTTGCTATGCGCGATTCCTCTCTTCAGGCCACTCATGCGCGTAAGCAAAAAACCAATGGACCAGTGATCTAGTTTTCAGCTAAGTGGTTTCCGCTGGCCAGCAAAGTTATCGCCCTCACTTGCCGCCTGGCGAGTCACGCAAGCAACGAGACACGGTGGCTTTGCTGTTCAGTCTGCCGCCTTTGATCCTCCAATATACCATAAGAGTATACTGCGGGTGGACTGTTCCCATCTTGTGTTCTCAAAGATCTTGAGTGTCGTCTCTTGTCTATATTGCAGACTCACGTTCGATCAAACATGACCAAAATCAAGAAAACAACATGATAGGCTTACCAAGGTAGGTCAGATTGATGTGACCAACCCTCGCCCTCTGATCAGCTATAACAGCGGGTCTTTCCTAGACAGCAATTAGGGGTTTAGTACCTGCATCCATAGAGCGTGGTCGGGGTCTGGAAGAAGAGAAAAGGAACACGGAGCCATGAATCGTGGACCCGCTCACAAAAACTCATCGTTCGACTCAGAGGCTATCCGTTCGAGTGACGAAGCACGTGTTACCTCCATGTACCCAAACATCAAAAGTGAGCTACACGTACCCATTGTGGACAGGTATCGTTCAACAAAATCACCTGTGCTTTGACTTCTGCCTCAGGCCCCCTACGCGTCCAGCCGTCCCGATGACTCCGCCTGCCCTGACCGCTTTCGCACGAGTAAGTACATTTGGGCTTCCTACAGAACCTTGGTTCTATGATACCCTAGGTACGGTTGTATCTTGCAAAGAAGGTGTGCGCAGACACTCAGCATCACAGCCATCCATAGGGAGTCATCATCCAAGCATTTCACAATCTCACATCTTCCTTATCGCTGCCCTCGGTACCATATCCACATATTGCCGTCGGCCTAAACAGGTCGTGTGTGTGCGTGTACCACGCCCGAGCCAAGAGAAGCAAAGCAAAGCAAAAAAAGCACTCGGCAGTGCCCACATCCCGAACCAAGTATCAGTAAGCAGATCTCATCAAGAACACGCATGCGACGAGCCGCCGGCCAACAGAGCTCCACCGGGGCACGCCGGACGAGTCGGTTCACCCCTTCAACCCAAGACTGTCGCCGTCGGCGGTCCCTCCACCGAATCCACTCCCCTGCACCTCCCCCTGCCTCACCCTTGTCCACAAATGTCTCAGACGTCTCGCCTCCGAGAGACCGGTCATAGCATCATCAGAAAGACCCATGTCTGTTTCCTTGCCCTTGCGCAAAGCCCAAGAAGGAAAGGAAAGCCTGTACGCTTGAGCAAATCAGACACACGTCTCGAAACACCCCTGCTTGTTTGGTTTTCGTCTTCGGCAAATGTTATTGTGAGCGACAGACCTTCCTTCGTCCATGCACGAAGAAGCAGAACACACGAGTAATGTCCAGTATACACGTGCTGTCCAAAACGGCAACGCAATAATCCCGACACCTGTCAGTTTGCAACTAGTCTCTACTCTAGCGGTACCCAGCTTTCCTAACGTTGCTACTGCCGACTACTGCAAAAGTTTCTGCAATGCAACTCACCAAAAGACCCACAATCCTTTTGGTCTGTGGTGGTCTCTTTTCTCTTTTGCGCCGAGTCCTCTCCTGAGCACCATTCCAAATTCTGTCTGCTTTCATGGCATTGGCGATTCATTTCAGGAAATCTTGCATCATCGACCAGTCAGAACTATCAAAAATGCAGAAATACCTGCATGAAGGATTGATATGCAGCTTCGCTTAAGCGTACAGGCTAGAGAGCGAGAACAATGTAGATCCAATAGACTGACTGGCATTTTTGTTTGGATAACCTTGCAATCTGAGCTTCCGAGAAACGTAAATGGAAACACGTTGCACATGTGCTTTTGAATAGCTAATGCATGAACAAAATCCAAATCCCAGGAGCGTGTTGCGTTCACAGATGTAGATATACAATGGTTGTAAGGGTCACGAGGACACGGCACTTGAGATCAGAGGGTTCGGTATGCATGTCTTTTGGAAACCAGCACTTTCTGGAGGTTGGTAGATGGTACCTGACGATAGAAGATTGGGTATATATTCTGTCAGAGACGATAGATTAAGTCAAGTAAGTGCGAACTGGCAGGCACGATAAAAGCCTTCATTCGGAAACAGAGAAGGAGGAATCGAAGCACAGTACATTGTCACACAACGATAAGGCTCTGAGCATCTTTCGAAGAGGAAGCTGCAACATTGCAAGATAGACATGATTTGTATCGTTGAAGGAAGTCGCAATTCCCTCCCTAATGCTGAGAAAGTCCTATGAATACATAAAAAGCATATAATATCCAGCAATCTGCCCTGCATTATCCCCGGCAGCTCTCCCGTCCCGCCAGATTGATGCTTGTTATCTGTACACAAGCCCTATAATGGCATCTGTTATATACGTCAGAAAAAGAGGATTGCGAAAAGAAGCACAATAGTGTGACAATAATAGACATTTAGGTTTTGCGCCCCTCCTCTACCCGCTCTACGGTGCAGAAAGAGAGTTGCAAAGTAAAGAATATACAAAAGGCCTCCATCCTTCCCTTCTACTAGCTAAGAATGGCGGCTTCCTGAAGGTGGTGATCAAGAGAATTGAAGATGAAACAATGATTTTGCGCACACAAATCGCGTAGTGGGAGTATCCGCTAAAGAAACAAGAGAAATTCAACGAAGGAGAGATGGTGATGTGGCGGACAGATGATGACTTTAGACCACTGCTGGCAATGGTATCCTAGTAGGAAGCGCCGATGGCAACACCGCTATCGCTGTGGTCGGCTTCAGACTCATTGCTGCGATGTCCAGGATATGAGGGTCGCTGAGTCACACTAGAAGCCCCAGGTGCAGGAGGTTGTTGTGCTTGTTGAGGTTGGGTCTGTTGCTGCTCCGAACGCTGCATGTAGGGACCCGAGTATGAAGAAGGGGGAGCGAATTGGTTGCCGAAATTTGCGTAGTGAGGCATCTGGGGTGTAGAGTAAGGGGTCGGGTTGTGGTATTGTTGGTATTCGGGGAATGATGAAGGATGCTGGCTGAGCACTTGTTGACTGTCTCTCTGGTATGAATTGATCATATCGATGCTTGGAGGGCCACTAGTGGGTGCCTGAACAGGGCGAACGCTGGATTGGTAGCTTGGGAAGCCATCTAGTACTAAGGTCAGTAGAATTACGGGGCGTTCAGAGACAAGCAATACTAACAAGCTNGGAAGGCCCAAGCCATAGGGTCCACTTGGAGGAGGCATGTTCCTCTGCGCATCCTGTTGAGAAATATATCCCTGACCTTCGGACTGCAGCCCTGGGGTTCTCGCTTCTGAGTGGTGTTGCGAACTTTCGCCACTCAGGCTACCATAAGACATGCTAGATCTCAGAGGAGATGAAGTGGCAGTCTCTCCACTTGCACGTCTGAATCGATCGTGCACAGGGAGTCGTGGGGGTTGAGAGTATTGGCTGGTATATGATGGAGGGGGTCCTGCGAACATGGCCCTTTGGGGGCTGTCCAGAGTTGAACGAGGGGTGTACCCGTAAGTCGGACCCTCAGGCGGTCTGGAGACTGGAGACATGGTGTCTGTTGCTGAATGTGGTGGGGTGTATGCCATTGTTGTCATTCCTGGAGGAATTCCAGTGGGGCTGATGTAGGTCGGTCCCATTTCCCCTCGTCGGAGTGTGTCGAGAGTCAGAGGGCGGATGTGCCCAGGTTGGTGAATGACTGTTCCATAGCTAGCAGGAGATGGGCCAGGTGTGATGCCACCAGGAGCTGAGCCGTAATTGCTGTGGAGACTGGGTGTCATGTCAAAGTTGTCCGGCAGAGCTCTTGACTTCATCATCCTTTCGCGATCCTCAGCTGTCAAACGCTTCAGCTTCGCACGCCTNGCTCCAGAGTCAGTACATACTTCAGGTCAATCGGCTTTATGCAAGTACCTGTTCTGGAACCAAACTTGAACTTGTCTTGGACTCAAGCCAGGAATTTCTCTCGAAAGTCTCTCGCGATGCGCAGCGTCAGGATGAGCTTGACGGCTGAACTCGCTCATCAGAAATCTCGTCTGGTTGTGGGTAAGTCTANNTAATTGGTTAGTCTTGCATCTCGTGGTCTTGCCCTCGACAGCAACGTACCTGAAGCGCTTCATCTTGCGCTTTTGATTTCTCAGCTCAGCTGCAGTCATTGGAGGTTTATTCTCGCCATCATCGGCTTCTCCGCTTGCATCTTGATCTTCCTCATCCGCAATCTCATCGTCAGGATCGATTCCTTGCGAGTGCGGACTCGGGTGAGATGATGGGCTGCCAGGTAACGACTCGCCTAATGTCTGCTGTCCAGACCCGGCGTTAGCCTGAGGCGTTGTATGAGGCTTCGGGTCCGATGAGGCGTGTTGTGAGTACGAGTTCGGAGCAGTACTACCCGCCGAGTATTGAGCATTGAGTGGGTACGGTGAAGTCTTGTACGATCTCAGCGAGGCACCTTGAGGCACGCTCAACACATGGCTGCTCGGCACAGGCTCCTGAGGAGCCTGGTACTGGCCTGATGCATGAGAATACCCCTGTCCAAAAGACGACTGGTGGTCTTGATGCGTTTGCCAACCAGGAAGTGCTGGCTTGTAGTCTTGACCAGACATGCGAGGAGAGCTCGGTGGTGACAGGGGCTCAATGATCTTTCCTGAAAGCATTTGATTACAGGTCTCTGTATAAGGCAATCAGGGTACGACGCCTTTGTTGATGCCGCGTAAATTGGTCAATAAGGAGCGTGATGACAGGCCGGGGAGCTGCCGTGATCCGCAGAGCTTGCTAGAAATGCTGAAGAGCTTTGGAACTCCGAAAAGATACCCGTGTTAAATCCAGCAAGGAGTAATCAGATCCTTGAAAAGTTGACAAATTAATTAGTCGTGGAGCGCTGGTAGGCAAAGGGAGCAGGCGCAAGGTTGATGGAGCAATAAGGGTACCGCGGGTATGGCCCACTGCAAGCTTGAAGCTGCCACGAAGTCGGTTGTGGGGAGGACAAGAGTCGACAGAAAGGATCGATCGCTCAATATCAGAGCAATATCAAGTAGATGCGCGAGCTTTATCAGGGCTGCGCGTAAGAGCGGCGCGCAAGTTCGAGTAAAGAGTGTTGTATAGAGTGTAGCAATACACTGGCCAGCCAACGACTGTAGAAAAGGTACTGTACTGTAGGACAGAGAAAGTTGCGGCAAGGCCGAGAAGATCAAGGCAGTGGGCCGGTTGGTCTGGTCGACAGTTCGGCGGAGCTTTGCTCACCGTAAGGGGAGGTGTCAAGAAGGTTTAAACGAAGGGAGATGAGGCTAATAGATTAGCAGTTGCGCAAGCACAAGACTTGACTCGTGCAAGGAAGTTGAGAATCTTGAAAGGACGAGACAATCAGATGATGGGCGACTTCAATGCTCTGAATGTGGGGTGTCAGCAGGTGTTGCAAGACCAATTTGGTAGTCGATGGTGCAAAAGAAGGTGGTATCCGACCTCTTGATCCTCGGGAGTCCCAAGCACCATAAGGGTGGCTGCAGGGTAGGAGAAATGGCCGAGTCAGGACGAGAAGTTCATCAAAGGATCGCATGGGGGCGAGCGCAGCGATGGCCATGTCAACATCGACATGTCAAGGATTCAAGCTCACCTGCTTGCTTCTGCACGGTGCTTCTCGGCAGCCAATGCTCGTCTTAGTGCCTGTGGGTTCGACTAAGGGTCCACACAACCAATGATAGGAATACGGATAGGCGTGTCGTACCTCGGATGGAAACCTCAGGTGGGAATATCCAGCATGTAAATAGCCCTGCGAATGGTGAAGCGTGCGGAGATTTATTCCACCTATTGCATTTGGCCAAAAGCCCAGGACTAGCACTAGTAAGATGCCCGGGAAACTTTATGCGCTGTGCAGAGCAGTTTCCGAGATGGCTGGAACACATATGGCAACTGCCGATGGGTGTGATTCGAGGTTATGGTAGTGGGACCGGACCCTGTCAGGATGTTTCCCACGTTCACCGCTAATGGTTGGCTGCATTACCACTCGCGGATGAGGCGCTTGATGGCGCATGGTTGCGGGGGTGGTGGGACTAGTCGTCAAGTGACATGCGTGCTTGTCCTGCCGCCAAAAGACGCACGGAGTCGGACGTCGCATGCCCTCTGTCTTTTCGATAGTTTCCTGCAGCCACGATGGTTCGCAGAGTCATTTGGACGATTGTGAATCTTCTTGCTAGACACCTACAGAGAACCACACTGTCCACTGTGGTGCGGCCCAAAACACTCGGTTAGGGTAGAAGCCTAAACGCGCGTATCCCTTCAGGGACATTGCTTCTGCTTGACGCCCACCTTTTGATAGCTTTCATCTCGTCTAATGGCACTCCCCCCGCCGTGGTCTGACGCTGTCTGAAGCTTGGACTTGGCTCCTTCGGCTCTTTCCTGAACTGTGCATAAAGGCCGATTTTGCCCTGGCTCGACCAATCCGACGCGGTGATTATGAAGCATTTCCAGAAGATCGATCAACCGTTTTTCATTCGACTTCTTCTTGCGGGCCGCTCCGGGCGTGGCAGGTTGGCACTTTCTCGTTTGTCACAGCTGTCAAGCAAGGATTCTAAGACACGATTTGTCTGCGATCTGTTTTCCTTCTTGGCCCGTGATATCTTTTGCTTGCCCTTCTTTCTTTTTGCTAAGAAAGTGTAACTCCGCGCTTCTCCGCTGTTGCTTTTCTTAGTTATTTTAACCGAAGAGGCAGGAGAAGCCACGGCCAGATGATCTGAGGCAGGCGCTTTCTGGCGGGTGCCACGAGAACATATCCCTAATGATCAGCAACCAGGAGCAGCAAGGGATACTGAGCCGGTTTGAGAAGAGGGCTGTCAGGATTGCAGGAGTCAGGTCTGAGCCGAGTAGGTTGCTGATTATCACCGGTGAACACGGTTCGTCCATGACTCCTCCGGCTACTCACACAACCGGCCCCACGTGCAGACGATTCACCATTGCAATCGTCAGGCACTCCTGCAAATAACGTTGTCGCCAAGCAAGCCTCTAGGACATGTTCTGTGTTTCGAGTCGGGCGGTATCACCCTCGCGAGCGGCGTTACCGTCGGAACAGAGGGCGGCTGGAGATTTGCTGCTCGAGCTCCTGGACCTGTTTTCCGAGTTGCTCGTGCTGGAAGCTTTTGCGACCCAAAGAGAAGGACCTGTTGCTGCGGCGTGCCTGCGGAAGTTGGTCTGCTCGGGCCCGATACGCGTAGGTAGAGACGGCGGTTTGATCTGCGCAGGGTGCGCTTTAAGCGAGCCGCCATGCGAATCGAGCGCGTTCACCGTTCGCCAAGCCATCAAAAGTCCCCCCTCGTTCGCGAGTGGCTCTTGCACGATGGCTAATCTTGTCGACGAGTAAGGGCAGAGAGGCTCTGTGCAATCGGGCGGCCATGTCTGTCAAATTAGACCAAAACAACAACCACGATCAGGCAGTTGCTGACTGAGTCGCGAGTGCAAACTACAGCAGTGCCAGCACGACGTGAGGTCGGGTAATACCTCGTAGGATCAAGGTTGTGCGGGTCAAAACCGTTAAAGGGGCGCACAGGGCAAAGTTGCAACGGCCGTCTCGGAACATTACAACCAAACAACCGCCTCCATCTCCAACCTTAGGTGCATGCAGATCGAAGGAACGTGATCATCTTGCATACCAACAACGTGTCTGCAGCGTTTGTGGCACTCGAGACAACTCAATAATAGACACCGAGAAGGCTTATTGCATGTGGTATTTAGCTATCCAGTGACCACCTGCTCTTCTGCCTTGCCATCCATGGCCACGGTTACTTCTCCACTGTCGTTTTCGGTTGCAGATGTTGGGTCGTCAGCGGCAGCCTCTCCCTGGTTCTCCTCCTGCTTATACAAGGCAGGTAAGCGTGTGGAGGGATCCACCTTGTCTAACAGCGCCAGTGATGTTCTGGATGCAGCCCGCAGCGCGCGCCAGGTCTTGCTCTGCTTGGCGGCCTCCAAAGAAGTCTTCTCCTCGTCTGTCATGGCCATTTCCAGATCAAGTTCGTCGTTTTCAATACCCTTGACGAGCTTCTCGGGTGACGGAGCCGTGAATCTGNNTTACAACATGATCAGCATCTATCTTTGGAAATGACAATTCCGTGTCTGCACATACCTTGATGCGTCTTTTAGAGCCTCGAGTCCCTTCGCGTTGTCAACTTCTGCGAGGAAAGTCACATCGATAGCCCCCATTGGTTTCGCCTTGAGGCGCCTATTGATGGTTGCTTGCCGAGCACCAGACTTCGCTTCTGTGTTCTCTTCTGGAGTGACAGCATCTCTGACGATTGGCGGACAGCTTTCCAACTTCCATCTCACCCAGTTCTTGTCGCGGGAAAGTACAGTGTCGACCATGCGGTAGTAGAACTTTCCTTCTGGTCCTTCTTGCAGATAACCGGCAATTTTGGAGCGTGTTGAGGTTACCCATTTCTCCTGCTGTGTGTCAGTACGACCTCAAACACGCTTGCTGCTGGCACATACGTTTTCTTCGCTGAGTGTGAAACTGTAAAGGAGAGCCTTGTTGGCTAACTTGGAGTTGGTTTTCTCGACATCCGCCCACTTCTTCTTCGCTTTCTCGGTGAGGGAGAGCAGGAAGTCGATGAGAATCAGTCCTTGGACCAAGATGTGACGTTGGAATGCCAGATCGCTCAGCNNTTTTCTTTATCAGACTTGATCGTCGTTGTCACATTCAGATACATGCGAACATACCTCGAGTTCGAAGAGCTCGCGACTAGTCAAATACTTCGGGTTGTAGTTGCTTGCGTACTGATCACCCGTCTCGTCACCAAGCTTTCGTTTGATACCGCGTTGAGCATCTCCAGCGCTCTTGGTTTGCGCCACCACCGGTGTCTTCTTGAACTTTGACAACGTCTTCTCGATTCCGTCCTTGAATGGGCTGNNGAAGTTCTCGTCTTCAAAGAGTCGCGTTGGGTTTGAGAAATCGTGCTGTAGCCTCCAGAAAACGGGATAGAATTCTGAGTTCTCATCTTTGACCTCGTCACCTTTGTTTTCCGTCGGAGCCTTTGTTTGATCCTTGGTTGAGGGGGGCGTTTTTNNGTCGTCGGAGTCTGTAGGTTGTGACTCGGCTTCAGCGTCTCCTTCCATGATGATATCCATGGGTTCCGCCGCCTCTGCGTCAGCTGGAGGGTCCTTCTCGAAGACAGTAACATTCTCTGTGTGATATTCTCCGCGCAGGTTGACAGAACTCTTGTCACCAAGAGGGAATGTCTGAAAGAGGAAAAAGAAGACTCGTCCACAAAAGACAGCATCTTCGGCTCTGGAAAGTCGACGTAGCAGTTCGTTACATGGGCGAAGGAGAGCAAGATGAGTCTTGTGGAAGTCCTTCTGAATGAGTCGCTCGCGTCTAGATTCTAGATAGTCAAAGACTATCCTACAACCTTCAGTGGTCTGACTGTCAAGAAGCTCTTCGACAAGCCAGAAAGCAAGGATAGGTTCGCATTGTCCAAGTTCGCCGCAGAGTAGCAGAAGATCCAGGAAGTCCCACACACGAACAAAACCGGGAGTCTTGATATCAGTAGATTGCNNTGTCAAGGTATTAGTTTGAGAAAGTCCGGACAAGGCGACAAGCGCGGGAGGGCGTACAATGGTTTCGTAGAAAATCTTCCTCGCGGCCGTCTCGACGACGGAGAACTTGTGCACGTCAGGTTGCGATGCAAAGACATCTTTTCCGAGCGAAGAGACACCCTGCACTAGGTCTGATACTGGTAAAGGAGGATCGATGGTTTCGACTGATTTGATCTCCCTGGCGCGTTGCAACAGTTCTCGTAGTCGCTCAGAGATGACGCCGACTGATGGCGGCTCAGTCATTGCGTCTGCAGCCATACTGGCGCTTTGAAGGTGAATCCACTAACGGCAGTCGCTCAGGTCGTTCTGATGGTAATTAATGGTTGGCGGAGATAATTGATGGTAACTGAATATGATGCTGAACGGGGTGGAATATTGGTCGCAAGATGATGTCGCAAGGCGCAGTGTCTTAGACTCGAGCGCTCTTCCAAGATGAATCCAGAGATAAAGACAGTTCTATCCTAGTGCAATTGTTGAGAGGCGTATTGCCATTGTCGCATCGATCAATAGATGTGTGAGCAGCGGAAGTTTGCTGGCGCATCACCAGTCACGACTTTTGGCCGCCTCGCATCGTCTGTCGAAGCCAATTTAGCGCGAAACGCGGTCAGTCGCGTCTCCCAGACTTTTGATGGACGCCATCTTGACATCGAATATCCTCATCTAGACCCCATAGTGACAAGACCAAGAGACTCTGAACATGCCAGCTGCAGTGCCATCAGGTGTTCGTCCCACAGTCGAGCGCGACGATCTGGATGACATTTTCAACTATGATGCCGGCATCAACGCGACTTTCGATCAACTGCGAGATGACGCCAACAACAACAATACCACTCAAGATCAACATGATGTGCCAGTGAACATCGACGAGGAGGTCAAGGTCACCAAGAAGCGCAAGCCAGTCGCCAAACTCGACGAAGAACGGTACGTACCCAAGGCCCAACACATTTACAGCCAACTCTGACCTTCCACAGTCNTTCTTTCCCAACAGGGCATCCCAAAACTTCGAAAGATCGCCAAAGACCGCATCCAGATCAAGGGCAAAGGTCACGAATTCTCAGACATGGCACGTCTCCTCAATACATATCAACTATGGCTGGACGACCTCTTTCCCAAAGCAAAGTTCATGGATGGTGTATCTATGATTGAGAAGCTCGGCCACAAGAAGCGCATGCAGATGATGCGAAGAGAATGGATACAAGAGGGCAAGCCCAAACCACCACGTGATGATGACGAGGAGGACTTTGTCATTCCAGATGAAAATGCAGTACCGGAGACCAACAATGCTCAGAACAGCGAGGAGCAGCCCAACCACGTTGAATCGATACCGGAAGCACAGTCAAATGGAGGAGCACAGGGAAGGGACAATCGCAATCCATTCTATGAGGAAGAGCCTGACGAGGACGAATTGGACGCGCTGTTAGCTGAGAGCGAGGTTGTACCATTACCGACCACGAAACAGAACAACACACAACCTGCAGAGGATCAAGAGCCAGACGAAGACGAGTTGGACGCTCTCATGGCCGAGGACGCAATGAATGACGGTGTGCCCAAGAGTCTCTTTGGTGGACCGGTTTCCTCTACCACTGCCACTGATGCTGCTTCCCGACCACGGGACGAGTTTGATGATGACGAAGAGGCCATGGCTGGTATGGACTGGTAGACTAATGATTGTAATATCTTTCATGTCCTCATGTTCGCATCTTCCGCAATGTTCAAGATTTGGTGTCTAGTTCCTGTGATCCTTTCCTCACCTCAACAGCCGACAAAGGTGCTTCGGCAATACCCATGTCATCTGTATTGCTGATTCGACAGCTGCTTTAGGACAGGGTGATGGTCTCGACCATTACTTGAAACCATTATCTTCGAATACCCTCTCCAGCACTTGAGCTCTTGCGGCACTTCGATACACAGAGGTACTCCCTGATACTACTCCACAGATTGTGGGAGGTTATTCGATGTTCGTCGTGCCGTTGCTGAAATTGGTATCCGCCAAAGCTTTCATTCAAGATCTGTATTTGGAACTGTGCAAGAGCGATAGGACTAATTGACTGCGAAGCATACTTATGCATGAGTGATAGTCTGAGCTTGCCACTACACGAGAGAGTGTTGGACAGAGTTTTTGTCAGGTCTACAGGAGATGCATGATGGTTGCAGAGCATGGGAGCTGCTCTAACACGGCGGTACATAGATTTGTACTCCGCGAATACCAATGTAGCACGTGAACGCGTGTCATCAGTCGCAGTGGTTTAGTGGTAAAATTCGTGCTTGCCATGCACGAGCCCCGTGTTCGATTCACGGCTGCGACAACTTTTGCAACATTTGTTTTTGCTCCTTAGTGGATCCGATTGCACGGCTTTTCTGTCTCAATACTGTATACCAAGATTCACAAATCTCGAGCCGATGCTGACTGGCCCCAATTTTGCAATGCTCCTTCGACGCAGTTCACAAGCGTGGCAGCACGACCGATACCATCCTCTTTGAAGTCGAGAGCATCAGTCCTCCACCAAAGCCAACTTTTTGCCAGAGTGCCCTCGTCTGCGTCAAGCAAACCTACAGCCACGTTTGCAATGCCATGTCTCTCATCTCTGATGTAGAATACAGTCGCACCACATTCCCCACAGAAATATCTCGACGCTTCATCGGACGAGCGATACTTCTTGAGCGTGCCGAAGTCACAGGAGAAAGGCACGCTTCCATCGGCGGCCAGAGAGATGTCTGTTGCTGGGACGTAGGTCCATGGAACGAAATCACAGCCACTCGAAAGACGGCAGGAGTTGCACTGGCACACTTCTGCGAAGAATTTGGTGCGATTCTCGCAGAGCCACCATGGATTTTTAGTCTCGTACTCTCCACGGTCAGGATTGTACTGGTGTACGTCAGATTTGGGATCGTCTGGGTTGGCTGAAGATGCTAGTGGGCGAGAGATCCAGAAGTTGATACCGTTGCACAGGCAGTGCGCATGCAGTCTGTCTGAGGTTCTGTCGATTGGTTGCTCGCTCGGACGAGGCCAGTCAGTCGGCAGCTCGTCGTTCATAGTAGCATGTGTCTTGATTGGCAAGTCTCTGAGCCAGTGACTGAAGCCACCATCTTGAGTCTCCTTGACGAATATCTGACGCTCGAAATGCACTGTACCCTCGAGCTGAGCGAGAGCGCCGGTGTAAATGCAAAACCGACTACCTTGTTGTTCGATGATGATGGTGCCGCAAGTGGGACAATGGTATGTTGTCCTGCGGGTCGACCATTCGCTGGCCTTCAGTCTAGAAAGCGAATCTTGTACAGCCTGAGTGCAAGTCTCAGGCACAAATGCTCCACCTATATACAGCGTCCCTGAACCGTGACGACAACTATTGCAATGGCAGATTGAAGCTGTCAGAGGAAGCTGTTGTTCAAGGACCGTAAGCGACAGCTGGTAGTTGCCGCAGAGGCACCTGGCCTGTATCTCGCGAGAGCTGCCCATATCGACGAGAGAAGGCAACTGTACTGTGAGTATCGAATGCTGCTTGAATTGGGATCTGGATGTGTTCATGTTTTATATCGACAGATAGTCAGACTGAGTTGAGTCGAGAGTAGGAAGAAGTTGGTAGGCAGCAATGCTGACTGCATGAAGAAGCGGAACGAGCCTGGTATCCAAACCTGTAGAGCGAATATTGCCTAGATTGACCCGTGAGGCGCAACAGCGATTGATCCGCTCACAAGGTCTTATTCTTGGGTATCCAACACAGAGGTCAAGAACGTCACTTGAGTTTGATAAGAGTGGTTGACTCTGACTATAGGCGTTGGTCAAAGGGGGCTTCCATACCACTCAGGGTCTCGGCAAACCGCCCAATGACGTGCGGCGCATGATTCGAGGAAAGAGCGCCCCTCGAATTCGCGCAAACTCCGAAAGAAAGACGCAACAACTTTGACAAAATCGCTTCGTTGCGCACATCTCATCGTCGCTCCGGACAGACATTGCTGTCGGATACGCAAAGATGGATCACTACGAACCATCATCAAGAAACCAACGGACGTATCCTCAACGCGATCGCCCACCTCCTCCGTCCTATCACGACGCGCCTCCTCCACCTTCGGGCCCTCGCGACGTGTTCCAATTTCGTGGCGCCGCTGCCCGCCCTCCTGCCGACAACTACAGACCCGGTCCTAGAAGAGACGGCTTCAACTTCTCTGCCGGTAACAACGCGCCATCCTTTGGGCCTTCAGATGATTACCCAGGCGCTAGAAGAGCCCCTCCCAAAGACTCACGTCGCAATGTTCAGCGTCGCGGACGTGGCGGCCGTGGTGCGCCCCGTAGATTTGGGCCGAAGCCGGCTTACGAACGTGATCTGATGCGACACCAGCGCGAACCGACTCCTGATCAACTGGAAGGCATGAATGAAAGCAGAGAGTCCCGCTTCAAGGTGCTCGACGATCTCTCTGATAGTGACAGTGAAGACGGCGACGGCGCCATGGACATCGAGGCCGACGCTCACCATCCTGCTGACGCTTCCACCCAGCCTTCGTTCGTCGATCGTGACAGCCACTCTGATGATTCCGAGGACGAGCATCCCAGAGCCAAGCGTGCTCGAGTCAAGAGTAAGAGTCCCGAAACCGAACAGGCCAAACCCAAATGGTCAAATCCTGATCCTTACACTGTGCTGCCTCCGCCTGGCGAGTCTGAAACGAAGAAGAAAGACGTCGTCAAGCTCATCCGCAAAGCCAAGATCGATGCCGCAAAGCCTGCCGCCCCTGCTGCTCAGGGTGAGGACTTTATCTCGCTTAACTTCGACGATGACTTTGCCCAAGACGATAGTGAGGNNGATGAAGGCGGCATTTCTCTCTCTGCTTCTACCAGGAATGAGCCTTCTCTTCCCCACAAGCCTTCCTTCAGTCACCTAGATCATCTTCATCCTGACCGCAATACTGCTCCACCCGCTCGTATCGAAGAGTCCAAGGGTGTCAACATGTCAGCGCCTGTACCTCTACCACGCCTTGATGTCTGGCCCCCACCTGCAGATGTACACGGTGACCCTTCAGGTCGCAGCCAATATCATACCGGGGTTCAGAGACAAGAAGCCAAGGACGCAGTAGCGCCAGTTCGAAAGGAGAGCAACAAGAAGCGCAAGCGTCGTGATGATGTGACACTTGGCGACACCATTGAGGAATGGAAAGCTCCTGAAGGCACTGATCCTGCTCCCTGGTTTGCCAACAAACTTCAAGGTCACCGTGCTGAACAGTGGCTCCACAACGAGATTCTTGACTTCTACGACTACGTCAAGCCTCGCGACTTCGAAAATCAGGTCCGTGAGGACCTCGTCAAACGCATCGAAATTGCGGTCAGAAAGTCATTCCCTGATCTGAATGTTCGTGCTTTCGGATCCTTCGCTTCTGGCCTCTATCTGCCCACCGCTGATATGGACCTCGTTGCCTGCTCAACTCGGTTCCTAAACGGCGGCTACGCAAACCCACAGCCGTCGAAAAGTTGGATGTATAAGTTTGCCAACTGCCTCAAGAGAGCTGGGATTGCCATTGAGTCGTCAGTGACTATCATCGCAGGCTCCAGAGTACCTCTGGTCAAGTTTGTCGAGAAAGTGACTGGCTTGAGGGTTGATGTTTCGTTTGAGAATGATAGTGGACTTCTCGCCAACAACACTTTCCAGGTTTGGAAGGAGCGATACCCCGCCATGCCTATCATCGTATCTCTGATCAAGCAATTCCTCGTCATGAGAGATTTCTCCGAGGTCTTCAGTGGTGGCATTGGTGGTTATTCGGTTATCTGCCTGACCATCACCATACTCCGCGTCCTTGAGGATCGTAATGGCGTTGATTGGGATCCCATGCAAAGCCTGGACACCGTTCTGATGACTTTCTTTGTATACTATGGTAGAGATTTCGATGTCCATAACCATGGTATCCAGATGGAGCCATGGAACATCGTCACAAAGGTAAGCACCTGTGCAGCTGTATCGCGCAAGGCAGTGGTTTGCTTTCACTTGGGCATATCTGCTCGGAGCAATACTGTCTAGTGCTTATGATTCTTGCTAGCGATCAAGTTCCTTGTTTCCTGGCCTCGCAATACGTGATGTCGTTATGAGAATCCAAGCTAATTTTGACAGAAATCGTGGAGAAATGCCAAAGGCCAGCCATCTAAGCATGATAGACTCCTTATTATCGATCCCAACAACTACACCAACGACATTTCCGGAGGCTCGAGTGCAGTTATCAAAATCTTCGAAAGATTCGCAAACGCTTTCAGAGAGCTCAACATCTGTATGTCTGATGCCGAAGACTCGCATAAGGACAACGGCGATGTTATCAGCATCCTTGAACGTGTGTGGGGTGGCAACTATGCGCTCTTCGAAGCTCAGCGTTCCCGTCTGAGAGCTGTATGGCAGCAGAATATGGCAAGGTATGCTGCTATGCACTCAAGAACCAGAACATATCAGTAACGGTAACGTCAGCGGCAGTAACTTCCCGCGTGGCAACAACAACAACCAAGGCGGACACGGTCATGGCGGTAATCATCAAGGTAAACCTGGAAACCCCTCTGGCAACCAAGGAAACCAGAATGATCATCCAAAACAGGGCAAAAGGCCCGCAGATGGTGATTCAAAGCCGAGTAAGAAACAGAAGATGAACAATGATAACGAGAAGAAGTGGGTACAATCGATGTACGAAACTTCCGACAGTGGCTGACTGAGCGCAGGCGCGCACCTTTGCACACAGAGTATGATGACCCTACGGGCGAGTTGACAGCAGAAGTGTCAGGCCCGCAGGTGCCGTCGGCAAGAGAAAGAAGTCATCTGATGCGACAACCGGCGCTCCCCAACCAAAACAACATGTGGTTCAATCTTTACCCAACAACCAAGGCGCATTATCTGGAGCATTCAATAAGGCGAAAACAGAGGGAGGCGACGACAAGGACGAGAAGCAGAAGATTCACGAGGAAAAAGACCGCGCAAAAACATTCAAGAAGAACCATCCTGGTGTGACTGGCATACCCGACAGAATGGACAAGGCTCTGTTCAAGCAACTTAACAAGAAGCATGGCAAAGACACCAATCCGAAGCCGAAATCCAAGAAGAAGAAGAAGCACAACTAGCTGCTGATCGACCAACAACACATTCAGGCATGGTTACTTTCTGATCGGTATGATTGCTGTGTCATTCTACTTTTGAGGATGCAGTACTTTCCGTTGCTGGCAACAATTCACGTATACATTACTTTCTGCAGGGTTTTTACATATGGAGTGGCGCACCGTCGGAATTGCTGATACCCCATTACACATGGCCCTGTAACGATAGCTTTTCATTTTATACTTTCACGACAGTTGTCGAGCATTTCCCCTGTACTTTACTTGTTTGCGGTGCCTGGTGGACTAACGTCGAAACAGAGTTGCCAGAATGGCTTTCGACATGCTGACAGGATTGCAGGAGTTTACAGTGGGCATATGGGTTTGAAATTATGTTTCTTTGCGAAACATGGACAAGAATCCAGGAACGCTATGAATCGATTGTCTGCGGACTATGATTCAATTAGCAAGGTTCTTGATCCTCCCCTTCTGTGTTGCGCAAGCGATGCAGAGGGTCTTTTCTCATTGGACAGCCTGCTTTATGCAAGTGTCTGAAGAGGATTGAAAGAAGAGCATGTAACAAGAAGTCGGAGTCATCTGATGCAGACGCAGGTGGTAGACTCGCAAGTCAAGCAGAAAGCAACATCGCACGAACGGTCCAACGGCGGTCTGTAGAGTAGAGTAGAGTAGAGTAGAGCAAGAGTCATGACATTTTGGCTCAGAGCAGGTCTTGTGCTCAGACAGTGATTGGAGGAGGGCAGCCCCGCCGCCCTCCGTCACCGCCCGCCTTCTTGGCGTTCAACATCAACAATCTATTCCAGGAGACAGGGCCATGTTGGACACAAACCATTCGATAATTTCCATCTGCAAAATCTCCACGACCCACGCGCAACGCACTTCGACTCTTCCAACACCTTTCTATACACATCTTCACAACCGCAACAATGTCGTGGCAAGGTAAGCTCTTTCCGCTCACCGCATCCTCATGGCGAGCTTGTCGGCTGACTTTCAATTCAACAGCATACGTCGACCAAAGGTACACACCGCCATCGCCACCACCTACAGAAACATCGCTGACATCCGGAATCCCAGCCTGATTGGCACAGGCAACATTGACAAGGCCGCCATCTTCAACAGTGAAGGCAACAGCGTCTGGGCCACTTCCGCTGGCTTCACCGTGNCGTCCTCCACAACCCACCACCGAGCAAGATTCGAGAAAGAGCTGAGCTTCGGATGGTCGCGGCATAGACCAGCTGCAGAAAGAGCATGGGCTGATGTGTGCTTTTCCAGGTTTCCCCCTCAAGAAATGGCAGAGGTCGTTTCTGCATTCAAGGATACCGCCGACGTCAAGAAGGTCCAGAGCACTGGTCTTCACATTGCCGGCGAGAAGTTCATCGTTCTCAAGGCCGATGACAGAAGCTTGTATGGCAAAAGGTGCGGTTTTGCATGCAGCTATGCTTCCATATACCCATAAGCTGACAATCAATCAGNNGGCAAGGAGGGTATCGTCATCGTCAAGACCAAGCAGGCTCTTCTCGTTACCCACTACCCCGAGCACGTCCAACCGGGTTCTGCTGCCAACACCGTCGAGCAACTTGCCGACTACCTCATAAGTGTCAACTACTAGAGGAGGTGTCCGATGCGCATCTTCTCTGTTATGTCCACATCTTTCTGTCAAATCTCCTTGACGTTGAGATTTGAGGCTTGACTCCCTTTTCGTTTCCTTGTTTGTGCAGGGTGCAGAGGAAAACACTGGGTTCTCAAACCAACCAAAAAACCAACAGCAATACTGTTACACCAATCCAAGACTTGTGCATAGCGAAAATATCTATTCTGTTTACCTCTATTTGAGCCTCTGTAGTGTTTGATTTGCCGTATGAATAGAAACTCTTCCATAGTCGTGCTTGGTTCCAAGTGCACCTAGCATAGCATATAGCAATAGGCAAAAACTCGTTGCGAGTAATACTCTCCATCAGGAGGCCACAGCTAGATCTTTGACCTCTTGACACCAATTCAATGGTCTGTTTCCTATTTGCAATTCTTTCAGAGCCTTTGGTTAGGTACGAGTACGACGACAATGGAATCATGTCCGAATACGAGTTCTGCCGAAATTGGTGCCGTTCACCGCCTTCGGTCAACAGCTGCTGTTTCCACACAACGTGCCTTCCTGCATGAACTTGCATCGATTGGACCAAACTTGTAGAAGCAGGGAGACACATTCAGTACACATATTTCAGACTAGATTTGAAGTACAAAGACATGGTTATAGCAATGCCTCACTGCTGCAGTCAAATGCTTGGATCAAGGACGTTTGTGTCCAGACATGCAAGTACCTGATTCACTACCAACACACTGGTGCGAACGAGTGGTCAGGGTCAGCGATCTCAGCATGTCTGGGACCTGCAGGATAAGATGTCAAGAGACATGCATGCTACCTAGAAGGAGCTAAGTCATTCCCGGTGATACACTGCTGGTTCTGGAAAAACACTGTGACGTTTGACAGCTCAATGTGAGTGTCCCAGAAGCAAGGAGGGGTGCTTGTGAAAGAGTTGGTCGACGGAAAGGTGCAGAAACTCGCGGCGTGTTTGTCTTTCACTTTCCATCGTTCGGAAACACGCAGCCTGCTTTTCACAACACTTGGATCGCCTTTGTCGACTTCTTCCTGTTTGCGCCCCCAAATCTTATACCTTTCGCAACCTCCACTTGATTTCTTCTTACCATCTTCCTACCACCCCCATAGAGTCAACCATACACACTGCTAGCATCTGGACACGCCATCATGCGGCGCCACGGACCAGGCATCTGCTATGCCTTCCAACGAGGCCAATGCCATCGTGGAGCAGCGTGCCATTATTCGCATGAACCCACAGCACGCAACACACGTCAAGGCACTAAGAGAGACAAGGACACAACTTCGCCAGAGCTCGATACCTGGAAAGACATGGCCTTCCAAAAGTCTCNNCCCCTCGGATTTGGCCTAGGCAAGTTTTTCGGTCAGGCACTGCGCTTGGTCCAGCTCGATGATGCTTGTCGTCAAGAAGTCATCAAGAGCCTCGCAACCGACAAAGGTTTGCACAAGGTTCTCGAACTTGTCAACCAGAAGTTCCAAGGCATGACAGATAAGGTCCTCGTGCATATCTTCGTCTCTCAGATCAGTCCTTTCTTCCGTGTCCTCTCTGAAGAGCATGTCATGTCTTCGCCTCTTCTCGAACGCCATCTCGGAGATATTTGCCAGTTTCTCTGTGGTGTGGGAGGTAGCAGAGGCGAGGGACTCNTTGCTGCTGTCGTCCGCGCCCTTAACGCACTCTTACAGAAGTCCGACATTGAGTTCTTCACCTCGCTCGAAGCTTCTCTTGCCGTTCTTATGAAGCTCGTGAAATTTAACAGCACAGCAAAGGTCACGCCTTGTTTCTCAGCATATGCATCTGCTTTGGCCGTCATGTTGACACCTCAATCTGACCCAGCTGCAGACAATTTGCGCTATCAAGCGGCAAAGCACCTGGACAGTATCAACAAACGCCTAGGCATCGGCACATCAATTCGCAATATCGGATCAGTTATCACCGAAGACACCGCTTCGAAACCAACATTCTCTCTGCAACGCAGTCTTCCTGGAAGACTTCTCAATGGAAGGCCTCGGCACAACAATGACTTCGACTCGATCGAAAAGATTCAGATCATGCCAACATCGGAAGAAATCCAGAGTACGCATGCAGAGTACCTTCCCTTGCAGGATCCATCTACCTGGCACAAGGCAGGTGTTGCAGGTCTTATTGATCGCCACTTCAGATTGCTGCGTGAGGACACTATCGGTCAGCTGCGTGATAGTGCTCGTGTCGAACTCGAAGCTCTTCAGGGAATGGAACCACAGCGCGGCAAGTCAACGCTTCGGTAACACACGTACAGAAATGTCCTCGTTGAATTACCGAAGTTCGACTCTCTCAGAGGCTTGGAGTTTGTCATCAGCTTCGATCAGCCACCAGAGCTCAGATCAAAATCAAAGAAGCAACGTCAGGACTGGTGGGCTCATTCAAAGAGATTGGATGGTGATGCTCTCATTTGTCTCATCAGCTCGACCAAGGCTTTTGTCTTCTGCAGTGTCTGCTTTCCACACGACCCATCAAAGCGACCTAAGGATCAGGAGAAAGTTTTCGACCCACACCGAAACATCGTCTCGCACTCCGACAACCGTGTTCGTGTGATTGCCCGACCTAGTGAGATGAACGCTGAGAGTATTACTCACATTCTTGGTAAGTTCTTCAATCTTGCGATACTCCTAGTCTCCTAGCCAGCAATACTAACCAAGTCTAACACTTTAGGCATCTTCTCCCAGAAGGACTTCCAAGGCGGTCGCTCATAGGTCGAGTTTCCCGGAGTGCTTCTTCCTGCATTCCTGCCCACCCTCACCGCGCTGAAGACTATCTCCAGAAACGGGAATCTGCCCTTCTCCGACTTCCTTGCTCCTTCCCAAGGTAGCGGAGAAAGTACTGTGGTCGTTCCACCACCCGCATATTCTCAGAGAGCTGGATTTAGCTTCAAACTTGACTCTATCATCAAAGAGGGGACTTCAGCTTTCAATCCTACAAAGTTCAAGCGATCCGACATTGATGCTCTCCATAAGGTATCGACCTTGGATAACACGCAAGCTTCTGCTCTACTGAGCTCACTCTCTAGGTCATTCGCGCTCATTCAGGGCCCTCCTGGAACCGGGAAAAGCTATACCGGTGTTGCTTTGATGAAGACCTTGGTGAGCAACAAANAGGCAGCTGCTCTTGGCCCCATTCTGGTCGTCACCTTTACAAACCATGCTCTGGATCAGTTTCTCGAACATCTACTCGACCAGGGCATCACCCAAATAATCAGACTAGGCTCAAACTCAAGATCCGAGCGCATGGCTGATATCAACCTCTGAAAAGTCGCCGCAACTGTCGAACGGACAAAGGCTGAGAACTCTGAATATGGAAAGACAAGAGGCCAGATGGACGACGAGACCACAACCATCAGACGGCACTTGGCAAGTCTCAGTCGTGTCACGCAGAATGTTAGAGAATATCTGTCTCAGAATCACCCGGACTACTACTCACAGATTTTCGGAGCTGGTCGTGATGAAGATGGATGGGAGGAGGAGCGACATGGAAACGCGGGACAACGCTTCAAANAGTGGTTGCATGGAGGCAAGCATTTCCAAAGAAACCTTCCACTCCGAGACATTACTAGGGTTGCCAATGTGAACGACCTTTCGAACAACGAACGCCGCTTGTTGCACGACTACTGGCTCGGTATGGCACAGCAGCGAATTCTAGACGCTCTGAACGACCGTGTCGAAAGATTCAACGTACTCAAGTTGAGGCTGGACGCTATCAAGAACGAGACCGAACTTCGCGTGCTCAACCAAGCAAATGTCATCGGAGTCACTACCTCAGGCCTTGCTCGCAACTTGCAGCTTCTGCGCAAGCTGCCGTCGAAGATTCTGCTGTGTGAAGAAGCTGGTGAAGTGCTCGAGTCTCATCTTCTGACTGCTTTACTACCGTCGGTTGAACATGCGATCCTTATCGGCGACCACTTGCAGCTGCGTCCGCATGTTCAATGCTACAACCTATCACAAGAAAGCGCTAGGGGCCAGCAACATGCTCTAGACACTTCTCTTNTCGAAAGACTGGTCACTGCCACAGATGGTGGTGCTCGCCTCCCCTTCAGTAGACTGGACACGCAAAGACGTATGCATCCCGACATCGCCGAGCTAGTACGCACCACTCTGTACCCTACACTTTCTGATGCGCCATCAACCTCGGAGCATCCTCAGGTGTCGGGTTTGAAGAAGCGATTGTTCTGGCTCGATCATCAGCACCCCGAGGCACATAGTGAATTGCAGTCCACGTCACATACAAACGATTATGAGGTAGAGATGACAACTGCTCTGGTATCTCACTTGATCAAGCAAGGAGTACACAAGCCTGGCGCAATTGCTGTACTCACCCCATATGTCGGACAACTCAAGAAGCTGCAGCTTCGTATGCAGAGTGCTTTTGAGGTTGTGCTTGACGATCGCGACATTAAGGACTTAGAAGATGCAGGCTTGGAGGATGCAGGCCTGGATGATGCTGCACAATCTCGAGCACCGCCCGCGCCTGGTATCCAGAAAGGCTCAATGGCTTCAGCTGTCCGTATCGCCACAGTCGACAACTTCCAGGGCGAAGAGGCTGATGTCGTTGTGATCTCTTTGNTGAGAAGCAACGACCAGCAGAAATGTGGGTTCCTGCGTACTTCCAACCGGATAAATGTTCTCGTTTCGCGTGCGAAGAATGGCATGTACATCATTGGCAACTCGACTACCACACAGCATATCCCGATGTGGACAGAAGTTCTCCAACTTCTTCAGATGAACGGCAACATCGGCGAAGTTCTTGAGCTGTCGTGTGCAAGACATCCGGACGACATCATGAAAGTTAGCATGCCTGATGACTTTGTGCGACTGGCACCCGATGGTGGCTGCAACCTTCCGTGTAGCCAACGTCTCCTCTGCGGCCATGCTTGCGACAGCTCTTGTCACTCTCAAGTCCTCCATGATGCTGTCAAATGTCTTGCTCCATGTCCCCGACAACCAGGCAGCAACTCTTGCTCGCATGCATGTCCTGCGAAGTGCGGCGAGATATGCCCCTCCAAGTGTATGGCAATCGTCGAAGACATCGCCATTGAACTCCCTTGTGGTCATATCATGACCTCTCTCCCATGCTGGCTGTACTACGAGCAAGACAAGATCATTTGTCACGAGGTCGTTACCCGTACGGTCCCTGGATGTGAACACGAAGTCCAGGTCAAGTGTTGTATGGATGTGAATAGCGACAAGTACCTGTGCCGAGAAGAATGTGGTGATCCACTGGCATGTGGTCATGTTTGCAAGAAGTCATGCAATAACTGCAAGAAGCGGGTCGATTGCCGTATTGACAAAGTCGACCATGGCTCCTGCCGTCAACCTTGTGGTCGTGACTTCCTCAACTGCTCTCACAGCTGCAAGAAGTCTTGTCACGATGGTACCGACTGTGGTCTTTGTGATCAGCCATGCGAAGTCAGGTGCGATCATTCTCACTGCGGTCGGTTGTGCTCTGAGCCATGTGCTCCGTGTGCAGTTCAGAAGTGTTCTTCTTGTTGCCCTCACAGTGAGTGCAGCATGCCTTGTGGAGCCCCATGTGATTGGATCCCTTGCTCCCAGCGCTGTACAAGCGAACTCAACTGCGGCCACCAGTGTCCGAGTATCTGCGGTGCACCTTGCCCGGACGCTCGTTTTTGCCAAGAATGTGCCAATGAAGACATCAAGTCTCGTGTAGTTGATCTGATTATGATGAGCTCGTACAGTGATGTTGATTTGGACGAGGATCCTTGTGTCTTCCCGGCTTGTGGGCACTTCTATACCATCACGACCATGGATGGTCATCTAAGTCTTGGTGAGCATTACCTTCTGGACGCAGATGGAAGACCGACTGCCCTGAGAGCTTCAGACGATGGTCTCGATGTTGACAAGACTCGTAACGTCTGCCCGGATTGTCGTCGTTCTCTGCGCGATGTCCCTAGATATGGCAGAATCGTTCGCCGCGCCCTCATGATTCAGAGCACGCTGAAGTTCATCACTTGGTCTAACAACAATTACATTGGGTTTTACGGAAAATTCTCTGAGGCACAGAAGCTCTTGCAGATGACCCTTGAAAAGGCAAGACCGGCCCAAACGAGCCTCCGCTTGTATGGATCTCGAGACCAGCAGATTCATACCATCAAGACTGCTATGTCCAAACTTAGATACGAAAAATTTATCAGCCTGAGGTGGGACATCAACAACTTCAGAGGCCTTGTCGGCAAACAGGAACAGCCATTTAAGCGTGTTCAAGCACTGGTTCGCCACGCCCGTCTGGACAAGCGTACTGAGGAAGACTTCACTTTTGATGAGAGCGTAATTTTGCAAACCAGATCGTATTCTCTTGCGACATCTTTGCTGATTCGTTGTGATCTTGTCATCTTGTCAGACGTGCTCGCTGTGCGCTCGTCAGTTGCTCTTCCTGTCGGTGTGGCCACGACACTGGAGCTTGACAAGGATCGTAAAGACTGTGAGACCCTGTTCCAGGTCGCCGATGAGGGAAAGCATCACCTTCAGCAAGCCGAGGCCCTGATCTTCTGGGCACATTTCGCTGCTTTGGAAGTTTCCTGGCGCTCGTCGCACGAANGAGGAAAGGTGAGTCAAGAATTTAGCCGAGCGAGAGTAGAAGATACTGACAATTACAGTGACGATAATGGCACCATCAACACCCTCCGTACCCAAGCAAGACAGCGTCTTGAGCAGGCTCGGGTCTTCTGCGCAGAGCACTCTCAGGCCCGCACCGTGGCCTCAGAAATCGAAGAGATTGAGAAGATGCTATGCGAAAGCACTTTCTACCAGCCCATCACCTCTGACGAGATGCAAAAGGTTGTTGCTGCCATGACCCGTGAGTTCAGAGGAACAGGACATTGGTACCGTTGTCGCAATGGCCATCCGTTTACTGTTGGTGAATGTGGTATGCCGATGCAGACTGCTAGATGCCCTCAATGCGGTGAAGTTGTTGGAGGACAGAGGCACCAAGCTGCTGAAGGAGTCACCCATGCTGGGGACATTGAGAGACGTTTTGGTGATATGAGACTGTAGATGTCTTGAGCTTGATTCATGGTGGAAAGGGAGTGTAAGCTGGTTGCTCAAACAAACAGACATGTAGCGTGAAGTATACATCCACTTCTGTGTTTCTGCGTTTCAGTCGTGTTTTATCCCATAAAAGCAAGTGACACCCTGTAAAACACTTAGACAAGAGCGTCGACAGGGGGAGATTGCTACCTCCACTTGTGCTGAAAGCTGTCGTAATGTACATACCTAAATGCGAAATGTTGTTTCCACAGAGAATTCTCATCAGCGGCTATCTCGATGGCCCGGCTCCTATGCAAAACGCAACTGTGCGTTACAATAGCCTATGAAACTGAGGCAACGAGCAATTGCAATATTGTGACCGACTTTAGCACATGGGGAGGTACAGAACTCTATCAGATTACGTATAAACTGTCAAGCTGTTATAACGGAGACGTGTACCAGTATTCTGCTTCTTCCAGGCCATACAGTCCAGAGAGTGGTGTGCGATTCTAGCAGTTGCTTAGGTTTAAGTCTGGTTTGCTAAGCACAGTCTGAGACAAAGTTGTTGGGTGGACTCACAGGAGCAGATATATCTTTTCGAATCAATCAATCTTTGATCTCAAACTAGTGTGGCTGATTGCAGATCTGTTCAGGAAAGAGCATCTGGGTTATGCTACTCAGGATCGATTCACAGTGCTCCTCCCCTTTCTGTATGCCCTCTTAGCATTGACCCCACTATCTATGGTTTCTCAGATGTAACAGGCAGATACCATGATCGCTGCAACATCTTCAGTTGCCACTGCTCAAAGTCATCCCATCGCATCAACATCTCTAGCCATGGGCCCAATTCAACCCTCTCTTCATGCTGTGGACGAGTGGATGTTCTCTGCTCAGTGGCTGAAGCATCGAGGGAAGTGGGACTGATGTTTTGTGGGAAAGTGCGACAGAAGAAGTTCCAGGCTACCATGACGGAGTACTCCTGAGAGGATGCTTCAGACATCGAGGTCGCGTTTGATTGTACTGGAGGCGCGGTACTTGATGACGAAAGATTTGTTGAAGGTTTCGCGGATTGCATCTCTGGAGTGCCATGCGAGGGCAACGACACCGACACCGATCTGTTGACCTTGGGATCTGGCTCAGATCGAAAGCGCGACCCTCGGCGGACTGTTGGATTGCATCTTCCCAAATTCTCGTGCTCCCAATTCGGATTTGCGGCATACTCTTTGCCCCACTCGGTATTTGTGAAGGCCAGAGGGATCTGTCTTCGTCGGGCTTCTGATGATTTGGTGGACCTGGAATCATGATCGGGTGATTGCAGTGAATTTATGTTGGTGTTTGCGTGGTGGTACATTATTTTGTGGGTTCGTATCGCAGCTAGCAGGAGCAGATAGTGTCAAGGAAGAAAGGGCTGAGGAATTTGAAAGATATTGACAGAGAACAATGACGGTCGTGTCTCAGACAAGGAGATATTTTTGATTTGACTTGGGGTTGTTTCCATTGTTGTTCGCATCGACTCCTTGATTGTCTCGGAATGTCTAAGACGGGATGTGTGAGAGACTTTGCAATCCATTCTCTTGTTGTGATGCCATTCTAACTGCTGGATTGGTTGATTGCCATACGCTGAAGAGGATGTAAATTTAGCACTCTGGTGACCAAACACTCGCAAAGACTTCAGACTCGTGCCTCTGCATCGATCCAGGCTTGAGTATCTTCGAGCGTTAGCGGGACCTTGCTCTTGTCCCATTTCTGTACCTCTTCTGCAATGAAGCCTTCCATAGAGATCAATGCTACAACCAAGAAGCCAAGCTCCTCCCTGTCGACATCGAAGACCTCCCACCACTCCTCACCCGGAAGCTTGACTCCTATCTCCTTGGCAGCAAGGTAAATTGCTGCTGTAGCGAGGGAAGGAGGCTGATGTGTCAGGTAGAGTAGTTGTGGACTGAACAAGGCCGAGTTGAGATGTGCAAATGCTCTTTTCGCTAGAGCCTGTCCATTCTCGGATGTCGTAAACACATCCAGCGCTTGCAAGTAGTTGATGCAAATCGCATACGGGAGGGATACATGGGTCTGAAAGCCTAGAATACGAAGCATCTGCGCTTCTGTGTGGATAAGTGCCAGTCGCCCATCCTGATAGCTGCCTTCTGATAGGAAGCAGTTCTCAGGAGTAACTTGACTGGCTGATTTGAGATCGAGTGATGGTCGAACTTTGTTCAGATATGCTAGAACGCTCAAGAGTCGTCTAGGGCTTACTGGGTGCGCGGAAGGCTTAGTCACTAAATATAGCGAAGCGGCAATGACATCCTAATAACGGGGGTCAGTGAACCGCAAATATATGAAGCTTTGGAAGGCGGCCAAGACGTGACTCAAGCTTTAATCCGAAGGCTCTTTGATCGATGGCATGAGGATCAGTCATCTCGTTCCAAACATCCTGTAGAAGCGCGACGCGATCCTTGTCAGGTAGAGGCTTACAGCCATAAGGACACGGACTCAACTGTAGACTGCCGTGTAGAAGCTATGTCGTTGTTGCCGGCAGATCTGAGCCACGTCCGGACCGCCACCCTTTACATGCATACCTTGGCAGCATATTCAGCTAAGCTTCCACCTTCGGGGCCTAGCCAGAATCTGGAAAAGACGATGATGGCTTCTGCAATAAGTTCTTGAGGAAGATACAATAGAATGCCAGCGGCTTGGATCAGCCTTGAACTTTCAAATTTTATTGAAACCTCCAAATCAGCTGGGATTCTGTCGAGCTGAGAGGCTGTTGTCTGTAGTTGATCGGGTGTCGCGAGCGGATTTGTGATGTGTGACAATCCGATCACTGGAGCCATGGTGCAGCGAATCACCTGTTGTTGACGTCGAGGTTTTCTGATATGCGGAATTCGGCACAAGAACGAATAGTCTCGAGTACCAGGGGGACCAATCTCGGTATACTAACAGATCCGTGAATGCACAGTCGTTGGAAGGAGTCACTATTGTATTCTCGCGACGCGCTGAACTCGATTGACGAGATGAAGTTGGAGCGCGAAGTGGATCTTCCGATGATGGTGCAGAATCCGCCTTGGTTTTGCTTGGCATCGAACCCACCCAGATTTTAAGGTGAAACAAGTGCAATACCTCCTGACCGCACGAACTTGCCCCAGAACGTCCTCTGCCCGACAGCTACGTTTCGAAAAGATGGCGTTATGTGAACGCTGCTCGGTTAAATCGCTGACATGCGTCGGGACCGGTTGTTGGCGCTGATATCGAACACGCGAGATGAGCCAGGAGTCGCGGCGCATGTACCGCACCTTGTCATCTATCTACAACAACTCTACAGAAGCGAGCTGGACTCTACCAGCATCAATGCTTGTAGTCCTCACGATCGGTCCGGAATGGTAACATCGCGTATGGTGCTCGTTGTTGCATGAAACAGTGGATACGCCAATATACTTGCCCTAAATCTAACTTCCAGGCACTGCCCTTGTGAGAGTACCTCGAGTATATGTAGGTTCTGCTTGCTCTTTGTGCTTCTTTGCTCAGAATCAACCGCAACTTTCGCATCTGTCCATTCGTTCCCTCACGGTCTGTGACCACCGACACTCATTCGTTCTTTCGACAATTAGCACTGGGTGCTTTGCTTTCAGCCGATTCATTCTCTAACCACACGTTTTTCGACTTCCGACTTTCAAGCACTCAAAATGAAGTACTCCACTGCCGCTCTTGCTCTTGCCGGTATGGCCACCACCGTCCGTGGCCACGGTTTCATCACATCTCCCAAGGCTCGTATGCCTGGTGATGCCTTCCAGGCTGCCTGTGGTCAGCAAGTCTACTACAACCAGGCTGGTGACAACTACGGCAACATCCAGGGTGAACTCCAGGTTGCCAAGACCCAGAGCGACTACAACGCTGAGAAGTGCCAAATCTGGCTCTGCAAGGGTTACAAGTACGAGGACAACAAGGATCTCGTGGAATCTTACACCNCCGGCCAGAAGGTCCCTATCAAGTTCGATGTTCGCGCTCCCCACGACGGTGTTGCCAACGTCTCTATCATTGATACTGCCACCAACACTGTCATCGGTACTCCTCTGATCTCATGGGACGTCTACGCCTCCAGCGCTTCGGCTATCCCTGCCGACCAGACCTCGTTCGACATCACCATTCCTGAGGATCTTGGTAGCAAGTGCTCTACCGCTGGTGCTTGTGTGATCCAACACTACTGGGATGCCAGATCGGTTGATCAGACCTACGAATCCTGCATTGACTTCACCGTCAGTGGATCTGGCTCTGGTGCCGCTCCTGCTAGCTCCAAGACCGCCTCATCGAGTGCCGCTCCCGTCTCTTCCAAGGCTGCCTCTTCAAGCGCTCCCGCCAAGGCCCCTATCACCTCCACCAAGGCCGCCTCATCCGCTGCTCAGTCTACTACCATGGCCACTATTGTCAAGTCCAGCGCTGCTCCCGCCTCGTCCGGCTCAGCTAGCGGTACTGTCGCTGCCTGGGGTCAGTGCGGTGGAAAGGGCTTCACTGGCTCCAGTGCTTGTGCTTCGGGCAACACTTGCAAGTTCCAAAACGACTACTACTCCCAGTGCGTTCCTGGCGAGAACAAGGTAACTGATGTCTCATCCCCTGCTGCCTCCAGCACGTCTTGCACAACCACCATCACTCTCACCAAGAGCTCTTCCGCTGCTGCAAACACAATGGTGAGCTCTTCCATCGCTACAAGCACAAGCGCTGACAGTGCTCTGACAGGCCTAGACCTGACCAGCGCCGTTAAAGCTCTCAGTACCGCTGTCCCCACCTCAGCTCTGACTGCTACCGCAACTGGAGCTGCCCCTAGCGGTACTGCCAAGCCTATTCCTGAGGGTTTCACTCTCAAGGACTGCCTTGACTGGATTGACTACATTGTTAGCAACGCCGGCAAGCAGTAAAAGATGAGATTGGTCGTTGCATGCTGATACTTTGACATCTGTTTGCAGTTTTGGGTTGATCGAAAGAGGAAACCATGATAGTTTTTCCCGTGGTGGTTAGAGTTTACATTCTTGCACAATTATATTATATCTTCTTCTTCTTCTCATCATCACGCTGACTGTTCAAACTTGTGAAGTCTGAATTTACTCAGGAGACAAGCATCGACAAGTTCTTTTCCCTGCCTTGCAAAATTGAGTGCCTTCCATGTGTGAGTGCCTTCCATGTGGACAGGCCAACGCAAGTGCGGGGTGGGCAAATCTCTCCCAAAGCGACACGCGACTTGCGGTCAGCCTTCTCTCACCAATCATCGATTGCACTAAAAACCATCGAGCCAGCGAATGTAGCCTTTTATTCGACGCGACTTTTGTTATCTTCTGTCGTGTAGATGCAGGACTATGACCGAGTCGACGGATCTAGGGCCAGAGAAACTCGGCTCATCCGACGACCGGGATATTCATCTAACAAACGACTCATAATATGCTCCGATGGTAAGAACACCTCAAAATCCGTATCAGAATTAGAGGTACAGAAGAATGTGATACTAATGATGGAGTAACGCCAGGCACATGGCTCAATTCCGATAGTGGCAGTTTGAAAGGTGGCGACGATCTTGCGAGTAACGTTACCAGGATTTCGAGAGCCATCAAGCCAGCCAGCTCAGACTCGATTCCACAAATCGTGTACTACCATTATGGTGTTGGTATGACCAAACATCCTGATTATTAGTTGAAGATACATTCTTACGCAGACCAGNGAAGTCAAGGTGGCATCGTTGATAGAGTCTATGGGGGAGCCACGGGTCAAGGTACGTTGCTCATCATGCCGAAAACTCTCAGCTTCTCCGTCCTCACATTAGCAATATTGATGACAGTCAACANNGGCTTGTCTGAAGCAGTACGAGAAGGATACAGCTACCTTGCGACAAATTGGGAGGTTGGCGACGAAATCTTCTTATTTGGATTTAGCCGTGGAGCGTAAGCAGACCGACCTTGCATTCCTTCAAAGGCTTTGTGTTGACTTTGTGCAGCTNTTACAGCACGTGCTATTGGTGGCCTCATCGACAACATCGGTATGCTTACCAAGGACGGTTTGCCGTACCTAGCAGAGATATTCCGAGATGTGCAGCATCGACATGATCCGGACTACAAGCCGAAACACCCCAACAAGCCATTCAAGAACAAACCCAGTGTCATGGATCCAAGGTATCGGCATGAGCTTGAAAGAAGGGGTATGACGAGACTTCGCGTTCCTATCAAGGTCATTGGCGTTTGGGACACTGTCGGTGAGTAAGAGAGCTTACGATGTAGACTCTGTCTTATGACTCTCAACANNGGCTCGTTGGGCACACCAAGGATCGGCTGGCTGGAGAAAATAGGTGTTCAGAGCTCAGCCAGCAAACGCATGTCCTTCTACGATACGAGTTTGCCTAATTGCGTTGAACACGCATTCCAAGCTCTAGCTTTAGACGAGCGAAGATCTGCCTTTGCACCAGCTTTGTGGGAGAAGAAGCCTGGTAACACGACTGTACTTCGGCAAGTATGGTTTCCAGGAGTACACTCCAACATTGGCGGAGGATTACCTGATCAGGAACTAGCCAATATCACGTTGGCCTGGATGATGTCGCAGGTAACGCCATTCCTTGATATGGACCTCGACTATGCGCTGGATCAGCAAGACGATACCGAGCAGTTTTACAAGGAGACGAAACAAAAACCACGTTCTTGGTCGTTTGGTAAGATCGTGAACTCAATGACTGGCATATATGCTATAGGCGGTGCGACAACACGAACGCCAGGACGGTACTATGTCGTCGACCCCGTCGATGGCCGCAAGACCGATGTTCCTCTGGAGGCAACACACGAATACATGCATCCATCAGTTCGGACCCGCTTCCGTCTCAAAGGACCTGGTGTAGATGATGAAGGATCCTACGACCCCAAAGCTTTGCATGACTGGAAGTTGTTCGTAGACTACGATGGAGAAAAGGGTCGAGGTGGTCGACCGGACGTCTTCTGGAAACTGCGGACAGCCGAGCGAAATGTTACTACTCGCAGAATACCAGAAGCACCACTATTGCCGCTGGAGCGAGAATTGCTGGAAATCGACCCTGAGATGGAGGAATTTGTTTTCAGACCTGCTCCTACCGCAAGAAACAGTGTTCGACGTGCGCGCGCGGGTAGTCGGAGTCAGAGTCGTAGACGATGAGAAGTTGGCGGAAGTTCGAATGGAAGTGCCATCACTCTAGCCAAGAAGTCACGAGCATGCCAGAGCACTGTTGTCCGGCTGAATGCAAGCCCTAGGGGAAGTGACTGTCGAAATGAGTGCTGCAGACATGGGCAAGTCTCTGGTTGTGAGAGACGCGTGAAGCAGAGGTTCAATCGCGTCTGCGGGAAGGAGCGAGTGACGAGCTACGTGACTAAGTGGGAGACTGCTTTGTTTGGTCGAGTAGCCCCTGAAAGGAAAGCACCCTCGACCATCATCACAAGGACGCCATCCCTCATCCGAAGAGACATAATTCTCACAGGGTGGTGCAAATATCGACCAGCGGTTAGTTGGTGCAGTGGTAGTAGTTTCAGTGTTCCTCGAATCGGTTACTGCTACCAATGTCACCCTTAGGTTCTTGGTTCGATTCCAACGCTGGTGCCACAACTTTTTTCTTTTGCACAACATCCTCTCACCTTCCAGTCCCAGCACGATAAATCTGGACACGCACATAAGCCCAACGATGCTCGACCCCTGTATCTACACTACAATGTGGAGGCACGACAGATGTCGACAAACGCGCATACCAACACCGAAGGCCTAAATATTTCATGAGGCACTCGACTTCCTCCACCAAGATGTTCGAGAACAGGAGTTTTAATCTAGTCTAGTGCAGAACAGAAATCCACAGCTCGCTCCAGCAACTGTAAACTAGCTATCTGAGGCAGCCTCCGATATATTCAGCTCGACAAAGTCACAAAGAGAAGAGGACGATTTGTGTGCCGTATGCTTCCCGAGCTACCTCCAGCCTTTATGTTTAGCAGTATCAAGCTACATCACTCGGATCACAACAGAGACAACGTTCGATGAAGGCACCAAAGAGACATATGATGTTTTTCCTCACATCATTATACTATATCAGTGGCACAATCTGGAGTTTCAAGAAGTATTCATTGATTTCATAACAACATGATATCCTCCTTTATAGGCCAAGGTGGTTAGGGTCACCACCACTAGCAGGTGCACCACCGCTTGAACCTCCTCCAGTAGCGCTCTTAGCACCATCTCCAAGTCCTGTTTCTTGATCAGCTGTTGACTCTTCGCAATTGACCTCTTGGAAGCAAACATACCCTTGGTAGTGTCACCCACGCCCTTGGTAGCAGAGCCAACGGTATCACTGGCACCCTTTCCAACTCCTTGGACAGTGTTGCCGACGGTATCGGTGAGGCCTTTGCCCGTCTTGCCTACTGTGTCTGTAAGACCGCCGAGAGCACCTTTGCATTTGGTTAGCTTCCCATAGACTTCCAAGAGCAGAAGATGAATACCTTTGTTATCAGACATGATTGCTTTGATATAGAGTAGATCAGAAGATTTGATATAAGAGTAAAGTAGAAGAACGAAGCTGCAGAGAAGAACAGGTAGTGGAATATATATATCTAGTACTTGCTGAGAGGAAGTGAGGTACAAAGCTCACATATGCCGGACAACGTCACTTTGGACAGGGATGTTGCTGCTCGCATGATCTACGCGGCATATCGCACTGCATGTTCCTGGCAAGGGTATGGAATATCTCCAGCCACACTTTACTTAGCATCGATCCAATCACCAGCTCTTGCAGTGGCTGAAGCCCGGGTTTGCATTGCATGCAATCCACTTTAGACCTTTGGCAAGAACAGAGTCGAGCTGAATCTGGTGGCTCTATGTCACGAACGTGTCACTGCTTCGTAGACATTTACGGCAGAGGTGCTGAGGCTTTGCTCGAAAACAAGGAACGATGAGGGGAAAGTTGGAGCTCCTTGCCGTGCGACGTCAGTTCAGGGAAAAGGCGGGGCATGCCAAACAAGACCCCACTATGCTCTCGGCATTATGCACAACATCAACCACAAGGTATTAATATGCATAGGTTATGTATATAGTAATAGCAACACTCAAACTACTTGTAAACATCCAAGCCTCTCAGAACATCGAAAACATGGCAGATTAGCAAGCCCAGTTCTTATGCACCCACTCGCTAAGCACATCCGTGAAACTCATGCCATCGAATGTAGTCTCTACATCCTCGACTCCATAGCTTTCACCCAGGAACCTCAAGGCCAGAAGAATCCATCGCTCAATGAACTCATTGTACACAATATCCACGGTTTCAAGATCCTTNTTGTCGGATGGCAGGTTCACTTCTGCTTGAATGCAGTTGGGAACATCGTAGAAGCGGATGGGGGCGTGGATTGTGTCGTCGCCATCTTTGCCTGCATCGTCAATCGTTGTATAGCCTGGCACAAGAGGAGTGTCATGTTTTCCACGTCCAGCGGACATCAAGACTTCTTGCCCGAACTCACGTCGGAGAGTTTCGTCAAGGGCTAAATCGTCTTCGACCTCTTGTTGGGTCCAGCTCGTGACGGGTGGTTTTGGCGGAGCGAGTTCCCAGAGGTTGCGAGGGGTGAATTTGCCCAGGTCTCTGTGAACGGCGCTCATGACCATCATTTCTGACAGAAGGATCTTGCCCTCATTGTTGAGCAATTGCAGCAGTTGCCTTGCCGCTTTGTAAGGTACGTTCTTCAGTCTGTGGAAGCCGCTTGTGAATGGCGACACAAGGAATGTAGTATCAATGGTGAAGGGTCCTTCAAAGATGTCGAAACGCATGGCGCCAGTGTTGGTGATAACGAGTTGAGGTGACTTGGTCACATTTCGAGCAGTATCGGGCAAGACTTCGTTCTCAAGCCAAGTCAAGATACTGGACTCTGAAGGATAAGGAGCTCTGTTAAGCCAGTAGTCTCTAGGGGCACAGCCATATGTATGGTCGAGATTCAGATGTTTTCTGGCAGCTGAGATAGATGCAGATACATTGCGGCCAGCCTCGGTAGTAAAGGTAGTCTCGTTCTTACCAGAGTGGCGGTGCAGTGAGTAGAGATTGTTGTCGATATAGCGACGCTTGAACTTAGGAGCCGCAGCGACTTCAGAGCCGTTCTTGTGGTGGTCGAGACCAGAAATAGACATGAAGCCAAGAGTCTCCATATAACGACCACTCTCCAGACCATAGGCAATCTTATCGAACTTGTGGTAATCCCTGATATGAGTATGACCACCGAAGAAAGCGATCGGAGTATCCCATGCTACGCTGCGGATAGCCTTATAAATGGCATCAAACTCGTTTGAATCGGAGACAGGGACATGACCAGCGACAACGAAGAGGTCAACGTCCTGTTCACGAATAGCATCCTTGAACCACTTCTCCTTGATGGTGTCTTCTACTCGCTGAACGACGGTGTTGTTGGCGTTACCTTGAAAATTGAAGAGGAAGCCAAAGGCCATGATTCTGATGCCTTGGTTCTTCGTCGTGAACTTTCTGTACCTCTGTGCAAGAGGTTGCAGCTTTCCAGTATCCGGGTTGTAGATGTCTAGGTTGGAAGCGATATAGGCCTCCTTGAAGTTAGGTACGGTGTGATAGTATTCATTGTCGGACGAGTTCTTCTTATAGAGTTCGTGGTTGCCCGAGGTGATGATGTCTATCTTTTGATGTTTGAAAATGTCAAAAGTGTATTCTCCTTTGGGGTTTGATGCATCATAAAGACCATTGCCTTCTACTCGATCGCCCGTGTCTACGAGGAGAAGATCACTGCCATCGGCATCGGCTTTCTGGCGGAGATGATGAGCAAAGGAGATATAATCGCCCCAATCAGCTGAATATTGANNGGCCTAGTTTGACACGTCAGATGTGTCTCTACGAATCCAAGCCCAGCAGACTCACTCCTGCAGGTGGCCGCCATGCCAACCATGTGTATCTGTTGTCGCCAAGAAGTTCAATTGACCCCAAGGCAATTCTCGCAANGGAGCTTTGACTGGCTCAGGAGCGGAAGGTTGAGCAGCAAGCACCGCCGGAGCCAGGGCTATAGAAAGCCAAAAGTTGTCGAATATCATTGTTGTCGCGGAGAATGAGAGAGATAAACGGGCCATTCGGGTGGTTTTAGTCGTCGCTGCCAAGACGTCATGCGGTTGCTGCGCGAGTCAGAAACACAAAGCTCGGACGTTTGACTAGCGACCTTGACTTTCGTCAGAGCAGCCGAAACACTTTGGCAAGCTCAGCGTCTTTCTCTCACAGTCAATTGCACCTCCACAACATAATGCCTTCACGATCGCCTACGCCGAGGCGCGATGCTGCGTCTCGCAGTCCGTACTCTAGAGCTTCGCGCTCGCCGTCGCGCACACCACGCCGCTCAATCTCTCCTCGACCATCTCCTAGCCCGCAACGCCGCAGCAGATCTCGCACACGCACACGCAGTCCCGCTCACTCGCGCAGTCGCAGCCGATCCTATCGCGCTCGCAGCACATCTCGAGGTCGCGATCGCAGTCCTACACCCCCAATGCCTCGAAGCTCAAAAGTGAGTTGATGCCTCACTCTATACATTTCGCAGCAGCTAACCACCTTACTCAGATCGTGATCGAGAAACTGACGAAGAACGTTACACCCGCTCACTTGAACGAAATCTTCAGCACATATGGCGCCATTGCTGATCTCGACATGCCGCTAAACAAATCCTTCAACACAAATCGCGGAACCGCATACGTTCTATACACAACACCCGAGGCCGCCGAGCGTGCGATAGCACACATGCACGAAGGCCAACTGGACGGCGCAAAGATTGGCGTCAGCATCGTGTTACCACGCCGCAGATTCAGCAGATCTCCACCAGCAAGACGTCCACCACCAAACCGCTTCGGAGAGCCACACAGATACAGGGACATGGCTGTTGCAGCTGCAGGAGGCAGGGGTGGAGGTGGAAGGGGTGGGAGAAGGCGAGGCGGTGATGATGGAGATACCTATCGTCCTGGTCCTGCAAGAGATGGTCCGCCCAGAAACAGGAGTTATAGCCCAAGAAGCAGGAGCCTGAGCCGCAGAAGCCCGAGCAGGAGTCGCAGTAGAAGCATGACTCGCAGTCCACCTAGGAGAAGAGGAGGAAGCCCTAGAGGGGGGAGGTAGAGGCGGTGGTAGACGCAGGAGCCCAAGCTACAGCAGCTACGGCTCACGCAGCAGAAGCAGAAGCAGAGACCGCAGACGATGAACGTCCCGTTGACCGAGACGAACCAACTACCTCACAGCAACGCGTGGGAACATGAGAAGGCAGCAGCTTCGATGTCAGATCATTCGAGTCAAACGACACAGCAATGTCGCGACATGGTGCTCGAATCGGCAGTTACCTACTCGGATCTCACTGTGTTTGGCTACGAAAAACACCATGCACTGGATCACGAGCAAGACTTAAGACACTTTTGGAGACAACGACGGTATACTCGAAGAGCACAAAAGCGTCTCGAAGTCATGCGAACTCAGATGTTCCGCACCAAGGCGTCGCAGAATGAACTAGATACTCGAATCCAGACTAGGATCCTCTGCTAGAAATCATAATGCTGGGACGGCACAGACTAGCCAAGTTCGTGAGAAGAATTAGATGAAAATGCTATCGAATATACTACAAGAAAACATCCGTCCTATGCATACCTATGTGTACCCGTGCCTAAGCCCCCAATAACGCCAGCAAAAATCAAGTCATACACAAGCTCATAAATCAGTCTTGATGTTGCTTCCCTCAGAATGTTGCCACTCCTTGCATTTGCCGACGTAGTTCCTCTTCAAGCACTTCTTGTGAGACGAAGTGGGCTTGGGCTTTGACTCTGTAGCAGATGGATCAACGCAGATGAAGCCGAACCACTCTTTAGATGTGCACTTATGGGAGGCGGTGGACGTGTCTGACACCGAAGTGCTTGTTGAAGATTGCTTGGTTGAGGTTGTCGAATCGTGACAACCGAACCATCCAGGTGTTTCGCATGTGGTACTGGAAGTCGTGACTGATGCGGAAGAGGAAGACGACGGAGCGGTAGTTGAAGTTGTGGTAACGGTCGGCGCAGGAGCAGGCGTTGCAATACTACTGGTTTCGGTCGTCGTGATTGTCGACGTAGCTTCTGATTTGCACCCGAACCAGCCGGGCGAGAGACAAGTTGTCGTCGTGATTGTTTCTGTTGTAGTCACGGGTACCGTGATACTGCTGGTCTCATCCAAGCATCCCCACCATCCAGGCGTCTTGCAAGTCTCTGTTCTGGTGCGCGTGGTCGATGTCGCAGAAGAGGAAGCAGAGCTAGTTGTTGTCTCAGTGCCATTGCTTTCGAAGAACTTCCACTCGTAGCAATCAATGCAGTCTTCATCTCGTTTGCATGAAGGAACGGTGTCGTATTTCTGAATAACGTCGTGGATAACACTGCTGATCTTGTGAGTGCCAATTGCTTGCCTCCACCCAAAGTCTGCGACTGTATCATAAGTGCATGTACTTCCAGTATGGCAATTTCCTTGGAAGGCGTATCCACCGATAGTGCAGCCAGAAAANGCAGTGTTGCAAGTTCCGTCATAGATAGGATCGGCAGTATGTCCGAAGTGATAAGCACCAGTATGAGGACGCTTCTTGTGATCGCCAATGTGGTATCCTGGAGGGGTCGGAAGGCCGAGACGACTGGCAGCGAGTGCTTCAGGGAAAGTCTCGAATGTGACGGTCGGCAATCCGAAGGTTAGACCGAGAAGCGACGTAACGACACCACCCAGCGAATGACCAGTCAACCAGATATCTGCGTTAGGATAGAGCTCAGTAACATTGTGGTATAGGTCTTGAGCAGCTTGGTAGTAATGAGCTTTGTTTCGCAGATTTTTGACTAGACAGGTCGAGTTGCAAGTGAATGCCGACGTCTGACAGTCGCAGACTTGCTTCCACATGGCCTGACCACCCTGGCCGCAGCAACAGCTTCCAAACAGGTTGTCATTGAGCTTGTCGTTTCCAGTCGTGTCTGCGCCATCAAAGACAGCGGGTGAAGTTCCCTTCAGGCCGATGATAACAGTCTTGTTTGTAGTATCGGCAAAGATATGGCCGCGCAAGCCATCGCTCTCCCATCCAAAGTCTTCAGTGTAGTTGAAGCCTCCTCCGACATCGACCCAGTCACCAGTATGTGGTTTGAGAACGTAGGCGTTGGAGGCCATACGGGCAAAACTCAAGATAGTCTGCTTGTCTGTGATGTTGGGACCGTCTATTTCATCCATGGACCAGGCAGAGGAAGGTAGAGAGACGGCTTCTCCTCGCATCTGACCAGCTTCCAGTAGACGGTCGATAGTGGAGCGACGGCGATCGGCCAGACGTTCTATGGTCATGGGACCTGAGTTTGTACGGTATGAGTCGGCGGGCGACACAGTGACAGCATACTCGGTATCGTCATCATCTTGAATGTGCTCGAGAGTGGTAGCGGAAGTGATATCGACCTTGCGCAGGAGGTTCGGGTACTGGTGGGAGCCCTTATGGAAGATTTGCCTCAGAGTAAAGTCATGTTGTCGTGATGGCGCAGGGGCGTTATCGATGGGAATGGGAGGCAGCAGGACGTCTTGTGGGCTCTGGCGGCGAGCAGCTGTGGCGGGCTCGACGGCGAGCGAAGATAAGGCGAGTAGGTGAAGCAGAAAGTCGAAGCTGCTTCTCATTGTGGTTCTGCAGAGTGAGAGAGGGCGCGAGATGTTGTTAGAGAGCAGCTAACTCAGATAACATGGTTACTAGGGTAGGTGATTGCCTGGGTGTCATGCGGGCAACGGGTACATTAGTGGGAAACATCTGGGGTTTCTTGGCATCTGTCATCGACAAAGGGCAAGCCACAGACAGCGTGAACGCGCGGATTCGCAACTGTGGCTGGAGGCAGACGACAAGGTGGGGTTGATCTGGGTCAATCAGAGCATCACGACTTCGCAACGAGGGCACACGACATATCTACCACCAAGTCCCATGATTCCTTGTCCTGCTGCCTTGTCATGCACCTCACATGAGTCTGTCACTACCTCTCGACCTTGACTAAACCGCCCTTCCTCCCCCGACGTTTCCCGTCAAGTTTCCAGAGCTTGCCGGCGTTGGACAAGTACAGACCCTGCAGATCACAAACATGTCCAACTCGTCCTCTCCAAAACAGGCCCCAAGGCCTCGTCCGTTACATGTCTCCAGATCCTTCACTCGTTTGGACCCAAATCCCGAATCTCTCCCAGCCTCGCCATCCCGAGCGAGAGCTAGCACTATCCAGACCATTCCGGAAGCANAAGATATGACCTCTTTCTCCCACGGCGATGTCTTTGAAAGTGTCGAGGAAGACAAGGCTGAAGAACCTGCAATCAATGTCCCTCCTACATTTGACCAGCTTCCCATCGAGATCCGCAGCCTGAGCGAGCGCTTCCTCAAGTCTCTATCTGCCAGGACTCACGCCAACCCGCTGAACATTGATACCATCTCCGAACTATTCCAAGACTTCTACGAGCAAGCAGAATCTCACATCTCCACTCATATCGCAACCCTTTCCACTCGCCTGTCCAGAGAAAAATCTCCCTCGCGCTCCGCTGCCACAAAAGCATTAGGAGGTGCACTCAAGGCCAGGAAGCAAAGCATTGAACAAACCGTCTCTGCAAATGGTCAGGGTGAACAACAGATGCTGACCGCTTCCGAGGTTGCCGACCGTCGCAAGGCTCGCCGGGATCTGGAGATAAAGAGACTCGCTTTGGAAGAAGCTGTTGAAAGAGCCGTGTGTGAAAAGGTCTACGACCGCATATATAGACACAGGAGTGCCGACGATGAGGAGAGAGATGCAAAGCTCCGTTCGAGAACTGCTGCCTTGTCGCTGGTCGGTATCGGCTTGAAAGAGCTACATGTTGACATTGAGCCAGCCAAGGGCAATGGTCTACCCACCGATGAGAAAGAGCTACATGATGAGATCTTCAAACTGCTGGCCCCAGCTAGAGACCATCTTCAACGCATGGACGACCAACGTTATCCTCTAGGCAAGTTGCAGATGCTCACTGAGGCCCACAAGAGCATCGTTGAAACACTATCTCGCATATTCCCTTCCTCTTCATCTGCCGACGAAGTCCTGCCTACTCTTATTTACACTCTGATGACTTCACCTCCTGAAACAATAAACGTCATCAGCAACTTGCACTTTATTCAGCTTTTCCGTGCACGCGCAAAGGTTGACGGTGAAGCTGCATACTGTCTAGTCAATCTCGAAGCTGCCATCTCTTTCCTCGAGACTGTCGATTTAGCTTCTCTAAGGGCTGATGAGGCTTCACAAGGTGGCCTTAAGAAAGAGACTCGCAACGAGAAACCCACCGACTTTGCTCGTCCATCCAGTCCCAAATCGCTCGCCCCTGGCTTGACAACAACATCAGCCATCTCTTCAGACCTTAGTCCAGGAGATACCTCACTCAAGCCTCTGCCTTCCCAGGCTTTTCTCAGTAACCCACCACGACCAGGATTCGGCCAGCGTCGCTTCTCATCACTGATACAAGCACAAGCTGAACGCATTGAAGCCAGTCGAGATGAACTCATGAATTCTGCTGACCAGGCTTTTGACGCCATTAACTCAACCCTCGAGAACAGCTTTAAGTTTCTGTTTGGCCGTATGAAAGAGCAAGGCGCTGGAACTGAAGACTCTCCCATAGTCATGCCGCGAACTCTCGAAGATGCGCGTAAGCTTGTCAGTTCACCACCTCTAGTACCCATGGACAGCCACCCAAGTTTTGCCGAGTCACTGTCCTCGAGCCCTCCAGCAGAACCTCTCTCGGCCCCTCGAGTCGACAACGCTATGCTGAATTTAGTTGGTGGTCGCCTGCGAGAACGCAGTGTAGACAGTAACCGCAGCACAGGCAGCGGCAAGCGTGTGCTCTTCGCAGAAAAGTCGAACGCTTCTGCACTCCCTAACAACGCCATCTCGTCTTCCCTTCCCACACAATCGGCTGTCGAATCTATGGGCAACCTCATGAACTCCATCAACCCTCTATCACGTTTTGGTGGCTTTGGCAAATTCGGTCGTTCTGCATCTGGTAGTGGTTCTTCCACCCCTTCCACACCTGCTGCTTCATCTGCTGCTATTGCCGAGAAGACCAAACAATTGGGACATATCCCTGAATCCGAAAAGTCGCCTGTTCAAAACAACAACGTACAGGCAGAAACCGACCTAGATGCTCTGGAGGCATTAGCACAATTGAAAAAGGCAACGCCACCAGTCCAAAAGTTCGTCGATGCGAAGAGTGCTTCCGAGTTGAGAATTGGCGATGTAGAAGAACTGTTGAAGGATTATCAGCGATTGGCTGCTCTGATCAGAGAGACTGTCAATTCATAGATTCTGTTTTCTCGTGTGTTTTGGTTCGGGGATTTGGCGTCTTTGGATAGCCTTGGGTAAGGCTTGTGGTATTGAAGAGGTATGGAAGGAGTTTCACCTTGGTTAGGGATGCTGCAGAGGAGCATAGACAGCACAAAATGCCATGTGAGGCTAGAGGATCTAAACAAGAGTTGTTTCGGCATATAAGGTATGCCTTTGTATCAAGACCTGTTTTAGCATCGCTCTCCTGAACACACTCGTATTCTCTGTGGTAGAGTTGAGTTCGATATCATATCAGGGCTTGATTGTTAAGGCTGCTGCTTGACGATTGCAGCGATGATGCTGTGCAGGCTGAGCCTTGTTAATGAACATGCATCTCTCCCATCGAGAAGACACTTGCCAAGACAAGAGAGCAAGCACCGGATTCAACTTGAAGCACCCATACAGTATGCTCAGTCAAGTCATAGTCTTTCGTTCCATTGTCTCAAAACACGCCTCTATACTCATAAACACATTCAAGCCAACTTAAACTCTGCCAACCCCTTCTCAAACCCACCAACCTGCATCCCCGTACTTCCCCCACCCCCAACCTCCTCCACCCTGTCCACCAATTCCAATTTCCTCTCTCTAGCCTTTTCGGTTCTCAATTCATAAACCGTAGAAACATTAAACAGCAAAGTAGGAAACAGGACCTCATCTTCTGTTACCAACACCTCTAGGATTTCTGATGCGAGAATAACGTTGTTCGTGTAGAGGTATGCGATGGCGAGGTTGTGTTTGATTAGTGGGTTGGAAGGGTAGGTTTTGGCTAGAGATTGTAAAGAGGAGACGGCGGTGGGGAGAGAGGAAGAGGAACAGTGGGTAAGTGCTTCCAGGACTTGTTTTTGTAGGTTGAGGTTGTCGTCTGTTGTTGAGCAAGTAGCTAGACAGTCTTTTGCTGCTTGTGTATCGCCAATCTTGAGCAAAAGAAGTGTTTTCCGAATACACATTTTGTCGGTTTCGAGTGTGTCGTTGGCAGTGCTTGAAGAAGATAAAGTATCCAGATGTCGTCTTGCCGTCTCTAATTCTCCCATCTCAATGAGTTCGCCAGCAACCCTAAGACCCAAATCTTCTAACCTGTTCTTCCAGACTGTAAAAGCGGAATCGTCTTTTTCTGTTCTTGCTTTTTGAGCCAAAGTACGGCATTCGGAAGATAAAGCGTATAGCCCCATAATAGCTCTTCTGTGCATATCCGCCGTTCCCAGCACTTGAAGCTTGAGAAGCAATAACCGTAACGACCATGGTATTTGCGAAAGAAAGATTTCGCGGTGTGGACGTGTGTAAGTGCTGCTTTCCCTTGCCAACAAATCGGATAGTGGCTTTGCTTCTTTGGCGGCTAGGGTGCTTTGGTTGCAAATTACTAGACAGGAGAACCGTGTGTATAGCAAGTCAAGGATTCTTTGTGTGTCGGAGGGAGAGATGGAGCCGGAAGTCAAGATGTCTGCGGCTTTGTCTGCAGCGTGTACGAATCTCCGATTTGACAACAAGGTATCAAGATCTGTATCTGGTGCTGGTTGGTGTGAGGAGTCCAGAAAGGGAGCAGCGATGTGCGTTGTCGGTACAGGAGCATATAGAGAAGGACGAAGTAGGAGGGAGAGGTCTAGTTGCATGGTTCGAGCTGCCGGACTCTTTGATCGCGTTCGTACTGATGCAGAGTTTTGCTGGGCAGGAGAGAGTAGAGACGAGGCAGGCGATGCTGTTCGGACTGGCATGGAAGTGGGTGCTGGTGAAGGCGGTAATGCGGTCTGTAGTGCTGGTGTTGGTGGTTGGAAGGTCGGTACAGCTNNCTTCGCGCAGTTTCGTCAGCTTAGTCTACTTCGAGAGGGGTATCCTCATGCGACTGACGATGCATCTACATCCAGCGGGCCTTTTGTGCTACGCCGTGGCATTGCAACTAGAGGAGTGTTAGCTGTTGATTGGCTTCGCGAGAGACTCAATGCCATACCGCGTCTCGTGTCGCTTGATTGATGTCTGGAATGCCCCTGCTCGGGTCTTTGTGGTGTCGCCATATCTTTTATCTGATCCTGGAAGGTCGTAGGAGATGAATGTTGTTACTTCGCAACTGTTCGTATCTGACGTCTGCCATGCTTATCTCCTCTTATCGCCGGCTATACCAGTAATTTCTTGTTACTCCGGACACCCTGGCGACACTTGTTGTCCAGGATAGGTGCGCAATCAGCTCACGAGTAGTGATTCTACTCCGGCAAAGGAACACAGTGGTAGCACTGAGTTGTCGTTTGAATGCTTTACAGTCTTACGGAAGCATTGCCACCACGCAGACGTGTTTTATCAGTGATGTAAAGCTTCCAGGTAAGAACACCCAGACAACGCCGTTCGTGCAGCGCTTCTCGCGTACGAAATTCCTGGTTACTGGAAACTGAAATTCTTTTGCAGACATGTATGCATGGATGCGTTTATAGTATCCAACTCAACTAGAGCAAGACGGTAAAATGTACGCTAGAACATGAAAACGAGCCAACAGCAAAATAGCCCATTTACACTCCTGATCGTACCAATGCCTGTCCTTTCGCACCCTTCTTGAATCCGTAGAGAGTCGATGCGCTTCTTTCTTTTTAATACAAATCGGCGCGAGCTTCGTGTAACATTAATCGATGCATTCGTTCTTGCGTGGTTGTGTTGGCATAAAATCAGTTGCTGTTCTTGGCGGCGTAGTTCTTCTTGCCAAAGTCCCATGGGACGTATCTGTACTCNTGTAGTTTTGTCTGTTAGCTCTCCACATCCTGGCAGTATATGCGTGTCAAGATTCTCTTACTCAGCATGTGCTGAATCTGGCGGCGCATGGTCAAGACGACCAGAATCAACCAGTATACGACAAGAACAGGCCAGAAGACGGGCAAGTTGAAGATCTCGCTCCATGAACACAAGAAACCAATGACAATAGCGCGGGTGGCTGCGTGCCAGAACTTGAACTCGGGGAGGCGGCGCACGAATGGCTTGAACTCATCGGTTGACTTTGTGGGAAGGTCTCCACTACTGCCTTCTTCCATATCCTCGGCGGACTCGAGACCGGGATCGAACTTGGGCGAGATGAAGGCGAGGAAAAGGTTCAGGAGGTAGATGCCAAGAGAGTATGCGACTGCGGGCAAAAAGTGTTAGAATGGCTTGTACCCAGACAAGACAGGTAAAATGTTCGTACCAATGTACCAGCCTTGAGCAAAGAAGATGCGCAGAGCGAACATGAAGAAGATAACACCGGTTCCGATCCAGCGGTATGTCTTGTACGGCGTTGACTTGTCCAGGTAGGATTGGTAAAGCTGTATTTGAACCATAATTCTTAGCCTATGCTCTGGATACACACTGTCGGTCACACATAGACGCAGCGCGAACAAGACCCATTTCTTTCCAGGTGCCTGTGTATTGACAGGGGCGAAGAAGCTCACCATTCCGGCTCTTGTTGTTTGGGCGCTGACGGCCGCGAAGGGCGTATCGGGTTCAGGGCTGTCCATGATGGGACGAAGACGATGCGAGTCGGGCTGAATCTTGGACGGGTCTATCGCAGTCTGTATGCGACGAGGTTGCTGAAGGTGCGGCGACAAAAAGCAGGGGTTTGTTGATGTGAACAGGTGTTGGCGGGCAACCGCTGGACTAGCAACTCGACCGCTCAGCCTCAATCCGTGGCGGTACATCTTGCATGCACAGACCAACGCGCCCTCCAGCCACTCTGAGTGCTCACATTTATCCAGTCTCATTGAATTAAGAAGAAAACAGGCAGCAAATTTCATACTCCTAGAAACATCCATAATATCCATCAGAGCCCAAATAACGACAGAGGTATCATCAAGCAGACCGCCCAACCAGATCAGTCCAAACGCCATGATCATGCCAGACCATCCGACATGACCAATTCGTCAAGCCATTATAAACACCCCTCTACTCGTCGAGGTCCATATCTTCCACCTTTGATTCGAGATCCACGCCGTACTTCTCATCGTCGGCACCCATCTCTTCTCTTTCCTGCTCCTCGCATTCTCTTTCCACCTCTTGAGCCACGAGCTCTTCTTGGGCCTCAAGACTGCTCTGGATGTGAACCTTGAACTTGATAACGTCGTTTAGCGTGTGTTCAAGCTTTGTGTGAAGCTCTTCACGAAGTGCCGAACATGCCAGTTTGAACTGCTCATACTCAAGATTGGTCGTCATCTCGCGTTGTTCCATCGACTGAACTGATTCTGTGTATTCAGTACGCATCCTGGCAAGCTCCTTTTCCATCTTCTCGATTTGTGCATCAGAAGCCATCTTCTGCGAGTTTGTGATNCTGTCACCTGTTAGTAAAAATACTCGCATCCTTCTGCTTGCACCGTGACTGACCTCCTTCGTCTTCTCAAACTCGTCTTCCGCAGCGCGTACGCGATGTTCCAAGGTCTCAGTCTCGGCTTTCTTGTCTCCAATGGCCTCCTTGATCTTGTCAAGCAGATCTTGGTTGTTCATGTCATCCTCAAGAGCTTTGTTCCTGCGTTCGCTAATCTTTTTNCGGAGGTTGTTCATGTCACTCTTTAGGCTACCTCGAACATCAAGATTCAATAAGTGACGCGGTTGGTATCCAGTACCCGTCTCGGCTAGTAGGCGATCAGAATCTTGTGGTTGCTCGCCCATCTGAGATGATCCGAACGCAGGGCCCTCATTAGTGGTGAGAATCAACTCGTACTCTTGACCGCGAGCATTTGGTGCCTCCGGAGGGATGACTCCAATCTCGTATGCCATGCGATTGTACCTGGAAACCACAGCCTCAAGCTCTTCAAGCCTTTGAGCTGCTTCTGCTTCTTTCTTGGCGACTGCATCACGAGTCTCTTCCAGTCGCAAATTTGTACTTTCAACACCGGTTTGGAGTCGTTTGCGTTCAGCTGTCATGCGGTCGATATCCTGCACGGTGATGCCTTGTCGATCGACCATTTCTTGCAAACTGTTGCGTTCTTGCTCTGCATCTGCAAGTTCCTGATCAAGACGCTGCATTTCACTCTCCAGCATGCGCAGACGATCTTCGTACTTCTCAACCTTCTTGTCGATGCTGTTGTTGTAATTCTCGAATTTGACTCTGTCTTCCTCGAGAATCTTGTTTTGCTCATCGAGTTTTGCCAGACGAGGAGCAGTCTTGCCGAGTTCGTCAATCTGCTCCTGAAGCTGCTTGCTCTCCACTTCTAGAGCCTTGACCTGTTCGAGATTTTGTTGGTTGGAAGCCTCAAATTTGGCCGCCATCGCATCGACATGTGGTTGAATCAGCCTTTGAATAGCTTCTTCGTCATCCTCGTCGTCGTCATCGTCGACCGACAACCAGGTACGGTAAGCATCACTCAAGAACTCGAAGGTAATGCGATCGGCCGAAACGTCGTGGCCGGACTCGATGCAAGCCTCGTCGTAAGTACCAATGCTGAAGTGCTCCATCATCTTTGCGAGTTGCATCATCCAGTGGAGCATACCAAGGAAAGTAAACCAGTTGTTGCCTCCCACAGCGGCAAGTTGTGATTTTGTGATATTTCTCTCGTAAGGGTAACGGAGCTGCTTGAGCAGCGGGGGCACTTCCTGGTCGATGTTCTTTTGGAAGCGGTATGCAGGATCGATGCAATGGTAGAGGAACTGGAACATCATGTTGAAATCTTTNTGGGTCGGCGAAGTCATGGTCTTGTGTGTCAAGGTGTGCTTCATTTCCATCTCGAAGTTTCGCTGGGTGAGGAACTCCATAAGCTCGGTACCCATCTGGTTACGAGTGGTTGGATCGCGTAATCTGCGAGGATCCTGAGGAGGCTGATTGGACGGAGGCGCAGTCGCAAAGAATGATTGATGACCCATGGGACCGCCAAAAGCAGCCGAGGGCCGAGCACTGTATACGCTGCTGCGGCGTTGAGAAGTGTCGCCTAGCTGAAGAGCAGGAGCCGGAGTGCTACTGACTGGCGCATAGCTCTTTCTGCCTCCGGTACTGTTGAACATGTTTTGAGTCGAGGGACGTTTGACGGTCGAGAGGCCAAGATCAGCGAGGTTGGTGCCAGAAGATGCGCGGTGGAAGTCAGGCTGCCTAGGAAATCCCGGTGCCAGAGACATGCGAGAACCAGACGTCGAGCGGGCATGCGAGGCGGATTGCATCTGGCCGAGACCGAAGGAACTCTGGCGCTTCATGGCCGAGGCAGGCATAGGAATTGCGGATACATTGTGATTGATTGGGCCGAGGGTCTATGTCAAGGTCAGACGGGTCCATCAGCAAGAGCAGGCAACTCGACTGACCTCGCGAGGGCGGCGCACAGAAAAGATGCCCTGGTCTTGCGACATGATGTCGCCTAGTAGATGTTGACTTTATGATAAGGGTTCCAGAGATGTGATAGGTATAGCTCAGTGAGTAAGAGGACGCGGAAGAGAGCACGCAGCAAAATGTCGTCAGTAAACAAAAGTTGCAGGCCAAAGTAAACACACCTGACGGGCATCAACAATGCCAAGGCCGAGAGGCACGAGCGCTCAGAAGAACAGGGTCTCCCCGCAAATGCCTCGGCTCATGCGTCGGCCCTATCGGCCTATGACACTTTGCCGGCCGCTCTCCATCTCCATCTCCATCTTGATGCATCTGTCCTGTTGTCGACACCTGTAATTTCGCGTCTTTTCTAGACTTGGGTTACCCAACTTCTCAGACTGTCAAGATGGTGCGCGAGCAGCTCATCGTCAGTGCTGTAAGTGAAGCTTCAATCGAGTCAACTCCGGCATGCGTGATAAGCTAACCATTGCTCACAGGTCTCATGTATGCGACTAGTCTTTAGCTTCTCTCACACTCGATCTGACATCTTCACCTAGTTCTGCAAGATCCCTCTGTCGCTTCAGCTCCGGTTGACCAACGAATCGCTTTCCTCCGCTCCAAGAACTTGACCCAAGAAGAGATCGACCTTGCTCTACAACGCGCCGGCTCAGAACCACCTACTTCCCNNCCCCCTTCACAAGCACAAGTACAGCAATATCAAAGCCCACCACCTCAACAATACAGCCAGAATGCCTACTGGCAACAACCTCCACCACCGCCTCCCGAGCTGCCGCGACGTGACTGGCGGGATTGGTTTATCATGGCAACTGTAGTGNGGGGTTTGGGTTTCGGCGCCTACACTGTCGCAAAGCGTTATATCTATCCTTTGATTGCTCCACCTACACCGCCGCAGCTCGAACAAGACAAGGCTGCCGTCGATGCCTCTTTCGAGAAAGCCTTTGCCCTGCTGGACCAACTCGCAACAGATACACAAGACCTCAAGTCGTCTGAGCAGGCTCGTACAGAGAAGCTTGATACTGCCCTCTCTGAGGTCGAGTCGGTCATCGGCCAACTCAAGGATGCGAGCAGAAGGCGAGACGATGAAGGAAGGAGACTGAATGACGAAATCCGTGGGCTAAAGGATATGATCCCTGCTGCCATGGACGCACAGAAGAAGTCAGCTGATCAGCGTTTGGCCGATCTGGCTACCGAGATGAAGAGTCTGAAGACATTGATCAACAACCGCATGACGGCGCCGGCACCAAGAAGTCCCAACCCCTCTGCTCCTACCTTTAACCCTGCCACCGGAAGCGGTGTTGCAGCTGCAAGTGCAGTATCGGCACCGGAGCCTTCTGCGGCAGAATCCACATCCACACCGACTACAGATACCAAGTCTTCGGTCCCCGATCGTTCTTCTACGTCCAGTCCTTATGGACGCTCAATGAACGGACGTGCTGCCATACCTGCGTGGCAATTGGCTGCCAACAAGAAGAATCAGGAAGCCAAGGAGAAGAGCGGCACTGTCGAGACCCCTGCTGAGAATGCCACTGCTTAATGAATACGACAATGAAGTCCCACGTACGTACGTATACAAGAGAAGTAGTCCTAGGCTTCCAAAAATAGCATGAACAATCTTACGAGCCCTACTATTCAAGACACCATACAGCCTTGTTGACGCCGAAGTGGGAATCAGGTCAGTCAGGAAGGGTATGCAGTTAGAACTAGAAAAGATCAGCGAACTTTCGAGTAACCTCAAAGAGCTTTTTGAAATGTCGTCGGCAAGGACGAATCGAGACAAGGACAGGGTCCGGTAAAAGCATCCAGGCCATTGATCTTATCAGAGTTTATAGTTATCGACCAGTTAGAAACTCAGTACGAGAAACGACCCCTCGACCTGTATGTGGACCCGAAGGGTCCATTCAACCTCGGCCGAGGAGGAGAGCCAACCTACACAAGATGTGATCTTTTGATGAAACCTGTCCACGCGGCATGATTGGCCAGTTTGTGTGATTGAGCGAGCCGATATCTGCTTTGTGAAAGTTTTCTAGATGCTCTTCTAAACGGCAGCATCCGGCTCGCTCAATTGCACCCATTGTGAATCCTCTGGTGGCGTGGTTCTCGTATGGCTGTATGACCATGATATTAGTGTGAATAGCTCAGCAGAACTCCGGCTTCATTCGGTTTGTGCATGTATCAACTACTACCGAGATCTAAAAAGCAATGCTCATCCAAGCTGAATCGTGACACGACTGCCGACAGAATGATGACTTGGTTTAGATAAATTTCGTCGCCTTTTTGAGTCAAGAGAGATTGGCTCGGACAGGAAAGCCGCCGACACGTGGAAATCCTGTTTGTGGAGTTCAAGCAGGGTTGTTTCTCCCAACGGTCAACCGAAGCTAGACAAACTTTTACACTTTGCTCCAGTGTTGCAGCCAGCTGTTGAGCCAGAACCTACGCAACTCCTTCTATCTGTCATTCACGTTGCATTGCAATATTTCACTGGATTGATCAATCTGGTGGGCAAACCACATCGGGACCTTGCTAGGGCTGATCTACGAGGCCATGTGGATGATCTACAAGGGCATGGAGGAGATGAGACCTGGCACGCGGGCCGGGAGATCAGATATAGTATTTCCAATTCTGTAGGAACCGTGCTCCTCCTCACCTCACCACCTCTGCGCCTTCTCTCGCTTCGCCGTCGCCTTCGAGAACTTGTGGCACGTTTTGCCAAGGATGCTTGCTGATGCATCTGCCATTCGAAGGCCACCAGGTACCGGCAGGTTGGTTAACCTCACATTACCATCAGTTCGAGTCTTGATGAACCACTCTCTATACTATCTCGAGACTGTCATGATGTACGATTGTTTCCTGGCGATACAAACTTCGTGACTTTGAGTCAGGATTGAATCAAAACCTCCCTCGTATTCATTGGGCCAACTTTGGATCCAACACACCCTATCGTCCGCGTTTTAGCGCACTGCCTCGAACTTTAGCGACTGCACTCCAATCAGTCGAATTCGCCCTGTGCTCCCGGCAGTCGTCCGGTATGGCTGAAACTGACACGACATCGCCTGACAATGCCTGCTCTCAACTCCATAAATTCATCGTTAGGGCTTGGTTTTCTGGAAGCTTTAAGCTAAAGTCTAAGTCCATGACTTGTGGTACGAGTACGACTACATACTCTACCATCGCCCTATATGGGGCTCTGCTCCCATATTGGATGGAAGGCCTTCTCCTGTCCTCCTACTTGTTCGGTTCCCAGTCGTCGGATCCAATCAATTTATTACGGATTGATTGCACGAAGTTATGTCTGACGGAGGCATGATTCCTGCGGATGCCCAGGGTCTGGCAATTGTTGTCTTGTTGTACACACTCGCCAATGCCCTGGTCGCTGGGTTAGTGGTACTCATGCACATGCGCCATGGCGATCCTTTCGGATNNGTAGGACTCCCCAGTCCACAGTGGCTGATGTTAATACACATACTGATGTATCTGTCTATAGATGTCCCACTATGTGCATGCTTCATGATCGTCAATATTGTTGCCGCCTTCGTCCAGCAGATACACTTTTACACCAGCTTCGAGACCATCCAGACCGCTAGCTACAACTACCAGATCAGTGGTAACTATACTGGAAAGCCGGCTTTCACTGGAACGAATACGCCGTTGGATACTACGCTCTACGAGATCCAACTGTATTGCTATAATGTCGAGTCATTGCTTTTCTTGTCCTGGATTGCTGGACTTTGGCGTCATGTCTGGCGTCTGCGTATCGAGTTGCTAGACAAAGGTGGCCATGTTGTGTCCACCACAGTCAAAATTGCTTCTATGGTTGTGCCAGCAATCCTGATTGGCATCGCCAATGCCTCTTCCGTTGACCGTACTCCTGGAGTCTCACTGATCCTCTGCAATATCTTGCGTAAGTTGATTCTTTCCGGTCTGAAAATTGACAGCACACTAACGATCGACATAGTGGCTGGTAGCGTCGCAATCGGTCTGATACTCTTAGCACTCGTCTTCTACAAGTACGTTTCCATCCAGAAGTACTTGAGCGACTCATCATCGGCCAAAGGTGGCTTCTTCGCACGTCTCGGATGGCGCATCAAGTTCTCCCTGCCCAGCTCCTCCAAGACAAGGAGTCAAAGGAGCAGAGTTATGGCAAGCCAAGCTCAAAGCCAGAGTGGCATGCATAGCCATATGCAAAGCGGAAACTTCAGTCGAAGTGTGAACGATCAGACTGGATCACAACTGCCTGCTCGCGAACCAAAGTCTGGCCCACGCAAGAACGACTCGATCTACGACAAATGGCTGCTGATTCGTTTCTGCATCTGTTTCGTCTTGCTTTGGTAAGAACCACGACCTCCCATACCGAAATCGACCTTTTGCTTACCACCAATANGTATTATGCAAATCTACCTTATCTACTACTCGATCGCTCGCTACCTCGGCTCAACCGCAGACGCCAAAACTGCAAAGCTCGACCTGTCCGCAGGATCCGCCATAATCTCCCTTGTGATGTTCATCCCCGGAGTGACATTAGGACTATTGATCTTCATCGTCTTCGGCACAACAGGTCCCTTCCGTCGTGACTACGCCCGCTGGGCCCGTTTCATCGTCTCCACCTGTCTAGGCCGCCGCAGCAGCAGGAACTCTCTCGCCTCTGGATCCCTGCATCGTACTGAGAGTGTAGTACGCTTGACAAATCTAGATCGAAAGACCAGCCAAAATGGTGGCAACGAAGAGACGGGATTGGGTGTTAAGGGCCCTGATGGCGAGTATAGAGTTTCTGTTACGCCGCTTGCTGGAGAAGACAGTGATTATGAAGAAAGGCAGTTGGGAATGGGGATTATGATGACGAGGAGCGTCAAACAGAGTGATGAGAGATAAACAGACTGGCATCACTATACAATACACTTCTCTTTGTCTACTTCATTCTTTATGCTGAGCCCTTGGCTCGTAGAAGAATCGAACTGTTGACATCCCAGATTCACCGTAGATCCTTCTGAATCTGTGATACCAGTCATACCTCCCTTCCTTGTGTGCTAGAAATTAGAACGGATCCGCAATTGGCTCCTTCCCCACTTTGAGCTATAACGGTATTCCAAGCATCCAAGATGCATAGTTGCATCCTACACATGAGCCTGGCCAAGAAAACAGTTTTTGATGCCGTTCCCACTATAAAAGTAACATTCTTTGCAAATCCATTGTGCATTTCCATAGCTGAACTGAGATAGTCCTCTGATCAGAGAGGTACAAGCAGTGATCAGCTCGCCCGAAGTCCTGTTATCGGAGATAGCAATATCACAGAGGTTAGTACTGATTGCCCCATTCCAACGTGTTTTCGTACTATGCTACTGTGGATTTCTGAGGCTGTGGTACCTGGATAGGCATGGAAAGAGCTTTATGACACTTGAATGGCAGTCAGGATAGACATACAACAAAACCTCTTTGCCATATCATAAGGTCGATGGACGTAAAGTTTGGAATATGGAATGGCGATAGCAGATAGCATGTTCGTTGCTGGTGTTGGGTTTGCAGAAACAGGTCATGGCAGTAATGGTCGCAGCCAGCATACTGACGAACATTGGTTCTACGCAGAACATGTTTACCAGAGAGGAATCTCTGTATAGGCGTGAAGGTCATCAATGATCCGGAAATGGGATGAAGGGTGAGCAGAGAGGGAATCCTCGTCAAGATGATATTGGAATGGAAGAACCGAGGAAAAGAACTTTCAAGGATCAAGGCTGGCAGGAATAACCAAGATGAGCTTAAGATTTGATGACCAGCAAGAGTATAGCTGGTGGTTAAACAGAAACCATACAGATAGATTATTTAATTCGGATAGATATTTCTTCTGCTTAATCAATAACATCAGGCAAGCGCTTGTGTCTAGCACCTTCCTCATATCATCTTTGTCACAACTTCAAAGCTACCCCATCAGACCTCGGCCTCGTACTTATTGTCTCTCACAACTTCTCTACTGACAAGCGAGCGGTCATCAGCAACCGAACCACGTCTGTCGAGCAAAGGCTTCAATCCAGGCACCGAGACTGCAGCAAGGGCTGTAGCCATCTCAACCATACTCAGAATGTAGACCAAGTTAGGCTCACTCGAATCAGTGTTCAGAGTGATGAAGCGAATCAACGTCGTCAATGCGGGTATAATACCTAGAGAGAAGGTAAAGTAGATGGCAGCTTTGTGCTCTTTACTCATTCCTTTGAGCAAGAAGAGAGGAAGACCGTAGACTGGACTGTATCAGCTACCATTCGCACTCGGGATAACTAAGTTAAGGGCGAAGACTCACTGAAANATATAGCTGGAAAGGTTCATCGAAAAGTTGAAATAGAATGGCGTTTCGGCGTAGAAGACACTGCAGGCACCTTCTTCCTGACTCCATTGGACAGAGACCGGGGTGCCACAGTAGAAAGTGTCCATCCAAAGAACAGTCATGTAGGCACAGCAGACGTAGGCAGTAACAACATACACGGCCTTGCGCAGCGTAGGTCTGTCAGCGGGAAACACGCCCCAGTAGAAAGCCAGCATGCTCAATTTCGGGAAACCCTGGAATTTTAAGTCAGCAGTTGAACCGTGACATCTTATATATCTGAGTAAACTCACCATGCCGAAGTCGTAGAAGTAGTTCGATGCGAACGAAATCTTCGACAATGTGACCGAGGACTCCCAATCATCCATGACTCCGAGTTGATAAGTCAATGTGCTGTGTCCTTGTCAACGAAAACCATTCTTATGTGAGTAAGATATCAGAAGCAGAATATACACTTACTCGCAGATAATAAGTCCCAAGCCAATCAAGGCCGAGAACAAAAGGATGTACTCAGACAACCTCAACTTCTGCCTCTGTACGAGCAGACGAGTGTACATTCGTAAGCCCACGAGAATATAAGCAGCGATCAAGAGAATCCATTCCGAGATNCTGTGAGATACGAGAGAAATGTTAGCGACACCAGGAACATATACTGCTGAGATGCCAATACTGACCATGCAATCCTTTCCACTGATAGAGTTTGCCATCTTGCTGACCTATCACGACCTGGTGAAACCGATTTCCTGATTTCCAAGTATACAAAAAAAAGAAGATCGAAGAGAGAAGACCGGGTAAGAAAGGAAGGAAGTCATGGCTACATGAATGGGCTTACTATACTGTACATTTTTCCACTGCTTGGCGATCTTTCCTCCCACCATACCTCCCAGACCCTGCAGACTTTGGTCGTTGAGCGAAGATGGGGACTCCATTCATCTACAACTAGAGTGGTATATTTCGCTTGGCTGTGCCGCAGGTCTCACTTTTGTCGAGAATCACTCCACCCGTGAGCCGATGGATACTTACCCGCACTTGATCGAGTAATCCTGACTAACAATGGAAGGTACCGTATGAGGAAGGAGCGAGTCCAGTGAAGTGTGCCTCTTGATTGGATGTTCGGTAGCAGCTTCTTTCATCCTCCAGAGGATGCGAAGAAGATGAAACACACGGACCCGGTGTCCGCGTCCTCGGCGACCCAGTCTGCCGGTACCGTCTTCATTAATATATCTCGGCTCCTCTCGCGTATGGTTGAGATGGCAAAACTCCTCTGGCGAGGCTTCTCGTGTTCAGATATATACGACTTGTCCCACAAGCAAAGATCTAGAATCTGCCGATCTTTGACCAAGAAGCGAAATTCTGGTTCGGGGCTGTTTGGGTGAGTGTGGTAGAAAATGTCAACGAACTCATGCTGTATATCTGAATCTGTTGTGTGGTGGTCTTTCGTCTTCCGTGTCTTATTGTCCTGGCTCTTGTGGTTGTTTCGAGGGTAGTAGAATGTTAAAGTACCAGCGAGGAACGCATATCAGACACCAGCCTTTCCAATTCCTCCATCATAGCCATTGTTCGTCCAAGCCAAAGCAAGTGATCTTCCGTCATCACTATCCTCAATTGGTCGTGAATCAACACTAACCTCCTTCGTCTTGTAAATGACATCTTTCATGCCCACACGATTGAGCTCCACATCACTGCCATCATCATTCAAAGGATCACCTCGTCCAAAAACAGATCTCCTCCGCGACGCCGTAACCACATAGTGTTGTCCCTCGGAATATGACTTTGATGAGGCGGAATTCTTGTGTTTGCGACGTAGTAGGGTTTTGAGCGCGGGGAGGGAAACGACGATGATTGCGACTGCCATCTCGGCCATGGACCATATGAACACGGCATTCCAGTTGTTGCCGGTCTGGATTGTGATGAAACGAGCGAGATTGACGGCGATGGTCGCGAGGCCGAGAGCAAATGTTAATAAGAGGCCCCATATTTGGTTGCGGTTGAGATGAAGATGGCGTAAGAGAGGGAATGGTAGAACGAAGACNTGAATTATCAAACATCAGTGACTCTGGGCATCGGAAGCTGTTTTATGGTTTTGGTTGTGCTTACTTGCAACGTCCGAAAAGCAGTTCATAGCCCAATCGATTTGTAGGACAAGGAGCGAGTTGAAAGCCGAACATGCACCTTCTTCTAACGACCAGTTGCTTGCAACATTCGGCGCACACCAAAGAGTGTCGAGCAAGCACGTACACATAGCGCACGCGGCCACGAAGCCAGCGACAAGATACAAAGACGTCCTTAATCGTGGCATAGTGCTTGGGATGATCTTGAAGTAAAGAGCAATCAATGCAGCTTTAGGCCAGTACATCCCAGTGTCGTAGAAGTAGTTGGAGGCGAAAGATATNCTGAAGTATGTTATCAGCACATGGTTCACGGACAGTAGCAAAAAACTTGCCTTGTCCAAGATAACTTCGTTCTTCATGTCGGCCGCTGATAATGCTTCACCTTGCGGTATGTATCGCATGCCACCCAGAGCATATGTCCATGTATCGNNCCTGTAACATTGCCATCAGTATGGTATATTACTAGCGTTCGAAAAGCACTCACATATGATTAGTCCCAGGCAATCGAGGGCGGATACTATCAACAAGCAATCCGAGATGATGACATGCTTCTGTTGCCTTCTGGCAACTCGTACACCAATCCGGAGTCCTACAAGGCTATATGCTAATGCAAAAAGCGTCCATTCGATGGCCTTGAAGTAGTCAGTATACAGTCTTATCGCAGAAGACAAAAACTCACCATGACGGCCTCCCCAGAAATGTCATAACCCATCGTGAAAAGATCACTCACGCAAAGAAACAGTGTCAAAGACGATGATCAAACAGAAATCGACTCACACGACAGTAGACATATTCAACATCTCGTCACGGTAAAGTCTGAGGAGACAGCGGCACACAGCGTCGCTTACCTACCAGATCGTACATCGGCTCTCGAGGCAGAGTGGCTGGACTCTTGAGACGTCCTATAACCCTCTCATTCGATGCTAGCATTGGACACGGTCGAAGAATCAAAATCCCATAATATAAGGCCGGCATATTATTGGACTTCCTGAAGGCTCGTTTCGGAAGGGGTCTTGTTGAGTCTTCGTATAACGGCAAAAACATCTAGTTCGTCTATAAGCGAAGACCCTTCAATACTAAAATTGCGCCACGGCAGAGCATTGATTGTGTTCAGGCGTTTGCGTAGTGGTTGCGCTATGTTGATCATGAAGCCGAGAATTATCCGGGCTACAATATATTGACTTACCAAGTGATCGGGATCACGCCATGCTCCCATGCTCAAGAGCCGAGAAGCTCACCACAGTGGGGTCAATATAAGCAAAGGATCTCAAAAGCTTTTGCAAGACGGGTAGTGGTGTTCAAATATATTGCCGCGGAACAAGTCCAATCTCCACTCACTTTCATGACTTTGTTCGAGTAACCTTGACACGAAGACCTCCTTTGATTCTTCTGATAATTCCGCCGGTCACATCTGGCTCTTTCATGTCTGGGTCGACCAGTGTGGTTTCGAAACCTAGGACCCAAGCGGCGAGCAAGGAAGCAAACTCTGCTTTGGCGAAATCTGGAAAAGGGTTAGCGATAGGACATTGGTATCTTATGATTGACTTACTGGCTCCAATGCATCCTCTTGGTCCGTGAGAGAAGGACATGTTCGAGTAATTGCTTTCAGCTCCTCCAGTGTTCGCTCTGCCAGGACCCATCCATCTTTCAGGATTGAACACTTTTGGATCTTCGCTCCACATCGACGAGTTGTGGTTCGCAGCTATCAAGGGCGTGATAATCATGGTGCCCTCAGGAATCATCTGTCCAGAGAGAACGACATCTTTTGCAGCCACGCGAATGGTCGCCGGCACAGGACAGTAGAACCGCAAAATTTCGTTGGTCACAGCATGAAGGTAAGGTAGCTGCTCAATTTGTTCGGCAGTTATGTGCGCACTGGTGTCGCGGATGTCTGGAAGATCCGAAGCACGCAGTTCTTCGCGCAGCTTNTGCTGTACTTCGGGGAATCTACCGAGGACATAAGCAGCCCATGTCATCGCTGTCGCTGTCNNTGTAGCATGATATGTCAGTGATCAAACGCCAGAAAACAAAAGGTTCCCACATACAGTCTCATGTCCGGCAGCAAGGAAGGTGAGCAGTTGATCGACAATCTGATGATCAGTAAAGGCTCCACTTTGCATTGCGACACTCAGAATGTCGACTCCGCCAGCGGTCTCGTCGGACACATTATTCTGCTTCGCAGCAGATATTTTTTCCCTCTTGTCTGCGAGCATCTCGAAACAGACTTTGCTAAGGTACAAACGTTCCCTCTCGATCTTGATGTTGCGTGGTATCGGCAGCGCTCTGACAAACCAGAAGGGCAAGATGATATTCAAGATTCCAACCAGGCGTATTTGCCAATCCTGTTTGAACAGTATTTGGTAAGTCTGGTAAAGCTTGCTGTTGGGGTCATCTATGGCGCCGAATGACTTTCCGATTGTAGCCACGCCGATGATGTCGAGGGTAGCACGAGAGGTCCAGCCATCAACATTGATCTCATGACCAGTGTCTCTCGCGTCCACAGCGGGCTTTCCGTTTGCCTTACTTGCGATTTCCTTGTCAATGCCCAAAATCAATTCTCGAGATTGGTCCCAGAAAACAGGATATAAGTCCTTGATATGACGATAGCTGAAGGCCGGCGTCAAGTTTTTACGTTGAATCTTATGTTCCTGACCTTCTGCTAAGAGAACACCCCACCCAAGAATCCGGGCCAGTCCCTTGATAAGAGATGGTGGTTTGATCAAGTCATAACTTTTCAAGGTTACTGCTTCGCTGAGTGCTTTTGGTGTGGTGACCATCACTCTCTCCACGTTGAAGAGACCCCTGTAGTAGATCAAACCATCATTCTCGATCTCTTCCATCCATTCTCGTTGAGGGATGCCAGTGGGTTCCTTGATGATTCTGAGGAATTGTCCAAAGATAAGCGACGTCTGTTTAGGTTGAGGAAGATGACGCAAAGGAGACAGGAAGAACGGATAGACGAAAGAGGCCCAGAAAAATCGCACAGCAATGACACTGAGGAAAATAGCTGCTGTTGTTTGCCATAACGACTCGTGCAGTAGTCGTTCGGGGGCGAACCTTTTGAGCGAGAACGATATGGCAGCGGATGCAAGCAGTACCGCGCGTTTCACCGCCACTACCATATTGATGACGGGATCTGTTAGGTGAGACTCTGCACAGAGCTGCAATTGCGATGTCAATAGGTTTGGTCGAAGAGCAGGAGGTTGGTGTTACACCCTCGACCTCGCTGCCGTCTCTCGGGTCTTGGCAATCGACGCGTCATGTATACTGTACGATCGGCACTTCGTCGCCGCGAATACGCCTGAAGAATTTCCAACCTCCAACCTCCAACCATCAAATTTTGTCGCAAGAACTCGTCACATCCTTCCCGTGTGCAAATACATGCAACACGGGCGACTATACAAATACACAATGACATCAGGAAACAGGATAGTGTTCACTGAGAGGTGACATCTTCTGGGCTTTCTTTGGCCATGCCTCTACTTCTAACAGCAATCTGCTTTCTTATAGTGTAGAGATGCTCTTTGCTATGGTCGAAGCATGATGAAGTTACAGACTTCAGCATACACAGAGGATGGGCACCTTCTGGCTAAGCAATCGCTGGCCATTTCTAATAGGACTAATGTACATGGCTACACGTAACATCAACGGCTGACTGAGCTGGACATTGTGGAAGTCATCACGGATGATCAGACTACATCAGAAGACTGGATTTTGTACTGTGCTTCTCATTTAACTACCAATTCTGCATTTCCGACACCGCAGACTAGCCCGCAACATGCTTCAGTGTTGTTGCATCCTTCCGTCTCTATGGTTCCGATCACCACCACGTCTCATTCTCAACAGAGTACTCAATCAACGAAACCCTTGTAGTCGACCATGCTGCCCCTGAAAGTGACATGCATCTCCTCAGCCAAAGCTCTAGCAGATCTGGCAACAGACTTCTTGCCAGCCTTGGTATAGAAGTGCTCAATGTACTGCATGGCGATAACAGCCTTCATGCTCAGAACACAATTGATGCGGTCAAGCTTGATGCCTCCGGTCTTGCTCATGGTGACCTTGTAATCATGATCCATCAAGACAAAGGTCGCATAGTCGAGGGCACGTGGAGGCTGACGCCAGTGAGCGAACATAAGCCATTCATGGATTCCAGCCAGGCCCATCGTGGGAAGCAACTCGAGGATCTGCTTTGTCTTTGGGACATAGGTAGCGAACAACTTCAGAGGGTATGACTTCTTAAGGAGCTTCTCGAAGTGCTTGGCCTCGTCAACGAGATTAGCAGGAACGGCATCCTTGGCCATCAAAGCCGTAATCTGTTCGAGCGGATGGGTCTTGAGGAATGAATCGACCTCGAACATAAGGCTTGAGCGACTTTCTTCGCACTGGTTCTCAGCCGTGCACAACTTGCAATCGCAGGAGAAACCCCAGTTCTTGAGGTTGTGTCTGAGCTGCTCGAAGTTCCCATCGACAGGGCAATACATGGTTGTGATCTCGTCACCTCTGCCGATATCCTTGTTGGCGCGGACAATGATGAAGTCGCCGACGAAGCCACGGCTGGAGTTGAAGAGGCAAGAATGATTCATGCGGGCAGCGTGAGGCCAGACACCAGAGGAGTCGGCTCTGACAGCCTTCTTTACATCAGCACGAACCCTGTCCTTGTCGGCTTCAAAGCCAAAGCTGTTGTGGTCAATGATGTTCTGGAGACGGAAAACATCGACGACTGGCATGCCATCAACAATCAGAGACCCTGAATCAGCGGCTGATGCAGCAGAGCGGGGCGTACCATCGTACAAGTCGTTGATGTTCTGAGATGGGTTGTGGAAAGACTTGCGTACAGCATCAATCCAAATAGCAGCATGACTGCCATGCATGCCGACGTTGTTGGTAGGGTTGATGATCACACTTAAGCCTGGTGAGTTGTCGGGAGTGTTCGAGGCAATGAAAGCCTTTTCGCACAGGATGATTTCTCCAGCGACGATATCTTCCGTAGCGAACAGACCCTTGGACCTGCCTTCAGCCTTACGAACACTGGTACGACGCAAGTAGTTGGCCTGCTCGGAGTGATAGTTTGCTGTCTCTGAGATCTTCTTGAGCATGGTCGCAAAATCGAAGTCACCGTAAGCAGCCTCCTGGATGCGCACCTGTGTGCGCTTGAGCTCTCTTATACCGTCCTGGTCAGATGGGAGGGTACGTAATAGTTGCTGGAACATTTCTTGAGCAAGTTCGTAATCGTGAAGCTCGTATGCAGCTCGGCCAGCACGATATAGAGCCTTTCTGTGCTTCGACTCATCGCTTGTAGCTCCTTCTTCTGTAGAAGCGATGGCGTCCGCCTTTGCTGTCTCGTAACAGCCGAGTGAGAGTCTAGCTTGAGCTCTGTTACGAAGAAGATCGAACTTGATTTCGTTGTCGGCAGGGGCTAGAGCAGTGAGGCCCTTTGTGTAGCAATGGTTGGCCTTGATGTAGTCTCTGCTCTTCAGAGCGTTGTTGCCGTCGAGCTTCCACTCGGAAGCCGTCTTGGGTCGAGCTGATGACTCCCATTCGTGAGGAAACATAGGGTGGTCTTCGTCAAGAAACACGACGTCGGAGGGATGATGGACACACAGTGCCATGCCCATGTCTTCAGAGACTGTACTGTAGAATGGCTCCTTGATGCCGAGAACAGCGCCAGATGGGAGTTGTTTCTGTGGCCAAGATGCAAGACCGAAGTTGAAGATGGCGATTCTGTCTACGTCACCAGTCTCGTCTTCAACTGGCATGAATGTCTGGATCTCAGAGACATTGGTTGAGTGAGCAAACGTGCGAAGTACGAGAAAGCTACCGCGATGGTAAGTCTCCAGAAGCAGATCGTTGAGACAGACCTTGTTGGTGAGAGTCGAAATTGAGGCTTTGCTAGGAGGATAGGCCTCTGAGACGACAGTCAACTTGATGGCTGTGGTCGTAGGAGCCGAGATGGCGCCATGGCGCTCAAGACGTTCACGCGTCTGATGGGTTTGATGGGAGCGCTTCCTGCCTTTGCGCCTGTCAACACGCTCAGTCAGCTGCCACTTGACATCAAGAGCCTTGCCCACAGCAGCTTGCATCTCCATGTCGGATGTGATGACTGAAGATCGTGTTTGGAGGCAAGGTTGGAGAGCTGAGTTGGTTGACCGCCAGAAAGGAGGCAGGTTTTATCAGGCAAGCTCCTGAGACGACACGCAAGTTTGTAAGCTTTGGCCGATTGTGTGTTGGTTCACTTCCTTTGGAATCACTCGCACGGCTCGTTGCATGCAAACGCGGGTGCACAAACGACTTAGTTTAGGAGATGCCCTCTTTATATTCGTAACGTTAACTGCCGGCGGTTAGTGTCGATAACGCAAACAATCTATCTGCGCACTTACTATGGATGCTGTCCGTCAGAGATTTAGCAGCTGGCCACTCAAGGTTGTGTGCTTCGAAGGCAAAAACAAGACAGGACAAGGAAATTTGTGGTAGAGAGATTCAGATTTCTCAGGCATACATACAAACTCGTTTAGTGGATATCACAGCCAAATGCTCCTGCCCCAGTGAGACGCCACAAACTCCATACTTTTGAACAAGATGCAAAGACAGGCATGCTGATATGAATAATGATGAAAAGTAGGTGGAGAGGCCTACTCCACGTCCTCGTCCTCATCGTCTTCTGATTCTTCCTCCTCTCCTTCTTCATCGTCATCGTTATCTCCACCAGCATCAGCGTCGTCGTGCCAGACATCATCGTCGAAGTCCTCGTCGTCGAGCATCTCATCGTCTTCGTCGTCGACCTCTTCGCCCTTGGCCTTCTTTTCCTTCTTCTTTCTCTCGACGTTCTCCTTTTGGATGCGTCTCCTCTCAGCCTTCTCCTTGTTCTTGACCTCCCACGCCTTGTCTTGTTGCTTCTGTTCTTCCNNCTTGCTCTTGCTGATGTATTCATGCCACAGAATCTTGCCGCCACAAAGACCCTCCTCAACCTTTGTCAAGCGAAGAGTCATGCGAGGACCCAACTCCTGTAGCTTGATAGCCTTCTTTTGTGTCTTTGATTTGCGAGGTTGGGGTGCTGGGCGCGCAGCACCTTCAGGGTTGACGCCCTCGGCGTTAGCTCCAGTAACCTTTGCGCGTTGAGCGTCACGAATGCGTTGGCGTTCCTCTTTTGACATGGCTTTGCGGTTTTCGACAGCCAGGACCTCGATCTCGGCGTCAGTGTCGGCCTCTGTATCAGAGGCAGTGGTGAAACCGGATGCGGTGGGGTCCAAAAGATAGTCTGCAACATCATCGAGGGCTCCAAGGTTGGGAAGGCGAGAGCTGTCACCGCGCTTGAGGTGGTCGGCCTGCTCGAGTTTGCGTAGGGCTTTCGGTAGGGCGGACTTGGGGGTCACGGCATTAATGGCGTAATGGCGAAGTTGCAGAACAAACGCGTGAGGATCGTTGGGGTCATTGGCAGGCTTGCGATCGAGCAGCATGACACGCTTGATGGTCTTGAGCGAGGTGGTATGAGGAGAGATAGGAGCGAAGAGAGATTGGAAGATTGTCGTCGTCAAGGATTCGAGGTTCTTGGGGATGGCATTGGTCTCGGATTTCGTGTCTTTGGCAGCTTCCTGTTGCTTCTCGGATTGCATGAAGTTGTTCATAACGAGAAGAGGCGAGGTCAAGTATTCGGCACCGTTCTGACCCTTGGGACGGCGCATGCTTTTCTGGACGTCCTTGCAGAGCGAGTACTTCTCAACACGGAAATGTAAGGTGGGACCTCTGGGTGTGGTGCAGATGCGCAGATTCGTGTTTCCAGCATCGGAGCGAGAGAACAGCATGAGGTGAGAGACACCAAGAGGACCAGCCATGGTGACGAAGTCGCGCAACTTGTTGGACTTGCGCTCCTTCAAGCGACTTGCGGTACCGGGTTCCATCATCAGACGGGTGTCTCTGACAAGCTGCGATATGCTTGGGCCGACCTCTCCAGCGTTGATACGGATAACCATACTCTTGGGGGCCTTTGTCTCGGTTTGCAGGGCAGCGGCGGTGTGATGGCCACCCATGCCAGGAGCAGGGGGCTTTGCGCCTGCATGGGTACGCTTCTTTACTCTTCTTTTGGCCATTGTGAGATGTGGTGAGATGTGGATGTTTTGTCGAGTCGATTGGCACCAAAATTTCTTTGCAGTCGCTGAAGGACGGTCTGTGCTTCGGCGATAGAGCTGCTGTAACGTGGGTTAAAGCCGTTACAACTTTTTATTTTCGCCCATAATAATAGCACTTTCCAATCACGCGCCAACCTCGCATTCCATTGACAAGACAGGCTCACAATCTCGCTCTCGAGATACAGCCTTCATCATGTCGGCTTTAAAAAAGAGAAAGGTCCAACATGAACGCTCCAGCTTCAGCGAAGAAGCTCCGCGCCAATCCAAGCCCTCGAAGAAGACCATGGACCGCATAGACGACACCAAGGAGCCTGTCGAGAACCTGGCCAAGNAAAGCTGTGAAGAAGGCTGCATCTGATGATATCAAGGAAAAGAAGGACAAAAGGACAGAAAGCGCAAAGCACAAGAGGAGGAGGAAGAAGAAGAAGAAGAGTCGTCCGACGAAGTCCCTGCGCCTGCCGACGACGAAGACGACGTCAAAGCACCCAAGTCTTTCCGCGATCTGGGTATCATTGATGCTCTGGCCGAATCGTGTGAAGCCATGAACTATACCAAGCCCACACCAATCCAGGCAGAGTCTATTCCGCTTGCGCTTCAAGGAAGAGACATCATTGGTCTGGCCGAGACTGGTTCAGGAAAGACGGCTGCATTTGCCCTACCCATTCTACAAGCCTTGATGGAAACTCCCTCATCTCTGTTCGGTCTGGTACTGGCTCCCACAAGAGAACTTGCCTACCAAATTAGCAAACAGTTCGAAGCCTTGGGCTCTCTGATTGGTGTGAAATGTGCCGTCATTGTTGGTGGTATGGATATGGTTCCTCAAGCTATTGCTCTCGGAAAGAAGCCTCATATTATCGTTGCCACTCCTGGACGTCTGCTCGATCATCTCGAGAACACAAAGGGCTTCTCTCTACGCACTCTGAAGTATCTGGTTATGGACGAAGCCGACAGACTGTTGGATCTCGACTTTGGTCCTATTCTTGACAAGATCTTGAAGGTCATCCCGAAAGAGAGACGCACCTACCTCTTCTCCGCCACCATGTCCTCCAAGGTTGAGTCCCTGCAACGAGCTTCGCTTTCGAATCCTATGAAAGTCAGCATTTCCTCCTCGAGCTACCAGACTGTCAGCACCTTGATTCAATCTTACCTTTTCGTTCCCCATAAGTTCAAGGACATCTACCTGGTCTATATCCTAAACGAGTTTGCCGGCCAGAGCACTGTCTTGTTCACTCGCACTGTCAACGAGACACAACGATTGGCATACTTACTACGAGCTCTTGGATTCGGTGCTATTCCTCTACACGGTCAGCTCTCTCAATCAGCGCGTCTGGGTGCCCTGTCAAAGTTCAGAGCCGGAAGCCGTGATATCCTGGTAGCCACAGATGTCGCAGCCCGTGGTCTAGATATTCCTTCGGTCGACCTAGTTTTGAACTTTGATCTTCCTCCGGACAGCAAGACTTACGTCCACAGAGTTGGTCGTACAGCTCGTGCTGGTAAGGCTGGAAGAGCCGTTTCTTTCGTCACACAATACGATGTCGAGGTCTACCAAAGGATAGAGAAGGCTTTGGCCAAGAAGCTGCCTGAGCACGATGCTCCTCGGGATCAAGTCATGGTCTTTGCCGAGAAGGTGTCCGAGGCTCAGCGCGTGGCTGTCAGAGAAATGAAGGATCTGCACGAAAAGGCGAAGAGTGGTGGCAGGGGTGGACCTAGAGGAAAGGGCAAGAGAGACGCCATGGACAGAGACGAGGGATGATCGGTGTATAAACTTTCTTGTTTATGTTCTCTGTCTTTTATGATATCCAAAATCTAGCATCTCATTTGAGTCCTCACGTCCAACCGGCTGTTTTTCCTTGCACAATGCTTTTCAAGAACATTCGCAGATATGCCATAAGACCGAGTTTATCGTGAGTGTCAGCGTAACTACCTCAAATGTTTCGAGTAAACATTGTATCTCCCAGATTTGATTTGATTTGATTTGATTTGATTTGATTTTCTCAAGCTATTTACCCCGCAAGGGGTATGAGCTGTCGCTAATTACACCATATTCTGACTAATAGCAGTCGTCAGATTCAGTAGAAAGGAGGGTAATGGTCGCAGCAGACCGTGCAAAACATCAACGCCGATAACTCCTAAGTGCCTCTGTAATGAGTGTTGTACATGTCCTTCTCTCAGTATTGGGGGCCGGTAGCCTCCTCCATAAGGGCTCTTCCCTATGTCGCGTACATCCTTATCGGCAAGACGCTGCTTAGAGGCAGTTGTATTGCTAAGGTGGTGATCATGTAATAGTTGGTCCCTAGGCACTTCCTGTCAATTTGTCTTTCTCACCTCTGATATTGTAGTCTTCCTGTTGCCTTTGCAAACTCAATAGTGGACTTCACTGCCTGCCAGTCTGGTCGCCACTTATCTTTCTCGCCATCCACAATCTTGCCATTCTCTTTGTGGTCTGAGTATCCTCCTAGGGCATATGATATGTTGCAGAATCTCCTGCCGTGTGCTGATTTCATGTCTTGTCTTTGCTGTCTCCATCGTGGGCAGAAGAATAGGAAGTGTTGGACTGTTTCCAACACTCCGCATTCGCACTTGTCCGTTTCTGCCACTTTGATCTTGTGCAGATAAGTATTCAGCCTGGATATGTTCGTTCTAAGCTGTGCTAGTATAGAAGCATCTGTCCTGTTGAGTGCGTCGTACAGCTTCCTTGTATGCTTTCCTGGCAGTGCTTTGTCGATTCTCTGTAAGTATTTTCCGGTTTTGGCTCCATAGAACTTTTCTTGCTTAGGCTTGAAACCTGCTGCTTTCCCTCTGTTATGAATCACTGATATGGGTACTGTTGCAGCGGGTGCTGGCATTGGTTGTGATTCTTCTGTTGCCATTTGAGCCAACTCGTTGGCTCTCTCGTTGCCTGCAATTCCTTCGTGTCCAGGGACCCAGTGGAGAGAGAACGTTCCTTTCCTGATCTTCTCTCTGATTTTCATGACCAGGTTGATACTGTCGTTGATCTTTGGACTCTGGATGCTTTGCAACGCTCCTTGGCTGTCTGAGAACACCCGTATCCGTACTTGGCTATTCATGTCGTCTGGGATGCCTTTGATTGCCATCCATATTGCTAGCAGTTCCGTGTGGTGAACATTGGTGTCTTCTTCTCTTCCTACTAACTTTGACACTTCCCATGTCGATGTCCATATGCCAATGCCTGCTCTACCTTTCCTTACTGACCCGTCAGTGTAGAAATCGACTGTTGCATACTCTGCAACTGCGGCTTGTTTGGCTTTTTCCTTGTCTAGTATATACACGCGGGGTTTTGGCACCCACGGTTCACATCCAACAGTAGGGATCTTGTCTGCTTGCCGAGCCTTGATGCTTTTGAATAGGACAGCTGCTTTCCGCAGTGGAGATATGAAACGCTTCTTGCCCTTGTACTTAGCTAGCTTGTGGTGGATGTGAGATTCATCTAGCTTATGGATGCCAATCCAGAATCTAAGAGTTTGCTCGTGCAGTCTCTGTCGTGTTGTTGCCATGCCTGCCTCCATGACTGCTGCGTTTAGACCCATGGTTCTGAATCCTCCTATGATGGCCTGTGCTGCAACTCTTTGAGCTCTCTCTAGTGTTGCTAGGGTTTTGTCCGACACTGCCAGATACCATATCGATGATGCATAGTCCATGACTGGTGCCACCGTTGCCGAGAATAATTGGCGCATGCTTGATGGTCTAAGTCCTTGCAGTCTTTTCAGGGCCAGTGCTGCCTTGTAGGCTTTGTCCGCTTTGCCTGCAACATGCTCCTTGTACCTCAATCCTTGGTCCATAATGACTCCTAAGATTTTGACTGATTGGCTAGGGTCTATTATGTCTTGCTTGAATCGTAGCGGCATGTCGCTGTCCCGTTGCGATGACGAGGTCCTGGTAAAATGGATAAATGCTGTTTTTGACGATTCAAAAACAGCACCACTTTCCCTTCCCATTTCTCCAGTTGTGGCAAGATTTCCCTCTGGATTCTTCTTGTGTTGCGCTCAGCTGAGTCTCCTACCACCCACGCCGTGTAGTCGTCCACAAAGGCCATGGTACCGCCCTCCTTAATCTTATGTTGTACAAGGTTAGCGTTAAAGAAGAGGAACAGGATCGGCGCTAGGGGTGACCCTTGCGGCAATCCTGCTTGTGGCAGGTCCTCCACTTCGGATGTGAACCCGTTGACCATGACACATGCTTTTCTATTGGTGCAGAAATCCTGTACCCATCTGACTATAGGTTCTGGAATCCTTCTCTGTCTAAGTCGTTGCAATAGCGGTTCAGTTGCAACATTATTGTAGGCTCCTTTGACATCAAAGGAGACTAACGAGAGAGTCTTCCTTCCCCCTCCATGCGTTGAAGATGGACTCTTGTAGGTATGATATGGCATGTATTGTCGACTTCTGTTTCCGGGCTCCAAAGTGGTTGTTTGGCAACAGCTTGTGGACCTCAGTAAGATAAGAAATCCTAGTTGCTATTACCGCTTCCATAATCTTTCCAAGGGTTGCAAGAAGGGAGATTGGACGATAATTCTTAGGCAGCGTGTAGTCGTCCTTGCCTCCCCTTCTTTAGAGGAATGATCTTCGCAACCTTCCATTGCTCTGGTAGTTTGCCTTGCCTTAAAGATGTCGAGAAGAGCTGACAGATCTGTTGTTGCAGAACTGGCCACACCTCCCTCCATACTCTAGTTGTTAGACCATCCCTTCCTGCTGCACGATCAGGACTTGTTGCAGATAGTGCTCTTTCTATCTCATCGATCGTCAATCCTCTTAGCATGAACTGTTCCGCATTGTCGTCCCTAGTCTCGTCTGGTTGCTGAGGTTCTGGCGGTGGTGGGAAGAAGCTAGCTAGGAGTTCTTTTGCTATGCTTGGTTTATCTTGTGTCAGTTCCCCACTTTGGCCCTTGATTGACGTGATCCTGCCAAAGCTTGATCCTGTGCCTGGGTCTAGGTATCTTGTTGCTTTCCAGATGTTCTTAGTATCGTCCAGAAACTCGGTCCAGTGCCGTTTCTTGACTCTCTTAATTGCGTGATGGAAGTCATGTCTAGCTATCTTTGTTGCAACTTCAAGGTCCATGTTCCGGTTTCCTTGCCTACGCCTTGCTCTTGCACGGTTCCGCGTCCATGTGTAGTTCTGACGTAGAGCTGTCAGATCTGGTGTCCACCATCTCTTCGCATATGCTGACGGCTTTGCTTTAGGACAGTGTTGCTTGATTGCGTCCTCGGTTGCATTCTGAATGTACTGTTGCATTTGCTCTATGTCCGTAGTTGGAAATGGTGAGCTTGCAAGTGTCTGGGTGATTGTCTTGCGGACGGCATTCCAGTCTGCTTTCTGAAGCAGGTATCTCTCGGCTTGCTGTTGTTCCTGATCCTGATCCATTGAAAATGCTGTGTGCACTGCTCTATGATCTGATCCATACTCGTTGTCCCATGTTTTGCAGGTAATCCTGTCTTCGTATAGTCGTTCACTTGTCATTATTAGATCGATGGTAGACCTCTGCTCATTCCTTTCCCATGTGACCATTCCCCTCGGTGTGAGCACTTGCAGGTTGTTGCACTCTAGGAAGTCGAGGATTTGAGCTCCTTCTCCTTGCCTTCGCTCTAACGCTACATGAGATCCTCCCCATAGGCTGTCGTGTCGATTGACATCTCCTGCAACTATGATTTCTAGGTCTGGATGTGTAGTCTTCTCCTTATCGATTATTCTCTGAACGTCCTGCATGCGGTCTGCGAGTTGCTGTTCGTTTTCTTCCCTATTCGAGATGATGTGGGGAATGTAGACTGATGCAACTAGGATGCACCGGCCTGCTCTCTGGACTGTGATAGCTGTGACGTCGCTACTAGTTGTCGTGTGTTGCATGTATTCCGTAGTTCTACTTGCCCAGATGCATGACCGGATCCTCATATCCTGGTTATCTTGTTGTGTGATTTTTGGTTTTATTGCTTCGAAGTTTGGTCCGGTTCCTGTGATATGTATGTTGTTGCCAAAGTCTAGGTAGTGTGGTTCCTGCATTAGTATAAGATCAAAACTCCATAACTCCTCGTCATTGTATAACGCGTCCTGAACTCCTGACATCTTTCTCACATTTGCTTGGAGGATATTAAGTGTACTATTCATGGAAACGCATGCTAATGGATCGTTCTTGCTGTTTCCTGTACTCTGGGCATGACTTGTCGGTCGCCATGTGATCTCCTTGACAGTTGGCACACTTTATCGCTCCCGTTTCGCAGCGCTCATGGCCTGTTTGTGCGCACCTTGCACATGTAGGGGGGTTCTTGCAGTCTCTCTTAATGTGGCCGAATTGCTGGCACTGGTAGCATGCCCTAGGCCCATTCTTTTCGAAGAAGACTGATACCTCGACCATGCACTCAAACATGCTTATCTCTGTTCCATCTCGCTGGAGCGCTAGCAGCCTCTCAACTTGCTCCTTTGTAGCTAGTTTGGCTACTGCAGAGGCATGGCTTGCCCATGGCTTTGGTTCGCCTAGCCAGTTCATCCTCTTGACTTCGACGTCGTTTTCTCTTGCAAATGATTCTATGGCGTGTTTGCTTATCCTTCTTCTGTCGCGCTCGTCTGCTGCGAACACTGGGACAAAGTCGATCTTTATGGGGTACCACCTTGGATCCACGAGTTTGGCTCCTTTAAGGAACGTATCGATCCACTCATTAGCTTGTCTTCTTGCAACCTCTTCAGCTTCCTTGCCGATTCTAAAGTACGCCAGATGAACGTCCTTGTTCGTGTGTCTGATCATAAACCGCTTGAGCTCCACGTTTTCGAGTCCTTCGATAGATCGGATGGCTGCTATAATGCGGTTCTTTGTCCTGCCTACTTGGTCGTGTCCTTGGTGCCCTTCCATGTCTAGTTTGCTTAAGTCGATGATCATGTCTGATTCTTGTCTGTGCACTGTTCTCTTCATTGCACTTCTGATCGACTGTCCTACTGACGTTGGTGGAGATCTTACTGGTGATCCGTCCGATTGTTCAGATGGTCCAAACGAAACGCGGGATGCCGGTGCTCTTGGTGGCGTATCTACCTGTTCCGGCTCTGACAGTGACACTCCTCTCGCTGCAATACTGGCATATGAATCGGTCGTTCCAGTTATCTGGGATGACTGCAATGATCCCCAGTTCGGTACCGACTCTTGCAGGCTCTTTAAGTCCAGGGCCAAGGCTGTAACTGTACTTTGCAACTGCTTGATCTCATTCTTGTACTCATTTTCCTTTTCTATTGCTCTTGCTCTTTCTTCTTGGGCTCTTGTCCTGTCTTCTCTTTCCTTCTCTTCCATTCGTAGGAGGTGTCTCATAATATCGCTAATCGTGGGTGCTCCTAGTGTGTCTTCTCCACTCTGCGAGCTTGGAGTTGGGCTGCCCCTAGACGATGACAGCTCAATCGCGTTGTCTCTCTGTACACCAGCCTTCTCTGCGCTCCTAGTAACCATTCGTGTCGCAACGGGCGATGGCTTCTTCCTAGGTGTCGCCTCTGCTGACGCATTGTCGGAATCGATGTCAATCGGTCGACGTATGGGGCTGTCCTCGGCTCCTCCTTGTCTACCTTCTCTTTTTCTCTTTTCTAAGTGTCCATCGTCCCTCATGATCACATCCTCGTCCTCCTGCCTCTCTGCGCCGCCCTGCGCTAATGATTCGAACCTCCCTCCTCCTGCTATACCTCCACCTCTCGCACCTCCTCGGCCTCTCGGAGCTGGCATCTCGACCCCGCACCGTGGCGCTTCGCTGGAAATTCGAGGGAATCACCAGGAGACACTGCTCCAGCTCGTAGTTCAATAAAAATTGGGTATTTCAATTAAAAATTCAAAAGGTTCTTTTCAGCTCTTGTATCTCCCAGATATTCTTCTCGCCGCTGGTGCAAGATAATAATCCCGACAGGGTTGCCCTAGTCTCATGGACGCTCGGGAAGCCTCGGCATCCGGGTAAACTCGACCCATCGCTACATCATCTCTAGAACATCAATAACCCCAATCTAAACAACAATGTCATCTCAAAAGTGTCTAAAGTTTGTCCAGAGTGTCTTGTAGGTTCATCAGTCTCTGTAAAACTTGCTCAAGACTGAAATTGATATTGTTTAGTGAATCTTTCCAGGCCAATTCTGGTCTGGAACCAAGGTGAGATATGCCCATCGGGATTGAGAACTAGGATATCAGACTGACGTGGTGTAATCTTTAGGCTTCTCAATGGGGTGAGTGCTATACGAGTGTTCTGATCATCACGTTCTGGGAGCTCTCTCAATATGGCTCCTTTGCTGGCATCTTTATCTCCAACCATCATCCAGGACCAAATCAGCTCACGAGATCCCTCCTTACTCCGATCTCTTTGGAACCGATGTCCTTGGATTAACACCTCACATCACAAAAAACCAACGCTAACTCGACTCATCAACTAGCTCCGCGTAACAGCAGCACGCCCCGGCGTCGTCAACTTTGAACTCCCAATCGAGAAACACCACACCGTATCGCCTCACTTCCTCTTTCATTCATGTCTAGTCTAACCAAGCCAACACAGANACCGTCTCAACATTCTTCATGGAGGAACCATAGCTAGTATGGTAGATCTAGGTGGTTCGTTGGCAGTGGCTTCGAGGGGTCTGTTTGCTACAGGCGTTTCGACTGATCTCAATGGTATGTATACAGTCATCAGGCAGTATACCTTGTGAATGTGGAATGAGGCGCTGATATGTGTGATGAATANNGTCACTTACCTGAACTCTGGCGGTAAGATCGGAGATTTGATTCGTGCGGTATGTCTTTCCTTTTCTACCTCTATGCTCAAACTAATCCAGTGCTAATAATCATCTTTTGGATTGAACAGGNAAGTTACCTGTGACAAANTGTAAGCTTCCAATGATCATAATCGCTCTGTCATTCCTCAGCCTCTCAGATGGTTAACATTGTGCACAATCACAGTCGGCAAAACCCTCGCCTACACATCCATAAATTTCCACAACGAAAAGCAAGAATTAGTCGCAAGAGGAAGTCATACTAAGTAAGCAAAAGCCCCAAATCTCTCTCGTCTTTTCTACCATCAGCTCCTGAAGCCCAAGTATCATCGTCCTTGCTGACAGAACACTCGCCCAAAACAGANNTACGTCACACTTGCTTGGAAGGACCCAAACAACATTGTCGAGGAGTTGTCGCCAAAGCCGGGGAAAAGTCTGGATAAGTGGGTCGGTTGGTTGGAGTTCAAGACTTTATATCTGGTGATGCGATCAGATGAGTGCTGACTGCTTGTAAAGCGTGCATTCAAGTTCGGCTACCATAAGAACAGATCAAGAGGATATGCCGTATAGAGCTTGGTCACGAAAGAATGTCTCAAGAAACAAACAATTGTAACATGAATATACTTCTGCCATTACGATTAATCTGCCATACTCCAGGCACTAGAATGACTCCTTGGATTCCTCTGACTCGGACACCATTACACGATCCCACCCGTCTGGCCATTTTCAAACCCTTCCTCTCAGTCTCTCCACCAACGAAGATCTTCTGTTCTTCAAGACGTTGTTCAATTTACCTTCAACGACCACTACAGACGAGATTCGTGGCTCAGCAGCAGTCTACGCTTCAACCATGTCATTGCCTCTCGCTTCGACCCCACTCTCCACCTTGCCTACAGTTGTTCCCAATGTACTTGCCTTGACGTACACTCTAGCCTTGAACATTGCGAAGCTCAATCTCGCAGCTTCAGTCACACACTTGTTCTGCAACTCCCTGAGACATGTGTGCAGGTCGTTCTCTGGGTAGGACGATTCCAGCTCGGTTTGCCCTAAAAGCGCCTGGAGTTCCTCATTGCGTCGTCGGTCGAACTGCGACATCAAGCGTCCACTCCAATAGGCAGTGGACTGGGCTGACGTGACCAAGTCACTAGCCATGTTAATATTGCTGGTACTGTCATCAGCTTGGAGATAAGTAGCTGAAGGCCGTGGGCAGGAAGATGGCAAAAGTGTGGGCGCGGCACGGGGTGTGAGGAGTTGACGAAATTGAATGTCAGAACCAAATGAAGAGCGATGTTTTTCCTTTTCACAGACGGAATGCAGAGGAACAGCTTCTGGAGGAAGCATCGTTCGTCTTCTCGGCTTCGCGGTCACAGTGATTGGAGTCTTCGGGAGCTTAACCCAGGGTTTCTTGGTCATCGGAGTGCAAGGCGTAGGTTGTTGCAATGAATCTTTTCTTGGTCGTGGTTTCGGTGTCTGATTAGCTGGAGTCTGCGGGCGGCTGATTGGGTTGAATGTTTTGACCTCCATCTCAAGTGGATACAATGGGACTGTTGGCAACTGAATTGGTTTCATCGACGTATCTGATGTGATCGTGTTGGTTGGATCGTTCTCCTTGAGTATACTGGCTGAGGCTGGGACTTCACGCGAATAATTCGATACTAACAACGGCTCGGTGTCTGATCGGACAAGCCCACGTCGATTGCCAACCTTGAGGATGCTCTTGGTTGCACTGGCCAATCTCGTCTTCGCATTGGTACCCATTGATGGAGTCGGGATGCGTGATGGCGGCTTCATAGATACTGGTGGTTTAGAGTTATTACGAGCTCGTGTTCGGGGCAGGTTGCTGAAAGTGCGACTCTTAGGCAACGAAGGCATCGGGTCTTCAGGTAGCGGAACATAGTTCTGACGACTTTGCTGGTTTTGCAATCTTTGTTGATAGGTGTTGAGGAGATAGGGGTCATCATCAGAGTTCTGCGTACTATGACTAGAACGTCTGCGATTGAACGAGTTGAACGGATTGAATTGATGAAGGTTGGCGAGAGAGCTCAGGCGACGCAGAGAAGATCTGGGATTAGGTGAGGTGGGACTCCACGACAAAGCGACCTCAGAAGAGGTTGATGGTTGTTGTCGAGCTGGCATTTTGGTCACAGACAGAGTGCTGACCAGATTTGTTGTTATTGTAAATGATTGTGATGATGGCAAGGTAAAGACAGTGATGAAACAAAGCAAGAAGCGAGCAAGGAGTGTGATGAATTTTGGTTGCAACAGTGATGTTGAAGGAGGTGCGATGAGAGAGTGTCGTGGTTGCCACGGGGTTGTTTACCTGACGCCGAAAGATACCTTCTTTTTACAATTGCGCGGCGACAGACCAGTACGCTTCATTCACGAACCATTACTACTCGAAACATTGTCACGACAACCTGGACAGAATTTTGTGTCAGTCTTGTATGAGAAAGAAATTTGTTAATGAAGGGGAACGGAAGTGCGTTGGACCAGTTCATTTTCATCGGCTACCCAACATTGCTGCTATCAGACATCACATCACGTTCGCTCTTGTCTGAAGGCTCAGTAGTCGTAAAAGCCCTTGCCCGACTTCTTGCCTAGCCAGCCAGCATCGACCATCTTAGTCAAGAGAACGGAGGGTCTGTATTTGGAGTCACCAAGCTCCTCATGTAAGACGCGCATGATGGCCAGACATGTGTCAAGACCGATGAAGTCGGCAAGCTGAAGAGGTCCCATGGGTACATTCGTGCCGTTCTTCATGATAGCATCGATATCCTCTTTGGAACCAACACCGGTCTCTAGGCAGATGACGGCCTCATTGATGTATGGCATGAGAATGCGATTGGCAAGGAAACCTGGGCTATCCTGGCTGACAGAAGGAATCTTGCCCATACGTTTGCAGAACTCGACAGCGGTCGTAAGAGTCTCCTGAGAAGTCTGGAGACCAGTAATGATCTCGACACCTTTNTGGATAGGTACAGGGTTCATGAAGTGGGTTGAGACGACCCTGGAAGCGGCAGATAGATCTGTAGGATCGGTTGTGGTAGCAGCGGCGATTTTAGTGATGCTGATGGATGAAGTGTTGGTAGCCAGGATTGCATGCGAGGGAGCCAATTTAGCCATCTGTGAGAAGATCTTGGTTTTGAGGTCGAGGATCTCAGGTACAGCCTCAATGATCATATCGACATCTGACAGAGCACCCATGTCATTGGTAGGGGTCAGCCTCTGTCTTGCAGCATCGGCATCGTCCTGGGTTATCCTTTGCTTGGAGACATCTTTGGCTAACAGCTTGTCGGCAAACTTGAGGCCCTTGTCGATTGAGGCCTGCGAGTTGTCGACTAATGTCACTGGTACTTTGGCTCTCAGGGCAGCGACCAGAGCAATACCCAGTCCNCTATGGAAAATTAGTCAGGTTCTCTTGATATGTAGTGCTCTGAGCTTCATTCTCACCATCTGGCCGGCACCAATAACACCGAGCTTCTTGACTTCAGCATTAGAACGGACACTAGCACTAAATTGTCGCCTGGAGGCCAATGTGAGATTTCTGGGAAGCTGCTTCAAGCAGAAACGGCACGAAAGAGAAGCCATAGTTGTCAATTGATGGTCAGTGGCAGAACAAAAGCAGAATATTGAAAGAGGCCCTGATATTGGACAATCACATGCGGCAGTCCGGGGCCGACATGCCGAGGTCGTGCGTCAGCGTGTGGAGGCACAGGGAGCGATGTTTGATTCGTTTGATTCAATTTACGCGCGACGCGTTGACCGACGCGGGTCTTTCGAATATTATCATCAGGGTCGATATTGAATTGTATCACGACAGACACAGCCGTCATGGAGGTCTTCGAAAAGGCCCAGACGGTCGACCCCGAGGTCAGAGCCCACATTTACTCTCTCATCTCGGCCATTGGTGGCAGTAGTACTGTCAACGAAGGCCAATATGTCCTCGGAGATGACGCCCTGGCCTGTTTGAAGGACTTGTCACGATGGATCCGCTCATACGATGACCGAATGAACAGACACGATGTCAAGAGATGCATGGCCGAAGCAAATCTGCTTAGAGGAGATCTACTGCCCATTCTCGCCCAGCAAGGAGACAAGACCGAACGCAGCGCTCTCGCAACANAAATTGCCCTCAGCTGTCTCGACTTGCTCAACACCCTGACATGGCCAATCGAACGGAAAGAAGAGACCATGACCGTCAATACTCATAGACATCTTCCATACATCAGACTCGCCCAAGTCGAATACAAGCGTGCCGTCCTGCACTGGGAATCCGCCCAGATCCTTCGCACCGCAATCAGCGTCGCCATCCCTGCCATCACACAACCCAGAACCGATCGCTCTCCCAGAGACGAATCTATCATCGGTGTCGTCCTTTACTTTTTGCGAAACGTTGCCATCATCGCACAACCAGCAGACCTGCCGACTTCAGCCGACAACAACGACATCAACAGACTGGAAACAATCAATGCTTTCCACCAGCAGAACGTATTGCAGCTTCTGCTCACAATCGCCTCGAGTGTCACCGACGAGTATCCAATGCACGATATCGTCCTCCTGGATATTCTCTTCCAGCTGCTCAAAGGCATTGACCCCGAGGATCTGTTCAAAAATGAGAAGCAACTAGAAGATGCCAGGAATGACGAGTTCAAGGCTTTGTTAGACAAAGAGAAGGCCATGAATGCCTCATATGCAAGAAACGCTCCCAGTCGTCACCATCGCTTCGGAACCATGATTTGGGTGAAGCGACCCGACGAGAAAGTGTCTACTCTTAGCGGCCAAAATGTCATCTTCGATGAGCAAAAGACGCTGCACCAAATGGATCAGTCAAAACTCTGGAACAAACCAAAGGGTCGCAAGAAGAATACTGAGGTTCAAGACGAAAATAACGATTTCGACAACAATGTCAACCTGGACGAATCTACACGCAAGATTGTTCGTCAGTTTGTCGAGGATTTCCTGGACTCTTCATTCAATCCACTTTTCAACAGTCTTCGCCGTGCCCTGACTTCAGAAGCCGAGCGAGCCCAGAAATATCACAACCGCCAGTACTACTATCTGATGGGCTGGTTCTTGCAAGCGGAACGTGCTAGACAAGACTTGCTCAAGCGGAACGGCAAAGTACATAATGCTGCTGTCGACGACTCACCCTTTGCATACATTGCTGCAGTCATGACCCAGGAAAACTTCATCTTGCTTGGACGTAAGATCCAGCAGAGTTTGGACGATAAGGAGTGGTCTGATCTGCACGCTTGTATGCGAGCATTTACACAGATCTTGTTGACTGTAGCTGCAATGGCAGACTCTGCTTCCGAAGACGACCAGGAGATTGCCGAGAACATCCAAAACAGAATCTTTTACGAGGAAACCACTCACGACCAAGTCATTGCTGTGCTTAGAGGATACAATGGCCAAGGATTCGCATTCCTGGACGCATGCACAGATATGGCGCACACTTTCCTACGCATGTTAGAACGCTACAGTAAACAGAATGTTGACATGCAAGTTCGTTCGAAACGACGTGCTAGGAGAAAGCGCAGAGTTGAAGCTCAAGCCAACGGCGCTGAAGACGAAGGTGCTGCGTCTGAGGCTGAGGATCAAGCTGATGCTCAACGCGCCGTAAGCGAACGCAAGTTCGATTTCACCAGATTTGCCAGCAAGTTCATGACTGAGAGTGCTGTCAACACGTTCGTCACCTTCACAAGCTACTACAGAGACCTTGACCTCGAGCAGCTGAAGAGATGTCACCGTTTCTTCTACCGTTGCGCGTTCAAGATGGAGCGAACAATCTTCCTGTATAGACTCGACATCCTACACTTGCTCAATCGTATGATCAAAGGACCAGAAGGGTTATCTAAAGAGATGCCTATGTTCAAAGAATGGGAAGAATTGGTCAAGCAAGTCTTCAGACGTTGTTTAAAGAACCTCGACCAACGTAGAGAGCTCATGGTAGAGATGCTTTTCACGAAGATGCCGAACACTATCTTCTACCNNCTTGAGAACGGCTACGATATGGAAATCACAAAAGCCAGACCCAGACCACCGGCCGAGTTGGTCGTAAAACCTGGACTGAGTCAAGAAGAACAGCTCGCAGTCGCTGTCAGTGTGCTTGTCAACCAAGGCAAACTCGATGCTTTGGCCTGGGTCAAGGACGTTCTCAACTCTGCTGCAGAAGACAGAAAGTTTTGGGAAGATCTACATGATGCACAAGCAAGCATTCAGAACGTCACAAATGGCGAGACCGAGAACACAAATGGCGCAGACAACCAAGATTTTGAAGCACAAGCTGAGTCATTCGAGCCAGCAGTCCAAGAAGACAAACCTAAAGCTCCTTTCATAACACTCAAGCCTGACACCGAAGAACGCAAACTCAGTCTCTTCAAGGACAAGTTTCTGCGTCTACTCCTCAAACTCCTCGCTCTCGAACGTCTCGGCGAGAATGATGATCCGGACGCTTCCTGGATCGTTCCTTCTTCCATGCACTCATCACTCATTCTATCCAATCTAGCTCTGATCAGAAAGTTTGAGTTTGATCTCCCAACCTTCGAAGGCGGCGTGGCCCCCGAATCTCTTCTTAGAAGCAAGAGTGCGGCGGGTCTACACGCTAGAGCAGACCAGAGTGCTGCTGCTAGCGCAGTCAACAGTGACGAAGAAGGCGATACCCTCTCCGACCTTGACGCTCAAGCAGCCGCCTTGTTCGAACCTGGAGGCCCTACATCTCGATCTGCCGATTATGAGAAGCCCAAAGCTAGAAAGAGGTTGTTGCAGCGCAAGGCCCCTGATCTCACAGAAGCACAAAGGTTGCTACGACAACAGGAAAGAGAAGCCAAAGAGAGAGAAAAGAATGCAAAGATCAAATCAGCACTTCGCATCACGGATTCTGATGACGAAGACGATGCAGACAAGGATGCGGCGTTCTTTGCGCTCGAAGAAGAGAGAAGGAAGAAGATCAGTGGTGTGATAAGAAATGCATTGCTGCATGAAGTCGATGAGTCTGCTGGCAAGAAGAATAAACGCAAGGCCAAGGCTACGACCGGAAAAGCAGCCAAGGGCAAGAAGAGAAAGACCATCACGGTCGACAGCGATAGTGATCGGGACAGTGACACTGATCAGGACGAGGATATGAGGGACATCGATGCTGCTGATGCAGTCAGTGAGGTGGATGAGGCGCCAGAGGACACACCTATGGACACTGTGTCACCACTTAAAAGCGGTGCTCCAGCTGCGATTGATGCAGACGAGGATGAGGAGGATATCGTGCAAACTAGACCTGCTCGAGCGAGAGCAACAGCGAGACTACCGTTCTTGGACGACAGCGATAGTGACTAGACCACTGTTGCAACTTGTATAGCATCGCATAATGATTTGGGAGCGTGGAGTTTCGGCAGGCTTGAACTTTGGGAAGAGAGGTATATAGTGAATGAGAATATCATCAGCATTCGAATGCTTCAACTCGACTCGACTACTAGAAACTCCGCGTCACGAGGAACCACTTTGTTCGTATAGCCTTGTTGATACTGAAGTTATTTGTATGCTTTTCATGATCTAGATTTTACTCAGACCACTTCGATTCTTCTTGATGCGTTCGTACAAGACTTCGGCAACAGCTTTCATGCCTTGGCCGTTGGGGTGATACCAGGTTTTGCCCGCCAACTGCTCCATAGCGGTACATCCGAATACCCATGGCTCTGCACTGCCGATCGCATGGTCTTGACTTAATTCAGCCATTGGTACCCGCTCACACCAGTCTGATCGAGACTCGACGGCCTTGGTAGTGGCACTCTGCAGCTTGGCTGCAATTGCTTGATGGTGCTTCAATCTCTCGGCATCAAAGGGAACGTCAACCCCGGGCTTGATATCAGGTCCCAGTAGTGTCAAGTACTCGATGACGATGACGCGTGCTTTGGGAGCTTTGGCGTGTACAGCATCAAGGACTTTTCCGAATCGTCTTACGACCTCTTCTTCATCGGCAGGTTTCGGCATACTTGGTGGTGAGACGCCCTTAACACGATTGACCAGAGATAATGCTGTCATCATCCACGAATGTTCCATGAACAAGCCTCCAACATAGGACATATCGTTGCCGCCACCCAGTACAAGTACAATATCGGCATCCTCGGGAACACCTTGGATTTGAGGTTGAAATGTCTGACCGTTGGCGACTTGGGGTGTGTCTATTATGTTTAAAAGTGTAGCTCCAGACACACTCAGATCTGTCAATTCTGCGTTCAGACGTTTGGCCAGTAGGTGTGCAAAATTTGCGCCGGAACGACTGGCTGCAGTGTTTATCTGGGGAGGAATGCCAGGGCCGGCGGAGAAGCTGCTTCCAAGGTTGGCAATCTTGACCATTTTGAAGAAGACAGGATGAGATGCAGGACAAATGCAAGGCAGATGGTCGAAAATGAGTGATGGGCAGCAAAGGGATAAGAAAGACGTTTGATAAGTGAAGGTAACTTAGGTTTCCGGAGCCTTGACATCCGAGTCTATCTGTGCAGCAGTTCACAGAAGTGATTGATGAAGCAGCGCAAGTCTACAGGATTGCCCGACTTTCTATAAATGAGCCTGGGGTGTAAGACGACTCTTGGGGTCCTCTGTGGTGTGCAAGCCGAGCAACAAAAGAACAAAAGAACAAAAGCACAAGAGGTGAGTGATCAAGTGAAAGATGGTATGGAAAAATGTCGGCAGTGATGACGTCGAATTGGAGATGGTTTGCGCTGGACGATTGTGGGGAAACTGGAGGTTGATATGATTTGCTTCTCTCTTGCACATTGCTCACTATGCTCTTCGACGCAGGATAGTCATCATGTCGGTCGCCTCGAAGCGGGCGCTCGAATATCTCGAGGGCCAGCCGGGCATCATCTTCAACAGGCTGTACCAGCAGCCGTCGACTGCCTTGGCCATCTTTCGTCGCATGTTGCCGCATCTGGGTGAGTTGTGCTTGTGAGGCAGCACTCGATGAATCGTCTATTGACAGAACACAGCAAAGAATCTGGTCATGGCTATGCTGTTCATGCCAACCCCTCTAGCCGTGTCTGATCTCGAAACCTGGGTAAAGCCAGACACCGACAGTGTGCGCGCAAGCGGTTATTCAAACAACATCCTCGGACGCCTCAAGATCCTCGAAGAAACCCGCAACGACCAAAACAGACCCGCATACCAACTTAACAAAGCCTTCCGAAAATCCCTGCGCCTCGCTCTCACTGGTGGAGGCGATCATCGCTCTTTCGGTGTGCCGTCAAGCACCCTAGACAAAAATGAAGTCACCATCGATTTCCTCGACACTTATGCGCGACAACAATGGGAAGGCATCTTATACTATGTCGTTGGTAGTGCAGGTCAAGGCCTCGGTGGTGCCGTTAACATCACTGCTGGTACGAAAGAGTTGTTGGAAAGTGGAGGCTTTGTCATGACCAAGGGCCGTAACGCATACATCACTCGCGATGGTTTCTCATTCCTGCTACAAGAAACCAACGCTCAGATCTGGACACTGCTGATCGAGTATCTGAAGTTGTCCGAAAGACTTCAGATGGACGCTGTTGATGTCTTGAGTTTCCTCTTCACTCTAGGCTCGCTCGAATTGGGCGTCTCATACACCACCGAGAACCTGACTCCGACTCAGGCACATATGCTGGACGACCTATCAGATTTTGGTATCGTCTACCGTCGCGCATCAGACAAATCGCGCTACTATCCCACACGACTAGCCACCACTTTGACATCCGATTCACCCGCTTTACTAAACACTTCCGTCTCAGCCACTTCTCTCGGAGTCACACCGACAGGCGGAAACATGGTTGCCTCACAAGAGACAGAAAAGGGCTACATTATCGTTGAAACCAACTATCGTATCTACGCCTACACATCCTCACCACTCAACATCTCCATCCTATCGCTCTTCGCCAATCTCAAGACCCGTTTCCCCAACATGTTGACCGCAACTCTCACAAAATCATCCATCCAACAAGCCATCGCTGCAGGCATCACCGCCGATCAAATCATCACATATCTAACAACACACGCCCATCCAATCCTCCGCAAATCAACACCAATCCTACCACCAACAGTAGTCGACCAGATTCGTCTATGGCAGTTGGAAAACGAGCGCATGAAAGCCACACCAGGATACCTGATCAGAGATGTGGGCACCCAAGAAGAGTACCTCCGAGCAGTTCAACATGCCGACACAATTGGCGTGTTAATGTGGCAGAACGACGCAAAGGGAATGTTTTTCGTTACCAAGTTTGATCAGATGGCGCAATACTTCAAAGCTATTGTGAGAAGGAGAAGAGAAGATGAAGGCAGCGCTGGAGATGCGACACCGAGGTAGGTGTCGGATTCCTGGTCAGCGAAATAGCTTAGATGAGGCGTATGTTTTTCCTCCACGTCTGATCATGGCGTTTGGGCAAAGCAGGCAAGACGACCATGAGGAAGAAGTTATATCAACAACATCTGATATGGTCAGGAAAAGCAGTAGAACTGCACAATACTTTCTTTCGTGCACAATGCGGATTTTCATAGAGAGAACCCTTATAAGAACCATCTCAATGGCCAGACTTGTATTTGAATCAAAGTTCTGCATTATGAGAGCTTACCATGACCTTTGTAGCTCGAGTTAGGTGCAAAACTGTGACTGTCTCTACCTAGTACACGGAGCGGGCAGCAGTTCAACGACAATCTTGCATGCAGATAATGATCAAGTTTCTCCTAATTACTTGAGCTGCTTGGACTGCTTGAGTTGTGCGTTCACTGTTCGTATGAGGCAGGCTGATAGTACATCAATTGATGCAAAACAAAAGGCCTCAACCCGGGATTGAACCGGGGACCTCCTGCAATTTAGATAAACCCAAAGCAGGAATCATACCGCTAGACCATTAAGGCAATTTATGCTTTTCCTTTGTTTTGTTGCAATATATTTATTTGATCCAGGGACAACATAGTAACCATCGGCCCCACGTCCATCGCAACTCCTCCACTTCGAAAATCGGGTTCAAGGTCTGTACCTTGATGGGCGATACTTCTCATCAATGCGCCTAACGTGCTACGGCATTAGAAGGATTCTCGAGTCAGATGGCCTGACTCGTCAATAGGTACCAAACCATGGAACGTTTCATTGAACCTCGATTCAGATCGTGTGAGCTGTATAGCTCGCCCACTCCGTTCCGTCGAGGAGGTTCAGGGCATGGTATTTGACGGCCCCACCTTGGCTCATCCGCACTTTGCCGTTGATGAGGTGAAAACCGCCGACAGTTTCGGCTTGCGCTGTTTCGGAGCGCGAACATGACAAACCGATTGCTGTGTTAAGCTGAATCTAGCAACGAATACGATAGGCTGGAAATACAGCTATGTGCATAGCTACAGTAAAGCAAATCGGCTCGTTACTCGTTAGGTACGGTGCCGCTACTCTCCTTCACATGTTGGAAACATCGGGATGAATCAGCGTTGCAGGCCGAGGGCGCGAACTCGCGTTCATTGTTGTTAAGAATAACTTACCTGTCCAAAGGGGCGTCTAGGAGAAGCCACACAGCGGAAAGAAAATAGCTGTTCCATCATATCATGGCCTCCACGTCGACGTTTCTGGGAGCCCTGACCAGACGTGCCCCACACCTGTATACCGCTTTAACTGCGCGAACTTCCACTTCATCCAACACTCTTGTCTCATCATCTCGATTTTCGTCTTTCAAACTCATTTCCTCTTTCCGTACTTCCTCCGCAAACTTCCATAGCACATCTCGAACAGCAACAATGGCTTCTTCGATGGACTTCCTCAAGGCTTGCGAGAACCGCAGAACCATCTACCAAATCACCAACAAGATCCCCATCTCTGATGCCCGCGTTGAGGAGATCGCCAGACACAACGTCCTTCACGTTCCCAGCAGTTTCAACTCCCAGTCTACTCGTATTGTCGTCTTGCTCAACGATGAGCACAAGCAGTTCTGGGAGTTTGTTAAGGAGGTCTTGAAGCCTCAGGTCCCTGAGGAGCAGTTCCCTCAAACTGAGAAGAAGCTTGATGGCTTCAAGGCTGGTCACGGCACTGTATGTCTTTCTGACCCTCCGGTCGTGACTGATGGTTGAAGATCATGATTGCTGACCTGAATTGATCAGATTCTCTTCTTGAACGACCCCAACCCTGTCAAGAAGCTCCAGTCTCAGTTCGCTCTCTACGCTCAGCACTTCCCTGGCTGGGCTACTCAATCCAATGCCATGGCTCAATACCACCTTTGGACTGCTCTCGAGGCCGAAGGCTGTGCTTGCAACCTTCAGCACTACAACCCCATCGTAAGTCGCAATTACTGCATTCATAGATATAATAACGAAGAAGAAAAACACTGACTGTGCCTTCTTCCACAGATCGACCAAAAGGCAAAGGGCCACTGGAACATTCCCCAAGAGTGGGAGCTTCAAGCCCAGCTTGTATTCGGTGGTTACGCAGAGGGCGCCCGTGAGGCTGTCGACAAGGGTGGCAAGCAGCAGCAGCCCATCGAGGAGAGACTCTTCATCCACGGCGCCAAGAACTAAACACATGACATACAGCATCATAGAGCCTATAGATTTGGACCAGATTGAACATCAATCAATGATAATGTGATTGTATTGTTCACAGCTTGCCCTTTTCCTCTCCGTTCAACTCAACATTGGCAGCTGCTTGCATGACATCTCTTGTCAAGATCTCTCCCTTCTCCTTCTTCGGTTGTAATCTTCCCATCTTCATCAACCGCAGAATCATGTCTTCGTCGCCAAAGTGACTGTTGTGTTCGAACTCTGGCTCCCTGCCGTAAGCCACTCTCGCCGCATCCACCAAGATCCTTGCCGTCATGCCAAACACCCTATACCTCGGCATATCCAACGCATCTTTCTGTGCCAGACTCTTGTTTTCTGTTTCCTGTTTGTTTGAAGAGCCAGGTACTGGTTTCCCATACGCTTGGGCAGCGCGATCGGCAAGCAATACAGGCGCCTTGGACGCAGGCGAACATGGAGCTGTCGCAGCATCCAACCGCGTATTCTCCACCTCCACGCTCCTAAACACCGTCCTCTGGCTCACAGGCACATGGAACATATGCATGCGCCAGGGTTCATGGTACCAGCTATGCCAAGCACCTCTATACCAATCTCCCTCCGCCACTCCCTCATCCCTCTCTTTCAAAAACTGTTCAAACGGTGCCGTAAAAACAGCAGCAACTTCCCTCGCATCCAATTTCGGCAACAGATCTTTTGCGATGTCTGATGTGGATGATGAGCTCCGTAGCCACGCTACACAAGGTCTAACCCCNAACTCCGTCATTGCAAGATTCATAGGCAGTTCCGTGAGGTTCTCGACGGTATATCCCTTAGGTAACTCTGTATCCTTGCTCGGCAATCCTATTTCTTCTTCTGCTTCTCGACGTGCAGTCTGCCATGCGCTTTCCGTCTCGTAATCGGCTTTTCCGCCGGGAAGAGCAGCTTGTCCGGCATAGTTTCTGAGCTTTGCGCTGCGGATGGTGAGGATGACGCGGAGGTCACCGCGGCGGTCGGCGAACAGGAGAATGAGTACGGCGGCGCGGCGGCTCAGAGGCAGTTTGGTGTATTGTGATGGTGGGGGTTTGAAAGCGCGGAGGCGGGCTAGGGCGGCCTGTGTAGATCAAGAGGTTAGTAGATGCGAGGGCTCATGAGGTAGAACACGTTTACTGCTGATGCTTGCGACAATGCTGCCATGACTGCGTATGGTGGTGTGTCTCCATGTCGCGAAGTTGTCAAGGATGTCAAGAGCGATGAGATCACAAGTCGAGGGGTCTTGAGCCGAGGTAGATAGACTCTCGGCGTTAAGGTGAAACTCCGTATACCTATCTATTCACATGCAACATACTTGACATAGAAAACAAGATGTGTACAATTTGCATTTTGATTGTCGGCGTCGACAGATGTGTCCTTCTATACAGAGATTAATAATCGACCTTTTCTTTCCGCCTTCCAGATTTGTTATTTTTGCCATGCGATTTTTGATGTGTACGCCAAAAGAGCAGAGAAAAGGAAGGAACCAGAGGTCAGTAGGCTAAGCAAGAACGATTCAAAAACAAGAACGCCATGAATATGCAATCATTCGAGAAAGGAACGTGAAAGATGGTCCGAGCAGAAATCAACCCAGACGTACCATATTATTACCCGTCCATGCAGTTGGAGAGAAGAGGAAGAAAATTAAAAGGGCTATGATCAGGGGTGCCCATGTGGTCGTTCGTGCTGTCGTGCAATCTCTGGAGCAGCTTCGCCAGCATCGACAGGAGCCTGCATGTTTTGAGACTTTTGTGCGCTGCGTTGTCTCTCCTTTTCGTCTTCACTGCTGCCAGCCGAAGTGTCACCTTCTTGTGGTACTTCGCCGCTACGGCTCTCACGTCGCAATCTTTCGGCTTTGTCCTTGAGAACCTTTGCTTCTTCAGCTGCTCTCTGAGCGCGGACTTGCTTGCGCCACATCGAGTAGTACTTGCCCTTCATGTCTAGCAGTTCCTGGTGTGTGCCTCGCTCAGCAACACGACCTTCATGAAGAACACAGATCTGGTCAGCCATGGTGATGGTCGAGAGACGGTGCGCAATCACGAGCATGGTTCTGCCTTGAGCAAGGGTCATGAGAGCCTGTTGAATGTGTTCTTCGGTCTCGGTGTCCAGAGCAGCAGTAGCTTCGTCGAGCAGAATGATACGAGGACCCTTTATGATGGTACGAGCGATTGCGACACGCTGCTTCTCACCACCAGAGAGACGAAGACCACGCTCGCCGACCTTGGTGTTGTAGCCGTCAGGGAATGAGAGAATCTTCTCGTGGATCGATGCTGCTTTGCAGGCTTCAAAGACATCCTCATCGCTAGCTGCAGGATTGGCATACTTGAGGTTATACATTAGGGTTTCGTTGAAGAGGACTGTATCTTGAGGAACAACACCAATGTGTTTGCGAACACTGTCGATGGACACATCGGCGACATCATGACCGTCAATCTGAATTGTGCCAGACTCGGAGTTGTAAAAGCGGAAGAGCAGGCGGAAGACAGTCGACTTGCCGCCGCCTGATTCTCCGACCAGGGCAGTTGTGGTACCTGGCTTGCATTGGAAGTCCAGTCCCTGAAGAGCAGGCTTGCGGGAATCGTAGGCGAAGTGAACGTCGTTGAAGCGCACATCACCTTCGCAACTAGGCAAAGTCGTGACTCCTGGAGCATCTACCACGGTTGGCTGCTCTTTGAACAGCTCAAGCATACGCTCGGAGTTGATCATAGCACTCTGAATCATGCGGTAGAAGGTGCCAAAGAAGTTCAGAGGTCCCTGCAGCTGGGCCATGTAGGTCAACAAGGTCACAAAATCACCGACACTGCGTTGACCAGTAGTGACTTGGTAAGCAGCAACGAAACATGCGACCATCAGTCCAACCATAAAGACCATGTTTTGTGTGACGTTCATGAAGTTCAGTGATAGAACGACTGAATATTCTGCCTTCTGATATTTGTCGACTGCCTCACGGTATCTGTTGAATTCGTAGGCTTCGGCGTTGAAGTATTTGACAGTCTCGTATGAGACCATAGAGTCATTCTTGACAGCATCAACTTCTCTGTCCGAGTTCACCATCTGCCTGCGGATCTCGGCACGCCATTGTGCCATGCGAATGGTCAAGTAGATATACCAGAAGGTGACAACAGCGATAATCAGAGCATAGTAAACATCGAACCTGATCATGAAATAGCCAATAGCGACAAACAAATCAACCAGCATGGGAATGACTTGGAATGTGACTGATTCCAGAAAGTTGTTGATAGCGTTACCTTTACCTAGAGCAGATAGAACCTCGCCAGTCTTCTTGCCCAAATGGAAATCCAAGCTCAAGCTATGGACATGTTCGAAGGAGGCAACTGAGAGCTCACGGAAAGAGTATTGGCTAACCGGGATCCAAATGATGGATCGGGTTGCGCCAAGCAGACCGTTGTTACCCTGCAGGAGGCGAAAGAAAATATAGAGACAAATGGATTTCCATGGCATGCCAGTTTTGTCATCATCAGCGAGTTCATTAGTTATGACACCAGCCTGGAGAGGCACCAGGAACTGAATACCGCGTTGTACAAGCATGATGGCGAAACAAACGACGACGGCTATTTGTAATCGACGATCCTTTGAGGGCCAGAGATATGGGAAGAAGAGGGAGTATCCTCTGATATATTCCCACCAGCTTCTAGAGGGCGTTGTCGTTGGCTTTTCCCAGCCAGCAGGGGCATCTGCAGCCTTTTTCGGTTTGTTGTGTCCATTTGGCTGTGTGGCACCGTATCCGTTGGCTCCGTTGGCAGATCCGTTAGCGGCACCAGCTTCAGCTCGATCTTCAGCAAGAAGTCCAGTGGTTTCGCTCGCAGAGGGCTGGCTATCAGTCTGCTTTCTTTGGCTTCTCGCGTGCAGCGTGACGAAAAGAACGTAGAACGCCACGAGAGCCAGGAGCAAGATGATGCGGATCAAATCCAGTGTGACGCCAGTGATTTCCCATTCGGTCATTTCTCTTTCCAGGTGACCGCCTGATGGGTCTCCTGCTTTAGGTTCGTGGTGTGCATGAGTATATAGGGCAAACGAGGAAGCGAGCAGGACGATTTCCATTGCGGCAGCCAGAGTCCATGTTGAAGCATGAGCCCAAGTGGGAGAGGGTTGTGTATCGAAAATGGAGATGAGGATCATAGTGTAAACCATGAATGCACCCACAACATAGACCTATGAGGGCATAGTTAGTAGGAGAAAAGGATGTGTTTGATTGCTGATGTGGCTTACAACTGTGGCTTGGCCACACCACCATTCTTCCTTGCGCGCATAGAGGGCATGAACTATTATAGTAACAGCATTGCCAGCGAGAGTAAGGGTGGCTGCTAGGGACAACCACTCGAAGAGCAACTTGCGAGGTCTGCTGAAATCAAGGAAGTTTTTGGTATTGTCTGTGGGAGCTTTCTTCTTGGGTAAAGGCTTGCCGCCGGGACCCAATTGTGGTTCGGAATTGGTGTCGTCGGTTGCGTCAGTCCTGGCGGTCAGGATGCTGCGGATGGTGAAGGTGGTGAGGAAGAAGAAGAGCAGTACGATGGGGTAGGCGAAGTGTACAATGGACAGAAGACGTTGGGCTTTGTGTTCGGCAACCCAGTGACCATGTCGGTGATGTTTCATGTAGACTGTGGCCGTGGCATTGTCGAGGGATGCTGAATCCATAATGATGATGGTGACCAGGGTGGTGAAGCCCGCGGGTCGGAGTGTCGAGGGGCGGGACAAAAGCAGAACAAAAAGCGAGAGAACGGAGACGGTGGACGGGTCGAGTATTACAATTGCCACCACTCGACAATAGTCAGCATCTTCTACTGCCGTCTATTGCACTCCGGGGGTGTAGTGAGTGGTAGCAAGTTACGAATTGGACAAGCGCGAGGGCCGCCGTCTTCAGGTACGCCATGCACGCCGATTGCAGTGGCGATGATCGATCCGGCAGCCGGGGCCCAAGCTAAGCCAATCTGTCGCTCGTTCCTGCTCTATCGTAACGCTTTCGGACCAGGTTTATGGGCGCAGATGACCCATTTTACCCATCAATCTATTCCTTGAATCAACTGCACGCGATCAGTTACTTTTCCCACCCGCTGCGAAACCCCTCCTCAGCTTGCTTGTCGTCCACAAGTGCTGCATACCACGTCCAAAAGTCCAAACTCTAAATCTGCCTACTGCCCTCCATCTCCACTGAAAAGGGCCGTGAAGCGGTCAGCTGTCTCTCCCCTTGACGCGTACCATCCGTAAATACGATTCGCGCATACTCATCGTCTTCAACGTCAATTCCACGTAAAACAAGCAGCATGTAGTTATCCTGTGCATCTTGCATTCTCGTCACGAGTCTCGACAGGCCGTCGCTGCAGCTTTCATGCACCCCTCCGCATCCAACGCGCTTGTGGCTGTCACTTGAAGCCATTTCCCACTTCCGCGCGGGTCTCCATGCATCCCAAACCACTCATTCGGTTCTGCTTGTACAGCGTCCTGCCATCCAATCGTTCTCTGATGACACTGTGACGGCTCGCATCTCCACCTCCGCATACACCTTTGCATTCATTGCGAACCAGCCTTGACCATTCCTCGTTGTTTCTTGCTGCAATCCTCACCGCTGTTCAAGCATCCCCTCCGCACAACCTCACAGTCTATCTGCATGTACCACGCTCAACCCAATGTGATACAATTGGCCTTCACGGCTCGCTACAGAAGCTGACACCATCTTCATATGCTCGTTGCTCGCTACCAAGAACAATCTGGACCAATTGTCGACACTCCCGACTTCCCAAAGGCCCTTCAGACCAGACACAGAAGCATCGTGTTGGTCTCAACAATTCAGTATGCATCCGCCATCACATTCCTGTGAGACTCGGACGACAGATCAAAAGTTCCTATCGGAAGCGACCATCAATGTGAGCTGTCATAACGCCCAGTAAACGACAATCACAGGTGCGTCTAGTATATGCATTCGAGAATTGACGATCTTGTACAGCCATGCCTTCTGATACTCGTATCGACTGCCGCATGAGATTATATTAAAGCTCATCTTTGAGGTGATAATTTTCCGCTTTGCTATCATCCTCCACTGCCTTCAACCCTCTCTTCACGATGCTTGTCAGAACCTCGTAGACGATCTGTGTAGCTGCTATGGATGTAGGCTCTCCGACACCATCGTAAGCAGGAGCAACTTCAACAATGTCCGCACCAACGACATTCAAGCCTTCAATGCCTCTCAATATCCTGATCAACTCCCTAGTGGACCAGCCACCTGCTTCAGGGGTACCAGTTGCTGGTGCATACGCCACATCCAAAACATCAATGTCAATACTGAGATACACCGGAATCTCTGTACCCACTCTGGCCATGATTCTCTTGGCAATGCCCTCGACACCCCATCGATCGATATCGTCCACCTCAATTTGCATGAACCCCTGTTGTACGTCGTTTGCATAATCTTGGAAACTGGTTCCCGTCAAGCGACTTCGGAGTCCTGCGTGGATGCACGATCCATTTGCTAATAGTCTCTCTTGAGCTGCGTTCCAGAAGACTGAAGCGTGATTGTAGTTCGCCTGCTCGCTGAACCAGTATTCGTCGTCTTCTTGCTTGAGGCCGGGCCAGGTCTACCATATTTTGGCATTAGTGTCGACCACAATCAACCAAGGATAAATACCTACATCACAATGAGCATCGAAGTGCACGACTGCGATTGGCTTCTGATACAGCTCATGCAGGGCTCTCAAGGCCGGCAACGCAATAGAATGGTCACCACCCAAGGTGATCAGTTTGGGATATCTGGCAAACCCCTCGTCAACATCATCGTGCGCTTTTCCAGCATCAAACGCTGGGTCTCGAGAGCCTAGTTCCATGTATGCCTCTGACAGCTGTCTCATAGCGACTTGATTGTCCAGCGGCGTCACGGGAATATCTCCGCAATCCAGGACCCGAGCCCACGATCTGTATGGATTAATAGCTGCCCGCGCATTGAAGCCTCGATAGGCTGTTTGCCGCATCGATGCTTGTCGAATGGCTCTAGGGCCAAATCTCGCACCNTGGACAACCAACCGTCAGTGTCATATACGCAAAAACATGATACAGTGTCGATTCCTACCGCTGCGGTAAGTGGACCCAGTATCAAACGGCGCGCCTACGATCGCCACATCGTATTTGTGTCGCAAACTATTCAAGCACTGTGTATAAGGCAAATGAGCGAAAGTGACCAGGCCTGCGAAACTTCCCTGAGCCATCACATTCGTTAACAAACGCGTATGCAAAGTGCGAGTCTGGGACTTACTNGGTCGACCCCATTTCCTAGCCAATTCGCGTTCTTGCACTTGTATGGCTGCTCGATCAACATGCTGATCTGCTGCCGCCAACAATATCCATACAAGCTGAAACATAACAACACATCCAAATAGCATCTTTGTTCTCACAAAAACCTTTGCCAAGCGTAACAGAGAAAAGAATGATACTAACGGGGCTAGAAAAAGTTGTATGCGAATAGAAGCTGGGCTAGCTTAGATGATATTGCAGACTAAATGGAGCTATTGCCGTCTTCTGATTCATGTGGTATTTCGCTAGCAAGCCACACCCGTTGAGACCCTGCCGAGGCTAATTTTAGTATTTCTCAGCTCATATGTTGAGTGTCTTGTTCTTTCAAAGATTTGTGTTATTGGTTTCGTGCCAGACCCCTATGGCCATGCCTTGAGTGCCTACGTAGAGTGCTAAGCTTATAGTCCTGGTGGGAAATGGTCCATTGAGATCATGCAGGGAGTGTTCGAGTTGTTTGAGAACGAGGAATTACGTGAAGATGCCTATAATGATGATAATAAGATATTACATTAAACATTGTTCGAAGAAGGTAAGTATATTGTTCCCAAGCTGCTCGTCCTCTACCTCTGCTGGCCCTCTCCGCAGTAGATACCTTGTCTATCAAAGCAACTGTAATCAAACAATGTAGCATAAGAATCATCAGCATTCGAGCTATACTCCTCGTAATCGTACTCATTGATGATATCAGCTACGCTTCGGGTGTAGAACTGACAACGCGGTGGCTGGGCCGAGGGGTCGTAGGGCCATGATCCCTTCTTGTCAGACGTGGACCACGCGAGACATGCAGGGTTGGCCAAACAGTCCAGTCCACAGGTCGACCAATCGCCTGATGCAGTGAAGAGAGATGGAATCGTCACGGATGCCGGGACCAGAGAGTATTCTCTGCAAGATTTGTTGGGTACAGGATGACCCTGAGGGCATTCAAGACCAGCAGGGATCTCGGGGCGGGTGACAACGGAATATGCGTAGCTGTTGCTGACAGTGTATCTAACTGAACCGCGGTATTGGCCNCTGTTCAATTGGGTCAGTACGAAACACAGTTGTCGCTCGGATATTGTCATACTCACATAGTTGGTCGCGTAGGAAGCGGCCCACGTCTGGCTGTACATAGAGCAGTAAAGACCTTGAGGAACACCATTTCTCGAAAGGACGTAGCCATTCACGAAAGCACAAGTCTTGAAGCTGCCATCCTTGTTAGGATGAGCCTTATTGTAAGCCGTCTGTGCTGTACAGGCGCTGGTACAGGACTCGAGGGTAAAGCCTTGCTCCTGCGAGAAGGGGAAGAACTTGCTGCCCATGAAAGTGTCCTTGCCATTGGAGTCCAAGGGAGCATTGACGGCACCTCCCAGGCCAACAGGATCGGTGAAGCCGGCGACGGAAGGTGGAGGTGCATCTTTGTTGTATGCGTTGGACGCAGCAATGACGACGTGGAAGGACGCGCGCCATTGGCCGAAGTTGTTGGCCTGTTCCTTGGATACNGGGTGCGCCCCAGATAGTGCACTGTAAATGTTAGTCTGACGTTGCTTGAGCCCTGAGATATCACATACCTTGTAGTTGGTAGTACTAACTGGGTTGGGGCACTGCGATGGATCTGGGTTCACAGTCGGGTCACGCTCTGCGTACATGTTGAACGCGACACATCCAGGGTTCTGATCGCAGATGGACTGACATCCGGGGACATCATAGCTGTTCAATGTGTGCAGACCCATGTACACGCTAGCACTGAGAGACGTCTTCTGATCGGCGAATACTTGAGAGTAGCCGTAAGGTGTAGCTACAGTTGTGCTGAGGGTCTTTTGAAACTTAGCAATGTCCAAGCAGACACATCAGAAATAGATCAGACTCACGGACAACTCATTGAGAGCCAGGAAGGCCTCTGGTGTATCAGGACTGGCAACTGGTCCCTTTCCAGCTTTTTGCTTTGCGCAAGCCGAGTCCCTTGCAACAATGTCTCGTTCATTGACGGACGAAGCGTTGTTAATAGCGGGTACTGCAGAGACAGCAGCAGAGGCTGCAGCGGCCTGTTCAGTGACAGCTGCTACTGTTGCCACTTGAGTAGCAACATCGACAGCAGGAGTGATAAGAACGGGGTCAGCGGCCTGCTTGATCAGATCAAAGTCGATGTCTTGTGGTCTAGGCGCAGCAGCAGCAACCGCAGCTAGGACGGGCAGTGTGAAGAAAGAACGCATCTTGAACGATGTATGATTGCTGAGATGTGGTCGACCTTGAGCAGGCCATCAGCATGGTCTTATACCTCTCATCGCAGGATCCTTAGAATTGCCTAGCATGAAGGCCCGGATATGACCGTCTGTGGTCTTTGTTTGCCAACTCTGGTTGCCAGCACAGCCGCAAGAATGATCCATCGTAGCTTGCTGACGAACAATCTCATAGTGAATCACAGCTCTTGGCTACTCGACAATTCATCTCTTTCCAGTAAGTGGTTATTATTCAAGATCTTGGATCGGACCAAAAGTGCACATGTGGAGAGTGGTCAGCTTGATGTGGCGTCCTTATAAGTTTAGATCTCAGCTGAGGACGCACAAAGCCGAGCGCACAGAGCGAACGACGACTCATGTCCACATCGCGGTCTGTCGAATACTGATGCTATTTGCAATGCAACTCATCGAAATAATGATTTCTCATCTTAATGTTGATTCGGTATATGCAAAGCGACAATGTTTCCAGAGAATACTGGACGGCCACGGTCAAGAGGTTTCAACTGAAGGCACAAGAACGCGTCGTGTTCTTCGCAACCGATGTATTGCAATAAATGCCGTTGATCAAGCCTTGGAAGGATTCATGGTTCGTTCACATCCTCGTATCATCGATATAGGGCGTGAGAAAAGCAAATAAGGTAAAGATTCCGATTCGGAAAGAAAACAAAGGTCGAGAGAGGAAGCTTGGTGATCTTGAAGGGAAACTGCCTGTCAGGGTCGCCCCTGAAGCTTGTACGAACCTTCCTATCCAAGAGTCTACACGCACAAGCAAGAAATGCAGCCATTGATTTTAGTTCAGAGCTCTTGCATAAATGCATTCAAAAATATCTCACGGCCAGACGTTGCGTTCGCCAAGTTAGAAAATAGAGAAGGCATATTCATTTTGAGTATCTCATCATCATATAACATAACATAGCACTGCAACTTGCACCTCAATAATGCCACTACTCAAACTCTGTAACTCTCGGGAGGGCCAAGGTAACTCTTTCTCACACCACCAAGATCAACGACAACCTTTTGCAAAACTACACTTGGCTCAAGCTGCCAGATCTTCAGCTTGTGAGCTCCAGGCCCTGAATAGTTAAACGTGGTTGTGTTATACCAGATGACATCTGCGACGGCAGTCAACCAGCCAGTAGGATTAGCTCCTGCTGGCTGATCAATAATGTACTGCCTTGTCTGGGGCTCTTGGTTGTCGAGCTGCACGGCGTAGCGAAGAGGGCGATCAGGATCGGTGTTAAGAGAAGTGCCCAAGAATAGTGTGACGTTGACAGTGTTAGGAGTGTACTTGGTGCTAGTTCCCATGTTCTGGTCCATCAAGACTCCTGAGCTCAGATTGCTGAAGGTGTAGAAGTCGTACTCAAGAGCAGGAGCAGATGCTGTAGTGAGAGAGTCTGCAGTGACAGGGAANAGAGTGACTCCCGAGAGTGTGCGCGACAATCCGGGAATGACCTCATACGATACCGAAGAGTTGCCACTGTTAGAGATAGACGAGTAGTGTTCTGCTTCGATGGAGACAGTGCGATCCGACTCGACGTGGCCATTGGTAAAGTTCGATGGGACAGCAGTGTGGTTGTAGGAGATTACAACCTGGGGAACGCTGTATTGGGTACCGTAGTTGGAAGAGCTGGTGATGTTGATGGTGGTTGAGTTGATTGCGCCAGGAGCGACCTTTGACCAGTCGACAGAGACCCAGATGCGAGTATCTGTAGTGCCATTAGGAGACAAGGTGCCGGTCTTCTGTGTGAAGTTCAGGTAAGGAACGCTAGACTGCACGTTCCAGGTGATCTGCTGAGTACCGGTGTGGAAGACATCAATCCAGCGAGCAGGTCCGTAAGGATCAAGAGTCGGGAGATACAGTGTCATGGATGAGAGCGAGTGGAATCTGTCATCGCCAGGCACTGTAGCATTAGATCCCTCGACAGCAACACCTAGGTCACCGATCAAGGCTCTTTCAGCCATTTGAACGTATTGCAGAGGAGGCAAAGCCTGTCTCATGGGTTGTTGCCAGTACGTGTAGCCAATGTGTGTCTGATCCATCATGTGGTTCCACTTTCCGTTGAGCAGTCCATTATATGACTTTGAAAGCTGGTGGTCATATGAGAACTGGTTCTGCACATGTTGGGCCAAAGCGTTTGTTGAAGTACGTCCTTGTTGTGCGTAAACATTGTTTCTAGCTGCCGAGATCATGATGTCGTAGTAAGTACGGGCAGCCGTGATGGGATGGTAGACCATCTCGAAGAAGGCGGGTTGTGTGGCTACAGGCAGTTTATCGAGAATGCTTTGAGCTTTCTGTTGAATCGTTGTCCATTCAGCCAGGACCTTGTTAGCTTCGTCGTAGTTTATCAAGCTGTATGTGTTAGGATCGACCTCTTCGAACTTTCTGCGGCCAGCAAGAATGGAGTATGTGTTCATGAGGGCTCCCGTCTGCGCAGCAACTTCGGGACCGAATTCGCGAGCCGCCCAAAGTTCGAGCCATTCAGGCGTGCTGTCCTTGTCCCACCGAGTGATGTCGTATGCAAGATCGAAGAAGTGGGAAATGGGTAGTTCGAGAGGCTTGAGGTCTCCAACGTTCACAACCCAGATTTGCCTGGCCTGTCTTTCATATGCGAGATGCATCTGCTCCCAGGTCTTCTGGTTCAATACAGTATTGATCCATTTATAGTCGCGNCTGAGAGTACACACTTAGCATGTTTCTTATCTGTCTTGCGCCCTGGAATCACTTACCGGATCACCAACATAATCGAAATGGTAGTAGACACCTGCACCTCCGCTTCTCGAGGTCTCATTACCAACAGGCAGTCTTCGAATGTTTCCCCAGTTATCGTCCGTCCAGAGTAAGGTGATGTCTTCGGGAACGGTCATGCCGGCCTCGTAGTAGCCCTGCACTTCCCTTGTACCTAAAGCACCAATTAACATTAGCATACGCATTACACTAGATGCCGTCGAAGACAGGTGTTCAATGGATATTCAATCGTTCAAGATCGAACTCTGCATTGTGACAGAGGTTCGATATCGTGAGACAGCATTGGGAGTAGAAACTTACAAACACCACAACTGAGGCACAGCGTCGGGGTTCATGACACTAGCATTGCCAAAGACTTGAGCAAGGATGTCACGCTGAGTTGAGACAACGTTCTCCAGGAGCTCGGTCTCGATACCGGCCGATAGTGCGGTATCTCCTGAGCCACGCATGCCCATAGTGATGACACCCTCATAAGGGCGCGTTCTTTCGGCACCTTCGACAAAGAATGGATAGATTGAGGCGTTATTTTGCGCCCACGACCAGACTCCATGCCCGAATTCACTCCATTCTTTAGTAGATCTCATCATAGGCTCGGTGTGGGAAGTGCCCATGACAATACCATACTCATCTGCCATCGCCTGACTTCTCGGGTCATCGACGTTGAACATCGAGTTCCACTGAGCTGGCCAGAGGTAGTTTGCTCTAAGACGAAGCAGAAGTTCAAAGACAGTGTGGTAAAAGTCGGCCCCGTAGTTCGAGCCATACTTGGTGAAACCGAACTTCTCGTTGACATATCCGGTCAGAGCAGGTGCTTCGTCGTTGAGGAAGAAACCTCTGTACTTGACGGATGGAGATGGCTGCACTTTAGTCGTGTTCATAGCGTAGATGCAATCGTGCTTCTGCGGAGGCGAGTCGGCCCAGAAGTACCATGGTGAAACACCAATCTGTTCCGATACGTCGTATAGACCATAGACTGTTCCTCTCCTGTCGCTACCGGCAATGACCAAGGCTTCAGTGACGCCGTCCATAGGACTTGTGACCACGGTGGAAGTGAATGCCTCCCATGTGCCATTGATAGCCGAGACATCAATCTTGCCGCTCTTGATGAGCATATCAATGAGCGAAGAGTTTCCAATCGTTCCTGCAATGATGACTCCTCCTTTTGCTCCGGAACTAGCGGTGCTGAAAGTAGTCAAGTTGGTGATGTTGAAGATCATCGAGGCATTGTTGGGGTTGCTGCTGAAGTACGAGCCGGCGTTGTATGCAGGTACACCAGAGGTATCAGAAGTATTTGAGATAATGATAGATCCATTGGTGCCAGTGACTCTACCAAAGTCTTGGGACAAATCATGGGCAGCCTTCAATACAGCAGGCCAGTCATGAGTATCTGCCATGATCTGAACCGAAGAGCCTCCCGAGGCCAACTCATGCGAGCCAGCAGAGGCATTGAAAGCAATAGTTGCATTCTGGCCGATTGCCAGTGCCGTACTGGCGAGTGATAGTAACGATAGGAGTGGTCGTATTGATATCATGGTCGCCCTGTCATCTGCAAGGATATACAATTATGATCAACTTCGATACTATGTGGTCGCCATCAACTACTTATACTAAGATCATCGTCCTCATACCCCGCCTGACAGCATTCAGGCAATGCCATACCTCTCGTATCGATCTGGAGTAGGCATGGATAGACGATGGGCCTGCCGGATATTCTGGGTAAAGTGATTAAGGTCGTGATCTGCATACTGACATGGCATGGCTTAGACGTAGGATCATCATGCAGACCGTGATAGACAGGAACCAAGACGGATCTTGGCTGCAGATACCGGATGTGGAGCAATCGTGGAGGTGGCAGGTCATTCGGCCCCGGGTAAAAGATGAGGCGAGGTAGTCTTTGACGTCAAAGGCCGACGAGGGCTGGGCATAGTGTCTGCATGTTTTGGTGACGGGCGTGAATTATTGCCCTGAATCGTTTTGGAGAGGGTGACTGTCCTTCAGAACATCATCTAGGCTCTCCGATGACCGTTCGTAGTCTATCAAATGTTTTTAGAGCGGCAAGAAGATGGTTAATCTGCCTTGCACGCTGGAGACGAGCTGAGATGCCAAGCCGGAACTCACGACTCGTGTTGCGGAGAAAAGGTTGTGGAGAAGAAATGGGGTCGACAAAAAAACATGCATGGCAAAGCAATCGGCGGCGAACAAAGCAAGCCATCGCGACTTTATCCAAACGAACATCCACCTCTTACAATCTAGCCATGGCCCAAGGAACCGTCAAGCAAAAGGTCAAGACCGAGCCCAAGAAGTATGTTCTCCAAAACACCTTCGCGCAGGAGTTTGCGACTGACTTTTTTCGTCCGTAGGNNGGCGCAAGGCCTACTGGTCCTCAGATGGGCAACAGAGTCATCAAGCCCAAGAAGGCTGCTTTGTTAAAGCAGGCCAACATGAAGAAGGTTCGCAAAGGCTGGGATGGTATGCGCGAGGCCGAACAGACAGCTGACTCCCAAGCAGNNAAGCACTCCGCCGGCCTGATTACTTTGACTGAGCGCTCCCTCGCCGAAAAAGCCGGTCATCTTGAGATGCTTAAGGGTGGCAAGAAGGACAGACTTGAGAAGGCCAAGAACAAGGCTTTCAACAAGAAGTAGACACATGCTCAAGACAGAGCTGGAGGATAATCTGGGTTATGCATAGCGTTGGCGTTCAGGGTCAAAGAGAAGAGGAAGCATATCGGGCGCATCATGGGACAATACCACGGAGAGGCATGCTGAGGGAAACAAAGGACACAAGCTGGAGAATGAACGGCGGACGAGCCTGTGATACGGCAAATAAGACATGTTTGTTATTATATGAAACCCCATTTGTCCAGATCGTGTTCGCCCTGGCACCATGCTAGAAAGCGACTTCAACGCCAACGAACCATCAAATCCCGAATCGCCAGTTGAAAAGTAGTGGTATAGATAGCCAACGCTCAAGCATTGTTAGCAGCCTCGACTGCCCGGAGACCGTCAGCTCCATACGGACTGACGTATGAATTAGCACCAATAGCGCTCTCTCTTCTGATCTCGACAACATCGTCATCGTCGCCAGTGTGTGAGTCACGATCAGGCACACCACCCGGCGGACCCCCAGCAGTCGAGCTACGAGGTCTCATGCCATTGCTGTTGAAGCGCTCTGCACTTGCACTCTCGTTCTCCTCACCCATGCCGTCGACCGAAGGCCAGGTGCGTTCCCAGAGCCAAAGGACTTGGTTGAATGCACTGAGACAGCGAGACATCTGTTCACGACCGTTAGGCGAAGTTTCGGCGTTGGCGAGCTCATCAACAACCGCCTTGCATGCATCCACAAACTTCGCAAAAGCAGCCGATGTCCAGTTTGGTATCAACGATTGATGCAGGGCAGCATTGTGCGAATCTCCATTGGAGGAGTATGGTAGAATGGGTTGGTTGAGGCTTGATGAGAAGCTAGCAGCGTAGGCCCATGATGCGCGATAACAGTGTTCGATGGCCCACAGCACGACAGCGCCCTCGAGCAGACTTGCTGCTGGCGAACTTGCTGACACAAACAGGTCGAGGAAGCTTCTTGTGATTGGGTTTGGCTCTTCCTTTGGCACTTGTAGGTTGTACTTGGTAGCGGTGATTTCAAAGAAGCTCATCTCTCTGCGAACATTGTTCAGAGCACTAATTAGCAAGTCCATAGCTCGATAAAGCGGGTGTGATTGTGAGTTCGCGACGATGGGTAGGCGGATCTTGCCGATGAGTTGTCCGACAAAGGCAATATAACCACGAGAGATGTGTGAGTCTTGTGCCAGCCATTGGCTCATTGCGCCAGCACTGAGAGTGCCGCAACCAGCGTGGGACAGGAATGAGGTCTGGGTAGCAGCTGTGAATGAGCCAGTGTTCTGAGTCAAGAGGTACGCGGCAAGACTGGGACTCTGAGCGGGTGGGTTGGGAGCGATAGGAGCGGGCATAGCACGCTGGCCATTCTTGATCTGACCATCGCGTGTGCGCTTGTTGGGTCCACGACGATTGACTTGAAGGTTTGGGTTGGGTCTGTTTCCCATCAAGAACTGATTTCTCGGAGCCGAGTTGGGCGTGGCTTGTAGTGGTGAATTGTTGATCCCAGACATGATACTAGTATTGCCCTCGTCTTGCTGCGAGGCTTCGGCTTCGTTGAGCGACTCGACGTAGTCAGGAGAGGTCAGGTACTGTTGACACTCCTGCAGATGCTCGACCTGACGGGTTGTGTTCTTTGCGCGAACAAACCCGCAGTAGGTGCAGCGGACTTTGTTGCACTGTACAGCATCGCGTCAGCGGTCGGCCAGCGACACGCTCTGTTGGTAGAGTCACGCTACCTTTGTAGGATTGTCATCCTCTTGAAACTCGACGAAGGCTCGCTGAATGATCGCATTTGCGTTTCTGCCCTATAGTCGACGTCAGATGTGTTCAAAGGTCGAATGTCGCGATCGCGGATCGGCCTACCATGATGGATCAAGCTTATGCAATTGGGAAGCCAACCGCTGTAATACAAGATATGTACCGTATTGAAGTGTAAAGAAAGACGAGAGAGTGAACGAACGCGCCAATTACCTCCAATTGAGCCACTTCTCCGCGCTTGCGCTAGTGAGCGAATGCCAAGAGGGGAGACCGTTCGTAATCAATACTACGCCGAGCCAAACTCAATCAATCAATATTACATCTGACAGTATGGGAGTTATCAGTCGTCACTCGAGTGAAAGCAACTTTGTCTTGATCGCTGGACTGCTCATGTTGCTTGTACAGCGACGGTTTATTAACCAGTAGGGAGTATAGCTCAAGAACAAACCAGAGAGACTCGAGCTTCGTTCCACTGATTGCAGAAAACGAGATATCATTCTCGAGGCTACGCACGTCACAGCACTACCAGCAGATGAACACATCTCAAGAGCAAAGTGACAGACTACTCGGGGTAGGAAAATCATTCGAAGCTTAGAACAGACAGGGAAATCATACAGCTTACAGTCAGTGAGAGTGTACCAAAATTGTTGCAAACGACCTCGGACCAAAGCCGAATCGCCGTTCTGCATGGATTTTTCACCGTTCTCTATCAGCATTCGATTCTTCCCTAACGAAACCATCCATTTCATCCCCAGCATATCATACCACTAAACCACCAGATCAACACACATAAGCCAAGCAGACAGATCATCATAATGTCTGCACAACAGCCTCAAGACCAACCAGAGGCAAGCAGCTCATCGAGCGCTCAACCCACCACATCAGGTGAGTGATAGAAAAATTCTCAAACCCTCAGACACATCCACCACCACACCTTCATCTGGACCTGCGCTGACAATTCTCAGAGTCACAACAACCAGCGGTGAAAGTCTGCGCTCAGTGCAAAAAGCCAGAAGAAGACCCGGAAGAAAAAACCACTCAAGGCCTGTACCGCCTGCAAATCTGTCTTCTACTGCTCGCGAGAGTGCACAAAAGCACACTACAAAGCACACAAGAAGGAATGCGCAAAACTGGCTCAAGAATACTCCAAGACTGCTGTTTTCAAGCCCGTAGTGAGAAGCTCAGCACCGAAGGAAGGTCATAAGGGTGGATTGCAGAAGTGGCAGTTCGACACTTAAGCTGTGGAGTGGCTGATGTCAGATGCTTGGGTCTCACAAAATCGTGGTTTTACACATTATTGGAACATGCACTCGAATAGTTTTGCATGGCCACTTCGACGTCCGTTCTGGAGTAACTTCGAGATCTGGATGGAATTAATTTATAGATAATTGGAATCTATACTCCGTCAACAATGGTGCTTCGAAACTGGATACTCCTGCTACATGATAACAACCACCGCTTATGCAATACCAGAAAGAAAGTTAACTACTCGTACTCTGGTTGAAAGATAAGATGCCAAATTTGGAGCCAACGCCTACCATGTGTGGACAGTGACACTTCCCCACCTTTGGCGGTAATAACCATGACGTACGCGTAGCTTTTCGTATCTCCAACTGCCGATATGCCAACTTATCTGAACCATCAAAGTCAAAAACATGTTCACAAGCGCAAAGACCAGAGTCAGCCAAGTCTTGAACCACTTTACCATCCCACGAAACTTCTCATCAACATCCAGCATGGCAAAGCTAAACATCAACTCTACCGTTCGCCTGAACTCAGGGTATGAGATCCCGCTCCTTGGGTATGGAGTCTACCAAACACCTATGGATATTGCCGAAGAAGTGACTGCACACGCAGTCAAGAGTGGCTACCGTCATGCCGACTCAGCAGCTGCCTATCGTAATGAGGCGCCTACAGCAGCAGGTCTGCTCAAAGGCAACCTCCCTCGCTCAGAGCTGTTCTTCACGTCGAAAGTGCCTCCCAAAGCCATCAACTACGACGCTGCCAAAGCCGTTGTTGATGAAACGCTCAGGCTAACAGGCCTGGATTATGTGGATTTGTATCTTNTGCATGCGCCATATGGTGGAAAAGAGAACAGACTGGGTGCCTGGAAAGCTCTGGTAGAGGCTGTGGAAGCAGGAAAGGTGAGGAGTATCGGCGTGAGCAACTATGGCGTCCATCATCTCGAAGAGCTCGAGGATTGGATCAAGCAGACCGAGGAGAAGGAAGGAAAAGGCAAGGGTGGCGTGTTGAGTGTCAACCAGGTCGAGTTGCATCCTTGGTTGGCTAGAGATGATATAGTGGAATGGTGCAACAAGAGGGGTGTTATCATGGAGGTATGTCACACCTCAAATACTTGCTCAACGCAGGAACAGGGCTAACATGTATAGGCATACTGCCCTCTGGCTCGCGCAACCAAGATCGATGACCCTCTTCTTACACCTCTAGCAAAGAAGTACAACAAGACAACTTCTCAAATCCTGCTTCGCTGGGGCCTTCAANAAGGTTCGTCTTCAGGATTGTTTCATATTTCATGTTTCCATCTAGCTAACAAGATATGATAGAACTTTGTTATTCTGCCTAAATCGGTCACACCTGCTCGCATTGAAGAGAACCGGGACATCTACGACTTCGAACTCTCGCAAGAAGATATGCAGACCTTGAATACAGGTCATTATTCCCCGTGTGCTTGGGACCCTACGACCTCCCATGATTGAGGACCGAATCGCATCTACGACTAAGGCAATGTCCATAGGCACACGTACATACAAGCTATCGATGAGACCCTGGGATACCATAGAAAGTGGCTCTGCTCCTCGCCATGTGCTATAGGTCAGAACTAGATCAATAACACTGTAGTCTCCATGGACATTCCATGAAAAGACACCAGAGCCGAGGCTAATACGGTGGACATGCAAATATGCTTCAAAATGTCACTATCACTTCTATACTTCCACTTCTGCACAACGGTCGGCTTCCGGCGATGATGAAGCTTTGCGATCACGCAACAATAGGCACTTTCAATGATTACTTATCTGCAGATCATCATGCTGTGAGGTTCATGGGCAGGGTGAGACAAACCCATGTGTTCCCGACCGGCACTTTCTCTTGGATCGAGATTGGCAAGACCCGGGCGCTATGTTCAGCTGCATTCAAGAGACATCAGCTCGATCTCACCCTTCTAGCTTGATCAGAGATTTCTAGAAGGTGTTCGAGTGACTGGCAGATGAAGGGGTGAGATGAGATGTCTCGGTGGACATGAGAGGACCTACCCAAGCCAGGGTCCAGATTTGGGTGTGCTTGTGGAGAAGAAAAGCCACATGCAAACGTCCTTCTACGCATTCTCTCGCACTTCTTCCTTCATCATCTCGTCAGCGACAACAAACAATCCTTTTGAACATGTCTCACTCGAACATACTACTTCTGGGATAGCTTTCAGGGTCTTTCGTACTCATTGGGCTTCGAAGACCAGTATAAGATCGACGCCACGCGAAACCAGTTGCAAACGGTCATAACGGTTGCCTATCGATATTCTGTCCGCAGCTTCCCAGAATGATGGTAGAGCATGCTCGTGTGCATTCTCATGCAAAAATCTCTGTTGTGTATAGACTTTCGTATTGCTGTGCTGTCCTAGCGATGTCTCTTGATTCTATACCATGAGCCTGACCAAGCTCCACATATGCCGCTGCCACGAAGACATTCTCCAAGAACACAACCCCACCCGTTGCAACGTCCGGGCAAGACCGAGTCGGTCGCAACTGCTTTCATACATCTTTAGATCAGAGGTTGTCCAGAAGCCCCACAATATATTCAAATCTTCGATGACAAGACTGTAGGTTAAGGCCCAACATCTACCATCGTCATAAACCCGGCACATGTTTTGTTGCCTAACGAATCATCAGATTTCGTATATCCAAGACTGCAAGAATGCGTACTCCGAACACACAACATCGCAATTTCAAGGTTCTCGTATTGTGGTTCTGCTATCACCATCTAGCAACCGCTAAAGGCTCGTCAACCGTCGTGGTGACCGACAGAACGCCACGAACTGGAGTAGAATATGTATCACGCATCTCTCTCAGCTGCTTGCTACGGCTCATCTGGAAACAATTGATGTAAACTTGTGGCGCCTAGACGGTGAGGTGGGGACAAATCGAAGACCGTTGACATCTTCGTTTTCTCTGCTTTCATACTTGTACATGCTGATCCGCTCCACTTGGCGACTTCCTGGTCTTTCAATTCCAACACTTCATCATTTTTGCCGGGACAATTACTGGGCGACCTGTCATTACAGCAGACCACTTGGTGCGCTTAATCAATAGTAAGGCACTATCACCGAGGAACCACGAAATTTCTGGACTCTTATCAAAACTAGCATCTCTGGCTATAATATCTGTTGGAGGGAATATCACCTTTGTTCTGACCACAACTATTGCTTCACGACCTACGGTCGAAACACAAAATGCCGGCGATAAATTTGACGACACTATCTCGGAGGGATATCATGGAGAAGATGGAGTCACACGACAACAATGCCTGGTCAATACTTGCCATCACAGGATCATGGTGTTTTCTGGCGGTTATCGTCGTGGCCATGCGAGTATACACACGACTTGTTGTGGTCAGATATCTGGGCTGGGACGACATCTTTGCGATCATCACTATGGTACTCGGTATTGTGATCTGGGGATGCTTTGTTGGAGAAGCACACTGGGCACTTGGAAAACATTGGCAAGCAATCACTCCGGAAATGCTAGAAATGTACAGCAGATGGCAGTTCGCACATGGCATGCTTATGGTGTGGGCATTGCATGGCATGAAGATTGCGTTTGCGATATTTCTGCTCAGACCGAGCAACGGCAAACTCTTCAGAAGAGCACTCTTTACTGTTATGTGTAAGTTCTGAACTGGTTTGACCTTTCTTGGAAATGAGATGGCTGACTCCAGACAGGTTNTCATGACTATCTACACGACCGTCTCCTTTTTCACCATTCTCTTTAGCTGTTTCCCTGTCTCATCCGCTTGGAGTGGCAGAAAAGGGAGCTGCATCTCTCTTGAGACCTTCAGGGGTCTAGCCATGACTTATAGTAGTATGTATCCTAGAGTCATCTCACGCCTTCCAAGCTAACATACTACAGTTCTCGGAATGCTCACAGATGCTTTCTTGGCTCTGGTTCCTGTTCCAATCATCTCTGGAATGCAACTTAACATACGCACCAAGATCTGCCTCCTTCTCGCTTTTGGCATGGGACTCGCGGCAGTAACATGCGGTGCTGTCAAAACCTATCATCTCTGGCATTATTTCCAAGACCGCGATCGTCTCTACTACAACAGCTATTTTGTCTGGGGAGCACTTGAAGTATACGTTGGCACCATCGCAGCATGTTTGGTCAGCTTGAGACCTCTCATTGCGTCCTTTCTCGACAAGGCAAAGTCTACGTTGATGACGTCTGCAGCAATTGCAAAGTCATTGCACCATCATGGATCTCCTAGACCTCACTCTCCACCTCATCATTCTCCCAAGTTTGATGAAAAGACTGTACAGCAGTTTAATACTCTCAACACTCAGAACTTCCCGCGCATCGAAGTATGTAGCGTCAGCGACTATGAGATGCCCGCCATGCCGGCTGTAGCTGAGCGACCAAGGATGTTCAGAGTGGAAATGGATATGAGCAACCCCCCTACGCCACTCACATCGATTTCAGTCGCCGCTCNNAGCCCCAAAAAGTCGAAGAGGAAACACAGACCGGCTCCTCTGGACACAGCAGCATTGAGTCGGCGAACCTCCTTAGATTTGACATGCAAGGGCGGAGTCCTTACTTCCCCTTCACCAACTTTCCTACCATCGGCGGTTGACCTCGATTTCCTGGACCTGGTCAAAGGAAGAGACCCGGAGACACTATCTCAAAGCACAGGAAGCGAGGTTCAACTGCCAAACAGCAGATTTTCTGCTTCTACATTCGATGTCAACTCCCCTGCCACAGTGACAACATCCAACACTCCTCGTAGCTCTCTCTCAGTACCCAAGATCTGCGGCCTTCTCACATCTCCGTCGCCAACCTTCCTGCCTTCAGCCACGGGAAACGACTTTGACTTTNTCAGTCTCATTCGCTGTCGCGACCCTGAGTCGCTTGCTGCCAGTAGATACTCATCTCGTCGAGGCACAATCATCTCCATACCCGAGGATCAGGGCATCAGTTTCCCGGTATCTCGCCGAGCCACTCTCGCACATACTCGCTTCCAGTCTGGAGACTTTGGCGAAGCCATCACAGCGACGGCACAAACACTGCAACGTGTTGGTGCTGGCGAAGTACGACGACGACCCAGCATGGCCCCTTCAGCCAACTCTGCCACCTCTGCTTTCCTCTGTCCACCTGCTTATTCTGAAGAGTTCCGAGACAGTCAGATGTTCTTCCACGTTATGAGCTCTGGCCAGTTCAGAAGCACTGCCGAGACGGCTGCAAAGAGGCTCGAGGTCGAAGAGACACCTGTGAGCCCGATGTCTGAGGAGCCAATGCAGAGATTGGTTTTCAGAGAACAGCAGCATGGTGGTATCAAATTCAGTCCCGTCTTCGATGGCGGATTTGCAGATCTAGCATCACGGGAGAGGATTGATTCTTCGCACGCTGCGTCGAAGAAGGACGAGTAGGGATGAGCCCACCTTACCTTTCTTACTTTTTTTCGAACTTCTTTTTTTTTCAGGCATAGCCATGGCGTTTCTTCATGATCAGCATTAGCATTATCATTCAGCGTTCAGCGCATTGGTCATTTTTCTCTCTCCCTTACCTTGAACTTCTTGTACATGCCATGTTTCATGGTTACTTTAGATAATGCCCAAAGTCTTTCATTCTTCTCACAAATTTTGTTTATCGCCTTGTTAGACCATCAACGCATGGAGTACGTGATCTGATCGGTTGGGACATTAATAGTAGTGATGACTTTAAGAATGGAACGCTTGCCATCGGTCACGAATCGTACAACAGCATTGCATGATTACTACCTGCGGAGTCCGTCTCCAACGCACGCAGGAAGTACAAGGAGTATCTAGAACTCAGGATCGTGATAATCAGGTAATCTACGATGCGCTGGACAGATCTTGTTTCGTCTCATGGGTCGCTGTATCACATAACTGATGGATGTACAATGAACGTGTAAGCTTTCTACACGGAAAGGGCTTTGTGGTAGTCTGGTCCATGTAGGGTACCGGGTCAAGAAACAGATAGGAGATACGAGATATGCGGCGGCCATGATGGTTGCAGCAGCAGCTTCACAGACGGCGGGGGCACAGTAGCACCAAGTATCATGCAACAACAAAGCAGTATCTTGGAGACTCATCACAAATGCTCTACAATACAGGAAGTACCCCTGATCAAGGCAGATTAGTACGAGCACCGAGAACAAATATTGTGATGAGACAGCAATGATCTGCAAGGCAAAGAAATGATGATAACCGAAACGCCATGAAAAGCACGGGATGGGCAGGACGAGAACGAAGGAAATGAACAATCTACATATTTCCCGATAGTGAAGTGAGACGATATGCTGGGACGCGTGAGTGGCTGGGGGAGAAACGGACAAAGGTAGATTAGTTGGTAGCATCATGTTCGGCAGGTCGCACTTGTTGGGGAGGGATTGTTGAAGATGTCTAACGCATGCTTGAGCGAGTCGGAGTGGAGTGAGGATTCACATGGATGATGGAGGGGTTGACGACTACTGCAAGCCACGTTGAGTGGTGGAGAATTGAACACCGAAGACACCTCTCAGAGCATGCAGATGGTGCAAGATGGAGTCTGGTCAAGCATTGAAGCAGTCGCAATGGTCAAAGGAACAGAGGAATCATTCGTCGGGGAAGCGATGGCTGTCATGAATAATTTATGAGCGGGAGGGCGGGCGGGACTGTGCATGAAATTTTGGATGGTGCGTGCATGGTCGTTCAATTGCTCTATCACGACTTTTCCCATTCTCACTCACCGCCGCGTGTAGACAAGTCCTTTTAACTGCACCCTTGCCCCTCGCCCACCATGTCAGCAAAGCCCGTCTCCTTCGACTCACACCCGCCTCACGGCCACCCTGAAAACCAGGGCCCCAGCACCCAGAACGTCGACCGCGCATCCACTGCCTCGCATCCTCCCTCGACCAAGCCCGACCCCACCACTACGGCACCTCACCCCAAGTTGAACCCCCATGGCGCCAAAGGAAGCGAGCCCTCCTCCTCTTCCTCCGGTTCCGCCGAACTCTCCGATCTTAAAGTAAGACTGAGAAATGCTCTGCGACAATACCCCGACTTCCCCTCCAAGGGCATTCTCTTCGAGGACATTATGCCCATCTTCTCCTCGCCAAAGCTCCACGCAGACCTCGTCAAGGCCCTCGAGCTCGAGGTTCGCGCAAAGTTCGACAAGACCCCCGACGTCATTGTCGGTCTCGAGTCGCGCGGTTTCTTGTTTGGTCCTTCGCTTGCTCTTCGTCTTGATGCTGGTTTCGTTCCTGTCAGAAAGCAGGGCAAGCTTCCCGGCAAGCTCGAGACTGAGGGCTACGAGAAGGAGTACGGCACCGACTTCTTCCAGATCCAGAGCGACGCTATCGCCAAGGGCCAGACTGTCCTTGTAGTCGACGACATCATGGCCACTGGTATGTTCTTCTGTCAAACTTTACACATTGATCAAAAGCTAACACGATTGCAGNGTGGTTCCGCAATGGCTGCTGGAAATCTCGTCAAGAAGATTGGTGGTGACATCATGGGCTACCTCTTCCTCATGGAGCTCGAGTTCTTGCACGGAAGAGACAAACTCAACGCTCCCGTCGTTACTCTGCTCAGCGGTCAGGACGCCGAGAGCCGCGAGAAGGAGCTTCCTCTTGGCCAGACTAAGGAGTCTGCCGAGGATGTCAAGAGCGTACAAGACGCTGGCGGTGCTGCTGCCAGCAAGCAGCCATAGAGGAAGAGAAGGTCATAAACACAACCGCTTCACATTTTGTCATCAATTCTTGTCTAGGTAGGTAAACTGCTTCGGGCTGGCCAGTCGCGCATTGTAAAGAAAGAACATTCTCGATACCCAAAACAGCTTTATATATATGGAGTCATACAAAAACATTGCATAACATACCTACGACTGCCTCTTCCTTTCAAAGTAGCAGCCGCTCGGCTTTCAATTGCTTTGCATGTGACGTCTATAAACATTACTCGAAGCAGTATGCTGGCCGTCGTATCTGCAATCCCGAGATCGGACAGGTTGCCCCACCAAAGACCCCTCGTCAGAGCAAGCGGAGCTCAGACCCAAAACCGTGCATACAAACCGAAAGGGTTCAACTCATTGCCATGTTTCTTCTACGTCGTTCTCTCTTGACATCTTCCAAGTCGATTCTTTCTCTTACATCTATTCGCTATACAACAACTTTGAAGACTAAGTCTATTCACACATCAATCGTCAACATGTCGGAAATGAAGAAGATCTTTACCTCCAACTCTATGGCTCGTGAGTGTTGACAGCTTGTGGTTTTGAACGATGGCAATTGACTGATTTGGTGTTATAGCCGTTGGCCCTTACGTATGTGACATCGAACACACAGATATCTCCTTCTAAAGCTGGTTTGCTCGTTCTGCACGAGTCCATCACCATTGCATTGAACAACCATCAGACCATAAACCCCAACACCCAGAGATCCAATCCATACTCAACAAACAATATCAAGGTTCTTCCAAACTAACAGCTCAACAGAGCCAAGCAGTCCAAGTCGGCAACCACATCTTCGTGTCGGGCCAAATCCCCGCCGACAAGAACGGCAACCTGGTTGAAGGCAGCATCGCCGACAAGACAAAGGCATCCTGTGAAGGCATGAAGGCCATTCTCGAAGAAGCAGGTAGCAGCATTGACAAAGTGATCAAGGTAAGCTCTTCCTACCTCCTTTGAACCATCCTCACCGCTTTGTATCTTGTACTGATGCTGGATCAAAACAGANCAACCGTCTTCCTGACCGACATGAAGGACTTTGCAGAGATGAACGGCATGTACGAAAAGTACTTTTCACACAAGCCTGCTCGCAGCTGTGTTGCTGTCAAGGAGCTCCCCAAGGGTGTTCCTGTCGAGATTGAGGCCATTGCTCTTGCGTAAATGTTGTTTTTGATAGTTGCTGATCTGCAAAAAGTCACATCGGCTGTGTATACCCGAATAGGAAGTCGAATACATTTTCCAGACTAAATGCGTTGTTATATGATTCATGTGCATAGAATATGTTTGACATGCCAGCATGGAACAATGAGTAAGAATTGAGAGAGGACCCGTCGGAAGAAGATCACACTGCCTAGAGAACGACCAGATATGATAGTCATATTTTGATTCGTTCATGTCTCATTAGCTAGATACTCTTATAGGGATCTAGTCTAGCCCATTCATGCACTGGCTGATAGTGCCCCTGCGGCCTTTAGATACTGAGTCAAGCACAGCTAGCGCTATACACTCGTCAGGCCACCCAGATCTGGTCCCTAGCACGTATGGCAGCGAAAGCTTTGCTGCGGCAGCCAGCCTACTGTTGCGAAGACTATTGATCTTGGTAGGTCGTCATCCTGAAGATAGGTATTCCGTAGCTTAGGTCCCGCCATTACTGCAGAGCAGCTTCGTCGTATAGCAATTTGCGACTTCCTTGACGGGTGACGTGGTGAATGGTTGTTGGTGTTCAGTGTCGAAAGCTGACAACTCAAGCAGCCCAAGTAAACTTGTCAGCCTTGGGTGTAGTAAGCTGATCATCAGGCACCAAGTCGTTCAAGCCATAGACATCCTCAAACTTGGGCAACTCAACATTCCAGCCATCAGCGTCGGGCGCAAGCTCATCTTCCAGATCCAGACCCAGACCTTCGTCAACATCATCACCAACAGGCCTAGAAACAGTCTTCTGACCCTTGAATCTGAAAGCGACAATAGCATTGTCCTTTAATCCAACACCCAGAGGGCTGTCCTTGTGGCCTGCACTCTTTGCCTTTCCCTTGCCCTTTCCTTTGGCTTTGGGCGTCACATCTCCACTACCAAACAGATCGGCGTCAAAGTCTTCTACTGGAGCATCTGCCTCAATGCTTTGCCATCCTGAAGTACCAGGATTCGAAAGGTCGCGGGGTCTGGCGAGTTCAATGTCGTCTGGAGAGTCGGGTAGTGTTGCGCCGTTAAGTTGGCCTGAAGGGTTTGCGGTCTTGAGGGCGTGTAGAAGCTCTACTTTGATGCTCGAGAGGGTTTGAAGTTGGTAGACGTAGAGAACGACGGTTGTACGGGCGTTCTTGAACTTGATGGTCCAGACATCGGGCGAGGGATCGTACACAGGCATTATGAAGTCGCGCAAGTTGTGGTAGGTATAGTTTGGTACGAGAAGACGATGCTGATAGCGGGATTGAAAATGTGGCAAGCTGATTGAGTGTGTTGTGAATGAAACTAAGAAGGAAGGAATGGGCAACAAATGGAAGGCGCATCCAAGAGCTCGCGTTTGGCTCAGGCTGGGAAGGTTTAGGCGAGTCTTCAATCCACCGACCAAGAGCTTCAACTTTCTGCAACCAACTAAGTCATACCACAACTCAGCAAGTATGTCGCCAGAGAAGGAGGCTGCTTTTCACACGGCAGTGCCAACTCTCACAGCCCCCGAGGAGCCCACAACAGCAGCGCCAGATTCAACACGCCCACCGCCCAATGACCGCCTAAGCATCCCCTTCAACTGGCGACTGCCACTCACCACCGTCCTTGCCTCCTTCGCCGGCTTTGGTCTGGGTCTCACTCATGGTGGTCAACTCTCTGGTCTTCGTTTCCGCGCTGAGAATGCCCACCGTTTACCCACCTCTCAAGTCGGCTGGTACCTCTACCACAAATCTAAAAACTACCACATCATGCTGGGCGGCATCAAAGAAGGTTTCCGCATGGGTGCACGCCTCTCATTCTGGACCGCCATCTTCTTCGTCTTCGAGGAGGCTGTCGACAGATTCAGAGGTGCCGTCGTAAGGAACTTGGTCGGCTTCAAAGAACGCAGAAGAGAAGAAAGACAAAGAAGACTATTTGGCGATGATGTCTACGAGACTCCTGCCGAACAAGCACTGGGATTGGAACACTTGCACAATGAAAGAGGCGTCTGGGTGCAGAGAGACTTCATGAGCACTGTCGTTGCTGCTATGGGCACTGCTGGCGGCTTCAGCGCTTGGAATCGCTTCCCCGTTCAGACTGCCGCAAGAACTGCTACCATGGGCTTGAAGTTTGGTCTTGTCTTTGGTCTCATGCAGGACGCTCTCAGTGTGGCTAGGGGAAGACGAGTTGGCTACGTCGAGTTCGTCAGGCGACAGCTCTTCGGCGCAAGAGAGGAATCGCAAAACAAAGTCCTGGCCTCGCCCATCTGATCACTTCGCCACCTTTGAGGGGTGCTACAAACTGTATGTTGCTTGTGAGAGAAGGACTGCGCCTGGTTTTTCATGCAGCAAAACCTCACATCTCATCATCCCGGGCCTTGAACCACGAGGTAACCATACAATCATCTGTGGTCACAACTGAGCAACAAGCATCCGCCGCTCCTTTGAAACACCAAAACGGTAACCTTCCTCCGGAGTCTGGTCACGAACTTTGGATTCTTGTCGGCCGGGAAACGTTAATCTGACCTCAGCCGTGGTTCACACATGATTTCGAGCAGGCTTACGAAGGTTGGATGCCTTCTGCATGATATTGCATTCAAACACTCCGGTCTCCCAGCAGGCATACATCTTCCTGTGCTGAGAGCCACGCGCTGATCAGTAAATGAAGCGAGCTATCCCATGGATGAGCAACATCACAGCACGAACCTCTTACTACAAAGGATCCAAGGGCATGTCGCTAGGAGTTTGGTCCAACGGAGGCAATACGAAAACCGTCAACTTTCCAAGCCGGACCTGCTGCTTCTCTTCCGGTGCACATAAACCACATGCACAGCACTCTACGGCATACATTTCTCGAAGGTCAGTACTGTGCAAAGGCAGATTGATATCAAATATGCATAGCTGCTAGAGTGTATAGCAGCTACCAGTATTATTCATACTAAGGATCCGTCATCCTGGCCCAGTATCCTTCAGTGTAAAAAGCAATCTTTACAGGTCTTCACTCAATCTAAGACGCACTTGAATAGTGAATCGTGAGATTCGTCTTCTTGACAAGCACCATAGTCGTTCTATGATACGTCTTACTAGTGTCGGTGTCCATCCTGACTGTGTCTTTTCTCTTCTCGTCGCTGTATAGAGTTCGGACAATTCTACTACGAAATATACCAAAAAGTGTTCGAAACAAGCAGATGGATGTGATCATATAGCCTTTACATAGATTCCTGGAATGTTTGTTCATCGATCACGATGGTCTGGACATCAATGTATATCACGGGTTCATCACTCGCAGACTGGCATTTTGGAATAATAGTGTTTGATTGGAGTAACTGCTGGGCTTGCTCATAGACTGACCTGCATTCAGGTAGTAGTGGACCTTTATTCTGGTCTGCCCTTCGAATATCAATGCCTCGTCCGCAATTTCATGTTGCTAAATCATAAAAGCAGAATATCGAAAACAAAAGCAAATAGCAAAAGAAAGGTGTCGTAAATCATAAGGTCGTAAGTCGTAAGGTCTTAAGATTATAAGGCAACTGAGTTGCCTCTATGAGCCTTTGTGTTTTTGTGTTTTCTTCTTTTCAACTTTTTTTCTACCTTTTTCTTGATTTCTAAAGAACTCCTGTGTCTTGTGGTAACGGATCGATGGAAAGTTTGGAACATATTGGTTAACAATGTGTTGAAAAGTATGAATAATAAGAAATTGGATGTGTTCATGAAGCCTTTGTTGGGTTTCTGAGAATGTTTGTACATCGCTCGTGATGAACTTGTTGTTGTGTCGTATCTCGGGCCTTGACTTGGGCTCTTGTTTTCGTAGCTAGCCAGTGTCTCATCATATCTCGACTGTAGATCCTTTGATGTTTGCCGGTTTCCTAGATCCTGTTCAATTTCGACCGAATGGTTTTAAGCTTATTCCTCGTCCTCTTCGCCGACAAACAAAGGCGACTCTCTACTTCCTCTTGCCTCAAGACGAGCTCGTTCGGCAGCCGCTCTCTTCTCTTGTTTCTTCTGCATGTGATATGCCACAACCTTCAGGAATCTTCTTGGTCTGTAGCACTGGTTTTGTGCTGCTGAGTTTTTGGAAAGCTCATTCATCAGATCAAACTGGAAGTCTTCAGGCAAACGATTGAATCTGGCTCGCTGCCTGTCTGAGCGAGGATCTTTTCCTGTGATCAGATTGGCCAAGCCATTGCGGCGTTTGTAGGCTACAAGTGTAGCTAGGAAGATGCGGAGGGCGTCTTCCGGCCTTTTNGTTTGATCGTACGCTTTTATGATCTGATCTTCTCTGGCGATCAGTTCTGTTTCCTTTCCAATCTCACAAGCTTCGAAGAGAATGAGATCGCACAGCAAGTAAGCGCGCAATCTGCGAGCTGTGAGATAACATACGATGACATCGTCTAGGATGTCTCCCTCATTATCGTTGATGGCGATCAAGGTAGGCTTCTCGTGGTCCATGCTCCAATTCGCAAAGACCTGAACACCTCGAATGTCCAACTCATCTAGGTTGACGTAGATGCGGTTGTCACGCTCGATGTGTTTCCAGCGCGGAGGTTTGGGTTCAGTCTGAGGCCGAGGCTGAGGTTGTGTGAATGACGAAGCACAAATCTCGAGTATCTGTGGGAACACATTGAACTGTTCGCCTCTGCAAATAAGAATCTTTGGAGCATCTTTCTTTGCCGANCCTAGAAGGTGTTAGCTGTGCCACGACAAACAGTTGTTGCGTCTGTGGACATACTCGGGTTTATCATGGAAAAAATCGTAATTGGTAGAGTCCATGGAGGCCTTCTTGATTTGCTCCTTGTTCATCTCTTCATCTTCACTGTCCCGGTGTCTCCTCTTCCCGTTGGCCATCTCGAGGACCTTTTGAGATTGTGTAGAGATGGTATTCCAAGGAAATTGCGGTCTGGCTCAAAGAGTGACGGGTGTCGTTTCAGGGAACTTTGAGAGCACGGAGAGCTGCGACTTTGTAGGAGATAGGTCGTTCGATGATTTAAAGGGGTGTTTTGTATTGAATGTGGGATGTCACTGATGATTGAGATTAGTGGTAAAGAAAAAGGCAGGGTTGGAAGCGGAAGATATAGCTGCCAAATCGGCTACGTTGAGGTGGTTGCCTAATGAGTTAGAGACAACCTCCAACACAAGTGAGCGATGGAGGGGAAAGGGAAGGGGAAGATGAAGAAAGACGTAATTGATAAGGGCGTCGTGAGTTGAATGTGATGGGACAACGAAGTTCTTGTGAGGCAAGAGCGAGAAGTGTGTGCGAGAAGAAGCTTGCTTACCAAGTCGAAGCAGTGAGATGGATGTCTGAGGATGGAAGATTGGAAGGTAAGTGAGAATGTATACTGCGCTTGCAGGAAGATCAGTGTGCTGACGACGACGGAACAGAGAGCGTAGTGAGAGCTGTTGGAGAGGAGCGCAAGGCGAAGTTGATTGATGATATGGTGCCTGTAATTCGAGAGTCTGCTGCATTCAAGTCTTGTTGGGGGACAATAGCAATGAAGTGAGATAGAAGAGGATGGTTTGATGAAAGGTCAGAAGGCTCGATTGAAGATGCTTGTTGACGTTTGGAATAACCAGGAGCGCAGAGTCCAACTTAGGAAAGCACAGTGGCCTATTCGAGTCGCTGCAGTGCAGGAAAGAGCAACGTGAGCGTTGGGAAACAGACGGAGGTAGGTAGCTTTTTCACATTGTAATACTCAACTATGATGATCATCGCGCCACTCGACACCATCACTGATGCCGGCCTGCTGAGCTGTGCTTTCCTCTCTGGCCTTGATAGAAGCACGATCCACCTCTGACACAGCGGGACTCACCACAACTGCATCATCCTCGTAGTCGTCCTCGAAAGCGGCCGGATCAGCCAAACGAGTATGCTCGGCTTCGTGAGTCCCATCGTCTGCAGATACAGAAATGCCTCTCGGGCCCCACGCGCGATGACTGTTCCCACTCGGGCGAATGATGCCTTCTTCTTGACCGGCCAGGCCAACATCATCGTCGTCGTCATCATCGTGCTCGGTGTTCCCTCTTCGTCCAAGGACCTTGCTAATCAACCAGCCCCTGCTGATGTCTTCGCCGTCCACAATACCGCCATATCGCAGCTTGACGCGCTGTCTTGTCCAATAAACCCAAGCGAAGTCGAAGTAGAACAGAGTCTGGATTACACCGAATGTGAAGCTTACAGGGAAGATGGCTTGATGGCGTTCCTCGGTGAAGAGTTGTAGAATCCAGTTGAGAATGTAGAAGGCGCGGTATGAACCGAGAGTAGCGAGATAGAAGCTGTCAATGACAGTGGGAACGGAGGTTTGGCGGAGAAGGAGTAATTGCGGAAGGATGCAGAGCGACTCGAGGATAAGCGTGAAGGTATAGGGAATCTGGTCAGACTGTTAACACTGCTTACAAGACTCTTCTAGTGATGATACTGACCTCGAAAGCGCCTTTTTGCTAAAGGGCTTCTTCCCCATGAAGATGGCAGCCACGACAGGAGCGCACACGACCGCTCCCACCAGACTCCAAAGTCCCATTTTCCATGCCTTCTCCCGCTCTCTTGTTCTGGCATATACTCTTGTCATGAGAAAGACGATATACAGCGATGTAGAGATATAGAAGATTTTAAGGCTGAAATTCCAGAAGCCGAGGAAGCCATGGATGCTGCTGAATAGGTCCAGGTAGCGTACAATGAAGACGACGCAGTACAGCGCCTGCGTAATGAGGGACACGCCTNNAGATTAAGATGGTCAGCCATCCGGTCTGAGAGCAGTGGTAGGAGGTCACGCACCCTCAGCGCTCTTGTTCGTGTGGATAGACCATATCAGGATGCACTTGGAGACGGTATGGCTGACGTCGCCGAGAATGCGGAAAGGGTTGAGCAACATTGGGACTCTTTCTGAGATACTTTGTTACGAAGGCATCTGCTCAGACTCGTCTCTTGAGTGATTCCCAAAAGTGTCTGCCTGTTGTCAGAGTCTAGGTCGAGAGCCTAAGTTGCTGCAGCGCCGAAGGGGTCATAATCTGGGGCAAGCTGGCCTCGCCTAAACTTGCCCTCCGCCCAGCGGACACAATGCCGAGCACGCGCCTACGAACAGCCCCCCTCGCCGAGTTGCATCTTATACTCGTGGTGCTCGTAAGGGTGGTGTCGTTGAAACATGAGGTTTGTTCGAGGCGACTTTCTTGGTTGAAATGATATGCCATGACAAGGTCGTGTGCGCTGAACACGTGCCCGCACTCGGGCTTCAACTGTACAGCATCAATCACCAGAACTTGTAGTGATTAGCGAAATCACAGTAGTATGAGAATGAAAGCATCGTCGATGTGGAAGTTTTGATCTTTGTATCTTGATTTGTCGAAGCTGCGGCTACATAGGATCTTTGAGGCTTTCCAAGCCAACATGATCGTTTGGCTGGCTAGCCATTATAGCCATATGGATATCTATAGCTCGTCCTGTACTTGCAAGTGACAGCGTGAGCTTTGTCCTTGTCTTTCAGCATGTCCTCCCATGTCGCCAGGCATTGCCAACAGAACCTTTGTCTACAATTTTTCATCTATAACTTCGTTAGTCAAAGTCCTGCCAGAATGGCCATCAAATATGGATGCATGTTCACATCGGGATCCTTACTNCGACACGTCACATGATCACATCCTTCATTCTTCTCGATCAAGACCTTGCATTTTGGACATTTCTTGTAGACAGAGCCAGTTTGTTGCTTTTGCATAAATCTTGTGGTCTCAAGTTCCGCTTGGTCGTGGGTCGTCTTGTTGGCTTGGCCCCGAATGCGTGCATCGTATTGCCCGCAGCTTTCGCCACGATGCCATTCAGTTTTGTGGTGTAGACATTGTTCAAAGCTGCAAGCATGGCATTTCATGTATTGTGAGGTGCCACCGACCTGTTCTTGGCCTGCGGTACAGCCGACACGCAGACACCAGTGGAAGTCATGCAAGTCATCGATGATGGCCAGCGTAGCGAATTTGTCGTACTTGACAAAAGTTTCGGAACTGCAAGCGCGGCGGACGTCTTCGTGGTCCAAAAGTGTGGTGCATTGTGGGCAATCGATCGTTGCGCGTATCTTTGTCGCGATCCACTGTTGTAGACATGGAGAACAGACTTCGGCAAGGTGCGTACATTTCTTCGACGGCGGCCTGACAGGAAAGTCCAGGGGATGTAGAGCTTCACAGCACACTGTGCAATCTCTAGTCAGGGTTTGCGATTCTGCAACACGTCTACGTTCTTCCTCTTCCTGTAACTGTAAAGCTGTACCGTAGTCGCCGGCTATCTGCGCAGCGAGCTGTTCTTCTTCTTCTGATTGTAACCACTCATGGGCGAGGTGGTATTCGGAGTCTGAGGTCGGTTGATCAAGGTCCCCATCTTTGAACGGATCCGCTACTGCTTTGCGTCGACGATCAGGGCGTCTTAGCATAGCATTACGCCTGGTCGTATCCACGACAGCAGCGCCCTCGCCAGGAGTCACTGGCCGAGAGTGACGATGACCCACGTGTATAGATGATGATTGAGGTGTAGCCTAAAGAGACCTGTGTATGAGTGAAGAGGCGCTGTAAGGCCACGTACGGTATTGTGTTGATGAATAGTTTGGGCATAGCCATGATGGATATCGCATGAACGATAATTCTCGAACAAGCCAAGGACACAAATCCAGAATAGGTGAGCATTTTGCTCAAATCCAAGGGTCAGACGAAGCTTAGTTGTAACCCAAAGAATCACGAGCGATAGCATGGCAAAGGCTTCGGATGACATGAGCCTTTCAAGTATCAATGCTTTGGCGTTAGAAAGCTAGAGGGGAAGAGAATCTTGTAAGACGGCATGACCTCCCAGTAGCAGCTATGACACCACTCAGCGCAATTGGGGATACTCATGTCAGCCTAATAAGCGTCTATAGAAGGAGGCCGTGAGCATAGTAAAGTGTTGAAAGTTGGAAGGTCGTCATTCGAGAGCAAAGCATGAGGACGGCAGATCGGCAAGCACGAGCCAACTGGTGCGAGTCGAGCCTGGGGTTTGGTAGAGAACGGCCGCGTCCAATGCCGAGAGTGGAGACAGATGAGACAACACCCTTCCAGAAGTATCATGAATGCACCCTCTTCGAGCTGACCATCCAGACAAGACAGGAAGTTGGATTGGTTGAGTATGGCTCTTCTTAGGACAAAGCGTTTGAGACGAGATGAGCTGGTTGCCGGATTGGATAACAAGAGTTCGGCGAAAGCGCAACGCTCGCTAAGAGGATGACGATTTTGGTTGCTGTGTCGACGGCGTGCAGGTGTTGGATGACAACAATCGAACTAGCCAAATGCACCCACGTTTCTCCATCCTAGATACCATCTGTCTACCTCGCTGCCATACGCTCCTGTAGCCAGAACATCGCGTGATTCGAACATCAAAAGACTACTCACACAGCCACTCATCACATTCGCTGAGCATCTCGACCAACACAAACAGGCGCCATGCCGGCGACACCATCCTCTGAGATGGCACCTAGTGTGTCACTCTCTTGTAAGTATATCTCAGCTGTTATACTCAGAAGATCAAGACTGATATCAGACCCAGTCGCAAACAACTTTTGGGGCAAGGNNGAAGACGCCGGCGTCGACCCTCTACTTGAACGTATGCACAATGCCAAAATCACCAGCGACGAACTCAAGTCTTTCTACACTCAACGAGCCGCTATCGAAGAGGAATACTCTCGTAAGATCCTGAACCTCGCTCGGAAACCACTGGGCTCCTCCGAGGCTGGTACCTTGCGTATGTCTATGGATGTCGTCCGTGGAGAACTGGAGGCCATGGGCAAGTCCCATCAACACATCGCACAACAGATGAAGGGTGAACTCGAAGAGCCACTGTCAACCTTCTCTGGTGGAATCAAGGAGCGCCGCAAGATCATTCAGAACGGTATCGAGAAATTGCTTAAGACCAAGACACAACAAACACACACCGTGAACAAGGCCCGCGACCGCTACGAGCAAGACTGTCTAAAGATCAAGGGTTACCTTGCACAAGGCCACATGGTCATGGGTCAGGAGGAGCGCAAGAACAAGGCCAAACTGGAANAGACACAGATCCAGATGTCAGCCACCAGCAGCGAGTACGAACAAGCTGTAAAGGTGCTCGAAGAGACGACCGCCCGCTGGAACCGTGAGTGGAAGGCCGCCTGCGACAAGTTCCAAGACCTCGAGGAGGAGCGCCTTGACTTCACAAAGAGTAGTCTGTGGAGCTTTGCCAACATTTCGTCTACTGTCTGCGTCAGTGATGATGCCTCCTGCGAGAAGATCCGCCTGTCCCTGGAGGACTGCGATGTCGAANAGGACATTGCCGCTTTCATCAAGGAAAGCGGCACAGGGCAGGAGATACCTGATCCACCCAAGTACATCAACTTCTGCCGTGGCGATATCAACGACAATTCGTCTGATGTCTCGGATGACGCCAACTACTCGGTCGCTCAATTCCAGAGGACCATGAACCCTGCTTTCCGTTCGTCCTCACCGCAACCTTCAACCTATTCTTCCCACCATGACCCCAGTTCTACTCTGGCTCAAGAGATGGCACTCGGCTCGTCGGTCAATTCCGAAAGGTCCCAGAGATCTCAAAAGTCTCAGCAATCTGCAGTTGTTGCCCAGCCACCACGCCGCTCCAGCCAACAAGCTGCACCAGTCAATGCTTATCAAGACTTCCCCAAGGTGCCTCACAATGAGTATCCCATGGATGGTATGACTCAATTCTGTAGGCTTGGTCCCCCATCAGACCGCAGTTCCATTCCTAGTCCTACGCGCCCTGAGGACGACTCGCATAGTGAGATCTCGAATGCAAACTCCTTCTCAAGCGTCGAGCCTCCTACTTCGCCCATGAAGCTCAACGGATCCACGGTATCTACTAGCAGTCAGCAGGAGGACAAGACGCTCCAANAGAGACGAAGCGGCTTCTTCCAGAACCACAGCCCATTCGGACGTCGCAAGAGCAAGCACGAAAATGCTGCTCCTGCCTCAATCTCGAATCCTCCCACTCAGCGAAACACTTGGGGACCAGCTGCCAGGCCTCAGACCGCATCTTCTCCAGCTCGTCCTTTCGGACGTGAAGCCAAGAATGTCGGTTTTGGCAATGACCCTTTGCCTAGTCCTGACCCGGAACCTGTCGATCCTCGTGCCAACTTCCAGCTCAACATTGGTAACAATGTCTTTGATGTCGCAACGCCTGATGCTCGTAAGAGGTCAGTCGCTGCAGAAGAGCCTAGTGGAGAGCTTGATCCAATCGCTCAAGCTCTGGCCGAGTTGAAGGGCGTCACAAAGCAAGCCTCGACGCGTGTTTCGGCAGACCGTTATGCTGGTATTCCTACTCCTGCCCCTGGCGCTGGCAGAGCATCTCCATCACCTCTACTTGCAAACTCGGATGCCCGCGCCGCTCAGCGAGGCACTCCACCACCATCGTATGACCAACCCATGAGGCGACTCGGTGCACCGCAGCCGGCATTCACTAGCAAGCAGATGCAGCAGACAACAGCAAGTTACATGACTCAGAAGAGGGATATGTTCAATGCTCCTCCACGAAACACACCCTCACAGATGGGCTCTCGTCCAGCTAGTAGGGGTGGAGATCCGAACGATATGATGCGCTCAGCCTCTCCAGCACCCCTGCGCACAAGTTCACCGGCACCTCCACGCGCCACAAGTCCCCGTCCCAGTACAGGCTACGACCGTAGGTCACAACCAATCCCTCAAGGACAGGGCTACCGTTCAACCTCGCCGAACCCATATGGAGGAGCTCCTCCTGGTGGCATGCCAGCAGGAAGACCACGGGCACAGTCGACTAGCCCGATAAAGCAACAGCAACGCCCTGGATACAATCCAGCTTACGCATCTCATGGTAACTCTCCAGTAGCTGGTATGCCACGATCTGCCAGTCCCAACCCTCAAATCCGCGGCTCGGCTGGACCGGGCAGCAGACCTCCGAGTAGCCGTGGTGACCCTGCAGCTATGGCAATGCAGTTGGCTCCAGCAGGTGATCAAGGATACCCGCCGCCCTCACGTGGAGGGTCAGGTGCGCCTTTGAGACCGACCAGCACATATTATGGGGCAGAGGGTGGATGGGCGGCAGCATCATCGCCTCGCGGAGGTGCTCCTCAGCAGCAGCAACAACAATCACAGCAGCAGCAATTGAGCACCCGCGTACGCAGCCAAAGCTCTGCTGGGCAGCGACAATTCACAAAAGACGGAAGACCCATCCTTCAGTTCTGTAAGTTTATACTCAACACCATCAACATGGCGTAAGGCTAACAAAGAATTACAGCTCGAGCAATGTATATGTACCAGGCAGCCATTCCTGAAGAACTGACGTTTGCAAAGGGAGATATCCTGGCAGTACTGAGATTGCAAGATGACGGATGGTGGGAAGCGGAGGTGGCCGGCAAGGATGGCAGAAGAGGACTTGTTCCTAGCAACTACCTGGTTGCTGCTTGATTGTTTTTCACTCGTTTTTAACCTCTTCACTCGTTGATTTCCATTATACCCTTCTTGACGGAGATATTACGCAATGGTGCGAATAGAGTTGTCGACTCGTAGCCTTGACATAACGGAGATGTTGACGATATAAATTTATAATTGAATCGTGCTTTCGATTGAAGCTCCTATAGTGTGTTATGACAGCCGGTTATACCTGTCTGAGGATGAGAAATATGCGCCTCTCTGCTTGCAAACGATTTTGATACACTTAGAGGCCATAGAGGTTCTGGCTTTGAGGACGAAGAGGATAGAAAGTTGTTGGTCAGGGTGGTAAGAGTGGTAAGAGCGACATAGCGGCATCTCGCGCTCGCCAAGACCGACTCCACGGACCAAGCTGGTTGCTTCTGCTGGCTGGCTGTCGACACATACCTATTCGAACCAATCGACCATCTTCAAGCACCCTCTCTTCGACAGCGAGCAGTAGAGGCTAATGGACGGGTAGTCGTCACTAATGAGCTTCCCCTCGTCCCATCACACGCAAAATCCTTCCGACAACCAGTCTTCGCAAGCCCAGCAGTCGACCTCACGCGCCTCGAGGCCAGCACGCCGCGGCCTTCCACCCATCTCGACCCAGGCACCGTCTGCCGCCAACTCCCCGGCGACGCGCCATATTCTTAGTCGCAACTCATCCGCTTCGTCGACCTCGTCTGTGCTGTCGCCTACCCAGCAGCAGCAGCAGCGCTCAATTGCAAGTGGGGTGACGTCTACACCCACTTCAGCAACACTGCCACCAGCTCCTCAGTCAGCTGGCAGGAGATTCGCTAGAGCCTCACAACAGCCGCAGTCTGCCTCGGCCTCGCCAATCTCGGCTCAATCGTCGGGCGCGCCGTCTGGACAGTTGACTAGCTTGGTTATAACCCAGCTAAACATTCTGCTGAGTACTCTGAAGGACGATAAGAAGTGGGACATACAAGCCGAGAAAATCCAAAAGGTAAGCGTCGCATTGGCAGCGCTTGTCTTGTGCATCGTGACTGACTTGACGGCAGNNTTGGTGGATGCGCACGGAATGGACGTGTCGACAACATATTTCCGGAGGCTGTTGCAGAGCAATGCTGCTCTAATCTTCTCACCAAACCAAAATGCACAGCGCTCAGCATCAGACAGCGGGAGCTACCCGCTGCTCGTCAGCGAGATGCAANAACTGACACGACTGCCTTCGCAAGCCGCAAAGATTGCCGACGCTCTCGACACCAATACCGATGGCGACCTCTTCAAAGACTTCGACCTATCGACCTTCATGGACCACTTCAGACTAGACCCCACCGCGAAGGTCACCCTTGCGCTAGCCTGCAAGTTGGTCTCGAAGCAAGACATCAAAACAAAGGGTATCTATTTTGACACATGTCCATCTAAAATCCCATCATTCAAGCTTCGTTGCTAACATACACCTTCCANNGCCGATGCGATACTGAGCAACAACTACTCGCCCTTCCTAGAAGCCATCGCAAACCCCTCCGCGGACGACATCAGCTCCTCTTTCCTATCCAGTATCCTCTTCCGTCTGATTCTCGACCCCCCACGGCAATGGAATAAAGATGCCCAAGAACACCTCCTTGGCAGCTTAAACGAACGCTTCGTCAAGCTTCGCACCTACCCCTCAAGCGAAGTTAGCGCTTTCATTGCCTTCATGGATCTGATCCCTGCCAATACTGCCCTCGTCCGCACCGTTCAAAGGGAGGGTCCCAGGGCCACATCCTCAGTCGACAGCTGCAAAGACACTCTGGCTAGAGTCGACCAAATTTCGCCGCAGTTGGTCGCTGTGGCACTGGCGTATATGCTCCTCTCCGACGAGTCTTACGATATCGGCGTCTTCGTTTCCGCCGTCCGCCAGCACTCCCAAGCACAAAACATTGATTGGTATGCCGTTGTGAAGGCATTCGACATGGCCCCTATGCGAATCACCAAATCGCAGTTCCTGGTTCTCTATAACGCCTTGCTCCCTATCGCTCGCGAAACCGACACCTTCGACATTCAGTGTTTGTGGGGCGGTTCGTGGCTCTCGACTAACGCTCAGCTATCGTTTGTCACAGCCTTCCTGTCTTGCTCGCCCCAGGAACTGGACGCTTCTCAGATCCCCCGTCTGCGTGCTGCCTTTTCTATGGACGAGTTTGCTGATGCCTCTGACGAAGTCAAGGCCTATGCGCAAAAGGCTGTGAGCCATCCAATGGTGTCTTTGGAAGCCACAAAATTCCTCTTCCACGTCATCTTCCAATCGCAGGATGCATACAACCAGGCGCAGAACCTCGGAATCCCCGAAATCGTTATTAACGCCAACACGGATATCTTCGTATGTGCTGCGTCTGCTTGTGAGAAACCCTGGGCAGCCCTTCAGGAAATGGCGCTTAACCAGCTCTTCCGTCCCTTCTTCCATAAATCTCTCCCTAACTATGACTTCGTTCTGCATGCTCTCTGGAAACACGACAAATCTTGGCTGGCTAGCAAACTGGTTGAAGCTTACAATGCCGACCCAACCTTACTAGCTATTATTTTCGAACACGCCCGTCATCATGCATGGACAGATACTCTCCTTCTCATCACAAACGAGTTTGGACTGGATCTTGCTGCATATGGCCACGGTCAAGGAGAGGTCGATTTGGAAGTTTGGGCCCAGGGTCATCTCGAGATTTCGCCCCAACAGCTCGCTGGAGCCGTTGTCACATTCTTGAGAATCAAAGCCGAAGACGAACAGTCGGTTCAACGTGATCACCCACATCAGGTTGTGCCTCTAAAGGTCAAGACCGTCTACGCTCTGCTTAATGTCATCCACGGACATCTTAGTGACGAGGAGATTGGTGCCATACAACGCGTCTGTCTTCAGGTTTACCCACGTCTGATCAATTATGGATACAAGTTCGACCATGTGATCGATGCCAACGGCGAGAATGGCAATTCCCTGTCTGAGGACGCCGATGCTAAGATGCAAGAACAATACAAGATGATGTACAGCAACGAAGTGGATCCGAGAGGCATGATTGAGCGTCTTCAACATCTTAAGGAGTCCGAAGACCCTGCCGACCAGGATCTGTTCGCTTGCATGATTCACGGCCTCTTCGACGAGTACAACTGCTTTGGCGAATACCCATTGGAAGCTCTGGCTACGACTGCTGTGCTGTTTGGTGGTATCATCAACTTTGGTGTTCTCTCCTCCCGCGTTACTCTCGGTGTTGCTTTGTTCATGGTTCTGGATGCTGTTGCAGAGTATACTCCAGATGATTCTATGTACAAGTTCGGTCTCCAAGCTTTGCTTCACTTCATCAACCGCCTTGAGGAATGGCCAAGCTTCTGCAACCGTCTTATCGCAATCCCTCATCTGCGCGGCACAGAAGTTTGGACCAAGGCCGAGGAGGTTGTGCGCCGTCAGCCTGGCCTTGATCTCCGTGGTAGTGATTTGCAGCCTGAGATTTCACTTCCAAACGGCAACCTGGATGATTTCGTCCTTGAATCACAGTATCCTCCGTTCCGCAGCATTCACGTCGAGGCGCCACTCAAACCGGAAATCTATGAGGAGCCTGATGAGGAAACCTCGGACAAGGTCATGTTCGTCCTCAACAATGTGTCAAAGAACAACATTGAGGAGAAGTTCCAGGACCTTGAATCTGCTCTCGAAGAACGTCATCATCAGTGGTTCGCCAACTATCTTGTTGAGGATCTCGCTAAAGCACAACCCAACTTCCAGAGTCTCTACATGCAACTCCTGACCATGTTCGATGAGAAGGTCTTGTATGCAGAGGTTTTGCGAGAGACGTACAGCAGTGTGTCCAGAATCTTGAACGCCGAAGCAACAATGAACAACTCTCAAGATCGTACTAATCTCAAGAACCTTGCCACTTGGTTGGGTATGCTTACTCTGGCTCGCGATCAGCCCATCCTGCACCGTAATCTGTCTTTCAAGGACCTTCTGATTGAGGCTCACCAAACTCAGCGCCTGCTTATTGCTATTCCATTCACCTGTAAGGTCCTTTCTCAGGCCAAGGACTCCAAGGTGTTCAGACCTCCACAACCGTGGTTGATGGAACTGATTAGCTTCCTGGTCGAACTTTACGATTATGCTGAGCTCAAACTCAATCTCAAGTTCGAGATCGAAGTTCTGTGCAAAGATTTAGGTCTCGACCACAAGGAAGTTGAGCCAGCTTCCATCATTCGCACCCTACCTCTACATCTTGAAGGCGAGCTTCTACAACAATACCCGACTGACACTATGGACGGATTTGGTGATATGCATCTCATGTCTCTATCCAAGAGAGCCCCCAGCGAACGTTTCTCGTCCCAGGATGTCCTCAAATCTCTTCCAGATCTCGGTGCTATGCTCAACTACCCTCCTTCCTCGGGAAGCATCTCTCAAGCTCAACTCAAGAACATCTTTCTCGAAGCTGCTCAGCGTGCCATCACTGAGATTATTGCTCCGGTCGTGGAGCGTTCAGTCACCATTGCTGCCATCTCCACATCGCAGCTAGTCGAGAAAGACTTTGCTATGGAACCTGACCCGGAACGACTTTCTTCATGCGCTCACAATGTGGTCAAGGCACTTTCGGGAAGCCTGGCACTTGTTACTTGCAAGGAGCCCCTGCGTATGAGCATCTCGAACAACATTCGTATACTGGCAGCGCAGAATCTGCGTGAGCCTCTTCCTGAGGGGTCCATCCTTATGTTCGTAAACGACAACCTTGACACGGTTTGCAAGCTTGTTGAAGATGCTGCGGAATCACAGTCTATGGCCGAGATCGATGCACAAATACAGGAGTCGATGGAGCGTCGCAAGAGACACAACGAACAACGCCCTAGTGAGCCCTTCAACTTCCCGGCTGTCAGCCGATGGGCCTTCTTCATCCCCGATCCTTACCGACAGGAACCTGGTGGCTTGAACCCACAACAGTTGGCCATCTATGAGGAGTTCGGTCGTCAAATGCGTCTGCCTGCTGCTCCTCACGCCAACGCGGTGTCGCAGGACAATACCCGCCAGCTGCAGGAGCTTACTGACAACTACCTCACGAGTCTGCCTACCCCTGCTGAAGCCCCAGCTATCCCCCGACAAGGACAACAGCAACAGCGTGTTGTACCTGCACAGGGTCAGACTAATGGTTACATGAACACCGATGTCCTCATTGCACACGTGTTCGAGGCTCTAGCCGAGCTTCAGCGTGCCGCTCATGAAGCGCCGGAAGAGCACATTGGCGAGATTGGTCCTAGCTCACCCGTCCGTGAGGCATACGCACAACTGATGCGCATGATTGAAAGCTCTCCTGACAAGGAGCAACTGGCTCTCGCCACCGTGCAGAGAGCAACGCTGTTTGCCTACACTAAGAGCGAAACACGTCTCGAGATCGAGGTCTTTGTCGAAGTCCTGAACCACCTTTGTTTGATCTCCGTTACTACGGCTCGTAACTTGACTATCTATCTGCAGTCAATCAACGACGACAAGGTCTACAATGGTCCTGTCACTGTGTGTTTGCTGAAGACTGGCCTGCTCGATATCCACCACGTCGACTTGCAAACTTCCCAGGCAATCATGCAGAAGAAGGCTGTCGCTGTTGAGTTCCTGGGTGCTCTTATCGATGAGTTGATTATCACTGAGCACCCAGCTGCTCTTCGTGCAGACTTTGTCCTCTCCTTCGGTGCACTCGGTCAGTGGCTCTCCGAGGATCCCAGCATCGAGCTGGGCAAGGACATCATCAAGAAACTTCAGGACGTGTCTAATGGCGCACCACCACCAAGTCCTCCTGCTTCTGACAAGCAGGATCAACTCGAGTATGTATTCGAGGAATGGGTACGTCTCCAGAGACCCGAAGTCCCTGAACGCTACTTGGTGGCATTCGTTCAGCAGCTGCAGAGTCGCAGTTTGCTCAGAAACCAGGAAGAGTTCTCTGCATTTTTGCGTGTCTGCATTGAGATGTCACTTGATTGCTTCGAGCGTGAGGCTCTCACCTATGGCAGCCTCGACCACGCCTACATCCATGTTGACGCTCTTGCAAAGATGATTGCATCACTTGTCGCATACCAAAGCGAGGGTGAAGGAGTTCTCTCAGGAAGCAAGACCGACTATCTTAAGGCAATTCTTGGTCTGCTTGTTTTGGTCATGAACCATCACCAGACATCCCGTGCCGTTGATCGCTTCAACGACAGAGTCTTCTTCAGACTCATCTCCAGTCTTTTGTGCGAGATCTCGTCTTTCAGAGCACACCTTGGTGATGACTACCAGGACCTGATCCTTGTCTTTGGTAAAGCTTTCTTGGCATTGCAGCCCAGGTTCTTCCCTATGTTCACCTTCTCTTGGTTGGCACTTATCAGCCACCGCATGTTCGTGCCCGAAGTCATGAGATCGACAGACAGAAAGGGTTGGGATATCTACCTCCAACTTCTCCAAGTCTTGTTCAGCTTCCTTGGCGACTTGGTTAGTGATCAAGAGATTTCAGTTCATGCAGCAGAGTTCTACCGCGGTGTCTTGCGCGTTCTCTTGATCTTGCAGCATGACTTCCCTGAGTTCCTTACCGAGAACCATATGCGCCTCAACAGCAGCGTGCCTGCTGGTTTGCTCCAGTTGCAGAACGTCATCAACTGTGCATACCCTTCATCCCNNTTCCAAGAGCTGCCTGATCCTTTCACCCCAGGTCTTAAGATGAACCGCTTGGAGCAAGTTCGACAATTGCCACACCTTCGTGGCGGGCTTGAGAATGTCTTGTCCGAAGCAGGTATCGACACCGCCGTCGAAAACTTGCTTCAGGGCAAGGATATTAAAGATGATGATGTCAAGACTGTCATTGATGGCATTGAAGCTGAAGGCAAGCCTGATGCTCTTACCATCAATGCTTTGATCCTACACATCGGCAACACTGCAACCGCTGGATCATCAGTCTTTTCACCCTCGGCCACGCCTAGCAGAGTGATCGAGCGTCTGCTGCACGAATCGCGTCACGAAGTGCGATACCAACTGCTTAGCGCAATCACCAACCAAATCCGGTACCCCAATGCCCACACTCACTACTTCTCGACCGCATTGCTTCATACCTTCACAGTCAGCTCTGAAGATCTCCAGCAGCAGGTCGCCAGAGTATTGGTAGAGCGTGTCATGTCTTCCAGACCTCACCCTTGGGGTTTGCTTGTGACCGTGTTGGAACTTGTCAAGAATAACTCTTACAACATCTGGGAACTTGGCTGGATGAAGACAGCACCCGAGGTTGAGAGAATGATGCTGAACGTCGCACACAGCTCAGGACTTGCACAGAGCCCACGTGCCATGACCTAGATTTCGGGGGGAATCCGATCAACACGTTTCGAGCATTGGAGAAGCGAGTACAATACAACAAAGGTCTCGCAAGCACAAGAATCTACAAATTTGCTTTGGGGAAAGCAGATTTGAATGCTTCAACATGATCTTGGGTCAGCATAAACCTGTGACATGATTTGACAAGACACGACGACCGGTCGGCCTTCATTCTTCTCACACAAGCTTTCTTTCTCTTTATATTCCATCTTTCGTGTATAATATTGGGGGACACACACAATCGATTCGTACCAAAACGGAGTGGTAGTTATTTCTTTGGCTTGGGGGTTTTATTTGAATCGCAAAAAGAGCATTAGAAGGCGGACACAGGGGGAGTCGGCGCTCGTATATTTCAACACAGCAGAGAAGATGGAAGCGTGGTTTTAGATGGAAGAAACTACGATGATGACAATGATTGAAATGCCAAATTCACATGTTCAAACAAACAGATCCGAAAAAGTGTATTGTCGTTCAGTGACATTTTCCCTATGGTTTGCTGGGCAGGAGTCGAGACAAATAAGGCACCTCGGATAAGGGTGAGGCTGAGACGCCAAGCATGACGACAATCGGGGGGGACAACGATGGGAATTGGGAGAGGCAAAGGTGGTGCGTAGTGCAGTCGCAATCGAACCATTGTTGCAACATCTGTGTTCTCTACCAGACCCTTGTGCTTGTGTCTTCCTTGTCCCAGCAGTATTCAAGCAGAGTTGGCTTTGCAGCGCCTAGAGTCTCCCTCTGAACGGTTCCCAAAGCTTCATCTACGTAACGCAACGCGACGCCAGCTTCCGTAATTTGGCAATTGCATTCAGCCCCTCATCCACCATCCACGTCGTCGTGTCTCGTTGATCCATCCACCCCAAACAATCCACACCACAACTTTCACGCAATCCACATTACATCATGGCAGAAGGTTCAGCTGTTCCCAGTGCCAGCAAGGGCTCTTGGGGTTCCTTCCTCAAGGTACAGCAACACCCTTTTGCGCATTTGTTTCGACTTTGTCCACTAACCCACCAGTGCAGTNCGATAGCCTCTTTCAATGGCGACCTTTCGTCTCTTACTGCCCCCGCTTTCATCTTGTCGACAACTTCGCTCACCGAGTTCTCGGCATACTGGGCTGAGATGCCCTCAGTCTTGGTCGCTCCCGCCTCAGAGCAAGACAAGCAGAAGCGCTGCATGCTCGTCCTCAAGTGGTTCCTGAGCACCCTCAAGCAACAATACACCTCGCGTAACGAGAAGCTCGGTAGCGAGAAGAAGCCCNTCAACCCCTTCTTGGGGGAGCTGTTCTTGGGCAAGTGGGTTGACCAGGCCGGCACCACTGAGCTTGTCAGTGAGCAAGTCAGGTGTGTACACATCTGTCATTCAAGATTGTCTCTCTCCTGACCACACGTGCNNAGCCACCACCCTCCTGTCACCGCATACAGCATCTGGAACAAGCAACACGGCGTCCGCCTCCAGGGATACAACGCCCAGAAGGCCTCGTTCGGTAGAACCATCAACGTCAAGCAGATTGGTCACGCCGTCCTCCACATCGACCAGTTCGACGAGGACTACCTCATCACTCTCCCCGCTCTCCACATCGAAGGTCTCATCACCGGTTCGCCATACGTCGAGCTCGAGAAGAGCACACACATTGTTTCCTCCACTGGTTACACCTGCAAGATCGACTACAGCGGCAAGGGCTGGGTCAGCGGCAAGAAGAACTCCTTCACCGCCACCATGTACCCCAACGGTCGTGAAAAGGACGTCATCTACAACGCCGAGGGTCAATGGAGCGGCAACTTTATCATTAAGGATGCCCACAAGAAGGTTGTCGACTCGTACGACGCCTCGAAAATGCAGAAGACCNCCCTCACTGTCGCACCCATCGAACAGCAGGATCCTCTCGAGTCGCGTCGCGCCTGGTACAAGGTTGCTGAGGCCATCAACCGTGGTGATATGGACACCACTTCGGCCGAGAAGTCGCTCATCGAGAACCAGCAGCGCGAGTTGCGCAAGAGAGAGAAGGAGCAAGGCTCTGAGTGGCAGCGTAGATTCTTCAACCGTGTGCCTAACAGCCCACGTTTCGACGCCATGATTCACCAAGTTCCTGGTGGTTCTCTTGAGGCCGACAAGACGAACGGTGTTTGGGAGTTCGACCCCGCCAGGGCCAAGGCAGCAAACCCTGCTTACGACATCTAAGGGAGGTCGCTACGAGGATGTAAATAAAGCAGATGATCAAGAGACCATTGCAACTGGCAACCGGGGAGAACGCCGAGGATAAAGAAGAGTGAGGTATTTGGGCATCTGTTTTTCATTACGTGGCTATTGGGAGACTCTTTGGGGGTGTTTTTCTTCTTTTCCTTATTGCCGCTCTTCTTCGTTTGCAACCTCGAAGAAGCATTCTCAAACAGAATTATACCATTGTTGAACCAAAACAGAAGCTCGCTCAGGGTCGTGTGATCAATGTTTCTGCCACTGACAGCACGGCTGTGAGATATGTTGTCTAAATATGAAGGAATCCGGGATCTCAAGATAGGACATCAATCGTGTAAGGATGAGCCTACGTCGAGAATTGGCTGTTTGAAGCATCATCAGTCTTTGAACAAGGATTGCAGCAGTTTCAGCTTTACTCCGGATGTCTCAAATGGCACGATCTGGTTATTTTTATAGCTAAAAGTGCTCTGCCGCATTTCACAGAGACGGCAACGATGAACACGAATGTTCGGGATTCTCATGTCTGAATTGATCGATTATACAATTTACTCGCTACAATAACTTCTCTCAAATGTTGCGTCCTCCAGTGACACTGATGGTCTGCCCACTGACATATGAGAAGTAAGGACTCACGACACCCAGAATGGCTCCGGCAGCTTCAGTAGCAGTACCGGGTCTTCCCAGCGGGATATCCTTGTAGGCGCCAGCACCTTCCTCTCTACCCTTCTTCTGCGCACCGGGAATTCCCAAGGCCACCTTTTCGCCATCAGGCGTTGTCACAAAAGCACCCTCTTCCTTTGCAGCCGTAAGTCTCGTAGCAATAAAACCGAAGGCTACAGTGTTGCAGCGCACACCGAATGCAGGACCCCACTCTTTTGCAATCGTCTTTGTTAAGCCTGTGACTGCGGCTTTTGCGGCTGCGTAGTTGGCTTGGCCTGCGTTGCCGTGTAGACCAGATGTTGAGGAGATGTTGATGATGTTTCTGGGAGCTTTGTCTTTGACGCGGAAGTAAGGGGCGGCGTTGCGGATCAGTTTGAAGGGGGCGGAGACGTGGAGGGACATTATGGTGTCCCATTGCTTGTCTGTTGTNCTGTGTTTCTTTGTCAGAGGATGGTATGGTTGAGAGGTTTGGGGAAAAGAGCATACCTTGTGAATTACACCATCCCAAGTGAAACCTGCATTGTTGACGATGATGTGGATCTTGCCTTCGCCAAATTCGGCAGTCTTTTCGACTAGAGTCTTTAGGTAGGCATCGTCTAGCATATCGCCGGGCACGGCTAATGCCTTGCCGCCATTGCTGTTGATGGAGTTGGCTACAGAAGATGCTTTCTCGCCATCGATGTCTGAGATGACGACTTTGGCTCCTTCATTGGCGAATAGGCGCGCTGTCTCTGCTCCAATGCCTTGACCTGCTCCGGTCACGATGGCTACTTGGCCGGCGAGAAGACCACGAGGGTAGTTGAGGTGAGAGGCGATTTGAGAGATGCGGTCGTTGGGTGCCATGGTTGCTGTTTTGTTCGAGGAGGAGATGTGAGGGCTGGAGAGATGGTGATATACTGTTGTCAAGTGAGGAGACCTACCTCTTCGACATGCCGAGGCTAATTCGGCCAGTCTTTCTTCAGGAACATGGTCGATGTCGTGCGAGGCACAAGACTATGGTATGTTCGGGTCACACCGGGCTCTGAGCTCATCGCTGTCAATCATACACCTGACCATGCTCCTGGCTAACGAATGCCATTTCATTTCGAAAAGATTGAGGATGGCTGTCCTTGGGCAAGATCCGAGGTCGGACGAAATTGTGGGGAGAGCTGTCATGACGTTTTGGCCATTGTTGATCTTCCCAAACGACAACCATTTCTCGAGTGAGAAACAGAGTTCAGATTCAATCATCTACACAGGTCTTCGAGAAGCAAGAGTGATCTAGAAGAAACCTACAGCAACATTCGAACCAGTTCATGGTCGAGCATTCTTGAGGACTAGGCCCGAGAAATTATTTGCAACTCTCGATTTCTAAGCACGGATAATTTGGGGCAAGCCATCTCGAAACACTTCTCTGCATCTCAGACCGCGAATCGAAGGAAGTTACATTTGACCCGAACACTCTTCCAAGGATATCTGAGAGACTTTCAATCCCTCAACATGGCAAATCAATCCAACAAGGAAGTCGCGGACCTGTTTAGCGAGTCCTACGCCAAATCCCAGGATGAGCAAGACCCGCTATCATCTTTCCGCGACCAATTCATCATCCCAACAATCTCAGACCTGCACTCCAAAACCCTCAAACCATCTTCCCAAGACCAACCACAACAATGCACTTATCTCTGTGGCAACTCCTTAGGTCTGCAACCACGCCTAACTTCTCAATACCAACAAAACTACCTCCAGACCTGGGCGACCAAAGGTGTCTATGGCCACTTTACCGAGATCGAGGATTCGAAATTGCCGCCTTGGTTGCATGTTGATGATGATGTGATTAGTGATGTCTGTGATATTGTGGGAGCAAAGAACAATGAAGTTGCTGTTATGCAGACTTTGACTGCGAATTTGCATTTGGCTATGGCGAGTTTCTATCGTCCTAGCGAGAAGAGGTGGAAGATTATGATTGAAGGAAAAGCGTTCCCGAGTGATCACTATGCCGTGGAATCACAACTTCTGCACCACAACAAGGATCCTGCTTCTTCAATGATCCTTCTCGAGCCCGAAGACTCAAACAACCCTATCCTCAGCACTCAACAAATCCTCGCCACAATCGACGAGCACGCGGACCAGACAGCACTTCTTCTACTACCAGGGATCCAATTCTACACTGGCCAATTCTTTGACATCCCTACCATCACCGCTCACGCACAAAAGAAGGGCATAGTCGTGGGTTGGGATCTTGCTCACGCAGCAGGAAACATGCCTCTGAAGCTTCACGACTGGAAAGTCGATTTTGCAGCTTGGTGCAGTTACAAGTATCTCAACTGCGGTCCAGGTAGTATTGGTGGGCTTTTCGTCCACGAACGCCACTCTAAAGTCTCCGCTGCCTCGTCTTCTTTACGACCAGAGTACAAACCTAGACTAAGTGGCTGGTGGGGTAGCGACAAGAGCAGCCGCTTCGCCATGGAAAACGTCTTTACGCCAATCGCAGGAGCAGGTGGCTGGCAACTTAGTAACCCATCGGTAGCGGACATGACAGCACTCCGCGCATCCTTGGACGTCTTCNAAAAGACTTCTCTTTCAGCTCTAAGAGAGAAGTCAATCGCCTTGACCGGATATCTGGAGAAACTCCTTCTTGCCAGCACGGATATCAAAGACCACTTCTCCATCATTACACCTTCCGATCCTGAGCAGAGAGGCGCACAGTTGTCACTCCGTCTCTCCCCTGGCCTTCTTGACAATGTCATGCACGTACTGGAGAAGAAGGGCGTGGTTGTGGATGAGAGAAGGCCAGATGTTATCCGTGTAGCTCCCGCACCACTCTACAATTCCTGGAGTGATGTGCTGAAATATGTTCAAGTCTTCACGGAAGCCTGCAAACAGGCGTCGGATAAGAAAAGCAAGGAGACAGAAGGATCGGTCATGGTTGAAGGCGGAAAGGATGACAAAGGCTGGAGCGAGGTGAAGTAGATGCGTATCTGCACAGTATTGTCTCCTCCAGCTTAGCGAGTGTCGTGCCCGTCGAAGGACATCATGTTCTATCTGAGCTCTTGCCTGGACGGAAGTGGTGTTGCTAATTTAGTCGTTTCTTCCGCTCGCATATGCAGCCTGATCCCACGCACCCGGAATTTCGATAGGAGAAAGATTTGTAGAAACAGGAATGTGCCCGTTCACGCATAGTGGCGCATTACTGGAGCTTGATAGAGGTTTGGTATGTTCTGTTCACCTATCTTCGTACCCCGCACCAACCGTCAGCCTTGAAACCAGCATGCATACAGTATGCACCAGCTACATCACACGACTTCATCCTGGCGAGGCTTGACACGCTTGATCCGCGCCTTGGCCTTGCTTGACGCTCTTTGAGTCAGACCTTCGATATACAGCTAGAGCTACGGCGTCGGATTATGTTTACCCACAACTAACCAGCAGTTTCGATCTTTTGTATCTCTGGAAGGCCGAGTAATGGTAACAGTTATAAAAACTCGCCTGTGGGATGTTCTTGCGCTTCGGGTGGGATTCTAGCACGCAGCGTGGCGTTTGTGGTTTTGGCCCCCATTTCAATGCAAGCTGCAAGTTTATCAGTGGAAGGAGCGACCAGAATGCCGCGTACACAAGCCACTTCTGTTCAAAATTAGTAACTATCCTGATAACACACCAGTCTAAACCTCACGAATACTCCATCCTGCATCGTAGCACAGGCTGAAAGGTTCGTGGCTTCCACGGTGCTTGACCGAAGCCGAACTCAGCCTTGCACCGGCTCAATATCTGGTCATACAGGCGCATGTGCATCTGCGCTCTTGAAAAGACGACCCGACATCCTAGATCTGGCATGGTACGTACACAACAATCCTCACGAATTCCAAGGCTACACTTCCTATAAAGTGCTCTTCCTAGCCCAGATGCCCTCACACAAGTTGTATCCTGGACGTATTCACTCACTCTCCCGCGAGCTATTCACACTGAGAAAGCAGAATGGCTTATCAAACAAAATTTGAAGCCATTCGGACACAGACGAATGAATCTGCTCACACTTCTTTGAGCAGTGCCTATGGAACTGGAGACAAGACCGAAGTCGAGCCTTCAAAACTCTCATGGTGGCAAGCAAGTAAGGCGATCGGAGCCTTGGTAGACATTCTTGCCACAGCTTTCGCTTGCACGTTCTTTGTCTTCGCCCTCGCGGTCAAGATGAGTCAAGACATGCCCATGGAGAGTTCACGTGTAAAGCTTCTGCTAAGGTTGTCCAAGTTGGTGAGTACCCGAGCAACTGCTAGTGCTTCGGCTAGGCTCTGTTAAACCTGACTGACAGTCACCCACCCCAGGNGCTCTACTTTCTACCCTATTCTTTTCGCCGCTGTTGTCGGTAGAGCTCTCAAGTCGATTGCTTTTTGGAAGCTCGAGAGGGGCGGAAGGGTTGGAGCACTCGACCAAGTGCTTGGCAGTATGACCATTGTTCAGACGGTTTTTACACAGCTCCAGATGAAATCTTTGAGCTTCCTCAGTTTACTTCTCATAGTGATCTGGTCGCTGTCACCAATAGGCGGTCAAGCTTCACTACGAATCCTCGATACGGCAATAAATGCGACCGATACCACACGACCACTACAGTATGTCAACACCAGCTCAAACGTGTTGATCGGGATCTACGAAGGTGCAGACACTGCATCACAGTTTGTGCCGGTCAATGCGCTCTTTGGTGCAGCGTTGGTGGGCGCATCGTCGAGCTTATCGTCCTCTGTTGATGCTTGGGGCAATATAAAAATCCCCTGGATCGAGAACCTGAATTCCTCGATGGCAGACGCTGAGGGATGGTATCCAATACCGCAGCTCAACTCAAGCGATGAATACACATCCCTGATCGGACTACCACTATCCATTATCTCGGATGCGAGCAACTTGACGACATCGTTCGATATTGAAACATCTTACTGGACTCTTTCGTGTCCTGTATTCGAAGACTTGGGTGACGGTAATAATGCGACTGGCTACCCTGATGACACGGAGTGGGCGAAGTTAACAGCGGAAATGTCCCAATTCATGGACCCTAGTGTGGAATCGCTCTACAACACAACTGAGCCTGGCCAGGGCCAAAATCTCTATTTGTACTCCGTGAACATGTACAACTACAACCAGTCTCGGGACTCCCCAGTCAACACTCGGCCGCGGCACATTACCTACATGGAAAACAACAACGGTCCTGCCCACTGGGTGGCAGCTAATTGCACCATCAGAACCACGTACGTCGAAGTCTACGTGAGCTGTGCAACAGGCAGCTGTACAGCGGTAGAGATGAGAAAATCGCGCAAACCATGCGCACCGGAAAGCTGGACCCAGTTTGACATCGCCGGAAACGCATTCTATTGGTACAGCACACGTTTCGCTGATGCTCTTGCGGCAGGCCATTCTGTAGTTGCGACTCCATATCAGAATTTCATCATCACTCCGAATGACCCATTCGCTATCTCTTTCAACGTACCACCTGTCACAGCGGTCTCGAACTCCACCTTTGCCCTGCGGCTGAGTCAATTACTCAACACATATTGGATGGCGATGCTGGCACCGACGGCAGTCCCCAAAGGCCTTCGAAATTCGAATGTCACTGCAGATACGGCAACCATAGGCACACTACTATCAAACACAACAGCGACCGAGACACGAGATAAATTAGTACTGCAGTGCAACACGTTCTGGTTCGTGGTTCTTCTACTGTCGTCAGCCATCACAGCCTTCATAGGTCTTTNNTGCGGTCTGGTAGCATCTATATATCGTCGCGGACCAGACATCGCATTCAACATCTCATCACTGGTCAAAGATAGTCCATTCTTTGATCAAACATCTGTGGCAACTACACTCAGTGGTACAGACAGGTCCAGACTGATGAAGGATTGGTATGCTAAGTACGGAGATGTTGCGCCCGAGGATGAGGTCGGATACATCGCTATTGGAAGCGGAAATGTAGCAGATCTGCAGACAGGACGTCGTTTGTACAGGTGATTGTATTTGGTGCTACTTTTGCGCTTTCTAGCTCAGAACAGAGTTCCGTCACTAGACATTAGTATTGGACTACATGCATTCAGACTCGCCCTGTGCTGTTTTGCCAGCTCCCTCCCAGCCTTCCAAGTACCAGCTTCCAGAATTTGAGCTAGGCTCAATGGCGAAACATCTGGACCGCATCTCTGTGCAATCTTTTCGTTCACCATCTTCGCGATGATGTCTAATAGAACAACCGTCATTGCACGCCACTCCACAATCACATCTCCGTCAGCATCGTATTGAGGTAGTGTTCTGCCGCTCTGCTTCAGGCCAGCTTTTAACACTTCGGGCTTCAGAACCAAAACCTGCATGTCAAGGAACAAGCCGCCGTTTCTATACTCAGGCAGACCAGTGAGGATATTCATGTTGATCCAGTCTTTTGAAAGCAATCGCTGTATAGCCGAGGTCAAAGAGTAAGCAAGCCACTGTGTAAGCTTGTGAAATGGCTGGATAGGCAGGACTTGCTTCCGATTTGCAAGTACCTTGAGTGGCCAAGCATCACCGATGGCCGCTCCAGCTACGGTGGTCCGTCCTTCTGGCCATGTCGGGATAAGAAGATCCTGTAGCAGACTCCACAATACTTTGAAATCGAAGGCGTCGCCAGTGGAACCGCTTTCCAGCACATAGTCTNNAGATGAATCAGTATCTGACTCGATTCCAGTGAGGATTGGCGACATACCGATAAGATGACCAGGTCTACAACTATCATCGACGCAGAACTTCTTGTTGGAAAGCAGGGACCGACCAAGTCGTCGCAGCAGCTCAGTTCGGCTTTCCATCCCGAGAAGTGGATTTGAATCTGTACTTTGCATTGCAGTGGCTAGCTTTCCTGAGTCGAGTTCTGCAAGCAACCGAGCTATAAGGCATCAGAATTTGTATGGTCAAAAACATGGACATAAAGAACACTGACCATCCACACAAGATTCGCCGAAAATACTTGTATTGAAGGCACTGAGACTGGCGACTGCAAGACCTTCACTACGGCCGATCTTGACACCATTCTCTTCTGTGAATGTCCAGTGGTCACCTGCTCCAGCATCGAGGAGGACAGAAACCACAATGATATCGATGACTCGGCGGGCAATCTCAATCTCGTCAATGCCGCCAGTCTTCCATTGCTCGATCAATAGATCTATTCGAGAAACACCTCCTGCATTGAAGTGTTGCCACCTGCCGTGAGGGNNAGGAATCTTGCTGAACATGTCTGGTTGCCAATCTCGCNNTGCTGAAGTATTAGAATATGTGTTTGGATATTCCCAGATTCTTCGTACCAGAATCAGCGAGACAACATAGTCTGCGGCCGCATCCAACTTTGATGCATCGTAGATGAAGTTGTTGAGACGACCATTGACAGCTGCATCGTAGACATGCTGAGCTTGTTCGCGAACGCTTTCGAGAGTAAGCAGATATTCTCGGTCAGAGGAAGTCGACATGGTGTGGGTTGATCTTGCGCATCCGGGATTCTTGAGGTCACTTGACCATCCGGGAATGTTGGTTGTTCTTGTAATCAAACGGACGTGATGTTCTGGCATGATGGGCAGTTGCGGCTAAAAGCGAAGCCGCAGTCCCGCAGCTGCACCGCAGCCGCACGTGCCCAGCTTGGTGAGCCATCTTGAGTTTATTGCTACACATGATTCTATTAGCAATGCAACAGGCGATCCTCCAAAGCGACAGTCGACCATATATGCGGAGTATCCACGCTGTGCGACCTCTTGGTCGAACCTCTTCAAATCTTCTTCAGCTTCATCATGCACTCCACAACGACCACAACTTCCATACCCAGGCCGCCTGTCAATATTGTTACACACCCTAGCCTCAAGGCAAAGCTTGACCTGCTTGAAGACAGAACCACAGTACCAGCTGCCGTTCGAAGCCTTGTCGCTCAAGCCACTACCATCCTCGCCGTCAATGCCACCGCTGATCTGGAGCCTGGGAGCTCTACCGTGCTCGTTCCTGTAATGCGCAGCGGACTTGCCATGGTAGACTCCTTCCTTGATGTCTTAACTCCTGCACACAAAGTTGCTGTTCACCATCTCGGACTCTTCAGGGATCCGAGTACTCTTGAGGCTGTTGAGTATTACAACAACATTCCTACCTCCGGCGATCCTGCGAAATATGCATTTGTCGTTGATCCTCTAGTTGCGACGGGAGCCAGTGTCTGTGCCGCCATTGATAGTCTCAAGTATGCAATCTTCGAGAAACGATGAGACGATTGACGCTGATTTTGTCTGATAGACNGTTGGAAAGTTGAGAATATCGTTGTTGTGGCTTTGCTAGCAACCAACGAAGCCATTGAGCGAGTCAAGAAGTATTATGGCGATGGCGTGCAATTCTTCGTTGGAGATATCCAAGCTCTGGATTCTAATGGACGGATTACGCCAGGCGTCGGCGATATGGGTGATAGACTGTACTTCTAGTCGATCTCGTTCTGTGCGAGTAGTATAGAGATTAAGTGCTTTAGAATATATGTTCTTTATGGAAATGCGTAGTCGTTGCCATATCGATATCATTGTATGATCAATTCATGTGCGAATGGCGAAGCACGATGGAAAAGTGCAATGGTGACTTCCATCAACACGATTGTTTGGTTCATGACTGCATGTTTACTTAAGTGATCCAATCATACTCGGGACTTACCGAACAGCCTCATGTTTGTGCTGCAGGATTGCTCAAGGTCTTGACACATCCAAGAGTGAAACAGTATCTTGAACTTTTGGCGCCCTCCTCATCACGAGATCTTTTTGCTGCATTGCAAAGGGTCAGCAGACACGACTGTTGTTAGGCTGTGTTTCGGCCTATCTGTTCAAACAATGGGAAGGTGCTTATCAGCGCGGGTGTGGGGCAAGTGCGGGCAGCAGCTTCGAATCTCAAGCCCGCAATACGGCCCTCTACAGCCGCATTCCGAACCGTAAGCCCGCACCTTCCCAATCATCCACCTCGGACATTCAATCAAAGGCTACATAAACAAGCATGGCTCGCAGTACTATTGTCAGACATATTGACTTCTTTCAACGGCATTCTTGGTATCTACTATCTTGATATTCTACTTCACCACAAATTTACACATCATGGCACCAACACAAGTATTAATTCAACCACCATCGGTCATCGGTGAAGAGACGACTAAGATCACGGTACGTACTCACGCTCGCTATTCGTGATGGACCAGCTGAATCTAATGCTCATCCTAGCTCACTACATATCCGAGGTCCAGCGGTGTTGCTCCGGTACCACTAAACTGGGGTGCATCAACAACAGCAGAAAGAGGACCCATTCTTGTATCACGAAGTGGTGATTCGCTTTTCTACCGCAATGCTATCGGAGCTCATGGCGGATCTTACTCAGTCTACAACGCACTTGCCATTGCATCAGGGGATCTTCCGCGAGACTTCAGACCCAACTTCAACAACACTCAGCCCACATTCGACTTTGCTCAACAACCAGCATGGAGCGACAAGAAGAAGATTGTTGCAATGGATCCGTATGGTCATATCGTCTCGAACGCATTTGCTTCCGATATTAAGCAGGGGAAAGACGTCCGTCCGACGATTGCCATCACTCGCGCAACGATGAGAGTGGCTGAAATCTCAGAGGCTGTCTCAAAAGGCGTACTTCCAGTGGATGGTGATATTGTGCTCAACTCTTTTGGCGATGTAAAGGTTACCAAAGTCGCTGTTGAACCAGTATGGTACCTGCCTGGTGTTGCTGAGCGCTTTGGAGTTACTGAGAACCACTTGCGTCGGACGCTTTTCGAGCAGATGGGAGGAAGCTATCCTGAGCTCATCACTCGTCCCGACCTCAAGGTCTTCCTGCCGCCTATTGGCGGTCTGACTGTCTACATTTTCGGACCTCCGGAACGCGTGTCTGACCCGAATGTCAAACTCGCCCTGCGCATCCATGATGAGTAAGTCACACTGGCCAAACACCACGACTACTGCTAGCGTCATGGCGTATTCCTTCGGCGAAGGCGGTATGATCGTACGACTTTGTAGGATCATGCTAATTGACATTTGTTTTAGGNNTGCAACGGGAGCGATGTTTTCCAATCCGACATCTGCACTTGCCGTCCATACCTCGCATTCGGTATCCAAGAAGCCATTCGAGAAGCACAAAACGGCGGCAGTGGTCTCGCCATCTATTTCCGCAAGGAAGGTCGTGCCTTGGGCGAGGTTGTCAAATACCTCGTGTACAATGCCAGAAAGCGCGGAGGTGATACAGCAGACAAGTACTTCCAACGAACCGAGAATGTCGCGGGTGTGCGCGACATGCGTTTCCAGGCCTTGATGCCAGACATCTTGCACTGGCTCGGCGTCAGCAAGATTGACAGGATGCTGTCAATGTCAAACATGAAGTACGATGCCATCGTCAATTCTGGCATCCCTATCCTTGAACGAGTTCCAATCCCTGATGGTAATACTGCTGCACTCTGCAAGCCATACAGTGACTAACAGGCTTCACAGNATCTGATCCCAGAAGACTCACGCGTCGAGATTGATGCAAAGATCAACGCTGGTTACTTCACTACAGGTAAACAGTTCACCGAAGCCGAGCTCAAACAGGTGAAGGGCCGTGGTTGGGAGAAGTGGGAAGATGTCGTGGTAATATTCCTTTCATGGCGTACAGCTTTAAGAAGAGATGACTGACAAGAACTGCAGCACTAAAGGCCAGCGTACCCATCCATTCATGTCGTTGAGAAGAGGTTCAAATGTGGGCCTGGTGTCGATCATTAGTTCTGGCGTTGGGAGCTTTGGGAAATCATTATAGGGTAGTCAGCGTAGATGTGCCTCAAGCAGCAACGCCCCTTCCTTCACTCGTCCAATCAAACTTTTGTAGCAGGCGCCTTCGCTGAAGTGCATTTTCTTGCGTGTCGCAGTGAAATCTACCCTGCATCTCCATCTTTGCTGCACGCAACACCGTTAACATGGCGATCNNTATAGGCACAAGTCAGCAGATGGTTCTAAAAGCCCATATCGACCCGCTTACTGAGTACTCGCTAGGTATTTGAGAGATACAGATCTCATGAGCACGAATGAAAGTGTCACAGGCGGCGATGACTCGATCACTAATTTTCTGCTTCACACGATCTACCACGAGAATCAATGGTAGACTGACATGAAACAGGTAGATTCCGAGGTAAAANGGCATGAACCGCAGACCTGGGTCAAGGTCAAATAGTTCGCTCATTGGAGTGGCAGCGTCTATAGCGTGCTTTACGACAGTCTTGAAACCTGTCGAACCTAGCCAGTTGTCGTGTTGATCTAAGAGTGTCAGAGGATCCCATTTTCCCTCGAGAACTATGTGGAATACAGGTATTAGGAAGTCAGCATAAGCAAACACGACTGCACTTCGAGGATTTTGGAATCTTGGTGCTTGTATCGGAATCCCGTTCGTCGTCTGTGAAGAAATGCTTTCTGTTCTCCGGGACCGTTCGATAGAGCTTCGCATACTCGAGATACCACGTTGGTAGTCATCTAGCTTTTCTCGGATGGCAGATCTCCAATTTGACCAGTCGTTGGTCGTATGTAAAGAGATGCCAAACCTAGGATGATTTTGAGCCAGCGTGAAATACACAGTCTCGCCCAAGAGAGCCATCAGGGGTGTAAAGAATTGGAAGAAGTCGGTCCCTGTGCAATAGTACCAAGGTCCATGACCTATTGCATCCTCATCTTGTTCCTGATCGGTCTGCCAGGCAAGCTCCGAGATTGGTCTCTCTAGGGTCGAACATTCTNNGGAGTCAAGAAGAGAAAGTGGCTTGTTGAATAAGAAGGATATGTGTCGGTCCATAGTGTACAAGAAGAAGTAGNNCTACCACATAATGAATGAGCGGGTCTGTCGTGCATGATACGATTTGCGATCATTGACTTACACACGCTTGCGTTCTTCGGCCAGAAAGGCGTTCCTGCCAGAAGCTTCGCGAACACTGTCCCGAACGTCACCAGCAGGGCTCTCTTGGATAGATGTGGCGTCTGCTGGTGGATAGCCATCGTGATCGAGCAACGGTTGGTGCAGATCGATCTCTCTGGCTAATGAGAAAGCCATATTCCACCATCGAAGACTCGCGCGAGTGAATGCGCTTGCCGAGGTGACCATGGCGAGATGAACGTAGGCCATACACTCGTCAAGATACTGTGAGGATGCCCCACCAGCGCTCGAATTGCTTAGCCCTTCGTATCCACTGAAAGCCATCTCGCTCAGAGGTTTGAGTAGAGTGGTGACGAGCTGCAACAGCTTCCTCCGAACATATTTTCGTTTGCCAGAGCTGGAGCTCAACAAGGGGATGTCTGCATTTTGAGCAGCAAGCCACAGCATACTCGCCAATAGCACTTTGCTCGTTCGTCTTGGATTGATCTGTGTGAGAAATGCACGCTTTTGGAAGACCGAGCACGGGGCAAANAGGTTTTTCGGCGCGCCATGGAGTGACCAAAGGTCAAAGTAGGCCTCGAGAAGACCGAATGACAGTGTGTCCGGCATAAAATCACGAAGCATTGGTAGCAGAGGGTCGAGGACTGGATAATGACGCTCTTGCGAAGTATGACGAGCCGTGAGTGGTATCTGACTTCGGCTTGAACCATCACTGGTCTGACGCTCTCTGCTAGACATCGTCGTTCTGGTGTGCTGCTGGGCTGGTGAAATCGCCACACTCGGATGTTCGCGCCCTCTTGACATATTATTCGCCAAAGCATTATCCAGAGTGAGGCTCGGTGATGAGAAGTTAAGAGCACCGGATCGTCTGGCTGGCCATGTCGTCGAGGCTTGTTGATGCGTATTTGGGACTCCGATGGTCTCAGTTGCTAAGTCATTGAGATCTTCGAAAACAGCTTCGAAAGCATCCAGACTCCAAGCATCTGGCATCTGAAAGTCGACAGCCGCCGATTCGACGGCAGATACATTGTCAGCTCCGACGTTAATTGAAGTCGTGCTTTCTGCTTGATTGAGATTACTTGGAGGAAGGTTTTCGACCGGGTCATCATCAGGCTGTGCAAGTATGTCGTTTCCCTGTGTGGCTCTCTCAGATCTAGTCACGTTTCGTGGTCGCTCAGTATTGGCTGCCGAGAGTCCGGACCTGCCACGACGCCTTTGCGACCTTCGATACTCGCAGTCGCGTTGCGTTCCTTAACAAGAATCAGCATAGCAACTTTGAGATACAGCTCTTCAGATCACTGACTTGAGCAATAACCGCACGGGTGCTTTCCATCACACTTTCGCCGGGACTGATTGCAATGGTCGCAAGCTCGACTTACACGCCTTCGGCCAGTTTCTTGACCCTCGGCACGGCTCTCATTGTTTTCAAGGTTACTCGACTGTGGTGCCATATCTTCGGAGTGAGCCGCAGTTGGTTTCGATCCTCCAAGATCCGCGGCCAACTCGTGCAGTATCTGTGTGATGGATGTATGTGCGGCAAAGTAGTGCGGGATACGTGAAGATAAGATCCGCAAGCTCGGGCAGGACTGATCGGGCAGCCTCTACAAAAGGAACGATAGAGAGATCCTCAACAGCTTCCATACATGATGACTTGAGCGGCCATTTCTTCACACCAGAGATGAAACAGGCTGGAACGAGTGCTAATATCGCGACAACATCGAATCGTGCACTATGAAGATGCTGTGTCGTACAGTTGAAAATGGAGCAGTTACGTAAGACGTGAGTGGGTCAAAGTGCGGGGAAAGAGCTGCGGCTTCATTGCGGAAGTTCAGCTCATAGCCGCTTCTAACACCGGGATACAGGACATGTGCTTTCTACCTTATCTATCCTACGACCATACGATGACGGCTAGATAGCCGCTTGTCGTAACTCTAGATCAGCCATGTTGAATATAGACTGGTATTCTCCTGCGTTGCACGACCAAGTTACTTTGAAATTTGTCCAATAACTTGCATCAGAGATCAATTCCCACAAGCTTGAACTAATTCAATACCATCATGAGCGCCACCATCACAACTTCTCCTTCTGTTGATACCGAACCACTTATTTACAAACTCAACACCAGAGATGACAACTCATACAACCAAGACTCAGACAATCTTTCCCTTCTGCCGAGCAGCAACTATCTCCTTAGCAACCTCACTATTATCCGCGACAGGACGACATCCTCATCTGACCTGTCCAGAGCATTTCAACGTATAGCCACCCAGATCATTGCGANNAAGGTAAATTCATCTGCGGCAGCCTGAATATCTGGTCGTCGCTGATTGACGTCTGAAGCATGCGACTTCTTGCCTGTTGATGAGTTTGATGGCATCACGCCAACATCCTCGTCATTCAAAGGCGTCCGACAAACCATCAAAGTATGTGGTATCAGCATCTTGCGTGCTGGTGCGAGTTTTGAGGAGCCACTGCGCCAGGCCTACAGGTGTGTCCACCATATATCGCCAATCTGGCGCCACTGACATATTTGAAGTGGACCATTGAGCTTTGGTAAGATCCTGATCCAGAGAGATGAAGAGACATGCTTGCCAGCACTTTTGTATTCGAAGTTTCCATCCGACCTAGCTGAGCAAGGTAGTACAGCAATGTTCAATTGTGACTATGTTTCTCTGGCTGACAATGTGTTTANNGCTGTCTTGATCCTGGAACCCATACTCGCGACTGGTGGTTCGATCTGCACGGCTATCGACCTTATCCTCAAGCAAGGCGTCCCCGAAGACAAGATCATAGTTGCAAATTTGATTACCTCACGGAAAGCGTTACAGATTGTCTTTGGTAGATTCCCCAAGCTACGTATTGTAACGGCAGCAATTGATGAAAAGCTCAATGCGAAGTGGTAAGTTTTGCCAATACGTTAAGCTTCGACTAAGATTAATGAAGTCGCANGTCAACTAGAGCCAGGGGTGGGCGACTTTGGAGATCGCTTCTATGGCACAGCCTGATTACTCGAAGTGGGTGTTGATCGGTCGACTGCGGTACCATTACCTCGTACTGAACGGAACTGGTGGCACATCCCTGTCTTAGTTCAATTGAATCTACAGAGCGTTTATTGTCGATTTGTACGCTCTGCAGCATCCCCTTCTGCAAGCCACTGACTTGCGATGACCAGTTGCTGTATGTTGATATATTGCTTTATCGACATTGGTAATAGTGATAGCCAGAAGAGCCTTTTTGGAACGGAACTATGAATCTTGTTCGCCCTANNAAGTAGCAACATATGTCAACAGTTGATTCGGTATACGATGCTATTGGCTTACCGAGCAATCTCCATGGCTCCTGCCGACCATGGCGCGTTTTGAGCGATTGCTGTTATCTGAGTGGACGCAAGCGGATTGCCCTTATCAGTAAATGCCAGAAGGTACAAAGCGATGAAGAAAAGCTCATTCATCAGACATAGAGTGAAGAGAACAGCCNNTGGTCACATCAGTCCGATTTCATGACCGGTGGTCACATCATGGTCACTTACCTTGTTCGAGTAGTACAAGTGCATTAACCAGCTTCTCTTAGGGTCAACCTTCTTGTGGCTCTGATCACTCCCACCCATACTAAGCGTTGCATACATGTGTATGTAATGACTTGCCAGGTCGAGGCTGATCAGCAGCTGAAATAACATAGCCCACCTTGGCATTGCCGTTGCTAAGAACACAAGCAGGCAAGTAGTCGTACAGCGGTCAGTGACCATATCAAGCACAGCACCGAATCTAGTGCCTTGATCTAGCTTTCGAGCTGCATAACCATCGAGGGCGTCGAGAATGCACGAAACCGCATAAATGGCACTGCAACGACGAGGGTGGACTGGCATGAAGTAGAGGGACACCACAGCGAGAATGATTCGTGCATAGCCNTAAAGCCACCCTTCAGTATCTGGAAGCTTTGATCTCGTGCTAGACATACCTATTAAATTTGGTACGAACACAAAGATGTTCTCTCGCGTACGGCCAGTTTGTCTTGGCTGCGGGTTCTGCACTACTTGGTCAGGTGTGTCGCTTCGCATGCCAACGCCTCTCTGTCGTCGGATAGTGCGATCCATTGCAAGCGATGATCAGTTGTGAGTGTCAACTGACGAAGTTGACAACAATTAGGGATTGAGAGGTCGAATTGTTGTTGCCTAGACAAGACGTCATCAGCAGCTCGGCCGTAAGGCACAGTGTCTCACCTCTTGGTATCAATGTTATTTGTGCTCAGTTTTGGTTGTGCTATATATGCCGTCAAACCTCAAACATATCGACTCAGGTATAGAGGTAAAATAGGTAGTGGCTTGTATGGTTCCGAAAAAGCTTTGAGGTATAAATTATGGAATTGCGTCTTCCGCTGAGACATAGTATTACCTCGTGATGTCAACTTGTATCTTGTAACCGCATAAAAACTTTTTGTTGGAAATGCTACCCTTAAGCAAGCTCACGATTCCCTTGTGGTCGGCATTTTTGTCATCGGCAGAATGTCCGCTTCTTTGACCTTTTTCTCGTTGATCTTCGCATAGGCGTATACCAGACCGCTCACGAATCCAAGAGCGATGGCAGTGCATCCGCCTAGCGTGACAGGATTCCCAAAGAACAACAGACCGCTGATCGCCAAAGGCAGCTTGTTCAGAGCGCCAACCATAGAGTACGTTGTTGAGCCAGTAACACGTACGCACCAAGCGGATGTGTACGAGATAAAGACCGAGGACAACCCAGAGATGATCATCGCACTGATCACCCACGTGCGGTTGTCAGCTGGGAAGTTCAGAGCAACATTGGCAGAAGACCAGTCCTCGAACAGCAGCGAGAACACCAGAAGAATGGGAATACTCAGAAGGTTGTTATAGTACATGGCTGTTGATCCGGTCAGCAACTATTGGTCGTTTCTTCTGTTATACAACTTACTGTCGAAGTCCTTGAAGTTGGTCACCTTGATGCGGACTTTCATAGCGAGAACGAATACGGCGTTGCAGACACAATTGAGTGCCATCCATACATAGCCTGCATTGAACATGGAGAGCAAGCCGCCATCACTTGTTCCAGTAGGTTGAGCCGGCGTCTTCACATCAGCCCAAGCCGCAATTCCAGAACTCAGTACCATCAAGCCGAACGACACCAGAGCCATGCGTGTTACTGAGCCTCCAAAACAGAGCACTTCGCCGTAAGCAATGCAGATGATGGTCAAGTTCTTGAAGATTGTGTAGACCGGAATTGTGAGGTATGAAAGTGCTTTGGAACCTGTATAGATCATGCCCACAAGAAGTGCCGAGATTGGGAACCACTTCTTGGCTTGATCCATGTTGAATACGCGGTAAGTGATCAAGCCTCCACGTTTGCAGCTCTCGATCGTGACGAGACAAATCAAGCTCTGNTATCGAATCAGCATTATACTTGTCATCGTAATGTAGATACAACGCACCTGAACACAGAGGAGGAAGAAGTTCAAATTGAAGTCTCGCCCGCCGAGAACATATTTGTTTGTTACAGTCATCAGAATTGAGCTCCCACAGTAAGACAAAATAGCAACCATTGGCGAGTTGGCCAAGCTAGAATTTGTCTTCTTTGACTCCACAGCTGATGCATTGTTATAATTCTCCTCGTCTTCGTTGGCGACTTTCGCATAAGACTGATTGGCAGCCATTGTGAAAGTTTTGGCTTTGCTAGTGCAGGATGAGAGGTAGAGGTGTCGAAAGTCAGACGAGGTTTTGTGTTAACACAGAATCTGATGAAAGGGATGAGCAACGTTGTTCGCGATAAGAAGATTGCGCAACACTCCTGTCAGGGGCTGAGAGGATGCTGCAGCTGCCCACTTCGGCAGAATGTGGCTGAGCTTTCCTGCCGCGCATTTCGATCTTATCTAATCATATCCCGATCCCATCCATCTGTCAGGGTGACACTATTAGCAATGTCTTTGAGCACATAATTCACGACTCGAAACAATTTTGCTGCATTTGCTCCGTAACTGCGAGATACAGCAAGACGAAAGAGATTTTCTAGAGGGAGACCTAGGTGCCGTGATACTTGGGATACATTTTGAGCCTGTATTCGCTGATTTTGCTATTCTTACTCACTTGCTTCAGTAGACAAACTGCACCCTTACCATCTGCTCCCGATCATTGGTGCAATTCGTCGCACTTTTGACCTTGCTTCACTGACAACAGTACAACATCGATAACAGATGATGCGCATAGATTCAAGATCAAAGGTGAAGTGTGACTGCGGGAAATAGATTCCCCGTTTCGTGACAACAACCCCACACTCATTTCAGCTTCAACTTTTGAAGCCACTCTTCTCAGTCCTATCCTTACCCAACATTTGTTAGTTCATGCGGGCTCTCGCCTATCGCTACCGTAGGCTTGAGGCAAAGCTCGAAAGGTCCTCATCACATGTCGCACTACGATAGTGCAATCTCGCATGATACATCGACACCGTAAACGAGGTACATCACGCCTGTAAACCTGCGACAAGCCCTAGACCCCAAGTCGCATACCATCGCATAGATTTCGAACTATCGGCTATGTAGGATACTTTTTGTAGTCACGAACAGATGATCTCGAGGTATGTAGGACATGTGAAGGTATAAGTACGCTCTCGATATCCTGTCTTTTTCTCGGTTGTTTCATTTCCCTGCAACCACTTGCCTCAACAGAAAATATGCGACGAAATCTACCCGGCCTTTTGGCACTCTCCGTTGTTGGTGCCGTATCAGGCACACCTCTCTTACCTCGATACATCAACTCGACAGGGTCTGGAGTCACTTGCAATGGCACGTTCTCGCGTATTACCGCCCAGACCTGGGTAGATGGGATGAACCCAGGATGGAACCTGGGCAATACTCTGGATGGCATTCCTGATGAGGGAGACTGGGGCAACCCACCCGTTGTGCCTGCGACCTTCGATGACGTGAAGAATGCCGGGTACAAGGGCGTCCGGCTACCAGGTGAGATGAGGTTCGCAGCGTCACATGAGTGTCATTAACTTGACTATCACANNGTGACATGGGCATACAATTTCGATACCGAGGCTCCAGACTACAAAGTTAACCCAGCTTGGCTTCAACGAGTATCTGACGTTGTTGACATGGTGATCGAGCGCGACATGTACGTCCTGGTCAATGTCCATCATGACTCCTGGACATGGGCCGATGTCACCCAAGCCAATGCAAACTACACTCAGATTGAAGAGAAGTTCTATCGTCTGTGGTATCAAATCGGGATCAAGCTCGCATGCAAGTCGAGCTTGTTGGCTTATGAGCCCATCAACGAACCTCCAGGCACCTCAGCGGCACATGCAGCTGAACTGAAAAAACTGGAAGGTCTGTTCCTTCAGGCTATCGCTGACGCTGGAGGCTTCAATCCCCATCGTGTCGTCACTCTCAATGGCCCTCAGGAAAACAGCGACTTGACTTCGCAGTATTTTGTCCGTCCGACGAACATCAGTAATCCTTGGGCGATTCAGTATCACTACTATTCGCCATATCCGTTCATTTTCTCTGCATGGGGAAGCACGATTTGGGGGTCAGACGCGGACAAAGCTGCTCTCGAAGCAGATATCGCCAACATCCGCAACAACTTCACCGATGTACCTTTGATAATCGGTGAATGGGCTGCGTCTCCAGTAGCGACTGAAACAGCAGCTCGCTGGAGGTATTCTGACTTCTTTGTCCGCATCGCGTCGAAATACAACACTGCAACCGTGCTCTGGGATAATGGTGCCGACTTTTTGGATCGCACGAATCACGTCTGGCGGGATCAAACTGCTATCGATATCTACATGTCTGCTCACGCTGGTGAGGCAAATGCTCTGCCTGATAGTACAATCGATCCCAATGCGAAGACGCAACATACCAGTGCTGATCTCTTCGTTCGCGTCGGCCAGAACGTGACGTCTCAAACACTTCCTTACATCCTCCCACGTAACATCACACTGCTTTCAATAGCTGGTCCGAATGGTAAATCGCTGGCTAGAGGGACCGATTACTCCGTGACTGGCAACAACATAACCTTTTCAGCCTCCTTCCTGCGCACCTTTTTCACCCCTTCAGTGAGCCCAGGCTCAATCGCAAACTTGACACTCGGCTTCTCCACTGGCGCTGATCTGACCTTGGATCTCGTGCTCTGGGATACGCCAGTGCTAAGCAGCACCTCAAGCTCCGTAGCAGCGGCAAATGGCTCAAGTATCTCCATACCTGTACAGTGGAAAGGCATCAACAAGCCCGCAACAGTCAAGACCGTGACGACGAATGGAACCTATCTAGTGGATGACTTCACGAAATACTATGGACCTTTGCAGAATGCTAGAACTGTAAGTCTCGAATTGAAGACGTTGGCCTACGTTCCTGATTGACACATGCGTACAGNNACATACAATTCACAGTGGAACTGGGACACAAATAATCTGATCATTACATCTGCTGCTGTAAATGCTGTGCAGGCTTTGGCCGAAGATGTCATCTTCACTTTTGAATTTTACCCAAGAGTACCTGGGAATGCTGTCAATTACACGTTGACTGTGTAAGGATATCCTAAGATATTTGTAGCATGGCAGTTTGGCTGCCTGGTACATCAATACTTCGCCTCAAGACTGAATTCAAATTGCGTTATTCGCCTTGCTGGAAGTAGTTATGTCTCTCAAGAGGGCACAAGAGCAAAAAAGCTGCTCTTACAGAGAAGGCACAGGGACAAAAGGAAGCTCTCCATCAGGGAATCGAACCCTGGTCTCCCGCGCTTGGCGAGATTTTACTCTTGACAAGCGGAAATCATGACCACTAGACCAATGAAGATGAGCCAGCTGGGCTGGTATTGGTTCATGAAGGATTTCGATAATACACGGTTTATGTATCTCGTTTTCAAAGGGAGATTCTCTTCGAATCTGTGTGGCGATTCTTGATCAGTGGTCGTTGTTGCAGATGCTGCGCTCAGCTCCCAACTTTCTCATCTTGGAAACCCACAAGTTTTGTCTTCATACAGAATGTCTTGAACAAATGGGCGGCAGTGGGCGGCAGCGACAAATGTAGAGCGATATGCAGAGTGATGTTGGAAGCTGACCGAAAAACAGCTCCGAGGAGGGAGCGACAACGGAGACGTTTCCGATATGCTCGGGATCATCGGTATTGATGTCATGGAAGCTTTTCTTCGCATGTTAGCCTGAGACGATGGTCTGCAACGGCGCCATTAAACCTCTTTTGACACAGTGCCCCTGTCGGCAGAGCTGAAAGAAGGGCGAGGCGGCTTTCAATTCAACGGCATGGCTTCCAGACCTCGTCATCACCGGCGGGTGACAATTTCGATCTAGAAAACTGCACGTGGAGATCGCAGTTGTGCCTGCACGCCTGTTTCCTATGCGCAGCGATTGTACCATACGCCTGCAGGTCCTGCTGCAATTTCGTGAGCGTCCCCCGCTGCGGTGATGCGACAAGAGGTTGAGGTACTACGACTCGTCCTACCACTCGCCTCTCATGTCAATGTCGAGTCCTTCACACGTACCCAGTCTCGCCGACGTAGGCATCCTTGAGCTTTTACAGGACGACGATCGTCCAACCTTTGTCCTTGGACCCTCAGCTACGAATACCAAATCGCAACACGAGATTGTTTTTACGAACCTCGCCCTTGACACCTTTCTAATTGAACATGCACAACCGAGCGCTTTCGAAGCTTGGTCTCAAACGTTGATTGAAAACACGAAAGAGCATGACAGGACATGGACATTTGCCGGAAGAGCGTGGACAAGCACATCGGTTCGGGGCATATGGCTAGTGGTATACTGCGCCCAAGCAATTTTCACGGCGTCGAATCGACAACCCGGACCTAGTAAGGAGCCACAGCAGAATGGTCGTGCGAACGCGCGAAAGCCACCATCATGGGATGTCCTCTCACCTCCACCCCCGCCAGAGCTGTCTCCCAAGATCTTGGACTGGACGAAGTTCGACGTACCAGATCTTTCCCCCTCACGTTAAGTTTATTAAAAACTTTGACTGGTCTTCAACTCCGATAGGTCCTATTGATAAGTGGCCAAGTCGCCTGAGTTCCGTGGTCATCAGTATATGCACGAACCCTGACCCACGCGTCGTACTATGGGGCGAAAAACTCACCATGATATATAACGAAGCTTGCGGTACTTTACTTGGTGAAAAACATCCATACGCTATGGGAAGGAGTTGCTCCGAGATACAGGCAGAAATATGGCCGCAGATGTCGACGCTTTTTCAACCTGCACTTCTGGAGGGCAAAGCAATCAAGTCTACCAAAGAGCTTTCATTCCAAGAAAGGAATGGTCTTCTGGAGGAGACTTACTGGAACTTCATCATTTTCCCACTGATCGGTGAGGATGGCTACGCTCTGGGGGCAATACATTCTTTGGTAGAGTTGAGTGCGCATGTGATCAACGAACGCAGAGCAAACGTGGTTGAGAAGCTGAAGGAGCGGGTCTCCACCGGTGCAACCATATCCGAGATCTGGAATCAATGTCTGGACTCATTTGAAGCGTACCCAGAGGATGTCCCCTTTGCACTGATCTACTCCAACGACGACGACAGCATCTCGTCAGCTTCCAGTTCTTGGGCGAACTCCTTGAAGAAATATCAACTCCATGGCTCGCTCGGCATCAACCAGAACAATGCCGCCATACCCAAGACATTTGATCTAACGGAAAGGAAATCAGTATATGGCTTGGCTAGAGCTTGTCGAAGCGCTATCATTGGCAGGAGAACAGTGGTATTGCGTCGTCATGACAATACGTTGCCCGCCGACCTCGCAACAGCAATACCTGGTCGAGGCTGGGAGGACCCAATCGAAACAGTTTGCGTGATGCCTATCGCCGTCAATGGCGCAGGCGCTCTAGCATTCTTCATAATTGGTTTCAATCCGCGAAGGCCGTTCAACGAAGATTCTCTGCAGTTCGCGCACAACCTGCGTGATGTGCTTACAAAATCTAGCTCGCTTCTCAACCAAGCCAAGTTTGAGGAGATCCATGACAACCTCTCGACGCAGTTGAAAATCAGCACTTTGAGAGCAGCACGCAATGAAGAGAAATTCACTCGTATGGCTGAGACAGCACCAATTGGTATATGTACCTTCCGCCCTGACGGCAAGCCAATCTATTGCAACGACGAGTATCTCGACCTTGTCGGCGTGCCACGAGAGTATGATTGGAAGGCACTCTGGGATTCTCAAGCAACATGGCAAGAAGTTGTCCATCCCGACGACATACAAGGCATCGCGGTAGCCTGGGAGTCGCTGATGACCAAAGAGAAGGCTTCAGTTGCTTTTGAGTATAGAGTCAAGAGGCCCTGGCACTCTGTGGACAAAGCGACTGGCAGTGAGCTCACCGGACCGACATGGCTTATGAATAACGTCGCATCAGAACTCGATGAAAATGGTGACGTGGCTTATATCCATGCCTGGCTGCATGAGACCTCTTTCCGGCATTACACTGAGACTCTGCTTTCAAGTCGTCTTCAGGAAGCATTAGAGACAAAGCGTGCCTCCGAAAACTTTATTGACATGGTGTCTCACGAGCTCCGCAATCCACTTTCAGCAATTCTACAATCAGCAGACGGCATAATAACAGGTCTTGATGACCAGGAAGCGCGGAAAAGAAAGGACCCGAAATGCTCGATGGAATTCTCGAAGCTGCTCAGACCATTATTCTGTGTGCACAGCATCAGAAATGCATTGTTGATGACATCTTGTGCCTCTCGAAACTCGACTCGAATCTTCTGGTTATCACCCCGGATAAGGTCTCACCACCACAACTGATTCAAAAAGTTCTCAAGATGTATGAGGCCGAGCTCGCAAGAGCATCAGTCAAGGGTAAGTTGGAGGTCGAACAGAGCTACCTTGACATCATGAACTCTCGTCATGCTATGCTGGATCCGAGTCGCCTACTTCAGGTGATAATAAACCTGCTCACGAACGCGATCAAGTTCACCCAGTTTTCTGAGAAACGTGGCCTAAAGATATACCTTGGAGCCTCATACGAAAGGCCTACTGGAGCCCGTCATGAGTTAGCTTTCATCAAGCCCCGTAATGCTCGCCATGAGCACTCCGTACCTCTGTCTGAAGAATGGGGCCAGGGCAAGGATGTCTATCTACAGGTTGCTGTCCAAGATTCAGGCAGAGGTCTTAGCGAGGAGGAGATGAGTCTCCTCTTCCAACGCTTCTCACAAGCCAGTCCGAAGACTTACAAACAGTACGGCGGAAGTGGTCTAGGATTGTTCATCAGCAGAGAACTGTGTGAGCTACAAGGCGGCCAGATTGGTGTTAGTAGCCCCGGTTTGGGCCAGGGAACTACATTTGCTTTCTATGTACGTGCTCGCAGGTGTCCTCAAGAAGCGAATTCTACTCCGGAGTCGCCAGTCGCTTTGCAACACGTTTGGAACACGCCTGTCACCGGCTCGACAGTTATGCCGCAGCCTGACGACTTCAGTGGCGTCAAGACTATTCACCCTTCACTTCCAGCACGCACACGCTCATCAACAAAACCTCGATCACTGCCAAAACCCGCTACGCCTGATAGACCGCTGCATGTACTCGTCGTCGAAGACAACCTGATCAATCAACGAGTCATGTCTCAACAGCTCCGTAAGCAAGGATGTACCGTCCATATCGCCAACCACGGACTTGAAGCTCTAAATTTCCTGGCGACCTCTGCTTTCTCGTCAAAAAACCCTTCAACACCTTTGGACGTGGTGCTCATGGACCAAGAGATGCCGGTCATGGACGGCATCACCTGCGTGCGTGAGATTCGGGCTCGAGAAGAGACTAAGGAATATACTGGTCATGTGCCGGTCATTGCTGTTACAGCGAATGCAAGAAGCGAGCAGATTACGGTCATGATGCAAGCTGGCATGGACTCAGTTGTAACCAAGCCCTTCCGAATCCCCTGAGCTTGTGCCACAAATGAGGAAACTGGTCGAGAGTACAAACCCATCTCAGGCGACCGATGGTAATGACGACGACACAGAAGAACGACCTCCAATGTCTCCCGAGCCACAGGATTCGGGCACGGCAACCGTGGTTCCAGAGCGTCCGACAATATCAACGAAGATATCCTCAACTTGGGAGAAAGTCCAGGTTGATCAAGCAGCAGATGATCTCTGGTAGGGTGACTTGACAACCCTCGAGCACCGCCATCTTACCATATCTTTCTTTTCTCGGTCTCTAGACATGTTTTCTTTCTTTCTTTTTTTTTTTGTTTCGCACTCCACGATATAATGATTGTTGGGTTCTCGGATTGGTAAAATTCTGAATGCATTATGTACGGACGTTTGGGTGGCAGTAGCGATTTTTAATTTGCGCGTATAGACCATTGAGCTTAGATGTGTTTACCCCAGTTCCTCCCCCTCTCGTCTTTCACGGAACAATTGTTATCTACTTCTTACTGCGAAGCGGTAGTTTTACGAGCCATGGTGAGTTGCAGAAGGCACCATTTTCTCCTTGTATAGAGGCGTTGATGGCGAGTGTTTCGCCAGTGTCTCCGCTCTTGCATACTGTGTGCCATCGGTTTGTCTTTTCGATGTTCGCTGGTTTGACGTTGAGGGTATCTGTGTTTGTATCTTTGTCATCCCAGATGACTGTTTGCGCTCCATAGCCTTCGTGAATGTGGCCAAAGCAATGCAGCATAGGCTTTGTACGTCGGAGAGCATTGAGAGTGCGGTCGCATCCAACGTTGCCTTGTGGACAAGAATCGAGTATGTTCTTCGGTGGACCATGCGTCATCAAGATATCGATCTGGTCTTGTAGGTTGGCAAATCTGTCTTCGGAGGGAGCAGCTCCAAAAGCCCAGTCGCCGAATGCAGGCGTATAGGGAGAGACGGATACTGAAAANGAGGCGCCGTTTCTCAGAGTGAATGTATGAGTGCCTTCCTCGAGATATGTAACGCCTGCTTCCCTTNNTGCGAGCGGGCCTTTCATGATAGCGACAGCCTGATAATGCTCTTCTGGTTCATCACCGCCCTCTTCGTCAAGATGCGAGAGCCAATAATCCTTGTCGAGTTCGAGATCGTGGTTGCCTGCGATGACTAACTTGAGTTCAGCATCGATATCTCCCAACATCCTGAGCGCGTTACGGTAAGGCCCCTGACCGCCGACTTGTGTGAAGTCTCCACAGTGCAACAGGACATCGACTTTGGGAAGGGGCAGGCGGAAGTCGTGAGCGGTATTCTCGTGTATATCCAGTCCGTGAGTATCTGAAATCATCAGGAAGCTCGTGTTCACGGTCGACATTGTTGCGTGATCCAGGGTATTTGGTCTGTTCTAGATAAGGTCCTCAAGTAAGATGGCGGTTGTGCGAAAGATGGTTTCACTTCGAGGATCAGTTCATCTCACTCGCTCAAGGCAACAGTGCAAACAGAGGTTTCGAACTGTGAGTTAGTATGCGGTAATTGGCTCGAACCATAAGCGACGACGTAGATCAACTAGTGAGATAATTACTTGACCTCGGAGTAATTTTTCCTTTCCAAAGCAATGCGTTTGGTGATGGGTAAAACAGTCTCAGAGCTCACAGCTACGAATGTTGTAGATATCAAGGACGTCAACACTAGAGTGAAGTGCTCGACGATGCAGAACAAAGCAGCAACGCTGATGCCATCATGATGCCAACGGATGTGAACGAAGCTTGCCGCAGCCACATCGCGCCTTCCAGCGGCTGGTGGTCAGGATAGCAAGTGTTTTCGCAGTTGCTTCCTCAGGATAGGCAATTGCTGTGCGACGTGCCGATCAGGAGAGGTAGACGCTCAGACCGCGGAACAGCAGTCTATCCACGCTATTGCTGACACCGTTCGGAGGAAGGTGCACTCAACGTAGTCATGCAAGACTCTTGCTGTCAAAGCCATACCTTGAATCGCCTATCTTTCATGGAGATGATGATGACGGTCGGGATTGATGGTGATATTCTCGTAAATGGAAACCCAGTTGCTACCTCGTCCGTTCTTTTTCTTGTTTCTTTCTCCTTTGCTTTCCTTTTTTTTCTTTTTTTTTCTTTTTTATTTCTCTTATCCTCTTCCTGTCAATCTTTGAACTGTTTCTTCCTTGCCATATCAGACTGATTAACCAATGTCAAGAACTCACAACCATGTTTTGGAAGTGACTGAAAACCATCGTTGTCGCACATATACAGATAAGAAGGTCATCGGAATGCAGAAATGAATTTCGAGATCGAAGACTGTCTGCTGAGACACCGCTCTACACAGATGGAACGCAGATCCAAACTTCGACAACCACAGTCTACGAGCTTGTTGTTCATACAAATTGACTGTCGACCTTTCTTGGAGATCAAAGCTCAGATGGAATGATTGTTCGGAGCCTAGTAACTTATTCGAGGAGGTCGAAGCCGGAGACAGCAGCACTCCCTGATGATCATTCTCATTCAGGCCCGAACTTCTGTATCGAGATGGAGATTTGACATGGAACTGTGTATTTACGAGAGAGGACGATCGGACAGAAGTGAACATAGCTTTGGCCGAGCCTGGCCTGAGCCCGGCATGCCCTCTCCCAGTCGCGAACATCAGGAGAGACATCTGATGTGCATCACAACACGACCTGGAGATCATGCCGTGAGTATTGAGATATCGGTGTTCCATCGTCTTCCGTCTGAGCCTGCATCGCCGAGCCTAAGCTTAGTCGTTTGAGTCGAATATAAACCCTTCTTCGACTGGCCGCAAACATCCCTCTTCTATATCACAACAACACTCACACTCAGTTCTACACGCGAAAGCTCCCACACTCTTCCATCAACATCAAATCAAGAGCATCTCTAGACATCGTCATCCACATCGAGACCAACGTCGACATCAACATCCTCATTCACATCGCCATCGCTATCCGTGTCGACATCCTCATCAACCACACAAAACATCACAAGCTCCCACACAACCCAAACAAGCAAAGATGCCTTCTGTCGCTGATCTCCGTGCCAAAATCATCCGTAAGTGTGCTTCGCAAAACTGTCCTTTTCTCTTCGTCGATACGTACACACTACTGTGAGCATGTCGCTGAGTCGTGTCAGTCAACTGCGAGCTCTCCTTCATCGACTTCGAGAACTTCATTATCACCGTCTCCATCATGAAGCGCGGTGACTTCTCCGAGCACACCGCATACGTGGTCGCCGGTCCTCAACGCGCCACTGTCGCCCGTGCCACTGGCAGCACCGCTGAGGAGGCTCTCATGAACCTGGTTCACATCACAAGCTTCTAGAGTCACGAGTGGTGATTGAGAGGGGATGTTTGAGAGGGCTTGAAACTCTGGAAAGGAGTCGAGGCATGGACTTGGTGGGAAGGAGGCTATTTTGTCGCACAACAACTTCTGGGAAGTTTGGTTCATCGTCACTGCACAAGCACAAAATGAGAAAATGATATTACAGGTCTCTTCACTCAGGGTCAACCAGCTGTCTTCTAGGCTCTCTTTTCCCGCGTCGTGCAATGGTACGTGTGTCATGATATGTTATGCTGCCTTCATCCAGGGATAAACTACGCTCGATTCATAACCTCCCGGTATTCTAAAGTATGTAATTTTCACCGTACTCCGCCTGCGGCGACAAGCAAAATGTATACTATAATAAGGCACAGATGTTATTGGATAAGAGGCGTGTCCATCGAGAGCCGATAGGTTGTCGCTTCTCAATGGGCATCCTCCTGTTTGCTCATAGTATTGTGCATTTTCATAGCTACACGCGTTACATCTTTTAGTACACGGGGATGTGCGGCCCATCTAACGTCAGATCTGAGAACCGCGGTCCTGGGTATGCATGAGCAGATATTCACAACGTTTCTCAATTATGACCGCAGCTTTGTTTACTATTCCCTTTCTTTGTGCTTGCTTATGATATAATCTTCCGAGCTTGAACACATAAGTCACGAGATTCCCTAGAACAAGTGTGAGCAGCTACGCTGAGTCTTATCGCCCGCTAATACAATGTTGTTAAGATACAGCTATCAGTACTTTGGGTCAAGCATCGAGGAAGAATTGGACTACAGTTGTCAGGGAATCTGCTGGGCCCCTCAAACCATGCAGAGCAAACAATCGAACAAAACAACAAAGCTTTGGTGACAAAGAATCTCATCAAAAACCGTTCATCAAACTTCTATGGCAATCGAAGAAACGCTGAGATTGAAGGTGCAGCATGAGAAAGCCAGATCAGGGTTCCATTGAATTCTGGAGATACATAAATCAGCTTTCTGGTGTGTCTATAAGAACGGCACTGATGGAACGTGGCATCCTTACCTCCTCCCGACATCTTCGCCATTCGCATCGCTCAACATAACCAAAGCCAAACAGCGGTTGCTGCTTCCAAGAGTCGAGCCACAAAATGACCGGTCTTGCTGAAATGCGTCAGCAAATCCTCGGTAGGAACATCGCAATCCCATTGCCACCGACCGCCTTACTAATGTGGATTTAGACAACTTCTATTTCCATGCGATCCTCGAGACTGATCCCTACATCATCATCTCCAAGGACTCTGCTGGTTGCTACCAGGCCTGGGTCATCGACAAATCTGCAAATCAAGTAGACAGCTTATCAGGAGAGGTGGCTGCTACATCAGAGGACGCTCTCCAAAAGCTCTTTGACAAGAGCTGCGAGCAAGTCCAGGAGGCTCTTGATGAGGCTAGTCTCCAGGCTCGATCAATCTCAGATGCGAGTACCTGAGCCAAGCTTCTTCCAGAAATGCAGCATTGGATCTTTGGACATTGGCATGCCGACACAATGTGCAGAGATGAGGAACAAAATGGTGAGGGCATAAGAAAATGGAGCTAGATTGAGAAAAAGCATCGATGGGACGTCTCTACCAGCCGCAAATCAACATGGGTCTGAAACTTCAAAACAGCCAAAAACAAAAGAATTCTCATGTTGCAGAAAGACAGGAAAAACAAGATTCCAAGTTCAATCCAACCTTCCCCATAGATCCCGTGATAATCCTTTCTCCAGATTTGACTGTTTGCATGAGATAGTGACCGTTCCCTTCCAAACCACTGGCTCCTTGTCCGAAAAGTGGTTGCGTACCAGTCTTCGACCAAAGACCGAACCTTGGACATCAGTTTAAAAGCTACAAGATAGTCAAGGCAGCATACAGAAAAAGCTCAGGTTTGTTTCAGCACAGTACCATGACGATTAATTGTTCTTGTTCCTGCCACCGAATTCTTCGACAAGGGTTCTCTTTGTGATGCGTTCGTCTCTAGTGCGAAAGATGGCGAAGAAAGCTTTGACGACTGACTGCAAAGCGAAAAGGCTCGACAGGAGAGTAATAATGGAGTTGATGTTGTTGTTAGGCATGTCGATTGGATAGCAAGGTAAGAGTTGAGATATAGGTTGTGATTGGTTGGGTGAAAGCAGTGATTCTGGTATCTTGCAAGTGTTCGTGTTGTTGGGATGATGCAGCTTGTCGAAGAAGAGCATCACTCTTATACTGAAAGAAATTTCTTCGTTTATAGAAAAACAGGATACCTGTCTCGCTATGAATCAGATCCCAAGACAGGCATTGGTTGTGCATTCTCAAAGCCCAGCTGTCTTAGACATGTATGTATTCTGCATTGAGACATGTCACAAAACGAGGTGCGGGAGACAAAGAGAACTAGCGACGTCAGCACGACTTGATCCACGATCCTGACCCATTTTTTCAAGCGACACATTTTCTGGCGTCATCTCTAGTAAAGGGAAGGAACAACTCTTGAGCCATAGTTGCGGCCGAAAAGGACTGTGACAGTGTGGCGGAGCGCTCGAGTTAGTACAGTCAATTATTGCGAAGCCAGTGACATATTTCAGTATGCCTTGATATAGCTTTGTAACCATACTAGTAGACTCTGTGTAGTTCCTTTCACTTGCCGTACCAGCTCTTTCCATGCCATGATCTCAAAGCCACCCGACGCTAAGTTATATGACAGCGATACAGCTAATACAACTCCGGTAGCAATATAACTCCTCCGATCCGCAGACAACAATCGGTACTGCTCGTGGTTCATAAATGATGCCTGACCAATCTCCCAGTCTGGTGTCATCAAGAAGATCAAATGCCTTCCCTCTTGCATTTGTTCCATGTGGAAAGCCCCTTCCTCACATACTGCCAACCCAGCTATTTTGGAAAGTAAGGATTGACCAGGCTTTGGAACAGGGTCCTTCCAATGGAGACATATCAGGGCGACTCTGGTCTCTCATTCTGCTCCTCGAGCTTGATCTTCTTCGGTGATTGTTCTTCAGGCTTCATTGTCTGAGACCGCTCTCCTATCTTAATGTTGTTCTGGCGATGCGGCTCAGTATCCGATCCTGGACGGGGACCGGCATAGCCTGTATCACTGTACTTGCGCTTTCCGTGATTGGAGTACGAGATCAGGGTAGGAACACCGGTGGCTGGCAAATAGGCGACATGATCCTGTATCTGAGGTTGTTGGACAGGGGAAGCAGTCGTGCTGCGGTGATTTGCGAGAGACAGAGCTGTACCGTAGACCGAGCCAGAAGTATCTAGAGCGTGAGCGGTTTTATGATACGGCAAGTTGGGTTTGGGGGATGCGGAGGTTTCTGCAGGAACCGGGACGACACTGCCGAAGGGGTATGTGCGCGACACAAAATTGTAAGGCTTTGGCACGTCGATCTTGGGCTCGGGGTTTTGGTAGTTGTAGCCTTTCAAGACTCCGTGAACGTTTCTAGGTTCTATCTCCCTGTTGTTTGCGCCAGACATAGCATTCGAGTAATGGTGACCGCGTTCTACTTCGTCATCAGGAGGTGCAGCCTTTGCGCTGAGAGATGCTCGTGGGGTCAAAGCATTGTTGTGTCCAGGTCCGTGGATTTGGCCACAACGTTTTTCTGACTATGGAAATCATAGACTGCCGCGTACTTCTGCGGACCCAGTCGGAGCTAGGCATGGAGATGCTGCAAGGCGTCCTGCAGTGTCTTGCCAAATCCGGTCACAGATGGATGATACGCGGGTGCCACATACGCCCACCAAGTGTTGTGTGCAGCGTTTGTCGGAGACTTGCAGCACGTTTCTTTGTCGAAGACTACAACAGGTCTTTCTTCCAGGGTCTGTCCCCATCGCATCTTTTTGAATACAGCTGCAAATGAGTCAATAAGTGGAAGTGTATGGATCATAGTGAGAGGCGCCGGACTCACCATCGATTCGTGATCCGAGACTATGGAGAGGAGACAATTCGCTCAGTTTGTCCATCTTGAGATCGTAAGGGACCAGTGAAGAGGTAGATGTGATGTGTTCGGCAAAGGCCGATGTGATGAAGCGGATCGTTGATGGAAACAACTGATGTGGATTGTAGACGTTGATGATCAAGTTGTGAATGTGCAGAAAGAGTGATGTGTTCCAAGTCTGAGAAAGAAAGACGCAAATTGGCGTATGATTCAGATAGGCAGTCGCGATGCTGGACGCGACTATCAGCTTCACGTGTCAACGATGGAAGAAAGCTCATCGACGTTGCTTCCTCATACGTGCCTGTCTCGATGGAAGCACAGACAGATAGAGAAAGGGCAGCAACCACATAAGCGATTTGCTTTTCGTTGCTACTTCCTGATAAACTACTTGGGTGCCGACATACGCACCATCATCTATCAAGCATCAGATGTTCACTTCCGAAGGTTCACCGAAGAGTCCAGTGAGCTCAAGTCTGACTCTAAGTCTACTTCAATGATGGCGTATATATATGTTGATCTAATGTGAGAGTCAAAATGCGATCTTCGGTGTAGGAGAGTCGTTCTACAACACAAGCCAGATCGTCCCGTGACGCAAGCGTGGCAGAGATCAGTGCCCCAGGTCGACCACCAATGCAGAGCATTTCTTCTATACTCTTTTACTTTCGATACACAGCCTAGCGCAGCAGCTTCACATCGTTTTAGTGCTAGGACTATTGCAAGGGTCACTTGCACTAAGCGAATCCTCTTCGAACATTGAAGTAAGCCTGGCTTCAAGGGTCCCTTTTTTTCCTGACGACGTACAAATAAGTGGACAGTCAGAGAGTAAAGTTCAGCGCGAAGGAGAAAGATTTGTCGATGATTATGCTTGTTCTACCATGAACCACTAACGCCACGCTGATGTAACAAAAGAAAGTTTAGAACAAACATCGCCTTCAGTCCTCATTGTTCTTGTTTGCCTTCTTCTCCTTCTCCAGCAGCTCATGAAGCGAGCCGTTCTCCTTGGCAATGTCCACAATCATCTTCATAGCCCGCAACTCCTTATCGTTCAATGCATGCAGGTCATCGCCCTTGAGACAACACATGTTATCTGCTCCGATGGCCCACTCAGCCCATTCTCCATCCTTTCGCTTCTCAGTCATGAAGAACTCGAACACTGAGATGTTTGAGCTGGCTTGGTGTTTGTTGTCCTGAATCCAGCCATTGAACCACAGAGGTCGTCCCTCATTAGAAAGATGCAAGAGTTGTGGGGCACAGAGAATGATGTTCTGACCAGGGAGATCAAGCATGCCAGGGCCAGTGAGATTTGTGCGCTTTGTTGATAGTGCGTCGTCATACCAGCCGCGCTTGCTCAAGTGACGTCGCGACAGAGCTCGACCAGTACCCTCGGCCGTGGCAGTTTGTTCAGAAGAGGTAGCGAGCTCATTGACGGCGGGGCTATCAGCAGGTTGAGTATTGTTGGGCACTGGCAAATACTGCCCCCTCTTCGGTGGGAAGTCGAGCCGCCCTCTCAGCCTCTGCGGCTTTGATGGCCTCCATCTCTTTTCCTTTGATGGCCCTCATCTCTGCTGCTTTGACGGCTTTCATCACAGCGTCTGCATCTGGTGCAGGAGAGGGGGATGGGATATTTGATTGGGCTTCAGCGTCAGCTGCTTTCTTCTCCTCAGCTGGTTGTGCTGTTGTCGATTCCGCGGGCTTGTTAGACTGCAACTCTTGCAAGCTTCTNNCAGATTCTCACTGAAATCTTCAGCATCTGTCTTGTGTAGATCTTCCTTGCTGGCAGTGTCTTCCGTCTTTTGCTCCTCACTCTTGCCTTCAGTTTTCTGCTCTTCACTCTTGTCTTCGGTCTTCTGCTCTTCATTTTTCTCTTCGTGCTTCTCTTCCTCGTGTTCCTCTTCCTCGTGTTTCTCTTCGGGCTTCTCGACGGGTTCAGTATTGCTCACTGTGCCAATGTTGCCAGTGCCGCCTGTATGGAAGTGGTAGTCCGTGTCGCCAGCAAGTTCGAAACTGATCCACCAAGTCTCTTTGTCACCCCACCAGAAACTATAGGTTCCCTTTNNGGAAGTATCAGTGTCGTCGCGATCAGGACCATTCAATCTCGTCGTCAAGAAGACACTCAAGAAATGTCTCCATTTGTCGACCACAACTACTCCAGCTTCTTGACCTTCGCCAGATTCGCCTTTCCACCATCTGTTTTCTCTGGCCTTGCTAGATACAGGCTTGGGCAGGATCTTGCGGAGGAAAGTTCGTTTGTCTTGTGGAAAGATAGTGCGGTCTGAGAAGAAAAGGGCACCAGTGTCAACGTAGCCAGGCTCGTCGAACATCAGCTCGGGGTTATCGAAGAACAGGACGTCTGCGTCAAGCAAGATAACTTCTCGGAAGGAACTCATGAAAGCAGCGTGAGCTTTGCCAGCCCAACCTTTGATCTCCCAGCCCTGGTCGTCAACCATTTTCTTAAGATTGCGAGTGATGACGTCCGGGATGGTCTCGAGCTCGGTGCGGGTGTCTTCGCTCAAGTCTTCCTCGCCGAGATACATGATCTCTACTGGCAGAGTGCAGCCCATGGCACGGAAAGAAGTTATCGCAGTCTTGATGTAAGGAGCTTGCGAGTTGCTGCCGGATATGACGATGCCTCGTCCAGCATTATACATATGTCCGTGGAGTGTCATATGATCAGAGAAGTAAGGGCTGGTCCATGGGAACAGGATTGACGACATGTTCGACAAGAAAGAGCGATAAGTCTCATACTGTCGCATAGCCTCCACGCGTGAGCTTGAGGTGAACGAGGTGATATCTTTCGAGTCTCTGATGTGACGCAGGATATCATCACGTACGAAAGCCGTGTCGGACAAGCTGTCAGTGACCACGTGCAATGCTTCCCATGCGTCGAAATACTTCTTGAACATGCGTACTCGCACGCCGGTTTCATGCAACTTCTCCTCATCGACAGTCTTGATGGGTTGTGTCAACGCATTGTAGTAGACCTCATCCGGACACAAGTTCAAGACCTTGCGAAGAGCGACATCGATATCGTAGGGTTCGTTAGTGTGAATGGTATAGTATTGGGGCTTTTGGTGCTCCATNAATGATCCCGTGAGTCCCTCCTTAGGCTGTGTTGGCTTTATCGGTATCGTGGGCGTGTTGACGGTAGAAGTTGTGTTAGTGGCAACGCCCGAGGTGACATAGTTCCAGTCCGAATGCGTGGCGACGCTTGTGTATAGAAGCACGCAGAATACGGCACAGCCAGTCAATGCAAGTCCTCTGACAAGCTTGAAGCATCTTCCGGGATTGCTGACATAATTCGCAATATGGTCGGAGTCGAACTTCTCAAAGCGAGGGCTTAAAAGTCCCGTCATTGAGTCAAGTGAATCAAGTCCTCTCATTTCGAGGCGAGGTCCAAGCCTGTAGTGGACAGATGTGCCTGATTCCTCAGAGGGGTAGTCAGTGTGATAATGGTCCAGTGGAAAAAGGCAAAGACGACATGAACTTGACACGGGGTTCTGGTTGGGATATAACCAGGGCTTCTCCATATTCGTCATATTATTACATATGTTCTCGGCTGATGGCTCAAGAATAATGAGTGTGGCCAACTGCCATGCAGCTTTGATCAAGAGAGACATCGTTACAGAACCGGTTTCGAGGTCTGCCACCCCAGACAAGGTTGTGGACAACCTAAACCCAATTCAAAAGCAAAACCCATTATTAGCATCGAACGACAACAGGGCGTTAGCCATTCATTGGATGCCGACATACATCTGACCAGTGGAATTACCAACATCAGCGGATAGCCCGACAACATGAGAATATTCCTGGCTGTCCAGAGACTCCTTTCCTTGTAAGTCTATCCTTCAAGTCATAGCTAGTATCAGCTAGCTTAGCTTGATCAAAAGCTGAGTCCAAAAGGGGACCAAGGGCTAACAATGGCGACATGGGTGGTGACGCGTGGCTTATCTCAAGGGCTAGACTTTCGACGCTCTGGAGCCGCCAACGTGATTGTCCGAGACGGGTACTGTTGTATCAGGTAGTTCTTGTTGATCCTACCACTGGGGCATCTGGACTCGCGGATTTTCGACGTTATTATTCCAATCTGAACGTTGTAAAATGGGAGTGTGTTTGGAGTAAGGGAAGGAGCGTTGCTGGAAATCAAGCGTTGCCTTGTGGGACCAACGGTCTCACCAGCGATCTTTCAGCTGGTGAAGTTTCGCACACTCTCCTCGTGTCCAAGCCATGCGAGTGTAAAGCTTGCTTGAAATATTCGATCAAGGATCGCATCCTGATCTCACCGTATCTTTTCGACAAGGGCAGGGCCTAAGGACGTCGCGACCTGATTGCGACAACCCACACTTGTTGTGGCGAGCGGGATCAATCTGTCCCTCTTGCCAGTGAATTGCCATGAGTGGGCACGGCAGGTCTGTTTCAGTCAAGCTACACGCAAGGTAGTCTCTATGTTTTGGACGCCGCCAATGAGGCAAAGCCAACGGGCACGTTGTCAGCTCTTCTTTGAGTTGGAGACGGCCTCAGCCCATCATCCACACTGACCTCAACAAAGTTCTATCATGAACACGAGAGTGATACGAGGACTTGATGACACACAGACGCAAGACCGATCCTACACTGACGTTGTCTGGTCGTATCGATTTGGTCAAAAACTTGCTGTTCGCTCTCTTGCGACGAAGCACGAACGCGACTCGATCCGCTTCTTCGACGACGCCCTTGGCGAAGCTTGTTTCCTTCCCTCGTTCTGACCTCCCTCCCTCCCCGTGCAGTAGGATACTCGAGCGCTTATCTCTGGCCATCTTCGACAGCGAATCAACAGGCAACAGCGAGCTCGTGAGTTTTGTGAGACTGCATCTGTATCCTCCAACATGAACCAAGAAGCGCCGCCGAGCAATATTGCTTCTCTCATGCCATTGGTGGATCTTCTCTGGCGTGCAGATCATCTCATACCCCATCTCTCCGCAAGACCACCCCAGAAATCTCCGCATGGCAGATCAATATGATGCAGCAGTAGGTGTGTATCTGGGGATGCAATGCGGAGTCGACATGATGGCTCAAGAGATTTTCCGAAAGGTACTGCGGTCAAGGGTATAAAAATAAGCGTCACCACGCCAAGTCATGTAGGTCCATACCATTCGTTTCCAGGATGGTCACATTGAAGTCTTTCTTGTCTGTGCTCTCACTGGGCCTGCTTGGTACTGCCCAAGCATACAGCCGTGGCGAGTGCCAGTATCCGACACAGAATCCAATTCAAGGCTGTCCCCAAGGAACCCTTCTCGTTGGACCCAATGCAAAGTTCACTAGCATCCAGTCTGCTGTGCTTTCCATACCAAACAACACAGTGCCATACTACATTCTTGTCCTTCCAGGCAACTATACTGAACAAGTCAATGTCACTCGCCCAGGACCCTTGACTCTGCTCGCTCAAACCAAATACCCCAACGACAACACCAAGAACATAGTCAATGTGATCTGGCACAATGCTACTGGAACACCTAGCACAGGAAGCTATGACAATGCATACACATCCACTCTCACAGTAGCGCCGACTTTCAACAGTAGTCTGACTGGCAGCGGACCCACTGGCAACCACGTACCAGACGGGACACCATTCGGCAACACAGACTTCAGAGCTTACAATCTCAACTTCATCAATGACTACCTGCCATACTCTGCCGGACCTAGTCTGGCCCTAAGTGTCAGCTATGCAAATGCCGGATTCTACTATTGTGGCTTTTACAGCTATCAAGATACCGTCTACATTGGAAAGCTAGGAAACACATACATGCACAACAGCACCATAGCTGGACAAACAGACTTCCTGTATGGTTTCGGCACTTTATGGATTCAATCCTCACTTCTATCTCTTCGCAACTGCGGTGGCGGCATCACAGCATGGAAAGGCACAAACACCACTTTTGAAAACCACTACGGCGTTTACATACACGATTCTTCTGTTCGTGCTGCAAACAGTTCTCTCGATATCGTTGGACAGTGTGCTCTTGGAAGGCCTTGGAACGCTGGCCACAGAAGCATTTTCGCAAACACATATCTGGATGACTCGATTATGCCGGGAGGATATATCAAATGGAGTGCGACTGACCCAAGGATTGGGGCTAATACGACGATGGCGGAGTATAAGGACTATGGGCCTGGGTGGAATGCTACTGGCAGAGCGGAGGCTAATATTACGCTTGTCATGACGGATGCACAGTATGCTCCTTACAGTACTCCGGAAAAGGTGTTCCAGTATCCATTCTCGGGGAAGTTTGGAAATACCAAATGGATTGATAGGAAGCCGCAGGTGCATGGAAACTGAAGGAGTTGAGAAAACAAGTCTGGGTGGTTCGAACAATGTTCATATCAGGGCGTCATTACATACATCTCAGAGACTGTTAACCTCTTGAGGTCTTATTCTTTCTTTTGCGTAGAGCTTCCTTGGAGCTGCCATGACCAGTACTGCTTTCGAGACTAGTACCAAGGCCAGAGTCGAAGAAGTCGTCGCTCTCGTCCTCGTCATCAGCTTCCAGAGCAGTAGTCAGGAGCTGTGGGAAAGGCTCAGGCTCTGTTTCCTCCTTCTTGATGGCAGGCGAATTGTAGCGTATGGCAGGACCTTTGCTATAAGTGGGATATGTTCGCTCTGTATCCGACAACGTGGCTTGCTCCTCGCCTTCCGACTCTTCGGCTTTGATTCGTTTGTTGTCCCTGTTTTCTGTCTTGACCGAGGTGTCATCGCTGGAAGAGAAGATCCAGACACTCAAAATAGCCCAACAGATGGCGGTGAAAAGGACCTCTGTACCCCAGAAGGCACCAATAAAGACGACGGCGCTGGTGATGCGATGGTTGTACATGATCCATCTAAGGCCCTGGAAGCGAGCTTTGAAAACAACGTTGGCCTCGTAAATCTGCATTCGAGCAAGACTTTGCACCTGAATCTGCAGCGTGTCCGGAACATTTCTCCATCCTTTTGCAAACGAGACACCATTGAAGACGGGAATCTCAAGGGTTTCTGCTTCAAGCCGCCAGCCCAGAATCAGCCAGTGCAGCTCGGTAGCCTTACGAGCGAGGTCAACGACAGGCGAGTAGTATGTCAAGATGGCAGAACGTCTGGAGCTGGCGAGTATCTTGGAAGTTTCGGGGTTTTTCGCGACAGGGATACGGGAATCGTCGACGACCGAGCCTTTCTCGCCTGGTGCATACAGAGCGGTTTCGACCATGAAGTTGCCAATTTCGGTGTTGGTCTTCGTGCGCGGCAGGCGTATCTGGACCTTAACATCGTATGGCTGGAGGCTAACCAGGTCGGGGGCTAGGTTTGCGACACCCCATGGCGGAGATTCGAGGCTATCGAACTGAAGGTGGATAGGGCGGCTGAAGCCTATGCGTGGGATGTAGGTCCAGTAAAAGGCGAGATAGGCAGCGATGGAGACGATGAGGAGGAAGAAGCAGGTGCTGAAGAAGAGGACGGACGTCAGGTATGCGCGCTGAGCAGGTTTTGAGACGGCGATGCGGACAGGAAGGAGAGCCGTGTTCNNTGGACATTGGTCAGTTGTGTGTCGTGTACGAGATGAAAAGATGACAACCTTGACACGCGCCACAATGCTCTCTGGCTCGTCATCAGCATAGTCGGACATGTCGCATGATGCTTGTGGTATGGAAAGAAAGATGATGCTGACGTCCAAGTTGCTCCGCATCGTCTTCACAAAAACGTCACTGCTCTCACATGAAAGGCCCAAGCTTTCCCCTTGTTTACACCGCTGCAAGACCGTTTTCCATCATCAACTTCGAGAAAAAATCCGACACGACATGGCAGCTATACAGGGCCTCAGAGAGCAAATTGCTGGTGAGCTCATCAGTCTTCTGTGCTTAGATTACATGTACCAATGATTTGACCTAAAAGCAAATTTCAGACTTCTGGACATTTGTACCTCGACTGAAGAATTTGAAATCGTCATCTTGAAGGAAGCCGGCCTTTATCGCACTGGCATATCCGAGAGAAATCGTCTGAATTTTTGCTTTACATAAACGAACTCTATCCCACCGTCATCGTTGCTCCGGAATCTCTTCTCGACGTGACTGCCAATCACTTGAGCAACCTCCAGCATGAGATCTACCGCAATCGTGCTACACCACTAGATGAGTTTGATGAAGTGGACGAGAACGTCTCCTATACTCACGAGCAAGAGACTCATGAGAACCTCCACGAACCATCTGTGTCTCCTGCGTCATCGTATTCTTCTGAATACTCGTCTTCTGAGTCACTGATTTCTGAACGCGCGGAATTCATCAAACAAGAAAGTCTCGATACATCGTCATCTGGGTCGTCGTCTCCCGAGTCAACATGTTATGAACGCGCGGAATGTATCAAGCGAGAAGACTTTGGATCATCATCTTCCGAATTGTCGTCTCCTGAGTCAACGGTTTCTCCGTGCCCAGGATGTGTCGAAGGAGAGGGTTCTGGGCCGACATCAGTCGAGTCTCCCTCTGTCCACCCCCTTCAAAGACTTGCAAGCAGATCCCCAACTCCGTTTGCCATGTCACAGGCATCTAACCTGAGAGCTCAATCTCTCAAACGATGTGCTTCTGCGATGGACGATGCTGATGCAGACGACACAATACAGCCCAACACCTTGCGTAGGAGCACGCGGATGCGACGAAGTCTGTACCAAAACATAAAAGCATGTTCACTGCCAGATCGATTTAGAGTAGAAACTTTGAGAGCATAATTCCATGTCAATGCCAAGTCTCTCACGAAGAAAGGTCCAAGCTCCCAGCTAGCACTTGCAGAGCATCTTTGAGACTACTTCTTCTTGCACAAGAGAACACACACTGCACGGGGAGTTGACTACAATATGGCAGATATACAGGGTCTGAGAGAACAGATTGCCGGTGAGCACTCAGTCGTTTCGCAATGCTCGGACTAGCGTACCAATAATCTGACGTGAANNGCAAACTTCAAGTTCATGAAGTTGCCAGCTGATGATCCCGAAATTGTCGTCCTAAAGAGAGGCGGATCCTACCACGCTGTTATAGCTGAGACAAACCGTGTCAAACACGCTCTCACCATGGAGCGACCAATGCCTACCGCCACAGCCGCTCTAGAATACTTACTTGACATTACCTCAGAACACTTGGGCAATATTCATGATACCTGCTTTGCCGGCTGTCCAACACCCCCAACTCAATTCGGTGAGACTGTAGAGAACGATCTCTATCCCAACCTGAACAGCTATTACAGCCCGTCATTGACACCTGAGGCCCCCGAATTCACTTCCTCAGCATCCGAATCAACAGATGCTGCAGACCGTGAATCAATCGAAAGCGAAAGCCCTGAACAGGAATCGATTGAGATTACTCCACCTCCGTCGTGTCGAAGTGTTGCTCTCGCAGATCGATTACCGACACCATTTGCAAGTCCATCTCCATCATCTGGTCGAGTCCGAGCCCCTAGACGACCTGCGTCCGCAACAGAAGACAATGATACGGATGATACAGTACGAGGTAACGCCTTGCATAGAAGCACCCGCATCCGACAAATGCGGGACCAGTCCTGAAAATATGATATACGCCTTATGCCTTCTCGGTTTGTGATGATTCAGCCTTAACATTATGTTCTGAACTTGTGAAAACTATCTTGAAGTGACAGCGTAGCCTCTTCGCACATTTCAATCAGTGGTTCAAATTATTGGGGGCTATTCGGAGTCATTAGTGCAAGCTGCATGAATCTGTCGCGTTTGTGCTTCGTCTAATTCGTGATGTATTGTAAATTATGCTTTGCATAAACACGACTGCATACCGACTTTCCCATCAATAGATTAATGCTTGCATTATCGTTGCACAATCATGACGTTGTGCCAGCCTCCCAAACGCGTCTCACCAGGCAAGTCCGAACACTATCACTACAACAACCCATCTTTACATTACAACACGCGTCTTTCATCAAGCGATCTGAGCAACCGACTTCACGATCGCGCACATCCCCCCTATTCATTCCAAATACGTGTTTTTGGGCTTGCGCCCTTCCAGACTTCGTCTTCCAACTCAGACGCCCTTGAGAATATCCACAACCGCTGCTCATCATGGCTGAGATATCAGGACTAAGAGAGCAAATTCTTGGTAAACCGAAACTCAAGGACCCATAATCGATTTCGTCTGACACTCTCCAGNCAAACTACAACTTCATGGGATTCGATCAGCCTTCCTCCGAAGTGGATGTTGTTGTCAGATATCTCGAGAAATACTACCAGGCCACTATCGCCGATAAATCATCGGGAGAGGACATTGTCGGAGAACCTCATCAAGCAAGAACTATCGAGCGTGCATTGGCAGCTTTGCTCGCTCACACTTGTGCACACCTCGGAAACCCTCCGAACTTAATAGGTGCTGGTGCTACACAGACGTTAGGCAGTCCACTGGTTAAGCGCACTCGTGGAAGGCCCAAGAGTATCCTTCCTGCTACTGCTTCGTCTGCTGTCAAGCCCAAAGCGAAGAGAGCTGCTCCAGCTGCAAAAGCANAGGCATCTGCCGCTGTCACTCCGAAGGCTACTCGTGCTCGCGGAAGACCTAGAAAGTCTGATGTCGTTGTTCCTCCATCTACTGGCCGTCCTCGTGGCAGACCACGAAAGAACCCAGTAGTAACTGCCCCTGCCGTTCCTCAATTGACGGCAGATGGTACTGCTGCGCCTGCTAAGCGCGGCAGAGGCAGGCCCAAAAGACTGACTCGACCCCAGCAGCAGCAGCAGCAACAACTGCTACGAAGCGTACTGCATCTGCCCTCGGAGACGAAGAGCCCGCATCCAACAAAGCACGCAAGACCACTAGCGACGAGGAAANTGCAGGAGCAAATCAGTGCAGATGAGCTTCGCGAAGTTGAACAAGCAGGTCAGACTGCTCCGTTCACTCCTCAAGTATGGTTCCCAACTTACGTTTCAAGAATCGCCAGGGTGATCTACCACTGCATTGCAGATGGACCGGCTGGTGGTATGACCGAAGACGAGATGATGTCACGTACTGGTTTGCCATATACCGATGTCAATGCTGGTGTTTCGCAATTGCATGAGAAGGGTGGCATTGAGCCTGCTGTTGGCGACGATTCAAGATGGCAAGTGTTTGATGAGTGGGAGGACGAGGACGAATGAGTCTGGTGAACGACGTATGATGGGGGCTTGGTGCATTGCGAGGGTGTCTTTTTGTGCTTTGTTCAAGCATCTCTTCCGGGTTGAGGTGCCTCTGCTTCGAGGAGCAGCATACATAGTTGATGCATAACATCTTGTACACAAATCTGCATAACAGCACGACCTGCACTTTTCGAATCACGTCCAGAACGCGACTTCCATCGCTCTTGCTTTCTCATCATCGAACACAATATGTCAGAGATACAAGGCCTGCGAGAGCAGATCNTGAGGTGGGCCGTCTTCCACAGTAGTAGCTCGTCTGAATATGTACTGCGGCCAACAAATCTTGTAGCAAATTACGACCATCTTGAATTCTCGACGCCAGTATCTGGAGCCAACATCATTATTGAATNNGTTGGAGACAGTTACAATGCAATTATTGCGGACAAAACTTCTCGAAGAAGAGTTCTTGAGTGTCGCAACAGCGGTGACACGATCATCAAAGCTCTCGAATGTTTGTTGAAGACCACATGCGTGTTTATAAAGGAGAGCTCACAGGATCTTGCTGGATGGCGCAGAGCAGTTTCTGCTCCAGGCCCGCTGGTCATAACTTTCCCGCTTCCTGATGATCAAGACTCGGAAGAAGGAGTCTCGAATGATGAAGTTGCGCCCATTCTGCCAGTACGAGGTCGGAAGCGACCAGCTTCTGCCATGGATCCCGACAGCGAGGATGAGCCTTTCTTTGCTGGCTTTCTTCGTCTTCCATCCGTGCTCAATGCAGAACCTAGAACGACCTTCGAAATCGAGCCCCTACTGCCACCGACCGGCAATTCGAGACTTGCCGCTGCCGTTTCTGCCTCGCTGCCACCGCAACTCTCTGATAATGCGAGGAAGTTGTTCTACGAATTGGTCACGTATCCTCAGTGCCCTGCGTCCAAGTGAGCCAATCTACTTGATCTTGCGCGAGACACAGGTATAGATCTCGACTCGCTCGAGCTCTGGGCCAAAGAGCTTCAGGTCGTCGACAGGGCTTGTGCTATGCCCTGGGCCCGCGTCACATGGTTGCCAAAGGACCTTTCTGGTGCCTTCGCTAGGTAGACCACTCTTTGCATCAGACAAACATTCGAACCTGCAGAAAATAAACAAAAATCATTGAGGAATAACTTCATGGCTCTAGACATCTCCAGCTCTAGGGATTGTGAAGGGTCAATAGCATCAGCCTACCCTCACGTTTGCTAGAGAGGCTCTTCAGCAGGAACATACTGCAGCGAATCGTGGCCAGCCAAAAAGTGCGAAAAGAATGTCGGGCGACTGGTTTGAACACCAGTTCTTAAGTTCCAAAGATTGACGCACACTGCCCAAGGGCTCCTCCGCGCTACATCAGTTATTCATACGAATTTTTTTTTTGAGTTTTTGAGGGTTTAGGTCCATCCCTTGGGCCAGTGGCAGGGGGTGTGAGACATAGGTTGTATATAAAGGTATGTGCTTGTACTGGAGACATGTGGAAAACTAAACAGAACTGACGATGTCGAGACAGCATGGGCGAGCCAATCTTGATTCAAGATGAGCTGAGGTTTGCTATGGTTGATTCACAAGGTCTAGATACTACTGGCAAACTTCGGTGCTCTTTGAGATATGCTGTGAGCAGAAGTTCGCCCGAAAGGGGATGGAGAGAGGATTGATGCGTATCAAAGACCAGTCCGCCCGCAGACCGATTGTTTTGTGCTTTGCCTATATAACGCCATGGTGTCCCCGAATCAACGAACCCAGAAAGCACAACCTGCCGCTCCCAAGCTGCTCCGTATTTCAGGTCACAAACGAGAACAGACAGCTTCTCCTGGAGGATCCCAGTCATCAACGGCGTCCATACGAACCCACTTGGCCAACGCCGTTCACAAATCCGTACGAACCGTCTGATTCATTCCAGGTGTTGGGATTGCCAAAGTTGTTTCTTTGACCAAAGTCTTCCTCATCATCTGAGAGACAAGGACGGTCGTAGTCGCCCTGATCATCGGGATCATCAGAGTCAGAGTCATGCAAATGATCATCGTCAGACTCTTCCGAATCGTCAGAACCATCCGAATCGTTGGTCTCATATTCGAGGTCCAGGTTGCCTCTGGCATCTTCTTCCAACAGTTCCAGTGCATTGTCCATGGCTTCTTGCTTGCTTTCCATGTTCCAGCTGAAGTAATGTCTGTGTCTATTGCCGTAGCATATCCACAGAGTCCAAGTTCCTGCTTTCTTGTCGGTGACGATTCTAGCATCACCACGATCTGGGCATCTGTCACGATAGAACCCTATAATTGTCAGTGAGCCAAACTATTCGTTCGCGAGAATGAGATGCTTATGAATGATGCTACGCCTGGTCCACGAAGACATGGTTGTTGATGGTGGAAGTCGTTTGGGAATGGGATGATATGGTCTTGTTCACCGCTTGCTTTTGTAGGTACTTCAAGCTATGCTCGTTATTGTGTTCAAGAATAGCATTTGTAGAACCTGTCTCAGACATCCATTCAAGACAACAGAGACGAAGATCAAAAGTCCCATTGTTCTTTTCTAGGTCCCTCCCAACTGGAGATGCCTGAACTTCGGCGTAGGCAACAAGATATAAGACAATTTCATGACAAAGTCTGTTATGCAGAGAGTTTCAGAGCCGTCACTCCTTGAAGCTTGACAGTAGTTTCACTCATGCATAAACGGTCGAATTATTGGCGCATATACTTCAGCCAAAGCTGGATCGATGATACAACCGAAAGATAGCTGGTGTGGAAGGCGCAAGACCAGATGTCATTACTGAACTGAATATCCACATACTAGAGGTATCAAAGTCTGATTGCAAAGAGCACAGGAAAAGAAAGATGTAAGGTGAGTTTGTTATACGGGGCTACCATTGAGTGCGCAAAGGTCTAGTGCAACCAATGACCAAACGAGTCACGACCATATGTGATCCAGAACCATATTCAGATGTGTGTATAGTCTGCTCTACAGATTCAGTATCTCAGATGTTTTGTAAGCATAGGCTTTGAAGCAGTGGAGACTTACAGGGCTACTCCGAGAGTGGTTCACCGCTCTCGTGAAGTTTTTCCCAGACCTTTATGTTCATGGCGTTGTACATGCTTTCCATAGCATCTTCAGCAGTTGCTTCACCACGAATTGTCTTCCACAACATGCCACAGTTGCTGTTGAAGACGACCCAGTAAAGTTTGTCGTGAGAAGCGACTGTGATGATGGGATCTCCGATGTTGGGATGGACGTAGCGTAGGTTGTCTAGAAGACGTGTCAGAATGGTCAAGCACCCAGCACTCTGATTGACTAACCCCTGATCTGTGCACGCAGCAAAGACATGTTGTCTTCGGTGGAAGAAGCCATGATCTTTTGGTGTAGGGTGCTCGAGAAGGGGTTGCGGTCGCGATTGAAGACAACGCTGAGGGCAAAAGGAGGGTGTTGTTTTTGCTGCGAGAGAGCGAGGTGGATTCAAAGTGCCTACTCGCGCTCACTGTTTTGATTTTTGGGAGTAACAGCAAGTCACTTCGAACTCTGTTTACTACCAGCTCAATAAGAATACGCATCACTAGGGCAAACAAACACAACACAAACACCACCTGATTACAACTCTTCTGATAACACCATTCTTTCACCGCATACAACCAAAATCTAGAAATACAGCACCATGTCCTACAACCTTGGAGATCTCGCTGGTATCCATGAGCTTATCCTTGGTCCGCAAACATTCACCGTCTATTGAAATCAACACTGACACCAACAAGCAAACTACCGCGTGGTCGACTCTGAGAACACTGATGCTATCCTTGTCGTTACTCTGCGCAAGAAGAACGAAGAAGAGCTTCTCTCGTACCCTGCCGTCACCTACGCTACTGAAGACATGTTTGAGGCTGTCCTGATCACCCATCCCAGCAAAGGCAAGAAGATTTTGATGAAGGAGTCTAGTCCTTGGAACACTCCTCAACCAGCCCTTATCAAGCTGTTCGAAAAGACCTGCAAGATGCTGGGTGACATGATGTCCAGCGACTACAAGTGATCTCGAAGTGCCAGCCAGTGGTGCCAGCCAGTGGTGCCCGCTACACTCACCCAGAGCACACCAAGCCTTTGATAGAAAGATCTCCATATACAGGACGGGTAAGTCATATCCGCTCGGGTCTCTCATTATGGTGCTCACAAGAAGCGTGGCAGGAAGTCATTGGAGGGCAATAGAGTAGAATGAATACCGTTCTTCTCCATAGCAGTCACCCTATCTCGCTCGTCAGGCTGGATAGATCGAAGATACCACCACAAATCCAGAAATCCAGAAATCCATTATCAAACCATTGTTTCCGGGCATGTTGTTCTCTCGCTTCGTGCTGTCCAAACACCGACATCACACTCAGGAGCTTTCGTTCCCCGAGGTTTTACAAGGAATGTTCCAAGCATGTGAACGACAGCAGTGCTCGACAGTCTCTTTGCCCAGTAGCAGAATCGATATTGTATCCATACATGTTGAAACTGGTTGAAATGGTTATTTGAGCGTCTGACCCTTCCGATACCAGAGCCACCTGACGGTCTCGGTTAGCATCCGCGGTCTTCTGGCCGACCCTTTATGCATCTCTGTAGCGGTTGACCCAGCCATCTTCTGCTAGAAGATACCAGAATGCCACATTGTTATCCAACGGGTATATCAATTCTTACAGATTCAGTGGAAATGTCATCTCGCATACACACCAGATCTTCATCCTCTCCGTCCTCCCACAGCATCCTTCAGTACCTTTGCAAGACCCGTCCAACCTCGTCATCAAGCGATGGCCGAGCCCAGCAACAACATCCTTGGTCTCCGTGCCCAGATCATCGGTGCGTACACATTCCTCCTTCAAATCTTTCATATGGCATATCTAACACAACCCANNGATAACTGCGACTTTCTTTTTGCCAACAGATCTCTCTTCATCATCACACTACTATCTTCGACTGGCGATCAGTGGTCAGCAAGGGCCATGGATGGTAACGAGTTGATTGCTGGTGGAGAAATCTGTTCTACCCCTGAGCTCGCCTTGCAATCTTTGTTGGACGAGACGAGCAAGATGATCTGGACCAAGGTGATGCCAATGTATGAGCCTTACTGATTTGGTTCGTGAGCTTGTCACAAGGTGTTTGGTCGCTGCACGTTGAAAACAGCAAACTTCGTTTCTTTGATGTGTTGTCAAACTTGACAGTGGACAAAGACAAAGACAGCTTTTGAGGCGTGCACTGTTCTCTTCAGAGGAACGACACGATTGACAGAAGGAACCAAAAGCTTGTGATACACCATAGAGCACTTTCCATACCCTCATTCTGATTTGCTAGACTCTTGGTATAGAAAGTTTTCTCGCGTCCCAAACATCAGTGAAGACCTCACGTGTAGTGCATTAGTTCTCTGGTTTCGTGATCGAGAGCTCCAAGAACGAGAAGTCCCACATCCGTGTGCTAGTGCGATGACTAGCTGGAAGCGAACATCTCACGGTAAAGAACTGCAACCCTCAATAATGAGATTTTGGCGCATTCAGTTCACTTACAGTCGAGTGAGCATAGACAACTGAAAGTCCGCGACTCATAACTTTCCCCTCCTACTGTCAGCATACACCTTGATCTTCCACATCACACTTGCACTATCAGTCTACCGCAATCATGTCGCCTAACTACGATTGTGCTGTGGATGTTCGCGCTCAGATCCTCGGTAAGCTGGCTTTCGCCTACCCTCAACTCTGGAGTCTAGTGCTGATACGGGATAGAAAACTGGCGCTTCGTTCACCCCGACCGTTCTGATGTGGTGGTCCTCACCATGGGCAATCGCGGCTACTACCACGCCCTTATCGCAGACAATCGCAGCAAGGGAAACAGAATCTTCGTCAAGGTAGAGAACGAGGGTTCCGTCAAAGCATCCCTTGAGTTGCTGCTCGTGATGACCAACGACATGGTCAGCGAAGTTCTGAAGGACACGCCCATCAAACCGCTCATAATCAAGCGCGTCGACCACAAGACCAACAACAACCAGGAGAACAGCATCAAAGTCGAGCCTGACACCCAGACTCCTGAGACCAAGAAGCTGAAGCGCTTCCACGAGGCTCTCGGTCATGTCATCGATCTGGCTTCTGGAGAGTGATCTATTCAGCTTTGCGTCAAGATTCAGAGTTCACTGGCGAAAACGGGAAAGAATAAGAGAGCGAGCCAGGGAATAAGTCAATACTCAATAAGATGGTGTTAACACAGAACGAACCCATACAATGCTGTTTTCAGAACAATCAATTCATGTTTCAAACTTGTCTCATGGTTACAAATAAATGACCCAAGCTAACCGGAAACAAAGGTCCCCTTGATAAATAATATGTCCTATCTGTTGAAGTCGTGTGAAGATAAATAACCAGCACAACATTTGATGGATCTCAGGATTCTCAGCGAAATCTTCTTGCTCCCGCATATCCCAGCTTGTAAGATATGCTTTGCAAGAAGTGTAGTAACGACCAGGATGAGTTCTTAATAACCGACATGTTCATAGGCTTGACCGGCCGCATCGTTACCAAAACAAGTCAGTGAATGTGAAAGGCAGTGAGTGAAAGTGACCGAATCGAGGTGTTTCCGTTTGCACAGACAAACAAACGGCAGTTGTCCCTTCTTTCCTCAACTCAACCTTCACGACTTTTTTGGCAACCTTCTCTACCTTTCTTTGTTAAAGCCTTTAACAACGACCGCGACCATGGCCATCCACAAAACGACATCTCTGACTTTTGGACCAACCAGGGTATCAGCAACGAGATCACCGGTGAGCTGCTGCTTCCTGAACGCACCAAAACCAATCATCTTTATTGACAGAGATTAGAAAACTGGCGTTATCTCTACCCTCATCAGAACAAGCCTTCACTCGTCTGCTCACTCAAGAATCAGGGCTGGGAGGCCGTCCTCGCAGAAACTGGTGCCCACCACACGGTCCACAAGGTCTCGACTCAGCGCCGACGCATGCGCGATGCCTTGATCGAGCTGCTCGACTGGACTAAAGAGATGGTCGACCAAAAGTGCAAGAGAGACCAACTTGGCAAGGTGGTCCTCTAAGCAGATGATGAGAACACCATCAAGCGTAGTCATCGAGGTCGAGTAGGACATTCTACATGTCGACAACGGTAGGTGAACCAAGCCTTCAGTAATGAGTCCGACACTGACACTCAACAGCACACAACCAACAGCAGAGAACTGAGGATCTCGGGATGAACTGGATCGGAACGCATTAGGCCAGGTCGACAATCAAGAGGAATTGGTAGCATGAGCTTGTGACATGAGAAAAGTGAAACAACAATTTGCTCTTGAAATCAAGTTCTCTTTCTTCTACCATTCTTGTATACATCCATGAGTGTGAAAATTCTTGTGCAATTCGAAATGAGGTGTATGGAAAGCATTGACAAAGAAGGAGAATATACACATACTTCGTGCAGACCTAGACAGCCACATCACCACCAAAACCAACGGGCCTCCTAGGCTGCTCACCCTGCTTGGGCGGTGCATGCGGCAAAATAGCCATGACCTGGTACAACTTGCCCATACCCTGAGGACCCACATCGACCAATCTCTTCCAACCACTTTCGATCCTCTTGACCGTTTCAGTGAGATCACTCTTTGTTCTTTCTCCACCGTTCTTCTTGGCAACACTGCCTCTCTCGCGATCAACAGCTAGTTTGACAAGTTGTGCGGCTCGTTGCTCGATACCCATCGCAGTCAAGAAACGTGCTTGATCAATAGGTCCATGAACTTCAACATGCAAAGAAGCATTGATAGCACTCTCAGCCAAAGCCAGGAAATCGACATCAGCACTGATGTCGACTTTACCAGGTTCTGACAGAGGAGAAACCATGCGATGTTCCTTGATACCGCGAAGAGAGTTTACAGGGATGGTAGAAGCGGTTCCGTAGTCGAGAATCAGTGCAGCACCAGAAGCTTGCTTCTTGACGATTTCTTCGACGGCGCGGCGGGGAGACACGCGGCGGCCTACCGGAGGAGGTGTTTGGTCCGTGTGGTTGGTGTAGAGGGCTGAAGGACTGACGCCACCGCCGATTCGGACGGCAAAGTCTGCGGCGTAGGTTTGTGATTCGGGGCTCACTTCGATGACGGAGCCTTCTGTGTCTTTGAGGTTCTTGTAGCGTTGGGATTGTTCGGGGAGGAAGAGGGAGTGCGGTGTGGCGGCTTGGGCACGGGTCAGGGAGAATTCGGGAACAGGTTGATCGCGTTGTGACTTGGGAGTATTGAGAGTGTCGTGAGTTGCGTAAGGTGAGGTAGGCGAGACGACAAGCTCGCGCCATTGAGAGACAGTGTTTGGGTTTCCAGTGGCTGAGGGGTCGACTTTGTGGATACCAGTAGGGGTGCGGATCTGCTTGGGAGCAGCTTGGGCTTTGACAGACTCGAAGACGTGGATAGGCAGAGCATCGAAGAACTCGTGGGCGACGATGAAGGGTGAGCTGTCCGTCTCTCTGGGCACGAACCGGATGTCCTCGCACCAGATGATGTTTAGGTCAGGAGTGTACTTGCATGTACTCTTGTAGCCGATATCAATTTCCTCGAGAGGGTTGTCGCCACAGAGGAGCTTGTGCTGGGCTTGACGTAGCGAGGGACTTGCTTCGACCATATAGATGCCATCGATAGCCTGGGCCAGGGGCTTGAAGTTGCGAATCGATCTCAGCATGTCATCCATCAAGGTTCCTCGTCCAGGGCCCATCTCCATGAGGTAAACTCCACTGCTCTTTCTGCCTTGGGCCATCCACTCTGCCACGAACCATAGTCCAATGAGTTCTCCAAAAATTTGGGAGATCTCAGGAGATGTGACAAAGTCTCCTTTCTTGCCAAATGGATCTTTGCCTTCGTTTGACTGCGTGTAGTAACCAGTTTCTGGGAAGGTCAGACATTGTCGCATGTATGCTGCAACTGAGATGGGACCAGTAGTNCTGAGTATACTGTCAGGATGAACGGTCTATAGTGTCATTGGAGTCAGACGTACAGTGATGGCCTCTCCCAGTGTCTTTGCAAGAGGCGTGGACCACTCCCTAGAGCTTGTGGATGAGCATCTTGCGCCGGAGCATGTCAGGGCTCGTCGTGACAGCGAGAGTCGCTCATTAGCCACCCGTCTGGCTATCTGAATTGTGCTGCGTCTCATGCTTCCGCTCCGATGTCTACTTGACAACGTGTATTGGTCTTGTTTATTCGCGACAAAAAGTTGGAGAGGTCAAGCTCGGAGGTCTCCAACTTCGCCGCAACTTCATGACGCACACTCGGCCATCGACATCCACAACCTAATCACCCACTAACCACTTGCTTTCCCACCATGGTCTCTCGCTGGGCCGACGATGAAGATGATGCTGCCCTAGAAGCACAACGCAAACAAGAGAAGGAACAAAAGAAACGCGCAAAGGCTGAGAAACAACGCAAACAACAAGTAGCCGACCAAGTGCGACAACAACAGCAGCAACAAGCTGCCGAATCCGACGATAGACCATCCAAGAGAAGACGATTGTCGCCAACACAAGACAAGGATCAACCGCGTCAACTTGTCCGCTTCAATGCCCCATCATGGCAACCCGCTCGTACAATCGACAGCTTCGAACGACTGAACCACATTGAAGAAGGCAGCTATGGCTTCGTGTCGCGCGCAAGAGAGCTGGCTACTGGAGAGATCGTCGCAATCAAGAAGATGAAGATGGAGCCAGGCGCTGCACAAAACGGTTTTCCTGTCACTGCTTTGCGCGAAATCCAGACATTATCTGCTGCCAAACACCGACACATTATTGATTTGAGAGAAGTCGTCGTTGGCGAGAAGGGCAACGTCGACGACATCTTCCNNCTGGTTATGGACTTCTTGGAACATGATCTTAAGACGCTCATGGATGACATGGAGGAACCATTTCTACCCAGCGAGGTCAAGACGTTGATGCTACAGCTCGGCAGCGCCATTGAATTCTTGCACGATAGGTGGATCCTGCATCGTGACCTGAAAACTTCAAATATCCTCATGAACAATCGAGGAGAAATCAAAATCGCCGACTTTGGTATGGCCCGTTTTTGCGGCGACCCACCACCACAAAATCTCACTCAACTCGTCGTTACTCTCTGGTATCGCGCTCCAGAATTGCTGTTGGGTACCACGACGTACGATAGCAGTATCGATATGTGGAGCGTTGGTTGTATATTCGGCGAACTGCTCACCAATGTTCCATTGCTACAAGGCAAGAACGAGGTAGACGAGCTCAGCAAAATCTTCGAGCTTTGTGGAGTGCCTACCGATGCTTCATGGCCTGGTTTCAAGCGCTTACCAAATGCCCGCTCACTGAGATTACCACGCAACGCACAAACCACTGGTTCAGTGATACGCTCAAAGTTCCCATTTTTGACAAAAGCAGGCACTGATCTGCTATCTGCCTTACTATCCTTGAACCCAGCAAACAGACCTTCAGCAAAGGAGCTTATGGAACACAGTTACTTTACCGAGGATCCGCGGCCAAAGAGCACAGCCATGTTCCCTACCTTCCCTAGTAAAGCTGGCCAAGAGAGAAGACGTAAACACAGAACACCCAATGCGCCGATTCGTGGTGAAGGCGGTGCTGCTGCATCGGACTTTAGTGGACTGTTTGCAGGACGTGATGATGAGGAAATTGGCGGTGGCTTCCAGCTGAAATTAGTGTAGAACACACATATAAAATCAGCATACCATGCAGAGATTTGGCATTGGTGAATCACCTGGGACTATGCATCTTGTGGCTCAGCAGCTTCAAACAGTAATCAAGAGTGGTATCCCTTCGTATACAGCAAATCTGTATCGAACAGCCCCATTTACAACGAGTTACCTTGAAGTTCGTCGACTCGAATCCACGAGACTCTTTGTCCTTTCAAGACTCACTGTATGATCTTATTAATGTGGTCAAAAACCATGCACTGATGCCGAGGCTATATCACAAGTCAGGGTCCCCCACCCCGCGAACCAAAATTTCGACCAGCAACTTTTGAATCCCGGCGCAAAGCGACCATCAAGCTGTACATGCTCAATAATCTTCGACCTTTCGCATACAGCAACACCGGATCGCACATCGATCAGCCACTCAAACCTTCTCTCTGCGCACCTCAATAATCTCTGCCATATCACGTCACGGTTATAATCTCGAGTCACCGAACCGCATACTATACCAGCATCTCCAACGACACCCGACCTTCAATCGCAAATCGCAAACCGTACCTCGCTAGCCTAAGCGCATAACCAAACCAAACACAACCACCACAAACACACAAATCCCAACAATGTCAAGAGGAGGCGGCTGGGGCGGCGGCGGAGGAAAGAATGACCTAGGCAAGATGGGCGGACAAGCTCTACCCTGGGAATACGACCCAGAGCTCGAAGGAAAACTAAACACCAAACCAAGCGAGAAGTTTCCTGTACGCTGCTTCCCTCCTCTGATCCCTCCCCCATATCTCCCCCTTCTAACGCTCAGTCACAGCNCAATCCAACCACCAATCGCCGACCCTCCCTCCCACCACGAACGCCAAATCGTATCTCATTACCGCACGCTGCGCGCACGCATCCACGACGGTCCCTTCTACGCAATCCTCGACTCTAGCGCCCGAATCCACAAGTCTGGAAAGAAGTCCCCTGTAGCCGCCCATTACGATCCTTTTGAGAGCATGCCTACCTACTCGCAACGCTACACANAAAAGAAAAACACACTGCCCAAACTGTCCACAAGGCCTTTTGTAAAGTCTNTTTTTCCAGAGGAACTTTGGGCGATTATAGAGCCGGGAAGTGTGGGAGGAGAGGATGGGCAAAAGAGGAAAGTGTTGAATCTGGNNAGTACGAGGACGAGGTTGGATAGGTTTGACACTGAGATTGACGATGAGGAAGATGCAGATGCGGATGAAGGTGGAGACGAAGATAAAGTGGAGGGAGAAGATGAGGATAAGGAAGAGGAGGATCCGGATCAGTTTGACGAGGATGATGAGGATGATAATGATGATTATAACGCCGAGCAGTACTTTGATGGTGGAGATGACGATGACTTTGGTGGGGATGATGGAGGTGGTGATGGAGATGATTATTGAGGAGGGAAGGCTCCTGTTCAGTTCTGGTTTCTTGCTCTACTCATACCCAGCCTCGCTATACCAGTCAAACACCTTCAATGCAACCTTTACACTATTAATGCATCTTATCATAACTTCGTGACCTCGCGAGGACATCATGTCCCTTTGGGTTTCCTAATGACCACGACGCCATCCTCCCTCAAGATCCATCCGACCTTGTCCCTTTGGGTTTCCTAATGACCACGACGCCATCCTCCCTCAAGATCCATCCGACCTTGTCCCTCTCGACCAATTCATCCCAACTTCTCTCAGCACTCCTCTCCACAAATGACTTGTCCACCATCATATAACTCCTGCCCAAACACTTCAACGCGTGCAACCTCATACCATCTTCAGCCCAACTCATCAAACACCTTTGATAGCCATCGACTGCCCTCCTCGTCCGCCAAAACAACACCCAATCATCATGGACCAATGCCTTCAACACAGCATCCACTTTGCGATCTCTGATTCCATATCCTTTCCTCAAGCGATACGCGTCTACGAATTCACCTTGCCTACACGCAAGATCTAAGATCAGATAACTTGCAAACTCTTGCAACTCAGGTCGCGATAATGGTGTCCGTGGATGGATCTTGTAGAGCAGATACTGCAATGCGGGATGATAGGTCTCTAGATGTTTGCAGAGGATGGCGGCGCGGATCTGGAAGGTGTAGACTCTTTGGGCGAATGCATCAACACGATGGCAGGATACGAGTGCTTCGCGAAGCTTTCGCATGGCCATGAGGATGAGGGCCATCTCTTGTGGGGGCTCTTGTGTGGCGGGAGGTTTTGCTATACTGGGCGGTGCTGATGTGGGAGTCGTGATAGAAGAGTTGATGTCGAGGTTGTGGAAGGCGGCTTCGAGGGTTTCGCCGCTGGGATGGGAAGCGCAGAATTTCATGTAGCGGGCGACGATGCGTTCGAAGTATGTCTCTTGTGTCTTGAGATCTGCCAATCTTGTNGTGCGTCTGTTAGTTCGAACAGTCGTGGAGTGATGCAGAGATCAAGTATACCTCGTCTCGCCTTTTGAAGGCAGACCATAGACTTCGAGAGGATCGATTTGTGGTTGGCGGAGTCGACCCCATGCGCCCGAAGGCCCTCGACGGGCTGGCGGCCGTGTATTCGAAGACGACATTTCTGGTATTGAGTTGGTGTTGTCGCAATGGAGGGGTTGCTTGGTTGTTTACGCTGACGTAGGTCGCAACTGCCCCAAAGAGGCAAGTCTTGCGAGGCCTTCCTTCCTCATCCAAAAGGCCATGAATCAGTCCACTATCGCTGCCTAGATATCCGTTGAGCTTTCTGCATCCAGCAGTTGAGCAATCTCTACTTTCTACTTTCCAGCATGCAGCGCTGAGACCAGTTTGTCTTTCTGTTGAGAATATCCAACCATATCTCGACATCAACCTACGAACCGCTTCACAACATCTTCGATACACTCAAGTAGCTATCCAGAATATAGCGGCTTACGCAAGATGAACCACCGAAAACCTTCTCGTCTCACTTCCATCCAGGAGCAGAACGAGATACAAGACGACATCGTCACGAAAGTCGAGAAGAAGGTTTCTCATGCCTTAACGGTCCTCTGGTCAGATCTACCATCATGGCAACAAGATAATCACTACATCCAGTCTGGCTACCGGCCTGCAAGCAACTCTTTCTACCGTTCCTTCTCTTCTCTGTCGTATATCCACAACGAGACTGTGAACATTTACACTCATCTCCTGGGAGCCATCGCCTCTTTGATCTGCTCCATCTACCTGCATTCTCTCATCAAGCCGAGATTTGACAGAGCGAGCACAGAAGATGTTATTGTTTTCGGTTGCTTCTTCGGGGGTGCGATTGCTTGCCTAGGCATGAGTGCTACTTATCATACCATTTCCAATCACTCTCCTAAGGTCAACAAGATTGGCAACCAACTGGATTATGTCGGCATCGTATGCTTGATCTGGGGCAGTTTCATCCCGAGCATCTTCTACGGCTTCGCTAGAGAACCCGAATACATTGCTATATATTGGTCCATGGTAAGTATGTCACATATATCACCATCCTATAGTCACTAATCATCGCAGATTACCCTGATTGGCATTGGCTGTGCGATTGTGTCCATTATGCCCAGCTTCAGAACACCAAAGTGGCGTCCATTCCGTGCTGGCATGTTTGTCGCCATGGGTGCAAGTGCCGTTATTCCAGTGCTGCACGGCATCTTGCTGTTCGGGGTCACCCAACTCGAGCGACAGATTGGACTGTCCTGGCTAGTGTTACAAGGTGTCTTATATATCTCCGGTGCTGCAATCTATGCCGTAAGTCAATCAATTGGCGTGATGCTTCTGAATTCCACTGATTGCTAGCATAGGNCTCGATTCCCAGAACGTATAAAACCTGGCTCTTTTGACATCTGGGGCAGCTCTCATCAAATCTTTCATGTCTTGGTCTTACTTGCTGCAGCATCTCATTTTGTTGGTCTTGTCAAGGCATTCGACTATGAGCACAGTGCGAGAGCTCAGGCTGATAACATAGCATACGGCTTTAGTCATGTCTTCAAGAAGAATTAGGCGTTTCTCCTTCGAAATTTGGAAGATCAAAATTATCGTATACGTTGTACAGCACTTACGCACCTTACCCATAACACCCACGAAGACAACATGTGCCGTACGATTGAGCTTTCGAGATCTACTAGAATCTGGATCTTACAGAAGCAAGTAGATCATGATTGATGGCAGTGAGAACATATTCGACCGAAAAGCCGACAACCTTGATGGTCACTCATACCACTTCCTCAGTTGATCTCATTCGTGAAGCTCCATACCCGGCTACCCCACATGACTGGATAGCCGGCACTCGGTATAGAATCGTGTCGACAGTCAAGAGAAGCGATGGTATTGGCGGAAAAACCAAGCTCATGCACAAGAAGCGCCGATCTTGGATGTGTTCCTTCCACCTCCGCATCCTGCATGCATGTCTTGACCAGTCACCCCGCAACGACCACCCATGTTTACAAGCAATATTGTCTAGCGACGTCAGCATCATTGGGGTTACAGAGGATCTCAACTCTTCTCTATCACCTATTGTCCGCCTTGGCTGTCAATCCTGCATAGCCAAGATGGAGAAATATTGCTTGAACCTCTACCTTGCTCAGGTGAGAGCTAGGACAGACAGACTATTTAATCTGCATCAGGCCGCTCAATCATAAAGACAACCTACCTCTCTCTTTACACCAGACCGTCGACATGAAATTCTTCTCTTGTCTTCTGCTCGCAGCTACGGCCATTGCATCTGCTGTAGCCTTTGACATTCCGGATGGTGCATCCATTACTCAGCCCTGGAGACACAAAGGACGACCATACTTTGGCTGGAATAGAAAAGACCGATGGGGCAACAGTGTAGAGGATGATCGTCGCAAGATCACGATTCGCGCGTCCGAAGATGACACCGACGATATCTCAGCAGATTTCCTTTGGGCTCTGGAACAAGCACAAGATGGAGGACTTGTACATCTTGAAGAAGGCAAAACATACATAATCGGCAAGAAGATTGATCTTCCAGTACTCAATGATGTTTACATCAAGCTTGATGGTACTCTGAAGGTGAGCAACGAGGACAAATCGCTGGATCATTTGTCTGACATGATCATTACAGNNTTCACCGACGACGTCGAATACTGGCAGAACAACTACTTCTACTATCCCTTCCAAAAGAGTATTACCTTTATGGTTTGGAGTGGAAAGAACATCAAGATCTACGGCAAAGGAACGATGGATGGAAACGGGCAAGCATGGTACAATGGCTTTGCTGGCCGCGAAATCCTGGTTAGTCATCAAACTGTGACCAACTAAGACTCTGTAACTGACCTTAATCAGGATGCTAGCAACACTTACTATCGCCCCATTCTCTTCTTGACCGACAACGCTACTAATGTGGATGTCGAAGGTATCACTTTCTTGAACAGCCCGTGCTGGACGACTTTCCTGGTCCGCACCAAGGATGTCTCGTTCGACAATGTATACATCGAAGCATTCAGCAACAATGCATCTGTAAGTTCTCTCTCACCATATATCGGCAGGATACTCACTATCGCCAGGNCTCTCCCCAAGAACACTGATGGCTTCGATTCGCTTAACGTTGATGGTCTGACTGTAACCAACACTCGTGTCAATGTCGGCGATGACTGCTTCTCGCCCAAGCCAAATACCACCAACATCTACGTTGAAAATCTCTGGTGCAATGGCACACACGGCGTATCTATGGGCTCGATCGGCCAATACCCTGGTGTCAAGGATTACATCTCCAACGCCTACATGAAGAACATTACTTTGCTCAATGGCCAGAACGGAGCTAGACTGAAGTGAGTCCTATGGATACTTATCATTGGGGCACATAAACATGCTTACAGAATCAATAGGGCATGGGCCGGACCAGAAGTAGGCTACGGATACATCGACAACATCACCTACGAAAACGTGCACATCGAAAACACAGATGCACCAATCGTCCTTGATCAATGTTACTTCAACATCAACGAAACAACCTGCGCTGCCTACCCTTCCAAAGTCAATATCACCAATATCAAGTTCATCAACTTTACGGGCTCGTCCTCTGGAAAAGATAATAGAGTGGTTGCAGACTTGACTTGCAGTCCTGGCGCTACTTGCAATGGTATCGAGATGCAGGGGATTCAGTTGACTAGTCCCAATGGCACGGCGGAGATTGTGTGCAATAACATTGAGGGCGATATTGGCGTGCCTTGTATCTCAGAAGCAGATGCTGATAGTTAGTCATGAGATCTGATGATAATCCCCATAGCTTCCATGATCAGCTCCAACTAGGTCCACAGAAGTGGGCGGCGACTTTCTCTGGCGCCAGAAGTAATGCGGCTCGCTCTCTAAAGTTCTGCACTATTGTAAAGCGCATCTTTGAGAATTATTTGCGCAGACTTTCACGATTGGTCTTGCCGAGCAGGCTAGCAATCAACCACGACTGCCTAGAACACAAGCCAAAGAGATGCAAATGCCAGCCCTTCTTCTTTTGAGTACCACTCCGCCTCATCCGACTACACCAGTACACCGATGCAAGGCTCAAGCAATCTGCCAACATGGCGATCGAAGGATCAAAAGACATCAGCAGACTCTCGTTTCCCTTACGCAATTTATTTCCGAGCTCCAGTCCCGCTCTGCTACTCGAGGACTGACATCTCCTGACCTCATCGACATTCCAATACCCTCGTCTGACGAAACAGGTGGAGTGAAACAAGGAATTTGATTCCGAGGTTGGAAGGGATGTACATTGGGTATTGCTCTGGCAGATGAGGAACACTCCAACAGCGAGAGTGATTATGAGTAAGTCATCATGCTCTTCTCTCGGACGTGTTGTCTGAGGTGAGATCCTACATGAGCCTTTTGACATTTTGGAATGCGGAAGAGATTGATGTGGATGTATTTGTAAAACGATTGCATTATTACTCATGATGAACTCATCTAATCAGGGAGTTGATCGAGGATCAGGTGGTTGTCAAAGCAAGTACCTCAAAAGCACAGAAAGTGCCAAAGACAAAAAAGAGAGTCGACAAAAGAAAATGAAAACCCCAGCATCCATTGTCCACCCCTCGGTCTCCCTTCACCAATCTCCAACTTCATTCGCTCCTCCAAAAACCAGAGCTTTATCCTCCTGAACATCCTGAACTGTGGACTCGTTGTGTCAATGCTCGAACCACCCACAAAGGTCAGCAATCGGAGCTTCAGGATCCAAATGTTGAAGTAGGAGGTTGAAAGTCCCGAAACAATTGCCATGTGAGTAGACTCCTTCCGTATCAGCGTTGTGGTATGTCATGAATCCAAGGATCGCCTCATGCATCCCAAGTCTACATGCCCAAAACCCAGTAGCCCAACTCTTCTGGCCTCTTGCCTGGGCGCAAAGTTGCCGGCAGTGGCACAACCTTGACAGCGAAGACTCCCTGTTTCTGGTGACAAATGCGTCTGATTCTGACACAAGATCCGCATGCACCGTCACGATCACTAGGCACTGTCGCTTCTGGAAAGTATACTTTTGCTGTACACAGATGTTGCCTGATGCGCGACCAATCACTGCCAGCGCGAAATGCCACCATTCGATTCTGAACAGCGAGACGCTGGTAAGGGAGAACTGGGTGTGGAGGTAGGCAACAACGACTGGTGGGAGATCACGTCCATTGTTCGTCCACCTAAGGACGTCGTTCATACTCCTCTGGATCTGGGGTGCTGCAATCCGTGCCTCTTGTGCTCCATCATGATTGAACCTTGCGTCTCTGCTCGACGTCGTGTGAGTTGGAAGTGCGGGGCGTGTTCCATGTGGTATAGATGGTGCAAATGTCGGAGGGTTGTTTCGAGAACCTAGAGTCGTGGGTGTTAAGCTTCGTGTCCGCGTTAAAAGAGATGTTTCCATGGATTCAAGCCTTTGTTCCTGACGCTCGATGGTTTCGCTCTGCTCCTCAATCTCGGCGAGGAGATCTTCAATGGTTGTGCTCTGTTCCTCAGACTCGAAGAAAAGTCTGACAATCTCATTGTCTCGATTGCGTAGATTTTGACGCAGTATTACATTCTCGAGGGTTCTCTGTACGGCGACATAGGCACCGCTTTCCAACTCTTGAATTCTCTGTCGTTGGGATTGGATATATCTGCCCCGTTGGTCACAAAGGGTTTGCAGACCGGAGTTGTTGCCATTGTCTGAGAGGAGAAGGGCGATTCGGATCTCTGCCTCGCGCAAGTCTTGCCTTAGCCTCTCGTTCTCGGCTTGTAGTTGGGTATCCATGGTGGGTGCGCGGTGGGGATGAGGAAGGCAAAGGCTGGAAGGATGAGCGAGGTGGTCTAATAGTGACTGAAACCACACTTCCAAAGTGATCATGACCCTCGACGGACGAGTGAGTGGTCACTGATGTTTGTCGTCATTTTCCGTGATGACGGACAATTCGTGTTTGCTCACTCGCATCTAGTAGTGAATGACATATAAATACCTAATCCTTCCACCGCAACCCAAACTCTTGTCTTGCAATCTCAACACTTATAACACATCCATCCTCTCAACACAAGAATCATGTCTTCCCAACACGATGAGGCCAGTATTCCAGGCCTGCACGCTCAGATCCTTGGTAAGTGAGCAGATGAAGGTAGAAGAGACACAGCCACAATACTGACATGCCCAGCCAACATGCGCATCACCCATCCTCACGTCGCTCACCCCATCATCACAACCTCTATCTCCGAAAAACTGTGGAGCGCAATAGTCTTTGACAAAACCGGTGCACTCATCCAGCACTTCGTAGGACGTGAGAAGACTGCTGTCGACGCTCTTCGTGTCCTGCTTGAAGTCACTTCAGAGAAAATCGACGACAAGTACGAGGAGATGCTTGCAAACGGCGAGGATGCTTGTTAGTTCTTGTTGTAAGTCAACATGAAGCGTTCGTAGTGGAGACTTGCAGACCGAATCCTGCCAGTTCTCAGCATGCCAAACTCAACATCCTCGACGAGTTCTTACTAAAGCTGTTTCCCAAGACACTCGCCAGGCTCTCGAATACCCATGGCAGACGATTTTGGGCGGAAGTTGGGTTTCGGGGCACAGACAGTAGATGCAGACAAACAATCCAAAGATCACTCACTGTTGAATCTCCTTAATTGAGAATCGGACTTCACCTTCTAAAGCATTCCATGGTTTACCTCTGCCACTGAACATAAGTAGTGACGCTTGATCGATCGGTCATCGTGGGCAATCTCTCATCAGTTTTCATCCTCTTGACATCCATCACTATCGCCTGCAATAATGGGTTTGTTGATATGGTTGTTGGCATCAGTGACTCATTCCGTGGATCGATGCGGCTTCAGGAGGCAGCACCACATTATATGTTTGCCCCTGGTTGGACCCTGCCTGACTTCAACTCAACCACTGCTCTCAAGTCGTTCTTTTTTTCTCTGCGCACTCAGGTACTCTTTCTTTCCTGCGCACTCAATCAGTCTAGTTGAGTTGCATCGACACATTAAACAGGTAGAGAGAGAGGTGACTTGTTTGCCGTGCCTACAAAACAACCCAAAACTTCCACACACCCAATCGGATGCAACGCCAACACCAGCCTCGCCTCAAAAAATATGCACACAAGAAAAAGAAGAAAAGAAATTCCTATACAGAGAAAGAGAAAATCCTATACAAGGCTCTATCACGCAACCAACTTCTCAGCAGCCTGTCTTAATATCCTAGCCGCACGAAGTACTTGCCCCTGCGCGTCCAGCCATTTCCCATCATTTACAGCGTCTTGCACAGCAGGAAAGTAAGCAGCCGCATACCCATCCCAAAGCTGCGGGCCAAAAATGACGTGTTTGTATTGTGTCCTACCCGGAACCTATTTCACTTGACATCAGCACATTGCCCCTGATAACTCAATACAGAGAGGAAAGAAGAAGATACTTACACCATAAGGACCCGTCTCTCCAGTCGTCGGCAGATCCAAAAGATCACTCTCGAATTTCGCGACTCGTGTGTTGTGCTCGATGCGCTTCAAGGCATATGCATTGGTTTCGAAACCGCCACTGCCGGCAAGCACTTTATTCGCCCACACATTGTCGAACTCATGAAACTCCTTCGCTTTGGCCACAAACACTTCCACCGCCTGTCTCAAAGGTTGAACACTGAAAGGAGTAGTGTTGATATCGACATTGAGTTTTGAAGCAGTCTTNTTGGCTTCGTTTTCGAGTTCGTCGATGATGGGTGTCATGGCTGCGGCATAGTCGTTAAGGTCGAAGGGGATGATCGGTCGATCTGCGATTTCCAGAATCAGGAGTGCCCATACCGTGGCAAGTGTTTTGTGATATTGAAACTCTGGGTCTCCGTATTTGGTCATCCATTCGAACGTCTCGTAGCAAGAGTGGTACGGGTACCCATTCTCTTCACCTTCGAAGCCGAAATCGAGCGAAGACATGCCTGCCATGTATTGGAAAGGTACATAGTCAGATCCCGCACCCAAGGCTTCAATCTGTTGGTTCTGCTCGTCGTATAGTTGGCGCAGAGTAACATTCTTGTATGGATCGGCAACTCTGTCAAGGACGTGCATCAAGGCCTTCTTGTACAGTGGTGATCCAGCAACTCTAAAGTTCGGGCCTGAAACTCCTACATCGACATTGAGGTATCCAACACCGTGTTGACGCAGATAATCTATGTGGTCTTCGACATACTCGGTAGAACCAACAAAGTTATACTCTTCAGCATCCCAAGAGACAAACTCGATAGAGCGGAGTGGTCGCCAGCCGAGTTTGATGAGGTCGCCAAAGATGGTGACGACTTCCATGAGAACGGCTTGGGAACTTCCAGAGTCGACACTACCAAAACACCAGGCATCACGGTGAGAACCAACAACCAGTTTATTGCCAGGGGTCTCCATGCCTTGAACCAGACCATGCACGTTCCAGATCCGTTGTTTGGCAGTATGGAAATTGTTGTTGACGAGACGAACTTCTGGAGAGTTTTTGTCGCCAGTCCACCATTCAACATCGGGCACACCGCCTTCCCAGTCGCTAGAAGGCACCTTTTGACCATGTCCTCTAAGTGCTTGTAGCAGGTGCTGAGCGTCTCGCCAAGCCAATGGAAGACTGGGTATATAAGGTAGTCCATAGATGTCTTCGTTGATGTCCTGATGTTTGGTATCCTCATGCGAGGGCTGACCAGGTGTGAGAGGATCTCCAACAACCAGACTGGAAAGAGCAACAGATCCACGTTGTACAGAGTCGCGCGGTCTCCAGGGGCCATCAGGCATGACAGGGCCTTTCAAGAAACCATCTTCCTTAGGATCCGAGTAGATGAGACAGCCAGCAGCTCCAGCCATTTCAGCAGCTTTGACCTTCATTCCGCGGTCAGCCTCTGTGTGGTAATATCGTACCAAGACAATAGCTCCCTTCAGATCCACGCCCATATCTTTCAGACGCTGGAAATCCTCACGCGAGCCTCCATTGGCATATACAAGGTGACCAGTGACATTTCCATTTTTGGAATAACCATGCCAATTGAGAGTCTGTTGTTTCTCCCTCCCTGAATCTTTGAATACCGACTCTTCCTCAAGCAAAGCAGTCCATCTTCTGTCTGGTGGAGATATGATTTCGACATTGCGACCATCGGGTTCTGGATAATTCATGTAGACAAAGTATTCGTGCATTTTGACGTCATCCAAATGTTGAGCGCGCCAGTTATCCTGAACCCATTCGGCTAGGNNGAAGAAGTCGCCCTCTGTACCGGCGACGTGATCGTATGAGGTAATATACTCGAGGTATTCGGCAATGCGATTGGGTGATAATGAAGCCTGCTCTTGTACTCTGGCACGCACACTCTCGGGATCGTAATGTTGAGCCATATGACCAGCATTGGGTATAACATCGAGGGCGAAGAGGATGTATATCAGGGCAGCGATTGTGAAGAGACCAAACAGGCGAGCAATAACTGGTAAACTAAGGCGAAACTCTTCGGGTATCGTGGGAAGGCGCTGGCGTAGCGACGAGAATTTGGGCATCGAGAAGCGGCGGAACGAGGGTAGGTTGCTCCAAGTATGTGATAGCTTGCCGAACAATTGACCTCGCCGCCGGCTTGTTGCTGATTCGGGCTCGAGTATTTCCATCTCTTCCATGTCTCGCCGTACCGCGGCTTCTTCGTCATCGCTTTCGCCATTCACCTCTGGAAGGTACAAATCACTGTCTTCGCTCGGTCGTGGTGACTCAGCGGTAGGTGGTCGGTATGCGCCATTGCGGGCTGATTGACCAGGCTGTCTCCCTAATAGACCTTGTCGTTCTGTTTCGTCGCTTGTCTCGTTGACGGTATTCGAAGATGAAGGCCGCGACGATGTAGCCTCTTCGTATGAAGGAATAGGCAGATGTGCATATTTCTTGTATGGGTCTTCGCCGCTCATGGCGTCGGCGACTCGGGGGACAAGTTGGACTCAGGGCGTGTTTGCCTGTGGCGGAGGTTCAAAGGAGCGTGTGCAGGCTGCTTGTCAAAGTCGTGGATTGTTATGATATCATTCTGTTTATTTCGGTTTGATCCATTCAGCCTGGTCCCTTGGTCGTATTGTGCTGGCAGGTGAGCATTGGACAGTTGGTTTGTTCAATGTCTTAGCACCTCATCCACTTATCGGCCTTGGGGCCAAGATGGGGAAGGGGTGCGTCAGCTTCCGTTGCTTCCACAATTCCTGCTCCACTTCAACGTATCATCCTTCGTATTTACCCGTATTCAATTTATTGACTATCTCACTTCTTGCTAACAATCCCACTTGCACAGACAACCACTTTGCTCAACACCTTAACCCCCAATCCAAGCAGCCATACTATAGCCTCAAACGAAAATCCAAGCAAGAACAATATCCCTCGAGTCACGCTCGGAAGCTTCTCCTCATCTGCCGCTCCTTTCTTGCCATCCTTCCTGCTTCGTCGCCAGCTGCTTTTCTTGGTCCTTTTCTGGACTTCCTTCTTCAAACTTGTTGCTAGTGGCGGTGCTGCGAATGTCTCTGCCTTTGTCTTCATCTCAGTCATTGTGCTTTCGGCAAANGCGGCAGCCAAAACTGCACAAATCGCGCTGTCGATCATGTACTTGCTCTGTAGCCTTCTGAATGAGGCCACATCAACTTCCAACGTCTCTGTACTCAAGTCGAGACAGACGAGCTTCGGAGACTTTGCAAGTGGTTTGTCGGCATTAACCGGCTGATGCAAAGTGATTTTTGCATTGCTCTTCTTTGTAAAGTCGAATGGACCATCAACCGAGATTGCGAAAGTCCCAGCACATGGATGTCGCAGCTCGTAACTATACTGTTCGACACCATATGCGCTGACGCCTAGAGGGATCCGGACGAGTTGACACGACTCATGCGCCTTGGCTTCTGCTACTGCATCGAATGCCAGTTGTGCAGCTTGCGGCGACGATGCTCGAGGATCGTATTGTGCAATAGCATTGGCTCTATGTGTCGTAGCCGCCGCCTCCAATGCATTGAGTGCCGCTTGCTGAGGGAAGATGGTCGTTTCGCGCTTCGCATCCTTTTGTAAAGCTGCCACATCCAACTGAGCAACAGGCACAATGACAGTTCTCGCAGGATGATGCCGGCGAACTGTAAGCTCACTCGAAGCATCCGACGGAGAGACAGAATAGAGCGTACGGCCCTCTCGTGACCCAAATCGTACTTCGGTCGCTGTTGAACCAACACCAATCTCATCTCGGTGCATCGTCAACTTGATCTTCTCCGAGTGAAAGACTCCATTCTGACCATTAGCAGCATTCCATAAAGCTTGCAGTTGCGAGAGACCTGCAGCTGGCGTCGGAGAAGTAGGTGATGGCATATCTGCAAGAGTCTGATGATGGTATCTTGCGTTGCGCTCGAGGCTTGGTCGAGGCAGATTCTCAGTCGGGTAGTATCGCTGTTGTGATAGTGGTAGATTCGGGTCATATTCTGGATACATCGACTTGATAGGAGGCGATACGACTTTCGGTTGAGCTGAGGAACCACTGTTGGACCGCACCAGCGTTGGTCCTGAAAAGTCGGAACGTGTGTCGCTGGAGGTAGTGTCGATTGAGATCTTACGAATAGCAACAGCTGGCCTTTTTCTGGTGCTTGCAGCTGCCTCTGAAGGTGGAGAAGAGCTCAACATGCTGCTCTCGGGAGACCGAGTCGATACAGGACTCGAAAANGAAGGTCTTGCATCCGACGCAGGCGATCGAACAGACGTGGGTTTGGACACTTGAGGAGTAACCTGCAAAGCAAGTCCTCGAAGTTTGCCTGAAGGATACGATTTCGAGCTGAGTACAGGCGAGGGAGTATTACGTCTCATGTGAACATCTTCAGCCTGTCTCAGACAAGACTTTGGAGGAATCGAACAAACAGGCGAGGGAAAGAGTGACAAAGTTTCGGAAGCCATGGTTTGTTAAAAAGTTATTGTAGACCTGCTACAATCAAGAGATTCAAGAAACAAATGATACAGACAGTTCTGAATGTTTGTGGGACCTACCTCTCGCAACTTATAGTTGCTTGCCAGCAAGACGGTCATGAGGTTGTAGCCGCTGGCAAATCGATAGCGTCTGCATGGTTGCAGAAATACATATTTATGGAAAAATCATATGCGATGTACTACTGTCCATCATCTCAGACAGTCGATTATTGGATGATTGAAACAAATTCAAGTGCAGTGCGTTGCCATTTTCGGTCTGTCGAATAAGCGCCCTGCTCAGAAGTCGCGTGGAAGCGCTGGTGATGAGATTCGTGTGGGCGCGTACACAATATCTTGAGACGTGATGCAGAAGCGAACATTCCAGTAACTAGCGGTTGCTCAAATTAGCTGCCGGTCTGCTTCAGATCCACTATGTGAGCAGGTGTGTTTGCGCAACAAGTCAAGGTTGGTCCTGATGGAAGAGCGAGGCTGAGGTAGAAATCTTGGCGTTTTCTGTGCGACTCGACGCGGGCAGCGCCTTCTTCCTTCTTCCAAAACACCCAATGATAACAATTTATCATGTGATAGGTTATGATAGCACGGGCAATTGGCGCTCCCGCAGGAGGCTTCAGATCGAGCATCGCTCAAAGCACTGACCAGACATCAGGCAGCAGAAACCTGAAACACCACATGTATGTTTCTAATCGTCGTCAAGCTGTTGTTCTTTCAATTTCTCTGTCACCAACATGGCTTCGAACTTGCCTCTGGAGATCTGGCATCTCATACTCTGTCAAGTCAGAGAACAGCATGGTCCAAAAGCTCTTCTTGTGCCCACGCTGGTCTGTCGAAACTGGAAGGGCATCGGCTGTCGGATCCTTTATGCACATGTTGTGCTCACGAACAACAACCTTGCACGCTTCATTGATAGTGCAGTCAACAGTCCCGAGCACTTGACCGCGATCAAGTCGTTGACGCTCAGAATTGAGGCAGTCACCCTTGCCAAATGGGAAGACGACGAAGAACTTCGGGAGTCTTACAGAAGAGATGGCCTCGAAGAGACGAGAGCATTGTGGCACCAGCTCAGACGATGTGCCGAGATGATTCTGCCACGCACAGTGAATCTTAACACTTTCTCACTGTTTGTCACCATGCCAAAGGTAGACCGCCGAAGGCNNCCTCGCCGTGACTACGTTGGCTTCAGAATTGACAACGAAGTGCTTGGTCAATTGTTGCGAGCACTTCCGACAAGCTGTATGAATCTTGAACTCGACACCGATATGTCGAATTGGTCCCCCGAAGAAAAACCGCATCACGTCTGCTCAGATCTCTGGCATGTGCTTCCACAAATGCGCCATGTCAAGCTCCGTATGCAGTCACTTTGCAGCAGGATGCTGTACATCAACCATGAAGATCCTGATGATCGAGCCACTCAGCCCGACTTGACTTCTCTCGGAAAGCTGGATGAGCAGTGTCTTGTGAAGGCGGATCAGCTGCGTACGCTGAGCATTTGTATCAGCTCGCGGAACGGCGCTGGACCTGTGTTTGTTGAATGTGGCTTTCTACAGGAAAATCTAGATCTGGGTGTCAAGGAGCCGTGGGGTAGCCCATCGGCTGGCGGTACAATAGCCTTAGCTGCGGATCTCGCTGCAACATACAGCGCCGGTGGTTTTCCAAAAGCCGTACAGCTTGACATATCTCAGCCATGGTTCGGAGTGCCTGGGCTGATAAAAAATCCTCGACGGAAAGAACGAGCACAAATTTACCGCAACGTTATGTTGTTACGTGATTGCATCGCGGACGAGACTCTACCACAACCTCTGAGACGCATCGATGGAGACGGCGAAATATTTGCCTTCTACGACAAGACCGATACCTGCATGATTGGGATAGCTGCCGATTTGTTACACTATGCCGAATACACAATCTGGCGTGAATCATCATATGGGGCTCGTATGCCTTATTCTAACGATTCTGTGCCTTCAGATGTTCGGTTTCAAGCCGACCCATCTTTCATGTCTAGAGAAGAGTGGCTCAAGCAATCGGACTATGTCATGATTGGTTGGAGAGACGAAGAAAATCAGGGTAGAAAGATTGCANGAGTGGTGCCGCTGCCTGGTGCAGGCGCGGGCTTCGCAGTCAATAAGATGCCTTTGTTAGAGGGTACACAGATGGGTGGTAGGATGGTTGAGTATTTCGGAGGAAATTTATAAGGAAGTCACGGGAAGTGCGCAGATGACTGATCCCTTGTATGATGTGGTTGAAGACGCGATCGAAATGACCTGCCAACCCCTGAATCCCAAACAGATGAAGTGATCCTCAAAGCAGTGCTATGTTGATACCAGTTAGTCTCATTCACATCGAACCGGTGGAATGGCGCAGTGGTCGTAGCTTGTTTCTCCCATGTAGGTAGCTGAAGTTCACCGGTTCGATTCTCAGCAATGCCAGAGATCCCAGTAATCCTCACCCGACAACGATCAAGATGAAAGAAACTTTCTCTTCTCCTCCTAGCAGTACGGCGGCTAGGTAGGGTTTCTCTTTGTCAACTCCTACATTAACACACAGAGATGTTGATTTTACAGATCCTGGCGAGTCCGCACATGGATCCAACGTTGCCATAGAGCAAAATCTATCGAATCTGTCAACAAAGGAAGAGAAAGGCACTCGATTTTCCTTGTTTAAGCCAGGACGAACAACGTGAGTTTCCATCTTGTTCTTCCTCTCTTGAGCTTGCAACTGCCGGATCCGGAAAATGTGCGCATCAAGCACGAGACTCCAGCGACCACCATTACAAGTCTTTTGCGCATACAGTGAGGGTCGAGTTCTGGATTATCACAGCTACGTAGAAACGCATTTCAGTGATGATTCGGCCAGCTGCAACATCACATCCAGCCAGGCGACTATGCCCTCCTGTCGCTGGTCCAGGGGCAATCCCATTGGGTCTCATGGTTTCGACGTACACCCTCGAAAGCCTCAACAATGAAGGCTACATCAACTATGCCGTCGAGTCAACGGTCACTGAACTCGATCTAGCCTTTGGATATGGTGCTATCATAAGACAAGCGGAAGAACAGAAGGGACAGCACCAACCCGGCGAACCGTATCATATTCATCCCTGTCTCCAACGTAGCCAATGGATAAACATGGGCAACGATGAAGACTGGGAAGCTGTCTTGCCGTCTGTCGAGCTGGCTTCACGGTTTCTGGATGATCCTGCAGTAACACCCTTCTTCGCTGGCCTAGCAGGGAACAATGTTACAAAACTGAATGATACTATCCATGAAAAGACTCACAATATGACTTTTGACCGATGGGAGTATGATAGCACGGTTGGTGAGGAGAATGATACTGCTACTTAGGATGCCTTGTTCGCAATGATGGCATTCAGGAAATGGATCGTGCTGGTGTTCGAGAAGATGTCGAACTTTCATGGTTTCACGGGATGGCGAGTGTGTCCATTGATCGAATCATCACACCATCCTTGCGTCTGATCGGTTATCTTCGTAGGGATGAAGCTAAACAGAAAATGGTCATCAGCTTGAACATCGATCATCTGCACATACTCCGCAAAGATCCAGGATACGGAGCCCGAGCACAGTCTCAGCCCTGGTCACCAGGTACTGATGAAGAAACAGCAAGGCTACGGANCGAGTTTCTTACTCGCGACACTCATATTACATGAATTCGCACATTGTGCTTGGCAGATACGCTCACTGAACAAGGGCGAAATCGCAAATCCTGAACCATTTCTACGCGATCGACCAACCAATGAGCTGGGTCATGAGTTCGAGAACATGATCTTTTCAGGCTTGATCNGGGCTAGTGGCTCAAGAGATCGGCCTGTCTCTGCACCATATGGTCTCAGGATTGGGCGTTATCCAGGTCCGGGCCTTGCAGAAATCGAAAGTGAGGAACAAGGATTGTATCCAAGGGGTCAAGCTCGAGATTGGGGAAGAGTCTGGCGCACTGAATATCCCGTTCATATGAAGTTCTGTAAGAAAATGTTTTCAAAGGACTTCTGGGATGGAGAAGTTGCTAGATATGGTCTTGCCGCTTGCCGTCCAGACAGAATAAAAGGGGTCAGAGGGTTTTTCAAGAAGGTTGTGAAAGTCGACCCACTGGCGGATGGTCTGAGTCCAAAATCATTGGCTCTGCATGAAATGGCTGTGGAACGCAGAAATTTGAAGATGGCAGCTGTTGTCAAGGCCGATGATATTGACAGAAGTGATACAGAGGATGAGGATGAGGATGGCTTCGTCATGATTGGCATGGCAAAGTGTATGAAGGCTCTCGAATCGGCAGAAGCGGATCAAGACGGTGATGTGCCCATGGCTGACGCTTCTTGAAAGAGGGTAAAATTTGGTCGGTGACGGCAGGAATTTTCGAAGGACGATTTGAATTCAGTCAGTCGATGGCTCAGGCCAGACAAAATTCTTGTATATATATATATATATATTCTGCACGCTTTGAGATCTGTCGCGTACAGTCACTCGTGTGAATTTAAACCAACATTTCTCTTGCAGCGCATTTTTGACGGATGTGATTAAAGATAGCTTTTCCGCTTTATCTTGTCTGTTTCCTGTGATGCTAGCTGCGTTGTCTGAAAAAACATCTGATCATGTTCGTGCTTGACAATTTGAGACTTCCGACCTTGAACCTTCGCGCCTTCCATCTCCGATCTCCTTCCTCTTCATTCTGTGCTTCTTCTGTAGCTACGCAGACTACGCGACTTTGTATTTTCCATCCTCGGGAGGTGACTGTTCTGAGCTGCTTCCTTGCCGTTGCAGCCTTAGCTACTTCACTGATATTGCCTCACCACGCAGAGCTTCCCATGTCCAGAGGAGTGTTGATGAGAATCATCAAGACATGTTGCCGAAAGTGGGCTCCAGACGTGCCTTGCCAGGACCAGTAGGCACCAAGCGACAAAGACCAGGCGGGATCATGCACAGGTAGTCAGGAATGCCAAAGTCGATGACTACAATCGCCTTGTTGCGTTCAAGATCAGGCATAGGGTTGAGCTCGATCTCAGGCATGGAGTGTTGGGTGCTGCCTCTTCCATCGAAGATCCACATGCCAATGGGAGCAGGCTTGAGGTTAGAGGGTATGTTGTTGACGTCAAAGGGAAGGGTGCCGTCAGCGAGGAAGCGATCGCGTTGAGCGTTGGACCAGCGGAAGTCTTGGTACATGCGAGCGTGGCCGTAGGGACCGGGCTGCGGAATGGGGAGTGTGATGCCTTCCTTCTTCTTCGCTTCCTGGTCGTTCATGGTCTTGATGACCTTCTTGCGGTACTCGGGCACGACCGGAGGAGTGCCGGCAGCCTGAAAGAGCTCAGAACCTTGACGATACAGCTCAGATCTTCAGGTAAGGACTTACGGTTGTGTTTGAGTTGTTTGCTGAAGACACAGTGAGGTAGACAAGCTGATTGAGGTATTGCTGACAGTTGAAAAGTTTCGCAAGATGAAGAGCCTGGGATCCTTGGGAGATCTCATGATATATCTCAGCTTGAAGAAGCGGTCTGGTGCTGCAGTGGTCCTGCCATTCAGAAGCATGTTTCATCTCTGCATCTAACCGCTCTGCTGCATAAAGAATAACGACGATATCTCGCGATCCATCAAGCATACTTACGGTTATATTTGATGAGCATACACGTCGCCAACTTGCTAGATTGATTCCGATTGCTCAGATCTCTAAAAGCCGACGACACTGCTGCTCAGAGCCGCTTTCAGTCAATAGTCGCAAAGGTGCGTAGGTAAAACCATAAGAGGCAGAAATTGAGCAGTCAGTACCTATAAGTTCATCATATGCAGCATGCCGGTGCGATCTGCGCTTGTGTAACGAGTTCATATCGGCCACTGCCACGATTTTGACGTGTCAAAAGATTCATTTGACAGAACAGGCACCTACACGAATTTCAGAAGTGAAGCACATGGATTATGCATTAGTTTCGTTTCAATACCTGCCTTATAGCCTCCACCGACAATCTCCAAAACAGCATCCTTAGATAACACCAGGCATACCTCTCTTGACACCCGGCTCTCCCAGACCAGGTACAACCATAGGAGCACCCTTCTCCGTAGCAGTTCTGAACACAGGGAAGAACTTTGCAATCCCGCTCTTTGGGCCATACGCCTCTTCAATCAAGTATACCGCAACACGCCACCAAGCGAGCAATGACGAAAACATCCAGAAGTATGCAGCCACTTTGATGCCAACTCCTACACCAGTTCCGTAGGCAAAGAGACAGCAGGCGATTGTGGTGCCAATGGCGAGGGCGAAGAGCAGGGTTGCGAGGATAACGTCACGGGCGGTTGCTGCGATTGCNCTAAGAAAAAGTTAGTGTCTTGATAGAAGATTTAGGGGTTCAAGAGGACTTACTCCAATCCAGGTAAAAGCGGCCAAAACCACAAACCAAGATGCCAGTTCAGGCAGATGCGCGTGAATGTCTCCAGCAGGCAAAACACCAACAGTATTCAACAAAAACATCAAACCCTCGCTCATCCAGAACGCACCCCACCTATCCTTCAATCAGCACTTTCCTCTTCTCATCTTCCGCTGGCAGAATACTCACATGGTGTTGATCACACTAACCAATGTATCTCTCGCATGAAACCCAAACAACCCAGCAATAAACTGACTCAAGCCACCCCAAAAANNAGCCACGAAGGGGAAAAAGATGGTGGGAGAGCTGTCGTTGCCCCACCAGCCAGCGATCCAAGATGCAGTTATCCATGTACTGCCTGCGAAACCTGCTAAGCCTAGAGCTGCGGGTGGTGCGATTGGTCTGAGCATGATGCGGACTTCGGGCTCGCGGCTGATGAACGATTCCACTTTCGCGACATCGTGGGAATTGAGAGCCATGGCTGGGTGATCTGTGTCGGAGGGTCGTTTTTGCTTGCGGTGTATCCAAGGAAGTCTGGGAACTGTTCAAAATGCTAGGAAAAGAGAAAGAAAAGAGGTCAGGAACTGACAGAGGGAACGGCACTCTAGTCTACCTATCTCGAGTCACGGCAACACGGCGGCCTTGAAACTCATCATTCTTCTTTTCCCACCCATCGAGCATCATCATCTTCAATCGCCCGGGTTGCTTGCCTTTCTTTGCCGTGTGACCTGCGCGGACCTCCACGAAAATCTGGGGGATGTGTTGATGGTTTTGCCTGATGGGGAAGTCGCGAAGGTCGATCTCTGGGGCTCTGTGACCTCAGATCGATGTCATTGATATCGATTATTTCCACGACGTCGATTGCTTATCTTTCGTGCACCTTGACGATAAATGACTTGGATTGCTGAGGAAATTCTTACTACAAATAACGTCCTGAATGTCCTATGGTAGGATTGCGACTGGTGCACGGCGTGAATTCGAGGCTAAGTACGTCCTCAACCATTGAATACAAGTACCTACTAAGGAACAACAATTGTAAGCTAGCTCATGATCACAAAACTGTTGGCTTCTGTAGCTGTTGGAGGTTCACGCCGGACAACACCTTTGTGGTCCTCTTCCCCTTCCTTGCTGTCCACACTGGAAGTCGGAGAGGGTGCTTGACCTAGAACAGCCTCACCAGGTGCCAATGCAGCATGCTTGCTATCGACGTAGGTCCTGTAACCCAACTTCCTCTTCCTTCTCAATCTTTTGACTCCATATCTTTGAACCTCATCCCACATCTCGTTAGTGAACATCTTACGGATATGTTTCATCTCGATAGGATATGCAGTCTGCCATTCATAGCCCCATTTTCTTGGATTACCACGGTCGATAACTGAAGGATAAAAATTCCAGGTGCCAGGAAAGGGCACAGTTGTCAGACCATAAGGCATGATGGCACCATGAGGAAAACCCAACATGTGGATATTGCCGCCAAAAACATGGGTCTCCCAGCACGCGCCCAGCTCATTCATGCGACCGTCTCGGTAAAATGGTTCTCTAGGGTTCACCCATTTCGAAGGTTTGGAAGCATAGTGCTGCAAATACGAAGGGTTGGACGTGAGCCACAGCGCATGCATGACTTCGTGAACAAGAGTCACAGCAAATGCGAATTGCGATCGCAAGACAGCGGACTCGTCGTGAGTACCAGGACTCCATGGCTTTGAATAGTCGCTCGCCTTGAGCTTGCCTCCGAACACGCCCAAGTATTGGTTACCCAGGGTTATTTTGGCAGAGTAGGCACTAGAGCGTGTCAGAAATATTCTTGTGAAGCATCGCTAGCTAATAACTTACCCAATCGCAATCATAGAGCCTCCTTCGTCACCACCTCCACACATTGCCATGCATCCATACGGTAAGGCGGGTGAAAAATGGAATGTGATACATTCTCTCAGAGTCCACAGAGTGTGCCAAATCTCTTCCGAGGTCCAGTCTCGCAGGGGCTCGTTTGAGAACGAGTACAATGGCTGCTCTGCCTTATTCTCCGCTTCATGATCGTTGATAGGCGTCAATGGTTTCTTCAAAGCTCCTTTGATATAAGTCAGGATCTGAGGTTCATCCAGTAATCTACTAGCCAACTTCAGAGAAGGAATCATGAGGTCGTAGTCTTCCTTTGAGACGTTGATCCACTTTCGCGGGAGAAAGATGGGATGTATCGGAGAGACGATGGGATCCCAACCACGCAAATGCCGAATGTAAGCACCAGTTACATGTTCCTGTGCTTTTTCNTCAAAGTCGGGATTGATTGGAAAGTCGGAATCTGGTAGATTGATGTAGCCCTTCTGGTTGAGTTCAGCGAGGTCGATGACCTTGAGAGTCTCGTCGAAGCCGACCCTGGAATCGAAGATACTAGCGATCAGTTGTCCCAGAGCTTTTAACATGTTGCAAACTCTTCATAGGGGGAGGTCCAACAAGTCTGGAGATGATTGTTCTGCCTAAGTTAAGTAATGACTTTTGTTCAGGTCAGACGTAGCGTGCCGAATCCGGCGAGGACAAAGCCATTTTCGTGAGGTCGCAGGACAAAAAGATCAGATTATACCTGACACAGATAAAGAAAGCATTCTTGAGAACTCGATCCACCTACCATTCATCAATGCTGTCTCAGAATAAAAAGCTCGTCGCAATGTTGACCAGACGAGAGGCAATGTCGCGACCATACACGGCGTATCAGCCACTGGAGACTCGAGGGCAGCGAGGATGCATGGTCGTCCCATGTCGTTCATATCAAGAGCTATAATATGGCAGCAGGGCGACAGTTCAATCCACATGTCAAATTAATTGCGTGAACGGTGAGAAGTTAGAAGGCAGGTATTCAGGGATGGAGATGTGGAAGGTGGAGTGTTATCTCCGGCTAAACGCCGCAAGTCGTACAGAAAGCCAGTCCTCAGGACAAACAGAGTGGACACCATATGCACGGAATTGGGCAGTCAAGGTAGTGTAATAAATGAATTGTGTCCATGAATGATGAATGATGATGCGCTTATGCTCTGTTGTTCCTCTTTTCCTTCTTCGAACTCCATCCCCATAACGCCCTGTTGTATGCAACTCTTGTTCCATCGATACCGTAGTGTTTCAGATCCGCCTTCGATTCTGGATCGTATCTGGGACCTAGCTCTTCATAGTCCCACTCCCAGTCTGAGTCTGAGTCCAAATCCTACTTGCAGTACTTTGCGACAAAGTCCTTTGCGTTCTTCTTGAAGGTCTCTGGGTGATTCTTGTACTCGTCGGCAATTCTACTTTCGACGGCATCATCAGGTTGAGGGGCAGAGAGGATTTGGCGGACGAGGATCAGAACGTCGCGAATCTTGTTTGGTGGCTTCCACTGGTCGGAGCGAAGCATGCCGAGGCACATGCTGCCCTTGTCGTCGTTGCTGACGTTGGGGTGGTAGATTTTGGTCTTGAACGAGACGGTGGGTGGTTTGAAGGGGTATTCCTTGGGCAGGGAGACTTCGATCTTGAACTTGCCGTTCNNTGTGAACAGGTCAGAATTGTGAGACATTGGAGTAGAGATCGTGGGGTTACACACGGCGTAGACAGAATCCTCAGGGCCCTGCATGATGACTTCCCAGAGAAAGACATTGCCCTCCTCGGCCAGCTGCACCTGAGTGCCCGGCACAGGGTTGTTCGACACTTGGCCGAGTTCCTGGAAGCAGCGTTAGTTGTGATCGAGTGCGCAAAGATCGGTCTATCATACGGTAACGATTCTCTTGTTGGCCATGATGAATGAGATGTGATGTATTGTGAAGAGAAGAGAAAGCAGAAGGCAGGCGGCCAAGGAAAGAAAGATCAAGGTGTTTCAGTTCTCGGCGGTGACGCGGGGCTCGAGTTGGGCCTGGATTGTGGGGCCTCAGCTCTCACACAGGAAGTCACTTTCACTCTCTCCTTCCTTCCTACTTCACTCTCGCGCCTGCATTTTTGACACACGTATCTGTGACTCTTATGACAACACTCCAGTCCCGTCTACCAGGCAACACACACGCATTGTAGATCTCTCCTCGTCAATACCTGCATGACAATGGCGGCTGCTGCCTGATAAACCACACGCGCCCAATCGGCTGCGTGCAACGTCCAGCCTCGCGCCAGGGGTGCGTGACAACCTCGATGATAAGTAGTCATTTTCACTCTCCAGTTCTCCTCTTTCTTCTTCTACGCACGCCAAAAGGTCGCCGACAATCCACCCCTCCAAGCTGCTCGCATATGTAACGCTTCTTTTCGTAAGAAAGAGATAGTGCTACTGCTTGCGAAAGCTTGTCCGAGTGCGCGCCTGTTTCCTCGATAGCTTTCTCATGCTACACGCGTCAATCTCCATTCGTTTATAAGCCTTCTCCTTTCTCTGCTCATCCTCCGGTCGTGACAATTCTCTCCAAGATGCTGAAGAGGTCTTTTGGTTACAAGGATCGTGCCGGCAAGGCTACGAAGCCTACCAAGAGATCCTTCCGTGATGATGCAAAGCTGAAGTTGATGGAGCAGCTTGCTCAGCCGTCCAGTCCGCCGAGTGCTGTGTACGTGTTTTGCTTTCCTTGAGCCCCTCTTCTGTCCCCTTGGCGTCCCTCTAGTCACGTCTGAATGGCATCTATTGACTTGTAACAAACAGTCAAGCCTNCCCCCAGGCTCAACAGTGCCATAGTCACAATTGTGGTAGGCAAGGATCAACGCCTGTTCGCCGCTCACGAAGACGTCCTGAACACCTCGCCCTTTTTCCAATCGGCGATCAAGGACGCCCTCTATACTTCAGCTTCGTCTTCATCTCGTCGCATCTTCCTACCCAACGAAGAAGCAGAGATCTTCTCCGCCGTCCTTGAGTTCATGTACAAGGGCGATTACTTCCCGCGTTTGCTGCACGATCGCAGAAGAAACACCTGGGTACTTGAATCCGTGGACGAGTGTTCTTCCCTCTCCCCTAAATTCCAGGGCAGGGGTAACGCCACCACGGTCACAACATTCAGTTCGCGGGTCAATGGCTTGATCTTGCGGGATACAGCTATCTACTGTTTGGCTGAGCGATTCGGTCTCGAAGAACTCAAAAAGCTGTCTTTGCGTAAGCAGGGATCGCAGTCAGGCATCGAGGTTGCTACCATCCTTCGCAGTGCAAGATTTGCCTACGACAACACTCCAGAGACTGATTCTCGGCTTCGTGCGCATTATCTTGCTTTGATCATTCGCAGCCGCAACACTTTCAAGCGTAGTGGAACCATGCAAGTGGAGATGGAGAGTGGTGGACGCATGTTCTTTGATCTGTTTGTCGCGATGGCAAACCACATTGATGATTTGACAGAGTTGAAGGGGCAAGTTTGAGAATTTTGCTTCTGTTGTCTCGACTTCTCCTTGAACTCTCTTCTCAGCCCGTGTTGCTAATACTTGAGGTGGTTTTGCAGCATCCGTTCTTCTCCTCGTGTCACTTGATGGACCTTTGTCATGGTATCTGGACTCCAGATTACTTTCCTAAGATTACGACATCTCGAACATCACTTTTCTGACACGACCAACTAAACCAAAGAAAACTCAACAAAAAGACATCATACCTCGATATCTCGACTCTATGCCCAGATTGAACAACACTCTCATCTTGTTTTTGCACGCAAATTGTGACACTCGGAAGTCTTTCCTTCCTGGGATGACTTTGCTTAGGTTGACGGCTACTTCTCATCTCTGCTCACAACTCGACAATAAAACACGAAAACGACAAAAATATTGGAATATGTTCTATCTTTTCAGACTCGATTGAAAGGGTTTGACTGCTTTGGCTGAGGTAATAGGTGTGGAAATTGTCAAGGAAATTGCGATATGTCTGTCTCTTCTGGAAGCAACGGAACATGCTGTTCACGCTCCCTATCGCGGAATCTCTTCTTTGTCGCCTCCGACGATGAACAAGGGGCGAAATTACTGGTTGTTGTGTGTTTGATCCACAACACTTTGCCTGTCATTTCTGATCTCCAGATTGTATCTACGCTGTCTTTGGACAGTATTATGGTATCGCAGTCTTGCATAGGATATGTAGCAGTGGTATATCAGAGCGAGCAAGACAATTGTCTTGTCCTGCCAACTTGCTTCCCGAGTCTACCAGATGTGAACACAATGTCGGCTTTCTGTGCTTTGAAGTTGAAAAGATGTATGGATCATTCACAGAGCTTTCATTTGTCTTCTATGCAACTTCAACCAACTCATCCTCTTCATCAAGCTCCTGGATCTTTGGCGGTTGCGGTGGCTCTTCGCCTTCACCTTCCTCGTCTCTTGCAATAATTTGCACCACTCTGTCGCAAGCCTCCTGCACATCGGGGCTCTCAGTGTGCAAATGCAATTCTCTGATGACCGCATACACATTCTTCTCCCTCATGAAATCTCTGCCTTCTCTTGTTGTGGTAAGCAAAAGCAGAGTTTCCAGGTGAATGATTTGGATATCGGTCTCAGGCTCGCGAGTCTTGTCCGGAGGCAGAAGCTGCAGTTCCTCAGGCATGCGATCCATGTCTTTGTCTTCATACTCCTCAGGACCCATCAAAGGCAGTAAGAGGTAAGGCAGAATGTTCAAACCACCACTGGTCTCATCTGTCTCCAACATCTTTGCATGCGCATCTGTATCGAAAGCAGCATTCTTGATCGTAGACGCCACACCCCTCCTTCTAATCGTCGACTTGTGCTCTGTAAACACAATCAATTTCGACAGCGGAACAATATTTTCATCTTCCTCGCGCGGAGTCAAGAAATGCTTTCTTCCCTCCTCGTACTTTGAGATATCCGCAAACACGTAGCACAAGTAGTCGAAATTGGCTTTGGGGTTGTAACTCCCTTCTTGACCCTTGACGAACAAATCCAATAACTGATCAATGGCGAATGGAGATGTAGACAGCGGGTTTGGGACTTCGCGCTTGACAGTTAACAGGGTTTTGAGGTGGTCGTGTTTTGTCAGGTTGGCTAGCAACATGGCCATCTCGTCTGCATTTTCCTCTTTGGCGTTTGTGATGCGCGAGTACAAGATTTCGAGAAATTGGTCGTCTTCGGCCAAAGCTTTTAGGATTTGCTCGTCTGAGGAAATGTTTACGAGGATTGTGAGGACGTTTTTGGCGATGGGAGGGTAGTCGCGCACGAGAAGCTTCATGTCTTTGATGGGTGTGAGGTCTTGGTATTTGAAGAGGGAGGGTTGAGCTGTCGAGAAGCCGACGAGGTTTTCGACCGCTAGTTGGACATGTTAGAGGTCTCTTGTTGCTGTTGTGTTGCGAATCTAGCTGGGCATACCGATCTGACGGATCTGGGTGTTTCCATGGTGGAGGAACTCGACGAGCTGTGGGAATGTCAGCGGAAGCTTCTTAGACTTGGTATTCCGTACTACGTACCTCTTCAAGTTCAGTAGGCATCTTGAATGTTCTGTGATCGAGGTGACTCGAGTGACTTGAATGCGACAACTTTTTTCGGTGCCCAATGACGAAGTCGAAAGTTCTTATCTCTTATCGACCGTATCTTGGCGCTGTTCTGTTGTCAAAGTCAGGGTGCTACTTTCAACCATAATTTCAATCGTGTCACCGATGTTTACTCGCACATGAATACTCAATGCCTGTTCAGAAGTAATTCACCATGATCCTTGAGCAGCATTTGACTTTGGAAGCAGATAACATCATCGTAACTCAATCTCTCGATGACATATGCGTGATTGTTGCAATCTGAGGGCACGAATCTTAAAGGCCCTCGAGGAACCAATGCGATCGAGTCGCTGAGCTACCATGACCATCGCTATTATCAAAAATTTGGTCTACACACTCAACTCTATAGTCAGATTCTGATCTTTGTCAGTCAGAGGACATAATAGAAACACGCATCTCGAGATGCACCACAGTAACCAGCAGTTCTGGTGGAGGACTGACAACCAGGGCATGGTTCGGTTCATTGTCGTTTACGACAATGAACGCCAAAAAGCCTCAGCTTTCACATCTTCCGTGGCGCAATTGGCTAGTGCGTTCGACTGTTATGATACTCGATGCGAAAACAGGAACAAAAAGATCCGCATCTTTATACACCCTGATCAAACAATAAAAAAAGCAAAAGAAGAGCTCTCCCGGACAGGCTTGAACTGTCAACCTCTCGATAGCCGATTTGCAGATGCAAATCTAACAGTCGAACGCGCTAGCCAATTGCGCCACGGAAGATGTGAAAGCTGAGGCTTTCTGTGGCTGTTGGTTGTGAGGACGCGCGATAGACAACAATATGTACCTAAAAATTTTCCATAAGCTGTTCAAACATGAACTTCAAGATCTAGGCGGGACTGCACACAAAGACGATATCAAGCCAATTTATGTGCCGTGCGGTGAGACGAGCACTTCTGTGCGTCGATATGCGGACTTCGGCAGATGCCCAGCGTGCAGCTTGTGCGGTTCTTCACAACTTCTCCTCGACTAACATTACGGTTATTGGTCACAGCCCCTCCTGCGACCCTGGGCCAATCAGATAAATACATTGCTTATGTCGCATGACCTTTCAATTCATCTTCTGTAAAAGTGATTACTTCGCAAAACCAGCAGTGCAGATGCTCTTCGCATAGCGGCAATCATGACAGAAGGCGACATTCCCGAGCAAGCAATTGCGCTTCAAGCTCAACCGAGCTCAGCTTCACGACATGAAACGGAGCCCGAAGTCGTTCACCACGATGATAGTTTTACAAGCATCGAACATAGTCCACACAGACGGACTGGCTCAGGCAGGAAGATGGCATGTGTTCTCCTTGGGTCAGCTGTCCTACAATTTCCCATATGGGGTGAGTCTTCTCCCACAGTCGTCTCGACACTGCCTGGGTCCTGTGTAGCATTGTCGCGTAGATCCATATGCTAACATCAGTTGTATCTCANNGGCTTTGCGATGAGCTATGGTATCTTCCAAGAATACTACATCAAACACTGGACTCTTCAAGGCAGCCATGATTTGACTGGTATCATCGGCATGACTTCGAATGGAGTCATGTACCTATCCATGCCTTTCCTCTTTGCCCTATTTACCAAGCGTTGGGCACGGTATCGCCAGACTGCAGCTTTGCTGGGCACCACTATTGCTTGTATCAGTTACTTGCTATCGAGCTTCAGCACCAACGTCTGGCATCTGGTGTTCACACAAGGCGTGTTTGCCGCGTTCGGATCAGCTCTGGTATTTAGTCCGATGACGCTGTCATTGGGTGAATGGTACAAGACGAGCCATCGGGCGTTGGCTTATGGTATTACACTCTCCTGCAAGAACATTGTCGGCTCAGTATGTCCCTTCCTGTTCTCAGGGCTTCTGGATCAGCATGGCTTCCGCTTCACGCTCAGGATCTGGGCAGTCTTGGTCGCTGGCACAAGTGTGTTCACGATCCTTCTAATTCCAACTCAGTTCTCTGCATTGTCCATAGCGACACAAGATGACACGAACGCCGTAGACTCTGAGCAAGACGCAAGAGGATCAACAGACACAATTAGAACGCGCAAGATACCCTGGCACTTCCTGCATCACCGGACCATCTACATTTACTGCGTAGCGATCGTTTTGCAATCCGCTGGTTACGGAATACCACAGACATACCTCAACACCTACGCCAGCGAGGTCGCTCAACTCTCACAAACTTCTGCAACTCTGTTACTCACGCTATTCAACATTCCTGGCATTGCCTCATCCTCGTTCTTTGGTTACTTGAGTGAAAATAAGCATTTTACACTCTCGGCCACAACGGTCACCTGTATCTCAGGATTGAGCTCGGCATTGAGCGCTTTCCTTCTTTGGGGTCTCACAACTCAAGGCGATTTGGCGACGTTGGTTCTCTTCTCCATTATTTTTGGCTTCTTCGCTGGAGGGTATAGTGCGACGTGGGGAGGTTTGATGAATGATCTTGAGAGTGAGGCTAGACAATCAAACGAAGCCATAGACTCGGGTATGGTTTATGGCTTGCTAAACGGCGCCAGAGGTATCGGGTATGTCGCTGGTGGCTTGATTGGCGTGCCATTACTGAAAGCTGGTACCGAGAAGTATGGTGGCATCGCTGGCAGTGGGTTCGGAGTCCAGTCGAGCTATGGGCCGCTCATCATATTCACCGGGCTAGCATCGGTGTTTGGTGGGTGGGGCGCTTTGTGGAACTGGAAAAATGCAGGCTGTCACGGTGTTGAATGCTGGTTGCACCAAGTTCAGCGAGGCATCTCTGCGCCCCCACGTTCCAAGGGTATAGCCGAAGGAATGCATAGTATTTCCCGGAAAGAAGTTGTCGTGACAAGAATATATTAAGGTATCTTGTGAGGTTTCAAAGCCATACGAAATCAATGGTACCTTTTGACAGCAACTGTGACCATCGACTTTCCGCATATGAAAAGGAAAGTTTGTTCTTGAGGCTGAGAAAACTTCCAGGATGTGATCGTTGAGGAGTGCGGAGGGCTTGCTGTACACGGTCAAGATGCATTCCTTTTCAAAATGGAAAATGTCTATGCTCCTTTCCTATGCTCACAAGGCAGAGAGCGACCGGGAGCAGGAGGACTCCAATAATGCGACGATTATATCTGCTTTTTTCTGTTCTTCAGTGCTGCAAAAGAAGTTACTTTTACACCAGGCGCTGTGTTCTCTCGCGAGGTCAAGCGCAGACATATTTTCCTTGTCTGTTGCTCGAGGATCGCATCTAGTATCTGCCAAAAGTATTTCAACCACCTTGACAATCCTCTGCTCAACTGCGTACATCAAAGGAGTCTTTCCGAGACAGTCCTTTGTACGAACGTCCACTTCAGGGTACTTGAGGAGACATTGAACAATTTGAACTATCAACCAATCATAATTTTTAGATAAACGATAGCGAGGATAACGAGAAGACGCCAGTCGTGAAAGAAGCGTCCGGCCAGATCTGTCCTTGAAGTTTATATCGGCTCCGGGTATTTTTTGTAAAAGATCCAAAGTTTCAGGGTCTGAACTGGGCCCAAGATATAAGAACCAGACACAACCATGCCGGTCTGGAGTATGAGGATCAAAGCCTCGATCAAGCAGACCCTGTGCGAATTCGTGACTTTCGCTGCTTGAAAGCCCATCTTGCAACGGCGATTCTCGAAACCATGAAGAAAGGTGTGCAAAAAGCGGTCGAGAATCGCTCCCATGCCATTTTTCTTCCGCACTTCGCTCCAAGTACAAGTCTCCTCTGGCTTGAGAAAGAATAGTCCAGAAAAGGTCATACATCTTTAATCTCGTGGCGTTATCCAATCCTCCATGCAAAATTGTAAGCAGGGCAGTTGCTAGAGGGGTGTCTCCGCCACGGTCTTTGAAGCGGATGTTTGCTCCATGATGCATCAAGACCTTGGCTGTGTCCACGCATCCATTGATGATCGCCAAATGCAACGCCGTTGAACCACCATAACTCCTTGTATTCAAGTCTGCTCTTCGCGTCTGAGCAAATCGCTCCACGATACTGCTATCGCCATATTCAGCGGCGTACATCAGTGGTGTGTATTCTTGTTTGTCGCGAGCATTTAATTGCAAGACCCTCGATCTCCGTCGCTGCCAGTTTAGCATTGGCTTCGATGCGAAGGTTTGACTGATATCCAGGAGTCTATTCATGGCATCAAAATTGCCTCTTCTTGCAGCGATTTGTAGTGCTGTTTCGTTGTGGAGATCGCGGATGTTGATACTCATACCAGGCGTCAAGTTCAGAACGCTGCTGATGAGGTTGGGGATGTCTTCCTTTGCCGCAGTGTGAAGGAGGTTACTGTGCCGTTTATGCAGTTTCGATTGCCAACGAAGTTTAAGCTTGGCTAGCTTTGATACATGTCCATCTTTCAGATGACTGGGTGACTCGGATAAACAATCATCTTCTGCACGATGGACTTTCAGACTATTGAGTATCTTTGATGCACAATCATCTTCTGGAAAATTGAATATCTCAGCAAGATCGTTCTGCACTGGCTGTCCTTCTTCAGCTGACCGAGCATGGTCGAACATGTGTTTCAGAGCGTAATTGAGAAGCGGATATTGAGCGGGAACTGATTCAGATCGAAGGACAGACTTGTAGCATACCCTTACAATGTCAAGTTGTGCCAGACGTGTGGCTATTGCCGCAGGTTCAGAATTTTGAAGATCTTGGAGGCCCCCGCCCTTGACAAAGTACTCCCGAATCGACTCGTGGATGAAACCAACCACAGAATAACTGGAACCAGGGAACCAAAACACTTCTGCGAGCCCGCAAGATAAGTATTCAAGATCTAGACCAAGATAGTCATCCTCGTGCGATTCCCTAACGTCATGATTGGGATGGTCGATCCACAAAATAGCTCTTAACTCACCGACCACAAGTGGCCGTTTTGCCAGAGCCACCCACTGGAGTAAATCAGAAAAGCGCTTTTTATCCTGAGGACCAACATTGATGTTTTCCTTGTACGACCGGATGATTTGACGATACAACTGAAATAGTTCTTGAGGTGTTTCCTCGATTTACTGCAAGATAAGCTCCACGGGCTTCATGCCTTCCAGGGATTTGACCACCCTTGGGACTACCAGGACGCTCCATTGGAAAATTTCTTGCGCTCTCCAACTTATTGAAGACACTAGCTCGTCATATTGGGTGTTTCTGCGAAACAGCTTGTGTTTCTGGGCGACGTATGTTTGGATATCTGCCAAATTCTCCCCGTCCACAATGACTTGATACAACACATCTGATCGGACAAGTGGATAGTGTCTCGATGAGACGCATATCCTGAGCCCGCTGTCGCTTTGTGCTTCTGAAGCGGCGACGACACCTTGGAAAAAATCAAGGAGATCCCGGGCCTTGTCTTCCCCACATTCGTCAAGGGCATCCACAAAGATGAGCAGTTCCAGATCACGGCAAGAACTAAGATAATCCTTCGTAAGATTCCTGAGCTCAGGTTCCGTCCAGGCCCAGGCAGAGCCATGTGATCCTTGCGACTTGCAACGAGCTCGAAACTTATTTTCGAGATCTTCGTAAAATTGAGGCACCTTTTCTACGATTTGGTGCAACAGAGCGCGAAAAATACCCATTGGAGATTTTTGTAGATCCACTCCTCGGCCATGGCAGAAGAAAGATGCTGTGATTTGTGTTTCCGAGCTAGTCTCTGCAGTAGAATCATTCCACAAGTATTTCATGATGGTCGATTTGCCGACACCAGGCTTGCCCTTGATCCAAAGGAGTCCTCGCTGCGCATTTTGCCAATCTCGGAAAGTATGGTTTTCGAGAATCCATTGACAAGTTCCAGAGGTCGCGTCTGAAATCTCGTGAAGTCGATTATACATCTCGGGAAAGGATAAGGCTTGCTGTGCATTTTGCTGTTCCTGAGCAACAGAAGAATTGAAGGTGCCAGCATATACAGTTGAACCATTACCAGCTGTCACAGGTCCGATCGTTTGGCTCATAGACGTCTGAGGGCCGAACATCTCGAAAAAGACTCACGCATACCATGCGGCAGATCGTAAATACACGAGTGACCAAGATGATTATTTAGACGACCAACAAAGCGAAAGCAATCATGCTGCCTAACACGATGGACTGAGATTTGCGACGTTTACGAGAGTCGCTTGGGAGGCTTGAGTGTCTTTTGGAGACCGGCGAGGCCTTTCACGCGTGACCGATCAGCAACCTGCATGAACGCCACAAGCGCTTACATCTCTCTTATCATATTGCAGCACCTGCAAATATCCGAGTTCAGCTCGAGCCAACATTCCGACACGCTCGAGCATCGAGCATCTGATGTAGCATCTTGTTGCCACGAACAACTTGCAACGACCATCCAGATGACCGATCCGTTCAGCATTGTAGCTGGCGTAGTCGGCATCGTTGCCGCTACTGCCCATGCTATACACGCAGCCATCGACTTGATCGACAAGATCGAAAGCGCACCGACAGCAGTCTGTCAGATAAGAGCCGAGCTCAACGATACCGAGTCCGTCGTCCGACACCTCGAGAAAATCTTGGATAGTAGCGGAAAGACTACAACTTGGACAAAGCTATTGGGCGAGTCCAGACTATCTCAAGCGTTGAATACGCTGAAAAGTGTTTGTGAGAATTTCACATCTACACTAAGACAATGGACTCGGCACTCGACATCTGGCGACAAACTGTCTTTCCTCGACAACATCAACGTTGTTTTGCACAGTACCAAGATGTCTCAGCTGTCCGTACAGCTGGCAAGTTGCAAAGACACGGTGATGTTGGCCTTGAACTGCTGTGCCNTTGTACGTGACTAGAAAGTTGTTGGTCGATTTGAAGCGCTAACAGATGGCAGACAAGGACAGGTCCAAAACGCACACAACACGGAACGTATCGTCGAGCTGATGACGCAAGAAAGAGAGGCTACCAGACTTCTTGCTGCTCAAAGAGCTGTGATCGAGGGCCTGCGCCCAGAAGAAGAACGACTCCAGATCGTCAAAGCGCAGTCGGAAGACACTGGCGATATCGATGACATCGAAAGAGTTGAAGACGATATCCGCGATATTTCTCGAGCACGCATCGCCGTCAGTCAATTTGCGACCGTAAGCGAATACGTCGCAAAGTCATCGAGAGCGGTCCGGGCCAATCAAGATATCGGGAATGTTGTCATCGCAGAGCTGGGCTATGGAACCGTCGGTATAAGTAATGTTGACGACATTTCGGACGTGAAGCAGAAGATTGGTGATNGTGAGCGTCGGCAAAAGGGCACCGTATTCGTCGGCATTCACAACAACATCGACCACAACGCTGCTCTGGCTAACCGCTGGGGCCCTGCGAGTTAGCCATAAGGAGCTTCGAGTCATAGGAATACATAGGTTGATGAGCCTCTTGATGGAAAGAAGTTGTTTTTGGCTCGAGTTGTGCCTTCGTGTCTGTGACATTTGCCAAGCCCGTGGGTCCACCGTCATTTCTGTCCTCCTCGGGCGTTCTTTCCTTCCTCTCCTCGAGCATGTTGTTCAATACCCACGATGAGGTGCAAGCGATCTGACATCCCTGGTTTTGACATTCAGAATGGTATGCGACACGTCTTGATGCAATGTTGGTGGCCATCGAACGTGAAATAGTGATACGCGACGCGACGAACACAAAGTCTTGAATACGTGGTAGCTATCATACAGAGCTAAGCCTACCTATCGGAGACCCGGGATAGCTTCAAGCTCTCTAATGTTGCGAACTTGTCAAGGAACCGTTTCTCGACAGCCCTCTGCATCTTGACAAAGCGATCAAGCCTGGGAACCATAAACACGTCTCTCCAAGTTGCCTGTAGGCACGCGAAGCATTGCTTCCCGAAGCTGTGTGAAGAATTCATTACATGCTTCCAAGTTCAAGCAAGGATGACTCATCCATCCCTTGTCCTTGATCTGAGGAACGAATTTGACCTTTGGAAGCACATCGTTGTCTGACGACAAGCTATCCGACGACGAGCTGATCTTGACAAGAGCCATACTCGACTCAAGCTTGACGTCGGGGTTGGCGTCGGCTTCAATTCTAGGGTCGGTGCTGACTTCAGTCTCAGGATCAGAGACAAGAGCGACATTCTCCTTCTTTCTGATCTTGTCTGCAGCTCTCTTACGCTGGTTGCGCTTCTTGTTCTTGATTCTCTTGCGCTCGGCTTCCTCGGACGACAGGATTTTGGGCTGGGATACAGTATTCTGACTCTCTGTCTTGGAGAAACTGGCGATAGGAGCCTCGTCAATCTCAGGGTCGAAATCGTTGAGGGCGTCCATCTTGTGGTGTTCCAAGAGTGCTTCGAAGTAGCCGTCAAAGAGGAAGTCCAGCAGATCCGCATCTTCGACTTCGACAAAGCCGTTGTACCTCTGGNNACTATGTCAGCGGTGCGTGAGATTCGTACGGTTCTGACTTACCTGTTCAATGGCTCTTCCTTCAAGCACCTGCTTCGACGCCGAGTGATCAAAGGCGCGCTCAGGAAACATTTTCAACAAAGGATATCTGAATCCCAAGCCAAGCTCTTGCAAGTTGTGCTTCGCTTCGCGCTCGTTGCAGACTTGGATGCTCTTCAAAGCCTTGCCAGGAGGCATGTATCTCTTCTGCTTGCTGTTGAGTTCGTCGAGGAGGACATGACGCAACTTGCCGTCGACACGAGCAACAGCATTCTCGCAACAGAGAGCCGCCTTGGCGCGTACATGGAGGTATGATTGAGCTGCTTCGAGGCGGAGCTTCNNTACCCAGGCTGTCAGTGCTAGTAATGTTTGCGATCACCACAACTTGCATACCTCAGCTTCTTCCCAGTCGGTTACCAGAAGACCAAGGATGGCGGTGAGACAAGCGCGATGTTCTTCGCTCAGACAGGTGTCGTCGGCACACATCAACACGAGACGGATCTTGCGTGCAGCGCGACGGAGTCTGACTTTGTCGCCAGCTGATACAGCTTCCAGAATTTCGTACACATTCTTGAATCCTTCGATGCCAGGCAACGCCATCTTGATTTGAGTGATGAGAGATGTCTGGGTTTAGGAAAATTGATGCAGTGAGTTCGAGGTATGAGAAAAGTAGAAGTTGGAAGTTGGTCGATGGTGCAAACGCCCACAAAGGTAGCGTGCTGCGTGCAAACGCCAGGCAGAAGTGATCCGGAACTTGCTTGAACACGCATGACCCGCTCCAAGCACGGGGCAATAAAGAGTTTCGCTGTTTGTAGAATCGGGAACTCGAAGAAGACACCGGGTCAAAAGCACTTTTTTGTAGAGCGTCAATGCTCGGGCGCTGCAAGCGTTGTCTAGAAAGGAAGTAACGAATACAATTTGACGCCTTGACACAAAGAGCTTTGCGACTTCCGATTCAAAGCTCTGCAAAACGACTTTCCTCTCCAGATGTGGAAAGTCAATGGTAGCGACTGCTGTCAAGATGCGTAGTTGTTTCTAGAATCGCATGTGTGGCCACGGAAGTGCCATGTAGATAAACACTTTATGTGGCCACGACACTCTCTCTGCGAAGTATTGTGCAATCCTTCAACTACAATCTCAGCACTAAGGGAGCGCAGAGATGCCTTCCCATTTATTGGCGACCTACATCTAGCTCAGCCTGGCGGAGAAGGCCCAATACATTAAAGATCAAGCCAAACTGAAGCGGGTCAACAACATCAACAGAGGCACGTTCCAGAGCCATCTTAACGAGCTGGGAGAATACGGAGTTGATCGGCGGCTAGCATTCGAGAGCTCCTGAGTCCATATGAAAAGGCAATTCAGTGAGAATGTGGTGTCACGCTCGAAATCCCAGTCTCCGTCGCTGGTTGACATTGCAGCAGCAAACACGCTGCTCATCTTCAGGTCGTGAAGTTTCTCATGTGTGGACTTCCAACGACTTTCGAACTTGCTTCGATCACCGTTGCACGAGTGACCAGGAGGCCCCGTATATCGACATTTTCATCATGAAGGGGTGTGTTCCTTGTCTGCGCGCGCAGTGTTTTTTCTCTCATGGGTTCGTTGGGAACACCCATGTTGCTTCCAGTGGCCACCTCGTCGCAGAGCAGGATCGATGATGTCTGGTCTGTTGGTAGCAGCGAGCACGATGACAGGCTTGCCATTGTTCTTTTATTGTTCAGAGTCAAATATCTTTGATTGTGACCCGGCGCCTCTGCTAAGCACTAAAGATTTCACAAAGATGGGTCAGTTGCCTGCGTGCATGCGGCTTGAAATGCCTCAACTCCCTGCTGAATTCTTCTGCGTAGATGCCGTCTTGGAGACGCCGTGGGTGAGGAGTGCAGCAACAAGCTGGCAACTTATCTCCTCTGCTACTATCGACAGGTATCTTCGTTCTAATAGTTCGTCCATCATTCAGCTGTAGAATTGCACAATGGTGTCCCCAAAAGAAGTGTTTCCAAGGAAGGCTTGCTGGAGTAGAAGTCTCTGCTGAGCTCTCAATGGATACCGTCTCTTTTTGGAAAATATCATGCATTGCATCAGTCGTGAAATCAATGTGGCATACTTGAGGCAGGTATGTTTTGGTAAAGAATGATTTGATTCGTAAATCTCGCTGATAGAATGCTAATGTTTTGTACAGGGGCTCGTGATATTAATGATAGTTCTGTTGTTTGTCCCTTCATCTTCTTCTCTTTGTCGGAGACACTCCATCAAGGACGTGCTTTGTGAATATTAATGATAGTAATTAGTTCTCCTTGATTTTTCATCCTCCTCTCTAATCATCGAAAAGGTATTCTTGTTCCATATTTCAGGAAAGAGACAGCCTCTCGAATGATTTAGCAGCGAGAGTACTCAGCGTCAAACTCAAACTCGAAAGTCCAAGACTGGTGAGTCTTGTAAGAACCACTGCCACCGAAAGTGGCGTACTTGTTGTGGTCAAGAGCAGCGCCGAAGAGCGAGCAGTAAGTACCGAAAGGCTTGTTGTCCTTGTGCAGGAAGTAAGAGTTGAACATCTTGCAAGGAGTGTAGCTGTGCTTGCCGGCCTTGATGGCGGCGTTGCGGTTGAAGGTGTTTTGCTCAATGGCGTAGTTGGAGCAGACCTGGGGGTTGAAGGGTCCGGGGATGAACTTGCTGCCCATGTGGTACTTGGGGGCGGAGATAGCCTTAGGACCGCAGTTCTGACCGGGCTTCAGGGTGGGCTTCTTGGGGCCGGGACCGGCAGGGGCAGGAGGAGCAGGGCCACCGGCGGGAGGGCAGGGGTCCACCAGCGGGAGGTGCGGGAGGACCGGTGGGCTTGGAGGGAGAGACAACCGACGAAGAGATGGCGGAGGTGGAGACAGGAGCAGCAGGAACTGAGCANNGGAAGGAGTAGTGACGTTGGTCTTGTCGTAGGCATCGGAACCGGTGATAACGGTCTGGAACTGCTCACGGTAGTCGCCCTTGTTGGTGGCGAGGTCGGCGGAGAGAGTAGAGCCCCAGAGAGTGCACTTGTAGTTGGTGATGGAAGAGGGGTTAGGGCAGTAGGTCTCCCAGGGAGTGTAAGTAGTGTTGTCGTTGTTGGCAGGGGCAAGGCTGGGGTCACGCTCGATGTAGATGTTGAAAGAAGTGCAGAGGTCAGTGTCATCACACTTGGCAGCGCACTCCTGGGCGTTGTAAGAGGTCAAGGTGTAAAGACCAATATAGGAGTTAGCAGACACGGCAGCGTTAAGGTCCTTGAAGACCTGAGTGTACTGAGTCTTGTCCGAGCTGGGGACAACAGTAGGGGCAGCAGATGCCATGGAGTGGAAAGGAGCGTAAGAGTAGAAAGCGTCGACAGTGTCGGGCTGGACCTGAGGACCGTAGCCACCNCTGAAACACAGTTAGCATTATATCGCGAGTAAATTGGAATGGAAAATTTTTACAGGTTGAGGTGCGCAGGCATCTTCTGGGTTGATGAACCCACAGTAGGTGCCCTCCTCGGGAGAGGTAGGGCAAGGGGCGTTAGAATCAGCAGTAGTGCTGGGAGATTGAGTTGTAGTGGCAGCAGCCGAGCTGGAGGTCGAAACAGCAGCGGATGAAGAGCCAGTAACGGCATCAGCAGTAGAAGAGCCGGCTGAGGTGCTGTAAGAGTAGGCGGGGATGTTGGTGGGAGGAGTAGAGGTGGTGATCAGGGACCAGGTAGCCTTGGTCTGGGTAGGCTTGCCACAGCCCCAGCCCTGCTGGGAGCTGCCCTGGCTGCCGCAGTTGTGGAAGATCTCACACTCGAGGCCCTTGTAGAAGTAGAAGGGGTTAAGAAGACCGAAAGTACGCTTCTCAAGGTCACGCTTGGCGCCAGCAGTGGCGGTAGCGCTGGCAGTAGCAACAGTGCTGACGGCGACAGTGCTAGCAATGGAAGCCTCCTCGACAACAGCGACACCAGTGGGGCCAGTAGCGACCTCAGGAGCGGAGTCCAGCATAGAGAAGTCAAGGTCCTGGGGCATGGGAGAGGCAGCGGCCATGCCAGCAACGGCGGCCAGAGCGAAGGCGGTAGAACGCATCTTGAAGATACCTGATGGAACGAAGGAACAGGTAGTTGAGAAAAGAAAGCAGATGATAGTGATGAAAAGTGTTTGTGGTGGTGGGAGATGGTGATTCTTATACCTAGCTGACTTCTAGAGGCTCTACTTACGACCTATACGATGTCTCTGGTTCTCGATCTGAGTGATGCAACCATTTTGGGATTTGATCGTTCTCATCCGTGAAGCGATGTCCACTTCCGGGCTGTGTACCATACTACAGTAGCATAAAATCACCACGGACGGACCTCATACCGCTGAGGCCGTGTCCATAGACTTGCTTGGCGCGTGCTTGGGATCTCAAATCGCAAAGTGAGACAATAGTCTTCAGCCAGCACCTGCCGTATATGCCCTATGTCGTCGAACTTGGCGTGGTAATAATGGATCCCGATGATGTTTCGAAATTAGACAGTGCACGACGTGCAGATGGGGCAGGCACTATTTTGGCAAACAAAGTCAAAGGCATGGAACCTCTAGAGACGGGACCTAACCTTTTGTAGAACCAGCCCGTGCCGTCCCAGAAAGATGGCGTTCAGGTACGACGGCAAGAAAGATCCGAGTTGATCTAGCTGACTCGAACTATGGCTGGAACCCGTTGGTTTTCGACCGAAGACTTCATTCAAAGAATCAACGTTTTTGTGTTTCGAACTGAAACCCTTGCAGAGAGTTCTTGAAAACGCTGAAGGGTTGAATCGAAGTGAGACTTGAGCGGTGCTTCTACGATTCAACCACGAGGGCCGTTCTTCGACCGTTTGTAGATGGAGAAGTGCTTCTGCAAGATGACGGTTCATGCGTGGTGACCTCGTGTAAGCAGGTACGGGACAAGCAGAGTGGAAGGTATTGTCGGTATTGGAGCAATAGCTTTGCATGATCCTCGCTTGGAGGAAATGATCAACATTCAGATTGGTCTATGACTTGCCTTCCTGAGAAGTACATCGGGATCGTTCTGGCAAGGCTCGCGTTCTTCCCTTCGTCTCGGAATCTCGGATGCGAGCTACGATTTGCAGGGCGCGAGCGAGCGGGAGAATTCGTTTTTCTCTCTCCACAGAGGAGTTGATTTAGAGTCGTGCGTGCAAGCGCTCGGGCTGCATGATCAGTGCATCGCCAAGGTCGAGATCAGCCCTGTTGTCAACATGCGTGCCTGTTGAGCATTTTTGGCCATGCAGAGATGTTGCAAACGATCATGAATCTGCACACTGTTCAAAACTGCTGTTCATGAATTGCTGATACTCGTCTCGAATGGACTGAACATCGTATCTATTCATGTCTTGCATCAATGATGATACTCCGGTCTTTGTTGGTCAGACTCTGAGACAGTAAAAATGGTATAAACGGTATGCATCTCCTCCATCCGAAGGTTACAGACTTTAGTCTCGCAGATCCCCCCTGGTAGATTATCTCGGTTGCTCGGCCTATGAATAGATTAGCGCCGGGCTGTCGACATGTTGTCATGAAAGCCACCAAGCAGTGGAGATACTCTTGCATACTGGCTTACAAAACCATCACCAGACACAGGCAACTGAAAGCGACTTTCGTCGTGTGTTTCCACAAGCGAAAGCTAGAGAGGGTCCAAAGAGACCGAAGCGTTTGGGTGGGCCGTGGCGTCGGTGGCTTTCTACCAAACCAAACCTTGAATTTTGCCATACTGGCCGAGCGACCCTGTCTCACACCTTACTCCCCCTCTCTTTACCGAACATCACAGTGGGTAAATGGACAGAGTTCAAGGGCGTGGGTGAGACAGCCCCTTGAAAGCCCCTCCGATACGTACGAAGCAGGATAAGACGGAAAAAACACATACTGATGCTCTGGCAGTGGAGTTGTGTCTCTCTTCGAGCCGCGCGATCTGGCTGACGTCTGCACAATCTTATGATCGATGCCGAAATGATCAAATCTCTTGTGAAAGTCAAATCGATGGACACGAAATGGAATACACGACACTAGTCAGAGAAGGCGTTCACGATATCCCTATGAGCTGAAGGCCGTCACAGTATAGCTATAGGAATGCACAATACTGTCAAAGAACAGGACAGTGCCCACTGAGGCACACATCTTATCCGCTCTTCTTGGCCAAGCTATTGCATCCGAAGACAACTGTATCGTTCTACAGTGAATGCTTTGCTCTGATGCTAGCACAAAGCAATAGAACCACTTCGTTTGTGGGCGTAAGAAACTCTTGATGTCTGCATCTGTCATACAAGAATGGGACACACTCCGGAATTGGACCATCGGCAGTTGATAAAAGCCATGTCGTAGCGAGAGATCTACATAACCATCGCGTGTAGACTGGGGGATATATTGATGATCGACTTGCGCAAATACCGCGATGGCGTGCATTGTTTTCGGGCACGTACGACTCAGTTACCACGCTGACAATTTCTGACAGGCTTTCTTTCTGTCAGATATGACAAAGCCCAGGAGCCGCTTCCGCAAACTGCATACTCACTACACAAGCGAAATTTGCTGTGAATATTGGGACGAAGACAGGCTAGGGGACATCAAACTCTTGAAGATCAGGTAGGGCTCATGACTTCGAGTCGCCATATTGCTGTTTAAGCTTTAGAGTCATGTCGGGCCGTATATTGACGACCATCACTACGACTGCCAATCTCGCTCTTTGATGGCGTCTGTCAACCTCTCTTTCCAATGACTCAAACCACGTGGACTTCCTTTCAATCCAGTCTGACGGATCCCTTCGACTTCCAGAAAATCCATAAGACTGCGATTGCAACTTTGAGCGATCCGGCTAACCATAATACTTTGGAGATATCCTCGTCTTGGGTCAGGAAACCGCCGGCAATTGCACCTAAAACCACCATGATCATGCTTCCTACTCGACGGTTGCGTTTAACGTTACGAGTTGGGCCATCGAAGACTTTGTCGTCAAAAGCAAAATCAAAGTAAGAGCTTGTTAGAACGACACTGGTGACTTCGCCATAACCAAGAACTCTTGACATGGCCATTTGGCCGGCGGATTGGACCGACAACAGACCCAATGGCAGAAGAACGATGAAATTGTCGGGCAAGACGTCGCCTGCATTATTTGGGACGACACCAGAATCTTCGAGGGCGGCGCAAACATATATCAATACGGCCTGGATCAACCAAGAGTATACCAGCGTACTTCGGCGAAGAGGTCCGAGATATCTCATGAAGCGGCTGAAAATGAATGCGCCCATCACGAATGAAAGAATGGACATTCCTGATTTCGCCCAGCGCCATGGTGAAGATTTTGGTTGCCCAGAAACACCAAGACCGAGGTAAAGTGTGTTACCTGCCNNATTGTCAATCGTGGGTCTTTTCTGATATGGATGACATATCTCACCCGTCTGCATCGAGACGAAGCAGTTCCACACATTGAATACCGCCGAGTCCAGTAGACCAGTGATGAAGCTACTAGCGATAAGGACCGAGTCGCCCCATGATTCGGTGAGTTCTGCGTCGAAGTGATCCCGAAGTGAGCTCATGGAACTCTTTGCTTGGTTTTGATTATCTTCAATGTCGGGCATGATTGCTGTAGTTGATGAAAAGCTGAAGGGATGCTGGTTATTGATTTTGCCAAAGACAATTGATTTTGCGTCCGTGCACCGTCGTCATCAATGTCGCACCTCCCAGAAAAACAAGCCGCGGTTGACGGCGAGAAATCTCCTGGATTTGACATCTGCGAACATGTTCTTGATTTCTTAAAGGAATATACGGACCGTGGAAAGCTGCGGCCAGAGCCTTTGGAACTCAGTTGTTGTACATCAAACCAACGGACGAACAGCGTTTACAGACGTCCAAAATCCCTCGAGCTTCCTTCCGTCCGTCGCTCCCCAGCTTCTCCTACCTTGATGGCGCGTAGAATCCAATAACAGTCTGGTCTGACGACGCAAAGCTTTGCAAAGGATAGATACTGTGCTACTTAATTGGCTCTATCCCTTTCTCGACTCCTCGTAACTTCATGTCAATGTAGTACATGTATACAGGGAAGAAAGATGATCTTTCAATTACCGGAACCCAACCCCGAACATGGTTGCATACGCGGCTTCCCCGCAGGTTTCATGACGTACTCACTATAGCTGGATAGGCAGACAGAGCATCCTTGTTTACAGCATAATGATAGCATAAGAAAGACCGCATCTCCAATGCTTCCTGAAGTTCGACATCGACGTTGACACAACACATCACCACAATGACCAAATTCCCAAAGAGCGTTCTCGAAGAAAGACGAGCTGCCAGCTTGAAGCTTGTCGAAGCTCTGGATGCCTATGAGACAGTCGAGCATGGGAAGGACTCAGTGTCAGTGAGATGATGACCGAATCGAAGGACCCGCAATTGACAAAAGATTATAGCCNCAATGCCTCGACGCGGCAAGAAAGGCAATGATATCCTTGGCCCTCAGAACCCAGACCGCATGCGTCAAGAGCCAGATACCGTGTGTCCACCAGAAACCGACCATGGCAAGATGCCCAACATGAAGTGGTGCGTACCAACTCAATGCTTTGACTGTCATGGCTTTCGCTGACCTACTTGCCTTAGGTCCTTCACAGACTCACACGTCCGTCTCGAAGAAGGTGGCTGGGCCAGAGAAACCACCGTCCGCGAACTTCCCACCTCCAAAGAACTTGCAGGCGTAAACATGCGCCTTGGTCCCGGTGTCTACCGCGAACTCCACTGGCACAACGAATCCGAATGGGCGTATATCATCAAAGGCACATGTCGCATCAGTGTCCTCGACCTTGAGGGCGGGTCGTACATTGACGACCTCGAAGAAGGCGACTTATGGTACTTCCCCACTGGGTTCCCTCACGGTATCCAAGGAACCGGCAAAGAAGGAGTAGAGTTCTTGCTCATATTTGACGACGGCAATTTCTCAGAAGACAGCACATTCTTGCTCACGGACTACATTGCACGAACACCCAAGTCAGTTCTAGCCAAGAACTTCAGGGTCGACGAAGCAGTCTTTGACTCGCTCTCTGAGAAAGAAAAATACATCTTTCAAGGCACGATCCCTGGATCTCTAGAAAGCGATCGCAAAAGCGTTGGCACACCCTCAAAACACCGCTTCACCCATCGCATGCTCGCCCAAACACCGAAGAAATTTCCAGGTGGCGAGGTACGCATCACAGACACATCCAACTTCCCCATTTCCAAAACCACAGCAGCAGCACATGTAATCATAAACCCTGGTTGCTTGCGAGAAATGCACTGGCACCCCAACGCCGACGAATGGTCTTTCTTCCTGCGCGGCCACGCTCGAGTAACCATCTTCGCTGCATCAGGAAATGCGCGAACATTCAACTATCAAGCCGGAGATGTAGGCATTGTCCCCAAAAACAACGCTCACTACGTCGAAAACATTGGCACTGAGCCAGTGGAAATGTTGGAAATGTTTAGGGCGAGCAAATTTGAAGATTTCAGTACTGAGCAGTGGTTGGCGCAAACTCCTGCTACTACTGTAGCTGAACATCTGAACCTCTCGGGAGGTCACAGGGAAAAGTTCCTCAAGAGCTTGAGTAGGGACAAGACTGCTGTTAAGGCGCCGGTGAGGAAGACGAGGTCGATGAGTGATATGCACAAGGCTTTGGAGGAGTTGCTGTAAGAAGGGGTTGGTGCAAAATAGAGAGGGACATTTGCAGGGGCCGTGCTATCTCATGGGCCAGGAACTGTTCACACTATTAATTGTGAAAATTCGAAAAACGAGAAGGGTGCTAGCTAGAGAGGAGATGGCATCTCACCTGGTAACCCTCGCTCTTTTGTTTCTCTTCTCTCACATCCTTGAGCACGATGCCCAGGCCCCTTTCTCCTTCCTGTTCTTCTGCCACTTCCCGCATGCCGAACCATTTAGACGTCGCAAAGTTGAAGAACTGCACAAACCTTTTCAAACTGTTAGTCTTGGAGAAAGCGTCACCACTGGCGTTGCTCATCGACCTCCCTTTCTCATTGATCTCTCTCTGCTGTAATAACACAAGGCCGATTTCTCAGCCGCCTTAAAGAGTCTGTCGTTGTGGAGATCTCTAACGCTGGCAGCGATCGTCTCAGGCTTTCCACCCAGACCACTCAGGTGGTCCTCCCTTTGTTGAAGCGTTGATCTTGAGTTGAGAAGTGAGGTTTAGGTTCTTTGTATAGTCCAACTTCAGATGCGGTGTACACTGCTGATTTTGTAAAGAGAGAATCAACAGAACGGATTACTCTGACTGCCTCTTTGGTCGCTCTATTCTTCTGCTTCCCTTGTACTGATGATTTCAAACACTGCAAAGTTCAAGAACTGCAGAATGTGTTTTCGTTGGAGAAAGCATCACCTTAGTTGTTGTTCACGGACCTTCCTTTCTCATTGGTCTCTGCTGTACTGAGTACATTTAAAGTAATGAGCACAGTGCTTCTGATATCTTCCATCATGTCCTCAGCACTTTCAGCTGCTTGCTTGGTGTTGTTGGTGATGACAGAAGTGGTCAAGTGTGATGGCCCATAAGTTAATTGCAGAAACTACCTTATATGAAGTAGATCAAGTAAAACACAATGAGTTATGAATACATTACCGATGATCCTCGCTCTTTGGGGCACGATTGAACCTCTAGCCTGCTTATTGTTGTGTTGCTTTCAGCGTGTCACATATGTCATACACTGCAAAGTTGAAGAACTGCATAAACCTTCATAAAATAAATTATTCTTCTCCGAGAAAGCATCATCTCTGGCGCTGCTCATGTACCTGCCTTTCTTATCGGCCTGCCTCTACTTCGATGGCAGCAAAACTTCTCTTCTAGACATAGCTGCATCCACGGTTCTAACGACTCTAATTGCAAAGTCGTTTGGAGATGATCAAGACGGTGCTTCTAACATCGGCCATCTCTTGATCGGTGGATTTGGAGTCCGAAGTGGTGGATGCAGTAGTTAGATTTATGTACCGCAGATATGAGGGAGTGAGACAGCAGAGCTCTACTGCGTAGACAAGTCCTCGCCTTTTTAGTACAGATTCCTTACTCTCTTTCTTTGTTTAGGACTACAACTTTAACGCAACAACGCATAAGCCTTCGCTCTCAGAAAACACATCTTTTACTTTCTACATCTTTGAACGTACTCGACACAGTTGCAAAAAGGAAGAGCCGACAGACAAAAAGTAGCTTATATGAAGTAGCAAGTCAACCACACAGAAAACAATTTACTAAGTCTAGTAACTATAGTGGGAAGACTTGAAGCTGGGAAGAACCCCAGATATGTTCGCTGCTTTCGAGTATTGACATGTCTCCAAGACACTTAGGCTCCCTTCTCCTCTTCTATCCTTTTCTACTTCTATATACTCATATCTTATATCTCCTAGAATTGAAGAACTTCATAATCCCTTCTAGAAGCGGCTAACATGCTCGGAGAGGACGATCTCTAAATGATGCGTTATGTACCCGAGCCACTTGTTGCACTTAACATCCTTTCGTCTAGGAAGCAAGTCGTGTCATTCCTTCGAGAATGGCAAACATAGTACCATGAGGATCCATAGCTCGAGGAACTTTTTCTGCAAGGCCTCGAGGTAGCTATGGCCATGTATCCAGGGATTGTTGTCGGTCATAGCATGGCGAACAGCGGACAACTTGGAGAAGCAATCAAAGATTCCCATGACCCTTGACGTTCTCTAGGGACTTTGCGAGCAAGTCGACATGTTCTCCGGCTATATCCTCAAGGTATAGGCGACCGATATGTTGAAGCTGCTCGAAGAATCTATTAAGAACAGTAACGACGAGAGCATTCATGCTTTTGTAGCTACAAACCATCAACTAGGAATAGGTCTGGCCTGCCAACCTTTACAAGAAGGAAAGAAGGAAAGAAGGAAAGAACAAACGTCTGTACATTCCTCAAAGCAAGCGTAAAGAAATTAACCAGAAACACCATCCGTATGCAGCAAGCACTGAATCACCTCTATAAATACTTTGTCAAGCAGCGTGCACTGATCAACCCATCAGACCGCTCAAGCGAATTCGGTCTATGGCCCTGAGAGCAGAGGAAGAGAGTCTGACTGGATTGACTTGGAGAAACACAGATATCACCGCGGCTTTGAGGAGACACTCAGGTCCCGAACCCTTCCTTTCCCTCCTTTTCCTCCTCCCATCTCCTGTTACCAATTAGTGTTACACTACAGCTGAAGAACGTCACAATCCCCTCCCAACCCACCTCTCCTCTTCTGAGGAAGCATCATCTGTAGCTCTCTTCATGGACCTCGAGGAAACATTTATCTCAAAAAATCCCATGACACACCAGACAGTTGCGCGCTATGTTTCGACGGGAGAAGTGTCAGTCGCTGTAAAAGAGAACATTGGTATCGAGGGCAAAGGGCCTCTTTATATAGCCTGGAATAACGAGAAGTGAAAAGATCTGCAATCCTCAAAAGTGAGTTAAGCAAAGAAACTCACTTTAGAACCATTGTCCAAGGAAGGCACGAGTTGATGATATGAATAGCTCCAATTAGACATTTGCTTTGTCTGATTTGATCAAAAGTCCGGATACGCCTGAGAATAACGCCATGCCAAAGAAGAAATATGTATGTATATGCACAACATTGTGACAAAGAAAGAAAACAAGAAAAGAAACGATGATCACTGCCGAACCAACGAAGTTTCCCACCTTCCAAGAAGAAACGCCCTCCATAGCAACATAGGCAAACCACTCATCTACGCCCCCTTAGTCTGCCGTCTCGAAAACCTAGTCTTACTCTTCGCCCTCATAAAACTCCTCCTNTCCACTCCCATCTGCATCGCCCCCTCCTCCTCTCCCCCCTCCCAACCCCCCTCACTAACCGTCAACGTCCGTCCATTCCTAGTAGCAACCCTTCCTTCCTCCCGTCTCTTCTCCACAACATCTTGACTCAATCCTCCGAAACCCCCTCTCTTGCGGAAACAAGTTTCCATCAATGCGTTAGCGTCCAACATACTTCTGGGCAAACTCTGCACAAGCTGGAAGATTTCCATCGGATCAGAAACGGCTTTGATGGTGTGTTCGGATTGCTTGAAGATAGCCAGGGCAACGCGGAAAAGTGTCTTGGAGCCTTCGAAAAACAGACAGTCCCAAACCCTCAACACGCATTCGATGGGCAAAGTACCGACAAACAGAGACATGAACCATGCTGTGGTAGCCAGGCTCACGGTGGGTAAACGGGGCACGCCCCCAGCAGCCGGAGTAGTCGGTTTATCGTCGAGTTTTGCCCAGATGGCGGGCAGGGATTCCTTGATGGAGGTCATGAGGACGGCGATGTCGATGTTTGCGCCTTCGAGGGCGACGCCGTGGGTGCCGGGGAGGTGTTCGGTGGTTACGACGTTGAGGAGGATAAAGGCTTTTTCTTCGTCTTCGTTGAGGAAGAGGAGTAAGAGACCGGCGATGAAGTTTAGACTCTGGCAGTAGCCTATACTTGGGTTGTGGACAGCAAAGGCTTGTAATACTCGTCTCAGTGCCTTGATCATCGAAGTCTCGTTCTCGGTCTCGCCGATTCCACGGCTTTGTTCGGACGTTGTAGGTCGATTGTCCGGTTTGAAGCGGTCATTATCTGGAAAAGTACGGTTGAGATCACGTTCAATGTGCTCGCGGTCATTGTCACTCAGGGCGCCCTGGTTGACCTTTTTGAGCAAGTTCCAGTATAGCCCAGGATCCTCAGCCAATTTCTTAGGACCGCCAGCATACCAGAACCAAGCAGCACCTCGCCAGTCAGGTGGTATACCCTTGCGCACATATCTCTTGATCTTCTCGGATTTGGTAGGGAAGCGTGTGGGGTGTTCAGTCGTGTAGCCGAACTGTCTCATCAAGATGTTCCACTTGTTCCGTCTTCTTTCGAGGTGGACATTGTATTCCTTTTCCCAAGCGTCGTAATCTTCAACGGCGATGTGTAGAGACGTCTTCTTGAAGCCATATCGATCGCGAGGTACGGGTTTCGAAGGAGGTAGGGGAATGCTGGTGCTCACGGGCGAGCCGATGATGGGAGACAGGACGGGCGAAGGTTCGACGGTGGGTGGTGGAGCTGATAACGGTTCGGAGGGCAAGTCACGTCCAGACAAGATCTGAGTCGAAGTTCTGCTGTGCGACAGCGTGGGCTTGTTGTTCCTGTCGAAGGGAGTGAGATTGGCATCGGCAAGGATACTCTTGCGATCGACCATGCTGGCAGAATGACTGCGTCTATGCGAGCCACCCCCAACTTCGCTCCCAGACGGTGATGTGCCAGGACGCACACCCAGCGTATCGACCGAAGTCTTGGGAGCATGCAAGAAACTGTTTGTGCGAGAGTTTGCCATGCTCAAACGCATCGACTTGCGCATTGAGTCGCGCAAGTCGACACTGAGGTTGACAGGGGTGCCAAAACCAGCAATGTACATATCCAACAGATCATCCTCATAGCTAGACATGTTGTCGTTTGCGTCATGGTCGTCGTCGACATAGTCAATCTTGACACAGTCGGAGACAGAGCTGTCGGCGGTAGCAATGCTGCTGCGTGCAGTGCCCGAAGTCGAGTCCATGTGGCTGCTTGCCGATGTCATTTGCGAGCGATAGCTGGTGCGAGTCTCGTTGCGGTCCATCTCAGGCACAGCCATCGAGACGGGGCTGTCTTCCAGAGGCCAGCTGCCCTGTCGCTTGAGGGTAGCGTCGGCGACGGAGAGTTCACGAGGACGCGAACGAGGCTCGACGTTGGAAAAGTTGCGTTGGCGAGCAGGACTCTTCTCATCGTCGGTATTCTCCCACCAGTTGTTGCTCTTGACATTGACCCTGGAGCTGTGCGGCGGAGCGACACTGCCAACAGTCGCAGGGCTCAGTCCCTCTTTGCCGGCATCAGTGGTGATGAACAGATTGGCAGGCTTCGGTCTCGTCTTGTGGACACTGGTAGGCAAGCTGGGCATCCTCTGTCTCAGCCGCTCGGGCGAGGCCTTGCGCAGCGGAAGATGAGGTTCGGGACTGCGGACTCTGCGCGGCCATGAAAACTGCGGCGTCGTGGGCTGCGAGGGCGACACGGGCGAGTCGGGCGTGTCTTCTCGCTGGGCGTGGTAGTGCTGGTTGGCGAGGACGGCATTGATGGAAGCCGTGGGAGCCATCATGGTCAATCTGCTTGTTCTCCTTCTTCCAGTGTGTCTATACGAATTTCAGGAGGGCACTCCGACTCATGTTTGTGTTTCGTATAAGCGCTGTGCACCAAAGCTCCGAGCATCGATTTCCCTCGTATTGGTTTTCCGGCTCAAGTTGTATCTTGTTGTGCTTTGCTAGATTCCAAGAAAGAAAGCAAAAGCAAAAGCGGTGCAAGCAAAACGTCAAGAAGCTCCGCTCGCTCACAACAACCAACATGCAACAATCACAAACCCCCAAGGAAACATCCAAAACACACGGACGGCCTTTTCTGTCCACAAACCCGTGCCAACGAACCTCTTTCCTTGTCCACGCTGCCAACTCCAAAAACTGAAACACTCTCGCCCAGAACCTAAAAAGTGACGTTTTCCCATTGGTTCCCCCCATCCTGAAGCAATTTCCACAGCTCGAGCCAAGCAATCAATGATTTCCCGTCCAACTTCCAACACCAACCTGTTTGTTCCTTTCCCTTCCCTTCCAACCAAACAAGCTCCCGAGAGCGAAAAGAGTTGTCTGTCTTACCAACAAGACGGCTGCTCCCGCAGCTTAACCAGATTTCTACACACCAATTGCTGTCAACAACCCATCACGATCTAATGATTCAAATGCGATGCGACGCCCCGATCTAAACAGCATCATATAAGGCAATCTCGCTTCTATCTCGCAATATATTAGAATCGTAACCTCGTCTCGATGTCGTCTTTCCAAAAGTGCCGGGAGAAAGAATCTCACAGAGTCACAGGGCTGTCGAGTTGTATTGCAAAAACCCCGTTGGTAACACCCTTCAAATAACATCTCCTGAGCCGAAAAGCCGTTTCCCATCATAAAAAAAGGGTATCTTCGGATATCTTCGTTTGCTCTATCTTGTATATCGTAGCATGCAAATGCTTAAATGACTGGACCGTTTCCTATTCAATCCGTCGTGTCATATCGAGAGCGCTGCCCTGCCAGTCCATCATCCTGCCACATGATTTTATTTCGCTTCAAACAAAATGCCATGCCCGTCGTAACGAAGAGTGGAAAAAAGACAATTCATCGTCTACCAGCCAACACCTCGCCCAGTTCTTTTNNTAGTCGCACAGGTTTGGTCATGAACTGATCCACGCCAGAAGAAAATGCTTCCTGCTGTGCTTCTGCACTTGCCAATCCTGTTAATGCGATAACCTTACTCGCTCCCATGCCATTGCTCTGTTCGAATGAGCGGATTCTCCTCGTAGCTTCTAAGCCATCCATTCTCGGCATCGAGATGTCCATACAGATGAAATCAAATTTCGTCGCTGCGTCTTGTTGGTTTGAACAAAANGCTTCTACTGCTTCTACGCCATCTTCGGCTGTCACGTAGTCGTGTTTCTTCGACTTGCAGTAGCGGACCAGTAACTGCAGGTTGATCTTGTTGTCGTCGACAAGGAGAAGACGCAAAGGTTTGGGTCCGTCTTTCTGATCTGCCGAACTTTTGCTTTCTTCAGCTGCTGCTTTGCTCTGACTTCGTGTGACTCGTGATGGCGTCAGTTCCCGCGATTGTGCAGGTTGCTTCCCATCATTTTCTTCGACATCGGGACCCGGTATACTTGGCAGCATAGTGATTTCCGTGTCTCGATATAAAACAACATCCTCCAGCTGCGGTGATTGTTGCTCTTTGCACGAAACAAACGCGCGTGCCAGTTTGCGAGGTCCAAAGGGTTGCGAAATAAACTCAGTCGTGACTGCTCTTCGTAGTGTTTCGCTCGCGACGTACATCTGTCGAAGTCGCATGTTGCTCTCGCAGAGCACAATAACCGGTTTGCCGAGCTTGACCAGCTGATCTCTGATGTCCGGCAGATTGCGACATGTCGTAAGCACCACTGCTGCATCGCCAACCTCGTTCACGCCACTGACAATGCTAAACTCGATTTTAAACCAACCCCAGCATTGCTTGTCGAGCGCTTTGCGAAGTGATCGTTGAGAAGAAGATTCCCCATCAGCCGCAATCGGAGGATCGATGAATGCTGCTTTGAGGCCGTGAAGCTTTTGTGCTGCTTCGGTCATGATGAAAGCCTCGTCATTCGCTTCCGGGCTTGGAGCTGGATCAATCATGATGACCTCGACGCGAATCTCAGTGCCCTTGTTCAATTCGGATTCCACGTATATATCGCCACCAAGATTGCTGACGATATGTCGCACCATTGAGAGACCGAGTCCTGCTCCAGGGTTGAGAGGGTCCTCTTGCGCAAACGGCCTGAACAGATGGTTTTGCAAGTATTCTTTGGATATGCCTCTGCCAGTGTCTTTGATGGTCAGTGTTATGCGGCTTCTCTTTGATCCATCGCCATCTCTCGGCATCTCTTGGGAAGCGAGTTGTATGTAGATGAAACCGTCGTTTGTATACTTCNNCAAGCTGTTGCCAGTCNNTGGAGAGTGTCAGTATCTAGCGATCCGTACAAATATGGGATTGCTTACCAGGTTCATAACTAAGCGTTTCCATGCTCCTCCTTCGGAACAAAGTAGCCAGTTTTCATGGTCCTTAGCCTCAATGTCAACAATGACTTTTACGTCGCGGTCCCCTGTCATATGAGCACGCTTAGATGCCTGACCAGTGTGCGACTCTTCACGAGAACTTGCAACAGACGAGTAGCCAGCAAACACAGTTTCCAGTGCTTCTTCGGTGATCGTAGGTAAATGTACTGTTGAGTCGAGACTCAACATATCAGCCTGTCTTGTTTCTGAATTCTTCTGACGCTTGGACTTGTTGCGGGTAAAATTGTTGATTTTGCTGAAGTCAAGAAGATGGTTGATAGTGTCCAGGAGTGTGCGTCCACAGGTCTCGACAGTCTCAACCAGACCGTGCTGCATTGGATCAAGGTCTGATGACTCCAGACATTCTATACTGCCCAAAATACCATGTAATGGACTACGAAGCTCATGGCTGATGCTGTTGAGCAAATCAGATTTGGTCTTATCAGCCATGGCGGTGTCTAGCTTGGCGACCTCAGACATGATGGCCATTCCAAAAGCTCGCAAGAAACTCAATTCGGAGTCTTTGTGCAGCAAGCGTATCTCCCTGTTGGACCAAATAATACCACCGCAGAACCAACGCATTCTGTGATCGTCCCACATGGGAACAAATGCTAGAGAACGAGCCTCTGGAAACAAGCGCCTCAGGTCTTTGATGTCGGTTTGTCTCTGTCGACGCACTTGTTCCCGCGTCTCGTCGTCTGAATTCTGTTCCTCTTCCGGTTCGATCTTTTGGCCAAAATCTTCTGGCTCGTCAGGTGTTTTGGGGTTTGTCATGTACAGCTCGGTCTCTCTGTGATCGATGTTGAAGATTCTCCCTTGTCCGTAGCGGGTCAAAAAGGAATGTAAAAAGCCTTCGGTGATAGAGAAGCCAGGACCTGTGTCACCAGCACTTCCCAAAACATGACACTCCTTGTTAGAGGCGGCATTACGAGTAAAGTAGGAAGCAGCGTCGTCGTCAGAGGCAGCGGGTACCGACTGAACCAGAGCGCCGAAACTGCCAACAGAAGCATCAAGAAAGACAACACCTTCAACATCGATGGCATTTTTGATGATTCCAGCAGCACGTTGGAAAGTGGATTTGACATCGGTCGATAACATTTGAGCCTGGAGATTTTCAAAGCTGAGATTATCGTCCATGTCGTTCAGATCGTCTGGGTCCATAGGTGGGTTTTCTTGTTGAATGTGGGCCATTTCTGGCGGCTTGGAAGTTGAAGCTCCAGGAGTTGCAGGTGGGGCACCTTGATGTTCGACCTTGGTGCTCTTGGGGATGTCTTTAGAATGCAAGTTCATGTCAATGTAGTCCTTACCCTCTACAAAAGAGCCCAGACCCACAACCATTTGTGACGTGCGGCGGTGCTCTTCTTTTGATCTGACCATGTCGAGATGGGACATGATTGTGTCGGACATGTGTTCGAGGAAGGTCTTGTCGGAGTCGGAAAGGCCATCTTTCGGCTCGTCGTGTAGGATTGAGATGACACCGATGACAGGGCCATAGGGACTTCGTATGCCGATGCCGGCGTAAAAGGATACGTTATGAGGCATGTTGGTATGTGATTTGTGCTTCTTGTACCATTCATCATCTTCAACATTGGCGACTACGACAACGCGATCGTGCTCAGTGTCCAGCTTGTTGTCGGCCAGCTCGAGAGTGCGCTCGCATAGCTGTGATTGCCGCTCCTCAATTCCTGAGCCCATCCATAGTTCGTCTTTAGGGTCGTCAGCCTTGTGTGTCTTGAGATCGAGAGTCGGTGTGGCCTCGGCCAGGATGTATTGGTTGTTGCGATCGAAGCAGGAGACGAGACAACGGCTGATGCGCAGTCTCAGGCAGATGAATTGAGCGTAGGCAGCAAGGGCATCGTCGAAAGAGGCGGAGCGGCCATGCGACCCTGAGTTGATGTCCTCGTTGCTCGTTTTCATAAGGTTGTCAAAGGGTTCATAGTATCTGTACGCGGATGGTTAGCAGGTAGGGTCTGAGCATAGCCATGGGACTCGACATGCTTGTAGAACTCGCGCGCCCTGACGCCTTCGATTTCGCCATTGTACCTGGCCGCAAAGTCAGCCGGAGTAGGCGACATGACGACGGCAGTTGCGATGCTCGTCGTCAAGAGGAGGCGGTCGAAGAAAGGGCGCTGTTAGAGGGCAGTCGATGGCGGCCGTCGGATTTCCAGGTAGGCGCAATAGACTCTTCTACGAACTCGTCTCAGGTGGCATCGTGGTCGTCGTCGTTACAAGTGTCCAAATGCCATGCCGACTATGCTTTTCTCATAGTGCATCCCTCAAACACGATGACAAGAGCTTGGGCCAGTATTGATGTCTTTGGGTTCGGTCTAGAACTGCGCCAGCATCGTCATATGTCTGCCGCAACTTGAAGCCTCCCGCGGTCTCGCGGTGCTGTCCGCGAACGTCGTACTTGAATCCACACTTTTACCAAGATGTCTGGCACGCTGACATCACTATTGATGCTGTGCGGATTTGCTTCTGTTTCTTGAAGTTCAAGGGCTGCTTTACGGGCGTAGACTGCACGCTGATTGCTGACGTGCTTGCAAATCCAATTCATGCAAGTGCGGGCATGCGGTAGGTGCCACCAAATAAGCTATTGTAACACAAGCCAATCATGCTAAGCGCTTGGACGCTGCTTTATTCTTGTTGGCACTATCACCCTGTCATAAGTTAGTCGAATAACCATCAACGGCATTAATATTCGATTAGTCACAGTCTAGGTCTAGTTAAAGGACAGCATGGTATCGTAGACTGCTCGTGTCAAACCTCCCCATGTGCAAAAGTTTGTAACGCATGTAGCTATAGAAATGCATAATATTAACAGGAAACAAGATAGGTCCACTGAGAAGCAGCAATTTGTCGGCTCTCCGTGGGTACGCCTCTACTTCGAGCACAGTTGTGCCTTTTTATAGTCAGCTTTTTGCTCTCAGCTGTAGTCGAAGTACAATGGAAGTTACATCCTTTGGCACACGGGGAGGAAGCGTTCTCCTTATATACGCTAACATGCCTCGGTGTTTGACCAGATCTAATGTACTGAGCTCAAGGTGACTCGATCACTTTTGCAACGGGGAATAATCAAGCAACTCGACCAAAACAAAAAGCGAATGATCTCCAAACATCTAAATTGTGCGAACGATCTAGTACTTTTGATCCTAATACAAACATGTCATGATACATTTTCCAAAAGCTGTGGTTACGCGATCTAGAGAGACGCTCTAAACCTGCAGCTTCTCCTGAGGCAGAGTCTTGACCTTGTCGTCAAACAGCTTCTCAGCCTCCTGCCACACTCTCTCGCTCTTTCTGTCCTTGAGTGTTCTCAGACTGGGCAAGAGAGCATCGCTGAAGGCTTCTGATGCCTCACGAGGAAGCAGCGAGGGCAGGTGGTCGATCGAGATGACGCACAGCGGTGGGCCGGCAGTGACATTGACGGGGACGGTGGGCTTGTCGAAGGTGGTGTTGATGTCGTAGATAGGAATGGGGTTGTGCGGGTTCGTGGTGTCGCAGCTGACGTCGCACACAACGCTGAGCTTGCGCTGTTCCGAGTTGAGCTGAGCGGGCTCGATGAAGGGAGGAATGGGTTGCGACAGGTAGATGCAGTTGACAAAGATGTCGCTGTCGAGGATCTCGGGGTAAGGGCCAGGGCGGTTCTGTGTCTCGGCCATGTCCCACTTGACGATGTTCTCCTCGGGCACGCCGACCTTCTGCAAAAGGTCGACGGCACCTCTGCCGCAGCGACCCAAAGCGCCCATGACCAGAGCTCTGGGCTTGCGGCCAACCTTCTGCTCACCCTGCTCCAAGCTCTTCTTGATGTCGGCAACCAGTAGACCCTCGTTGGCGAAAGGCTTAACACCCTGCAGAGGCTTGCCAGCACCCTCGACCAGCTGGTGCGCCCAAGCCTGGACAGCCAATGCAGCACCAGCGAACCCGGCGTGGAAACCGAAAGCTGCTACGCGACGTCCTTGCTCGTCTTGCAAGAACTCGAGGTCGTAAAGTGTACCACCGCCACGAGGGAAACGAGCAAGCACCTCTTCCCAACCACCCTGACCCTTGTAGCAGTGTGCGAATTGGACGTGTGTGTGCTTGAGGGGGAATGTCTCTTCAGGAAGCTCCTTGAGACCGACGATGATGTGATCTTGAGGGGCTTCGGTCCAGCTGCCCTCGGGCACCATGTTGGCGCCGACCTTCTCGAACTCCGAGTCGGGGAAGATGCTGAGGCTGCTGCGCTCAATGTTGACGGGGTAGCCCTCGTCCATCAGGGCCTTGGCCGTGGTGGGAGTCAGCGCTGAGCGGTGCTCGAGCGGCTTGGTCNNTACAAGACGGCATTAATTACGTGTACAGCTTTGGGAGGTACTGTCATGTGTAGTTACCTCTGCGCGAAGGTGTAGTGTAGGATACGACATGGTTGATGTGGAAATGGTGTGTAATGGAGGAAGAAGGATGGATGGCGGCTTCTGTTGAACAAAAGATAAGTCGGTCCCGAGCAATTGCAGCGTGTGTGAGTCAATTGTCCCTGGGTTTATTTTGCGGGCAGTCACGTCAATCCATCCCCGAGACCGGCCGATGCCCCACAGTCGCCCACCACGCACCGCAGCCGTCGGTTTTCGCTTTCCAATTCTGAGAGTCAGCATGAGCACCTTGATGTCAAGAATTGTTTGAGCATCCGAGCACATAATTTGGTGTATCGGTCTCGTTTGCAAGTTGTAAGGATGATAGACTGCCATGTAATGCTAACAATATGCATGAGCGCGCCTCGAGCTCTGGTTCGCTTTTTATTTTTGCGCTGTCCTCGCTTTCCATGCGTCTCTGTCACTAATATGCCCACATACACTTCTGGTTCAAGATTCTGGCACCCAGTCTGTCAAACTCTAACTGTCCGATCCAGCTGTCGTTGGTGCCTCTCATCTTGCCAAACACACTGCCACCCTTCCACACCAGAACCTGAGGATCCAGCTCTCTGGGAGGAGGTCCAACCAAGATTTCCTTTTGGAAGTTTGGCTGTAGTGCACGAAGTCTCTGTTCGAGATAGACGTTGAAGTTGTAAGTCTTGCTGCCGCCTCCGATCACCATGATGCCACCGAAGAAGTCGCGCGTCTTCTTCTCATCGCCCTTGGCGCCTTCTGTGATGCATGTAACGATTGCTTGATCCAAGGGCATCACGGGCAGCACATCCTCAGTATCTGGCTGTGCACCTTCAATCCCGGCACCTGCTACGGCTGGTGTTGCATCTCCAGCTCCTGGCACTGGAGTTGCCGTGTCGTCAGGAGCAGGCGATCCTCCCGGAGATGAGCGAGGTGTACTTTCCGCTACATCGGCAAGATGTGTCAAGCGGTCCAGGTTTAGAGGTTTGCTGGGTGTTGCAGGTACGCCACCGAGTGCTGGTGTACTCGTCGATTCCGCTACAGCTGAGGGAACATTGTCGGATGAGTATTTGTAGACCTGCAGTTGAGCAAGTGACATGGGGTCATTAGGCTTGTCATCGTACGTGTCGGTAGATCGACCGATGAGCTTGCGTCTGCCAGCAAGCTTGTCTGAATGATCAAAGATTGTTGGCTTGAAGAAGCCNCTGCAAATCGTCAGTTAGAGAGCTCAAGTCAGAGATAGTCAAACACGTACCATCGGTGCTAACATGACTTCATCATACGTCTTGAACTGGTACTTGCGAGTGTCCTGACCGAATGCACGCAGATGAAACTCATACAGCTGTACGCTGATATGCGCATCCTCAAGCGTGCAGAACTTTTGCTTCAGTTCTTCCGCCAGCAGGTAGTCGTGTCTCCTCAGCAAATCCATGTTCGCATAATTGAAGTGGTCGTAAAGCATCATCTTGATGAATGTTTCCGTGACATCCTCTCCACCAAATTTCAGGTTCATGCGGGAGTTCTCGACGCACATGCCTTCCTCGACGCAGCAGATGGATGTCTTCTGTGCACCAACATCCACGATACAACTGCTCGAGTACCCAGCTCCAAAAGTTGCTGCCAGACTTTCCTGAATGAAGCAAACACGCTGGAAACCGAAGTCGCGGAACATTTCTTCGAGGATGGATGTTACGAAAACTTTCTCGTACAGGTCGGGAATGATGAATACGCAAGAGTACTGTGCCCAGTCTTTCTTGCGATTAAGGTGAAGTTCGTTCTTGATGGCCTCTTCGATAATGCGGAAGAAGTCGCGAAGTAGGCTAGATTTGCTCGAGTAGTCCTGTTCGTTGAGCCAACCATACTTCAGCGGCCAGTAGAGTCTGTATCGCGGCTTCGAATGCTGTGGTATCCGTAGAGCTGCATGTCCAGTGAAGTATTCGGGTGCAGGTGATGCAATTTCAGTCCAGTCAACACGCTGAGGATCATTGTGTTCAGAAATGGTTTCTGGAGCATTGCGCGAGTTCCAGTTAACCACAAGTTCACGCGAGTTGGGCAAGACTCTGCGTTTGTTGTTGCGACGGTAAATCTTGAAGTCGGCTGCCATGTTGCTGTATTCCTTTGCGAACTGCTTTCGGGTCAGTTATTGACTAGCGTTCGAGGCAGCATGTCAACGCACATCTTCGCTGAAAGCACTCTCACCAGCAGACTCTGCCGTGCCGTCCTGCAGCTTGAGTCGCTTTGGTCGCGGCTCAGCGCCAGGTTCCTCATCTTCAGCGTGTGAAGCTTTGCGTGCAATCACCATTGGTATCGTCTTGGGNAGGGCGTCTGTGGCAAGACCAATACGTAGATTGCGACTGCCGGGATGAATGACAATTGTCTTCGAACCAAAGGCTTCAGCTTCAGCAGCTTCGTCCTCGGCAGCATCTTCGTCCATTTCAGCTTGCGCAGCATCAGCTGAGACTCCATTAGAAGCTGCCTGAGCCATTGCACGGTCCTTATCGCGCGCAGCTTTGATCATGCGATTGCGGTTCTCCTCGCCCTGAAGGCGGAAAGCGAGGAACTGCTCATCGCGCTTCAAGAAGTCACTATACAGAAAGACGAAAGTCAGCAATACTGCGCGTCAAGAGAGCAGACTATTGTACCCGTGTGACCGCTCTTGCCGTTCATAGATTCCTTTGGGCATTGGACCATGTTACTCGAAACAAACAACAAACAGTGACAAGAAAGGGATGCAAAAGACAAGATGTGGCAGCTTTTTGGACAGAGTGTTGATGTGCTCGGGCATAGGAAGAGAGGTGAGACGAACGTATAGTAATTCTTCTTATTGACGACCTTGGGGATCAATTCAAAGGGGGAATTCATCGGGCCATTAGATGAAGCCATCGTATGCGGCGCGACTTGCGGGTAACGGATATATTATTATTCGTTTGCCGCCGCAAGGGAAGGGGTTTTCGATTTGGAGGATTGCTCGGATTGCGCTGCTCACCAAACAGCGTGGCTGATCGCGCGCGCAAGCTCCCAGCGTACGCTCTGTCGGAGCCGAGCTGGCTGTCACGTGTGCCGCCAGCCCTTCCAACCACATGTTGCGCAAGCCGGACCGTGCACGCAGACCTACAAAATTTCGACTTTTTCTCCTTCGTCTCTCCCTTTGCACCACAACAACCTGTATTCCAGCTCCGACATTTGCGACCAGCTTCGCGCATTGCCTGTCTCTGCATACAGAATGCAAGAGACAGGCGTCAACAGTTTAGGTAAGCTTTCGCGCATCCCTTCAAGAATCACCACCAACACCCCTCCAACCTGATGAACGAATGTTTTACGATTAGTCTTACGGAATGTATTCATGTCGACAAACATATTCTGCCCTTTTGCTCTCTGATCTCCATTGGAGCACTTGTTTTGCACACCTCAAGCCACAGCATGTTTGAGATTATCTGCTAACACGATGCTCAGTAGGTCCCAAGGTCACGAATCACACAGCTCTATCACAGCTCTATATACATATATACTTGAATCATATTCTTATTCATTTCTCTCATTTCATGTCGAATCCAATATCACTCTCTCTCTCTGTTCGCCGGTGCACGATGAACAGTCACGTTATTGCCAAATCTGCGTTCGACCCAAAGCCGCATGGGTTTTGCGTACTGTGACCGGGCCAGCAATCGTCTACAAAAGAGTGCTCTTAGCCAACACTCTCAGGATGAAGGTCTTCGTGCTACATACCCTCAGATATATCAAATCTTGGCATTTTTCTAAAGTCTACTCGGGGCAACGTTCACTTCATCTTGTTGCAGCTTGCCAATTGCTTGATGCTGTCCTCGTTTTCTGCCTTGCACATATCGCAGGGGCATCTTCATATTTCAACATGGTTGCAGTATCAGCGTCCTTCCTCCTCGTGTGCTGAACACTATCACAAACGGAGCTGTAGAAATGCACAATACTTTGCGAAAGGAATGCAGTTTCTACGGAGAGCCTCATCGAAGGCTATCTCAATGGCCAGAGTCACAGATGAATTCCTACTGTGCATTTCAATAGCATGTTATGAGCCTTCTACTAGTGATGAGAAGGGGTCAATCGCAAAGTTGTGACAGTCTTTAGCACACGGGAGGTTAAGGCAGGCGGTCACCTCCGATCAGCAATCGCGACATTCACAGATAAGGCAGGGGTAGCCAAGGACTCCCATGAAGTCAACTATGCTCCCAAGTAATCATACAGCCTTCCAAGAGAGGTACAGTATTCCGTGGCAGTCCTTCAGATGCTTGAGGTTGTGATAAGCATCATCGGAGGCCGCCGACACACCTTGGGGCTCCACCTCGCACGGAGATGTCGATGAAGCAAGTACCATGATGGCCATCACTAGTCGATTGCGGGGTCACTTAGACGTCAATCGCAACCTGGAGACCTCTCGATTGCCTATAACATGTTATATACCGCTGCGAGCTGGTGATGGAGGTGTTCCTTTCTGGCTGGCCCAACCACTCGACGGAGCGAGTCAGTGGATCTCATCCTTCCTTGGCACTCCACGCACAAGCACGACAAGAAGAATTTTGACAACGACCATTTGCACACAAAGCAGTCACATCTGCTCTCTCGAAGGCCAGAACTGCGTTCCACTGGCAACTCTTTGCGGCGCCTATCTGATATGACCACAGCTATGAGTCAATAGGCGAGTGCACATGCTGCCGTTGCGGCAGAAGAAATCGTTTCCAAGACCTCGTCCAAGACCTTGGCGACGCCTTTTGCATACCATGGACGCCTTTAGCATCCTTCGGGACCCTTTTTCGTGTGCCCTTATCGTAAACTGCTCGCGTGGTGTGAAGCAGAGATATCTCTTGGCCATGGCTCGGCGAGCAATAGAAAATAACCCCGAGCCCAACCTTGGTGGTAGACAATTTTTTTTTCAGTATCATTTCGAGTCTCTCTTCTTTCGCGCACGCTCTCACGTCGCTGGCTTGATCCTCAGCTTCATACGTCTGTGTCAAGATGAGCTGGGTTCACAAGACTAACCAATCAATCGCCAAATCGGCCTTTGGCAGGTATTTCCGATTGGAGGGATCTGGTCATGTTAGCATTACTCTTGGTTGTGCTCATACACTCTCAAGCTGATAGCTTTCTTACAGCNACCGTTCGCGTGATGGATCTTTCTTCTTCACCGAGGTCCGCGCTGGTCTCGCGACTTTCTTCGCCATGGCATACATCATCGCCGTAAACTCCTCCGTCGTTTCAGACACTGGTGGTACCTGTGTCTGCCCTCCTACCAGCCTCGACGCCTGTGCTACCGATGTTGCATACAACCTATGCAAGCAAGAAATTCGTCGCGACCTTGTCACCGCAACTGCCGCCATCTCTGCCTTGACTTCCTTCTGCATGGGCTTGTTCGCGAACCTGCCTCTGGGTCTGGCACCTGGTATGGGCATCAACGCATACTTCACCTACACAGTCGTAGGCTTCAACGGCACTGGTCTTGTTCCCTACAGAATCGCACTTACCGCTGTCTTCGTGGAAGGCCTTCTTNTCGTCGCTCTTACACTCCTCGGTATTCGTCAATGGCTTGCTCGTGCCATTCCGACTTCGATCAAGTTGGCTACTGGTGTCGGTATTGGTCTTTACCTTACCATCATTGGTTTCTCGTACAGTGCGGGCGTTGGTCTTATTACTGGCGCGTCCAGCACACCTCTTGAAATTGCTGGTTGTTCTCAACAGTACCTGACAGTGAATGACGGCTTGATGTGCGACCCCAGCCACAAGATGAGATCTCCCACCATGTGGATTGGTATCTTCCTTGGCGGCTTCTTGACTGTTTTCCTCATGATGTTCCGCGTCAAGGGCGCAATTATCGCCGGTATCTTGCTCGTCTCGATCATTTCCTGGCCCCGTGGCACCGATGTGACCTACTTCCCCCACACCGAGCTGGGTGACAGCAGTTTCGACTTCTTCAAGAACGTTGTAACTTTTCGTCCCATCAAGAACATTCTAGCTGCTCAGGAGTGGGATGTCAGCTCCCACGGTGGTCAATTCGGTCTCGCTCTGATTACCTTCCTCTATGTTGATATTCTCGACTGTACTGGTACTCTCTACGCCATGGCTCGCTTTGCTGGAGTCATGGACGAGAAGACTCAGGACTTCGAGGGCAGTGCTACCGCCTACTTGGTTGACGCTGTCGGTATCTCAATTGGCTCTCTATTTGGTACATCTCCCGTCACTGCATTCATCGAGTCTGGTGCTGGTATTTCTGAGGGTGGCAAGACCGGAATTGCAGCTATGGTGACTGGTTTCTGCTTCTTTATCTCTGTCTTCTTTGCCCCGATCTTTGCTTCTATTCCTCCCTGGGCTACTGGAGGCACACTTATCATTATTGGTTCTCTGATGGCCAAGTCTGCTGCCGACATCAACTGGCGCTACATGGGCGACGCCATTCCAGCCTTCCTCACCATCGCCACCATGCCATTCACCTACTCGATTGCTTACGGTCTGATCGCTGGTATCATGTCCTACATTCTCATCAACACCACCGTCTACATGATTGAGAAGGCTTCCGGAGGCAAGTTTGTTCCCCAAGACAAGCAGTTCAAGGAGCCTTGGACCTGGAGACTCGATGGCGGTCTCTTCCCTCCATGGGTTGTCCGCGCTGCAAAGGGAAAGAGAGACTTCTGGAAGCCATACGAAATGGTGGATCACGCAAACAGTGAGCAGGAATCTGTTACCGAGGTGCCTAGCTCAGGTGCCGCCAAGGGTCTTGGTCCTGATGAGGGAAGCAGTGCCAGCAGCAAGGTGCGTCGTCGTTCCGTCCAGCATGAACTGTGAAAAAGTCGATCTTGTTCTGACCTGGTTCTGCTCAAGGTTTGATTGACAAGTCTTACCCCCCAAATCGGCGCTGCTGCATGATCTCGAACGATGTTCTGATTTTTTCTTGTTCTCAATACCACATATGTATATACCTCACGATGCCATGGCCAGCGATGTTTCATGCCATGTTGACCATATGAAACTGTATCCATTGTATCATGCAATTTTCACTGTATCATGCAATTTTATGCTTGCATAACGTGAATGGAGATTTGGATATCTGTTATGCAAGTTCGAGTAATGATCTGCGGCGAACAGCCGACAAGTTCGTCATCCTTGTCGATGGAGATTGTCCCCCTTCGACTCTCATTCTCTCCTGGCTTCGAAATCGAGATTTGTCATGTCAGAAATGAGCGAGACTGAGAAGTCGCTGTCACTTCCTTCGGCGCCTGCCATCAACGTTACGCCTGCATTGACGGTGCAATCGCCGCTATCGAGAGCAGGCAAGGGTCCAGCGCTGATTATCTTGATTGATCAGGATGCTGCGATGAAAGCCTCGATAGACAGCATCGACCCTCCACCACTGCAAAAGTGGGCAGAGGAGAGTTTCGTTGTTGCCCAAGTGGACATATGCAAACTACAAACAAGCTTCGAGGATACTCTGTCCGACGCCATCTCAATCATCAAAGGCGTTCCGAGTTTTGATGGTAATGAGAAGTTTGGTGTAATTTGTTCGTCATACATATCAGTACCACTGAAAGAGGAGCACTGATAGAGATTAGCATACCTATCTTCATGGCCTGCTCAAATTACTCACGCACTGGAAACAACCCAAGACATAGCCTCGATAGTCGTTTATGGGTCATCAGAGGTTGAATTTACCAAACCGACACTTTTCCACAAACCTGGCAACCCACCGATACCGATCAAGAAAGATGCGTCAAAGAAGAACAAGACTTACTACTATCCCAAAGTCGAGCCATTCTTTGTGCTACCAGCACATAAATCTTTCCACGCTTCATCGGCATCAGTATCGCATACACGCACGCTCAGCTATCTGAAACCAATTCTCGGTGGTCCATACTTTGATCTTGAGGAGATTTGGGAAGAGCACTGCTTGTACGAGTTTGGTGAGCGAGCTGTTGAAAAGACCATGTCTACTATGGTCCAGGAACCCTATGTCAATCATATCCCTACGTTGACCGGCGGTATCGGAAGAGCCAGGTTAACAGACTTCTACCGTGACCATTTCGTCTTCAACAATCCAGACGATACCGCTCTGGAACTGGTTAGTCGAACTGTGGGCATCGATCGGGTAATCGACGAGTTCATCTTCAATTTCACTCATGACAGAGAAATTGACTGGCTGTAGGTATTCACCAGCCGGGTCCAGCTGATCGCATGCTAATATCGTTATAGACTTCCTGGAGTCCCGCCGACAGGANAAAAGTGCCGCCTACCATTCACCAGCATTGTCAATATTCGTGGCGACAGATTGTACCATGAGCACATCGCATGGGACCAAGCTACTGCTCTTGTCCAGCTTGGTCTGCTGCCGGAGTACCTTCCGTTCTCGTATCCGATCGAGGGTAAGACTGCGGCACCAGGCAAACATTTCGAATATAGAGTGCCGGCAGCTGGTGTGGAGACTGCGCAGAAGTTGGTCGACGAGTCCTCTGTGGAGTCGAATCAGATGCTTGCGTTTGCTATTCGAGAGGCCGACGACTAAACAACGACATACGGCCATTTATGCCCAAATCTTTCAACCGGAGTCACAAGCCCGGGTTCAATGACAGACAGAGTGAACAAGGTCGAAAGGAACAAAAGACCTGCCATCGGCTCCGCCATCAGATTGCCCCGCATGTTTTCGTAGCTGCTGCCATGCAGATCTCCAGGCACCATGATGGCATGGCGCGGGGAAGAAAGTTAATTTACCTCTACAAGCACCTCTTATGCTCTTTCAAATAAACAGCAAGATCGTGATCGGTTGGTGAAAAGCTTCTTGGAAATGTTTACCAAGCATACCAGCCGTGTGAGGAGTCAGCCCATGACGTCTTAACAGTTATCGGATATGATTATATATCCCTAGCATATCCCGTGCGCCTCGGACGTTTCGAAGCTGTATACGATCCACGCTCGACAAGATGGTCTCGTCTTTTGTGCCCATAGCGCTGTTATTCGTGCTGGTCAATGGTATGTGACTTCNCTGTATTGTCGCAACCTATTTTGACGCTCTACACTACAGCTCAGAAACCGCAATATCCTCCGGCATTCCCCTTGCAGCCTTCTCTAGCATCATCCTACAATAATGCACCAAGTGTTCTTCCCAATGTACTTGACACCAGTGCCCCCAACGCCCAAGATGTCTGTCCCGGATACAAAGCCTCCAATGTACAACAAAGCAGTTCTAGTCTCACGGCTGATTTGACTCTGGCTGGCACTCCCTGTAACATTTACGGTAACGATATCCAGGATCTTATATTGTCTGTTCAGTATCAGAATCAGACCAGACTTGCTGTCAGCATCGCTCCCAAATACCTTGCTCCCCACAACGAGTCACTTTATATCCTGGATGAGCGTTACACTCCGCGACCCGGAGCCGAGNGGGGTAGTAGCAATATTACCAGCGACCTGGCTTTTTCTTGGAGCAACAATCCCAGTTTCCAGTTTGAGATCACCCGGGTTCGATCTGGTGAGACGATCTTCAGTACATTTGGCAAGAAGATCGTTTTCGAAGATCAGTTCCTTGAGTTGGTCACCTCAATGGTTCCGGACTATAATGTGTATGGCTTTGCTGAAGCCTTTCACTCTNTCCGATTGGGCAACAACTACACGCAGACCTTCTGGAATGCCTACAACCTTGACAACGATCAATTGCCTGACGTCAATGGACATAGTACGCATCCAGTGTACCTGGAAACTCGTTATGGCAACGGCACATCTACCTCTCATGGAGTATATGCTCGTAACGCACATGGTCAAGATTGGCTCCTGAGAGAAGATACCATCACATACCGCACGATCGGCGGTAGTTTCGATCTCTACTTCCTCAGCGGCCCTACGGCANAAGAGGTCATCAGCCAATACCAAGTGGGCATAGTCAACACTCCCGTCATGCAAGCTTATTGGGCGCTTGGCTTCCATCAATGTCGTTGGGGCTACTTGAATTGGACGAACCTTCGTGATGTAGTCGAGCTATACGCCGAGCAGAACATCCAACTCGAAGGTATCATGAACGACCTCGATTACCTCAACCTGAACAGAGACTTTACCCACAACGCAAACTATCCAGTGGACGAAGGAAGAGAATTCTTGGACTGGCTGCACGCGCGTGGTCAATACTACTTGCCTATACTGGACCCAAATATCTATGCTCCAGACCCGACTAATGCCAGTGATGCATACCCACCCTTCGACCGTGGCAATGAGCTCGACGTCTTCATCAGAAATGGCAACGACAGCTTATACTACGGCATGGAATGGAATGGCTTCAGCGTCTGGCCCGACTTTTCCGTCCCACAAGCCCAACAATTCTGGACAGAGCAATTCATCGAATTCCACAAGTCGTTGGCGTTCGATGGATTCTGGCTTGATGTCAGTGATCCCACTTCTTGGTGTACCGGTAGCTGTGGTCAATATCAGCGAAGTCTGAACCCTGTGCATGTGCCTNTTGCATTGCCTGGAGATCCAAACACGAGCATTGCGGTGGATTACAGATATCCAGAGATGTTTAATGTTACGAATGCGACTGAGGCTGCTTCAGCTAGTGCGGCAAGAGCGTCGCAGTCGTCGGCGTATCCGTCTATGACACTTGCTCCTTCCCCTGTTCTGGGACGCACGCTCGCTACTCCTGGTATTCGCAATCTCAATTTCCCGCCTTACGCCATCAACAATTTCCTGCCTGGTCACAGTCTGCTGAAACAGGTTATTGCACCTAATGCAACTCATCTAGATGGACCTTACAACAGTACTGAGTATGAGCTGCACAACCTTTATGGTCATCTGAGTGCCAATGCATCATACAATGCTCTCGTCGCAGTCTACGAAGGCAAGAGACCATGGTTCATCGCCAGAAGCACTTTCGCTGGAAGTGGTGCCTTTGCTGGCCACTGGGGTATGCAACGCCGTGAACGTCTTTGAATTACACTTGCTGACTTGCGACAGNGTGGTGACACTAACTCTGACTGGGGAGACATGTACTTCGGCATTTCCCAAGCCTTGCAGTTCTCCATCGCTGGTATTCCATACTTCGGCGTCGAGACTTGCGGCTTTAACGGCAATGCCGATATGGAGCTGTGTACACGATGGATGCAATTGAGCGCTTGGTTCCCAATGTAAGTGACAGGACGATGGTTATCGAAAGCCTGCCGCTAATGCTCAAGTTTAGGTNATCGCAACCACAACAACCGCAACACCATTGCTCAGGAGGCATATCGCTGGGCAACGACGGCCGAGTCGACCAGACGTATCATGAACATTCGCTACTCTCTGCTTCCATACACATACACGCTCTTCCATAAAGCGAACAAGGCAGGTGAGACGGTACTGAGAGCACTTGCTTGGGAGTTCCCCGAGGACGCTTCGCTCAAAGCCATCGACAACCAATTCATGAGCGGTCCAGCACTTTTGGTGACGCCAGTACTCGCACCACTCGTCACTTCAGTACAAGGAGTATTCCCAGGAGTGGCTACTGGAACGATCTGGTACGACTGGTATACTCTGTCGAAAGTCGATGTTGCTCCTGGCGAAAACAAGACATTGAGTGCACCAATTGAGCATCAGCCAATCTTCGTCAGAGGTGGCTACATTATCCCAATCCAGAAAGCTGGAAACACGACTGCGACCTCGAGGAAGAGTCCTTGGAGCTTGCTAATCGCTCTTGACAAGGATGGTATGGCGAGCGGTGAGCTGTATCTCGATGAAGGCATCAACATCGTCCAGAATGCAACAAAGAACGTTGAGGTAAGGCAATTGTTTCCCGTCTCTCCAATCACACTGACCATGCTGTTAGNNATATCATTTGCAAACAACATGTTGTCTACCAAGGTCATTGGTGACTTCCAAGACGGCATTCCGTTGGCCAACATCACCATCGCTGGTGCATCGGCTCTGCCAAAAGACATCAAGCTTCATGTCGATGGCGCTGCTTGTGAGACTTCTGTTGTTGAAGTTAAGGCAGGTGGCAATGTGACCTACATAACAGGACTTGAGGGTGTTACGACAGGTGGCGCGTGGCAGAGCGATCTGAAGCTTCAACTGGTGTACTGAGAGGCGTGAACAGCGGTGCTTTCTAACCTGCGGAGGAGCCCTTTTACTGAGAAGATTCAGTAGATCAGAGTGATCCTAATGTTGTAACCGGGATGACTGATTCACGCGCGAGATAGCAGAACGTTGGAGGAGGTTGGGAAGGTGGTTGTTATTGTGATGTTGACGCATGTCGACAAGGTGGCTTAGATATACAACGTTCATATCGCTCCTTCCAACGTTCTTCTCTGCGTAGCAGGCAATCATGCTGACAATGCACCATCCCACTTGCTCGCTCGCGCTGAATCATGTCTTAGACACGACGATGGCCGTGTTCCTGGCTTGGTGGCGCATATCACTTGTGGAACCATGGGTCCTTCGATGTCCCATATGTGATGTCCAAGCATTCTGAGAAAGCTGGTTGTTGTGAAGTACTTGCGCAGAAGAACTGCCTTCACACCGATCATCTCAAGGTGCTCAAGCCGGTCTAGTCTTAGTGTCTTCAACACCTTGAGATCCCCATCAAGCATGACTTTGTCCATCACAAGGCTGATCAAAGTTCCAGCGACCTTGCGCAATAGCTTTAGGACGTCATCTGTAGAGACAAATATACGACTGAGGTGTACGTTGCTCAGATGACTGGTTTGCAGTGATTCCAAGAATTTGGTGTCACATCTCCATAAGCCGTCAGGGTTCGGATTGATGAACCGTAACATGGTGTGTATGAGGAAACCGTCGCTCTCTTGATTGTCGCCCCTTGAAATGTTCAGAGTTTTCAGACGACGAGCGCTCTTCATGATCCTGGCTAATGCACAGTCGTCGGTCGTTTCTCGGTGGTTCCTGAGATGTTGTGGCCTGATTTGAAGGAGTCTAAGATCTCGACCAATGTGTTGAAGCTCATCGCAAAGATACGAGACAGATGAGTTATCGATGGCCTGTAAGCTCTGCTTTTGCTGTGGCCACGACGAGCTCACAAGCCATGATTCGAGCGAACAAGACAGCCGGGTGAAGGGAAGTCCACTCCTAGCCCATGCAAGCATAATCCTAGCACCTGTTTCTGGACAAGCCTCCCACAAACGCCCTCTCTGTAGCCCTAAGCCTGTACGTGGCCTCGTGTTCCAAGTCTGTCGGAACTTGTCGTTGAACAAAGCACGCTCGATCCGGCCATAGCCATCAGCATTGCATCCGATAGACTTCCGCAGGCGAGCAAAGACAATATCCTCATAAGTGGATATGATAACAGCGTGATTCTCGTTGCATCTAAGACTTTGAAGCGACTTTTGAATCGATTCCAACATTGATGGAGAGAATGATTGGTATTCCGATAAAGCTTTGGTCAGAGCACGTGAGGCAGCCGCCACTTTGGATTGTCCTCGGAATTGATGCTACTCCATCTCGCCGCGGAGCTCATCCAACTTCTTGGATCCGTCTGAGGCTGGTTTGATCGTGTGAAACGCAACCATCATGATATGTGGTGCTATAGAAGGCGAACTGCAGATAGCTTGAAGCCGGTCGAGGGCAGGCTCGGTCGTGAGAACGCCGACATAACTGAAGTAAGCAACACCAAAATAGGGATCTGCATATGTGCGAAGTGCTCTGTTTGCAAGTCTCAATGACTTCAGAGTGGATTTGTGAGTGTAGCCCAATTGCTGGACGATCCTTAACAGAATCTCGTTGGGAAGATGAGGTCCGTGGATTTGTCGGTCATTCATACTTTGAATAGGCAGTCTTTGGCATTGAGACGAATTCTGCCTGTCAGTGATGATACTGCCAAATCATGATTGTTACGTCGCAGAAAGCTCAAGGAAAAGGCAGTCGCTTGGCGCGTGCTTGCTGTGGTTGTTGACGCGCACCGAAGCTTCAAGCTCATTTTGAAGGTTCTTCATCACCTGCATCACTTGCTGACTTAATCCCACAGAATATAAATCAGTCGACGTCAGATTGCGATGGATAATCCCATTGTCGTTGTACATGCAGATGCAAATGCGACAATGAAAGCTGGGCAGTTGTCCTCCCCGTGTGCTATAACTTTAGCCATTGAGCTAGCCTCCATCAAGGTTCTCTCAACGGAGACCAGAGTTTTCGCGAAATCATTGTGCATTTCGACAGCTATACTGTGACTGTCTTTAGCACATGGGGAGGGTGGAAGTCGTGAAAGGACGGGTGGGTCTGCCGGAGACGACCCCCAACCGATGACGTGCCCCCCACCTTGAGGAGTTCTCCCAACCTTGCCAACCACCTGCAATAACTTATTCCCCTTCGGAAGCTCGAATTTAAAGGACTCTCCCGTGGTAACTCCTCCTCTACACTCTCGATTTGGTCACTCTACCTAATGAAATCATTCTCGAGATGTCANAACATTTTCCGACCATCACTGAGTTCAAGCACCCCGACGACGTGCTGGAACAATACAACCTCACGAAAAACACTCTTGCAAGTCTATGTCTTGTATCCAAAGCATGGCGCGAGATAGCTCAACCTTTGCTGTATCGGACATATATCAAGACCGAGAAGACCGACCCTGGTATCGATCACGATGAGTACAACGAAGCAAAAATAGAGGCCATGGAGGCAAGAGGGGTGGACATCTCGACCATACCCGAAGAAGAATTCGAGTACACGGATTATCGAAAACCAATTCCGATTGAGATGTTCATTCGAACAATGATTGAACGCCCAGATTTGGCCGAGCAAGTCGAGTGTCTGTCGATTAGCAACTACTGGGATGAAAACGCAGAGCGAAAATGGGGTCGCACCGACGTCAACAAGGCTTTGGGTGAGGCGATGTATAATGCCAGTCTCAGAGTTCCGCCGCAAAAGACCAAACCGACTTCGAGATATGACGATTGGCGAGAAGACTGGCGCAGTGAGCTTCGCGAAGGCGATGAACTTGCGGAAGTGGCTCTGCTAATGGTTTTACTTCCCAATATCCGATGCTTGGACCTTGGAACATCTTCCCAGGATTATGGCACCTATGTCCATAGTCTCTGGCGACAACTACTCGGATCACAATCGACGAAGAAAGTCGAGCATCACGGACAGGACGTGGAAATTGACGTGAATTTTTTATCACAATCCCAGAAACCGCCTTTGATCCTGTCACGCCTCGTACACTCCAATGCGAGAGTTGATAGCTTTCTCTACAAGAGCGCATCAAAGATCCACATCGTCAGCCCAGTTCTGACGATTCCATCCCTGGAGAGTTTCTACGGCTGGGGTCTTCAAGAAGAGTACTCGAGCAAGAACGTTCGTCTACCGCTAGCTCACCTCAAAGAAGTGTTCCTCAACGATTGTAGACTCTCGGCAGACGTCCTGAATGTCATAATTGGCTGCTGCAAACGACTAGAGTCTCTGGATGTGGTATATTCGCGCTGGACTGATAAAGTCACTCTCAGCGTAAGGTTTTTAATGGCTCTAGCTCAGCGCAAAGAGACCTTGAAAAGACTGACGCTACTCCTGCCTGAGTTTCACCAGCATCGCGACGATCATGAGTTGTTCATCGACGCACCGTGGGATTTGCGCCAACTCACCAACCTCGAGACACTTTCTCTGGATTACGAAATCATATTCTCAGAGGATGCGGAAGCGGATCCGAATGACCCAGACAACGTCAAGTTTCCTTACAATTTGCCTGAGTCCATCGAGCAGTTGAACATCGAAGGCTGCAAGCTTGAAGAAGACATGGCTGAATGTGCTTGTTATCTATTAGAGGCAAGGAAAAAGTTCAGCAAGCTCAAGTTCTTTGAGGTCAGCTACACCACCCTAGAGCCAGCTAACGATGCGCAAAAGAATCAAATCGTTTCCTTAGGCATGGTGGCTGGAATATTCGAAGCTTCAGGGGTGAGGATGAGTATCGTTGATGATGAGGACAAAATCGTAATACCGCACTCATTGGTCAAGGTTGAAGACGGAGAGGATGATTGGTCTGATATGTCAAATTCTGAACTTGGTGATCCGAGAGACGCGAGTGATGAGGATGGCGAATATGATAATGATGATGAGATGAACGAAAACACGAACGCAGAGGCGCAAGGCCGATATAATTTGAGACCAAGATGAAGGCTTGCCAATATGGCAACAGCACAGGAAGTTGTAATAATACATAGAAGGCCGTGAATCATTTAATGCATAGCTAAGCAACTGCAACTGCAGATAATGTTGACATCCACCAAAAGTATCTCCACTTCGAGTACATCCCCCTGTCATCGTAGAACTTGGCCTTCCTTGATAATCTTGTGACAATGCCAATGCAAGACATGATCAGAACAGCCTGCTCCAGCTCACTCTCGGGGTTGATAAACCATTGTACTGCTGTCCGCTTCTTGCCCTCCTTTGTGGTTGTCAGACTTGCAATCAGAGCACCTCCGGTACTGTGATCGCGCAGATCATATCGTGCTGGAGTCGGTCCAGTGATATCGCCTTCTCGATACGTCCAGATGAGGTCTTTGGAGCGGAAGTCCAATCCTTTCGGCACTTTCAAGGTGAATGTTTTTGGATGTGGGTACCCAATTCCGGCAACGACATCTACCAGCGGCGCAGAAAGGAAGTTCTTGTCATCCAGTCCGATAATCTTCACATCTGAATCGCCACCTTGATTGACAATCGCACAATGGATACGGAATGTATTATGCGCCTCCGGAAACGACAGACATCCTAATGCTTTATTTGATTTTGAAGCTCCAGCATGAATCCAGACTTTTGAGTCCGAGCCGTGGTCGGTGACGAAACAATATCTGTCGATGTTGTTGCTACGGACAAGGAGTTTTGAACTGATAAGTGAGGCCCGCACGAAGTTGTAGACGGGTCGATCGTTTGTGTTTAGCGCGGCATCGGAATAAGCTGGAATATCTGAGGTTGTCCTCGAATGGGAGCGCATGCGCGATACAGTTGCAGGGTCGACTGTGGTGTCTGAACCGGCCTGAGAATAGGCTGGGAGGTCAGGGTCGGTATGCCTGGCACTGTCACATCTGACCGCGGGAGGGTTGGTAATAGCTGCGCTCTTCTCCATTGTAGGCTGCTATTTGAGGACTGTCGCGTCGTAGGAAATTATAATAGGATATGTTTGTTACAGTCAGCGGTGGCCAAGGGCCAACTCAAGTACTTGTATGCATCATCAATCATTGCCCTCGTGACAGCCAGGCTGAGCATTCCCGAACATCCGAGTTCAATGCGAGTGTGACAATCCAGACTTTTAATACCGCTGAGGCACTTATGAACCACTGGATGCCTCCAAAATCTATGCCTATCAATGCCCTTAGAGTGATGAATCCTTCGTCAGGCATTTCTTGAGCGCGAATTCCTTGTTCATGAAGGATCGAATGACGGCAACCGCGCCGTGTTTGCCGGCTTGCCAAGAGAACGCGACTGACCGTGTCCCGACCTCGGGCAGCAGCAGCAACAGCTGCTGCACATCGGCACTTGAACAGCCTTGTTTCTCTCTCCTCCAACATGGCAACATCACCTTTCTGCAGCAACACGAAGAAGACAGTCGGGTCCAAGCAAATCTCAAGCACTCGTGGCATGCATGTCCTATATCAGTGAAGTGATCCAATCTTTCTTGGACGCTCAGTATTACGAAACACCTCATTCGTTCTCGTCGAGGCGCTTCCCATGGAAGTCGAGCTATCAGCTCTTCAGGAGAGTACTGTATGGATCTTTCTTGCAATAATCGTCGGCTCAATTCGAATGACAAGGTAATTCAAGAGTTGCTTGCTTATCGCGGAGGATTCGCGGGGTCGTCTAGCGGCACGTTGTTTCCGTGATAGGAAGGCGTTTCTGCCAGGCAGCAGTTATATGCTCTGCTTCCGCTGAACTCCTAAATGACTCTTTCTCTGTCCGAGAATTCTCGACTCAGTCTAAACAGCAATTGGCGTGTACCACGTCCGACCTATCCAAGCAGCGTGGAATTGGCATGCAATCGGCCTAGTATCGCTGCTCACAAGAGATCATGATGTCGCCTGAAAAGTCAGCAACAACAAATTTCTGCTCTCCTAATTCAGAACGCTCTAAGATACCTGGTTCCAAGTTTCATCAGCGATATGTGATACTAACAGCTGCACTCTTACTGTCATTGCTTTATCATTGGTCTGGAGGACTAAAACACATCGTTCCATTAGCGGATCAGCATGCAGCGGAAGAAGCTACGCTTAACGCTGTCTTCGACTGGGAAACTCTGGAACCCTCGACATCACTGCAATACACGCCTTGTTACGAGACTTATCAATGCGCTCGCTTGATCTTGCCAATGGACTATTGGAATGGTACAACCAATGCCACAGTCGCTCTTGCTCTGGTGAGAAAGCCAGCCGTTGTGCCCGTCACCGATCCAAAGTATGGTGGTGCTGTCATTTTGAATCCTGGTGGACCTGGAGCACGAGGTGTTAATTTCATGCTCAGGGTTGGAGAGCAAATAAGTAGTCTGATTGATGCACCCAAAGATGACCACGATGGAAAGCATTTTGACCTGATCTCTTACGATCCAAGAGGAATCGGCCTCTCGACACCTAAGCTTGCATGCTTTGGAGGAAATTCAATCATGGAACAAGTTTGGACCATTCGCGATTGGGAGCTGGGAACTCTAAACGCTTCTGACGTCGCATTTGGTCGTATGTGGGCTATGTCTAAAGCANAAGGAGAGAGTTGTGCTACCGCCATCGAGAACTCTGATATCAAGCGATATGCCACAACTGCCTACGTCGCACGTGACGTACTGGAGATCATTGAGAAGCATGGCGAATGGAGGGAAGAAGAAGCAACAAGACTCACAAAAATTCACTACCAGAAGACTCACGAAGTTCTTGACACAAGTCACCTCAGTCACCGTCCCGGGCAGGAAAAGCTTCTTTACTGGGGCGTCAGCTATGGAACATACATCGGGAGCACATTCGCATCGATGTTCCCTGATAGAGTTGGGCGTCTTGTACTTGATGGTGTGGTAGACACGATCGACAACCGCCAAGGTGCTTGGTATTCAGATTTGGTCGATACAGAGAAGACCATGGGTTCATTCTACCAATACTGCGCTGATGCAGGTTACCCTGCTTGCGCTATGGCGAACCCGAACAACAACACCGAACCGGCACAGGTTGAGCAGAGGACCCTTGCCGTAATCGAGAGACTCCGCTACGACCCTGTGGCGGTCATCGGTCCGAGTCCGGAAGTCATCACTGCCCATGACCTCCGAATGCTGATATTCCAGAGTCTGTACAAGCCTGTGCGGATGTTTCCAACCCTGGCCAACACTATTGCCGAACTCGAAAAGGGCGACGGAAGCAATTCTGCGCAGATGTTGAAGCCTTACCATTCGCTGAGTTGTCGAACAACCTCCGTTGATCCAGTGTTCGATATCGATGCTGAGATAGCAATTTTGTGTACCGATGCCGACGACCAAACCTCGACAAATCGAACCGGGTTTGCAGGCTTCGTCGAAAAGTTGATGGATGTCTCACCGACTATCGGCGATATATGGGCAGCCACTAGGATGCAATGTATTCACTACCCTCTGCGCGCGCAGTATCGCTACAACGGGCCGTGGAAAGCTTCCACCAGTCATCCAATCCTGTTCATCGGTAACACAAAAGACCCTGTTACACCATCAATCAATGCCTTTAAGATGGCGGAACGTCTGAAGAATAGCGGAGTATTGATTCAAAACTCCGCGGGCCATTGTTCGTTGGCCGCGTATAGCGAGTGCACTACCAAACATGTCCGCCAGTACTTCCAGACGGGAGAACTGCCACCAGCTAACACGATTTGCCAGCCGGACGAGATACCGTTTGCTCTTGGCAAAGATGCGATAAGGACAGCTGCTCATTCATCACATATGGATATCGCAGATGCTTTCAGCGAGTTTGGGTTAGGAATACGTGTGCCAGTAAATCGAATGAGTTTGGAGTAGAGCATTCCTCTAACGTCCGCGGACACTAGCTTGAAATCTACGAGATTTACCTAGCATACATGCGGCCACTTTAGGACTGAGAAATCCTTGGGTTCTTCGCCATTCTCATTTGGTGTGTTCTTCTCGTGGTTCGATCACGCGAACACACCGCGTGGGGGATTAATGGCAGCATTGGCACTGGAAAGATAAGACATTCTCACTTTTCTCCCGACACGACACGAAAGCTAGATGGGTTCGAACATGTCTTGCTGCTGCTAGATATTCTCAACGCAGGAATTCATTTGTTCCAAGAATCTCTCGATGAATCAATCCTCCACACTATAGAACCATTCGTCGCAATATCCATCTTGACACGAGGATCCAGGTCTATAGTCTCCACCCTCGCTATGTTCATTGTTTTCCGTGGGTTTATATTCCACCGCTTCTTGATACTATACCATAGACTGCGAAGGACTGGCATCAAGGAGCGGATAGTCTTGAGTCTGCGAGGTTCGGTGCTAATTAGAATCGAGACATAGGTGTATGTGCTCGCAAGTAAGGTCGTAGAATATGTTGTACAACATCTAGTGAATGCAGGGCTTAAAACTTCTGCATCAACCTGATTGGTGGGTGAATACCATCCTGACTGTCAAAGCGTACTTGGTAAAAGCTTGTAGTCTCTAGTTCCAAGGGGTCATCTTTCCTGATCGGTGGTCGGTGATACCGGGGGTTGCTTGATGGGTCCAAGCATGACATTCCGCATAGCAGCACTTTCGCACAGCACAAGCCAGGTGAGGAGATCAACATGGCAAAACAACCGAGTTCGGGTCGATGTCGATGGGCGCACAATGGGCTTTCTGGTATGCATGGCAACGGCCTAGTGATCAGTGTATCAACGAGTATCAATACCCTTTATTTCGCCTCCAGAGAACTGCGCCTTCTAGATCTCGGATGTGTAAAGTACCTACTATGTGATCGACATGTGATGCGATACGTCCCAAGAGTGTCGACTTGTCGTTATGTTTGCCGGCATGTTATGACGAGGGACAATGGGATTAAGTACATCAAGACAACTTCGTTTTAAGGAACTGGTGAGACGTTTGGATGAAACTGCGAGAGCATCAAGAGCAACGCAAGCCCGAGAATGCCGGGAGCTCGATATATATATCGTGAGCTCCATCGTGTGTTGTTCTCGGCGTCTTCGGCCCGTCGTTCGGGAATGCAACGCGTACGCTCGGCAGCGTCGAGGAATGTTACACGCGTAGGTGCGGCAGAGGGGAACAACCTCAACATGGTTCTGACTCCTGACTAGTTAGGCACGACCTGTTTAATATTCACGGTGCATTTCTCATTCGAGTATGCATTGCCATCATATACACATTAGCTTAGATGTCATGAAACTGTCATTTATGCCTTATTAAATCAGTCATTCACAGAACACTGAAACCCGAAGTGACTTGAATGTCTCTGCTGCTGAATCCGGCCCTGACCCCGAATTGACCAGTAGGAATAATCCACTGTTGTTGCACAGCGTCCCAGAAGCTCAAATCTCTTCTCATAAGAGGGAATGTGACAGTTCTAGTCTGGCCCGCACCAAGCTTGACCTTGTCAAACCCTCTGAGGACCTGAACAGGGGTACGGCCAAAGGATGCGTCAACAGGCTGAGACAGGTAAAGCTGAGGAACGGCATCGCCAGCAATAGATCCAGTGTTCTTGACCTTGACGGTGATCTCGTAGATGGTATCGTAGAGAGCGGGGTTACCACCAGGCATAATATTAACATTGGCGGGACGGGCAGTCAGGTTCTTAGGCGCAAGACGCTCGACCTTGACATCGGACATGGAGAAGTTTGTGTACGAGAGACCATATCCAAATTCGTACTGCACGGAAAGATTGTAGTAGTCGTAATGGCGGTAATCGATCAGCAGACCTTCCTCGAAGTCTGCTTGCCATGCGTTGGGGTCTTCGGTAAGTTTGAGCTCGGTCGAATTGGTGACACGAGCGAAGGCATAATCGGACTCGTTGAAGGCAATAGTGTAAGGAAGCTTGCCACTGGGATTGTAGTCACCATACAGGACATCGATCAAGCTGTTTCCTGACTGTTCTCCAGGGAAGTGTGCTGCGAGGATAGCGGTGACATTGGGGTGATCAGCCCAAGGCATGACGATAGGACCTGAGGTATGTGTCACGACAATCGTGTTGTTGCAATATGCTGCGACAGCGTTCACAACGTTATTACCCTGCCAGTCTGGCAAGAGGTTCACCTTGTCTGTTCCTTCGGCGGCCCAAGTTTTTATAAGAACAATACAGGTGTCGGGGTGTGGGAATATCGCGCCAAAAGCAGCTCCAGGGGTAGGGTCAGTCAGGAGAGTGTTGTTCATGTTCCACTGCAGGAGTGTGCCGTCTTGCTTGGTACGAGTCTTGAGGGCGTCCAGTGGTGTCGAAAGATAGGTAAGACGGCCAGTGCCACTCCCACCCCCAACAGGAAGGTGGCCATACTCGTAGTCGCCATTACCGGTCAAAGACAAAGAGTACAGCCCGTTCTCTGGGTCGGCTGCATCATTACCGAAGACAGCAATGTTCTTTGGCTTGCTGAGAGGCAAAGCATTGTTTGTGTTTTTCAAAAGAATAGTTCCAGCTGATCCCAGTTTCCTGATCAGTTCTGCATGGTTACCGCGAACATCGACATTTGCCTCTCCGTACTGGAAAGTGTCGAGGTATGGCTTAATACCGAGAATATTGATATCACCACTGCTAGGGTCAAGCAGAGGGTAGTCTTGGTCCTGTCCCAGGAAGAAGTAAGGTGTCATGATTCTGTGGGCAGCATCATCAATTCTCGATTCAGGCACGGTGCCGTTGTTGACAGCGTCCGTGAGATTCTGTCCCCAGTAAGAAGATCCGGCTTGGAANAATGCGATGGTACCAGGCATGTCCATGTCCATACCAGCTTCGGCATTAGCGACGCCTCCATGGGTTGCACCCCAATCGGACATTACATAACCTTGAAAGCCTAGTTCCTCTTTAAGGAGGCCGTTGATAGCCTTGCTGTTCTGGCAAGCATAAGAACCATTGAGTCTGTTGTAAGAGCACTACTTCGTGTCAGCATCTTGTGGAGTACGCTCTGTGCACCATTGACTCACCATCATGGAGGCGACACCAGCTTTGACCGCATTGGCAAATGGCCACATGTACAGCTCATGCATGGTTCTGTCGTCAATGTTTGCCGACACAGCCTCGATGGTCTTGTTCGTGGGCGAAAGTCCAGGGTTTCTCTGGGTCTCCTGTTCATTGCCAATAAAGTGCTTCGCACAAGCTTGGACGCCAGCTTCCTGGATAGCTTCGATAGTTTCCTCCATGGCCACACCAGTGAGGTATGGATCGGGAGAGAATCCTTCCCAGCCACGACCAGCATCGGCTGATCTTCCAAGTGGCCCGGCNCTGTAGTCAATAGGCAATCAGCACAGTCGATATTGGTAGCAGAAGCAGGTTGATGATTTTCTTACCACAGGGCCCAAGGCCACATGCGAGCCTTTATCACGAAACTCGGCTCCAAGGTACTCGCCTCTTTGGCGAATCAAGTCACGGTCCCAAGATGAAGCAGCGGCGATACCTGCCGGGAAGACCGATGCAAATGTTGCTTGTCTGATGGCCAGAGGTCCATCTTGCAAGCAAAGACCGGGAAATCCAACGCGGGGGATGGGAGCGATATTGCCNTGCATGTGTGAGCACGATATCGGGCAGTAGACACTTTTGTACTCACCAATGCAGGGACCATTTGGTTCTCCGGTGAGCACACCAACTTTTTCCTCCAAGGTCAACTGGGCAACCCATTGCTTTGCCTTCTGGAGAGCATCTTCCCAACCAATGCCAGTTGTGTTTGCTATGTCTGATCAGTAGAGTGACCAAGCTTGATATCGAATAAACACACGGCTAGGAAGTACGGCTGGACTGCTAGTATAAAGCGAATGGTCCCAGGATGAAGAGGAAGAGTTCTGAGCAGCTATACCCTGCCCTAGCAGGACAAGAGCTGTGACACTAGATTTCAGAGTATACATCTCGTATCAGAGTCTGTGATAAAAGAAAAGGCATGCTGTGGCAGCGACGGGGCTTCTTGTACTTGAACCTCCCGTCGCTTGGAAGCCATCGCTAGGGCATAATGGAGGCTGGGCAGTGGAGTGCTTGCTGAGAGATTCTTCTCAAGTCTTGAACCTAAACACCAAGCCCTATAGTCGGTCGGCAACGAGTCAGAAAAAGCAGACACGAACAAGAAACAAATGTATGAGGACGGCAATACGGTCCTGTTCTCCATGCCGAAAGTCGGGAGACCGTCACGGCATCAAAGTGGCACAGTCCTTGACTCCAGATGATAGTCGTGATCTATGTTCCCCACGGGCCTCCATTGCGGGGCGATGTAGCAGGTGGATCCCTGTGATCAAGTGTGGCCAAGCCGTCCATTCAGTTCTTGTCACCGCAACTGGGACAAACAAGCGAGCCATGTGGAGCTTCCGATCGTTGTTACATGCAGTGTGCATGTCATTAAGATATGGCTTGAGCAAGGTCGGCTTGGTAATTTCGTAGGTGGAACGCGTCCAGCGCAGGACAAATTTCAAACAGCAACCTCGGGTCTCGAAAGACACCCAGGAGGGACGCAATTTGCGAGGTCCGGTTGAACCAACATCAACTCGGGAGGCCTTGGTACCATTCTCGAGTGCTTGCCCGAGCTGAATGTGTGCACATCTGAGAGATGTGAGCAGAGGAAAACAGAGCGAGGTTCGGAGGGCACGAAGCCTCAAGCTTGGCATGTCGATCAAGATTTCGGCTACATCCGCATTTGGCAAGCGCCGCCAAACTCCCCGCCTCCGCCCAATTCTCCGCTCCACTTCTTGAGTCTGCGATCACCCGAGGCTCTTCGGATCCTGTCCATTCCGAGCATCGTCACCATTAGAATTCCTGTTTCTCTGAGTTCCCCTCTTGTTATAGACACGCGCATATGGAGCACGGCACGAAGAGTGGCTGTACAGGCGTCTTGACAGAGGGCCTCGTGACGATGGATCGCACCTCCTACGGCCCATCTGATGTTACTGAGGAGATATGGACAGGCCTTGGCCTTCCATCGGAAGCCCTGTCGCGTGTTCAGCTTGAGGGCGACAGTGGGCCGGCATTGCCATCATCTTTCCGGCTTGGTGTTCTCGCGCAAAGCTCGATTGCTTTATCCGCTCTTGCTGCCGCACAGATCCACGCGTTGCACAACGATGTTCAAGTACCGCGCGTGGAAGTTCCTCTTCAACATGCAGTCATCGAGTTCAAATCTGAGAGGTTCTATACCATTGATGGACAACTGCCTCCAGCAAAACCTAATGCCATAGGAGGACTCCATCGAACTGCTGACCGTTTCATTCGTGTCCATGATTCTTTCCCAAACCACTCAAACGGAATGCTGGAGCTGGTTGGTCTTCCTCTGGGATCAACTCGAGAACAGCTCGCCGACAGGATTGCAAAGTGGCGGAGCCTCGAACTCGAAGATGCGGCAACTGTGAAGGGCAAACTTGCGGCGTATGCCTTGCGTTCATACAACGAGTGGGACAACTTACCACAAGCAAAAGCCATTGCAGACTTTCCGATATCTGTACAGCCAATATTCTCTGAAGGCACGAAAGGCTTTCCAGATCATATGCCTACAGGAGCAACTGGATGTCTCAAGGGCTTACGCGTTGTAGAGATGAGCCGTGTGATAGCAGCCCCCCTATGTGGCAAGACACTGGCTGCCCATGGTGCAGATGTGATTTGGGTAACTTCTCCAAGTCTACCGGATCTGCCTCAAATTGACCGCGAATTTGGACGCGGGAAACGTACAGTACAGCTGGACATTCGCAAATCAGCGGACAAGGCCAAACTCTTGGAGCTCATCAAAGATTGTGACGTCTTCATTCAAGGCTATCGACCAGGCAGTCTCGCACAAAATGGTCTGTCGCCCGAGGAACTGGGGAAAGTCAACCCGAACATCGTGATAGCCAACATGTCGGCTTTCGGACCAAATGGGCCATGGGCAGGTCAACGTGGATTCGATTCATTAGTTCAGACGTGTTCGGGAATGAATGTCTCAGAGGCTGAACATGCGGGAGAAGGTGAGCCGGCTCGTCCGTTACCGTGTCAAGCGTTGGACCATGTAAGCGGCTATCTACTTGCGACTGGAGTCATTGCAGCGCTTTACCGCCGGGTGGTCAGTGGAGGCGCCTGGCGAGTTGACGTTTCTCTGGCTGGTACGATGAAGTATCTCCGCAGTCTTGGACAGTATCCTGGATCCCAGGGCTTCCAGTGCAAGGATCATAAGAAGCAAGCTGATGTTCCTATCGAGTATCTGGAGACTAGAGAAACTGGCTTTGGACGTATGCTTGCAGTTAAACATAGCGCCAAGATCAGTGGTTGCGAGGTTGGTTGGAGTGTTATGCCAAAGCCGCTAGGTTCAGACTCCGCAGAGTGGTCATGATGAGACACATACGGCAGGTGCTGTCATGTTTTATGTATACCAAACAGATGGAACAGACTAATTTTCCGTGTGCGACGCAAGGAATACCGTCCATACTCGTCAAGCCGGTGGCTGCATCTCCACCCAAGCATCCAGAATTCAGATTTCAATAGGGTCTTCCTGTTTACTATAGATAATTAACAGATTCTAGTCGCGATGCTGCCCTTCTCGGTTGCTAGCTCACCTTAATACGTAATTTCCTCAGAGGCCGCTACCATCGCTTACAGTAAGTTTTGCCCTCATGGTTCTTACCCTTCTCGTCCATTGGTTTTTCTCTGATCGAGACGTGGCTCACTTTTCTTGTCTTGGAAAGTCATCTCCAAAACATCCATCACGGTTCCGGACATCATCTACTAGTGTTATACCAGCTCGAACCCGACAGGCACAGAGTATCTCATGAACCCCGTGCCTGGCGTCTGGATTCACGGTCGATGGGAGACGATTAATAGCGACGAACATCTCAGCTGCATCGAGTCCAATTCAAAACGATGGCTCAGGCGACAGAGCTTGAGTTTCCTGCCTATGGCAGTCTTTATTTTCCAGACACTCCTATTGCTGGACATGTGTAGAGAGACTTTGCAGACGGTTTTTGTCCTAAGACTGGGTTCATGTGTGTCAGCTTGATCATCTTCCTCGTCATTTCGAACCATATTTTCTTTATTCCTGAGTCCAGATTCAAGTCTATCTGGGCGAGCGCAGACCGCTAGAGGCAATTTGAGTAGCGAAGCGAATTTATTCCGCCGACGATAAGAATTCTAATGCCAGTCGATTGAATCTCTCCGGGTCCTCCCAGTAACACCAGTGGCCTCCCCATCCCACAACTACACCTTTGGCTCTGGGCGTTCGTGCCTTCAAGTTGGCAAAATCAACTGCTGCTAATGGCCCACGTGCAGGGAAACAACCGCTCCTGTCTGTGGCGACGACAAGCACATTCGTCTTGTTCTCAGATCGTCCTCCGAATGTTTCCACGATACTCTGTCGCCAATCCAACGCAGTATGATCGGCCATCAAATTGCCATACCATTCGGCATTCCCCTGCCTTGCGATAGCCAAGAAGAATTCTTCATCTGCGTCTTTGACTTCATCACTGACGGATTCGCCTGCGACAGGATGACTTCTGTAGCCCAGACATGCAGCAATGGTACCTCTATATAGACTGTCAGGATCATACTTCAACGTTGCCTTGAGATTTGCTACGGCAGCTGCAGAGTTCATGCCCCGATTGCCTTCGGCACTGCCCCAGCTCCCATCACTCGCGTAGTTCTGCATGGGCGCTTGATCTATCCAGATCATGTGCGAGAAGACTCCTGTACCAAAGAGTTCGGCGAAAGACCACAAAATCGAGCAGCCGAGACTCCCGGCGATGCATCTCACGGTGTTGGGCTCAGTGATGTTCAGATGGTTGAGGAGGTTGTGCAGATCCATTGCCAGACGGAAAACGTGGAAGCCATGGCGTGGTTTGTCAGAAGCACCGTGGCCCCTCAAATCTGGCGCGATGACACGGAAATGCTTGGATAGAGTAGGGATGTTGCGTTGAAAGACCTCAGAGGAGCCGGTGAAGCCGTGTAGCNNTGCGCGTCGTGGATAAGAGTTGAGAAGGGACACGTTGCATGTCAGTTCGCTTACAAAGATCAACACAGGAAGCGACTTGTCGCCAACGTCTCGGTAGGCAATCTGGCAGCCATCATTTGTCTTGAACAACTCCATGCTTTGTCGCAAGTGAAGGCAGGGAGTACAGTTTTGCAAAGCTGCGACCTTGATAGCTTTCTACCGCGCTTACTAATATCGTTCAAAGCCATCAAGGTGGTCTCGAACGAGGACCGTGCGCGCGTCTGTTTTCCATCGTCGTCTTTTCGCGTTGACGAATCTTCGTTCCTTGCCCAACTCCAGCTTGCACATCTGCGCCCTGAAAACACCACTGCATGTTCGAAAATCTGAACTATGCGCTGCGGAGCTCAAGTTGTTGCTCGATTCCGTCGCTCACTTGCGTTTCTATCTCCTTCCATGACGAGAATTCAAGTTCTGCTTCCGCCCGAGCATTTCTCACAATGAGCAAATCGCCAGACTTGGAATTTGTCGGGGATCCGGCTTGTGGATATTTCTCGTTCACAGATCTTAGCACTTCTTCCCAGGTCCTGTCCCCTGCAGACTTGTTCTTGTGAACATCATGGTCCAAGAAATTATCATTGCCAACCTCCTTGTTCCCTCCGTCCAAGACCCGGAGTCTCGCGGAGGGGCGGCGCATGACGACGCCAAGGAAACAACCACATGCCCAAGCAGTTGCGATACACGCAACATTTGGCGTTCCCTACCAATAGATGGATGAAGCCGAAGGATGGCAAAGGACAAAAATCTTGATGTGTTGGTTCCAGACCTTTTTCACCATACCCTTGATACTGGCGGCCTGACCCAAAAGGTCAAGGAAAGTTGAACGTGTTCTTTGATGCTTGGCCTACGTTGAGTTCTTCTTGACAGCTAAGAAATGTCTTTGTTACACACGTATTCTTGTCTTGGTTGTCTTGGAAGTCAGCATGGTGAGATATATGTTCGTTCGTCTCCCGAGCTCTCGGAGCAATTGATACCAAGTCACGCGTGATCGTCTGCGCCGTCCTTTCGTTACCCAGCTGGCAAATCGCCTTAGTGATAGGATTTCCTATGGACCCGAACGTTAAGTACTTGACAGATGAGGAGATCGACAAATTCCTCGAGGAACTGGACACTGATAACGACGGATTGATCGAATACGATGAAGTCGAGGCGAAACTCGACCAAGTGTCCCACGAAATAGGTCAAGCCACTTGCGCTCCTACACTAAACATTCGCTGACATTTTTTTTTTACAGCTCCTGAACCAGCAGAACACAATTTGCATCATGAAGACCGCTCAGAGAAACGACACCATTTTCTCCGGAGCTTTATGGGGACGGACAAAAATCACGTTCCTGTTGCTGAGTTCAAGAACATAGCTGAATCATGGCACATTCCTTCAATGGAGCAAGAGAAANAAGAAGAAGATGAACAAGCAGACTTTGTCAAGAAATTGTCTTACGCAAGACGCCTCCGCGCTTACTGGGAAGTCCATGGACCGGAGTATGGCTTCCTTGCTCTGNTCGTTGGCATGCAAATCGTCTTTGGGACTTGGCAATTGGTAAAGTACCTGACGACTCCACCATACAGAGAGACCTTCGGCTGGGGTGTGGTGCTAGCGAAGACATCTGCTGGAGTGCTGTACCCGACGATGTTCTTCCTGGTACTGTCCATGTGTCGCTGGCTAAGCACTGCTCTACGACGCTTCTATTGGATCTCGAGGTTTGTCAACTGGGATCTGTCGCAGGCATTTCACATCAAGATGAGCATTGTCGCATTGGTGTTTGCTTCCTTACATGCCATCGGTCATCTGACTGGTAGTATGTTGTATGCAAGCCGATCTGCTCAACAAGATGAAGTGGCTGCTTTCCTTGGTCCCGATGCTGTGCCACGGCCCTATGTCGCTTGGATTCGGTCGCTTCCTGGATGGACAGGTCTTGTTACCTTTGGTCTCTTCTGGATGATTGGTGCGACAAGTCTACCTTGGGTTCGACGCAAGTCATACGAAGTTTTCCAGCTTGGACACCTGCTGATGTTTCCCATTTTCGCTTTCTTGATGGCCCATGGCACAGTGGGATACCTGCAGTGGCCAATGATGGGTTACTTTCTGGCTTTTCCTGTCCTTCTGGTCCTCATCGAGCGAATCGTAAGGACTTGCAACGGCTTCTCACCTCTTGCTGCATACCTTGAAGTTTTGGACAAAGAGACCGTATGCATTACCGTCCTCATGCCCGCATCTCGCAACTTCGATTATAGAGCAGGGCAGTATGTGTTGCTGCAAGTGCCAGTGCTGAGTCGCTGGCAATGGCATCCTTTCACAATCTCAACATGCATAGGAAACGAACTTCAACTCCACATCAAAACAGACGGCAACTGGACTGGCAGGCTCCGCAAACTGGGTTCTTCCCTTGATGCTGTGAAGATCGAAATTGGAATCGATGGTCCTTATGGTGCCCCTGCGCAACGCTTCTACGACTTTGAGCAGACAATCATCGTTGGTGCTGGTATTGGAGTTACGCCGTTCTCTGGCATCCTCACAGATCTGCAAGTCAAAGAAGAGCAACGTGTAGGTACTAGAAGGTGGCGACCCTCGCCGTACCAAAAAGCAGCCGATTCTCGCCGTGCATCTCAGCAATTGAGTCGTCAAACCACTGAGCTTGTTGGTGACAGCGATAACGAGAAGGCACAATCAAGTACACCTGAGTCTGAGACTTCTGGTCGAGGGCCTCAGGAGCACGAACCAGCTCATCGGCAGCAAGAATCAGGGATAACAGACCTGTCAAACTACGACCTCGAAACCTACAAACGCGTAGACTTCCACTGGATGGTGCGGGACCGCAACAATCTACTCTGGTTCTCCGACCTTCTGAACTACATCTCTGCAACCACAGACTCACCATCCTCTCACAGAAACATCGATTTCAGAATCACCACTCACGTAACGCAAAAACGAAAAGCTCTTTCTACACACATATTCCGCTGGCTGCTAGAAAAGCACCGTACACCTGAGCATCCAGAAAGTCCCATCACTGGTCTAATCAACCCGACTCACTTTGGACGTCCGGATATGAAGACGATTATGAACAAGCATTATGAGGATATGTGTGTGTTACTAGCTGCAAAGAGAGATTTGTTCAGAGATGACGGCAAGAGACTGGAAGATCTAAGTGATGGGATCAAGGTAGGCGTTTTCTTCTGCGGCGCTCCAGTTATTGGGTATCAGTTGGCGGATGCGTGTAGAGCGTTGACTGCAAGAGGCAGAGAGGATAAGACATTCATCCAGTATCATTTTATGATGGAGGTGTTTGGTTGATATTTGCTCGTCTGTGGATTCTCCAGATACTGTTCACAGAATGCTAATAACGATATTGGAACCCACGAATACTTCTTGTAATAAATACTTTCGTCACAAACTAATGCCAGAAGTAGGACTCTCCTGATGAACTAGAACCTTGACGTTAGGTGGCAGTGGCGATTGTAGTCGTCGTGACAGTGACGACAATTGTAGACGGCGCTGGGTGTGTAGCTTGAAGCTGGCAAGCAGAAGACACGATCGTGGCCGGGTACTTGGTTAAAACATCTGGTGTGGACAGAGCACGCTTCTGCTTTTGAGCTGTTGGCTGATTTTGAGCTGCGTTTGTCGTCGTTTGCGGCATCGTAGAAGTGGCTCCCAAAGTGCTCGTAGTAGTGGTTGTGACAGTCGTAGTTTGCGCCGTGTAACCGAGATACGAAGAGCAGAATGGCTGGAGAGAAGCCCATTCAATGTCGGCAACAGCTTGATGCTCTGCACCCACAGCATCACCAACGGATGGATCGATGCCAGGATCAAGCTTAGGATAGCCAAAGCTGTAGCTGACAAGATACTGGTTGTCTCCCCACCATTGTCCGCCGTTGACTGCGTATGTACTGTTCCAGGCTTCGGTATATAGAGAGCAGTACTGTCCTTGAGGAACGACAGTGCCGTTGGCCATGTATTCTGTCAACACATAGGTGTTGAAGAAGTTGCAGATCTTGTAAGGGGTACCATCGGTCGGGGCTGTTGCCTTGTTATAAGCAGTTTGGGAGTCACAATATGCTGCGCAGGTAGCCACTTCCCAAGTTGAGGTAAAGATTCTGGCGCCCATGAACTACCTTTTGTGTTAGCGATGCCTGGCAAAGGTAGGCAGACAACCTACAGTGTTGTAACCTTGAGCATCATACGGCGCATTGATAGCGAAGTCACCATAGGGAGTGCCAGCCTGGTATCCAGCAGGTGTCTCGATTTGAGTAGTGACATAACCGTTAGAGCCAGCAATAACGACAGTAAAGTCATTGTATGTGTACCCCGTGTTCACAGCGTTGTCTTGAGATACCGGACCTCCCCAATAGACGCACTATCGACTTGTCAGTCTCATATCCACGAATGAAAACAACGATGATGTGTACCTTNNGATCATGGTCACGGACGAATTTGAACAGCCTNNAAAGGAATGAAGTAAGTCGGACGTTCTAAGAAGATATCTGGACTTCAACTTACCGGAGGGATCGCGCTCAAAGTACATGTTGAACGAAACGCAGCCATTCTTATCGGTGCATCGACTGGCGCAGGTAGAGACGTCGTAGTCATTGAAAGTATCATAGCCCATATACCCAAANGCTATGCTGCGTTAACGGAATTCTTTCGAGCATCTTATGAGAGGAGCTTACGCATTGCATGAAGCTTGCTGATTTACAAAAGCTTGGTCGTAGCCAGAGGGAGTAGGAGCTGCGGAAGCAACAGAGGCATAGTAGGTATTCGCAAGAAAATTGGCTGCGTTGTCATCACCCGCGGAGTAGGTGGGGGCTGAAGTCGCTCCAGTAAGTTGGGGCACGCAGGTGGTAGTAGCCGCTGCTCGCTTTGAGATAATTGCAGTCTGGGACAAGACATCGCTAACCGCGATGCTGACAGATGAGGCAGCGGCACTAGCGACGGCTATGAGGGAAGCAGTATCATAGGTGATCGTCTGAGCAGCAGCACCCACAGCCTCAGAATATGTTGGNTCGGGAGTGTCCATGACCATGGACAGGTCGATCGCTNNTAAGGGCAGAGCAGCGGCCAGGTTGGCCGCTAGGATAGGAAGAGCATAGCATGAATAACGCATCTCGAGAGGTAGGAAAACGGCAGCGAGTGGTAAGATCGACTCGTCTCTAAGCTGTTCTGAGTGAGGATCTTCTCTCCTTATATGCCACGATAGCTACGCCGGAGCCGCTTGGATCAAGACATCGCGACTTGAATAAGCGCGGAGGTAATCTGACATACCCCATGGAAACACTGCTGACAAAAACAAAGTCAACCATCCACTGTTTGCGTGGAGTGGTCATTCATGAGCTCAAGATCAGGGGTATTGATCGATGCGGGTTAGAATGTGGGAGTCTGGAAGGGTCATGTTTCACACGGAGAACGGTAGGACGGTTTGAGGAGAGAAGGTTCCATCGCAGTCCTGGTTCGCTGGTGCCGTGATGTTGAGATCCTGCATGATCTAAAATTTGTCGGCTTGCTCTCCAGAGAACCTGAAAGCTTAGCATGGATCAGACGAATCCTCCCATACCCTTCCCCCTGTCTTTGTAAGACTCTTAAGTGGCTGCAACGACGTATGATTGCCAGGAATGTCATGCCTACTGATGAGTCCATCGAACATGTGCTATGTATACAGATCAGGGGTACCGCTCAACGACATCGTCGCTTGGACTCAGTCCGCGACGTGGACGATTGTTGCGCGATCCAATGACGAGCGAAGGCTCGTTTCCTGCCGTGCCGAAACTCTGACCATATAGCCAGGGCTGATTATTTCCGTTTTGTGGCGCAACCCGACGAGTGGAATTTCAGAGCAGAGGTCGATCACGAGGATCGTGAGAAAGCTTGGTAAGGAATCTGGTAAGGAAACTCAGAAACCCCCATCGTGCGAGCGCGCTTGCGGACTTGCAACGTTCAAAAGACGTTGAACTTTGAACACGCGGCTGCAGCTCCGATTGTTCCCAGCACTTCATCCATTTTGTTCCTGCAGAACTTTTCTGCCATCTGCTGGAAAGGCGCCTGATCTGCTCAGGTCTTTGGTACTTCAGCCTTATGGCCATGTGCCTTGCAGGACCACGTGTATTTCGGTGCTGATCCTTGGAGATCTGCTGTCAGAAGATTCATACCGCTCTCTTCCACTTGTTGTTGCCGTGAAGACTGTTCGAAGATGGCTGGCCAAACACCAGTGACACTTGGACTCGAATTCGCGTGATAACTCCACTTGAGATGCTGCCATCTTGCATCGTGTGATCCAAAAGCCGACTTTCGGAAAAGCCAAAAATGGACTTCCCTTTGGATAGGTACGCTTGACTGTCTTAACACGCCTTTTCGACCACAAACTGCCGTCCCAGCCGAACAACTGAGATAGCGCTCTGTTTTGAGATACAATACGACATGTTATCCAGAGAAATCTTTCCACGGTCCCCTCTTTCTATGAGCAAGGTCGCGAGGAAACATTCCCCAGATCTGCCAGGAGTTTGGAGGGGGGAAGTTTCCAACGAAATGCTCTTGACCGTTTCTTGAGCTAACCCCCAGAGATCTGACCGTTCCCGAATTCGCAACGGGCCGCGGGGAGGAACTCGATTGCTTGTCATTGTCGTGTCACTGGTGTGTCACTGACACGTACGAGTCTCTTCGTGCGTGCCATGTTCATGGCCATTATCAAATCCGGCAGCTGCTACAGCCGTACCAAGTCTATACGAACGTGGTTCGTACATCGAGTCTGAGGTCCGCTTGGTAGCATACCCTTTCGTTGATGCCAAAGGACTCTTGTTCTCAGCGGCGGATGCGCAACAGGAAACGGAACAAGATCGAAGACGCGTGCGACAGCAGAGAGTCGGGTCAATTGGATGACGAGCACAAGGTTTGGAGATGCGGTCTCGATAGGTTGAGAGCGCGACCCTGTTTATAAATCATTGTTCCTCATGGTTTAGCACAATCGCCTATGGTTTCAATAAAGAACGCCGCCCGATCGGAAAAAGCCTAACTATCACCAATGCCACGACATCACACTGTTTTGGTGCGGCTGCGAAGTCATTGCCAGTAGTTGCAGATCGAAACCACCCAGAAGAATGACGAGAGGAAACTCGAATTGAGTGACAGAGAACTTCCTATGTGCATATTGGTGACTAGAAACACTTTTTACTACTGTGTGTCGACAAATCCCGCTATAAGTCTAAGCATCCAAGACGCCTTGATATCAGCCTGATCAACATGAATCGATTTTTGGATATTAGAAGAATGTATTGAGCATCAGGAGACAAAGTTTCGTAAGATTGTTGGTCGGGGGCAAGAATTTGATTGTGAAATTCTCGATAGCAACTATTGGAGATTATGAGCCAGAAAACATCCAACTAAGTCCCCTCAAACCTTCATCTCAGATACGGGAGTCTCGCTATGGAAGTGGTAGAGCTTAGGCTCAGGCAGATCCTTCTGACGCAAGATAGTAGTCCTGAACCAGTAAGGCAGAACCTTGAACAACTGGTAACTCATGTGGGTACGAGTAGGAACAGCAAAGACGTAGTCCAACTCCTCAAGCGAACGCTGCTTGGTCTCAGGCAGCCAGAGGAAGATCATAGCGCAAGCCAGAGCATTCATGCCAGCGTAGAAACCAAAGGCACCAGTAGTACCAAAAGCGCGAAGCTGGCGGGGNAAGGTGAGAGAAACGACAGTGGCCCAGAAATTGTTGGTGGCAACGGCCCAGGACATACCAACCTCACGATGCGAAAGAGGGAAGACTTCGGCAGAGTAGGTGAAGGGGACAGGACCCTCACCAGGAGAGTAGAAAGCGTCGAACAGGTAGATGAAGAGAGCAATAAGTCCCAGGTGAGCAGCGGAAGATGTAGGAATCAAGAAACAGAGACCAGCTGCCAACAGCGTCCAACACATGTTGGGGAACGTGAAGAGCAGAAGTGCGCGACGCCCGTAAGTATCGATCGTCCAGACAGCTGGCCAGGCAAAAATGAAGTTGATGATACCAAAACCCCAGGAGGCGAGAAGAGCGCCAGTGACAGTAGCTCCAGCTTGGGAGAAGATACTTGAGGAGTAGAAAGCAATGATGTTGATGCCACACATCTGCTGGCCAATCATGACGATACCAGAAGCCTGAACTGCACGACGCAGACGAGGAATGGTGAAAAGTTCAACGAAGCGAGTGAAGAACCCGGCATTAGCAGGGAGGCCAGACTGTTCGATCATCATTACTTCCTGCTCCATCTGTGCATAGATGTAGATCAACTCTCTTGCAGCAAGAATGGGCTTGCCACGGAAGCGAAGAAGCGATTGGTAAGCCTTGCCGTATTTCTTCTTGGACATGAGCCATCGAGGCGACTCAGGAACGAACCAGATACCAAGCACAAGCGGGACAGCAGGGATGAATGCCGAGCCAAGCTGCAGACGCCATGCGATATCACCAACATCCNNCTTGACAGCAAGGTTAGCAGATGTTCCGAGAAGGATACCGAAGGCAGTCCAGATTTGCCACGACATGACCAGACCACCTCTAATCTTGGTTGGAGCGACCTCAGCGGAGAAGACAGGTACAGTGACCTCCTTGAGACCCATGCCGATACCAAGAAGGATACGGCAGACAACAAGTTGCTGCCAGTTCTGAGTGACAGCCATGCCAATGGGAGAGAGAAGAGAGAAGATGGCAGCAATGAAAACGACACCACGACGACCAAGCCAGTGGTTGAGAGGATCAGAGATCCAGCCAGCGAAGAGGAAAATGGCCAGGTATGGACAAGAATTGATAAAGCCAACAAGCCATTGGTTTCTGGAGCAAGTGCCAGCGGCCTCACAGGCTGCACCACTTTCGGGAATGCCAAATGCTTGTGGGAAGGACAAATTTGCTCCGTTGGATCCAGTCTGATCCCAACCTTGGATGGCCGCAGCAATCGAGTTGAGAATGATTGTAACGTAAAGAATCGTTGGTTGGCGCCACTTGTGAACAATCTCTTCTCGGAAGATCTCTTTCTCTTCTTCTGTAAAGTCATCCATGGTGGCGACCTCAGCAGGATTCTGAGCTGCCAGAGCACCCTTNTTGAGGAGAGGCAAGATATCATTAAGATCATTGTCAGCTGCGAACTTTTCTGCAGAGCGCATCAGTGTGTCGCGAGGCACGCCGACAAGAGGGTTGCGAATNCCTGTTCAAAGTCAGAACTGATAATAATGTTGATTAGAGTCGATATTGACATACTCTCCAGTAACATTGTCGGTGAGCTCAGCCACTCTAGCTTGACGCTTCTCTTCAGCGACATTGAAGCGGTCATGGTTGGGATTGGAACTGATGTCTTCGTGGTGAGACATATCGGCGAAAGACTAGAAGTGAGTGATAGGATTTCCACCTTGCAGATAGACGAGGACACAGGATCATTTATACCCTGCGATCCTTCTGCATGCAGAGTAGGCAGGACATACATGATGTTGCATGCCCTCAGACTTCCCCTTGGGGCCCCGCGGGACATGTAAGTCGTGTGACCGCTCCAATAGCGTGCCTTCAGTGGATCCTGCAACTTCTCCATGTCACTTCACGTAAAACTTACTTGACACGGCACGCGTGGCAGTTCGCATCTCGTTGACACAGTCCGTTTTTCGGTAAGGTCAAAGGCTGTAGTCGGCCCTACTTTTCGGCCGGTGACTTGGTTTCGGTATGGAGTGATACAGTTCAGACCGTGGCGCCCCAGAAAATTCTGCGTCTTGTGCGGAGAGACCGACAAACTCAGCGTGGAGACGATAAGCCACCTTGTCGTTGCCGTTGCAGGAGAGGTTTGGCGCTTGGACATTGCTCTACTTGTTGCTCTGATACAAACTTTGGATTTGCCCATGAGAATCCTGCTGCGAAGAAACCAGTCTAGAATACGAACTGTTGTTGATCTTCGAGATGCGGACGGTGTTGACACCGCAGATCAATGGCTTCTCGAACGCCCCCAGGTGCCATGAACCATGTGTCGTACAGGTACTGTGTACTTCGGACGGTCTTGCGTGAAAGTTTCTCAAGTCCGAGGATCCCGATTCCTTGGCCAAGGAAGCAGAGTTTGGCACCATTTGCGGTTTTCAGCGACGGCTGAGGCGCACGACACGTCGCGTGTGCGCGTACTCGGTAGTCTAACCTTCGTAGCGGTGGGATGACACTTGATGTGACATTGGCATCTGCTTGCTGATTCTGTGGGACCCGAATTTGATGAGTTGACGTTGACACAAGGGGATAGAGCACATGGCAATGGGTATGGCAATGGAAGTCGCAAATTCAAGCAGAGATTGGGAAAGTGCGGAGCGACGCACAAAACAGAGCACTGACCTCCTTCTCCTACCAACGGTCACTGCCGCAGGGAATAACTCTATACTATACATCTTTGCATAATCGATGACCCCAAAGGATCTCGAAAGTTTTTCTGCCAGTGGCGATTCGCGAGTCAAATATCTTCTCCTCAACATGGTGAGTGCGTCGGAAGAAGCTTTTATAAGCTTGACGGTGCTTGGGTGTTTTGTGCCCGTGTCGAGATCTGGGGCGGAAAACTGGACCAGGTCGGTCGACTCCACACACGGATGATGTTGCCCCGGACATCGGCCTCTGCATTCGAGATTAGCCAAAACCGGCCCTCCTCATCCGGCTCGGCATCCCGTACTCGGCCCCTGTTCCTGCCGGAACTTGGCCGAGCACTACGTCCTCTCGAGGTGTTGACACTGTTGAGGCATGGTCAGACAAGGTGCCGACGTCAACAAGATCCATCTTCGAAGGATGAAAAAGCAACTCTGCATGAAGCCCTACCAGAAACGTGCAGCAGCAGATCATAGAATGTCAACGTCTGCATTTCGTCGGCCTCGGAGAACAAGACTTTGCACGTTTCAAGCCAAGTATTAGAGCCAATGTTTGTGGCGGCCTTAGGGCTTCACAACTACGAATGGGGAGATCTGAAGAGCAAACATGTTGGAGAACAGACATACCCAATCGGCCAAGATGATGTTTCTTGCCTTCTAGCTAGGAAAACCGGTCTTCATAATGCGATCATGGGTCCCCAAGCTGTTCGCTGTGCGATGGAAGAATCCTTTCCGAAGACCACGCTCTGCAGATTGCAGTAGAAGATTGGAAACAACCTTTCAACAAGTCGTGTGGCTTCCTTTCCGCCGATCACTTGCCCCAATCGGACGACCCGTATCATGCTTCAGCACAGGCCCAGACTCCACAGACACTCCACTGATTGAATTGCCGGGGTACGAAGCATCCCCAGTCCATGGTGGGTAGGATTTTGGTGGGGTCCAGGCGGGCATCCGTATTCTTTTAATTCGTCGCGCTGCCCTGTTTCCCTCTTCTCTTTCGTTCCTCTCATTCTTGTCAAAAAATCCAGTCGCGACAATGTTCAAACGATACGCCAAGGATCTGCCTGAAGAGGTTCTCAACTGGCGTCTTGGCTATGCAGTGCTTGGTATGCTTGGAATTGCTTGGATGCGCCTATCATGACTTGTGGCTAATGCTTGAATAGTCTTCGGTCTTCTGGGCACTGCCCGTGGTCTTGATGAAGGTCTCATCGGAACTACTGCCTCTCAAAAGTCATTCAGTAAACAATTTGGCTTGAAGAACCCACACTTGTCAGCCAATGAACAAGCCAACCTCCTCTCCAACATCACTTCGATGGTTCAGCTTGGATCGATCTTCGGTGCTCTCTTCGCTTTCCCCATCACCGACCGCATTGGTAGACTCTGGGCTGTCAGAGAACTATGCTTGGTCTGGGTCGCTGGTATCTCCATCTTCCTTGGTGCTGCTGCCCATGGCAGTCTTGGCATGGTTTACGCCGGTAGATTCATCGCTGGCTTGGGTATTGGCCAAACAACAGTCGTCGCTCCCACATATCTTGCAGAAGTTGCTCCCAAGTCCATCCGTGGTTTGTGTGTCGGTATCTTCTCTGGCTCAGTCTACCTTGGTATCATGCTTGGATACTTCGCCTCGTACGGCACGTCGCTGCACATCAGCAACCACAACATGCTTCAATGGGTGATTCCCAACACACTTCACCTCTACTTCGCTGCCATCATCTTCACCCTGAGCTTCTTCGCCATTGAGAGTCCCCGTTGGCTTATCAAGACGAAGCAGCAGGGCAAGGCTGTTGACAACCTCTGCAAGCTGCGTGGTCTTGGACAAGATCATGAGCTTGTGCAGTCGGAAGTCATCGATATCAACAGTCAACTCGAACGCGAGCAGGAAGCCACCATGGGTGCTTCCAAGGTTGGTCTCCTTCGTGAACTGTTTGTCATGCCCTCGAACAGATACCGTATCTTCCTGGCTATCTTTGCTCAGCTGCTTGGTCAGTGGAGTGGCGCTGGTTCCATCACTGTCTACGCTCCTCAGTACTTTGCACTCATGGGTACGACTGGCACACAGGAGAAGCTTCTTGCTACTGGTATCTTCGGTCTTGTCAAGTTCATCAGCGCCCTCATCTGTGCCTTCTTCCTGGTTGATTTCATTGGTCGTAAGCGTTCTCTGAGCATCGGTATCACGATCCAGTTCGTCGCTATGCTGTACATGGCCATGTTCCTTTCTATCGACAACACCATCGGAGACAAGGGCAATGTCCAGACGACCAGTCAAAAGCATGCCGCACAGGGTGCTATCGCCATGATCTACTTCTCTGGATTTGGTTGGGCTATGGGTAAGTTGTTCAACTTCATTGCTGCCAGACCATCGCTAACAGTATCTTGTANNGGCTGGAACTCGATCCAGTATCTTATCAACGCGGAAATCTTCCCCCTCCGTCTGCGTGCTATCGGTGGATCCCTTGCCATGGCATTCCACTTCGTCAACCAGTACGGCAACTCAAAAGCCGTTCCCGAGATGTTTGTTGGCATGACCACAGCCGGCACCATGTACTTCTTCGCAGCCATCACATTGATTGGTCTCGCCTGGGTGTACTTCTTCCTGCCCGAAACCAGTGGTCGTTCTTTGGAGAGTCTGGATGCTGTCTTCGAGCTGCCTTGGTACAAGATCGGAAGATATGGCAGCAAGGTCGCTGTGTCGCCTACCTTCATCGAGGACGACGGTACCATGGCAGAAAAGAACCAGAAGGTGGAGTACCTGGAGTCGAAACCTCAAGGTGCCTAATTTACGAATATCTACGATACATGTTAGCAGGAAGCAAATAGTCTTGCCATTTTCACGTTCAAATCATTGTTTCCACGGTTGTGTGCATCAAAGTCGATCTGAAGTCGTGATACACTTGCTTGTGTGAATGAATCCCTCCTCAATCACAACTTGAGTGGTCTATGATTCCACTAACGCTGTGAGGTAAAGTTTTTGTTTTTATGTCCCTTGTTGACATGCACGCAGATGGCGGCTATCTGTGTACTTCCTACGGCTATAGGAAGTTGCAGTTCATTTCGGGAGGTTAGGGATTTCGTGGTAACGCCAAAACCGCCGACCTCTGCTGACTCTATTTTCAAAGATGCGTAACAAGCCGAATATCTGATGTTTCTTGGTAGTTGGAAGGTGCCAAAATATTACACGTATAAGAAGAATGTGTTCAAACTTCCGCAAGCTAGATAAAGCGAAAGGTTGTTGGGTTATCGTGGTTCAAAAATCTACCGTTCGTGGATGCCAGGGCACCCTGCTCCGCCCGCTTGAACTATGCCCAGCCGCCGCGTAATGTTATTAACAGGATGGGAACGAACTTGATCGGGTGCACGGGAAGTCGATCTTGCTGAGTCATTGAACTTGCTTGTCTTTCTCATCCCAGCTTTGGTTCTGCACCTTCCTTTTCTTTTCTGCAACAACGTTGGGACTAACATTGACATGACGAGCTCCCACTAATTGACACCTACTTAGCGCCATCATGGCCCCGCACAGGTCTCCACGATCTCGAACGTGGTCGACATGCCCTGGTCGCTCATCGCTTAGCTCTCTATACTCAACTTGAAACAATCTACTCCGAGTACCCTTTTTCTAACCGGTGGTGGCGCGGCTTGTCCAACCGCTTCTTCAAGGATTGAGCAACGGAGATCATGCGCAGTCTTGCTACTGGAATTGACGTCGCACATGGACGTTGCAAAGGATCACCTGGACCAGACGCCATTCTCTGTCAATGACAACAAAGAAAGCATGAGAGCAATCGTCTTACGAGGCCTCGTCCTGAACCTATGACAGAGCGTCAATGCGGCTGTCGACTTGAACAAGCCTTGTCGGCCGAGCCAAAGTCATACAAGCTTTAGCGATGGTCATTCCAATGCAAGCCATGACCACTTTGGCATTTGAACCAACGAGATGGAGTGTTCTCAGGCACATGGATAAATGCCACACCGCAGATCTCCTCGATCTCCCCAAATATCCAGGGTACTGCGGGTAACTAGGGTTCGCATCAAGGTACGTCCCTGAGCTGCTTCTTGACATCTGCAGATGTGATGGCGTAACCAGGGGCAAGAACAAGGCTTGCAAAGAATATTATGAAACGCTTCGCCAATATCGCGGCTCGTATATCGTAGCTACCATTATGTCACGGGTAGGGAGAACATGCATACAGTATGTTGAGCTTCTATATAAGCGCCAGGCAAGTACGTGCTCGTCTTCTCTTCCATCCATATCATCAACCACAGAATCAAACATCGCTTCACGATTCACCATGCTTGTCAACACTCTTCTTGCCACTGTCGCCGCCTTTGGCTCCTCTGCCTACGCAGCTCAAGCAGCATATGCGCAATGTGGAGGTCAAGGCTTCACAGGCGGCACGACCTGTGTCTCTGGCTACACCTGCGTAGTCAGCAACGCCTACTACTCTCAATGCCTACCAGCCTCCAACTCGGCCGCTCCGGTTGCATCTTCCAAGACTTCCGTCGCCCCTGTCTCGACTTCTAAAGCTGCTGGCAGCGGTAGCGGAGGTAGCAGTGGCACAACCTACAAGGCTTCTTTCACCCAGTACGGCAGTGGCGATAGCTTTGGCAGTGGAAACTGTAACACCGATACCACTGCATGTGGTTTCTACACCAGCGTAAGTCTCACACTTCTGGCCTCAATGTCATGCTCTTGAACACAACCATTGACAACATGACAGCCAGGCTACTCCGCCGCTCTCTCGCAAAACGCCTTTGGAGTCGGTCCTGGCGCCGGTGCCGGTCCCGCCTGCGGCACCTGCTGGAAGCTGACCGCACAAACCGACAGCAGCGGCAACAAGCTCTCGAACGCCGGAAACAGCATCGTCGTGCAAATCACAAACCTGTGTCCTGCATCAGGAAACCCTCTGTGCAGCCAGAACGGTCTCACAGGCACCAACCAGTACGGCGCCAACCTCAACTTTGACTTGTGCCTCAACAGCGGTGCCAACACTGCTTTGTTTGGAAACTCTGGCGTTGGGTTGGCTGTGGGTACTGCTGTGCAGGTTTCTTGCAGCCAGTGGAGCGGTACCGTTGTTCACTGAGCGCGGAGAACCAAACAGCAGAGTTGCTCGTTTATGTTCAGACCACAGTCTTTACCGAAGCCTTCGATATTTCCAAGATGGAACCATGATGCCGCAGGAGTGCCGGAAATTCTTTTCATAAGATAGCAGCTTATATGTTCTATGTCTCAAATGCAGATGACGCCTCAATTGCGCCAGATGCTTGTATGTCCACTTGACTGATTATGTAATCAATACCACGACAAACTCGCGTTTGCTTCAAGCTGATTGTTTCGTCGGTGAGATTACCGCGTGTAGAGGTACCCCAACTTCTCCATCACTTTCTTCAAATGTCTTGTTCTGCTTTGCAGACCGCCATAACCATATTCGTGCCGCGAAGAAAAGCACTGCTAGCACAGCGACCACGACAGCATATGGTACACTGTACTGCGTTCGTTGGCCCAAAATGGTACCTAGGGGCGCATTGATGATACCCAGAACCAGCACTGTCGGACCTAGGTATAGGTGGATTTTGCCGAGCTTGGTCGATTTGTATGTGCGCTTGTAAATGACGTGATGCACTATACCGAGAAGTAGCTGTATAACCACGCCGACGAACACGACCAGACCGATGATCTGATGAGCAGTGTTGTATCTCTGCGTCTTCGAGGTGGCAACGTCAGCAATGAATTTTGCGACTCGGCAGTCGAACTTACTGCGTTATTCCGACGAGATGTAAATGCCGGTTCCTAGACCCACGATGACAAAGATGGTTGCTATAGACTGAATGATCCAGTGCACTCTGACACTGATAAAGCGCAATAGTAGTGTACCTAGAGGGAACACAATAACGAATGCAAGACACATGACAACAGCGTGTATCGCACTTCCAACATCGAAATCGCTTGACACGCCGTAAGCTGAAGAAGCGCCACTGCTGATCCAGGCGCCATTGTCTCCATTGAGTTGAGGTGTAGAAGACGATACTGCTTTTGTCATGTCCATGGTGAAGCGTCCATAGACGACATGTCTTTGTATCGTTGCCGTCGACGAACCACCTGTCTTGCCGTGGAGCTTTGGGCCCAGAGTAAAGATGAAGGGCTGCTTGCTCGAGCTCATGTCTATATGATTGTGCATCCAGGATGAACTCTTCTTGTAGTGTGCATCTACAGAGAATATTCCGTTTTCGTTGGTGGCGTGTAATTCTGGTTTCGTATCGCTCACGTACTTTGGTTCTTGTTCTCCAGTGCTGTATCGTGTACTCAGGGTCGCACCTTTTGATCACGTCAGTCTTGTAGACTCTATAAATGCCACACTGATGACAGTGCGCAAGAGAGAGAGGCGTGTAAACTCACCGTGTTTTGTGTTGTCACTGTAGAGAACGAACATCATCGAGTTCTGCATCTCGCTGCCTGTGCCGACAGCAATCCATGAGTGCTTGGCCGGTCCTGACATGTGAAATGCGAAACTGCCATTTTCTGTCGCGCTCATGGAGAATACAAGGTCAGGCTGTCCAGCAGAACCATGCACAAACACTGGCAACGATGCATTCTGGCTAGTAGCGCGGCTTGCCAAAGCAATGCTGCACTGAAGTGTAAGGAGCAGACTTTCTGTCGTCGAGGCCAAACAATCAGCTGCGAAACAGGTAGATTCGAGGTTCAAATTCACGAACTTGGAAACTTCATGATACTGCAAGTGTGTTCGATTATCAAGGTGTCTACTACGAGACATGCTGGCAGGCTTTTTATTGCTCTGCATCGGCTCTAGTTGCATTGACGAATAACACGAAGTTAATACAGACGGGTCAGGGCCTAGGGGTCCCAGTAGGCAGGCAACATACTCGAGAAAGTATATGCACCCAACAAAATGCTCGTATAAGGCTTATGTCCGGGTATCTATAAGTTGAACGTATGTGCGAGTACGCATGATGGTGACATTCGCTGACCAACGTCCGCACGTTGATTGGCTGCATACCAAATAGTGTTTGGACTTCCCCTGTTCCCACAACAGATATCGCAGCACATTGACGTATCTTGTGTCTACATACCAAACACAACTTGCTGTTCTTAACAGAATGCCGTTCCGATTATTGATTACCCATGAAAAGCCTCTCATTGGTCAGACTGCTGACGACCACCAGTCATCTCCAGCTTGCGCTTGTGACAACGTCTGGAGTAGCATCCGAGAAGGTCAGAATGGTAAACTCATGACGATGAGTAACCTATGAACCTCTGTGACTCGCTGCGTCTGGATAAAACAGGTACGTTAGCGTTTCTCAAAGCGTCTGACCAGCCTCAAATCAGACAGCTTCGAGGACCTTCAAGTAGTCATGAAGCACAAAAGCATGCATTGCGTGACATGTTCTGGCACAATACCTTTGGTTTACTGGCCTGATTGCTCGTGTCGATCGTAGGCAACGATAGACCCGTCAACCTTGATTTGACAACCATGCATGCTAACAAGGTGTTTCAGTGGTGCCATTCGAGCACGACAGGCGTTTCTTACGCCACACACATCTGAAGGTAAGTTGGTGGCTAGGGTAGAATGCATAAAGAAGGTCATCCCTCGCATCCCCAAGCACGTTTTCCACTCTTCATTTTCTCATCTTTCAAAGCTTCACCCATCCCATTTTGCTTCCTCATCAAAGCATTCATCAATTCTTCCCTCTCCCATATCCACCTTTGATTCCTCGCTATCCACCCCTCCTAGTCAAAAGGTCACCGCTCTCGCCTCTTTGCCTCGTGCTGCCCCTACTCCAGCACGACTCCACAATGTCAAACCCCTTCCACACCGAACGCCATGTCACCAACAACGACCTAATGCGCAACTTCATCATCGGCTTCAGCGACGGACTTACGGTACCCTTCGCCCTCACAGCTGTAAGTCTCAGAACCATCCACATCACTAGACATATACTTACACTTGCTCAGGGCCTGTCTTCCCTCGGTTCCTCACGCCTTGTCGTTCTCGCCGGACTGGCAGAACTCTTCTCCGGCGCCATTAGCATGGGTCTATCTTCTTTCCTCGCCGCATCCACAGATGCAGCACAATACGCTGTAGAAATGGCACGCGAAAAGAAAGAAATCGAAACCGCGCCGTTGGAAGAAGAAAATGAGATTTATGAGATCTTTGCAGAGTATGGGATTGGAAGGGGTCATGCGTTTATGGTTGTGGAGAGGTTGAAGGAGGATCCTGAGATGTGGGTTAAGGTAGGCAATGTTTCGTATTCTTTGCCATATGGGATTATGCTGACGCTTACATGATGTTTAGNNTTCATGATGGATTTCGAACTCAAGCTTACGGAACCAAACCGCGCTGGCGCATGGATAGAAGGTTTGGTGATGGGTTTGTCCTATCTACTCGGTAACACATCTCAAAACCACTCATCTATTCTTAACCCCCTCACTAACGCAACAGCTACAGGTGGCCTCCTACCCATGATCCCCTACTTCGCCTTCAAGAGCACCAATGATGCACTATTTACCTCCATCGGCATCACTGTTGTCATCCTGATCATATTCGGCTACAGCAAATCTGCAGTTGTTGGCAACACAAAGAGAGACTCCTTTCTTAGTGCTTGTTACACACTTCTTGTAGGGGTTACGGCGGCAGGAACGAGTTATGGCATTGTGAGAGGTTTGGATTCTGTCAACCCTGTCAGGGCCTAGGTGTTTGAGAGCAGGAGAGAAGATGGCGAACGCAGAGGCAAAGGTGATCAGGGTCAATGGACCAATTATTGCGAATGTTAGTACTTTTGTCTTATTGCCGCTCAGGCAGCCGCAAGCTACTGCGCATATGCTGGCGGAGATGAATGCGGATCTGATATTGCGGGATACTCAGGGCAGCAGGTGACGAGGGGTATGGCCAAGTTAGCTGTTCGGAATGCTAGATTATACGGGATCATATGGTTCGGTATGGTTACTTCTGGCAATGCTGGGTATCCAATTGATTGTTTTCGAGAAGATAACGTGTTCCCGCTTGCTTGGGTAAGAATGTTCATCCCTTACGGCCGAAGACTGGAGATCGTTCCTGCCAATGCTCGTCGATCGCATCCTTCGAGATCGACAATGATATCACGACTCCAAGCAGCTGATATAAATGTGCTCGTCCGCAGCTGCGGTTTCGAACTCTCAGCAAGTAACATGCCTAACAACCGATCTACACACAACAACAAAAGACCATCGTCGTAATCTGCGTTATCCTCACTCAATGTCTAATCTCCTACTCTGGCTCTGGACTTTTTCTCAGCGTTCTTGCATTTATCACGAGTTGTGGTGCTTTCACCGCTGTTCACTTCTCCGACAAAGATGTTGAGCATGAAAGAAGGGGGAGGCCATCAGCCATCTTCAAGACCTGCTTGACTTGGACGACGGCACCTGAAACAAGCTCGTTCGTGACCTCGTGGTCGGAAATGTCGACGGTCAAACACGGCATACCTGTACATCGTTCGCATTCAGATCTTGTGGATCAGGCAGCAGGGACAAAATTGAGACTTATGCTGGATCAGCGGACGTCTTGATAAATTTGAAGGGCCGATTCGTTCGTTGAGATTCTCAAGAGGGTGGTCATGATCGTGGATGTCAGATTGTTTGCTTTGTCACAGCTGGCTGGACGCAAGCTGCGGTCTACAGAAAGTTTTGGTATTTGGTTTAGTAGAATGTTTGAGGACTGCATATGCCGGCTTCGAGCACTCTTTACAGATTTCATAATATGTCTCAGAAGAAATGCTGACACTGAAGATCTGATGAATTTTAAAAATGTTATTGAACAAAGTAAAAGATAAAGGCTCTGGACGGAATATGTAAAGTTCAGTCCTCTCCGGGGCCCCAAAAGTTGACACTGTTGAACAAGGCAAAGCTTCCTGGACTCAGACATCCATAGCTGATCTTGAGTGTCTGGGTCGAAGCCGTGGGTACTACCTAGTACGGACCCTCGACAGGTAACGGGACGTTTCCAGGGCCGAAGCCGTCTCGATTAGGACCGCTGTTCACAGGGCTGTAGCTTGTGATGACGATGTCGTCCAGTAGATATGTCGCTGTGCAGTCACCCGCTGTACTAGAGAACCCAGATCCGAAAATGAGATGGTATACCCATCCAGGCTGCAGTTCTGCGAGGATTTGGGACATAAAGTTCGTCGGGCTTGTGTCGAGAAGAAATGCAGCGAAGTGGCTCCGGGTAGCAAAGCACAGGGCACAGCTGCCGTCGTCTCCAGGATATCCAGATCCCTACCCCCTGGAGATTTCTGAGCTCCGTGGTTCATAGAGATAGCCGGTCGAGGTTTTGGAGAACTCTTGGGGGGCGGCTGCCAGTTTTGTCTCCAGGGACGCAAGTCCTAGTCCTGGACGCTTGATGTCCAGCGAAATTGATAGATCAGTGGAGGTACAGCTGACCTCTCTTTAATTCGTGCTGGAATTCGAGTTTCTATTGCGTCTTGAGCGGAGTCGAATTGTGTTGATCGAAGACCGAATCAAGATACGCAACATGCACGGTCGTGGCGACATCCTTCAACTCCTTTCGGGAAAGATGGAAGATCAGCGGTTCCATTCCATCTCTCGTACTGTCCTCACTCTCCTCACGACCAGTGATGAGGAAAATGCCTCTTTCATCATTGGAGTTGCAGCTGACTTTGTTTGTGACAACAACCAGATCATCAGGCCATGATCTGATCAGATCCATGCTTTCATCGTCGAAAGCGCGTACTGCCAAACGCGAATTGCTGGTGTCACAGCTGTAATCAATCCTTGCCGAGTTCTCCAGGATCACCATAGGATGTGTTGTATCGAACGCAGTGGACATCGAGGGTGTTGTTGCTGGCTTCTCGAAATAAAGTAAGGCACCCGAGTAGTGTGGCATCAGTTGAGACTCTCCATACTGGTCGATCGTCGTATCTGCAATGGGATAAAATGTCTTTTCTGTTATTTTCGTGGTGTGGGCTAGGATGGGAGAAGCCAGCACAACAGATGCTGGCAAAAGGAAAAGAAAACGAAGTGAGTGCAACATGGTGTAGGAATAAGAATTGCATCGAACAGGATGCAAGAATGTAGGTGCAGGAATGCGGATGTTATACGGGTGATAAAGAGTGATCAACGTACAGTGGAAGGATCTCAGGTACGTCTCTCAGCTTGCCGTTTGGATGGCCGTTGCATCTCAGCTCAGCTTTGCTTTGCCTGGAGCGACTCCCTAAATCTAAAAGCACCTTGCAACGACTTCAGCTGGGACTCCATCATGAGGCTTAATAACTGATTTGGTACCTGTGTTTATTTGTTGTTGTCTTCTCGAAGCGAGCAAAATTCAAGACGAAAACAATTGTACTTTTTAATCTTCGTTTGCAAGCCGCTCCAGAGTTGAGACAACTGCCTTAGGCTCGACTATCCGCTGAGAAACAGTTCGACTCTCTCTCCCGATTCTTCTCAGCTCGTCATCCGACTTCTCAACATCATGGTCCCAATCAAGCTTAACAATCTTGATTGACACGTTCTGCTTGCCCTCGACCACAACAAACAATTCCGGATAAATCTTGCAGATCCTCTGACGACCAGTCGCAGGCACTGTAGGATGCCTAACAGTCTCTGCGTACGCGACAGGAAAGTCTTCTTGGATGGCTGCGACGGAAGACAACTCTGATGACCGAAATGTAAGAGTTGACTCACCCAGGGGAAAATCGGGACCACCACGAGGATCAGGTATGCACCGCATAGCTTCTAGGTGAGAGCATTCCGTCGAGAAGACCAAGAACTGCCACTGTCCATGCGGAGCTGCACCACCTTGGTTGTCCTGTCCCTCGTTGCCGCTACCATCATACCTTTCACGAACATTGTCAAATTCGTCGTCGTTGTCGCTGACACTGGTCAACTCCATACCCAATTGATCAATGGGGATACCTCGACACTGAGTGACCTTCCACATTCCGCGATCCTTATCACAGTGTACTACCGTTACCCCTCTCTGTTCCCAATCAGATTGCGTCAATGCAATGAAGCCGTAAACATGAGATTGCTCGTCATCCCGGCTACCGCGTGCAGATTCTGGGAATTGACGTTCGACCATGTGCAGATGATGCTCTAGAACACGCTGTAGAGAGGGTGATTGGAGGTCTGGACGGCTTTGGTTGGCTGGTTTGAGGAAGGCCACGCTTTCCCATTCGGATTCTGGTTCGTTTAGGGCTTGGTCATTATATGCTGACATTGCCAATCGATAGAGCTCTTGGGCGTCTTGAGGTGCATGTTCAGTCGTGTAGATAAGCCATTTGTCGAATTCGGACGTCTTTGCATCTCCGTTGTAGGCGCGTTCCAATATCGAAGCGGCATTGCGGGGTAGATGAAGCCCGCTCATGAATGCTGCTTGTAGAAGAGGACGAATGTGGCTGTTGTTGTCTTCTCGGACGAGAATCGCAACTTAGCGCGATCATGTCGTGTGGCGAGGAAAAAACGACAGATTGTGGGGCAGGTCGGACGGAAAGAGCAAGCCTCAAATATTCACTTATGCAAAAGGTTGTTATTCGATGATGTTATATGGCATGGTTCTATCCATAGATCGATACGCGTTGCTCTCTAGCCATTGTCCCTACTATCTGCTTGTTGATCAAAGCTTCAATTTTGGATCTCTAGCTGTGGTCAAGGTTTAGTACTATGTTAAAAAGTGTTTAAGATTTTGGAGGCTTGTAGGCGATAAGTCATATGTTATAGAGCTCTGGATTGTCAGACCAAGACCCGCAAGATTCAGAGTCGTAGACAAGTACCGTTCTAACCAGGAATTTCCACCTTACGCTTTCGTCATGTGTATCTGGTCCACGTCTCCCGACGCCTGTGCCATAACCTCTTGATCATTATGCGCGAAAGCTTTGTCGCCGAATGCAATGGCAATCTCCTCTAGACTATGCCCAGCAGTCTCGACATAGTAGAAGTACGCCAGACCAGCCGAGAAGAGACAGAATCCGCCAATGATGACATAGAAGTATCCATGGATGCCTGCAAAAGCATCGGGCGACACCATACCGATGATGAAATTAAACACCCAGTTGCTAAAGGTCGCCAAAGCCATGCCTTTGCTTCTGGAACGCAGAGGGAAGATCTCTGCAGGCAACAGCCACGGCATGGGACCCCAGGTGAAGCCATAGACGATATTGTAGTGAGCTGCAGACAGGAGACAGAGATGCCGGTGATTGTAGGATTGATGCCACTTGTGGTACCATCGGCTCCTCCATAGTTCTTGTAGAAGCGAGCGATAAAGACGGGGTTGACAAGCAGACCAGACATAATACCCACATCATCTGTTAAAACTCAATGTGCTTCAAGCTTTCGAGTATCGAGACTGACCAGAGTTATAACCAAACAAGGCATCACCAAGACTGCCAAACGCACAGGTGGCGTAGAGAAGAGCTGCTCCTTTAACAGGATATCTTGCATTGACAGTTTTGGGCTTGAGTTTTCTCTCGAGCCAACTCATGGGTTGTTCGGCGGTGCCTTCTTGGATAACACTCGCATTGTGATCGGTGGATGGCTTGTTTGTCATTGTTGTTACAGTATTGGCGATCTGTCTGATCGATGATAGACCGGGGGTTCGTCCGGAGAAGGATGGAGAAGGATGGAGAAAAACGGAGAAGATGGGGTTGAATCAGATGAGGCGAAGATGGTCCTATTTGAGGTTCTGATAAGTTTTGATATGTCCGCTCGTGTGCCAACGTTCAAGAGCCGTGTCTTTGCATATACCCCACTCCCCCGCTTTTCTACGATGGTCGCATTAGAGCGTATGAGGAGGGGACCATGAATTCGGTGTATAGTGTGACTTCCGCCGGCTTCGCGATCGGTTCCGGCGGAAGTCGTTTATCATTGCGCACAACTCTGGAAGTGCGTCCCAGCATTCACAGACTAAATTATTGGAATGACACCAGAAGGATTTCACGAAGGATCCGCCTAGCTATAGATAGCTAGCGCTCAAATATTGATCGTGAAACTTGATGGAGAGAAACCCGCTGCCGCGCAGGTTCCGGCGGATGTGGTCCAAGCTTTTCGATGGAAGCGAAGGTTGTTAGCGACCTTTGTTGATCGTTCTCACTGGAAGCCTACAAGGCGCACAGTAGAACACTATCGTCAGCGTCTTGGCGGTAGCCCACAGATATACAAAACTTGGCTCATGCAGGAGCACCCTATGTTCTCGAAGTATGAGTCCTAACAACTAAAAGTCAGTCATAGACTGAAGCATGAAGACTTTTGGTCTCACACCTGTTGTACATGTCGATCCCCCAGACCAGTAAGACGAGATGAATCCGTGCTCATCCCTGAGCTGCTCCATCCCACATAGTGTCCCAGAACCAATATAGATCATTGTTGTCTGCCAGATTGGGCGTCGGGTCCAGAAAGTTCATCATATCCTGAGTCTCACTACGATTTGACCAATACTCAGCAGAAGAAGACTGATCAGCGCCATGGTTTGAAGTAGAGTGGTCTATCATGTTTTGTGTACCTTGCGGCACTGCAGGCGTACCAGATGAGCTACTTGAGAAAACTGCACAACAGTCAGTGATTGCAACAGCATATACAGTTTTTCAACACCAGACCTTTNNCTGTACGCTTGCCAGACTTTGATCGAATGATGAGTCTGTTAGAGCGCTTCTGGAGTTTCCAGCATTTTGCTGAGAATCGAAATCCTGTGACAAGCCCAGAGGAAGATTGAGTGTCTCTCGCACAGTCAAGAGTCCGACTGTCGAAGACGGCGTCGTCTCCCCGACCTCCGCTGGCTTTGTGTTGCCCTGCACAGGCGCAAAGATGGCCTCGTTCTCGCGACGGAGAAGCAGTTGCACGACGTTCTTGAGAACAGCGCTACTCTGCAATGACAGCTTTGAGCGTCTTCCAAACAGATCTTGGAGTCGGAGGATACGAGTAATGATGCGCTTGACTTCTTGCGCTTTATCTGAGAGCGAATCCGTGACTGCCATGACAACCATAACGATTGCAGCATTGAAAAGATTGATGGCGAGAAAAGCAACCAGATGGCTATCTGTTGCAAGCTGCGCAAAATGTGGCAGCTCAGTAATTCGTGCAGTACGAAGTGCAGCATCCCACCATTCTTGTGGACTCGAAGTTTGAACATCGTTGGACGGGGTACTTGTTGACATGTTCGCGCCTCCTCGATTGGTAAGGGTATCAATGGTCCAGGCCAGGAACGGTCTGTGTAAGATGATGAGTAGATTGTCGAATGTCAGGGAAAGAGCCAAGCTTTGCAGCGAATGGGCTCTTTCTGTCGTACTCAACTCAGGCGAGCAATCGCTATACAAATTGATTACCAATTGGTGTGGCAAAGCTCTTCTCCATTCCCAAAGCCTGATCGTGACGCTTTTCACGAGTCGTAGATATGGCGCATTCTCAGCGTCGGAACCGCCTCTCCGTAGACGCGTGCCGTAGACCTTCTTTATGACTGGGGACGCAATCATGTACAGCTTATTGAGCTCTCCTTGGTACCTAGAGTAGCAAACAGGAGGACATTCTTGACTGTTCGCAGCGTCGGGAAACTGGATATTCTCGGTATACTCAGAGGGCATTGTCACCGTGCAATCTTCGTCGTGGATACCCAGAGGCCGTCCATACGTAACAGCAGCGAACCTAAGTTATCAGTAAAGGTCAGACTTGCGTGTTGAGGTTGCTCACATATCCCAAGTATATATCGTCCACCAGACTCTCTTCTTCTCCTCGCAGACATCGAAGAAAGCCTGATATGGTTCACGATGCAGGCCTAATGCTTGAGCAGCGCGCACACTTGCACCAAGCATGGAGAACGACAAGTTTGGCCGTCCATGATAGCAGTAAAATGAGCCGAGTAAGATCAGAGTCTGAATAGCCGGGATCGAATTCTGATACATGATGTTGATGAGCTCATTATCGGCATTTTTCAGTAAGTCGGAGCTGAGCTGTTTCCACTCTCGACTTGATCTTCCGGTCTCAGCTCCAGGTCTTTGTGATCTATACCAAGCTGCCATACCTAGCATTGTTGATAATAGAACCAGGAACGATTTCTGACTTGGCTCTGCGAGACCATCCCGGAGAGAATAGNNGCTCTGACGGAATTTTGGCTCGTAGATGACCAGAGAAAACCAATGTACTGACGTAAAGTATTCTTCGAGCAACTCGGATACCACATCTGATGGTGGCAGAGAATTCATTAGATATGCACCGACTGGGAACTTGTCAACGACCGGCGAGGGGGCAGCAGGCGTAGGGTTGCCTATTTCAGCTCCTGGTATAGCATTGATTGCGAACTCATCAAGCTGCCGCTGATCCAGACTGTAAATCTTCCGGGCCATGCTCATTGTACTTTCAGCCTCCCCATCATCTTCGGCATGGTCGTGCGGATTTCCATGCTCGTGAACATCGGCATCTCCTGAGGTCTGATGACTCGATACATGGTTATGTGAGCGCGATTCTTGGGCCTCAACTGAGCCCGTCGTCCTTCTTCGTTTGTGTGCTGACGGGTTCAGTGAGCTCAGGTCTCTACTCGTGCTTGTTTGATCCGCGTGATTCCTCGCTCTGGCGCTTGTAGTCGTACATTGTGCGTCGGCACGGATGCACAACGAGCACGGTCGGTAAGCATCACATCTTGATTTGTTTCGTTTGCACCTGTCGCATGCCTTCGACACACGTGTCGGCAGAGGCGTCTGATGACGAGCATCTCGATCGGACGCGCTCATGTCGGTGTGAGGGAGGACCGACCGAGGGGACAGATTGTGGGGGACGTGCGACGGAAAGAGCAAGCCCCGAAGAAACTCCTCCGTTTACATCAGTAGCCATCGCGATGCCATCTTCTTCTCCAACAATGCTTTCCCAGCTGCGGAAAACTCCTACACCTTGTTATGTCAATCACGATCTCGGTCATCATGGCCAATCTACTCACGCTGCCGATGGAAGTCCTCAAGATGGTAGCAAAGAGGCAATGACAGACGATCTACCGAGTATGAGGCTGGTCTGTCGGAGGTTGAACGAGGCTACAATCGAGCTGTTCGGGGCTCGCAATTTCCGCCATCGACGCTGTACAGTGACACCACAAAGCCTACAGGCCTTGGAAGATATCTCAAATCATCCTGTCTTTCAACGTTACGTCAGATCGATCACTTTTGGGTCGTACATCCTCAACCCACCATCGCGATTGCTTGAGGACATCGATAAGTTCAGAAGCGTCCAATACAAACATCTGATTCAGACCGCCACAGACCAATGGTGCTTAGTAGACAGTCAAACACATTCAGGTGTTCTAGCCCAGACTCTACACAACCTGAAGAATTGCGGCAACACCGAAGTATTCCTCGGTATCTTTGATGATGTGCTCACAAAATGCGCGGATGAGGACCCGCAGGAGGACGAGTCTGATCCTGATTCTGTGGGTGGTTTTATCTTGGTCTGGCACGAGGTCCGGAGATGTCACGGCCACGAGTTCTTTGAATCCCTGCGACTGGACGACTCTCTGATCGCTTCTCGAAGAGCATACTTGATATTTGACATGCTCAGAGATGCATGTGAAATGGCCAGTGTGCCGTTCAACAGTCTGAGCTTGGATCTCTCTTATACCGATGACAATAGAGCTCAAACATACGATGGTGAAGATGGATACTCTGCCATCGCACTTGGAACCAAACTTGCCGAGAGACTTGACTCTTATCTCCAGATTGGAGAAGATGGCACATGCATGGGATCAATGGACATCAATTTGACTTTGAATCATGCAAGCATCAACCCACAATTCAGTCAAGGCCACCTTAGCTTAAGACACCGCAGTCAGACTCTGATTCTGACGGGAATCGACTTGCGAGCGCCGCCAAAATTCAATAAAGAAACTTGGCCACATCTACACTCTCATGGCTTTGGCTCTCTGAGAAACGTGGTCAGCAATGCATGTTTCCGAACAATCATCTTGCAGGATGTGTTGATGGATCAATGGGCCCTCGATCATCTCATTCTTCGAAATGCAACTCGGCTAGAGCGCCTGGAACTCTGCAATGTTCACATTGCTCGCGATGGTTCACTAGGAACAGACAAGAAAGGCAAACTAATTACCTTTACCGAAAAATTCTTGGAAATTGTCCCAATCTCGAACGACTATGCATTGATGCACTTACATTGGGCGGTCGCAACCACAATTCCGCCACTGTGGTCCACTCCGCCGATGGTTCAACTGCTCTGGACGGAACGGCTAATGTCCGAAGGGGACTCGAACAACTTCTCGAGACGATAAGTGCAATGTACAGTCGTGCTCGTGGCCAAGCATTTATTCACTAGATCCGCCTCTGTTCATTATGAAGCGAGACGGCGATTTTTGGTCGATTTGCACGCCTTCGTGATCGTACGGTTGAGGCGGTCGCCCGGTCATGTTGGCTGCATGATTAGGCGCCTTGCTCAGCCACCCCGCCTGCGTCGCACGTGAGGCAGGGAGGATAGAAGAGAAGGACGCGCGAGGGCGTTCACTTGAGGTCTGATCGTGTCAAAACACCCCACGGTCAGCATTCACATATATTTGCTCGGGGAAACCGACTGCCACCATGTCAGATCCGCAGCAGTATACTATAGGCTGGATCTGCGCGATCCCCACCGAAAGTATCGCGGCCTCCTGTTTTCTCGATGAAGAGCACGAACGACCAGATCATGTCTCTATCAACGACAGCAACGACTATACTCTCGGCAAAATGGCAGGCCACAACGTCGTGGTTGCGGTTTTGCCAGATGGCGAGTATGGACAAACTTCTGCCACAGGTGTGGTGAAGGACATGCTGAACAGCTTCCCTAACATAAGAGTCGGCCTGATGGTCGGTATTGCTGGAGGCGCACCGACCGCGCAAAATGACATCCGACTCGGTGATGTGGTTGTGAGCTCTCCACACAACAAGACCGGCGGCGTGTACCAGTACGACTATGGGAAGATGATTCAAGGCCAAGGCTTCCAACACACGGGATTTCTCAATCAACCTTCTACACTTGTCCGTACTACTGTCAATGGCCTCAAGACGCAATACAAGATGAAAGGTCACAAGATTAATGAAACTATCGACGCAGTCTTGACCGATTATCCAAGACTAGCTGATGAATTCAGTCGCCCGGGCGAAGATAGAGACCGCCTGTATAAGGCTGACTTTGTTCATCCTATCGGCCACAAAGGTGATTGCGACAATTGTTGTGGAGTGCTACCAGAACGAATCGTAGAGCGACGCGCAAGAACCCAGAAGGAAGACAATCCAGCTATTCACCACGGCATAATCGCTTCAGGCAATTGGCTTCTGAAAGACGCTATGATTCGAGACGCCCTCGCAGATGAGAAAGGCGTTATCTGCTTCGAGATGGAGGCAGCGGGTCTGATGAATCACCTGCCCTTTCTGGTCATACGGGGTATATGTGATTACTCTGATTCTCACAAGAACAAAGAGTGGCAAGGGTACGCAGCGATGACAGCAGCGGCCTATGCCAAGGATCTGCTCGTTAGGATGGTCCCAAGTCGAGTGGAGGCTGAGCAAAAGGCCGGAGAGACATTGAAGTCTAGTCAGTCCATGATAGNNATCAGCTCAAATGTCCTGTCGAGTGCTAACTGATATGTAGTCGAGAATAATACCCTGAAGATTATTGAAACAGCCGAAGATACAGCAACTTGTGTGAATGATCTCAAGGCCGACGCCAGATACCACCATATTCATCGCTGGCTTTCCCCTCCCGATTACACTACCAACCAAAATCAAGCTCTGTCTAAACGACATGAGGGTACCGGGCAATGGTTCGTGAAGAGTGAAGTCTTCACAGCCTTCAGGGAAGGCAAAGTGCCTTTTCTTTGGCTCAGTGGAATCCNNCCTGGCTGCGGCAAAACTGTTCTCAGCTCTTCTATCATCCAAGATTTGCAGCACACTTTATCGGATTCATCAGCTGTACTTTTGTACTTCTATTTCGACTTTACCGAAGTTCGGAAGCAGACTTTGGACAACGCCCTTCGTTCGCTTCTATGGCAGCTAACGAAACGTACCGACAGCTCTTTCGAGGAAGTCGAACAGCTCTATGAGTCATGCAGTTACGGTCAAAGTCAGCCTTCCACTCAGAGCCTGATCCGGGGGCTGGAGTCCGTACTGCAGGCCACCGGTCGTGTTATGATTGTCCTTGATGCGCTAGACGAATGTACGACAAGGCGGGATCTGCTACGATGGCTTACAGAAATAGCTGCTAAAGACTCTAGCACCATTCAGATCATCGCCACGAGTCGCAAAGAGTACGACATCGAAGTTGCTTTCACAACATGGTTGACAAAGGATGTCATGCTGTCGATTCAGCAGCTTGAAGTGGACCGAGATATACAAGCCTATGTGCACGCCAGGATCCGATCTGATCCAGATTTACAACGCTGGAGGGACAAACCTCTTGTGCAGAAGCAAATCGAGGTGGAATTGATGAAAAGGCNNGCGCGGAATGTGAGTATGCTTGGCCATGAAGCCTTGATATGATCATGTTAACGGGAAAACAGGTTTCGATGGGCCAAGTGTCAACTTGACTCACTTGCAGATTGTTTTTACCTGCGGAAGCTCCATGAGGTTCTAGACACGCTTCCGACTACCCTTGATGCGACCTATGCTCGGATACTGGATCATCTCCCATCCATGTATTTACAAGACACAATGAGATTATTACAAGTCTTGACGTGGTCCGAGAGGCCGCTGTCTATCGAGGAGGCTGTCGATTATCTGGCAGTGGAGCTCGATAGCGAATCTGGATTCGACGAGGCGAACAGACTCCCGGTTCCAAAAGAGATCATGCGGTTCTGCTCGAGTCTAGTGACGGTGGCTCGAACCAGCGAAGATACTGAGACGTACTTGGACGCTATACACCCTGGGCCCTTCGCAGAAGATCAAGTGCGAGAAGAAATCCGACTCGCTCACTACTCCGTGAAAGAATACCTCACCTCCGGCCGATATCAGAATAATGAAATTCGCTTTCAACTTGGCCAGGTGACTTCTGCCACGTACATCGCAAGTGCGTCGTTGACTTATCTACTCCAACTCCAGACAAATCTATCTAGACAAGCGATCATCTCAAAGTTCCCGTTAGCAATGTATTCAGCATTACATTGGATGAAGTTTGCGCGTGTTGCAAACGCCGAGAATGACCGTTTACAAAAGCTGATAGAAAGGCTTCTTCTGGTACCAGAGCGATATGGTCGTTGGCTAAGTCTTTTCAACCCGGAGCACCCCTGGTGGAAANAACCCAAAACCCCGTCCCAGTTACCACAACCGCTATACTATGTCTCGCTCGGTGGCTTAGAGCATGTGGCAAATAGACTGCTGGCAAGCGGCGCAGACATCAACAGTGAGGGTGATCGATACGACAACGCTCTGCAGGCTGCTGCTGCAAACGGCCACGAGAACATCGTGAACTTGTTGTTACAAAAAGGCGCTGATGCCAACGCTTGCCGCGGCGAATTTAGTACTCTTCAAGTTGCGTCCGCAGATGGCCATGTAAGAGTGGTACAATTACTGTTGGCGTATGGCGCTGATGTCAATTTTCAATGTGGCCAGATTGGCAGGGACTTCACTGTCCTGCAACTCGCCTGTTATCAGGGACGCTTAGAGGTGGTGGAACTGTTGTTGGACAACGGTGCAGCTGTCAATAGCCGAAATGGGGAATTCGGTAGCGCTCTTCAAGCCGCTTCCCTAATCGGCTGCGACAGAATCGTGCAGCTGCTACTAAAGCGAGGAGCAGACATCAACGCGCCAGCGGGCTATTTCTGTGGTGAAGCCCTTGAAGCTGCTTTTGAGAGAAAGTGGGATGACTGCCGCTTCCATCAAGATCGCGAGAATGTTGTGCTACTTTTGTTGGAGAAGTGTGATCATATCGGCGCTCAGAGGTATGGCAGGCTTCTACTCAATGCTGCCAAAGCTGGTTTCGAGAATGTAGTGAAAAGACTATTTACTACTGACATGGAAATGGTTGCCTGTGAAGCCAGAGAAACAGGTATCAATGCTCTTGGTGAAGTGTACGGCAGCGCACTACAAGCAGCATTGCACAACGGCCACGACAACGTTGTGCAGATGCTACTCGACAGAGGTTCAGATGCTATCACCAAAGGTGGCAAGTACGGCAGCGCTTTTGTACAAATGCTACTGCAAAACACACTTAAGGCTGTTGGTGGCACTGTAAATGCTACCGCCGTCGACATAGTTTTTCACGAGGGATACGTTGACGTACTCGAAACTTTCCTCAAGCGTCTTTGCAAAGAGTCTGTTACTGACGAACATGAGTGGTCACCGGAGGCTTATCTCGTGCTGTGTAGAGGTCTTACTTCTCGGAGTATATCTCGACACCCTATGAGCCAGAATGCGATCCCCCCTGGGTCAAACGCCGACTCGCTTCTTCGAAGCTGTTCACGGTTCTGGTCTTACCTTCAGTGATGATAGGCTTCAAATAACTGCAGGTATGCGACAGGCACCGTGGGGTACTGTAAAATTTGCCGTTGGCTGACCATCATCTAGAGCATGCCTTGGACTCAGATCTTGATGTCAGTATTCAAGCTCGTGCTGATCACCCTATTCCAGCAGGATTGGATGACTTCTACTTCGAGGTTGAGATAGTCTGCTGTGGTCGTGACAGGTAAGAGAACATTCTCACATCATTCTTTGCTAAACCAGCTTACAAATGGGTAGCTTTGTAGCCGTCGGTCTCTGCAATGGAAGCTCGTCAAGGACGGGAATGCCTGGCTGGTACGCTTTATCGTGGGCATACCACGGTGATGACGGCAAGAAGTTCAGTGGGACTGGTGTAGGTGATCAATACAACGAGACATATGGCACAGGAGACACTATCTGCTGTGGAGTTGATTTCAACAGCAACGTTGTTACCTTCTACAAGAATGGTAAATCCATGGGTAAGCTGCAAAGTCTCAATATCACAGGACCGTTGTCGCTGACCTTTTTTTATAGGCTCTGCATTCAAAGGCGTGAGAGGTCGCCTCTTTCCGGTGATTGGGATAGGCAACCGGGATGTATGTTTAAAGATCCGATTTCGTCTCGAAGAGTTTCTCTTCCCTCATGTAGCTTCATCGCAAATCTGAGCCGGTCAGTTGATTGTCAAAATATTGTATACAACGCGATGGAGCGCGCAGCTGAGGGGTCATCCAGCTTACATGCGCTTCGCATAGGTTGCTGCCCGACATATTTCTCAGACCTCTTCGGATCACCTCTTCAACTTCTTTCGCTGTCGTACTAATACTGTTGCCTTTCACAAGAATAGCAGATCCCTGGGTGAGCTGCAAAGTTACAATATCTGAGAAAAATCTCCATCCGGGTCAGCTTAATCCGTTCTAAATGTCATTGAGGAACCTGGATCATTAAGTGTCCAAGTTGCAGTTTATCACCATCGCCATCTTGTTCCTTCGTTACATACACCACATTGACATGATTAGTGCTATAGAAATCGAACCGAGCGCGATTGTAGGAGGGCGACAGGTGTCTCTCCAAGAACCTCGCTGCCTCAGGTACGTCGCACGCCTTGAGGTCGGACTTGACGCCAATGTCCGGATTGTATCTACGAGTGGCGTTCTCTTCGTAATCGACAATAGCTTGCAAGTACGCTACGAGATAGTCCGTGTCGAAGATACCACGCAAGTTGATTCTGCGCAATAGAGCAATACAACGCTGGCGAACACTGGACGTCCGGCAATTTTCGACAACCATAGTCAAGCACCTCACAACGTAGGAGCCAAGCGAGAACGCTGGAGGTGTGGTGAACCGCTTCTTGTTGTCAGCGTAGCCGTTGAGGATGTTGAAGGAAGAGGTCCTAGAAATGTACAATTTGAGATACTGCTCGCATAGATCTGTAAGGGAGACAAATCCTTGCTCGAAACGATCAACAAGACTGGCGTTCCGGTCACGCCAGGCTTCCATCCATATCCAAAGGCACGAATAGAAGATCTCAGCCGATATGTGCGATGTCGAGTTCGTGGATGTTCGTGTGAGCAGCTTGAAAGAACCATACCACACTTGCAGGAGATGTCTAATCTCCTCTGCTCCCGACAACAGATGGGGAGCCTGGTCGAAGTTCATTGAACGCAGAGTGGCTTGCAAGAGACACATCTGCTGATATTTGTCGAGAGTATGCAAAAGCTCTGGTTCGCTGAATGTGCGGTAGGCGTACGAGAATATTGCTTCGAAAAGGGTGTACATCCTGGCCTTGATGACTTCTAGATGCATGTTCGCTTCGTCAAGATTAAGAAATCTGGAAGGCATGGCCTTATGAGAGACAAGATGCAGGTANCCTGGAGACGTTAGAGATGGCTTTGACACACAGTCCTGGTGGTCTTTGACTCACGATTGATCATGGCCTATCAACGTATAGTGTGAGTCTATCCGTATGTATACCTGTCTGAGTGCATTGAACATGCTCCCTGAACCACGGTCTAGAAAGACTATACGCTCATTGTGGGGATTCAAGAGCTTTCCACGGCCGCAGCATTGCTCGTGAATAATACGCAAGCCGGTGAGAAGGTGTATTGATGCTCTGGCGTCATTCTCAGAGAAGGCTTCGTAAGTAAAGAATATCAGGCAGACCACGAGAACGACAAGGATGGCGTCTTCCGTATTGTTGTGTTGCAGGCCATTGATGTAATCACGCATTAGCGACAATGACTTGCAATATTGCTGTAGAGCAAGCTGATGTTGGTCAGGACCTTCACTCTCAGTCAGAGCGCGGTGTAAAGAGGCCAAGGCACATCCAGCTGCGGCAACTGTGGGCTGCTGATAAGCCAGAACCATGACTATATGCTCCCAAGGCTCTTCGAACGTCGACGCGCATGGCAGATGGCTGAGGGTCACAGGACGGAAAGAATCCAGCGCTTGTCCCTCAGCACAATTCAAAGAAACAGAAAGTGCTGACGGTCGTGGACAGATCCTGCGCGACAGCATCTCTTGCTCGTGGAGGCTAGGCGGACCATCTGAGCGCACTGCTACAGCGTGTTCGGTCAGGCAATTTGGTGCTGGTTTTAGCGGCCGTAAGATGGCGTTATGATCTGTTAACTTGGAATATGCGTATCCACCACAAACCCGACCCGACGATATGCATCTTCGGCAGGATCCCCTAGTCTCGTCGCACTTGACTCTCCGGTTGCTAGCCAATGTCAGGCGNTCGGTCAACATGACATTCACTGGCCTTGTCACATACCGGCACGTACGACAAGCGTTCTTGCTGTACTTGTAGCCCACCGCGCGCGGTCGCTTTGGTTCCGAGCCCATATCAAGCTGTGATTGGGGGCGTTTTCGAGGGCAGAGAAGGTTCGAAGGACTTGTTGATGTTATATGTCTCGTTCGAGTCAAGCGCTAGTTAGGGACGGTGCTATTTAGCTTTTTCAATGGCGAGCCGAGGTTTGTGATTGGTTGGACTGCTAGGCTGTCAAATAGAGCTTCAAATCATGCTTCGATCTGCATGCCCTACTTGATGCTACAGAATTGAAGCGACCTTAGAAAAGGGCATCAAGTATCTCAGAAGATTGCAGAACACATTGTATGCGTCGCGAGGCGGCGAATCACTATGACTTTGATATCATTAACAATTCGTCCGCATACTTCCAAAGCGTGTGGGAAACAGGGGTCAGAGTCCAGACTTGCGCAACGAGCACTTCCAGAGGCTGCAGGGCGCTGAGGCAGCAGCAACGGTCTATGCAGCACTAAACTGGAAGTTTCAGTGTATATCATCTCGAAAACGAACCAATCAGAGATCACGACAAAAGCATATATGACGTAGCCTGTCAGTGCGATATCCACTCGATTTGATTTGCTTACAACTGTTGGGAGACTATAATATTCCATCGTATCACTCCCTATCAACAACAGGAGTGTAGGGATCTTTCTGAAAAGCCGCGCTGATGTCTTGAGATCCGTTCAAGTAACTGAAAGATTGCTTTGCGCACTGTGTGTATGACCGTTAACCACGGCAGGACCTTAGTAGCGGCTTCTGTACGCATGCATTGCCATATCTTGTCCTCCAGGTCGTCTCACACATATCGACCAACAAACATTGACTCAGGCACCGTTGCCAGTCCAGACTGCAGTCTACTCCTTTTCTCCAGGTTCTCGTTTGTTCTGTGACAGCTGGGAGCGGTCATTCTCAGACTCGTAGGCTTTGTTCTGCTGAGCAAGCAGGACAAGTTGGTTCTGATAGTCCTGCTCGGCCTCCTCGGCAGTGAGCTGACGATCGGGGATGACATCGCAGGTTTCAGTCTCGCTTAAGGGTTCGGCATCGTTGAGTGATGTACTTTCGACCTGCGTGGTTGCTCGAGACATGGTGAGAACGATCGTCGTTGGAATTTCCGGTTGGATGAAGAGAGTGGGCTGGTTGAAGTCGAAGCATTCATAAGAGCTGGAGGTCTAGTGCAGCGGTCGATAGATGGATCACAATGATTAAATACGACTTGGTGAGTCGCTTTCCCCACCACCACTCGTCATAAGTGTCATAGGTGTTATGAATCCCTCTTCATGTGCCATGCAGTGCCGCAAGAGCTAACTCGATGCATCGACCATTTTCGAATCGGAGAGCCTGGATTTTTTGCCGAATTTGCGGCATTCCAGAAACCACTGTATTTTTGAGTTTGTGTCACGCCTCGTATCACTGCTGCCTGGCTTGGTCTATTCAGAGACGACACCAATTTGCCTTCCACTTGGAATCCACGTATCTGGTATGGCCAAAATTGCTGTCCGCGTCTGGCGACTGCCCGCAGGAGCCCTCATGATAGTATCGCTTCTTGAAGGTAGATTTCTGCTAAGAGGATCGTTTCCGTTGTTTGGAACTATCTTGATCTAGCTAACAATGGCAGGAAGTCGAGATGAACTTTATTCATCTGTCTCGACAGTCCCACATCCATTTCAGGCTTGCTTCACCCGTCCATTTCCACTAGAACTAGTGGAAGCTGTATGAAGCTACTGCTTAACGCTGAGCTTGTTTAGCTCTTTCCTGGACCTGCTGGACTCTCGAAAGGCCTCTCAATCATGCCAACGGCTTCTTTGACTGCCACACTGCCATGCTCAGTCAGGTAATCCTCTCGAGTACTCTGCACATCCCCGCTGTTTTCTGACTTACTGTCTGCGGAAAAATAGCTGGAAGCCAGAAGACTCGATTACATACTCTGCGATATCGAAACCCAAATCGATTGAGCGGTTTCTTGAGCTGCCTGAAGTCCTTCCTTACTCATCCACCCTTGTTTCGTACTCTTCTCGAAACCATCTGCCGGGAACAGCAACCTGTCTGTCCGGATCCCTGACTCACCAACCCATAAACATCACCTGAGTTTAGGGGGGAAAGTGGCTCGCTATTCCTCAGCCTTGCCTTCATACTCGACGGGCCCTGGCATACATCTCCTCCATCGTCAAGAAACACAAAGTTTGGAGCCAGTCCATATAATATAATGCTCTAAAGAAGGAGTAAACACAACCAAGCCAACCAGCTAAATTTTCTGCTTCACTGCAGGAGCCCATCACAAATAATGCCAGCAGCCTTTATAGCCACTTCCCTTCCCTCCTCACTCATTCAATCTTCTTTCGCTGATTCCTCGAACCTTCTGGCCCAGACCTCCCATCTCGCCTTGGAGAACCCTGGCTCACCATCCCATAACTCTGTCTTTTGACTTAGTCCTCTAGTCCAATGATTACCAAAACCTGCGTTCTCAAGATACAGAAGCTTGGTTCCAGCATAAATGACCCATTGTGCAGCAGCCACAACATCAGTTTCCATAGCTTGCCGTGCCGAAACGACAGAATTGTGACGCAATGTCTTTGTACCATGAGTTTGCACTGTTATCTTCAAAGCATTTCTGAGATCGAAGAATGCATGTATGCCTATCTCTTTCACAAACACTTCTTTATCGCTTTGATGCAATAGTATTGCCGAGAAGTGCGTGAAATTTATCCATCGCTTTGCATTGTTCGGAGTATTTGTCCCGGCAGACGATGCCAAAGTTCGATAAGTGTAGTAATCACTATACACATCTTGCCAATTCTCCCAAAAATACCTTTCAATCCCCTTAAACCCCTCAGAACCAGAAGGCACATCATAGATAGCTAGAACAAGGTCTACAATAACCCCAAAGTATGGTGGAAAAGTTGCTGCAGTACGGAAAACCAGATTCCAGAATCGGTATGCGGTGTCCGCACTATCGCGATTTGATGTGACATCGGAGACAAGTTGTTTTGCTGCATCTTCGGGCTTGATAGTGTTTTCGATTACGGGTTTGAGGGTTTGGGTGTGGTGGGGTAGGGAGCCGTGGTCTTGGGCTATGGCGTGTTCGAGCCACTGGTCTAATGGTGAGGGCATGGCACTTGGCGACAGTATTTGGGATATTGCAGGTCTGTTCGGAAAGGATGTTTGTGTGGTTGTATCCAGAAAGAGCAATACGTGTGAGATGTGGAGAGTGAAGGGTCGTGACGCGGGGTTACTTGGTCGAAGGATTTCTTGTTGAAGAAAAAATAGGAAAGAAAAGAAAAAGGAAAGAAAAGAAAAATGAAAAAGAACCAAAAGCGAAAGACATGAGGATATCAAGCACATCACAGCTGCATCTGCCCTCACAATCATGATAAAGCATACCCGTAACACTCAAACCCCCAAAAGAACGCCTCACGAAAGAAAATAAAAACACCACTACTTCTTGGACGGATTATACTTCTCCCAACTATAAGTACCCTCCGACATGGGATACTTTTTCGCATCAGCAGCTTCCTCTTCCGGACTCATAGCCATAGCTTTCTGCTGCGCCCTCTCCGCCGGGCTGATTCTCTTCAAAAATCCCGAAATGCGTTTGCCAACACCAGGTCTGGATTCGCTTTGCTCAAAGCTATCGTCTCCGTATTGAGAAGCCAGAGCTTCCTTCTCTTGACTTGCGGAGGGATAGTTTTGAGAAGAGGCAGAGGATTGTTGGACTAAGTGCCCGTTTGTCACTGTCTGGCCGCCGATGTGGAAGGTTTCCATATAGCCGCCTGAATTCATCATATCGCGTTTCTCAGCCCATTCCTTGAGGGATTTGAGACGAGCTGCTTCTTGAAAAGGTGTACGTTGAAGATACTGAGGTGGTTCTGTGGCAGGAATCTCTGGCTCAGGCAGGGGATCTTGGGTGTAGACTGGCAATGGCTCTGGCATTTTTTGCGACATTGCTTTTGAGGATTTGTGGGTGAAACAGATGGGATGTAGAGTGTTTGGAATCAATGCAGCGGAGTGCAGAGATGGAAGATGGGAAATAAATAGAGCTTAGCCTGCAGTTCTTGTAGATGCTTGATAAAGCTTGTCAAAGGCTTGACTTTTCTATTCTTACACTTTGGTGGCTGATTCAAGCATCGGTACTCTTTTGGTCAGCAAACAAGCCGAAAGCCGAGAAGGATCAAATCACATTGTCAGCCTGTAGAGCAGGAACGTGAAAGTAAGTTGAGGGAGGAAGAGGGGTATCACTTTTCAAAGTACGGAGAATGCATGACGTATGCGGAGGAAGCTCTATGCCGCCTCTTCCTGCTGACCTTCTGATTGACTGCGGCATTATATCCATACAACGCAAATACAAACAGACAAGGCGCATTCCTGATAGCGAACATGGGCAGTACACGCGGCGCTCTAGTGGTGGTAGGCAGTGGCCCAGGAATCGGCAGCCACGTCGCACGCACCTTTTCTTCCCACGGCTTCACACGCATCATCCTGCTTTCCCGCGATCCCTCACGTCTGGAGGAGGATGCAAAGTTCATCCGCTCTGAGACTCCCTCTGCCGATATTTCCACTTTGGCTATTGATCTGTCCAAGACGTCTGAGATAGCTTCGGCACTGGCTCAAGTCGACAAGGCACTCAACGACACACCCATCGAAGTTGTCCTTTTCAATGCCGCACGAGTGGGTCCAAGCACACTGGTCTCATGGCCCATGGAAGAGCTAGAGCTAGACCTGCGCATCAAAGTCACAGGCTGCTATGCAGTAGCCCAATGGGCGATTCCCAAGCTACTAGCTGTGAAGAACACCCACAAGCCCGCTTTCCTCTGCACATCAGGCTCCATCTACAAAGACCCTATTCCAGAGGTGTTTTCGCTGTCGGTGTGCAAAGCCGGCCAACACAATTTGGTGCACAGTATACATAAGAAGTATAAGGAAGAGGGTGTATATTGTGGTCTTGTTGTTGTTGGAGGTGTGGTTGGTGATGATCGTCCTCAGTGCAATGCTGAGAATATCGCAAACAAGACTTGGGCTTTGTATGAGGAGCGCAGTGATCTGGAGGTTGAGATTTTGGATGGATAGACTTTTGCCCGGTGTGTGATGTAGTCAATCTCAGGTACGTTCAAACGTATGGTAAATACTGTCTGCATCGTCCTTGGTTGAACGGATTCTTGTTTGATCATCCTGTCATTGTAGACCATTTTTGTTATCCAAGCAGGACAAGGGTGATCGGAGATGCTTCCGGAATTGTGCTCATGTCAGTTGCCGCAGGGACAACCCTGCTCGTTCACGATCACGTCGACACAAGCCGACCTATGTGATCACACAAACAGTCCCCATGTTGGAACGCAACCTGATCTCTTGCAAATTAATTCGATGTTCTATCTTCGATTAAATGTGCGTCGCTAGGGAGCTCGTTGAGGCGACGAGTTGGGAAAGTCAAGTTAATGCAAACCATTTGAGAAAAGCGGATATCTTGGGCGATAAAGTGCAGCACTAGCAACGACCAACCCACCGACAAGAGATTATTTGAGGCAAGATCAGAGGCACAGCAGGAGGAACAAAGTCTGCAATACCAGAGGAGAAGATGGAGGCCAACCCATCAATGCCCCCACAGCAGCTATCACACAGCCAAACCACTACCCTCGAAAAACAGAAAACGCCAGGCCATGCAAGAACAACCGCAACAAATAGCAACCCTCTCAAACCTCATTATCATGGAAATGGAAGGCAACATCACGAGGACGCAGACGATTGGTTCTGACAAACTCTGCATCACCAGGCGGACGCTCTTTCTTGGAGTTGCCAGTCAACATGCTCTGGATGCTCAAACAAACACTTTCCACATTCTGCACTGGCGACCATCCTTGAGAGGCAAGTAGATCCAGACAGATAATGCCGTTTGTGTAGATGTGAGGGTGGATGGGGATAGGGCGCTCTGGATGACGGACAAAGACGACTTCTGGTGGTTCNTAGAAGGAAGTGGTGAGCAAGCAGATGAGAGTGAAAGAGGGACAAAGAGTATAGATACCTATCGGATAATTTGAACTAAACTCGAATTTTAGGCGGTAGGTTTCACCTTGGTAGATTGGGTTTGCGTCCATGACTTGAATGTCCATGAGCCACGTTTTGAGGTTGTCTGCTGATACGAGGGTGATGCCGGGAGCCAGTTGTCCTTGGACTTTGAGAAGCTCCTTTGCATGTGTCAGAGTATGATCAGAGTTGTAGTAAATAAAGAATGAATACCTTCTGGAGTCTCTTGCTGCTCATCATCTTGGCGGTGGTGTTCTGATAAGATGACAGGCGGCTGAAAGTAACGTGGTTGTGGAGCAAAGCCCAAAGGCGGGAGTGTCGCGGTGGAGAGCAGCGGTCAGCGCAAAGAGCTTTAAGATGGTATTGCGGACTGATTATCTCGCTCTTTCCGATAGAGGGTCCAGGGAGCACAAGCTGTGCAAGCAAGGAGCGTGAGTGATTGCGACGCAAAAGATATGGATGTTGTTGCAGAGCTGAAGATTGCAGATTGCAGTGCTTTTGCCCGCGACCGAAATGCTCAGGGTCCAGACATGTGAAAGTCACCACTCATTCTAACACATTATCATCACAAACATGTTTAATTTCAATGACACAAACGTTTGGAAGAAAATGAAATCTCAGGTTTTAAGGCTACATAAAACATAGGTCATATTCGTAAAGTGTCATAGGTGTGAGACGACAAAGATGGGGATCAATGAAGGAATACGGTCGCCGCCCTCTGATTCTTCACGGAGCTCAACGACCAGTCAAGGGACTAGTAAGAGTGTCTCCCGCCTCTCCTGCCTGCTTGCCGAGGGGATTCTGGAGTGCTCCCCCGGCGAGATTGCCGACACCTGACTTGATCTCGTTCACGTCCTTCTGATCGGATGCGGGAAGGTTGTTGATTTGATCCTTGACCATGTATGAGGCCTTGTTCTCGCCCATTGTCTCTAGGGCTTTGTCTTCCATTGCGCGCTTCAGCTGGGGCGGGATGCCGAACAGGTAGACTGCGCCGAGCATCAAGGCGACGACCGCGGCGAGGACTGACAGATATGCGCTGGCGGCCATGTTGTTGGATAAAGTCGATCCTTGCGAGAAGCTTTTGGATTTCTACGTGTTGCTGATCGTCTCGGAGGCGTTGTTCTTGAGAGAGTTGACGACGATTGACTTCCTAGTCGGTGTTGAAGAGCTCTCTACGACTGTTGACGAGGTGTTCTTCCGGCAAAGAGAGGGTGCGTGCGCGAGGTCCAGTGACAGGTTCTGCGATTGCTGCCGATCTGGTCGACTGGTTGTCTTGAGGTGGGAAGGGAACTTGGATGGAAAAGGTGTATTGTTCACTGATGATGGACTGTGGTCGAGGCGGAGGTGTAGGAGCTCGCTCGGGGGTCTGTGGTGACGAACGAGCACGGAGAGAGNNTGTCGGAGAGAATCGTCTTCTGAAGGGTAGACGATTGAGGGCGGCGTTGAACCAGTGTTGACAGGTCAGGATGAACGAGTTGGATGAGGAGATGGAGGTTTTGCGGACTTTGACAGCTTTGTCTGCAGCCATATAAATACAGGCGGATCGATCAGGTTTGTTTGTTGGTCAGTAGCAAACGTCAGAGCTGGGCCGCTCTTGTACCCAGATGACGTCCCATCGCTGCTTCCTTCTTCCAACTCCTGAACGTCCGCGGGAATGCGTGCGACTTGTTCAAGCCTGGTCCTACCTGTTCGGGGTACGGTTCCTTGTGGCAGGAGCATCTACTCTCACGCGACCGAGTGCTATGCTCAAGACGACTGCAAGCTCTTCGCTATCCTAAAGGCATGCGACAGCTTGGAGCACGACATGGTTTGCGCAATCACGTTGTGATAGCCGGAAAAAGATCAATGCTAGTGACAAGATCGATGTGCATCTCGCAGGTCCCAGATGATGGACATTGCAATGTGTCGTGCTTGGATTGACATGTCTCACGTAACACCAAGCAACGACAGAAGACCCTGACGGTTGACGCTCCACAAGCTGGACGCCGAGCTGAGCTTCACATGTTCTCAGCTCCGTTCAGCAGCCCCTCCAACACCATTCCACTGCGAGGTAGATATCGTTGTTCAAGTGCCGCAAATTGCAATACGCAACTCATGCAAGAACACGCAAAAATAGCAGAAGAATAAATTGAACGGGCATGGCTCTTCTGTTTCAACCAAAGCTGAAACTCTGCACAGCCCGCCGTGACATTTGAGCTCTCTCGTCTCTTCAGCCTCTGCCCCACGCACTGCCACGCCGGGGCCAGCCCGCCGAGCGGTACGTGAGACTGACTGCCCTTACGGATACGCGACATGTTAATTGCTCCTTGACTTCTTTCCTCTGATCCATCTGTTGAGTTTTGCTTCTGCTTGTTTTGTTCATCGTACACAGCTCTGCGACAAACATTCTGCCCGTCTCTGCCGTAATCGCTCAAATCCCCCTCCTGAACGCAGCGCAGCACCAGCGCTTGACGAAACGCAATCATGAGTTGTAAGTCCTGCCAATCGCTCCTTCCCTGTCATGCTCGAACATGCTGTTTGCAAGGCGTGAGGTGTTGCTGTCCTGCTTCTGCCTCATACACCATCTTACATCCTCCTCAACCTGACCCTCATCACCTTCTTCCTACAACACCTGCTCCAAGCATTTCTCTAACCAAGTCGCCGGTATAGTCACCAGCATGCTCAACAGACTCCACGGCCAGCCCGACAGCTATGACAAGAAGTCCGTCCAACACTGCGCTACCTGCATCGTCTCCCACTAACACGGCTACCACAGAGCCAAGTACAAGTTTGGCAAGACGCTCGGAGCTGGCACCTACGGTATCGTCAGAGAAGCAGAGTCGCCCCAAGGAAAATGCGCCGTCAAGATCATCCTGAAAAAGAACGTCAAGGGCAACGACCAGATGGTCTACGATGAACTGCAGATGCTCCAACGCCTTCAACACCCCCACATTGTCAAGTTCTTCGATTGGTTCGAGTCAAGAGTGAGATGCACAAGAAATGGTTCATTCGGCAGCAAGAGCTGACGCAAGAACACAGNNGACAAGTACTACATCGTGACACAGCTTGCTACCGGTGGAGAGCTGTTCGACCGCATCTGCGAAAAGGGTCGCTTCACTGAAAAGGACGCTTCCGCAACCATAAGACAGGTCTTGGAAGCCGTCGACTATCTCCACCAGAATGATGTCGTCCATCGCGGTCAGTCCAAGACACAGGTCCAACTCCTCGCTTCATGCTGACCATCCCATGCAGATCTCAAGCCCGAAAACCTCCTCTACCTCACCAAGGCCGAAGATTCGACTCTCGTACTTGCAGACTTTGGTATCGCAAAACATCTGGACAGCCCTGACGGAGTTCTCAAAACAATGGCTGGCTCCTTCGGCTACGCAGCACCCGAGGTCATGCTCAAGAAGGGACATAGCAAGCCTGTCGATATGTGGTCTCTCGGTGTCATCACCTACACTCTTCTCTGCGGTTACTCGCCTTTCCGCAGCGAGAACCTGACAGATCTGATCGAAGAGACCAAGCACGGCAGAGTTGTCTTCCACGAGCGTTACTGGAAGGATGTCAGTAAGGAGGCCAAGGACTTCATCATGACTCTGCTGGTGCCCAAGCCCGAGAACAGAGCCACAAGTGCAGTACGTCTGAACGTTCTATATCACTTTTCGCAAAAGCTGACAGATGCAACAGNNCAAGCACTCAAGAACCCATGGATCGCCGGCAAGGGTGCAACCGACCACAACTTGCTGCCCGAGATCAAGGCATACATGGCAAAGGCCCGCCTGAAGCGTGGTATCGAACTTGTCAAACTCGCCAACCGTATCGAGGCACTCAAGATGCAGGAGGATGAAGAGGAGGACGTACCTCAATCTGGAGACGTGCCTGCAGGTGCAAAGGAGGCAGCAGGTGAAGCCTTGGCAAATCAGCAACAGAAGCCACTGGAAGCCGGACTGAAAATACCAGAAGACAAGGAAGTGACACACAAGCGCAGTCTGAGCAAGCTTGCCAAGGGAGCCATCTTCCGTGAGGTTGTTCTGGCAAAGGTGCGTGAGATGAAGGCCGATGAAGAGGCACAGAAGATTGCATCGACAGGTAGTCTTGACAAGGAAAAGGAGAAGAAGTGAAGGAATTGAAATGACTTTTTCAGCGTGGGACGTGTTTCTTTTACTAGGCATGGCGTTTGGGATTACAGAAGAGGAGAGCGGCGATTGCTACTTGTCAGGCATTGTGTTTATATGCCCAAGAGATATTCCTAAGACTTTGCTGAGAACAGAATGGAATATGTTGATACAAGCATGACTGGGAAGTAGCTGTCTGTGTTTCAGCATGTTTGCAGATGAAGTTTCTTGAATGAAAATGCATGTTCCGAGTCGAGGGGAAGCTTCCTGACGGCGCCGGTATCCAACCACACACAACAAGTGCAAGCTTTGGACGATCACAACGATGCAGCGACTTTAGTTCAGCAACAACAGATAAGTGCAGCGACAATAGAGCAAGAAAGATAATATTGTAGAGCAAGAGAAGATAAATTCCTCAGCCAATCACGTGTCTGGGTGGCCCGTGCCAAGCGTCGGATTGAGTGAGACGGCTTGAGTGATAGAGCGAGGGAACGCGCGACGCGCAAGTCCAGGATATCGAATTCGGCAGGCACGACCGACCAGCGCAGCACTCGTTTCAAGAAGGCAGCAAACATCGTGCAGAGCAGCTGAGAGTTACGCGACAACAGAGACACCAAAATCATGGACCGCAACCGCAAGCGCAAAGCGACCGATGCCGCATCGCCCAAGGTCGAACACAGCGCGAGCAAGCGTCAAAAGACCAGACTGGTGAGTCTTTTGTTGTTGCAGAGTCGAAGTGGATGAGGAGAAGCTGCGTCGAATGGTGCAGTCGACTCAAGCTGCGGCGGGACTTTGTGGTTCTGCACTTCCCCAAGCACCGTCATGTTGGCCCGCCGTCACCACTGACTGCGACCGTCGAGAACGCGAACGCTTGGACTTTCCGACGACCATCACGACTGACACTTGAATCCTCCAGGAACACGAGACGCCGCAGACGACAACAACCATCGGCCTGCAGTTCATCGACCACCTCAAGTCGGCCAAAGACAAGACGTGAGTTTGTCCGCCAACAACCCACCACCGTGGCCCAGTCTAACCCTGTCGCAGCGGCCGCTTGATTGCCGACCTGTTTATCGACCTGCCCAGCAAGGTATGTCCGTCCTCTCCCCCACCAAGCTGCATGCACTGACACTCGCCGCTACAGAGAGAACTGCCCGACTACTATCGCACCATCAAACTACCCATCGCCATCCAGACCGTTCAGGTACGAAGCTTCCTCTACCATACCCAGCCATCGCACCCTCTGACACAGCCGCGCNAGGACAAGCTCGAACGTCATGAATACCCCACCCTCAGCACCGTCGAGAGCGACATCAAGCGCATGGTCGCCAATGCAAAACAGTACAACGATGACAAGTCGACCGTCTACCAAGATGCCGAGCGCATTCGCAAGGCCCTGTCCAACTTCATGACCAAGCACAACCCCGCCTACAAAGACCCCAACTACATTGCCATCCCCACGCCCATCCCTGGCCACGATGATGACGCGACTGCCTCCTCAGTCCCTCCGACCCGCGAGGCCAGCGAGCAACCAAAGAAGATCACCATTTCTCTCAAGGCCAACCGCGATCGCAAGTCATCAGCTGTCCCGCCAGCCGCATCGAGCCCTGCACTCGTTCAAGACGATTCGGACCCGGCAGACTTTGCTGGCAAGACATTCCAACAAGCCCAAGAACACATAATCAATGGCCTGATTAGCCATACTGACCAAGAGTTAGTCGCTTGAGACCCTCCTCCACTTGCCGCCGCTGACACTGAGACAGACNTTGAAATCTTCCTGCCCTTCGTCACGCTACNNCCCCCTCGAACGTTGGCCGACTACTACAACATCATCAAGAAGCCGACGTCGCTGACTTCTGTACGTAAGAGAGTACGAGGACAACACAGTCGTGGGCCAGCAACAATGCAGACGGATTTCAAGACGTGGGATGCTTTCGAAGACGAGGTTTCATTTATCTGGCGCAATGCAAGGGACTACAACGAGGACGGAAGCGACATCTTCAACTTGTCGGTCGAGTTCGAGGAGCTCTTCAAGAAACGCCTGGCCACTGCGAAAAGACAAGTCGACGAGCCCACACAACCAAAGATCAAGCTCAACGCTCCAAGACCAAAGCCTGTACTACACCTTGGTGCCAGAGGTTCGCCCGCTCCACGAGGCACTCCTGCCGACGACAAGAAGGAAGAGACGATGGCCAACGGCACAACCACAAGCAGCGCTGCTGCCTCACGCTCCAACTCCCAAGTACCGGTCACAGCAAACGCAACAGCATCCAGCCCAGTCGCAACAACAACAGCTGTCAAGACGGAAAAGTCTGTAGCGGCCTCTCCGTCGCTCGCTACAGTGCGCCCACAAAGCATCGCTCCAGACGCCAAGCAGAGTCCGAGACCTGGCACTGCCAATTCCATGCTCCCACCACCCTCTGTGCGCGGCGTCAGTGGCAGTCCACACCCTTCAATGCTACCTCACGTTCCCTACGTGCCGCAATATGTGCCGCCCNCCACCTTCATGGACAAGTTCGCTCGCTCAAAGCCTGTCTCCGAAGCTCTTTTGCCGAGTGTCGTCATCACAGCGCATCCGCAACTCAACAACCCCAAACCTTTCCGCATAGACGTTCCACCCTCCAAACAATTCACTCAGCAATCTCTCACCATGGCCATTCCTGCAGCCCAATACTACATCAGCATCATCCCTACCGTCTCGCAGCGTCTTCTCATGCAACGCCAGTACAAGTTGTTCGTCACCGTCAACAATCTTCGCCTGATGGGCACTACACGTGACTTCATGGTTGGAGGGACTGCTGATAGGAAGCAAGTCTACGACACGGCTCTCAATGCTGGAGTCAACAGAATCGACGTCGAAGTTGTCGCCGTCTCTGGTAGAAACGGTGCACTCGAGATGGAGAAGGTGACGGTGTTTGCCAATCTCCTGAAGTAGTATACAGTAGAGGAAGAGGTTTCTGATATTCACTGGCGTCAAATGGGTGGGTACGGTGTCTCCTGATGGTTTGTCGAAGCATAGTGCCGGCGTGCCTGTGGTGTTTTTTCTTCGTTTCCCTGGCAGATATACCTTTATTGTTCTTTCGTTATCCTTTCTTCCTTGGCGGTAGATGGTGGACGGGTCTCTCGTGTTCCGGGTTCAATCAAAACCTTTCTTCATCTTACTGTCTTCGTATTGACATCACCCGCACGCGGGCGCCGTGATTGAACTTACAGTGATACAATATCTAAAGCGTCTTCCTCGAATCAATTTACTCGTAGTCGTTTTGCCCACACGAAGTCGAACTTACCGTTTTCATGTCTCTTGACAGCGAGCTTATACCAAAAGAAGTCTCTCATCCGAATGCGCAATGAAGCAGGCGAAAGGCCGCCTACGTTACCTACACTTGAACTACAGTCAGCGGCCACAAGCTTGACTCTCGGAACCGCCTCCCATGGAACCAAATCAACCTTCTCTTGTCAACATTCCCACGCAATTCCGATGTTTGGATCAGACGCATCTCACAAAGTGCTAAACGACCCAGGGGTCCCATAAATTATCCGCAAGCCAGGCGCGCGAGTGTCTCTGAGGCGATACACACGACGGGAGGTAGGAATACCAATCATCGTCTTGGATGGGAGACAAACAATTGGTCGCCTTGACACACTCAAAGTCTTCAGGATAGAAGCCACTCATCTCCCAATCTACGAGCCCAGCAACCCTCCACATACCTTGATCGTCGGCCCGCACAACGATATTGGCAGGATGTAGATCGCCATGCGTGAAGAATATACCTTGCGGACGAGCGGGGAAGGTGACTTGACGCAAGACATGCCAATATGATGTGCCATGGTTCCTCGAACGCCCATACAGAGATTCCCAGAATTCTTCAGTGGTGTGTTAGGGCTTGGGTGCTCTTCGTAGGGCTCTTCGTATATCTTTGCAACCTTCTCCGGCCACACCTCCAAGAGGTGCTTCGTTCGGAAAAGCTATGTCTCGAAGTTCTAGCAGCAGACGATCGAGGTCACTACTCAAAGAGACCTTTTGATCTTCCTTGAATGTGTTCCAGACACTCTCTAGCGTACAGCCAGAGACACGGGTCATGAAGAGATAGGAGTGGTTACCACAGACGAGCAAGCCATGAGGACGAGGCGCCGGGAAATCAGGTTTGTTTAAAATTGTTCCGAGCAAGGAATTGCATGCTCGTGTATTCGGTAAAGTCTCGTTGGGATGTGATTGGCGACAGACGCACTTCGGAAACCTTGACAACCAAATCTTGGCTGCAATGTGCGACGTAATGGTTGGTATCCGATTGGGATTGGAATATCCTCTCGGCGCCAACGAGACTCTTGAGCAGCATTGCCCCAAGATCCTGTCCGTTTGGTTGCTCATCTGACAAGCCTAAGAAAGACTGGACAGATGAAGATATCGGATGTATGATCTCGACGACATGCTGGGAGCTTGAGTCGGGAGTATATCCTGCCAGTGACGGAGATTGATCATTGCATTCCTCGTTCTCCCCACTCTGCTCGTGGGAGGTGCTCGTGCCTGTAGTTCTTGTAAGCCATGTAGACAATACAGCAAGCGCGAGTTCAAGCATGCCATCATTGTTAGATCGGTCACGTTGAGCAGATAACCTCGCCGCCAGAGTTGCAGAGTACGTTGATGGTAGCATTTCGGCCAAGTCAGTCTCTGGATCACGCTCCAATGCTTTTGTCAGTTTCCGCATGACGAGACGGTTGAATTGTGCGGCAGGCGTGTCATCAGCGGCACGGAGATCGTTCTTGGTGACATGATCGACTTCAGCAGAATCGTCATGACCGGGACCAGTCTCCTGGTCATCTTCTTCAAATCGAGCTCTTTTCCTAGCTGAAGCCATCTTTGCCAGCAGTGATTTTGAACCGGTCGGCTCTTTATTTGCCCATCTTCCAAGCGTCGCCACGGCAACAGTTTGTAATTCCCCAGCCAGGAAAAGGATTGGCCCACTGAGCATAATGCGACTTTCTTTGCAGTCGTAGAATCCACATCGTGATTGATTGTTGCAGGAAGCAAATGGGCCAGACACGTTTCAGGCATGCTCATTCAGTAACACATAACTAAAAAGACATGATATCCACTCTTACAGAACCCTACCGCACCCTTCCACCTCAATCTGTGATCTTTATCACTTGGTGTCCTTCATTATGTCCGTACGACAATTCGAAATCTAGGAAACGCATATGCGCATTTGATTTCAAGGCATCTTTTCCTTCTCTTCTCTCTCACTTCTGCATACCCCTTCTCCACAAGCTATATACCATGCCCTAACGCTTCGACATAGGGCTCGGCTCACCACATGATCCATTGCGCGCGGTGTGGGGAAATAACTCTATCTCGGCCGAGAACGTGTGGGGATGGTTTCGTGGAGAAAGAACTAAAATAGCCGATGGTAAAATGCCTCGAAGTCTGCTTTACCTGCCTGATTTGTATGAGAAAATGTCTATCGCGACGGCTTCGAGGCCTTGAAACTGTTGTGGGGATGGGTTTGAACGGTCGGCATTGAGTTCGTGGGGACAGTGTACCGATGAGAGGGGTTGGTGATGTGTGGTCCGTGGTGCTAGATGCGGGATTGGATTAGGGTCTGGCACTCTATGTAAAACACAAGAAGATCTTTCGTTGTGGAGGAGTAGATATAAAGTCCTCTTGCCAGTAATATCCTTGAACTCGCCGCTCTGCGCACTCTCCGCTGGACACTCAACCATGAAACTCACATCTTTGGTCTCAGCCTTCACTGCATTGTCTTCTCTTTGTAGTGCTGCTGCAACAACAAAAGCAGTCTCTGCATCTATCACTTTCGACAACAACAGAAGATTTCTGTTCGATACTGATGGCAGACAAATCGATGCGTATGGCTCCAAAATCAATAACTTTGAGGGTAAATTCTTCCTTTATGGAAACTCGTTTTCGGAAACGGGGGTTGCGTTTGGGATCAAGTCGTACTCCTCTGTGGATCTTATGAATTGGTGAGCCTTTAATGCTCGAATTGTTGATGTGTTGCTAAGAAATTCACAGGNNCAATATGAAGGATTCCTCTTCGATCCTTCCAACAAGAATAACCCCTGCAATGCCTCTGGAGGTTGTGGTCGTCCTCACATCCTCTACAATCCTGTCACCAGAACTTATGTCTTGTGGGTTAATGCCGGAGCCCCTGGATACGCTATTGCTACATCGACTTCACCAACTGGTCCTTTTGTCTTTTCGACTAAAAGAGCACTTATCGATCCTGCATTTGACAACCTCAACCCTGCAGACTTTACAGTTGAAGTCATCGATGGAGAGGGATATATTGTCTTCTCAGCACTCGACTTCAAATCTCCTGATGCTGGAAATGTGTGGCCTCCGATTTTCCAGACTTTGCATGTGGGAAAGTTGACCAAGGATTTTATGAATACGACAAGACAGAGTTGGCCTGTGGCATCTAATGCAACAGATCTGATTGATAAAGAAGCAGAGTCGCCGGATATCTTCAAACAGGGGGAGACTTACTATATTGCTGCCTCCAACACTTGTGGATATTGTAATGGAAGTATTGCGTTGTTGTATCGCTCGCCTTCTATCCAAGGACCCTGGACAAGACAGATTCTGGAAGGGTATTCTTGTAACGGACAGGTGGAGGGCGTGCTTCCTCTGACGAACCCAACCACCGGCGCTGTCACTAATGTCTGGCATTCGACTACTGTCCCCGGAGGTCCGCGTACTGGCTTCGGCGGCCATATTTTCCAACCCTTGAGGTTTAATCCTGATGGCAGTGCTAAGGATCTCGATTGTTCGACGACAGCAACTTTCCCTGTGACTNTTTCCAAAGGCAATGGGGCGATACCTCAAGGCAATGCGACTAAAGCCCAAGACCAGACGCCGGAACTTGCTGTCTACTCCCCAGTCTGCGATTCTGACAGTTTCATCCTGTATCAAACTTGGACAGCATACAAGGCCGGAACACTCAAGAGTGTATCTCTCAATATTGCCCGCGGATCGCAAACCGTACCGCTTTCTCTTACGGTGTTTAAACTTTCTTCCGTCAACGATCTGTTTACTCCTGGATTCAAGTGGACATCACTGGGCTCTGCAGCCTTCAACGCGAATCAGACTTCGTATACCTTTGACACTGTGTCAGTGCCTGTAACAACCAATGCTACAGTCTCCAAAGGTGAACTTCTGGGTCTGTCTATCTCTGGAGCTGATTATTCGCCTTGGTGTCATTTGGAGTTTGACACGAAGAATGTGTGTGGATACAGGCTTTTCCAGCAGGGTCAGGGTCAGTATTCTTGGAGGGGATTACAGGGGAAGAATCCGCCTGTTTATGAGAGGGTGGGCAAGAGTGTCAAGTTTTTCGCGACGTATGCTTGAGGGGATGAGAGGTGTGTGGTTAAGCACGACGACTGAGAGTTTTACGTTCACAGGCGAGTATTGCGTCGATTTTCGGGCTGATATATTCATTGAGAGACACTTGTATACAGCAAGACAATAGAAACTTGCTGTGGGCTTGTTCGTGTCAAGCTTTGAGAGGGAAAGTCGCAGCGACGCGCTGTTTCGTGCGACGCGAACGATGGCTTTGATAATAATTGGGACGGCGGCTCATGAAAATTCGGGTAGGATGCAAGAGATCAATTGTGCTTAACACAGCCTGACGTCGAAGACTTGCTGTGGGTTGCGAAATGAGTCTCTAGGCCGGGAGGTCGAGTGAGAAGGTCGCAGAGCCAGGGCCGTCGTCGATAATGATGACCAATCCTCGGCGCTTCAAAAAGCCGAGTCGGCCCCGTTTCAGCGAGTACAACCAAACCTTTCAAATCCTCCTTCCTTCCAGTCTACTTTTCACACATCACTGTTAGCCCTGAAAACGGCTGGCATATGTCTTTGCTAATCGACCCCTTGATTCGGCGCTCTGCCTCGCGAAGCTGACTGTAATGTACATGAAATGTGAGCGCGGAAAGATGTCGAAGCCGATCCGGGACCAGGCGATCGGGCAGTCGGCGGGAGGCGCCAATCTGTATGCCGAGCGATTGTTGTCGCGCGCGACAGAAAGAGTTTCACCCTACGGACTTTTTTTGCTTGGTGATGCATGCAATAAATAGATAGGTATTCCCCGACCACTTTCTCATATTTTTCTATACCACAATCCAGCGTTTGCTTCTCCTACTCAGCAAGTCTTTTGTGGCATTTCACACGCATCTCTGCTCCAACGTGAAGTCCCACCAGCGCGGAATCCTCTCACTCAACAGAATCTCGAATATCCGACACCATCGATCATGTCGCACGTCGTCATTATTGGCGCCTCGTACGCAGGAACAAAAGTCGCACACCAAGTCCTCAGACAAGTTCCCAACTCAAAGGTCACTCTGGTCGACCCCTCGGATGTCTGGTACTACAACATCGCCGCGCCGCGAATCATCGCCAAGCCAAAGGAGGCCAGAGTCGACCAATACCTGATCCCCATCATGGACAAATTCAAGCAATATCCCGCCACCAGATTTAACTTTGTGCAGGATTATGCCAAAGAAGTTGATACGAATGCCAAAGTCGTCAAAGTGGAGAGTGGAAAGGAGATTGCATACGACTATCTGGTTGTTGCTTCGGGATCCACAACGCCCGGAACTGTAGGCCAAGAAGCCATTCCTTTCAAGACTACTGGAGCGGATATCGGTCAGAGAATCGAGGCTGCGCAGAAGAGAGTCGCTGCTGCCGATAGTATCATCATCGTTGGCGCCGGACCAGTCGGCGTGGAAAGCGCTGGCGAAATCGCCCAAGCATACCCCAAAACTCAAGTCACTCTGATTTCTTCGCACGCCCAAGTCCNNCTTCCCAACCTCAAAGCCTCAGCCGCCAAATCCGCCCACACAAGTCTTGAGAATTTGGGAGTTAAGATTGTTCTCTCTGCTCGTGTCACCGAGACAAACCGGGAAAATGGAAGATTTACTGTCAACCTCGATAATGGCAAGACTCTGGAAGCAGCACTCGTCATCTCTGCAGCAGGAAACATTGCAAACACTTCTTTTATGCCTCGCTCCTCCCTCGATGCAGACAACTGGATCAAAGTGGATAGGAACATGCGCGTCTCTTCTATCACCGATAACACCGTCTATGCTCTCGGCGACGCAACACACTACAAACAACGCTACTATCTCAAAATCAACGATCAGATCCCTGTCGTGGTCAACAACATCAAAAACGCCGTCACCAAATCTGGAAGTGCGAAGACATATGATGCAAGCGACAAGTTGATGGTTTTCGTGCCTATTGGAAGCAAGACTGGTACTGGACAAATTGGTGGGTTTGTGCCTTTTAGCTTCATGGTGGCATTCGTCAAGGGCAAGGATTATTTCATGAGCAAGGCTGCTACTATGATTGCTGCGTAAGCAGGGAGAATGAGCAAGGACGGCAGGTGTGAGTAGGAGTGAAAGAGAAGGAGCAGAGGGATGATGGGGTCGTTTGTCAGTGTGTCCCAGTTTGATTTTTTGCTGTTGTTTTTCCCCATAGCGTAGTGATATCCAGTCAGCTTTTTCAGATATAGGCTAATACTCAATACACGAAGTCGTTACTATTCTGTCGTTTTTCTGTCTCGTCTCACCAATCTCCGTTCCAGACATCTTGCAATATCAGATCCGCGATCTTCTCCGCCAGCATATACACAGTAGCTTGTGGTTGACCAGGCGGCAATAACGCAAAAGCACTGATATCCACAACTCTCAGCCCTTCCACGCCAATGACCTTTGCCTCAGAATCCACAACAGCCATACTATCATTTCTCATCCCCATCTTGCAAGTGCAACTCGCATGAAACAAAGGAATCACGCTTTGTCTCAAATACGTAAGTATCTCAGCATCAGTGGCGATGTTGGGACCAGGCACGACTTCGGCGATGATCGCGCGCTGGAGCGATTGAGTGGCAGCTAAACGGCGAGTAAACTTGAATGCTGCGATGGCTAGGTCTTGGTCTCGTTTGTCTTCTAGCAGTGCTGGGTTGATGATGGGTGTATCTGCCATGTCTGCAGACTTGATGGTGACATTGCCCCTGCTAAACGTGGCGAGCACTCCGAATACGATACTGGCGAAATTGTGGACGCCATCGTTAGGGCCGACAGCGAAAGTCATNACTGTTGTTCCCAAGTGTCAGTGTTCGATGATAGAGAATGGTTGGGTTCAAGCTTACAGTTCGACCTCGGGCCAGTCGGAAGGGAAATTGTTTTGGAAGGCATTCTGTGCTGTGGAGCTGATATTCACCACTGAGAGATTTGATACCTTCAGGAAACCGACAAAATCGGCACCGGCATCANNCCTTTGCAGTGCATGAGCATGATTTCCAAAGTCAATGACGCTTCAACGATGGGACTTACTGGTCAACATGCCAGATCGGCGTGTGATGAAAGCTTCATTCTCTTCATAGATGCGATTGGGATCGTTCGTTAGGACAGAGGGTGTTTCGACGTTGACCTCATAGGAAAGCGCTGTACCATGTCAGTCAACGGAAAGTACCACTTGCATACACGTTACTCGCTGGTTATCGGATTGTCCTGTCGTGTCGTCAGCGGATGGCATGATAGTAGCACAGCAAAATCAACTTACCCACATGTTCTGACCCACGCCCGGGCGATCTGCAACAATATGGATACCATGTTGATCCAAGGTCGCTTTTGGTCCAACTCCAGACACCATGAGTAGCTGAGGCGACTGAAAAACTCCAGCGGACAAGATGATCTCGCGGGTCGCGTTGATTTGGAAATGCATGCCTGCAACATCGACCAAGACACTTGTCGCTCTCTGGTCCGCATCAAACAGAATACGCTTGGCCATAGCGTGTGTGTACACCACTATATTAGTACTTACGAGGGCCGCCCGGNNAAGGAACGACGTTTCGGAAGAGCTGCGTGTTTGCTGAGTGGGATCTATGGTCAATGTAACACTCGCATAACCGTCCAGATGGCCAGAACTGATACCCTGTTCCAGGAAAGGAATACCAACTTCTTCGAAGCCTTTTGGAAAGAACGATGACCAAGGTTGGGCAAAGTTTGGGTAGCTGACTTGAAGAGGACCGCCGTTGCTCGCGAACGATGCAGCATCGTTGACTAGACCAACCGATGCATTCGCACCTCGCAGGTTTGAGTTGGCGCGTGTAAAGTGTGATGATTTGCGATAGTAAGGGTAAACGCCATCCCAATCCCAGGTGCTGTCTCCAACTAGGCTTGTCCATTTTGCAAATGTGCCAATAGTTCCTCTGTTGTAAACCATGTAGTTACGCGCACTGGAGCCTCCGAGACACTTCCCACGTACATAGTGGATGGTGCGATTCAACAGCCCAGTCTGTGGTGTAGTAAGAAACTTCCAATCGACAAGACCGTTGACCGTCGACAGGTCTGGAGATCCACTGGCTGACTCGAAGTCATACNNTTGGATCAGAATCAGCAGACGATCACTATGGTTCTTTTGTGTTTTGCATCGGCTCACATATGGTATCTGACTGAAGTTCCCGTTGTCGAGTTCGTAAAAGCTCCCTGCTTCAATGACCGCAACAGAGAAACTTCCGTTCTGGGCAAGTCGAGTCGCTACTGTCAACCCTGCTGTCCCACCNTGCACTGTCTTAGCTTTTCCCGTGGAGATTTTGTGTGAGTGATACGTACCTCCTATCACAACATAGTCGTACGAAGCGTTGATACCTGATGAGGATACCTGTCAGTGCAAGTACACCTTGTGTCCAGGAATGCACCTACCAGGAACCCCAAATCTCGACCCAAGCAGACCCTCATGGCCGAGGAACGAAGTTGCTGCGGATGATACACTAATACAGAATAGTAAAATACAGGAACACAGCATCATTGGTCTTTTGTTCGGGGGTGGCCAAGGTCTGCGAAACCAGAGATGTGTGACCGCAAGATTTCCACGCAGAATATGCAAGCTTATGAATCTGAGTGCTCGGGCGCCATGATTTCACTGTCTGTGAGGTTTCAGCTGACATTCGTGACTATCAGCCTCGCCAGTCAAGACGTGCTCTCGTGGCCCCACAAACCCCTGTACAGCCTGTCTGCAGTCAGCAAAAAGCCCCCAGACTAGGGTCTGATAACAACGTGCTCCGACTGAAACATGCTTAATGGTGGAGAATCGTTTGGAGTCGTGCCGTCTTGCATTGTCAATCCTGGACACCGATTGCGATATCTTAATGCGTTTGATGCATCACTTTGTATAGGGTGTGTCTAAGTCTGTTGGATAGCGTGCAGCTTGCAGACTGCCTGGCAACACCTGCAATTCGCTGTAGGCCTTGAATATGCAGGCGCACTGATGCGTGCGCTTACAACGGATGCGAACACTACTATCACCGAATGAGACTGAGATGACAACTGCGAACCATGCCAGATTGTGTAAGCAGTGAAGCTACTGAGGTACGCGCTGTAGACGCAGGATTCTGAACAACCACCCTGTATCCTGTGACCTTGAACATTGTCAAATGTCTAACAGTCCGTTTGTCATCAATCAAGGGATTTTGGAGTGATGAAAAAGTTTGTATGCGTCGGGCCACATCGCGTCGAGCAGAAAGAATGGGGCGGATAGAGTACTCTGGCGTATGCTTTTTCGACGCACATCTTCAGATCGCATCTTCGAAGAGTTGCGTCTGATAAAGTCGAGTGCTCACTTCAACATCGATGCCACATGCCTCTGAAAACTTGTCGCTGAGAACAGGTCACTTTACCAGCTCCAGAAGGCTCAAGGAGCGAATCATAGAGTTGATAACTGGAGCCTCTATCTTGCCGGTGCCACTCTAGTCGCCAGACAAAATCTCTGTCCAGACACGGGGACAACTACAGAATCATCCATTCGCTCATCCGCCTGATTTTCTGCCCTTGTCCTTCTCTAACCTTCTCGAGATATCTTTGACTATGTATTCACAACGACGCTCTCTCGCATAGAACAAGGGTCCACAGCCTTGGTTGTCAAGGGCAGTTAATGAGCATTTTGCGTCAACTAGAACGTTCCAAAGTTCCATGTTGGCAGCATATGCAGCCGCGAAGTGAAGTGCTGTCCGCCCCAAGCTATCAGCTGCGTTGACGTCCGAGCCGGCGCTGATGAACTTTTGACGAGATCCAAGAAACCAAACTCAGTAGCGATCAGAAGTGGGGTTCCCATGTTTTCTCCCCTTCGATTCACATCAGCTTTGTGAGCTAGTAATACGTCCACTGTTTTACGGTGACCTTGGAAGGCTGCCGCATATAGAGGACTGCCGTAGAAACCACCACGAGCATTGACATCGACGCCCTGGCCTAGCAAACTCGCAACCAGGTCAGCACGGTTCAGCCACGAAGCGGTATAGAGTTGTTTTTCTTTGCTGCAATCACCGCGATGATCCAACAAGTATTGGACGGTTGTGGGAAAGTGGGTCCGTGAGTGCCCGCGTGCGTGGCCTGAGGCACACATGATGGCGTCTCTACCAATCCTGTCGGTATTCGATATACTGGAACCGGCTTGAACAAGTACTTTGACAATCTCGATGTGGCCCTTGGTCGCAGCATGGTGTAATGCGGACATTGAAGACATGTCTTGAGCATTCACATCTGCACGTCGATCGATGAGCAGCTTCACAACTTCGATTCGACCAGCTTCTGCAGCGGCAATGAGTGGAGTCTTTTCCGTCGTGCCGGCGGGCAAGTTGACAGATGCCCCTGCATCCAGGAGTGTTTCAGCATGCTTGACAAAGCCTAGCCCAGAAACCATCAGAAGTACTGTCGTTTTGGTGTCGCCGACTAGCATGTCGACCTTGGGACGGCGATCTAGTAGCACTTTTACAACGGCGAAATGTCCTTTTCCTGCAGCCGCTGCAAGTGGTGTGATTCCCCTTCCACTTGTCTTGTCGATCGCCGCTCCTGCTTCTAGCAGTAGTTTTACGATGTGCAAACGATGCATTCTCGAGGCGATTACCAACGGTGGGTCGAGTTTCGTACCATCAACCCCGTTGGGATTCGCTCCATTGTCGAGTAGCGTCTTCGAAATATCCCGGCGGTCATGGTTGATGGATGTGGTGAGTGGTGTGTCAATGCCTGGTTCTCTCGGATTGACATTTGCCCCTCTTTCAAGTAGAAGTCGAACTACATCCTGTCGGTCCATCACTATCGCGGCTCGTAGGGCGGTGATGGAATCTGCAGCAGGAAGGTTTACATCCGCCTTGTGATCTAGCAGTATCTTGACAACCTCATAGTGGCCGTTGTGTGAAGCAGCTCGTAGTGCGTTGCCGTGAGGTCCTCCTTGCGCATTGACATTGGCCTTGTTCTGTAGAAGCATTTCGATGACGTCCCCGTGGCCTTCTATCGCAGCATGATATAGCGCGGTTCTGCCCCACTTGTCTTTGACATCCGGATGCATCCCGCTCTCGAGCAATCGTTTTAATGTAATGTCAAGGCCAAAACGTGCTATCACGTGCCCAACTTTCATACTTCCCAAGAACTTTTGACTGTATCCAGGCTGATAACTCCTGAGAATCCGGCTCATCTTGGCTTGGGCGACGGCAGCCATGTTTTCTTGCTGCAGAACGAGTCGTGTAACCACTTCGTCTTCTTGTAAAGAGTTTTCCCGAACATGATCTGCCCAGTACCATGCAGCATAATCAAAGAAAGGGTTCTCAACGAGGCGTTGGTTGTAGGCCTCATCACTGGGACATGCTCCTCTACTGAAAGTGTCGAATGACAGATAAGTCACGCACGCTCGAGCTACATCGCCCGACCGACTGGACAGCCATTTGGGTTGGCGATCGCGCATGGATTCTTTGGCAGTATGATGGACGAATTGTACGTTCAAGCCATCCTGATCTTCTACTACCAGTCCTGCGCATATGCTTCCGAACCGTGGACATCGCGAACATGTTTTCTTGGTTGAGATGAGGGACTCCAATCTCAATAGCAACAGCAGTCAGCAGTTCGAGTGTAGTCAGAGTTCTTTTGCTGTAGAACATCCAGGATAAGACGTTGAAAGCAAGATTCCTCTTGATTTCGGATTGGTCCTCGACGATCTTTAAAGTTTTGTCGTACATGTCCGCGTATGCCCCGGGACCAGAGGGTATCCCTTGAAGGGATGATTTGAGGCTGTTGGGCGTGAGACAGTCTCTCAATTGATCCATCTGTATGCGAGCAAAGAGGAACCTGTAGTGATTCGTCAGATATCGTCTTGCCATGCGTTTCACATCACTTACACTCCATCAGCTGCGTTGATTATCGTGTCTCTGACGCTGTTCTGTAGATCAGGCCGATCTTGAACGAACTCCTGCAGCTCTTCTAGTCGAGCATCGATGTATTCAGTCAGGTCTTCCGGTCGCGCTCGTATGTCTATGGAGACGCAGTCGACAAAAGCTCTCTCGATATGGGATACTCTTCTAGAGGTCACGAAGATATTCGCAGCCGTCTGATGATGGATGTCAAACAGTGCCTTGAGAAGCATGCTGTTAGAAGAAGACTGGCACTCGTCCAAAGCATCCAGGATTATGAATGTCTTTTTGAACGAGCTGATGGCTGTCACGATTGGATTCACCAGCTCCTGCGCAAGTGGCCCATTTTGCTTGTGTTCTTTGCTGTCATGATAAAGGTCTTCAACACACTGAGGCGTTACAGGAATTCGCTGGACCAGTTGCTTCAGAAGACCTGCTAGAAGACGATCGGTCCTTTGTTCATCATGTTGCTCAAAGTTGCAATAGATGTAAGCGATGCCGATGTCTGACCTGCCCTGAAATTTTCGTTGTAGATCGTCTATGACCATGGAAGTCATTACAGTTTTGCCCGCCCCGGGTTTACCTGTGCAGAACAAAATCTGCTTGGTAGTTTCGAGCCACCTTCTGAACTCTGTCGAGCGCAAAAGCCACTCTCCTGTCTTTGAATGACGCGAGCTATTGAGTTGAGCTTGCTGCGAAGTGAAGTCGGTCAACGAGAGCCAGTTCAGTATCGCTGTTCGCTTGGCTTCCTTGTGTGCCATCTGCAAGTCTATTCCCTACGTCAGTAAATTGTTTGACGTGAACAGTACGGTTGATCACAGGACATCACAGCTGCAAGTCCTAGTAAACAATAGGCGGTACATGATGGCAAGGCCTCTCATACCTGCATTAGATAGTTTGGCCTTCATCTTCACTTCATACAGAGGCATGTAGAAGAAAAGTTGCCTTGCGTAGCTAGCAGCTGCAGCTGCTGCAAAACCATGCCACATGTTGTTTTTATGAGAGTCGCAGTAGTCAGAGATTCCTCTAATCACAAGACAAGGGCAGTCGTTGAGAGCCCCAGCAGCCTCCATCTCGAAACAGAGGATGTTGTGTTGTTTCGCAAGGATATCTCGCAGATAACCGTCTTTCAACACGAGCTCACCAGACGCAATGGTCCCATGGTGGACCACCAGACGTGCCTCATCTTGAACTCGCTTGTTGTCATCGTTTCGGCTTATTCGTTGGCTCGCATCGCAGCCGCATTCCACACACGACTTGCTTGCGTCCGCATGTAAACAGAATGGGGAATAGAGGTGGTCCTTTTCGCGCCCAGGAAACTTGTACTTCTGCAGATCTCCTTTGCTGATATCGATTCGTTCTAGGTTCTTGGCCAGAGGGTCTCCTTCCTCGGTAGTATCTCGACATACTGCAAGTTTGTTGGCGGCGTTCAGTAAGACTGTGGGTGGAGACTGCAAGCAGCCGGTCCGTTCAAATCCTCCAGATTTAGCTTTGCCGTGATCGTACTGTATTGCTCCAGAGTGGTTGCCTGTCGGAGTGCTCACGACCACGTCACCGAGACGTATCGGAATGTTCTCGCAGATGGTCGGCACACCACCTCCAATGCCTACCACGAGGCAGAAATATACAGAGCGAAACGTGTTTCGCATCTGAACCACGACTGAAGCAGCGGAATTGTTACCCATCTTAGGCAGACCAGCGATGACGATGTTGTGTCCGTTAATGCTCCCTAGCGTGTATACGTTGTGATCTATGCGATCTTGAGGAAGATCGCCGTGAATTGGTCAAGCATGAGCCTGGCGGCTCCCTGCTCAACGGGAAGAGGACATATCCAGCCGACAGTGTAATCTTCATGGCTGAGTCCCATAGTGTTGTTCTGTTGTCTCTCCTTCTTTAGGGGTTGTGGTAAGTTCAAGCTTCCGGTGTGTTGTCAGGATCGATCAATGAATGCGGGAAAGGATGAAGCGGTGAGGGGTGAGTCATTTTAACTCGAAGCAATGCAGACCTATGATCCTGCAAGGCTCAAGGCCACTGCGAGCCTTCATGCTCCGAGATGGAGACACCCTATGAGAAGGCATGAGTTGCGAGTAGTGACGCCACGATATCAGGCTGCATGAAGTGTGGTGCGGCTGGCTGCCTGATCGACTGGCCAGATGCATCGCGACACATCCCAGGTTCAGATAAAGCTCGGCTTTGGGTCGACAGACTAACAGGTTCTTAGGTTCAGGATAAACAGAGAAACCCAGCCGAGATCGAGGATGATGATGGAAGTACTGTTGGAATAGATTTTGTGTCAAAGTCGAAGTTTCTCGCGTTGCTGCCGCACAGCTCCCGACTGGTGGCTTCAGATGAGAAGGCTGGCGCCACGGCCCGTTCTCGCCCGCTGTCGCACGCTCTATCTCTACTTCTCTTCCATCGCTCCTTCCAACATGAATACCGGTAGTGCATCAGATGACCTACGTCCTGCTTTGGTCAATGGAATACACATGAAGCGCAGTCACAGTGCAGGCTAGCTATTGATAGAAGATCGGTAATGCCGATAAACGGAGTTCCTCTCAAAATTCCTGCGTTCTTGTATAGATTCCGAAAATCCATCCGGTATCCATGATATCGCCAAGAGTCCAAGCCTGCTGAGATCACTATAGTATTGATGCTTAGCATGCAAATATGCCTTGTTCAAAGCTTTATGATGTTATCTCATTGATCAGACGCTCGAACATTGACACTTGACTTGCGATGGATGGGCACTGCGGAAATGCGAAGCGTCGTTCGAGCGTTTGAGGGTTCGATGTTGCGATTTCGTAGCGACGACGGCTAGACACCACGACAATACTGATAACTAACGCCAATTTTGTATATAATAATTTGATAAGGTGCTGTGTCGATCCATGGCGGAGTGTCTAATTCACGGAACAAGTGATTTGCCAGTATAGGCAGCTAGAAGACTTGGTTGAAAGCAAAACCCTGTCGAAGGCTCAATCTGTGTAATCTGCAAGGAATCCATAAATACCTGGGATCACGTTTTCTTTGCCATGGGGTACTCGAAGTCGAAATGGTCCGTTTCAGATGGAGCGGAATTGACCTGAACTCAGGAGAAGAATCCATCCACTTTCAGCACTGCTTCTGACCGTGGCCAACTGCACTGCAAATCGAACAGCCACTTGCATCAGACAAAAATCCTCGACATAGATGACTATCTGTCGGCAAGAGTTGTGTGCACCTGCCGCTAAGATCAGCAGCGCTTTGCGCCGTGTTCGAAGCTCTTGCTTCAAGTATCCTAGATGGACTCATCCATGGTCTTCTCCGAGCTTGCGTGGTAATTGCCAGGGACAAGTTCTCTTCCGGTCCTGCTTCGCTCTTGCAAGTGCTACATCGCTCTGACATGGAAGAAACTCGATCTTTGACGTCACAGTTCTTGTGTGCTGCAGTTGTTAGGTTTTGCGATCTGCAGACGGCAGGGTAGAAGTATTGGAGCAGGGAGGAAAGGAGATCGAGCAGGAATCGTCTAGGCAGTGCAGCCGTTTCTGGATGAACGCTTTCGGACCTTGCGCACTACATTGCCTGCGCTGATAGAATAGAGGACAGATCAAGAGCTAATAGTGAAGTTCAAGAGTCCTGGTAATGTCCATATGTGTAGCGTCTACCGAAAGCTACATGTCGGATACTTGACCAATGACCGTACAAGTGGCAGACATTTGTGCTTCATCACTCTTCCCTGGTTTGGATTCCAAATCGCACCTCTTGCGATCTCCAGTGAACTGCCAACCTGAGACCTGACTCCTCTTGCAGCTTCTTCCATGTATACATATCTTCATCCTCTGACCCATTCAACCAGAAACTGTACATGCGCAATCTAGAGAGCAGCCTTTTGATCCTTTGCACAAACCCCTCGAAGCTAAACCGATAGGCGCAAGTAAGAATCACCAATTCGCACTTTGCTCACTTCGAATACTGATGGGACGAAGCTCAAATCCTCCCTTAGGATCTATGAGCTGCTTGGCGGCCTCCTCCTCACTCCTAGCAGTGTATCCAAAAGTGATTGTTGCTTCTCTCAGATGCTTAGGCAATGGGCCCTGTCCGACACCATCCTCTTTGGAGATCTCTGCGCTAACGACTGCATGCGAGGTAGCCCGGAGGACAGTGGAAAAGGAAGTGGAATATGAAAAACCACTAGTGAAAATGGCAAGGCAGCCTAAAACGACTGTGATTGTGGCAATGAGAAGGGCAGTACCATATGCAAGCCATAGCATCGCTGGTGAATATGCATATTGACTATAATATGTGATCGTTGTGACATTCACCTTTGGAGGATACCAAGGAGTTTTAGGGTCGGGTNNCTGTGATATGTGGTTAGTGGGAGAGTGCTTCACACGAGAAACAGAAGCAATGGAGGATAGAATGACTGACTGAAGTAAAGGTGAGCTCATCAAGCTCATAGTGACATTTTGGAACATCAGCTCTAGGGTTGGGCGTAGACTGGGCAGACTCGATGTGCTGTTCGCTTGCAGTTTGGCCGAAATACCGGACGGTCCGGACCAGTACTGTGAGCCAAGCGTGTCGAGAGCCCACATTCCACTAACGGTCTGGTTCCGCAATGCTAGAAGCTCTCGTGTGGCACCTAGAACAGTGCTCATGGCATCTGTGCCGGTGGCTAGACCAACTGGCGGTTGGGTTGTGATGGAACCTTTCAAGAGGTTCATAAAAGCCTCCATCACTGACGCATACGTGTAGTCCTGAATGACTGCATTGTCCATGCCGTTCTTCAGCAGAGAATCAGTGCACCCAGTCCACCTAGGATATGAGATGCTTTGGCCGGAAGGAATCACCGTGACCCTGATATCCTGAATCCCGTTCGTCCAGTTGTACGAGGCTGAGTACGTGGCGTTGATCATGTTGCATTGGACTATCGTGGCGTTTGCCATATAGTCCCAGTTTGGGTCCATCTCATCTCGTACGTGCGGGCTGCGAAAACTTGGGAAACTGGCAACAAATAGCGTCACAGGTTCACCATTTTGTGGCCCTACCGAGTTTTTCTGTAATTGTCCGAATTCGAAAGGCAGCGAACTTGTGTTACTGGGAACCCAACCTAGGTAAGCATACACTGTACTGGTGTCCCAGGAGGTGGTGTTAACGTTGGAAAGAATGTCACCACGCAAAGGATCGCGCACTTCACTGCACTGCAACGCAGGCCCAGCAAACTCCTGTACGTAAGAGGCATTCGGTAAATTCCTTGGTGCGCTTATGGGCAGTATGTCGCCTTGGCCTGTGGCTGCTGTCGTGATTTTCCCTACTTCCCATTGGGTTCCTCTGTAGTCGTAGCTACAGTCATCTGAATTGAAGACAATGTATGCGAAGTTCATGCTATGGAAGTCGACGGAGGGAACGTTGACCCATTCAGATAAAGTCTGAGAGACGGTTTCAACCGTCAAGGTTGCAGGTGTGAAGATTGGAGCAAGAGGAAGTAGNCCTGACAGTCGTTAAGATCGGGATCTTTCTTATGTGGTAGTAGGAAGGGAAACGTACCAGATTGCGATTGCGAGAGATAGAAGTAGAACTGACTTTCTCCAAGCCCCAAGATTGAGAAATCCGATAGGATTCGTCAAAATGCCACTGATGGCATCAACGATGTTCAGTCTTGTTGTTTCGGCCTTTAACGCATGCCAGACGATTTGACAGTAGGCAGTTGTAACTGCGATGGACAGAAAGGTTCTGAAGAAGGATGCGAGTGTGGTGCCGACGGCAGTGTTGAACTTCTGAGACGGCACGCCAGCCCATTTACCAATCGCGAATTCATTCTCAGTCGACACCGGTTGACCGGCAAGGTTCTGGTAGTAGCAATGATGGCCAACAGCGAAGGCGATGCTGGCGAGCAGCGAGCCATAGAGAATGCCAAGTGCTCTGCAGTGTGTCAGGATTGAGGCAAGCATGTTGTCGAGTAGAGGTCAGACAGCCTTTGCGACTGTGATTCATGACTGGGCGCCATGCTGTACTTATCATGCTGAATGCCAATCTCGAAGCATCAACAGGGACGCCTTGTTATGCAAGATCCCGTGGGCTGTGCAGCTATTTGGGGCCGGAAGATCGCCACAGGCGCTCGATGTTGTAGCGCTCTCCAATCGTGAACATCAGTCTCATTCAATACCGTCGCCTACGTCTGGTAAAAAGACGAATATGCTATGAGCTACTCTTGGAAAAACAAAGTCCCTAGGTTGTCGTTGGCAAATGTCGGAAGTCGAAGCAGCTGCGTCACCAAAGTCGAGAAAGAAGCTTGGTGATGCCGAAGTAGGCGTCAAGCCATACCACTCTTTTCGATGCAGGTCCTATCTTCGAACCCGCTTCGGAGAACAGCCCCATGTCGGAGTACAGGGTGATCCTGCATCCGTTGGAGAAAGCAAGGCTTGCAGATTGATTATTCCGGACAGTAATGAGTGCGATTTCCTGTAATGGTTGAGTATGCAGATGCTTGCATTGGCCTGCTACCCAATCATCAATGGCTGTGTTCATGTCCTATGAGAACCTTGCGCAACGCCCAGCTTGCAGAGTTCCTGTATTGACCTTATCAATACCTGCGACTCCCCATAAGCTTTGGATTGGTAGACGTACAGAATCCCAAAGATATTCAAAGTGAATAGAAAGATCCAGTGGATACAAGACTGGGGCGATGACCTGCTCTTGAAGCCAGGTCAAGAAGCTCTGTTTGTGTTTACTCCTGATGCTGTGGTATCGAACAGAGCAGGAAATCCGACGAACTGCGATCTTTTTCGTTAGAATGTTGACTGATGGGTGCGAGCGTGAAGCTAATCTTGGAGATGAGCCAGACCTTCGCTCCGTCTTGCCTTCTGTCCTTCTCTTTCAAAGTGCCATCGTTTCAGACGACTCAGATCCGAGCCATCACAGTTCCTGGTTCGTGGGAGCGGCATGCAAAGCGCAGCCACAATGAGCGTTGGCAATTGCTGCTCACGAGAAGGCTGGCGCTTCGTCATGCTTCCCTCTTTTGAGCATAAATTACATCTCTCGAGTCCTGTGCATAAGGAAAAGGATCCCTGATTCATAATCTCTTCTGGCAATTGACCCTAAACACTCCATATTGGAGGCATCAGTTCCAGTCACGTCTTGCGCTACGCCTGAGTCGTGATATCCTGGCTAGTATCGCATATGCGTCAACCCACTTCTCACTCCTCTTCTCACCCACTAGTTGGAGATGAGGTTCGGCTTGAGACGCCTGCAGCGACGCTACGATGCCAGGCTGCATGAGGTGTGCTGCGCGGCCTGCGCCTAGCTGCTCGATCGAGAGGGTGCAGTAACCATATGTGTCTGAGTTCCGGGATGCTCTAAAGTTCTGCAATGCTCATGGAGCGCAACTTCAAGACGAGCAACCAACAGCCGACCGGAAGCACACAGTCAAAGCCAAAGATATCGAAAGCCGTGGATTATTTGCGGTGAGAACGAACGATGAGTTGCGTAGTCTGCAATTGGTGGGTCCTTGGAACAAGACTGACGCCACGGCCCGCTGTCGCTGCCGACTCAAGCTCTATTCTGACTTCCTTCTGGCGGCGCGGCAACGGAGCAAACGAAAGTGGTGATGAATTGCGATGTTGTTGATAAGGTTGTTGATCGATGAGCGCGAGCTAAGCTCGAAGGCGGCGCCATCTTCATTCTCTCTTCCTTCCGACGATGCATCGTACGACTTGGACCCAGGCGCTTGCAATTCTTGGTTTGTGGGACCGCATCAGGAACGCAGCCACAGTGGGGGTGGCTGCTCACGACAAGGCTGAGCTAGTTGTAGGATCTGATATGGCTTCGAGCAAATGTATGCGCTGCCGCAATGAGGGGAAACCGAAACGATCGGATAGTGTTGCGAAACGTGTATGATTGGATACAGTCTATCGAAGCAGAAAATCATATCTAATCCACTGCATAAACCCCTACCTGAACGCCATATCTGATTCGTGTCTGAAACACACTTCATTCGTCAATCAAGGCTGGTGAGCAGGAGCAATAGGACTAGCCTCTACACCCACAACCTTGGGCTCTGCGTCTCCAGGTGCAGCCTCCTCCTGCTTGACTTGCGGCGCAAATGCCTGAGGAACCTTTTCACTCAGATTGACAGCCAAGAAACTCTTGGGCAATTTGACAGTGTGGAACTTGGCTCTCAGTGTCTCAAGCACCTCCTTCCATTCGACGTGAGGCGTCAAGCTTCTGCGAGGTGTGCAGCCGATACAATGCTTGCTGTCCAATTGAACATCCAGAGGGTCGAAAGCGTGGCAACCAGGCGAAAGAGTGATGCGGATACTGTAATTGAAGTTGCTGCCTTCTGGATCGTCGCTGGACGCTTCGTTCTGTGACTCGTAAAGCTCGAAGCAGATCTGCGAAAGGTAGTCGAGTTCAGGAATGGCATTGCGAGCGATCTTGGTTTGAACGCCTCCCTCGATGATGGAGTTGAGAAGAGTATAGATGTGCGACTCTTTGGTGAAGTATATGAATGACTTGGCGTCTTCTGATGCTTGTACNTGTGATTGTTGAGTTAGCGAATATCGTCTTTGCAAGTGAGTCAGTCGCAACATACCTTCTTCCAAATCAGTCACAATCTCCTTGAGCAATGGCAAACTTGTCAAGAGTCCAATCTCCAACTTCTCGCTCTCCAGCATACCATACTCTTGAGGACCGATGTAGTCAAACAAGACTTTCGAGAAGCGGTAAAGCTCTCTAAGCTTTTCCAGGCGTACATCAATCTTAGCCTTTGACTCGGGAAGGTCTCTGTTGCCAGTGAATAGTGAGAAGTAGGACTCAGGATGACCAGAGACACGGTTTGCCAGGGTAGCTTGAGCATTCTTGAATGTGGTTTGGGCGTTCTCTGAGCGTCTTCTCAAGCTTGACATGGTGGAAAGCTTGTCTTTGTCCTTGCCATCATTGTTCTCATTCTCTCCTTGCTGCTTGGTGGGTTGGACATCATTTACAACGGCAGACCCATCCTTGGTGGGTGCAAGACCCTCGTGAGTTTGACCAAACTCCTCTCTCAAAGCTGCAGAGGCAGTGCGCTTCAGAGTATCAGGACGCTCGTGGTCGTCATCAACCATATCGCTGCTGGGAGTGAACACCCACTCGAGGAACTGTCGGTTGTGCAGAGCATCAAACTTCATCGTGTCATAGAGCTCACTGATCTTACTAGGGTCGACCTTCTCGGCATCGGTGAATTCCTTGAAGAGCTTCTCCCAGCGTTCCTTGAACAACGAAGCGTCTTCACCGCAGCACCATCTAGATTGGACCTGCTTGGGATCCACAAAGTCTGGGGCACTGTCCGCGAGACTGGCTGAAGAGGCGTTGCTGGGAGGACTCTTGATGGGCGCTCCGCCCTCACTTTCAGGACGAAGCTTGGTGAAGTTCTGAAGCATGACACGACGATGGAACTTCATCAATTCGACAACGCTGCGGACAACCAAGTAAGGTTCGGGAGTGCCATCCTTAGGCCAGGCGAATTGGTCGGGTGCTTGCTTACCCTGGCGGAGGAGACCCTTCAGCTTCTTCTTGACCTTGTCCATCTCGTCCTTGGCTGCATTCGAGTCATCGAGTAGATCCTTGCGAACAGAGATGAAGTCTGGGTCAAGCTCTTTCTGATCCAAGAATGAAGCAGTGAAGATCTGGGCACTGGTGGATACACGGCGTTCGGAAGATGAGAAGACACGGACGTCTCTGAGGGCATCCTTATTCATCAAGAGTAGATCGTTGCGCATGTTCTCACCAAGATCCTGGGCCTGGTAACGGGCAGAGTGGGTAGGCTCACCACCCCACTTCATGACGAGCTGTAGCTTATCAAGCACAAGATTGTTCTCAGCAGCAGAGATTCTAGACAGAGTAACGTCTGCCATGGAGTCTCCACGTGAGTGATTAGCTTCCTCGCCCTGCAGAGGAGTGGGCTTTGGCTTGGCGTTGCCATCCTGATCAAGTGTGACTTTGTCCTGGAGTTCGGCTGGCAATTCTTCCTGTCTTCTCTTGCGGAACATGGGCTTGATTTGAACCTTTGTGCCGGGCCAGCTTCCCTTCTTGTCAAGAGCATTTGACAGTGTGCGAAGTTTGGTCTGGTCTTCCTCACCCTCGAGCAAAGCTTGTTGGACGGCTTCTTGGACACTCCTCAGAGCAGCCTCACCAACAAGCAAGACTTCCTCGCGATGACCCTTGAGCAGGTCGACGAAGGGTTTGGTGTGGAAGGTGAATTTGAATTTCTGCTTGGGTGTACGATCGGCATGACGAATGACAGCGACCATACCCTTGAGCTTCCATTGCGACTTGGATGCAGGTGCAGGTACAGGCTCTGTGTGTTCGTCGGCCTCGTGGATTGACTCTTGCAGACTTTGATACTGGTGATTCTCGTCAGGCACGGCAGGCGGTGGGAGTTGGCTGTCTTGAGGGATGCCAGGGCTTCGAGGCATGGGCAGATTTCCAAAGCTTGGCGGAGAGGTGATGGGAGACGGGAGCTGAGAAATCTCGGGCGAGCCAGGCTTCTTGTTGGCCATTTCCCTCAATCTGTTAGCACTGGCGGAACGGAAAACTGACTTGAGATGGCTGCGGTGACTGGACAAAGTGCTCTTGCGATGCGTGCCAGGAGCCTCTCTTTCGTAGTTGTCTTCGGAAGCAGAGGTAGGCGCAGATGTGTTTTGCTGCTGCTGTTGCTGCTGCTGTTGTTGCTCTCGCCTGTTGTTGTCGATTCTGATCTTCTCACGAATGAACATGCTCTTGAGGATGTTGGCGCACTTGTCGTAATAGTCGTTGTTGTCCTTGACGAAACTCCAGCCGTTGACGTCGATAACGTAGCTCTTTTCGCCTACGCGTAGCAGATCAAAACCACAAACGCGCTGTCCGAAGCCGTCGGCAATCCTAGAGGCCATGCCAGCTTCCTCCTTGGTCAGGCTGGTAACGTAACGAACTTCCTTGCCATTGGGGTTGCGCTTGACAACACCATCAACGACGGGAGATTTTCTGGTTTCGGCATGGCAGTAGTCGAGTCCGACAGTGTAGGCCTTGACATCTTCGGCATTCTCCACCTTAAGGAACTGCTCGTAGATGTAGCTGCTTCCAGGCTCCGTGATGGATCTGGGTACTGTGAGAGTCTCATCCTTTTCCGAGCTCTTGTTGTTAACCTTGCGGAACAGTCTCCTGCCGCCTCCACCTTGGCTCTTGGGGTAGTAGATGTGGATGTTGTGATCTTCTCCGTCGGTAGGCTTCTCGACAAAAGGTTTGGTCAACGTTTTGCCATCGACCGAGATTGTGTCGCCGTCGTCTAGCAATTCCACGACAGGATTTGCTGTTTGTTGTGCTTCGGTTTCGGGCTGGCTGCCTAATACCGGGAATTTGAGACCAGTCTTTTCGTAGCATCTCTGAGCAATGTCGGCTGACTGAACCTTGGGACCTCCATCACGATTGACTTCGACACGCTCGGGCGTAGGTACGTTGAGTTTTGTAAGGATTTGTAGACAGATGCGGCGGTCCCAGAGGATAGTCTGCATGGGCAGGTCGTTGACACAGAAGGGTTTGCGCAGTTTGGCGTATGCTATAGCCTTGTCCAGCGGAAATCCGTCTGAGAAGAAGGAAATGAGGAAGTCGCAGATGGGCCAGTTTTCGACATCTTCGTCCAGAATGACCTTGTCGCCAAAGACAATGACCTCAAACTCGCCCTCCTTGATCAGTCTGTTGAGGATGTTGCGGCTGGGCTTGCTTCTGGCCTTGCTGTCCAGGGCGCAGACACCAATCTTGCCGATAGGTACGGGCTTGTCTTGTTCGGGACGTTCTGTGCTCGGACTCGCACTGTTGACTGTGCTACTGCTGACCCTTCTCGATTGGGGAGTCCTGCCGCGGGGGTTTGCATTCGAGTTGGGAGGAGGTTGGCGAGGGAAGGAAGCGAAGACGCTGGCTCGGGGCGAAGTAGTGGTCGAGGTAGGTTCTGAATTGGTAGGCGGCGGCAGGTCATTGTCGCGGTCCATGGTGGCGGCGGGAGCCGAGTGTGGGTTGTGGTTTAGGGTGGGAGGCAGCGAGAGAGAAGCAGAGTCGGATCTTGTTGGGGCTTGTAATGGTTAGAATGCAAAGATAAGATGGAAAACGAAGGGTTCGGTTGCTTTTCTTGGGACGGTTGAGCACAAGCACAATGACGTGGAGTAAGAGAGGGTCTTTGGAGGTTGAGTCAAGAGAAGAAAACAAAACAAGCTGACACACCGTCTGTCTCGGAGCCAGCGACAGAACTCGCAGTCGACACGGCACCCCTGGCACGGTCGTACAGGGCAGAGCCCAATTGGTAGAGCGAAAAGGAAAGGCGGTTTGAGTCGTCCGTGTCTTGGCGGGGCACGGCGAGGTTCAGGTTCAGGTTAGATTCGCTGCTGTTATGCGTCTGAGTAGGAGTGGCGTCGGCGTCGTCGATGATTGCAGACGAGTCTGGCAGGCTGGACGAGGCCATGATATGCTGCTGCAGGACGTGGGTGAGCAGATTGTGCTCCGAGTGGGCTCTGGACGGCCGTCGCGAAGGCGGAGAACGACGATTGGAATTTGACTTTAACGGGTGAGGCAGCGGAGTGGCCATGGGCATGGGCATGGGCATGCTGATGCTCGCCCTCTTGACAGCAGCGCTGCTGAGACGAGCATGATCGGCCTCTGCATAGTGTGCTTTGTGGTCTAGCAGAGGGGGAATACAAAGCTCCTGCCNNGAGCTCCTTCTGGATTGTTGGCTCTCATGACTGACTGTTCGATGCAAGGGCTCCATGAGCCTGCACCGCTTTACCTAGGGAGGAACGCTGGAGACAAACGATACAGGTGCACGCAGGGACTGAACTGAGAAAGAGTGGTATGAGAATGAGTGTATTGATATGTCAGCTAGATAGGTAGGTACACGTTTGCACAGGATCCGTCAGACAGAGCAGGAACGTGTTTGATGGTATGCAGCAGGCGCGTGACTGTGGCATGCTTCTGCTATTCTGCAACGGGACCCCGCCAAGGCAGCCAGAAGAAGCCTCGGATTTAACGGATTCTGGGTTGGATGCGGATGGTCCAAGCGTCAAGAAATGTTGGCGTCGCATCCGAAGTTTTAGACGAGACGAGACTTTTTGTGCCTGCCAGAGTCGACATTCACACACGATGCCTGCTGCCGTCGCTACCAACGGCGCGAACGAAGGCCGTCAGGTCAAGCGTCAAAGGACGACTCAACATGAAGACGCAGTCGTCAAGAGCCAGAGACAGCCCGGCTCTTCGCGACTTTTGCGCCGTACAGGGTAACTTCCTCTTTGACCATCGCTCCTTCCCTGCGTCTGCTGACTCTCTCCTCTGTAGACTGTCGGTCTCGTGTCGCCCACCGCCGTCCCCTTCACCAGTATCGCCCTCGGCAAGACAACCTTCCAACTCACCACCTCGGTCGGTCGCAGTCTCCAGACCTACGATTTGCGTCGCGGTCTCAATCTCGTCTTCATCACCCGCCCTCAGACTCCCGAATTCATCACTGCAAGCATAGCGAACAAGGACCTGGTATACGCAGCATGGGGTGGACAGTCGCCCGAGTCGGAACGCGGTGTCTGGATTTTCAAGAGAGGCAAGAAGGTCGCTGAGTTGGAGATGCCCATGAACCACAAACACAACATCAAGTCCTTCACCATCTTCGGCTCCTGGATCATCGGTGCTTGCGACAATCAGATCCTCGTCTGGAAGTCGTCCAACTACGAGCTCTACACCACGCTCCAGAGCATCACCGCTTCTTCATTCACTGGAACCCTCAGCAGCATGCCCACCATGCTCAACAAGATTGTCGCCGGAAAGGATGATGGTACTGTCGAGATCTGGAACGTCTCAAGCGGAAAGCTCGTTTACTCCCTGCTCCCTCCCGCCGCCGACTACGGTGCCGTCACCGCACTACAACCCACTCCCGCCCTCAACCTCCTCGCAATCGCCTACGAGTCCGGTCCTTTGATCATCCAGGACATTCAAGCAGACAAGAAGATTCTACAGTTCAACGCAAGCGCCCACGGCACAAACGGCCCCTCCATCACCTCGATCTCTTTCCGAACAGACGGCATGGGCGCAGGAGACGATGGTAAAAGAGCTGGTGTCATGGCTACCGCCTCGAACGAGAGCGGTGATGTGACCCTGTGGGACTTGAACAACGGCGGTCGCAAGCAGGGTGTTCTTCGTGGCGCTCACGCTCCTCCTTCATCTGCTTCGCCTGGCGGTGTCACAAGAGTCGAATTCTTGCCTGGTCAAGCCATCATCGCTACCAGTGGTTTGGATAACAGCCTCAAGACCTGGATCTTCGACGAGAGCCCCTTCAACCCCGTGCCCAGGATTTTGCACCAGCGCAGTGGCCACGGCGCTCCCGTAACTACTCTGGAATTCCTACCCGCTGCTTCGGACGGCTCTGATGCAAGTGGAAAATGGCTTCTCAGTACCAGCAAGGATCGCAGCCTGTGGGGCTGGAGTTTGAGACGTGATGGCCAGAGCACCGAGCTTTCGCAGGGCAATGTTACCAAGAAGGCCAGAAAGCAGGGCATTCTTTCTTCAGAAGGCAGAGACACTATCGAGGCACTCAAGGCTCCCCCAATCACTGCCATTGCTTGTTCGCTCAATCGCGACGGTGGCATGGGCTCTATGCCTGGCAAATTCCCCATCTGGCAATCCGGTAAGGGCAAGACGAAGAACAGCACAGAAGCTACAAGCATGACTGGTTGGGAAAGTGTCGTTACTGCACATGAGGGCGACAACAAGGCGAGAACTTGGTTCTGGGGAAGAAAGAAGGCTGGCAGATGGGCTTTCGAGACACAAGATGGTGGTAATGTCAAGAGCGTTGCAGTTTCGCCTTGCGGTACTTTTGCTCTGGTTGGATCTGAGAACGGTGGCATTGACATGTTCAATCTTCAGTCTGGTGGTCACAGGCAACGATACCCGGCACGACTCACTCCTGCTCAAGCACAACAACTCAAGCATGACTTGGCCAAGGCAGAAGAAGCCATTGCTCCGGCAGCAGAGGCTGGCAAGAAGAAGTTCTACCGTGGACAGGGCAAGCACACTGCTGCTGTTACTGGTCTGGCTGTCGACAACCTCAATCGCACCGTCATTAGCTGCAGTATCGATGGAAAAATCAAGTTCTGGGACTTCATGAGCGGAGCTCTCAAGCACGAGATTGACTGGTCTGGAGCCGTTCGAATCACAGGTCTGAGACTGCACCGTGGATCAGAACTCGCCACCTTCACTTGTACTGACGGTTGTGTGCGTGTCGTCGATGTCACCACATTCAAGCTCATCCGTGAGCTGAGAATGTCACGATCATCACAATCAAAGGCTTTCGACTTTGCCGACTTTGGCTTCTCCAACGACGGTCGCTGGGTTATGGCCGCAACCTCTTCCTTCGTTTGCGCTTGGGATCTCCCAACTGGACACTTGATCGATGTTTTCAAGCTCCCTTCAACATGTAACGCTATCAGCTTTTCACCGACTGGAGAGTATCTAGCAACAGCCAGCGAGGAACACGTTGGTGTCGATGTCTGGTCCAACAAGACCATGTTTACTCACGTACCCACCCGCCACATCAACGAGGCAGAGCTGTCAACAATTCTTGCAAGCAAAGCCCAAGCACCTACAGTATCAGGTGAGGGCAGTGTCAATGTTGTCGGTACCTTGGCAAACGCTCCCGATGCCGAGTCAGATGATGAAGACTATGTCGATGGCGACCTTGATGCTGATGCGGACCTGGACGACCTTTCTTCGGACCTCGTGTCATTGTCATTGGTACCTCGCAGCCGCTGGCAGAACTTGCTACATCTAGACATCATTCGTCAACGTAACGCACCGACAGCAGCACCCAAGAAACCTGAGAAGGCACCTTTCTTCCTTCCCTCCTTGCAAGAACGACAAGCCAACCCAGCCATTGCAAACACGAACACTACGCAAGATCTTGCTGCTATTGAGCAAGAGCGCAGCCGCATCATGAAGATGGACCGTCAGAACACAGTCTCAAAGTTCACCTCTTTGCTGCGTGATGCCTCTGACACAGGCGACTTTGCATCATTCATCACTCATTTGAAGAGTTTGAATCCCGCAGCTGCCGACATTGAGATCCGCAGTCTGTCTTCCNCCATCACATCCTTCGATCCTGATTCGGATGCTTGCAACGAGTTGGTCGCTTTCGTACGAGCGCTTTCTTACCTCTGCACATCCAAGCGCGACTTTGAACTCGGCCAAGCTTGGATGGCGGTCTTCCTCAAGGTGCATTCCGACGTTGTGATTGAGGATACCGAACTCCGTGCAAGCGTCAAGGAGTGGAGAGACAGAGTTGTGGAGGAGAAGGAGAGAGTCGAGATGTTGGCGCAGTATTGCGGTGGTATGGTCGGCTTCCTCAGAGCTGCCAGAGTGTAGACATTTCCAGCGAGCATATGTGCATATTTCTGATGATAGATTTGTTTACTCGTGTAATGAAGTATTCAATCTACAATTGTCGCATGTCTTTGTGTATTTTCCCAGTGACATGGCCAGCAGAGGCAAGGGGGAAGGATGTGATGCTCCTGCATCCCAACGTCCTTCAGCTTCAGCTCGGCTTCAGCCAACGGGTTTCAGCTCTCGAACGCTTTTATCATTTTCCAGACCAATTATACATGTTTGAAGGATTTATTTGTTCGGTCGAGAAGGAAGGAGCTATGTATCTATGTACTCATCTCATGTATTAATCCTCCACTCGTCGCACTTCCTCTGCGCTTCGACTTGTCACACGAATCTCAAGCATGGGCGAGCAACAACATCTCATGTCAGCCATCGAGCTCGATCCAGAAAACGCATCACCGACATCACTATTCGCCAGACACAACCTCCTTTTTCAGAAGTTCGCTTTCCCATCCAGAACATCGGCGCTACAGACGACGAAGCGAATCCTCCATTTCTTGCTTCCTAGTTTCCTGCACTTTGCCTCGAACCAATCCACAGACGCAAAGCCAGCAAAACCTCTCCATCCCACAGCATGGCTGGATGGTATGCGCGGCATTGCTGCTTTACTGGTCTACGTCTACCATCTCTCATACTCAACCCATGATGTCGATACCGCATGGACGTACGACGGCAAACAAGGCTTTCTCCGCCTGCCTCTGATTCGTTTCTTCCATAATGGCCCCTTCATGGTCGCCATCTTTNTTGTGCTTTCGGGGTATGCGTTGAGCTATAAGCCCGTCAAGCAAATCAGAAAGGGGGAGATGCAGCCGCTGCTGGAGGGGTTAACATCATCTGTGTTTCGACGGTGGATGAGGTTGTATCTTCCTTGCTTTGTGTCTACGATGGTGATTGTGATCATGCTAAGGCTGGGCATGTATGATGCAACGAAGGAGATTGCTAATGACCAGGCAAGACTGCCTTTTCATCGTGAGCGCCATGCCGAGAGGTACGAGACACTAGGCCAACAACTGTGGGCATGGNGCAAGCGCTTTTTCGCGTTTTCGAACCCGTTCATCGCCAGGGATATGCCTATCGATCCGCACCTGTGGACCATCTCCATTGAATACNGTGAGTCTTTTTCTTCCTCATAGTGTTGGGAGTTGCAGGTCCGCTGACCAGTATCACAGGGATCTTCCATCGTCTTGTATGTCACTCAACTAGGCCTCTGCCGCCTGCGAACCAGATACCGTCTTTTGAGTCTGCTATGCCTGGTGTTTATGGCCCACCAAGCCGATCGTTGGCCAATAATTCTCTTCTACTCTGGCTTCCTCCTCGCCGAACTGGATATCCGGCGCAGCACACTTGCTTCCTCAAAGACCTTCACCAACACTCTCCCCACCAGTGTTTTCTGGTCAGCTATTTATGCCTTCATCTTTGTTTGTGGACTTTACTTAGGAGGCCAACCGCAGATAGCTGTCGACAAGGCACCCGGCTGGATAATACTATACTCTCTCATCCCCAACTTCATCAGGGATAAATGGAGGTATTGGGTCAATTGGGCTGCTGTCCTGTTGGTTTGGGCGACGTCTAATTCTGCTATGCTTCAACGGATCTTCACGAATTGTGTTTCGCAGTACCTCGGCAGGATCTCGTTTTCGCTATACTTGTGTCACGGGGTGGTGATTCATACTTTGCACTATAGCTTGATGCCGGCTTTGTGGGAGATTACGGGGAGAGACACGTTTGTGCAGCGCGAGACTGCGTTTGCGGTTTCGGCGACGGTGGTCACAATTTTTCTCGTTTGGCTTTCTGATTTGTTCATGCGGGTGGTGGATACGCCGTCAGTCAAATTTGCCAGATGGGTTGAAGGCAAGGCTAGAGCGAAGATCCAAGTCGTAAAGGAGGAGCCCGCTTGGATGGAGTCGAGTGCAATAGTGTAATCTATTGTTAACGATTAATGGAGATATGGCCTTGTTGCAAGTCTATATCTCTTCAGCGTTTCCTGCATCTTCTCGGAGGGCTTTTTGTATCGTGATCATATACTCGCAGTATATTTGCTTAACATCTCCTCCCTTGAATCCTGTCTTTGGAGTCGAGAGCGACAAAGTGTAAGCACTCCCGCAAAAACACGACCAGATGCTATATAAGCTAGTACCGCGACATAGAAATAGAACACAAGGTACCCGCCGCAATCCACACCCCGAACGATCTTGGGATTGTTCTCAAAGGCCTAGCATTTTTGCATGGCGCTTTGCCAAATTGAGGTGCCGAAGTAGTTGGTCCAGAGTAATAGACTAAAGAGGCCGCCGAGATGGTTGAAAGATTGAGGGGATGGTAAAGAGGGAGTGGGTTGAAGACGTGGTGGAGAGGAGGTTTCGCGGGCAGCTTTAGTTTTGGCCATGATGGAGGTAGAAGAGAGAAGGTCCTTGACTTTCAAGGGATCGGATGTGGACTGTTGTGTAAGAGCTTGTAAAGATCGATGGGACTGGGTATTGTTGATGTGGGTTTGTTCGCGAAAGAAACATAGACTCTGGACAAGCGTCAGACATGCGATGGACTTCGAAGCTTTCCACAAACTACATGGACTTACCGAGAAGTGGAATCTGATTGCCAACGTGGAGAGGTGGACTGCATCTTGATCTGTTAGAAGAGGAGATTAGTCTGCCAAGCTATGCTCGGTTGCTTCGGCTCTCTCTGGCTGTGGGAGAAATCAGGAGAACTTGGCTCGAATCGGAGATGAGTGACTTCCGATCATTGGTGTGGGTTGATCGTGGATGAAAAGATGCTCAAGATGAGTAGTACCTTTCTCCGTGATGAAGCGAAGGTTAGTGTTAACGTAGAAGGCCTTTCAAGTGAGTCGATGTTCTTGTCCAACCCGAAGATTTGTCCGTGAGTTGCAATACGGGAACGGATCTTTTGAATATGTCTCTCGAGAGTTCACAACAAGCTCGAATCACCTTGTCGGGGTGGTAAGCATCGCTCATTCACAAGCCAAAAGCATAACAACTCCAATCATAGTCGCTCCAAAGAAAGATTTGATTTGATTTGATTTTCTCAAGCTATTTACCCCGCAAGGGGTAACCAAAGAAAGATTGTTCAGTGTGGAATTGCAGAGAAAGGAATAATTTTGGTCAGGGTGTGTTGGCGGACAAGCGTGGAGCCGAAGTGTCTCCGCGACTTTTTCTTTCCGACGCCAACGCTGTGATGATTCCTTGACATTGAACATATCGATTTACTTGCTGTTGATGCTTAAATCCTTACCGTCCAGATGTCAAACGATCCTGTGTCTATAGATTCACGTGAACAATGATGAATCTCACCCCATTGCATGGTTTCATCGCCACTTCGACAATTCCGTGATCCACTAAACATGCAGCATGGCCAGGACGAAAGCTCAGGCGAAGAAGCAAAGTAGTATTCCCCATGGAATACGCGTATCATCGCGCGCACTCCTGACGATCATCTGCTCCCGTCAAGATCACATGGTTACGCATGGATGGCGACAGTTCACCGCTCCCACCCTTCCCATTTCATGTCTATCTGATCCGAGGAGCAGAATCCTTGACCGTTGTGGAGACATTCGGCGAAAGGTCGATATACCATGTCCAGTTGCAGCAGGCTTGTGACCCGTGCTGGCATCTCAAGGTGCTCACGACCATTCAGGACAACGTTTTTGCATGTTNNGACTTCGACAAATGGGAAAACTAAGGACTGCTATCCATCCAATACACAAAAGCAGATGCCCACCTGCCTTACGACATACACGCCNAAAACTACAGAAATTGGTATCACCCCGCAACTCACCTCAAGGAACAATGGTCCGACCAAGGAATGACAACCATCGAGGAGCTGCTGGATGGACAAAATCTTGCTCGGGGTTGGCCAATTGACCCCAATTTGTACCCCGAGAGTGGTCCCGACCAGAGCGTCAACGGAGAGACGATTGCTGCGTACGGGCAATCGCCTGCAGCACCACATGGACCAGTCAGGGAGTCGTTCGACCTTCAAGGTAGTATTGATCATGTTGATGGCGTCATCGAAGTGCAGTGTCAAGACTCTGAAGGCTCTTCTTATTCGGCTTTACGGCACAAATCGACCCAGCGTCCCCGCTTTGTCCTCTGTCTGTTTGTTCTCGGCCGCATAATATCATCCGAGGACAGCGTAAGAGTCTTTGCTCGTCTCAATACAGGTTTGCTGGCTAATGTTCCATGGACTCTGCATCNNTTAACGCATATCCCATCCAGCTATGCTGGGCTTCCATTACAGATATACCGAAAAGGATACATGAGTCTCGATGCCACAAAGCCCCAGCCTGACGGGCCCTCTTTCATTCTTTCGAAACCAGATCCAGGCCATGCTTTCTCTTCCAAGCATGATGTCGAGCCTGATGACCTTGACCACATTCCATCCAGCTTGGACAAGTATGCTGGCGAGCCGGATAACCTCGACATTCTCAGGGAGCTTGCGGCAGATATGCTTCACACCTATTACGCCATCTGTTCGCACATTCAGTTGATGGCGGGGCCAGTCTCCTCGTGTATTATTCCCCGTATCTCCTTCAACATCTCAGGCAACTCGGAGTATAGCTGTGATGCAGCAATCCCGTCGCCAATACAGCTGTTTATCACTTCTCATGCCTATGAACCAATCACTATGAATGTCAAGGGGACGATCTTCGACATCACGGACTGGCACTACTATCTGCGCATCGTTCAGGCCGACTCTTCCGTCGAGTTACTCAGGGGCTCGACCGCTGACCAACCACCTCGTGTGTGGTCCTTGGGCCGATGCCTCCTCGATTATGGCTTCATAAAGCGTGTTCCCAACACCGGCGACGAGAGGCCACCACATCTTGTAACATTGCGTCCTGGTCTACCACTACAATTACNNCCCGTACAACGTCCGCTACCTGCAGACTTCCTTGACGACCCACGCCCCAACGAGAGTGAGGATAACAGGCGCTTCTTGGCAGATCACAAAGCCGAAGGAGAAGCACATTTAAAGCCTCCCTCGTACCCTTGACAAAGTTTGTACGAGAGATATAAAGGTAGCTGGGAGGTGGGAAAGAAATACACAATCGAATTCCGGCATGGCATCACGATCCCGAGATGGACTTGGGATACTATAGACAACCTCAAGGGGCTGTATGGTCTAGCAGCGCTCGACGTCGAAGTAGAGGATGCTGGGAATTACGATTTTGTGCTCACAGAATAAGCGCCCTAAGCCGAGAACTTGATCTTGGCTCTGCAGACCCAATCGAATGACCACAAACATCGTTGCCAAGAACGAAGGAGTTCAAACCAGATCGGAATACCCAGGGGACCGTTTTTGGGAGAATCTGCTATTCGTCGAAACAGAAGAGATCGCACCATCTACCGATAATCTCGCCGTCCAATCGACTGGGTTTGCAAGTTTGAGATATGATACTGCAAGGCAGTCCAAGCAAACCTAAGCCTTGGAATTGGTGAGGCACCACGAAGGGTTGCTGTGGGGAGGGCTCATGTATGCTCGGAGTCACTTGCTGGAAGAGAAGTCGGGTCGATGCGGGAACCGACTTTTGGAGCCTGGTGAAACTCGAGAGCACCGTGATAGTGGACATGCTTGTTCACGAGGAGTTCGACTCAACAGTAGCACAAACATGAAGTCATCGAGAGAGATCGGAAACACGATGACATCCTGAGCGCTTACACCATGAAGGATTGAGGAATACGAACAATGCCAGGTTTGGATCGTTCTGCCGATTCGACCTGTCAACATTCATGATTATGCACAGAGTAACCCTACGACCACTGCTTTGGGTTGTCAATTCGCAGATCAACAACATTATCCCTCGCCGCATCTCCAAGGGATCAGTAATCCACTTTGAAAGCTTGAGAGCATGGATCGTTGCCATGAGGCTCAAAACATCCACTCAGAAGCTGACAGATGCCGCGCGGAGAAGCGAAAGCTGCTCTACACGTGGCGGGAAACACCGTCTCAACGCACTGGGACGCAGGCTCGATAAAGTGCAAAGCTGTTTTGCAATGATTACATGCATAACATCGGCTTGGCACAAGTATGCACGAAGAAGATTGAAGACTCGTGTTGCTTGCGCCCAATAGCAAAACACGTCCTGATCAGCGTTATCAGTTTGAGCCTCTCGCTACCAGGTATCTGGACCGGGATAGTGTGAGTGAAGTAGGATTTTACAAATCATGGTCAAACAGGAAGACAGTCATATATACTTTGTCTTTGGCTATCTGGATGTCGTCTGATTCTTGTTTCTTCACGCTCAAAATTCTTCCTCTCGATCTCGACTCCTTTCAGCAAAATGTCCTCTTCCAGACAGGGCAGTCGGCATGCAGACGGTTCAAGATTGCGCAGCAGCTGCAATGCTTGCACGGACGCCAAGATTGGTTGTACANAAGAGAAACCCACCTGCTCTCGATGTGCACGACGCGATGAAGTTTGCGTCTATGCTCCTGCCAGACGTGCAGGTCGACCCAACCGCCACAAAGCAAACCGAGCAGCCAGTCAGCAGCTCGAACGCGCCGCGCTTTCCCCAAAATCACCGTCACTGCACATGACGCCGACTTCCTATCCAGACCTCTTGCCACAATTTCCCGATTTGACCAGAGACCTTTCTTCGCACGAAGTCGCGTCACTGTTAGGCTTCTCGTCTCTCAACCAGAGTGATGTTGACAACTACCTGGATTCGATTAGTGCACCCTTTGACGACTTGATTGCAGGCGGCCATGGATCTACTCCTTCGCTTGCTGGAGACAGTGGAATCGGTCTCAGTAGCGACAACAACAACAACCTGGAAGGTGACTTTCGGGCACTCAGCGGTGGCTGCGAGACAATGTCCACGTTGATGAATGATGGTGATGGTAGTGGCAGTGGCGACACAGACATGTCGGATTGCTTGCTTCCTCAAGATCCCACAGACGCTATCGCATTCCCAGGACTATTCAACATGACTGATATGTACAACACACACAACAACTTCCAGACACCAACCCAGACACTACCTCACAACGTCATCGACGCAAGCAACCAAGGAACCCATGAATTGAAACTCCCAGAACAAAGGCGAAAATCATCATCAACATGCGACTGCAGGATCAAGTGCTCCAATCTCCTCGACAAGATGGCAGCCTTGCGAGCTGACGCAAGCCCCGATTCATCGTCGAACGAACCACCAGACTTTGAGGATGTCATGAAACAGAACGACTCCACCATCGAGGTCGTCCGCGAGATCCTGGACTGTGCATGTTCCAACAACAATTCTTCACTATACGTACTTTGTTTCGTGATCTTCGAGACCCTAGGTTGGTATGCTGCTACCGCGCTTGCCGTGAAAAGCAGTCGAAACTCCAAGAGCCCTTCCCCCGCGTGCTCTGCTGCAAATATTCGAGCAATCATGGTGCGACCACCGTCAGCGACCAACGAGGCAGGCAGCACCGACGTTGACGCCGAAGTGTATCAAGAGCACATGATCTACCAGAGCATAATCACAAAGCTTTACTGTGTTCGAAGAATCGGTACATCTCTCTCACAGCGTCTGTTGGCCGCAGAGGAGAAATCGAAGATCAAAGCAAACGCAAAGGCGTCATTGCCACTGTCAATCGACAACACAAGCGAGGGTCGTTTGGCTGCCGCAGCGCAGGATATCTTGATATACGGTGACATGTTCCAAAGTCCAAGCGCTGGACTTCAGGCTGACGGAATCTGGAAGAGCTTGGAAATCGGGCTGAGGACAAGATTGAAAGAGGTGTCGCAAGGCATAGTTGAGGCTCTCCGGGAAGCATGAATTTGGGTGGTCGATCATCGCGCGGATGGAGCCTCGTGCTTGAGTTGGATTGGCGCTGTGATAGGGCTTTCCTTTCTGTCGAGATTGAATTCGTCATGCAGATCAGCGCCTCCCCCCAGCGGGCGACCAAATGTCCAAATCGATCCTTTACAGCCGAGGCGTCGTTCTGAAATGCATGCTACGCCTTGACTGGTGGTTTCAAACAGCTTTCCAGGAGGAGCTCGCCCGAGTTGGACCGACCCTGTTCCTGATTACGTCAAGACAAAGAAGTTGAGGTTAGCAGATGGACATACTATCTGCTCGTAATAAGGAACCTGCCGAGACATGTCACCAATTACGCTAACGTCGCGGATAGGGATGCGGTCTCTAGAGGGAAATGATGATCGGTGTGTGATTGGTTGGAGAATTTCGAGCAACCCCACATCAGGAATCCGGGCCTTTTCATGTCAGCGTGACAAACTATCTTGTTTGTCGTATTCTTCGGGACCCGACTCCGGATTCTCTACAGCAGGCGGTTGTTACTCATGTGGAGAAGGTTCTTGCCCTCCCGCGCCGCGCACGGTGCATAGTCGAAGCCTACAGGCAGCATAATCCTCCGAGAACCCGGGAGATAGGTCAGACAAGGCACGGCAAGGACCCCCGGATCCTGTAACACGAAGAGGGGGTCACCTCCGCCTGCATATGCATTCTCTTCCTTTTGCTTGACGAAGTCTGATCACTAGTATCCAACGTTCTGCGAGTTTCCCACCGGTCTCGCTTGATGTTTTCTCCTATTGCTCACTGCATGTTCTTATCCTCCCTCTCGACCTGCGTCGTCAATATGCGGAACGAACGTGCATGCCTCAAGCGTTATGTGATCCACTCTTTGTTTCTTAGCTCTGACAAGACATACAGGGTACCTTGCGCCCGTCGAAAGCGGACATGTCCACGCGTCCGTGTATACAAGGACCGCGGCAAATCGCAGGCGTTACCGAATTTGAATCAAGCAGTCTGCAAGCCACCCACTATCGCAGACACACCTCGTGCTTATTGCCGGTTCCTGACGACCCCTGGAACTTGACCTATATCATACCTGCACAGTGCATCTATAAGCACAACACGCCGGAACCTTCCTGGAGAGCTCGATAACCTGGCTTGTCTCTCACATATGAACGTTGATTGTGTGGGGTGATACCTGCTTCTCGTTTGTGGTGGATTTGACCAACTCCAGTCTAGCGGCATGTCGGCAGTACTCAACGGTAGGTGGACCTGAAGAATCCACCGAGAGACCAAAATGTCGACTGTGGTCAGCCAATACGGTCCAAAGTGCCTTTGCGTAGGCATTACGATCACCACCTTCCAACAATTTGCGCTCAAGGAAGCCGTTCTGATTGTTTTCATTGCCCAATGGGTCGACCTGGAGGTTGGAAATGAACCCTTGCAAGGTCAAGACATCGCATGCGCCTCATTCCTGATTGAGTACACCATGGACACTTCATGGGCTTCGTTTCACGAGAAAGTCTTCGATATCCAAGATGCTGCTCAGGTTCTTTCTCAGGCGGCCTCGAAAGGCGACTTCGCTGATACTGTCACGAAGGCACATCATTCACCTACGGACTCATTGATACCTTCGGGTGTCTCTTCTGAATTGGTCCAGGCTCGAACGTCAATTCTAGAGAGCTCAGAATCGCTCCAGTGTATGCTTCGTGACCCACATAGGTTGCTTGAACATCTGATGTTCCAGGTATCTTTATCTCACAGACAGAGGTTGGGTAAAATGTTATTGACGCGTCCGCATTAGACCCAACTTCTGGCATCCCTGCAATGGCTCAGTAGCTTTCAAGTGCTTGCCTGTATCCCTTTGGAGCAACCGACCACATTCGAAGACGTAGCTGAGCTAGCCAGCGTACCAAAGAGTCAACTTGTCCGTGTCACGCGCATAGCTGCTATGGTCGGTTTTTTACGCGAACCTGAACCGGGCCATGTCGTTCACAGTGCTTTGTCAGCGCGATTCGTGCTTGAACCATTTTCACTGGATGCGCTGTTGTTTATCTCCGACATAGCCAGTCCAACTTCGATGCAAATGACCAGAGCCACCAAGACGTACGGCGAAACTCAGCAGCTAGACCAGACACCCTATCAACTCGTGTTCCACACCACACCCGAATCCATGGAACATCCAAAGCTACGCCGCCAGCATGCCGCTTACAATCGTCTCAGCGCATACAATCATGTGACCGACTTGCCATCAATATACGATTGGCATAGCCTTGGTGCAGGAACAGTGGTAGAGGTATGGATTGAGAGAAACGCCGTCAATCTGAGAGATGACTGACAATTGCTTCCGTCTAGATTTNGCGCGCAGTCCGTAGACACTATTCAAGCTCTCCCTCAGTTATCGGAAGACCTGAAGTTCATTGTTCAAACAAACGACATTGAAATGCACGACCATATGCAGGTTCTTTCCCGTCAAGATCGTAGACCGCCATCCAGATCTCTGAGCACTGCTGCTGTTTCACCAACCACTGCAAGACGTGCTACATCGACGACTCGCGTTCAAGTTCAGTATCGCACTCACGGAGCACCGCAAACGGTCCAAGGAGCAGCTGTCTACCTCTACTATGTCCCTCCACCTTCTATCACCAGAACAGTCAACCAAGTGCTTGCTGAGCTTGACGCTGAACTTCGAGCGCATTATCCGGTGCTTCGAGCCACCCCGAGCGCAACCTTGGTTGTCGTGATGCATCTGCTTCCTGAACCAGGAGTCTTGAGTGGTCACCTGGAAGCGAACCTCCGTACGCTCGACATCTTGCTTCACCAGCTCACAAACCAAAGACTGTCAGAAGAGCAGGATATACTAAACGCTCTTGACCGCATAGGTGACAGCACTGGTCGGCTTGTTCTTGTCAAGAAGTCTATCGATCGCCATCGTCCAGTCACAGTCTTGGAAGTCAAAGCCGAAGTCTTTCCTACACCTTCATTGTGAATGATGAAGCTTTGCGTTAATTCATGGGGTGGCTTTCAGCTACAGCTGGTGAGAATCAGACCCGTACCAGCTTCTCAGTAACCTATTAGCATATCTCACACCAGAACCCAGAACTAACCAGACAACATGAATGAACGAGATGCACCAAGCGTTTGTGATAGCGCAGTCCATAGAACCAAATCATGTATTCACGTCCTTGTCATTGTGCTCCGTCCTAAGTCCAGTCCATCCTCGCCACAAAAGGCAAACCTTTGCCAAGGTATCCCGATGCTCATACCACGAGAGCCGTTCACTGTCGTCATGCTTTCCATCAATGGTCACCTGGACTCGGTGTGTTTGCAATACTCTTGTCGGAGCCCGATCTGTACGCAACAATCTCCCGACCTTACCTCTGGCAGTCATGCAAGACGATGTCTCAATAGCCCGAGATTCTGACGTGGCTCCAATGTCTGTTGGGGAATGAGAGCTCATTGGTTTCCTGTCGAACGTAATATGTCCTTGATCTTGATTGACTTTTCTTTCCAAGGATGTACTGGAGGACAGACAATGGCACACCACAGAGTGAATGAGAGTGCAAAGGATAGATGTTGATGAAACTAGCCCACTATATTGTGAGTATTGATGGCAGTCTCGTCAGTGAACGTCAGGAATGTCAAGATTATGACCTCAGGTCCGCGGACACGTGAAATGTACTGATGCACTTGAGCCCTTGCTCATCCTGTATTCAACATGATTTTCACTGCCTCAGATAGTATTTCGTACGAATTTGAACCCCAGTTCACCAGCTATGGTGTTGAGTAGGTGGCCATGTTCCAACGTCGAAGAGCACACCCTGGCCATATCTGGTGATAGCGGCAACGCAGATCCACCATGTCATATCATCTTGAGGAACTGGGCCGTATGAACGAAAACACAGCTGTTACGAGTTCTGAATAGTATGAGACGCTCGGAGGCATACCTCTTGTCAATTCTGACACGAAAACATGGCTCTTGCAAGGAATCGGCATTGTTATTCACCCTCCCCGATTACACGTGTTCGGTAGTGCTACGCTCTTTGCCAGTGTTGACAGTTCAGTCCTGAATGGGATGGTAGAATGTGGACAACGTGAATAAGGAGATCTATGAAAATCTAAAGACTACCAACTCCGTCACCCATCTAGATTCTTCGACACCTGACGAAGTGCTCGTTGGACCATTCCATCCCCATGTCTGTCTATCCGTAACTCGACTCCAGCCAGCCACGCAAGTCACCGATGCTCGGGTAGTCCAGGAACAGACTGCCACCGACATGCACATCCAGCGCTGTCTTGAACTTCTCGGTAATGACAAGTGACATGAGACTGTCGACTCCAAGGTCCGCAAAGTCGGCATCGTCTTTCAAATCTGCGATATCAAGATCGGCCTCTTTCGCGATGAGCTCGAGGGCTCTGTCAACGATTGTAGGTGAGCTTGAGCTTGCTGCTTCGACTATAGCAGCAGACTTGTTGGCGACCACCGGCGCGTCCACTTTGACAGATGCGATGGGCTTCTGCTTTTGCTCATTACTGGGCTTTTGTGTGGCAGTGGCGACCTCTGGTGCTTTTGATACTTGTACAGTGTGAGAGGTCTTTTGCGGCACAGAGATGCTGGCCTTATCTGGCGGTGAGAAGAAGCGACTGAGCAACAGCCGTGGATAACGACGGAATTTGATGCCTCCCACCAGGCCGATGATCTGGCCTTCCTGCATGATATACACATCTCCAGTGTAAACGCTAGTATCATCGGGGGTCGGGATCATCTTGACATATGAGCGATATGTCATGCCGGCGACAAGTGGTTTGGCAAATCGCATTGATTTCCAACCAGGGGTTACGCAGAAGTTCTTGTGTGTGTCCATAGCGTCGGAACAATTCATGATGAAACCAGCAAGATGAGCAACACTGTCGATGAAATAAGGCGGCACTGTCCAGACTCCACCTTCATGCGTCGTCAGTTGCACGTCGGCGAAGGCTTCCAGTCCTCGCAGCACAACGCTTTGCATGCCACGGTACTTGTCGGCATAGTCGACCAGGTTGCCTGCGAACAATGTGTAGGCCATGTTTCCTGTGAAACGACTGGCTTGGCCTTTGCTGGCAAGATCGGTGAGAGCCTCGATGCGGCTTTCGATGAGATGACTCAATGGCGTCCAAGATGAGAGCCACTCAGCAGGCTCGCCGTAGACAAGGGTTGCTGTGGCAAANGGCTCTTGGGCGACACCGCTGTTATCCACGTTGCACCATGTCATGTTGGCGAGTCCCGAAGTCATGTCTGCAGTAGATGCTGTCACTCGAATCATCTGAGGGGTCTTCGTGTCTTTTTGTGCCACAAGTCCTCGTGTCACATCGAGCTCTGTAATATTGATGCCGGTCTTGCTTGTCTTGCAACCGGACTTCTTGAGCAGATACTGGCCCAGTGTGAAAGCGATATCGGCATGGATGGACTAGAGAAAGGTCAGCATCGTGTCGGTGAATTGTGTGGGATAATGAAGACTACTCACAGATGTAACCACTCCGCAGTCGTTCATACGATGTCCATGAGCTGCAGCGAGGAAGTCTGCCTGCATGAGATCGGATTCCATAGTCACCGTACCAGCTGCGCCATCGAAATTGACCTCAATTATACTCTGCACTGTCGATGTCTGGACTTCACTTGCCAGCGGGTTCTTTGTTGGCGGTTTCTGCTCCTTGGTGCTGTAGAAGTCATTACCTTTGGTCAAACACCAATCGCCTTGGTACTGGCACCAGTAGTTCTTCTCGTCCCAAGCATAAGCCGGCAAGTCGAGAAGTCGCAGGTTCTGCTCGAATGAACGATGAAACTCTTGCCAACGAACGTCGACGCCGTGTAGAGAAAGAGCAGTCAGACTCTCGGACATCGTCTTCCAGTTGTCTTCGGTTCTCTGCAGCGATGGGACAGCCAATCTAGTATCAGCCAAGGTCGACTTTACAAAGCTAGTGCATACGGGATGTGGTCCTATCTCAACCCAGATAGTGTCCTCACTGATCGCAGATGCTTCATGAGCACTCTCCAAGGCGGATACGAAGTTGACAGTCTCTCTTGTAGCTTGTCGGACATACTTCGCATTGATAGTTTTGCCATCGAAGACAACTTTGCCCAGCAAGGGCGAGAGTATGGGGAGCTTCGGCTCACGGAAGATGACACCTGCTTTTGCAGCGGCTTCGAAGTCGTCCAGTATCGGGTCTGTTTGCTCCGAGTGGAATGCAAAAGCCACGTCCAGCATGATGCAGCGCAAACTACTTGCTTCCAGTGCTCGACACATGTCATCCATCTGCTGCTTGGTGCCGCTGAGCACGGTGTCAGAGGGTCCGTTGATGCATGCAACAGTATAGTCTTTGCCTGCAGACAGCTCAGTGATCTGTGTCGTAGAGGCACGAACCGCCATCATGATATGGCTGCCTGACTGGCATCGTTCCATCAGCATCTGAGCACGACGTCCCACCATGAAGATTGCTTCACTAGCACTGATAATGCCTGCTGCATGCATCGCGGCATATTCGCCGAGACTGTGACCACAGACAACATCGGGTTTGATGCCAAGTTTCTCCCAGTATTTGGTCAGAGCGATCTCGGTGCAGACAAGTGCAAGCTGTGTAATGACAGGATCGTGAAGGTGGTCTTTGTCGTGGGATCCGTCAAGAGCTGGAATGAATGACGAGAACCCTTGAATCTTGGCAAGATCATCCAACTGCTGTATGGACTCTCTGAAGCTTGGAAGGTCGCGGTACAACTGCAAGCTCATGGACTTGTACGATGCTCCTTGCCCAGTGAATGTGAAGGCGATCTGGGGCTTCGCAGATTTTCCCAGAGGCTTCAATGCCTCAATCTTGTCAAGGTAAGCGACAAGCTTCTTCTTCAGAGATCCAGTATCTGAGACTGCCGTTGCGTAGCGATAGCTGTGATGCAAGCGACGGGCTGTGGTGGTGTAGGACAGATCCGCGATGTTGAGATCGGGCTTGGATTCGAGGTGGTTGATCATCCTTGTGATGTTCTCTCTCAGGGAGTACTTCGTCTTTGCGGAAAGGACCACTGGATAGATTCCACGAGGGTCTGCTTGAGGAACGTCGCGAATCGGGGCGTCTTCCAAGAGCATTGTTGTGTTTCCACCTGCGGCTCCGAAGTTGTTGACCACTGCAAGGCGTTTCCCAGCAGGATCTCTGTTCCATGCCGTCTCTTCGAAGGGAACATGCATGTTGCGCTTGCCGAGCTCGTTGGCAAATCTGCTGTTCATCTCAGTTTTGATGCCTACGTGACGTGGGATGGCGTTCTTCTGAAGCATCAGAAGGACTTTGATCAAAGCTGTGGTGCCCGCTCCAGATTCACTGTGGCCGACGTTTGACTTGACGGCTCCAATATACAGAGGTTGGTCATTGCGACGTCTTTTGGAGAGTGGCGCATACACATCCATGATGCCTTTCATCTCCTCATGGTCTCCGGCTTGAGTTCCAGTGCCATGCAGCTCAACGTAGGAGACGTCCAATGGGTCAACGCCAGCCTTTCGAAGAACTTGACGAGACAGATCGGCTTGGTGGCCAGCGTGAGGATGGGTGATGGAGACAGCTTGTGCCGAATGATTCGTTCCTGCACCGAGAATAACGCCCAGGATATTGTCGTTGTCTGCTTCAGCATCCTCCAGTCTTTTGATGACTACGGAGCCGATCGCATCAGCGCGACAGTATCCATCTGCAGTCGCGTCCCATGTCTTGCATGCATTATGTCCCTTGGTCAAGAAGTGGCCATTGCAGAGACCAGCAAAGCCGTCTGGGTTGGTCAAGACGTTGAGACCACCAGCGATGGCAGTATCCACTTCGCCGTTCCAAAGCGCCTGACAAGCGACCNNTGAGATACATTGTTAGCTAACCAGCCTCGTCAGAAGACAAGTTGTTCTTACCTCAATTGCAGCCAGACCCGAGGAGCAAGCTGTGTCGACACTGTAGCTAGGGCCTGCGAATTTGAAGAAGTAGTTGATACGCCCTGGACCAAAAGCGCGACATCCACCAGGAATGTAGTACGTACCGACAGACTGTCCTTGGTTGACCTCACGATAGTCGTCAGCAGCCTGTCCGTACCAGGTGCCTACGCGTTGAAGCTGCGTTGCTGCAGTACGGTCGCCTACACATCCAGCTTGCTCGAGCGCTTCATAAGCGGTGACCAGAGCCAGACGCATCTGCGGATCAACTGTTTGAGCTTCCCGAGGAGACATGTTGAAGAAAGATGCATCAAACATGCCTGGCTCATCTATGAAACAGCCGTACTGTGTCATCGTCTTGTTCAAGTCCGAGCCAGTCGGGTCGTAGTGTGTTTCGACATCGAATCTGTCTGCTGGGACCTGTCGCGAGACGTCAAGTTCGTCCTCGAGGAGTTTCCAGAACTTCTCTGTGCTTGTGGCACCGCCTGGAAGCCTGCAAGACATACCCACGATGGCTAGTTTGGATTGTCCTGGAGATCGTGGTTCACAGTTGTTGTTCGTAGGTTTGTAGATCCAAGTCGTCAGGATGTCAGTCGAGACTTCCAGCGATGGAAGATTGTCGGTGAGAGCGGTCTTGAGTTCGTGAAGAGGCAANGAGTTCCCCAGGCAGTATAGCGACAAGGTCGATACTGCAGGCGATCCTATACGATGCGATAGGCCAGCTATCACGCTGTCCCAACAGATGGCTTGAGTCAACAGCTCGTTCAAAACATGCTCGATCACTCCAGCAAAGCTGCGAGCAGCGTAAGGGCGGCCAGAGCTGGTCGAATAGAGTGGCAGGGTTGAGATGTCCTTTTCAGAAAAACTGATGCCAGACATCAACTTTCGAATATCATCGGCCCCGTAGATATGAGGAGCATGACAGAGTCCGCCGTAGACGGGTAGCGCCATGTACCTCGCAGTGCGGAAGAAATGCGATTTTGACACCAGGGCTGTCAGTCGCGAAGGCGGTCCACTGATGGTCACTGAAGTTTGGCCGTATGCGCTCACAAAGATTCTGCCTGTCGTAGGGCCTCCTTTGTCTTGGTTCCAGTTATCAAGCTCAGTTCTGACGGCATCAAGATCGACATTCTGAACGACGTACGCCCAAGAATCCGAGTTCTCACCCGGCTCCAAAACATCGAGATCTTTCGAGACATTACCGACGTAGATGCCCATTCGGAATGCCAAGAGCACAGAGTTGGAGCCATTCGAGGCTAGCTCCGTCAAAGTGGTCGAAGAAGACAGGGCCGCGGCCGAGAGAAGGCCTATTCCAAGAGCAGTGATGTTTGCATCCGGATATTGCAAGAATCTGTCGAAATGATCCTCGAAATANACTGAACACATTGTGAGCATCGAGCTAGCTTCATCAGTCAATCTACAAGCTTACCCAATGTGAGCAGCCAGCTGAAGAATCACCAGCAGGACTCCGTCTACAGCGCTGCACAGAGAGCTCTTCCGAAGTTCAGTATCATCTGCCCAATCCAATAGCGATTCGAATGGTCGGAAGCTTTGCTTCAGGTCTGCTGAAAGCGTCTGGATCTCATGTTTCACAGAGCTGGTAGCAGTAGCCAAGAAGTGGGCCAGTATTGTATGCTGTCTGGTCTTGGCTTGGTTGCGAAGATGGCGAAAGAGATTCTGCAAGTCGTCCTTGGGAAAGTCGTTGTTGAAGTATACGAGATCCATCTTGCGAGATCCTTCGTCGGACTCGGAGCTCGTTGGAGTATCGATGGAAGTCATCATTGGTTCTGGCTCGAGGAGAAAAGAAGGATATTGAGCTGCCGGGACGTCGACTCAGTTCTTAAAAGGTCTTGCGGATCGAAGGACGAACAAAACTTCGACACCATCTTCCAGGGTCTCGGTTGATAAGAGCTGGGCAGTGAGCAAAGGCGGTACCTTGGAGTTGTCCATGTGTTGATCCTTACTGTCGGGACAAGCTGAAACAACACCTCCAGCAAGTTTACGGGGCATTCTGACAGGCAAAAGTTTCGCCGCACCGAGCAAATAGGCAATCCCGAAGAATGTACCGTGCCATCATCTTGAGGTCTTGTTTAATAATCTATTGGCTGTTAATCTACCGAGGCTCTGTGATCGGTGTTGGTTCATGTGTTTCCAGCTTACCGGGACATTTCTTGATCGAGATCTACCCCCATCAGTCTTCTATGGCAAAGGCATAAGACACGATCCATATTCTTATGTTTCGATCTCTCCACAGATACACTCTTGACCCGACAAAATCAAAGCATCGCAACCCATCATGGCCGAAGACAAAGGTGGTTATCGTCAAATCAACAAATCTCTGAACATTTGTGTATTCGAGGAGTATCTGAAAGGTCAGACCGCGAACCTCCCGAAGCTGGCCAATGTGGAACAGGTCTCATCGAGAGTCATCCGAGTCCTTGGACAGAACCCCGGCAAGGTAAGCTCCACCCATATGCTCCAGTTCTGCACGAACTTAAAACTGACTCGTCTTCAANAGTTCACTCTTCAGGGTACAAACACGTACATCGTCGGCACCGGCCAGCAAAGACTGCTCATTGACACTTCGGGCGGCGAGCCAGAATGGGCTTCATTGATTGCATCCACGCTGGAGGACCAGAACATCACCTTATCCCATGTTCTCTTGACCCACTGGCACGGTGATCACACTGGCGGAGTGAAAGATCTTCTCTACCTCTACCCACACCTTCGAGGCTGCATCTACAAGAACGACCCTGAANAGGGCCAAAGAAACATCGAAGACGATCAGATCTTCGAGGTCCCTGGTGCAACTGTCCGAGCGGTGCATACCCCTGGACATTCGGAAGATCACATGTGCTTCGTCCTCGAAGAGGAATCAGCTTTGTTCACTGGCGACAACGTCCTTGGCCACGGAACAAGTGCAGTCGAAGATCTGGGAGTTTTCATGACAACCCTAGTCAAGATGCAGAACCAGGCGTGCAGCACTGGATATTCAGCTCACGGCGTTGTGATTCAGGACCTGCCAGCCAAGATGGCCAGTGAGCTGTCTCGCAAACGACGACGTGAGAACCAAATCATGCAGGCTCTCTTTACCGCTCGCGACCGTGGTGAGAAGAGCATCACTGCGTCGAATCTAGTTGATGAGATGTATGGAGCGTCCGTGGATGAAGAGACGCGCACACTTGCATTGATCCCGATGGTCACTGAGGTGTTGTGCAAGCTTGCTGGTGATGGACGCACTGCCTTCCAAGTTGTCGGTGGTGAGAAGAAGTGGTACTCTTTCGACAAAGGCCGTCCGACCATGAGCCAGAGAAAGACAGAAACGGAGAGAGAGCGCAAGGATTCGTTGTTTTCAGTACAAGAGTTGAAGGAGGTGTTTGTCGCGGCTTGATCATCGGTACCTTGGAGTTTGTTTAGTATTGGGTTTCACAAAATAGACCAACCGTCGTTCATGTCCTTCCATCCGCGAGAATTCATGCGCAATCTCTATCCCTTTGAATCTATCATGTGTACTGGATGTTTGTTGATTGCTGTCTGCGGGCTATCTCTTCAAGATACAGTTCCTCATGCCTTGGACAACCCCCGCCCTCTCAAAGCCTAGTGACTCATCGATTCTTGCATAAAGCTCATCAAGCCAATCATGGAACCGACGAATGGAAAGAAGCATCGAGCAACATGCAACCATGCCCAACCGTAAATGATCTTCTGAACCTCTCCCAGACTCAAGTTGGAAGAGCCGTCCCAAGCCTCATCCGAAAGTGCAAACAGACTGTTGTTGGTGGGCGCCATCACTGTCAAGGTGTAGGGCACCATAGTGATCGTTGTGGCACCAGCCATCGCATAGCGCAGCCAGATATCCTGCTTCAAAGCACGTTTCTGAATGGCAATGTAAAAGAACAGCCCGGTGACAGCGACCGACATAGCTGGCATGTAGATATGGCCATAGTAGTAGAGCCGCGACCATTGCTTCAGGAGTTGACTTGGTGCATCGATCGTGTTGTACAGCACTGGGACTGTGATGACTGAGATGCTCAGCATGGCGCCTGCGGTCTAGTCAGTCGTGCTTGTAGCAAACAGGCGATGCCAGTGATCACTGACCTGACAGAAAACATGCAGACATCATCGCGCTGGCCTGGAGGCCGACACTAACGGGTTTGTTCTGACTGATTTCCTTCATGATTGTGAATGATTTGTGAAGATGGCGATGGCTTCGGTGTTGTGGTTTGACATGATATAGCATTTTGGATGATCCGACTACAGTGAAACAGATCCGAAAACTCACCGACTCCACATCTGCCTAAGATGAAATGTCCCGACACTTTGCATCAAATAAGGCAAGTTTCCCTGAACGTGTTTTGACTAACGATATTCGCCTTTTCCTGATCCCTTCTCATCTCAGCAAACACATCCCAATTGTCAAACCATGGCAGTCTTACCCGTTCCGGAAACCACAGAGCCTCTTGCTACGCTTGACCCAACTCGTCGTCAATATCTTTGTCTGACAATCTGCGGTTATCGCAAGCCGGGAATGAGTGAGGAAGCATATCGAAACCACATGATCAACGTTTCTGTTCCGATGACAAAAGATCTGATGGTGAAGTACGGCATCAGAAGATGGACCCAGGTTGGTTGCGATTCGTGTTCCTTGCACTGCAAAGGGCTTCACTGAACACGAGCCCAGATACACAATCAAACCAGTACACGCGACCTCATGTCGCATCTTTTCGACTCACAAATGGTAAATGTCGCCGACTTCGATTGTTTCCNNAGCCAGGTCGTCTTCGAGTCTATTGAGGATTACAAACGTATGAAACAAGACCCTTGGTACAAAGAACATCTTTTCAACGATCACCTCGAGTTTGCCGACACAAAGAGGAGCAAGTAAGTGGTTCCTGCTGCTGTCATATCCATGTACCCAGCTGATAGCANNTCAAGGATGACCATCGGATGGATTGAGGATTTCATTCGGGATGGGCAAGTTGTCCAGGAGTCATCGTTCTAATCAGTGCGCTACCTTATTCAAGCTACTTTGTGTGTTTCTCACAAGCATGAAGTTCGTGTTGATAGATTGCTTGTACCGTTGGACAGTTCGTGGCTGTGTAAACTCAATGTGCAAGGAAGGGACGTCGGGGGATTTTATCGGGTCATTACGGGTCATTGCTTTTCTTCCTGCACATTCTGTCCACGAATTGAACCAGAGATTCGCTCTCGGATACCGATCGGGGATATCCACAGATTCGGTCCCCAGTAGACTGTTGATCCTTTGCGACATTGTGCATGGAGTTCAACACCGACCCGAATTGTTATGCTTGATGCGAACCACTGCAAGGCGCTCTCAGAGCAATCAAAAGTCTGGGTCAAAGCTCCGTCATGCCGGATGACTGACTTGCATGAGTCACCGAGTTCACAGGTTGCATTCTACGAAACGTTGGTCGAATTGGTAGAATTCGGGTGAAATGCGAAACACGAAGCAAGCCATGACGAAGCCATTGTCAGCCGCCAGCTGGTTCTAGTGCTTATCTGCTCGGAGCCCTCGTCGGAGTTGTACCTTCGCTTGCACAGATGACAGATTCGAAGGCGGTGTCACAAGTGATAGTACAGTTTCACGAATCATATCAAGCTCACCTTCCAAGCGATCAGTATCTTGCCTAGTTTGTTTGTTTGACTGCCTTGAGTGTCCTTTCAAGATACAAATGATATGCTGTCTGAGTGAGACCTAACATTGCAACCTGTGTCGATGTGACGGTCAGACACAACAGCCGTCCGCTTCAGTGAAGGAGGAACAACTTGCATAAGGTCAGGGTGGTACTGCCAACACTGATCGGGTCTTGAATGAAGCACTTTGCTTCGTCCTTGTTGATCATGCTGAAAGAATCTTGCAATAGATGCTCGGATACCAGAAAAAATACATTATATGATTGTAGACTTTGAGGTTACGTCGAGGAAGAGAATGATAGGGATGTCAGATTTCTTTCTTGCAAGGGCACTGTGATGGCACCATCAACCCAAGGCACGAACTTACGTCTATGCGCCGTGCAACGGTTTCTGATGCGACATCGTTCATCAGAAGGAGTGATCCTCTCATCAAAGACGATGACTTCCTGTTCCAATATGTACGTTGCGACGTCCGAGTTCAGAATCAGAGCGGCGTTTGCGACGTCTCAAGTATCTTCCACCTTGCCCATGGGTACTGGAGCACCCATGCTGCTTGAAGTTTTCCTATTCTTCCTCTTTGTCATATGCTACAACAGATTCCTGCGCATGAGCATCTTCATGCAGCCGGCTTAACCTTTCTTCAGAAATCAGTTGATATAGTAGGAAGCGGTGCCGATGTTGGGCGGTATGTCGCCAGGAAGACTGTTGAAAATGTCTCCAATGTAGTTTCCTGGCTTCAGGCCCCTCTCGTATGTTCCATTCCAGTACATCAAGACATCCTTCACGACCTCGATACCTGCAAGGTAAATGTTCTGGATGCTAATCTCAAAGCCTCCCTGATCTGCGTAAAGTAGGTGATAGACCTCAGTCTCACCGGGAGGAGCGCGATCAAAATCGCTGATGGTTCTCATGATGATTATTCGGCTGAAGTCAAGTTTCTTCAGGCTAGCACCACGAATCAAAGACTCGAGAGTAGCATTGTCTTCCTGTTGAGTGCCACAGTAGAGTCCAGTTCCATTGGTCATAAGCTCGGTGTAGTTGCTGAAAGCATATCCAAGAACAGATCCAGACCAGTACTGATCAGATGTAGCACTGTCGCACTTGACAACGCTGGGAGGATGGTTGGCAGGAGCGTAGCCGTAAGTGGCACGGTATGCGGCAGCAGCTTCGGTATCGTTGAGAGTGGCCAGGGATGCGAGGTAGGAGGCACGGTCAAGGAGGTTCTCATTGACTTCAAAGACTTCTGTACCGTAGATCGAGCCAGGGTAATCTACTGGGTTGGCCTCGTCGGGGTAGTAGGCACCTTGAGGGAAGTATCCGGATGTATCATTTGCAGGAACCTGAGATTGATCGAATTCTTCTTGCAAGCCGACTTGCACAGCGTACTTGGCGAATGTCACTGAGCCGGTGGTAACAACGTGAGGATTTCCACCAGAGATACCAGCGATCATGAAGTAAGTGGATGTCAAGTCAAAGCATCCGGACAGCCAGAGAGCGTTGACTGATCCGGCAGCGTTGATCTCGCCCTCGCCGGTGGTCATTTGACAAACCTCACCAGATGCAGTGCAGTGTGCATCAGGGAAGAGAGGGGAGAAACCAGGTACAGTCACGTTGTTCGCGAGAAGGTCAAGTGTCATGTCTTGATACCAGATGTCTGCTTCAGGATCGAACNNTTGTGAGGATTAGCTTCGAGATTCAAGCATGGGGACGATCAAAGAGTGTACCATGCTGATGATGAAGAACTTCGGCTTGATCGACCCTGTAGGAGAGCAAAGAGTTGACACGTCTCTCTTGGCCAATGTACTGCGACGCGCGACATTGCTCGACCCGCGACGATACTTTGGTTTGACAGAACTGCGAGCAAAGGACGAAGCCAATGCATCAGCAGCAAAGAGAGTCGAGAGGCAGAGGGAGATGAGTTTCATGTTGTCGGTCGTCCTGGAATCTGTCGGCGAGACGTGTGTTGAATGTGTTGATCGACAGGGACGTATTCGACTGGATTTATAGATAAGATGTCTGCCATTCGTCCTGCCGTTTTTGGTATCTGTTGGTCATCTTGTTTTCACCGGTGTTGGCCGTTATCTGGGGTGCATACTGTCATCTGCAGTGGCGTTGAACTCTCGGATAAAAAATCACATGGCGGGATCGAGGAAAAGGTTGTTGCTAAGCAATAGTTGTCGAGCTTGTTCGACGCCACTACGCGATGTGACTGGCTGTGGACTTTGCTTATCTGAAGTACCGTTATCTTCCGGGCCGAAACACATCCAGCCACGCGTCACCGTTCACTCGCGACCACCATGCCTTTGGCCGTGCGAAGTTGTACGCGCCTTGTGCGAATCGGCAACCGAACCCAAGGCACAACGCTCGAGACATCTGACCTCGAATCGAGAGACAAAGCTCTGTCTCGAAAGAATCTTCCCATCGTGTGGTCCATATCCCAACCAGTCGGCCCTGGAGCAACATTTCATCACAAGACGCTGTCATGGCTCTACGTCTGATCTTGAAGGCTCATGCGTGTGAGCATTCGCAGTTGGCTCAGGAGAAACGTTTCTTGCGCAAGTCGTCGCTGAGATGGAATCTTGTCCGCTCAGGAAATTCGGCATACATGCTGAGTAGCCGGCACCATCAATGTGAGAGGATTACCTTCTCGGGACATCCCACATCACTTCATACAGCAAGTCAGCAGTCAGCCCTGGATTTGGGATCAAGAGCCAGGCTTCCCTCATTCGAGAAAGAAAGACGTGGGGTGACACAACGAGCGACATGAGGAACACGGGTCTATATTAGCCTTCTATACGTTCTCTAGGCTATCTATAAACTTCCCTCTAGTAGGTAGCCTTCTAACTTACTATTTATAAGAGGTAATCTTTTCGGACTACGTAGATCTATTAATATAAGTCCCTATAGTTTAAATCTCTCCTTCTCCTTTCTATCTCCTAGTTCCATAGAGATAAGAGTATAAGTCGGAGTGCTATAAGGGATAGTATCTACTACCTTATTACGTTTAGATAAGGTTTAGCGTATAGGATCTTATTTACGACTATCTAGGTAATCGCTTTAATAAACCTCTCGGCCTTATTATTAAGCTACTCTTTCGTCGAAATCTACTAAGGTCGAGGTATAATACTAACTACCTTATAGATATCTCCCTAGTCTACTTTATCGTAATTTCTCCTAAGTCTCCTCGTCTTCCCTAATCTCCTAGGGCATCTAGAAGCGGGCCTCTATAACCCTATAGTCGCCTCCGTAGTCCGTATCGGAGGTTTTATACTAGATTATAGCCGCCTATAGTCCTAGTAATACTAGGATTAAGTTAATAGTAGTTAGGTATAGTCCGTTATTATACGAGAAGGTAATTATACCTCTTGGGAGCATAGAGTCCAATTCTTCTTCGACCATGAATTGTAAAATAGGCCAGTCGTCCTTTCTTCTGTCTGGCGCTACTTCCTTCCCTCCCCACACATTGCTGTGACGGTTGAAGTCACCCCCTACGTATACGTGGAGGGCGCTGTCTGTTTTCTCCCGGGTTTTCTGTATAATGTCTTGGGCGCACGCTATACGCTCCTGTAGGTCGATCTCTTCCTGTGGTCTCTTGTATGGGACGTAGATCGATATGAGCAATAGCAAAGCACTTTCCACTTGTAACGTCACCGCTGCTACGTCTGACGATGTGGTCTCAACTTCCTGGTGCTTGATTCTGTCTGACACCCAGATCGCTGCACGGAACGAGAATCGCACCGAGCTCGCCTCCTGATTGTATGTTTTCGGTGTAATCGTCGTCCACCCACTGTGTTGATTGACTGTGGGTTCCCCTGTCCTAGGATGAGCAAATATGTATGGTTCTGAGATGCACATGGCGTCGAACGTTGCCGTGCTATCGTCGTTGAAAATGCTCATGATAGGGCCTGGCCTAGCCCCTACGTTCGCCTGTAAGATGCTTATCTGGTGTCCTAACATCTAATAGAGGACTGAGTCGCCTGTGGTCTCGTATCAGGTGCTTGTTGTCTTGCCTCCTTGTGTCTCGGGTTGGCGACGCATCTCCTATCCATAATAGAATGGGGTCCGTTACACGCCGGACACTTAGGGTTACCTTTGTCCATACAGTCCCTGCTCTGGTGGTTCCCTGAGCAGTGGCCGCATTTGGCGGGTTTGGTGCATCTGAACTGGTAATGGCCGTAGCTGTTACAGTTGAAGCACGGGTCGTTGTTCTCCTTTGCCTCATACGGGGCCGCGAATCCAGCTGTGGGTCCAAAGATGACGGTCATCTTCCTCAGCAGATAGGCGGCTGCCTCTCTTTCTTTAGCCATACAATCATCGACCCGTTAACCTTGTCTGATGGTCTACTGATCCAGACAGCCTTCATAGCTGTACAGTCGATGTTGTCCTTACTATTGTCGGTCGCGAAGTTGGCTACAATTTCTGGCTTTAGGGTCTTCGGTCCTCCGGCCGGGTCGAGTACAACACTCTTCGAAATGCCGTCAACCTTGATTGGGTACCAGGTCTCGCCGCGAATGCGGGCTCCTGGCATCGCTCTCTCAATCCATCTAGGATTGTCGCGTGTGCGCTGGGCTTGCTCGACTGTGGCCAGACAGAGTTCCACTTTGTTAGTGTAGATCTCACGGAGGAATTCGACCTCGACGTCCTCGGTGTTCGGATTCTCTTGAAGAGCCTTAATCCATTTGCCTTTTACCTTGTTCAAGTCGTCTTTGTCTCCGCGGGCCCTAGAGATGTCAATCTCTATGGTCTTTCCTTCGTTGGCTAGAGGTTGGGTCAACACTAGATTGATTGATTGATTGATTTATTTAATTGATCAGGCTATTTGGTTCTACGGCAAACCTATTAGCCGTCTCCTACTGGTTTTACCTTTTATGTCCCTATCTGTCCTTGTTCCATTCTAGCTTCCCCTTACTCGACAGCTCTCGTCTGCCACGCAAACCTGCCGGACTTGTGAAGAAAATGGAGGACCGCCTTCACCGCCGGGAGGTTCGCTTTCCATTTTTCCTTCGGCCCGTCGACTGGTCGCCCAGTTCTCGGGTCTTCCCAGGGATTCCAGCCCCCGAGTATGTAAGAAAGGTCCCTCCACCTGTGCCCTACTGCCTCGATAGCAATTTGACGATCTTCGCGTAGGAGGGGGCATTCGTATATGACGTGCTCAACACTTTCTTGCGTGGCTCCGCATTCGCACCTTGCTGAGTCCACCAGTTTCATCCGGCATAGGTCACTCTTTAGTCGGGAGTGCCCTGTCCGGCATTGGGCGAGTATCGACGCCTCCTCCGCGGACAATGCATTATACACTATCGCTATATGGGGGCCTGGGAGAGCTCCGTCTAGCTTCCACGTGTACAATCCAGTATGTAGCGTGTCTCGAGGTCTTGTCTTTCTGGCCTGTTTCCAGGTCTCGTCCAGCTTCTTTTGAAGTGTCTTCTTAGCCACCCTTAAGACCATCTTCTTCGTAACTCCTGTGTAGCGTTGTTGGTATATTCTCGACTTTGCCATGCTACGGTCGCGTGCGTCCGGAGGCGTTAGGGGGTTAGTAGGCGTTGGGGGTCCGTAGATGTCCAAAGATCCAAAGAGGCTAGGGGGTTAGTAGGACCTGCGGGTTGCGTAGCAGGGCCTTCCCCCTCTCCCCGTCCCTCCTCTAGTGCCTTTTTCGCCTTCTTGTCTGCCCACTCGTTGCCGTACCACCCCTTATGGGCCGGTACCCACTGTAAGGTGACCATTGCCCCTTCCCGGGCCTCACCTAGCTAATAGAATCCATGGGTTGCACTACAGCCCGTCTAAAAAGGGTTTCGCGGGGTTATGCTTTCGGCGCTTGGCGGGGTAGAAGTGAAGTTGAACCCGTAGTAGAACCCCGATCTTGTAAGTTGTATGAACACGACTCAATATTTGTAAAACTATGGTAGAGATGAGTTAATATGATACAAAGGCAATTGCACCATTTAGATTTCTGATTCTGGCTGCGACTTGTTGAGTATCGTTGTCCAAAATATGGCAAGTATGACTTTCGAAGTTTGCCAAGAATTGCGCCCGCAACTCCACCCGACTTCTTGTAGGCATGCAAGGTCACCCCAACAACATTAACACCAAAGATCTGGGAGTAAGATATATGGTCAAATTTGTGATCTATATAGTGAACTCTTCAGTTTCTTCGTCAGAAGAATCTTGAACCACTCGCAGCAAGCGTTTAGATTTTTGCAAGTGAGGAGTAGGTTCTTGAGTGGTCCCATTGAGCGTCCGGCCTGGAACCACTTCCCGGTCACCAAATATATGTTTTTTGACTTGCTCAATACCAGCCACTGAAGGTATAAGATCTGCTTTCAGACATGCTAGGGCACGAAGCGTATAGTCGCGACAGGAGTCACAACAGTTACGGACAAGTTTCGATGATGAGGTGCCATGCTTCTCGAAATATGCGTGGATCTCAGCAAATTTAGCAAACATGCGAGCGAATTCAGGGCCATCACAGGTTGTCGCATTATCAGAACCATCAGCCGATGTCACCGCTTCGTTATCAAAACTGCTTAAGGGAATTTCATCTAACAGTTGCGACAGGCCAGCAGCAGGAGACTCGCAAGGTGGAGTGACTGGTTCAATGATCCGATGGCCACGGATTCTCTTGATTCGAGACTCGCCGTCTCGGCGTACTGTATTCGTAGCTTCCGCTACGTCTTGAGGACCATTATCCAGACAATCTGTACCATCACTTGGCTCCAAATCAGGATTGGCGATAGTAAGATCATCGTTTTCTATGCGCTTTCTCTTCCGGGAACTGTCTTTTGTTCGGATAGCAGAAGTCGGCTGCTGTTGCGGTGTTGTCGGGACCACAGGCATCAGCTCTAGCACATCTTCCCGAACGCTCGAGGCGGATGCATTCATGGTACTGTTGAAGAACTTGACATCTTCTGGAATAAGCTTACGAGTCTTCAAGATTCGCGTTCGAGGAGGACGGTTTGCAGGATCAAGACGTCTCTCAATAGCACAACGCCAACCGATCACAGCTTGTTGCTGATCTGGCACGTTTGCACTAGTGATGGCCACTTCACTCAGCATTCTCTTAGATAGGTCTTTGACAGACTCGGCAGGTCTCATTGAAGCAGGAATAGTATCAAGCCAGTTGTCGCCCCATATCTCAGCAATGGATTGCTGGTGGTTCTCTTTAGACCATTGAGCAGAGGTGCCAACGACGACCATGACTTTGACCACTTTGTGATTAGCAACACTGTTAATGAAAGCTTGTTCACTACGAAGGTTTGGGTCTGGGTGAGTGTCCCACAGGTTGTTGATCTTCACCCATCGCCAGATGTAAGCAGCTTGGACACTAGCGCTCTCCGCTCGGTCGGCTGCAGCAGCAAGCAGGTCGCTCGCGGCTTGTATAGGTGAGACATCGGGACCGGGGTTGTTCAGATAGTCCCAGATCGAGACGTCAGGCTTGTCTGGGAGTCTCTGGTTGCGCAGTTCCGATTCGACATCGGCCGGCGACATCATCTGGAGCCGAGCTTCGGTCTCTCCAGCATCGGCTCTAGCTCGAAGGGATTGGTGTTGACGTTGCACTTGAGACGCCGTAGGGGCGCTCGGTCCGGCGACCGCTTGCGTGCTAGGAAGTGCAGAGGGCCGAGGTGCAAGAGGCACCGCTGACGGCACTTGCGAAGCGTCGCGGACAAGGCGCTGTGGAGAAGCGACATCGTTCTGGAGATCCGCGGTCGCTACAGCACCGACAGAATTTGGTTCAAGTCGATAGAGAACACGTGTGCGGACATTTTTCACACCCGCCATCGTTACAGTTGCAGTGACAACTACTATTCGATTCTTTGCCAAACTTATGTAGATCCACCCTGCCCGAGCAAGACAGGAAAATCGCGCAAGAGAGAAAAGCAAGGTGTAAGATAACAAAAAGAGGGGGAAAAGAGAAAGTGGAAGAGAAAGATAGTACGCTAAGCTGAATTCTGAAGAAACGCAAGAGCGTGGCGGGGAAACGCGAAGCATATATATTAGATTTGACAAGGGTGGAGGCGTCCCAGGCTTAGCCCCCCGCACCCCATTGGACAGACATGTGTCCCGCTAGACCATTCTCATGAGATATCGCAAACCATCAGCAAGTAAGATGCATAGTTATCGCATGATCAGCCCACAGGTCGCACAATGCTACAAGCAAGGTTCTGCGTGTGTATTCCGCGACAGCTCTCTGATAAGAGACACTACGAGAAGGGTAAGACGCGTCGGCGAATCTCTCGCTCCGTTCTGTTTCTCTGCTCTATCTTTTCTTGCCACTATTCATCGTTCCATACGTACACTAAGCTTCTCTTATGAACGATCCAGCAAGAGAGAAAGTATACAATTATCCATCTCGACTTGCATTTAGCCAGAAGACATGGAGCTAGCATATCGGTTGACCGAATACGCTCTAGAGCCAGCCGGCGAGGACGACACAGCTAGAGTCATGACGCGTCAAGAAGGCAGTATTGAGGAGACAGAGCAGCAAGAAATCGCAGCAGCCATGTCGAACTACGTCTATCTAGCAGAGCACGAAGTTCTCATCTGCAAGGAACACGGCTACGCAGTGCGAGGCTTAGACAGCCATCTGCGCTTGGTCCATACTTCTTACACTTCTACGTCGAAGAAGGCAAGGGCTGCACTAAGACAGCATCACAGCGGACGCAACATGCCAGACCCATCCACAGTCCGTCTACCCGAGCCAGGACAGCCGGCAATTGAGTATCTGTGTAAGCCAATCCCAGGCTACTACTGCATCCACAACCAGGACAACACCGCCGGCGAACAAGACGTACGAGGGGATGCATCGACAACAACAGACTCCCCCAGTCACTGCGGCTTCACCACCAGCGACCGTACCAACATCGGCAAACACTGTCGTAATGCACACGGCTGGAAATCTACTGACGAAGACCGTCAGTGCTGGAAAGATGTCTACATCCAGACGTTTTGCAAGAGTTCAGGCAAACAAAAGTGGTTTGTCGTCAAGACACCCGATCAGATCGATAGGGAAAGAGCAAGTGTCGGAGAATCACTCCCCGAGCCAAGCAGATCCAGTTCGACGGCATCAAAGATGACTTCCAGAAGTTAAAAGAGCAATGGCAGAAAGAGCAGGAGATACTAGCAGACAGGGTTGAGAAATGCGAGAACACCGGATGGTGGAACAAGACAAGATGGAGAGAGCATCTCAAGAACTGCAATCTCACCCATCTCTCGTACACCAGCCGGCTGCCCGAGAAGGATGAAGAAGCGTTACTCAAGGTAGCAGCGGTGATCGAGAAGATGGTCGAGAGGGGTGTCTCAGGACTGAGCTCGATGCCGGAAGGCTTGCGTCGTTGGCTTCGAAGTGCAGAGATGCACAAGCCAGACGTGAGACCGCTATCCCGGTTGCAGAATCCAGAGAGTCAAGAACGGTACACCGGGTACTGGAAGCGAATGGTTTGTTACTGTCTACGAGTATGGTGCACTCGTCACGAAGCCACGGACAGCGAGTCAAGTGGCGATGGCAGCAACAATGACGATACCGAAAGCGACAGCGATGAGGTAAACAGTGTGTACAATGCTAACGCCAACACTGATGAGGTAAACAGTGTGTACAATGCTAACACCAACACTGATACCGACGACGACGACGACGACGACGACGACGACGACGACGACGACGACGACGACGACAATTCCGACACAGATCCACAACACGATCAAGGCAGACGGCAAGCACAAGATCACATGCACGATGCTCGGAGGCTCTTCCCATGGAACGACCAACTCGAAAGAGCATTAGAGGAGGTGTGGAGATTGATCGTTCTCGAGGGAGACACATCATCCGTAGAAGACGATCAAATCCCAGCGATGGTAGAGCTCAGTCGGGTGTTGTTGTTCNAAAAGGTGTGGAACGACCGCTTCGACAGCGCTCTAATCCATTTCATGGCCGTGATGGGCATCGACGAGACCAACGCTCGGCTACGCGATGGCAACGACTACTCTTACATGATCGCCGGACTGGTGTACGTGTCCAGGATCGTGACCGCCGAAGCTCTGCTCCCATCACTCGACCGCGAAAACCAAGGGGAGGCCGACTTCGAGGCATTTCTCGAGCAGAGAAAAGAGTTTCTAGCCGACGGATCGATGAGCGTGATGGGAGAGATGTTGAGCTTGCTAGCGTACGGAAAGAAGATCGCAAAGAACTTCCACGCCCAGGGGAAGCTGCACTGGACTCACGACGGAGCCGGCGTCGCTCTCGGCAGCATCGAGTTCACGGTGTACAACTTCAAGTCCATGGCACGCTCCGCTCTAGACGATTGCGAAGACTACATGTGGAGGGATCTCATGTGGGCAGGCCGCAAGGCAGATCGCTTCGTGTTAGATCTCGATAGCATCACCGACGACATGACGGTGAAGAAGAGAGGCTGGTACTTCGGTGCCGACCCGAACCAGGATCTCGAAGCACAAGGTCTCGACTGGATGTTGAAGAGGATGCTAGGCTCGAACCAGGGGAAGAAGATGCGCAGAGGTGACCAGTGGCAGTCGAGACTGGTGGCCAACTATCTCCGGAGGGTGGACAAGTTCAGGGAGCTGTTCATATTCTGCGTGCACGTCTTGAGCGGCCAGCCCGCCAGAGGAACCGAGATCACCAGTCTGCGCTTCCGCAACGGAGTGGCCAACCACCGCAACGTCTTCGTCTTGGACGGCAGAGTGATGACGGTGACGAGCTACCACAAGTCACAAGCAATGCTCGACATGCCCAAGATGGTGCCACGCTTCTTGCCGTGGAAACTGGGTCAGATCGCGGTCATCTATCTCACCCACGTGCGGGCGTTCGCCGAGTTGCTGTCGGTGCAGGTACAGTACGGTCAAGGATGGAGTGACTACATCTGGGCGGACTCGCACGGCCCGTGGGAGACGCAGAAGCTCACCGACACGATGAAACGAGAGACGGCCAAACGACTGAAGGCCAAGCTACACACCCAGAACTACAGACACGCCGCCGTCTTTCTAGGCAGGAGATTCGTCGGACCGAGGTTCGCCAAAGGCTACCGAGAGGAGGCCGAAGATCCGGAAGAAGCCCAGGCGGGTGATATGGATGACGATCTCGAGGAGGGCAACGCGATCGAGCTACAGAAAGCCGGCGGCTTCGGCACCGGAGCCGGCAGATACGCGGTCAGAGCGGACATCTTGAAGTATCTCAACCAAGAGTCGATCGACATCTTCGGCGATCTCAGCGAAAGCTGGCACAGGTTTTTCGAGCTCGACCACAGAGATCCGAAGAGGAAAAGAAAGGCCGAGAGCAGCAGCAACAAAGACGATGGGATGCAAACCGTCGACTTTGAAGGATTGCAGAAAGAGAGATTGATCAAGAGACTGCCCGCGGCAAAGGGAGGAGCTGTTACTGTTGCCGCCACTCCGACGACAGTAGATCTCTCACCGTTCTTACAACAATCCGAAAGGCAGCAGAAGGAGATCGAAGACTTGCGGATGAAGCTCAAGGCACAAGAATTCGAACTGACAAGACTTCGAGGAGAGGAGCTGCAGCAGGGACGACAGCAACCCATGACCCCCATCGTTGGCTTGGGCATCTACTCGAACAACAACAACAACGGAATGCCGACCCCGGTGACAGAGGGAAACAGGCACGACTCACACAACGATGATGCCAACGACAAGAACGACAGCAACGAAGTCATCTACATCGACGATGACGATAATGATGACAACCACCACGACGAATCCAGGTACTCTCCAAGGTGCAGCGGCAGGAACCACCAACAGCATCTGCAGCAGCACGTAGACGACAGTCCGATCATCGAACGAAGCCGAAGAAGGCGCGAGAGGCTGCAACGCTACAGAAGACCGACGGCACAGGAAAAGGAGAGGGCTATACGCAAAGCACTCAAGAAACCAATGGACGACGACGCGGTGACGATCAGATACAGATCGAAAGCACAAGGAGAAGCGCTCGGGAGAATCATGGACGGTGGGTTCAACGTTCTCACCGTCGTTCTGCCGACAGCCGGAGGCAAGACTCTACTCTTCACCGCACCCGCTTGTCTGGAAGAAGACGTCGGGGTGACCATCGTGGTGGTACCGTTCCGCAAGCTCATCGACGAGACGGTGCGAGAAGCACAAAAGACGGTGGGTGACTGTGAAGAATGGAGTCACAGCACCGTCGATCCAGCAGCTCTCGTGGTCGTCAGCGTGGACAAGATGCACGATCACTTCTGGTCGTACGCACGGCAGATGGCGGAGCAGGGCCGACTGAGACGAGTGGTGGTGGACGAGTGCCACTTGCTGGTGACTTCGCACAGCTGGAGACCGCATCTCGTGGAGCTGGAGAAGCTCAAGTCACTAGGAGTACCGATGGTGATGCTGACGGCCACACTCCCAAGGTACATGGAGGTCGAGCTACGACGAAGTCTAGGTATCGGCATCGGAATGATGTCGCTCATACGAGCATGCACGGTGAGGGAGAACATCACTTACACCGTCAGACAGGACATCGGCAAAGGCAAGCTGGTCGAAGAGACGGCCAGAGTGTGCGAAGAGGTCGCCGACGAGCTACGGAGCACCAGGAAAGAGAAGGCCGTCGTCTACTGCCGAAGCAAGAAAGACTGCGAGGAGATGGCGGAAAAGCTAGGCTGCGGCTTCTTCTACGCCGGACACGTCGACGGCGGGGAAACGCTAGAGCAGTGGAAGGCGAACGGCGGCTTCATCGTGTCGACGACAGCTCTCAGCACCGGACTCAACTACGAGGCCGTCAAGGCGGTCATCCACTCGGGACTGCCATACGGACTGATCGAGTTCGCCCAAGCATCGGGCAGAGCGGGTCGAGATCCCAACGAGAGAGTGGACTCGATCGTACTGCTGGAGCAAGGGTGGGAGGAAGAAGAGCAAGGGACGCGGGAGCGTTACAACGAGGCACTCGGACCGGACGGAGCAGCGATGATGGAGTACATCAAGACGGAGGGTTGTCGAAGGCTGGTGCTAGGCAAGTACTTCGATGCGGCAGAAACGATCCAGGAGTGTCACGACAGCAGCAGCAGCGGCAGCGACAACAACAACAGCGAGACCGAGAGCGAGACGAACTGTAGTAATGGCGGCAGCCGCCAGCATCACGCCCCCAAAGCTCCGTGCGACAGGTGTGGTGGTGGAATGGTGGCAGCAGGTACAGAGCTGGTCAGGCAGTCCGAGCTGGAAAAGGAGATGGTCGAAGAGGCTCTAGACGAGATGAAGCTCGGCTGTCCGATGTGTTGGATGAAGTCAGAAGAGAAAGACTCACATCTGGAGCACGGTGGCCGGGAGTGCGAGAGTCGAGAGCTGACGGTGACAGACGAGGCCGACGAAACGACAATTGTCGATGTTGACACATTCCGGAAGCAGATCAAATACGCAAAGGCGAGCAAGGCTTGCAGGAAGTGCGGCATCAACCAGAGGATGTGCAACACCAGGGAAGACGCCAAACGAAAATGCCAGTGGCCCGGCATAGCAGTACCGGTGTTGATGACAGCAGTTCGAGATCCGATCGGGAGGAACATCATCCGAAAAGCCGGCTTCGAACCGAATCGAGTGGTGGAAGAGGAGAAGGAGGGGTGGAAGGCTTACGCAGCGTGGTGCGGCCAGGCCAGAGACAGGCGGATATGGGGAGAGATGATGAGCAATTCGATGTGGGTGGTGAAGGAATTTTTGGTTTACAAGAGTGGGGAGAGGATGAGGCAATTCGATGATGGCGGTGGTGATGAGAGTCAGGAGAAGGAGGACAAGGATGATGATGATACTTCATCATTCGAGGATCTGGACATGGATGAAGACGACTTTATCATGATCGATGCCGGGACCATGGAAGCTACAACAACAACAACAACCGCCACCACGGCTAGAGCGACAGCACCAGCAGCAGCAGCAACAGAAACAGAAGTGGGAGAACGACAAGAGACCCCGGAAGCCCGAGCTACAGCCGTGGAAGAACTGGAACACAGCAGACAGATCCCCCGAGTGTCGAAACGTCCGATGTGCTCGGATATCAGCAGCAGAGAAGGGTTCGAAGCAAAGCTATCGATGTACAGAGGTTGTTGCACGGTTTGCACAGCACGATCGGGCAAGACGGAGCGCAGGCACACGTCATGGAGGACTTGTCCACTGGTCAAGACGTTAGGACTGGTAGAGAAAATGGAAGAGATGGATGGGAAACTGGCCAGGACGAAGATGGAAGGGTCGTCGGGTTGCAACAAATGCTGGAGACCATGCATGCTGTGTGAGCAGTACAAAAGAGACGGCAAAGACATGAGTTTGGCAGAGGGGAGGTACATCAAATGGAAGAAGTTGTGGAACGAAGGGTGGTGTGGACAGAAGGGAGAGATCGGGGGCGATCATCGGGTACGAGAGGAACTGAGATCGGTAGCGTTAGGGTTGTTGTTCAGTTCGAGGGACGAGGTATGGGATTGGATGATGGGTGAGGGCGAGCTGGGAGAGGATGAGAATGGTGATACCGGCACGTTGATAGTGGAATGGTTAAGGAGGAAGAGCAAGGTAGGAATGAGGATAGAGGAAGGATGGATCCAGAGCAGCAAACTGTGTGATCTAATCTGGAATTGGGGCTGAGACAGGCCCTGCAGGTATCTTGAGAGAGGAATAATTAAAAGAGAAGAAAAGGTCAAATCTACCCAACCCTGCAGGTATCGCAAGAGAAATGATGATGATAGAAGAAAAGATCAAATGCACCCAACCCTGCAGGTATCGTAAGAGAAATGATGGAAGAAAAGACAAGATGCCCGGCCAACCCGTAGGGTGGTGTCCCAGGGGAGAAAAAAGCAGAAGAAGAAAAGGAAAAGAAAAAACAAAAAGACGAAAAACCCGTGCAACCCGTAAGGTGTCCCAAAGGGAGAGAGAGAGAGAGAGAGAGAGAGAGAGAGAGAGAGAGAGAGAGAGAGAGAGAGAGGGAGAAAAGGAAAAGAAGAAAGATCAAAACCCGATCAACCCGTAGGGTGGCCCGAAGAAGGAGAGAGAGAGAGGAAAAGTGGAAAGAAAGATGAGAAAAACCCGTATAACCCGTATAACCCGTATAACCCGTAGGGTGGCCCAAAGAAGGAGAGAGAGAAAAGAGGAAGGAAAGACAAGAGAAACCCGACCAACCCGTAGGGTGGCCCGAAGAAGGAGAGAGAGAGGAAAAGAGGACAGAAAGATAGATGAGAGAAACCCGACCAACCCGTAGGGTGGCCCAAAGAAGGAGAGAGAGAGAAAAAGTAGGGGTAAGTAGAGGGTGGGCGGTGGGCCCGTGGTATGGAAAAGCCGGCGGAGGCAAGAGTAGAATAGGGTAAGCAGAGATAGAAGACAAGGCAAGATGCGTAGCAGCCGTAGGGTGGCCCGAAGAAGGAGAGAGACGAAAAGGGAAAGAAGAGGTAAAAGATTAAAGAGAGACCCAACCCAACCCGTAGGGTGTCCCAAAAAGAGAGAACAGTACAAATTAGGACCCCCATTAGGGTAGAGGGTACAAATTAGGACCCCCATTAGGGTAGAGGGTACAAATTAGGACCCCCATTAGGGTAGAGGGTACAAATTAGGACCCCCATTAGGGTAGAGGGTACAAATTAGGACCCCCATTAGGGTAGAGGGTACAAATTAGGACCCCCATTAGGGTAGAGGGTACAAATTAGGACCCCCATTAGGGTAGAGGGTACAAATTAGGACCCCCATTAGGGTAGAGGGTACAAATTAGAAAACCCCAGTCAACCCCAGTCGTTATAGGGTCAACCGCTAGGGGTTAGGGTTAGGAGTTAGGGTTAGGGTTAGGTTAGGGCTAGGTTAGGTTAGGCTAGGGTTAGGGTT